AACCCTAACCCTAACCCTAACCCTAACCCTAACCCTAACCCTAACCCTAACCCTAACCCTAACCCTAACCCTAACCCTAACCCTAACCCTAACCCTAACCCTAACCCTCGAGTATAGCTCGACGCGAGCTATAATAAGATATAAATCTCCTTTATATATAATAGTAGTAAATTTCGTAGTTAGGAGTTCGTATTTAACTTATATTATAAACCGACTAATTAGAATTAACTTATTACTTTATTCCGATCTCTTATATCGATTATACTTTAGCTAAGTAATACTTTACTATTAACTACTAGACTACCGACAAGTACTAACCCTACTTATAACGACGGAATTACTTAACCTCTATTATATAAGTATAACGGTATATAATACTAAAGTAGTAAAGCTTATTTCGCTCGTTATCTAATACTTCGTTATCTAATAATTATTCGCTAGTATCTTCTTTATTAGTATAGCCTTATTTACTATCTTTCTATATTCCTTCTTCGGAGTATTAATCTAGAGTTTCTAGTATCTTAAGTTACTAAGTACTAATTATATTAATAGTTTATCGTTCTCTTAGCTTCTAGAGAAACTATCTAGTGTTTTCCTTACTACTATAGTACTCTCTATACTAATCGTTATAATAGAATATTTAATAAAGGAATCTATATAGTACTTCTTTCTTTTCTTCGACTTATATTAATTCCTATTCTTCTTCCTTTAATATACTTTCGCTATCTTCTATAGGCTCGCTAGCCTTATTAGTAGTAGTATTCTATTCTTATAGAAACTACTTAGAGTTATCTACTTCGCTAGTAACTAGCCTTTTATTAAAGTTTTATAGTATTCTCTATTCTCTATTATTTTTCGAAGATTATTATAAGGTTATTACTTTATACTTCCTAGGTTTTCTTAGTATTATATTAGATTATAGCTACTATATCTTATTCTTAGCGCTATAATCCCTTACTATATAGCCTTCCTTACTATATATATAATATATAATTACTTTCTTTCCTTTAGAGTATAGTTTCTTACTATTCTTACTATAGCTACTTTTAGAGTTTCCTTTCTTTATTATATTTAAGTATATAGAGGCTACTTCTAGTCTATATAGATCGGTATAATATAGCTAATTCCTACTTTAATTCTTCTAACTATAGAGAGAATACTAGAGATTAAACTTATAGCCTTTCTCTATTATATATTTATAAAGCTTATTATTAATTATAATAGAGGCTCTAATTAACTAGTCTAGTTCCTCGGTAATATCTCTATATTTTATTAATTCGTCTTTAACCTAATCCTTTAGGCCTTAGTAATATATAGTATATAAGGCTATATCGTTCTAGTCGGTAAGTTATAAGTACTTCTTAAACTAGGTTATATAGTCCGATATAGACTTAGTCTACTTAATATCTTAAATAACTCGAACTATATTTTTAACTTTATTAGAGATTATAAAGACTTATTATAAGATTATCTTAAGTCCTATAAATACTCTAAAGATTCTAGTAATATCTTTATTATATCTTAAGTTACTATCGAGGTACTTAGTAAGATATAGTTTAAAGTAGTACTAAGTATAGCCTCGAAGAAAGGCTATTATAAATAGACTTTACTTTATAGGCTTTATAGAGTTAAACTCGAAAAAGATATATATCTAGTTAAACTAGTTATTAAGTTTCTCTTAGTCTCTATAGTATAAGTCGGATTTAGCGACCTTTATATCGTCGTTAGACTAATTATAGTTAGTAGAGTATACTATATTAGTACCTCCTACTTTACTAGAAGTAGAGATATCTTACTTAAGTCTTTTAGTAATAGATATTCTTAAGAGTATTTAAAGTATTATATACTATTATATTTATATAATAGAGGTTAAGTAATTCTATCGTTATAAGTAGTATTAGTACTCGTTAAGTAGTCTAGTAGTCGATAGTAAAGTATTACTTAGCTAAAGTATAATCGATATAAGAGATTAGAATAAAGTAATAAGTTAATTCTAATTAGTTAGTTTATAATATAAGTTAAATATAAACTCCTAACTACGAAATTTACTACTATTATATATAAAGGAGATTTATATCTTATTATAGCTCGCGTCGAGCTATACTCGATAGTCGCCTTCTACTCGCTATCGAGCTATACTCGATAGCGAGTAGTTAAGCCGATATCTTAGATACTACTAGCTCGACTTACTAAGGATCGAGTACTAAGGCGTAGCTATATCTATACTAATTATATTATAATAGAAATAAGGCTTTTCTTCTTCTAGAAATATTATATATAAGCTTACTTTCTATCTTAGAAGTATACTATAAATAGTATTCTAATAGTACTCTTAAAAGAATATAGGTTTTATTATAGAATATATATAGTATAAGCTCTTTAGCCTTAGAATATAGTCTTAAAAGATATCTATCTATCTATTCTTTATTAGTAGCTTCTACTTCTTTAGTTCTAATACTTCTCTTTTAGAATTTATTTAAGATACTACTAAGAGCGTTTTAATTAAGGTTTTAATAAAAGTACTTAGAGATATCTTCTTATTAATTAGTTATAAGTACTACTTAGTATCTAGTAGTCTCTATATCGATAAAGGCGGCTTATATACTTACTAACTCGACTTATATCTACTACTAATATATATATATCTCTTTAATTATAAGCTATATCTTAGTATTTATTATTTCCTATTTAAAGGCTATATTCTCTAATAGGTTTATACTAGTATCTAATAGAGTATCTATTAAAAGTAGCTTATATTAATCGAACTTAATATTATAGAAGAGTAATATATATATAGAAGCCTAGTCTAGTATTTAATAAGTTTAATAAAGAAGTAAGAATAAATATCTATAGAGTTTACTTAGAAGTAATTAAGTACTAGGCTAGTATAGACTAAGCTAGTATCTTACTCCTAGGGCTTACTCTTTATATAAAGTCTATATAAACTATAAGACTATTAATAAAAACTTTAGTTAACTTATTAAAACTTAAGAAAGTTTTTTAATTTTTTTTTTTAATTTTTTTTAAGTAGCTCTAATAATCTATTATATTTTTTAGTTTTTCTATACTTTATTCTATTAGAAGAGTTTATAAAAGCTATTACTAGCTTTATTTAGGCTAAATCTAAGCTTCTAAAACCTTAAAACGACCTTTTTTAGTCCTAGATAGTATAACTTAGTTATACCTTTAAATAATTATAGTAGATTTGTATCTTGCTATAGCTTGCGTTAAGCTATACTCGATAGCGAGCAGTCGAGCTAGTGCCTTAGGCACTCCTTGCTCGATCCTTAGCGGATCGAGCACCGGACCGCGGCTGCGCTCGTGCTAATCGTGTCGTGACAGGCACTTACAAGCTACTATTATAGAGCAGAAGACACTACGGCAAGCAAACGCCCGCTATGTCGACACACACGCCTACAGAGCAACAGAATCCAACCCAGCCCTCGATAGGTAATCAATATGACTCAATCCCTCTGCAGATGTATGTGCCTCGCCTGGAGTTCGTCTACCGACTGAAGTGCGAGATGGCTTCCGAGAACGATTATGTTGGAGCACCGTTCGATGGAAGCAACGTACGAGTTGTCATGCCAATCATCGGTGGTACCGTAAAAGGCCCGCGAATATCCGGCATCATCCAACACCGAAGCGGCGCAGACTGGGGACAGTCGAACAAGGGATCAAACGTAAGCAGGCCCATAATACTGCACGCAACGGACAGATAACGCTACTACACTGTCCACTAGTTCACGCGCCTCGATGCCCGCTACACACTCAAGACCGAAGACAACCACTGCATTTACGTGCAATCTAAAGGCATCTTCTCGCCACACCGGGCGGACTACTTCGCTAAAGGCCCCCCCACCTCCATGTCACAGAAGGATGTCGATTGGTTCACCCGACTGGAGTTCGAAACAGGACCTGGCCCTTATGGCTGGATGAATGGGATATTTGCCATCGGCGTCCTTAGCATGCACGAGCAGCGTATTATCATTGACGCGTACGCCGTTACCAACAGCACGACGGGCGCAGGACCAGAAGAGGCCCCCAAAGTAGACTAGGCGAGCTACAAAGCTTCCGAGCATGAATCGACGCATGGCCACTTCATCGAGCATTTGGCGCTTGTCGATTCTCCCGCTGTTTGAGGAGGCTGCTTGTTGTCTTGCCATATTCTCTCCACTTGTAGGGTAAGCGGAGCGTAGGCGAAGTTGCTAGCCTCACTGCCTTCCACATGGTCCGGGTATCGTACACATTCAACCAGCGCTAAGCTTCTTCGTTCCACCAGGCGAACACAGCATTGATTGACGAATGATAGCTTTGTTGCCACATTCCGGCTCCGTCCAAGCTGAATATGTATTGGGAGGGTGTCTCATTGCTGCCCACAGAAAGTATATACCTGATGCATCCTTGCTGGTCACATGGCTCATGAGCCAGTCTTGATGGGTCGGCTGAAGTACTGCTTACTGCCACAAACCTTCACATGCCCCTCGAGCCGTGGGATTGGTAGCCGGCCAAAGAGGAGTCGAGCAGATGGTCTGTTGTGGCCAAGCTCGTAGACTTTGTCCACGATGCAATTGTCCCACAGAGCGATGACCTCCCCAAACATCGAATGGACGAGTTCCACACCCTGCCGAACCAGATCATGACTTTCGGTGACCGCCAGTCGCTTGATGTCGCACCATCGGTAGGTTGCAAGACTGCGCCAATCAAGGCTGCTGTATATACCATGTTCAAAAGGCTACAGGGCGCCCGGACACTTGGGCACCCTCATATCGCCGTTCCCCTCTCGAAGCTCTCCCTTATATCCGCCGTATACTTATCATAAAACCTCGCCAACTTCAAATTGAACTGCTTGTTCTTCTCGTTGATATACGTCACGTCCCTCTCCCCTTCATCCTCCTTCCCTCTCGCCCGCCTCTTCTTCAATCGCACCTCCTCCGCTTTCCTTATATCCGCCACCAAGCGATCTACAGCCGCGCGATCTGGCCTGTTCCCAATATGCGCCGTGCCGCCCGCATCGGCCGTGCTGTAGAACGCACCATCCTTATCAACCGCAATTAGCTCACCCGCCGCTGTCTCGACAATCTCCAACCCGCCACTCTGCACCGCCCGTTCCACCGCCTCTGCCTTCTCCCTCTCATAAGCATTCCGCCTCTCCTCAAACCCCGCCTTCTCCATCTCACCAACCTGCCGGTCATACACCTTCCCCGCCTCCCTCGCATAGTCCTGAAATGCCACCCCCTCTCTATTCCGCTCCTTAGCAGCCATCTTCGCATCCCAGCGCTCAGACTCCTCCGCCGTCCAATCCCAGGCGCGTTTGCGCTCGAAATCTTGGCCGCTTTCCTCGACCGTGGCTTTGAGGAGTTTATGTTGGGCTACATCACGTTTGCGGTTGATAGCGGTAAGTTGAGTGGGGTCGGTGGACTGGCGTTTGGCTTCGTGGCGCGTTTCTTTGAGATTGGCCTTGCGCGAGGCTTGATTGCGGGCGCGGAGGGCGGCGAAGCGGGCGGCTCTATCATCGTTTGCTGGGGATGTGGCTGGTGCTCGCGCGCCGTCCGCGGCGGTGGGTGCTGGCTGTGCGGGTGGTGTCTTCGCTGTCGCATCGGGCTGGGGCGCTGCTTCCTCCTCTGCGAATCTTCGCTTTGACGACTCGGTATCGTCTTCCAGGCTTGGCGAACCTTTGCGCTTGAGTGTTGTCGGCATCTCGTCTTGTACCGAGAGAAGTGTATCTCTGTTCATTTGAGGGACTATCAAGGAACGCCTGTGTTTTTTGGTGCAGTCGCATCTCCGACGTAGAGGACCAATTTGTGCGAGCCTTAGGCATCAATTTGTTAACCCCACCTCGGAACGCGCTCCCACGACGCGTCCTCCACCTCCACGTCCACCATCACGACACCAGACACGCAAAACATATCAACCACAGCTCGGCGCTCGGCGCAACACTGACATGACATCGCACTAGCGAATATCAGGGGACAAGATGCACATCAAACAGATCATCATCCAGGGCTTTAAGTCGTACAAGGACCAGACCGTCATCGAACCCTTCTCCCCCAAACACAATGTCATCGTCGGCCGCAATGGTTCCGGCAAGAGCAACTTCTTCGCCGCCATTCAGTTCGTCCTCAGTGACCGCTATACCCAGCTGTCACGTGAGGAACGTCAGGCTCTCCTCCATGAAGGCAGCGGGGCGGCGGTGATGAGTGCGTATGTGGAGATCATCTTCGATAACAGTGACGCCCGCTTCCCCGTCGACACCGAAGAGGTTGTGCTTCGACGATCCATCGGCCAGAAAAAGGATGAGTACAGTCTCAACCGCAAGAACACCACCAAGCAGGAGGTCATCAATTGCCTCGAGACGGCCGGCTTCAGCCAGAAGAACCCTTACTACATCGTCCCCCAAGGTCGCATCACCGCCATCACCAATATGCCTGACTCGGGTCGTCTTGGCATCCTCAAAGAGGTGGCCGGCACAACGACATACGATCAGCGACGCGCCGAAAGCAACAAGATCATGGATGATACTGCTTTCAAGCGCGAGAAGATCGACGAGGTGCTGACTACCATCCGCGGCAGGCTGGCGGAGCTTGAAGAGGAGAAGGAGGAGCTGCGAGAGTTCCAAGAGAAGGATCGTGAGCGGAGATGTCTTGAGCACACCATCTACCGCCGTGACCAAGAAGCATTGGAGGAGTTTATTGATAAGCTTAAGGAGGAGCGTGAGGGCGGTGTGGAGCAGACCGATGACAACCGTGAGGCTCTGGATCGTAGTGAATTGGAGCTTGAGAAGATTGAAGCGGAGATGACCGGGCTGCAGTCCCAGATCAAGCTACTGACCGAAGAGCGCGCGCAGCTTGACGACGAGCGCAAGGACACGGCCAAGCAAAAGGCAAAGATCGAGCTCGACGTGCAGACCATGATCGACAACCAGAATGCTGCACAGCAAGCTCGCGCACAGCATAGCAACGATCTGCGCCAAGTGCAGGAGCAGATGCAGCAACGCGAAGCTGAGCTCGCGGAGATTCTACCGGAGTATGAAGCGAAGAAGCAAGAAGAGCGCGCAATCAAGCACCAGATTAGTGATGCCGAGGCGACGCTCAGCCGACTATACGGCAAGCAAGGTCGCCAGAGTCAGTTCAGATCAAAGCGTGAGCGAGACGACTGGCTCCGCACGGAGATCAAGGCCATCAACATGACCTTGGCCACCCGCAAAGCCGTTGCCATGCAGATCAATGAAGACATCGCTGAGCTCGAAGGCCAGATTCAGCAGCTGGAAGCGAGCATCGCCGAGATCAGAACCCGCATTGAGAACCGTGGCGACGAGCAGCAGAGCATCTCCACCGAGGTCACTCGCGCGAAAGAGGAGCGTGACCGTTTGATGGACCAGCGCAAAGAGTTGTGGCGAGAAGAAGCCAAACTTGACTCAGTCATTGAGAACGCAAAGGCCGAGTTGGACAAGGCTGAGAGGTTCCTAAGCCACATGATGGATCAGAACACCAACCGCGGCCTCCGAAACGTCCGCCGGGTTGTTCGTGAGCACAACATTCAAGGTGCTTACGGCACGCTTGGCGAGCTGTTCGACTTCAACGAAAAGTACAAAACCGCCATCGAAGTCACTGCCGGCACGTCCCTCTTCCACTACGTCGTCGATACTGATGACACCGCAACCCGCATCCTTGAGATTTTGAAGAAAGAGCAGGGTGGTCGCGTGACTTTCATGCCTCTCAATCGTCTCAGGGCCACACCTGTCAACATCCCAAAAACGAGCGATGCCGTTCACCTCGTGACAAAGCTCAGATACGACCCCATGTTCGATGCGGCCTTCCAGCAGGTTTTCGGCAAAACCATCGTTTGCCCGAATATCTCCATCGCTTCTCAATACGCACGCTCGCACAAGCTGACGGGCATCACTCCTGAAGGTGATCGCTCCGACAAGAAAGGCGCGCTAACGGGAGGCTATCATGACACCCGCAAGTCACGCACAGATGGCATGAAGCGGGAGAAGCGTGCTCGCGAGGAGTACGAGCAGCACTTTACCCGCAAGCAGGAGATTCGGGAAGAGCTTAGTGCTCTCGATCAGCAGGTCACGAAAGCCTTGAGCAATCTGCAAAAGGTGGAGCAGCGCCGCTTGCAGCTCGACAGCGGCTACGGTCCTCTTCGCGACGAGCTGAGACGCCGTGAGCAGGAGCTCAGCAACAAGCGTGATGAGCTGGACCGTAAGCAGCAGTCTCGTGAGAACGTTGGAGACCTCGTGCGCACATTGGGCGAGCAGCAGTCCGGCTATGAGAAGGAGCTGGCTAGTGACTTTAAGAAAGCGCTGTCCAATGCCGAAGAACAGGAGCTTGAGAGTCTGAACAGCCAGCTGCCCGAACTTAGGAAGCGGCACGCGCAACTGGAAAGCGAGAGAATGGAGCTAGAAAGCAGAAAGACAGCGATCGAGTTCGAGCTGCGGGAGAATCTGCGCTTGCGTTTCGATCAACTCCAAGCTACCGATCTCGATGCCGACACTGACGCCTCTGTCACTGGCATCAGCAGCAACAGCGCCCGCCTGAAAGAGCGCCAACGCGACCTGAAGCGCATCACGCAAACCCTTGAAACCATCCAAGCCAAGCTGGCTGAGAATGAGTCCGCAATTGAAGAAACACAACAGCAACTTCAAACCCTGCAAGCCACCCACTCTACTAAGGCTCAGGAGATCGACACCCTCCGCCGCGCCATCCGCAACTACCAAAAGTCCATCGAAAAGGGCGCCCAGAAGCGCGCAGCACTACAAACCCGTCTTGCTGAAGTTCAAGCCCAGATCCGCTCACTCGGCGTACTTCCGCAAGCCGCTTTCCAAAAGCCCTACACCGACATGAACCAAAATGTTGCGACGGCTCGCCTGCATAAAGTACAAGAAGCGCTCAAGAAGTTCGGGCATGTGAACAAGAAGGCGTTCGAGCAGTTTGCGCAGTTCGAGACGCAGCGGGAAGGGCTGGAAAAGCGACTGGAGGAGTTGGCGAAGAGTGACGAGAGTATTCGGGAGTTGATTGAGCATCTCGACCGCGTAAAAGACAAAGCGATTCTACGAACGTTTCAACAGGTAAGCATGGAGTTCGCACATATCTTTGAGCGCCTCGTACCCGCTGGGAAGGGGCGGTTAATCATCCAGCGCCGACCCGGACTCGCCGCCGCCAACGAAGCAGAAGCCGAAATGGGCGAAGAGGACGACGATGGCGGCGCCAGAGGCGGGATGGGCATAGAGAACTACATTGGCATTGGCATCTCCGTCTCTTTCAACAGTAAAGCAGACGAACAACAGCGCATCCAGCAGCTCTCCGGCGGGCAGAAGTCGCTCTGCGCGTTGGCCTTCATCTTCGCCATCCAAGCCGCCGATCCGGCACCCTTCTACCTTTTCGACGAGATCGACGCGAATCTTGATGCGCAATACCGGACCGCGGTGGCGCAGGAATTGCAGCGGAGTGCCAACAGAGGCACGAGAAAGGATGGCAGTACGGAGGGAGAAACGGGCGGGTCGACGCAGTTCATTTGCACCACCTTCCGGCCGGAGATGTTATTGGTGGCGGAGAAGTGCTACGGGGTTAGTTATTTGAGGAAAGCGAGTAGGATTGATGTTGTGAGTCGCGAGGATGCGGTTGGATTTGTTGAAGGGCAAATCAGTGGGGGTGGTGCGAGGTGAGCGGTCAGAAACTTGTACGGGTAGGTGTAGAATATTGCTGCTGGGCTTTTGAGGAAGGGGCGTTCAATGGGGGAGAAGATACCCAGTGCGGAATTTCCAAACGAACAATGCGAATGCCGGCGCCTGCACTGCAGACGCAATTGGCGCCTTCCTGCGGTATCCTTTTCCCGCCACAAATTCGCCGTCGTTCATACACGGAAAGGGGCTGGTCTCGGTGATTAATTCTAGTCTATTACGATACAGTCTGTCTGCCCACCTGGGGACCACTCCTTCCTGGGGTATCACAAACCAAACAAACTCTCCATTACAACTTGCTCCTGCTATCAATCATTCAACCCGAAAGCCCTCCTTAACATCCCAAACTTCTTCTTCTTCCCTGTCCGCCGACTGTACACCTCCGCAGCCGGAGCCTGAGTCTGGACCTTACCTACATCCCCTTGCTGGCTGCCCCCATCACTCTCCTTGCTGCCTGGCGCAAAACCAACGCTTCGTTGCGCCGATTCGCGCCTGCTTAAGCCGGGCATCTGTCCGCTGCTAGCAGATCGGTCGCCGGCGTCCGGTCGCATGGTGCGGAGAATTCTGATGGCGTCCGTATTGGCGCTGTCGGAAGTGGTGGGTCTGTCACGCTCTCCGTTGAGGTGCTGGGTGGGTATGGCGGGTACGGGTGGGGTTAATGGCCACTGGTCGCTAGCCTTCCGGTGCAGTGTCGCTGGCGCCGTGGCAGTGGAGAAACTCGAGTCGCCGCGCTGGACTGGTTTTGGTTGCTGCGAACTGCGGCGCACCAGCTTCGTGAACGGGCTCGGGGACATTGGCCTCTCGATTGCGGATTTGGGTTCCTGGGGCACGGTCGACATCTGCGGAGAGGATGGCATTGGCGGCGAGGCAGCGGCGGGACTACTGGGTAGTGCAAACCGTTGCTGTACGCTTGTGCTCGAGTCTCTGTTTCGTTTGAGTATGGACCCCATGAATCCACGTCGCTTCTTCTCCGGTATGCCGTCGAACTGTGGCTCGTCTGCCTGCCGTTTCTCGAACGTTGACTGTCCGGTGGCAGTAGCAGGCGTTCTCAAGCTACCTTTACTCAACGCCTCGCCCTGGTGCGTCTCCGGCGCCTTGATTTCTGCCGCAGGAGCGGTAGGAGCGGTAGGGGCAGCAATACCCAGCTTCCGTCTCGCGGCTTCCATAGCCTTTTCCACGTCCGCCGGATTCGGTACGATGGGCTTGTTTTGCTTGGCCCGCTTTCTGCTCGCTTTGCGCGGATCCTCGTCCTCATCTTCTTCGTCTTCCAAATCCGTGGAGTCGCCATCGTTCTGTCCCTGCTTGCGTGGTATGCCACGCACTGGTGTCAAGTCGGCCGGTATGACCCGCGGCGAGCGAGGCTCATCTTCATCATCCGAGTCCGCAAACCGGCTCTTAAACAGCGACCGCCCCGGCCGAGCACTCTCACCTTCGTCATCCGAGTCGCCGAAACGGCTCCTGAAGCGAGGCTTCGCGGGTGCAGGAGCAGCTTGAACGGCCCTTGCACCTCTACCAGCCCCACCACCCGGCGGATCGCCTCTCATAGTCGTCCTCCTGCCTGCCCCAGCATCCACACTCCCACTTCTCAGACTCTCCCTCAACTTCTCCCCTCGGCCTCTCCCAAACACCGACCCACCCGAAGGCGACAATGAACGGATGCTAAACGCGCCACCGCCCCTCGGCGCACCTGGAGGTGGACTTGATGGCCTGATGCCAGGAGGAGGCCCTTGCGGCTCGTCGACAGGAGTACTGCGCATACTCCGGCGCATATTGTACCGCCCTGAGGTATCGACGTTCGTCCGCTGTCGCCGCTTCTTGAACGAGCTCTCGGAATCTGAGTCCTCGCCTCCAGTCACTTTGCGCTGTAGCTTAGCAGTGTAGGCGCCCGGAGGCGGAACCGCTTTCGTGGACGACACAGGTGCAGGCGTTCGCGTCGGCGGAGTCTGTTTCTGCCCAGCCATTGCCGCCTGTCTCTTCGCCTGCATCTTGGGAAAAGCCGAGTCCTGACTCGCGATGGGCGTGCCAATACTATCTTCACTGTCCATGCGTGTCGTTCTCGGTCGAACAGGTAGACCATTAACACCAAGACGCGACGGCTGAGGACCGGAACCACCTGCAGACATAGGCCGTTGACTCACATCACTCCGTCGACTCGGCTGGATGACCTCGGACTGCGGGCGTGGTTGCTGGGATGGGTGCGAGCGCAGCGTCCTAGGCATCGCTTCGCCAGCATTGGCGGTCGTGTTGCCACGTAGCGAGCGGCGCAGATGCACGTCGCTGTCTGGGCCATGACCTGCCGCAGGTGTAGGTGCAGGTGCAGTCGCTGGAGCAGGATTAGGACCAGGTTTCGCGCGCATCGTCCTCGGCATACTGGGCTGCTGCGGCAGCGGTGCGTCTTGTGGCCTCGCCACGATCGTCGGCGAGCCGGAAGCCTTCGGTACAGTCTTCTTCTTCCGCTTCGCCACCGTAGGCGCCGGCGTAGCCTCGTCGTCGCTGCTCAGATGCTGCCTCTCAATCTCCTCCCGCTGCGCTTTGCTTAGCTGGCTCCAGTACGCGGTCGCTTGGCTCCAGTCACCCACATCCGCTGCCTCTGCGCCATTCTGGAAAGCTTGTTCAGCTGGTGCCTTCTTTGTAGGGGTCTCCAGCACCTCGGGCGCCTTGCCCTTGTCGCTCGGTGATGGGACAACGGGCGAGGATACGATGGCGTCCAGACTCGCAAACCCACCATCATCCAGATCTGACAGGTCTTCAGCAGCGTCACTGAACTCGGCATTATCATCGCTCTCCTCCGTCAATGCATCCAAAATCGGAGAAGGCCTCCTATAGTCGATCAAGGGAGCCTCGTTCGACAACGTTTTGGGTTCGGGCGCGGGCGTAGGTTCCGTGGCGGTAGCAGGTTGAGCAGAGGAGATAGCAGCAGCGACCTTATCATCACTGCCTTCCTCAGCCGACCAGCCACCGGGCACCACGAATTGCTCCATGCTGCTTCTTGGATTGGGATGATCCTCCTCACCCAGATTCTTCCTCGGTTCCTCGCCCGGAGTGGGTGGTAGAAGGTTTATCGCAGGCACTTCCGTCGCATTTTTCACCGTCTCCTGCGTCGGCTCCGGTACTGGATCGGCGGCAGGAGCGAGCCTCTGCGCAGCCTCTGTCGCAAAGTCTCGCGTCTTAGACACCGGCCCGTCCGCTTCATCAACCGATACTCTTCTCGGGTCGACAGCATTAGCGGCAGGCTTTGCAGGCGTACTCGAGATGTCCGGCTGGAATGACGACTCATCTTCGCTCACATAATCATCAGCAGCTGCGGACTGCTTGTTGTTGGCGACTTCGGGCGCCTTTGGCTGTGCAGCAGGCTCTGGCTTCGCATTCGTAAATGCTTGGCTGACTGCGTGATCACTGCTAATACCGACGGGCTCCCTTTCCGGCGCCATCTCAGTGACCTTCTCCGGCATTTCCGCTCGCGCAGGTCTGCGAGCACTAGCAAAGCTCGGTAGCGCAGGTCGTTGCTTCAGCGTTGCACTATCGAAATCGTCGTCCTCAACAGCGTGCGACAAATCCCGCCGTGACGCTGATGCGTTAGAAAGCGCGTTTGGCGCGGCAGTGATCGCCTTTGGGCTGGCCACAGCTCCCGCGGCATCAATCTCCTGCGGTTGCTCATCAAAGCTGACTCGCGCTTTCTTCTTTTCCTTCTTAACACCCACCTCTGACGTCTCAGACCCCACGTCAGACGCATCGCTTGGTGGCACCTTATTCGCAGCTCCGGACAATGACGAGAAAGCCATCGGCGAAGTGGGCCTTGCGTTGTGATTTGGAGAGTGCTTGAGCGCGGACTTCGCAGGGGAGACGGACCGTGGCGGTGGGTCATGTCGCATGGCTTCAATGACCGGGCTGACCGAGAAATGGGCGGACCGACTCGGCGACATCGAACCGTTCCTACCGCGTCCGGCGCCGTCTGTGCTTCGTTGTCTTGGTATGTCTAGGCTAGTAGAACGCTGATGTGTGATTGCTGTGGGTGCTACGTAGGCTTTCGCGGGTCCAGCCGAGGTGGTGATGGTGCCGCCGGTAGGCTTCAGCGGTGTCTGCTTTGCCGCCGCTTCTTCGGCTTCGGGATCCTCCCGCACCATGGATGGCTGCTTTTGCAGCATGCCAAGCATGCGCGGCGATGCCGGACTCGACGAGCTTGTAGGTGAGAGCCGCGCAGGATTCCGAGGTGGCGGTTCCAACTTCGTCGCAACTGGCGGGACGGCAGGCTTTTGCTTTTTCTTGTTAGGCGCGTCATTGGATGCACTGCCAGATACTGCCGGTGCTGGTTGAGCAATTGCTGTTCGAGCAGGGACTATACTTCGAGTGTTGGGGTCCCAGTGTCCTGGCTGTGGTGCTGGTTGTGCTTGTGGCGCTAGTTGTGATGGGGTGGTTGGTCGTGCTGTTGCTTTTGGCTCCGAAGCTGGTTGGATTGCTGGCTTCGGTCGCGGCCGCGCAACGAACGTTCGCGAGTTCGGGTCATACTCCATGATCGTATCTTGAGTATCATAAGACACAGCTTGAAGTCCGGTAGGCGATTGCACGGCAAGTGTGCTGCTCATACCGCTCCGCGAGCTTGGTCGAGCATTGGCGGCTGATCCCGAACCACCAGGCTGAGAGAACCATGACCCTGTTCCGTGCGTGTACCTTTTCGCTCCACCCGTGCCAACATACTCGGATGAGCTCTGAGTGGCTTGCTGAGGGGCCATAGGCCGCGAGTAATTGGAGGATCCGTTGCCACTCTGCCGCTCAGTCTCTTCAGTCTCCAGTACACCCGACAGCCTCTTTGACAGCCTATTGGAGGGTGGCGGAGGCAGACTGGCACGGTCCAAGCTCGATCCTCTGCCGCCTCTACCGCGTGGTGTAGGGCTCGTCACACGCTGAGGTGGCTCCAGGCTACTAGCACGCTTGTGGCCCGTAGTCGATATATCTCTTGGCACTGGAGGTATAGGCGGAGCGTCTGGATCCGGACTCGTTACGCCGTTCGTTCTCCCTGGTGAAGGCGATCTGAACGTGCGCTCGGTCATGGAACTACTGCTCGTATTGCGCTGCAAGCCTGGTCTTGCGCCGCCTCCGCGAACGGTACCGCCTAGCACGCTGCCACTGCCAATTGACGATACACTGCCGCGACGTACCATGCGCTTCGTCTGGATACTGCCGACAGGCTCTGGGCTGGTGGCATGAGTACGCAACGCTGCGGCTGCGGCAGCGGAAGAGAGGGATCCAGCGGTCAGGGAGTTGGTGCGGAAAGCAGAGCCTGCAGCAGCCGCGGCAGCATTGTAAGTTACGGGATCCACGGGCTGCAGATGAATGTTAGCATGTCATGCGCGCGACAGACCACCGTCATTGTCGCCGTCGATGCGTATGGCGAAGGGCTGACGTACGGGAGTGGAAGTGGAAGTGCCGCGTCGGCGCGCAAACATATTAGGCATCTTCAATAGCTTTGCGAATGCTGCGACGCTCACCCCGCGTAGATGCAGAGCTGGGCGCCCGCAGGATGCTGGCTGTGGCTGTGACGAAAGCAAAGGGCGGATGCTTGCTTGCCCGACGAGGCGGGTGTGTGGGCGCGAGAGCGCGAATCAAAGGCTTAATGAAGCATGCTGGTAATGCTCAATCAAAACCAAGCACAGCACAGCATAGTCAAGGGAAATGAAGCAGTGGAATACATGTGGTGAAGGAATGGCAGTGCGACTGATGGGCACGAATGGACAAAGGGAGGGTAGGGCCCAGCTCTATAGCTCCTCCCGCACACACGGTACAGTGAGTGTGTAGCACCGGTGGTCCTGCGTGCCGCGGACAAAAGAAGTCGCAGCGGAAAGCTCGACGGCGTGTGGCTCATGCGCGCGTCATGGCGCAGCGACTGGGTAAGGCCTGTGCGTTCAATGTTGTTATGGACGTTGAACTCTGCAATTTGCGGCTACGGTCCATCAATACTGGTGGTCAACCTTGGTCAATGTTACTGCTAAACCTTTCATACCGCATCAAATGACGGTGGGATTGGATCATGGTGCAAGGCGAGGACGGCTTGCCATTCGTCAAACGTTGGTGATTGTCCCGATTGTGGCGGTCGAGAAAGGCGCGGGATGGACAAGCTTGCGGGATACGGCGTCCTCGGCAAAGACTGGAGCGTGAACTGACAGCGCGCGCGGGCCACAGCCAAGACCAGCAATCATGGCCACCACTCCTTGCATTTACGACGTCGTCCTCACCATCGTCACTGTATGACATAAGCTGAAGGAAGCACGCGTTGTCCAATACATGCTTTGACACCATGGCAGCCATCAGGGTGGCGACGGCGACCCTGCCATCGTTTCCCACACTCTACATCGTTAGCGATACCGGAAAGCTTCCCCTCATCGTCACCGTCAAGCTGAGTGTATCTTTACTATTTCGTTCTATATCAGCACATCAGGAATCTGTCGGACCTATCAATCGTGCTTGTGTCGAAGACGCTCCATAATACTCTGTCCGTGCCATGGCGGAGACCAATGGCCACACTCCCTCACCTCTCCCTATACCTGAAGGCATAACCGAAGACTATGTTGACTGCACCTCCTCTTGTGGCCTTAACTACCACATCCTGAAAGCCGGCCAACCCGGCCAACCTCTCGTACTCTTCTGTCATGGCTACCCAGAACTCGCCTTCTCATGGCGCAAGATCATGCCATCCATCGCCGCCCAGGGGTACTACTGCGTGGCCATGGATCAACGCGGCTACGGCCGGACAACAGGCTGGGACGAGGCTTCCTACGGCGAGGTCGATCTAACCCAATATACAATGACCAACCTTGTGCGGGACCTCGTCTGCCTCGTCTACGCACTAGGTTACCAAGAAGTACACTGCATTATCGGCCACGACTTCGGCGCCGTATCGTCCGCCATGGCCGCCCTCATCCGCCCAGACATCTTCCAATCAACCATCCAAATGAGCCACCCACATCACGCGCCTCCCAGCCCACCCTTTGGAGACGAACCTCAAAAGCAGAAGCTTGACGTCCAAGCCGAGCTAGCCAAACTGGAGCCACCGCGGAAACACTACAAATGGTACAACTCCACCCCCACTGCCGCGCACGACTGGGACAACCCACCTCAAGGTCTGGAAGCCTACCTGCGCGGCTACTTCCATCTCAAGTCCGCCGACTGGGCCACCAACGCGCCACACCCACTCACAGAATGGAGCGCAAAACAGCTAGCTGTGATGCCGGAGTACTACGTCATGCGGAAGGACCACAGCATGCCTGAATCCGTGGCTTCAAACATGCAAGGCGAAGACGCCAGTGCAACACAACCCTGGCTTTCCCCGTCCGACCTGCAAGTCTACGTCCGCGAATGGCAGCGAACAGGCTTCCAAGGGGCGCTGAACTGGTATCGCGCGCAAACCGCTTCGACGCCGCAGAGTGCGAAGGACATGTTTCTCTTCGCTGGGAGGCGGATAGAGGTACCGTGCTGTTTCGTCAGTGGGAAGCAAGACTGGGGTAATTATCAGCAGCCTGCCGCTTTTGAAAGTTACGAAGACGACAAGGTGGTGCGTAAAGGCTGTTTCAAAGGCGCGAGACTGATCGACCATGCAGGGCATTGGGTGCAGCAAGAGCAGCCAGAGAAGGTCATTGATGAGGTCAAGAAGTTCTTGAGCGGGCTTTGAAAGCTCACGTCGCATTCGATCAATCTACATACAAGAAGTTTAACCAGGCTCTCGAAAGCTGAATCATGCCCATGTTTCCCAGTCATCACTGTCTAGCATGCACCCATCATATCCTCACAGATTCTTGATCGCATTCAGGTATGTATTTCCACTCGTCGTCAGTGCGCCGTTGCTGTCCGTCAACGGCCAGACGTTCCCAAGCCCATTCCCATTGCTCGGTCCATACGCCACGACATCATCATTCCCTTCGAAGTAGCTCACCACGTCGTTGATGTAGTTGTTGATCTGCGTCTGATCCGTGCACGGGTTCCAGCTCGGCTGGTCGTTCACGCACGCGAACTCGGTAACCCACACCTTCTTGCCATACTTTTGCACATAGTAATCAACCACCTTCTGCGCCTCGGTGACGTTGGGCTTGTTGATGTGGACGGCGGTGACGTCCCAGCCGCGAGTAAGAGTGCTGCTGAATGGGGTCAAGAAGTCCTCGTCGAACTGTTTGCACATGCTAGGGGAGCCGAGGATGGTGCCCTTGCTAGCGAGGGGTGCAATAAGGCTGTTCCAGTCCGAGGCGGCGCTGGAGGTGCTCATCTCGGCGGAGTCCGGGCAGGAGCAGTCGGGTTCGTAGAAGCCAAACATGATCTCGGGCGTGGTGCCGGAGGAGACAAGGGAGTTGAACGCGTCAAGGCGGGTGGTCGTGGTACTGCCGCAAGCGGAGCCGTCGGCGCCCCAAAGCATGCCGACACCCAGGACGTTGGAGGTGGTGGGGGTGTTGGGAGTGTAGTCGGAGTACCAGCTGATGTAGGGAGCGAGGGTAGTGAAGGCGGCTATGTTTTGGATTCCGACATAGCCCGAGAGGCCGGCTTTGCGGCCGTTCGGGGAGAGGTTGCTTAGGCTGATCCCGGATGCGCTGGCGGGGGCGGATGATGATGTGGTTGTGCTGGAGACCGTTGAGGTGGTGGAGCGGGTGGAGCTGGTTGAGCTTGTGGGAGTCGGCGATGCTGTTGTAGTTGGGGTGGTGGATGACGGTGTGCTAGACGTAGCCGGAGCGACGAATGAAGACGAGCTTGACAACGTAGAAACAGACGTGACTAGCGTGGTAGCTGTTGAAGTGGAACGCACATAGCTCGGAGTTGTTGCGACAGGATCGACAGAGCTGGTCGAGGAGGACGTCGAAGCTGAGCTCGGACTGGCAGTGCTACGTGAGGAGTATGAGCGTGTCCAAGGCCGGTTCCAATTGTAAGATGTTGTTGTCGAGGAGGACGTGGAAGATGTCGTCGCCGCAGCCGCTCCCTGTGTGACATACTCAATCACGGTCACATAGTCCACTTCGATGTCTGTAGAGGTGTCTCTGCGCGCATGAAACCTGCCATGCTGATGATAGTCCTGGGCCAAAGCCAGCTGCGTAAGCGCAGCTCCTGCGAGAACCAGCGCGTATTGCATTGTTGATTGAAATGTCCGAGTATTTGCTTCGTGGTAGAGACCGTGAGAGAGAATGAATGTGGTTAGAGGCTAGCTCTCTGCTTCCTGAAGCAGTCAAAGAGTGACAAGGAGGGTTTGAAAGGTGGACGACGAGGAGCTCAAAAATGGAATGAAGAGAGAATGAAGACGAAGCGGACCAAATGAGAAGACATGTCGAGTGCCAACCTTCGCTGTCTCTCACAAGACAAGCGTCCCGAAATACAACTTACCGGTCATGCACGCCTCCGGCGTAGTGTCGTCCAGGTTCCACAGCGCCACTTATCGAAATTGGCTGGCTCTGACACGTCAGCGAACAAATCCAGATTTCGCTCGCAGTCGTGTGGCGCCCAGGTGGAGGAGAGGATTCGGGACGGGGGTCGCTCGTCTCAACTGATATCGCGGGCCGCAGCGTTGGGCTGTTTCAAGGAGAGACTGGGGCGCTTGGCCTGTAAACGGGCGGGAAGATCTCCATACCATTGTCTTGGAGAAAACGTTGTTGCGGTGCGGCGCATTTATCAGGTCACTAGGATGCCAAGTGCGGAGAGTGAACATTGCAAGGCCATGAATGCGTCCAGCATAATAAGTTTGTATCATGGCTATGCAATAATGGGCAACCCATCCGAAGACGGAGCACAACTGAAGTCCAGCCCCTCGGCATGCTCCATGCCAAGCGCTAATTGCCGAGACGTCTCATTTCCCGTGCATGCTGCATTGATTCTTTTTAGACGAGCTTGTATATCGTATGAAAGACATGTCTTGCCTCTACAAGCGCGACTCGATGGTTGTAGTTGGGAGTGTAGACGGTATTGATCGGTCACTCGGCAACGACAAGCTGTCTCACACAGCTGTTCTTGTTTACAGTCAATCATGCACCAACCCAAACGCCCTTGGAAGCAACGTGTGATGCACGTTACCGCCCCCTCACGCTGATGCTGCTTTGCCGCTGAATGCAGTCCCACTCATAGACTCGGCCCATCTCATCGCCGGTGTATACTGCTGTCGGCATGGGCAGGATCGCGGTTATGGCAGCCACCTGGTTCGCACCGGTTTCCCGACCTGTCTCAACGTGATTGAGCCTCTTAACTAGCTGCAAATGCCATCCACCATCAGAAAGTATCGTGAGTGCCCACACGTTTGCCACGCCATGCGAATGGCCTGTCAGCAGCAGCTCCCGCTCATGCCACTCATTGCCGGCACCTTCGTAGAACGCGCAGCACAGCATCTCATCGTCTGCTGCATCACAGACTTTCTGGCTTAGCAAAAGATGCCCGTTCAGGGTGTAGACTGAGACATATGCTCCCTGGCACAGCGCAATATGCCCTGTCACGTTACTGATGACAGCCGCCTGGACCCGTACGCTTCCTGCTGTCGCAATGGCCCGGATGCAGTTGAGTCGATTCAAACCCCATAGCACAACTTGTCCGTCTGCCGACACGGATAGCAAGGTGCTGAACACGCGACTTGCGGCCATCAGCGCAAGCGGTGCTCTGTGCCCGAAAAGATACGTCCTTGGCTGAATCTCGATGAGATCGGGTGTCACTCTGACCGACCAGACGCCGATCGTGCAGTCTGCACCGCCCGTCACTAAGGTCTTACTGTCGGCGAACGCCGCGGTGGTTACTGGCCCGACATGTGTGTTCTCGTACAATCCCAACAGCCGCTTGGTATTTGAACTCAGAAATCGCAGAGAGTTGTCGGCAAAACCCAGCTGTAGAAAGCGTTCGGACTTGCCAAGCAGATCAAGTCTGTAAGGACCAGCGCAAAGTAGGCGTCCAAGTGAAGGCGAGAACGTGAGGCTTGCTACCCGTTCGTCGCTCTGGAACAAGGTCTCCGGGAGACGTATGAGCGACTCGGCAAGAGTATCAAGACGAGCGACGGAGCTTTTGCTTGTTTCTCGAGCTGTATGCGGGCGCTGGAAGACCTGATGCGGTGTCTGGCCGAAAGAATGTATGATGCCAATCGCCGCCAGGCGCTCGACTGGATCATTGATCGTATCGAGGTCTTTGGCTCCTTGGTACGAAAGATGATTGAAGACATTAGTTGCTTCCACTGCAGCTTCGCCACGCTGCTTGTAGCCGAACACGAGATCGATCCATTTGTGCAGGTTGGCACTGACATGTGGACACTCTAGTGCTTCCCTATGCTTCGCGATGAATACATGAGGGTCACCCTTCGCCCAAGGCGGCAGCTGTACGTCGTTGACTGCCGCTCCACCGCCTTGCTTCACACCGAAATCATAGCCGTTGACGTTCGTCAAGAACTCTGGCAGGCAGTAGAACTCTGGCGTGAGCTCTCGCACATCGCTCATGGTCTCACGGGAAGCCGACAGCCAGGCTTTACCGACCGAATCGAACAGCCGGTCCGCATGATCAAAGGAGCCTCCCTGTAGCAACAGATACGAGGCGACAAAAGGCTGCAGACGAATCAGGTACGAAGACACGATCATCGCTGAGCTGTAGTGCGTGCCGTAATGGAAAGGTGGAGCGTTCTGGTCAGCCATCTCCGCAAACTGCTTGTACCGATCTCGATAGTCGGCTTCACGCGCTTGCGTCTGGCACCCCATAGGCTTCGAGAGGTCACGGAAGGTCTTCGGGTTGTCCAAGTCCAGCTCATCGCTGGTGTAATCTGCCAGTACCCATGGGAAGACCGGATACTGCGTCAAATCATTGAATGTCCGACCTGCCATGGTATTAACAAGCATGAGATATTGAAAGTTCGACATCTCACCCTTCATCCACCGCTTAGTCGCAACCAAGGATGGCGTGTTGCTGAACACCGTGGCGAACCGTGTGCCCAACGATTGCGGACCCTCCTCCGGGTTCCTCAATGTGTCCAGGCGCCAGGCATCTTCACTTGCCACACTTGACACATTGTGCACATGAGGTGCTCGAGCAGTAATTGCTGCGTGAAGATCGTCGCGTACCTTTGGGCTCATGCACGTGATTAAGTAGCTCCTACCGTCTGTAAAGAAGACCTCGACCGAAACGTCGCGGAACAGGAAGCGGCGTTTCGATATGCTCAGCACCTCCGCCCACGTCCAGTGGCGGGTCTCGGAGTCACCGTTGTTGTGCTTAGCTTGTTGTGTGCCGATATCCTTGCCCGAAATCAGCTGGACGTACGGGTCACGCTCATCTTCCGGCGCCTGCGAGGCGCTGACGATCTCGCCGTCCGACCGCTGGAAGTAGTGGTCCTGGAGGTACAAGCACGTCTTGCCCACGACGAGCAAACCCTCGCATGCCTCCAAACCGATGATGCGGGAGATATTGTAGAGCTGCTGGACCATGTCGCCGCGTTGCAGGCTAGTCATGATCTTACGATTCTTGTCTTCGACTGTGCCATCGTCGTCCTCTTTCGGGTCGTCCACCATTTCAAAGGCTCCCTCTAGCAGCGGCGCGGAAGATGAGAGCTCGGGTACCTCATGCGTGCCATTAGCATTTGTGGGCGTCGGACTATCCAGAAATGGAGACAGGACGTTGTCAGATGTCAGTGGCGCCAATTGCGTGTTAATCTGCAAGGTTGGCTGTCGGGCAGAAGCCTTCCTTTTGGGCTGGGCTGCATTTGCCGCGATGTCCTTCTTGTCCCTGGTAATGCGCAGGCGCATTCGGTGCAGGGCTTCCGTCTCGTCCAGCTGCCATCTCGGTGCTGATGTATCGGGCTCCAACCCTACAGGTTGTCGCATAAGACTCGCTAGGCGCGAGAAGACGGCGCCCAACTGGTTAACCATCTCTTGGTGATCTTGTGCCGCTCTTTGCAGCTTTAGCCTTTCCTGAGCATGAGCGTTGGAGCGCCAATAACTTGTAGAAATCTCATAACGATGGACGAACTCATCCAGCTCGGCCTCTTCCGTTTGCCACAGCCGGAGCTTCTCTTGTCGCTTACTCAATCGACCTTTTGCAGTGTCCTCATTAGTCTTGTTCTCACGGTCTACGAAGTCGGTCCACTCTTTGCTGAGGGCGCCAACGAAAGCTGTGTCGAGTGCCGCCTTGTTATCATCCACCCAGCTTATCCAGTCTTCTTCATCTTCCGATGCTAGCTTCATGAATCCAGTGCATAGATGTCTATGCTCCGCGCCCATAGCATCGGCTAGCAGTGTGGCGGATTCTACTGGTTTTTGGACCAGTATCGTCCGCCACAGGCGTGCTGCTGCCACCCGAACAGCTGTCGGAGTCGCTACCAGCTTCAGGTATAACAGGAAGCAGATCAGTCGAACGAAGCGTGATTCGCGCTCCTCGGTCGAGAATAGAATGGTTTGCCAGTAATTGATTTTGTTCAGGAACACAACAGCCTCCTGCTCGTCCAAGTTTTCATCCAATTCCGAGAGTCGCCACAGTGTGACTCGAAGGAATACAACTCGAATATTGCTTACGTACTGGCTGCACAGCCGGATATTCTTGTGCTGAGCAATTCCCGGCTGTTGGAGATAGTCAAGCAGTTGACCGGTGAAATCAAGTACTGGCTGGGCGCCGTCAATGAACCAGCCTTCGAACACCGCCTCGGCAAGATGTTGGCTGTACCTTGCAAGGTTTGTGAGCACTCTGCTCTCCAGCAACAGCCACTGATTGAGCTTGAGAGTATTCCAGAGCTGTGACAAGGTGTTCACGATGATGTACGACTCGAAGTATGCTTGATGCTCTCGGAAGCCTGGAGGGACTTTGAGAAACAGTCCAATACCATGGAACTTTTCCCTGTTAACTATCAGATCGATGAAGAGACCAACGGCGACCTCGAGTAGAGACTCCACGATGTCATTGCCGACATCTATCTTGACCGGATGTGCCTGCTTCGGTGCAAGCGCCGGGTTGAAGTGGGCGTGGCGGTTGATGTTCGGGTTGACCATAATAAACGATGACAACCGCTTTGGGCCAGGCATTCGCTTCACAGATATCGGTGACGGCGTGCGTTTGTCCTCCTCCATCGTGAGGCTGCGGACCGACGGTGGTCGTTCGCTCAGAGAATTTGAGTGCGGGCGCATTCTTACTTCTTCGCCACCAAATGACAAAGTGTCCTTCTCCGCTTCAAGCTCTGTGGCGGCGGCCAGCCGGTCAGAACCAACCAGGACCGGGAAGAGAACGAAGAGTAGGTCCTGTATATAGCGGGAATCAATGGCAAATTGGCGGAAGCCAGGACTGCGAGTATATAGCTCGCTCAGGAACCGGATGACAGCGTTAAGTACTGCCGTTCCAGCCTCAGTGAATTGTGCTTCTTTGACAACGCTGCGCAAGCCTGTCTCGAGCATTGACATAAGTGCAGGAAGTGTTTCGTGATGTACTACAACGGTATCCGACCCAACAGCCAGAGCCTCCATCAGCGAAAAGGCTGTTATGGTTGACGTTTCAAACGTGCTGGGGGCTTTCTGACCAAGAAGCATGGCGAAAGCTCCGATCCAGACCTGTGGCGACCGCCAATGGGTCTTTAGCCGGAACTTCATCGTTACGAACCCTCCGTTCTTGTCAACAAATGCTGTCTTGAAATCAGCGCCCAAGGTAGCCAGAGCATGGCAAGCTATGCGTAACGTGATCTCTACGACCCTCACGTCGGTTTCCGCAAGCAGATGCAGAAGCCATCGGTTCGGCACTGCCTTTTGGAATCGCTTCATGGCGATGGAGCTGCGGTCATCGCACAGTATGTCGGCAAGCAGCTGAAGTACGTGCACCGCCAACTCCGATCGCGCGAGCCCAGCATTTGGCCCCAGCGTCTGCAGACCACCCGGTGTGTTCGTCCTCGGAGTTCTCACCTGCCGCGCCCAGGAAACAGCCCGCTGGCGGAGATTGACGATGCTAGCCATGCTCCTCCCGGCCTTCAGTGTTGAGGTTGCTCTTGCATCATGCAGACCGAATGCCACGAACATCGCCAGATCTTTGTAATATGCTCCCGCCGAGCTATTGTCAAGTAGTGCCTTCAGTGCCTGCATGAGCGGCGGTACTGCCTCCGAAGCGATCTCTTCAGCCTTGAGAGCTTCTGCCAACCTTCTGACAACGCGCATGCGGACAAGGCGCTTTGCGTTGAAGCCTTGGTGCTTGTTCTGACAGGTGAAATGCACGAATTGCTGGTAGTACAGTTTCTGCGTCTGAATGTCGCATCTCCTCCACGTGTCAAAGTCCACAAGCAGGACTCGGTAAGCCATCGGGTTCACAATCATGGAGTCTTCGGGCTTGATGCGATTGTAGCCCACGAACTCCAGAATGAGCTCCAACAACTCAATCGGCATGCTTTGTCTGTCCTCGAAGTCCAACATCTGCGCTGGCTGTCTTGCTGTGGCAGTAACAGCGAAGCCAGTTTCGAGGCCAAGCTTCTCGCGAATGATCAGCGCAAATAAACCGTACCCACTGCCTTTCTCCATCGCTTCGCTGATGCGCCAATTGTCCTGAACACACTCAAAGAAGATCTGGACGGACTGCAAGAATGCTCTCTTAGTATTTGCGTGCTCCAGCAAACTTATTACAAGCGGCAAGCTTCCGGCCAGACACCAGGTAGCATCATCTAAGCATCTCGGTAAGGCTACGACGGGATCGCCCGTGAGTACGCCGACTCCATAGGGTCGGCAAATGGCGTCGTTAAGGGTTGGGACTGCTGCATTGACTATGATCGCCTTCGTTGTCTGCGAAAACTGCTGGTACTTTGCTGAGGCTTTGCGGTCGAGTGTAGCCTCTAGTCTCTTCGTCGAGGCATTCACCTCATCAAACTCAATGACAGCTGATGGGTTGATGCTAATCAACAGGCGGCTCTCGGATATTACGTCACTTCCACGCCCCTCGACAGCCAGGAGGATATCAGACTTGTCAATTTTGTCTGGATGCAAGAGCTCGTTGTAGCGGTGAAGTTCCGCCGAAGCGCGGTATGTCAGCAACGGTCCAAGGCAGTCCTGCATGTTGCCGGCATAACGAGGACCGAGCCGATACTGGACCGCCACGTACTCATCTGTGAGTGGTGAAGCGTGTAGATACGCGCTCCCTAACGACCATTTGGTGTGTACCTCGTTTCGCCCGATGCGTGACGCGAGATCGTGCGGTGTGCCGAAGAAGGCCTGAATTGAAGGGGACCTTCGGCCACCCGAGCGCGCTGGTGAGCCTGTCGCATGCTTGTCTTCCAGTTCCGGAGGGCTATCCGGATAGCCACACTTTACTTGCTCGGCGAAGTCTCCGTCCACGAAGAGCATTGCTGGGCTCTGACGTGGATCTGCCGCTTTACGGTGAACTAAAGCGAGGTGATACCACCTGCCAGGAGTGAATCGAGTTGACTTGAAGCGGACGCTCGGCCGTGATGATCGTACCGAAGTCTGCAGGATAAGCTGGTGGCTGTCCCTCTCGAGATAGACCAAGATGAAGCACGCTTGGGTGGTGTCGAAAGCGCCGAAGAGCGTTGTGTGACACTCGGCATCATACTCATCGATACGCATCCAGGCACTGAGTGTGTAGCCGGAGGTGGGCGGGAAGGTGCGTGGCAAGCTTGGTAGCTCAATCGAAGTATACCCGTACCGGCTTAGGTCAAACTGCACGCAGGAAGGGCCCGTCGATTGTTTCAACACAGTAAGTAGAATCTCCCGTGCTCGGTCAGAGGTTCGCCCCTGCCTGAAGAGGTACGCGACATCGTCGAGCGTGCCAAGGCCGAAGTCTGCAAGATTCAACGTCAAGTCATGCGCCGCAGACCTCACCTCGTCTCCAACGTCTTGCCCTAGTGTTGCGCGTAGAACATCGGACGGTGCGGTTGTCTTCCAGAAAGATGCTTTGTTTCGCAAGCTCCCGCGGATGAGCCTGTTACAAGCAGCGATTGCCCGCGCAGTGACGATCCCGTCGTCGCGTGGGAGTGTCAGCGCCAAATAGACCACGATGTGCGCCGCTTGTGCGTGCTCAATGCTTCCAATCGTCGCGCCCTGTATCTCTGCCAGTTCGGGAAGCCGGTACGACGTGTCGTTTGTGGCGAGCTGAAGCAGCCCTTCATACAGCACGATGGCCGCCTCCGACCTTCGCGACCCAACGCCGGCGTTTATCTGAAAGCGCTCAAGTGAACGTTGTAGCGACGTCCAGCCGTCAAGGTGGACGGCGAAGTACTTCACGTTTCCGCGATGGTCCCTTAATGCTGGCGCAAGCAAGACTACCAAGGCGCGCACCAGCGGCAACAAAGAGTCTCGGTCGAGCTTCTCGGCGTCATTGCCTGAACTAGAGAGCTTGGAAAGCACATCCAGTACCCTTTCAAAGCCTCTTCCGTGGCGGAAAATGGACTGCACATTAGGGCCTTCCTCGAGCGTTACTCGCAGCTTGTCGGCAGTCTCAGCAAGACGGTTCAGATCACTTTGTGACGGTGAACCAGACAACGCAACGAGGTCTTTGAGAAGTAGCGCCGTTGTCGAATCGCTTTCAGTGGCATCAAACGCGTGAGCGCTGCTCGTTGACCTCTCTTTGTAGCCATTCTGGCTGTCTTGAGAGCTCATGCTCAAGATTGCGCATACCGGTATGTTCGCGAGCTGATTTTCTCATGATAAATCGCACACTGCTATGCGAAATCTACGTTTATCAAGCGATTGCAAGCGAACCAGCGCCCGCAAGCAGCACCAGTCAGCATTCAACTGTTGCTGGTGAATGGAGACCAGCCGTACTGTACCGCCGCAGCCTTGGCAGTCCTTGCCGCAAGCGTGGAAGATGGCAGCCCGCTGCAACGTACTTGCACTACAAAGGAGCACAGATTATACAGAACAGCATCGCCTGTTCAACTTCTCACACCGTGTCTTCGACGATATATGTTGTTCGACTGTCAGCAACTCAGGACCATCCGAACCTGACAAGCGTAGCGTTGCCGCCGAAACATGCGACGCGTGCTCACATGACTCTCGGTGGCTTCCGCACCAGCCACGCAGAGCTTTGGCCGACCAATGACGAGTGCATCGCCGTGTCACCAGACGCTGGTAAGCTGTTGCCTCGGAAGCTCTGCCCTTATCTCTGGGCGTGAGCTGTCCGACTCACCCAAGCACACGACCACTATCCTCCACCCTTCCTTCCCTTCTCTTATCATCTACTGCCTCGCTGCACCATTCATCCCCCTCGCATCGTTGAGCTGTATCGACTTTACACACTTCTTGTACGGTATAAGACAACGTTGGCCATGAAGGGTCTCTTAGGCTTGACGCTGGCTGCGCTGGCGTCAGCATCGCCGGTGTTGTTCGACCAGGCTATTCACAAAGATGCGGCTCCTATCTTTTCGGCGGAGAATGCGAAGGAGATACCCGATAACTACATCGTGGTGTTCAAGAAGCACGTCACGGAGAAGCATGCCGCCAACCATCACAGCTGGGTACAGGACGTCCATCTCAACGTTCAGAACCGAAAGGTCGAGCTCCGGAAGAGATCGCAGACGCCCATGGTTGATGACATCTTTGGTGGCTTGAAGCACACATACAACATTGCTGGCAGCCTTCTTGGTTACTCAGGTCACTTTGACGAGGATGTTATCGAGCAGATCCGGAGGCACCCAGACGTAAGCTTCTAAGCGCTCGAGTCCTCGGTATCTGTATTGACTGCAAGCTAACGGATATCGAAAGGTCGAATTCATTGAAAAGGATCAGGAAGTCCATACTCTATCAGCAGACCCAGAGGTTGAGAAGAACGCACCTTGGGGTCTCGCCCGTATCTCGCACCGCAACAGCCTGACCTTCGGCAACTTCAACAAGTACCTCTACACCTCCGAGGGTGGCGAGGGTGTTGATGTCTACGTTATTGACACCGGCACCAACGTCGACCACGTTGACTTTGAGGGCCGCGCTAGCTGGGGTAAGACTATCCCACAAGGCGACGCTGACGAGGATGGTAACGGACACGGCACCCACTGCTCCGGCACCATTGCCGGCAAGAAGTACGGTGTCGCGAAAAAGGCCCACGTCAAGGCCGTTAAGGTGCTACGATCTAACGGCTCCGGCTCGATGTCCGATGTTGTCAAGGGCGTTGAGTTCGCCGCCGAGTCTCATCTCGAGCAGGTCGAGGTTGCCAGCAAGGGCAAGCGCAAGGGCTTCAAGGGCTCCACTGCCAACATGTCGCTCGGTGGTGGCAAGTCTCCCATCCTTGACCAAGCTGTGAACGCCGCTGTCGATGCGGGCATTCACTTCGCTGTGGCCGCTGGCAACGACAACGCCGACTCCTGCAACTACTCGCCTGCCGCTGCTGAGAAGGCCGTCACTGTCGGTGCCTCGACTCTTGCAGATGAACGTGCATACTTCTCCAACTACGGCAAGTGCAACGACATCTTCGCCCCTGGGTTGAACATCCAGTCTACATGGATTGGCAGCAAGTTCGCCGTCAAGTCCATTTCCGGCACTTCGATGGCCTCGCCGCACATTGCCGGTCTGCTCGCGTACATGCTTTCCCTCCAGCCCAGCAAGGACTCTGGCTACGCTGTCGCGGAGATCACACCCAAGCAGCTCAAGGCTAACTTGATCGCCATCGGTACTGAGGGAGCGCTCACGGATGTCCCGTCAAACACCAAGAACATTCTCGCCTGGAACGGTGGCGGGGAGAGCAACTACAGTTCCATCATCAAGCAGGGCGGCTATGCGGCAACGCGTGAACAGGAGAAGGTGATCAACATCGACTTTGGCAAGCTTCGTGAGGATGTCGTTGAGGAGGCCGACGAGGTCACGCACAAGATGAAGGAGGTCAGCCAGAGGATTGAGGATATGGTTGCCGATGAACTCAAGGACTTCTTCCGTGGTCTTGACCACTAGGTGTTTACCTTGTCACCTCTGGACGACCCGTACCGGGATGGCAGTGGCGAGCTTTGCCAGTCACGGAAGAGTTGCCACCGAACAGCTACCAGGGCCTGCATCTGGAGCGGTGTGTTTGCGTGCAGGCGGTTCACATTAACAGTAGCGACGCTTTTGCATGTGGCATGGTTGGAACTGGCAGGATCGTATATTGTGTCATAGATGGGGTCTCTTGTGACCTTATGAAGGATTCAAGTCACCGCGATTGCGCGAATGTAGCTTCATTCGCAGTGGACTGGATACTGCATACAGATGGTTGACGGACACACACAGGCATCTTCAGAACATCGAGTACAAGTGTCCTTCGTTTCACACTCGTATACTCATCGTTAGATATGACTTCGATTCGCACGTTCCTGACATGTGATCATCTCCACAACTTCCCTTGCTGTGAACCCCACCATGAGAATATCATGATTGTCTTCCTGCGCGCCAACACAGCTGTCCATTTGGCCAGACGGACTTCACACACACCAACATACAACCGCTGTATGAACATTGGACCTCTTGCCTCATGCTTGAACATCGATAGCATCGACTGATATGAACCTCGTCCTCTTCTGGCTGCTCACCCCAGCAGCAGCCATCTTCCTAACCGTCCAAACCCTCCTCATCCTCGGCCAAGTGCTCCGCCGCCACGACCTCGAATTCTTCGGCCGCACCATCGCCTTCTTCATCGCCTTACTCATATGCGCAACCTATGGCACCATCGCTTCCGCATGCCTCAATGTTGCCGGTTACGGCGGGCTGGGCCAGTGGGCCACTGCGCAGAGCTTCAAGTGGACTATGCTGCTGTTCACGAATGTTGCATTTGAGATCGATGATCCCAGAAATTACTTGAACAAGACACGACCGGCTGTGTTTGTGGGCAATCATCAGACGGAGCTGGATATTCTGTTTCTGGCGCATATCTGGCCCAAGTACTGCTCGGTGACGGCGAAGAAGAGTTTGAAGTACATACCTTTCTTGGGCTGGTTCAGTATGTATCCACCACACTGGTGCAGCTATACGCGGCTGAGTGTTGGAAGACTGATTGGTGGCAGTGTCTCTGAGTAGGACCGTCTTCATCGAGCGCACCTCGCGCGAACAAGCTGTGGCCGCCTTCGCCAAAGCCGCACAGCAGATGCACGAACACAAGCAGAGCGTCTACATCTTTCCCGAAGGCACGCGCTCATACTATGACCATCCGGACATGCTTCCATTTAAAAAGGGAGCCTTCCACCTAGCCGTGCAGGCGCAGGTCCCCATCGTGCCTGTGGTGTCGGCGAACTATAGCGCCGTGCTGAACTTCAAGAAGCGCATCTTCCGACAAGGAAGAATATCTGTGAAGGTGCTGGAGCCGGTGCCGACGAAGGGAAAGACGAAAGAAGATGTGGATGCGCTGCTGGAGGAGGTGAGGGAGAAGATGCTGGCGGAGTTGAAGAAGCTTACGAGTCATGCAAGGGAAGAGGGTGTAGCGCTGAAGGAGCATGAGGCGAGCCATGCAAAGGCGAATGGGACGGCAAAGGCGAGTGGGGTGGATATGGTACATAATGCTGCAGCATGACCATATACACTACCTTTCAGCTACGTCCGACCCGATTTCCAAGCTAATCAGATGGGGACGCCACAATATGGGTTCCCATAGCTTGCTCGAGTGACAGATCGATGTGAGCGCCGTTACATCATTCCCGAGCCTCTGCTAACATTTCCTCCTGGGTGTAGAGAGTTGAGAGCTGCTGTGGTGCTCAGACTCTATCTGAGAAGCAACCGCACAGTCATAGTCACGTCCTCGAGGGACCGCTGAAGGCGCAGGAAACGGGAACAACACGAGGACAACAACGACTCTCCGCCAGGCCATACTATGTCGGATGACGTCAAGCGTCACGAGCTCTAACTGGATGATCAAGCATGCACGAAGCTCGTCCACTTTTGTTTTGAATTGGCATTACAACCGCGTGCATCGACTTCCACTACAGCCTCCCTCTCCTCAGCGGAACTATCGACCATGTCAGGCGAGCGTAAGGTCATTCTTATCACCGGCGCCACGGGCGGAATTGGCCGCGCAACCGCCCTCACCTTCGCAAAGACCGGCCATTACCACCTGGCACTGCACTACAAATCCGCCTCGGCAGAAACACGTGACGCGCTAGCGTCTGAAGTGAATGCGCTCTCCCCGATTCCGGATCCAGATACCGGCGCCACACCCTCCACCATCAAGGTAGATTTCTTCCAAGCGGACCTAGGCGACTACGACTCCGTCCGCAAACTACACAAAGATGTCGTCGCCGGCTTCCAGAAAATCGATGTCCTATTCGCGAACGCCGGGTCAACGCTCGGACACCAGGGCGTGAAGAACCTTGTCGATGTGCCAATCGACATCTTCGAGCGGACATGGCGCGTCAACACCGGCTCGGCTATTCTACTAACGCAGCTTTGCTTACCAGCGATGGAGGCACAAGGTTGGGGACGGATTATCTTCGATTCGAGTGTCGCGGCTCTCACTGGTGGGTCTATTGGTCCACATTATGCGAGCAGCAAAAGCGCTATGCACGGCTTCGTGCATTGGTTGGCGGGGAATGTGGCGAAGAAGGGCATCACGGTCAACGCGGTTGCGCCGGCGGTGATTACGGGGACGGCGATGATGGGGACACCGACGGGGGAGAGGGAGAGGGAGATGGCTGCTAGTAAGTACCTTCCGTCATTCGCTACATCTCTTCGTGGATCAAAATGCTTCAGTTGCTTGAATCGCTCAGTAGCTAAGCTGATCCTCTGTGCTAGGGATACCTGTCGGTCGGCTTGGACGACCGGAAGAGATTGCTGAGACGGTGTTGTGGATGGCCAATACAGCCTATGTCACTAACAAAGTGATCACTGTCGATGGAGGCATGTATCCGTACTGAAACATGCTGCGGCTTTGCTGCGTATCTTGCGCCTAGCGCACGTCTCGCTTGTGATGTCTTACCTGGCCTCATTGCTCTTCCGGATGGCCCCACCTTCCAGCGCCGTGCTGGAATCTCATCACAGGCTTCCGGTATGTTTTGCCCACCAGTCCTCGTGTGGCACCGCGTGACACCGAAGTGGGCAAGAAAACGGCTTGTTGATGCGATCCGACGCTATCCTGAAGACAGTAGAGCAGCTAGGACATTTGAAGGCCGGCTCCTTGCCCGTCTTGGCCAAGTCGATGCCGCGTGCTAGGTGTGGTTGAGGTCCGTGGAGAGTCCCAAACTGCAAGAGGCTGTGTCGTGGGACGCGTGGAAGCGCTGTATATCTCCGTAGATCTCAGTGGCATGCTCGGTGATGAGGTCAAGGTCTCCACGTCGGCATACTTGTCATTACCGTAGGCGCTGTAAGACTGTCAGTGAAGGACGATGATGCCACGTTGACTGAGATGAACTCACGAAGCAATCGCGCGCAGAAGGTTCTGTCCTGCTTCCTCAGCCATCTTCCAGTGCTTGCAGCAGACAGAGGATGTTCTATGCTGGTCCACGCTGACTTCGACTCACAGAAGGGCGATGTTTATAGCAAGAAGTGCGAAGTGCTTGCTTTAATGTAAGTTTTAGGCAACCACGCTACAGCACGCTAGCAGCAATGGATTCACTCACGAATGCAAAGGTAGCACCTCCTTCACTTACACGAACGAGCTCCAGAGCCTCTCACTACCATCTCCGCCAACAAGAGTTACCAGTCTGACAACTTCACCTTCCAGCAGCCAAGCCTAATGAGTGCCCGAGCAGCCCAAGAAGTCGTCTCCCGAGGCGCCAGTATGCGTGATCGTTCCGGCGTACTCGCCATCCTCATTAAACACCACACGGTCAGCGCCGGGGGAGCCTAACAGAATCAGCATCTATAACAGCGACGTAGCGTCTTCATCACGGGATCTACTTACCGCCAGTGTAAATGCCGGTCTCCTTAATCGGGAACTCCAAGTAAGGGCCGTGGACGGGAAATTCAAAGTCCTCATAGTTGTTGTAAGTGTGCGGATAGTCGTCGCTGCCGACTTGTTCGTCGTCGTACTGCAGCCGAAACGCTGACGTTAGCGATCAATAGGCAGAGAGATTTTGGAACGACTTTACGTAGTAGTTCAAGCCTTGATTGAGAGCAGCATTGACTTGCTTAGTGGTGTACCGATTCTTGCCGCAAGTGGTGGAAGACTGGCGCTGCGTGAGTGGGAAGGCAAAGGCGGCAGCCGCGAAGAAAGCGGCAGTGGCGAAGAGGAAGCGCATGTTGATGGTTCGAGTGGGAAGAGAAAGAGAATGATGTTTGGAATCGGAAGACTACAAACGAGTGTGGTTGCGAGTGGCCTTGCTGGGGAGGAGACGGAGGGGAGCGGGATGGAAGGCCTACTTATGCTTCCAAGGCGGTCGCAATCCTGCTAATCGGGCCAACTGCGTCCATGCGTAGCGCCGATATACACTGCTATGCCGATCAAGCAGCACCTCCCATAGAACTGCAGCGTTGGCGAGCTCAGCTTGACGCTACAGCTATGGTATGTCGATTGCAGAGGGCGGACCGCCGCGCTGGGCCGCGATCTCAGGCGAATGAGCTGGCGGACATGGAACATGCTATGGGTGTAATCACCCAAGTGCGCAGTGTTGAAGCTTGTACTTCCAAAGCCTAATCGGACGGTGTCGCCGTGGAGAGCTTTGGTATACAAACGCATCGTCTCCTCCACCCACGGGGTCAGCATGAACTGCCATGTTGTTAGCTGCATGCCATGGACATGAAACGATGCAATTTGTGCATAGACAGCGATCTGCACTTGTACATCTTGCGCCATCCAGTGAAACAAGCCAGCATGGCGAAGGCCAGAATTAGCGTGCGACTAGCGGTCGGTTACTGCGGGTTGCCGAAGTTTCTAACCTTCCCAGGAAGGCACCCGCCCACGGTTCCATCCGCTAAATGCTTCGTTGCGGCTTCTTGGCTTCTCGATTGATAGTATTGTGCAGGAACAGGGCTAGTGAAGAGTTGGTTGGCCGCTTGACTGCACGTGTGTCTTCGATGATCTTGCTCCGTGGCACATCCATAGCATAGCGGAATGGTTGGAAGGTAGCGATCAGTGAGCGCTTGAGGTAACCTCTTGGCCAGTAGGTGGGTGTCATGGGAGCGTGCGTCTTGTCAAGGGTAGACAAAGCGTGGGAGGCAGCAATGCAGCCATACTGCAACTTGCCAGATGTATGGCCGCCGTAGCAACCCCCAGCGACTTTCCGCCATCGCATCAACAGATAAGGTAGGGAGGAAAGAAGCGACGTTTTAGAAACATGACAATGTGTTGCACGAAATCACAAGCGCTCGACTTACGCAAACATGACTCACCTATCCCATAACTGACATAAGCAGATATCATTTATCACAGAAGCAGTTGAGCGGTACTGTGGGCCGATCGAACGTTTGCACCCGGGCACCGGCGATTCAACAATGACGGCGGTGGTGTTGTCGCTTTTCTGGCAGTTATTTCTGGCTCGGGTAGCACACGGGGATACCGTCGGCAGCGTTCCAACATGACCATCTTCGGAAGCTCACTGTTTCGATGTAGGAGCGAGCAGATCTCGTGAAAGACGACGAAATTTGCGTAGTCGAGGGAATGACTGCATGGAGAGACCTTCGTCACTTGAGTGGACTATGCGATGGACCTGGTACCCGGGTAAGCACGAAATTCATCGGTGCTGATCGGAGCCCTTGGAAGCTGATAGGTGGAGTAGCCATCATTCGGAAACAGATGCAGTCAAGAAAAGACAGCAGTGGATGACGCTGAACACATTCGCAGCAGGCCTCATGGAAACGGCACATGGCCGGAGCCACGACAATCCAGATATGTCGGTGTAGACATTTGCGCCATATGCACCGCGCTGGAACACGCAGGACCGCTCTGCGGCAGGGGACACTCAACAGCCGCAGTACGGTTTGTCAAGGCCGGGCGCGAGATATGGAAGTATGGCAGGGGGGGGCAAGACGTTAGAAGACAGTGACCAAGCCTGGCGTTCTGCTCCATGGTAAAGATTGGTAGGGCTTTAGCCGGGAGCGGTGGGATATCGGGGCGCGGAGGTTGAAGAACAAAGAGGACTCTCTCGCGAGATGCCTGCAGCCGTCTAAGCTCGCCAGCCGGGCGCGGATGGAGATGGAGATGCTTGCATGTGTTGAAGATTGAGGTGTGACTCGTTGTGGCGTTGGGGCGGACTTGGCTTGGTCGGAGGACGGCCTCTCTTCGCCGAGTAGTCATCGGTATCGGATCATTAGCCGCAGCCTGCACCTCTTCGGCTAAAGTACATGCGCCACATTCAATAGGATGAGCCTCTTGAGATGGTCACATGGCAGTCACTCAAGCATCAGCAAGGTGTCAACGCGGTTGCGCGGTAGTGAAGGGTCACACATTGATCACTTGCACCCTCCTCTAGCCGCATGAGGTGACGGCGATATGGCGGCAGAATTAGCAATGACGCCGGAAGCTACAATTCAAGGGTCTATGCTTCGTTGCCCCTCGCCCCTCCATAGCCCCAAGCCCAACCAAAAAGTTCGCGCCGGCAGAAAGAGCGTATAAACATTCAATCTATACGACTAACCACTGCGGTACACGTTTGACCACTTAACAACAACAACAACATTCCCACAAAGGAAACATGCCTTCTTCTCTTGATCAGCTCAAGTCCACTGGCACCGTGAGTTCATCTCTTCCACCGCCTTCCGGATTGCTTCAATGAAGAAACAATTCACTAATTCGAACGACTACAACAGACCGTCGTCTGCGACAGCGGTGACTTCGCCACGATCGACAAGTACAAGCCGCAAGATGCCACCACCAACCCGTCCTTGATCCTCGCAGCATCGAAGAAGCCCGAGTATGCAAAGCTTATCGACGAGGCCGTCAAGTACGGCAAGGAGCACGGCAAGGACATCGACAACCAGGTGGACGCTACGCTCGACAACCTGCTCGTACAGTTCGGCTCCGAGATCTTGAAGATCGTGCCGGGCAAGGTGTCGACAGAGGTGGATGCTGCCTTTTCCTTCGACAAGGAGGCAAGCATTGAGAAGGCTCTCCACATCATTGATGTAAGTAGAGGTAAAGCACTCTTGCGCTTAACTACGGTACACTAACGCCGCGTAGCTTTACAAGGAGAAGGGCATTGACAAGTCCCGCATCCTCATCAAGCTCGCTTCAACCTGGGAGGGCATCAAGGCCGCACAAGAGCTCCAGAGCAAGCACGGCATTAACTGCAATTTGACGCTTATGTTCTCCCTCGTGCAAGCCATCGCCGCCGCGGAAGCGGGCGCTTTCCTGATTTCTCCCTTCGTCGGCCGCATCCTTGACTGGTACAAGGCCAACACCAAGCAAGAATACACCAAGGAGAACGACCCGGGTGTGAAGTCCGTGCAGCAGATCTTCAACTACTACAAGAAGTACGACTACAAGACCATCGTCATGGGCGCATCATTCCGTAACATTGGCGAGATCACGGAGCTTGCGGGCTGCGATTACCTTACCATTGCGCCGAACTTGCTCGAGCAACTCTACAACAGCCAAGACTCTGTGCCGAAGAAGCTGATCGCTGAGGATGCCTCGTCGCTAGATATCCAGAAGAAGAGCTACATTAACGCAGAGGCTGCTTTCCGGTTCGACTTCAATGAGGAGACAATGGCCGTGCACAAGCTGTCCGAGGGCATTAGCAAGTTCGCCGCCGATGCCGTTACGCTCAAGGGCATTCTGCGGGAGAAGATTGAGAAGGCATAGACGTGCTGAAGCGATGTTGATGTGGTTCTAAGGTGCTAGGGTAACAATGCTAGTATGGTCACTGGCGTGTTGACAGCTGGTACATAGCGATGATAATCAGGTCTCAAAAGGAATTATCTGTCGGGTGGACCGCAGGCTGTAAAAAGGATGGTGCTACAACCTTCGTCTGTGACGTTCGAAGGATTCTTATCCTCTGGCCAAGAAATTCACCATCTTGCTTTTGGTGGCCTTTCAGCACACGTCTCCTAGGAGCGAAGACGCCGGCCTCGCTCTCTCCTGCCGTAATGGTCTGGCTTGCCTGGCTTACGGATCGTTGTCGCCGAAGGGCGCCGGTCTCCATGAATGACGCTGAGGTGGGGAGCTGGTCAAGGTGGGGTCGTTCTCGTCTTCGACAGCCACCCTCTTCTTGCAAAACTTTGCAGTGAGAACGGTACATACACCAGATTAAAAAGAGATCTGTATATACAAATAGTCAAGATGGTCAAAGCAGGTACGTAAGAAGCCGAGCCTTGCTCATTGGGCGAAGGCAATCAAGTAGGGGTGGTTTGGGTGCGAGAATGAGCAAGTTTCAGTACACCCCATTCGTTGGCGGGCGGCGCCAGCACCATCAAGGTTGTTGTGTCACCACGAAACTCGACGACACGATCGTGGCAGCCATGGGGCTAGGATAGACTGAAACAGAGAGTGGCGTTGGCATCACGTGCAGCGATGGGACGCTGACAGTTCACCGCAGTCGCTGTCCTCCGTGGTGATTCGAACGTCAAGGGCACCGTCACCTTCGAGCAGGCGGACGAGAACTCCCAGACGACCGTGTCATGGAACATTACCGGCAACGACGCCAACGCTGAGCGTGGCATGCACGTCCACGCCTTTGGCGACAACACCAATGGCTGCACCTCCGCCGGCCCGCATTGTAAGCTAAACATCACGACAAGTAAGCATTCCAGCGGGTTGTGATATCTGACCACCGCTTTTCTGCAGTCAACCCACACCAGACGGAGCACGGCGCACCAGAAGACGAAGTGCGCCATGTTGGTGACCTTGGTAACTATAAGACGGACGGACAGGGCAACGCTCAGGGCTCCGTGCAGGACAAGCTGATCAAGCTCATTGGCCCTGAAAGCGTGCTCGGCCGTACCATCGTTGTGCACGCCGGCACTGATGATCTCGGCAAGGGTGGCCACGCGGAAAGCAAGAAGACTGGCAATGCTGGCGCTCGTCCGGCCTGCGGAGTCATTGGCATGTAAGTCGACATCCATCTTCCGACAGATGGCGATAGTCTGCTGACAAAATTGACACAGCGCCGCATAAGCCAATGACTCGAACGCCTTGCGAGGCGTAGTGAAGATGCTGGGTGCTGTAGGTACGACTAGAAAGATAGTTTGGGCTAAAAGCTCTCGCATTTTCAGTCAATGCCATCCCTCCCTTCATCCGCGGTGGGTTATTGTATACGGCTTCTTGGTCGGCTTAATTTGACATACCATACTTGTTAGTGGACTGTAACGCGCCATGTCACTGTCAAATACAGCTTCACTAACTGAAAAGCCGCGTCCCAAAAAGGAAAATGCCTTTATCGGTTCCTACCTTTTAGAAGGCCTACTGATCCATTTGATCGACTTACTCCCTCGGAACACCCCACCCAGGCTCTGACAGCCACTGAAAGACCTCTGCATACATGACCGCACGATTTGCAGTATTCGCTCCGAGCCCGCTCGGGCCCGGATCCATCTTCCAATCCACATACCGTGTCTTACCCTTAACCACCTCCATAACATACCCACCAGTGACAGTCTGATCTTCGCAGCACCTTAGCATCGCCTCGGCAACTTCTTCCGGCTCGACCCATGCATCCTGTGACTCGTCCACCATCTTGAGCTTTTCCGGGTGGTCGGTCCAGAGCGGCGTTTTAATGACACCAGGTGCTACGCCATTTACACGGATGCCTAGGAAGTCCAATTGTGCTAGCGAACGAATGAAGCCGCTGAGAGCATGCTTGCTGGCCATGTACAGCGGCGTGGCGAATCCAGGCGTTTGACCGGCTACGGATGAGATGTGCACGACCCGTTTAGGATTGGTTGCGCTGGCTTTGCCGACCCTGCTGTCTTTGATTGGATTTAGCCATCGAGATATAGCAAGTTGTGTACAGCGGATTGGATGCGTTACATTGATGTCGAACAGGGCGTAGTGGCCTAGTCCTCCAGCTGGCTGCGCAGAATCTTGTGACTTGGAAGTGCCTGGTGGATGCCAAAAGTTCGTCCAGTGTGGTTCGAAGATGCCCGCGCCAGGGCATACCTTTAGATCGTAAGTATGCCTTCCAATGTCCGAGACGGTGGACATACAATGTCCGCTCCGCCAAACTCCTTATCCGCAACCTCAAAAAGTTTGTCCAGATCTGGCCATTGCACAACATTACACTTCACGAACACAGCACGTGCCTTGAATTTGTCGATGGATGAGTGTTGATTGACAAGCTCCTGTGCCTCCGGTCGAAGCCCAAGATCTCCAATAACTACGTTGCAATTGCGGGAGAGAAGCAGTCTAGCGAAGCAGAAGTTGATGCCTGCAATGTCCTCTTGTAAGCATTTTTGTGCGAAAAACTGAAGTATGCCTACCCGACCCTGCACCAGTAATGATAGCCGTCTTTCCCTCGACTGAAAAGGAGACGGAGTCGGTAGCAGCCGCCATTATATGGAGCCAGAGCGATTTGGTTACGGTGGAGGAGGTTGGGAGAAAGTTGACCTTTTGTACGTCGTGTGCCACTACCACGAGATGAACTACATGTAGGCCGACGGCTCCGCTAGGCCAATGCCTGGCGGGGCCGACAATGTACTTGCGGTGGCACCTTTTGGTCAAGGTAAGGTATCCCGAGGTCGTTTCCAACTCCGTATGAAGCTCCCCCGGGCTTGCTGCTTACGGAGATGCCGCTGACTAAGGCGTGCCTGTCGGCTGCTATTGCTGCTCCTCTTTCGAAAGCCCTGCAAATGAGGTTGGGGCAGTTGTGGATGGTCTATCCTCCGTGGGATCGGAAGCTACCTGTACAGCCTGAGTGGACCATTAGAAGAGCCCGAGACCGTGTCAAGGCAGCGTTGGCGCCTCAGAAAGCGGTAGTAAAGCAGGGAGCTCTGGCGGTCGCAGAGTATGAAGCTCTGGTATTTCAGTCGCTTAACTCAAACTTGCACGCCTTCAGGCCGCCCGAGCAGCTACGTGTCGAGCGACTGCTGCAAGGTAGTTGTCAAGTAGCGATGTGCGACTCGGACCAAAAAGCGCAAGACAGTGTGTATATCGCAGCCATTTGCCGCATGGAAGGTTGCCTTTCAGATCGCTTTTGTTGTCAAAATATCACACATTTGCTTCCCCGCCTTCGGTCATCATAATCATCGTCATCATGTCTTCGTCGTCGCCGTCTCCTGTTCGATCTGTCCTGGCCCGGCCGTTCTGGCCCCGGCTGCCGCCGCGCTCTCGCCATGTCCTTACGAATAATTTGCCGGCAAACGTCCACAAACACCTCCGTGACATTCTGCCTCCTGCGAGCGCTCGTTTCGTAGTACGGGACATTGCCCCAGGCTTGCGATACCTGGAAGGCCCTAGATCTTGACACCACGCGGTCTTCTTCCAGGTCGGACTTGTTGCCCACCAGTACGATCGGGACGTTGGGATCGCCACCCTTGATTTGTACGATCTGTTCACGGAGCTCAGCTAGCTCATGTAGGGACGACATGGACGTGATGCTGAACACCAAGAGGAAGCCGTGAGCGTCACGCATGTAGAACTCTCGCATGGACGTGAATTGTTCGGTCCCTGCTGTATCCATGATCTCGAGCATGACTTGTCTGCCATCGACATCGATCTGCTTCCTGTATGAGTCTTCGATTGTTGGGTCATAGCTCTCAATGAAGACGCCCTGAACGAATTGTGCTGCATATGCGTAAGTCGACAGTGCTTGTCTAGTAGATCAGATTGCTACGTTACCTGTCAGGCAGCTCTTGCCAACTCCGCCAGACCCTATGACCGCTATATGATATTCCCTACAAACTTAGCCACAGCTCAACAGTCGTACGGTGGGTTTCGCAATACCTCTGGTAGCTACGTGACATTTAGCCGCATTAGCGCAATCTCGCGCTGTCCCGGCGCGCAAACAATGTTCTTGTCTGTTTATCCTTCCCCTCCCTCCCTCAGCGCGTTCAGTCGTAAAGGTGGAGGTCTATCATGGGAGCCGACAGATTAGACTGGCGCGGCCTTATGAGTCCGCAGATCCTCGTCCACCAAGGGATGTATCGATGGCTTTTTCTGGGCTTGACCACGAGACACAAGACCAATCAGTCCACTGTACGACTCCTTGCTAAGATCCTACCGCCCGCGTCTGTCTGCTGTGACACTCGGAAAGCGCGCGCTGCCGTGCGATAGGTCAAATTGTTAAGCAGGACCGTTACAACGTCTTACGAAAGGAGATATTGAAGAGGAGTAAGAGCCTTTTCTTACCAAGCTTTCAGATCAACAGCGATACTAATAGCTGAGACCCATCACCGTGGCCCGCCATGGCGAGTCTTTGTATATTAGGTTTGTGGTACGCTTCTCCCGCCAGTTGACGTTCCGTAAGGTAAGCTTGGACCAGCCGACTCTGACATCAACCGGAACGCCAAGCCTGTCCTTACTCTGCCCTGTCGATCCATCACTGGTGCAGCATCTCTCGCTAAGTAGTCAATCTAGACTTGCCGTTAATGGAACAAGCAACCTTGTTGGTAACTGGCGTTGGCCGACGAAGGATGGTTTGCAGAAGTGCCTTTAGACGTAGCGAATGGTGAGCTTTCGGCCACTCTGCCGCGCGTTGATTGGTTCATCTCGGCCCTTTGCAAAGCCAAGTATCCAGCATTGACAGTCGAAAATGCATGCTCAGTATCATTAGCCACCACTCAGAGCTGCAGCCAGCGCACTGCAACAACGTTGAGCTGCTAAGATCCTGACGAGACTTGCGCCTACCATCCGGGAGAAGAAGCCGCGTCACGCCATGTACGACTGGTTACAGTGCCGGCATGCCGGGGTACCTTATCTGCTCGGACGCTGCTTTACGGCGATCGGAAGTTCTGGAAGCTGTTCCAGGAACATGGGCTTGGTGACGTCCATCTTCACCGTCAAGGCTTGTTGCTGCATTGGAACCACGCTAGGTCAGGAACAAGGTTAGCATCGTGTAGCGACTGCTGGCGGACATGAATCGTTTCACATTACCGGTCGAAGTACCGGAGCGGGCATACAGCCGTGCCCACATTGGGGATGACATAAGTGGCATACACGCACAGGAGTACAGCGGCTCCATAGTAAAGGAAGCCGTAGCAGCGACGAGAGAACCATGTCTTCGTGTGTGGGCCTTCACCAGCACCGCCAAACGTCTATCAATGGCAGATCGCAGCTGGAACTCGCGTGTCAGATTCAAACATCGATCTGAACACAGGTCGCACTGGGACGTGAAACAATTAGAAGAACAACTCGTGCTCAATGATACTGCACAGGCGGTCCCCAATCTCAAGTCTAGCAGTGAAATCATCAGTCTTCGTATTCCTGCACGGTGTGAGGTTCACGTAGTTGCGTTGAGCGAAGCCTCCTGCTTGTACGAGATCAAAGCGGCCATCCAGTAGACAAGACAGGTGCGGCAGAGAGCAGTGAGCTGCTTCTGAGCGAGCTTGCAAGTGTTCACGGCATATGCTCAGCGATACGCCGCAGCTGAGAGCTCACACCTATATCCTTTGTGTGGGAGCTGTGTTGATTGCTTATTCTCACTAGGAGACTGGAAGCTCGGTGGAATGTACAAAGCGGAAGGCTTTCCGCGCCGTGTCTCTGACAGCAAGGCCAGCTCTTACTTTTGATATTTCTCCCAAGCCATGTCAACATGTGGTTGCACTCGTTACAAGTGATATTCGCGGCTGCTTGCTTCGTTCGGTTATCAGCTGCAGTCTTCGCAGACGAGGCTTGGAATGTGGACTACCATTATGCTCTACTAGGCGAGCCGAAGGAGGAGACGACTTTCTTCCACCAACCGAACCCCAGTTCCAAAGCCTCTCTGATCTACAGCCTCTCCGAACAGGGTGTGCTCGGTGCGATCAACCCGAGAGACGGCTCGGTGGTTTGGAGACAGCCGTTATTGCGGGACGATACTGCCCAGAACGCCAGCTTTCTCCGCGCTGGCGAAGACCGCGATGTCGTCGTCAGCGGTCTCGGGCGGCAGGTCGCAGCATGGAATGCTGCAGACGGCAGGCTGGAATGGGACCTGATTGTCGACGGTGACCTTGCTGATGTAGAGATCTTGGCACTGGATGAAGGAACACCAACAACAGGCGCAAAAGATGTGATCGCGCTGTCAGGCGGGGAGCATGCGGCGGTGAGACGCATTGACGGAGCGACAGGCGCGGTCAAATGGCGACATCCACTAGATGGGCCGGACGTCCCATATCAAGTCTCGGCCTCTGCGACCGAACTGTATGCGATTGCACTGCACAAAACTATGCTCGGCTACTACAAGCTCAAGGTCATCTCACTTGACCCTGTGACAGGCCGCAAGACTGACGAGCATATGCTGAGCTCAGAGAGCGAGCTTACCACTACCGACACCATTGTGTCTGTAGGCGCAAACTCTGCATCGCCAATTATTGCCTGGACGGATTCGGCTGCGTCCGTTTTGAAGCTCAACGTTCTGGGTACGAGTGGCGTGTCGTCATTTAACATCGATAAGCACGGAGAGGGCGCAGTCCGGCGCGTCCGTATGCACGCTCCCCGTCACAGCAATGCTCTAGCGCACTTCCTGGTGCACTACGAATCCGATACCGCGCACTGGGCTGAAGTCTTCCATATCGATGTCAGGAACGGCAAGGTAGAGAAGGCATACAGCTTGCCTAAAGCAGCCGGTAGAGGTGCGTTCTCTACGAGTGTCATTGACGCCAATGTCTATTTCACTAGGGTCACGCAGACAGAGGTTGTGACCGTAGCCTCTGCCTCGCACGGTATCCTTAGCAGGTGGAGCTTGCAGGGTGCCAGAGTCGCCGACAATTCCAACTCTACTCCAGAACCCATACATGCAGTGTCCGAGGTGTCTTTCAAAGACAATGCCGTCTCCGCAGTCCGTACAGCTCTGTACACTTCCACTGGCGATTGGATCCTGCTGCGTAACGGCAGCCCTGCATGGACGCGGCCGGAGATCCTAGCGACTACCATAGCGGCGACGTTCGCAGCGCCAGCCGAGGCGGAGGCGCTCGTGAAGCAACTTCAGGCTGAAGCGCACAGTAACCCAGTACAGGCATACAGTCACCGTTTGCAACGGCATATTGCGGACCTGAAACTATTGCCTGCCATTCTATCCTCACTGCCACAACGGATCATTGATGCCTTTTTCGGCAACAGTGCTGAAGGCGGCATAGGGCACGACGGATTTGGCTTCCATCAGATAATTGCTTGTGCAACCAAAAGCGGCAGAGTTGTGGCGTTTGACGCGGCCAGTCCGACAAAGATTCTGTGGAACAGACAGGTTGCTGACTTGCAGCCGGGACAATCCTGGCAGCCAAGCTTGTACTCTCCGCGCGGTGGGGTCATTGTTGTGCGATCACGCGCAGATATCGGCGTAGAGTACAGCGCCACTGATGGCGAGCTGCTGGCTTCTACCCTACCGGTTGCGGAGCGGGAAGTGCCAAGTTCGAAGGCCATGCAGTACACTATTCGCAGCGGCGGCCTTGAAGCTACTCTCGGCGAACGATCAGCCTGGCACTTCGTACCCGCGAATGGCGAGACCGTTATCAGCTTGGTACCACGTCCAATCAATGATCCTGTGGCATCCATCGGTAAGGTCCTTGGTGACCGTAGAGTGCTGTACAAGTATCTCGACCCGAACCTGGCACTCCTGGTTACCGGACGGAACGCGAGCAGAACAGCTAGCTTCTACGTCTTGAACACCGTGTCAGGAGCGGTCATACACTCCAGCATGCATACCGGTGTCGACTTAGACGCGCCGATCTCCTCAATGATGTCCGAGAACTGGTTCGCGTACTCGTTCACCGCCGAGGCGTCGGATGACTCTCCTAAGGGCCACCAACTTGTCGTTGGAGAACTGTTCGAATCACTCGTGCCTAATGACAGAGGTCTACTAAGTGCGAAAGCGAACTATTCAAGCTTGGAGAGCGGCGCGGAACCTTTTTCATTGGTCCATACGTATCAAATTCCCGAGCGTATCTCCAAAATGGCAGTGACAAGGACTCGGCAAGGTATCACTTCGAGGCAGCTGCTTGCTGTCCTACCAGACTCGAATGCGCTAGTTGGCATACCATACGGTGTCCTGGACCCACGTCGGCCGGTGCACCGTGACCCCACAAAGGACGAGCAAATGGAGGGCTTAGTCAAGTATACGCCAGTGCTTGACTTTGACCCGAAATGGTACCTCAACCATCAGAGGGAGGTCGTAGGCATCAAGGATGTCGAAACCAGCCCTGCCTTAATCGAAAGCACAAGCCTGGTGTTTGCGTATGGTCTCGACATCTTCGGCACACGCCTGAGTCCGAGCTTCAGCTTCGACATTCTGGGTAAAGACTTCAATAAGTTCCAAATGCTGGCGACTGTTGCTGCGCTTGCAGTCGCCACGTTTGTTGTCGCGCCTTTGGTACGTAATTCACCGAAAATATCTCTTGACGTTACTGACTTGTACAGGTGATGCGAAAGCAGGTGGATCAGCGCTGGAAGCTGTTGTAGCAAGCCGCAACAAGGGTACCATAACCTCTACAACCTTGGACTGTCTATGATTGGGACAGTATCGGAAGGGGCAGCAGCACGGCATGAACGCAATGACACTGCCGCCATCGAAATACGGCGCTGTGCTTCGGCGGCAACGCTGCTGAGAGTGGCTCAAGCACATCCACACGCGCCGTAAGCGGATTATTTGCAGCAACCCTAAGGCAAGAGTGCCATGCGTTGAGCACCCCCTAGCTGTGACCGGCATGGCGGCAGGGGTTCTTGCTTCGAAATCATATCTTACGGACCGCCGTAGGGTTCAAAGCTACCTGGTACGGCGGAGACGAAGACTGCGCGAAAAGGACTGTGGACATTGTCAAACGGCGTCGTTCCACCCACGTTGGGCCCGTATGAACAATATGCTCGGCTTCGTAAGCAAGCCTAGAGCAAGGCGTCCAACTCGAACTCGAGGCTCTTTGCCCTGCCCCACTTTGATTTTCAATGACGCGAGCCCCAAAGTCCGGTCACTTAAGTCCGACGTAACTTTTATGCGATTTTGTCTCGAGGAGACGAGGTATAATAATCTTTCTACCTCTCGTAGTTGCATTGGCTCCTCGAACTACCACTTGACAGTAGAACTCTGGCATTTCACCACACTCACTCAATAAACAGTACAAACCATGGCGGACCAAGTCAAATATACGCAGAAGCTCAAAGACGCCAAGGTCTTGGTGATCGGAGGCTCTTCAGGTAAGCGAACATTTCGAGTGACCATGCAAACTAAACAAACCTCTTACACGAAAGACAGGCATTGGGTATGGCGTGGCAGAGGCTCTCGTTGAGAATGGCTGCATTGTCACCATCTCAGCATCCAACCCGGACAGAGCAAAGCAGACAGTTGATCGATTGACGAAGTCGTATCCTTCAGCAAAGAGCCGCATCCACGGCGAGTCCTGCAATCTCGGTGACGCTTCGAAATTAGATGATAACATTAAGGCATTATTCGAAAGGGTCGGCTCACTCGACCATGTCATCAACACTGCAGGCGACTCTTTGGAGATCATGAACCCCGACGACATCACCATGGACAAGATCATGAAGGTTGGTACTGTCCGCTTCTTCGCCCCCATATTCATAGGCAAGCATGCGCCCAAGTACCTTTCGAGCGGCCCTCGTTCTTCCATCACATTCACGACCGGTTCCGTGTCGGAAAAGCCAATTGCGAATTGGTCCACCATCGGCGCATTTGCTACTGGTTTGCACGGGCTTACTCGTGGACTCGCACTCGATCTCAAACCCATCCGAGTCAACCTCATCAGCCCTGGCCCCGTCGATACTGAGCTTTGGAACTCAATGAGTGAGGACCAAAGATCGGCCATGAAGGAGAATCTTCGGAAGAGTCTGCCAACAGGCAGAATTGGGAGTGTTGAGGATGTAGTGGAGAGCTTCCTGTACGTGATGAAGGACGCGAACATCACGGGCGCTGTAGTCTCGACGAGTTCCGGTAGCCTTCTTGTGTAAGATAGCACAAGGCATGTCCCTGACATATCGTAGCTCTCATGACCCATCCAACCTTCATGTTGTGATCTCGTACGAGCCATTTTCCTCCGGCTAAAGTGAACACGTCAACAGGAGCATGTGGCTGCCATTCGAGGAGGGGCGTTTCCCTGCAGCAGCTCAGCCCGACCCCACACAATGTTGATCTGCGGTCGAAATATTTGCCTTGATGAGCACACGAGCATAGTCACACGACAGTAATAGCAAGCAGCCTCCACTCAGGATAGCACAGAGTCTTTTGATAGCGTTCAGACACCGAAAGCATCCCAAGAATCATCCTTGAGATCATCGTACAACAAACTCCGTCCTTTTACGCAACAATGTCAGCTCTCAACGAAGGCAAGGTAAAGAGCATCCTTTCCGGAGACACACTTATACTGCAGAACAAGGCAAAGCAAGAGCGTACACTGAGTCTAGCATTCATTAACGCACCTCGTATACAATCAGACGAGCCGTATGCCTTTGAGTCCCGAGATTTCATCCGTAAGCTCTGCGTAGGCAAGATCATCCACTTCAAGGTGCTGTATGTGATACCGCAAAAGGTTGGAGGAGCGAACCGCGAGTATGGTATCGTGCAATTGCCGGGCGGGCAACAATTACCGGACTTGATCGTGCAGGAAGGCTGGGCGAAGCTGAGAGATGATGCGGAACGCAAGGCCGAGTCACCGCAAGCCACGGAGTTGCTGGAACGGCTAACTGCTTTCGAGGCACGGGCGAAGGCGGACGAGAAGGGCGTGTGGGCGACGAAGGCTTCGCAGGTGCAGAATGTACGAGAGTTGCCGGATCCCAAGGCTTTCGCGGAAGAACATAAGGGCGAGCCAATCGAGTCTGTGGTCGAGCGTGTACTCAGCGGAGACCGCTTGATATGTAGGATGATGGTCACGCCTACGCAGCATGTCACAACCACCGTACTCGTTGCTGGCTTGAAGGCACCGACGACGGCGCGGACAAATCCGTCGGACGGCTCGCAGCAACCGGCGGAGCCGTTTGGCAACGAAGCGCAGGCGTTTGTGGAAGAACGATTGCTGCAGCGCAGTGTGCAGGTCAGGATACTCGGGGTCTCACCTACGAATGTGCTCGTTGGCGAAGTACGGCATCCTGTTGGCAACATTGCTGAGTTTGTACTCAAAGAGGGTCTGGCGCGCTGCATAGATCACCACTCTACCTGGCTTGGCTCAGAGATGGGCAAGCTAAGGCAGGCGGAGCGGTCTGCAAAGGAGCAGCAGAAAGGCCTGTTCAAGAGCCACACCCCTCAGCGAACCGGAGGCAGCGAGAGCGAGGCCGTGGTCAGCAGAGTCTTCTCGGCTGATACGCTCATCATCCGGAACAAGAGTGGCGCGGAAAAACGAATCAATCTCAGCAGTGTCCGACAACCCAAACCTACAGATCCGAAACAATCACCGTTTGGCGCAGAAGCGAAAGAATTTCTTCGCAAGCGTCTAATTGGCAAGCACGTCAAGGTCAAGATTGACGGCACGCGGCCGGCAACAGAAGGCTATGAGGCGCGCGAGATGGCTACTGTATCAAGCAACAACAAGAATGTCGCCCTGATGTTGGTCGAGAGTGGCTACGCTTCGGTGATACGGCACAAGATGGACGACACCGATCGCAGTCCGCTGTACGACGAGCTACTAGCGGCCGAAGAGGCCGCTCAGAAGGAGCAATTGGGCATGTGGGCACTGAAACCGCCAAAGCCGATTACTTACGTCGACTACAGCGAGTCGTTGGAGAAGGCGAAGCGCCAACTCACAATCCTATCACGGTCGAAGAAAGTGCCGGCCATTGTCGACTTCGCCAAGTCGGGCAGTCGGTTCACTGTGCTCATACCACGAGAAGGCGCTAAGCTAACATTCGTGCTCGGCGGCATTCGGGCACCAAGGAGCGCTCGAGGCCCCACTGACACCGCTGAGCCTTTCGGCCAAGAAGCGCACGATTTCGCCAACAAGCGTTGTCTGCAGCGAGACGTGGAGATCGACGTCGACGATACTGACAAGCAAGGTGGCTTTATCGGTACACTGTATGTCAACCGTGAGAACTTCGCCAAGCTGCTCGTTGAAGAAGGATTGGCCTCCGTGCACGCCTACAGCGCAGAGAGGTCGGGCAACGCAAACGAGCTCTTCGCTGCGGAACGCAAAGCAAAGGAGGAGCGGAAGGGCATGTGGCACGACTGGGACCCGTCAAAGGAAGCTGAGGAGAATGGAGACCACGAGGAAAGTGCAGCTACTAATGGCGCAAACGGTACGAACGGAGAAGTAGCTGCATCAAAGAGACCGGCCGACTATCGCGACGTCGCTGTCTCGTACGTGGACCCATCTTCTGCGCGCCTAAAGCTGCAGATGATCGGCTCGCAGAAGCAAAACCTCGATTCAGTCATGAAGGATTTCGCCAATTTCCACATCTCGCCGTCGAACAGCAAACCGCTAGCGCAGCCACCCAAAGCCGGCGACGTCGTATCCGCCAAGTTCTCGCAGGACGGCGTATGGTACCGCGCTCGCATAAGGCGCAACGACCGAGACAACAAGACCAGCGAGGTGGTCTATATCGACTACGGTAACTCGGAAACACAGCCTTGGAGCTCCCTCCGACCGCTAGACTCCGACCGCTTCGGTCTGCAGAAACTGAAACCGCAAGCCGTTGACGCTGCGCTCTCATTCATCCAGTTCCCGACCAGCCCAGAGTATCTGTCTGAAAGCTGCAACATGCTCAACGAGATTACGTACGATCGCCAGCTCATAGCGATGGTTGATTTCAACGACACGCGTGAGAATCTGCTCTGGGTGACGCTGCTGGACCCGAGTCTGGGCTCGTCTTCCTCCGCTGGATCTTCGAAGCGCGTGACGCTCAATGCCGAGATCGTAAGCGAAGGACTGGCGATGGTGGCAAAGAAGCTGCGGCCGTTTGAGCGGGCGGCGCCAGATGTGCTGGCTGACTTGCAGGCACGTCAGGCTGAGGCGAAGGAAGGGAGGAGGGGGATGTGGGAGTATGGCGATCTGACTGAGGATTGAGCTGGGTATCCACTACCAAAGCAAGCCGTTATCGATATGACGAGTATCTTTGGACAACTCATGGTCTGGAGCATTGCGAAGCAGGACCTATAAGAAGCTGCCTGTAGTGCACTCCCAACAGATCCACGTGCTGCCGCGTGGGCACCTTGAAACATGGCAGGAATTCCACTTCAGTAACCCTTCCATTCTCTCATTGCGCTCGCTGATTTGATGCATAAGTGGCATCGGACTCGCCAGGCTTCGGTGCGACTAACACGTAGTACAACTGCTTAGGCCCGCGAACTAGTGGGCACGAACGTCAGCTAACCTGCACCTGCCTATTGTGACATATACCGTTTTATGCCCGCACGGAATGTTGGATTCAGTGCTCTCTTTGACGGTCCGCATTCTCAACCATAGAAGGTTGACTAAGCGGTGTTCTGCGTAAGCTAGTCCGCGGTATTGAATCTTGTGATCACATCATGATATCTGTGCAAAGGAAGAAGGGGAAGGAGGAGCAGCAATAAGACGTACCGGCAGCGATCCCCGGACTCGTTGGTCTAGGAAGATTCGTCCATGTGAGAACACGGGCGATGCTCCATGCACAGTGCCACACCGGTTGTTGGTGGATGCTGAGTGCATTGTCGAACTGCTACTTCTTACCGCGGGAACCTTGACTGACCAGCTTCTTCTTCACGTGCTTCGGCATTTTCTCTTTCCTCTTCTCGCGCTTCTCCTCCTTGACTTGCTGTTTGTGCAGGCGCTTGGTGTCCTTGTCTTCGAAGCGCTTGCCTCTTGGCCGCTTCTCGCCGTCGTCGTCGAACTCGTCCTCGCTCTCCTCCTCATCGTCATCATCAACATCGTCCTCCTCGCTATTCTTGATGACTGGCACCTCCTCTGCTCCCGCGCTTGTAGTCGAAGGTGCCTGAACGGGACCGCCAGCAGCGACTGTGTCGGCCAGTAAGTCCTTGTAGACCAGCTGCTCGCCGGCGCCTGAATACAGCGTCTCCGCGTCGCGCTCAATATCATACACTTGCTCGAGCGTCTGCGGAATGTACCGCTGCCGAAACACTTCGTCATCTACTTCGTCCGCCTGATCACCGTCTTCCGCTTGCGTCTCATGCATTCTTTCTAGCATCTCCCTCATGCCGGCCTCCTCAGTTGATCCCTCCGACACCGTGACGAAGCCAAAGACAGCTCGCTGCGAAAGTGTATCGACACCCTTACGCTTGAAGAAGTCCGACACATTCTTGATGTCCATGCGCAGAAACTCCAGTGATCGCGGATGGTCGTGCTCGACGCTTTGACTGACGTCGATGACATAGATCTGATTGTCGTGGTAGAGCAGATTGTACTCCGACAAATCGGCGTGCACAAGTCGGCAAACTTGGTACATCTTCCGCATATAGCCAAGTAGCTGGATATATAGGTCTCGCCACTTCCGTGAAACATCTTCGTCCGATGCGGTGCTTGTCGGTTCAAAATCGAAGTCTCGTAACCGCGGCGCAGGCCAACCTTTGCTGTTACCCACGAAGCCCATGACAAGCACATGTGCCTTGAGGTATATCGGCTCTGGGCACGGGATGCCTGCTCCATGGATCCGCTTCAGATTGCGAAACTCCTTCTCCGCCCACATCTTCACCATGGCGCGGTTGGAACTCTTGTTGTAGCCTTGCTTGAATCTGAATTCGCCAGTCACGTACTTATCCCTGTCTTTGAAGACAAGAATGCTCGTCTTGTACACTTTGATAGCTCGATGCAGGGGCGGGATAGCGGCCTTACCGTCGACTTCTTGCGGTGCGGTAATGGCATGGTAGACGTTCGCTTCCTTGCCAGTCGAGATCACGCCGCTCATCTCGGACACGATGTTCCGGTTCAACAGCTGAAGCAGGATCATCTTTGTTCGCGGATCCAAGACTTGCTCGGTCGTCGCCCGATCGCTCTTCTCCGCGCCGCCATGGCCCTTGCCAGCCAGCCCTGCCTCAAGATCTGATAGTCGCAGCTTGGCCGTGTGCTTCGAAAGGCTTCTGATTTGATCGTCGATCGCTGCTTGCGTGTTTAATTGAGGGTTGGCTCGTGGTTTCTGCGATTCGGGTATCGAGGTGTCGTTCAATCGTCGCTGTCGATTGTAGGCTTTAGTGTAGTCGGCCGGATTCGCCGCCTGTAAATCCGTATCCGAGACATCGTCCTCCGAAGCGTCGAATAGATCGTCGTATTCTTCATCCTGCCCATACGCCGCATCTTCGTCATGTGCGCTACCCGGCATGTACTTGCGTTGTGTCTGGCCATCGGGCACGTAGCCCTCGTTCTCGATGAAAGTGTGGGGTGGCACGAGACCACTTGCTGGGCCGTCCATATCGACTGAGGCTTGTGTATCCGCCGTCAAAGCACTGATCTACTCGACAGTGTCCAGAGTGTAGTAGTTAGCAGAAGGTGAAGTGGCGAGTGGTATAAGAAAATGGTGAGATTGTACTTGGCTTATGTATGTGATTGTTCATATGATCGTCAGGCACGCCAGAAAGTTCGCCTCGGTGACGGAATTCCTACCCACCAAGCTTTCCAACGGCCCGCCGCCACCCTTGCATCGGATGGCGTGGGGCAGAAGGAGCCCTGCGATGGTGGTCGACTCAGGTTGAGCAGCTCGCCGTCTCCGTCTCTCCTTCTCACCACGTACTCCGGCTTGGAGGAAGGTGGGAGGATGGCTGCCAAACGGGCACCCTCCGTCTGCCTCGCTTGCCAAGCTAGACAGGCGCTCATCGGTCGGCGGCGACTGACATCAAATAATCGGAGATGGCTAGAAACAGCGGTCTTGAGTGCATCCAGAGAGGGTGTGGCCTTGCGGACTGCAGGCAAGGGAACGTCGCGAAGACAGAACAGAGACGATGCGGACAGGATGCAGACATCCGTCGCAGTCAACGGCGACCTTCCGCAATGGAACCTCAACCAGCAGCAGGAGGACGTCCATGGCGCTCTTGAAGGTCTGGAGATCTTGTGGCGGGAGAAGGACAAACGTATTCGGGTACTGAACGCATTGTCAAATCCCTGGCCAGAGAAGCCGCCACATCGAGCACATTTTGCAAAGAAAGCAGCAGACGCGCATCTGCAATTACCAGAAGCAAACGCCGCACGCATCCCGCACGACATGTTCCGGAAGAACCTCGCTCAAGCACTAACTGACAAAGCCGCAAGGCGGATACTACGTGCGCAACTGCTCCGCTGCGAAGTGCCAAGAGATATTGTGCGTGTTATTGCGGTGTGTCTCACCATGAGCCGACAGACGCAGCAACATATTGCGGCCCTGCACGAGCCCATCATGCGTGCGTTGTACCGCTGCCGCAACAACGTCGATGACATGACAGTCCTGGGCACGTTGAACGGGATCCATAGTCGCTATCTCATCTATGGCGTGCGATTCGACCCTCACTTACTTGCTTTGGGCTTAAAGTTTGCCGCACGCTCGAGGAGTCTCCGCAACATGAAGCGCTACCTCAGAGCCGTGAAGACGTCAGGACTAACCGTCAGCTCCAACATTTTCCGAGCCGTCATTGCCAAATTCTCAATCGGTCATCGAGGGCTAGGCGAAATACGCAATGGACGCTGGAAAAAGAGCGACCTACTGGAAGTGCTGACCGGCTTCGATGACTGTCGGCATCTACCGCCCGAGCAGCAGTATCACTTGGGAGTCTTTCTGGACCGCAGCGACTGGCAGTACTTGCACGGATGGGTCGCGGTACTGGCTCGTTGCAAGGCCACTACGCTGATTTGGCAAGAGTGGCTGCTGTGGAAGCAAAGTGATGCCCGTTTACGGCCAAGGAAGCTAGTAGGGTACGGCATCCTGACCACGTCTAGAGAGAGAGGCGACTATTGGTTCGTCGAGCAGATGGCGTTTGCGGGCGGGCTGAAGGAAGCCTGGGCGATGGTCGCCGAGATTGGCATCGACTTCCGGGTAGCGAAGAACCGTATCCAGCTCCGATTGTTGGACGGCATAGAGCACTGTCCCGAGAGTGTCTGGCGCGCTCAAGGCGATGTGCTACGAAAAGAGCTGCTCCGCAAGTACGACGTGGAGCTGTCGAAGATCGAGCGTGCTTTTAGCGTCACGTGGGTACCTACTGACCTTGATGACGAGGCAGGAGGACACCATATCCTGCTAGAAGATCAGGAAGAAGTGTTGGAGAGGCTTGGCGCGGATGACTTCAAGCTTGAGGAGGACTATGGGTTTCCGTACGAGACCATAGTTTCGCCTCGCGAGCGCGGGTTGCATGATGCGGCTGAGCTGGGTTTGGTAGATCCATAGCACAACACGTTCAAGCAGATGCTCCTACTGTCATCAAGACTTATGTGTAACTTCGCCAAACGATTGCGCTCAACCGTGTTATTTGTGTGTAGTTTACTTCGCCGAGCCGCCGACGTCACACAGTAGCTACTTTCGAGCTGTGCAGGTGTCTCTGGATCAGACCCGGAACTTGCTTGATTGTCTTCTCTCGTTGTCACGTATTCCGTAGCATTTCACCGTACGATCGGCGCGAGTATAACATCTATCAGTTGAACACCGCGAGTCATCTCTCAATCTGCGTTCAAACACTGACGGAGCACTCCCGCCCAGCAACGGCGCCGCCGAACCTTGATCCCTCCGTCAACAATCGCGTCACTAGCTAGCGGCGATCACACGAGCCTCATCGAGCAATAGCTAGGATATGGCACCGAAGTTGGCTTCGCGCCCAGCAGAGCCGTCACGGAACAAATCAGAGATGGCAGGCCAGCATGAGTTTCCGGCGTTGTTCACCATCGAAGGCTCAAACAGACACGAGAGTGCGCGCACACGAAATATCAGTCTGACAACAAGCTCAGCACTCTCACTAACACAACGTAGTCATTCTCGTCAATCCAGGCCATGACCTCGAGGAACTGAGAAAGACAATGGAGAGTCTAGCTGAGTCGTCGCCCAACTGCCACGAATGGGGGCAGAAGTTCCGGAGTAAGGATGTTAAGGAGACGGTGGGTGAGATCAAGGTCAAGTGGGCAAGTGAAGGGAGGGACAAGCAGTTGTTTCCGAAGGAGACGATCCTGACAGAGGACAACTGCGAGCCGGTGCTGCGTATGATGGCTGTTGGTGTGGGAAAGGATGTGTTTGACATCAAGCTGGAACGGTCGGAGCCGGAGAAGGCGAAGAAGTAGTTGAGTCGTACTTACTAGGGCCGTACAGCTCCCACGTGCCATCCATTCTCAAGTTCTCGTCCGGACGTTGAGGGAGGCAGCATTCTGCGACCTCCGAAAAGTCGAAAAATTCCGAATAAAAGCTGGCACACGAGTTGAGCGAGCCGTTGTGACTTTCGAGCGTCTAGGTGTCGGTATCTGGTTGGCGCGGCGATATGGGTTACAATAGTCTACCACAACGTTATTCAGACTTCTCGTGCTGGCGTAACCTGTCGAGATTGCAATGGAAGGATGTGCCACCGCTTCGCAAGGCCTGCACTGTCACGAGAAATATGTCCTGTGTGCCACGACTTGAGGCTGTGTGGCGAGGTCTTCTGAAAAGCCGCGCTAGTCTGAGTCGTACAATTGTACGTTCGAAATGGTCGACTTGCCATGCGCTGTCGTGCAACAATAAAGAGCACGATGTGCCGTTACAAAGCCGTCATGGGTTGAACGTCGTATGTGAGCCCTGTCTGAGAGTTGTCTGGTCCTACAAAGACCAAGCTTCGGTTGCGGAGGCGGAGCAGCTAGGAGAAGCTGTGTAAACTCCTTGTCGCATATCCAGGCAGCGGCACCGAGCGCACCACCGCTGAGCAATTGCGAACATCCGTCCATCTGCGAGGAGAGAAGCTTTCTATTCTGGTTATCGTGGAGTCGAGAGCAACTCTACGTTTTCATTAAAGGTTGCCCTTGTATACCCACAGTTCATGCTGTGCTGTGTAACTTCGTGCGATGACTGAGTCTCAGCCTGCCGTGTCCGCATCATCCAATCACTGACGGGCGGAGCTGGCTCAGCTGCTCAACCGCCCGCCCACTGCCCGTTCCCAAGGCACAACATGGATAACCCAGGTCGCGGGATGCGGAACGCGATGCAGCGTCCCAAAGCTGCATAATGCCGTCGCCAAGGGTACGCGTTCCTTGACGGTCTGCAGCCGGTCTGCAGCATGAGAGCGGGGCGACATGTCGCTTCGAAGGAGCGTTGCGGCTGGTGTACCGACTGAACTGCCTCCAGATATTACTCGCCACGGAATCAACGAACACGCCTATCAGCTGCTGGACCCGCGCGTGATCACACGAGAGAGCACAACACCAGTCAAGCGGCACGCTACGGAGAGGGGATGTGATGAGGTGATTGTTGGAGGTGGAGAAGGTTTAGTGGAGAGGGGCAGTAACTCTGATCAGGCCACTAGCTCTGTGATATGGACGCCTTGGTTAGGACGCAATCGTGCTGACACAACCTTATGCGTGTGGAAAAGGCAGCTTTGCGAAACCGATGAGTGCCGGCACTGGCCTGGCGAGGTGCATCGTCGGTGTTGCCGGACGCGCATGGTGTGCCTTGGTGGCTGCAGGATGAGGCTTGCCTTGACTCCCCACCTCATGCACCTGTCAAGCGTGCTGTGTGGCCCATTCGGCTCGTCTGCCACTTCCCCGATGACAACTGGCTGGGTGGAAGACATCGCTCCACGCTACAGCGTTACTGTCTTACCTTCATTATCTCTTTACTCTGGCCTTGACCCCACTGGCCCAGGACCCACACTCCATCGCGCGCATCAGCCACGAGCTTATCAGCTCCGATTGGTTGGCCCAAGCTCTTCCCAGCGGAACCAGCTACCGAAGCCTTGGAGACGTTCCCGTCCGCGCTACGCTGAACCACTTGCGCTGACCACTTCTGCGACCTACTTTCACACCACCCGCTCTCACACGACCATCTTCCCACGCCAGCACCGGCAACATCACCCGTGCTACTGCAAACGATACGCGACTGCAGTACCCATCTCGGCAGTCTTCACCACAGCACGCCGGCACCGACACGGCATCTCACCGCTGCTGTGGCATCGCGGCCACGCGCCATCTCCGTCTTGCATGCGGCTGGCCTAAGGCTTCGCCGCATATTCGTATCAGTCGCTCGCTCCCTCTCCGGCGTTGCTTTCTGTCTGCTCACTCGTTGCTACGAATCTGTAGTCTATCGGGTTGGTTTGCGCTCGAAGTCTGATTGGTCGCGCATACATCATCACCGACTTCCGCCACGAACCGCGTAGGCGCACGTCCGCATCTCCCAAAGCCATAGTGGAGCGCGGTGATAGCAGGCACCTTCCAGTACTACATTCTTGCCAGCGCGCGTGCTTCCGGGCCGTTATAGCACTCCCGTGCCAGTCGCCCGCTGGATCAATGCTGGCTTGCACACTGTAAGCGCATCTTCCGGAACAGCAGTCATGATGAGCGATCCGAGTCCGCCTAGCAATTCGCGCGGCTTCCCGTCACCAACCTATGTTCGTAATGGCTATGGCACCCGCATCTCTCCCACAAGCCGGACTGTCCGTGGCGATGCATTCAGCAAGGGTGATCTGCATAGGTATAGCAATCCGTCAACTGGAGACCGCTATGGACCGCTCGTGACGTCTGCCAGCACCATACCGACACTGGCGACAAGCACCTCTGACCCGACCGCCTTCGCACCGGAGCCTCGATCAACTGCCATCTTGATCCGCAGGCTTTCCCGTACAATCAGTCGCGAAGCTCTCAACAGCATGCTCATCTTTGCTGGCGACTTGCTGGATACCACTCTGGTGCAGTCACCGTATGCCGAAGACATCGGCTTCGCGACAGCGTTCGCGCGCTTCCGGTCCGAAGCTGGCGCGTTCGACGCTCAGCAAAAGCTCCACGGCAAGCCGAATACCACAAAGGAGGCGAGCATGATAGTGGAGGTCCACAACGCGGGCAGGGCTGCATCTTTCGAGAGGCGCAACACTATCGACGGCCTTGCCAATCGTACCCAGAACAGCTCCACATCATCCGGTGGCTCTGTGGGTGGGCCCCCTTCTGGCCGTGCTCGATTCGGAAGCTCTTTTCAGTCCGAGGGCGTGTCACCGCCCGTTCCAACACCGGGATCGGGCGGCAGCGGAGACTTCCCGGTACCTGAGACAAGCCCACACTTCCAGAAACTGTTCTCACCGCAGTCGCCTTTGACGAACGGTGTTCACCACGACCACCGTATTTCCGGCAAGGCAACGATCAATGACGACTCGGTGGATGATGAGACTGGCCAGCTCCTGAATGATCCAGTTGGGTACGCTCGTAACGGTCCGCAAGCATTTCTACCGACTACGAACCCGGATGTGCTTTCTTCAAGATTTGGAAGCTTGTCCTTGTTAACGACCAACGGCAATGCGGGCGGTTTCGGCTCGCCATCCCCTGCCGCATTCACTTCGTCCCGGAATGTCGAGCCAGCGATGTCACCAACAGCACTAAGTGGAGGCGAGCAGAATGGTACGCATTCCTCGACGAATACGAGGATGCAGTACCCGCCAGTCAACCCTGCAGACCAGAACCCGCCATGCAATACTCTCTACGTCGGCAATTTGCCCATCAACACTTCCGAGGACGAGCTGAAGGCCATCTTCTCAAGGCAGCGCGGATACAAGCGGCTGTGCTTCCGCACCAAGCAGAACGGACCGATGTGTTTTGTGGAGTTTGAGGACGTCGGGTTCGCCACTCGTGCGCTGAACGACCTCTACGGCTTCGTCCTCTCGAACAGTGTCAAGGGAGGCATCCGACTGAGCTTCTCCAAGAACCCACTCGGCGTGCGCACCGGCCAAACCGGGATGGGACAGTACGGCAGCTCTGCATCTCAGAACATGCCACCGGGGCTGCAGGGCGCGGCGAACGGCCACAGCTTCAGCGCGGTATCTGGCCCTCCGCCAGGCCTTGCTTCGCCGCCGGGCCTCGCGAACAGCCAACCCTACCGCTCGGCGCCAACCAATGGAATGGACGGCATGTTCTCGAACCCGTTCAACATTCCGCTGCATGAGTTCAGCAACCACGTCGGTAAGGGTGGGCTGGATATCTACGGCAGGCCGACTCAGGAATTCATGGATCAGCTGGGGCAGCGGACATTATCTGGCGGTGTCCCACCTCAGATCGGTAACGGCAGCTTCTCAGGGGGAGTGCCCGCACAGATGGGCAGCGGCAGCTTCTCGCGAGACAATCAGAACGAATACCATGACACCCACCATCGCAACGACAATGCCAACAGTAACGGCAGCGGCTACATGCATTTACGCGATAGCCGCAACGGCTATCCGGAGTACCATCAGGTTCGCTAGTGGCGGGATCTTACTTCCAATCGACAATCTATTTTTGCACAAATCACTTCCCTTTCAGGTCTGGATATATCGGTTACGGGCGGCAGTACTAATCCCGGAGTCATCGAACAAGCAAGGAGACAGCATCATGTGGGAGGGCTCTCTGTTACGAATTCACATCTACGAGATTCCCCCTTTGCGACACTACCATTCTACGGAACTGGCATAGACATGGAATAGGCGGAGCGGCGTTTTCACTATACTTTTCATCCAGCCAAGGCATTCGTGTTACACGAGCACCGAGGGTCTGTGCTCGATGAGCCGCATTACCCGGCGCGTTCGAACAACATCGTGTGTCCTCGAGCGGGCAGGCGGGCGCGGTCGTGTCTGTCAAGGAGGGCGTATTACCTGGGCGTACTGTACGACAAGAGTGGCGCGTTGATCATTTCATTTCACACGGAGGGGCGTCGCTAGTAACAGCGCAGTGGAGAGCTTTTTGCATCGGACGGACGGCCGGCATTACTTGGACGCGAGAGCATGTAACGAGCGTGGCAATGGTAGGAGATGGCGCTCTGGGAGCGGGTGACTGTAGGGCATGGTATCGAGACTGCAAATGTATGTCGCTTCACTGGAGGTATGCATCGGCTTTACAGAGAAGATATGACATGGATTTAATTCACTGAGACGGCCTGTTCTCCTTCTCCTCTTCCTTCATCATGTTGAAAGAGCATGTGGTGTGGCGCTTCGGAGGAACGATGCACGCGCACAGCAGGACAGCTCTCTCATTTCCCGCATTGCTAGCATAGGCGCTGACACAAACCGGCATTTGCCATGCATGTTATCTTCTCTCATCCCTACCGCCAAAGCCCATACGGCCCGGCAGCGAATTTCCACAGCTTGACCGTCCCATCCTCACTCCCCGTAGCATACAACTTGCCATCGGGACTGAAACACGTCGTCCACACCGGCCCATGATGTCCCCTCCCCGTCTCCAACTCACACTCCCGATCCCAATCCCACAAATGCACCCACGTATCCGACGGACTCCCCGTGACGAACCTCCTCGCCTCGCCGTTGAGTGCAACGCTCGCCACCTCCCGATTCGTCTTGATATGCTTGATCAACTGGCCCGGTCGCGCGCCGTCGAAGAAATACACGTTCTTGCCTGCGGCCACGCTGAGCGTTCCTTCCGGGTTGTGGTCGAGGCCGGCGTTGAGTTCGCAGGATCCGGGGAGGGCGTCGATGGAGTGGGAGGCGATGCTCGTGCGGGTGCGGAGGTCCCACCACCGGATTTGCTTGTCGTCCGAGGCGGTGGTTATTATGCTCGGGTCGCGCGACCAGACGATGGATTTGATGGCGCCTTGGTGTTGGGAGTCGCCGATTTCGTAGGAGGGGGAGGCGTCTGCGGGGTTGGTGGTGGTGGTGGTGCCGTTGACGCCGTTTGTGGGCGACGCTTCGCTAGTCGCGCGGGAGAGGTCATAGACGCGCAATTTCTTCTCCATGCCACCCGTCGCCAGGACTTGAGGCTTCGCTTGCGGTGGGAAGGCGACGGCGCGAACGATGTGGTTGTGCTGTAGCGTTGCGAGCGTCTCGCCGGTGAAGGTGTCCCAGACTTTGGCTGAGAAGTCAGCGGAGCCTGTTGCGGCGAGGGTGGCGTCTTCGGAGAGGCGGGCACTCCATACGGCGCCTTTGTGGCCGATGAAGGTGCCGATCCAGTCACCAGTCAAGCCGTCACGGAGCATGGGGTTGTTGTCTTTGCAGGCGGAAATCATGTAGTACTGGCTCGCGGTGCCGGAGGAGGCGAGGAGGGAGGAGAAGGAGACGTGGGTAATGGGGCGTGAGTGGCCATGGCAGGTCAATGGGACGATCTTGGTGGTTTCTACAACATATATGAGTACACGAGATGGAGCTGGCGCATGGTTAGGTTTGCGTGCTTACCAGCAGCTACCGATGTCTCGTCTTGCCTTGTGAAGGCGAAGTCTGCCATGCTGATGGCGAGTATGCTTGCGGATCAATCAATCAATCAATCATTCAATCAATCAAAGTTATCGCCTTGAAAGGAAGGCTAATGTTTGGGGAGGGACATGAATCGTGAAATCGTCAGTCGTTCAGTGCTGGATCAACGCCACGTCTCGAATATCCCGGCGGCCAAACGCCCCATGTCCCGAACTTGCAAGTGTAAGAAAGGGAGGAAGGAGAGACTGGAGAGAGAGCGAGAGGAAGGGTAGGGATCTCCTTGTCTCATTGAGAGTCACCGTCGGGAAAGAATGTGCATGTGTGATAAAGGGGACCCTTAGCGGCTGAACCGCGGTAGTGGGATGTGGGATGTGGGATGCATGACGGGCGGAAGGTGGTCGATGTCAGGATGAAGGTGAGCGCGAGGCATATGTTGTAACTAAAGAAGAGTGTACTGGAGTGTCTCATATCTGTCTCGTGTTGGATGCATCGAGGGATGGAGGTGGAGGTGGAGACGTTGTCCATTTGAAGAAGCTGTTGCTGTTGCTGCCATGTGAATGTCTGGCGCGGGAGTTTGATTGGCTGCGGCACTGTCCAACACAGATCCCCGGGCAACTCTCGCGGCCCTGCATTGTCAACACAACCACAACGCCGCCAAGTACATAGCTACCTCATACTACACTGAGGGTTACTCGACAACATCAGCACCACGCCGACCGGGCGACCATGGAGCTGGCCATAATTGGCACTCGAGAGACGACTGATCTGAGACAGAGTGGACGACACACGATCTCATACTAGGCGGCACGAGGACACTAAGGTGAGACCGCATCTCGACCGTTACTCTCCCATATCCGGACACTGTCGCAGATCAAGATATACTGCGAGTATGCAACACTAGAAGCGCGCATCACGCAAAACCATGGCAACATCCTCTCCAATGCGCGCCGGCGCATCGCTAGCAGAGGAACTGGACTACTACAAGAAGCAATATGAGCAACTGGAAACCGACCTGGCCGACTTCCAGGCGTCCAGTAAGGAGTTGGAGGAGCAACTGGAACGCGACATCGAAGCAGCGGAGAAGAAGGAGCGCAAGCTGAAGGAGCAGGTGGAGAAGCTAGGGTTCGAGGTGGAGGAATGGAAGACGAAGCACAGGCAGGCAAAAGCAGAGGCCAATGGCGCGCAGAATGCGCTGCAGAAAGAAATCACGACGATGCGAGAGACGAACAGGTCGCTTCAGCTCAAGCTTAGAGATACCGAGGTGATTAACGACGATTACGAACGACAGGCACGGAATACCGAGTCTAGTCTCGAAGACCTCGAGAGCAAGTATAACGTTGCGATTGAGCGCAGTGTGTTGCTTGAGGAGGAAGTCAAAGTTGGCGAGCAGGAACGGGAGGCGTTGCGGATAGAGACTCAACGTCTGCGCGATGAGCTGGGCGACTTGAAGGTGGAGAGCGAGATTACTCTGGAGAAGCTGCGCTTAGCAGACAACACCATCGAGCGACTGCGGTCGCGGAAACCGAGTCCGCTGGCGGTTGAGTACCTGCGCGCAAAGAGTCCAGGCAGCGAAGCGAGTGGTAGAACTCTTGCCTCACCCACCGCTTCAACGCCTCCACCCAAATCAGACACCATGTCGGATGCGCCAACGCCACCTTCGCCTCCGTTGTCCGACGCGCCGACGCATGCCAAAGCCGAGCAACGCACGCCACTACCCAGCAAACGCAAGTCCTTCGTTCATGATGCGACATCAACGCTTAAGCCCGGTCTGTATGGCCCGCGTACTGCGCCAAAACACTCCCGCGGACCATCTATAGCGTCGAGTAACGGCAACTCCGCATCAGATTCCGTGGCCATGCGACCACCGGCTTCGCGACCGAAAAGACCTAGCGTCATGCCGTCGGAAGGTCTGCCGCGGTCAGAATCGCTCTACCAGATCAAAGCTCTACGTGGTCGCATGCAGAAGATCGAAGAGCGGGTTCAGTCCGCGCGCTCGAAGTTGCCGCCACCTGGTACGAGGACGCCGACGGGCTCGCCGCGTAATGTATCTGGACTTGGCGGTGCGGATATGCCATCTTCGGTTACGGTACGGAGGAGCGCGAGACGGCCGAGTGGGAGCGCGACTTCTTCGCTTGTGAACGATGGGACTGTAGATGGCATCACCGCAACACCAACATCACGAAGGGAGAGTCAGATAAAGCGACTTAGCTTTGGCATACCGAGACCTGCGTCATCTGCGGCAGAGCGACCGCCATCCTCCGCAATGGATCGACCGCCATCCGCATTTGATCGACCAACCTTCGTACCGAATCGGCCACCATCTGCGGCCGCGGCGAGCCGGCCCAGCAGTCGCGCGAGCATGAGCTCTGCTGGCTTCGGTGTGGTGCCCAATCGGCCGGCGAGCCGTGCGAGTATGACCCCTGCTGCGTTTGCTACGACGTCTGATCGGCCGGGAAGTCGAGCGGGCACAGGCTCGACTGGATTTAGTATGGGATCTGATCGGCCTGCAAGTCGTGCAGGCGTCAATGCTGCTGGCTTCGCTACGGCATCTGATCGGCCTGCAAGTCGAGCGGGCATGAGCTCTGCTGGCTTTGCTTCAGCACCCGATCGTCCTGCTAGCCGAGCAGGCATAAGCTCTACTGGCTTCAAAGCGGCTTCCGATCGACCGGCAAGTAGAGCAGGCGCACGGACTCCGCTTCCGCAGTACGGTACAACTACCGGGCAACCTTCGATGAGCACTCCTGGCAAGCCTGAGGCTTCGAAGCCTCGGACCAGCATGGGAGGCATGTATGCTACGATGCATGGTACACTGCGGAGCCACAGGCCATCCGCCAGTGTCTCCGAATTGAGACGGAAGGCAGCGGAGAGCGAAGACTCCACGTTCATCTCCACACCCAGCCGCAGGACGACGATGGATAGGACGGCATTATCTACGCCTAATGGTTTGTCGAAACAGCATATTGGCGGTAGTGGAGATGTTGGGGCGCAGCATTCGCCGTCACGATCACTAAGGCGAACAAGCACCAATGTGCATACGCAGAATGATGGCGCGATGAGACCACCGCCAAGGAGGAAGGCGAGTGATCTGGGCGAGACGTACTAACTCTGCAAGCTACCGGCAGTGCGGTCGTATGATGCACGGTTTAGCTGATGTGGATTGCTGAGCAGCACAAAGGCACCGGCAATCATAGAGCTAGCTGAGACGGATCACTGATCTGCTCTCAGACATCGTATGACCTCTGATACTGTAAATATTGGTAGATGTTGGGTACGCTGCAAGCGGGAACGCCGGAGTGAGGCTCTGGTGGTCGACTTGCAAAACTTCTTCGGGAGCCGTGGCTCTATATAGAGCATCGCATGCTTAGTAGCTTGCCACAAGCGAATCATCGTTACGCTGTCACCGTATATTGCGGGATGCGGACAAGCTTACAACTCGATGACACCAACATCTTGGCCCACCTCAGGTGTGTACTGGGGCTGTATACCCGTTTGCTCGCGTGCCCCTCTGCGGCTTCCGAGAGTGTGCCAGGCTCGAAGTCTTGGCTCTCCCGAAGCCGAACACATCGGCACACATCCCCTTTCGTTCCACCCTCTCCCTCCCTCATCTCCCTGCCGTCACAAGGTTCGGCTGTCTCGCTGTGATGCAGAATGCAGCGCAAAAAGGAGTCCGGCACCCCGCTGAATGCCGACGATGAATATTGCGGTTATATAACGAAGGGGGAACGTATAACGGTCAGAGACCTTTTGATAGTGCACTAGTGACGTGCTGGCGGGATTATGGTAGGTTAAATTTGGAAGCCTTGCGGCCTCCCTTACCGTTGGCCCCGAGCCGTATCCATGCGGCAATCTCGTGGTGGGTCCAACCCTTCTATCCTTCGATGAGATCCTTCCGTAGCGCGTTCTACCCTGACAGCCCAAGAATTGGGACAGACGGCGAGGTGGGAAAGCATCGACTTTATGACGATTGGGACATGTACTCTTGTAGCTGTACGGTTGGGAGGTACTTTCACCGCCGTACCTGGGGCGTTGCCCAGTCTACTGCAAGCCGCTGCAAGAAGATGTCCCCAGCGGCCTTTGTCGGCGATGGAGGTCAGGGTCTTTGATGCACTCCGCATGATTTGGGAGCGCTCAACCTGGAATTACGTTCGCTCACCGACATGCGCCCAATTTCTCATCGATCACCGTGAAATGTAGCCAGAAGTGCTGTCTTGCTGCCGCATTCGTCCGTCGAGCAATCTTCCTGACCGTTGTCACTCCCTTCACGCTGCATATAGGCTGGCGGACCTTCGTGCGGCTAAGGATAGACTAATACCGAACCGGCAGTCAAGCTGTTGGGATTCTCGTCCGTGCATCACACAGTGCGTCGGGCGAGCTTAGGAGGAATTTCTGTGTATATACCGCCGCAGTGATCCCCTCAGCGCCAGCTGATCTGACCGTTCTCGCGCCTTCTTCGCTTCCCTCCTTCTCAACATAGACCAGCGCTGCGATTGGCACTTCTCTTCTGCTGCCACGCAACACCATCCATTACAACCCTCCCTTAATAGAATCAACGCGGAGGACTTGAGAGATCGGACAGCTACCGCCCCACAAAGCTGTCCCCCTGACGATTGTCTTTTCTGGGAACCCCTCAAGCTGAACTCAGGCTGACACCGCCGCTCCTTTTCTGAGGTCAGAGCCGCAGCTGCATGACCCTTACATCGCGCTTCCTTCTGTGCTCTGCAAACTATCATTAAACCAGCGCTCTGAGACTTCTACAAACCACTGCGAACATGGCCGACGCAGTGGGCGGAGCGCCCAAGGTCAATGGCGTGAAGACGAACGGGGCCAATGGCTACCCCAGCAGTTACTCGGCCAAGTACCAATTGGCGTCTCACTTCATCGGTGGCAATGAGCTTTCCAAGGCTGCCCCGAGCAAAGTGAAGGACTTCGTGGCCGCTCATGACGGCCACACTGTAATTTCAAGTGTGAGTGAAGCGGCGGCAGAGAAGCTCGAATCGCGCGTGCGGTGATTGGAAGCGGGACTGACAAGCATGCAGGTCTTGATTGCGAACAACGGTATCGCCGCAGTCAAGGAGATTCGATCGGTTCGGAAATGGGCATACGAGACCTTTGGCGACGAGCGGGCCATCCAGTTCACTGTGATGGCCACGCCAGAGGATTTGGCGGCAAACGCCGACTATATCCGTATGGCTGACCAGTATGTCGAGGTGCCCGGTGGCACCAACAACAACAACTACGCCAACGTGGAGCTCATCGTGGACGTGGCCGAGCGGATGAACGTCCACGCTGTGTGGGCAGGATGGTGAGACATCGATGCTGCCAGTCCTCGAATGTGCTGAGCTGATGAAATTATTCAGGGGTCACGCATCCGAAAACCCGAAACTCCCAGAATCTTTGGCAGCGTCGCCGAAGAGGATCATCTTCATTGGCCCGCCTGGCTCAGCCATGCGATCGCTTGGTGACAAGATTTCTTCTACGATTGTCGCACAGCACGCCGGTGTGCCTTGCATTCCGTGGTCCGGTACCGGCGTTGATGAGGTCGCTGTTGACGACAAGGGTATCGTCACTGTCGAGGACGATGTCTACGACAAGGGCTGCGTCCACTCCGTCCAGGAAGGTCTGGAGGCTGCTCGCAAAATCGGCTTCCCCGTCATGGTCAAGGCCTCCGAAGGTGGTGGTGGCAAGGGTATCCGCAAGGTGGATAACGAGGACAACTTCGAGCAGCTGTACAAGGCTGCGGCAAGCGAGATCCCGGGTTCGCCAATCTTTATCATGAAGCTCGCTGGCCAAGCACGGCATTTGGAAGTCCAGCTGCTGGCTGACCAGTACGGCAACAACATCTCCATCTTTGGCCGTGATTGTTCCGTCCAGCGAAGACATCAAAAGATCATTGAAGAGGCACCGGTCACGATTGCCAGCCAGAAGACCTTCCAGTCTATGGCTGACGCTGCTGTCTCGCTCGGACGATTGGTCGGTTACGTGTCCGCCGGTACCGTCGAATACCTATACTCGCACTCCGACGACAAGTTCTACTTCCTCGAGCTGAACCCGCGTCTCCAGGTCGAGCATCCCACTACGGAGATGGTGTCAGGCGTCAACATTCCGGCTGCTCAGCTGATGGTTGCTATGGGTATCCCTCTCCACCGCATCCGTGACATTCGGTTGCTCTACGGTGCGGACCCGCACACTGCCAGCGAGATCGACTTCAACTTCTCCAAGGAAGACACTTCTCTCAAGCAGCGCCGGCCGCAACCGAAGGGTCACTGCACAGCCTGCCGTATCACCTCCGAAGATCCTGGTGAAGGCTTCAAGCCCTCCTCTGGTACCATGCACGAGTTGAACTTCAGGTCATCCAGCAATGTCTGGGGTTACTTCTCCGTCGGTGCCGCCTCCTCGATCCACAACTTCTCCGACTCGCAGTTCGGCCACATCTTTGCGTATGGCGAGAACAGACAAGCGTCGCGGAAGCACATGGTCGTCGCGCTGAAAGAGCTGAGCATTCGTGGTGACTTCAGGACAACCGTGGAGTACCTCATCAAGCTGTTGGAGACACCGGCTTTCGAGGACAACACCATCACGACCGGCTGGCTTGATGAGCTGATCAGCAAGAAGTTGACGGCTGAGCGACCAGACCCCATGGTCGCTGTCATCTGTGGTGCCCTCACCAAGGCCCACATGGCCAGCGAGCAGTGCATCACCGAGTACCGCGTTGGCCTTGAGAAGGGTCAAACGCCAAGCAAGGATATCTTGAAGACTGTCTTCCCCATCGAGTTCATCTACGAAGGCCAGAAGTACAAGTTCACCGCCACGCGCTCCAGCTCCGACAGCTACACCCTCTTCATCAACGGCAGCAAGGCTCTTGTTGGCATCCGGCCGCTCACAGACGGCGGTCTGCTGATCCTTCTTGGTGGACGCTCGCACAGCGTCTATTGGAAGGAGGAGGTTGGTGCCATCCGCATGTCCGTGGATGGCAAGACGTGCCTGCTTGAGCAAGAGAACGACCCGACTCAGCTCCGCACGCCGTCTCCAGGTAAGCTTGTCAAGTACACTGTCGAGAACGGTGAGCACGTGAAGAAGGGTCAGGCCTTCGCCGAAGTTGAGGTCATGAAGATGTACATGCCTCTCCTCGCGCAAGAAGATGGTCTGGTCAACCTCATCAAGCAGCCGGGTGCGACTCTCGAGGCCGGTGACACCATCGGTATACTCGCACTTGACGACCCGTCGAAGGTCAAGTCTGCGCAGCCCTTCCTTGGCCAGCTTCCAGAGTTTGGCCACCCGACCGTGCTCGGTAACAAGCCGCCACAGCGATTCGCCTACCTCTTCAGCGTTCTCCAGCACATCCTCCAGGGTTATGACAACCAAGTCATCATGGCCTCGACGCTCAAGGATCTCATCGCAGTCCTGCGCGACCCCGAGCTCCCCTACGGAGAGTGGAACGCCCAGGCGTCTGCGCTGCATTCTCGTATGCCGCAGAAGCTTGACACTCTTTTCGAAGAGACCATCAAGCGCGCCCACGGCCGCCAGGCCGAGTTCCCGGCGAAGCAGCTGCAAAGAGCGTTTGACAAGTTCTTGCAGGAGAATGTTTCGCGCGGTGACGCTGACCTACTCCGCACGACCTTGGCTCCTCTCATGCAGATCATGACCAAATACAACGATGGCTTGAAGGCGCACGAGTTCGGAGTTATGAACATGCTCTTCGAGCAGTACGTGGCCGTGGAGAGCATCTTCTCCGCCCGCCAGAGCCGTGACGAAGAGGTCATCTTGGCGCTGCGCGATGCGAATAAGGACAAGGTCATCAACGTCGTTCAGACTGTCCTCTCGCACACCCGCGCTAACGCGAAGAACAACCTCATTGTTGCCATCCTTCAAGCATACAGGCCCAACCAGCCAGGCGTCGGCGATGTTGCCAAGTACTTCCGCCCGGCGCTGCAGAAGCTGGCCGAGCTCGAAGGTCGAGCAACCGCCAAGGTTGCGCTCAAGGCTCGTGAGCTGTCTATTCAGTGCGCGATGCCGTCGCTTGAGGAGCGTACCACCCAGATGGAGCACATTCTCCGCTCCGCTGTAATCGAGTCCAAGTACGGCGAGAGCGGCTGGGACCACAGGGAGCCCAACTTCAACGTCATCAAGGAGGTCGTGGATTCGCAGTACACCGTCTTCGACGTGCTGCCGCACTTCTTCGTTCACCAGGATCCGTGGGTGTCGCTTGCAGCGATGGAGGTCTACATTCGCCGCGCCTACCGTGCGTACCAGCTGAAGACGATCGACTACGTGGTCGACGATGATACGCCATACGTGCTGGCTTGGGACTTCGCTCTTAGGAAGGTCGGCGAGTCCGCCTTCGGTCTGCCCATCGAGTCGTCGCATCCATCGACACCAGGCACTCCTGGCGAAGGCATGCAGCGTGTTCACTCCATCAGTGACATGAGCTACCTCAGTCGTCAAACCGGCGCTGGGGAACCAACACGAAAGGGCGCAATCGTTCCGGTCAGCTTCATTGACGAGGCCGATGAGGTCCTCATGAAGGCCCTCGAGACCTTCCCCGACTCTGGCGGGAAAGCCGACAGGAAGGAAGCCCCTGGAGCCTCACTCATGGCGGACCTCTCCCGGAGACGCGCTCCAGGTATTGCCATTGAGCGACCACAGCATGATGATGAGCTTACGAACGTGTGCAACGTTGCCGTCCGGGACACTGAAGGCATGGATGACAAGGAGGTCCTCCAAAGGCTGAACTCCATCGTCGAAGACTACAAGACTGAATTGCTTGCTCGCCGTGTGCGACGTCTGACATTCATCTGTGGTCACCGTGATGGCACCTACCCAGGCTACTTCACATTCCGCGGCCCGACCTATGAGGAAGACCTCAACCTTCGCCACAGCGAACCCGCTCTCGCTTTCCAGCTTGAGCTTGGACGTCTCAGCAACTTCAACATCAAGCCAGTCTTCACTGAGAACCGCAACATCCACATGTACGAGGCCGTCGGCAAGAACGCCGAGAACGACAAGCGCTACTTTGCCCGCGCTGTTGTCAGGCCTGGCCGCCTCCGGGAGGACATCCCGACCGCTGAGTACATGATGAGCGAGGCTGATAGGCTCATGACCGACATCCTGGATGCCATGGAGATTGTTGGCAACAACAACTCCGACATGAACCACATCTTCATCAACTTCGTCGCCGTCTTCCCGCTGCAGCCTAGCGAGATCGAGCAGGCGCTTGCCGGCTTCCTTGACCGCTTCGGTCGCCGTGCCTGGAGACTCCGTGTCACCGGCGCTGAGATCCGCATCATCTGCACGGACTCGAACGGCCAGCCGTACCCGCTCAGAGTGGTCATCACCAACACCTCCGGATACATCATCCAAGTTGAGCTGTATGAGGAGCGGAAGTCCGAGAAGGGCAATGACTGGTTCTTCCACAGCATTGGCGGCACGACCAAGATTGGCTCGATGCATCTTCGCCCAGTGTCTGCGCCATACGAGACCAAGGGTGCCCTTCAGCCCAAGCGCTACAAGGCCCACATCATGGGTACGCAGTACGTCTACGACTTCCCAGAGTTGTTCCGCCAGGCCATCGAGATCAGCTGGAGGACCACCGTCGCACAGCACCCTGGCCTGCAGGACAAGCAGCCAGTGCAGGGTGAGTGCATTGAGTACAGCGAGCTCGTGATTGATGACTCCGACAACCTTGCCGAAGTCAACCGCGAGCCCGGCACCAATACCATTGGTATGATCGGCTGGATTGTGACGGCGAAGACTCCCGAGTACCCGCGTGGCCGCAAGTTCATCATTGTTGCCAACGACATCACCTTCAAGATCGGCTCGTTCGGTCCCCAGGAAGACCGCTTCTTCCATAAGTGCTCCGAGCTTGCCCGCAAGATGGGTATCCCGCGTATCTACTTGTCTGCCAACTCCGGTGCTCGCATTGGCATGGCTGAGGAGCTGATCCCCCACTTCTCCGTGGCATGGAAGGATCCCTCGCGCCCAGAAGCTGGCTTTGACTACCTCTATCTTACTCCCGAGAAGAAGGCGCGCTTCGAGGATGGCTCGCTCAAGCACGTCATCACCAAGGAGGTCAAGGTCAACGGCGAGACCCGCCACATGATCACAACCATTGTCGGTGCTGAGGAGGGTCTTGGTGTGGAGTGTTTGAAGGGCTCTGGTCTCATCGCCGGTGAGACATCGCGTGCTTACGAGGATATTTTCACTATCACGCTTGTCACCTGCCGTTCCGTCGGTATCGGTGCCTACCTCGTTCGCCTCGGCCAGCGTGCCATCCAGATCGAGGGCCAGCCCATCATTCTCACTGGTGCTCCGGCCATCAACAAGCTACTCGGTCGCGAAGTTTACACCAGCAACCTGCAACTTGGTGGCACGCAGATCATGTACAAGAACGGTGTTTCGCACATGACTGCCAACGACGACTTCGAGGGTGTTTCCAAGATCGTGCGATGGATGTCGTTCGTACCGGACAAGAAGGGCAACCCGGTCCCCATCTCGCCATCTGTGGACACCTGGGATCGCGACGTCACTTTTATGCCGGTGCAGAAGGTGCCATACGATGTTCGCCACCTCATTGCTGGTCAGGAAACCGACAGCGGCTTCTTGTCTGGTCTCTTTGACAAGAACTCGTTCGAGGAGGCGCTCGGCGGCTGGGCTCGCACCGTTGTCGTCGGTCGTGCCCGCCTTGGCGGCATTCCCGTGGGTGTGATCGGTGTCGAGACTCGCTCTGTCGAGAACGTCTCGCCTGCCGACCCTGCCAACCCCGACTCAATCGAGCAGGTTACCAACGAGGCTGGTGGTGTCTGGTACCCCAACAGTGCCTTCAAGACCGCTCAGGCCATCCGTGACTTCAACAACGGTGAGCAGCTTCCGCTCATGATCCTCGCCAACTGGCGTGGTTTCTCTGGCGGTCAACGTGACATGTACAACGAGGTTTTGAAGTACGGTTCGTACATTGTTGATGCGCTCGTCAAGTACGAGCAACCCATCTTCGTGTACATCCCGCCGTTTGGTGAGCTGCGTGGTGGTTCATGGGTAAGTCAAATCAACATGGTACATTGAGAACCCTGAAGACTAACATATCTGCAGGTCGTCGTCGACCCCACTATCAACCCGCAAATGATGGAGATGTACGCTGACGAGGACGCTCGTGGTGGTGTTCTCGAGCCGGAGGGTATCGTTGGCATCAAGTACCGCAAGGAACGTCAACTCGAGACCATGGCTCGCCTGGATCAAACGTACGGTGAACTCAAGCGCCGCTCGTTGGAGAAGGGCATCAGCGCCGAGGAAGCCACTGAGATCAAGAACAAGATGACGGAGCGCGAGCACTTGCTCCTGCCGGTCTATCTGCAGATTTCTCTGCAATACGCTGACCTCCATGACCGAGCTGGCCGCATGAAGGCGAAGGACACCATCCGCATGCCTCTGCAGTGGATCAACGCCCGCCGCTTCTTCTACTGGCGTCTTCGCCGCCGCTTGAACGAGGAGTACGTCCTCAAGCGCATGGCGGCTTCGCAGTCCAAGGAGCTGCAGAGCCGGGCTGGCAGCCTCAAGACGCTTGAGGCATGGTCAAGCCTGCCGCACTTCGGCACCGATGACATGAACGTGGCGATGTGGTACGAGGAGAACAGGAAGACCATCCACGATAAGATTGAAAACATGAAAACAGATGCTGTGGCTTACGATGTCGCTTCGCTTATGCGCAGCAACAAGTCGGGCGGTCTGAAGGGTGTGGCGCAGGTGCTGAGCATGCTCCCGGTCGCGGAGAAGGAAGAGGTGCTCAAGTGGTTGTCGAAGGCATAGAAAGACAATATAAGGGGTGGACGCATTGCTGGTTGAAACAGTACGGAGTGTAATTGGCATGTACATTGCGGAGGCGCTTGTGCTTGGGATGGGATTACTGCAGGTGTTTGTGCTCGTTGGGTTATGGGTATGAAATAGATAAAGCGTATCTCGTTGCACACTTCAGTCACTTTCCTGGACGAATAATATTCTCACTTCACGACAGATGTGCCATTCACTTTCGGAAGCTGAACACCAAATTCAGCTTCCTCGTTATGAAATAAGCTTGCTGCATCCCAACAACAAGGACATTCATTCGAGCCTCGCTCGCATCATCCGCAGTGATCTGGTTGTGCTAGGCTTCCCAACACCAATCCCCTCCCAATGCTCTTGTGGTGGCACTGGAGCCCGCGCTCGTCGTGATGGCGGGCATGAGATCTACGATGGGTGTTCACAAGGGCTTGTGAACGCGAGTCTGTTCCTGCCACGCCGTAACCGTGGGAGCACTCCACTAATGTGACTTCGCAGGTCGTTTGAAACCCAAGAGTTTGCGGATCTCACGGTGACATGCGCCGATCGTAGCTTCAAAGTGCACAAGGCCGTTATCGGCACCCCAGTACGAGTTCTTCTACAAGGCATGCGGTGGGGCGTGCAGTACCCTTTGGCAGCGGGAAAGCCATCAACTGACAACGCGCAGGAAGCGTCATCCAACACGAGCACTCTCCATGACGACGATCCCGACACCGTCGAGTATCTGCTACGTGCTGTCTACGGCATTGGACTACACGCTGGATCAAGACACTTCGGACACTAGAAGGTCAGGCCTCGTTCACGACGTGCTTATGTTCTTCGTCGCCGGAAAGTATCTTGTGCGGCTATTGCAAGACCTTGCAGCGTCGCGCTCTGAGGATTGTGTCGCAGACGACTGACATACGAATGCCTTCCGCGTCGCCATCGAGGTCTTATACTCCAACGGCGCCGAGGCCGGCACTGCTCTCAAGATGATTGTCATTGACACGGTGGCGTAGCAGTCTACGGAGTTGATTAAAACAGCGGTCCGGACGACCACTTTAAGCGGGCAATGCGCGGAGTGCCTTCTCTGGGTAGGGACGTTGTCGGAACCCTGGCAAGTGGGAATCGGTTACCTTGCACTTTGTTTGGCGATGAGGAACACATAAGCGACTTCAATTGGTACCGACGTCCAGGGAAACCACTGCATCGAGAATGATGTCCGTGCTGTCCTTGGTGTACGCAAAACTGTTGACAATGGACTTGATCATTCTGTTTCCTCGTAACATTTCGGAGCAGGAGAACCAGGATGTGTGAAATTACACATGCTTAGCCGATCTGCTTAGTACATTGTACCTAGCAAGCCCGGCATCGGGTGTGGATGAAGAGAGGAAGCTGGCCGAGGGCGATCGCTCCGCCCTTGAGAAGGCTATTGCGTAAGCGAGGCGACGCATGTTCCTGAGCGACGTGCATTCCCGCAGTCAAAGATGCATCACAGCCAGACGCATGTTGGAAGTCGTAGATAATGGAAGCTGTGCATTGATCATCTAGTAGCACAGATGTAAAGTCCACATATCTACGAGACTGCGGTGATATGCCAAGGCCGCAATGGCGCACGGTCCCCATCTCCTTTGGGTCAACTTTTTGAACGAAGGTATGCATGCAGCAAACGATTGCATTGAGCAACACCTCCACTCCCCCGAACGACCGCAACATGGCACCGCGGATCACTGCTGCAGGCCTTACGCCGTCAATATGCTCGACATGCCTGCGTCCGCTGTCCCAGACGCAGTCGACAGCCCGCCAATTCCACGCCTCCACCCGCAATGAAACTCGCCTTCGCCGTGATATGTGGAGATGGCTCAATGGGCCCGGCAAAGTCTTCCGCAAAGCTTTACCAGGCAGCACGAACTACATGAACGCGTACGACAAGCAAGGTAATTTGCTACGCACCAGAAACGCTGGCAGAGAGGCTGGCTCAAGGCGGAACAAGCCCGAGGAGGAGACACTGGAGGAGGATGAGGAGACAGCAGCTCGAAGGGACCTTGAGAATCCGGATCTGACGGACGAGGAGCGTGAGGTCCGCGCCGAGGAGCGAGAGATACGGAGGGCGACGAAGGAAGCACGTGACGAAGAATCAGACGCACGCGGCGGCATACCGAAGGAGCGGCGAAGTGACATGCGGCCGTATCCGCTCAACGATCAGTTCTCGAGTCAGGCGGTGCTGTCGGAAGAGTTACGGGAGGAGCTGTACACGCAAGTGGCCGTCTACAAGCACGACATCTCCAGCGTCGCCGCAAGCTTCAGCGTCGATATCAGACGGGTGGCGGCGGTGGTCAGGTTGAAGACGATTGAGAAGCAATGGGTAGCTGAGGTGAGTACACGTTGGTTGTGCGATGCCTGTTCTGATGATTCCGATTCAACAATTCGATTAGTCTTGAAGACCAACACATGGTTACACACGATTGCATTGCGAGCCTCTCTGACCTTGCATAAAATATTGCAACTTAATTCACACCACGCGATGTTGTTGTGTGGCTAACGGCATCTGCGCAGGGCAAACGGCTTGCGAAACCGTACTCCGAAGCCGTACTCGCTATGCTTCCCACCACTCCCTTCCGGCCAAACACGGCAAACCCTGTGACACCACATGAACCCATCAACGACATCGAAGTACACGCGCACACGCGGCCTCAGATCTTCTGGCCTGCATCCGAGAGCCGACAGTTCACTCGTGAAGACGCCGCGAAAGTCTTCGACTCCAAACTGCTTCCCGCGGACAAGCGCATCCCGCTCCCTATGCTGGTAGACTTGGAGCGGTGGAAGCTGGAGGGCTTGGATAGGCAGGAGAGAACGAAGAAACAAATCGAGGCTGACGACAAAGCAAGGAGGGAAGAGGATGAGAAGGTGAGGAAGAGAACGGAGTGGCAGGCGAGGACGCAGAGGGTTGTACAGGGTCGGAGGTGGGATTTCAAATTCCAGGATATTAGCGCGGAGAAGGTGGGTAAAGATGGTAGAGGCAAAGATGCAGTGGGCTATCGGTATGGCATGCCACATGAGGATCGCAAGAGAGGCATGCTCAAGATCCCTACGAGTGTCGAATAGTGTGCAACTAGCGACTTACAGCTTGATCGAAGGCGCGACGCGTGGTCGACTTGCGACTGCTGCGAACCATGGCCCAAGACAGTACTTTCCGCCGCAACGACGGAGCCATGCAGCTTCCGCACTAAAGGACGGTGCGGCAAGCGATACACAACTCGCCTGCCGAAAACGCAATGTAAATACCTCTATTGCGATTGCCAGCGATGGCGATATGACAATCGGGCATCATCTGCAGTGCTGCGAGCTTACCTTATTTCACCTTCAACATTGCATGCAACATCTTGCATCTTAGGGAAAAGCCTTCCAACCCAGCATCAGAAACACCGTGGATGTACATCGTCAATCCCACCCGGACCGGATTCCACTCCCAGCATGCTTTCCCGCTCAAACAGCATCGCGGGCGACCGTCTTCGTCGCGCTAAATCAAGCTCTTCGCATCACACGACACACTCCGGCCATCATCGCGCCTCTATATCAACCGACCCGTTCGTGACTCGTCACCAAGCCGAAGCTGCAGCGGTCGAAGCGTACAACCGGGCAACCATGCAGAACGAAGCAAAATGTGGTGCTTCGAAGCCACGCATTGAGCGCCGCCGCACCCACACGACTGGTCGTGTTGAGGGCAGCCATCTCGAGGATGCCAGGCTTGGACGGAGGAGGTCTACTTCCACTCGTGGAGAGCCTAGGGCGCCATCATCGTTGGCAGTGTCCAGGGTAAGGCCTCCTGCTGTGAGTGAGAATGATGCGCAAGGCAGTGGAGAGGAAAGGGTGATTACGCGAAAGCGGTCTGTTATACCGCCTTCTTCGGCTGTAAGTCAATCACAGCGAAATGGCCTTGCTGCGCTGGCGACCGGTCATCGTGTCCGGTGCCCGCAGCCTGGTTATGCTGATGGCAGTCCAACACCGCGGCGTCCGCCTGCTCTGACGCAGCGGAACTCTTCACTTCAGCTCAGCAACGCCGTGGCCGAGATCCATGGTACTAGCTACGGTGGCAACTCTAGCCCTCGGCACTTTGCCGAACCGAAAGCGTCCGCCTTCCAGACATATGCGACAGCCAAGCACTCCATCCGCGAGACGCAGACAGCTGACCAGATCCTGGCCTATGCAAGAGACGAATGTCTCCGCGACTTCCAACAGAAGAAAGTCCGTGAGCGGAAGTCCTTCATACTCGCACCATTCCAGAAGCGAATGAATACACCTTTCTCGAAGGCGCAAGATAAGAAGTACGATGATTCGCTGCCTCCGTTCAACTATGCTGGAGACTCAACAATGACACCACCGGCCCCTGAAGTCGATCTGGCTTCGCCAGATCCGCTGCCGTTTCTCCAGCCGCACGACAGGAAGTCACCCAACTTTTCCGAATCGCTCAGAGGTCGCATCAAGAAGGCGTTTCGCAAGGCGTCGAAAGCCCCTCCAGCTCTTCCACCTCAGCATGTCCAGGCGAAGCAGTACCACTACCCTACCGACTTCTCGTTCAGCGCGACACCCGCGGCGATGGAGCATGAGAGCGACCCCTTCGAGTCGTTCACAAAGGAGATCGCACCCGAAAGTGAGACGGGAAGTGGTAACAGCAGGGCCAGCGCAGGGTCAACCGCAGACAAGTCGAGGGTTACCAGCTGGACCAACTCCACGGCAGCTGGAACATGCACGTCGCGTCTACCGGCTGAACGACCTTCTGTTCTGGAGCACGAGGTCACGCTTGATGGGAACAGCAGAACATCTACTTTGCGCAAAGCGAAGTCCTTCTTCGGCAGACCGGTACAGAACAAACTACAACGTTCAAGCCGTGCAGAGTTGAAGAGCTCAGAGGACAGTCAAGGCTTGTACTCCGCGCTCCAGAAACGTATCAAACCCGTTATTTCAGCACGGTCGGCCAGTGGGTCAAGTGACCATGGGAGCGTTCAGCACCCAAGGGTACCATCAGCGCTTGCGTCTTTGCCGTCTCAGACAAGGGATCGCGAGCCGAATCCGACCGATAATGGACGCAACACAGCCACCATGAGGACGGTAACGCCCGACCCTGCAGCCTACAGGGTGGGCATCTGCTCGCCAGTGCCAGAGGTGGGAAGTCCGTTTGAATCTGGAATGACAACGGCGCATGACAGCGCCCACCACGATGTCCAGTTGCCGGCAAGCGTCACGATCCAGCGTCGCCGTGCCAACAAGGCTCCGGCTCCTTCCGCCGATCAACTACAGCGTCGAATGGAGAAGTCAAGGAATCGATGGAAAGGACCGCTTGACGAGCTGTCTCCGCGCCCAGACAGGGCGGCCGTGGAGGAGAACCTGTATGAGCTGCGCTCGCTAAGCCACACTCACCAGCAGGCGGAGATCAAAAGCGACCTACCACACCCTGCAAAAGTGGGCCAGCAAGATCAGGGTTCGAGGGCGGCGATACTATCACCGAGCTTGTATTCTCGTGGCACAGATGGTGCGTCGCCGAGACCAGTCACGCCAGCCGAGCAGAGTAGCATGAGCGTGACTATCACCGGCCGAGAAGTGAAGAGTTACGCTATCTCTCCGCCGAAGGAGGCTGAATCTGAGCAACCGGCTCAGACGAGCGGGCAGTGGCGTCGATGGCTGTCGGATGAGTTAGATGGGTTCAAGCTTGCTCAGGAGGACTTTACCCTCACTCGAGCGTTTCTGCAGGAAGGCTCGAGACGTTCGTCGCAGCAGGGCGGGACAGCTCATGATGCGCCAAGACTTACGTCTGCCTCGCCTCTGGTGGATGCCCGCCCCCCATCTGCTGCAACGCCCGCTAGGCCACATTCGGGCGGAACTGGCCGCATGAGAGCGAGTAGCAGGCGCTGGAGCTTCATGAATGAGCGGTTTCCGATGCTGGATACCAGTCGCAAGTCGAGCGATCAGAGCGTGAGCAACCGGCGAGTGCCATCGCGTAGTGGCGAGCATGTCGTTGTTGGCCGAGCTTCTATTGCGCGAATGGAGACTACGCCAGCAACTTGCAATGCTGCTAGTGTGCAAGGTGGTATCGCGGAGGTCTTCATGAGCGGTGGACTGCCCTCACAACAAGGCAACGCGAAGGAAGCCACATTGGTGACAGTGGCTGCTGATGAACGGCCAAAGATGTCAGCAAGGCGGAAGTCCGCTTTTGAACTTCGAGCGAACGTCAAGGATACCTCGACCGGCCGATCGACACCAATAGAGATACGACGTAAACCCATCCATGACAACATCAATCTGTTAGAGGACAACACCATCCGCAACATCTCAGCCGGCCCCTACGCCTCACAGCCTGCCATCACACGAGCGTCAACTGCGCGGCAAGACAACAACGAGAACACGCCGCCACCCGGGCTACCTGCTGTCTCCAGCTCAGAGTGGCTGGCGGCAGGTACGTATAAAGCGCGCAAGACGTCTGCTGCTGTGCATCCGACGCACACGAGTAGATCCGTCTCGCGGTATTCGCCGGCGAGGACAGTTGAACCGGGCGAGAAGGGTGCTAATGGCAAGGGAAGTCCGGCGCAGAGGATGGCGAGTGAGTGGTTGACGAGGAGGAGCAGAGAGTCTACGCCGGCTTTTGTTTGAGCGTGGTAAACGATCGGAGCAGCACCACAACCTCAAGGTGACACGTACCGAACGGGGACGCACTGTCGATACGGCGGGCACCCGAACAGTGTCGGGACGCATATTCGGGTGCCCTCAGGTGACGGCTATGCTCAGCATTGATTCACTATTGGTGTAGGCTAGAGTGAGTGGCGCAATTACTCGGAGAAGGTACATCATTTAGCTGCATTTTGTCATGGCACCCTTCAGCACCTTTGATTCGCTTTACGAGCGGCTTTAGTTCGCTTTTCAATCCGATTAGCATATTAGCGTGCCATCTTGACTCCACCTTCGCCATGGACGGGCATGGCGTCAATGCCGTGCCGACCACCGGTGCAATCTTGTTTACTAAAGCTTGCCTAAGCAACTCTCGAGTCGGTGGGAACACAACAACCGCTTCAGTGGCTAGCCTCGTAACGATTCCGCCTCTCGGTACCGTGGAACGCCCGTTGACGGATTATATGCCATAAGCCATTTGATAAGCCAGCAACAACCTTTCCACAGCTGCTGCAGGTCTGCTGCCGAAGTAGGGTATAAACATTTCCCATCTGCCGCTCCGTGACATGGCCGCCGCCCCACTGAAGCCATTGACCAGACTACTACCGCGAGTGCGCCCAGTACTCGCTACAACAAAGCCTCCACTCGGCCCACTTTGCACACCATTTCCTTCAGTCCATCGTACTGCTTCTCCAACTCCCATACCATTTCGTAGCTTCACAGCAACAGCAACCGCCAACATGACGCACGACACGATGCCCTTCGTCGAGGCCGTCAAGGTGAATACTCGAGTCAAATGGCAGATCCCGGGTGCTCGTATTGACACTTCGTTAGCACCGCCGCACTATCTACACGCTCAACAAGACGGCACCGGTCGACGACAAGAAGATCGAGGAGATCGCACGCACTGCCATCAAGGATGTGCCTTCCTCGTTCAACTCGCAGTCCGCGCGCATGGTGGTGTTGCTCAAGGACCAGCACGACAAGTTCTGGGACATCGTGAGGGACATCCTCAAGGTTCATGTACCGGAGGACAAGTGGGAGCACACCGGCAACCGCATCCAGGGCTTCCACAACGCGTACGGCACGGTATGACCGACTGTCCTCTTACACGTTACCTTTGATCCTCCCAACTGACAGCCCACTGTGTATAGATCCTCTTCTACGAGGCGCCAGAGCCAATCAAGAAGCTCCAATCGACCTTCCCTCAATACGCCGACAAGTTCCCACAATGGTCCGAGCACACCTCCGCCATGCACCAGTACATGATGTGGTGCGCGCTCGAGGCCGAAGGTTTCGGCTGCAACCTCCAGCACTACAACCCGCTACCCGACCAGAAGGCGGCCGCGGAGTGGAACATCCCGCTCGAGTGGCAGTTGAAGGCGCAGCTGGTGTTCGGTGGTGAGGAGCCGGGCTCGCGCGAGAAGCTGCAGACGAAGAGCGAGCAGCCGATTGAGGAGAGGCTGTTCATCCACGGCGCCGCTTAGAAAGCGACAATTGCGCCGAGAAGGCGTTGAAATAGGCCGCCTTACGGTGACATAAGTGAGCGCAGATATCAATTTCTAGCAGATAGTGTGATGACCAACGACCACATGAGAGCTGTGCGTTATCATGCGTTTCGAGACCTTTGTACTTACCACCGAATGGCTGCAAAAGAGTGGCGTGACCTAGCCTTGGCGCCTTGTATACTTCGACGTATCGATCGACCCTACATGTACATACCATCTTTGAGGGAACAAACTCACATGGTTAAAGCAATATTTGACGCTTGCGGCATCGCTGAAGCACGAGATATTTGCGTTGGTGATTGGATATGACAATCGTTGCGACACCTCACCTCCAACACGTCAAAAAGTGATTGTTACCGAGCGTTGTGTCAACCCGCATAGGTAACCTTTCAAGGCAACAGCATTTCAGACATGGTAGTTTTGGCTACGGTCAGAGTCTTCCTATACGGTTACCAACTTCATATGAGAGTACATCATCCAACATGAACGCTTACTCCTTCCTCCGTTTCGATCGAATGAAGGTCCAGCCACCGACACAGACCAACTCCGTGAAGAACTTCCCACCAGACGTAGTCAGGCAGGATGCCGAGAGTACGCGTATCGTGGTGCACACCCGATATCCGCGGCTGGTCGACGAGTTTTTACAGTACAAGCGCGCTCACGGCTCTTCACACGAGAAGCAACTCTATGGAACCTCCGCAAAAGACTTCACATGGCAGGACGAGGTCAGCAGACTGATCTCCAAACGTCCGCTCGTGTTCATGGGACGGGATGATTTCACCATTCTCCGGGACGGCACCAGGATGACTGGGGACTGCACTGCCGAATGGGACCGCAACGGGATGGAAGTCCAACATCTGAACCGATACCTCACCATTGACGAGTATCTCAGTTATGACGAGATTATGTTAGGCTCGCTGCTCGGCGTGAGCGGTCCTTCATACTTTATCAACGATGGAAACCGCTACAACCGCGGACGACCGGGTGCGCCAGGCACGTTCGAGCAACGTGGTATCATCGTTGGCCTCGTGGGCGCACGTTTTGAACGTCCTGATCGTATGGACAGCGCGTTCATACTCCGGTCAACAGGGCATGCTCGCATGGAGTCTGAGCCTCGCCTACTCTTCGAGGACTTCCTGGGCGTACGAAGAATTCCCGGTAACCTAGACTTCGATGAAAGTTTGTACAAAGCGAGAATGCGCATAACGATTGACGTCCTGCTTCTGGAGGCAAACGCACGGGCCAAAGAAGCGGACAAGAATGCCTATGTCTATGTTGTAGGCCTCGGACTTGGAGTGTGGGAGGTTAACCAGAGACAAGCGGAGTATTACGTCGAAGCCTTCGCCACCGCGCTGTCCAAGCTGGAGCTCGCACACGTGGGCACGCTGGAGTTTGCCTGGATTGGAGTTACGAACGAATGCCAACAGCTGATCAGGAATGTTGCGGAATCCCGCAGTATCAGAGTTACTTTCAGCAAGCGCAACCCCGCCGAAAAGTTACAAATTGATGAGCTGCTCGTGTTGTCATATGCTTGGGATGGCAATGCGTTTCCGGGGAACGAGTACTGGGCGGGCTCGCTTGCGGGCAGCGGCGATCCGGCGGCAGCTTGCATGAGTACAATAGCAGAGCTGCACAATCCGCTCGTTAATCCGCTGTTTTTGAACCGCATACGGGTGCTCGGTGCTGTATGATCAAGACGCTGCAGCGCCTTTGCACTGGACGCACCCTCAACGATAATATTGTCAATGCTGTTCAAGCGGTCTGGGCCAAAGCAGCCTGCGCCAGTTGCCCGAATGTCTGATGGTCAGTAACCCGTTCCCACAGATTGGGCTGAGTGAAAACAGCAAGCGTATTTCGGGCGATTTTGGCTGCCTTCTCCGGTGCCGCTCCACGCACCAGATGCGGTACGGCCTTGAATCTGCCTCTTGTAATGAGCTCTAAAGCGGTCCCAGTTTGGAAAGCGAGGCAATCGCGCGGTATGTGGACCTGCGTGGTCCGGCCGGACCGATCCTTGATCCATAGTCCTGCTTCACTATCCGGGTGGCTGTCGAGTTCAGGTAACGGCGGACAATGGCCGCTGCTGTCCGCTTTGGCGAGAGGACGGTGAGCGGCTTCATCAACGAACATGGCTGCAGTGAGACCTGTCAAAGCGCCAAGATCGGAATGAGTGGCGCACCAGTCATCGTCGAGACTTACGGCTGAGTCCGGTCGCCCTTCTACAGCTCTGGGAGGTGGTGGGAAATAGTGGAGAAGTCTTGCTTTCGTGGACACGCTGCTGCGTACAATATGCTCGAGCGTGCCGTCTTCGTACCCATCTAGCTTGGCCTTGCCGTACCTGTCACAGTTACGAGCCACTAACGCGGCGGTGTCAACGATAAGCAAGCAAAGCTTCTCGAATGACGCTTTGAAACCCGGCAGAACGCTGTCAGAAGGATAGACGTTTGGGCTTGTCAGTTCCAGACAATCCGGATATAGGCTGCTAGCCTTCTCTTCGAGCTCATCGTCAGATACGGGCTGGGCGTAGAATGAGCCTTTCAGCGTGTCGTAGCGACCATTAGCAAGAGTCTCTTTACCACAACTCCAGCCGACATTGTATCTCGTCTCAGGTCTTTCAAGCTTGGCTTGGATTGTTCAGCATTCATACTGGATTAGAGTACTCTCGTAGCATTGCCTACCAAGTTCCGAAGTCGGCAAATTAGCGAGATAGGACGAGTTGCTCAATACGCTATGCCGAAGAGTCGCATACTCCGTTGGCAAGTCGCGGACGACTATGATGCCTAGCGAGGCTGGCCCAAAAGCTTGTTCGAGCGTGTCAAGCGGCACCGTACCGCCCCTGAGGTCATTCGCACTGACTGTGACAACCGATGACATCCCAAATTCTCAGTCTGAACATATGCGTTAAGTCAGCATCATGTGCAAACCGACCACGATGCAATGCCATCTAGACGCTAAACGCTAGCGTCTTTGGGCGCTCGTGACAGGTCACATGACTGTATTTCCTCAAACTGCGCCCCATGTACCGGATATCAAGCCACGTACAATATCGCTGGTACAATTGTTACCTTGCAACAGCATGCTACTACCGGCGTCAACTTTTCGTATATGCTTTTGGTACTCGATACCTGCACCTGCGCAAGGATGAGCTAAGGAGTAGCTCATGAGCATTCGCCTGTTACGGTGAGGTTATTCTCTTTGTCACACCCAATAGATTGATCCCCCATTTTCGGCTACATTACAGCTATTATGAAGCCTCAACAAAATCTGCAGATGACCATTTTGATTGCTGCAAAGTGTTGTGTGAGCTTCCTCAGGCATTGAGACGGGCAATGAGGACGCTAAACTGTCAAAGGTACCTTCCTCGGTGCATGCTGGGCTTTCACATTCGTCTTCCTTAGGCTTGGGCCTGAGGTGTTCCCCGATGAGAAGGCCGAGCAAGGAGCTACTGTGCAAGCTAATGAGCAGAGACCGTGGGTTTGACGCAGACGGGAAGGAAAGCCAAGGCTTACGCTCTATCCGCACCCGGTGAGGTCTAGCAGCAATGAAGTTGCGTCTTCGTGTCCATCAAGAACGTCCTAAGTACTACTTCACAGACTGAACCGGAAATTCTGGTTCTCCGAGTCGGTGCGGTCCTTGAACCCGTCTAGGATCGCTTGCTCTTCGGCGTCGCGAATGGTCTCCTCGTTGCTACCCAACAGTCTGTCTCTTCTGCGGTTCTCCCAAACCATGTACGCCCAGAGAAAGCCACCCAGCAGAATCGTTGCGCAGTAGCAGACTATCATGCCGGTAAGCGCCGAGAAGTACCGGGGTGCCTGTCGGGTGTCGAAGATATTGCTGCCTACGATGTTGCCCGCCGCGTAGAACACAAACCAAAGGCCATTGCTAACGCTGCGTTTGGTGTGTCCCGCAATATTAGTACTGAGCAGATTCCAACAGAGGATGATCGGCGCCCCTACGATCCCCTGCAGCCAACTTGAGCCCACGAGGCTCCAGCGATGCTTTAGGGACGTCAGTCGTATGCCTAGCAGTCCGCCCAGTGGAATCAGACAGACAGTCATCAGTGTCAGGCAGCGAACGTCCTTGATGTATGTTGCCACCAAGCCACAAGTCGGGACGATCAAGAACTCGATGACGCCGTTAGGAAGCTGCAGCAAAGTCGAGTTGAGGGAAGAGAAGCCAAAGCCGCGGATAAGGCTGCTACCGAAGTTGGACACTCCGCCGTTGATTACGCCGGTAGCCATGCCGATGAGGACAAGGATCCAGACTTTGACGTCCAACAAGGCCTCAACTACTTGCTTCGGCTTGTACTGCTTAGTCTTGACCCCTACCATATTGCCAGAGATGCGATCAACAGCGACTACCTTCTGCTTGTGATTGAGAAACCATGCATTAGTTGCATTGTCGGGCATAAAGAGTAGCTGTGCGGTCGTAAGCTTGCTACACAGGATGATAATCGAAAGGGGAATCTTGGCTTACGAAGACGATGCTCCAAACGAAATTCATGAGGCCAATTACCAGGAAGATCCACTGCCAGGAAACCAAGGCCGTCCCTTTGATATGTCCAAGCCCGTATCCAAGTAAGCTTCCCACCACAGTCGATGCCCCATTGAAGCCCAGAAAGATGCACATGCGTAAAGGCTGCTCAGAACGGGAGTAGAACATGGCAACGATATTCATGATGGAGGGACTGATACCGGCCTCACTGCAGGCCAGCAAATTACAGTCAGCACTACTCCCCGCCAAACTGCTTCCTCATGTCGACTTACCCCATGCCAAGTAAGAAGCGCAAGACCAGAATGCCAGCGTAGTTCTTCGCCGCCACATGGCAACACAGCAACACACTCCAGATGAAGATCATAGTCCCGGTGAGCTTGCCAATGGGCAAACGTTGAATCAGGAAGTTGGCTGGGAGCGCCCAGAAAAGATACCCAAAGTTGAAGATCGCTGCGACCCAAGAGTATCGATGACCTTCCAGTCCGAGATCGGGTATGAAGGTGTAGGCGGAAGCGTAGTTCAGGGAGAGCTTGTCCAGAAACTGGAGGCAATACGTGACGCAGATACTGATAAGAATCGTGAGTGCATACGCTTGAACTGGTTAGGTAGTACCTGCATTGGCATGATGATGCGGTCGAGCTTCTTCCTGACGACTGCTCGTTCCGCTTCGAGTTCCTGTCGGGAGTACTGCCTAGTCTCAAGATACAGATCTGCTGCGACATCTCGTAAACCCTCGGCCTCCTTGGCCTCTATAGTCGTTTCAGCGACGGGAGAGGTCATCGCCTCGCTCCGCTTCACCTCTTCGTCCATCGTGGAAAGATCGTCTTGCACAGGCAAGGAAATGAAGCGTGTGCAACCTGAAGAGCTCGTAACCCCGTGAGAAAAGTATGAGATAGAAGGCGCGGCTAGTTTTATGTAGACATGAGGCGTGGTTGAGATAGCACCTACTCACTGCGGGACTAGTAGCAATGACCCGTAGTCTCCGATGGCTGACCCACTGTTGGAAAGCACTGTACTCGTGGGCTTCGTACGGCCACGAACGAACCGAGTTGTTAGGCGTCGAAGAGCCATAATGCGGTGATAAGGGTCCGTGGCCGGAAGCTTGCCTATCGTGCCGCTTGGCGCTGCGGCTAATGCTGTACTGCAGGGTCTGACTCGACCGATCGAACGACATACATTTGTGCTTCGTAGGCTCAGGGTATCTGGTAAGGCTTCACCACGATGCTGGGTAATAGTTGTGCACATTGCTGCTCCTTCAAGGCCAATGTCTTCACCGTGAGCTTGGTTCGCCTGTTGGGAGTGGAGAATGGTCGGACGTGGCGGGCTTCTCAGATGCGAGTCTATCTCGATGGACACGGGTTACGGCAACGTTCGTTCGTGTCGTGCTCCGTGTCTTGCTCCGCGACGCGACATCGCTAGTCCGTCCAGGACGTGTGGGACATGTCAAAGGAAATGTGACACTTCAGCAATTTCAAGCTTCACACCATATTTCGCTGCAATTGTTGAAGCATCGCTTGCAACATCCTCCTTGCGCCAGTACTCCGCTGCTTGCCAGTCCCATCTTCCAGGGGGTCTGTATCGACCTTTGTATGTTGTAGGTTTGCTGACGAGACGAAGCAGGCTTCCAGCTCGAAGCTTGCCTTTCCGCAAACGCCATAACGCCTTGAATGCAGCCATCTTCATCTCGCCGACTCCAAGCTCTACCACGGGAGATGGCTGAAGCTGCGACACGCCATGAATGATAGCCGCTCTAGCCTTGTCATCATCACCTTGCACGAACATGGTCTGTAAGCCGGACCAGCGGCCCAATGGACCGGACAGTACCTCCTCATAGTTCTTCATGCCGTAAGAGTCTCCACAATTAACAGTCAGATGTGTTACGGAAGGCAGCTTACCATCTGCCCGCAGCTGAGACATTGAGATCAGGTCATCCCGTTCTCGATCCATGTAGTTAACCGCAACATGTTTCAGACTGTCTGCAGAGTTCGAGAGCAGCCACACAAGAGGCGCTTTGGCGACATGAGATTCTACCAACTCGAAATGTTGGAGGGAGAACGGTGGAGCTTCGTTTGGCAGATACAGTGGCGAGTCGGCATGTACGCTGCGTCCCGACCAGCTGGCCTGGTAAAGCGTCAGGCTTCGTAAGTTCGGCGCAGCGAGTAGTAACGGCGTCCAAAAAGCTCCTCCACCAAGGTTGCTCAACACGGCCTCACGCAGACCGGTGAAGTCCTGGCTCAGTCGTGATGGCAAGTGTCGAACGCTCCCAATCAATGCCTTGTCGTTGATATCGGCGAAACGGCGATCAGTGGGACCGTAACAGAACAAGCCTCGAAGCTGCGAGGTCGGAAGCGCTCGCCATACTATCTCCAGATCGACACCTTGCACGTTTCGATCCCAGCTTTCCCCGAGGACCAGTTCTGTAACGCCGCATAATTCGTCGTGCGAGCGATCCAACAGACGCCTATCAAGCTGCTCGGTAAAGTTGATCACAATCACTGATCTGAGTATTGGCTGAGCCAACCGCCTCCAGGTGCGGCAGACAAGGCAGCATGCCAACAGTGTCTTGACACAGTCTTCATCCCTAGCAAAACCATCGTGAGAGTTCTCGCCCGCGGCCTGAATGATCAGCCGGTAGATGTCATCATTGAGACTTACCATGACTGCTGACAGCCAGGTGAGGATGACAATCGATAAGTCTTGTAGATCCAAAAGATACACGGACAGCATCCACGTTGAGAAAGGGAAACTCACACGTTTCGACCCTACGGTCTGCACTGTTGGTGAACATTGCCGAGCAGGCATCAATGAATGAGCGAGCTGGGGGAGAAACAATCATACGCGTATTTCGCGCTAGTGGATGATCAGCCAATCAAAATGCGCATTGACTTTGCAACGTGAAACCGTGACATCGATCTCAATACCGCTGCTTGCAAGGATAGTCGAGCTGGTACCCGAGAGTGAACGCTCGCGTTGAGGGTCTATCAGCTACGCGGTGTTGCAAGGTGGGAATGACATGAGTGCCTCGTTATACCCGGAAAGACCAAGATCAGACGCTTCTAAGAAGGGACTTGCCGCCATACAAGATCATCGTCGACCGTCACATAGGCGACAAGATCTGCGTGAGCGGCAAGGGGAATGCATTCGTAGACTTGGAACAATGAAACGATGTCGCTCTGGGGGCTAGCGTTTGCGAAGGCATGAAGCTTGGCTGCTCCATCCCCCCTGAGATGCATAGAGTAAAAAGCAAGGATCATTTACTTGCCCGCCATGAGGTGCCAGAGAAGGTGCCGATTTGTACATACAACCAAAGTGGCTGCGTGCAGTCCGTCATCTGTCAACCGTACCGTACCGTCTACCCGCTCAACCTGTACCAGGTGGCTCAGAAGCAGACACGCTTCTCGCGCAATCACTTTCCTACCTTGCCAAAGTAAGTAGACCTGGCCGATACGGCTCCAAGTTGTACGAAGAGCTGCTACTGCTCGGATTCCTTCCTTGATAGAGCAACTGCAAGTTGCACGGGTCAACCGTCTGTGTTTGATCCGGATTCGTCCTCACCAAATCACCAGAGCTGATATCATTCGTCCACGTAGCTCCACTGTTTGCCTTGCCAGCGAATGGCGCGCTTTCGGATTTGGCCTGCGGTGTCCATGTCCCGCCGAGACTGGTGGCCGTAAACGACCGGAAATATCGACCGTTAGCTCCAATGCACTCCACGATCATGAGGTAGAGATTTTGGCCTTTAACTGTGTAGACTTCCACGGCTTCAAAAAGGTTGTTGGTGGAGTCGTTCAGTATGATGGTGGAAGCGGAACCGAAACTGCCTAGAAAGTTGCCGATAGGCATGCTGGTGCGGTAGATGTGGCCATTGTCGCCAGCGAAGAAGAGGTACATGTTGGTATTGTCGCCGATCAGAGCTTGGTCGATTGCGCCGGTGCTTGAGCTGCTGATGGTGCCGGTGAAGAGTGGTTGCGGGCTGGACCAACCGTTTGCGTTCGTTGGATTGCTGGATGTGCGGTAGGAGAAGGTGTACGGTCCCCATTGATACGCGAGGACCCAAGTGCTCTTCGGAGCGAAGTAGAACAGTGTAGGCGCTACAGCGGCAAAACTAGTCGCTGTCTGGCTTGCGGTTGCCATTTGGGTCCAGTCAGTGAAGGCACCGAAGACCATGGAGCCGTAGTTTCCCGCACTGTTGACATCAGAGGCGTATACGATGTGCTGTCCGTTGTAGATGGTGCTGGTAAAGTCCTTCAGTGCGATCCAGCCGTTACCAGGCTGAGCTAGCGGTCCAGAAGACGTCCATTTGTAAGTAGTAGGGAGCGCACATGTTTGTCGATCGCCGATCACTGCAGCAAAAGTCAGGGCGGCAGTGCCTAGCAGACCGAAGTAGAGGCGCAAGAGGCCCATGTTGATAGCCTTCCTCAATCAGGAAGAGGAGCGAACGAAGAACGAGGGAGAGCTGTGCAATGAGAGTTGCACAGCTGAGAGCAGGCAAACCTCACGATCTTATACACCACCGTACACATGGTGTTCGGGGCAAGTAGATGTGGCGTCGAAGGTGTGATATGTCCAACTTGCTTCGCGGGTGTAAGCGACCATCGACGGAACGATGAACGAGTGTTTGTAATAGCGAGCGTGTGTCAGGAACAGTACTTCATTTGGCTATCAAGCATAAGACTGTCGAACGTGAATTGTCCGTCCGTAGCGAAGCATAGAGTTGGTCACCGAGAGGGGTCTATTGCTACACTTCGCTACATCAGTAATATATCTGGTACGTCTCACGGTATTTAGCCGGCTATGGAATCAATGTAGTAGCCTTAGCGCATTACTCGTTCCGCTGTTAGTTCTAAGAGCGTATCTTTTGCTGCAGTCTACGTTTTGTGAGACTAGTAGAGGCGATGACCGTTCTGGAAAGGTGCGCGTGCGGTGTCTGCTTGTTATAGCGAGCTCCATGCTGAGGGCGGAGTCGGCATGGCGTAAATCCATGCCAACAGCTTGGAGGAAAGAACCGCACACGTTATGAGGAAGGCTTACCACGACTACCACCATGTAGCTTCGCCAACGCGCCTATGTGTCTGCTTTCAAGTGTACCGTTTGCGGACTCGGGAAAGCTACCAGGGGGTTAAGATTGAGTTGTCGGTGCTTTCTTATCATTGGTGGAACGTCTTTCTACGACGGTCTCTTAGTGCTTGGTTTCTTCATACATACTTTCTCGCTGGTGCCGCTGCATCATGGGAGGTAACAAAGCACCTCGACTCATGTATAGCATTGTGGGGAAAGATGCGAGCGTTGGCAGCGAAGCTTACGGTACTGAGACATGACCTCCCCGTCCGACATGGAACGATAGGTGCTCAGGAATCCCTGAAGCTGTTCATAGTTCTAGCGGACCTTTTTGGTGGGTGGACTGTATTCCCCGAACGGGCTGCGGGGACGTTGTCTTGTGGTATGGACACGGAAGATGAACAAGCATCTCGGCACCTTCGGCACTGTCACAGTCACAGTTGTCTTAGTTCGTCTTGCGCTAACGAAGTGATAATCAGCCAATAAGAACGCGTCTGTGCCAGGAATGCGACCTGCCCAACCTTGGTTCTTTCTTCAGGTTACGTTATGCTGAGGTTTCCTAACAAGCATTTACATCTACTTCACTGAGTATCCTGGTTTCTTGAGGTTCGCCGGTCTGTCGAGATGTCCAGTACAAGTCTTCCCAGTTATTGTGATGAATGTGGAAAGCGACGACGCAAACGCCGTCCATGACGATACAGGCACCGGTATACCGGTACGCAGATCGAGCTGAGCGCTTACAACCTTGTCTCCACCGCCCTTAATCGCAAGAACCACTATCACGCCAGATGTCTGGATCTGCAAGTAAGAGCTCGCTTCGCTCTTTTCTCTTCTGTTCACCACAGCTGGGCCGCATTCAGCGTACCGAGGCCCTGGTCCCACTCTTTGAGACCGCGTATATTCCTTTCTTGGTTACACTCCTCTTTTCGAATGAGACATGTACGGTGGGAATACCGCACATCAGCTGCCAGCTACGGCGCCTTTCTTCGTCCACTGAGGTGACGAAGAAGGACCAAGCTCGCTTAAATGCTAGATGCCGTAGGCAATCGTACTTATTGGGCTAAATCCTACAGTCAACGCCTCCAAGCGATCTCGTAACTCGGTAAGGAACTCGCTCGTTTAGCACGCATTCAGCAATGACGGGCTGTGAAAGGCACCACGATCAGGTCGACAAAGACGAGAGTCTAGCAGCAGTACCGTGCACAGGTGTGGTTGCCAACACGCTCTCTCCACGGGAGAAACAAGCGCTGAAGGAACTGTGGGCCAAATTGCATCAGGCCACCGTCAACGAACGTCCACATCGCCTGTCACCAACTCCACCTCCAACCGATGTCAGTGCCGACGGCGCTGGCTATGAGAGAACGTGCAATGTTCGGATCACCGCGCCGTCTTCGCCATATGAGACGAGGGTTGCTACACATCCACCGATTTTGCGAGCACAGTCCCGGAGCGCAATTCTGCAACCTACACCGCCGCCAACGCCGCCGACACCGACGGACAGCACAGACGGAATCAACGATGAACCGTGGACCAGTCTCCCGAAACGACCATTGCCGGGGACCATGGTAAGTCGCGACAGAGCTGCGTCCACGGGGTATTACACAAAGACTGCTCCAGCACCATCCCTATCGTGCGACAACAGCAAATCATCGCATTCACGGTCGTTCAGCGACCAAGTGAAGAAGGCCTTTCGAGGCATGTTCACACGACCTCCCCCGGATCCTGACGCCTTTGAACATATCGAAAAGAGGCACTGGACGGAATAGTAGAACCCAGAGTGTTCTGCCCCTGGACGACTCTCACGACTTTTTAACATAGCGAGGCGTTGGTGGCTCTGCTTTACGATCGTTTCGGCGCGAACTGATGGGAGTCAAGGTGCATCCGCGCAGTCTTAACCTGGCTGCTCAGCTGCAGTGCGGGCCACCTGTCGCGTTTCAATACTCCGACCTTCGGGAGTTCCGACTACATATTTTGTATACCCTGAAATATTTCTATCTGTCTGTCCGTACCCGCACCCCAGCCCTAAGCCATGCTCGATTTGTCAGCTTTCAAGATCTTTAAGCAGTCATCTCGTGCATTTGTGACATACGATGCATTTATCACCTCCACATACACAATGTCCCTTCAGGATGTGAAGCATGTCCTGCTCGTCCTATCCGGAAAGGGAGGCGTCGGTAAGTCCAGCGTGACAACGCAGCTCGCTCTTACTCTCTCCCTGCAAGGCTTCTCTGTTGGCGTGCTTGACGTAGACCTCACTGGGCCATCAATACCGCGTTTCTTCGGCATAGAGACGGCGAAAGTCAGGCAGGCACCTGGAGGATGGATACCGGTGCCCGTACATGAAGCGCAAGGTGCGGGTGGAGATCTACACGGAGGGGAAGGTAGCAACGGCCACAGCGCAAACGAACATTCGCGGCCGTACGGCTCGCTCCACTGCATGTCTTTAGGCTTCCTCCTAGCGAACAGGGGAGACGCTGTGGTATGGAGAGGTCCCAAAAAGACGGCGATGGTCCGGCAATTCCTCACAGATGTGTATTGGGGATCGCTCGACTACCTTCTTATCGACACCCCACCAGGCACAAGCGACGAGCACATATCGCTTGTGGAAACGCTTCTCAAACAAGCCACACCTTCCCAACTTGCTGGCGCTGTGGTGGTCACGACGCCGCAAGCGATCAGTATCAGCGATGTGAAGAAAGAGATCAATTTCTGTCGCAAAACAGGCGTCAAGGTGCTGGGTGTCGTGGAGAACATGGCCGGCTTCGTCTGTCCGAATTGCTCGGAGTGCACGAATGTGTTCTCGAAGGGGGGCGGGCAGGTCATGGCAGCAGAATTCGGCGTGCCGTTTCTGGGTAGCGTGCCGATTGATCCTATGTTCATACGGCTTATTGAAGAAGGCAAGAGGCCGGTGTATCCACAAGGCACTGTTATCGACGGCAAAGCGATGGACACGAACGGTCATACGGACGACGCGGCGCTGACGGATGGTCGCCTGATTGACAAGTACACGTCTTGTTCCCTACATCCGCTATTCGATGGCATGGTCAGGCAGCTGGTACAAGACATGGGCACCTGAAGGCTCGGCACACGATGATCAGCATTGCTACAGCTGGCTGTGACACTCCGCGTGTATCGAAGCATTGCTGCAAGTAGAACCGGACGAGAAGCGCGGTGCTCGCACCTTGAATGCGACATACACTACTGCAGCGTGCCGAGTCTGGCGCTACGAAGCATATCCTATACCGAACACCTTGCCCGCTCCCGTATTAATGGGAAGAAATACGACGGCCCAGTGTAATCCGGCCACGCCACCTCCAGCTCAATAACCTCTACACACAGTATCCTGGTGAAGGTGGAGTGTCGCATGAGTACGATACCAGCATCACGGCGGACGAGACCATGCGATGTTAGTGTCATATGCGTTGACCCAGTGGTCATGGAGTCGAACTGGTCAATGCGGTCATGGAAGGAAAAGGGCTGATTTCAAGCACACAAAGCCACACATGGCAGCATAAAGAGCGAATTCGACTGCCGTGCTCTGCGTAGTACCTTCAGGATATTGCAGACGGCGACTAGGCGTCGGTGAAGGCACGCCGTTGCTGTTGCGGACAATGTACGCATGCATGTTTAGCTATTCGACAGGATCAATGAAGGTTAGCCAATCACATTTGCGGCAACAGTCGCGCGTAACTTTTGGAGATACTATTAAGACTATCTTTGGTCCGCCTCCCGTCCTCTCGCTTCTCCCGCCACAGCAGTACGCTGCCCGCTATCACTCGGTACATTGCCTCTGTACATCCAAAATTGCACGAAGACGCCTCCATCGAGAAACAGCGTCCCCAAGCTGCCTATAAGCCAGCTGGCATTCACCAAGATATACCTGCCGTATATCTCGCTAGCTTGACCCGGCCGACAGCTGGACCTATGCCAGTGGCCGTGCGAATATTTGCTGCAGATCGGCTCGAAAGCGAAGATGCTGAGCACAAACGTCAGGTTACCGAAGCAAGCGAACAGGAAGAACAGCACATTTAGCCCGTCTGTGCTTTTCCGGCGATAATTGAGTAGGAGTTGCGGGATACGGCTGCCCAGGTACAGTATGGCGCAGATGTACCCGAAGATCTGGCCCCATAACGAGAAGTGAAGGCTTTCGGCTTGCTCATCCGCCTCGGTCTGCTGGTGGCGGTCTGGGCTTGGAGAGGATGGGCTAAGGTAGTAGCCTGCCACTCCGGCAGCGATGACAAGAATGATTGCGGTGCCGTTGAAGAGACATGCTTGCAGCCATGTGCGTGACGGTTTTGGTTTCATGGCTTCGAGGTCGTTGGCTTGCTTTGGTTGCTTATGCATGGGGACTGCGGGTGACATATGTGTTCCGTCCAGGCTAGCGAAACGTTCCATCAGTGGCGAGCGAGAGCGGTGGCGTGAAGTAGGCTCAATGTCAGAGGCGGTTGGAGGGCGCTGGGGCATAGACCAGTCCGGCATATGACCATTCTGTACCAGCGGTGTCCGCTCGTTTGGAAGGCCATTTGTTGAAGTCACAGGCTCGGGCTTCGGGTCCCGAAGGGTGAATCCGCGGTAGTAGAAGCATTGTCCCAGCAAGACCACGTCTGCGAAGGTGTAGTAGATTGCCAGGATGATCATAGTAGGCAGCACGCCCTGCAGAACCGCTCCAAGAATGTTGAAGACATCTCCTAACAGCCAGATGATGACAAATTCAACCGATAGGCCTTCGGCTGAGCTGCGTCGGAAGTTCTCAATGATCTGAGGCGAAAAGACCACGACCCAGCAGGCGATTGAGATTGAGCCACATATGCCAGAGATGGCTTCAACATCCAGATCGTAGCTGACGGTAGACAGGGCCATGTTGCCGATCCTCTGACTAGGTGTGGTCGCCGTTACTGTCCAAGAGCTTGTTGAACCACGGAGGCAACGGCAATCGTCACTGCGACTATAGAATGCAGTGTTTGCATGGTGACCCGCTGTGTGGGCCGAGTTGCGCCCTCATTTTCTCCTCTCGCGAGTTACGTAAGGTGATGCATAGACGTCGATGCGGCTCAAACAAGGTTTGTGGAGGAGACGGCATGTTCCTGCAGATCTGACGTTCAGTTTGTGCGTCTATTCTTTTTTAAAATCGAAGATCACGGTTCCCATAGCATGCTTGAAGATGCCGGGCATAATGCAGCCAGCCTTGACAGAGGACGAGGTAGATGACTTGCTTCATTTCACACGGGTCAATGAAGCACAGGAGCTGCAGGACACCACCAGCGAGCTGTCGAAGAAGTATGGATGTCAGCCACAGCAAGTGATCGAAGCATGCAAGGACCCGGAGTCTAGTAATACAATTCTGCACTTCTGCTCCGCGAACGGGTTTGCCGATCTACTCCATGGGATACTGTCAACCCTGGGTTTCGGGGACTCTAAACAGGCTGGTGTAAGTGTTGGGTCGTCCTTACTGAATGCACAGAACAGAGAAGGCAATACGCCACTACATTGGGCTGCTTACAATGGCCATCTTGCCGTCGTGAAACTGCTTGTGCAGGCAGGCGCGGATATGTGGGTCAAGAATGCAGCCGGCCACCTTGCGATGTTCGAGGCCGAACGGGCGGACAGGAGCGAGGTGGTGCAATATCTGTTGGAGATGGGTGGCAGGGAGGTTGAGAGGACGGGCAGAGAAGGCCAAGTCAGCAGAGACGACGAAGTCGAGCTGCAAGACGGGTCCGGTGCTGCTGGACCAAGCGACGGGAACGGACAGGCGGAGGTTGATCGTGGCCGCGACGCTGAGATGGCGGACACACTGGCAAGTTGAAGCACCGGAGCCTTTCCAAATTACATTACATCGTTCCCGAAGTCAAAACATCTGAGAGACGCCAGGAGTCGCACCCTCCGCCAAGATTTTCGAACCGCTCACTCTGGCTGCTTGCTTTTCGCTTTCAGATCTGACCGCTTCGCCCTGGCTATCACGCGCTTCATCCCAACCTTGACCGTGCTCACCCACGATGTCATTGCCCTTTGTGTGAAAAAGTATTGGACTTCGAGGACAAGGGTCCATGACTTTGAGCTCTTATGCGTACCCATAACGACGGGTCTGATACCGACGGCCGCCAATTCGCCGATCATGGTCTCGCCGAGCTTCTCTGTCCAGACACGGACGATTTTGAAGTACGTGACCAGATTCGCCGCGAAAGTCCCCCGGTCTGCGTCTGCCACATGATGTCTTAGCTCGTCCATTTCTAGCTTTTTTCTGGCGCAGAAGCCAACGCGGATGGTCAAGCTTGGGATGACGCCTAGATTGCGCCTTCCGGCAACCTGAATTCGCCGAGCCATTCTGGCGGCATTGAATGGGCTGATTGTAATGAGGAACTTGTTGCCCGCATAGAATATGTCGCTCGCTTCCTGGCGGATTTGGCTCGTTGTCCGAAGAAGTGCATTGTGCTCAGCAGCTGCTTTGCTTCCAAGCTCAATCGTGGTGTCTGCAGGGAGGACTAGACGGTAGATGCGGTTGCGCAGCTCCGGTGGCAGCTTCATGAAGCTTATGCTGGTTCTTGCTGGGGTGCCAGCTGAGGTCTGTTGTCGTCTTGGCATGGTGTCGTTGGTGGAGACTCAAGTCATTGACGCCGGTGAAGGAGCATCTGGGAAAGGTTGGTACATTGTATTGATGGCTGCGGTCATTGACTGGCTACGAAGACGCTGTCCAGGAGCGGTAATAAGTCAAGAGTTCAGCCAAAAAAAAGGAGCCAGCAACGAAGTAGAGTGGCGCTTCCCAACTCAGATGCTCAGCGCATGTGATGGCACTGGAAAGTGAGCGCATGAGTTTGAACGACTGAGCGGCCAAAGCTCTATGTAAGGGATAGCAGGCACGACAAACCCAAGTGTAATGCCATCAACAGTCAAGCTCTGTCGCTATGAGCATTCCGGCCACTGATGCTGGCAAGCAACTATCGCATCTCGGCCTCGCACTCATGCACCACTCGACTTAGGACTTCGTTCATGGGGTTGTTACGCAATGCCGTGGAGTAGGAATGGACCGCCAATGACGACGTGCACAGTGCAAAGAACAGAACGTTCACAGCTGGCGATTTGCACCATTTCATGTGATGGAAAATAGTGCGGCCGCCACACACGAACGTTCGCAGTTCGACAGAACAGGAAGGAACGACGAAAGCGGTGGCTGAGCAGCACATGCCCTTAGGCAGCAGACCGAGTTCGCGTTCTTGCCACCACCACCTGCACACATCTTCAGCACATCACCCTCTCATTGGCATCCCTACTCGTAATACTAAGCTGAGAGTACTCCCCTCCTCTACGGAACCAGTCGCGTGAGGTCAGACTATTTCGCCAACTATCCAGCCCCATAGTCTTCAGCAGTTACTGACCGCGCTCAATCACACTCACTTGCCACCAGCTAAACCAAGACAACATGTCCCAGCAACCGACATCTACCTCTCGGAGGCAACCGCTCACGATGAAGGAAGACGACGACCCCGTCCTCCGCGAGCAATTTGCAGAAACCCTCCGGTCCACCAACGGAGAGGAAGCACCACCGGTGGACACGAGCGACGACATTGAGCATGTCTCCGAGAACGCTCGCGAAGATAGCGGAGAAAGCGGAGAGAGGCTCTGAACAGGCCTCCGTCGAGTGGAAGGAGGCCATGTGGGCGGCGTACAACGCAGGCAATGTCTCAGAGCTGGACCTGGACGACCCCGAAGTGGTAAAAGCTATATAGGAGAGGCGGGACACCTCTGCGGAAGGAGAATACCGCCAGCGTGCAAACAAGAAGCTCCTCATCGCAGCTCTCTATGAGCTTGAGACCAACCCTCACCACTACCAGAGATGCGACAACACTGACGTGTGGAAGAGATTTGATCGTCGAGCTCAGAGCGGTGTACGCGGTGCTTTGACCATTAGCCACCTTCCCAGCCTTCAAGAAATCAGAGCGAAAGAGGCAAAGGAGAAGGCTCTGCAGGATGACGCACAACAGGCGTCGCAGAAGCCATAGAGGCACAGAGGAGCTCCAGGCGACTAGCGGCCCCAGGGCGTTGCGCAAGACAAGCACTATTGACACATCCAAGAGTGGCGGACAACGAAGCAACACAGCCTCCGCCTGTCAATGTCTTTGTCTCACTCTTCGCAACACCTGCGGGCTGTTACAGTATGGGAATTGCAAAATTGCAGCGTATACTGGTTGCACTGCGTCGATCATATGGTTCTCCTCAGCGTTTGACTAATGTTACACAATCTTGTCCTTAATCACTTGCGGCGACGGCCGAGTCGTAGCGAAGCTTTCCCGAGCGTCCAGACCTTGCCAGTACTTCTCCAATCTGGGATGCTGCGTCCTCCAGGAATGATCCGGCCATCGGACTGCCATATAACCCAGTAAGCTCCCTGCCGCAATGTCTGCCAATGTCAACTTGTTCCCGATCAAGAACTCCCCCCCGCTTTGGTCGACCCAAGTCGCCAGCGCTGTTACTCCGCCCTCCACCTTTCTCATTTGTCTGTAAGTGTTTGTCGTCAGCTTAGCACTTGGAGCGTTGTTTTAGCTTGGCACACCTGGCCATCCATTCTTTGCTTTGACTCTCACGCTGCTTCTCGAAGAAACAAAGCACAAGCGCATCACATACACCATCACACAGCACCTCGACCTTCTTCGCGAAGAGACGATCATCGACTTCTGACAGCGGTGGCAACAAGGCCGGTTCCGGGTGTTTCGCCTCAAGCCACTCCAGGATGTAGTGAGACTCCCAAATCGCTGTTTTGCCGTCATCGAGAATCAACACTGGCAGCTTCTCCAGTGGGTTGTAGTTTGGCAATACTGTAGTGCCATCCCACGGAACCTCGGTCTGCAACGTGAATGGTATGCCTTTCTCCGCGAGCGCGATGCGCACTTTGCGGGCGTAGGGGCTGGGGGTGGCAGAGATGAGCGTCCACATTGCGCAACAATACTGTACAACCGAGACGAGAAGGTTCTCTAGATCATGTCCGCTGCAAACGTCAAGAAGTCATGGTTATGGATTCTCTTCCGTACTGCCGGGAGGTCGACACAAACCCCACCTCACAGGCTCACGGCATGACGATGGGGAAAGCAAGAACACTGACTCTCGCTTTCGAGTGTGCGAGACTTTTATTGATCATAGTGTATTATGATACCGTGACTATATTCAAGCCGACTCGAGGACTCCAAATGCTCTCCTAAGTTCGCTCGGAGTTTGCTAGAGCTCAGCGACTCTTTTATCAGCTACTGTACTTTGCTGATGTTCACGCATGAGCGGCTTCAAGTGTTGAAGCTTGCTGCCACTCTTCCATCAACCGTCATGCCTCCTTGGGAGCGGATTCTTCAACTCGCGTATTATGCTTAATGGTCACACCGCACTATAGTCCACCCTCCCGTTCCCCAAGGGTTGTACCTGTCTCTCGGAGTTCTTCTGGACGGCGCGAGTTTCGATAGGCTTTTCACCTGTCGGCATCGGCATTGTCCAGAGAGGCGCAGCCACGGACTCATCAGCCCTCTGTAAGTCAAAAGCTCCGAGTTGCATCACACCATAATTGCCTGGAGCCTCACACCAGCCTTCCTGAGAGCGGAGACATCCGATGATGCGTGGCAGACGCAGTTGGGTTCACCTCTAGGATGACAGGCTCCTTCCTTCCATCTGGAGACGCAGTGTACGGACAAGCACCACGAGAGCCCTCGGCACGAATGGGCCGCTGTATAAGACTGGCGTGCAGATTAACGAGACTGCGAAGCCATAGCTTAAACTCTTCCCTTCGCCAGAATTTGTTGGCCAAAACGAATGTGAGGCTGCTGTAGAAGATGCTGGTGGTCTCTTGAGAGATCTGCTTGCAGATACGCATGAGTGCTGTACGGTTCATGTAGCCGAACGCGAGCGGCGAGAAGGTGCCATCATCACCGTGCAGGACCTGTTTGAAGATCTCGTTCCGAAACTCCGCTTGAAGTTCGAGCAATGGCGACCGAGAGCGGCTGGTTGTCATGGTGCTGGTGGAGCTAAGCTGACTATTGCTCATGGTTGTTGGACGAGTGTGCCAATTGAGCTCTCCGCTTGTGAGATGCGCTTGAGAACGTAATTGAGTAGGTGCAGTGGCAATGTACAGCATCAAGTAGTAGTGTAATATGGAACGAGCTCACCGTCGAAGCTCGTGAACGTAAAGAGGTAGCTGAGTGTGCACGAGTGAAATGATAAGATACGTAGAAGTGATGTATGACAGCTTACATACTCCCTCACTCATCGCCGTGGTGACGAGCTGATCTCACCGCGACCGTCTGCTCGATTGCGTGGGAATAGCGTTACTGGTGTTGCTGCACTCATGACCTGCACACGGAAAGTTGGTAATCATCGAAGTATAAAAGCACTTTGAGTAGACATCTCACCAAATTTCTGTCCACCAACTTAACATTGTCATCGCCGCTCAAAGTTACCACAAGATTCCGCATCATAATCCCGATCACGCTTCGCTCCCAAACGGCGCATCACCGCAGCATCCGGGTCTGAGTCGAGGGCAAAGCGTATCTTGCCGACATTGAAGCCACGCACATGTTGTAGCGCCTCGATCATGCCCTCCGAAGCCTCAGTATCGACGCACTGCGTAGCGATCATAGATGGCCAAACTTCACTCGGGAGTTCCGTAATAGGAGGAACATCCAAGCCGCAAGTTTTCCGCTTGGCGAGCTACTTCTTCGAGCCCTTCGACAACTCGTACTTGATTATGAGCTTCGGTACAACGTCCTTATGCTCATCAGTGAGGCTGTCGAGCCAATCGAACGGGATGTTCCAGTTATCGTCGTCCGCCATTATGGCCTTTTGGCGTAGTACATCTCCGTCGCTTCCTCGCGAATTGGCTTGCAGCTGTTGAGCAATGCAGGCTTTGGCATCCAGACGTCCGCTTTTACTTCGCCAGTCGGCTCAAGGTTGCTCGGTGATTCACAGCGCAAACGCGCTGACGGAATCTCGATGCTGTGCGCTTCGGTCAGGGCGAGCCCGTAGATCTGGTCCCGCAGTTCTCGCGGAAGCCTGTCGAGCAGCGGACTAGTTGGCGCTGCCATCTTGATGTTGTTGTCACGGTGCAGGTCACGCATAGGTACAATCACCCTTGATGCAGAAGTGGTAGCGTGGAGAGGAGGTGATTTCCACAAGGCAAGTAGACGGGGACGGTTCGTTCCTCAACTCTGGTCTAGGCATCGGATAGCTGCGTAGAATCTGTCGCATTGCGGCAAGCCGCAGCGGTAACTTGGGCCACTCAACTTAGAGAAAGTTGTGCTCGATGTTCTCTGAAACGGATGAACTGGACTAGGCACTTCTCATCGAGGCATGCAAGACATCATATACACGCAAGACGAGAGCAATGTCACTGCCAGTCGAGGGCTCTTACATGTTGTGTAACTGACCTAGAGTGGTGAATATCCCTCAGAGGATCGCCATGCAAATGGGAGATATTGATCATGAAACAACACGGTCTGCTGCATTATGACTCGACGTCTCGCCGTTGGCATGGCGTACCTCCGCAGCGGTCGTGCTGTCTGATCTCGCAAACATTGACAGATGCAAGCCAAGAGCTCCAGGTCCGACGGAATCTGCAGCGCGTGTGAAGATTGTGGAACCACCTTTTGAGAAAATGAGATATTTGCTAGATGCGGACACATGCAGCGGATGTCAGACCACGTTTCGCCCGTGCCCAGGTCATATTCGGCACGATGCTCATGCCCAACCTGCAGTGCTATATGTTGTTGAGCATTTTGCGGCTTGCATGCCGCTCGAAGACCTCATCACTCACCGGCTCCAGACGAAATGGGTCTTCGCGTCTTGATGGGCGTGTATTAAAGTTCATTTGCATCTTCGATCGAGCATTCAACGGCCCGAGGACCGCATCGTCACTTTAGCCCAGGCCCACCGCTCCACTCTCCACGCGCGCAAGGCCCGTTTCAGCATTACTTTGTGCACGGAGGTTTGCCGTATACTCAAGGTATGATTGGAAGGTGGGTTGGCAGTAGGAACACATGGAGGAATATGACGTTTACCTGATGATAGATCTTGAGATCAGGGGTGTGCCTGCGGAGTAAATTTTGGTCGGGCAATGAGCAAGTTACGCATAACTCATATCTCGTTCCACGGCCTTGCGCATTCATCAACGTTATCTTTCCTATCTTCCAAGCGGACGCGTCGCTGATTGCCCATAATCGCTCAAATTTAAGCCCTTGCCTGCGCAACGCTACCCGAAGTAGCGATCTCACCTCCCCGATCGATATAACCTATTCGGCGACTACGAACATCCACGCGCGTATACCCTCCGCTTTGAGCAGCAGCCCAAGCTGTGTTGGTGAGTCTCCCCTTCGTGATTCGTCTACTGCTTTCAGCACATGCAAGCAATCCTTGCGGCCCGCCCGTGGCTGCGACCCCTCGTTCAAACGTCACGCTGTAATCAGCTTGCCTTGATCCCTCCACCGGGCCCATACTACCCTAGCATCTGCCACGAGCAGAGCGTTGTGGCTTGCGATACGACGCGCTTTTCGTGGTGGTAGTTGCCAAGGGAAGATCGACGGCTTGGTGGTAGTATCGAGCTTTTTGCAGCTAACGGTTGCATAGCGTCGTGCTTTTCCAGGCTTTTCTGTCCTGTGGGCGTCAGGCTAGTCCCGCACTAGCTGGTCAAGAAGGTACCACTCCGTACCGACGTTACTGTATCCGGGTGGAGACGATAGCGGGAGTGACACCACCAGGAGATCCGGCGAGGGTTGGTCATTGATATTCAGGCTGCATTCTTGTGCCCGTCTTCCGCCCTGTCCCACTTGCGACAACCTCTTCAGACTTCGAAGTGCCGTCTTGCATTCATCGCAAGGGTAGCGTGCATTATCTCCAACATCCCCCGCGCGGATCTTAGCTGCATCCTGCGAACAAGCTTCACGGTTACCGCATTGCCGCAGCACCTTGGAAGGCCAGGCTGGTCCTAAACGTGTGCAAGATTGGCAGCTCGTTGTTGAGCTCTTCAAGATCACTCTATCTGCGAGCTTTACTTCTACAATTTACTCAGTCACTGTAATTCAGCGAACATTGTTCGGGCCGTACCCCAGGCTCACGGCAAGGATTCGATACAAAGTTGGAAGCTCCCTCCCAGCTTTCCAGGATGTCAGCAGCGATCATGAGTCCTGCCCCAGGGCCTCACCGCAAGCCCTTGCCGGGCTACGCAGTTCCACCGCCGCAGCAAGCATACCCCAGACCACCATCTCTGCCTAGTGGCCCGTCGTCGAATGGGTCATCGCCGGCGTATAGCATGACATCGCAACAAGCAGCAATCGACGCTTACGGGCAGTCAAGCCGTCGCACACCGTCGAACGGCACGATCTCGACCGCCGCCTCAACCAGCCCCAATCCTGGTCTGCAAAGAGCGCCGACCACCTCCGGCTTCAGCGTAGCTTCTGCTCCTCGAAGATCAACATCGTCCCGGAGTACGTCTTCATTGTCACCCACATCATATGTCGCTCTCATGCGGAGGCAGAAGGCTACGGTATGGTGTGATCGAGCGCAGCATGAAGACCCACGGATACTGGCGGCACAACGAGCAGCCAAGACCCGCGCCGCTATGGAGGTAGCAGGTGGCCACGCTCACGCACCAGCAGGCAGAGTAAGTACGAGTAGTTCGGGCATGGTAGGCGGCGTGAGAAGCAAGATCAGACATCATGGTGCACCAAAAGCCAGCACGTACACTGGTGGACCGAACATGACTGGCGCCGGCGTGCCTATGCGGCTTAGTGCGAGCGAAGTCGGCGGCGAGAACGATAGTGACGAAGACAATTACAATAATAATCGATATCACTCTCGGAACGGCAGCGGTCGGTCGAGCTTGGGCAGTGGAAACAAAGGGCAGCATGGCAGCTTTCTCGGTTCGACTAGAGGGTACAGCAACGGCTCGACACCCACCAGTGGTCACAGTCCGGTCGAAAGTATGGGCGACTTACTGGAAGAGGAGACGCCTGTACCGGATCAGTACCGGGCACAGGCCGATTATTTCCAGCAGCCAGGCGGTCGGGGTGGTAGCGGGAGCAGTGGCGAGCAGGAGCAGCAGTTTGGTGGCGTTGGTGGGCTACCACAAACTCGAGGTGGAAAGCTCGATGTTGTAGATCGTAAGACTTCTGATGAGCTGAGGAGGAGAGGTAGTGTGGATGATCGGACGACGACGATGACAGGAGTGCGGCTGTTCGTCGCTAATCCGGATATGGACGACTGAGGAAGGTAGGAGGTGGCAATCCTCTGATCTAAGTGCAGTGCATGGTTCGCCTGCATCTTCTCGCCGTCATGCACGATGGCAACTCTGAGATGTTCAGCGTCTTCTTCGATTTGGATACCACAGTCTAGGGAAAGGGCAGGCGGTCAGATAGGACACCGCAATAGCAGCAAAGCGTGCACTTCTCGTGGCCACGTGCCACTTCGCCTTCAACGTCACTTCACGGTGATTGTGGTTCTCACTCACTGACTTGCTTACTTCTCCGCGCTGGACTGACTACACCCCCGATATGCCACGTTTCTGAACTGATGGTATAACAACAGCAGCAACATGGAGGCATCCCGACCGAGAACGGAGCCTTTAAGCCAGTACGGCGACCCGCGTGTGCGGAGGCTGCCATTTGACGAGCGCGTCGCGCGCATGAACTTGCAAACCATTAACGCTGGCCCTGATGGCCTCGAATCACTCAGGCACTGTCGCACGGCCACGGAAGTGTATGAGCTAAAAGAACATGGGAGGTAAGACGCACCGCACCCTGAACGGTATATCAGTAATGTTAACGAAAGGACGGAGTTCCCACAACGGCCTCCGCCAGGTCACGTCTCGGAGCGCACACCCCTCGCTCAGACACTCCCTACTTCTGGCACTGCCCGAGAAAGTCCGCCGCACAGTCTACACATACGTTGTCACCTACGAAGAGCCGATCCCAATTCGCCTGTTTTCGGCCACTTCGAGCGAAGGCATCGATACGTGTACCGCCATCCTGAAGCGCACCTGGTTCTTCAGTCCTCCAGTCCTTCGCATCTGCCGCGCCATCGCGGAAGAAGCGGCGCCCCCATTCTATGCTAATAACAGCTTCAAAGCCGAAGTCATGGGTAGCGACACTTCGGTGTTGCAAGAATGGCTGAACGCGACGCATCCCGCTCACCTTGCGCTTATACCTGAACTGATCATCAGTCTTGAGCCGCGGTCGTTCTTTGACTTGCAGGAACTCCGTGCTGACAGCGCTGCCACTGGGTCCTCAAGCAGTGCGGGAGAGCTTGCGGCCCTGCTTGTGGGGAGCGGCATCTCTGGGGAAAGAGTGTTCATGAAGGTATCTATTGACTTTGGGGTACTGCGTGAGGATGCAATGTGGTTGGGGCGTCGCACTGGAGATGTGACTAATCTCTGGAAGGCGTGGTTTGCCGATTTACAGGAGTGTATGGATCGCGAAGAGTACGGCATGGCGGAAAAGGAAGGCACGCTTGTGCAGGGTGAAGGCACGGTGGAGAGTGAAAGCCTCATCGACAAGGTCTCATCTCTTACGAGCAAGATGGCTGGGTTGCTGGGTTGCGCTGAAGGACGCTACCAATGAACCATTCTAGGGCGTCGCATACGTAAACGGTAACCTCGCAACGGTGTTAATCATTCTTTTGACCATTCACAAGACATATTCATCTGGAACCACTTACACAACAGAGACCCGTCACTCTGGTGTTGAGCTTTTCCAGGTACAAGGACCGGAACACTTTGGAGAGCAACACAAGACTTTTGTGCTGCGCACATAAACCAGGTCCCGAATTCGAATCTACAGGATGGACAACACAGTCAGCAGCACCGACACCGACAACGCGAACGGCCGCCTGGGCGCACTTGAGAAGTTCCCACGCGAGCTTCGGGATCAGACCTATACCTTTGCGCTTCACCAAGAACAATAGGTGAAGAACCCTGCAGCACGCTTCGAACACTCCATCGCAACGCGACCGCCGTGAACGATTACCTGATGCGGAAGCCTGCTCTTAGCAACGCTTGCCGTCAGCTTAGAAAGGAGGCGAGAGCCATCTACTACGCAGCGAACATCTTCAATGTCGACATTACCAGTATCCGCGTGTACAGTGTACCGTTCAACTGGACCGGGTATTTGAGCGAAGACAAGCGGCGGCCGTTCACCGAATCCACGTATCATCATGTGGAGAAGGAGACGTGACGCTTGTGCGAGGCGCCCTGCAAGCGTCAGGAGTAGCGCATCCCATCCCCAACAACTGCGAGACATTGCAGAAATCCCTCAAGGTCGGTATGCGCAAGATCTACCTACGACTCTTTGAAGCAGTGACCAACGAAATGGAGCGTACGGCGGTGGAGCATGGCTTCGACCTGTCGAAGATCGTTGTCGGCATCGACCAAGACCCCGAATCATTGTGGATGCAGACTTTCCCAAGCAAGCCCAGTACCTTACGATGTCGACATGTCTCGCGACCGCAAGAAGTAGTTGCGAAAGCAGGATGCCATGCGTTGGGCGAGAGGTAACTTTGAGAGCGGCGGCTCGTAGCGAATATGCTCGCTCCCCTTGGGTAAGCATTGACGGGCAGTAGAGAAGTCCCATGAAGGTACTGGACAGCCGGGTTGTGAGGTAACTGGCTGTTCGGCTTCTCGTCACATCACTACGGTTCATGAGTGATATTCCAGATTTACGCGCACCTTCCGTTTGCGCAAAGAGGCAACACGTGACACGTTCACATGCACTTGAGGCCTCACAAACAACGTCGCCGTATCGCTCACAAGCTCCGCACACACATATTCCGTAATCCTTGTGATTCTGCGGGACAGTCGAACTCACTGCTACCACCATATCATCCACCCAAAACACAGTATGGCCGGGGAAGGAACCCACACTGATTCCATGTACGGGTGCATAGGCACCTTGTCGAAGTTTCACGTGAGCTGCGCGACTGCGTCTATGGCCTCGTACCCCAGGAACCAACAGACATTAATTATCATTCCAACTGCACGTTTTGCACCTCTCCCTAACACTGGCAAGAACGACCACCTGACGAAGAAGCCTGCTTTACTCAATACTTGCAAGCGGACCAAAGAGGAGGCCACACCGAACTACTATGCTGCGAACACCTTCCACGGTCAGATCACGGATACTGTCTTCATCGCATCCTTCAACTGGATCGCTTCTTTGAGCCGAGAGGAAAGCAGAGCCGTCAAAGAGGTCATTGTCCAGTACTGCCCAAGCACGGCGGCAAAGGCGGTGTGTGAGAATGTTGTCAGCACACTCGTACTGCTGGGTGTTCAGGATCCGGCACTGATGAGCTGCACGTTACTCCTCCCTACTTTTCGTGAGAGCTTCTTAGAAGTCCTGCAAGCACTAGGGCGCACGAATGAGCAGACCGAATTCGACGTCAGCAGATTGAAATGGGGCGCACACATTGCGGAATCCCTTTCAGCCGCTGAGCAGATGTGGTACAGGGGATTGATCCACTTCTCTCAATAAGCAAGCGGACACTGCGAGCAGACGTTGATGAAACATTTCAGAGAAATATGGCTATCACACCCATTGTTGGATGCTGCGCACCAAATGTGTTTTCAGCAGCGATGGATAGGCGACGACTACACGGCAGTATAGCCACCATCGACCACGATGTCAGTGCCGGTAGTATAACTCGAGGCGTCGGAGGCGAGATAGAGATAAGCACCCTTCAGCTCATGTGCTTCCCCCTCCCTTCCCATCGGAATTTTCCCTCTCCAGATCGCCTTCGTCTCCGGCGGAATGAAGTTTGAGATCTCAGTCGCAATGTAGCCGGGCGAGATACTGTTCGCTCTTGCAAACTTCACCCACTCTACCGCGAGACTCTGGCACAGGTGGCGAACTCCAGCTTTTGCGGCATTGTAAGCGGACTGTAGCTGCGGGATGTTGGCGATATGCCCGCTCATTGAAGAGGTGGCGATGAAGCTACCGTAGCGGTAGTTCTGAAGCGTTTCACCGGTCATGCTGAGGCCTGTCTCGTACTGATGCCGCCAGATCTCTCCCGCAACCTTGGCACAGTAGAAGACGGAGTCTAGATCTGTCGCCACGACTTTGTGGTAATGAGAGAGCTCGCCATCAATCATACGACCTTGAGTCCATGGGATGCCAGCGTTTGCCACGAATATGTCAAGGCGGCCATTGAATTCGCGTGCAATCTCGTAGATGACTTCCTTGACGTTGTCATAGTCCGTTACGTCGGTCTGATATGCTCTACCTGGAGTGAGATTAGCTTTCTGAGGCCAGGTACTTCCGAACTCACCTACACTTCACGCCATACTTCTGCTCGATCTCGGCCGCCCTGTCAAGCGCCTTCTTGTTGCCATGGTACCATATTGCTACGTTTGCACCAGCTTCGGCAAAGCCTTGTACAACGGCAAGGCCTATACCAGCACCTGATCCAGAGACGATTGCCGTCTTGCCTTTAAGACTAAAGAGTGGGATAACCTGCGTTTCTGATGGCGCTTTGGTATTATATTGCCGGAAGATCCCATCCTTCATTGAGCTGTCTTCTGGAGCCTCATGCTCGTCAGCACGTTTTAGTACCATAACTGTGAATCCGGCGCGTCTTGTGCACCGTTACCAAGTTACTGGATGAAGTGTAGTTGTTACCAGTCGATTACATGTACATCGGAGGTGGTGGCCCGAGCTTCATTTGAATGCGCGTTCTCGCTCCTGTCTCTCCTTCTACCTCACCATCTCCGTTTGACACACCATCCTCGAGACTTTCGTGTAGTGCTTGTAGTGTGACTCGAACGTCCATCACAGTAGGCTTCCTTATCATTTTCTCACTTTGCTCCCATTCGAACAACTCCCGCTCCGTACTCATTCAAGGCTTGCACTGTATGTGTACTGACGGATAATTACGAGACAACTAACATACCACCAGACGACCTTCTAAGTGCAGTCCGTTATCGGCGAGCATGTTCCATGCCATATACTATCCGACGGAATGCCTGCCGCATTCCACGGCTGCCCATTATAGCAACGGACAGCATGCCGCGCCAGATCACCATAACATATCAATGCGGGGACAGCTATGGCTTCAACGGTACTGTCCAACTGACAGATTAATCAAGGGGATAAGATGGCTCGTAGCTTGAATAATGGATGTCACTGGCGAAGGTAGACTAATCCCGGGATGATGAAGTACGAAGGCTGTCAAACCCGACTCTAGAATGGCGCCGATCGTACAGGATTGCTTCGCTCGCCCACTCTGGATTCGGACCATCCTGGCAAATAATGGGGGACAGCAAGCCACGACCGACGCTGTGGACGGGGCTGCCGTTACGCACGCCACTTCCACGACTATCTACCTGGGCATAGGCGTTGGCGTGGGAGGAGCAATCTTGGTCGCTATTATTACGGTCGCTGTACAAATCATCCGTACACGGCTGCAACACCGACGCATGATCGCCGAGCTTGAGAGCAATAGTGAGCCTGTGCCTTTCGGTCTACGTCAACAGCAGGAGATTGGCGAAGTGCCACGTCCAATGAGTGCTGCTCGTTGCAGTGCACTCGGTGCTCTTCACGCGAGAGCCGGATGGGGTGCCCTCTCATCCGACGAACAGGTACATGTGCCGGATTCTGCAGGTCAAACGGGGCGGCAGAAGCGAAAGTCCATCGCATTACCAAAACGCATCAAACAGCACGGCATACCGCTAAGAGGCCTCAAGCACCTGTCAGCAATCATCGAAAGCCCAAGAAGTAAGTCAGCGAAGTCACCATCGCCTGCAATGCTAGAGTGCACCACAACTCTACCACAAGCACGAAGCGCGGAAAGCATTGCGAAGAAGAAGGCTGTTCACTTGCCTCGGCAACAGAGCAGTGAAGAAGACGTCTTCATCATGCCTGGGAGCCCAAAACCTGAAGTGCTGCCATCTTTCGCAATCCGATCACCCGGAATGTACGGAGCTGCTATTGCGAATGATGACCGCCCACGACCACCCAGATCTGCCTCCGTAGGCGCAATACCTGGCCCTGTACACGAGAGTACAGTTTCGAATGCAGTGTCAAGGCCTTCAAGACCGAAGATACACATCCGATCGATCAGCCTCGGTGCCCCTCCAACTCAGCCTCCGTCTGGACCCGTCCCGCCATTGCCCGTCATTGTACCGCACGGCAGAGCGACTGTTGAGGCTAGCCGGCAAGGTCTCTGCGTCTCACGAATGTCCTCATCCAGCCAAGAATCGGCTGGGAGCTCAGTCCTCGTTACCAGCCCTTTGCTGCACCGTGGCGATGAGGGCCAGTCTGTTCATTCACCGACTGTGGAGCAGGTTGTAGCCAAAGATGGAAGTGCGCAACTAAAGGTGGTTACCAACAGACAGTGGCAGAACCCGCATGTTACTGGTCCACGTCCAAATGATGTTCGTCGCCTGGATGGAGACCCTGATACCGACCCTGGCTTATCCCGACAGCATCCCTCGATCAGGAGTAACTTCGCTCGCTGCAGCAACTACTCCGGCCGTCTCTCCAGCGCTAGCACGGTCTCCAGCATCGGAGACGGAAGCGATATGCCAGCGAGCAACCGCCTCTCCGTTCCCACAGTCGCTACAGCAGACAGGGTGAGCATATCTCGTATCCCCGCTTCTGACAGCCTAAAGACCAGCTCAGGCCACACTACCGTGCATGGCGCAGTTCGGAAGGTCTCCACGCCTAGGAGGTCAAATCGAACATCCAGCGTCTCGGCGAACGGTTCGCCCACTGAAAGGCGCAAGACAGGCGTTCTTCGCGACATCTCCGGAAATGCTGTCTTGACAACACCCTCACGACAAGCAAGCCAGGCGAGCTCGCTCACGCAGGACTCTAGCTTGAGCGGTCGGAGCAGTAATGGAAACCCTTTCCAGTGGGATCAGTCTCTGCCGCTGGTTAAGCCTTCCTCGTTGAAAGGCAGCCCAACCAGTAAAGGCATGAAAGGCCACAAACGCCAAAACTGCGTAAGGATCTCCATCCTGGCACCGCAAATACTGGGCCCGCCAGGTGCGCCACCTGCGAGGCCGACAAGCCCAAGCATTATGCACGGCATTGAAGAGGAGGACGGTACAGAAGGTGAGGAAGGCGAAGGTTGCGGATTGGTAGCTAGCCATCGAATACCTCGAGCCCACAGTGGGAATAGTCTGGCAACTCAGTTGAGAGCTCAGCAGCCCAGAGTAAGCTTGACGCCGAGTTCGCCTACTCTATCAGCTTGGGTTGCTTACCAAGAGCACGTTGCCGACCAAGCAAGAAGCGGCAATGGTAGCAGTGGCCTGCCAAGCCAGACATCGGACTCGCAGTCCTCATTGTCGGTGTCACCTCTTCAGGCGAAGAACGTAGGAAGACCTACGTCAAGGCAATCTGATCGGTCTTCAGCCTTCAGCATTCCGCCGTTTCCATCGCCCAGTCGGGCTACAGTCGCAGCTATTCAGATGACGCAGCCAATACCGCAGTTCTACTTGTCACGCCCTTCCACGGATGGCCCGGAAGAGGAAAGCTCAAGCCCAATACCGCTACAGGCTTGCGCAGGGGAGGACCAGCTGGTGAGTGAAGAAGACGACGGGGAACCGCTACCATCAAGCCCTCCTATCCCGATCAGTAAGCACACTGAGTACGATCCTGCCTGGCCTACTCTAGCTTCAACAATCCCTCGGGAGTACGATCCGACGAGTCCCAAATGGCCGTTGCACGCCGAAGCATCTGCTGCTGAACTTAGCGATACCAGCTATTTTCCGTTTGCGGTACGCAACAACGCGGACGTAGCGGCGAGAGACCCTATCGGAGAGGTCTCGCCACAGAGCCAACCGATCAGCTACGGCGGCCGTATCCCAGACACGCCACCATGTTCGCCGAAAAGCGATCCTGCAGAACTCAAATCTTCCGCCAACAGGGCTCGCCAGCAGGAAACATCCATTCTCAGCAGGCCGGGCAGGAGCACCGTTACAGATAAATTAACAAGCGCCAATGCTTCTGCGATCATGGCGACTATACCAGAGAGCCTTCCGTGCACTGGTTTTCCTACCGCAGCACCAGTCCTACCGCCTCCACATCAAGAGTCACCAGCAGGTACAACACCCATGCCACGCAGACAGCGAGCAGTGTCCAGCGCTCTGCGTCTGCAGCCTCTCCGCCCACCTCCTAAGCCACCTGCGAGTGTAGGCGAGACTATCGATATGCCCGAACCACTACGCATCAGGCCCGTCTATGTGCGAGATGATAGCAGTCCGACAAGCCCGAAAGGACCCCGGAGTGAGCCAGCGAAGTCAGTTCTCAAAAATGCAATGGCCCTGCGAAGGATGAATAGCGAGATCGATCATTCGCGCCACTACCGCCGTGAAAGTCGTCTTTACCAAAGGCTTGGGAGGGAAGCAAGCCCACTACTTCCATGGGTAGATTCGGACCTCGAGGAAAGCTGTAACAACCTCTTCGACTTCGACTTCGCCGAGCAAGACGCCGGAGCCGGCGCCGAGGAGCATGACAGCGATGTTACGAGTAAAGGCGCGCTAGACGAGGTTGACGTCTCCGCTATTCATCGCCGACTCGATGGTGCTTTGGCCGACTTCGAAGCCGAGCCTGTCTCAACGCCTAGTACCGTAACGCTGTCCGAGCGACCAAGCAGTGTCTGGGAAAATGGCGAATTGTTTTGGCAGCGACGGCCACAGTACACCTTTCCGCCGAATACGCCAGCAAGTGTGAGTGTCACGCCTACCAAGAAGGCACCGGGTTGGCGCAGAGATGGAGTCGTGACACCAACCCAGCAGTTAACAATGCCTGGGGTCGAGCCACCAAGCAGTATCATGAAGACACCCCGGAGCCTGTACGATTCAGATGGCTTTCTCAGAGCTTAGGCGGAAGCAAATACTTCGAGTTGTGTTGGGATTTGAAAGGCGACTATCATACACCCTTTATGAGCGACCCGCCTTCCAATACCTCGCTTGCAAGCTTCATTAAGAGCAGTGCCATGGCCTAGCATCATGTCGCATAAGGCAGCTGGTGCTTCCTGCAAGTTTGGGTCGCCACAGGTCCAATTGACTGAGCGCCGAGTCGGACTGTATCTGAACTAGGCGGATTCTCCAGTCTTGCAGTGTACTTCCCAGGAACTTCGTGGTCTGCTCGTTTGACGTTGCCGCCAGCCCTGTCTCGGCGCTCAACTCCGTGTTTGCGTGTGGGCACCAGAGTCGCATTGTTGGGACTGGAATTAAACCACTGAGATCGAGAACGTTCCCAAGACCACAGCCAGTCACTAATCACCTGTTGTTTCTGTGTGATGTCGTCTCAAGCATCGCGTGACTGTGGGATGGGCAACACGAAGCCTTCTTGTTGGCAGCACATAGCGGATGATACAGCTACATCGGGCCTGAGCGGCACGGTGTGACGGCCGACATGGGTGTCTTTAGCAGAAGCGAGTGCGGTGAGAGGAGTGTGCTATTGCGCACATGTGCAAGAATGCGGAGAAAGTTCCGATGAAGCAAGACAGGCTGTGAAGCACGTAGTGAAGGTAGGGATGACCCACACTCATTGCACGTATCACAAGTCAACCCACGATAAACGATGTTCAACAACATCATGGCGCACGTAAGCATCAGGAGACTTAGCCCATAAATTCAGGTTCAGCCCTCCGGCTCCGCTTGAGCAGTTCGTACGCCAACCCATTGATCTCCATCACCGCACACTCGACCTCAGCTTTGTCTAGCAACTTCGAGCCGTGCCAACCGATCGTGTCCGCCACCGCTTCACGCATGTCTTTGTCCGAAGAGGGTGTGGTGTTGTATACCACGTGGATCGCTTCTGCAAACTCAGCCATGTCCCTGGTAGAGTGTCAGTGAGGTAGGCCCACGAGTCGATGACAGATACCGCACCAATGTCGTGTAAGCTGTATCTTGAACTTGTCGAGCGCCAGTGACTTCAAACCAGCAACCCCGTACCGATCTCCGGCAGCATACATCTTCGCGTGCAAAACCAAGTTTGGCTCTGCAGTAGCCAGTGGTGATGGTTCAGGCGCGGCGTTCCCTAGGCTTCTGTTGCTTTTCCCTCGGCCAATTGGAGGCCTGTCTCCGAACGGAGAGAAGTCGTGACCCGGTATTGCGTGTACAGTCAAGGACGAGTCTCGTCGATCATGACCGTTAAATGTGGCCGAGAAGCGTGGCTCTCGATGCGCTGGGCCACCGAATGCGCTGACTGCTGATGTTCCGTAGACATGACCGTATTGGACAGCATCCGTACTACCGGTACGAACGCTCAAGGCGTCGCTTTTGTCGCTGCCATGGATGCTCGCGCTTTCAGCATCTTTCGGAGGCGGCACGATGGGGTCGTAGTCCAGGAGGTAGAAGTACTCGACTAGCAGCCTGACTACTTCGGGGTCATCTTCGGCCAATGTGAGGTGGCCTTCAGTACCGTCCTGGAAGCAATGATGAGTAAACATAACATAGTGCTGGCGGACGATGAATGCATACCCTCCATCTTCGCTCCTTCACAGCGATATGGAAGAAGTGCGATCTGGGACACAGAATGGCTCTATGCACCGGATGTCGCGAGCTGTCCCTAGCGAAGATGACAAGGTCTGAATAATCCCGAGATTGATAGAGGCTGCGAACATTAGACTAGCCATGGGCCGGAAAGCTTTCCTTTCACCAGCGTACGTGTGAAGGGCACCGAAGAGCTCGGCGCGAGGCTTGTCCCCCATCCTAGAGTTACCGCACCACCACCTCACTGTCATCAGCACAACACGAAATGGTGACAAATGAAGTAGCAGGAAGACGTGTAGAGATATACTTGGGCAGAGTTTCACGTAGAATGTGCAGACCCGCGATCCGGTGCTTGGAGGTTGCTCTGCTGCGACATGGCGGAGGCTGTGCAGTCTTGAAACAGAACGGTTCAGAGGGGTCGGACTGAACCCAGCGGAAATACAATGCTAGACTGGGCTACTTCTAGCGAAGCCAGGTAGACCGATGTTCTTATCAGTGATCGACACCAGGGAAAATGGTTCCGTTGGCGGTCACAAGAGAAGTTCTGGAGTTTGACTATAAGAACCTGAAGCAGGCTGTGTCCTGGTGGGTGGAGATTGAGTGAGGGATCACCCGTGGAGCCGAAGGCGAGTGCCAATTTTGGATGCCTCAGCCCTATCATCAGTCGAAGAAGTCCCCGATCAGTCTATGAGACAATCAACAGGTAAGCGGCAGAAAGCGCAGGCATGCCAAGAGCATAGATTGCCCTATCTGGTTCTGTACACGCATTGTCTAATCAGGGAACGTCAAGCAGCAAATTGCGTTTCGTGAGGTGAACGTCCTAAGCTCGCAGATCAAGCCTGGCGCATAACTTGCATCTAGGATAGCTTTCAGTCCTGTTCGTACATACAGTATCTGACATGTCAATCGCGGAACCATGCTCGCTTCTGCGTCCTCCAGTAAGGGAGTGTACGATACTCAGTCGTGTTTGCCGCATGCTCTTCGTCCAGCCCAGTGACTTCGACGCGCATCCATCGTCCCTTGGTATCTCAAGCCCAGATCGCAATGCGCCTCGATCCCAAACGCCATACGACCAGGCAAAACGCCTTATAGCAAACTTGCAACTACTGACAAAAGGACTGTTGTTACAAGCGCTGCGAGTGACGGTGCTTGTATCGAGCTGAAAGCGCCAGAGGTCAGACTCGCAGTTGTGAACAGCAGCTGAAACCCAATGTTTGAGCTGTTATAGCAGTTGTCCGGCCCAACAGTCTGAACAAGTGGGCTGCCATCTTCGACAAGCGTCAGGTCCACGCACTAGAACTCGTCAGCTTTGAGGACTTAGCCAACCATAACTGTACCACACTCACGCTATATAGCGCCGCCCCATGCTGCGCCGCCTCCACAACCTGTAACGTAATGTTCATACCCGGCTGCAGACTGACATTCGCCGGCATGCCAATCTGCGGCAGACAGAACTGGCCGGGGTACTGCTGATTCGAAGGCCCCGTCACCTCGAACGGCGGGACGACAGGATGTGACATGTTCGGCGGCGCTGCGCTGCCATTCTCTTGTATGCCAATGTTCACGTATATGAGCGCTTTTGAATGTCCAGGGAACCAACCGGGCTGTACTGATAGCGCGCCGCCGGATACGGGCCAGTAGGAGCGGTTGGTGGTTTGTGGCATGCCTCCGCCTGTACGGCTTGTCAGCGCCAACGTGCTGTATGCGATCTATCTGTCGAAGTTTGACCTACATGGGTACATCCATTGCATGCCCCATGGGAAGGAGATGGTGCCATTGTCTAAGGTGTCGATCCCTATGCACTGCGGGCAGTTCTCGGGCAGCGAGCCGTTGGCGTGTAGGTTATTGCCTCTCCAGCCTGGGTATGTGATAACTGTATGTGCGCTTCCTAGTCCTACTAACACCGCCGCTGCAAGAAGGGATCGCAGTTGAAGCATCGTGCTCTTTCGCGCCGCAGCGTCTCCGACAGTGGTGCGCAGTAACCAGTTCACTCTTTCTCTGCCGCTAGATTGGCACGACGCAACGCAAACCGAATGCGAAGGAGATGGAGGAGATGAAACAAGAACAGTCTTACCAGGACGACCTACGACAGGAACATGTCAGACGCTACAGCTAATGCTTATGCTGAGGAGGACGAGTTGGATAAGCGCCCAGGGCTCGCGCAGACGCACTGCAGGTCGCCGTTGTAAGAGGGCTGCATGTGGTTGGATGATGCCCGGGCACAGCACATCGCTAGCGTGCGGGCGGGAAGCCATCGGCACTGTGACGGCCAGAGGTCTGGCCGCAGACGACAAGCAAAGCTCACACTACTGTACATTTGATTTACAGGGCTGCGCTCTGTGCGTAAGACACCACCCATCCTTCCTTTTACTGAACCTTACTGCGTGATCTCTATGGGCTGAGACATTGTCTGACGCGTGCTTGTGCCGCCCTCGCTGGGACGCGAACTGTGGGACACTGCATCGTATTCAGTGCGATATATCTATGGTACATTATAAACCACGACACCCAGTCGTGTCCTCAAGCATTGTGAGTTGCAATCTTTGTCACTGGTCCTTCAAAGCGAAGAGACGGGCGTCATACGTAACATCACGGCAAGCTTCGGCAACATTACTCTGCAGTTGACCAACCAATGGTCATCATGCAGGTATCAACAGAAAGAATGAAGACATCACGCGTTGCCTGGAAGTCGTCTCGAAGATTCTAAGAATCAACGGACGCCTTCCCGGCATCGTCACCGGCTTCCGCGGCTAGAGCTGCAATGCCAGCAGCTATTTCCTCATTCGAAACGACCCCAGAGCCCACAACTTGGCTGAGCACAGAACCTTGGTCAGGTGGTGGAGGTTGGTCGAGTGGTAGAGCTTGGCTGGGTAACGGAACTTGGTCAGGTGGTGGAACTTGGTCAGGTGGTGGAGCTCGTAGAGGTGGCAGGGCTTGGACAGGTGGCGAAGCTCGTACAGGTGGCAGGGCTTGTACAGGTGGCGAAGCTTCGTCGGCAGTCAGAGGTTCGCGGCTTGATCGAGCTGGTCCATTTGCGATCATGTTCGAGCGCCAGTCATTGAAATCCATCCGGTCGAGCATGCTTCTTGGAGGGGCATACTCCGCAGCCGGGCCATCACGCCGCCCGCGACCTTGCGGCGCAGAGGCAGGAGCATGTCGCCTCTGGTCAAGCTGCGGCTGCCGCGGCGGCATCGATAGCATCGGCGGCAACGGCGGCACTGGCGACACCGGCGGTATCGGCGGGCCCGGCCAAGCATAAGCCTGGCGGTCATAAGGGTTGTTCCCGGCATATGCTGGTGGCTGGTATGCTGGCTGGTAATATGCTGGTTGATGATATGCTGGTTGCTGGTATGCCAGTTGCTGGTATGCCGGCCCGTAATATGGGTCATGGAACTGGTACGGGTACGGACCGACGTGCGACCGCGGGTACTCATATGGTCCGTGAGGGTCATGCGACGGCCGGTCGTCATAGTCACGCCGCCGTGCCTTCGCTGGTTTCTCGACCGAAGGACTTCTACTCCGGTTGGACCGCTTCAAGCTGTCGATTAGTTTCTGGTTCTCCCGCTCCACGCGAAGTCTCTCCTCTCGCTCCCAGCTCAACTGCTGCTCCAAGTCGTTCTGGGTAGCCTTGCGTTCGGCTTCTTTCTGGTTGCGCTTTCTCTCGCGCTGGAGCCTCGCTCTTCTGGTAGACTTGCTCACGTCCGGGACCGGGGCAAAGGGTGCTAACGGCCCCATGCCTTGCGCCATTATCGGATCTGTATTAGGATCAGGATCTGACTGTCAACGCACACTCGTATGGACTCACTCATCTGGTATCCAGGCATGTTGAACCCATGTGGCGGATGGTGCCCAAAGCGATACAGGTTCGTGGACTGGTTTCGCTGGTCTTGATCCGCTTCCTGGTCTTGCTGGTTCATCTGCGGGTTGCTGTCATTCTGCAAGTCCTGATACGCTTCAAGTGATCGCTGGTGATAGAAGGCCCGCATCATCGGTGCCGCTATCTTCTTGTCTCTCTGCAGGAATCCCACTGGATTCTTCACAATGGTGCAGTTCCTTTCATGTACTTCCAGGTTGTTCTGCCTGCAGTAATTCTGACAATTACTGCAGGGCCGTCCGGTATTGTCAACGTCACACTACGGCGCTGTCAGCATCTCTCGACAAGGGGACATGTCGGTGGTGGCGTACCCGTCTATCGCTATGCAAACACCTCAAGCAGGTGCCGGGAATGCCACTCATCGTGGCGGCTGTGGCACTCTTGACTGGTGATGTTGTTGTAGGACGACGAACGACACCAACGTCAAACTCTGCGTTGTATTGCTTTTGGCTTGGCGTGCGCCAAGATCTCGCGCGCCTTCCTCATTCAACAACCGACGTCACCCTCTGATCACGGAGCTGCGCGCGAATGACTCGCATGTGACGGACGTATGAGGAAGCGCTGGAACAGCCTGAGGAGCGTCACGCGGCTGCGAGATGCTTTGAGGATGAGGGAATCTGCAGACATGTCCATGGACGACTCAAGCAAGCCGTTGAATATACGAGCCAATTTGCTCTGGAGGCATCAAGTCATGTAAGCCTGAGCTGTGGCTTGCTCGCAAACATCCTTCTTTGTGAGCACTGAAGGTTAGCCTTGACCACGGTGAAGCGAGAGAAGGAGGAACGGTCCAGCGCATCGAGAGTCGGGCATGCGGTACCTTGGCTTGCTCCCACATTTAAAACTGAGTTGATCTGCATCTCTGTAGCCGATATGGGAGCGGACTATTGAGCGGGAATGCTCCGGCCGTCCCTTGAGCTTGATAATCGTGCCTCAAGCTCAAGCGATTCCGAGGCAAACGCCCCCTATTGCCATCACATCTCACAAACCCACTCCACATCCTCCACCCCCGGCCGCCTTCGCACCCTCACCTCCACATCCCTCGCCGGCCTCACAACGCCCGCAATGATCTTCGTAGCCTGAAATGGCGGCGGCACGTACTTCCCTCCATCCGCCGCCGTAATGTCGAACCCTGCCACAAACATCGCCACCACCGTGAGAATCTCCGTCTGCGCGAAATGTCGCCCGGGACAGATATTATTCCCGCCACCAAACGGGCGGAAAGCACCACCATGCACCTTCCCCTCTCCATCTCTATACGCGGCTGCGGGGTCGAGCGCTTTGCCCGTGTATTCGCCTGATGCATTATCGTTCTTGCCCTTTTCCAACGTTGGCAGAAAGCGTCTAGCGTCAAATCTTTGCGGATCTGTGCCGAAGATGTCAGGCTCAAAGTGCATAACGTTTGCCCCAACCATGACGAGATTCCCTTTCTTCAACAGATAGCTCTCCCCCTCGCTGGCGTTGGTGAGGGTAGTGTCTACCGTAACGTAGCGGTTTATGTTCATCGTCGCGCAGATGCGGAGAGTCTCCCGCATCGCGCTGTTGAGGAGGGGACATTGCGTCTTGAGCTTCGTGACGTTGACGATCCGCTTCGAGACGTCAGTGTTGGAGATGCAAGCCTCGATCTCTGCTCGGACGTCCGCGAGCAGCGTGGTATCGGCGAAGAGGTAGCTCAACAGCCAGAACGTCACGGGCACGGTATTGATAAGCACGGCGAACATCATGCTCGTCTCCCCGTACCCGACCATACGCGTTGAAATGCCGTGTTTGTAGTTGACCTCAGCGCGAACACTGATGATGCGCGAGGCATGCTTGTACCCGTCGTTCTCCGCGAACTTGACAAAAGCGTCGAACATCCGCTGTCGGGCCTGGTAGCCTTTCCGTAGCGTGAGCGAAGGGAATGGCAGGAAGAACTTGTCAATGTTGTCGTCGAAGACCCAGACATCGTCTTCAAGTCCGGGGTTGAGAGCGAGGGGGTTCTGAGGTCCGTAGAGGGAGTCTGTGGAGGCGATGGAGAAGTGGTGGCGCAGCCAGTACCAGAGCGAGATTGTTTCCGTCTTGCCGTGAGTTGCGAGGGGATTGATGTGAGGGGCCCAGCATTTGAGGAAGTTGGCGTTCATCTCGTCGATGGATTGGACGAAAGAGGTGAACATTAGGTCGTGCATTTCGAGCAGTATGCCCTCGCGAGTTCCGTCTTCGCCGTTCGGGTTGCGGGAGATGGTGTTCATAGAAGCTTCGTCCATGTCGAACACCATCTTCATGGCTTGGACAATGAGGGTGTTGAAGCTGAGGGTTTTGAAGTTTTTATGCATGGCTTGGGCCCATGCTGGGGTTGCCAGGACATAAATGCGAGAGGAGAAGACTGGGATGGCGAAGATCCCATGATGGTAGCGTTGGTAGAGACGGGGAAAGTAGTCGCCGCCTTCGCGCAGGAAGGTGAGCAGGTGGCCTATGTATGGGACGGGATGGGGAATGAATGGTGGCTCGCGAGGGTCTCTTTGAGGGGCGAGGAGGCGTGAAGCTAGCAAGGCCGCAACGACGAGAACCGGTATCGCAAGCAGGATTGGAGTCGTGAAGGATATCTCGGCTCTCGAAGGGTCGAGGTCCATCTTCTATAGCTGTCGTTGGGGCGGTAGCTGTTTTACAGTGCGATGAGATTGGGGAGACCGCAGAGGTGCGGAGGAAGAGAAAGGAGACGATCACTTGCTTTATATAATCGTGCCATACAGCTGAAGAAGTCCCAATCCTGACAATCCCTCCACGGAGCTTACTGCATGAGGTACTGTGACCCTCTCAGTGCGCTATGCTGCAAGCGATTCTGCAGGAACACGTTTTGACGAGCCAATGGCATGACCGCCTTCCCAAGCTCGCATCCGCATCGCGTTATGCAGCGCCTCCTCTTCAACTATTCCCACTGCGGTATACGGAGCATCCACCAGGATAGCGGCCCAAGCTTCCTCTCTGTCGTGCCTTAGGCAGAAGCAGCCTTCGCGTTCTCCAGACGCCTGACGGAGCTCTACTTAGAGGTCTCGTGCTTCAGCGTTGCCGATACACAACACACCCTCCCACCCACCATAGCCTGCATCTAAACGTACACCCCTATCTGCGCCGCTCTTGGCACTCTCAAGCAAACCACATCTGCAACCACCCGGAGCCAACGAGCTCCCACCACCACCACCACCACCATGGCCTCCGGCTATGACAGGTAAGAACCCACACCCTGTACCGTTACGCCTCATACGATTCGACTAACAATGCCCCCCAGAGCCCTCTCCGTCTTCTCCCCCGACGGCCACGTCTTCCAAGTCGAATATGCCCTCGAAGCAGTCAAACGCGGCACCTGCGCCGTCGCAGTCAAAGGCTCCGAAATCGTAGTGCTCGGCTGCGAAAAGCGCTCCGCAATGAAACTCCAAGACACGCGCATCACGCCGTCAAAGATTAGCATGGTCGACCATCACGTGTGTCTCGCTTTTGCCGGGTTGAACGCAGACGCGAGGATATTGGTGGACAGGGCGAGATTAGAGGCGCAGAGTCATAGACTTACGGTTGAGGATCCAGTGACGGTGGAGTATATCACCAAATACGTGGCCGGAGTGCAGCAACGGTATACGCAATCGGGTGGTGTCAGGCCATTCGGTATCAGCACGTTGATCGTTGGTTTCGATCCTGAAAGTAAGGAGGCAAGACTATACCAAACCGAGCCTTCCGGAATCTACTCAGCATGGTACGTACATCCACCACCCACTCCCTCCCCTCACATCCACTAACACTACTTCTACACAGGAAAGCAAACGCCATCGGCCGCTCCAGCAAAACCGTCCGCGAATTCCTCGAACGCAACCACAAACCCGCCATGCCGCGCACGGAAACCATCGACCTGACGATTAAATCCCTCCTCGAAGTCGTGCAGACGGGGGCGAAGAACATCGAGATTGCCATCATGGCTCCGGGGAAGGAAGTGGAGATGCTTCCGTCCGAGGAGATTGAGAAGGTGGTGGAGCGGATTAATCGGGAGAAGGATAATGATGCTGCCGGGAGGAGAGGCGGGGCGGCGACTGGTGGGGCGAGTGCGCAGGGGCCGGAGCAGGTATTGACGAGTCGGCCGGCGGGGGAGGGGGCGGTGGAGTAGGAGTAAAGTGATGATGGAAGCATCGATGAAGTAGAGCGGTGATATACGCATCGACTGAATACTACTTCAAGGCAGTTGGGGCCATAGCGAGGCGTTTCGTGAAAGGACGACAATTGTAGATCAGCCTTGTAACAATATTCACGATCCAACGATTCAGTCAGTCAGTCACTACGTCTTTACCATATTATGCCACACGCCACATTCTACACACCCCGTTCCGAACTGCGCAGGTGATTCACTTCCTCAACTACGCACGGCGTTGAGGTGTGAGTATGCCTACCTACGAGCAGCAGCAGCAGTAGTAGTAGTAGTAGTAGTAGTAGTAGTGGTGGTGGTGCTAGTTCTGTCCAAGACGCAGCCGTCCATCCACAACGTTCGCCTTCATCTTCGCCATTGACGGGCCAATACCATATCCGAACCCAGGCGCTGCTACCTGGCATACCCACCCCCATAACTCCCCAGACTCAAACTCGACCGACTCGCGCCCGCCTCCACGGGCACATGCGTATTCGAACTCGTCCTCATAGAGCTCGCGGCGACCCATCTGCAGACGAGACAGCAAAAGTCAGCACACAGCATACAGCATCAACAGGCCGATGTCTTAGCGGACATGCCACGCCGCTTTCCAAGCCGCAAGAACATCACGAGACGGAACGTACATCCTAACCCGGCGATCATCGCCCGCACTCGCAATCACGCCCCTCCCCTCAGGCGTCTGCAGCCAGGCGACGGCATTAACCGTCATCCCATTCCCACTCCCACCTCCACCACTCACCCCACCACCACCCGCCGCACCGTGCCCGTCCAATCTTGCAACAAGCGCCCCCGTCTGCCGCCTCCAAACATAAACCTTCCCGTCCTCACTCCCACTCACCACGAAATTCTCCCCTGCGCCACCAAACGCACTCCGGACCACCCAATCCCGTTGCACAGCACCCACATACTTCATCAAGACCTCTCCCGTCGCGGCATCGAGAGCCCACACGCGGCCGCCGCTCATACTAACCAATACCTCTCCTCCATCCGCCGAGAAGGAGATGGAAGTGATATCTACGCCGGCCTCCATACTCCACTCTGCGAGTTTCCGTCTGTCAGGGGAGGTGAGGTCGTACAGCAGGATCTTAGAACCCAGCGTTGAGGCGACCATGCGTGTCCCGTCGGTGTTAACGGCGCAGTCCGTGATGCGGAAAGAAGGCGGGTTGTCCTTCAGACTCGCGTCCCACGGTGGGTCGCGCCAGGTATGTAGCTCATTATTCCTCACCACACTCCCACTTCCACCACCACTCAAGCCACTCGCGGAGTTACTTCGCAAACTGTACAGCCCCAACGGCCGTCGCGACCCCTGCGTCCCCACCACAAACGTCTGGCTATCCGGCAACCACGCCGCAGTAGTAACGGGATAATCAAAGTGATCCGCATACGCCACTCTCCTCCCATCCCGCAGACTCACGACGACAAACTCGTTGCTTTGAGCGCAGGAGATGAGGTACTCGGAGTTGGGGCTGAAGGCCACATACACGACACCTCTCGTATTGCTGTTACCGCTGGCACTGCCGCTGCTGTTCTCAGGCCCGAGGTTGCTGCGGTCGTGCTCGCGGAATTCGTGCTGCAGCCGCCAATCGTGGGTGGAGTAGACACATACCAACCCGTCTTTGCCTGCGGTGGCGAGTAATGTGCCGTCGGGGGAGAAGGCGAGGTGCCAGACTTCGTCGGTATGGTTTCGCAGATCCATCAGTGGGTGGAGCGGGAAGTCATCAGCGGAGCATTCGTGGTCGGTATACAAACTCGGTTGTTGCGATGTATTGTGATACCGACATTGCAGTATTTGCTCCTGCTGGACGTGCGTAAGTAGAGTGGCGAGACGGTGTTCCGGTATCATGACCGACGGGGCGATGGATTTCGAAAGGGTGGAGAGGAGGTTGTTGCGGCTGCCACCTTGTGCACCATCCCATTCTGCTTGCGTGCGCAGGTCATCTGCCGAATGGCACATCATTAGACTTGAAAGGGCATGGAGGCGGTTGATGTCGCGTTTGAGCGGGGTGAGTTCGTTGCGGAGGACGGTTAGGGCGCTGGTTAGGTCTCGCTTTTCCAGCAGTTCCAGATACTTCTGCTGCCGGAGTTGGAACTTCAGCATCGTCGTATCGGCACCTTCGGCTAGCGGTAAGCCATGTCTTGACCATCCATTCTGGCTGCCAAGTGACGTCCTACTCTTTCTCCACGGCGCGGACGTAGCATGACCATTCCCCAGCATCACTCCGCCATCTGCCTCCGCCGGCGCTTCTACTCCAAACAGCAACGCCTCTGCCTCCTCCCAGTCGCCATCTTGCACGGCACTTCTAAATGCTGCTACACTCGGTATCTCCAGCTCATACCCACTCTCCGTACTCAACTGCTTCGCGGCACCTTGATACCCCAAATCCGACAGACTCTGCAGCAGTATCCTCGTCACCTCTTCTCTATCGTGGCCGTAGAACGGCGTATCATCATGCACTACTGCTACCGCCGTCTGCTCGGCATGGTGGCCATTCGTATGAAACCCATTCGTCTCGCCGCTCTTGGCGGATCCGTTGGTATGCGGCGAGGACCCGTTCTGGGATGACGATCCGTTGGTAGAAGGATGTGTTCTTTGTTCCTGAGTGGAGTCAAGCCGCATGCTCGGCTCTGCTGGATGGTCTGAAGACAGATTCGCTCCGGCTGCTCGGCGCCGCTTCGGCTTTCGCTGCTTCGAGGCTGTGCCTGGCGTCTCACGTGCCTCTGATGCGCGCCGACGACGCTTCCTGGGCCGCTCCGAGTCGTCCTGATGAGCCTCGGCTGTGGTGGGTGTGGTGGAAGGTGGATTGTGGGGTAGTTGTGGGGCAGTAGATTCTGGTGCTGGAAGAAGGGTGGCGGTGGTGGTGGTGGATGAGGATGCGGTTGGGCCGGCGGTAGTGATAGGGGAGGGTTGTGTGTGGTTGTTGTTGTTATCCAGCTCGGGAGCCGTGACAGCCGGTGGTTTGTTGGGAGAAATGGTAGCAAATGTCGCCTGGCCCGCACCAGGCCTACGACATCTGCCGTCGGCGGCAACCGCCTTGGCTGTGTGTGATTGCTGGTGGTTGTAGGTTTGTGTTGGAAGTCGATGGGTAGATGCTGCTACCGTGATGGTTCTGGGCGAGTTCACGTGCAGCAGTGCGGACTTCCCTCTGCCGGGAAATAGGCAGATGGTGGGTAGGTGCAGCTTAGGTTGGCTTTGACCAGCTTCGCTTGCACGGCTAGTAGTTGGTGCTTATCCGCTTGATTGGTCCGTCTTGTGATCGGTGTTGTGATCCTATACTTTTCTGTCACTATGATAAGCGTTCAAAGCGTCAGTAATGTGAGTAGTAGACGACAAGACAGGTCACACGGCCGAGGAGCAGCAGCAGCAGCAGCAGCAGCACGACACCGGGTCCACGACGGCGTCAGAAGCTCCGACACGACTGACACGCTGGCTGACCCACCAACACGGGCGCTTATCCTAGTGCGTGGTGGAGGTCCTGGTTGTGCCTCGCTTATTACAGCTGTCTGCTTCCAGATCTGGCTCGACTTGGATGGGTAAATGTCCGTAGCTCCTGGTCCAGCTTCTCTCTTATGGTGTCAAATGTTGCGTAGATGTCGAACGACCGATGCAACATGAAGCAGCAGAGACGCACATGCACGCATGAGCAAAGCATCAGCCACGAACGGGAATCGGTGAGCCACACCCGATAGGGCGGGGTTATCGTTGCGATAACGATAGCGTCGATACCAGAACATGTTAGAGTTCTTCGCTATATGTAATGGCGTTTCACTTCAACAGCTGGTGCTGAAAGGGAATACAGCATCTCTGGACACATGAACGCGGTCAAGATACGCGATGCAGCGCCCCATGAGCCGCCCACTTGACGAATGGTATGGTGATTGAAGTGTCGTTCATCCACTGTATTAGAGCCGCCCGCACAAGGCAGACTGACCGAATAGTACATATCCACTCAGTTGTAAGGCGTCACGCTCTCTCTCTCTCTCGCAGCGGTCGCTCTAGCCCCGTTCAGCTCTGCTAACTGATGCCCCCGTACCCGCGTCCAGCTTGATGTCATACCTCGTCGAGTGCTCGAACAGTAGATACACCACATCACCGTAGTAAGCCACACACGCATCCAACACTTAGCAAACCGGTGTTCACCGGTACTCGCTTGCAAATCACACGCATCCAACACTTAGCAAACGGGTATTCGCCCGTACTCGCATGCAATCACACGCATCCGCTCGATCATCAATAGCATGCATTTGCTAGTCCACCGCCGGATCTGTTTCGCCGGCTCAACCATCAACCGGCGCAGAAGCAGAGGTAGGATACTGCTCCTGGTTCTGCCCACCCATCCGCAACGCCTCCAGCTCCCGCGCAGCCGCAGCAGCCTGATCCCGCAACATCGCACCCATATCCTCTACCACCGGCGGCTCATCGCCCATCCGCCGATCCTCCTCTTGTCTGCCCGGCGCAGGAACACTCGCATCTTGTACCGACCCCACAGCAGCCTCTCTAGCATCCCCCGCCCCATCAAACCCAGCCATCCCAATCCCATCATGATCATGCACGAGATCCGCAAACACATGGTCGATATTACCGACGCTCTGCTGACTGCCTCCAAAACCTGGGCTGTTCATCCCACCAGCCGTGACAGTATGTCCTACACTGCCATCATGGCCCGCGCTACCGAAATACGGACTCGGATTGTGATCGGCAGCCGGACTGTCGAACGAAAACCCACCAGCGCCGTCGAAGGTATGATGATGATCAAACGCCGAAACATCCGGGCTCGTGCGCGCCGGGGCAAAAGACGCAGGCGACATATTCGCCGGCGAGCCCATCCGATTCGCCCGCGCCATCCCCATCTCGTGCGCATGGCCGTGCGTAGGCGTGGCAGCAGCGAACAACGACGCACCACCCACAAACGTACTACCCGTCGGCGTCGCGGTTGGCGTGGGCCGACTCAACGAAATTGAATTCGACCCGGACTTCCTGTGCGAAGCAGTAGCATAGTCGAACGCAGGTGTCGCCGCGATGGCGGATGGGGTCAAGGATGCTATCCTCTTCCGCATCGCCTCCGGGTCGAGATGGCGCGACGAGGGGTCCTGCATCAGCACAGTTTTGATCTTGATCAGTTTCTCGCTGTTCATGTGGGGTTCGGCGTTGAGCATTTGACTGACGACGGGCGCGCTGGCGTATTGGCCTAGGACTTGGATGGAGAGTGGGGTGAGGAAGGGTTTGTGGCCTTTCTCTGTAGTAGTCGTCATAGTGTCTGGGGCGAGACCGGAGGATGAGCCGGGGAGGGATGGTGGCTGGCTGCCCATTGGTGACATTGAGGCGCCCGTGGCTGGCTGCAAGGGTTGAGTCTTCATCATGCCCTCCGAAACTTTGCGCTTGGCGACGTGCGGCTTGATCCTGTACTGCTGCGGAAGCTCGTCCGGGTTCGTGATGCCAAGTTGAGCCATGAGCTTCTGCTGCTTTGTCGGACGCGGCTTGCGTGTAGAGCCCGAAATCTGAATCGTCGGCGGCGGCTCCGGCGCAACAGGCGCCCACTTGTGCAACTCCTGCCTCAGATAATTCGTCTCATGCGCGAGCAAGATATCCGCGCCCTCGATCTTCCTCAACTGAAAGCGCAGCGTGCCAACCTCTTCCGGAGTAGTCTGGTTCTCGGGATTAATGAACGGCCGCATGAACTCGCGGAAGTTAGCACCATAATCCACAATACTCCCGAGCGTGCCCTCCTCTTCGGGCTGAAACGGCAGCGTCTCTAGCTTGTCCTGCCACGCCTGCAAGTCCTCCAGCTTCGGCCTCGCGGCGTCGCGTGGAATCTTCACACGCCAGTCACAGATCGGGCAGGTGTACTTATCATCCTCCTTCACCTTGCCGCGTGCGATCTTCAGGCACTTGCCGTGGTACCACTCATGGCAGATCTCGCATTCGATCATCATGCCCGCCTCGGGGCGACGGCAGATGCAGAAGACATCTCTGCTAGAGTTGCTTCCGTCCGTCATCGGTGGCGCTGCGTCCTCGTTGGGTGTGTGTTCGCGTGAAGACGGCTCGACGGGCAGGCGAGGGGTGTCGCGCAGGTCAAAGCATGCTTCGTTGCGGTTGTTGACGATCATCATATGCTGGTGCAGAATGTGGAGTGGCGCGTTCGCCTTGCCAAAAAGCTTCTTGCCCTCGCGCATCCAGTCTTCGTGCTGCTTTTGTAGCTTCTCCAGCTCGATTGTCCCGTTTGGCTTGCTCTGCAGCTCTTCTAGCGCTTCGATGACGGCGCGCATCTCCCTGTACATAGGTCGCTTGCGGAAGTCAGGATCCTTCGCTTGCTCGATGAGCGCGGCAATCTTCTCTTGCAACTCACGCTGCTTGCGGAGGATTTCGTCAACTTTGCCCAATATCTCGGGGGAGACAGGCAAGGTGATGGCTTGAGCGGCCAAGGAGTCAAGCTGCTGGAAGTGCACGGGCTCGACGGCCATCAACTCTTTAGCCTTCTGCTCCCACAAGTCACCCTGCGCCTTGTGCTCACGGAAGAACAGCATGTCGGGGTTGCTGTCCGGCACGCCAATCTCCACGCCTTCCGCGATGAACTTCTCGATATCTTTCAAGGTCTGGTCTTGGCGACGCGTCTCCATATTCGGCCGCTTGACCTTGGCAAGATCATCCCATCGCAGCCGCTTCACGACGCGCTCCAAGTCGTCAATCTCGGGGATGTCGACATGAAACTCCTTGCCGCGCTCCATCAGCTCCTCAAAGTCGGCCGTGACGTGCGCGCGAATATTGCCGAGTGCAGTCTTCGCGTTGTTTTGGAACTCCTTGATGGCTTCGTCGCGTTCCCGCAGTGTGTTGATTTCCGGACAGTCAAAGCAAATGTCGTCCGCCTTTTCCAGCAGCTTAGTAATGTTCTCCACCTTTCGAAGCTCCTTGTCGCGTTCTTCCAGTTCCGCTTGCTTCGCCGTCCCCTTGCGCCAAGCCTTTTCGTTCTTCCGCCGGTTTTGCTGCTTCCGCGTGATGTAATTCGTCGCTTCCTCAACCCACTCGTTACACCGCTCCACGAACCTTCTCAGATCGGGAAGCTGCGGTAGGTCGTACTGAATTTTCTCTCCTTCCGCCAGAATCGTTCGCAGATGTTTCAGTGATGGTCGCGGATTGTCGTCCAGTTCGGCGTCGACCTTTGCCGTCCAAGTTTCGGGAATGTTCGCCTTGTCCACCACCTTCTTCACCAGCGCATTCAGCGCGTCATCCGTTATGCGATATTCGAGCACATGCGTTCCATCCAACCCTTGATACCGCTCAAACTCCAGTGCATCGCAGCATTCATAGCTTCCAGCGTGAAGTAAGCACAACACCTTATTCGTCTTCTTGCATCTGCAGCGCGATAAGTAGCAGTACGCTTTGCAGAACTGGCATATCAGCTCCTCCTCTTCCGCTGGTCCGTCAAACACCACCGGAGCTTCCTTATACCTTGGTCCGATATATGTATCCATCGCCTCCGATCCTGCACTCGTATCGGGTGTATCGAGGAAGTGCTTGCGCGCGAATACCTCATCATCGCGCATGCGCTCCAACGCTGGGCCCAACCACTTCGCAGTCTTAATGGTCAGATCGCGGGAGGCGGCAGTAAGCAGCAGCTCATCGTGCGAGAAGCATGGCTGCTTGCGATAACCACGTAATCGCTTCACCCCTTCCTCGCCAAATGGCTCCCAATCATATGGAGCGAAGTTGACAGCCTCGTTGAAGTTGAACCCATGATTAAATCCCGCATGGTACGCTCGCGGGTAGGTGATGACGAATTGGCCCGGTCGCTGATCAAGCACGTACACCTTCACACCCGCCTTGCGCAATTTCTCTGGCCGCGCAAGGGTCACCAGCTGGAAGAGTAAATCGGGCTGCGTTTCGAACAGCTCTGGCACCTCCTCCTTCATTGCTTCCTCAAACTTGTACGAATCTTCACCGGGAACGCCATACCACGTTTTCGTTTCTCCAAAGTGCTGGTAGTTGGCCGAATACGCAAAGTGGTCCTCATTGTGCCAGCAGAACGTCGAGAAGCACATGCCAACGTACAGCCAGGGTATGGTCATGCCGGAGACGTCAGACTTGACGTGCCGAAAGAGTGACTCCTTGTCCAAAGGTAGGATGTTGAGATTCCACGGGTCAGTCGAGTACGAATTTCGCGGCTGCTTCTCAATGGTAGGAAAGCCGCTGCCGTGCGTCGTGCAGTGAATATCAGCGCCGTATTCGACTTCAGTCGAGTCCGACAGTTCATCAACTAGCCTCCAGAACTCCCTTTCCACATCCTCCTCTGTCAATTCTTGCTTAGTCTCGCTGAACGGGCTGAACTGGCGCGGCACGCTCTCGAAATGCAGCTTTTTGAACGCACTAGCCTTCTTCTGGAAGCCAGACAACGAGTAGACGTCTCCCTCTTCGAACCCGTACTCGCCAGAACCCACCAAGCATCGCGGACAATGCCACTCAAAGTCCGGCTTCTGCTTTAACGGTGGCTCCAGGCAGTAGCGGTGATAGATGCAGTCGCAACTGTCACACTTTACGGTCTTGCTTAGGTCATCATTGCGTAGACACTCCTCGCAAGCCTCGCCGGGCTTCATGTTGGCACGCTCCTTTTGAGCCTGCGCACGCGCGGCGCCCATGCGAGAGTGATGCATATTGCTGCCAGTGACAGTCGGAACATCCTTACGCAGTCGCTTGCTGCGCTGATTGATCAGGTCGATCTCGTCGAGCGTCAGTATAGAGTCGCTGTGCTGTCGCTTGAGCGAGGGGACACCGTTCGGATGAGGTGCGATGACAGGATGCCCATTGCTGACGGGGGGCGTTTGTGGAGTTGCACTGCTCGAATGAGCAAACCCATTGATGCTGTTGACGGAGGTGAACGAAGGTGTCTGTGTGGGTGCATTGACAGCGGTGAAGCCACCACCAGGGTTAACCGGCGTGAAACCACCAGTGGTTGGGGCCGGCGGTAACGGTGGTGGGGGCTGCGAGCTTTCATGCGACCGAGGAATCTGTGCCGGGCTGCCGTCTCCGCTCATGCTCGCGTGCAACGCCACATGTGCTTGGTATGTCGGTGATGTTTCGTACATGCCAGACGGCGTGGCTGACTGTGCCTTCTTTGCCGGAGACGGTCCTGGTGACGGCGTGTACGGTCCACCGTTCATGAATTCCAGTTGTTGCTGCACGCCGGGCTTGGCGATGCGCAGATATTCCTCGTATGGTAGCAGCCACTTCTGGTAGGAGTTCTTGAGTGATGTCGAGAGCGATGACATGATCTTGCCGCTGTATCCCAGATCTCTACCAACTTCGGCCCATCTCTTGCCCTTGCACACCTGCTCGAAGCCGCCCTTGCGCTCCACGGTCTTCTTGAGGCGATACAAATCAAGTGGTCGCTTGTCGACGCTCGGGAAGCGGTTGAGGTTGTGTCCGTTCTGCTTGTGGAACTTGGCGAGTTGATCGAGATAGTCGTTGTTAACCCGATTACCACCTTCGACCGAGTTCAGCTCTTGACGTCGGGTGCGGAAGTGGAAGCGCTATTTCAACCTCACGTTAGCACAACCCTCCCATATCGAACACTTGTCGACCAAATCAAGCGATCATGATCTTACCTCGGTGTTGATAGCGAATGGTGGGTTCCAGCTCTCCGGTGGAACAATCTTCACAATTCCATACTTGCTGCCCTCCGGAGCGATCTTGCGCATGTACTCCATCGGATCACGAAACTCCTCCTCAGTAGGATAATATGTAGGTGCTTCGGGAATACCAAATAAGCGCTCCTTTTTCGGTCTCTCTGGTGGCATATTCGGCTGCCCTTTGCGCTCAACGGTGGAGAGGTCCAGAGGCTCCGCTCGACGTGCGCTAAGCGGGATGGCGTGGTTATTGCCAGAAGGTGGCCCGTTAAGCGTTCCAGGTGCAGTCAGAACAGCTGCTTTTGCCTTTGCAGCAGAAGTGCCCGGCGATGGCACAGCTTCAAGGCCTGGTATCACGGGCACCGGCGTCTGAGAACTGCTCGCCATGACGGTCGGCACTCCGATGATTGGAGGTACGACCATCAGGTCAGTGTGGGCACTCGGCCCGGTCTAACAAGCTGCACAAGTTGATGTGGTGTGCTGTCGCGACTGTGACTCTGACAAGGGCCGGAGCATACAGCATCAATCCGCAGAGCGTCGGGTCAAATGCGCAATATGCGGCCAGCGAACATATCATCGGAACACAGCCAGATGCCAGTACACTCGCAGCAATAGTTCCACAGAAAACCAGTAGCACCCGGTGCGCCGAGGGATGGATGGAATTTCGTACCGGACAGATGAAGCGAGGAGTTTGAAAGTGGGCAACGAGCGAGGATGCGAGGGTCAAGAAGATGCGGGCATGTGTCTAAGTGGCCCTAGTCCGCTTTGGGAGTCATGCACAGAGTTTCCGCATATGAGCCCGACATGCTTCACAACCTTGCGTTACATTACCGCGCTCAGCTTCAACATTTCGAGGCAAAAAGCGGGAGAACGTCATTGCAGGCAGCTTATGCACATATCTCTGCATCGGAAGAATGTGCGGTGTTATATCTAGGCGGAGGCAATATCCAGCGTTCGATGTCAAATCGCACCAAGAATTGCCGGGTCGCATGCGCCGTGCTCCGGCCTGCGTATGAAGTGAGAAACGGCCAATCAGCGCAACGCCGCGGATCTTTGACCGAACGTCGCGCCTCTACAACCCACGTTCTATCAATGTTGATATTGCGACTCAGCACGGATTTCAGTCAATGTCGTAGGTTAGTTTTGCCATGGACAAAGTGATCCCAGCATACTACGCGTGCTACCTTCTCCGCTCAACAGTACGCCACCAGAGTCTGTACGTCGGGAGCACGCCGAATCCTGTCAGGCGACTGAAACAACATAATGGCATTGCTCCTGGCGGTGCAGTTCGAACGTCACGCGACACATTGAGACCATGGGAGATGACATGCCTAGTCTCCGGCTTTCCGAGCAAGATTGCTGCGCTCCAATTTGAGTGCGTCAATATCAACACCACCACTGATCTCGCAGCTAACGCAGGCTTAAGATGGGCCTGGCAGAACCCCCAACTTACTCGCCACATCACTGCCGATACTCGATTGGCCCAAGCCAGGACTAACACACGGATCTCTCCTAAGACCGGAAAGGTGCGAAAGCGTCCAGGTAGGCCACGGCTTTCGCTTACGGACCGCCTAGCGAACCTGCACTTGTTGCTTCGAGCTCCTAGCTTCGAGCGATGGCCGCTCAAAGTGACCTTCTACGCCGAGGATGTCTTTCGCGTGTGGTCCAAGTGGACGAGCCAACATCTGGAAAGATTGAGGCCTGGCATCTCAGTTGCACTAGACGACTGTGCCCGGTCTCATTCAGATAACCATATCCTCAACCCTGACCGGCCAACCGGAATATCTGCCATTGACGTGACGTACCGAACTCTCAAGCCTCACGTCGACAAGTCAAGGCGACTCTTCGATAATGCCGAATGGGTCAATTGTGCTGTATGCGCTGAAGGTCTGCCAGCGAGCGGAGCCTCGACGCTGATCTGTCCAACCGAAGGATGCAACGCCATGTCGCATGTAGAATGCCTCTCAGCTAGATTCCTGGCTGTCGAACATGATCAAGATGCCATCGTCCCAATTAGTGGGAGCTGCCCAGGATGCGGAAGCCAGCTTCAGTGGGTAGACCTAGTCAAGGAGTTGAGTCTGCGGATGCGAGGTCCAAAACAGCTAGAGGCCTTGTTCAAGGCCCGTCGCAAGGCCAAGTCGATAGGTGCAGCTGATGATGCGGCATCCGGGATCGGCATTGAGGACGCGGAGATAGACGAGCCGCTCCCGGACGATGATGGCTGGTTTGCGCTGCCCGAGAGCAGTGACGACGAGGCTAGAGTGTTAGCCATCAGGAAAGATCCAAGCGCGTCGGTCGGGGTCCGGAAGTCGGACACCAATGGACCTATTTCTGAGCCGAACCGCACAATCGAGGATAGCGATTGGGAGGACGCTATGCTAGTAACTTGACGAAGCGGCGTTCAATCCGAGGATCACCCCCGCAGAAGTCCTGATGATCCACGCTAGGCCGTCGCGGCACGATTAAGCACCCAGCAGAAGGTCCCATAAAGCATTCTCCTCAAGATACCCATGATGGATCACATTCACCAGCCAATAGTTTCTCCTCACACGCTCCAGCAGCTTGCTGCTTTCCGACGCAGGCTTGTATACGCGTTGCCACTCTGCCCAGATACCGAACGCCTCCTCAAGCCACGCTTTGAAGCTCACTGCCTCAATGATTGTCGGCGTAATGATCTCTTTACCGGTAAACGTACCCCAAGTGACTGGATTGACTGAATGCTCATCTGAGCTGCCAAAGTCGCCTGCAGCACTCCCAGCAAAGTACGTGACCTGCTCATTTTCCATCAACTTCTGTCGCAGCCTCTCCCAATCGGCAGCGGGTAGGAACAACTCTACAAATGGCTTTTGGAAGACGAAACCGTTCTTCGGTCCCCACCCGAAGACCGAATCTGTACTGCGGACGCCATTGACGGCTGGCTGAGAAGCCACGCTCCACCATCCCTTCTCCACCAACCCAAGCAGCTGCTTCTTGATGGTCAGTGTCTCCGGCAGTAAAGCTTCTTCCGACCATGGAATGGCATTGATCTTGCCCTCCAGATGCTTGCGGAAGATGTCCGCAATGTCGTTCTCCGTTGTTGGAAAGCCCCATAAGCGTTTCGCTTCGGGGATGGTAGCGTGCAGACTCACGCCATATCCGTCAATCTCGCCGTAAGCGGGAGATCGTACGTCGCCCCAACGTCCGTTAGGGTAGTCGTCCCATGTCGCCTCTCGTCCAAGCGCGCCTTCGCCTTCGGAGATGGCCAAGGTGTTCGCGCGGTTGTTAATCTGATCTTTCGGTACACCTGCCTCGTCATCGGGCGCTTCGTAAGCTGCAGACGTGCGAGTACTGCTGGTGCTTGACGCACGGTCGCGCGGTACCACCACTCGGTTTCGGGGATGCGAATTCCTAGCTGACGACTGTCTGCGATGGTGGCGTTTCTTTGCGTCTTCAACCATTAAGAAACCGTCTGTCTCTTCTTCCGCGACAGCCTGTTCAGGCAGGCCGTTCTCATCTAGACTGATGACGACAGGCGTTGCGGGCGGCACTAAGCTTGCCCGCTCCAAGATCTGTGTAACCACCTTCTCGAGGTTCAGAGTGTAGAAGTGAAAGCCTCGTGGGCCTGGGTTCTCCATGCCCTTCATCTTCTCCACAGCTTCGCAGAGGATGTCGATGCCGACCCTCTTCACAGCCTCATCGTCACCCTTGACCGCCTCTAACCTCTTGAGCACGTCATTTGGTAATGATGCATGGCTAAGCTTCGTTGTACGGCGTAAGATTTGGTAGCTCTGCACAGGCATCAAACCTGGAATGATCTGAATAGTTTTGAAGACGCCACTTTCATGCTCCCGTAGGCGACGCTCATACTGCTGGTATGCTTCAACATCGTAGAACAGTTGAGTCATGATAAAATCTGCTCCAGCCTTCGTCTTCTCGACCAAGTAGGGAAGGTCATGCTCGACAGATTGGTGCTCAGGATGCGACAGATCAGAATGTCCCTCCGGATATCCAGCGACACCGATGCAGAAGTAATCGCCGTACTGCTTGCGAATGTAGCGAACGAGATCTACAGCCCACGTAAAATCTCGATTGCTATCATCCTCGACCGCATCCGGACTGTTGTCGTCCCGATACTCGTCGCTTCTCGGCGGGTCACCCCTCAACGCGAGTATGTTTCGCACGCCTAACACCTTGGCCTGCTCCAATGCCTCGTCCACCAATCTCCTGCTCATATTCGTACATGTCAAATGCAGGCACGTGGTCAACTGCAAAGACCGCTGCGTCAACTCCGCCAACGCCAGGCTCTTCGCGCTCGTACTTCCGCCGGCGCCCCACGTGACATTGACGAACAGCGGCCGCAAGGCCTGAGCCATGCGCGAGAGGCGTGCATGCAGATTGGAGAAGCCTTGCTGCGTCTTCGGTGGGAAGAATTCGAGTGAGAAGTAGTTGGCATCTGGCGGCAACGCCGCGATCTTGTCGGTGATTTTATCCATGTTCTTTGTGTCGCAGCAGGCTTATTGGGCTACGGTGGGTGTGTGAGTAATACAATGCTCGCATTGCTCTCCGCAAAGCGTTGTTGCTGTATCGTGAATTTGCACGATTGATGGCGGCCTTTATTCATCGCTTCGGCAAGTGGCACGCGAGCTGCCGGCAGCCGGCGATGAGATTAAGTGGGCTTCGGATCAGAATGTTAAAAAAAAAGCGTGTTGCTCTCTGACTCGTTGCGAACTCCCTCTCCATGTACACAGTGTTGCTGTAGATATGTGAATATCACCATATAGAAAGACTTGAAGCAGTAGCAACAGACTCGGGCTCACCACGGAAGAGAGGCATAATATGCTGAAGTACAAGGGACAACCAGCGTGAGATTTCATGAGAAGGCAACTTTGTAATGATCATTGATGTTACACAGTGCCTATTGTAGCACGCAAGAGCAAGCAAATTCGAGCTCAAATGTAGAGATAACGCCATCCATCCAAAGTGCCCAATGCACCACTTCCGCGAAATGTGCTCCATGGTATCAAAAATAAGTGCTGATGCAACCCAAAACACCTGTCAACCCCGCCAGTGTCGTATGCTCGGATCATGTCGCCAACGCATCGCTAAAACGATGAAAGCCTCACCCAAGGAAAAGGTGGGCTGGATGTAGGGTACGGAATAGTTGTAAAGCTTAGGATGATACCGAGCTTACGGAGCCACGGCTGGACTCAGAAGACAGCGACGCCATATCGAAATCCTTAGCGGACCTTCGGCGGCTAGACGAGGTCGCCATCTCGAATTGCTGCTTGGTGTGTTGATGCATGAGTCTGTAAGATCGATATTAGTTACCGATTGAGCGGGTTGTGAGGACAGTGGGATATACCTCTGGTACGAGGACATTGCCTGCTCTGGACGAGACAGATCAAATGTTTGAGCGAAGTGGTCTTGGGCTTCCATCTGTTCAGAGTATCCTCCACCACGTTGGTAGACGACTTGTGCCTCGGCGGACGACATCGTGAAAGTAGGGTATGTGTTGTTGAGTGACTTTGAGGTTGCTTAGCAGATCCGACAGAGAGTGAATGCTGCAGTGTTGAAGGTGGCTCGTTTGTGTCCGGGAAATACAGATTTGGGAAATTGGAGGCAAGCTGAGCGTACTATGCGGGAATATAAACAAACTATCCCCTCAAAGGACAGGCCAATCCGTCACCTCCAATACTCTGATAGCGGAGACCCTGCGTCAGAGAAGGGCAGCCCCATGATGTTTGTGGACGCTGACAAGCCTACCCTGAGCATGCTTAGCGTAGTGCAACGGAGCCGCACATGCAGGGCCTCCACACGGGCCTGTCCGTGGGAGCGAGGATGTGCCGCGCGATAGAGATGAAAAGGCAGAGGTGGTAAGCATCGGCACGATGCGGTTGGCACGATAGACAGAGTAGAGTTGGGGTTGTCAGCATCGAGGGTTTAGGTTTGCAACGAACGGCAAGCTGAAAGACAAGGTTGGCGGGAGCGACTCGTTGTGCAAGGTGATGCAACGTCTGGCCCCCTTCATCCTGAGACAGAGATAGATTGACAGATCTGCAAGCGGTACCTACATGCCTTATGCCGGCGTAAATATTGAGCGCTTTTCATGTCTGCTGAATGGTAAATATTGTAGACGGCTTATCGTCAGCACTTTTCTCATCAGCAGCATAACAGTGTTGCCGCTTCATCGACTCGCAAGGCAATGCAAAGAGTTCGGCGCGATGACGGTTGTGGTTGCGGTTGAGGTTCAAAAGCGCAGCCCAGGCACATGGATGCATAAGCAGCCGCCCCACAGATGACGGGCTTCCATGCAGGGTCTGCCAGGGATGCGTTTGGTGGCACTCTCTTACGGCTTCACGTCTGGAAACAGGCGACACCTCGCGATGTGCATGTAGCTTAAGAGCTGTGAAATTCTTTCAACGGCCTGACGAGGTCGCATCTTTCAGGACCGAGTGTGGGTTGTGGTGAGCAACGCGAGAAGTGTTGATCGTAGCGGAGTGAGCTCTTGGATCATCGATGTTGTCTCGAATGCTGGACAAAGGAGCAGTGCACGTCCCCGAGAGCAGCAACATGACGCAGATTGTAACGCGGTATCCCTCCGCTCTCACGCACATCACCGGCGGGCGGACATCGATGCCGCTGCGACTCCCCTCTTTACGGGCGTCATTCTCCCAACGAGCCGCCTTCACCTCCCAGCACCGATGTTCTCACGATGATAATACCATCATAAGAGCCGCAATCCACGGTGGTTTGTGATGCAGAAAAGCAAACCTTCTCGGACCGTTGTGATAACGCTGGCTAAGCGGAGTCTTCATCGCAGATTCATCGGTCGATGAGTTTGATCGGACATTCGTTCCCACGATTGGAATTGTTGGAAGACAATGACAACCTCGTATGCCCCTCGCTTGGTGGTAGAAGTATGTCTGGCGTTCGGTCACTTCTTCTGTCGTAGGGTAACGATCACGCTCCGCGAATAGTCTACAGCGGATATGCATGCAGAAGCGAGTCATGAGCTGCAGCAGCGGCTGTCATACTCTGTAGCTGATATAGACCCCCTCAACTGGCGGTTATTCGCGGCGAAGACAATAACAGCCGCTCACCAGGCCTCCACCTTTCTCAATGGCTGACCGGATTTTGCAACTTGTTGCATCGTTAGCCCGACAAGGTCATTGATCTCGGCGGCGACGTCCTCGATGCTTCTGTTGGCGTCGACGAGCACAATGTCACTCCGCTCATCATGGTGATCTCGCATGTCACGGAAGAGCTCGCGTACTCGGTCTTGCATCTCGCGCTTCTCATACCTTTCCGCTCCATAGCCACCTCGGCTCATGGCAACTTCAGTACTGACATCTAGAAACAGGCAAAGGTCTGGCCGTGGCAGTCCGACTTCAGGGTGTCGACACCAATTCAAATCCATGTCAGGGTTCCCTTTGGCTGCAGTGTAAGCCATGCCAGAGTAGTAGTATCGATCAATCACAACGGTCGTGCCTTCACTGATCAAGCGCTCGATCTCTGCGGCACTCTCCCATCGGTTGGCAGAGAAGAGCAAGTGGATCACGTGGTCTTCTGTTTGCGCCAGTCCAGAGAGGTAGTTGTTGATCATTTGTCCAATGGGCGTAGTCCGGTTGGGAAAGCGCATATGCTGAGCATCGTGGCCTTCCTGGCGGAGGTGGGAGACCAGCCGCTCACATTGCGTTGACTTGCCGGAGCGGTCAAGGCCTTCGAAGACTATTAGCGTGCCTCGTGGGCGAGCCATATTGCCATCCTTATATTGTAGGTTATAAATGGTGGCTGGCGCGTGAACAAGACGCGTGGCTGAATCATGCAATTCTCGGCGTCGGCAGTGTTTCAAGAACACACGCCTTCTTCCAACTGCAAGCTTCGGTTTAGCTACCCGACGCTACCATTTCGCACGCGACAGCTCATGACTAACTGACCTGCAGGAATCATCAGGAGATATGGCTAGTGTGGACCGTGTTCAATTCGCCGACCTACCGGAGGAGATGTTCACTGTCATCAAGTCGGCCTCTACCGGCATTGGCCCTCGACTCGGCAGGCTCGCATTACCTGGGAAGAAAGTCGTACACACACCTCACTATCTTGGCATCACGTCTCGTGGTGTGATCCCACACATCACACAGGACACTTTCGCCCGCGATGCCTCCATCACCGGAGTGTATGTAGGCCTAGAAGACTGTAAGTCACGCACACAGCGCATAAACTACCGCTTGCTGACCGGCACGCTCACAGCCGGTAAGTCATAGAACGCGCTCCTTACCAGACTCCTCCTCTCTATCAGTTCAAGCCACCTAAAGACTCTTCTCCTTTGCGTCGTTTCATCGCGTTGCCTGAAGACACTCTGCTTGTGCTGGGTGCACGCAGAGCACCGCCAGTCGCTGCGCCAGCGGCCAACCCGAACACTAACGAGACTGTTTCGGTATGTACCGCAGTGGGATTCCGGGTGCTTCGTGCAGATGACTACGCAGAGGCTGCAGAGCGGTTGCAGGCGGATATCGTTGTGGGTTTGGGAGATATACCGTACGGGCGAAAACTCGGCAACAAACGGATTGAGAAGGCGACAGAGCGCAATATCAAGTGGACGCAAGATCATATCAATCTGCGTCATTCTGCAGAGACCAGGGCGCAGCAAGCGAAGCTCTTCGCACCTTTGCTACCCGTGTCTTCAGCGAAGCAGCGATTCTACATTGAGACTCTGATCCAGGTCTCCGAACGTGATGTTGCTGGCCTTGCAGTGTATGCGCTGGACTCGCTTGAAGACCTGCCGGAAGCGCTGCAGCCTCTTCCACGCCTCGGATTCACTACGCCCAGCGCGCCTCAGGACGTGTTACAGCACATCGTACTCGGGATCGATGTGTTGACAGTACCGTTCATCAACGCAGCTACCGACGCTGGCATAGCTCTCAGCTTCCAGTTCCCATCAACGTCCTGCGATCAGTCCCACAACGGCAGCGACCCGCTACCACTCGGCATTGACATGTGGTCGCCAGCGCATGCAGTGGATCTCGGGCCCTTAGTGGATGGATGCACATGCTACGCCTGCGCTAACCATCACCGAGCGTACATTCAGCATCTGCTTGCGGCGAAGGAGATGCTCGGCTGGGTGCTACTTCAACTGCACAACCATCACGTGACTGATATTTTCTTCGCTCACATACGCGCCAGCATTGCAAATGGCACCTTCACAGATGATGTTGAGCATTTCCAGAGAAAGTATGAGAGCCGGTTGCCCGAGAAGACGGGACAGGGTCCAAGGTGAGCATCCTCTCTGGTTCGTGCTTGCGATCGTGACAGCACTGACACAATATCCAGGGTTCGAGGCTACCAATTCAAGGCCGAGGGTCCCGGTGAACCGAAGAAGAACAAGGCGCCTTTCACGATGCTCGATGACGGTCAGGAAAAAATCGTCGAGTCTGCACCTCCAGAAGCTGGGACGGACGCGAGCGAATTAGAAGCGCAAGGCTTCGCGGCGAAGGCTTGACGATCACGATACATCTGCGCAGCTCGTTGCCTACAGGCCTTCCTTGTCCAGCCACGGCGATGCAGCGCCCTGCTGACTGTACCAGAGGAGATGGTCACGCCATTGCCGTTGCCGTCGCCGTCACCGTTGCACATCTTGAGCGCAGTCACCATCTCGTCGAGGCATGCGGTGGGGTTTTGATCAAGCCACTGCATCAACCACTGCCAGCCGAAGTCAGCCAGTTAGGAGCGAGCAAAGGTTCGGGGAGGTCATACGTCGATCTGCGCCTCCTGCAGCTTGACAGGGCGACCTCGCTTCTTCAGCTTTGTCGGTGGTGGATAAGGAGCGTTATATAGGTCGAAGTTCAGCCGCATACGCTCAACTGTACGCTTCGAACACGCAACAGCCAGAGCTATATCGATGGCCGGCCAGTCGGTGTCGTCAAGCAGAGTTTTGACCTGAGCGCAGATCGCTGGAGACAGTTGACGCATTGCCAACCGACCAGGATACGCCACAGCCAGCTACACCCCCATATAAAGTCACGGCGACAATGAGAGAGCGACGGTCATGGAAGACAAGTACACAGTTCACGACATTGAACGCGTCTCAGTTTGTCAGGGCGACCCCGCCACACGGAGACAGCCGAGATGAAGCTTGGCATTCGTGAAAGGGAACTGATGCGACAAGGATCGTGCGTTGGATTATAATGCATCGAACGCGAAATTCTATGCGATGGAGCCGTCAATCGTTAGCCATCTCTATCTACAATCAGCCTTGGTGATCGGACTAGATACGGTCCTGGCTTCAATCTACACCAAAGCACCGAAGTTGTCGCCCTGCCAGTAGTTGGCCGCTCCCTGGAGGTCATCGACGTTCAAAAGATCGACACCGGCGCTGTACAGTTGGCGCCAGATGGCATTACGTGTACCGACTGGGAAGCCAGGCTGGTCCCAGTAACGGACGGCAATGCCCTTTGCATGTGCAGTGGCCACCTGTTGGAATAGCAGTGCCTGCTGGGTGGAGTTGAATTGCTGGTTGACGACCGGGCCGAACTGAACCGCGAAGTCTGTGCTTGCGATCGGGCTGACGCTAGCGGTAATGTTGCTGAAGGTCGTGCCGAGGGTGGGAATCGGGGCGTCCCAGAAGTAGTCGCGAGGCACCGAGGCGTTACCGACGCCTTGGACCTGGTTGAGAGGAGTGTTGCCGGTGCCGATAACGGTCACTGGGCCAGGGACAACGGCGGTACCGTTGAAATAAGTCAGGTAGCCCGCCGAGCGCAGCGGCTGAAGGGCGCGGACGACGTATGGCCATGTGGTCGGGCCATCAGTCTTGACGTCGACGAAGAGGTAGAGGGTCTGGCCGGAAGCGGTGTCGAACACCCCGTTCTTGGTAGTGCCTGTCACGAAGCTGGAGTTCGGGTTCTGGGCGCGGAGGACGCTCAGGATCTGTTGGATGTAAAGGCCGTCGAATGTGCGGCTGGGAGTGAGAGCGCTGGTCTCATGGCCGATGTATAGCGTGCCGTTGTAGAGCCAAACGTCGGCCTCGACGGAGACGGCTCCCACTGACAGAGCGGAGTAGAATGGTTGCTGCAGCAGCACAAAGGTTCGTCAATGTGTGATCTCACATCTGCAGGTTACGATATAGCTTACGGGACGCCAGTAGTCGTTGTGAGAGTGCAATGGCTTTGGGATGATGCCCTGCGTGAGCTGCGTAGGATATGAGCTGTAGCTGGAGTTGTTGACGATGTTTTGAAGGGCCGGAGACAGAGGGATATCGCTTTGCGCGAGAGCGGTGCCGGCAAAGGCTACCGCGGCAGTGAAGATGGTGGACAACATCTTGAACGTTCAAAATGTATAACTACTGGAGCACTTCTTTTGGCGACAGCCGAACACTTATTGTTATAGTCGTTGCCATTGATTTTCTACGCTAAGGCGAACTTGTGTAAGATGACGATTGCTGGCTTTCGGCGAGGGAGCTCTTACAGGTACCTCTCCAATAGCAGCACGCACGTGGATGAGGTAGTTCATGTTAATGCAGCTCTAGTCATACTTTCTACATTCTAAAGCGTCCAGTAGCGACCCACGTGTGCCTGAAGACGTGATCTTGTGCAAAAGCTTGACGGGGAGCTCCCAAAACTTCACAGCTTCAACGGCTACTCTCTTTTGTCTGAGTGCACTACCACTACGCTGGTCTGACTACCGGTGGCTGCTGTGTAAAGTTGAGAAGCTGAGATGTATGGCTTTTTCACGTCCCTACTTTCGCTATACAGTATTATGTGAAACTCGCGTTTGCAATCTACATGACAGATAAAGTCAGTCACACTCTCCCGTTCTACGAGCCTGACATTCAAATAACAGTATCATCTACACTCATGCTCAAGCTGCGGTAGGAAACGCAAACACAGCCGCATCAATCTTCGTGACGTTGATATTGAAGAACTCTGTTGTCGCAAACACGCGGCCTGCCGCGGTCCAAGAGTCGTAGCGACGGACACGCCATTCTCGTCTATGAGAAGAGTCATTGGGGCCATGCCGTAGAACATGAAGTTCCACTGCCATTGACCTATTAACCAGCTCTGCAACACTTGACGGAGGTAGTAATGGTGAACATTATCGCTTACCTTAGCCAACTTTCCGACAACCATCTCGTGCTCCGTGCCTGCGTGTACAGCATCATTGTTGACCAGCATATTGGGGGAGAACATAACCGAGCTCATATCATAGACGTAATCCTGCCAGAGCGTCGGCGGCGAAGCGATGGATGGACGGAGTCGCCAGAAGATGTTGTCAACGCCTCCTTCCACGGTCACGTTGTTTAGATCGTAGAGCGAAGAGGAAAGATTCCGTCATATGTCTCGTCAACACGGATTTTGTTGTGGAAGGCCGGGTGGTAGATGTAGCCGGACGATATGTGGGAGACCTCAGGGTTCCTGGATAGTTCTGGCAGAAGACAGATTCGACTTGAGAAGCTGAGGCGGTCATTCGATTCCGCACCATCCATGCTGGCGCCAACTAGCCTTAAACACTGATTGCAGCGCCGGAGGTGAAGGCTCTTGGAAACCGGCGGCGAATGGAACTGGGAAGGCGAAGGTCGCATTGCCTGCGTCCTGCGCGATGGCGCCCCACAAGCGAAGAGAATCGAGGTTGCACAGCATTGCCTTGCCGAGCGTACTTGTCCGAGGGTGATGACTGTAATGTTTGCACTAAGGTCCGTTGCAAAAACGAATAGATGTTGGTCCCAGCTGATCAACGATAAGTTCTTTGGTGAGATATGTTGTCAGTTGCGGTAGGGTAGTGACGTGGCCTATTGCTGCATATGTTGTGCATCGCTGGACATGATTATAGAAATCAACAATAATGGCAAGCGTTGAAGCAGTGCTGACGGCCTAATTTTGCGTCGGTCTTTCTACGAAACTGCTTAGCCGGATATTGGTGGCAGGCAAGAACAGAGTCCGCATAGTTCTTTCACCGGCAGAGTTGACAAACGCTTATGGGCAGTTGGCTGCAGACACGTATCGAGATATGCCGGTCGTGAATTGCTCGTGCTCCACAAACGAGATGTCAGCAAGGGCCAAAGCAGGGCCTTTGGAGGTATAACATAGGTAGGAGAGCGAGAGAAGCGGACATCCTCCTCAAGAGCGTGCTGTCTGCTTCATTTCTGCCACTCAGAAGACGCAGATGAAGAGACGAAGAAAGGTAGTAGTTGCTAGGAACTGACAGAGGATGATGAAAGCGTGGTAGCATGCTACGCTCGGCGCCGTCCACCATGGGCGCTTCGTGATGGGTGCCAACCTTGCCGACGACCGTTTCCAAGTGCTCGCAAGAGATGCTCTTACTGCTGGAACGACGGATGCTGGGAAAGCAGAGTAAGACATCGATGTGCTGAGCGTGGTGGTATAGTTGCGATGTAAAGAGCTCAACTTTATCCTCGGCACAAAGCTTGCCGAAAGCTTCAGCGTGACGTAGGATTTGCGCGGGCTACTCTCGAGCAATCAATGAGGCACATATCTGACTTGTATTCTTGTGAGATGACGAGAACATAGTTTCGATAATGCCCGCCATTCATCGCGCCCTTCCAGCGCTACGGCGCATTCGCATTGCCAACGCAACCTTCCAACAAGCATCCCGCATCCGACTTCAACCCTCCGCAGCGGCAGCAGCATCACGTCCCGCATACCAACTCCGCTATCAACATGCCGAAGCACAAACAGAAGCCGAGCCGACCACCTCCGCGTCCGGTGCAGACCATGCACCGCAAGAACAACCCGACCGACCACAGCAAAAGATCAAGTTCACAGCCGATTCCTACCCGAGCCTGAAGCGAGATTCACGCTTCAAGGAGCTTACGGAAGACGATGTGAAGTACTTCAAGGAGTTGCTGGGTTCGGAAAGCGCGGTCATTGACGGCGTGACGAAGGATGCCTTTGAGGAGTTGGATGCATTCAACGCGGATTGGATGCGGAAGTATCGGGGTCAATGTCGGCTTGTGCTGAAGCCGGAGAGTACGGAGCAGGTCAGCAAGATATTGAAGTATTGCAACGACAACATGCTGGCTGTCAACCCTCAAGGCGGTAATACGGGACTCGTTGGTGGTAGTGTTCCAGTATTCGACGAGATCGTTGTCAACTTGGCTCGTATGAACAATGTCCGCTCCTTCGACGAAGTCTCCGGCATACTTGTAGCAGACGCAGGTGTGATTTTGCAACAAGCAGATGATCATGCAGCGCAACACGGCCACATCTTTCCATTGGACCTAGGCGCGAAGGGCAGCTGCCAGATCGGCGGTAACGTGGCCACAAACGCCGGCGGACTGCGCTTATTACGGTACGGCAGTCTACACGGCAACGTTCTGGGCCTCGAAGCTGTACTCCCCGACGGCACGATCGTCGACGATCTATCAACACTCCGCAAGAACAATACAGGGTACGACCTCAAACAGCTCTTCATCGGCGGCGAAGGCACCATCGGCATCGTCACCGCCATCTCCATCCTTTGCCCGCAACGAAGTCCAGCAGTCAACGTGGCGTACTTCGGTCTGGAGAGCTACGAGAAAGTGCAGCAAGCGTTCCGTGAAGCGAAGAAGCAGCTCAGCGAGATCCTCTCCGCTTTCGAAATGATGGATGGGCAGGCGCAAAAATTGTACGCCAAAGCAAACGGCGCACGACTGCCGTTAGAGGGCGAGCACCCTTTCTACTGTTTAATTGAAACGAGCGGATCGAACACGGATCACGACAGCGAGAAGCTCAACACCTTCTTGGAGCACGTCATGGGTGAGGAGATTGTCTCTGACGGCGTGGTGGCGCAGGATGAATCGCAGCTCCAGTCACTGTGGGCGTGTCGCGAAGGGATATCAGAATCCTCCCAGCATTTCGGCGGAGTGTACAAGTACGATCTTTCCATCCCGCTGCCGCAACTTTACAGCTTGGTGGAAGAAGCGCGCTCACGCTTCGAATCCAACGGATTGATGGGAGATTCTGACGACTTCCCCGTTATGGACGTGATTGGCTACGGACACATGGGTGACAGTAATCTGCACCTCAACGTGGTATGTCGGCGTTACGATAAGGAAGTGGAGAAGGCGGTGGAGCCGTGGGTGTATGAGTGGGTGGCCGAAAGGAAGGGGAGTATCAGCGCGGAGCATGGGTTGGGCTTGGCGAAGAAGCCATTTATTGGCTATTCGAGGAGTGAGACGATGGTTAAGTTGATGAGGCAGGTGAAGGAGTTGTATGACCCGGTGAGTTCTCAAACCTGAAAGGAAAGCTCGACGGACGTGTGTTTGCTGACGTGTGATAGAATGGGATCATGAACCCGTATAAGTATATATAGGCGGCTACGTGGAGCTTCCCTCGGGTTGAGATGCTCTTCAGCCTGGAGAAGCAGCTGGCCATCCTTACCCGGTATGCCATTGCAGCTGGCAAGACGCCACGCTGGTGGCGTTCTATATGTCGTGCGAAGAGAGGGAGGTTCATACCCCGTGCGACGGTGCACTTTCACTCGTGCTCAGATCGCCATGCGATGACCGCTGCTATCACATTCGGCGGCGGAAGCCTCGGCCTGTTTCAACGGCGCCGAGCGCCGAGTGTAATGCTGGTCCCCGGCCGTCGTGAAAGCCTTCCAGGTCGCAGAACTCTTAGCCTCCCATTCCCATAGGAAGCTCCCGCCATGTATCGCTAAAAGCCAGATGGCCTTGACTTCTGGCGCCGCTTCCTGCGAGGTGCCTGCTTCACTACCTTTCCTCGCGCAGCGCGACCGTCTGACGATGTGCCTCTGAGAAATTCCTTGCTCGAACTATTTCTATCGTGTCCTGCCAACTGTGCTGCCGGAGCTTTACCCCTTGCATTCTGCAGAGGCTTCTGGCTGCAGATCCATTCGAGTTCAGTCTTCCTCTTCAGTGTGTCAGAATGGTTTTTACCAAGCATGATCCTACTGCGCTCCACTGCCTCTCCTAGTAATTGCTCTGCCTCCGCCATTCGCCCCTGACTCCAGTAACTAAATGCGAGGTTGGCCATGCTTTGTAGCGTGTCGGGATGGTCTCCAAGTATTGCCTTGCGCATCTCCAACACCTTTACCCCTAGCTGCTCCGCCTCCGCTACTCGCCCCTGTCTAGAGTATACAGCTGCGAGGTTGGCCATACTGGTTAGCGTGTGGGGGTGCTCCTCTCCGAATACTGCCTTCATTGTCTCCAGCACTTTTACCTCTAGCTGCTCCGTTTCGGCTACTCGCCCCTGCTTCCAGTACGTCGCTGCGAGGTTGGCTATGCTACTTAGCGTGTCGGAGTGCTCTTTTCCGAGTACTGCCTTCATTTTCTCCAGTACCTTAACATATAGCGTCTCTGCCTCAGCCCATCGCCCTTGGTCCGCATACGTTGTTGCAAGGTTACCCACACTTCTTAGTGTCCTGGGATGCTCCTCTCCGAGTACTGCCTTCATTGTCTCCAACACCTTTACCTCTAGCTGCTCTGCCTCGGTTAGTCGCGCCTGCTTCCGGTACGTCGCTGCGAGGTTGGCCATACTGTTCATCGTGTCGGGATGCTCGTCTCCGAGTACTGCCTTCATTGTCTCCAGTGCTTCTACCTCCAGCTGCTCTGCCTCCGCCCACTGCCCCTGGTCGCAGTACGTCGCTGCAAGGTTGCCCATACTACGTAGCGTGTCGCCATACTGCTCTCCTAATACCCTCGTGAAAGCCTCTGTCACTTTTACCCCCAACCGCTCCGCCTCCGCCAATTGCCCCAGTTGGCGGTACGATTCTGCGACCATAGCCATACTCTGCAGCGTCCTTTCATCTTCTTCACCAAGCTGCTCCGACCTTACTTCCATCGAAGATGTTGCCATCCCAAGCGCATCCGAGTATTTACCCAGCTCTCCCGCATACCAAGCGGAATTAAACATTACTCTGGCCCATTCTAGTAACATGCCACCACTGGCTGGTCTCTGCTCGATAGCGCACTTCGCGTGTGGCAATAGAGTTTGGCATGTTGGCCAGTTCTCAAACTCACCAATAGGAAAGGACATGTCCAGACGATGGACGAAATCGTCGAGAGACTTGTCTAGCCTTTTGCGGTCTTCCAGCCAGATCTGCGTTGCATCCTGCACTAGCCGATGCATTGTCCACACCTGCGGGCTTGTTGTGTTGGAGATGAACGAGAAGCTGCGGAGTGCTAAGATGTCATCTTCGAAATCTGCGTCGCGTTCAGGCTGGTCGTCTTTTTCATCGTGTGCACAAAGCAGAAGCTCCGGAATGGCAAGTCGGTCGCAAAAGCTCATCACCGAGAGCAGCTCGGCCGCGGACCGTCTGACTCTGTGAATATGTTCGAAGGAGATCTGCCACGTTAACAGAACCGAGTTGCTCGCTTCTGGGTCGCGGTTGGGTAGATGAAGGTCTCGACGTAAAAGGCTGGTTCGCGACGCGCGGCTGCCCTCCATCAGCTCACAGTACTGCTGCACCGAGCATCGCGGCGCCCGCTCTCGGATGTATGCCGCCGCCTGTGATATGGCGAGGGGCATGCAATCAAGCGCTCGTACGAGTTGCCGACCATCCGGGCTCGCGTATCCAAGCTTACTTCCGAGCAGTGACTCTGCTTCGTTCTCGCTCATTGCCGTTACGTCAATGCAGTCTTTCTCGTAGACCAGCTTCAGTGCTTCGCCCTTGCTGCGGCTCGTGATGATCATGGATCCATGATCGCAGCTCGGAAAGTAATCCATCGGCCTCCGCGCAGGATGTGCTTCACTCGATGTTGCTGATGATTCCAGCAGAACGCTAGCATCGTCAGCATTGTCAAGCACCACCAGCCACCTCCCGTTATTCTCATTGCGCAGCCAGTTCCGAAGAAGCTGCAGAAGGTCGGCCTTTGGGTCCTTTCTTCCAGCGAGCTCCAGCTGCTCGGCAGCATTTTGCAGGCTTTGCTGAAAGCGCGCGGCGTTGCTCACATGAAACCAGAGTACCCAAGTGTCTGGCGACTGCTGCCTGATCTGACGAGCGTACTCCACGGCGAGCTGCGACTTTCTGCACCCTGTGTTAGTACTGTCACGACCATGCTGAAGGATTTGACATACCCGACACCTCCCAGTCCGACCAGCGCAACTCTACCTCCTGGTATAGAGTGTTTGGTCCGGATCTGATCAATGAGCGCAGGACGTTCGACGAAGTCCGGATCGCGCCGGAATGGGACGTTGGAGGACGGCTTAGGCAGCGTCTCCGGCCGCGCTTGCGTTGCGCCGTCTTTCGGCTTGAGTGCTTTCTTGAGCAAGCGCTCTCGCGTGCTGGCTTTGCCATCACCGTAGCGAATGTTCATGCTCACACCCAGTATACCAAGGAGACAGTACGAGTCATCCTCCTCGCGAGTCGTCTCCCTGTCCGCCATCCATGTTAACTTTTCGTTCACACTGAGGGTAGAGCTCGCTTCGTAGTCTCGCAGAATAGTCTCAGGTATCTTGGTCGTGGCAGCGATTCGAGAGTCAAGTGATGGGCCAGTGTCGATGGACGTCCCGCTCCGACTACGGCCACTGCTCCCTTTATGCCCAATGACCTGCCAGTCCTGAGCAAGAAAGACGACTACGGCTGGAGCGAGGAGTTCCTGCAGCGTCCATCCCCGCCTGAACCAGACGCTATCTTGGAACTTCGCGAGGTCGTCCGCTGCAGGCACGTCTGAAAGATAGGCCAGGCATACTTCGGCATCGCGGTACCAGCGGAACATGGAATTGATCGCTTCTGACAGCTCCGTCAGGCTCTCCTGGTTGATGCAGCATGTATCGATCCATAGCCACTGGACGTGCGGGATCCGCAACTTGATGTACTCGGCGAAGCCCTTCACTTTCCGAAACCCATATTTGCCCGTGTCCCTCCCTTCTTTAATGCTACTAAGCATCACTTCCTCGCCAGCCACCCATCTGTGCGAGGCGATAGCGTACTTGGGGATTTTGGGAGGGAGAAACTCGGTGAAGGTGAGTGTGTTCACGTCGAGGAGCCGCATGTCGTCTGTTCGGTCGGAGCCAACACGTTGCTGGCCTCAAGGTGAAAATATACTCCCGACACGACTAACGCATAGATATGAGAGAATTTCAGTCCTACATTGCTGTCGTCTACACCGCAGTCGCCTAGGGGCGCAGTCACATCTCTCAGCCTTGCCTTCGCTCGGTCTAGCCACTCATGTTGCGCACCTACTGACGAGCAAGCCACGTGAGTAGGCTTGCATCCCGAACATGCATGAGGTAGTGCTCGACCTCTTCGGCCTTTGCTTTCTGGTCACACTACTGAGTAATCGGAACGATATGACTGAGACAGACGCCGTTCCGCGTTTGAGACGGCCGTTACAATGATTAGCGTTGCAGGAGCGGTGATGAGTAAGGTGAGTACTGTGTGGAGAGTGGCCTTCTAGGTAGAGCCGGGGGTGGCACCAAGTGCTGCAGGGCGTCCTTTAATTGAGCCAATCTAAACAGGACCATTGGTGGCGCACGGCACTTGGCTGGAAAGCGGAAGGCGGCTTTGCGGGCGCGACGCCTGTCCATTCGCTGTCCGCGAGGCTGCGCAAGCGCTGCGAAACACACACTCTCTCACATCCGCTCAACAAGCCGTCTCACACAGTCAGTCCCTTCGTACCTACCTCCACGCCAACCATCATACAACACATTCGCTTCATCATCCGGACGAGAGAAGGCGCCCTTGACCTTCTCCGCCGACCGCCGTGACTGCTGCTTAGGCCAGCGCACTCTTCTTCATCCTTCTGCGACTCCGGCTCCCTTCATTTCCCGTCCGTCGTACGACAGCCCGGCGCTGCATTACCCTTCACATAACACGCGCGCACGCCTCTGACGACCACTTCACGGCCTCACTCACGTGAGACAAGCAACCCGAGGCATCACCGACAGCGGGAAGGAACATACGGCAGGCACACCGGACGCCTTGACGCGCTCACGCAACCACTTATATACCTTTCACTTATCGACAATCGCTCCAACATCCATACTGAGAAGGTACTGAAGGAGGCCCGCATCCATGCCAAGCTTTGGAAGCAATCGCTCGCCTTCATTGAAGAAGATGGAGTACAGCAATAACAATCATGGCCGCTTTGGCGGTGCCGGCAAGTTCAGTATGGGCAACATCTTCGGCGATCCATTTTCATTGGCGACCATAGGCATTGCTATTGTAAGTTGAGACGGCGAGCGCCAGTGGTGGTTGTGAAGCCTCCGTACTAACGGGCCGTCCAGGCGGGCTGGTTAATAGCGTTCGTTGCCTCCATTATCGCAAGTCTATACGGAGAGTACCCGAACTACTCGTGGTGGACGATCGCATATATGCTGTGCGTCATTATCGGCATTATTGTGGCGGTGGGCTATGATGCGGTGTCTACATACCACGTAGCCATTGTGGGCTTCTTGGCGGCTGGCATGGTCTTCACTACATCGTCCGTCAATTCGCTCATTTACTGGTCACTTGGCTCGAAGGAGGCTGCAGCGGCAGGCTTCATTCTCTTGTCCATGGTTTCGGTGCGTAGCATGCACTCTATCTCCGGCCCAACGATAAGCACTAATATTCGTGACAGATCGTATGGATCTTCTACTACGGCTCGCAACCCTCAGCAAGCCACCGTCAAACATTGGACTCTTTCGCACTACACAAAGATCACGCACCAAGCCGAAGCAGCAGACATGTGACGCAATCATATGCCGGTCGGCCAGAGACAACGCACTCCGGAAACCAAGCGCCACAAATGTACAACCCAGCAACACTAGCCGGCTTCGAAACCGCCTCACCAGTAACCGGCTACGCGGGCGGACCAACCGGCGCAACAAGCAAAGGCGCAAGCAGTCCCGCCTTCCCAACATCATCACAAACACCACAACAACAAAACCTAGCACCAACACAGCCCACGACATCCGCCTCCGCCACCGCACCCTCACAACAAGGAAGCGAGGCGGTCGAGTATCCGTACCGCGCGAAAGCCATCTACAGCTACGAAGCCAACCCGGACGACGCGAACGAAATCTCCTTCTCCAAGCACGAGATCCTGCAGGTGAGCGACGTGTCGGGCCGGTGGTGGCAGGCGAAGAAGGATAACGGCGAGGCGGGCATTGCGCCGTCAAATTATCTTATTTTGCTATAAGGCGGTATCCAGGAAAACCAAGTTTTGTGGCGTTCGTTCGCTCTGAACATATAGCCTAGGAAGTCAAAGGCTGGGAAACGGAAATGATGGCTCATGGCTGTTTTGGCGACGGCGCTTTCAGGCGGGCTTTTCTTTTTGCGACGATACCATGGCGTTTTTTTGTTGATGCTTCGTTCCAAGATTCGGCTTTTGACGTGTAGGGCTAGCGAGGATATTGATTGCAAAATGATCTGCTCTCTATTGATTCTCGGCTAACACTGCTTCTAAATCTGAGCGAATGGGCATTGTTCGGGCTCTGCGTATATCCCAGATGTCGGGAGATTCTCGGCCTTGTTTTGAAAGCTGAGACATCATTGACATAGCCACATGTTTGTCCGAGAATGCGCGTTCTTGGTCTAACGGTTATGATTACCGCCTTCCAAAGACATCGTGTCACATGACAGCGGTAGATCCGGGTCCGACTGTTTGTATCGTCCTCCACTTGCCGTTGTGATCGTTTGGCTAACGTAGCAAAGCCCGGAGGACGCAATAGCGAAAGCACTTATTTAGCTGCTTCTTTTTCTGGTTATTTTGCGTTAAGGTCATAATTAAACCGGGGTGACGGCAGTGATACTTTTAGAGCATTGAGGATGATCGCCATACATTTCTTGAGAAGCTAGGGATGTCGAGACATATGAACGCTACACATTTCGATGCAGAGACATCGTTCTCTTTCGTCCTGGACAACACTGTACAAATCATATATATTCGGCGGCTGTTACACTAGTGTACACCATTCATTGCAATCCATCTACTGCCCCTTGTGCGTGCCAGCGCGTGGAGCGCCATTGGTGTTGGCGATACCTTCACCATTCACTTTAGGTGGCGGCCCGCCGTTCGCACCCTTCAAGCTCTCGTCCTTTGCAAAGCCGTTATGCGTACCGTTGAAGCGGAGGTTGGCAATGCCATCGTAGCCTCTGTAGAAGATGTGTTAGCAATTGATCAAGTAGTACGATAGGGCAAAAGGCTTACTTGACACCCGTCGCCTTCTCAAGCCGTGTAGCAAGGTCGTCGGACACCTCACGGAAAATCGCAATCTGGCGCTTAATAATCTCCTCCTTCGTGCAGGTCTGCATGTGGCCGGAGACGTTGTTGACGAAGCGCTCCTTCGCGCCGTCGTCGAAGACCTTCTCCCACAATGTGCGCGGAGCCTTGAAGTCTTCCGGTCGGATCTCGGACAAGAACGTGACAGCCTCACCGATAAAGTGACCGTGCGTCTTGTCAAGATCGACACTGCGCTGGCGGAAGGACATTGGCTCGATAGAGCTCAGGTATGCTGGACGCGAACCTTGGTTGTAGAACGCCATGTTACCGTCGCGCTGGAAGTTGCCGATACGGTAAGGCGTTTGCGAAGAGTTGACGGGTAGCTGCTGGTAGTTGACACCAATGCGATGACGGTGCGCATCCGGGTAAGAAAACAGACGAGACTGTAGGACAGGATCCGCAGACGGCTCGATACCTGGCGGTGCGTGTGACGGGTTGAACCCGATCTGCTCGATCTCGGCGAAGTAGTTCTTGATGTTCTCGTTGAGGTAGAACTCGCCGACCTTGCGGAGCGGGAACTGCTTCTGCGGCCAGACGTGGGTGAGATCGAAGATGTTGATCTTCTCCTTCTCCCACAACTCCTCGGCTTCCTTGCCGGTCATGGTCTGGAAGCAAACGTCCCAGCCAGGGTATTCACCCTTTTCAATGGCGAAGAAGAGATCCTTCATCGCGTAGTCGGGCGAGTAGTTGGCAGAGTCTTGCTGGGTAATGAAGTCCGAGCCCTGCTTGCTCTTCATGTGCATCTGAGCGTACACCCAGTCTCCCTTCTTGTTGACAAGCTTGATTGTGTGGCCGAAGTAACCATGCATCTTTCGCCAGCCGTCAGGAATACCACGGTCACCGAATAGAATCATGACTTGGTGAATACTCTCGGGATTTTGCGAGAGATAGTCCCAGAACATTGTGGAGTCGTCGGCATGCGTAAGATGGGTCGCTGGGTGACGCTTCTGCGTGTGGATGAAGTGCGGGAACTTGGCCGGGTCACGCAGGAAGAAGACAGGCGTGTTGTTCGCCACGACATCCCAGTTGCCCTCGGCCGTCCTGAACTTGACGGAGAAACCACGAGGATCGCGTGCGCAGTCGTGGGAGCCGGACTCGCCACCTACGGTGGAGAAGCGAACCGTGATTGGACATTCTCTGCCTGGCTGGAAGATGTCTGCCAGGCAGATATCGTCCAGGGGGTCGGTCGTCTTGTAGTAGCCGTGGGCGCCACCACCCTTAGCATGAACCACCCGCTCCGGTATCCTTTCACGGTCAAAGTGTGAGATCAGGTCGATCAGGTGGAAGTCCTGAAGAAGTAGCGGACCGTTCTCGCCGACTCTCTGCGTCTCGTACGGGTGTGGCATGGGCACGCCATTACTGGTGGTGTAAAGAGTCTCGGTCGAAGATGCGTTGCGGTCGTCGATATAATCTCGGTAGATATCGCCATTCTTGCGGCCATCAGGCGCGTGGTGAGTTGCTGAAGGTGCCATGTTGTACAAACACTGATAGATCTGGGTATCGTAGGTGGGTGTGAAATGAAATGCGACAACGGAAGTTGGCTGTGAATATCAACGGTATATACGCGAGCTCGCCACCGCAGTATAGAGACGTCAATTATTACCGAGCGTATCTATCTGCTGGTGGGGCATTCTCGGCCTGACTACCGTATGACGACAGAAGAGGAGCTCGACGGCTCTAGCCGGACTACAGGATAGGTGAATGGCTATCACTGGTGGATGCAGTGAAGGAACCTGTCGGCGCCTGTCACTCCAAGCGGCAAAGGTTCGAGCCGCAGGTTCGCTTCGCAGAAAGTTCGACCTCACTCCGTCCGTGCATGACGCCATGCTCAAAGCTTCGCATCGGCAAAGGGTTACGATGTCGACAGCGAGTTACCCGTTGCGGAAATATAACAGCGACCTGACCCTCATTCGCACGACGTCTGATCCAAGCGCAGAGCAGTTCACCATGCTTATGATGACCGACTCAACCAACTCGGTGGTGCACGATTGAACAGGAGTTGGAAAGCCTTGAAAATGTTGATCATTGTCTGCCGTCTTAAAGTGTACGCTTTCAAGATCAAGCACTTCCACACAATCTTATGACGGTAAGAACATCTGCAAGGTCACCCGTTCGCAGCTGTCGTCAATGTCGTCTGTGCCGAGTGCCAGACCAGCAACCGTGGTACTGCCACCCGGGCAGTAAGCGAAAACGGAGCCACCATTCGGGGCTGTACAGGTTACATGGCCCGTCACGTCCGCAACGGTGCAAGAGATGTAGTCGTCGCCGGGATTGGTGATCACGTCCGCCTCTCTCGCATCAGAACCATCGAACTGGACGTATCCCCAATCGTCGTTGACGCCGGTGTACCACCCGGTCGAATCCTCGGGATTATCGTTGTCAAGAAATAGGAAACCTTGGGTGTTGAACGTGAAGGTTGCTACGGTCCAAGAGTCGCCCGCTTCAGAGTCACCGGTTAGGATTAGAAAGGGGTTGGGGTCGACATCAACGTCCGGCACCCCTAACTGATCTACGTCGACATTGTAGGTGCTATCGTCAATGCTCGCGATGGCTAGACCGAACGCTGTCGGAGTTGCGGTCACGATTATAGATGAGATCGAAGAGACGGTCGGCGTAGTTGTTGTTGGGTCTGGTGTGATTGTCGAGACGGGCGTAGTCGTAGTTGTATCGACTGGGGTGTACGTCGTTAGAGGCGTCGACGTGGAGGTCGGTGTAAATGTAGTTGTTGCAGCAACGTCATCTTCCTGCGCCTGAGCGGAAGTAATCAGGCTGATAACGGTGGTGGTCAGAGTGCTATCACCTGTGTCAGTCTTCCATTCGGCCCAGGTTCGTTCTTATCAACCTACGTGGTAGATGCGCTTGGGCAACTGCACCCTGTGCCCGTCGCAGAGGCTGTAAGGTTTGTAGCAGAGGCTGTAAGGTTTGCAGCAGACGATGCAAGGGTTGCAGCAAATGATGAGTACACCGCAGAGCTTGAAGCAGACGGCGAAGGGACAGCGGAAGAGACCAATGTGCTAAGTGTCGACGCCTGGGACGAGCGTATCGCGCTTGAAATCGCTGAAGATGAAGCCGCCGACGTCACCGTTCCAGACGTAGTGCTTGTGGATAGCGTGGGCGAGTGCGAGGCGGACGAAGATGCCGCTGATGAAGTCGACTTTTTCGTTGTTGTGCTGGTAGACAGTGTGCTCGAATGCGAGGCAGAGGAAGACTTAGATGATGATGTGGATGCCTTGGACGTAGTGCTGCTGGACAGCGATATTGTGTGCGAGGTTGTAGATGCCGGTTGTGCCGCTGGTTTGATGATATATCCGAAAAAGCCTGGAGGACTACCGAAGGGATAGCCTCGGCGCTCAATGTCACGCTTCCTTTGTCCGGTTCCGATATTGAGCTGAACAGTAGACGTGGTTTTCGAGTAGATAGTAGTTGGACTGGCGGTCACCGTAGACACTGCAAAAACTCTGTGTCAATCATGTGAAGCCGAATGCACCGCCTGAGCTTCACTCACCAGACAGAGAGGTCGTTAGAGTATCGGCAGTGACAGTGGTAGTGCTATCTGGAGCGGTGATGGTCGAGGTAGCGCCAGTCAACGTGACAATGTCGTCCGCGGTAATGGTTATCGTCCCGGTCTAGCGACCTGACTTAGCAAAGGGACCTGCCAAGCATTTACTGGAAGCTCACTGTAACCGTGCTGTCTGAAATGGTGAAGACCGTCGATGTGCTGGTGAAGGTTGCACTCTCGGTGATCGTGCTTATAGAACTACATGGACATGCTTGGAAAAGTGAAGCAGCAGTTGCAGATGAAGGAATAGCGGAAGAAGTTCCAACAATAGCGATGGAAGGCATCTTGAGAAAGGAATGCAAGTAAAGGGAGTTGAAAACACCGAATGAATGACTGTAGTGGAACTGAAGTTTGCTGTTGAGCGACACTGGAAGCCTCTACACTCTTGTAGGCTGCCTACAGTACCTTGCATGAGTGTGGCGGTAGCAACCGCCATACTCCATGCATTGTCTGGTGTGCTGACGCCGGAGCCCAATGCTTGCCATTCACGGAGCACGAAAGACGCCAGGGCTAGCTAACAGACGGCACGAGTGAAGGAGGCACGGATGTCGGGACGGTGAGATAGGCTGTATAGGCTGTAGTGTCATGTAGAGTCATGTAGAGGCCGACTCTCGACCAGTGTGGTAGACGTGTGGCTTGCAACTTCCGCCTTCCGCCCCTTTTGGAGCCCATATCACACGGCAGCGCCGAGATGAAGAGCGGGTCGCTGTATACCGCATGCCACCGTAAAAGGGGCCAAGACATCCAGTAAGCGAGGGCCTTCGGCCGATCATTCGGAGCCGCGGTATGGACCTATACCACAATACGCACGATGTTTGCGGGAAAGGTACTATCGAAGAGACGAGATGCGGATAATGGAGCGCGAACTCCGAGACGCTGAGTCGTCCTGAAATCTAGACGGGTGAGTGCTTTGACCACATTACAAAACAACGCAACGTTCAGTCGCGTCTGACCATCCCGCATTCGACAGAACGGGAACTGCTTCTTACGAACTTCACAAGATATGTCTTGAGGGATGTATGTCCCGCAGTAGATGTGCTTCAAATGGAAACCTGCGTGGTGACGAGTTCCGTCAATGCGGGCTGGAAGGAGGACTGCAGGGGCGAGACGCACTGGTATCGATAAACATCGTAGACACCAGACATCACCTGCGTTACGCAACGCAAGGCAGCGGAGGATTGATCTTGCGTCCATGAAAGACAAGCAACACAACTTGTCGCATGTCAACCTTCCCGCTCGGTAACATGTCGATGGAGTACGAAGGCTATCCTTCACCATCGTCGTCTGGCAGGATCCGCTTTGACGTCGGCCGTGATAAGCCGTTCGAAACAGCATACTTCGTTTACGGCGACCTCACCAGCAAAATTCCACCTCTCGTCTGTCTCCATGGCGGCCCTGGCGCAACATGCCGTTACCTTGCTCCCCTTTCGGTCCTGCAGGAGCGCTACCACATTCCCGTGGTGATGTACGATCAGATCGGTTGCGGGCAGAGCACGCATCTTCCTGAGACTAGGGGTGACACATCCTTCTGGACTGTAGACCTCTTCGTGGATGAGCTTCGCAATCTCCTCTTTCATCTCGATATCACAGAATACCATCTCATGGGCCATTCCTGGGGTGGGTTACCCATGATTACATTTGCACTCACCAAGCCGACCGGTCTCCGCTCCCTGATCGCCTACAGTACTCCAGCCAGCTTCCCGCTCCGTATTGAATGTTGCAAGCGGCAGTACAGCGATATGGGCCCCGAGATGGGCGCCCTCCTAATGCACGCACACAAGGACGGCAAAAGTAACACAGCTGAGTTTAAGGACGCTATGAATAAGTTCAACCGTAAGCATATGTGCCGCCTGGAGGTTCCTCCGCAACCTTATCTGGATGTCTACCCCGAGCTGGCTCGAGACGACACAGTGGCTATGACACTGTTTGGAGCCGATCTCATTAACATGTAAGTACGCATCAACGTTGTTGTAGCGGCTTCGGGCTTTTCGTCTGCTCATGTAGCACTAGGACCGGGTCTTTGAAGAACTGGGACGGTACGTTGCCCCAAGTCGCGAAGAAACAACGTGAGTGCAAAACTCATAGTCTGCCCCAGTCACGCCAGATCTCTGCAAGATCACTCCCACGACGGCTCCGGGTGGTATCCTCGTTATGAATGGGTGGTATGATACAACACAAGACGACGCGACGGCTGCATACTTTATCAAGCCCAGTGCGCGAGTGAAGTGGGTACAATTTGCGGAGAGCAGCCATATGGCGCATATGGAGGAGCCGGAGAGGTTTACCAAGACTCTTGGCGAGTTCTTGCAAATGGCGTAGCTATGCATATTTGTTGTGCTTGCATGACCGGCAATGCACATGCCCTTGCCACAAGCGACCATGCACGTAATTGCTCGGCTCATCTACGTAAGTTTTAGTCGCACGGCAATTTCCGCCGTTAAGTCAAGCCAGCCAATACCTTGTACGCTGTGCACAATAACCTCCTTGCCACCCACCACAACATCTATACCACATCCTAAGACGAACACGTTAATCCTCACGGAAAATGTAATTCCAGGCAACTAGTTGGCGCAATGTCAGCGAGTCGTAGAAGCCTCATCCAACCGGTGGACATCACCGAGATATTGAATGGATCCATCGCTGTGAAGCCGAGCCCAACCGAACATGTCGCCTCGCCAACCTTCTCAACCCACTCTACGGGCTTACTACGACGAGAGAGCTGGCGGGGACACACCCGTGCAATGTCTGTCGCCACCGAATCCAGCGTGCGCTCGAACCGCTTCTCCACCTCTTTCCCTGTCCAACCGGCCATTCCCAGCTCCCCAACGCATTTTACGCAGTCACCGACACGAGAGGGCCCTGCAGTCTCCCCTGAGGCTCTGTCAGCGCCCACTGGTCCAAGCGACACCAACTTCCTTACTGCGATAGCGGCGCAGGAGCGGAAAGTGCTGGAGTTAAGGGAGGAGCTGCAACGCGCAGAAGCAGAACTCAACAACTTGAAGAGGCATTGGGCGCAGCACGAAGCCAGCAAGAAGCGAAATGATGCGCGGAGGCTCACCAAGCTGCAGCCTGTGCAGCAAGAGCGACCAACTTCTGTGGACATGGAGGAGGAACTTGATGGCTCAGGTGCTTGGATGCTACAGGAGATGGAGAGGAGGAGGGCGCTGATGAATGGCGGCAGGACGGGTAATCGAAGGGTATTCTCCAGTTCACGGCATACGCGCACACTATCTCTGCTTCCGCCTGCACGAGACATTCTTCCTAAGCTTCCGCCAAGGAAGCAAAGCGAGCCCCAAGGCAGCAAGTCGAGTACAGATTCAGAGAGAACGCGACCGACACTGCTAGCGCGGGCTTCTACCACACCAGACTTGACGAGGGAGGTCGCAGAGAAAGCAGACTCCGAGATTAACCTTCCTAACAACATTGAAACTGGCCTTGGCAGTGAAGCGATCATGTTGGCGGGCAAGAAGATGGCAACAGAGTTCCGTGACGGCCTGATGACGTTCTGGGAGGACCTTAGGCAGGCCACCGTTGGCGAAGAAGCCATCCGGGAAGACGGCGAGTATCAGACTAATAACCCACCGCAATCGAGCGTAAGAAGGCAGAACTCCGTACAAACACTGCGCTCCAAACGACAACTTCCACGGCCTACCTCCAAGGATCGAGGAGCTAAGACACCGTCTCCCACGCGTAGACACAACAGAAGCAAAACGCAAGCTGCTTTGCCCGACCTGGCCGATACAACATTCTGGTCGCAGCATGAAGACGAAGCAACGCCTGCTCCTGCGGTGAAACGGTCGCCCACTGCGCGCAGTACCCGCACCAAGACCAGGGGCTCGTCGAAGCCGCCCTCAATTACAAGCACCGACGGTTGGGACGCATGGGAAGATCATGGTAGCCCCAACGAGTCACGCTCATCTAGCGCAGCTTCGGAGACGAACACGCTGCCCTCATCAGCTGCCTCTGGATTAGGAAGCCCTAGGACGAGCGCTGAGAAGAAAGATCCTCTTCCATGGCCAGCACTCAGCAAGCTGGGTCCAGCGACTCTAAAACGTACAGCCAGCCACCTAATGAGGGAGTGGGAACGGAGCTTGACGCCGTCGCCCGGTAGAGAGTTCAGGGGGGTGGAGGACTACCTAGGCTTGCAGTCAAGCCCTGCTGCTGCTGCTGACGATGTTGGAAAGAAGAAAGATTAGTTGATTGTGTGGCGTGCTATGTCCGCCACATCTCATGAACACAAGCTATGTATGGACGTTGTGACGTCTCGACTGCGCCATCGGGCTCCTTGTGTCTTCCTCCAACCGCCTACGGTTGACTTCGTGAGCAGCACACCATCCTCCATGCCTCCCATCGGTAGTGGACACTAATTACGAGCGATTTCCTAGTCGTTTCAGTGCTCGCGTGCAAATTACGCGCTCACTTTCCGGGTAGGTACGTTCCGCTAGTAGGTGAGATTGACCAAATCCGTTAGGAACCGCACGCTTCTAGGTTATTGTAAATGGTGAATCTTGTGGTACGCAGTAGAGCGGTCACGCCTGATAAAGCCGTCAACAGCGTTACGATCCGGTCCAGATCTTGTCACGGCGTGTTCAGCGCATAAACTTATCGGCGAAGCCTCTCAGCTTCCCTCTGAATCCGCCTTCTTGATGCTGCTGCTGCTCCTGACCAGGCGGCGGAGGTGGCGGCGGCCGATCGTACGTTTGCTGCTGCGGCTGTTGGTTGGCAGTATCCGGAGGAGCTCCGCCTGCTGCACTTTTGCCACCAACAGTCACAGTAAACAGCACCGGATCGCCAGCATTAACCTTGCCACTTTGATCCTCGCCACCATCTGGCTGCACATCGTCGTAAGCGAATGCATAGCCCTTCCTGTCAAGGTTGACCTGATGAACAAGCCGCGCGTAATGGTTTGTCGGATCTGTGGCATAGAATGTGCTGGGATCTGATGGATGCTCCTCGCACGCTAACAAGGTCGAGCGATGAAAGGCGGCTGCGAGTCGAGGAATAATAGCGTTCCTCGTCGCCGAGGGACCCGTGGTGAAAGGACCCGAGTTGCAGCCAAAGACGTCCGCGCTGTTGGGTTTGTCGAACGCTTCGTCACCAATCATAAGCTTTCCGTTGCTCTCAATGCGGCCTTCGAGGACACCAGGACCGGCTTGGGTATTGACTTTCATGCAGTGGTTCGAGCTGTATTTAGACCATACTTCCTCAATGTGCGGTTCGTAATATCTATACTTCGTCAGCTTCACCGTTACCTTCGTTAAGACGGTCTAGAAGTTCATACCCTTCAAAGCTTGCACCAACCGCACCGCCATGTGTAGCGTTTAAGACGCGCAGATTTCGCCCCTCCCGGTTCACGGTGAGCTTATCCCATGGTCGACCGTCCTTCTGCGCTTGCTGGCGGAGGCCTTCGGCAAGCTGATCTAGCCCATTGGGTGCCATACCCATAACGTGCTGCACTTGGCCGGACGCCTGTTGCAGGGTGATGGCTATTGGAATTCTGGGCGCAAAGTCCACGTACGAAATGTTGGCATACAGTTGGTCGTTGTTTAAGGTAAACTCACAAAACCCGAAATTGACATTGGCATTAGGGTCACTCGGGTTGAGCACTGAAGGCTCAACAAGTGCTGGACCTGGGTTCAAGAGGAATGTGAGGTTTCCTTCTGAGATCCATATCCGGCCGCCCGCAATCTGCGGGATTGTAATGGTCGTAGAGTTGCCGGGAGGGCCAAGAGGGATCGCACAGTCTTCGGCCAGCGGCGAGCCTATTGATGGCGGGTTCTGCGCAAAGTAGAGGTCACTGCCGTTCGCTTTCAGCATGAGACGCTGGCCTCCATGTTGAATACCAATGCCTGTGATGTATGCGTAGAGGTTACTTGCGTCGCTGTCGTTCTTGAGAGCGATCTGCAGTGAGTCTGGCATGGCGCACACTTGTGTAAATAGAGGGGAGAGAAGGAGAAGACAACCTTACATATGCCAATGCTACACTTCTGCTTCTTGTGTGACGTGACTCATCTGCGGTGGACATGGTTGGTTTCAGGTTTCGCTGAGGCAAGCGGTTGATGTTCGGCAGATGCCGCTCATGCACGCGTTCGCCCTCTGTTTCTGCTGATCTTCGTCATCAGTGTTCGGCATTGCATTGCATTTTCTCTCGTGCTCGCAATCAAGACTGTAATGGTCCACATCCTCGCGTTGAGTCGCCTGTAGCGCTTCTCCTCCTTACGTGGCTTGCAAGACAAGTCCTCCCCGTTCTGACGAGCAGCTCGACAGCGTTTGCACGACCTGGAGAGGCAGAAAGGAAAGGTAGGTATTACTCAAGCATCCCTCGACTCCACCTATGAGCTTCCTTGTCAGTGCCCTCCGCTCTGCCGTTTCGTTTGGCCGAGCGGACAAGGTGCAAGACTCGAGCGTCAACGGGATAATGGAGAAACAACGTGGAAGCCTCCCGGATTGGGCAAACCTCTCTGTGATCCACCGCAACACAATGCCTCCCCGATCGAACTTCGTGATCTGTCAGACTGAAGAAGATGCACTTTCTCGAGAGGTCTCCAAGGCTTCGGCCCATTGCTTGTCTGGAAAGTGGCGATTTCATCTTTCCAATACTCCGCTTGAAGCACCGACAGGTTTCGAAGACGTCAACTTCGACACCTCGAGATGGAGCCAGATCACCGTACCAGGCATGTGGCAGTTACAAGGCTTTGGCAAGGGACCGCACTACACTAATGTGCAATATCCATTCCCAGTCGACCCACCGTATCCGCCATTCACGAACAACGAGTGCGGCTCGTACGTAACTCACTTTGACGTCCCAGGACAGCTCCAAGACCAGCAGCTGCGGTTACGCTTTGGGGGTGTTGACTCTGCGTTCCATGTATGGGTTAATGGGCGAGAGGTCGGCTATAGCCAAGGTTCTCGCAATCCATCCGAGTTCGATATTACAGACTTCGTGGAGAAGAAAGGGTGCAATGTGTTGGCTGTGCGCGTCTATCAGTTCTGTGATGGATCGGTACGGTAGGCCTGGCCTCTTGTCTCACGCAGCACTAACGATTTCCCACTAGTACATCGAAGATCAAGATCAATGGTGGCTGAGTGGTATATTCCGGGAAGTCTTCCTCCTTGCATTTCCAAAGACGGCGCGGATCGAAGATTTTGCAGTCCAGACCGTGTTCGACGAGCACTACAAGGGCGCCACGTTGAAAACACAAGTCACACTCTCGGCATCCGCCGAAGTAACCTTGCGTTTGCTGGACGCGGACCACAAGGAAGTTGCAAAGGCTGTGGAGAGTGTGCGTGACCATAAGAATGTTGTCCACTTCTCCATATCGATAGCGGAGCCGAGGAAGTGGACAGCAGAAACCCCGTATCTTTACCACTTGGTTTTGTCCATTGGAGATGACCAGTTCGTCACACGCCGCATTGGCTTCCGACAAGTAGAGATCAAGGATGGGCTGTTGAAGGTAAACGGCCAGCGCATCCTTCTCAAGGGAGCTAACAGACACGAACACCATCCGCAATACGGCCGGACTATACCATATGAATTTATGCGACAGGATTTACTGCTCATGAAGCAGCACAACATTAATGCCATACGGACATGTCATCAGCCGAATGACTCACGAATGTATGATCTGGCAGATGAGCTGGGTTTCTGGGTGATGGACGAGGCGGACCTGGAGTGCCATGGCTTTGAGCTAATGGAAGAAATGAACCTTTCCGACGAGCTGAAGCGACTGCCGTATCCGCTTCGCCACCGATATACAATGGCACTGGCTGCGAGGTGGACCAGCGATAATCCAGACTGGAAAGAAGCCTACGTCGATCGAGCTCGGCAGCTTGTGCAAAGAGACAAAGTCCATCCTTGCGTGATTATGTGGAGCTTAGGAAATGAGGCCTTTTATGGACAGAATCACACGGCGATGTATGACTACATCAAGAGCGTTGACGTTACAAGACCGGTACATTACGAGCAAGACTTTGACGCAGAGTACATGGACATTTACTCGCGAATGTACCCTTCTGTGGATGCGATTGTGCATTTGGCGGAGAACGATTGCAAGATTCACAAAAAGCCTTTGGTCCTCTGCGAGTTCATCCACGCAATGGGCACTGGACCGGGCGCCATCCAAGAGTACGTCGACTGCTTCTACCAGTACCCCCAATTGCAAGGCGGCTTTGTCTGGGAATGGGCAAATCATGGTATCCTTACCAAGACAGCGGACGGACTGCCGTACTATGCGTTTGGCGGAGACTTTGGTGATGTGCCTAATGACGGCAACTTTGTTATGGACGGAGTGCTAAAATCCGATCATACACCAAGGAGTGCTCTAATCGAGTACATGAAGTCGCTAGAGCCAGTGCATATCATTGCTGCGGATAAGGCGAAGGCAACAATCAGAAACGCCTTGGACTTTGCGACGCTCGACCACCTGAAGTGCGTGTGGTCCGTAGTGAACGAGAACGGAGTTCAGCGACATACCGATACCGGGGAGATTGCCATGCCGGAGAACACGAGGCCGGGCGGTACTGCAGAGTTGTCTCTTCCCAGGCTCGAGGACAACCTGTCTGGCGAAGCCTTTCTGACGATGAGCTTTCAGCTAAAGTCCGATACTCAGTGGGCAAAGGCCGGGTATGAGCTAGCATGGGCACAAGTGCCACTGACCACGCGATCCGCTATCTCCAAGCCTAAGCTAGCGACTTTTCCGACGTTAAAGGTGCAGGCGACTGATACAAGGCTGGAAGTTGCCTGCGGCTCAAACGTATGGGAGATTGACGTACCGCTTGGTGCGCTTGTGTCTTGGAAGAAGGCGGGCAAGGAATTGCTCGCCCAGCCGCTGCTCCCAAGCTTTTACCGTGCTCCTACTGATAACGACGCGCCTGCGCACGTGACGGACTGGAAGTACAGGTTTCTGCATCTCGCATACGTACAAACGCGGAGAGTCGAGAGGCGCAAGGGAAGCGATGAAATCGTTGTAGATATCGAACAGCGGTTCGCACCGCCAGTGCTGTCATGGTCGTTGGATTTGCAGACACAGTATGCCTTTCAACGCGACGGCTCGGTGAAGATAGCAATCAAGGGCAAACCGAATGGCATGAGCTTGCCTAAGACTCTACCACGCGTCGGCATAACCATGGGTCTAGCGAGCACGTTTCAGCAGGTCGAGTGGTTTGGTCGGGGGCCCGGAGAAAGCTACAAGGACATGAAGATCTCACAAAAGGTCGGCGTGCACTCCGTAAAAAGCGTTGACCAACTCTGGACAGGACCAGAGTTCCCGCAGGAATGCTCCAATCGGACAGATACGCGGTGGGTAAAGTTCTCGGATGGCACGACAGAGATGACGGCGCAAATGTTTGACATCGCAGATGCGCAAAAAAGGAGTCTTTTCGACTTCATGGCGAGCCATTACGACGTGAAGGATATTGATGAAGCGAGGCATCCGTATGAGCTGGAGAAGAAGAAGCAGGACATTGTGTTACTGAGGCTAGACGCTGATCATCACGGCCTTGGTACTGGATCTTGTGGGCCACCAACATTGCCCAAATATGCTTTGAACACGGCGCCGTTCGAGTTCGGCGTCTTGCTGCAGTAACAGAAGGCTGTACAGAGCAATGCATTAAGCGGCTACTGTGTCAGTCATATCATAGCCCGCGAAGTATATGTGAGAAGCCTTCGCAAAGCAGCTCCAAGCGATAGGTGATAACTTCACCATGTCCAGTCGTGGACACTTTTGTAAAGACCGACGGCTGAAGAGTTGTGTGCGCATAGCCGACTGTGTAGCAGAGCTAGACCGATATGAAGTACGCATGTTATGCAAACCAGGGGTAGCGACATTGTTCATGTTACTGGTTTACGCCACCAGTGCAACGGAGAGCAGCTCGGGCGCCGTCTTGTGGTTACGCCATGCTTTCGAAAGGTCAAGGTAGGTGAGCTGGATCGAGCAGTAGTCCACGTAGACACGATTGTTGGCACTCAATGCGCCTATAACACCCGCAGGGCACATATATGGACCGTTCTGTTAGCTCTTCAAAGGCTGCCTATGCCAGCACCTTACCTATAGCCCATTCTGACGGTACATCTCGATAATGAGCATCACCAAACGTTCGATCACTCTGACGGTCCATGACCATACGGCTCAGACACATCTCTTCATGCTCTGGCTCCAACAAGCAGTGGCCGGTATGAATGGGAGATTCAGCATCCAACGCCAGCCGGAAGAAGACGTCCGCACTCGAGGCTGGGTGATGGTGGACCTGGAAGATAGCCCGTCAAGTCTGGATTCTCGTTCCACCACCGGGATCCTGCAGAGCACTGAGAAGGCAGGCATCTGATCTTACACGGCGCCGTGAGTGACACGAGTTTGTCTCGAGGGAGGTATTACCACTGACACTGGGCCGCAAAGGGAAAACGCAGCCGATATGTAAGTCTGCGGTGCAGGCGTACCGCCCGTCTGCAGTATCGAAGGATATCTTGTTGTCAGTCAATGGAGCGCATACTCCCGTCATAGTCTTGACAGTTAGGGCCTCTAAACTGGTTGGGACAGTGGCGGGTGCTCAACGAACAAGCAAACAAAGCGTAGCTCACGCGCCAGAAGCCTTCGCCACCTCGTCTACCGCACCCTCGAGTCGGACAGCTGTCAATGCCGTCGCTAGCTTGCACATCTTCACCGGGTCTTTTCCGACCATAGCGTAAAGCTCGTCGACGCTGGCGGGCAGACCCATCTGCTCTGCCGCGCCAATGCTGCGGGGATCTAGGAATGGAGCCAACTCAGGCCAGACTCCCTGTGCAGTGTCGCAGAAGATATCAAGCGCCACATTACCGATACCCTTGATCTTCTGCACCCGCTTGCGGACCTCGTCGCGAACATTGGTTGAGTCCGTGTCCTTGGCCGCGGCCAGGAGATTATTCAAGTTGCCCTTCCACGTTGTGCGTATCCACTCCACGAGGTCACCCATCTGTGTTGCTGTCTTCTCCCGGTAATGTGTATAACCGCCTTCAGTAAGCACCCTGGTCCGCTCCTCCCAAGTCGTCTTCTCCAAGGTTGCAAGATCAGCCCACCCTGCTTCGAGAACTGTATTGACTGTCTTCTCCGCCAACTTGTGGGAGATGCGTGTGCTTGTTAGTAGTGCATTGAATAGATGAGCGAGCATTGTCTCTGCTGTAGGCTTTGACGGTTCCTTGAGCGCAGTGTGAGACAACGGAAGATCACCATGCTCGTTTAGTAGCTTCTCTATCTTGTGGTCGTCGACCTTACTTCCCCCCTTTGTAACATCTTTATCCTTCTCGCCTCGTGGCATCTTCGCTCGGGGCTGTACAGTCTCCGTAATATCTCCTTCGCCCTCTTCGGCAGCCTCACCTCCCGCAGGCTCCTCTTGAGCTTCTGATTCTGGCTCCTCCTTTCGCTTCTTTGGTACCTTCTGCTTACTTGGTTGCAGCTGCTTCTGCGACCGTGGACCACTCGCCTTGTTCCCAGCGTCCACCTTCCCCTGAGCCCGAGTGCGTGCCATAATGGAACAATGCTACGTCGCGGAGAGATCGAGACTGTTGTTGCGGGTCCCCCTTACGGATAGCAAGCTGAAGGAGGCCTCCCTGTAGCGTTGAAAGAGGCGATTTGATGCTTACGAAAGAAACTCAGTGAAATACGGTCAGAACACAGTTGCGATGGGATGGAGGTCTGCTTATAGGGTGCTCATTTGCCTTCCGCCCTCTGCTAGGCTTGTGGTCGTAGAATGTCGCGATCATTTGGGGCATGGAACATTTTGGAGTCCAATTGCTGCTCAACATTCGACTAGGCTAAATCAAGAACCTGCCGTATTGCGTGGACCACATCGGTATTCACGAGTCTGCGTTGCATGCATTCATTTATATATCACGTAACGTGCTCCTTCTCTTCTTCCTTCGGTATGCGTACGGAGACTGCGGTGATCACTGCACCCGACAATGCCGCCGCAAGCGCGAACCACCACGCAGCCTTAATGCCCTTCAGTCCAATCTCACCATCAGCTCCAAGATCCACCTTGGCACCGATTGCATCGCCTACTGACGTCATGATGGCAGCAGATAAGTTTTGTATTGTGGCTAGCAAGCTTCCGGCACTGCCTTGGTAGCTGCGTGCCACATTCGACGTAATAAAGATGGACGCCGCCGCGAACGATAGGTCTGGTCCGAAGGTTGCAAGAGCGACACCAGGCATGCTTAGTGCCCAATAAGGTGTGCTAGGTGTTTGGGGCAGGAACAGTGCCGGACCACATGCAAATGCTAGCATGGCCGAAATGTATATGTAGTGGCCTGGAATTAGGTGAAGAAGGCGACTGACAAGGAAGGTGGCAGCCACTCCCACGATTGCGTTCGGTAGCATGTACAGGGCAACAATGATTGCGGGCTTGTTCTGGAAGCGCAGGAAGAACTGAATCGCGTAGAATTGCCACGGCCCAATGAACCCCCCGAAGCCGAGGAAGTAGGCTGCCATGAGTGGTGCAAAGCCTGGAGTTTTCCAGAGACGGGTCGGTATAATAGGACGAGGGACTTTGCTCTCGATGTACGGGAACAGCACAAGCAGCTAGATCAGTGGTTAGTAGGCATCTGCATCAGGAGAAGAGCGCTTACTAGAATCCCCACGATGATCAAGCTGTACGTGTAAGGTGCCCAGTTGACTGCCGGCCCTTGAGTCAAACCGAAGAGCAAGCAGACACATCCAGCCATTGCGCAGACGGCTCCCTTGAAGTCGAAGCGCCGCAGCCCTGGCACATCAGCCCCTGGCGTATCAGCGACTGGTTGCATGGGTGGAATAGTATATAGCGATGCAAGGCACAACAGCACACTCATCATGGCGTTGGTGCCGAAGATCCACGGCAAATGCGCCGATAGCGCTCCGCCTTGGAGAAGGCCAATCCAGAATCCAACCGGAGCACCAGCTGCCATAGCACTGAACACTCGTGTTTTACGCAGACCAGGTGCATATACCCGTCCGAGAATGCTCATGCTGCCTGACACGAGCACACCCACTGAAAGGCCTTGCATTGCGCGGACGATAAAAAAGAGCACAACCCGAGATGGGGTGACAGAGAAAGCCCCAACAAGGTTCCACAGCGCTTGCCACACGAGAGCACCCAGAACGATCCGCTTTGGGGCAAGTAGGTCTGCAAGGGAGCCAGCAACAACAACGGAGAGGCCATTGGCGACAAGGAAACTGCCCACCAGCCACGGTAGCTGAGTGTTCTGCAGCCCCAAGGCTACTTTGAGGGTCTGTTGATTGACGACAACATCGCCGTAGAAGAACGCGAAGAGTAACTGCCCGCTGCTGCAAACCAGTACGAAGATGACTTCCTTCGTGAGGCTGCCAAGCTCCGGTGGGACGCCCTGATGGTCGAGAGTGGATGCTGAGCCAGCTTCCTCTGCCAAACGATTGTTGGAAGCCTGCCTGCCCAGGTCCTTGGGGCGCGGTGAAGTGCGCGCATGGCTGGCTTCGGGCCGAATGGGAGCAAGGAGGATATTGACAGAGGCGCTATCAGGTTCTCGAGACGATCCTGCCTCGGAGACAGGCCGTGGGGTGTCGGACGGCAATGCCTGCTCAGTTTTTGTGAGTGTCATTAGCTGGTCTTGACCCAGTAGCTCCGTGTATCTTCGGTTATCGAATGTGGGCTTTCATCAGCGAGATGCCGTGTCTCACCCGTCGTCAGTGTAACAATGGTGGCTGGAAAGTCTTGCTGAAGTGGCATGTCAATGAGAGCGAGGTTGATAGACGACACAGAACGCGCTGAGATGGATGCCTATACTTGACCATGAGTGATGCAATGAATATTTTAGAACTGCGGCTTTATCTAATAGCGTTGCATCGCCGACACGGCACTCCCTGATCGGTCAGCAAAGGCCGAAGCAACGAGTACGGCAGAAAGCGTCTACCGGACATTGGGGCGACAGCAGACCTGCGTGTCTGTCTATTGGCTTCCCGCACTCGACACCAGCTGGTATCGCTAGCTGGGTCAAAGCGACCTTCATCTTGCGCAAGTGTGCGAAGCAAGGTGATGCCAGCACGAGGGTCCCGGAGTACCGACGTCTTCCCACGGCTTGGCAGGCTTACCTCAAGCAGCATACCATGGACTATTAGTGACGTACAGTCACGTGCTCGAAAAACGTCGATCGAACCTCAGCACAAGGCGATACACCGACTGGAATTGTCGCAATAGTCCCACGTCAACAACGCACTATGGCGCATCTCAATGCTTATGTAGTTACTTTCAACTGCGCTCGGCAAGCTATCGATGTACCATATTTCGCCGCCAGCCTCTTCAAAGATATCACAACCGAGCTTCCCCCCGACCTGATAGTACTCTGCTTACAGGAAGTTGCGCCCATTAGCTATAGCTTCCTGGGCGGCTCATTACTCGTTCCATATCTAGCACGTTTCGCTGTGGCGGTGAAAGATGCCACAGCTCATAAGTATGGCGCGGACAGTGAGTATGTGGAAGTTGCAGCACGAAACCTGGGGATGACCGCGATCATGGTGTTTGCCCGCCGGCAAACCAAAGAGCGAATCCACTGGACGCAGTATGCTGGCACAGGCGTCGGTCTGTGGCGTATGGGCAACAAGGGCGCTGTAGGGGCGCGTTTTGCTCTACGTAGCGCAGACGGTGGCGAAGATTGCCTTCTCACCGTGATAGCTGCGCATCTTGCACCAATGGAGGAGCGATGGCGGAGAAGAAATGAAGATTGGCGGTCCATCTGCGAAAGTCTTGTCTTTGAAGACCCTCTGCATTCGCCGGTGCGTTCGTCGAAATCGGACGACGACGCTCAGCCACTTCTGTCCGACGTCGACGACCCCATCGGCCAGAAGAAAGACGGCGATGCCGGTACTCTGTTCCGGCCAGATACTCACGTGTTTTTTGCTGGGGACCTCAACTATCGTACTGCTGACACGTCCCCGCCTACCTCCACTCAATCTACACCATGGCCGAAGCCTGTTGAAGATACAGAGGATGAGCATCACTACTCGCATCTTCTGCAGCATGACCAACTTGGCCGTGAGCGCAAGGCGGGCCGCACCTTGCACAACCTCACAGAAGCAGCACCTATCAAGTTTCCACCAACATACAAATATAGCAATGCGGCGCAACGAAAAGTGGCGGCCTCCCTGGCATCTGTTCCTCATACCTTGAAAGATGGCCGAAACGTAGCCACGATCCAACAGCTCTTCCCGCCCGAAGAGGAGGAATGGCACTGGGCGCAGCACCGCATGCCATCGTGGTGTGATCGCATTCTCGTTCTGGAGGCTCTGCCACCGGACGTGCACTCTTATGTTGCTCTCCCTGTGCAGCCAACAAGCGATCATAGACCTGTAGCATTATATTGCACCATCCCAGATGAACAGGTTGACAGCAGGGTCGAGCCGCCGTTCAGCATTCGACAAGACTGGAGAGATCGCCGAGCAACTGCCAGGCGCCTGGAGATAATTGTAGGCTTGGGCGCATACCTTACCATGACCTGGGAGGGCCGTACGCTACTTGCAGGTACTATTGCCGGCATAGTCGGAGGCTGGCTTGTACTACGTGCCCTGCTAGGAACGTGAGATGCTCTATTGGGAGACGGTAGCTTTGTGATCGCATACCAGACAAGAGTACTACACACTTCGATGTACAAGTGCTCACCCAGTGACGCCTTGTCGTGCGGCCAACCATGAAATTCTACAAAAACGCCTCCGATTTGACAAGCCGAGCCAACCACCTATGCCGGACGCCAAACGCGCCGCCCTCAGCTACAAAAAACCCTTCGTCAGGCTGCTCTTTCGCGCTGGCACTTCTATCTTGACGTCGCCATTCTGCGATGGCGCGCCGATCGAGCTACCTCTGCGACTACCGCCGCCATTGTCGCTCAGCGCAGCCAGCGTACTACTCCGGCGCATGCTATGCTCGCGTTCCCGGCTTACCGCTCGCAATGTGTCGATCTCGCGCTCCAAACGTAGTGTCTTCTCTCGTTCTTCTCGAAGCTCGCGCTCTGCACGTTTGGCAAGCAGTTGTGCTTCGGAGTCAGATGCTTGAAGTTCCTCGATGTTCTTTAGGAGAGCTTGCATCTTATCCCGGCTACGGTCAATGTCGTCCTGAAGCATCCTTGCTCTGTCTTCCCGGCGCTGAATCTGCGACTCAAGGTCTTTGACAGTACGGTCAACAGTGCGCACACTGCGAGCTTCGGTCGCGCGGGTCTGTTCCAGGGACTCCAGCTTGGTTTCGAGCTGTCGCTTTGTCAGTATCTTGTCGGTAGAACTTGCATTGCCACCTCGTATGGCACTTACTTCTTGAATTCGGCCGTGCAGGAATCGCACGTCATGACTGCCGCTCGAATAACCCTTCGTTTCCAAGTCAACACATCGCAGCTGTAGATCTTTCACGGTCTTCTCCAGAGCGGCTTTGTCCTTGTGCAGCTGATTGCTCGTCTCCCGCGCGTGTGCGATGTCTTTGTGGATCTCCTGCACCAGACCATCAGCACGGCGCATCTTGCCCACCGCAGCGGCAGAGACGTCCTCCTGGTATGCGAGGCGAGACTTGAGATCCAGCACTTCCTTCTCGAGAGATGCTGCGTCGCGCTTGGAGGGAGAGCCGGTGTTCGACAAGTCATCGAGTCGATCCGCCGCCTCCTGGAGGCGCGCTTCAAGCCCTTTCTTCTCCTTAACGAGTATGTCACGATCAGCAGCCACTTCGTCAACGTTGGTGCGCAGAGCGCGGACTTGTCCGAGAAGGTCGACGATCTTGCTCTGGGCCTCATTGTGTGCGCTGACAGCGTCGTCGCGGGAGTCGGATACCCCTTGCAACGCCACCTCAAGTCGGGACTTCTCCTTCGCCCAGGTCGAGCTGTTTAGCACCTCATCATCCCACTTATTGCGGAGCTCTTCTAGCTCATCCCGCAGCTTACCGTTCTCACTGCGGGCATGTACAGCGCTGTCGCGCTCAATCTCTAGCTCAGCCGTCAAGCCCGCAAGCTCTGCTTGATACTTCTTACGCGTCTGCTCAATGCCGACTTCCTTATCTTCAAGATCCATGGCGCGCTGGGAACGGTAGTCTTCAAGTTCGTTCTGCAAACGCTTCTTAGCTTGGACCGCACGCTCCAGGTCAGTCCTCACGTCTTCGAGCTGCTCCTCATACTGCTGAGTCTGGCGCTGAAGATCCTCGACAAGCTGATCCATCTGTTTGCGCTCCGACATAATTGTCGCGCATGTATCTTCCGCCTCCTTGGCCTGGGACCGGGCAAAGTGCTCCGCCCGAGAAGCCTTCAGTACCGCCAGCTCGGCTTGCTCCAACCGCTCAAAGTACTCGTCGGCACGTGCTTTGTACAGGTTGAGGCTTGACGTGACATCGATGAGTTTAGAGGCTTCGGTATCGAGCCGAATCTGCAAGTCGGAGAACTCTTGCAGTAACTGAGCGTGATTTGCGGCCTCTTGCTCGCGCTCATAATTGACGTCCGCAAGCTCTGACTTCGCATCCCGGAGCTCAACCTCGGTGGCCACCTTCGCGTGTTTGATCTCATCGAAAGCACCCTTGGCATCTGCCAGCTCGGAAACGGCGGCGTTGTGGGAGGTGAGCAGCGACCGGCGGGACTGCTCTTGCGCGTTGATGAGGTCATACAGCTCCTCGTGGCTCTTCGTCTGCACCTCCTTCAGGCTCAGCTCACCGCTTCGAATGCTTTGCTCAAGCGCCGAGACCTTCTTGGCAGAGTCATCGAGCATATCATGCAAGCGGAAGTTCTCACGCTCGAGCTTCTGCACGCGACGTAGAGATGGACTGTCGTCATGCCACCCTCCCTTGGTTGGGCTTCCCTCGATCTGCGCCTGCAGGTGACGGTTTCGGATTTCGGACATCTGTAACTGGTTCTGAACCATCTCCAGCTCGGCCGCAAGATCCATCCTGCTGTTATACGTGACCGTATCCACGGTACGGTCGGATCGGGCGGACTCGTTACTGGCCTTGCTGATGTGCCGCTGACTAGTCGGCGTGCTGTTCAGGGGTGTCGGTGCAAAAGGCTTGCGACTGTCCTGCCACTCGCGTCGGGCGTGACTGGGCGAGGATCGAGCGTTGACCTGGCTCGCGTTCATCTCTTCCAGTAGCGCTCGTTTCGAATTCTGATGACGGAAGTCATTCTCCTGCATATCGTCATGGTGCTGCATTCGCACCTCATCAAGCTGAGCCTCAGCGCGTGAGCAGCGGTCGGTGGCAAGACGCAGTGCATTCTCCGACGCTTCCAGCTTGCGGGCGAGATCGATGGTTCGCGTCAGATCCGGCTTCGGGCCATCTACGTTGGTTGGCAAGCGTCCGCTCTCCGGATCGAACACTTTCTGCAGCAAGCGCAAGTGGTCATGCGCCTCGTTCAGCTCGTGGTTCGCATTGTCGAGCGCCGACTGCACGGTTCGCGTGTTCTGTTGAGCTTGCGTCCGCAGTTGTCGCTCCGTCTCAAGCTTCCTGTTTGCCTCTGCAAGCTGCAAAGTGACGGCCGAGGACTGCTGCTCGGCATTACGGCTGGTCTTATGCTCGCGGTCGACTTCATGACTGAGGTCTTCCAGATTAAGCGCCAACTTCTCCTTCTGCTTCTCCAAGCTGGCGATGGTGAGTTGAGCATCGCTAAGCTGCCGTTGCAACTGCTTGGCCAGCTCGTCCGCCTGCGCCTTCGCCTGATTGAGCTGATTCACGCGCACGCGCTGGTTGTCGCCCGCTTGCGAATTCGAGCGAGCTATGTCCAAATTCTTCTGCTGCACCTTATTTAGCAGAGCGCGGTTGTCGTTCTCAGAAGCAGTCAAGCGACCCTTGATCGTCACAAGCTCACGCTCAAGCCGCTGCTTGTCTTGGTCGTGATGAAGCTTGAAGGAGTCAGACTCTCCAATGAGGCGTTTGAGCTTCTGCACTTCGCTGGCCAGTTGTGCCCGCTCGGCTTCGAGCTCCTCGGCCTGCCGTGTTTTGGCTTCAAGATCACGCCTGACAACAGCGTGCCGCTCGTTCGCTTGGCGTGTCACATTCCTCTCGACGGCGGCCTCGCACTCTAGCTTTGCCTCCTGCAGCTCAATGAATTTCTTCCTCAGAGTCTGCAACTCGGTTTGGTACTCCTTGCGCTCCTTGTCCGCAATCTCGCGAGCAGAAGTGGCGCGACGCGTAAGGTCAGACTGCACGTACATCTCCTTTTCGATTGTGACCTTGGACTCCTTCAGCTCCTCAAACTCTCGCTTGAGCTCCTCCCTCTCAGCGTCTGCAATCCGCTTGACATCGTCTCTTGACTGCTGCTCACGGCTGAGGTCCGTCTGTGCCTGGAAAAGCTCGCCTTTGATGTCGTGCAGCTGAGCTTCAAGCATCTTCAAATGTGCATTGGCAGATGTCTGCTCGTCAAGCGCGCGTTTGGCGTCGATAGCCTCGCGCTCAACTTGCGCATACTGGACTCTCATGGCCTCCATTTCCGCCTGAACCTGGCGTAATCGGTTCTGCATGCCGTCATGCTTGGTGGTGAGTGCATGCTTCTCGTCTTCGTACCGTTTGCGATCGTCTTGGAACTTCCTCAAGTCGGATCGCGCAATCGCAAGCTCGCTGTCTTTCCGTCGAATCACGTCTTCGAAACTCGCGGATGTGGTTGAGAGGTCGGTCATCTGTTGCCGAATGGCACGATTTTCGTCGGACAGATCATTGACCTGCATCTTCGCTTTCTGCAGGTCTTTGCTGGCATGCGACAGCTTGACTTCAAGATCTTGATCGTTCTTGACCAGCTTGACCTCCAAATCCTGCAGTTTGCGATCCTTCAGGCTGAGCTGACTCTGGAGCATTCGGATCTCTTGCTGGAGCGCTTCTTCCTGCTCGCTAGTTAACGACCTGCTGGTCTCTACCTCCTGCAAGTGAGCATTCAAGTCAGCAATGCGGCTTCCGAGATCAGTCTTCTCGGCCTCAAGCTTCTCAATGACGTGAGCTGCTTTTTCAAGCTGCGCTCTCCGCTGCTCAGCGGCCTCCTCAGCCGCTTTCGAGGCAGCCATGAGCTTGTCGACCTGATGCTCCAGCCCGTCCTGGTCCGCCAGCACCGCTTGCAGCTCTTCTGCCAACTTCGCCTCCCGGTCTTGCAGTCGCCGAAAGATCTCTTCCTTATCTAATGCAAGGGCGCGCTCGCTCTCAAGTGTTTGCTGCACTCTCTGCGCCTCCGTCTCGGCTCGCCGACGCTCATCTTCCACCTTGGCCCGATGCTGCTCTTCGAGCGCCATCCGTTCTTGAAGCATCTTAATCTCTTCCTCTCGCTTCCTGACTTCATTACTCTGTCTGGTTGCACCCAACAATGGCCGCATGCGCATGAACAGCCGCCACCACGGATTCTCCATCATCTGCAGGTAAACCGCAAAGTTGCGTTGAATGATGCGAGTGGCCTCCGCTCGATGCTGCTGCTTCCGGAAGATGCGTCGTTGCACGAAGCCACGAGCAACGCACTGAAAGCGCTCAAAGATGTCACGGATCAGGGCGTCTCTCTGCTCCTCCAGCTCGGCAAGCACGCCGGCGCGGAAGAAGACCTTGGTAAGGCCGACGCGGTACCAGCTGCGATCCAGATTGAGCTTCTCCAGCATGAGCTTACATGCTGTCTGGCCTTCTAAGTACCCTCTAGGCATATTTGAGCACAACACTTCGTAGCGTGCCCTGAACTCGGCGAATGGGAGGCGGTTAGGAAAGCCGGTACGTGCAATCCGAATGCCTTCAAGCACGCCGTTACATCTGAGCTGGTCCAGAACCAATGGCGCCTGGAACATCTTCGGTCGCTTCTTGTGGTTGGGGAGAATGCAGCGGACGAAGTGTGGGTGTGTGCTATGCAGTTGCTGCATCAGCGTGCTAAGCTGCTCCTTGTGCCTCTGCGCGACCGTCCGGAATAAACCACGCTTGACACGACTTCTGCTCGCTCCGTCCGCACCTTCCTCTGGATCCGCGCAGTCGACGAACAGATGTGCGATGTGCTTGTTGCTGGACTCCCCGAGCAGCTTTGTCAAATTGTCATTGAGCGGATCCTTGTTCTTCTCCAACCAACCCTCAGTGCTATATTCGACTTCTGCGGCATAGTGCGTGAGCGTAAAACCCAGCTTGAGCAGGGAGCGTTTGTACTTTGGCGTCTTGCGATCCCAGAGCCCGTGCAGCTTCTCAGTGAAGGACTTGTCTGTGGCTTTTGGCATCACGGAGTCCTCGTCAAGGCAGGAAAAGATGCCTATGGGGTTCGTGACTTCGATCAGGTCAATGGTAGGTTGCAAATCACGACCGAAATCAATGAACTTCCACTCGATCTGCTCTCTGGCGTACTCTTCCTGCTCAAGAACGAACATGTGGTGATTGAAGAATTGCTGGAGCTTTTCGTTGGTGTAGTTGATGCACAGTTGCTCGAAGCTGTTCTCTTCGAAGATCTCGAAGCCCGCAATATCAAGGACGCCAATGAAGCTGGTATCCTCCGCGTAAGAGCCGGATGAGGTGCGGTCTAGCTGGCGGTTGATGCGTGTCACAAGATCGCCAAACCCACGCTCATAGATGCCTTTGGCTAACGCGTCGATGGCGAGGCGCACCTGCTGCGGAGTCTGTACTTTCTCCACCCACTCATGCCCAGCGCGCACACGTGGATGAAGCAGTGCTCTAGTGAACGCCTCCGGATCGACGCCGAGCAAATGGCAGGCTTTGCGAACATGGTCGTCAGCGTCCGCTGCGAGGGCTGCCTGATCAGCACGCAAGCTCTCCTTGACCACAACAATGTTGCCCAGATGTAGCAATGCAGCTATCGTCTGCAACACAGCTCTCTGCTCCTTGTCCGAGAAGTTCATGATATGAAACGCCTCGAGCAGCGCATTCCATTCGTCGAAATCAGAAACGCCACTGATAGTGTCGTTGCCGTGGCGAGTGTACTCGAAGTCCTCGACTTCGCCATCGTCCAAGAGAAAGTCCTTGCGCATCGACTTGTCCGCACCACGCAGAAGCTGGTAGAAGATGTGGTAGTTGCGCTCGTTGCCGCTCAGATGGACCACCCTGCTCTTCTCGAGTAGATACCAGTCGATGAACGCGCCAGCGATCTGACCAGACCTTGTGAACTGTATCCGGATGAACTTGCCAAAGCGGGATGAGTTGTTGTTGCGGACCGTCTGCGCATTGCCGAACGCCTCCAAGATTGGATTTGCGCGCAGGATCTGGTCGGAAAGGTTCGCATGCTGTCTGCCACCAGACTTCGCTCGAGGCGTATCTGATGTCGCAACGGACGCCAAGTATTGGATCACCTTCTTCGTGTTTTCGGTTTTTCCAGCTCCGGATTCTCCAGTGACTAGGATGGATTGGTTAGTGCCCTCGTCTACGAGATTGCGGAACGCTTCGTCGGCCATGGCAAATATGTGCGGTTTTGTTTCTTCGCGACCTCTGCCTTTGTACATGTTAATGTAGTCGCGTCCGTATATCGGTAGCGGCGTGTATGGGTTCACCGTAACCAGGAACAGTCCGGAATACGTGTATATGAGGTCCGCTTGATAGCGCTGACGCAGGTTGTGCACCACAGAAGCCTCGTTGAGGTGCGTGAGCTCTGCCATGTCGTCGGCTTTGTCGAATTTGGCTGGGTTGACCTTGTCCACCTCCTCCGATGACAGCTCGCGCTGACTGCCATCTTCGCACTGCACCCTGAGCACGCCGTCCGCCAACTCCTCGACCACCCAAGCGCGCACAAATGCGGCTTCGGGATCCCGGATCCAGACATAGCGCTTGCCGGAGAAGTCATTCTCGCCTTCTATGCCGCGAACGCGCTCTTCAGCTCCGTCTATTGCACCATGGTTGATGAACTGCGGCGCGAAGGTGCCCGAAACTGCCGCAGATCGTATCGAGCCCGTGCGCTTTAAGCTACTGAGTCGGTTGTCGGACAGCGACTGGTTTCGCGTGTGCCCAAGTGGCATGATCGGAGCAAGCGGTGCCTGCAGGATGCTAGTCTTGGACCGCGCATGCCCGGGCGGTGGTCCAGGGGAAGGCGTGTCTTCTTTGCTTCTTCCAAACATGCCATTGCGCCAGCGTGGGCCATCTTGGGCTTGGTAGCTCATGGTCCGCAACCAAGTCGTCCGTGGCGCGTGTTGTTGACGCGCAACCAGAAGTCTTTTTTAACCGTCCATTACCACATTCGCAAGGTCGGAAGTATTACTGTCATTAGTATGTACACAAGCGACGACTCCAACTCCAGGTCTAGCAGCTCACCAGCTTCTCTAGTATTACGCTGTCGCAATGCTGCCTTTACACGCAAGAATCGTGCCGACTCTCGACAAGTAAACATTGACCAAGGCGGGGAGCAACGGGGCTTGGCAGGAGCGAGCAGAACGCGTGGCACGTGCACCCTTCACTTCCGAGCCGGGCGCCTGCCGCTGAACAAAGTCGACTACTTTGCGAGACGTCTCTTTCCCAACCATGTTGCAGCTGTGCACTTTGCTCGTGACCAGGTGAGGGTCTGGTGGAGATACTCACCTGCTGGGCGCGCAACACTACCAGTAGCCCGCGGAGAGTCTGCGAGGGGACCACGGTAACATCCTTCGACGAAGTCACGGTCGAGCAGCGCCAGCGGTGCAGATTGTTCACCCGCTCATTCAGTGCGTTGCTGAGAGACTTTACACCTCCTCTTTCAGACATCTCCTGGTTGTGCAGCCCATTCCTCTCTTACTGACCATAGCGTGAGACTCGGCTAGCAAATGGCAAGCAATAACATGTTCGTCTTCGGCGCAGGGGGCGGACAGCAAGTTCCTGTCATTCCAGGCCAACACGCGCCACAGAACGCACTTCCCCCGGTCAAATCGGTCCAACAAGCCTTGTCTCAGGATACTGCTCAACCGATTGCTATGTCGGGCAATCTAGCGGACGCGCTGAAGGGTATCCCGCCCGAACAGCTCTTCCAAATCATCTCGATGGTACAGTCAGGCGCGCTGCAGTTACCTTCACTTCCTTCGAATGCACAGCCAGGCGCGCCAGCCCAGGTAACAATGCCCGCGCCGCCTCTTGTGCAGCCATCTAGCAATCACGGTGCTCCTGCCGCGCGTATTCAAGATGTAGACATGGACAGGGAAGAGGGCGAGCTTGAGGATGGCGAAGAAGCAGGGCCCGTCAGGGAGCGGGATTTCTTGCGACCTCCACCAACAGGTCCGCGCATACGAAGCGTATCGCCTAGTGGTGGGTCCACGCGACAGCAGCCCAACGGCACGCGGGTCGTCCGGCAACCACCTCAGTCAAGGCCTGATCAAGTACGCAGTAATGGCGTACAGCCCGAAGGGGTGGCAAACGGCATTGCACACGTTAGCTCGAACAAGATAACGACCAATGCTCGCGGAAAAGTGGTCGATGCTCGCGCTCGAGCTCGGGCTTTCGTGCTTCAGATGCACAATGCCGGTTACACTTTTGACCAGCTCGCTAACGAGATTCCCAATAAGAACGCTCTGCGGCGAATGTACAAGAGTCTCGGTCTTCCACTTCCTGCTGAAGGTGGCGACAAGAAAGATCTTGGCCCAGTTTCGGCTGTGCTGCAGCCGACGCAACCACAGAAGTCAACACCGCACGCGCCGTCTGCACCGCATCCGATTATGCAGATACATAGCCAAGTGACTCAGCCGCCCTCAGTACTAGGTGAGCCACGGCCCGCAGAACTTCCGATCAAGAAAGCTCCGGCCCCGAAGCCTACTGCATCGAGCAGGGAAGAGTATCTGGCAAGGCTCGCTGCTGTGAAGTCCAAAGCCAAGAATGTCAACCCAAAGTCCACGCTCGAGGCTACAGCTTCGGAGTCCTCAGGCGCTGCACCTGCGCCTGCACCCGCACCCACACCGATCCTTGAGGTTTCTCACGCTGCTGCCAAGCCAACCTTTACCGCTCAGTCAGCACAAATACCGATTGCCGATGCTTCTAGCACTGCGTCCACCTTTCCTGCTCAGCCACTCACTCCATCAGTAGCTACTGCACCAACCAAGCCTCCTCCGGCTGCTGGCAAGATTCAGACTGAGCTGATCAAACAAAGACTGGCAGCGCTGAAAGCTTCTCAAGCTGCGAAGGCGCATGCAGCTAAGCGGTCAAGTGACGTTGCGCCGAGCTCCAGTCCGGCGCCCATGGCGAGTGCTACTATCAGTATGTCTCAGCCGCCCGCTCAACATGCTGTGACGGGAGGTGTTGGTAGTGGGATTGCAGACTTAGCAAGCAGCAAGCCAGCACCCGCCACTAACCAAATACAGCCTCCACAAGTTCAGTCTATGCAGGCGCCTCCACTGCCGCTTCCGACAGCGGCCCCGCCAGCATCGCCACCAGCAAGCCGTCTGTTTTCACTGCCCGGCTTGTTTGTGGCGAGTCCGCCAGTACAGCAACTCGCTCGCCCAGCTCAACCTTTTTCGCCACTTCCACCTGTTACATCCACCACTGCCAAGACGTACGCAGACAAAACTGCATCTTCGCCTACCACGCTGAACCTCAATCGAAAGCGTGCAGTGGCTGCTGATTTCGATGGTGACGTTATGGTAGACTCTGCGCCAAGCGCACCCAAACGTCCAGCTTTCGGCCAAAGTCGAAGCAACAGCGAGAGCGAGCGTCTCGTCATCGAGGTTAGCGATAACGAAGACGGTGACGATGACATGGAAATTGACACCGAGCCTGCATCCACCACTACAATTGCGCCGCAGATTGTTATGCGTACACCCGAAGGCCCGTCTCTTTTTGGAAGCTTCACAATCGCGCCAGGTCGAGGCACACCCTCAACCTTGAATGAAGCCGATCGGCGTAAGATGATAAACGAGCTTAACCGCCAGATTGCAGAAAAGGAAGCCAAGCGGAAGGCGAAGATTGCCGCTCAAGCCTCCTCAACTTCGGTTTCTGGACAGACCACGCCGACTACCAAGCGTGCTACACCGACGACTCTACCAAACGCTGTCAATGGTCTCCTTGTGCCAGCTGTCGAGCATAGCAGAACTGTCCCTACTGCAGCCGCACAGATCTTGTCTCCTGTTGCTGTGGCACGCCAACAAGAGCGCGCGCAGCTCGAGCAGCGTTTGAAGCAACTACAAGAAGAGGCTGCTCGCCGCAATGGCGTAGCTTCGGTAATACAGCCAAGTGTCATTCCCGCCGCTGCGCTCCCGGAAACACCTGCTGCCCCTGTTGTTGAGCTTAAAGACGTGCAGCAGAATGCCGGAATTCCTAACGCGGGCGAAGGCAAGGAGAGTGCAGATGAGGCAGATATTGACGATGAGACGGCCGACTTGTACAGCGAGGATGATCAGAAAGGCGCGGATGTTGACGTCCGGGTAGATGACGGCACTATAGGTTCACCGGCGGTTACCATGAGCGAACCCGGCAATATCAGCAATGCTGCGGTGACGTTATCAGGCCAAGCACAATCTCTTGCCACAACGAATGGTGAGAGGCCAAACGCTGATCCTCCAACGGCGGCGGTGGCGGACTTAGCCAAGACGGTTACCTCGGACGACACGGACATGGCTCTGACAGATGTCGAGGAGCAGAACGAAGCCGTGGACGAGGCTGCGGACAACGACGAAGTTTCCGACCGGTCGGCTGGAGACGGCGTCTTTATCATCAAAGACCGACTAACGCACGACACACTAGGCCAGGCTGAAGATACGTCGGACGCTTCGTCAACCAATACCGACGATGCGATGTCTGAGTCGGATGAGGAAGAGATCAAGACATCCGCACGAATCCATCCTAACGGCAATGCGCATCAGAAGGACCGCATGGACCATGATGCAATATCTGAGTCACTTGAAGTGGACATTGATGGAACTCTACCAGCTGCATCTGCCAAGGGTAACCACCAACAAGAGGAGGACGAAGCTGATGAGAGTGAAGAGTTTTACGAGCCGACGGTGCCTGACCATGCAGTGTCTGATGCAGACGGTGACGCCACGACTCGCGTTTCTGAGGCTATTGCAGAAGGAGGATCTCTCTACGAGCCAGTCGCCACGGAGCAAGCTACGATGAAGGACTTTAGTCACGACGTAACACAAAGCTTGATGCTACCTGGCATATCTGACGTCCAAGCCATCAGTCCACCGGTCGGTACTGCAGGAGTCATGGAGGTTGCTGATGACGTAGCACCTGAGCTACAACAGCCAAGAGCCGAGCAGACTGCTGTCGAAGATGATCAGGTGCGTGAGGACTCCGACTGGTCGGACATCTACTGATGTTAGACTGTACTCCCTGAGTAGGATTCACACCCGAATTCATACTATCAACCCTACGTCAGCCCTTTGAAGTGGTTCAAGGACTACCGCTTCCACCCGGACTACCTCGAACACGTGTCTGGCGGGTTCAAGTCGCTGACGTACAGCCACAACATCGACCCTACAGTCCAGTTATGCCAGCATGAGGCCGTGGGCGGGCAGTGTAATGACCGCACCTGCACGGATCAGCACTTCCGAAGCATGGGTCTATCTGGTGCGTAGTCTGCGCGCTTCCATCTTCTTCTCATCCGATCAGTGTTCCTTCCTCGTATCTCTATTCCCTTATCTCCAGAGCAGACAAGCACGATAGCGTCGTTTCTGGAACTGACTAGGTCACTAACTTCGCAGATACCGACCTCCTCACTGTACTCGGCACTCATGGCCGCCCGACCGATGCGGAAGGCGGAGCAAAATGGAATCACCAGCTTCAGAAAGTCATTCAGTCCTTGAAAGGCACTCCTGACGGCAAGGACGTCAAGGCCATCTCTAAACACATCGCGAAGTTCAGGCGGGAGTTCTTCGGTGACGAGACCAAGGTTCTTACCCTCGAGTGAAGTCTCCCAATCTTCGGGATCAGCCCCGTCCAGTGCTCACGCATCATCGTGTGCTCGTTGGCAGTTCAGCCGGCGATTCTGCATGTTTGTGGGCATTGTCCGGCATTACTTGACCTGTATTGGTACAGCAGTAGTCTTGTACGGCGGCAGATGCACGGCAGGAAGAGGTGGTATGCTCAGCCGAGCAGCAACTGAAATGCACAGTCATCGTCGTCAAGAAAAGCAACAAGCGGAACGCCTTGGCTATAACCTCAACTCATTAGTGTACTTGTGGACATGGTTACGCATGGCGATGCGCCATACCGCCTTGAGACGCCTCTTGCGTGAAGCACAGGTGGATAGCCTATGCCAGCAGGGCAAGTGGTGGATGGAGCGTGACTTGCCGCGGAGACGGCAAGGTGCAGCTGCTCCCATCTATGCTATTATATCCTGGCATACTCGCTACGTGTATTGTTGACCGTAGCAAGTAACTGTACGTTTGCCTCATTCACAAATACCTCCTGCCTTTTTCCAACATACCATACCTCACATTGGCTAGACCGATTCAACACTTCTGCACCTCCTGCACCTCCTTCGTGAGCACACAACTAGACTCAGATTTCAGCTCGTCACTGCGGCCAAGCATCGCAAGACACTGACTTCACATGCTCACATGCTCGCTTTTAGCCCCGCTTCACAAGCACAAACCTTCGCCGCCAAAGCTTCCACTCGATCTCGCTATCCTGGACGTGTAAAAGTGTAGCAACTGACTTCTTCACTCGGAATAAGATGTCAACAGATGCGTGGTCCTCGAAGGGCCAAGCGGCACCGGCATGATCGAACAGCAGCCTTCAGTCGATCACTGAAGCCTTCCACACCATCTTGGAAGGAGGGAAAGTCCCTGCTGTCGTGAACAAGCAATTGTGACTCGCTCTGGAACACTCCACTGCACAAGCTCACTGGTCGAGTCACTCCATCCTTGGTCAGTGGCCGACCGCTTGTGCGATAAGCTGGCTCCAGCGTCCGCCTGTTAATCGAGTCATCAATTGAGCTTCTACGGCACCCGAGATGGCGGAGAGCTTTGGGTCCACTCCACTGGCCCGCGTCGAGCGACGAAGCTCAATGCGTACGGCTATCAAGAAATCAATCCAGGAGTTGGAGCCGTCTCCACACCCTCCAAATCTCCACAGTGTCGACAAGACCCAGCAAGCCCAGACCACGGCGACTGGTCAACGTAAGCGAAAGAAAGTCTTCGAGGACTTGGAAGCCGAAGGGATGGACAGCATCCGGCGCAAGCAACGCCGCGCGGCCAAACGACCGAAGACCACGAAGACACCGCCTCGTCAGAAGGCGGGATCAGCTCCGAGTGCCACGGCTTCTGGAGCCAACACCACATCTGCACAGCGCGAAGTACCGCCGTTGGAAGGCAGCGACTCCGTAGTCCAGGAGCCAATGCCGCAGGTTACGGATCAGCAACGAACAGAGACTGGAGTGACATCGTTTGTGGGCGGCAACGTGGGCGGTGATACGCTATCTCGAGAAGAAGTGGAACAGACTCTATCCGGCGACGAGAGTAGCGTATTGTCTGAGCACGACGACGCAGAGTTTGCCGGTATGGACAACATGCATAGGCAGCAGACCACCGAGTGTCCAAAACACACCGTCGATCGGATCAATCAGCCGTCTGCTGTAGTCACTTCCATGTCTATCCAAACCGCCGACCGGCTGGCAAACCGTACTTTGGCACCATCATCACCAATTCTCGACTCAGAAGCGCCGAAGAACGATCCTAAGACTACGCGCACTGAGCAGCGTATACCGAGTCTTCCCGATCCGGCGCTTTCGGTATCACCAGGGCATACTATTGTCCACCCTCGTAGCGAGAATCAACCCCGGGACACAGCAATCTTCTCCGCGCTCACCGATGAGACAGCTTTGCTAATCACTTTAACCCACCAAACAAACTCGCAGCAGAACTATTCGACTGGGGCATGGACTACAACATCCCAAACGCAGCCAAAGGCGCAAAAGGGCGGGAGTAAACCTATCGCTCTCCATCCCTATTCTCCAGCGTCTTCAACAACACTTGGTAGACGCAAGCCTTCAGACCAGGTATACGTAGCCTTAACAGAGACGGAAGCGGAGACGTCAGTCTCAGTCAATTCGGCACTGCCAACTATGCTTCATGCGGAAGAGTTAGGCCTTGTTATCAAGCTGAGCGTGCCACCAGAGGCTTTTCCCAGCTTGGCAGCCAAAAGCGCGATCATTAAAGACGTACACCACACAAGATCTGCTGATGGAGGTCGCGATCTGAGCACTCGTCGTTCCACGCGCAAGAGCATAGCACGTCCTCGCTTCGCTGCTGTAGACGATGAGACAGACTGGGACTCGATAGTCAATGATGTAGCTGAGACTTCCGGACTTGATACCTACGGTGACAGTAACATTCTGGTCGCCAGCAACGGCAAGGCATGGGGGAGGGCGAAGCCAGGCCTTGCTGCGGTGAAAGACACTGAGGGCAGGCCGCTAAAGAGATTGAAAACTAAATCGAAGGCTTGCAATGCCTGTGCAAAGGCAAAGCGTAGGTGTGTTCACACACAACTGGAAATGGAGACTCTGGCTGTCCAGCCGAAGATGGTGAAAACAAGCTCGCCCGCATCAAAGAAGCCTAACACTGGCGCAAGAGCCATCGCGAGAGGCTACTCAAAACCCGCTGCGACGAAGCCACCTCCGGATGACGCTGCGACAACGCCAGCCACGGAGAAAGAAGCAAGTGCCAAGACAGCTGCAAAACCAGCTCGCAGTGACGGAGATACAACTTCTCCACGCAAGCGAAAGCGAAATTACCTCTCGGACACAACAGGTCTAGCCACACCTGCTCCGAAAGCGAAGAAAGCAAGAACGATTGTTACGGCTCTCTTGACGCCTCCTAACTCGCCACCAGAACAGAACGATGACCTCTTAGCGCATGTGGATACCAACGTACTGGCCCTGTCGAAAGCAATGACTCGTCGACAGCCCCTTAGCCAGAAACCTGCACCTATTGGAGACCCTCTTGTGTGGGCAGATAGTCGGCAGGCTCTGTGCGAGACGGTACCCTACTTCAAGAAACCGCAAGGTGGCTGCCACCAAAACGACAAGCATGCATATGCCTTTCTGTTCGACGGTGTCGGTCACTGCCGCGAGTACATGGACCAAGATGTCATTATCGCACGTGCTGGTGGCTCGATGGAGGCAGATAGTACTACTGGCTCCATGCTGCAGGGCAAAGACCAAACGATGGATGATAGCCAAGTCGAGGCTGTCATGAACGACTTGGTGATGCAGAACCCGATTGTTATTATCTGCGGCAACAAACACGAAGGTGCACCCTGCTCAATGCCTCACAGATATTGCGTGCTTGGATGGTATAAGCCGGTTATGGTCTGGGCCGAGAAGACGGCCGGCAAGAGGCACAAGACGTACACGACTATCAAGTATCGATTGGAGCGTCTGCAGAGCTGCAATGCTTGGTACGCACCCGCGCAAACACCTCCACTCGATCATGCACCCGATGTCCTTCCCGTCCGCCTTGAGGAAGCGCAGTGTCGCAGCTGTCACAAGAAGTACCCGCAGATCTATCTGGAGTCATGGCTCTGCCTCAACCCAGATTGTGCGGATTTCTGGAAGCTTGAGCGTGGCCGTGGCGAAGAGGCGCCCTGTGGAAAGCTCGAATACAACCCTGCCTTCTTGCTGCACAGAACTCAATGGCAGAACGAGTCGGAACCGTACAGCGTAAGGGTGCCGCTGCCGGAAGTTGGCAAGGCGATCGGTGACAACCTGACTAAGATCAACACCCGTGGAGTCTGCTGCCCTGTGTGTGGAAGGTGCAACCCTCGCTACTTGTGGGCCGGTTGGCGGTGCGATAACGATAACCCAAACTGTAATTGGGAAGGGCTGTGGCCGCAGCACGCACCTGTCATGCCTGCGGCCTTGCACGTCCCTTGGGAGGTCACAGGACGTGGCCCCTCGCTTACTCGGAACAAGCATGAGAGCGGCGTGCATGTGGAGGTGCGATACACACACTCTTACAAAGTTTACAAGTATACCTTTGACGGCATTGTGGGCAGCTTCATTCACGCCGTCGCGAACGATCGCACGAACGGAGAAGCCAATGGCCCGGACAAGATGCTTTGGGACATCCAAGCGTGCGAGATGGGCCTAGAGCGGCGTCGCTTTGCGGCGGAGAAGAACTCGGGCTCAAAAGCAGAGAAGACCGTTGCCGCCGCATCTACTCCCTTTGGTCCGCCTACTCCGTCAAGCTTGTCTGCTCCGTGCCCGCCGCCTGCGATCGAGGGTTTGCCCGCTTCATCAGAAATGCTCTCCTCATCGGAACTGCTCCCCTCAACCCAAGTGCCCTTTCCGTTGGAATTATGTGCTTCACCAGACGTGCCTGCTTCATCGGAAGTGCCGATGGCCCTAGCACCAGCTACAGAGGACCACGTTGACGTCGATGCGCCGACGGATGCTACTCCCGGTGCGATGAACGACGTCAACCAGGGGAAAGACCATGGCGACTTCATGACAGCCTTCTCCATGAATTTCGGCATGCCGTACAAGTTCGTCGCAACTGGAGCTAGCAGATCGTTTTCGGATGCACCCTGGCCTGTGAAAGCGGCTCGCTCCCGTCTCAATTGGGCTGCGAGGGAGCTTCTCAGTGGAGAAGCTGACTTCAATGAAGAGCTTATCTTCGCGTACATGGAAGGGCAGAAGATCGAGTATCATGATGAAGGGGAAGAAGGTCTCGGACCTCGCATCGCCACACTCTCCCTCGGCGGCAAAGCCAAGATGCATATGCGCATGAAGGCAAAGCACTTCTACGGCGTGTCCAAGACGGGTGTATTGACCGCTGAGAAGCCGGTACTCGGAAGTGTTCAATACGAAGCGCGTCTCAAGCACTGGGAAGAGCTTCAGCTGCTCGATGACAAGCAAACATATCAGCGTCGTCTCAAGGAGGTGCCGAAGGAACTTGGTCTGAGCCACACGCGCAACGGGCAGCACAAAGATCTTGTGACGGTCACGCTCAGCCACGGCGACATCATCCTCATGGACGGTTACGACATTCAAAAGTATCTCGAACACAAAGTGGTTCCCGAAGGTTACCTCCGCTTTGCACTCACCTGCCGCAACGTGCTCACGCACCATCTCAAGGAGCATGAGCGCCCCAGCTACGTCGTCGAGCCGGATGATTATGGTTATGATGGCCGAAACCTGCTGTGAGGCTCCGTCAGCAGTCGGCGGGAAGGCAGATGGTGCATAATATTTAAAGTGCCAGAATGATAAAAAGCATCTGTACCAAGGGCCGGGAGCATGTGAATGAACATTGGAGTATGCAGCGAGCAGATAGGATTCGGGCAACTTGACACCTACACAGTACTCCGGCTCCATTCTGGAGGCGAAGGACATATACCAGATAGACCGTGTGTTCAGTGCGAGTGGTATGTGAGACTGCCCGGCAGACGGAGAGTATGCTGCGCTGTCAGTTTGTCTTGCGTGCGCCCGACTCCGACGGTGCTGACTGAAGGCCAAGCCATTGCCTCCCGTCCCATGCAAGAGAGATTGCGACTGATCGCTGATGGAGCGCTCATCGTCGTGCATATGGCTGGTGGTACGTGATAGTAGATGTGGCCGCTTTGACAGCTTGACCGTCCAAGTTTATGCGGTCTTGTCATCACGGGGATCAAATTCGTGAAGAATCATGCCTCTCGTCGAGCTGTTCTCGATTCGAAGCGACAACGGGCTCCAAGGAGCCAGCAGTTTGGAAAGACTAGATATTGAACAATGTGACGATGCGAACATATGCCGTGTGTCGAAAACCTACTGATTGAGTGTCAAAGCTCGAGCATCTTGTCCCTGGAGCGAACGAAGAGCATGATCAATGATGTCTATTGCCTGAGCATAGAGTTGAAGCTTGAACGCCCCATTACAGAGCTGACCGGCCAAAGAAGGTTAATAAATGGGGTAAGTAGGCACGCTTCGGCTCGTACGCCACGCTCCGGAAGGACGCCAGTGAGAAACCAGCTGAAGTCTTCACCTGACCACAGTTTCGTGTTGTACACTATCCTCATGGACAGGCTACTGCGATCTAGTGCTGCGGCCAATGGATATGTCCGCTTAGGGCAGGATCTTTCGCGCCAATGCAGACTACGGCGGACGTGCAGTACTCGCACGCTACGTATAATGCCAATCGCGCCAACCGCGGCCTCGAGTCGGAAGGATCCGCGAATGCACGACGCGGTTCCTGCAGCAAAATCGCATACTGCGCCGAGCGCGCGAAATACCCTTTAAGCTGGTTTGCCATTAATTAGGCAAGTACATCAGTTGATCAATGGCTGACGTGGAATCTGTCCCTCATGCATTGTGTTACGACATCGAGGAGTTGGTGGGTCGAGCATTTGACTGCCTGAGTATACTGTATGACCACCCTTTCATAGTGCGGGATGCGAAAGCCAACTTGATGTCTTACATCTGACTGGCCTGGATCAGTCATACGGCGCTGCGCCCCCATTCGCATGCAGCAGGCAGACGTTCCTGCGCGTTGGAGTCATCATACATATCCTTTCGTCCTCTCATATGCTCTCGCTTTCCTTTCCATCAACTTCAGTCACTCTTTTACCTGCACCGTTTGTGGTGCTTGCGTTTCTGCTTACGACTTACTTTCGTGGCCCCCACGCACCATCCGCCTTAGTCTAGGCACACAACACCCTCAACTTGTCGAAACCTCCGACTGACCGGCCACTGAGCCGGGCGGTACACGGACTACGGGACGATCCTGCCAAAGCGCTACTGCTGCACGACGCACGACATCCCAATAGGAGTATTTGGTTCCGCAAACTTGCAACCTCACACCGCAGACGCCACCGACTACCCCACGTCTTAGTCCTGATAGAGGCAAGACGTCGCGTGCTCACATCGCATCCTGCTTGTTCCGAGCAAAGCGTATTAAACATGCCTACCCCTCCCCGACCAAGCCTTGGACGGACTCTCAGCTGGCCTCCCACCCCAAGACTCATCACGTATGGACCAGCTGTCTCGCAAGTACACACTTCTGGAACGCAGTGTGCTACACCAAGGGCTCAGCCAAAGAATGGACCAGAGGAGGCCGACGGCGACTTTGACGAACATCCAGAGGAGCACTTCTTGTCACCAATGTACGAGTACGAGGACTGGGCATCCGACAGTGACGAGGGTGGCGATGACGACTTCGAGTGGGATGCAGGCATTACCGACTTCGCGCTGTTCCACACTGACAGGCGCCACGCTCAAGAGTCCAACGAGCGATTGGACGGCCGATGGAACGAATTCATGTCTAGGCAGCAGTCTGCGCTGCAGCGGGCCGTAGAGCGGAGTCGGTGCGCCTCACAGATCGACACGACTAAGCCTCCTATACCGGTTGAAGAAGTACCTGGTCTTACGCCAGATAGCTCACCTGAGCTTCACGATGACTTGGAGATCGAGTCATACCATGGCCAGGGCACACCACGACCGACCGTACCAGGTTACTTGACCGTCATCGTCACGCCACAGTCGCCAGAAGACAGGACAATCCACAGCAATGAAGACTTGCCATGCTTCCTCGAGCTCTCAGTTCAGCGAAAACACGCCCGGCGCAAGCTGGAACGGCCAGGTCTTCGCCATGCCCGGACGCTATCGGGCAAAGCGCACTCGTGGAGACGGCCCAGCTGGGAGATCCACACGCTTGGGGAAGAACCGGAGACTGAGCGCAGTGCCGAGCAGGGCGCGATCAGACGTGTTGGGAGTCGCTAGGATCTGCGTGGGAGAACGTCAAGCAAGGATGGCTACGGAGTCGCAGTTGTTGCATGTTGAAGTGGCGTTATGCGTGGGTGGCGAAATCATGATTGTTGCACGGGCTTTACTTTTCAGCCTTTGATGCATATGGAACGGCTTTTGGGGCACAGAGCGGAGCTCTGTTGGGTTGCACGATTCAAGATACCAAAATGACACACATTTCTGCGTTGCATAGCAAGCCTGTTTGGCAATGTACCTATAATAACAGCCAACTTGAGCTTCAGTCGTTACCGAGACCAACTGTACAACCTTCGACGTGAATATAGTCTTTGCGCTCTTTGTAATGTCTATCTGTGCCATGTCATCATGTTCAACAACACCCTTGCTAGTACAAGTGGATGTTCGCTGGGTTAAAGCTGTGCTTGATCAAGCCCACATTTTCCTGAAAGTCACATTGAACTCTGTGTGCAGCTTCTGAAAAGCCCTCAAGACGTCCTTCAGGCCCTCGCTGCTCCCACCAACACCGTTCAAAGCATCGCCGACAGCCACTTCAAGCCTAGCTGCATTGGCTGCACGTCGCTCATCACGTCTTTGGGATTCGTCTTCCTCATCCGCTACTTCCTCCCAGCTTTCCTTGTTCTTCGCCTTCTTCTTAGCAACAACCGGCGCTGCCTTCTCGTTGACGGACATGACCGAGTCGGCGACGCTAGGCCCGGAGACCGTACTCTGTTCTTCAGACGCTGCAACCTCGTTGTCCTCTGCCTCATCATGCACATCAAGGTCACCCATCACGTCCAGCATGTCCATATCAGTACCCTCTTTGAGCTTCAAAAAGTTCAGCAGTGAAGTGATGATGGTGGCTAGTACAAGGGAGAAATCGTTGAGCAAGAACCATATATCTGCGCGTCGGATACCGTTGGCTTTCTCGATGGTAATGACATCACCATGTTTGAAGAAGTCAAGCAACCAGGCGTTAAGGGGTACTTCTAGCTCGTCCGGATAGATGTCCACGTGAGGCACGACCGCCTCCTCAAGGAACACACCGTCTCGCGTGCTGCGGCAAAGGTCGGCGATGGAGTCGAAGTCATCGCCGGATCCAGATAGGGCAACGAATGGCGATCGAACTTTCGTCGGCGAAAGTGTGAACGACGCTTTCATCGAGCCGTCTCCGCCGACGCTCAAGCCTGTCAGCGGCAGCTTCCTGTCGTCATATTTCATATGTTGCTCAACGAAGGTCTCGACATACGTCCTGTAGACGTCAAGAGTCTCTTGGTTATGCGTCCGTAAGATACTCGCTGCCCTTTTCGGTAGCGGAGGCAGAAATACCATTGACGACGACGGCTTGACGACTTTCTCGCGGAACTCGGCATCTGCTTGCCGGCAGTAGATCCGGTTGAACAAGTGCGACATGACCAGCATCAATGTCTCCACAGTGTTCTTCTCCCTCTTCCCAAAATCGGCACACAGCTCGTGGAAGTAGCCTTCTTTAAGCAAGGCGTGGAACGCGAACGAGGAGTTCTCCGTGAAGTACAAATGGCTAACCAAGCCGGCAAAGTTGAGAGGCGCGCCACTTGTCCCGAGAAGATGCTGACGGCGCAAGTACTCGATGGAAAAGCGCAAGTGGTGCATTGTCTGATCCTTGAATGAGGGCCCGCCCATGTACAATCTCGGCTGCGAAAGCAGTGCGTTAATGGCACCTACAGCATACTTCGAGTTCTTCGATTCGTGTAAAAGCGTGAAGAGGCGCAGCACGAGTGTCGTGGTGAGCGGGAAGTGACCGTTCAGTGATGGCAGCCGAGAGCTGATAAGCCTGCACACTTTCGCGCGTGACACGCCCTGGAACACCACGTTCCCCAGCAGATCGAAGCCACGACGACCGGCACGCCCAGCACACTGGCGATAGTTGAGCGCTGTCAGGAAGACGGAGTCGCCGCTGAAGACGACAGTCTTGCAAGGCATGTTGATACCCATTGCAAGCGTACCGGTAGCGATGACGACCCGAAGGAAGCCTTTGCGAAAGAGAATCTCCACGACTTGGCGCAGCTTCCTGTTCAGACCGGCATGATGCACACCGATGCCTCTCTGCAAAGCATCGATGTACATCTGAGGGATATTGCGCCGATTCAGCTGGCCAACGTAGATCTCGAGCTCCGAAAGCTGGAGCCTGGTGTAATCCGCGAAATGGTAGCCGTCTAGCGGTGCATCCGGGTTGAAAGTCTCCCAAACGCTTGTGCCACTCTCTGCCGCATCGCGTTGCTGATCCAATTTTGAGCCCTTTTCCTCGTCCTGGGGTTTCGACTTCTTACCAGCTGCCTTTGCCTGCTTCGTTGCGTTCTTTTCTTGCATTTTCTTCCATTCCTCCCAGCGTTCCAAGTGCTTCTCCCACTTCGGACCGCTCTTCCTCTGTGCCGTCTCAGCATCTTGCAACTGCTGAAGCACTGCTTCAGCGAGCTTCTCACATTGGTTACGGTCGTAGTTAAAAAGAATGGCAGGTAGAGCGTCCTGGTCATTGAGGCGACAAAGCAATGGTAATGTCGTCTTCACCAGGTCGTCCTCCCTGGGTATGTGCACCGTCTGTGCGCTGATACCATCCGTGGACTGCGTGACTTGAGTCGACTCGCGGGAGGCTAACCGGAAACTTTGCTCGAGGTCTTTGACCACCAAATCGTATGGCGAGTCACTGTCAGCGATCCATTGCCGGAGCACGTCCTTCAGCCGTGCCTCCCACGCAAGCACATCCGCCTTACGCGAGACAACCGGCAGCACCTTCTCCGGATCCAGGTCGGCTGGGACGGGATACTTCTCGGTCTGACGGTTCACCATGACCCGCCAAAGCTCCAGACAATCCCGTGGCTCCATTCCGAGATCTTGCGGTATGCCACGAGAGCGATCGATCAAGCCAGCTACGGAATGAACGTGCTGGAAGCCAGTTAGCCCGTCAAGGCCAAGGGTACCGAAAGCCCTCTTTTCCGGCAAGCCCGCGAAAGTGAAACGCTCGGGCGGTACGTAGTAGTACTTCCGCAGATCTGAGTATCTGTACGGATGCTGGACGGTTACTAGATCTATACCGATAGCCTTCTGAGTGTCAGTAAGCCAAGTGCTGAACTCTTCCGGGTTACCGACGGTTGCGGACAGGGCAATGATCGGGCAGGGTGCCATCAAGAGCAACTGCTCCCAAACCACACCATCTTCTGCTTGGCCGATCGAGTGCACTTCATCAAAAATGATACGACGCACTCGAGACGACCACGCGGCGTTCGAAGGAGCAAGCAGCATGATCTGCAGCACATGCGGCACCGTCACCAGCACTTGGCAGCCAGTAGGATTGTTGATGCGGTAATCGCGGGTATGAATAGCCCACACGGACTTGCCTCCGTGCTTGAAGCGCTTGCTGTACCGTGCTTGAATCTCCGCCGCAATCTGATTGACTAGCGCCTTTGTCGGAGCGACGTAGACCAGTACACCATCATCGTCCGCTTCGAGCACCATGCGCATTGCGTAGAATGAGATGAATGTCTTGCCGGCACTGGTCGGGGCTACCGCGAAAACCGATTTCTGAGCATCGATACCATCCAGGACTTTGCGCTGCCATCCGTCTGGATTAAAGTCGACTCTGCTATCCGGCTTCGAGTCGAAACTACGTTCCAGGTACGGCCCACAGTATGTGAGCTGAAACTCTTTTGAAGGTAGTCTTACAGCAAGTCCTTCAACCTTCGACGGCAACGAAAAGGCAAACCCCAGCTTTCTGTCCTGTTGTGTTTCTGTCATGTTCGGCAAAGGCGGTAGGTTAAGAGTGGTTTCAGTGAGCTCCACATTCTGCACGATCGTCTTCGTTAGCCCTCTGCTCTTCACCACCTCGCCCGCTAAGCTCCAAATGAGCGCGGTGACCTCGACATGGCGATGCTGCTCCTTGCGGCGGCATGCATCAATCCAGTACTGCAGCACGCAATTCAACATGTAGAGCTTGACCTCGGCCTCCACAACCTCCCTACTAGAGGACTGTAGGCCGGTCAAGTAGTCTTTAGCCTTCCGGAATCTCGAGCGAGGCACAGTGTCTGCCTCGAGGTTCCTGCAAACAGTGTGCCATGCTGCAGCGACCTTGTCCCCGGCAGATTCATCTTTCTTCGCTCTTGTTGCGGCGATCTGTGCAAGCATTGCTTGCTTGCCTGCATTCTTCGCTGCATTCTTGCCGCCACCACCGCCAGCACCGGCTTTCTTTGCAGCTGCTTTGCCTTTGGCGGAGGATGCAGCGCTGTCGGAGGCGTCCGAGTCGGCAGGCGAAGTCTGCCCGCTACCTCTGACGGACGAAGACTTGCTTGTCTCGGCCGGCGCATCTATACCACGCGCCTTCACTGCACCGACGACGATAGTCTCCGGTTCTAGGCTCTTACCGATTGCGTTTGTAAGACTTGCGGCGTACGTACGCATCTCGGCCATAAACAGTTGCTCACGTTTAGCAGCCCAGAAGGCAGCTTTCGCTTCCTTAGGCGTAGGTGGGCCCTTCTGAATCAGCGGCTTCTTGGCATTATGCCAATGCGTGAGCTCTTGGAAAATCCGGTGCGACTGAGCAGACTCTTGCCCAGCCACTGTGTCATCAATCTTGAGATGCACCGGTGCTAGGTGCTTGTCAAACACTGGGTTGGAGAAAGGTAACACGGCAAGCTCATGGCTTGTTTCCTTCCCATCTGGAACAGCGCTCTCACCCGCTGTATCGGACGTTGATCCGTCCGGCAAACTAAGCTCGGTGTCACAAAGTGCGTGGGTGGCCGTAATGAGTGTGTCGAATGTCGATTTCACCTCTTCGGTCAGGTGAGGAGGCGATGTCACCAGCTTCAAGAATATTCGACCGTCAGTGTAATCAGCGAGGTCGCCTGCGAACGCATGGCTGGAGCTGTTGTGACCGCCTATATCTGTCCCACGTAAGATCGCGTCGGAGAGGCTAGCAAAGGTACAAAGCGCATGCTCAGCCTCTTCGTTACTCGCCGCGCTTGCGACCCGCCTGGCGGAGAGAGGAAGATGCTGCAGGTAGGCCTGATGTAGCAGGAATATACAGCAAAGCTTCGCAAGCACCTCTGAACCCACTGAGCTAGGTGGATCGTTCTGAATGGCCCTGACCGCAAGTACAGCTAGTGCTTGCCTGGGAGACAGTTCAGGAGCCGACTCCTTCAGCTTCTTCAGATCCTCTCTCGCATCAAGCGTGTCTCGTGACGGCTTTGCGATGGGTGCTTCGAAATGAGTGCCATCCATCGAGGAACGATGGCGAGCTTCAAGGACCATCGTCATGACTTTCGTGTCTCGCCACTCTAATCCGTTAACCAATGCGATATTGTAGCCTCGTCGGATAAAATGTAGAATCATCTGACGTAAGGCCGCGCGCCGGTCGTTTGGCATTGCGTCCGAAACATCGGTAGTGATGTGCTTGCTGCGGCGCTGAGTGGGTTCAGCACCGTCGTGCATCATCAGAAAGTACGGTCCAGTTTTACGGAGGTACTCAGTAAACTCTTCCGAGGTGCAGCTCGAAAACTCTTCGACTGCAATCGTCGGGTGCGACTTTAGAACCCTGCTTTGCAAATGCCGAATGATGGCTGTGCGTGCCAGGTGGTACTTGCCGGCATTCTCAACAATCGCGGATGGCGGAATGCACAGATCCTGATTACTGTCGAAGAATACGATGTGAAAGTTACATTTCCGCTTCACAAGTTGGTGAAGGAAATGCTCAACATTGTATGCCGCATGGAGCATTTGGAAACCGGTATCAAAGTCAAGCTTCGGGTCTGAAAAGCAGCGCAGGAGCATTGAGTCTCCCTCAATGATAAAGAGTTCGTCGCCGGCATAGTCGCCAACCAGGTCCACTCTCCGGGAAAGAAGTTTCCGGTAGGCATTCAGTACTTTGGCTTGGAGACCTTCGCCTTCTTCCGCGGCGTCGTCGTCTTCGTCTTCATCGTCCTCGTCGTCTTCGTCGTCATCGTCTTTATTTTGGTCGTTTTGGCCGAGAGTGGGGCCATTTCGCTGCTTTTCGTCGACTTCCGGGTCGTCAGAATCTGCGTCCCACTCATCAGGCGGTTCTTCTGAACCAGCGGTGCCGTTCTCAGCGGCGTTCGCCGCACTCATTCTAACGGGAGGCTCTTTGGGTAACAGATGACAATCACTGTTAGACGCTCTAAATACGTGCGGATCAGAAGGAGCGCTGGTGGCGTGTTTGAACAGCAATTCCGTTGAAACGGTTATGATAATGTAAACAGTAAATAGTATAGTAGACGCTTGTGCCGCTCAAGGTGTTGAGCTTGAGTTTTAGCGGTAACGCACGGACCGCTGACCGCATGACTGCCTAAGGCTCGCGTCTACGGTGCTGCTTGACACACCACGCAACTTGTGGACGCCGTAATGCTACAAGCCGCAACCGGCGGGTTGTGAGGGATACGGCACGTCTTAGATGGTGCGGTCTGGTGATACCATGTCAGCCGACGAACAACAGCTCTCAGAGCCTTCAAAGCTTACACTTTTTCGCTGGGCTGTTCGATATCCTCATTCGACGGGTGAGATTCCGCTACAGCGTTATGAGCATGTTCATCATCTCTACAGCTGAAGAGCACGAGGACGCCACTTCACGTTCAAGCTACCCTGCTGTTCTCTCGCCAGGGTTGCCGGGTTCCTGGCGGAGTTGCTCCTTTCGAGCTCGCTGTGTGCATAGTCCACACCAGAAACCACTATAGGTAATATTTGGACCAGAGAGCTCCCGTCCAGGCCCTAGTCGTTTATAGATACTTCTTGGCTGCAGCTGATACGCGACCACGGAAAATGGGACTCCGTACTGGCTGATTGATCAGATAGAACGGGTTCATGAGACACTTGATCCAGGCTTCGTAGACCTGCGCAGCAAATCAGTCTTGCCCAGTCTACGGGTTTCGTCTGCAATAAGAACGTACTTCAGCCATGAATTGTCTCACGGCATCCTCGGTCTGTTGACTGGTGGGGTTCGCTGCGAGCAAAATCGTACTCTGACGACCTGTCGAAGGTCTCGATGGTGGACTTGTCTGGTATGCGGAATATGTGGTATTACTAGGATCCGGGTTCATGAGCAGCATGAACTTCATATTGCCGCCAGTCAGGAAGCAGTGGACATGATTGTTTTGGAAGGTGTCGACCCTTCTGAGATACCTAGCAATACGTTCAGCTTTCCAATTCGCAAATACCGCTGTTTCAGACTTACTGCTCCTTGGTACCCCATTGCACTTCTTCAACGATGTCAAGAGCTGCGTGCACGATAAATTGATTCATGTATCTCGCCTCGTCGCGGAAGCGCGCAATTCCATCGCCGCCGACTTTCGAGGTGCCAAACTCGAGCTCGAAGAGCGGGTTGTCTTTAGTGCCGATGATGGTAAAATAATAAGACATGGCACTTGTCACCTCATTTTCGTTTCCGTCTAAGATTGACCGAGTAGCACACCCGCCTGGCAGGGAATGGTGTCGATTTGGTAAACAATTGTTCAGTAATGCCAATGTCCGCCGCTGTAAGGAGAAGGCACATCTCTCACACAAACCCTAACCCTGCCATCTCCGCGGCGAGTGGTATACCATTGACAACTCGACTACTGTTCGTCAGTCCTCACATACCAAAGCAGCAATGTTTGGCGCATTCAAACCCTCAAGCTCGCTATCTGGCGGCTTACTATGGTATGTGAAGCCTCTCACCAATGCCATACATATCCTAACCGAAGCCTAGGAAAATCCCGTGGCGCCTCTCACCACCCCAAAAGCTCCGCCATCGCCGTCGAATGCGCCGGGTAGACAATGTCGTCGCCACCCTCGACACAGCACTCAAACGGCAGGACGCCTCTACCTCAGCACGGTCACAACACGCCAATAGCGCAACATCGAGCGACCCTCCACCTTCACAAATACCAACCAATTCCACCTCCCACTCCGCCGCCACGCCTACGGACCTGAGCAGTACCGCAGAAGGCCGCCGCCTCCTCGACGCCTCCACCCACTCGACTCAGGACTCCCTCCGCCATGGCCGCGGCCCACGACAAGGCGAGCTCGTGCCCGGCTCTACGCGCACACGACTTGGCGACCAAGCGCGGAGGGAAAGCACGATCAAATTGATTGAGCGGTGGAAAGCTGAAATGCCTACTGAGCAGGAGATGCTGCCGCGGGACAAGTACACAATGTTTGATCGCAAGGTGAAGGGATATCGGAAGGGGGTGCATAAGCTGCCGAAGTGGACGAGAGTCAGTCAAAGGTTGAATCCGCCTGGGTTTTGATTTCACTTCACAGAGGCTTGGGTGGGTGTGGCGTTTAGTGGGAGGTGCACGGGATGATACATCGCTTGGCGCTGGTAGGAGGCTGCGTCAATGGTACGGAATGAAAATGGCGTTCAAGAAAGGAACTCTGCATGGATACTGTGGCCATGAGACGAACCGAAATGAGAAAACAACGCTTGCAACAAGCTAATCCAAACTCAATCCAAAAATCCCGGCGCCCACTTATGCCCAAAAATCTTCTCCAGCAGACTCTTATGGTGCAACCCCTTATCCCCATGCATCATCCGCGCCCGCTCATCAACCGACACACGATGCACATCGAACGATCCGGAACTGCTCCGTCGTCTCCGGCTGCCGTCTTCGCTCACGGATGCAGAACTACTCCGTCGACGTCCGCTATTCTGACTTTCGCTCGCGACAACATCACTACGCGCGACGCTGGGGTTGCGTGCTGCGGGACTGAGGTGGGCGTCGGTTGCTTGGGAGCTGAAGGAGGAACGGCCGGCTGCTAGGGGGTTGCTTTGTTCGCTCCGGGGTGAGGGTGGCGAGATGGAGAAGGTTGGGAAGGTTTCTGCTGTGGTGGATGTGAGTCGGAGAGTTCGAAGAGGAAGACGGTTCGGTGCGAAACTTACCTCCCAAGTTGTTGTCCTCGATCGAGCTGTTGGGTCTGGAACGGGCCATCTCTGCTATGATATGCGGTTCGATGGCTTTGATGGGGCTCAGGTATTGCTTCCGGGTTGTGAAGTAAGATTGTATGTTTGGTATATTTCCCTTGTGGACGGTATACTAAGAGTGTAGTTGAACATGGCAATTGTGACATCCTCGACAGTACCTTATATATTCTACCGCAACACTACTAATGAGATACGGAGAGGGAGGCCTCATTGGCGTGCGTGATGCCCAGACGTGGTATGGAGAACATGAGAGCACTGCCACCAAAAGCCGCGACATTCCGGCGCTTTCTTCACGAAAACATTCTCAGATATGTTAGTTATGCAAACCTTTCTCGCTCACATGATGCATGCCGAGCGGAGGGCAAACAGCGGATGTCTTCATGCCAAGCCCCGCACCTCTTGGGACAAGACTGCTGCGCCTCCAGCTTTCGCCATCATCATCGCTATCGCTGTCGTTTTCGCATTGATGGAACTATCGAACAAGGGTATCAACAAACGCACGTAAGTAGGACAACTATCTCAAACATGTTTGGAATGCCGCAACACCGCCCCACCGTCAGCGCGTCAACAGCAATCCCGTCCCCGCTCCGCGTAATGCTGCTCTACGTCGAACCCCTCTTCGCCCTCAGCGGCGTGGCAACCGTCCTGCTCAACCCAGACAAATACACATCCACTCTCACCCGTGGTAACGTAATACATACAGACCCGCGTCTCGCTTTCCTTTGGACAACCGTGGTGGGTGGGTGGCTGCACTTCGCCTTCACGGAAGCCGTCGTGTTGCGACTTGTAGATGACCTTGGAGTGTGGAGATTGCTGTGTATTGGCATGCTCTTGTCGGACTTGGCATATACGCATTCTTGCGCGCAGGCGCTGGGCGGCTGGGCTGAGTGGGTAGATGTCACACGGTGGACGTCGGAGGACTGGGTGGTTACGGTGACTACTTGGCCGTTTATAGTGGTAAGGATGGCGATTGTGTTTGGGATTGGTGTTCGAGTGCCGAAGGGAGGAATGGTGGCGGTGACTTAGTGGTTGCTAATATCTTCGTGCTCGTTATCGTACTCCGGTTGGTCGGAAAGGCTATTGGTGTGATGGGGTATAGGGCGCGAATGCTCATATGTCGAGATGGGAGATGCTCAGCGTAAAAAAGGTGGTCCGGTCATCGCCAATGCCTGCCGCCAGAAGTCGGCTCACGGGGCGCCGACGATCTTGCTAGCAGCCGAAGAGACGCTAGACGACGCCTCGCTCGCCATCGAAGACGGACTCTCGGCTGCCTTGCCCGCCGAGGAAACCGCGGAACTCAACGCCGCCGTGCCTCCAGACACCACACTCGAGGCACCCTCCGCCACAACCGAAGAAGCCGACTCCATCCCCTCACCGCCCGCCGAGGCAGCGCTCGAGGCAAGCGAAGAAGGCGTCTCCATCGCCTCCTTCATCGCCTTCTGCGGGTCGTCCGCGATAGAAGTCGCACTCTTGCTAGCCTCATCTTTACTCCTCCTCCCCGCTGCTAGTATACTCGCTGCTTTCGGTCCCAGCGTCTCCGAGAAGGTATGATCGGCTACTTTGTTCGATAGCATGGAGGAGATGCTGGAGATGGTGTGGGTTTCGGTTCCGAGAATGGTTTCTGAGGCTTTGGATGCCGCGTCCGTCAAGGTATCGACAAGGGTTGATGGGGTGCCGATGATCGACTCTGAGGCCTTCGACGCAGCGTCCGTAAGCGTGTCAGTAAGGCTCGACTCAGTCCTAACAACAGCCTCCGAAGCCCTCGAAGCCGCATCCGTAAATGTATCCGTGAAGCTGGACTCACTCCCAACAACAGCCTCCGAAGCCTTCGCCGCCGCCTGAGCAACACTATCCGTCACCGCCGACCCCTCCCCCACAACCGAGCTCGACAAACTCTTCACCGACGCACTGACTCCGCTCAGCGGTGCCTGCTCGCCGGCGGGGCCACCAACACTCGCATACGCCTCGCCGGCCAGACTACTCGCCGACTCCATAATCTTACTCGTCACACTCTCCACCGTGCCAGTAGTCCCGTACACGGCCTCGGACGCGCCGTCTGCCGCACTCTTCGCTGATTCCTTGGCCTTGTTCGTCAGACTCTCCACCGTGCCAGTAGATCCATACACGGCCTCGGATGCGCCATCCGCCAGACTGCTCGCACTCTCCTTAGCTTTGTTCATCAAATTCTCCACCGTGCCTGTAGAAGAGCTGTAGACCGCCTCACTCGCGCCATCCGCCAGACTGCTCGCACTCTCCTTAGCTTTGTTCGTCAAACTCTCCACCGTGCCTGTAGAAGAGCTGTAGACCGCCTCACTCGCGCCATCCGCCAGACTGCTCGCACTCTCCTTAGCTTTGTTCGTCAAACTCTCCACCGTACCCGTAGATCCATACACCGCCTCCGACGCACTCGAGGACAAGCTGCTCGCTTGACCCGCGGCGGCCGAAGTGACACTCTCGAAACTCCCCTCCTCCGGCCGCTTACTCCCCAAGACAGCTTCCGAGGCGTCGGAGGCGGTATCGACCACCTTCTTCCTCGCCCTCTCCGCCGCCGGCGGCATCTGCTTACTACTGAAATTATCCTCTCCATCACCAGCCTCGATCTTCCACCCCCCGACCTCCTTCAACCGGCCCAACTCCCGCGCACACTCCTCCGCAACACTCATCCCCTTCCCCTCCACCTCATCCACCGCCTCCTTCAACCCCTTAAGCTCCGTACTAGCATCAACGACGTTCTCCACATCATCCCTCCAAAGCTTCGTAGACTTCTTCAACTCGTTATACGCACTCCACTCTTTATGCGGCAGACCCGCGTCAGCGTACTTGCGTCCGATTTCCGCGAGGCGGATCTCGCGGATGGAGTCGATGGTTTCGAGGGTAGATTGCAGGGCTTTGGTGACTAGGTCGTCGGTTTCCGCGTTGGTTTGGGCCTTCCAGTCGCGGATGGCTTGGGCGGCAGACTTGACGTTTTGGCCCGCGTTGCGGATAGCGGTTTTGAGACTGTCTTTCGCCTCGTCGATGTGGACTTGCTCCGCGTCTTCGGGAAGGGAGGCTACGATTGACAAGATGCGCGCTTTGACGCTGTTTAGCGTGCCGGAGACGGTGTCTTCGAGTTGAGTTAGGAGTGCGTGGCCGGTCGTGTTGGCTTGGGTGGCGGTCTGGTGGGAAGCGATTTCCGCGAGGTGGGTGCGGAGGTGCTCGGCGCCTTCTTCGACAGCTTTGGAGCAGGCGCGTTCCCAGGCTTGCAGGTCCTCGTGGAAGTGCTCGGTTGGAGTTAGGCTGCTGGCGGCGGATGAGGCGGATGAGGTGGCGTCTTTGACTGCAGAGACGGGGGCTTCGGTGACGACGCTGGCGAAGGAGGAGAGGGTGTCCGTGAGCGCGATGGCGGTGGTGGAGGCTTGGGCAAGACTGGAGGAGGACTCCATACTCTTCACTTCGGCTTGCAGGCGCTTCTCGTCTCTGTATCTGCCCAGCCGCTCACGGATGCGCAAGAGTTGCGGCTCGATGTTTTCGCCATAGAGGACCTGCATGCGCGGCCAGATTTGTTTCGCTCCGAACGCCCACGCCGCCGTACCCGCATATCGTGCTTGTGGGAGGAGAGTCTTGACGGCGAAAGCCTGGCCCTGGGTGAGAAGCTTCTGCGCGTAGGGTGCCGTGTTACGGTACACCGGTTCCACCTCCAGCTCCCAGATGTCTGTGGCAGACGTTCTGACTGAGTCGTAGTAGGGTTGAACCACATCCTGCACCCTCTTCACGTGCGGGCTGAGATATATGTCATACTGCTTGCCGGCCTGCTGTCTCGCGACCTCGAGCTGCGGCTTGATCGTCTTCTGCCATTGCACGACCGCCTGTTTCTGCGCCCGAGTCACGATCGGTGCGCCATGCTGCCTGTACGCCTTCACACCTGGATCAACGACACGCGTGTTGACTTGGTCGATGTAGGGTTGCACCTTCTGTAGTTGTGGCGCCACGTAGTCGTCGTAGTACGGTTTCGCGTAGGGAGTCACGTGGTCACGCGTCTGCAGGTATGGCTTGCACAACGCGGGCGTGCCTTCTTTGATGTCCTTCTGCTCGCTGGGACATCTGAACAGGACGGTGATGAGGGCATACCACACGAAGACCTTCAATGCTTTATCGAAGGTCCAGCCCAGCCATGTCGGCTTACCCCTGCTTCGTCTTCTCCTCCTGGAAGAACTGCTGGATGTGGGCTGACGGGTGTTGCTGGTCTGACCGTCCATTGTCAGGTCGGCGGCGTCCGCGAGCTGTGTAATCGGCTCGCCAGGCTGATCAGTGTCGTATGTCTCGTCGATGACGGCCATCGCGAGGAAGGCGCGGGTGGATTTGTTGTGATAGATAGGCGTCGCTTAGGCTCTTGCTAGTGCCAACGTTCTCCTCGAGCTTAATGCGGGTGACGTCGGTAGAAGTCTGGATTGGAAGTGTTCGCACTTTCTTCCAAACGAAGCGATAATGTTTGCACGGCCAAGTCGGACAAGGTGTCGCTCCCGCCGAATACTTTATGATTGCGAGAAGTTCGCATCGATCCTTCTGCGCGCAAAGATCCCGTCCGTCAAACTTGGTTCGGGAGCTCTTGCTGTCAGCGTGACGCCACAGGCAGCTCGCGTGCTCCGGCCGTTAGGTGTGGCTTGACCGACAAGGACCAGGGTCGCTTGGTGTCGCTTGACCTTTCCGTGCACTCGTCTCACGGGCAGTGACTGCCACATCCCACCATCTCCTGAAGGAAGGCGCCTGCGGGGTACAAGCAACGCATACACGCCCCGTATCTCCTGCATCATCCGTCTGCATCCGGTAGCATCAAAACAACAGGACTCGATGAGTACTTAACCCACCAAACGCAGCCTCCGTGGCCATAGCGAGCAGGTGAGCACTTCGACAAACCCAACACCACCCACTGCCAAACATGGCGGACGTCAACCATGCGGAACCGGGACCGGAACCGGAACTCTCCCACCCCATCACACAACCCATCCCCACCCCCCACCGCCGCAACACCGCCGCCTCCTCCACCTCCGGCGCCGACACCTGCCGCATCTGCCGCTCCGAAGCCACGCCCACCGAACCCCTCTTCCACCCCTGCAAATGCTCCGGCAGCATCAAACACGTGCACCAGGAATGCCTGATGGAGTGGCTCTCCCACTCGCACAAGAAGCACTGCGAGCTCTGCCACACGCCCTTTCGCTTCACCAAACTCTACGATGCCCATATGCCGGAGACATTACCGTGGTTTGTGTTCCTGCGGCAGGCGGGCGTGCATGGGGTGCGGATGTTGTTGGGGCTGGCGAGGGGGGTGTTGGTGGGGTGTGTGTGGTTGGGGGTCCTGCCGTGGTTGATTCGGTGGTCGTGGCGGTGGATGTTCTGGGTGGCGGATGCGGGGTGGGCGAGGGAGGTGTGGCTGAGTAGGAGGAGGAGGGAGGGTGCGGGGTGGGAGGAGAGTATGGCGCGGGTCAACGAAACGGACTACAACCTTTTCGGGCTCAGCGAAACATTCAGCAAATTTCTCAACATTACGATCAACGCGCAAGTGGACGAAGCCGGGCCGGCAGTCTACAACTGGCTAAAAGATAACCTCATCACGGCCATCACCTCCCACAACCCCCAACCCGCCGCCCCTACCTCCGCCTCCGCGAACCCCGAAGCCGCAAGCTCACTCCTAAGCAACGTCACCTACCTCTCCAACCTCACCTCCTCCCCCGCCCTCAACCGCCTAATCCTAGACATCATGGAAGGCCAGCTCATCACCTGCGTCGTCATCACCGGCTTCATCCTCGTCTTCCTAATCCGCGAATGGGTCGTGCAGCAACAACCGCTCGTCGCGTTGGAAGGGCTGGGCCAGGTACAGCAACAGTTGCGAGAAGCTGCGGAGCGGGTGGAAGCGGAGAATGAGCGGTTAAGGCGTCAGCAAGAGTTGCTAGAGCAGGCGAGGCGGAGACTAATGGAGTTGAAAGAGGAGACCGACGCTTTCAACACAGGCAATACCGACCACGAAGGCGAGGGCGGCAGCGAAGAGTTCATCGGCTGGGAAGGATTGGAGGGCTTAATCGAGGAAGCCACGGCGTATCTGCGTCAATCTTCTAGCGGCCAGGATGATAGTAATGCGTGGGAGTCGGCTTTCCGCGCCGCGGCGGAAGCGACGATGCATCAGATCCGCGTGGCCGGTCGTAGGGGCGTGGATGCGACGGAGTTGGCGGATCACATTACGGGGCAACTTGCTACTTTTCCGCCGGAGCAGAGGGGGAGGTGGGAGGATTTGCTTGTGGAGGAGGTGGGGAGGTTGGGGGAACGGACGAGGGGTCAGACTGAGACTGAGATGGAGGAGGAGATGGTGACGGAGATGGAGGAGGAGAGGGTTGGGGTGGTTTCCGAGCAAAACGGGAGCGTGAAAGAGTCCGATGAGAGTGTAGGATTGCCGAAAAGGCCTAGAATGCCTGAGCGGGACTTCTCGAGCCGCGCGACGCATATCCAGAGGTTGTTGGAGGAGGCGGAGGGGATATTCAGCCCGAATTCGACCTCGAACTCGCGCGAGGGCGGGAGGGTTGCCATCAACGAGCGACAGGATGGAGTCATCGCGGGCCCGAGCCAGGATCAGCTGCTCCAACTCCAGCTTCCCCATCACGGTTCCTTTCCCCCTTCCAACAGTGACAACATCAATGACGCAGTTTCATCCCCACCGAACACTCAGAAGTCTGCGGTCGAGGACGAGGACGACTACGAACTCCCCATCACCAACGCCGGACCCGATGCTAAGATCAATATCCGCCGTAGTGGGAAGGGGAAGGCGAGGCTGGCTGTGCCGGAGCCGGAAATAGCGCCGAGGGAGCGGGAGGATCAAGAGAAGAGGAGGATGGAGGATGAGGCCATGAGGAGGTTGGAGGAGGAGATCAAGGTGGAAGATGCGGTTGCGGCGGTGGAGGAGAAGAGGAAGACGGAGAGGGAGACGCTTGAGGTCGCTGAGGCGGGGGCGGGTAATCCGTTTCATCCGGACGGTCCGGAACCAGAAAGAAGGGGAGAGGGTCAAATGGCTGATGGGCGAGAGGCGGCGATTGTTGCTGAGCCTGAAGGTGGCGCTGATGGAGAGTGGGTAGACATACCGGAGACGGATCCTGACAACAATGCAGCTGGGGAGGCTGAGGAGGTGGATGCTGAAGAAGAAGACGATGCACAAGAGCCACGACCACCTCCACCCCAGCCCACCCCCTTTCAACGTCTCGCCGACTGGTTCTGGGCCGACATTCAACCACAAAACGCACCGGACAATGCACCTCCGCCTCCACCCAACGAAGAGCGCGCTGTGGAAGCCGACGGGGAAGCGGCAGCGTTCCTCCCGGGCGCTCTCCCTCCGCCCGCCGGTGCCGCCGCCCTTCCCGCAGCAGCCCTCGACGCCCCCGACCCCGAAGTCCTCGCCGCAGCCCAACAAGCCGGCGCCCTCGACCCAGACGGCGGCGCAATCGACCCCGAACTCGAAGACCTAGAAGGCATCTTCGAGCTCGTCGGCCTACAAGGCCCGCTCCTCGGCCTCCTTCAAACCAGCACCTTCGCCAGCGTCCTCGTCACGGGAACCGTCTTCGGCGCGGTCGGGTTGCCGTATATGTGGGGTAAACTTGTCCTCAGTTTCCTTGCGAACCCTTGGACGATTCTCGTGAAAGCGCCGTTCAGACTTGTCAGCTGGGTCGCGGATTTCGCCGTCGATATGGCACTACTTGTGGGTGGGTGGACGGTGGTGGGGAGTCTGTTCACGGTGAACTGTGTTTTTGAGGTTGTGGGGTTGGTGTTGGAATTTGCGGCCGGGTGGGAGACGGGATTGGGGCAGGGGAGTAAGTATGGAGTTTGGTTGGCGCAGGTGGCGATGCAGACGGCGGGGAAGGCGGGGGTGAGGTTGGAGGAGCTGCTGTTTGGGGCCGATACGGCGGTGGAAAGTGTGGGGAAGGAGGTCGGGGTTAACTGGGCTTTTCTTGCCGCCAGCGTGCATGCGCATGCTTCGCTGAGGGAGATACAGGGGGATGTGAGGGCCGTGGTGGATTGGACGGGTCGTGGTATCACGGTGATGGTGGAGATGATCTCGTCCGGGTCGGCGAGTGGCGTGTGGCAGCAGGCGAAAGATCTCCCGGCGCAGGTGTTCCACGCTCTCGTCGCCGTGGGACGGTATTGGGAGCCTTTACTGCGGTCCCTTGGCTTGCTCAGCCCCGGCGTCGCAGGATCATCGAGTGCTACGTCCCTCGATGCGGACCTGGTCTACTGGTCCACCACCGACCGCACCCTCACCGTCGCCATCGGCTACCTCTCCCTCGCCCTCCTCGCGGCCCTTTACGTCGCCCTCGACACCCCCCTCGCACGCACAGAAGCGGGACGCAAGACCGAGAAAGCCGTGCGCGATACTCTACGTCAAGCTGGAGGGGTGCTGAAGGTGATCCTCATCATCAGCATCGAGATGCTCGTCTTTCCCTTCTACTGTGGCGTGCTGCTCGACGTGGCCTTCCTGCCCTTATTCAAAAACGCTACGGTCGCGGGACGCTGGCAGTTCGCGAGGGAGCGACCGTGGATGTTCTGTTTCGTGCATTGGTTCATGGGGACGTGCTATATGTTCCACTTCGCGTTGTTCGTGGGCATGTGTCGCAAGATTTTGCGGAAAGGGGTGCTATGGTTCATTCGGGATCCGGACGACCCGACGTTCCATCCTGTTCGCGATGTGCTGGAACGCAACGTCACGACGCAGCTTCGCAAGATCGCATTCAGCGCGTTGGTGTACGGGGCGCTGGTTATCCTCTGTTTGGGCGGCGTGATCTGGAGTATCGGGAGATTGGTGAAGGGGATCTTTCCGATCCATTGGGTCAGTACCGAGCCGGTGCTGGAGTTTCCAATGGATTTGTTGCTGTACAATGCCGTCACGCCGGTGGTGTTGAGGGTGCTGCAGCCGAGTGAGGCGGTCAGCGCGATGTATGCTTGGTGGTTGCGGCGGTGCGCGAGAGTTTTGCGCTTATCGCATTTTCTCTTCGATGATCGGCGGAAGGATGAAGAGGGACACTTTGTGCGGAAGAGTTGGAAGAGCTTTCTGCTGCGGGAGAAGGGAGAGGTGGATGAGAGTCCTGCAGTAGGTGGGCCGAAGGGGAGGAAGATGGCGGTCGACCTATTCGGACAGCAAGAGCATAGCATGCAAGCGCGGGAGGCGACAGTTCGGTTTTGTAGGGATGGGAAGTACGTGCTCACGCCTTGCAACGACCAGTACCGCCCACCGAAGCCCGGCGAAGCGTTTCTGCACTCGTCCGACCAGGACGGCGACGTCTACATTGCGGATGCGGAGGGCAAGCGCAACGATCACTTCGCCAAGGTCTACGTGCCGCCGTTCTTTCGGCTGAGGATTACAGTCTTTATGGTCGGACTGTGGATGTTCTCTGTCGCGCTGGGGCTTTGCGGGACTTTGGTGCCGCTGGTGGTGGGGAGGAAGATGATGGGACAAGTCATGCAAGGCGCAAGGATCAATGACATCTATGCATACTCCGCTGGGGCGTACGTGCTTGGCGGACTGATGTATGGGGTGCTCAGAGGCAGGAGAGTTGTGAGTTGGGTGACAAGGAAGGCCAAAACGCAGCCGGCGATGCGAGTCGACTCCAAAGCTGCGCTGGAGAAGGCGAGAAGCTGGACTGTGCGGGCGCTGAAGTGCGCGTACGTGTATGGCTTCATCGCGCTGATCCTGCCAATGATCTTCGCATTGGTGTTGCAGTTTTACTTCATCCTGCCGCTGCACACTTACACGCACTCCGTCCTCTCTACAACGGCCTCTAATTCTTCTGGCAAGATCACGAACGCAACAGCCACCGCCATGAGCTCGTCAACGTTCATACCACCACCATCGCCGCTACACCCGCCGACTCTAGCACACCACACCATCCACCTTCTCCAAGACTATTGCTTGGGCCTCCTCTACGTCCGCCTCGGAATCCGCTTCATCGTACATACTCCCGCATCACGCCCAGCCGAAGCCATACGCCGCATTACTGCCGATGGCACGTTCAACCCTAACATCGCCCTCGCAACGCGCTTCCTCGTCCTACCAATCACGATCCTCTCAGCGAACGCGCTGCTGGTCCCGCCTCTGCTCGTCCGGATCAGCATCTCGACCAAGCAGATCTTCCTTTCCCACACACTGGCTTGGCTAGCCGAGCCGGAGACGCAAGCCAAGTTGTACCGGTACAGTTACCCGATGTTCGCGGCGCTGCTCGTGCTGTTACTCTGCGGCAGTCAGATGCTGAAGGGCGTGGGGAGGTGGCGGGCGAGGGTCCGCGATGAGGTGTACCTGGTTGGGGAGCGGTTGCATAATTTTGGAGAGAAGAAACCGCCGGCTGGGAGTCGAAGTGTGGTGAGGAGAGAGAGATGAGCAGTGATACGGAAGCCACGACGATAGAGCAGAGATGTTCGTGTTGATAGAGGTGGATTGAATATCGTTTAGCGAGGCGTCTGGGACGGCATTGTACGGATGCATGGCAGGCCTAGCAAATGCTCAACCTTTTCTTTATGGGTGTACAGCAGCATAACGCGTCCTTCGAGTGTACGATGTACTATGGTGCCAGTATAGCGATTCAGCTATTCTCAACCTCTATCAAGTTTGAGTTCATAAGCGTATCTGCGAATGCATCTCGATGGTCCCGTGAGATGGTTCTCATGGTCTTCGAATCCTTTCTTGCGCTTCTTCGCGTGAGCTCAAGCTGTAACAACAACCGATGCTCTCGCTCTCGACGCTTTCATTTGTGTTAGCAGTACCAAACCTGCAATCAACTCTCACACCTAGTGTAAAGGAGTGCTCTTTTTATTGGCTCGTCAGTCTACTCAGTAACGAGGGTGTGGCACGCTTTGGCGGTATCGTTGCCGTTTCAAGTGCGGCTATAATCGCCAGCAGCGAATGTGAGTGCACCGTGCCCTAAAAGGAAGGATGTCTACTAAACCAGTGGTGAGCAGAAGGATGGACAGGGTTTGAACCTTTGACGAACGGAGTTGGGAATGAGCCGATAATCCGGACCATCGCAGCTACGGTATGAGGTAAATGTTTTTGTATATAGAACGTCGCTGTCCGTCAAAAAGTTGATAGGTACAGCCGCTGTCTTTCCACTTCTTTGCACACCAACCAGAACCCCCTCTGAACCCTGACTGTAATGGGCTCGCAGGCGGCCACAGAGTACGATTATCACCTTGACCATGAGTACGCCTCAAGAAAGTGTTTCAATCAATGAAGCCTCGCCTGACATGACAGTGCCCCCGAGTATCAGTGGCTGAACTTCCAGCACGAAGCCATACGACAGATTATGCATGGCACGTTAATCCACAGTCGGATACAAAGCCCCAGAAAGATCCTGGATATCGGTTGTGGCACGGGTGCCGTATCCGTACATCTGGCCGAACGCTTTCCCAACGCAGAAGTCGTTGGTATTGACATTTCGCCTGTGCCAGATGTGCATGCAAGGCCATCTAACCTCTCCTACCGCCAAGGCAACATACTGGACCTAGTCCGAGACGGCGCCTTAAAAGCCTGGTGAATGGAATTTCATTTTCAGTAGGTTGTTGTTGGCTGGCATGCACGATTGGCCGCGCTACGTCGGAACAATGTATCGACTACTGAGTCCCGGAGAATGGGCAGAGCTGCAGGACGTCAGCGTATGCGTCTTCGATGCCCAGGAGAACGATATTTCAGCCGACTGGAAATACATGATCGCCACCATGCAGTCAATTGGAAAGCTCGGCATGGATGGGAGAATCGGCATCCATCTGCCAGAATACGTGCGTGACTGCGGCTTTATCGAAATCCAGATCAAGCATTTCCCTTGGGTTCTTGTGCACTGGCCAGGACATCCTGAGACGGATATGATGGCGCACTTGATGGAGGGGAGTACCTTGAAAGCGGCGGAGACCCTAATAGGAGGGGTGTGCGCTCGAACCGGAAATTATCCGCCGGAGGAGATCGAGGCGATCAAAGAAGATTTGCGAATACACCGGCAGGCATTGAATGCCGGTGGGCACCAAAGATTCACCGTCTGCTGTGGAAAGAAGGCTGCGTAAAGTCAGACAAGAATAGTACAGTGAGACTGCGTTAAAGGTCAATGATACGAACTTCTGTGTTCTATAGGATCCTTGTCACATTCCAGCATATGCTGCTGTGCTTCGCGTGATGTAGACTTCGCCAACAAGTACTGCAGACGCAACGATGGTTGCCACTGCGATGATCGGGCAATTTACCCGCATGAACTCCCAGCCCATCACGTGGATGTTTTTGCGGGCGAGAATGCTCCGCCATAGAAGTCCGGCTAGCGACGCACTGAACGCTGTGCTGAAGGCACCGTAGTTCACGCCTACAACCGTTAGTGACATTTGGATGAGATAGACGCGGGACTGTGGGCTCTGATCCCGCACCTATCGCCATGCTGTAGATTGTGGCCCAAAACGTTCGCTGAGAGATCGGGTCGCCGGAAGTATTGGCATGTATCTCGACCCAGGCTTGGACGACACGGCTGATCAGGATCGTTGTTCCGATGTTGGTCCCTGCGAAGTTGCAAAGAAGGATAGAGACAAACATCATGCCACCTGTTCACGCGACAAAATGCACTGTCAGCGAACACCACCGGAAGACGATAGGGTTATTATAGAACGTACCAACTGCACCGACCGGCCCTGTCCTGCTCACCCAGTGGTCCCACCCGTAAGCAAAGACGCCAACCCAGCCCTTCGTGACTAGGGACTGGCACAGGATGAACATGCAGAGCGCGAAGGGAATGAGCGGCAAGGGGAGCGATGCCAGCACTGCTGTTGCAGTCGGAAAAGTTTCCCTGCACCACTTCCAAGCACCTGCCACAAGTGAGACAAGAGTAGTGGGCACTGTGTAGTGAGACGCGGTTGCAGTTGGCTTTGCTGGTGGTGGAGGCACGTCGCAATGCAAGCCTAGGGTGTCTGTCGTACGCTTGCGAAGAAGCTTCTGCGGAACGGACACAGCAGATGTCTTTGGCTGACCGTCGACCGCATCAGACGTATCACTGTCTCTAGGCTCGAAAGACTGCTGCGGGTCGATAGTGCTTTGTCGCTGTCTTTGTCCAGTGTCAATCTCCCTCAACGCCACAGTGTCCCGCTCTCCAGGTGGTGCAGAGACTTTAGAGCCAGCCCTGGCGATGTCTCGCGTTTGCTTCCTATGCAGCCACCCAAATGTAAGATCCCAGCATAGCATAATGCAAGCAGCAGGCAAGGTGATCCAATACACTGGATGTTGGTGTCGGATTGGAGTGCTAGCGTTCAAGACTAAGATCGTAATGAGAGTGGCAGCCATAATAACCGAGCCGAATATGGCTCCCGACTTGTCCAGGTAAGGGTTCATGATCTCTTCGAGCATGGCCATATCCTCATTATCATCAGCCTGGCCACGAGCGTTCGGAATGTTCGGGTTCACGGGTATTTTCCGCCTCGCTTCTTCTGGCAGGACATGCAGCTCGATACTTGGCGGAACAAGCGCATCGTCCCGGAACAAGACGTAGAGCAGGAACGGTGCAAGTACCATGGTCGATGCCTTGAACATGAGGTCAGGTCGACGGAATGTCGGCACGAAGTGGAGTACACACGTACTATGACTGGAACGATCACATTGGCCTGATGCCGTTAGCAGCGTCCTAGCTCTTAACAGTGTTAAACGGAAGGGGCAGTGAGTGGCGATTGCTAAAACAGAAGTTTTTCAAGGGTACAGCCAGGCCACGCTGCACTTACCGTGTACTCAATGAACTTGATCTCGAACGCAGCAGCGAGCTTGCTCAGTCAGTATATCTTGATGCGACCATGGACGGGCTATGTCTGTTCAGCACATACCACAAGGTTTGTTGGATTCGAGGACACAAGGATCGCTGAACCGACATTCGAAACAGCGAACTGAGTGTAGATCCAAGCTTTGGGATCTTTAATGTTGCGTGAAATTCGTGTCATGTAAGCCAGGAACGGTGTGCCAGATAGTATGATAGGATCGTTGCCAATGCAGGTGGACAGCGCGAAAAAGAAGGCGTAGAGGTATAGGAAGAGACGTCGGCCATGACCGCCACCCTTCTGCAGCACTTTGAACGCGATGTAGCGAATCAAACCGGACGCATCGACTATCGACATTCGTAAAACAGTCAGAAAGCTTCATTTCGTGGTAACCATGACACAAACCACTAATTGCGATGTATGCTAGCGTGATGAAGAAGGCCAATACCTCCAGTGGCATGATATTGTTCGCGCCTATGGTGCCATCGTGGACCTCAACACGGCCAATAGACTTAGTGGCAAGCAAGAGAAGGACGGCCAATAACGGCCCGGTGATGAAGTTGACAGGGAGCCTGTACCAGAGCAAGAGCGCTCCAGGACCACGTCGCACTGTCGCGGACCCTTCGCGAATAACTTTGGATGGCTGCTTCGATTGCTGGATTCCACAAGTCACAGGTCCAGATTGTGGATCTCGTGGTGGAAGGACGCGCAACACCACTAAGAGACTTCGTGCGGCATCGACCAAAAAGCGCGGGAATGGAAACGGCACTGTGAATGGGACGAGTACGACGATGTCTACGCGCAGAAGTGTCAATAACATCAGGCTGCCGATTTGAGCTGTTGACACTCACTGGCAAAGACGAAGAGGATTAGTGTGAAGATAGAATGCCAGTCTCGGATCTGGGCGGTATTCAGGTCGTTCTGCATCGCGTCAAGAGTATACTCGGGAAAACCTCAGCGAACATGATGTTGTGCGGAAATGAGACAGACATGGCAGACTTTGTGGTTGACGAAGCCGCAGATGGGACAACGTGGTGGAGCTCGAGTGCTGGCGGTGACGTGGGCTGAGACTTTGGAAGCTGAAGCCGGCCAAATCTCGGCAACACAGCAATATAGCCACAATCCTTCTTGACTCGCACAAGGCAAACGCGTGCAAACCACCCGGAGAGATGGCTCCCAGGCACTTAATGAGCGTTAAATGATTCTGTGCGAAAACACGACGCCAGGGTCCTGAAGTCGGCGACTGCTCGTATCAAGACTTCCTCAAGTAATGCCCTACCGATGCATATGCTGCTTTCCCCAACACCAAATGTGGTTCCCGTAATCCACTAGCTTCGTGGTGGAACATCGAAGACGCCGCGCTATGCAGAGTTCAAAACCTTTGGTAGGGTGTACGTTGGACCGTCCGCTCATTCGTCATCGCTCTCCTCATCATCATCGTCAAGTGCCTCCATTGCCTCTTTGATGAAAGGCGCCGCCTGCGGCATGTCAGCAGGATTTCTAGTCAACGTTGTCGGGGATAACTTACCTTAACGTCCAGATTCAGCGCTGTGGTCAGTGCCCTCAACGCCTCGCTCTTGTCACCGAGACCCTTGTAGCACTTCCCAAGCAGGAACCAAACATTCGCCTCATCCGGCGCCTGATCTCGGAGCAACTCCAACTCAACCAAAGCTTCAGAGAAATACCGCATGTGCATTAGCACCCTCGCCTTCTTAAACCGCGCCAGCGCCGAGCTCGGCGCAATCTCCAGCGCTCTCGTATAGTTAGCAAGCGCAGCTTTGCGGCTATGAAGACGTTCGAGCACCACGCCAATGCAGACGAGCAAGGTGGGATTGGATGGATTGATGGAGGCCGCGATGCGGTAATGTCGCTCCGCTTCCTCGAGCTTGCCCATGCGTTCGTACGATTTTCCGAGCCCGTACCAACCGCCGTAACAGCGCCGGTCCACTGCAACACTTTTTCGGAAGGACGAGAGGGCGGCGTCAAACTCTTCATTGGCGACGTATTCGTGGCCTATTAGCGTCCAGGCGTAGGCGAAGGACTCGTCGAGCTGGGTTGCGCGCTTGAAGGCTGCGATGGCTTGATCGTGTTCACGGGCGAGGGAGAAGGCGTTGCCGACTGCGCACCATGTTTGCGGCGCGTGGAAATTTTGGTCGCGAAGAAGGTGGCAGAGGTGGGCAAGGCTGCTGTCTCCCTTCAGGTGCCAGAGGACAGTGGAGTACACCTCCATGTCTTCGATGCGGGAAGGTTGCAGCTTGAGCAGGCGAGCAAAACAATCTTCAGCGCTCTTATAGTCTGCTTGCTCATAGTACGCTTTGCCAAGCTGGGCGAGCACCCACGGCGTATCTCGTTGGGCGCTGGGCAGCGATTTGAAGAGCTGGATGGCTTGCGGAAGCTCGAAGACCGCATTGGCGTGGCAGCCCACAGCCAGCTGGCGCATGTTGTCAAGCAGGGCAACCATGGCTTGCTGCTCGATCTGCGCATCGGAGCCAGCCGGGACAGTGGGCTGCTGTGGCTTCGGCACTACCGCTGCAGTCACCCCAGGCGCAGCCGGCGCGTTCTTCTCGCTGTTACGACTGGGCGCACGTCTTTCTTTCTCTTTGTTTGCCGGGTCTGGTGGCAGCATCTTGCGGTTGCCGCTAACCACGCGGCCAACGGTCGAGGTCGTCCGCCCTTTGACACCTGTTGCGGCTTTAGGTGCACGTGCTTCGCGGTCGTCCCTTCCTGCTGTAGGCGCACCTTCCACACCTGACCGAGCTGCCCTACTGCTGACACCTTGGCCAAACAGCCGATTACTCCTTCGCGGTTGTGCCGATAGATCCACCACGGAGGTCGATTGTGGCACTTGACCTGATATTGTCCGCTTGTGCCCGCCTATGCTGGGCTTTCTTGGGTCTTCGACCACGGTGGTCTCCGAGCTTGAATATGCGTGACTCCGCAAGGCGGTCGGTCTCGGTCGCGCAGAGGCCTCCGATATTTGGGCGGGCCTTGCTCTCCTCATCGGCGCTTGCGGTGGCCCAGCAGTCTGACTACCATCATCGAGCGGGACGCCACCCATAGCGACGTCCTCTGACGAAATCTCACTTCCATGCGCAGTCGGCGTGTCCCAGTCCATGAGTGGCTGCCGTAACCGAGTATTCGCATGAGGTATAGCAAAACGTCCTGCTTCGTTCACAACGTGGCTAGTGTTGAAAAGGTCCGCGGAGGGCGTCAGGACTTGCTGATTAAAGTTCACCTGAGGTGCCAATGGCTGCTGCGCTGCTAGAGGCTCATCTGTATAGATCTCGGTCGCGGAAGAGTGTCCAGTCACGGCCGCTGCTGCGACCATGTCTGCTGGCGTCCTGAACATGTTTGCCAGGTTCAAGTCCGCCCCAATCTTGCAAAGACCTTCAAAAGCCTCCCAAGTGAACGGACTCGACTTGTGTGCTTCGATGAAGCAATCGCCAGCCTTGCGAAGATCGCCATGAGCCTGCCAAAGCTTCGCCATAACCGTGTAGACTGCCGGCGCATCAGGCAGATGCCGGCGCGTGGTCTCTGAGTGCTTCTTCCAGTTGACCTTGCCATGCCATAGACTCTTCGCTTTCTCCAGCGCAGCACAGCCTTCTGGATACCGTCCAATGTCCAAGCAGGCATTCGCGAAGACGAACGCACATCCCAAGTGCCTCCCATTGGCGCCATACCTTTGGCTAAAGTCGTAAGCCGCTTTAAACCGTCGTAACCGTAGGTAGGAGAGGGCCAGCAGATGCGAGCTATCAGGGTTTTTGGGTTCGAGCGCATGAAGTCGACCAGCCAGGAAGTTTGCGGTGTCCAGCATCTCGTTGTCAAGGTGGTAGTATATGAGCTGATGAAGCTGTGACGCCGCAGTTGTGCTTGTCGGCGACATGGTTGGAGGCATTGTGGTGGCGCCAGCACACTGATGGTCTGGGTCGTGGAGAGTTAAGCGTGGTTACTCGGAGCGACGCAAGGTCTAGATGTGGTCGTTGATGCTCCCATAGACTCCGAAGTCTTATGGTGAGCAACCGAGGAACAAGAGACAAGTCACGCGGTAGACTGCTCGTCTGCGAGGGAACTATGCGACGATGAATAGCCCATCACAATTACCACTCGTCTGTCGAGCGACACGCCCTTGACCGAGCACGCTTATCGCTGTCAACGAGCGGTTGCTAGTGAGGGAGTTATGTTGTTTGGTGAGGCAGCTGTTGCTGATATGCACGTGCCACTGACGATCTCTAAGCGCCACACGCTTCACATTTTGACGGACACTTGAGACCTTCAGCCAACTGTAAGAACAATGAACCCTTCGACTCGCGCATCTATTTCGAGGCTCATCTCGAGATCCAGAAGGGAGAGATTGTTGAGTCAATCATCATGGCACAGGTATGTTCGTGTTCACAGCGTCTCAGAGTTGCCGAGCTGATGGTACACAGAAAGCAGCGAAGACGCAGGCAACGCGCAATAGCGCCACCTTGAACCGTACTCATCTGATCTCATTAGGCGTATACATCTTCTTCCTGCTCGTTCGCACATCTTTATTCAAGCGGAAATTGTTACCTTTCATTGTCATCACTCTACCTGCGATGGGCATCGAAATCTGGTTCGAACGGATTGGCCGCCCTAGCTACACCGAAGGATCCAGCGGCAAAGAACTCCGCAAAGCTGGCGAAGACCTAGAGGCCAAAGGCTTAACCGAGTGGATGTGGGACATCATCTACTGGACATGGGGCTGCACAGTCTTCGCCACGCTGCTGGGCGACTGGGCTTGGTGGTTCTACCTTGTCGTGCCTGCGTACGCGGTGTATCTGGCCTTCACCACTTACTCAGGTATGCGAGAAGGGTTCAGCGGGCTCAATGCCGGTGCTGGTGGGCAGGGTACTTCGACTGCGACACCGTCGCAGAGCAAGCGGCAAGCGAAGATCGAGAAGAGAGGTGGACAGCGGGTCCAGTACCGCTAAGCTGGATTCACAGTCGGCAACAGCTCGCGAGTCGGTACTTCCGAGTCGGTACGATGGCTGTCTGCCATTCGCGCCAATGTCACTGGTTGGCACCGACCATGCCACCATGTACGCGAGCCCTTTGCGGAACCCAGCCTTCCGTTTCCGCTTCGACATGCTTGGCCGCTAGTGTCCAGAGAGCTTTTAGGCCGTCACTCCATCCAACATCACTCCTTCCGGTTCATCCTTTCCTGCGATGATTTGGTCCGAATGCCGTGATGGCAATTCGGTAACCATTCCCCTGATCCCCGCAGCCTGCGCTTGGGTCAAGGTGATGTTGAAGTACTTCTCAAGGCTCTCAACGCGGTCCTCTTCGGTATACAGCATGGCAAGGACCTCCAGCTTGTTTTTCGTTTGTCGAAGGACACGATCTCCACGAAGAATAAGCTCTCCGACGACTGACTCTCCGCGCGCGTCCAGCAGGTATTTCATCACGATCACCCGATATGTGAAGAAGCTGGTGCGGTGGGTGCTGGCGTGGAAATGCATCACCTCGAAGTCCTGCGGTAAGAAGCACACGAAGTCTTCGAAGCAGTAGAGAGCCGTCCAGTGACCATCAGCGAAGACTTGCCGCTCTAGGATCCATAACTTGTTGCCTTGGTATTCATTCTCGGCGATGGCATCGCGGCGAAGACGCATCCGTTCTTGTGTCGACTCTATCACAGTCTCCTCATTCTCTACGAGGGGTATGGGCTGGGTCGGACCACCGGAGCCGAACTACATGGGGAGAAAGACGTCAGCCACGGCCTTCCGCATGGCCGTCGCGCATTACGACGGCAGCTCCATCCACGGACTTACCCCAACGTCCACCAGGAATGTTTCACCACGGATGGTCACTAGGTTCACCATGTGACTCCAGCCAGCGAACCTGTGTTCTCCGTTCGACTCTCCGTTCGATTCGTACAGTGTATTCAAGCGAGCGCCGACGCTCATGCTGTCACCCATGTCAGCGGAACTCACGCTCCGTGCTCAAATGGAGGCAGCTTACACTTCGAAGCCGAAGCTGCGCAGCACCGTACCGAGGAAGACATTGTTCTCGAGTGGATAGCCTCCTCTACCGGTATTCTGTCTCACGATCTTCTCGAACAACGCGTCGGGGTGAATGGAGATCTGATGGTGCGGCGAGTAATGCAGCTCCAAGTTCTCGAACGGAATGTAGGCGAGCGAGTGGGTCATCAGAGCGGACAGAAAGCCATGGCCGTCGTGGTGTCTGACCACTTCTTTGCTGAACTCGCCTGGCTCGTAGCGGAAGCGTGAAGGGAAGTCGATGCGGTCCCAGACTCGATGCAGCTGCCACGGTGTATATGTTGGTCTTGTGGAGGGCGGGTCTGCGCGATCAGTCGACGACATCTACTCGGTGGTCTTCGGATTGTGCTCAGATTGGGGGTACAACAAAGGCTCTGTCGATCGAAGCCGATCGAGGTTCACTGATAGTCTAGAGTGTTGCGTTAAGTTTTGATGTGGGCTGCAAGATTCTCGTATATGAAGGTAAGGTGTCGTTCGATCGAAGAATATACGATGCTTTCACCAGTTGTAGTAAACAGGAATGTGTTGCGAAAGGCCTATAGGCACAGGCAATTGCATGCAGTTATGCGGAAATTCGCCTTGAGGACCTGAGTCCGGACCAATGAGCCTAAACGGCAGGCACGACTAGCACTTTGTGGGTGGATCTACGGCTTGTGCGGCTTGACAGCCAGCGTACTCAGCATATTGTGTGGCACAGAGTGGCTTTCCTCCGAAAAGCCCCAGCGAACTGTGGCGTATTGGCCACGTTGTCGCGTGTTAAAGGGTAGCGACGACAGCCGCATGCCGACTGAATGGCGAAACGGGTGACTTAAGTAGGTTCTCCGGTATTCCGTCACATGCTTGGTCAGAGATACTAGCGTCGACCGGGGTTGTGAGCGTTGCAGTGGTCATCAATGATGCTGCTCTACTCGACCAGTTGTACGGAGGTAGATATGTTCGGCGCCGGGCACGCCTCCGACGAACGCTTAGCCTGCCATGATCTGCGTCACCCCAATCGCCGCCAAACTCTTCTTGGTACGCGGGCCGAGACGATCTGACGCTTTGCTAATATTACGCTTCCCCAGCTCGGCGCTCCGTGAACCTCCGTCGCGTACTGTTCGAATATTTATCGAGACGTGACTTGCTCGGCATGACGGCTTATGGGATTCCCACCGTGAGCGACGTATTGTTCACATTCTCGTCTAGACGGCAAACGCACCGTCATCACCGTGATCCGTAAGAGAACGTTCCGGAATGTTGCCCGTTGTAAGGTAAGCATAATTAAATTCATGCCACTATGCGCCAAGCTTAAAATACCCTGGCTGCAACCGCTGGAATACCTGTTTAGGGTCGTACTTTTTGCTGATCTCGAGAAGACGTTGCCTATTCGTCTCGCCATAGCTCGAATAAACGTCCTGATACTGGCCAGCGTAATTCTGGTACAGGTATTTGTGGCTTAAGCCCAACTCTTCTGCTTTCGCGGTTGAACGCTCAGTCAAGCGCTCAAGCGTGGACAGGACTGCTTCGTCGTCGGATGTGCTCGCCCACATCGTTGCGATGTTAACAAGGATAAGCGGCCCGTCTTCCAGGTCCATACCAAGACAGTTGCCTCCGTTCTTGGAGAAGTGGCGAATCACGTCCACTGGTATCGACTGGAATACGAGGGCGGGGACCAGGCCAGTGATGTTTTGGATTGGCAGGATCTCTTCCTTCCATATGTCGAGGCTGGCTTGCATGACTCGAGGGTCGTTCTTGAACGTCATAGTCGTCCAAGTCTGCCGCATTCCGTCGGGGTTACTCTGGTTGACTTCCCGTGATAGGTCGGTCAGGTTGGAGAACCGAAGAGTTGAGTGAATGTTCGGAATGGCCGTGAAGTTCTTGAGAATTGCCGGGTTCTCTACAGGCTTTGCATATACGAGCTCCGTACTCGCGATCCACTGCCCGTACGTTTGCGCGTATACGAAAGCCACCCAATTCGCGCCGTCTGGATCTGTTGGTGAGTTGTTGGTGAAGTCGACCAGAGCCTGAATGAGCGATGCATTGTGTTCCATGCTGTTCACTGTCACTCCGCCCCACATGGGGCCCTGCTCGAAAGTCTCGAGGTCGAAATGGGTCACGATACCAAAATTGTTGCCACCGCCGCGCAGCGCCCAGTAGTAATCTGGGTACGACTTGTAGTTGACATCCAAGATAGAGCCATCGGCAGTAACAAGCTCGTAGTTGCGAACACCATCGCATGCCCAACCTCTCCTGCCCGAAAAGAACGAGATCCCACCACCAAGTGTTAGACCTCCGACCCCGATACCAGTGACGCGCCCACCAACAACCGAAAGGTTCATCGGAGTCAGCCTGTCATACACATCTATCCAGTGGTTGCCAGCTCCAACCCTCGTGGTGCTCCGATCCTCGGATACATTGACCTCATTAAGCCTCCGCAGATCGATAGTTACGCCATCAGGGATATTGGAGGCGCCGGTGAAAGCACCATGTCCGCCGCTTCGTACTGCGAAGGGACAGTCGGTACGCTCCAAGATCCGAATGATGGCCGCTACCTCTTCGGCATTGTTTGGTTGAACGAAACACCGCGGAGAGACGGAGGCCTGTTGGGCAGACCAATAGCTCTGCTTGTCACCATCGTACTCAAAGGTATTTGGTTGATTGACCGACAGGTATGCGGTCCATTCTAGAAGAGTGCACTTCATGGTCGCGTTAGACTGGGAACACTGTATGCAAGGGAGGTGGCTGCTCTGGGACTTACTGCCGCAGCGCAACCTGTCAACGATGCTTGGGCCGTGGCATTGGCAGAGAAAACCTCTTGTTCCCACGCAAATTGCGGCTTGTACTCAGCACCAATACACGCTGTCTGCAATAGTGCAGTGAGCAATAGACCAACCGCCCTGCGCTTCGCCATTCTTGCCGTATAGTGGCTTAAGGAAAGTGTCCAACAGAACATTTCATACACTTCGGGCTATGTACACTTATTCGGCGCACTACAGGCGAGAAAGAGCGATAACGCAACGCGAAAGTGAAGCGAATGTATACAGGTCCACTATCCACTCCCTTGAAAGAGCTGAGGACCGTATGCGAGCAGTAAGCGAAGGATCTAGTGCCACGGGGCCGTTGGTGTTGCTAATTGCTCGGCTGCAAGACTGGACGACATACTGTGGCACCACATGCATGCTGAATCATTGTGCATACAGTCGGCTTGTCGTTAAGCCGAAGTGTAGGCACCGCAATTAGGAGTTGCCTGACTTCCTCGGATAACGCTGACTGTCGTCCCCTGCGAGCTGATGAAGTCGGCTGGAGATCAGTCGAATGCCGAACTCCGGTTGCGCAAGCTTTCACTCTACTTGACCATAGCCGCAACGCAGAAGACATCTGTCTTGCGGCATGCTCGCCCGTAGTCCTCAGTCTTGGGCATTAGTTTTCGGATGAACAATCAATAGGACATGCTAGCCTCACAACTGCTCGCCGAGGGCGGATGAGAAGAATGCACTCTCTCGGGCATCCGTTTCAGCCAGCTGAGGAGGCACGCCCTAACCTCGGCTGAGTGTGTAGATGGACGCGCTGTGGCAGAGTAGTCGCTCATACGCTGTGCAGTCAACGCAACAAGGTACAGTGAGAACGACACAGTGGAGAACCAGGCACTCCTAACCGCCTTTACCATATACATAGAGGTCAGACATGCCTGCACTAATCTACGTTTCGTACCCTCGCAAGGAGGAAGCTAGATTCGACATGGACTACTACCTAAAGACTCATATGAAGATTGTGGAGAAGCATTGGGGCCCGTACGGCATGAAAGATTGGAAGGTGGTCCAGTTCCGAGAGGGTGACCCATCTGGTGAGTTTGCACACTTTCCATCATTGCCTATGTGCGGCGTACTAACTTGCCCCGGAAGGCATGAGTGTCCAATGTATAATGACCTGGGACTCGGTCGAGGCGTTCGAGAAGGCGATTCAGGCGCAGATCAAAGAAGTGCATGATGATGTCGCGCATTATTCGCCAGATGTAAAGCCAGTGCGTTACTGCGCGGAGTTGATGAGCTCGGGTTAGAGGTCCATATTAGTGGCAAACAGCGCACATGCAGGTTGCCGTGGGTGTTGGTAGACAATCCACAGGATCGAAGTCATCATTGATTGCACCTTATTAGGCTCTGCCGCCCCTTAACGGTACTTCGAAGCTGCTTGGAGTTATGACGCGGCACGCCGCTGCCCGTCCTCGATCACCACGTATTCATCACCAACCTGCCAGTCAGTCAGTGTGATACTGTATCAAACGTGCCGTAGTCGAGACTGCTGGGACGAACCATCATCTTCATCTCGCTCTCTACCATGAAGTTCTCGTGGTCCGGCGTCAGCGCCTTACTGGCCGGATCATACATGAACCGCGCAAAGTCTTTGTAGTCTTTGAACACGAAAGTACAGATCGCATCGTAGTCGAGCATATTCGCTTTACCGTGCAGCATGTCTGCTATGATGGTCCGATCGCGTTGCAGGCAGTAGGTCTATGGAGCGTCTTAGCCGAGAGGGTACGTCCGACTGAATACCCAGTCCTGGCTAGCCGAATGCCATGAGGGCGGCTCGAAAGTCATACGAGGGTGTATGTAATGACGTTGTGCTTCTCGAGTACCGGAGTTGCAAGGTTCGCGTGAACGTGATTGTAGTGCTCGATGAAGGCCTCATCGCTCATACCAGGCTTCTTCTTGACCAAGATCGTGGCTTTGACTACCTTCCGGAAGCCGACAGTACCGGCGTATCCGGCTTCGAGCACCATGATTACAGTTCGGAACGGTTTCGCCCTCAGCTCGACAGAAGTCGTACTTTATTGTTGCCAGATTCTCAGCGCAGATTAGCGTTGGTGGAGCTGGGCCGCTGAATCATTAGCGAAGCTTATAAAGGCTGCGCTAGAACTCCTTACCAAGCTTATGGAATTGCCCAGACCGGCCTTTGTACCGTGCATGCGTGGGATGTCAAATGGCGCAGAGCTGCTGGGTCGAATGGATAAGTACTCCGTCCTTAAGATCGTCATAATGCAGAGCAGTCTCAACAGACGGGTAGTACAAGTTTACCCATTGGTAGTGCTGGCTGCAGCTCAATGCCATTGGATAACGCCGGTTACACCGCACATAAGGCTCGAGGATCGTACAGCCACTTGCGCCCCCGGCCTACGGAAGGATTCAAGAACGCGCCATCGAACGCTTGCCCGGTGCTGACTCTCTGGTTACCTCTCCTCTCTCCTTCGTCTGTGAGCCTGCACCGCTTCTGAGTTCCTTTGCCTTGTACCGGTAATATGTCTGCTATTCTCTTGCTATCCTCGCTTCTCATCCCATCTGTCCTTGGGCAGAACTGTTTCTGGAGGGCCAGCAACACCATTCAGGCCCCGGGGAGTGGATGGTTCGCATGCAACAATACACAAGTTAAGGCTGGCGGCGCGCAACTATGCTGCATAGTCGGATCCCAGTGCGGCGAGGACTCCATCTGTCACAAGTACGGCTTCGCAAGGAATGAATGAACCCGACCGCTGACCATGCACAGCAACGATGGCTACTATCTAGGCGGTTGTACAGATGGGCAATACTCGGACCCCGTTTGTCCGACTGAATGCTCGGCAGATGCCCAGACTTGGATAAGTTGGAACACGACCAGCAATAGGTGGATGTGCTGCGGTAACAGCGGCTGCAATGGTTCTCCGCCTACACGGAGCTTCAGCGCCATCCAGCCAGCATCTTGGACTCCGATAGCAAGCGCCGCACAATCGAGCTCTACCTCTACGACATCCAAGTCTACAAGCTCGACGGGTGCCGCCAGCTCCAGCACCTCGACAAAGACTACAAGCAGCACAGCGTCTTCGACGAGCAGTGCAGCATCTTCGACGAGCAGTTCAGCATCTTCGACGAGCAGTTCAGCACTTTCGACGAACAGCACAGCATCTTCGACGGGCAACGCCACGGGAGACAGCAGTGGAGGTCTGAGCACGGGCGCGCAAGCCGGTATTGGTGCTGCATGCGGCGTGGTCGGGCTTGCGGCCATTTGCGGCTTAGTAGCTTGGCTAGTTATGCGAAGACGGCGGGCTTCGAAACTGTCAGCAGCCAGTCCGCAGCAGCCGGATGGACAACAGTATCCAATGGAGAAGCATTCACCGGGGTATGTCCATCAAGCGGCCCACTACAGCGACGCGGGATACTACCGGGACGTGCCGGCTTCGCAGCCGACGAAGGGAAGCCCAGCACCAGCCCAAGAGCTTGACGTTTCTTCACCGGCTGAACTTGCAGGCAACCAGGCTGGCGCCTCCGAGTTGGATGCTACGGGCGTCGATTCCCGACGTGATTACAAAGGTACATAGAGAATCAACTTCGGTTCAGGGGTCATGAGTTTGGTTTCATCCATCTGCGTGTGCTTCGGTATGTGGAAACCTGTGGAGCCCACCAAACGCTCACAGGTATTGTGTGGAAAATGCTGCGGTCTCCTGAGCCGCTAGTCTGCTTCCATTCTCGGACAGTTTTAGTGGTAAGTCCGCTCACTGTGATCGCGGCCACAGCGTTTGTTCAAGTGCTGGTCTGCTATTAAAATCCTTCGTGTTAGCGCATGCTTGGGTTTGTCAGGATCTTCGAATCTAACAGTGGTGGCGGGAACGCGCAGCGGCATCGGTTCGCGCAGACAGGATGCGGCTGAGTGTGGTCTTCCACTTATTCCGTCGTATATTCACAGCTGAGCTTGACGTAGGCACGTGTGCTATCACAACGTCGCCTTAACTATGATGGCCTCTACTTGAATCGCGCTACAGTAAAGTGTCTCGGTCTCGGAGCAGGATCGTCGAGCATCCTCCTACAACACAGTACCCAGCGTCAGCGAGCCACGGTGACAAGACGATGATGTGCACCGTCAATGAAACAAACAGTCTCTAGCCTAGTCGTGAGACAGGCCGTCTGAAGACACCAATCCAGGAGTACGGGAGAGGACACAGTGCGAGTACATTCTCATGCTCAAGTCAAGCTAGAGAACGAGTGATACGTTGACCATGAGCTGGTACGGGCCCTGCAGCGTGCTGGTACGGAAAAGCCAGCTTCAGAAGGCCTGGATATGCTTGAAAAGCAACTTACTGCCTGTCTGGTGACATGGCTGCCATGCGACCTCAGCGGCTCACGTACCAGCCTTCAGCCTACGAGGCTTGACGCTACTTGTCAGCACTATCGTCAGGCGCACCAAAGGTGCTAAGACTTCTGTACAGTAATGCCCTAACCATCGACAGGTGATACCTGTTCTTCTGTTTTTGACCATCACTCATGACGCCTGGCGAAGCACGGCAAAGCAACTGGTCTCTGTTGGTCTAGGGTACGAAGGGCACTGCCACCCCTTAGGCTATGGGTATCAGCTTGACGAGAGTTGGGACTTTTCAGCGAAGTGAAGCCGTACGGCATTGCATTGCACTGGTAGGGTGCGGTCGTCAGAGCCATCTCTCGGTAGACATGTACGATTGATCTAGGCTGTGACAAGATCTATATTCCTAACTCGTCCGTTGTATCAGTGAGGTCTACGAGGGATTTGAGAAACTCGACTCTGTGTGCGCACTTGCCACTTCAGGCCTAGTTCAGGTGGCCGCGTCTTGACGGCCGCTTCTTCTTTATTTGACAGCAAATCAACATCAACGCGGCGGAAAAGCATGATCCAATCAATGCCCTGTGGACCGCCCGCGCTGTTGCGTATATACCACGGCCCGCTGAGCTGCAGCAACGACGTGTTCGGGAGGGAAAGCGTCTTCACACCTCTGCACGACGCTGGATACGGTCGCCTCCTACGCTCCTGCTGGCGGCGGTACTTGGAAGCCGGTAACGCAACATGATTGGCCGAAACGCAAGACACACACCAACCTCCACTTTGCAGCAGGCTCGTAATCAGCTGTGCCGCACTATACAGGTCACAGCAGCGCGCTGTATCTGAGTTCTTATTGCATGTCTGCAATCCGCGATGTTACCACGAGGTTTTCACGATAATCTATGAGGCATACACCTGACTTGGAGCGCACCACAACAACCCTCGAACGCCCTATCCGCCGTCGGATCTTGTGCCGCCCGGCTAGCTGCAGCTCCCATCCCGATAGCGCACCTCACGCTGCAGATTACGACGATGTAGCTGGGCTCAAACAAACAAGCATTGAATCAAGGCCAGCGTCTCTGTGCCTACAAGCGATACGAGTTATCGCCTCGCCACTCGAGATATTGAAGGCAAACTTGCAGTGGACGTGCTCGTTCGCTCGTCTGTAGCAAGAAAGCCGTGATTGGACGGCGGGGCGCGGGCCCAGCAGAATAGAGGCATATGTACTGATGAGCTGGCAATTGTCAGTTCATAGCCGCTAACGAATGCTACCTGCTGCAGCCGTGCCACCATCGAGCTTGCACGATGCCTCGAGGTCTTCTACCCCTGGATCGCCGCATGACGGCCGATGTTTGATGTTGCCGCTCTCTTCACTTTCTCCGCCACGGTCAAGGCCCAGGTCCTGTCCGCCGTCAGTGCCTCTTGAGATGGCTCGGAAGCCATTGCGTGTGCTGGACCAGGAGCACCACCAGGACCCTGCCATCGAAGACCCGATCGCTTTCGAAGCTGAGCACGACGAGGTGCCTGCTGTGAAGCGTCCCGACCTCCCATCCCCGCCGGAATCACTCCCTTCCAGTACGGAGTCATTGTGCCATTTGCCGTCTTTGTCCCAGCTCTCGCAGACCCTTCGCCTGGCAAAGTACCAACGGCGGCGCTGCTCCCAGCTGCAATTGCAACTACATCGGTTGCAGGTCACAACGGCGCAAACGGCTCGCCTGGGAGTCATCTCGCGTTGTATTCATAGGACGTTGGCGGAGTGTATCAGGTCCGAAGATAAGCCGAGCTTTGTGAACCTCTTGAATGCGCTTCACGAGGCCGTGGAGACCTACAGTGAGCGCCCGTTTGCAAGTACGAGCCAGGAGTGGATGACTTCTAGCGAGCCAGTTACAGGACTACAATCTCCCCTCGAGCATTTACCAGAGGGCACTCGAACGGCCGTTCTGGAGCTACTGACACATCTCCGGCATAGCGGAGACTTTGTTGCTGACCGCCTAGCTTCACTCACGCACAATGAGCTGCTACGGCTCGTTCCAGACCGCGCCCAAAGCCGATGGTCCGACTCTGTTCTAGGTCCTGCCACTGGACCCTCGTACCGTGCATCGAAGCTTCTAGGCGTTACAGTCAACGATCTAGTCGATGTACTTTGTGCGCAACGCTTTGCTAACCCCTTGGCAGCGCTGGTGCATGTCGTGGAAGGCCACAGTCCTGACAATCTGTATGAGGCCAAGCGTAAGCTTGACGTTTGGTCCACAGTATGCGCCCGTCTGCTTGCCGAGCAGAGACCGGGTATCGAGCAGCTGATACCGGCTGTCCTGGATATATGGGCTAACTTCGATGCATGGCCCGGAAAGCAGCGCCTTGAGCTGTGGATCTTGGAGCAACTCCATCGTGGGTCTTGCTTGCTTGATCAACCCAATAAGCAGTCCTTTCGCATGCGCGTTCAATCGCGACCGCAAGCGCCAACCGATGAGGACCGAAGTGTGGAAATTTTCTACTCCAATGCTGTACACTCACTGCTGGACATGCTGGCCGAGGGCGAGAGTGACAGTGTGATACCGGACTCCGTCACCAGCATGTGCGAGATGATATGGAGGAAGCTGGCCTCGTCGCCAGGGCATCAACGTGGCTTTTCCCGCTTCGTAGCCACCCGCTGGCTGTTCAACCCGTTCTTCTGCGAGGCAGTCACTCTGCCAGAGGCGAGTAGAATTTGCTGTGACCGGTTGTCGTGGGCTAACGATCTGTAGGCGCATGGCATGCTGCTGGAACACTATGTCTCCGAGCATGCGCGCTCACGAATACTGCGCGAGGTCGTCACTCGCGCCCAAAAAGCCGTGCTTGACGTCGCTTACGCTTGGTACGATAGACTGACAAACGAGCAAGTGCTGACTGACACAACGAGCAGGAGACTGAGCAGTCCTGTGCCCCCTGAAATGACAAGGCGTGTGGAAGCCATCTTCACTCGCTTTGAAGGTCGCGGATGTGACAGTAGTTTACCTGCTGCCGAGTACGCTCGCTCAAGCACCCCGGAGCCCGATGTCTCTGTTGCTGTATCCTCCTCCGATGTTATCTCCGCGATCAGGGCGCTCTTTCCGCAAAGGAGGCCACCTTCGTTCTGTTCGGCTGTTAATGATGCCAGCTCTAGCCTGCAGTCTTCCGCTTCCTCCATTTCTGGCTTCTCATTGTTCCGCAGCGTAGACCGGCTGGATCAAACACCCTCAACCGGATTTGGGGATCCGAACGAGAGCGAATCAGCCCATCCGCCAGGGGTGACTCAAAGCTCGGGTTTCGGGGTAGGTGTTAGATCGTCTCCGGTTGCGTTCGTTGCAGAAGAGCTGCTCAAAGAAGCTTGCACCACGTTGGAGGGGTTCCAGACCATTAATGGCCGTAGCCATCACGACTGGACTATCCTCGCCGCTAGAGCTGGCGCTTTGTCGTTATGCGTTTGTCCCTTGACTGTTCCACCATTACCGGAGGCTGCAGTGAAGAAAGCCATCCTTACGCGCCAAGGATCTCCGCACGTGAACCGGCTACATCCCGTGCTGGAGGAGCTGCTGCTAACCTATCCGACAGTTGCGACTGATGGATGTACTGTGCCTATATTGACAGAACTAGAGACCTTCGGTAGCATTTTCTCGCACCTACGTACATCGATGCGCGATCAGGAACGATTGGCTGAGCAGGCTGGCGATTTCTTAGGCGCGCATACTTGGCACGAACGCCTAGAGTCTCTAGAGTCGCTGGGATCTTGTGGCCATGGTCACAAGTGTCTGGCAGCAATGTTAAGCTGTACCTATGAACTAGCCAGCCTGTCCGTTACGGCCGATGAGCTGGCTATTTCTAGTTACGAAGCCTGGGCACGGCTCGCCAAGCCAGTTTTGGAGCGGGCAAACACCAGTCTCGGCGCGGCACTCCACATTGCAAACGGTTTGCGGGACAAGATGTGGTATGTAGCAGACGTTCGCACCTCAGGTCCGTACGATGAAGTCAGATCGGTGGCAGGCGCGCTCCAGGTTATGGGCAGACCGAAGCGGACGTCCAGATCGCGGATGGCACCACCACTGAGGCACTTTAGTGGCACGAAAGCATCGGCGACCAGCTTGCACCTCAAGAGTGAGGCACAGATTGTGGAGCTGCTGAGCGCGCTTTCTGGGCAAGGCGGGCCCAACAAGCTGAGTGACGAACAAGCTCGCGCGACCGCACTATGGCTGCAACGCAACAACATCGAGAACCTGTGCCCCGGCGAAGAACGTTTGCACAAGCTCTGTATGGAGGTTCGAAAATGCGTCGACAGGCTTACTGCTCCGGACATTGCTTCTGTACCGGCCAACAGCATATTCGCCCGTGATCACTTTAGTGCTGCCAGGCGAGACGGAGGCATTGCAACAGAATCTACAACGGCGTGGTCAAACACCGCTTCCAAATTGAGCCAACTTACACTTCGGACAGATCTCACGCACAGCATAGACGCCGTGTCCGACACTTCTCATCCACTCTCAGGTTCAAGTTCGAGGGAATACATGATATCGCACAGTCCTACCCTGACCCACAGATCCTCAGCACATTTCTGGTCTCCTGCCATCACCGAATCACCATCGAGCGCTACCAGTATCGCCTCCTTCCAGAAGCGGACAGGTTCGGGCATATTACCCGGCATGCGCCATAACACCCGGTGGACAGTAAACCTCGATCATCTAGAACATCTCAGAGCGACACTGACGAGCCTGCTGCTTAGCGACGTCGCGCAAGCCGTGTGTGGCGATGGAAGCGAAACGGATCTTTCGTTCTTAGCCGGCCTCGGTCGAGAGCTCGCTGATAAGCATGCGATCTTGCCCGCGATGCCAGAAACCCCTGAGCAGACCTCGGCGACGAAAAGCAAGAGCAAGAGGTCTTCACATTCAGGCCGCTTCGACTTTATGAACGTATTTTTCAAGACTATGCGATCGTTCGCGCTACTCAGTAGCCCGTTTGTGAAGCTCACCATCCTACATCAGCTAGACGAGCTTCTGGCGTTGTATGTTCGCGGGCACGAGACTGCCGCACGATTGCCCAAGCCGGTACCCATCGGAGCTCAGCTGCCCACTCAGCTGCCCACTCAGCAGTCACGAGATGCAACTTCAAGCCCCGCAGATGCCAGCGTTGTAGGCTTCCGCATGCTGTTCAGCGACAGCAGGCTGCGACCACGTACCATCTTCCGAGACTTACAGTACATTGCAGCCCTTGTCTCGCCTTCGATACTGGAGACAAGTCCTGCTGGAAAAGCATTCTGCAACGCTGCGGTCGCGCTCACTGGCTTGAAGCAGGACATCCGACGGCTAATGGTAGAAACGGCCGATGTTATCATCGCTTATCATTCGAACAATCGTGGTCACGGACGGTCAGCATCAACGGCGCAGCAGCAGCGCGACTCTGCCACCTTCTCAACGCCGAGGCGCACATCTCTAGCCGAAGACGTCACGAGGTACACTATGGCGCATGCTGCCACGCTACTGCAGATCACGGCTAAAGAGGGTGACCTGGTCGCGCAGCGGGAGTTGGCCACGCTCTACTTGACGCACCCAGAGCTGATGGATCACATCATCGCACCGTTTGCGCGGCCCAGAGACGTCTTCAAAGAGGAGCTGGAGAGCAAGTGGCGGAAAAACCAGGATCCGAACCGGTGCGATCCAGCTACCATGTGTGTGGCGCACCATTGGATGAGCTTGAGTAGTAAAGGTGGCGACGCCTTAGCGACGGAGTACTTGAGGCAGAGGGAGGAAATGGAGAAGTTACCGTGAGCGTGCGATTGGCTTGGCTGCATTTCGAGCGCGGCGCTGGCATGCTTGAATTTGGCCTTTTTAGTGTACCATTATCTGCACCGCAGAATCTCGGCAGCCGTCACTTGATCGAACATTCAGCAGCAGCAGAAGCAGCAGCCCACTAGCCCTGCTAATGCGGACTACAAGCGGTACCGGATCTAGAACGTGACATGCTTCGGTCAAAACAAACTCGGCATGTGGCTAACACCCTCACGAGGTAGTCGACACACGAGGACTCGTTCGGTCCATCTCGCCTTCACAGACACCCACAATAGCAGATATGAACCCGAACTGCTTGCAGACCACACTCTTTGGGCTATGGGGAGCGCTGGCAGACATGCACACTTTCCGGAATGTCCCCGCCAGCACTATACGATCTTGGATCTTACGAACGATGCAGAGGATCAAGGAGTGAAGAAAATGACGGAGGCGATTATGCAGGAGGCGGGCGATATGTTGGCTGGCGGTCCAAAAGCTGGGCTGTTGGCTGCCAGGCCGTAGGATGTTGACAGGAGGGTCGAAATCAGTAGCCTGCAGCAGCAATGCGTTACGGTCACATAGTAGCTAGACGTATGTTGTACGAGAGACGGTAGGGTGCTGCTGAGAGTGAAGCAGTTCTTCAACTTCATGCCGGGTCCGGTATGCAAGGGGATCGATCAGCAGTTACAGCCCGGCGCCCAGCTGGGAACGTTTAACAACTTCGTGTATGGACGTCTTCTCTGCCAAAACAGCTTCAGCCTTGGTCGTCGTCACATGTAGCGTGGACAGCAATGTTGCCTGCGAGTACTGTATAGCTGCAAATGCCAATCAACACCCTCAATTCTTGGCAAGTCTTTGCCGCGGTTACGGGAACATCAACCGGAGTCAGCTCCTCCTCTTCTTTGCTAACCATCACCCAATATGTGAGCCGCCGAGGTCTGCATGGCAACATTGCCATCGCGATACTATTATATAGGTGACTTGGACCAGATGGCGCAGTCGCCACCACTGCAAGGCGTGCGGGTGCTGGAGTTCGCTGGGCTGGCACCCGGTACGTCGATGCGCCATAAGCGAGTAGGACTGTCTGATGTATTGTAGGGCCCTTTGCCGGTCTTCTGCTCGCAGATTACGGTGCGACTGTCCTCCGTGTCGACCGCGCTCATCCTCAAGCCCATACTTCTAACCCGCCTCCACCGACGTCCGACCAACTTACACGGCGCAAGGCGAGCATCTGTGTAAATACCAAATCACCATCTGGAATCGCGTTGATCAAGTCACTCATACCGCATGTTGATGTGGTTATAGATCCCTTCCGTCCAGGCGTATTGGAGAAGATGGGCCTAGACCCGGAGGGAGTACTGCTGCAGCTCAATCCCCGTATCATCGTCGCGCGTATGACAGGCTTTCGCCGTGACGGCAAGTACAAAGACATGGCTGGTCATGATATCAACTACATAGCTGTCTCCGGTGTCCTGTCCATGCTGGGCCGGCAGCATGAGAAGCCGTATCCGCCTGGCAATGTGGTTGGGGACTTTGCGGGCGGCGGAGCGGTGTGCTTTATGGGTGTCCTTTTAGCTCTACTCCAACGAGAGCGGACAGGCCTGGGCCAGGTAGTTGAGGCTAACATGGTGGATGGGTCAGCATTTATGGCTTCAATGCCCAGATTTGGGACGAAAACGCCGTTCTGGAGTGGTCAGAGAGGGACCAATATTTTGGACGGGGGTTGTCCTTACTATGACACCTACAAGACGAAGGATGGCAAGTACATGGCTGTTGGGGCTTTGGAGCCACAGTTCTTCACTGCGATGCTCAAAGGTCTTAGCATTGATCCGAAAGACCTTGGTGGCGACAGGACGGACAGCAGCACGTGGCAGAAACAACGAGAGCTGTATACTGTACGCTTCAACGAGAAGACTCGCGCGGAGTGGGAAAGTGTCTTCGATGGCACCGACGCATGTTGTACGCCGGTCCTGACGCAGCGAGAACTGGAAGCTAGCAGCTTCGATCAAAGGCCAGTCGTGACGCTGAAACGTTCGCCGGGTCTTGCAATACATCAGTCGAGGTCTGAAGGCCGACCGCTATCACGAGGACAAGGTGGCGGCGTCGAAGGCAGTGGATGGGATAGCAAAGGCTTGAGACCTGGCGTTGGAGGCGAGTCGGTCCTGGCAGGGTGGGTAGGATGGAAGCGAGGGGCGCAGTATACAATCCAGAACGGCGGACTTGAGTATGTTGAATTCGTCAGTCGAGCGAAGTTATGACATTCACGATCAGTTTTGGAAGTCAACAACGATAGCGATGTATGAGGTAGTGGAAAGGAAATGACTATGCATGATTCATTTTCTGTTGCATGATAAAACTTTTGTACAGGTCATACAATATTCTAGCAAAGAGGCACGAAGTCTCTGTTCACACGTTCTCTTCACTCATGATATGTCATCCAGGTTACATTCTTACTTTTCCTCCTTTCATCTCACATCTAGCAAGTGTGCGAGCATTGTGGTGTGGTCGGTGCATTGCAGAAGTAAGTCTTGTTGTAAACATTGTTCCCTGTATTAGCCTGCTGAGCCGGCGGCAGGTTCATTGGACCACCCGCTTGCGTCATGTTCGGGTAGAAGTTAGGTGAAATGTTACCGATCGAACAGCCGAGAACGGATGGGGAAATACCAACACCCTCCAGCTTGGAGAGTGCCCAGCTGACAGCGGTAGCAACCTCCTGTTCCGTGCCACCAAGGGCGAGGGGCGTAATAGAGTTGATGCCATCGTAGATATCGCAAAGAATAGTGTTGACATTGAGGTTCGCTGGGTTGGCGAGCTGCGGAACAGCCATGGGCACGGGGTACTGCAGAAATGGTTAGTTCATCTCGACGAAGGAGGCGACATTGCGAACTTACCCGTGGGTAGATGATGGTGAAGCCGTCAATCAACGCCTGGACAGCACCGTATGGAGTAGCGCGACGGTACCACCCTTGCGATGGCCATTTCTCCGGGACGAAGCTAAACTGGCCTGACGTCTTATTGAACTTCGCTCCGATGATTGAAGAGATAGACTCATAGTTTGCGACACCTCCAGCGCCGTACGTTCCATTGCTGAAGAACTGAGGGTAGAAAGCGAATGCACCCAAGCTGACGATGGACGGGAAGGGGAAGTAATAAAGGTACGGATTGTTCTTGAGCGAGAACGCGGCATTGGAGGCATATCTGTTGGGGCCGTTAGCATGATTAGTAGCTTCGCATGTCTGGTGACTAGTCTTACTGGGTTCCCATCGTAACCAAGTCAAATTGCTTGGTCGGGTTGGCCGCAGCAGCTTGAACATTCTGCTGGAAGAGGCGAGAGGACAGGTGATGGTTGTCGCCACACGCAAGATAATAATCTTCGCGATTAGGCGAGATGTCGCACTCCGCGGTGTCGTGACGGTTAAGACCACCGACGTTGCCCGGACCGGCACCGAGGTACCATGACTCGGTCGCAATGTCTCCATCGGCAAGAATAGTGAAGACGGCAAGGACCGTTGCAAGGTCCGCACCCATGTTGAAGCCGCGTGCAGTGGCGTCCAGTACCTGACCGTAGTTGACGTACCCGTTACGGGGCAGGTACCCGTAGTTGGCGAGCAGGTTGAGACCTGGACAAGGGCCGCGAGAGTCGTTGGGTCCAGGCGCTTGGAAGGTATAACCGGGCTCTGGACGATAGTTCTTCGGGTCGACGGCCGAAGCGACGGAGCCTGTAAGGCCGGTAATGTCGCTCGCAAGAGTGTTCAGCAGGCCGCTAATGAGACCTCTCTTTTCAGGCTCTACATCCTCGACTTGGTCCGAGTCGCGCTTCTCCTTGAGGAATTGAACAGCTTCCTCGCGGGAATTGATGCCCATCATGCCGGGGAAGGCCAAACCCAAGGCGGGCAGGCCAAGAAGTAGCAGCGATGTCTTCATGTCGGCGGTGTAATGTAGTGAAGAAAATTGGGAAGAATGAACAGCTTCATCAATTCAGCCAACGCGTCCAATTCGATCTTTCTTATGCTACTTCAACCAGGACGATCACAATCGTGCTTTCCGAGGCATCGTCATCGACAAGAGACCGATCAAACGATCTCGCAGCAATACCATTCCTACAATAGAAAAGACCGGCCAGCGCAACGGACCAGTATGTTGGAGAAACCCACGACGCACCGCCGTCTTCATCCAAACCCGCAAATCGATCACCGCTCTCAAACCTTGCGAACAAACTGCCAGTGTGCCACGAGTGGCAAACCCACCGGACATACTCTGCAGTGACTGTTGATCGCAGTGTCCTCGACGTACCGGATCATGTTGCGGCTCAACCATGCAGAAGTGCCAAAGTCAACCTACGGCGATCAATATTTCCATGCTCGGTGAGGCTAGACGCAGAGAAGGTGTAGTGGTTCGGAACTCAGGCACAGCGAAGAAGGGTCGGTCAGCATGATACCGCATCTTGTGATTGGTACCACGCGGTGACAATTCCACGGAAGTGTGATGTGTGGAGTGGTGCTCGAGCTAAGCTGCTTGCACACGGTAGGCCAACCGTATGTGCAGTGATGGCATGCGGCTGAAACTGCCAATGTCAAATTGTCGAGTGAGCCAAGGCGTCGTCAGAGCCGGTGGCAAGGTTTGCCAGATCCCCTCCACAGCTACTCTTATTGACTGAGAATCACCGTAGCTTGTATTGCCGCCAGCGTATGCAGGTCGGCAAAAAGGCTTTGTGGCTGCATCAACGACATTCTGCGTTGGAGCGGACGTTCCTCGGGCTTCGACATAAGGGTTTCTTGGGCTTCTATGTGAGATTTTCTGGGGCTTCGACATAAGTGGAGTGACTGTTTCATGAAGCACTCGAAGCCTCCGGTTCGGAGATTCTTAAAAGCGCAACTTCTGTGCACGGAGCGACGTGGCGCAAATGCTCACGCGGAGACATGGATTCAAACCTTGTCCAAGCGGCCGTGCCTGAATATCTGCGCATTGCAGAAGTGATCAACACATGAGATCGAGATGATGTTGTTTGCTTCTTCCATTTTGAGTCAGGCATGGCTGTAAAAGCGGAGTAATTCTCAACCTCACGCGTCTCAATTGAGCACTCCGCGGTTGCCAAACGATCTACAGCCGAACAGTTCATCCCGCCCCCTTCTTCGCGGAGCGGGCTATTCTTCCGTGCGGTGCAATCTTGGATGTGTTGTCGACGGTCTGCATTGCCTTTAGTCACGGCGAAATACCTCAGCGGACTCAACTCCATTACCCAAAGTGTGATGATGTAACTTCAGCTCAACTCTATGCTAAGTTTGACGCCGGTCAAGCGGAACATTTGTCAAAGTGGTTCGTTTGGACTTGCACGTATGGGACTGCAACCTGCAGCGCTACAGGCCGTAGTGTATGTGAGTATGTCCTGTTCAGGCTCGTTCTAACGTCGTTGCCCGGTTCGGCCTCGTCTCGCACAATGCACTTGGCAGGTACAAACCGAGTCCGACTCAGTCGCACACCGTACGTACGCTCAAGGGGTTCGGCCTCGCATGCACACGTCGTCATGGTGCAACCGGATGGGAACGAAAGGCAGCAAATCAATGCCAGCCTGCCCCGATGGCGAGCGACCGGCGATATATGCAATACGTCTGTTGATATTGAGCCGGGAAAGAACCCACTGCGGACTTGCTCCAAGATTTCGCTCCAGCTCCAAGGCCTGTCACCCGAGGCATATGGTTGACCAGACGAGAGGGATGATCTGGCAATTACGGGATGGTGGGCTTGGCGAGAGAGTCGATACGAGCTCCCCGCCCAAGATGTAGTGCCACTGAGGCTGCCGCCGCGTAGGGAGTAGAGCGACCGGCGGTGTAGCCGTCCGTGTGGTTGCGTGACTGCTCCTGCTCGCGGACAGCTCGCACAACGCTGTGGTGTCGAGTCGTAGAGGGAGTTTGGCTTGTTCATCGGCGCGAGCCTTCGCACCCCTTTTTCAACCATTCTATCATCCACGTACGTCTCACGAAAGCCCGGTAAGTACAAGGACTGCGTCGAAAGATCTCGTCTGTGTATCCTCAAGGCAGGTTGCCTGCGAGACAGTGAGGTTCGTTGAAGGCATGCACACGTCATGCTTGTCTGCAGTACGCACTTCACAACGAACATTGCTACACCTGGATTATGTCCGCAAACAGCATTTCCTCCATCACCTATCGATAATGGCAATACCACTCAAGATGGCGCCCAAGATCGGCAAACCAAACCTCACCGCATGCATTCTTGACCACTGATTCACCAGCTCCTTTTGCTCCTTTACCTCTGCGTCATTGAGCGCAGACGCGCCGTCCTTCTTCAACCGATCGTTGAACGCTGCTGCTTTGTCGTTAATTGGAAAGATCATGGCAATCTCCCACGGCGCAACCGCGATCATGAACACGAAAGCAGCGGCATAGTACGTCCAGACTGCTTCGCCAAGATAGTATGCCCACGCCGCCATTGCCAGGGTGGCGATGCCGAAGAAGCGGCTGGTAGGCTGCAGGTACTTCCCGCCGCGCTCGAAGACGCCGACGAAGATGGCAGCTTGTGCGTCCGCGGAGACACGGGGCTGTTGGATGAGCGGTACGATCCAGAGACTGAAACACGAGGCGAGACCTACGATGAGGCGTCAGCGGGTGACTGGTAGAAGCTGACCTACACGTATGGATATCGTGCCTCCTAGCAAAGATAGCGATAAGGTGAGAACGAGTTGTAAGATTTCAAAGGTAGTCACAGCCATGGCAGAGTTCTGTATTCTCGTTTAGTGTTCAGTGATGGCGCCTTTGAGGTCTATGGCGTCTCTGCGACTAAGCTCTACTGTACGACGCAGTAGGTTTCGAAAGCTGTTTCCGTACAGTCTCTATGTCCGGCTACGACGATACACCTATCTCTACGAAAGATCTTCGGATATGAACATCGACAACGACCGGCCTGTAGCTCTGACTCTTCCAGCATTGTATGAGGGGATCCTAAGCCCCTCACGTGGCTACCCAGGAGCTCTCGTAGAGTCTCTTCTCGACCCCGGATCCCGGAAAACGTGCCTTCCGCGAGGTGGCGTCATTGGAGGCATCGCAAGCGCCAAGAAGCGGGCTAGATTCACATGCTACTCCATTCAATGCGAAGTGAACTGTGTCAATGACTTTGGCGCTTCGGATGCGGCAGTGCAAGATGCCATGAAACAGCTATAACACTGCGGTCGACGCAAGTCTAAGGTAAGGCAGGGTACACGAGCTTTCACATTCGTATCATCTCTGCGCGCCCTCAGCATGGTCAATACGTACGCTATCTTAGGAGCTACGGGCAACACAGGCAGTAGTATCATCGAAGTTCTGACGAAGTCTCACGATGTCGAAATTCATGCTTTCGTCCGCTCAAAGTCCAAGTTGTTCGGCCTCTTTCCCCACCTGGAGAACGACTCACGGTTGAAGGTCTACGAAGGCACGCTGTCCAACCTCGACGTCCTCCAATCATGCATTCAAGGCACCAAGGCTGCTTTCCTCGCCGTGGCAGTCAACGACCCCCGACCAGGCGTGACCATCGCACAAGATACCGCTCGCGCCGTCCTGGCAGCAATCGGCCGCATGCGGAGTCAAGACCCTCAGGCGAAGATCCCGCGTCTGATCGTGCTCAGCTCCGCATCCCTGGACGACCATCTCTGCCGTAACATGCCCAACTGGGCGCATCAGCTACTCCTCATGATGGCGCATAGCATTTACGAGGACCTTCGTCGAGCCGAGACGATACTGCGAGCAGAAGAGGCTAACGGAGTCAGGACGGTCTTCATCAAGCCCGGCGGTCTCGTCCACGACACTCAGAAGGGCCATGAGCTGAACTTGGACCGACAGCAGACTTTCCTTAGCTTCCTGGACTTGGCGGCGGGGATGGTGGAGGCCGCTGATGCGGAGGATGGGAAGTGGGACATGCGGAACGTGAGCGTCGTGCCGAAGACGAATGATACGAGGATAGAGTGGCGGGTGCCGTTCTTTGTGATGATGGGGTTGTGGTATTACTTCCTGCCGTGGACTTGGGCGTGGTTTCATTGATGGCCTGTGAAGGTAAGGTCATGCTGGGAAGCGTTGTCAATGGCATACTGGTGCCATTTCAAGGTATACCTCCACCACTATCTTTGCGACAGTCTGATTCCTCAACCGTCATAGCCGAGTACCGCTTGCGAAGAGCTAAGGTGTGGCATTCAATCAAGCGTATGGTGACTGAGTAGCTAATCAGTCAGTTGCATTAACCATGTTGCTCCCGCCCGTAGTCAGTTCCGACTATAGTCGGTGCCCGTCGGTACTGCCGCCATTGCCTACTGCGGCAAAATCTCCATTCAGTGCTCCAATTGGCAAGTGGAAATTTGTCGCTTGCGTACGACTTGGATTCATGCACATTGCTGCTTCGTTTGCCCTAACAATAGACAAAGATTTACCTATTCCGCCGGGCTACAGGGAGGCAGTGGAGTCGGAAGGATGTTTGCGACCGCAACTTCAGTAGCGCAATGGGGCAATGCCAGTCGACGGTAGAATGGACTGAGGTCGAGACTGAGTTCAACGTTCTTACCTTGTCTTTTCTCTTGGAGTCTCGAGGACTTCACTTCGTGTAAGCTACATCTCCTTTGTTAGCATCCATCTCACATTCCAACTACGTCCTCATCCGGCAAGCCCAACAATGGCCACCTCCATTGTTACATTTCACTCTATTCTTCCGCCATACTTACGGCGTCCACGACACCTTCGTTATGAAAAGTCGACAATGGCCGACTACGACGGCAAGAATGATGAGCGACGAGGTTGCAGTCCTCCACCTCACATCACACTCCCGCCGATCTCACAGGAAGCGTCTAGCCTCGGCAACGGCGCAACCGGAACGGCAGGTCCCGACGTGCCGAAACAGCCGAAAGAGCGAAATGACCTCAATACCAGCCGCATCGACACGTCGAACCTCTTCCCACCTCATCCACGCAGCAGTTTACTGTCGCCCAGGACACCGCGCAAACTGCGCTCGCCTTCGAGTAGGAGGGGTCAGTCTGCGCCGTCGCTGCCCATGAGGCAGGCGGATGATGCGCACGATGCTGGTAAGTCTGTAGCGTTTGCGACTGCGTTGTACGTTCCCTCATGCACAGCAACAATCCCAAAACCTCACATTCACGTGCCCCACTTCGTTCAAAACAATGAGTAAACAGCACTGCTATTCTCGCACCCACAATGGGCAAGCCATCCTATTGTCACCGAGGCATACGTTAGCACGACTAGCAGCCCAACATTCACTTGTTCGCGGTCACAATCATACCACATACATCCTTCCATATCCGCAGCACAAGCATCAGCGTCAGCAAGCGTTCCAAGACCACGCGCACACTCCCATTCACCTCCTCCACCCTTCAAGTGCCCCTGCACCACCTCGTCATGTCTGGCAATCCTCCTTATCCCAAGTCCCCATTCTCCGGCTCCTACAACCCAAGGATTCCGCCTGGCGTGCCGACGCATAGCCCAGATGGACAGCCGTACAATCGGCCCAAAGAATATGTCCGCAAACCCGGCGAGGCACCCTCGCCTTCGTACCACATGCCTGCGTCCAGTCCATCTCACACACCATGGCCACCACCCAGTAGCCCATATGGTACCACAGTCTCTAACACTGCACCTCTAGTTAACTATCTCAGCCTCTACGACCAAGAGCGTAGAGCGAAGGTTCAGGCCGAGAAGGAGTGGCACGAGCGATGCACCAGTTTGCAAGACGCCCTTGACAGCAGCGAGGAGGCAGCTAAGAAGTTGAAAGAGAAGTGCAAAACATTAGAGGAAGATCTCAAGCACAAGCAGAAGGAGGTTGAGCATGCTGAAGTGGAGCAATGTGCCGGTAATGAAGCCGTGCAAGGGCTTAACAAGGTTATGCGAGAGCGCGATGAAGCCAGCGCGAAGGCCGCCGCGTTGGAGAAGCAGCTGGAAGTCGCCTACTCGTCGCAACTTGACGCGCACCAGAAGCTAGACGAAGTCACACTCGAGCGGGACACTGCGCACCAACAGCAAGCCATCCTTGTGAACAACTTCAATGAGCAGCAACAGATTGCTAAGAACTGGGAAGATATGGCGCAGTTTGGCACCGACGCGCAGCAACAGCTCAACGACGCGATGACCGCGCTCCGCCAAGAGTTCGGCGAGATCGCAGGCGCACTCGACGTCTACCCTTACCTCGAGGCGTTCCGCGAAAAGCAGCAAGCCGGCGGGCTGAAGCGAGAAGACTCCTACTCCAGCCTCTTCGAAGAACCGGTGCTCGCCAAGCCGAGGAAGCGTCCGCAGAGCCAGCGTCAGGTCTCGCTCGGCGATGAGCTCAGCAGCAAGATGGAAATGGATGTTGGTGAGGGCGAAGAAGGCCTCGCCACAGTCAAGCAGGACGATCATTCTAACGCTGATGATATGGACATCACCATCACGCAGGACTGGAGTCCGGAGATGAAGGCGTTGATCGAGAAGTATGACGCCGAGCTCAAGGCGGCGCGATACGAGATCAAGTGTTGGGAGGAGAAGCAAGCAGAGAATCAGAAATGTTTCGATCAGCAGGAGGAAGAGAAGAAAGAGCTCGAGGGCGAGAAGGACGCGCTGAAAGAGCAGAAGGAGAAGATCGAGATCGAATCGCAGGCGCTGAAGGCGCAAAAGGCAAAGCTCGAGGCTGATTTCACTGCGGTGCAGGAGGAGAAAGATGACTTTGCGACCAGGCTTGCCCAGGTGGACCTCTTCAGGGTTGACGCCGATCTGAAGCGGCTGCAAGAGGCTAAGGACAGCTCCGAGGCTGAGCTGAAGGCGCAGCTGAATGAGGAGAAGCAAAAGAGCGAAGCCGAAGTGAAGAGGCTCAAGTCCATCATCACGAACAAAGAGCAGACCATGAAGCAGCGCGAACAGACGCTGCAGAATTCTATGAATATGAGAGCGAAGGTGGAGAAGGAGTTAGCGCAGCTGAAAGATGCAGCTGCCCGTCAACCCACACCCATTGCGCCGCCGCAAATCACACCTATAATCACCACAGCAGCTCCTGCGCCGGCGAGCGCTATTGGGAAGCGCACCGCCAGCGCAGCAACTCAGACTGATCTGCCACCACCTCCCAAGAAGATCGAGGAGCTGGATATCATGCCACCGGTGACCATAGCAGCTTTTGCTCCCACGCCCGCCATCGGGAAGCGCGCCGCCAGCGCAGCGACCCAGACCGACCTCCCGGCCATCCCCGAACCAAAGGCACCGCTCCAAACCACCCCATCGGTCGCAATAGCACCCTTTGCGCCCACGCGCGCCTGGCGAAAGCGCGTCGCCAATGCCGCGACTCAGACCGAGGCGCTTGCCATCCCAGCAACGAGACCGGTCTATACCGATACAGGGACGGCGACAGAACCCCTTCCCCCCGCCACTTCTGCGGGAGGGAAGGCGCTGCCGACTTCCATGCAGCTTTTGTTCGCCGTCCTGCTGTTCGTGATGGTGGGGATGCTGCTTAATCTCTCCAGCTTGCAGGGGCGGATGGTGGAGGCTAATGATCCCACCATTATGTATCAGTTTTGGACGCCGGATCGCACGTATAGTAGCTCGGTGTTGAGTCAGTTGGTTGGGGGGCCGTTTGTCGGGGATACGGGGTTCTTTTAGGGTCGAGGTGGTGGTGAGGAGGTGAGGGACGGGAGACTGTTTTATTACAGCTCCGAGTGCGGTGCCGATATGGTGTGTGATGGCTTGGGAGTCTGTGTATAACAAGCTCCAAGCGCAGCGGAATTCACTGGGATGCGCATAGGTTTTCATGATACCCCGGGAGCGGCTCAATGAGCAAAGGGAACGATGAGGATGCGCAGGTGTTCGTTCAATAGCTTGGGAGACTGTGAATGCAAGCTCCGGGCATAATGTATGTAACGAGGCAAAACTACCTTATCTACCCAAAAGCCAATCTCCGCTGCCCTCTCTCCGGCGCCAAGGTCGAGGGCGGCCTGCCTTTGCCCTTTCCTTTTGCTGCTCCTCCTCCTCCTGCCCCACCCCCGCCGCCACTTGACGTGGATTTCATTGCTGCGGGTGGGACAGGCTTCGGCGGAGGCGGACGCGGGGAACTGGAGTGTTCATTCTGCAGATCTTGGGCGAAGTGGAAGTCTTCATGCTCTAACTTGGCGTCGAGGGGGAGGTGGTGTTGGCAGCGTGGACAGAGGTAAGTTTCTGCGCTACCTTGCAGTGTGTCGTAGAGCTGATCGTGGACGGCGGGAGGAGGATTGTGTGTGTTCGGCTTTGCTGGGTATACTTCGTCGATCAGAGACTGGGATGAGACTGGCTCGGCGTGTGTGGAAGGATCTGGATGCGGTGTTGGTTCGGACAGATCTGCCGTGTCTGAAGCGCCGTATAGCTCGTCGTCCGGCTGGTCTTGCCCCACGAACAGCGCCTCCTCGTCGGCATCGTTCGCCTCCATATCGTCCCCCTCCAGACCCTGCAAGTCGTCACTAGCGGTGCTCTCCTGTCTCGCCGGCGCGCCAAAGAACTTGGTGATGCCACCCGCCTCGTCAGTCCTCCTTCGCTTGCGTGAAGGCGGAGTCTGCGCCCTATCACTCCCGTCTCTCGCACCATGGCCGCCACGAAGTGCCTTCGCTTCATCGCCATGCACCAAAAACCCCCCAATCCCCTTATTGTTCGTCACGCCGTTCTCAAATCCACCCACACTAAGCGACAAGTTCGCGCAAGGCCAAGCTCTGCCGTCAACGATGACGTGCGCCAACAAATTCTTGGCCAGCTCAAACAACCCATCTTCCGTAATCTGCCTCCCCATCGGGATGGGAGACTGCTTACTCCGCGTCTGCGCGCCTTGCCGGTGATGCAGGTTAATCGTCTTGGGACGGCGCTTGTTCTCCAACACGCCTTCTTCGACCAGTCGGCTGAAGATGTCCGCCACGAAGATACGGAGCCATTTACACGCCACTTCAAAGCTGTTGATGCTGGGTCGGAAGGACTTGGCTGAAAGCATACTTTTGATCTGGGTGCGTGGGTTGACTTCGCTGGTATCCTCGCCTCGGAACGTGCTGTAGAGCCATGAGCCCGTGTCGTCGCCGAACTGCTTTTTCAATTGCTCGAGGGGAACTTTGAGCATTTCGGACACAAGGTCGGTGTTGAAGGCTGCCACTAGTTCGTCTCCGAGTTTGCCGCCTAGGTTTCGAATTTTGGTGAACTTGAAGCCTGAGAGGAACTGCTGGACTGCCCGATTGCGAATCACAGTCTGTCCGTTCGGCTTGTGGTGTCCTGCTCCGAGCTTGGCTAGCATTTTGTTCTTGCTGATACCGGCGGAGCAGGTGTAATGTAACTGGTCGAAGACGGCTTTGCGGACGTCGCGGACAATCTCGGAGGCGATGAGGGCGCAGACATCGTCCCAGTCTGGTTCGTCCTCCTCGGTTTGCGAGGAGTCGAGGTCCACAAGCGAATCTGCCGCCCAGTCTAGTGCCGTGGTTGGCGGACGAGGCAATGGTTCCGATGGGTCATCGTACGGTGGCGGACCACGCAGCTCAGGGTATCGCTCTAGAAGCAGACTATGCACATGCGCAGATAGGTCGAGGAACACTTCATCGATGCTTGCCTTCTCCACTTTCTGCCTGTCCGCTGGGAGGAACTCCTTGATCAGAGCCAAGATCTTCCGGCTTTGGATCCGGTATGGATCGAGTGAGACTTTACGGGAGGAAATCTCCCTACCAGCATCTGCACCGTTCAGTTCGTAGCTCCACTTGGTATCGCCCGCCTTCCAGGTGGCAACATGCTGGCAGATGATTTCCGGGCATTTCTCCTTGGCTTCGGAGATCGTTACGTGCCTGCTCAATCCGAAAGCTCGCGCTGGGTAGTTGATGGCTATCAGACCTTGCCACTGCTGCACGGCCAGAGGTTTCGAAGGGTCAATGCCCAGTCGGACAGTCTCACATTGCGCGTAGAAGGCGTCCAGGTCGATGAGAGCAATGCATCGCAACGGACAGGTCGTACTCGAAGATGCAAGGGTTGCGAGTTGCTTGTATGTGAATTTCGACTTGCGCCGGCTTCGTCTGGGTGTCACAGGCGAAGACAGGTAGGCTTGGGAGGAGGTCATGTCGTCGTTAACAGCCCGTGTTCATGATCGAACGACATAATCCAACCATCGACTTTTCGGGAGTCTGCCTATCCGTCATTTATCGTATATGCCCGCAAGTACTGTGTGAACATATGGTAAGACGCGTAGCGCGTAGAGTGGCTGCGTTCAATGACATCAAGGGTCTTCGCTTGTACATAACATCAAAGTCCCGAGCGAAACAACATCATTCCATCAACACACGATGCCTCACTTAGCGGACAAGGTCGGCACATCATCTGCTCAAAAGCCGGTACCTCATAACGACAATGTAGAACCTTCACAGCCAGACTCAAGCCGAATCAGAACAAAGAATAGGCGCAAGCGCTACCTCGACCTCCATCCCACATACTTCGACGGCTCGAACCTCGAGCTGGCAGGTTTGTACATTCCAAATATCTCCTTTTGTCATCCGCAATCAGCATTGCCGACATGTACTCCTCAGATCCACTACTCTATGACAGACTCATCCGCCGCTTCCAGACGGCCGACGAGCGGGAGAAGGAAGGCCGGGAGCGAGGGTACACGGGCAGCCTAGAGGCGGACCTTGTTCGGTCAGAAGCCAAGCTCGAGGCGCTGCGGCATCCTGACCCGAATAGTCCGGTCGTGTATAAGCGGGCTGGTGATGGCAGTATTGTCGGGGTGGAAGCGGATGAGGATGAGCGCGCTCATGGCAGGGAGGAAGGCAGGGAGCGGTGGGTGGATGTTATGAGCCAGCGGTTTTTGAGGGGAGACGATACGGAGTTTGATTACAGTACTGTTGATGATAATGAGGAGTATGACGACCGTGGAGAGGAGGACCGCAATCAGCTCGAGCAGTATTTGGGGAAGGAGGATGAAGAGTTTCTGGGTGAAGGCACGCCGATGGGTCAGACGGGTGTTCAAGACTTCTGACGACGGAGCTGGTTGTGCTACTTACTCATCTTCGACCTTGCTGATCTGTTCTCCGCCACCCATGCCAGTTTGGAAGCTCGACGTCAGCGCGTCCGGCCACGACCGTGAGCCAACGTCTCCGTGGCTAGGATTCTTGTGCCTCGGGACCGAGTCATAAGTCGCGCATGCGATGCGCGTGTGAGCCGCAGGCTAAGCGGCTGCCCTGCCGCGGACAACGTGCACTATGTTGGGACCGCAGTCTGCACACGAGACGATGAGCTACCAGTGCACCTCTGTCGCACATCCCGAGGACGTATCGGAGTTGTTCCACGCCATTTGCGTCAGCATTAATAGTGCATGGAGTGTCGACTTTCGATTCTTGCCTATAGCAGATCAGAACTGTTAAGGAGGGATTAAATAATGCAAGGTCGTACCATTTGAGCCCACAGCTTAAGAGTATCCGCGGTGAGCGCAAACTGCTTAACCTCTTCCTGATTGCAGAGAGTGCATCCTTATCCGACTTCCACTCAAACAGCTGTGACCCGCGCGGTCACTCGAGGGAGGCGAACCAATGACAGCGCGTCTGAATACATAATCTCGACGGAGCCACGCGAGGCGCCATATTCCTTTCTCCGTGCTGGAACATCTGGAAGGACGCGCAGGCTCCACATCCTGGTACCATCTTGAAGTCATCTTGACCACCATTGCCTCACTTCGCCGCAATCGCCACCCCCAACTCCTCCATCCTCTTCCTCCTCTGCTCCATCACCCGCCTCTCCTCCTCAATGTTCTGCTCCAACGCCGCAGCACTCTGCCCCAACTGCGCAAGCACCTGCCTCTCAAACCCCGCACTCCACGCCCCACCCGCTCCCAACCCGCCCAACCCGGGCTCCGCGCGCTCCGGCAACTGCGCCGTCGGCTCCATCTCCCCCTCAAACACAAACTCCGGCTTCTTCCCCTTCCCCCGGCCCTTCTTGACCTTCAACCAGTTGAACTGCTCCTCCGCCGTCAGCGCCTTGTAGAATTCCTGCGTCGGCTCGTTGAACTCGATCGTCTCTAACCGCTCTGCCACGACGAGGTTCTCCCGCTCCTGCCGTGCTTTCTGCTCCTCGCTGCCATACGGCGCAAGCACGAGATAGTGCTCGCGGTAGACAGCTTTCTCCCCACTCTCCTGCGCGAAATACAATCGGATCTCTACCCCGAACTCGCCGTACCCGGTCTCGCTCACTTCGAACGGGCCGGGGGCTTCGATGGTGCGCGAGGCGTCGGTGTAGGTGTGGTGGAGCTTGAATTGCACTTTTTTGAGCCAGGTCGTGATGTCCGGGCCGTTAGGGAGGGGGCGGACGTAGACTTTCCAACCCTTGGTGTGGCCGTCGGGGGTTGGAGAGGGGTAGTTGGGGTGGGGGAGGACGTGGGCTTCGTTGCCGATGATAAAGTGGCGGCGGAGTTGGACGCCGCGGATGCGTTTGGAGGTTGCTGCTGGCATAGTGATATACTCAAGGTTGAGACTTCGTCATGAGGCTTGTCAAGCTTCGAGTGTTTGCGCAAAGTTGGAGTATGGGGTGCGGGAACTGCCTTTTTGGGAAATTGCATGTGACAGAGACGGGATGTTCCGGCAAATTCCGTGCTGTACAGTCAACAACAAGCAGCGAAGGCAAGTGAATGGTCCCTCGTTGCGGGTTTGGTTATGTATGAGATCACGAGTAGAACTATCATACGTCGCTCAAGCGGTCAAGCCATGGACATTGCTATCCATCTCCGGCTAAGAGTGTCTAAAACCCAACAAGCTAAGCTGGGCGACTTGCCTCATCAAGCGCCATGTCATGCACCGACAGCGTCCACATTCAATCCCAAACACCATCGCTATGCCAAAACATAACCTCTCTGCTCCAACGCTATGCACCAATGATACCTCAACCCAACAAAAAGTACACACTCACCTCCTCCCTCCACCACCGCCACCACCCCCTCCCATTCCCCCAAGCATACCCATCATCTTCTGCATATCCATCCCCCCCAAATTCGGCATCCCACCCCCACCACCACCGCCCATCATCTTCATCAAACTAGCCATATCCGGCATCCCACCCCCACCCATGCCTCCCGCCCCGCCGCCACCAGCCCCGCCCATACTCTGCAACCTCTTCTGCATAGCCGCCATCTGCTGCTGCCGATTCGCCCCACCCAGCTGCCCCTGCGCCTTCTGCATATTCTGCATCCCGCCCTTCATCTTCTTCGCCATCCCCGCCATCATGCGATGCTGCGTCAACAACTCCTCCACCTCGCGCACACTCGTCCCTGACCCGCGGGCAACCCTCGTCATCCGACTCGGCTGCTCCACGAAACATTTCCCATCCGAGTCCAACTCCTTCACCGTCATCGAATCGCAGATATATATCATCCGCTTCAACTTTACGCTTCCCTCCTCATCGTCCATAGAGCCCATCATATTCGACAGTCCCGGAATCATCCCCGCCATTTTCGACAGGGGACCCATTTTCATGATATTCCCCAGTTGATCCCGCATATCCCGGACGGAGAACTTGCCTTCCGAGATGTTCTTCATCGTTTCCTTCTGATCCAGCTTCAAACTCTGCACGTGCTCGACGAGGCCTTGCATGTCGCCCATACCGAGCAATTTGCTGACGAAAGACTGCGGGTTGAACTTCTCCAAGTCAAGTAAATGTTCTCCCGTTCCAATGAAGACGATGGGTGTATGCGTCGCCGCGACGGCGGAGATGGCGCCTCCTCCTGCTGCTGCGCCGTCGGTTTTCGTTATGATGATTGCACCGAAATCGGCCGTTTCTTTGAACGCTCTACTCTGCGCTTCCGCCGCCTGTCCAATCGAAGCATCCAGCACCATGATCGTCTGTTGCGGTTGCACAGCATTCTGGATCTCCACCATCTCCGCGAACAGCGCATCCTCCTGATGATGCCTTCCACTCGTATCCACAATGATGATCTCAAACCGCTCTTTCTTGAATTTCTCCACGCCGTCCCTCGCCACGACCACAGGATCCGTTTGCGTTAAGCTGCCGTAGTAAGGGATCTTGGCTTTAATCGCGTTCTGCTTCAACTGATCGAAGGCGCCAGCTCGAAACGTATCCGCACAGACTAAGCACGTTTTGAAACCGCGCGCCATATACCACCGCGCCAACTTCGTGCACGTCGTCGTCTTGCCCGCTCCCTGCAGACCGACAAACATGATGACATTACTCTTTCCCTTCTTCGGTTGGTACGGCGTTTGATGCGGGTTCACGATATCGACGAGCGCATCGAAGACGGCTTTTTGAATGATGCGCTTTTTGTTGGCGGAGGGAGGCAGTTCGGAGAACTTGACCGTAGTCTTTATGGTCTTTCGTAAGTTGGCGACGAGTCGGATGTTGACGTCGGCTTCGGCGAGGGCGTTGGCGATGTCGCGGAGCATGGAGTCGAAAGCCTTCTCATCGAGGGTCGGGGCGCGGGTGAGGTCGGTGACGGCGGTGTTGATGCGCCGGCCTAGGTCTTGGAGGACCATGGTGGCGGTGTTGGTAGGAGGTACTGGGGTGTAAGGGGTGGGGAGGGATGGGAGGAGGAGGAGGTGTTGGTCTTTGTCGCCAGGTGGAGGGAGATGAATAGAGACAAGTTGCCCCGCAATGAGCGAGGTGGTGATTTGTGGAGGAAGGTGGAACTCTTGGCAGGGAAATTCTGGGTTTGCGACTCGAGATTCTTCCTACCTCCTCTCACTGCCAACCACGATTTTATGGTAAGCTGTAGAGCATATCAGACAAGATGGCTCAAGCACCGATGAAGCGTAGACGAGGCGATGATGAAGCGCGACGGCCGAAGAAGAAGTTCAAGAAGCAGGCCGTATACCACAGCGACTCCGACGGCGATGACTCCGGGGATGAGCGAGTAGCATATGACGCTCCCAGACTCAGCAAAACCTCGAAGCCCACCAAAACGGCACCCTTGACGAAAATAGCCGTGACGACTCCTAAGCCCAAGCCGAAACCCATACTGAAGCAAGTGCAAAGACGGCAAGTGGAACAGAAACCTAACAAGGATGATGATGATGATGAGTGGGACGGAATGGACGAGTTGGAGAAGAATACAGCGCTGAACGCAGCGCCGGCGCACAAGCTTGAGGATGCTCACGTGCAGCTCGCCGTGGGCAACGACGAGATTGCACTGAGGGTGGGTGCTGCAGACGTAGACGTGGACGTGGACGAAGATGAAGACGCAGACGAAGACGACGAGCCCGCCCTTGACGCAGCCGATGACACATCAGCCGACGAGGACAACGATGACGACGAGAACGACGAGGCCAACGACACCCAATCCGAAACCTCTCTAACCTCCAGCCAAGCCTCCCTCGCCCGCCGCAAACGTAACGATCCCTCCGCCTTCGCCACCTCCATCTCTGCCATTCTCTCCACCAAACTCTCCACCTCCAAACGCGCTGATCCGGTCCTCTCCCGCTCCAAATCCGCCGCCGATGCGAACCGCACCCTCGCCGACCAGCGTCTTGAGCAGAAAGCGCGTGCACAGATTCGGTCCGAGCGTAAGCAGGCGCTCGATAAAGGCCGGATTAAAGATGTGCTGGGCTTGGAGACGGAAGGCGTGGAGACGGGCGCAGTGCTTGAGGAGGAGAAAAGGTTGAAGAGGATCGCGCAGAAGGGTGTTGTGAGGTTGTTCAACGCGGTCAGAGCTGCGCAGGTCAAGGGAGAGGAGGCGCGGAGGGAGGCGAGGGCGGAGGGCGTGGTGGGAGTGAAGCAGAGAGAGGAGAGGGTTAGTGAGATGACTAAGCAGGGGTTCTTGGATTTGATTTCGAGTGGAGGAGCAGGGAAGAAGGAGGCTGCGGCGACTGCGTCTTGATGCGTTATGACACAACTACACCTTGCGGAAGCAGTCCGGCTGCTTCATACTCCTCACTTCACGCAATCATCCCGCCCGCCTCAGCCTTCGCCCCAAGCACGCCAGCTTTCTTCAACACAGATATCGTCTCCTCCACCGTCTGCGTCTTCACACCCCTCACCTCCTCCGCAAACTTCACCGTATTCATCCACTCCCGTGCATCCTCAGCGCTATACCTCATCGTACTCGTAATAAACTCCACCGCTTCCTCCGCATGCTCACGATAATACTTGACACCCTCATTAATCTTCCGCAGCATTTCATTCACCCTCCCATCACCGTCACCGGAATGTACACTATTCCGCGCTACAATCATCCAACTAGGCCACGGCGTATATATCTCTCCTATCCTCTTCAACTCGCCATTATCCCAGTAATGTTTGGTAGTAAAGTGTTCCCACATGAAGAAGTCCGTCGCCGGCTTATCTCCTTCACGTCGTACGCTCTGTCGGAGCGCAGCGAAATCGCCTATCACTTCTACACCGAAAGGATCCTGTCCTTGCTGTAACCAACCGTGCTGATCCGCAAGTACGTAGCTCATAACATAACTGCCACTCCCAATCCTGCTAACCCCAACCTTGCCCCCCTTCAAATCCTGCACACTGCTCACATCGTCCCTCTGCGCGCCGGTTGATATAGCCCAACAAAGCGGACTCTCCACATACGTCCCCACAATCCCGTACGCCGCTGAATCTCCCGCCGCTTGTGTCTTGCCCAGATCCGCTACGAAGCCTTCCGTAAGTCCCACAGCTACGTCGATGGCGAAGTCGGAGGTTGATGCGGTTTTCAGCCGGGTAGCGAGTGCGCCTGTGCCGAGGGGTTCGGGGATTAGATCGGCGTCAAGGTTGAAGTGTTGCGCGGCGAAGTGGAGGGGGGTGGAGAAGTGTTCGGGGACGTAACCGATGCGGAGGCGTTTGGACTGAGACATGCGCGATGAGGTTGTAGAGAAGCGGCGGACAGAATAGAAGGCGGCGGTATATATGCGCCGAGCGAGCATTGAAGCTCTGCACGGTTTGCGGTTGACCGAAAGAGGTAGGCACGCATGCTAAGGTGGGGCGATACTGCAGCTTATCGATAAGGAGTGGGGTGTTCTAGATGGCCGTGCCGCCGTAGAAGGCAACTCTGCGACTACACCTTCATTGACCCCGATTGCCACATATATAAGTGCAGCTCGTGATGCTGAGAAGAGTAGACACCTCAGCTAAGCATATAGCCGCAGTTTGAGTGTATATAAAAAGGTTTCCGTTCCGGCGAATCAGCGATTGCACTTATCCAGAGTCGGTAAAGAGTATATATATTCACTGGCAGGTGTCGCAGAGCATATATAAGGTGATCTTCAGGCTCGCAATCGCGCGTTCCTTTCCTCGTCTGTATCATCACCAAAGTGATCTTTGGCAATACTACTTTCTTGTTACCGAAACTCCTCTGGCAGTCCACAACCCTGCTCATTATTGCTCAGTATCGGCTTCACTCTTCAGCACTGACTCAGGTTCCATCTTCTTTAGATCAGGCAGCAACGACTCCAGCTGGAACATCCACGCGGATCTCGACAAATCATCTAGTTCTTGACAACACTCTCCTCACCTCGAGCGCAACTTCGACGTGTGTCACTGCTTAACCAAGGGTGAGTCCAAAACCGGGCTTTTCCTCCCTTCTGCCTAGCAAAGACGGAGGTGCATCACTCACACATCCCCAAGAGCGCTCTCACTGAGGTAGACAGCACCACTCAATATCCACCACCATTGACTGATTGTTTCCTCACCAAGTACCCAACAACTCACCTACTATCCAACGAACAAAGTACATCATGGCCCCCAGAAACAACAACCGTCTCGAACCCCCAAGCGGCGGGAACATCAACGCAACGGTCAATTACCTCGTCGGCGTGCGCAAGGACTCAATCCAATGGCTCGGATACATGAGTAAACAATCCGGGGAACCACCGAAAGCCAGTAGTAACAGATCCAAAGCCTGGTACAACCAGCTGGACGAGTTCTTGACCTTCCTCGAGGAGCGCGTACGCATGACTCCGGAAGTGAAGCGACGCTCAGAGGTCGACCTAGCGTTGCGACAACTTTACGCCCGGCCTGAGTACAAGTTTCCCAAGTCGTGTGCCGGGAGGGCTGAAGCATTGTACCACTATTTCGAGCAGGCGGGCTGGGACGATGGCGGTACGGATGGTGCGGATGGCGATGAGCAGTCGGAAGAGCCGGCCCCGAAACGAGCGAAGAAAGAGCGCAATGACTCCGCCGCACCAAGGGGTGGAAGTCCGAGCACGTCCATCGTTCGCTATCCTCCACCCAACCACTCCATTTGGGGCATAAACGGCATAATGCACGGTGTCGCCCGCAAAACACCCATAGGCAACACAACCGGCCGTCGCGTCTCTGACGTCTTCGACGACCGCTACCGGGACGAACGTCGCGATCCTAAGGTCTTCGGCCACAACGGAATAGAAGTAGGCCAATGGTATCCTACACAACTTTTCGCCTGCTTCCACGGCGCTCACGGCCACCTCCAAGCCGGTATCAGCGGCGACGCGGACAGCGGCGCGTATTCTGTCGTCGTCTCCGGGCAGTACGAGGAGCTCGACAACGATCGAGGCAATTACCTCTATTATTCCGGCTCCGGCTCGCATAAAAATACCGATCCCCGTAAAGCTGCGGACTCTACCCCTGGCATGCTGGCGCTGAAGAGGAGTTTGCAGACGCGCAAACCCGTGCGTGTGCTGAGGACGTGGACGGGGAAGAGTCGCTATGTTCCGTATTGTGGGTTACGGTACGATGGTTTGTATACAGTTGTGACGCAGGATACGCCGAAGAATGCCAAAGGAGGGATGTATGAGCAATTTGCTCTGGAGCGGCTGGGCGGGCAGCCGGAGATTGATCAGGGCAGGCCAAATGCGAAGGAGATGCGGGATTATGCCAGGATCGCGAATGGGTATCCTGCAGTCTGAGACAAATCTTTTGGATGTTGTGCTGAGACAGCATGGAGTCGAGGGAGGGCTTCATAGTTTAGATTGGGCGTAACGGTTTCCATTGAATCGTTTTCATGGGATCTTCTGCGTGCATGGCCATAACTAGAGCATATGTCACAGCCGTCTCATCTCGGCCTGAGTATTGGGTCGTTCGCAGGACTTTTGCTGCTCGCTGGTGCAGCAGTAGGAGTAACGCCTCCCGCCTTCCTGCTCCGGAAGATCCTCGCTACCAGACCAGTAACAGGCAAGACGGTCCATCTCGCGAACCATGGGGTAGCCCACACGCTCAAAACGAGCCTGACAGGCAGTAGCGCCTTGGTGATTGCATAAGCGGTGGCGAGCTCAATCACTACCCGAGCACCGGCAGCACCTTGCTCCCCAGACAAGCCTTCGGCAGAGGGTGAGTCATCGCTAATCCAGCCACGCTTCCGCAGCCAGCGGTCGAACCGTTTACTTCCCTCGGCAGCCCATTCGCCTTCAGAGACGGAGCGTGGTAGCCAGTTGCCGTAGTGAAATGCTGCTGCGAGACCGAAAAGCGGCACGATCGCGGTTAGCTCGTGGAGCACTAGGAAGGTTGTGATGTGAGAGACTGGGGCGTTGCGTAGTGGAGAGGTGTACTGGCGCAAGAAGCGTGGGAGTCTGGCCACGATGCGGTCTAGTCGTGATGCTGGTGGTGAGACGGGCTCGGTGGCATATTGCCGGGTTCCGTATCGGGGGAGTGATCTCCTGGACACACTACTAAGTCCCCGGACACATTTGTGCATGGACTGCATTACACTTTGTGGTTGTATTATGGTCGAACGTCCCTGGTGAGAGGTAAAACGGCAGTCGAGTCAGGCCTGCTGCGCCACACTTCTGGTCCGTGCATCTGGGTTTCCCTTAGCGCCACATCAGGGCATCCGCGAACACATGCGAGCATCGAGCGTCGTAACGTCGAAGGCTGCCAAATTCATGAGTTCTCCCTCTTCACCTTCTACACAGTCATTCAGCTCTCAAGACATTCAGGTCCCCAACATCGACATTCCGGATCTCGGTAAGGATCGATACAGGAGCCGGGCGACAGCAGCGAACACTCCCATACCGCCAGCAATGGCGCAAGCGAACCCCAACGCGTGAGTTACAGACATATTCTGTCAAGCTAGAAACAGAGGACTGATGGCGACATAGCATCAACGTCAACGATCCAGGCTTGATCACACTCGTCAACAAGCTGCAAGATGTCTTCACCACAGTCGGCGTACGTATCCCGACAAGCATGCGAAGTGAAGCGGGATATTAATGGGTTGCGCAACAGGTTCAAAATCCTATAGACTTGCCTCAGATCGTTGTGGTAGGGTCGCAATCAAGTGGCAAGAGCTCCGTATTGGAAAACATAGTTGGGCGAGACTTGTAAGTCAGCCCCCATGAAGAGGAGATAAGGCGGCCGCAGTGTTGACAGCTAGACCACAGCCTACCTCGAGGCACAGGCATTGTCACCCGGCGACCCCTCGTACTGCAACTCATCAACCGCGCACCTTTACCAAAGACACAGGCGAACGGCATACCCGATGGCGACACCGAGATCAAGACCACCGACGCCGCCAGCAACATCGAAGAGTGGGGCGAGTTCCTACACATACCCGGCCAGAAGTACTACGACTTCAACAAGATCCGAGAAGAGATCGTACGCGAGACGGAATCAAAGACGGGTCGAAATGCTGGCATCTCCCCTGCACCGATCAACCTGCGGATATACAGCCCAAACGTGCTCACACTGACGCTGGTGGATCTGCCTGGGTTGACGAAAGTACCTGTTGGAGACCAACCTAGAGATATTGAGAAGCAGATTCGAGAGATGGTGATGAAGCAGATCAGCAAACCGAATGCTATCATACTGGCCGTGACTGCGGCGAATACAGATTTGGCGAACTCGGATGGCTTGAAGCTGGCACGAGAAGTGGACCCGGAAGGTCAAAGAACGATTGGGGTGCTCACGAAGGTCGACCTGATGGATGAAGGTACCGACGTGGTGGACATTCTCGCCGGCCGCATTATCCCGCTACGGTTAGGCTACGTACCCGTCGTCAATCGCGGCCAACGCGACATTGAGACCAAGAAAGCCATCTCCGCCGCGCTAGAGAACGAGCGCAACTTCTTCGAGAACCACAAAGCCTACCGCAACAAGGCCTCTTACTGTGGTACACCCTACCTCGCGCGCAAACTCAACCTCATCTTGATGATGCACATCAAACAGACCCTCCCGGACATCAAAGCCCGCATCCAAGCCTCCCTCCAAAAATACAGCGCCGAGCTCACCTCCCTAGGCTCCGACGGCATGCTCGGCAACAGCGCGAACATCGTCCTGAACATTATCACCGAGTTCTCCAACGAATACCGCACCGTGCTCGAAGGCCACAATGCCGAACTCTCCTCCGTCGAACTCTCCGGCGGCGCCCGCATCTCCTTTGTCTACCATGAACTGTACAGCAACGGCGTCAAAGCCGTCGACCCCTTCGACCAAGTCAAGGACATCGACATCCGCACCATCCTCTACAACTCCTCCGGCTCCTCCCCCGCGCTATTCGTGGGCACAACCGCCTTCGAACTCATCGTCAAACAGCAAATCAAACGGCTCGAAGAACCATCCATCAAATGCGTAAGCCTAGTCTACGACGAATTGGTTCGGATTCTAGGTCAACTCCTCACCAAACCCCTCTTCCGCCGCTACCCTTCCCTGAAAGAACGCTTCCACGGCGTCGTAATCTCCTTCTTCAAGAAAGCCATGGATCCCACCAACAAGCTCGTCCGCGACCTCGTGGCAATGGAGAGCTGCTACATCAACACGGGACATCCTGACTTCCTCAACGGCCACCGCGCCATGGCGATCGTGAACGAGAAGCACCAAGCCGCTAAACCGGTCCAAGTCGATCCCAAGACCGGCAAACCTCTCCCTCCATCTGCTGCAACTGCGCAGCCCCCACGGAGCGCGAGTCCGAGTTTGGACCTGAACGGAAGTGCGAACGGGGAGGGGAGTGGCTTTTTCGGGAGCTTTTTCGCGAGTAAGAACAAGAAGAAGATGGCTGCGATGGAGCCGCCGCCGCCGACGTTGAAGGCGAGTGGGACGTTGTCGGAGAAGGAGACGCAGGAGGTTGAGGTGATCAAACTTCTCATCACGTCTTATTACAATATCGTGCGGAGGACGATGATTGATATGGTGCCCAAGGCGATCATGCTTAATCTTGTCGAGTAAGTGCTCGTAAATGTGTGAGATGGGTGAGGGTGTTAATGCTAATGAGATTGTTGTAGGCACACGAAGGAGGAAATGCAGCGGGAGTTGCTGGAGCAGATGTACCGCACGCAGGAACTGGATGATTTACTCAAGGAGAGCGATTATACCGTCCGGAGGCGGAAGGAGTGTCAGCAGATGGTGGAGAGTCTGTCGAGGGCAAGCGAGATTGTTAGTCAGGTGCAGTGAGCGTCTACCTCTTCTGCAGACGGGAGACGGTGCCTGCAGTGAGTTGGCAGCGGTGGTTGGCAGCGATGGATGGGGGAGACAACCTGAGGTGACAAGCTGGTCGCCTTAGTCGGCCTTCCCATCCTCTGGTCACCATTCGCATCACCACTGGGACCATCGTTCGCAGCCCAAATATGGAGGCTTGAGTGGCGAAGTTGGACGAGCGGTATAGATGAGTGATCAAGCATATGAGGCTCGTCAGGCGCTGGCGTGGGTTGGGAAACCCTTTCGATATCCCCGGACGAGAACGTACAAGCTCGCATGTTGTAGCGAATAAGCATATCACTTTGAAGCCCTTCCCCATAATACTGAGAAAGTTGCTGCATCTCGAGGCTGTTGATGATATTGGCAAGGCTGCTGTCGTATCTTCATATATTGCCATTGCTTTTGGCAGTCCGTGCGCAACATCTCCGTCATTCCCGCCAAGCCTCGGGCATTTTGTTTGGTAGCGGTACCTCTCCAGCTCCACGTCGGGCGGGCCGTATCAATGGCCACCTTTGATTGATTGATTGATGCTGGGCTTGCGTCCGCGTCCATCACTCAGAGCTCGTCCTTCCTTCTTCGACCTCATCCTGCACAAGGACATTGAGCGTTTGTCCACCGCTCCCACTCCGCCACCTCCTCCACCTTCAGCCTTCGATAGGCAAGCTTCAGCAAAGAAGCTCCGAGCGCCGCCACTGTCTCTCCACATCGGTGAGCATCACTTATCGGCCGACGACGAGCACCACCCAGTCCAGGTAGCTTTACCGCCGAGTCCTGAGCTTCCCTCGTCGCCTCCACCGCCTTATAGCGTGGCAGTAGAAGCCCACACGCCACAAACAAACCAGGCAGCAGAAGCCAACCAGCCACCTCCACCTCCCCCTCCCCCCACCAACACCGCCGCCATGGGCTCCAAAGGCCAAGATGAAGAACGCCAACACGGCTCCATCTTCTCCGTCTCCGGCCCCGTCATCGTCGCCGAAAACATGATCGGCTGCGCCATGTACGAGCTCTGCAAAGTCGGCCACGACCAGCTCGTCGGCGAGGTCATCCGCATCGACGCCGACAAAGCCACCATCCAAGTCTACGAAGAGACGGCCGGCGTCACCGTCGGCGACCCCGTCGTGCGCACCGGCAAACCCCTCTCCGTCGAGCTCGGCCCGGGTCTGATGGAGACCATCTACGATGGGATCCAGCGACCGCTCAAGGGCATCAGTGACGTGAGTAAGAGCATCTACATCCCCCGCGGGATCGACGTGCCGAGTTTGAACCGTGAGAAGAAGTGGGACTTTACTCCCAGCGACAAGTTCAAGGAGGGCGATCATATCACCGGGGGTGATGTGTGGGGTAGTGTGTACGAGAATAGTTTGTTGTACGATCATAAGATCTTGCTGCCGCCGCGGGCGAGGGGTACGATTACGAGGATGCCGAAGAAGGGGAGTTATACGGTGGACGAGAAGATTTTGGAGCTCGAGTTTGAGGGCAAGAAGACGGAGTATGGCATGATGCATCAGTGGCCGGTGCGAGTGCCGAGGCCGACGACGGATAAGTTGAGCAGTCAGGAGCCGTTCATTGTTGGGCAGAGAGTGCTCGATGCCTTGTTCCCGAGTGTCATGGGTGGGACGGTGTGCATCCCTGGTGCTTTCGGGTGCGGGAAGACGGTTATCAGTCAGTCTGTTTCGAAGTTTTCGAACTCCGATATTATCGTTTACGTTGGCTGCGGTATGTCTTGCAACTATATCTCAACTCGTTTGGTTACGATGCTGACAGTGCGATAGGTGAACGTGGTAACGAAATGGCGGAAGTGCTCATGGACTTCCCTGAGGTAGGCCCGCGGTTTTCAACAGATACTTCATTCACAATAGCTAAGTATATTGTTTTAGCTCACCATCACCGTCGAAGGCCGCCAAGAACCGATCATGAAGCGCACTTGCCTCATCGCCAACACCTCCAACATGCCCGTCGCCGCGCGCGAAGCCTCCATCTACACGGGAATTACCGTGGCCGAATATTTCCGCGATCAAGGCAAAGCCGTCGCCATGATGGCGGACAGCACCTCGCGCTGGGCCGAAGCTCTGCGTGAAATCTCCGGTCGTTTGGGTGAAATGCCGGCAGACCAAGGTTTCCCCGCCTATCTCGGTGCGAAGCTGGCCTCCTTCTACGAACGAGCCGGCCGCGTCGTCTCCCTCGGCTCTCCCGAGCGCAAAGGTTCCGTCTCCATCGTCGGCGCCGTCAGCCCACCTGGTGGCGACTTCTCCGATCCTGTCACCAGCTCCACGCTGGGTATCGTGCAAGTCTTCTGGGGTTTGGACAAGAAGCTCGCCCAGCGCAAACACTTTCCCTCCGTCAACACCTCCATGTCCTACTCCAAATACACTACCACACTGGAGAACTACTACGTGAAAGAAATGCCCGAATTCCCACGCCTCCGCGATCGGATCAGAGAGCTCCTCTCCACCTCCGAAGACCTCGACCAAGTCGTGCAACTCGTTGGCAAATCCGCGCTAGGCGATTCGGACAAGATCACCCTCGACGTGGCCACTTTGATCAAGGAGGACTTTTTGCAGCAGAACGGGTACTCGGAATACGATCAGTTCTGCCCGCTGTGGAAGACGGCGTGGATGATGCGCGCGATGATGGGCTTCCACGATGAGAGTCAGAAGGCTATTCAGCAGGGGCAGAGTTGGGTGAAGGTGAGGGAAGCGACGGCGGATATTCAGAATCGACTCCGGAGTATGAAGTTTGAGGTGCCGAGTGAGGGCGAGGAGAAGGTGGGGAAGCGGTATGAGGATTTGATGCAGAAGATGCAGGAGAAGTTTGCGAGTGTTGTTGATGAGTAGCAGTATATATCGGGTGGGGGAGGTTGAGTGGGGTATGTGTATGTGTGTGTAGCGTTTGAGATGGGATAGGGGATAGATAGACTGATACCAATCTACGGCTTTGAACTGTATCACCTTCGTTTCCGGTCCTGATGTTACGTTTCACTCAGAATGCACCTCTGCCAACACGGTCGACCTTTTGGGGGCGTATGATTTCGACACCTGACCGCCGAGTGTTGGACTAGCAGTCAGAATGAATGCTCCTGTTCCATAATCCCACCAGTTCCTGGAACGTGTACCTGCACACTGCCAAGACCATCCGTCACACATCCCGATACCAAGCACGAGAGTCAAGCATTCAAGATCGTGAGATGCGTAACACCTGCCGGCTCATGCTGTCCTAGTAATTCCGACGGCAGCGAATGAGACGAAGGCCGGCGGAGAATAATAAGCTTCGGATCTGGCATGCGACATGCGACGTGCAGCCTGATCCCTGAGTGGGTATCGTCATCTCGACGACACCTCACGCGAGCCTGGCGCCGACTTCGTCCAGTTAGGCTGTTGCGCTTTGTGCTTTTACATCACGACTGGCGGGACTTTCAGGCACTGTAGCGTTGGTCGAGGAGGGATCTCCGGGGTGCGCGATCTCCCGCAATAACACCGCCCGCATGTGGCACCGTGATGGCAGGACTGGGGCGATGATGTCGACCATTTGCGCGCCGGTATTGGGCCTGTAAGGGCACATGGGTGGGTTTGTTTGGATGTTTTTCTATTGTTTCATGCTCTTGTCGCAGTCTTTGCTCTCTCCACTCTCATTACACTCTAGAAAGACTTGTATACACGGACCACACCACAGACCACAGTAATCGCAATGCAGAAGGTCCTCCAGACTGGGCTGGCCTCTGGCCTGTCCGCTACGTCAGGCATCCACTCCAACAAACCCAACCCCATGCCAGACGACCATGACAACACCCGTGACCTGCTCCCCTCCAGCTTCATTCCCCAAGGCGTGCCCAAAGACAAAGTCCTCTACAAAGGCAAACACCACAACGTCGAAGCCTCCCGCATCTGCATCGGCGCCTGGCCATGGGGCGATACGGCAACCTGGCACTGGGACGACTCGGAAATGGGTCCCCTCAAACAAGCCTGGCAGACCTGCCTCCGCCACGGCGTAAACCACATCGACACCGCCCAAGTCTACGGCTCGGGCGAAAGCGAGCGCATCTGCGGCCAACTCGTCTCGGGGATGAACCGGAACGACTTCGTCATGCAGACGAAATGGTGGGTGCTCCCCGCGGACTCGAAGAACATCCTGCACCCGCAAGACGCACCGCTGGTCAAACTCAAACAAACCCTCGAACGACTGCAGATGGAGAGCATCGATGTCTACCTCGTCCACGGCCACATCCACCACCAATCCATCTCCACCGTCGCCAAATCGCTCGCCGAATGCGTGGACCAAGGCCTGACGAAGACTGTGGGGGTAGCGAATTACAGCGAGAAAGACATGCTCGCCATGCGCGACGAACTGGCCAAATACGACGTCCCCCTCGCAGTGAATCAATGCGAGTACTCCCTCCTCCGCCGCATCCCGGAAACCTCGGGCCTCCTCTCCGCGTGCAAACAAAACGACATCGTCTTCCAATCCTACTCCTCCCTCGCCCAAGGAAGATTATCAGGGAAGTACGACCGCTGGCACGAGCCACCGAAAGAATACCGGTTCTCCTCGTATCCCATGAAGGAGATTGAGCCGACGCTGGAGGTGCTGAAGCGGATCGCGGAGAGGCATGGTACCAGTGTCGCGTCGGTGGCGTTGAATTATAATTTGTGCCACGGGATTGTGCCGGTGGTTGGGGTGAGGAAGCCGGAGCAGGCGGAGGATAACTGTCGGGCGTTGGGGTGGAGGTTGAGTGGGGAGGAGATTGCGGAGTTGGACAAGGTGAGCTTTGAGGGGAAGACTACTAGTTTGTGGCAGCAGGGGTAGGATGTATTGAGTGAATGGTTTGAATGGTACCAGTATGCTCAATTCCGTGAGGCGACAATTCTTGACTGGATGTCGATGTTTGCGCTGTTGACTGTCCGCGTTATGATGTTCGGCTATCCGGCTGAGGAGACAGAAAGTCAGATTTTGTCGGTGTGGGCACCTTTGTCACCGTTGCCTGCGGAAAAATTGGTAAAACACCTTGAGTGCATGGGAAGTCGCACCTGAGCGGGATGTGCATTGTAGACCTCAACTCTTCCCACCCAATTATGCCCCCTCCATACGTGGCCGAGAGACAAAGGTAGTCATATCGACACAACACTGCAGCAAACGGATTAAGCGTGCTTAACTACAGCTTCGCCTTCCCAATATCATATATCTGCGCCTCACCCGGTACCTTCTTATCATGATCACTTCGCGGATCCGACTTGATATCACCGATCGGCTTGCCCCGGATGTCCGGCTCGGGCTGCTTGTCGACGATAAGACTGGACGCTTTCGACAACGTCTCAATGGCCTCCCGTTCAATCCTGCTGAGCAGGTCTTCGCAGGTGGGGATGTCGTGGATGAGGCCGATGACTTGGCCCGCGGTCCAGACCTGGGATTATATGTTAGTACATGCCCGATGAAGGAATGGTAGTTGTCACGCACGCCGAAATCCTTGTCACCATTCAAGAAGACCTGACGCCCCCTCTTCCCGCTCACAAACGGCGCGACCTCCTCAAACTTCCCCGTCGTGCTCTCCCGCTCAATCCTCGTCGCCTCGTCCGTGACCTTATTCTTGAACAACCGACTCGTATTCTTCCACCTCCGCAGCACAAGCTCCGTATCCGTCTCCTGCGCCTCGACAATCGCCTGCTTGATGTTATGATGGATGGGCGACTCGACCGTGCACATGAACCGCGTGCCCATATTTATCCCCTCCGCGCCCAGACTCAACGCGGCAGCGAGACCTTGTCCGTCTGCGAAACCTCCGGAGGCGATGAAAGGGACGGGCATGGTCTGGCGCGCGCGGCTGAGGAGGATGAAGTTGGTAATGTCCGTCTCGCCCACGTGGCCCGCGCATTCGAAGCCGTCGATGGAGAGGAAATCTACACCCAGCTTCACCGCGCTCATGGCGTGGCGGATGGTGGTACATTTATGCAAGATCACGCACGGCGGGTTCGCCTCCTTGAGTTTCTTGATGATGGGACCCGGGCTATTCCCCGCCGTCTCCACGATCCGGATCCCCTCGTCCAGCACCACTTGCGCGTACGCGCCGTAATCCGGCGGGACCATGGCGGGGAGGAGGGTGAGGTTGACGCCGAAGGGGTATTGGGTCATGGTTTTGCAGCGTTGGATTTCTTTGCGCAGGTCTTCCGGGGTGGGTTGGGTGAGGGCGGTGAGGATGCCGAGGCCGCCGGCGTTGGAGACGGCGGAGGCCATTTCCGCGTAGCCGACCCATTGCATGCCGCCTTGCACGACGGGGATGCGGATCCCGAGTTTGCGGGTGAGGGCGGTGTTGAAGGGCATGGTTGTGGTTAGAGTGTAGGTGGAGGTGAATGGAGGGGGCCAAACTCAGCAGGAGTAAGCGAGGTGGCTGTGAGGGATGGGGCGCTATAGTGAAGACATGTCGAGTGTTGAAAGACAATGGAGACTGTCAGACCTACGTGGGTAGAAGTGTTACGGCGATAGCGTGCTTGGTGGAGCTGGTCGCTCACGGTTCCATTGCGAGCGCGAGACTTTCCCCACGACTCTAAGCCGATTGCCTCGGTACAGCATGTGGAGAGCGTCGAATGATGACTCAGCACTGATCGCTGACCGGTAGAAGGACCGTCCCGTCCTGCATGACGGGCAGTAACTCATTGTGGTATAGCTCAATTTGGACTTCGCGATCGCAGCGCCCGCATTCGCAGTTCTTCTGGATGTTCGAAGCTCTACATTCGAGACGCACACGACAGCCCTGCCCTTCGCACCACCTCTACCTCTCGCATGCTGTAGCACTTCATTGTGACTTGCAGCTCTTCTTCACAAGGTCTTGTCAGCATTCACCAACTACACATATTGCGACGAAGGAGTGAATGCAAACGAGCACACGCGCGTGAGGCCGCCGCATACCAGCTCTCTCCCTCTGTCGACCACCTTGATGAGAGTACAATTCTCAACACACTACGACACCCTCCACCAGCAGATGGACATCACGACAAGCATGGCTCATGATTCAATGACACATTAACGAACCATACAGCATCTAATCGAGCGTCGACTTCTTAGCGAGCCAACATGGCCGCCCGCAACATGGACGACTACGAGGCGAAGCTGCAGGACAGCACCCTTGACATTAAAACCAAGGCAGCCCTACTTACCGAGCTACGCGACAGCATCGACACGCTATCTCAAGGCAACAACTACGGCAACTTCCTTGCCAAGTTCGTACCCATCTTCTTGGACATACTCTCGGGCCCGCCAGTCTTCACTTCTACCTCACCCGAGCAGAGGGTGCGGCAATGCGTGCTCGAGATCATCCATCGATTACCGCTCGGTAGCGCCGACAACAGCGTTGCCGAGCCATATGCGGAAAGGATCATTGACACATGCTTGGGTCTGATCAAGAACGAGAACGAGGACAATGCGGTACTGTGTTTGAAGATCATCATGGACTTCTGCAGGTATTACACCAAGTCGCAGACCGTGATAGAGAGGGCGCAACCTTTTCTGGACCTCATCCTAGAGATCTTCGATGGCATGGAGCAGACTGTTACCGACACCTTCGACACGGTATCCGCCGTCCCACCGACAGCAGCTGCAGCTACACCTACGGCTTCCGGTACCCCAGGCTCACCCGTCGCATCGAGCAACCAGTCGATTGTGTCTGTCGAGCCAGGCCCGGAGCAGCAACAAACCCGACAACTTGCGCACGGCATGCACAGCTTCAAAGTTGTCGCCGAATGTCCAATCATCGTCGTCTCCATCTTTCAGGCGTACCGTGCTATCGTGCCGAAGAACGTCAACAACTTCACGCCCAGAATCAAGCAGACGCTACTCCTTCAAGCCGCGCCGCAGAAGCGTGCTCACGAGGAAGCGCAAGCGAAGGGCGACACCTTTACGGGTGTCGCACGCGAGATCAAGGCTAAGGGCCAGGCTACTGCCTTCGGTGAACTCGTCATCGCCCAAGTCAAGACCATGTCGTTTTTGGCGTACTTGCTGCGAGCGTATCAACAATCCTTGACCGACTTCTTGAATACCCTGCCTGAGTTGACGGTGCGTCTGCTAAGAGATGTCCCACGCACTCACACAGCTACTCGGAAGGAGCTACTTGTTGCGATCCGGCACATCATCAATTTCAACTTCAGGAGAGTCTTTCTGCCGGTCATCCTACCACTCCTGGATGCTAAGACGCTTGTGGGCGACTCGCTGACTGCGGACGTCACGTTGCGACCACTAGCATACACCATGCTGGCAGACCTGGTGCATCATGTCCGCGAGGAGCTGACACCCGAGCAGATTTCCAAGGTTGTGTCGGTATACGTGGGCCATCTAGCGGGTGACGAGAGCGTGGATCTTCCGGGAACGAGCTATCAGACTATGAGCGCGAAGCTCCTACTTAATATGGCAGAATGCATGTCGAAGATCGAGGACAAGAAGGATGCCCGGTATCTGATGATGCTCGTGCTCAATGGAATAGCTGATAAGTTTGCGGCTATGAACCGTGCCTGCTCGAACGCTCAAAAACTGTCACGCCTCCAGACAGAGGGTGGACACTCGGTCGACGCAGCGCCAGAGAACTTCCTTGCGGATCCTGAAGCGAAGCCAGACTGGGACGAGACCGACATCTTCAGTGCCATGCCCATCAAAGCAGTCTCGCCACGCGACCGCGCGAGTGACCCAGTGACGGAGAACAAGTTCTTGTTCAAGAACCTCCTGCACGGCCTCAAGTCGTTCTTCTACCAACTTCGCAATAGCAACCCACCGAAAGTGAAAGAGGAAATGGACGGCAACAACGTACCCGCGAACTGGAATGACTTGTCGTACGGCTTCGAGGCAGAGGAGGTGAAAGCACTCATCAAGCTCTTCCGTGAAGGTGTCAAGTGCTTCCAGTACTACGCGCCGCAGGATGGCTCGCCTGAGACAACCACGGCGGAGTCGGCGAGCAGCCAGAGTCTGGCCTCATCCACTGCTAGCAGCAAGGAAGAGAAAGACCTGCTCGAGACTTTCGCCACCATATTCCACCACCTGGATCCGGCGACGTTCCATGAGATCTTCACTGCTCGCTCACCGATCACTGATGGCGACGGCGAGGAAGGCCAGAAGGCCGAGAGCGGCATTGAGTTCTTGTACCGGCAGTGCTTCACCCATCCCGCGCTGTTGCACATTCCGCAATTCCTGCTCGCGTCCGAAGCCACCAGTCCTGCCTTCTGCGGCATGCTTCTCCGTTTCCTCATGTCCAAGCTCGCCGAAGTCGGCGAGACGGACAATACTAAGACGTCGATACTTCTGCGCTTGTTCAAGCTGAGCTTCATGGCCGTCACGCTGTTCAGCCAGTACAACGAGCAAGTTCTCTTGCCGCATGTCAGTGATCTTATCACCGGCTCGATCGAGCTGTCGGTTACGGCAAACGAGCCGACGAATTATTTCCTGTTATTGAGGAGTCTGTTCCGCTCGATTGGTGGCGGACGCTTCGAGCATTTGTATAAGAATATCTTGCCGCTGCTGGAGATGCTTCTGGAGGTGCTGAATATACAGCTTGCGGCTGCTGAGGATGGCGGGACGAGAGACCTCTTTGTCGAGTTGAGCTTGACGGTGCCGGCGAGGCTTTCGCACCTGCTGCCTCATCTTGGCTACCTCATGCGGCCATTGACTGTAGCCTTGAGAAGCGGCGAGCGTACTCCAGCCTCCGAGCACAAAGGTTCGATCACAGGCGGCAGTTCTGATCTCCGGTCCGGCAGCGCTGGAAGCTCCGAGCTGACGGCGCAAGGCCTGCGGACGCTCGAGCTGTGCGTTGACAATCTTACGGCGGACTATCTCGACCCCATCATGCAGCCGTGGATGGAGGAGATTATGGGAAGTCTCTGGCGCATGCTCAAGCCTGGATCACTCACCTCGAGTCCACCGCCAGGATCAGGCATGCCAGCCGTAATGACCGGTCATACAGGCGCACACACCGCGGTTAGGATCCTTGGTAAGCTGGGTGGTCGGAATAGACGTTTCCTTAGTAGTCCTCCGGAGCTTGACTGGAAGGGCTATCCCGATGACGAGCCAAGTGTCGATGTCCGGCTCATCGGAGCTGTCACTAATGGTGGCGAGAGGGCTATGCCGGTGCGCCTTGGCATTGACAGCGCGGTTGAGCGTCTTTGGGAGCCGGTGCCGAAAGGCGAAAAGGCGATCAAGACGGACGAACATTATAAGAGACAGGCTTTGCGGTTGGTCGTCAGTCATGTCAAGTTACTGATCGGCTTTGACAACCTGCCGGATGATCTGGCGAGGCTTGTGCGCCTGCAGGCGAATGATCTGGCTGAGCGTAACTTTGACTTCGGACCGGACTTGTTCAGCGTGTCTGAGCGGCAGAAGAGCGCCGCGAAAAGGGATGCGCAGCAAGCTACGCTTTTAAAACTTTTGAGAGCGCTGATGTGGACCGCCGGTACGATTGACGAGCTCAAGCAGGAGGCTCTGGCGTTCTTGCAAGGAATATACCGCCATTTCATGGTCATTGAGCTCGGGACATCGCTAGCGAAGGAGAAGCATAAGCGCAGACCGTTCGATGTTCGGAGCGGCGAAGGTCCCGTTTTTGTCGAGACGTCAGCTCTTGCAGACGCCATCTGCGACAGTCTGGCGTCGGATGTCGTTGGCGTTCGCTCTATTGCGGAGCAAGCGATGCAGACCTGTCTCCAGACCGCTGTCATTATCTTCGGTACCGGCGAAGAGAAAGCAGAGTGTCTGCCCTTCTTCAACAAGCTCGCCGAAGTATGCGTACATGCTTGCTACGATGAGGAGTGGTTCACGAAACAGGCTGGCTCATCGGGCATTAACTTGCTTACCGACTCGAGCAAGATGCGCTTCGGGGATCGATGGGTCGCCGACAAGCTGCTTGACTTTGTCCGGGCACTCTTGTATGTCATCAAGGACATGCCGCAGGATTTGCCCGCCAGTATCCGCCTGCGGGCCAAGGATACGATTGTAGCGCTGGTGAGGCGTTTTGGTCGCAGCGAGTTGGCAAAGAGTGAGAGTTTGGAGGCGAAGGAGGATAAGCTGCATCAACTTGCTAATCGTCTGACGTCGGAACTATCGCACGTCAACAGACATGTTCGTGAAGCGGCGCAGCTGGGCTTGCGTACCCTGGCGACAGAGCTCAATAAGCCGATCTGGGAGATTGTTGGGCCGGTCAGGGATGATCTCGTCAAACCCATCTTCATGAAGCCTTTGCGTGCGCTGCCCTTTCCTGCGCAGATTGGGTATATTGAAGCGATCAATTTCTTGCTCGACATGGAGCATGACGTCTTGGCTTTCACTGAGGAGCTCAATCGGCTACTCTTCGAGACTCTGGCGCTGGTGGATGCCGATGATGAAACGCTCGCGCAGAAGCCTGGCGAGTATCGCAATGCGGAGAACATTGTGCGGTTACGTGTGGCTGGACTGCGACTCCTTACTACTGCTATCAGGTTTCCAGGCTTCAACAGTGGTGCGCAACCACAACAAGGGGAGCAGCAAGGTCAGGCACAGCCAGCGGCTCAACAACCCGGCGGCGGCGCCGGTCATCGGGCGCGTGTGATCAGTATCTTCTTTAAGAGCCTCTACAGCCCGAAGAAAGAGGTGGCGGTCGCTGCCAATGCTGGCTTGAAGATCGTGCTCGCTGCAACGCAGAAGCTACCTAAGGATCTGCTTCAGAACGGCTTGCGGCCGATCTTGATGAACGTGCAAGACCCGAGGAAGCTGTCCGTCGAGGGGCTTGAGGGACTCAATACGCTTCTACAGCTTCTGACCAACTACTTTAAGGTCGAGATTGGGACCAGGCTGCTCGATCATATGAAGCATATTGCCGACCCTGCCACGCTGCAGAAGGTCAGCTTTAACCTTATTGACGAGCAGAAGCATATGAAGGTCGTCACGGCGATCTTCTCGGTGTTCCACTTGCTGCCGTCCGCCGCGGTGCAGTTTCTTAACGAACTCGTTGATCGAGTAGTTACGCTTGAGGCAGGCTTGCGGCGGACTATGAGCTCGCCCTTCCGGGAGCCTCTGATGCGTTACTTGAATCATTATCCGGAAGAGAGCTGGACGTACTTCAAGGACGCAATGAAGGACGAACGTAAGGGACGCTTCTTCGCTCAAATGCTGGCTGATGCTGGGAGCGCTCCGCTTAGGGATACCGTGCTGAAGGACGTGGATGCCTTTGTCGCTTGTTTCACTGATGGACAGCTCGATGCAGAGCAGAAAGCCGTTGCGCAAGTCAACGCGATTCATATTGCGGCGTCTATCTGCCTGTTCCCGGAGACTGGGAAGCAGCTGCTGGATAATGAGGGTGCTAGGTCTGCCTTGCTGCAAGTTGCAATCGAGCTGCAGGTCCAACTTGAGCGAAATACCCTCCCGAGTACCATCCGTTTGGCGGTGGTGCAGAGCAACGAGCAGATCATTCGAGTGGCGGTTGTCTACTTTGAGAACCACCCAGATGATCTGGCGTCTTTCTTCGGACTTGTCGAATGCTGCACATTGGGCCAGCTGCACGCCACGCCTGCGCTGTACACATACCTGTACAAGCACGTCATTACGAGCGCGGACGTGGAGTACCAACGATCGGTCGTCTTACGCTGCATAGATACCTACACTTCGCGGACGACGGAGAGCGGTCAGCCGATACCGCAGAGGTTGAAGTGGTTCGTCTTCCATAACATCCTGAACCCGGTTCTAGCGAACGACGTGCTCCGCAACTGGGACGGCATCTTCGAGCCAAACAGCAAGGGCACCGCATTGCTGAACAAGGATTTGACCGACGCTATCCACAATAAGCTTTGGAAGCCGCAGTCTGTCGCGGACATCTCGGATGACGGCACGCAGGGTGTCGACCACAGCCGCATGGAACTCTTGCAGACTTCAGCTTTCTTGGTCAAGTATCATCATAACATGCTGCAGGATGCTCGCAAGGATCTCATCAAGTTCGGGTGGAACTACATCCGCCTCGAAGACCACATCGACAAATACGCGGCATATTGCCTCATCGCTTACTTTATTGCGCACTATGAGACGCCACCTAAAATAGCAATGCAGGTGTACAACACGTTGTTGCGCGCACATCAAGCGGAGGGGAAGAACCTCGTGATGCAGAGTCTGGAGATCCTGGAGCCGGTGCTGAAGAAAAGGCTCGGAGGTGGTCCGGATGGGAAGCAGAGCTGGTGGTCCCGTGTGCCTCGTAAGATCCTGAGCGAGGAGATCGGTAACGTGCAGCAGCTGACGAGTATTTACAACTTTCTCGTCCGACACCCGGATCTGTTCTACGAGGCGAGGGATAGCTTTGCGCAGATCACCATACCATCCATCACCAAGGTTGCGCAGCTGCCGAGTCCATCGGTGGAGTCTCGGAGACTGGCGCTCAACATCTTCACTATGATCTGGCAGTGGGAGGAGCGCACGTTGAGAGAGCATGGCTCGCTTGACGGTCCGGGTCCGGCGACAGCAGACAATCCATCATCACTAACCGGCGTCAAGAGGCTTGCTGTGGGTCCTCCCCACATTAGGTTCATGCTCATCAAGTACATGGTACAGTTCATCGCCACGCTGCCGGATCGTTTTCCAGTTGGTAGGCCAAAGGATGAAGCGCATAGCTCTGGACAGAGTTCGGCAAGCCATAGCGGCATCGAGACGGTCACAAAGGCGACCGATCTGCTGTATCGCCTTCTGTCGCCCCCTTTCTGGGATGATGTGGATATTGACAACATGATCCCGAAAGTCACAGAGCAGATCCTATGCGGCGACCACAAGCCGGAAGAGAAGATCGAGCATTGGACGACCCGGGTGGTCAACACGATCCAGGTTTTGAAGGTCTTCGTGTGCAGTAGGCCGAATGAATGGGTTGTTGCTCGGTTGCCACAACTGCAGAAGCTGCTTACGAAACCTCTCAAGAGCGAGACCGCCGACATTTTGGACGCGCTGCATAATACCCAGCTTAGTGAACATGCCGAACCCAAGCTGCCTGCCCTGCTGCATCGTGTACTTGAGGCGATACCTACGAAACAGGCGGATGATGAATTGCCCGATGCCGACAGTCCAACCGAGGAGTTCATTAACTTCGTGAGCAGCCTAGCAGGAGATGCTATCAACAACGGCAATCATCTAGCGGGTGTCAACATCTTGTGGATCATGGCTCAGCGGAAGCCCGAAGACGTGGACGTGCATATTCCGGCGCTGCTGAAGACGTTACAGCAGAAGCTCGCTAAGGATCATTTAGCCATGCAGTTCAACCCTCAGCTGGCTTTGATTCAGGGGCAGCAGCCTCAGCTACCAAACGTGCAGGAAAGCGAGGTGAACGCCGACCTCATCATGAAGATCATCGACATGCTGTCCGCACGCATGGGCATCCTCGGCGAGTCACGAAGACCGTACTTGAGTGTTCTGGCCTCGCTGGTGGAGCGCAGCAACAACGTCCCGCTATGTAGGAAGATACTGCGCCAGGTTGAGGATTGGGTCTTCCATTCTAGCGAGCCGGTGCCGACTCTGAAAGAGAAGACTGCGGTCTTGCAGAAGATGTTGGTGTTCGAGCAAAAGCAGGATCTGACCCTTTATAACGACTTCATGAACCTTGTCATCCGGATCTACGAGGATCCCAAGATCTTCCGATCCGAGCTCGCCGTACGCATGGAGCATGCCTTCTTAATCGGCTTGAGGAGCCAGGACATTGAGATGCGTGCGCGCTTCACTACCATATACGACCGTGCATTAAGTCGATCGACTAGTAACCGCTTCTTCAAGCTCATCAGCGACCAGCAGTGGGATGTGCTGGGGGATAGTTTCTGGTTGAGCCAGATCATCCAGTTGATGTTCGGCTCGCTGGATCACAACTCCGCCTTGCATCTCCATTCCGAGGATTTCAAGTGCCTTCCAGCCTCGAAAGTGTATGGCACTTACTCCAGTGACGGACGCGCCGCGGATGTCATGCTTGATGAGGGTCTTGAAGGCTTAATTGCCGCCGAGAAGCGCTTCATGCAGGAGGTTGGCGGCGTGCGAGCTCGCGATGTGCTGGTTCCTCTCTCTGACCTGCAGCATCCCGACACGCAGTTAGCACACGACATATGGGTCGCTTATTTTCCGATGTGCTGGTCCACGCTTTCGAAGGACGACAGGGAAGACATCGAGCAAGGCTTGGTGGCCCTGCTCACCAAAGACTTCCATCAGCGTCAGGTGGATAGGCGGCCGAACTGTGTGTCAACGATGTTGGAGGGCATCGCTCGTGCTAAGCCTGTCTGCAAGTTCCCGCCACATGTAATGAAGTACCTCGCTCGTACTTACGATGGCTGGTACGTTGCCACAACATACACGGAAGATCTGGCCCTCAAGCCAATTGTTGACACTGCGACTGTTCGAGAGAGCAACCTTGACGCTCTTGTCGAGCTTTATGCCAACCTCGAAGAGGGCGACCTCTTTTACGGCACCTGGAGGCGCCGTGCGCAGTTCGTTGAGACCAATGCGGCACTATCCTACGAGCAAAACGGCCTTTGGGACAAAGCGCAAAACATGTACGAGCAAGCTCAAATCAAGGCTCGCACTGGCTCATTGCCATTCTCACAAGCGGAGTACATGCTCTGGGAAGATCAATGGGTTCTTTGCGCGCAGAAGCTACAATCGTGGGAGATCCTTGCAGAGTTCGCTAAGCACGAAAACATCAATGACCTGTACCTCGAGGCGATGTGGCGCAACTACGACTATTGGAAGGAGCAAGACAATCGCGATCAGCTCGACAGCATCATTAAGGCTGTGTCTGACGCGCCCACACCCCGGCGGCTATTCTTCCAGGCTTTCGTCTCCCTGCTGAAAGTGTACAATAAGCAGGAGTCAGGACAGGAGTTCATACGTATCTGCGATGAGAACATACAGTTGTCGATCCGAAACTGGCACAAGCTCCCGCGGCGTATCACTAACGCTCACATCGGCCTTCTGCAGAACTTTCAGCAGCTGGTCGAGCTGCATGATGCTCACATCATATGTCAAAGCTTGGCCCAGACCAATGCCACCAACCTCGACGTCAAGTCGCAAGAACTTAAGGTGCTGCTTAGTACTTGGCGCGACCGATTGCCCAACATCTGGGACGATATTAACGCTTGGCAGGAGCTTGTCACGTGGAGGCAGCACATATTCCAGGTGATCAACACTACATACCTTGCTCTCATCCAGCCATCCGCGAATAATGCAACTAACAATAGCTACGCTTACCGCGGCTATCATGAGACGGCATGGATTATCAACCGCTTTGCTCACGTTGCGCGCAAGCACCAGATGCCGGATGTGTGCGTAACACAATTGAGCAAGATCTACACGCTGCCCAATATTGAGATCCAGGAGGCATTTCTAAAGCTACGCGAGCAAGCGAAGTGTCACTACCAGAACCGTAGCGAGCTGACGAGCGGCCTCGACGTTATCAACAATACCAATCTCAACTACTTCGGTCAGCAGCAAAAGGCTGAATTCTACACATTGAAGGGCATGTTCCTCAGCAAGCTGAATCAGAAGGATGAGGCGCACGATGCTTTCGGTACCGCGCTCTTCTTCGACATCAAGCTGCCGAAAGCCTGGGCGGAATGGGGTCGATACAGCGACTTTCTGTTCAAGCAGGATCCGAATAATTTGGAGCTAGCTGGCAATGCAATCAGTTGTTACCAGGAAGCAGCTGGCCAGTACAAGAGCGCTAAATCACGCAAGCTGTTGAGCCGCATTCTTTGGTTGCTCAGTCTGGATGACGCTCAAGGCACGCTTGCTGCCGTGTACGCCAAATTCCAGGGCGAACATCCGTGGTGGTATTGGGTTACCTTCATCCCGCAGTTACTCAACAATCTGTCTCGGACTGAAGGCGAGGCGAACATCGCGCACCAGATCCTGACGAACCTCGCAAAGACATACCCGCAGGCACTGCATTTCCAACTGCGCACGAGCCAGGAAGACATGCAAATCATCCGGAGAAATCAAGAGTCCCGAGAGAAGCGTGAACGTGAGGCGCGTGAGGCAAAGCAGCGGGGTGATCACATCAAGCAAGAGCAGGGGTCTCCAAGTGCTACTCGTCCCGACAGCAGCGCCGGTGGTAACTCCAGGCCGGTCACTGCAGGTGGTGATACGCAAATGGTCAACGGCACAAGCGATGAGACTCCGAAGAAGGAAGGCGGTGAAGACGACAAGACCGACGCCACGCCCAAGCCAAAAAAGCCGTGGCAACATACTGATGCGCTTGTGGTCACGCTACGGACAGCCTTCCCCCTACTGTACGCCTCGATGGAGGCTATGGTCGAGAACATCCAGAAGTACTTCAAGTGCCCACCGGATGAGGACGCTTACAGATTGATCAACGCACTGCTCAGCGATGCGCTGGGCTACATTGGCCGCTCACCGCACACCTTCGCGACGGACACCAAGCTTCCTCCGCAAACCGAGGCGAACATCACTCGCTTCGCCGAGTCTGTCCTGCCGGCGCACATCCGCAAGAGCTTCGAGATGGACTTTGTCACTAAGAAGCCGACTATGCTGGAGTACATTCAGAAGCTTCGGAAGTGGCGCGACAAGCTCGCCGAGAGGCTTGACCGCCGGCCGAATACATTCCACCTGGCGGAGACGACGCATCTCAGCGGCTTCCGATTTGTGTGGTTTGACGAAGTGGAAGTGCCAGGTCAGTATCTGCAGCACCGGGATAAGAACCAGGACTTTGTACGCATTGAGCGCTTCATGCCGGTCGTTGACTTGGTGCGAGGAGTTGCCAGCTGCCACCGTCGCCTCAAGATTCGCGGCCATGACGGCAGCCTCCACCCCTTCGCGATCCAGCACCCGTCTCCGCGTCACTGTCGACGCGAGGAGCGGATACTGCAATTGTTCCGCATCTTCAACAGCACGCTCGCGAAGAAGAAGGAGAGCAGGCGCCGCAACCTACAGTTCCACCTTCCAGTTGTGGTGCCGTTGTCGCCGTCCATCCGCATAGTGCAAGATGACGCCTCGTACATCTCACTGCAGGGCATTTTTGACGACTACTGCCGGCGCAACGAGACGGACAAGGACGAGCCAATCGCTTACACCATGGAGAAGATGCGCGGCTTGTCGCCGCAGAAGCAAGATCAATTCCTTCACGTCCGCATGGAAGCATTGAACCACGTCCAGGAACGGTACGCACCCAAAGATCTTGTCCGCAACTACTTCGCCGCCACCTACCCATCCTTCGACGCTTTCTGGCTCTTCCGCAAGCAGTTTTCGTACCAGCTTGCTGCGCTGACCTACATGACCTTCACAATGCACATGACCGTTCGCTATCCCAACAAGATGCACTTCGCGCGTCGCACCGGTAACATCTGGGGCTCAGACCTGCTACCTTACATGGCCAGCAATCGACCTTTCTTCCAGAACCCGGAGCCAGTACCTTTCCGTCTCACGCCCAACCTGCAGATGGTCATGGGACCGATCCACACCGAAGGCATCTTCGTCTGTGCTCTGATGGCCATTGCCCGCTGTCTCACCTCCGACGCCTCGCTCCCACCAACCCTCCCCACCCCTCAAAGCGCGACCGAGCTGGACATCGCGACTTCTTCCGAGCTTGAGCACCATCTCTCCATCTTTATCAGAGACGAGATGACGTTCTGGTACACGACGAGCCATCGGCAGAATATCAAGGAGGGCGAGTTAAGAGAGAACGTGCAGCGGAACGCCGACGCAATTGTGAATAAGGCGGTCGTGCTCGCGAGGGAGCCGGCGGCGGGCAATTTGCCGGCTAGTCAGAGCGTGTTGGATCTGGTGGCGCGGGCGACAAACCCGGAGAAGTTGTGTCAGACGGATATGCTGTGGCAGCCGTGGCTATAATGAATATAACGCAGGTGTTGTTGGCATGGTGGTAAAGGAGTCCTGTGGGATCGGTGCGTTCCGGCGCTCTGTGTACTAATTCTTCAAGGGCTTATTCATTGGCGTTCTGTGCAATGAGTTCGACAGAGAAAGGCACTGCGAAAGCCTTCGTCTCTGCTGTACTATGAAGGATGATGTTAGCGAGGCGTTGGTGGACCTCAAGCAAGCCTATTAGCGTGGTGTCACGGTTGTGAGCCATATGCTCTAGTATGTAATCTTCTTGTGTACATTGTTGTACATGAATACTCAATCACTCAATCTCCATTCGCGCACATTCAATGCCCAACCACTCCCAGCGCCAGACGCCTCGCTTAATAGACTCAAAGTGATGTGAACACTCTAGCTTGCCACCGCTGGTATGTTCGTCGCTGCGGCCAGTACATCGGTTCTGCTGCCGCTACTGCTGCTTGCTGCTGCTGCCGCCGTGCTGTCCTGCGCCCATTCATTCCCAGTATACTTGAACCAATTCGGTCTACAATCCTCCTTACTCAACCACGCCTCGCCATCCGTCAACCTTCCCGTCAAACACCCGCTGCATTTCGGGCTATTCGGACAGTTGAAGAAGGGAATATGCTGGTATCCAATATCCTTGAACCAATGTACTCTGCTCTTATCCTCAAACAACCCCACGCCGATACTATGCACCGGTGCATCACCCCAGCGCTCGTAGAAGAACCCACCCGCTCGGTCTAGGTGCTCGAAGTATGCTTCGTATGCCGGTGAGCGCCAGAGTTTCATGGATGCGATCTCGAAGTTGGACCAGAAGTGGCAGGTGCTGTAGCCATTGGCGATGAAGTTGTGCTCCGGTCTGCGATCCTTGTCTGTAAGCCAGTCCATGGCGTTGTTCTGCGCGAGGAGGTGGCTGTTGCCTTGACCCAGGAAGTTCATGGTCTCGGTCCACAGTGTTTGTACTGTCCAGGGCGAATCGTACAGGGTGATGGTGAAGCCGTAGGTCTTGTTGTGGTCTTCCATGTAGCGGAAGACGTCGTAGTCGACGTCGCAGAAGAAGTGCACGTTCGGTTCCACGCGCCAGTAGTAGTCAATATCCTGCAGCTCGGGGTGTTTAAAGAAGAGGCCCGAGTTCCAGCGACACATTTGGTGGTAGGATTGCATGTGCGCGTATTGTACTTCGTGTTCTTCGAGCATTTTGGCGGATTCGGATATGAGATCTAGGTCGATCCAGGAGGGGATGGCCCAGTGTTCGGGCGGGATGGTGAGGTAGCGGACCAGCGCGTTGGTATTGGCGGAGGTGGCGCGTTTGAATTCCTCTGTGAAGGGTTCGTCGTTGAGGAAGGTCCAGGGGTAATTGAACTTGTGGTTCCATGTTCGTTCCAAGTCTTGCATTGACTGGAGGAGCTGGGGTAGCTCGCTGTTGCGCACGAGGGAGAGAATGGTGGCGTTGATGCGGTTGCTGTTGGGGTTGTCGGGGGCGTAGTTGTTACCATTCACTCGGTGTAAAGGTTCCGGGGGTTCGCCGGTCTCTGTCCGTTATTAGAGGGTTAGCTGCTTTGATCTCCTGCAAGATGTTGAATAGGATCCTCCATACCGTCTAGATTCGGATCTCGGGACATGTCCTGGTCAAGCTGGCTGCTGGGTTGCTTGCTCGGAAGCTTCCAGTTGCGAGGACTTCGCATGATCTGTACCACAAGGAACAGGAATAAGACCATGCATGCGGCCCCTAGAAGGCGGATGGGCTTGGGCATCGTGGTCTTCATTTTCAAAGGGTCAACGGCGTTCGCTGTGCCCTGTGGTTTCCTTGGCTGTCGCGTGGATCGCTGAAGCGAACGGCGTCGGCAGATGCTTTCCACAAAAGTGCCTTTTGAACCATCTGCTTGCGCCGGAGCAGTGAAGTACGAGAACTACACTGTGTCAGGACAGCTCGTCGACAAGGAAGCGATACGTTCCAAATTCGTCGCCAAAACATTAGACACCGAGCATTCGAGTCTTCGTCAAACGCTCGCGCCGCGGTTACGCACCGTCTAGCATCGTACCCGGCGGCCGGAACGCTTCACCCGAACCTTGTTTTCGGCACGTTCCATCCGAAGCTTGCCCGTCACGGCAAGCACGATGGTGTGGTTTCGAGGCGCGCTGTTCTTGACGTGTTCTTTCCAAGACACATGTATGCCTCCCTGTACCGATGTACGCAAGCTGCTTCGCCGGCCCTCCTGTTGTAATCAACATGGTGCATGGCACACCATGTAGCAATTGGCGAGCTCGCCGCTCGCCTTGTCACGAACATAACCGGCATTGGAAAGCAGAACAACAAGTTCGACAGAATATATAAAGACACCGTGCAAGGCGTCAAAGACCACAGCTATGCACGAACTAATCAGTTCGATATCAAGGACCGTCTCGCTGGTCTTGTCGAGAAGTTCAGCATTCTCAACCGCGAAGACCTGGCCCAAGCCCTGCAGTCGCGCCTTGACGAGCTGCCTTCAGACAAGAAGCTGCTACCAGAATACTTAGCACTACTACTAGAGCTCTCGGACCGGCCAGCGGAGAAGTCGACACTCGAGAGTTTCAATGCTGTCGAGATTCCAATCCCGCCAGCGACGCTTACGTGGGAGCAGATCTTGAGCGAGGACCCTCCTACCGATCCAGCCATCTGGGAGGACGTCGAACGCGGCTACCATTCAAGCGGCGACGATGCCACTGTCGATGACGAGCTTGAGTCTGAGCCTACCAACTCCACGCAAGCCAATTCCCTAGACGAGGAGGACTTTGCGGCCCTTGCGCGTCTTCATGTGATCCAGCCCGATCATTCACTGTTAGGCGGCATCCACGCAGCTGCCAGGGCACTTGGCACAGTTGCAGAACTAAAGCAAGCCTCCCGGACGGTGAAAGCCGTTACGGAGTTGACCGTTCTTCGAGAGACCCTGGCCATGTTGCACGGTCTACCAACGTACTGCTTCAGTCTGAGTGACAATGTAATGTTCGCCAATGCGGACCTTCGACTAGCGACTGCCGAGAAAATAACGGTGCGAGACGCGCTCGACGAACTTGCTAGTATCGGCACCAGCCTCTTAGCCCTACGTAAGTGGTGCAGGCAAGCGGAACAGTACGTGTTCATCCAGTCGATGCAAAGCTGCGTTCGACAACATCTCAACCACATGGACTTGCGATTGGCATCCATCGAGAGTACCTTGACTCAACCGGCCGCAAACTTCAAGGTTGTGAGCTTGATAGGACTCCGCACGGAGATCGAACCGCTGGTCCAACCTATTTCTCGATTATCAAACATTATACTGGCGGCGTACGAGCGTCAATGTCGTGACAGCAATCCTTTTGCAATACTGGATTCGCTCTATATCGGATGCTGCGAAGCTCATATGGCAGGAGACGAGCGACTGTGTACGGTCATAGGAGCTGTGCTGTTTGCCGGACTCCGCACATATATCAAGCCCCTTGCTGTATGGCTTCAAACGGGCACTCTGTCGTCTTCGGACAATGACTCATTCTTCGTTCAAGATGCTCGGCCCGAATGTGAGCTGCATGAGCTTTGGCATAAACGCTACAGCATTGAGGAGGAGAATGACGGGTCTCTGTCTGGCCCGGCTTTGATGCAGCCGTTCGCCGCGCAGGTCTTTGAGAAGGGCAAATCGAAGGCCTTCCACAAAGCCTTGGTTCTTGCCAACAGAGTTGCGCAAGATGAGATCATACCCACTGCCGCTCCCGAGCTGGACCATGAACGGGTTTGCCAGATCTTAGAGGACAACCCGCTGCAACCATTCTCTGAGCTCCTTCACAGCGAGATACGTACCTACCTAATAACGGTGGATCAAGGCAACAGCGTCGATCTGACTGCCACGCTCCTCGAAGACGGCGGGCTGCTGAAGATCATGCATATGATAGACAGCATATACTTTGGCCAAGACGGCTCAGTCATGCAAGCCTTCGCAGAAACGCTCTTTGACCGCATACACCGGCATCCTAAAGCGTGGTGTAATCGCTCAATGTTGACTGAAATTGCGCAGAGCACGCTTAGCAGCACCTCTGCGGTGGAAGCTGGCTGTCTCGCCGTCAGCCTTGGGAACCGCAGCGAGCGAGCGATGACAGCATCAGTCGTCAGCCTCCTTCAAGACCTAGAACTCACTCACGCACTACCATGGCCGGTTCAGAACGTGACACGCTCTGCTTCTTTACCTTCGCACTCCGCGGCCTTCACACTTCTTTTACGAGTCCGCTATGCCATCCACTTGCTGTCCCAGCAGTTTTTTGACCTGCGGAAAGTGCGAAACTTCACGGCCATGCAGCACGCTACGCTCAAACTGCGTGCTCGCTTTCTCTGCTTCCTCAAGAATTTGGACTCGCACATAACCTGCACAGCTTCTACTTTACATACCGCGATGACCGCTCAGCTCCATTCAGCAGAGAACATTGATGCCATGGCAGCTTTGTGGACGGCATACGAGCGGCGCTTGGGAAAGTGTTTGCTCCTCGCTACGTCTATGGCCCCGCTTCGAGACGCTGTCACGGAGGTTCTGGAGCTCTGTGAGTGCTTCGCAGCATCGTGGCGACACGCGGGCTTGGTACAGGGCGCTAAAGCTATGGAAGGCGAGTTCGAGAAGTCGCTAGCTTTCCTGGTGGCTGGATTGCGAAGCTTGAGCCGCGTTGATGGGGAGAGTGCGCTGGATATGCTTGCTGAGAGGCTGCATTGGCGAGTCGGCTGAGATTGGTAAGGGCCTTCTAACAGAGCAAACAATGAAAGACACGTCACGGTCGTACAGCATGTCTAGGACATGTGCCTCCATTAGGATGCTTCGCCCTCTCTGTGCTTGAGCAAGTCGCCAGGGCCAGCACGAGGACAAGAAGCCCACATCCTTATTCAACTTAACACGATATCATGATGGGCTCGGGCAGCATCGAACCCGCACGGACACATCTCTCGGCTGCCGATTGAAATTACTCGAATACATAGCCTAGACGCTATGCGCGAACGAACACGGCGCGCTTCGAGAAACCTGCCATGATATTCACATCGGACCGTTCAACAGCTACGTGAAGCGGCTTTCGTGCCAAAGACGGTGCTACTCCCCTACCCTCCAAGTCTGACAACCTTGGGAACGATTGTCAAGCATCCGGTCTTTGGCAAGCATCCAGGGACTGTATACCTGACCATGCATCAACCTCCAGAACCGAGCATCTACGCGGACATGGTGTCTAACACATATGAAAACGAAGACGGAGATGTGGACGGTTTTTGCACGGGAGGGCTCGGAGCGAGAGGGAGCAATACTACGCCCGGCAGTGGCACACATGGAGGACGCGTGAATGGGCACATCTGCTCACGCGAGCGCTGGTACCCATTCGGCAGAAGGGTGGTCATGTCCGTGCTGAGAGCTATACGCGGCATAATGAGGCCCATCGCGATAACTGGGTCTCAGTACCGTTCCTTAGTCGAAGCGCTTTGGAGAGACAGCTAGTGTTTGCTCGCCTTTTATCAAGCCGAACCATCCTGAAACGGAGTGTGGCTCAGGGCGAGAGTCAATCTTCAATACACTGAATCAAAGGCGCTATTCGCTCCAGCCTCCGCCACTCAGGGGGTATGAGAGGGCTGAGAAGACACGGCTCCCGCACATGACCGGATCTCATGCAGTCATAGAGCGCTGCGGTACGTCTGATTCCACTCCACGAGCGCTGGAGACGGTATGAAGGTTGCTGCGGTTACACATGTGACTGGTGGGAATGCGGGACGGCCAAGCAGCTCTCGCATAATCTTTTCCATATCACTGATACATTGAAGGTCCTCCATCTTCGGCACATTGCTGAGGATCCTTGACACCCTAATAACAGTGCGCCGGAGTATATCGACAGCCCATCGAAGAACCTCCACCTGCCGAACTTGAGAAAGTTGATGCTCGTTGACGCTCGATGCCGTGTCACCAGCATTGCGAGATTCATCCAGAAGCGTCGTCGCAGTCTCGAGCTTGTGCATGTGGTAGGTCTGGACTACTCAGGGCTGTTGAGACTGTATACTCAAGCACGTGGACTGTACGACACAGACTGTCTTCAAGGTAACGTGGAGCAACCTTTGCAGTACCCTGCATGCCAGCTTGAGGCGATCAGTCCCAAGTGTCAGATTGAGCTACAGTCGGTCGATGTAGATTTGGTAGATGAACTCCAACGTAGTGGAAACCTTTGGACGTTCACGCACGGAAATGTACTGCGACACCGCTACTAGGCATTCCGAATCCGGTGTGTAGTTCGTGGCTCGTACCGCTTGACGGTCATGGATTCGAGAAAAAGGTTCCAGTAAGCAGCCATACCATCCGTCCCTCGGTCGTTTCGAACAGAACGGCCTCTCACGTGACGCTCCAGAGGCAGTGCTGAATGATGACGCAGAAAGGCTTGGTGGTTGTGGGGCAAGAATCACATCACTCTACTGGCGTTCGATATGCATCTACGACTTGGTCCTTTAGTACCACTCAAAGCTGCTCAAGATCATGCATTGCGCAATAGACTCAACGCCGCCTCGCAACCATTGTAAAGCATGTTGGAGCTCTAGCGGCTCTGCCTGATGTGGGTAACGCAAATGGTAGCTCCACAGCAGCTCAATGCCGATCAGGTGTAGATGCGCGATGCGTGATGACCTTTGTGAAGGTAAAGTGATGTAAATCTGGAGTAAGTATATGGCCCCGAACACCTGCCCAGTGTTTCCTTCTAGTTTATCTCGTAGGTGAGCCACTACGACAGTCACCTGTGCTCCATAATGGCTACAGGCACAACGGCAGATGGTTGGGACAAGAATGCAGAATACTATGAGGCCACCATTGGCGTCAATCTCACGGAGCCTCTTGCTCGTGATTTGGTCTCCTGGGCCAGCAGCGTCAACCCTCTCGAAACCAAAGGCTCAAAAGCGTTCGATAATGGCTGTGGCACAGGACTTGTCGCCCGGACTCTTGCTAAGCTCTACCCAGACCTACCAATAGTTGCTGCGGACGTTTCATCAGGAATGATACGTCAGGCGCGAAAAGTCGTGGAAAAGGAGGGCATGAAGAACGTGACCTTGCAGGTCGAAGATGCCACCAATCTGCAGGGTCTGGCGGATGAGAGCTTCACCCATACGTTTTGCCTTGCCATGATCGGCAGCGCCCCTGATCCACAGAAGGTCGCCAGCGAGATGTACCGCGTCACCCGGTCCGGTGGCGTTCTAGGTATTGGGTCCTGGGTGGGTCACTGTTGGCCTGAAGCTGTTCAGAGGGCAGTTCGGCGTGCACTGGACAAGCCGGATTACACTGCCCCTCGAATGGTAGACCCCAGTACAGGCTCTGCAGAAGCTCTCAGGAAGCTGCTGCAGGATGCCGGGTGGGAGGTTTTGGATGTGAAGGAGCAGAAAGCCTACTTCAACTGGCCGAACAAGCAGGCAGCTATGGATTTCTTCTTCGACAAGGAGCATGTCAACCCAATCGCCGAGCTCATGTCGAAAGAACTTGACGACGAGCAGATGCGAAAATTCCGGCCAGAGTTCGAGAAGGCATTCGATGAAGTGTGGCCTGATGCGACGAAAATGTATGAGACGGCACCTCTCGCTGTGGCGAGGAAGAAGTGATGGAGGCAAGTAACTCGTACGCTGTACTCCTGTCGCGAGGCAGCCCGTCAACGTATTGTGCAGAAGTCTTTGCGTGCTTCTCGGCTTCTATTCAGCCTGCAAATCCGCGAGACTCGCTCTCGGATTGCTGCGAAGAAAGCGTGCGCGAGGCTTACCCTGCTCTACCCTCCCCATTCTACGGGTGTACATGCTTCATAGAGCTGATCGACAGGGGCAGCACTGCACGACCTAGCGACCGTTTTCCAGGCTGAGATGGCAGGAAGCTGTGCCAAGTAGAGCAGTCAATAGCTCTCTGGCATGAAACAAGAACAGAGCCCATGCTGCACTTAGAGTATGCCATCTACGGAAAGCACCACGATTTAGGAAGGCTGCTCTGGAGTTGGCCTGGACGGACACGTTCGACGCGTAAGAGGCTAGAGACAAAGGTGGCCATCGCATTGATGTTGAGTAAAACTTCTTACTGCTTCATTCAAGCACCGATCCTAGGTACCGTATGAAGGTTCGGTGCTGGAAACGGCATGGCAAAACTTGTAGTCAAATGCCATTTCGAGAGCGCTAAGTCTACAGGGAGAAAGCAAGCCCAGGCCCTGCTCATTACCAGCTTTACGCAGGTAACAAGGGAAAGCAGTAAGCCAGGGTTGCCTTTGCTCTGGAAGGCATCACACCTGTGCTGCGTCAACTGTCCCAAGCCTACTTGCTCCATGCCCGCCTTGTCAAACTCGCGGTTAGCGGTCGCGAAGGTTGCCCAGTATTTAGAGATACTATCAGGGATTCATGGAGGGCACGAAGGTCGGGCTGTCACAGCGATGTGTGCCTGCGGGACCATAGGGTCAGCTCCTCACTCTTGTTGCAGAACCTCCGAAGCTCTAACGCTCCAAGTGTAGGAGTTGGTGTTCATATGCTCGCGGTGCGTACCGGCGAAGGTATCAAGAATAACACAGCTCTCCTTGCCTCAGCAAGTGGACGCCTGGAGCTAGCTCGAAACAGCCGAGGTCCAGAGCTTCCATGTCACCCTCTCAAAATACACAATAGCTTTTGACAGACTAAACCTATATTATCTTAACAGATAAGCATAATGCTGCTTCTTGGTCTGACGGGCAGCATTGCGACTGGCAAGTCAACAGTCTCCAGCTTGCTAGCAGCGCCGCCGTACAATCTGCCCGTAGTAGATGCGGACAAAATCGCTAGACAAGTTGTAGAGCCGGGAACGGCAGGTTACCAACAGATAGTTGCTCACTTCGGTCCGACGACACCAGACTTGCTGCTTCCACCAAGCCCAGAAAGCGGCGGGGAGCATGGGCACAATGGCAAAGGCAGACCGCTCAACCGGCCTGCACTTGGTCGGAGAGTCTTTGGCGAAGGCAAGGAGACTGATCGGAAGGCTTTGAACAAGATTGTCCACCCGGCTGTCAGGAAGGAGATGTACCGCCAGATGGTAATGGCTTACTTACGCGGAAACTGGGCGGTTGTGCTTGACGTGCCGTTACTGTTCGAATCGGGCTGGGAGCCTCTGTGCGGAACGATTCTCGTCGTGGCTGTCTCTGATGCAGTGATACAGATGCAGCGACTGCGAGCACGCGACGCACATCTGACGGAAGAAGATGCGAACAACAGGGTTGCTGCACAGTGGGATGTACGAGACAAGGCGCAGCGATGTTTGCGGCGCGGAGAAAGTGCGGGCGTGGTTGTTTGGAACGACGGAGACAAGGAAGACTTGAAGCGTGAGGTGGACAGGGTCATGACGGTTGTACAAAAGCATCACCCCAAGTGGTGGGCTCTCTTGCTCCTGCTTTGTCCGCCATTAGCAGCCGTCAGCGCAACGTGGAGCTATGTGCGGATGTGGTGGGTAAAGCGGGAGTGGGAGAAAGAGAAGCAGCAGCTGAAGGCGAAGCTGTAGTGGAGGAGCTGTCGCTGAGCAAGAGTATGTTGGGTGCATCTGGCCTTGTGTGCCTGTTCAGAGTGGCGGCACACTTTTCTCAGCTCGCTGAAGTTCGCACGTGATCAAGCACATGGTTTTGTCAACCTCACTTCACACTTGCGTGAAAAGCTTCACACACCCTCATCAGACCACCCGGAGAGTGATTCGCTCCGACTCTGCCACTGGTCCAGCAATGCCGACATACAGTGAGCTTTCAGCGATTGACGACTCCTTCTCTCCCAATTTCTGTCCGGTAACTGATACTGATGGAGCGGGGGACTCGACGTACCACGGTCCACGATCAGGTCACTGGACAGTTCGCTCTGAGCCTGGCAGTGCCATTGATGACCGCTGCCCCACAGTATGGGGCGCTGTAAGTGCGGTAGGCGGTCCTGCTGTCTCCACCCGTGGTGTCAAACCGCTGGACCATCATTTGCTGGAGAAGCTTGGCAGGAGCGTGGTCGAGCAGAAGAAGGCGGCCGACGCGGCTCGGACGCAGGCCCAAGCTGTGGTCGAAGCGGAAGCAGCGCGTAACGGTGGTATTCTACGTGTCGGATACGGTATGGTGGAGCCCAAGAAGGAGACGGGAAAGAAAGGCTTCTATCTACCAAAGAGTGCACTTCTGCAGCGAGCGAAGGTTGGGAAGATCCAGCAACAAGAAGTCAAGTTACCGCACCCTGCAAAACCCCAGCCGGCCGCTCCTGCAGCTCCTGTAGCAACAATGCATGCGAGACCACCGTCTGCGTTATCAGTGCCTGGAAAAGCCGCCCTACGACTTGTTCGTATCACAGCCAAAGACGGCCGGGAGGCCTTCGTGAGCCTAACAGGCTTGTCTAAGATCCCAGGCCAGTCACCAAGGCCTGCCTGTTCCCCAGCGAAGCCGGAGAAAGCGCCGAAAGTACCTGACGAAGCAGCGAAGAACCAGATCATGGTTGAAAAGGCCAAGCCGACTGAAGGCGAACGCAAGCCAGAGACCCAGAAAACCAACGCCGGCGGGGAAGCTAGGGCTTTAACCGCCGTCATGAGCGGCGCCCTTCCATCGGCACCCGACAGCGCAGTCAATCCGCCATCTCTCCATTCCTTCGATAGTTCTTCTCAACATGCTCTCAAGGCACCTACTCCTGTGGGGTTGGCGTCGGTAGCTTCCAGCAAGCTTGTTTCTGTAAGAAGCTTGCAAGAGGCCGTTCGGGCAATTAGCCAGAACAGCGACCGAGCGAGCCACTTATCTCGTGCAGCTTCCAACGCGGTGAGCACAGGCTGGGCGCAACAGTATCCCAGAACACGATCTGATGGCGGCAACACGCAAGTTGTTAACGGCTGGGCGCAGCCTCAGCCTCAGCACTTAGACGCGCCTTCCAGGACACCATCTGATCGCGGCTTTGCAGCTGCTGGTGACGGCTGGAGTGGGCCCGCTTCGGCAGTACCGGCGCCTCATCACTCATCTCACGGCGGTGAAAGTCGATCGCAGCGTTGGTCGCCTGCACAATCTGCTGTGCCAGGGCACTCTCTTGACTGGAACAACGACTTCGTTGCTAGACATGCCAGCGAAATTCATCAATCTCCTTGTAGTAACAACGGCCGACCGAAGCCGCACTCACCCGTACAACCTTCTGTACAACACCACCCTTTCAACGACAACAATGAATTCGTTGGCGTGCGAGCCAATGATGCGCGCTCCGAGCAACGCTCACAGACTGTCTTTGCAGGACATGGGTGGATCTCACCTCATCCGCTAAGCCCTGTTTCGGTGCAGTCACACATTAGTCTACCGTTCGGGCAGCCGATCCACAATCGGGAGCTCAGCTACGACGAGTGGAAGTCGTTACAACAGAGTGTGCGTAAAAGGGAAGCAATCGTTGCGCAGGAGGCCGGAAATTGCAACTGGTCTAAGACTGACAGTGTCGTCAGTCAGAAAGCGGCGAACGTAGCAGCCAGTATTGCACGAAGTGCCAGGGACAGCAGAGCCGGTGGTGTGAAGGCGAGCGGTAGCACGGCTGGAAGCTTCTGTGGGAACCGCCAGAAAACCGCAAACCCGGCGGTCAGTCACAACTACTACAAGGCTTCTGTAGAAAGCGCAAATGGAAGCCAGAGAGGTCCACAATCGCAGCATAGCGTGCATCGCAGCAGCTTACACGCCAGCCAGCACTTAGGGTCGAATACCTCGCACCGCCAGCAGAAGTCGCCTAGCCCGCACGTCCACTGGTCCCCGGCTTCGCAGAAGCCAGTTATGGAGCAGGGATGGGATGCACTTCCCGGGCTTGCCCTCGACGGGACATCTGATCAACCCGATGGCGCAGCGCAATCAGGCGAAGATGTCTACCGCAAGTATTTGGAGAACATCGTTGGCGGACAAGCTGTGCCGGACCGGATCATCAAGACTGCAGATGGCGCAGCAGCTTCTGGCGCTGTTTCCCTCCGGATGCCATGGGACATTGCGCACTCAGGCTTTCACTTCCATCAGCGCCCTGCGTCTCCAGGCTCATCAGCAAGTCCTGTTCGTGGACCTGCGCCAGATACGGTTAGAGAGTCGTGGAGCGCTCGGGCAAAGAACTACAAGCAGGGCCGAGCGGAAGATGCATTAAGACCTGATCAGCGTTCGGTGTCGCACGGAGGTGGAAGGGTCTTTGATCTGGGTCGAGCGGGGATGGACCATGGCGAATGGTGATGACTACTAGCTCAGCAAAGAGTCAATCGTGCAAGAAAGATGTTTGAGGGTTTCACGCGTTCACAGTCACGTCCGCACAAGGCACGCCGTAGCGGCGATTCTCTACACATGTTGCTCGGCAGTTCATATTGAATGGATTACGAAAGTCTCACGTCGTACCAGAAGCACAGCGATATGTCTTACAGACGCAGAAACGCTATAATAGAAGAGCGACAGTGACCGGAACGCTGTCCCACATCCTTTGTCACCGAGGCTGTAAAGGTGGAGGCCCACCATTCAACCAGCCAACAAAGTCCACCCGAAGTTCCCACGCCGCCAACAACCTCTGGGCGGCTCAAACGTCCTACTCAATGATGTAGATCTACAGCGCGTGGATTGCAGAGATGGCTGTCCGTCAAATTGCAGTCGTAGGCTCACTCAATGTTGACTTCGTAACTCGCACTCCTCGCCTACCAGCTCCAGGCGAGACGCTTACCGCAAGTAGTTTTGAAACAGGTTTCGGAGGCAAAGGTGCGAACCAAGCGGTCGCTTGCTCTCGACTTGCAGATAAGAATGTCAAGGTGTCTATGGTTGGGAACGTCGGTGATGACAGCTTTGGGGCGGACTACTTCGCCGCCTTGAAGGAAGAAGGCATTGACGCGAGCAAGATCCGCATGCTTGAAGGGGAGAAGACTGGTATCGCCAACATTATTGTCGAGGAAGATACTGGCGAGAACCGTATCTTGCTGGCTACCAATGCGAACTATGCTTTCTCGCACGATCCTAGTGCGGAGTGGGATCTTGTTCCTAGTGAAGCGGACATTGTTATCATGCAGCTTGAGATTCCCCTTAACGTGGTTTGTCCACCTGCTCAAGAGCTACAAAGCAGAGCGCTTAACAATGTCTAGGTTCTACACAACATCAAGAAGGCCAGCGCAAGTGGTAAACATGTACTTCTCAACCCAGCACCGGCGGTCCCGTTACCCAACCACATCTTCTCAGACATCGATACACTGGTTCTAAACGAAACTGAGTCTGTCATCGTCGCCGGAAAGGAAGCTGCCGGAAAGTCTCCAGAACAGCTAGCTCGCTCGTTCCTTGCAAAAGGCGTCAAGGACGCCGTCATCATCACACTCGGCGGAGACGGCTTAGCGTTTGCCACTGCTTCCGGCACCGAGGCTAGACTGCCGGCACGTAAAGTGAAGGTTGTCGATACCACCGCGGCGGGTGATACTTTTGTCGGCGGCTATGCTGTGCAGCTAGGGAAGCAGATTGGAGCGCAGTTCGACCACAGACAAGCGCTGCGATTCGCAACTCTTGCTGCCTCGAGGACGGTTGAGAAGAAAGGCGCCATGAGTGCCATCCCCACGCTTGAAGAGCTGGACGGTGCCACCTGAAGCAGTAGTCAGTATGACAGAATGACTCTATCTTTGACATAGAGAGTGAAGTGTGAGTGGGTCGTGAGAGCGATCATGAACACTGCAAAACGACTACAAGGCCTGAACGATTGCTCTGGAGAGTAGTAATAGCCTTTTGGAGCACAAAGAAAGGTATGGTAGGTCGAGACGTTCGACACAGTATATCGCTAGAAAGAATACTGCCCGCAAGCCCCATTCATGACGACAAAGGGGTCCGTATTCGAATGAGTGACAAGCTTCCCGACAATGTTTCCTCCATAGCACCTGTCCTGTGAACTAATCATACCATACACACAGTCCTGGAAGCCAGTGGTGGGATCTGGTATTGGCTCGAACTAATAACAATGGGTTTAGGCGTCAGTAAAGCATTGGACGTGAGGTGGCGAGCGTAGGGCCGGGAGGATGACTTACAGCAGCGACACCGCATAATGGGTTGTTGTAACACTCGACGCAGCAATCATAGGCAGATGATCCTGACCCGGTGTAGATGGAGATGCCCCCCACCCAGTCAATCTCGCTTGCCGGGACGCCGTTGATGTACTGCAGTTGGTTTGACACGTCGCAGATTGGGTAGTACGTCTGCTGTGCCGCAAAAGCCGTCGAAATGTTTGAGTACGTTGTGGTTGATGTCACTGAGACGGTTGAAGTGCTTGTAAGAGTAGTGCTCGTGAAAGCGGTCACCGTACTGGATGCGTCCGCTGGCGTGGAAGTAAACGTGTTCGTTATGGTGGTTGTGGTGGACTACAATAGCGTTAGCTCAAGGTCGTGTGCACAGACCATTGATGGAGAATAACGAGCCTTTGTAGAGGTGCTTTGGCTGGTCACAGTCACTGTGCTTTTCAATGTTGAGTTCGTCACGTACTGGAGGATGATGGTTTGCGTACTCCAGCATTCAACTTGCGTAGGATACGATGTTGCTGGCGAGGTAATCGAACTCGAGTAGAATGAGCTTGACGGTGTCGCTGTGGTCACTGTTGCAGAGGATCCTACTGAAGTGCTTTTGGCGGACGTGAAGAAGCTAGACGAGGGTTTCGCGCTCGAGCCGGCGCTGGATGTTGGCTTCGCGCTCGAACCTGCGCTGGACGTTGACTTGACGCTTGTGAAGGTGGACGAGCTCGGCTTCAGGCTGGAGCCAGCACTTGAGGAAGCACGACGCTCCAGTGCCAGTCGGTGCTCGAGTTTCTCCGCCTCGCGCCTGCCCTTCTTGCCGGGCGTCTCGTTGGCAGCAGCAACCGCGGACGGTAGAGGCGTAAAGCCGGCAGGGGTCGACATTGTCGTTGTGGGCGTGATTGTCGTAGATCCGGTCACCACCGAGGTCTCGTAACTCGTCAAGGTCGTTATAGGCACGATGAGTTGCGTAAGAGTTGACATGCTTGTAAAGGTGTCGGTGACCTTTCCAAAAGCGTTAGGATTGCTTCTCGAGATATGAACACTTCAAGTTGCATCCCGGACGCAGTCCTTACCTGAGTCATGATCGTTGTCTTCCAGATCGTTGACGTGTTCGTCGCTGTAATAGTAGTCGCTCGCGCCTTAGAAGTGGTGGTTGGTGTAATGGTGTTGGTGACGGTGACGGAAGTGGTAATTGTCGTAGGCGTATGGCTGAGCGTGGTAACGGTCGCTACCGACGTCGGTCCGTACTCTAGCTGAGACGGTACGGATCAGTTATGTCCCTACGACGTCTCATCGTCCGCAGTACTTACTGAGCACATTCCGTTTCCCATGCCCTTTGTAACAACAGACTGAGCAGCCGTCTTACAAGCGAGCATGGATAAAATGAAGGCTGTTGCGTAGCGAGCGAGGAGATTCCGTCCAGTGGAGGCCATGGTGAAGAGACGACAATATCGCGTAGAGATGGAAGGAGGACTTGCGGTAGATTGCGGTCTGGAATGACCGTGAACTCAAGCCTCTATATATACATGGCCCGACTATGGCACCAGTTCAAACGTATGCGTCCGGTTCGGCGGGGATGTCCTTGCAGGGAGCACTCTGTCGAACTCATCGCGCCTTTGAACCTGTGTTGCGGCTTCGGAGCGCAGTCCAATGCAGCTGAGGCCTTGTCTATGGTGCATTGTAAGGCTGCCATCCCTGCACGTCTGCATGCCAAGAGATGTCAGACGAGGACCTGCGATGAGCTAGATCTGTGTTCCAAAGAAGCCTGAAGTGAGGGGAGTCACATAGTCGCAGGTTCCGGGAGATGTGGCTGGCTAGAATGGCCAAGGTTGTCCACCCATTGGTGTTTTGAGCTGTTACTGAGTTGTGGCTTGCAGTGGCTTTCATGTACAGGACATATTTACGGGATAAGCCCACGTGGCTTTTCGCACGCTCCGTGGGAATTGCTGTAGGGTGGTTCACTCAACGTTAGAGATCATCAGTATCGCATCGACAAGCGCAGAGACTGTGCTAAACCGTGAGTCGTAACCCATTGCAAACAAACCAAAGGACGCAGAATGTTGGGTATGTATGTTGTACACTTGTATACATTAATACCTGCCGAAGCCGCCGGCCAGTCCAGACATCTCGCTTAGATCGGTACTTCAGGCTACACTCATGCCAAAGCCGCATGCTAAAGTAGACGTCGAAGTTGGCTTAGGCGCTTGGCAGCACCGGACCTTGTACACTTTCGTAGCGATACTTACTAGCTGGATTCGACGTCGAGAGTATCGGCAAGAGCTATTCCGTAAGAACCGGAGGTTGAATTATGCGATGACCTGGCTGTGTACCTCTTCAAAGATGAACACGAAGGAGACATTCAATCAAAATCCAGGCGCAGGCTCGTCGTGGAATTATTGCGCATTACATGCTTACGACTTGACGTTGCTCTTCGCTTTTGAGAGACACGTACCGGATGCCGCGCGCAGCGTGCTTCTACGTCGCGGCAAAGCCTTGTCAAGGCTTAGTCAGAGGCGGTCACTGGCGGGCTGATCGCAGCGCGTGACGGTTGTAGAGGCTGATGGTGGCCCCACGGTTCAAAGCATGGCTTCACGCCATCCCAAAGCAATAGGTAGTCTTTGAGATGAGGTGTTGTTTGCATGCCGGCATCTGGTGGTAAGAAACGTCCGACCTATGATTGTTGACTCCAACCATCAGGCCAAGGTGGGCCGAGCGTAGCCTTGCTGACGAAGCCAGCGCTAAGCGTGATGACGCGATACTCACCAGCGGAATATCGGCGTCCGACTCAACAAGCAACATCGTAACGACATCCTTTATGACAAAGATGATGAGTATGCTATCGATCATACGGCGGCTTGACTGTCTGGCCAACCAGTGAGCCCGCGTAGGTGCGTAAAATCATAACTTTCGTCCCTTCTCCCTTCTCCCTTCTCAGCTGGAGCCAAGGCTTTCAGGCTGCGAAAGACGTTTTTCCAGTTCGTCTATCGAATGGTCGCATAACGATGGCTTCCAAACCCATCCTCATCTCCGGCGCTGGCGTCGCATCTCTTCTCCTTGCACAGTCACTACGCCGAGCTTCCATACCCTTTCAAATCTTTGAGCGTGACGCCTCGCCTTCTTTCCGCGCCCAAGGCTACCGGCTACGGCTATCAGCAGAAGGACTGGATGCTATAAAATCGGTCCTGTCACCCGCAGACTTCTCGACGTTCTGGGACGCCTGTGGTAAAACTGGTGGCAGCGGATTCGGCTCTCTAAATGCTGTCACTGGCGAGAATCTCTCACAGGACTCAGGACCGCCCAAGGCTGTGGATCAAGAAGCCAAAGGCGGGTCCTTGAGCTTGCAAAGCCGCGGTGACAAGGTTGTGGGTATTGCGAGAGGCGAGATGCGCCGGCTGTTCATGACCGGATGCGAGCCGTTCATTAAGTGGTCCCACAACGTGACTGGCTACGAACTGACAGCGTCCGGAGTACATGCCATCTTTGCGGACGGGTCCATGTCTGAGGAAGGCGAAATGCTCGTTGGCGGTGAGGGCATGTATTCTAAAGTCGCTCAGCAGCTCTCTCAGGGTCGCCTCAAAGTCTTCGATACAGGGGCAAGGGGTATCCATGGCCAAGCTCCCACCACCGCGTTCAAAGATCTTGGTGAAGGTGTCTGGCGACTGATTGATGACACCAGGTCAGACGGGAGAGTCTTTGTCATCACTAATGTAAGACCGAATGATATGGACGACCCTAACGTACAGTTTGGCTGGACAATGTGTGGACAGCCAGGTGTCATCAAGCCGCCGAATGAGAACTTCACCATCATCGGAAAACCAGCGGCAGATATCGCCAAATCGATCACAGCGCAGTGGCATCCCCGTGTGAAGCCGCTCTTTGACCACATGGTCGAGTCTGAGGCTGCCTTCTGGAAGATCACCTGTTCCACACCGAGCGGTGTCCCTGAGTGGCCGAATGAGCCGCGAGTGACCGTTATAGGTGATGCCGTTCACAGTATGACGCCAGCCGGCGGCATCGGAGCGAACACCGCGGTGCGGGACTCGGGGGTGCTGGGACGGCTATTGACGGAGTCTGGCGGCCTTGCCAACGGCGTGACTGCTGCTTACGAGAAGGAGATGAGGGTCTACGGAAGCGAGGCAGTGAAGGCAAGCTACAATCAGGCGAAGAATCAGTTCGGAGTTGTGATTGACGAGACGACATCTGCCATCGTATGACCTGCCTTATGCACGAGTCGCTTTGCAATCGCAGTCGTTTTGATAGACCTAGATATGTAGCTACCCAACGCTGTACAGAAGCTAGATTTGAGTGGGCTACTTTCACCGGTCATCGCCAGCTTCTACGTTCATGGCGGCCGCTTGACATCCGACAAGCCATCCAAGTCCATGTGGTCATCCTGCTGATTCGCGCGTCTTCTACGACCACCCACCTTCCGCGTCATCTTCGCTTCGACCAGTTTGCTCTTCAGGCTAGCATCAATGGCATCTTCGTCGGCGCCACCCAACACACCCCCACCTTCAAGCAGGGCTAATGCCTTGCTCAACAGATCGCTTGCCAGCGGATCCTGCGGAGACATTGCAAGCCCCTCATGGAGAGCGACAGTGGCCTCGAATGGCTGTTCCAGCTCCAACAGCACCAAGCCTTTCGAAGCGAAGACGCCACAATCCCGCAGACCCAGCCGGATAACCTCCTCGAACTGCTCGAGCGCTTCTTGCAGTCGTCCGGCTCGCCGCAGGGCATGCGCCAAGTTCAACCTCGTTTCACGGTACTGATGTGCGGGCGCCTGGCTCTCCTCCGCTAGGCTGAGCGCCAGGTCGAATTGCCGTATCGCGCCGTCATTATCGCCTTCTTTGTAGGAGCATACTCCGAACTCGTTCATAAGGAGAGGGTCCGTCCTACATAGCTGGTAGGCCGACGTTAGATATTCTCGAGCTATGGCCAAATTGTCCAGAGCGATCTCTTGCATGCCCAAGAACAGTTGCGGTAAGTGCGTGCCCTGGAATAGTCTAGCGGCCGTGCTGTACGCAGCAATGGCTTGATCACCCTCGCCTTCTGCGGCGAACGTATGTGCGAACCCTATCCAGGCTGGTCCGAAATGGGGGTCCATAAGCGACGCTTTGGAGAAGTAAGACCGTGCTTCTGGGATGCGATTTGTGTTGAGATAGTATGTCCCAACCGCAAGCCATGTGCAAGGCTCGTTCGAATGCGTATCTGCAAGGTCATGCGAGAGGGCGAAAAGAGCGTTTGTGTGGTTGAGCTGGTATAAGAGCGCGATATGTAAGGGTAGGCAGGCAAAGTTGTAGGGATCATTATCCAAGATGGAGGACGTAAGGGCGAGCGCAGCCTCGAAACAGGATGAGGTGAACAGCATATCCGCTTTGGCGAGCAAGATATCCGGGTTCGAGGCCAGGTGATAGTGCGTAGATAGCGTTTCGATCGCCGTGTTAAATTCGTCGAGGCGCGCATACTTCGACAGTCTAGTGATGTAGAGATTCCGCGCAAATGCCGATGCTTCCTCTGCGTCACCGCTCTGTTCCGGTGAGGTTGCTCGTATGTTGTCGAAGTTAAGACTCTCCAGGAACGCCCACTCTTCGCCAGGACTCATTAGCGAGTTCTTCATAAGCTGGTCAAATGCCTCGAAGCACTGCACATCGATCCGCACTGCATCTTTATAACACTCCTTGGCTCGCTCAAACGCATTCTGCTTGGCGAAGCATAGGCCACGAAGATAGCACATCCCGGCTTCACACTCTATGCTGCTACGGTCTTCGAGGTCACGCTCTTCGCTCCGATCTGCCCGCTCTATCCTGCTGGGAAGCTTGGCCTTGCCACCCTGCTTACTTTGCAAGCCATTCGTTACCGCTTGCAACTTTCGCCGCGAGGAATCTGCCGTCGTAAGAAGGTGGGCCGGACTCTTCTCGCCCAGGATCGCGAGTGCATCCTCGCACCTGTTCTGCTTGATGTAACAGTGCGCGGCGAGGTATCGCGCTGCGGGCTGTCGCTGTAGCAAGCTGGGGTTTGAAACAAGAGCGAGAGCGCGGGTGTAGTTGCCGGCTTCGAATTCCAGTCTTGCGAGGACAAGAGCATCCTCGGGAGAGTCTAAGATACGTTTAGCGAGCAGGCGAGTGTGGTACGTAGCAGTGGTACGGACTTGTCAAGCAGAACAGCTTCTCTGCGAGGAAGATGGCAGAGCCGTGTTGATGCTTGTTTACTGCGGATTGTACCCAACTTCTCAAGAAGGCCTCCATTCTGTATCACCCAGGAGCATCACGGAAGTGTGACTTCACCATCAAAGAAATGCTTGACACCGCTGCACCTGCCTCTTGTGAGAACAACATTGTATTGCATACGGCGTGGCCGAAACGTACCTGCGTGGAGGAAGTTCCCCGTTGCTGTTTCAAGCTGCGCAGACCAACCACGCAGCCGAGACGAGCCGATTCGCCCTTGCGTTGGCGCCGTGTCGGCCTTTAGGCTATCATATCACTCTAGCTCCGGTAACTCCTACGAGTACGTTCGTTACCACTCTTGCGACTTTCATGTTTGTGAAGGCCGGGTACTGTCTCATCTTCTATTGACCGTTCCACCGGGAACATTTCGGTGTTAGCTCTTTAGTCGTCTTCCCTTCGATTCGCCCGCAATATTACATTGATAGTGCTGGACCATCAGCATGTCAGAGCGCAAGGTACGTTCGAGGGGTCGGTAGAGAACATTGCAGAGACCATCGCTAATCGTCTTATCCAAGGTCTTGAGTAAATACTATCCCCCAGACTTCGATCCCTCAGCCATCGAACGGCGGCGCAAACCGAAGCAGACCGGCCCAAAGCGACAAGATGTGCGCCTTATGGCTCCTTTCAGCATGCGCTGCAACAGTTGTGGCGAATACATCTACAAAGGGCGCAAGTTCAACGCCCAAAAAGAGACCACCGATGAAAAGTACTACTCGATCACGATCTTCCGCTTTTACATCAAGTGCACGCGATGCAGCGCGCAGATCACTTTCAAAACCGATCCAAAGCACCAAGACTATGAGTGCGAGAAAGGCGCTAGACGTAACTTTGAGCCATGGCGTGAGGCGAAGCTTGCCGAGGAGACCGAGGAGGAGAGGCTGGATCGGCTAGAGCGGGAGGAGGCCGAGAGAGATGCGATGAAGGAGCTGGAAAAGAAGACCGAGGATGCAAAGACTGAGATGGCGATTGCAGACGCACTAGATGATGTGCGAAGGCGAAACGCTATGCGAGAGCGTGCGGATGTAGACGGCGCGATCTCTAGCGTCTCGGTGCCGACAAAGGATGACGAGGCGGAAAGGGTGGAAAGAGAGATTGAGGAGCAAGCTAGGCTTGCGTTTCAGAGTGGCACCGGCGAGAAGGTACGGAGGCTCGACGAGGAGATAGAGATGCCGGACGATGATGATGCTGTGCCGCGCGTAGACAGTACACGCACCTCGGAGGAGCAAGCTATGCCGCCTCCATCTGCGTTTGAGCGCAAAGGCAGGAAGGAGAAGAAAGGGCCTCTGATTGCGGGCATCAAGAAGAAGGCACAAGAGCCTGTGCTTGGTTTGGCTGGCTATGGCTCAGACGATGATTGATATTGAAGACCTTCAAGATTCGTGAACAACCTTGCAATATCGAAAATCTCTTCCCACAAAGGCGCAGGCACTCCGCAGACTCGAACTATGCATTAAGCTTTGACGGCCAACAATCGTCCATGTGACAGCTCCTGCTAAGCCATCGGTCACTGAGACTTGCCTGGATATGTTTGACTTGGACTGCTTCCGGTTGGCATGATGTGGTGACTCTCTGCACGCACACTAGGCAGGACTGGTTTCTACTGGAGTTGAGATCATGAATACGCAGCCAATAAGCCATACGACTTTTAATGTCTCACCGTAGTTCGCACCTTCCAAAGCCGTCGACAAGAAGCTCACGCCCCACCCGCGCGCATCTGATTGGCGCCTTGCGCGTTGGCTCACGAGACATCCCTTTGCCGGCCATTGTTATTCCTCGCAACTCCATTTCCGACAATAGGTCGAGCGTCGACTTGATCATTCACGCATACAGTCACCATTCAACTCACCCTAGTCACTCCTTTTCCTGAAGCAACCTGTCGGCTTTGACAGCTCGACATACTGTTAAGCACTCTTCCTTTTAACGATACAATATTCTGAGACTTCGGATCGCTCAAGCAAGGCACAAACATAGCTCGAAAGAAGCACATGACTTCCTGCAGTAATTGGTGACATTCAAAACCAGCAGACGCGCGCACGCCATCGACCGCTGCATTGTTGTCACATCGACGTGCTACTGGCGCAGGCCGACAGGAACGAGCACGCCACACTGATACCGCAAGATTCTTTCACGATGAGGTTGCAGGCAGCCCTTGTCGCGCTCCCAGTCCTGGCCTCTGCTACGGTGTTCTGGCGTATGCCATGTCAGCGTACCGGCATAGGACGTCTTGACCCGTTGATGGATCCCGGCGAGATCGCTGACCATGTACACACCATTCACGGCGGCGGCAACTTTGGTCTCAACACAACTTATGAAGACCTCGCGCATCCCCCGGCTGGTCCGCAGAATTGCACGTCTTGCCAGGTCATTCAGGACAAGTCAGCGTACTGGACTCCGGCGCTGTACTTCATGAGGCCTAACGGCACGACCGAGCTTGTACATCAGGTGGGAGGTATGCTGGCATACTACGAAAAGACCTTCTCCGATGCTGTACCGTTTCCGGAAGGCTTCCGAATGCTTGCCGGCAACAGGAATGTTCGCAACTTCTCGGGCCCATTTCCCGATACGGACCAGTCAACGTGGCCCTGGGACGCCTCGGATCAGTTCTTCCTTGAGCAGCGCGCCCTAGGGTTCAACTGCCTGCACTACGCCACGGCTCCTGAACCATCGCTTTACCGCCATGAAATGCCGAACAAGACATTCATGGACACTACATGTACGAATGGCTTGCGGTTGGAGCTCGCTTTTCCGACCTGTGGTAACGGATCGCTGGACTCAAGCGATCACCAATCTCACATGAGGTATCCCAGCGTGATCAATGGCGGTAATTGTCCGACGGGCTTTGACGTTCACTTTCCATATCTGCATTACGAGACGATCTGGAACACGCAAGACTTCGCATACGAGGACGGCGAGTTCGTATTCTCCAATGGCGATCCTGTAGGAACCGGCTACCATGGCGACTTTATCATGGGCTGGGAGTCCAGTGGTTATTTGGGACAAGCCATGCAGGAATGCACAAACTCGTCGGGACAAGTACAGGATTGTCCGCTCTTCACCACACGGGGAGATGAGGCCAACTTCTGCAACTTCACTGTGCCGGAGGTGCTTGTGCACGACAATTCCTTAGCTCTCGGTACCGGCTTACCAGGCGGTGTGCCAATTCAGTCAGGTCCTGCGCCTGCGGCAGCGTATCCTGACGCGGGCCACGGCAGCCCAAGAACGAGCTCAATCCCGTCAGCCTCTGCAGCCACTTCCGGCACTCTGTCTACCACAGCTTCTCCTGAAGTCACTGCCACGTCAGGATATGACACTGCTGCCGACTCCGCAACTGATGGCGCTAAAGGCCCGGTCGATATCGCGCACAACAGACTGGATGGTCCCATCACAAGTGCAAGCGCTGCTCCAACGCTTCGTCCCGTAACACGGATGCTACCCACCACCACTACAACAACGTACACTGTGGGCAGTAACGAGGTGGTAGAGCTTGTCCTAGTCGAGGATTATGTCACAATTACTACCACGCTTGCAGCGTCAGCGACTGCTGCCAAGAAGCGCCACCTGCAGAAGCATGTCCATCACACGGCGCATGGTATTGAGTGGCCAGGGTGGTCCAACAGGGTTCTATTATCTGAGCAACAGCGCAAGATATTGGATATACCAGACTTTAGCGATCGCTGACAATGATATGGCGATTGAAGCTGACGATGGGAAGCCGGCGAGATGTTGCAGTCCATGGACCGCTAGAAGTGTCATCAGGCTGGCCTGGTGCGCCTAGTGTGCACAGTTGCAGTCCTGGCAGTACATGTAGCTGCTCTGGCCAGCGCCGGCAGTGTACTATGCACAGCCTCACCTTTCCGCGAAGTGTCCTTGTCTGCCACATTATTGCCTGTTCAGGTGGAGTCTGTTAGGCTCGGCCGAAACCGTGTTGTCAAACGCCGGGTGTGGCGTTCGCGGCCGAGCGAGCGAACTCGTGCTGAACCTTCACTTCGCAGTCACACTTTCAACGTACTCTCGTAGTCTCAGCGACCTGCTCTTACTGGCAGTTGCCATCAAAGATTGGTCACACATCGTCCTGCCCAAGTGAGTCAGTAAGGATGGCCGCTTTAGCGTCCCGCTACTCATGCAAGTACTTCACAATGAGCTGAAGTGGCAAAGCGCATAGTTCAGGCTCCAATGTCTTGGAAGATACTGGGTATATAATGTGTCCTTACAGCTGCTACTACTCGATCGGTTGTATAAAGTATTTCCTTCTTGTCATTTGACCTCCCAGAGATATTGCATTCGAGACAACGCCCGTGACTGAAGCCGGAACGTTCGAGGCAACAGAATTGACGACCCACAGGCTACATCAGGATGGACTTTCGGCGGTTGTCGCGTATGATGCCAGCTCCTACGATGAGTGTCAACAGCACAGAGGTACCGGAACTCAGTAATCTACCACCTAACATCCTCGATGCATTAATACCGGGCTACAGTCTCATCTCAGGCTACGTGGCAGTGTACCTCGGACTGGACATTTCTGTATTCGTATCAATTGGTGTCATCTTCTTCGCAGTCACCAAAGGTTGGCAGTACCTGCGAGGATGGGCGGAGAGAGCTTTCAGCGCCGTCTTCATGTCCTCCGTCTACATCGATGAGCATGACGACCTATTCGACATGGTCATGGCGTGGCTGGCTGCACACCAGGCAGCAAGCTCTCGCAGTAGGAAAATGCGGGCCAAGACGCAACGCGGATCAAGAGCGGAGGATGCGTACGACGCATCTGCAGACGATGCTCTAGATGAGAACGGTATGTTCAACTTCAACAAGTGGTCTGCACGAACGCCGCCACGCTTCGAACCATACTACGGCCGACAGTTCGTCTGGCACAAAGGTAATATTTTCTGGTTCAGGCGGTCTTTGCGATCTAGCGAAGGTCAACGGGTGCAGGTAAGCTTTGGAAACGTACAGGAAGACGACATCATTCAGCTTGATTGTATCGGCCGGAGCATAGAACCAATCCAAGATCTGCTGCGGACCGTGAAGATATGGTCGTCCAACAGAGAGAGTGGAATGACCACCATCCGTCACCCCACGCCTAAGGATAGGGCTCGGTTCGCTGGAACCTGGGCGAAGACTTCCGCACGACCCTCTCGTCCAATGAGCACAGTCATCCTAGATGCCGAGCAGAAGAACATGATTATCAAGGACATGAATGAATATCTGCATCCGGCAAGCCCGAGGTGGTACGCCACTCGCGGCATTCCGTACCGACGCGGGTATCTTTTTCACGGACCACCCGGGACAGGCAAGACGAGCTTGTCGTTTGCTTTAGCTGGTATTTTCGGTCTGGAGATATACGCCATCAGCCTGCAGGAGCCGAGCTTGACCGAAGGCGACCTGATGCAGTTGTTCAACGGTCTCCCACGGCGCTGTATTGTTCTGCTGGAGGATGTAGATGCTGCGGGCCTAACGCGCGACGGCGCAAGCGAGGACGGTAGCAAGACTCTTGGTCGACGAGGCAAGAAAGAAGGCGACGGCAAAGACGCCGGTGAGGAGAAAAAGCAAGACCCTCAAGACAAACCCAAGAAGGACGAAGAGTTCACCCTAAAAGATCTTGCCAAAGAGCTAAAGTCCATTTGCGCTCCACGTCAAGCTCCGCGAGGTAGAGGTGTTGCTCCGAGCAACGATCCTACTTCGACCACCCAAGGTGGCGGAGGGGGTGTTTCGCTATCTGGCTTGCTTAACGCAATCGACGGCGTGGCGACGCACGAAGGCCGTGTGCTGATCATGACAACAAACCATCCGGAACTACTCGATCCAGCCCTTGTAAGACCCGGCAGAGTAGACCGGAAGGTCGAGTTCCGCTTGGCGATGAAGGAGCAAATCCGCGAGCTCTTCGTCAGAATGTACGCCGCCAGCGACAAGTACGTCTCGGCATATGTAGCCGCAAACGGTGCTGCGACTTACACACCGGGCATTAAGAACGTTGCAAACGGACATGCGAAGGGTCCTGCAGCTCCTGAGAATCAGCTCGAGGCACAGTCCCAGGCTGACCTGGAAGACCTGGCTGTAGAATTCGCCAGCCATGTGCCAGACGATACATTCACGCCGGCGGAGGTGCAGAATTTGCTCATGAGGTACAAGAAAGAGCCTAAGACGGCATTGGCGATGGTGCAGTCATGGATGGAAGAGACATTGGCGGAGAAGGAGAAACCAGGTGACGGAGACGGCGACGTTGCTGCTTCGAAGATCATTACGAACGCAGACAATGGAAGATAATGTGAAACGACACGACGCCGAGATTGTAAGATAGCTTTCACAATAGCATAGTTCAGTCGTCATACCTGTGAAGAAACGCAACCTTTGCTTGATAAGTGGCCACACACGGTAGATGTAACTTTGCAAACTCATGCGACCGTATCGGACAACTGATACTTGTAGACCGAAAAGGTGCTTCGCTTACTGCACCCATTCAAACCGCTGTGGCTGCAGCCAGTTCGCAACTTGAAGCACGCTACGCCACGCCCCGTTGCATATGATATTATCACAACCTCTAGTTCTCGTGCAGGAGCTGGACGTAAGTGTCGTCCTTCTCCGCCGGCTCAGCGTCCTCCGCCTTCTTGTGACCAAGACCTTCCTTCCTGTACGCGGCAGCGTACGGATTGAGGCGCAGGAGTACCTGCCTGTTCACGAGCGGGTTCTTCTTCTGCACCACACCACGCTTGCTGATGGCACCGCCCTTGACTGGACGTAGCACGCTCTGCACCTCGGAGCTGTTGATGAGCTTTGCGAGATCTGCCTGCGCCACGAGATTGGACGGCAGCAAGAAGTCCCTCTTCATCTCGGACGGCTCGGTTTGGCTGCCGTAGATGGTATCGAGTGCAGCGAAGGCAGATGACGTCCAGACGACGAAGCGGCCGAGGTGTCCGCCAGGGGCAAGTTGTAAGAGGTTGAGAGCGTAGACCGTGCAAGTCTCAACACCCGGGATGTTGCGGAAGGCGAGGACGAGGTCCTTGCCATCCTTCTCCGGGTCATAGACGATGAGCGGACCACGGCGTTGCTTGTGGCGCCGGCCTCTGAGCTTGCCCTTGCCAGCGCGCAGCTTGCGGCTATTCTTGACCTTCTCAAGCTCCGGTCCAGCGCCCACAGACTCGAGTATCTTCACAGCCTGGCTTGTCTTCTTGACGGCGCCGTCGGCGAAGACAGTGCTGGAAACAACGAGTGGAACTTCAGGGACGGTCATGATGTGGTGGCCGCGGGCCAGGAGCAGGGCAGCCGAGGAGGAAGCTGCTATGGCGGAAGCGGTTGCGAAGCGTTTCTGGCCGAGGTTGACCTTCTGATGCCACTTGCGCCAGACCTTGGTGGGAGCAAACATGCGGCCGGAGCGACACTGGTTACCGAACGCGGCTTGACCGGCACGGTGAGTACCACCTCCCGAGACACGCGGAATACGAGCGACAGCACGGCCTGAACAGATATTAGTATACATATTACAACAGCCAGTGTATAGATCTCTATGCGTCCCCTCCGCCTCTTTTCGTAAAGGATTCCCACGTACCGGTACCCCAAGACTCTGCACTAGTCTGGTGGCCTGCTTTCTCGCTCACAGCGTACGGCTGCCTCCTGTTCTTCGCCATGCCGGTATGCACGCTCCTGGAAGACTATTAGCATTCTTAACCACTCCTGTATGAGCCCGGCGTTGCGTACTGGACAATGTCCGGGCGGATGGGTGCCTTGAAGACATTGGGTAGCGGATGGCTGTCCTCGGTGGCAGTACCATCAGCACCGTAGATGGTGACAGTTGGGCGACTCATTGTTGCGGTGTTGTCGTGGTCTTCTTCGCCAGTGCTAATGCGTGCTGTGAAGCTTCGTCGTGTAAGTGATGGTTTCACTTATGGACCGTGCGCAGTGGGTGTCTTGGCGGTCGTTGGCGGAACTGCTCCGCGCTCACATGCGTGTCGAGCTTCCCTTTCCTCGTTGCCAATGTTCAAGACTCACACACTCCACGAACATTGTAGTAGCTATGCCGCCTCAGTGATTGGCCGATCATGGCTTCACCTCCCTACGGCGGTATTACGTCGCCACCAGCTGGCTCGCCTCTTGCGCTACCAGGCCAACGACAGCGACCAACCCTAGCTCTTCCGACGGGTATCAAGTCGCGCAAACCGTCAGTAGCCAGCGCAATATCTTCAGCGCACCCTCTCCGTCAGACTTCCTTCCCACCCCCTGACAGCCTCGAAGCCCAACATGCGCTCGCCGAGGACAATATGCTGGCGCAGTATTCGCCCTCCGCCACCGGATCTATGGATGACTTCAGCGATGACCTCGACGTCGAAAGCGCTATCAGCATCCCTGCAACGGATGGTGGGCTCGCTTCTTCGGCAACGAAGCGCAAACGGGGTGCCGAAAAGGGCAAGCGGGGACGGCCGCCCAAGTATCGAGGCGTGAACGGAGACGATGGACGGCTACAACGTCGGGCATTCACGGGAGGCGCACCTTCCATCGTCACTGCCGAGGATGCTGGCGAAGTTGACGAAGAAGACGACTTCGAAGAAGGCACGACCGGTGGCCCTGGCGGTGGACGTCTGCCACTGTACGAAGGTGGGCAAATGACACCCGCAGAACAAGAAGCCGAGCGGAAACGCAAGGCGGCCTTCTACGAGAGCGTGTCGGAGGAGCACAAGCACCGATTCAATACATTCGGACGGGCGAAGCTGAAGACCGCGGATGTGAGGAAGCTGGTCAATCAGACGTTGAGTCAGAGCGTGCCGCAGAACGTTGTCTTGGTCGTCAGCGCTTATGCGAAGATGTGGGCTGGCATGATGATTGAGGACGCGAGACAGGTGCAGAGGGAGTGGGAAGCCGTGGCGGACAAAAGAGCGGATGGCGAGCCGAATAGGGCGTGGCGGAGGCTGCAAAAGACTGCCGACGAGAAGGAGAACGCTGGCGAAACTGGCGAGGTCCGTAGCGCGAACGCAGAAGGCGCGCAGCCTGTCGCGCTTGTAAATGGAAGCGAGGCCGTTGCGAACGAGCCTACGTCTCCGGACAATCGCAGTACGGTCAATGGTACTAAGCACGAGAATCCGAAGGACCACAGCAAGAAAGACTTAAAAGGCAGCAATGGCGACTCTGTGGAAGCATTACTTGTACCGCTAGGTGGCGCTGGTGGGCTCGAAGCCGAAATTGAGGAGTGTGATCTTGGTCCGCTGCTTCCGGACCATCTGCGTGAAGCGCTCAGACGGTACAGAAAACGCCATGCTGGCGGATCGGTGGGCTTCACCGGACTGAGTCTTGAAGGCAGAGAGAATACTGCACCCAGAATGGGCGGGAGGCGGTTGTTTAGGTGACATGAGTGAAGCACATCCCGAGTTCTTTTAGCGTGGCGTTGGTGGTCGAAAGGTAGTACTGTGATTAGGAACCACAGATTCTTTACGACGTTAGTATAGTCAATGTCGCGACGAGTTTCGCAATGCGACGTAGTCACCGTGATTATGGCGGGGTCCAGGATTAACAGCACACCGAAGGTTTGAAGAAGTTGGTTTACGCGACTCCGATGGAGAACGCGTCGGCTTCTTCCGCTCCTTCTGTTTGCTAACCTTGCGAATCGCCACGCCAGCCCATCATCGTTATGTGACAATATCATCAGATCGTTCGGAGATGAATCGATGGCCAAAAAAGCATCGCTGGCGACGGCTAGGGTTGTGCCCGTTATCCTGGCGTTCATCGTTGCCTATGTCTCCTACGTGGTCGTCGGTCCGCTCAGTATCAACTACCTCATCAACGGGCCGAGAGTGCGTATTGCTGCCGGCATCGCACTCCCGATTATATGGTTCTTCCTCCTTCTACCGGTGGCAGCTACATATCTCCGACTATTGCTCGTCGTCTCTCGAAATCCTGGCTATACCGAGCTCGGTGATGCTGATGGTACCGCTGCGAGGAAGGAGCCGCCACCAGAGTTTTGGATGAGAGATGTCTTCGCATGCGATCAGAGGGGCCTGCCTGTCTGGTGTCAATATTGTCGCAATTGGAAGCCCGATCGCGCACATCACAGTCAGGATGCCGGAAGGTGTACGCTCAAGATGGATCATTTCTGTCCGTGGTATGCGACTCGAGCACCAGCTGCTTTATACCAGTATCAGTCATACAGAATATCTGCTGATTCAATGACAGGGTAGGCGGAGTGGTCGGCGAACGATCCGTCAACTTCTTTCTGCAGTTTCTCTTCTATGCTACGCTGCTGGCGGCCTACGGTACTGCTTTGCTGGGATACTTTGTTCATGAAAGCCGAGCGGATGTGCAAATCAACGTCGCGCTCGGTCTGGCTGGATTCTTCTTATTATTCACACTAGGCATGGTGGTGAACAGCTTTTTCCTCGTGTCGCGTAACACGACCACCATCGAGAACATCGACAATAGAGGTCGGACGATGCTGCTAGCAGTTCTCCTGCCGCCTGAGCTACAGCCCACCCAATACCCAAGCAGTGCGGGTTTAATTCTGCCAGCATCCGCGAGTCTGAATGGCCCTTATGATGCCGGCAGCGACAACGGACCGCCTCGGACTGGTGAACATCCCGTAACGTCCGAGATCGATGACCCATCTCACAGTAGTTATTTCACCAACAACAGTGGCACGAATTGGGCGTTGAGACGTGCATCACGATCCGAGTTTTGGAGAGGAACTGTGACATACCCGCTGTCACCGGCTGAGGGAAGGCCGCTACGAACTTTCGCCATACTAGAAACTCCGCCAGGTATGAATCCATGGGACTTGGGATCACCGTGGTGCAACATGAAAAACATCATGGGCAGTAAACTGCACCACTGGCTGCTACCACTCCGACATTCTCCTTGCTGCGATCATAGCTCGAACGTCTCCTTCTATCCGCTTGGCCCGCAATTCGAAGCCTTTCTGGACAGTGCTGGACTGGTGCAACGACCCAGCCGGCGCTATGACCCTGGTAGTCTCGTGACTTCGTCTCGTAGGAGCGCGACGCGGAAGCGGCGTCTGGGAGAAGGCTGGCAAAATGGAGAGAGACCGGACGGGTGGGTGAGTGAGAAGGCCGCTCGACGGGTGCTACGGCAGACACATCGTCGGGATGCCATGTGATGGGGAGCTTTACTGATGCGTACAAGCGAGGCGTATGGCATGACATGGATATGCAATGTCGAGTAGACGGTTAACAGGTCTGATCGGTCTATCGCTGTTTACTCGGTAGAAGGTGCCGTGAGTTCCAACTCATACGCCCTGTGTATCTTTACCCTGCCCGCAGTGGGTGTTCGCTGAATTAGTGGCCTGCATGCAGTAAGTGCCTAGATGGGCGGTGAAGGTCACGAGGTGCGTCCACGGACTTGACGTAAAGCTGCAGTCTGCATTTGCATCGACCTTTACTCACATCCTCAACGCGGATCAGAAATGAGAGTCACTGACTGCCTTAGCAAAGATGAGGCACCCAGAAGCAGACGTTGGCCAGTCACGCCCCGAGTGCCGGATATTCTGGGATGGCGTTATGTATATGAGGATGCTGTGGTTCGCGGATTCGGCAGGTCTGATGGCTCATGCGTATCGCGGTGCCACAGTCTGCAAGTTGTTCGTGCGTTCTGCGGCTCGCGAGCAATCAACGGCAATTCAACGCGATGCTCGTTCAACAGAAACCACTGGGGATGAGGTGGTCGGAGGTGCATTAGAAGCAGGCGTTGGAGTTGCATTACATACTTTGAGACGCGGACGGAGGTTAATGAGCTGACAAGACTGTTCGTACGACTCACCCGCGTCAAGACGTCGTACGAGAGGCGCCCGCTAGGATTGGCGACGAGTAGAACCAGCATGCTGGAGATGGTAGGCAGACGAGATTGCTGCTGTGCTCATCTGGCAGCAGCACATTCCCTGGTACTCGGAGCTGTCTGGATGCATGCACGGCGTGCGTTTCCCAAATCCGAACCAAGATGCCGTTCGTGTAGGACGGCATCCAAGGCGCAGCGAGCATGCATTATGCATGTCATCCGGCGGTGATTTCCTAGTGCCGTTCATGATGGCTGTCCCTGTAACCCGCAACGTATTCCAGAGAAAGAGTGCCTTGGCTTGGTTCTAGCACCGCCTTGATAGCATGGGTACGAACGCGTCACAGGGCGGGCAGCTCACAATTGGGCGGAGTGTAGCTTGCCAGCTCCGCCTCAGGGCGCCGTCAAGACGCATTGCGCGCATTCAGCCACCAGACGGACAGCATATTTCACGGCGTCCCTCATCCGAGGGTTGCACGCGACAATGCAGCGAGTCAGCTGAGGAATGATCCGCAGATGCTCGGCCGACAAGCGATTGGGTGTTGCTGGTGCAAAATCTCTCCCAGGTAAAAACCATGTCATATTTTGTACTCAAGGGCCGCACGCTGTTAACAACCGTAAAGCCTGCTGGGTCCTACGTTTCATCAGCGCTCAAAGCGAGACGCCGCAGTCTCACTCAGTACAGTACTGTATGCCGAACGAGCCAATCGTGACCGCCACATCGAACGCTATCGGTCTGGCGCTGTGGCGTGACTCATGAGCGGGCCACAGGCCCGAGCGTACAGACCGCACGGGGTTACGGTACTAGGAGCCACCCAAAAGCTTCCGCAAACCCGAAGTGACGCCGGTCGCATAAGGCGTGCAGGTGTGCCACATCTTCTTGATCCTTCGGTGCCGAGACCGCAACTTGTGACAGTACTGTTGTCGCTAAATTCGTGAAGACCTTGTTGGAGACCTATCGGACATCAGGGTAGCTTTCTATGGCGTGCATACCTGTGTGAAGGTGTGGCCAGCTAGTCATACCGCACAACTCTTATTCTGCAGTTTGTTGCAGCACGATGCAACAATATTAGGTGGGGACATGCTTCGACCATCTTTGGCACTGACTCTTCATGCTGTGAATGCGACTAGGGAGCCATTGGCTGCTCCCGTCCCGCTGTCGCGCACACGCCGAACAAGGGTTTGATGGCGATACTGCGCGAGGTGTAGTTGCGACTTCTAGATGGCCGCGGGTACGCGGGTATGGTATTCGGAGGACACAGTACAGCAAAGATTGGGATACGACGCTCGATCTGATTGCTACAATCCATAGCCGCTAGGCGCCGACAATTGCGCCAGGTACAGATCGGCGACGATCTTGCATTTGTGAGAAATGGCCGAGAAGCTTGGACGCGGTACGTCAGATCTGCAGGCAGTCCCTGAGATGTCAAATCTAGCTTTTCGAGCTGGGCCCCTGTCACCGCTCACAGGCCAGACTGCATCTCTAGTTCAATTTCGGAGCCGATAACCGGGTATGGCCACGATTGGATGCATAAGCCCCTGCCGCCCAAGCGGTTGCGCGTTCGCTTCGCTAGCTGGAAGGTTTGCGGATATGGACTGCATGTGTAGTGCGGTGAACGCTGGGAACCGTACGTTCTGATGCTTCAGGGCGTGAACGTGTTGTGTGGGGACGTGGGAAGAGCTCCGGGTAAGCAGAAGTCTCCACCCGCTCAGTACAAAGAGCAACGCGGAGTTGTATGGAACAAACCTTGGAACGTCACCCAAGGGCATGGGCATCAAGCGCGGCGCTACCTTTGACCGCCAACCTTCTTCGCTGCTTGGGGCTGGTATAGGTCAACGGCGATGTGAAAGTATGCGTTAGGTTTGCTGTCGAATGCTTTTCTTGCAGCATGGCTCGGTGGACGGAAATGCATGATCCCAATCCCATCGCGTGTACGACTATAGAGCCTCGAAGCTGCATTATTGCTGCGCGGCGCGCCGAGCGCCCGCAATAAGCGCGTGCAAGAGCACCGGCATTCGAAGATACGCTAATTATGCATTACCCCCGAAAGGCTTAGGCTAAGTCGACTGTCATCTCTCTGATCGTCCGTGCAGCAGTGCTATGTCAGAGGAGGGGGTCTGACGCCTTGGTGTCGGGCTCATGGCACTGGCTGCTGCATGGTCCTTGTGCCATGCGGGCCGGTACAGCAGGCTCGCAGACGCACCGTCGGGTGGCACTTACATTCTTCAGGCGTACAGGATCAACCTTCTAATGCGCTAGCCTGGCAACTCTACTTGTTAAACGCGGAACTCGTCAACGTAGTAAAGTGGGATGGTCCAGGATCTACCCGATGCAGATACGTGCAGAGTATGCGGAACTTCGCGCCTTCTAGGCTAAGGGTCGTCCAACCGTCGAGACTCCGCATACAATCTTCGACCTGCGCTCTGTTTACATGTTCCATCAATCGCACGGTTATCATCAACAACACGCACCTCGTACGCCTTGGCCGGCCCAGGTTGGCGAATTTACCAAGTCATCGCCAGAACGCTAATGTGACGTCTCCGTGAAGCCATTGTTTCAGAGCATTTGCAGTGCCCTCAACGAGACCTTGGCCTGAAGAATTTGGCGCGATTAGCGACATATTGGATCGTCCAGCGAAGTGGGAATCTGGCCAACTCTACTGTACACTAGTTCTTCACCACCGGATGGCCAGTCTGACACTTCGTCGCTTACAAGCCGGCTTAGCAGACGACACTGCTCAAAGCTCAATCTTCTGGTGAGGAAGCCTTCTTCGTCTTTGGATTACAACCAGGTCAACAGACTCGACCTGGGCATGGAGACCTTCAACCCCAGTGGAGGTCGATCGACATCCCGGAGGACAAGTCCATACAGTTATCGTGCACGAAGTCCTCGATTACCAACTCCCGAAGCATCCCACAGTAGCAATGACGTCTCAGAGAACTATGACGAAGGGCATCGGGCCGGTAATGCTTCTTTTGGGATCGCAACCGCAGTCCTGCCCAAGGCAAAGAGCGGCGGCTGTCAGCAAGGAGGCTTGCAACACCGACTTGCGTCTCAATCGCCTCCTTACTGCAGATCAGAGTTGCCAAAGCCATCTTTACCACCTCTCAGGACCGTACGTATCTGGACTTCGACTTTTGTTGTATTTGACTGACACCCAGCAGGTCATTAGCGACCACGTCACAAGTCCTCCGCAGACGCCTACAACAGTAGGCGCACCTCCCCATCCCTGTCCCCGTGAACCGATATACACAGCAACGACCTACAGACCGCCTGCACTATACCCTAACAAAAGGCCGCGGCTGGAGCCTCCGAGTGGCTCAGCGTCTCCGCTGCCATCTGTAAATCGCATCAGCTTATCAGGTGCAACACGTTCGCTGTCAGATCGGGCATTTCCTAACGCAGAGGTCCCGTCTTTCCGCGAGAACGACCCAAACAGGCGGTACTCTGTGCAGCACGAACTGCTTGTGCGACGCGACTCTGCGCCCTATCCTCACGCTCCATTGTCGTCCTTTCGGAGTGATCCGAACTTCACGGAGTACGGCAATAGCACCGCTATCTCACACTCACGACCCTCAGGAGGGCTGCGTAACCTACCATCACCCCGGCCAGACTATGCATTGCGAGGGCCCTCGGATTATGTGCCGATATCCACTCCATGCGTGGACTTTCCCGGGCCTCTTACCATGCGCGTTGGTGGGTCTGTGGAATATCTCGAGCGCAGCGACTCCCCGGCAAGACTGGCTTCTGAGCGAGCTGATTGCTTTGAGCCCTTCAGAGGCGTCGAGCGTCCTCCTCACGACGAACATGGTTCGAGGTCGGAGGAACACAACGGCAATCCACATCTGCCACTAAGAAGCGCACCACCAGTAGTACCACCAACGCGATACGAAACGATGCATTGTCCGCCCTTTTTTACGCCAAGCCAGTACGAGTATCAGCATGGAAAAGCGCGAAAAAGGAGTAATCTTCCGAAGTCATCTACTGAGATCATGAAGACATGGTTCGACCAGGTCAGCCGCTTCCACACTTCAACTGCGCAATGTCGTGCTAACTTTGGCATAGAATATCGCCAATCCGTATCCAAGCGAGGAGCAGAAGGCACACTTTTCGCGTGTAGGTGACAAAGAACGTATGCCCTACCACGGCGGTGCCGAGGCTGACAGTTACTAGATTACGGGTATCAGCATGACCCAGGTCAGCAATTGGTTCATCAATCATCGTCGACGGTGTCCGGAGCTTCGCGACCGTCGGGAGCGGCAGCAAACTGGAGATGGAGGTCTATGAGCGTCTGAATTTACGAGTATCAGGAATACGGCGCCACCAACATGTACTACCACAAGACGCGTGGCACTGGTGATTCGGATTATCTTGGAAGCGTTCCGTTCCAGAAGATATGCGTCTAGGCCGAAGGTGTTATCGAAGTATTAGCGTAGCCCTGTGCTGATGCACTAACTTAACAACGATGGTCTGCGAGCCATGCAAATCCCTTTCCCCGTCAGTGTGAGATTCCTCACCATTGAGGACGCCTTTTCACAATGCTTTGCTAGTCACAACGTTCCCTGTCTACTGCTCACAATATGACGATTACAGGCTACAGTTACAGTCTCGGTGACGGGCAATCTCGCCGAAACGTGTCGTGATCGCAAAATGTGTCTTCGGCCAGCTGCAAGTACTTGCCGACTTGTTTTTGGCAACGCCTGCAGCCTTTTCCCAGCCGCACTGCGCAGGCTGAACCCTTTGCCCGGCAGCTGGCAGGGTAAGCCGCCCTGGTAGGTTTGGACTCGTGGCTGCTACTGGCGTTGCAAGCAACGTAGCTTAACGTACATGTTACAGGAGAGTCACCGGCAGGATACCTGTGCCTGTTGGACTTGCTGCAGACTGCTAGAGTCAGCCATATTGATATTGTTTTCGAGCATCTTTTCCGGCGTCTGACATGCTTCGACAGGACGAGTTTAGGAAACGCTGGGTACATAACATTGTCCAAGCCAAATCATATGAACGCTACATTGCAATCCGACGACATCCCTCCCACGAAGTCCTAGGTCTGTGACGGAGCCCCTTTTCGTTCGGTCCCGGAATCATTGCCACGATCCAACAACATCAAGTTGAACGCACGATGTGGTATGTCACCCTGCCGTTAGCAATGACATGTGTAGAGCATGCCCAAAGCTTTGGTTGTCTCCACTGGGGAGGAGGTGCGGATAAAGGCGTCACGGGCTTCCACTAGCTCCACGCTATGCCCGCTAGACCTATACGTGGGCCGCTTGAGCTCGGTGCCATGCAAGTCAGCTTCCCGGTGTGACGCCCGCGTGCCCACAGAGTCTCGGAGTTACGCAACGGGGGAGGATCTACCGGGAAAAAGACGAGGTGAATTAGCAGATTCCGATTTGAGACATCATGGTACCAAGTCCGCGGCAGCGAAGATCACGCGTCAACTTAGATGCGAGCAGTCGGCCCCACCTGATCAGTAATTAGAGATAGTTGAACCTTCTAAATTCGAAGGATATACACCATATGCCAGCTTGTCAAGCTATAGGCTGTCATATTCGCTTCAGGTCTCAATCTCCTAGCCCGATGCTCTTGGCAAGCGTGTCCGGCATTTCGCGGCGGTAGAGTTCGAAGCCTCGCCACTTGACGCAGTGGACTTCGCTTGTCATGTCCCAAAGGAGTTGGTGCAAATGCCAGCACGAAAAGGCAGACGCCTCACACCACACGCAAAGCCCCTTGCAAAGGATGACAGATCGGCGGTGGTAATCAAGATCGCGCACCGAGTGCCTATTGATTGGGCACCAGCTACATGCAACTTCTGCAAGCTACTGTAACAATACGTATACAGCACCGGCAAAGTGTCCAATGCAGCAGTTACTTGCATTATTGGGAAAGGTGCGTGGCAGGGCAATAACAGGGAAACTAGGTGGCATATCGGTTCGTAAGCCTGACTTGCCTGACCTACGTGGTTCGGGGTATACTGTGGCATAGCCGGAAAGATTGAGAAGTGACTGTAATGTAACCCTTCCGACGTTGGACAAGCCGTTCGATACACCGACCCAAAGCAGTACGTGAATAGCATCCGAGATGAATCCGGACAAAGTATACGCTCAATAAACTTTGCGCACGAGGCATCCAACATGCAGGCCATTAACTTGGTTCAGACTACTGCACGTGTGAAGTACACTCTGTGGAATCAAACCAAGACCATAATATCGTGTCATAGGTGATCATTCTGCGTCTCTAGTATTGCCGAAGCAATGCCGTACCAGTTCCCTTAGCGTCGTCGCGGGTAGGTGTAGCAACGACGGCAGCGACTGTGGCGTCCACAGATTGGACAGCGGTCGCTGCTCAGCGCAGGGTTAATCGTCTGCTTACATTCACAGCAGATCCTACCGTGCCTTATGTTAGCTGCTCCCTACTGCACAACTAGTTCGATGATGGTAGTAGCGACATCACGCTTACCACCAGCCCGACATGTCTGCGCCCCTGCCTCCTCCCCCGCCGGTCCCACCTCGGCCACGACCGCCACCACTGCTGCTGAAAGCACGACCAATGCTGCGGGAGCGCTCGCGAAAGCTACTGCCTGCGGCGCCGTGTTGTCTCGTTAACGAGCGAGCAACTCGATCTTCCAGATGCTCATGCATCGAACAGCCTGCTGTACAGCAGTGGGGTGGGGTACCGTAGCAGTCCTTCAAGTGGCAGTATTGAGCTTTACCCATGATCGCTGGCGCTTGTTGCTACGGTGAAGAGCCTTGATTGGGATAGTGGCCTCTTCGTTATGAAACAGTTGTTCAGCGTGCTGTATTCCGCTGTCTCCAAACCAGATGTATGAGGACCAGTTGCTTGCTCTAATCGAGGTGGCCAGACATTCTGCTGTCTTACAACGTCGTCTTATACACACGACTGCTGCGCAGCAGGGCGCGGAGGCGACTTGAGCAGCACTCGTCGCCTGCCTCACACTGCCATTGCCAACCATGCCACGAAGGGGGCGTGAATCATCTGGAGGGAATCATTGTGACATGCTATGCCGACCGTACCAGTCAAGCGCACTAAGCAAGGGAAGGGCAGTCGTCTAGGGCTTGCGATTCAGACGGAGAGGGCGTACGAGGTCACAAGTGCTGAAAGCGAGAGAAGCGGGCGGCAATATAAAATCTGAGGACGTTGGTAACATTTCACCTCTTTTCGCGGCAGCCAGATGAATCTTAAGCAATAGCCCTATCAAGATTCGTTAGCCCTACGACTGTGATTGCAGGTGTGTTTGGCAAAGGGAGCCACAAGCGTGGGACGTGCGTGAAGACCTCGCCTATCGTGCCGGGCGAGATTGAATACGCAAAGCCGTAACATCACGCTGAGTGTAGGCCGCGGACGAAGTGGCTTTTGAACCTACACCGCCTTTTAAAGGGCGAACCCCTGCCTCGATAGAAGGCGAAGCTACTACGAAGGGTAAGCCGTGTGATGTAATGTCCAAGTCGGTTGTCCTGTGCTGGCCTGGCGACAATGAGATGCTCGTCAAGAGAAGTCCCCCTGAAGACGCGGTAGTCCATCGGACGTGTGAAAGCCTGTACCTGAGTTCGTACCGTCACCATCTGCGGTCTGAGTACGCCGCAAAGATGCGGAAATAAAGTGGTGTCCGGAGTGCTAGTGCTGGTATACAGCAATCATGAATACCACCTTTTGCCAGCAACCGCGTAGCGAATCACATCGCGGCGACAAGAATGGACGGGTGCATGCTTGCGGTTCCTGGTGGAGGTCCCGCTTCACGATGACGAGCTGCACGCTACTCCGGCGCCGCCGTTCTGAAGGAGAACGAAAACACATACGGTGACTTGACCAGGCTTCCGCGTCCAAACGGGCACGGGCGGAACTGAGATTGTGCTAGAGCGGAGCTACCAAGCTCGATAGCACAGCCCTTTGTGTACGGTGAAGTCAGCATAGAGCTCTAGTGCCACAAAATCTTTGCAATATCATAAGGCACCAGGTCTTTGCACTCGTGCGGTGAGCGTCCTGAGGCCGCCTCAGTACAACCGTATGTCCGATGAGATACATGACCGTGGTTACATGTGTATCGAAGCGGTGCGCGTGACTGAGCTCGGAGCAGATTGGCGCGGGTAGAAGGGCGTTCACGCTTCCAGGAAGCTTGCGTACCTTAGCCTGATCGCCTTCGACTCACGGGGCGAATCCGGTGATAGCATCCTTCCGCCGCGGAAAACGAGACCACGGCTCGATGGGTTTCAATGTGCCTGAAGTTGATGCCGCGAAATGCGGTGCTCTGATCACTCTATGAGTGGTGTACGAAGTAGGTGAAGGCTAGGAGTAGATTCGGGAACGACGTCGAGCATGCCGACTGAGCTATTCCGATCTTGGCTGGGTTCAACGCGCTTCGGCCCGGATTTGGATCGCAGTCCCGAATGTTTCAGAACGCAAACATCAAGGAGCATCGCGCCGAGCAGTCGGAAGACCTTCATCCTGAATGACATGAGTAATGTCATGGCAACAATGGTGGGCATATCAGGCGCGGCATTGTCCCCGTAGCATACGATAAGGCGCAGGACAGAGTGATATCGAAACGGTCACGCGACCAGGCGGGCCACAGAAGTCGGGAATAGCGCTGTAGGCAGGCCTCTCAACAGGCCCCGTCGCAAACGACAATCAGCAGTATGGCGTTCAATTTCAACTGGTCGCCGCTCATTGCCGACACTGAGAGGGTGCGGGACATGCTCACCAACTCGTTGAATAAGTCTCCGAAGCCTCCAATCATTGTTGATGATATTTTGGTCAATGAGCTCAACCTCGGGTCTACGCCGCCTTCTCTCGAGATACTGGAGATTGGCGACCTCGCAGAAGATCGGTTCAGGGGTATCTTCAAGATGAGCTATAGCGGTGATGCCTATCTCACGCTTAAGACGCGAGTACAGGCGAACCCACTCAATACCTTTCTGAGTACGAAGCCGAGCTTCGCCAGTCCGCAGCCATTAGCTGCGAGCAGTGGACTCACTATACCATTGCAGATCACCTTGTCGGACATACGCTTGAGTGGGTTTGTGATCCTTGTCTTCTCGAAGCAGAAGGGTATTACTTTGGTTTTCCGCAATGACCCGCTGGAGTCGCTGAAGGTATCGAGCACTTTCGACGCCATACCTTTTGTACGCGACTACCTGCAAAGAACCATTGAGAGCCAGCTGCGGACTCTGTTTATGGAGGACCTGCCGGCTATCATTCACAAATTGTCCTTGCGTTTGTGGAGCCAGGAGCATCAGACAGCCGACATTCAAGAGCCAAGCAAAGCAGAATATGATGGACCGGCACCAATAGACCCATTTGCGAGTCCGGCGCAGCAACCTCTGGACGCGCAAGGAGACCCTTTGGAGGGTGTCGCGCCATTCACGCTGGACACTCCTTCAGAGACTTACGCTTCGTTCTCTCAGAAGAACCTTCTTCGACTTGCTGCGCTTGCTGAGAGTCAACGGACTCTGAGCCTCTTCACGCCGGGCATGCGGGACACAGTGTACCGAGCCTGGGCAAACGCAGCTGATCGTGGCGAGCTAAGCAATGGCGCAAGCACACCTCTTAACAGGCCGGCAACCCTTTCCAGGATTCAGTCTACATTAGGCAGTCACTCTGCTGGGTCTTCGTCTGCGCCCTCGCAGGCTTCAGACTCACTCTCGCAAGCGACCCGGCCTAGTTTAGCAACCATGGCTTCTGCACCGACGACGTACACGCTGGGCTCCACGTCTCGCCCACGCGCGGCTCGCAAGCGGAAGAACAGGATCGTCGACCTCCGCAAAGACAGAGGGGAGAAGGATGCGAGCGATGCAGCCAGTGTCTCCAGCGGGTATGCTGAAAGTGCAAGCCAGAGCGCAAGTGGCTCAGCTAACCAAAGCATGCCCGCCACGGAACCGTCAAGTCTGCCAAGCAGCATGTTCCGGGACGGTGAGGTCGCGACCCCTCCCCGTAGTCCGCGGAAGAAAGTCGGGTTTCAGCGACCTGCGTCGGATGCCGGCGGCAGAGCAGCAGCAGATTCTACCCTTCGAGGCCGACCCGTCACGCCCCGTGCTCAGAACGCTGCGCATGTCGATCAGACGGCTGATGATGAGACACCACGTGCATCACTCTATCTGCCCGAGAAGCAGCAAACACGTCAGCGCAATGACGAGCCGAAGCAGCGCGGCTCCCGGCAAGCCCTTCCACGTATGCAAACGCTGCCAGTACGGCCTAAGCCTCCAACGTTCGCCCGATCGTCCTCGGAAGTCAGCCTGCGGAATCTGGCACCTGCTGCTTTCGCAATTGACGGTCAAGGTAGCAGTGGGGGGATCTTGGAGCAGGCGTGGATGATGAAGATGGCGACGGAGATCGCGCGCAGGGTCGCCGAGGAAAAGACGCCGCAGGGACGACTGTGGCGACCTGGTTCAGATGACGGACAGGACGCCACCGGTGGACGAGAAGCACCGCCGGCGTATGCATCGTGATGACCTTTGTATTCAGGTCTAATGTCTTGGTATTGAGCAAGCGTGGTGTTTGGGGTCTCGGCTTGTGAAGGTCAGTTACTTGCTTACTCACAAGCTTTTCCTCTGTGAGACTATGAAGGAACATATCCGCTCGAAGGCCGTGTCAATTAATGTGAGCACCTTTCAACTGCTATCGAGCCAACTTTGCCACTGTCCATATCTGTGAAGCATATCCAATTGAGGCAATTACGTCAACCACAAGTTTGCTCCGCTATGGCCGGTAATGTAAGATTGCTTGCACTAGACATCCCTCCATCACTCCCTCGCAGTCACATCCACTGACTTCACGACCCATCTTCTCCCTCCCGCCCAAGCACCCGGCCAAATGTCGCCCGGCAAACTCTGATCCACCTCCGCCATGAACTCCTCTCTCGCTTCCCTATCGGCCTCATAAAGCCGATCGAGTTCCCTTTGCGCCCTCGCAGCCAGCTTCCTCATGTTCTCCTCCGCTGCCTTGCGCCGATCCACCTCCCGCAGCAGACTCGCATAGCTTCGCATGAAGCCGTCGTAGAATTCCGTCAGACTGGCGAGTTCCTGGCTGCGTGTTTCAATGGAGGCGCGAATGTCGTGCCAGGTTTCGCGGAGGGCGTGGGAGGCGGCGAGGTGGGACGGGATTGCTGTTTCGATGTTGTGGAGCTGGTGCACAGCTGCGCGGAGGGCTCTGTGAGTGGACCTGGCGTTCGAGGTGTGCATAAGCAGGAAGTTGTATTGAGACTCCATTGCCTCGGTGTGGTCTTTCATCTCCGCTGTCACTTCCTCGACTTGGGCGGCGTCGCTTTTCAGCACGCGGAGCATATCGTTCCGCTCGGTCTCGCTAATTGGTTCTGGAGCGGTCTTGCGATACAGAGAGTCTTCTTCCTTACCTGACACACTTTTGGGAAGCTCCTGGCCCTGGATGGCCAGCTTGGCAGCTTCGCCACCGCCTTCGGTATGCTTCAGAGCAGACACGCAGAGGTCATAGTGGCTGACTAAGCTTTCGAGTAAGGACGCCATCTCGGCGGCGTGCTCCTCGAGACCCCGGAAGAGCTGAGGTACGCTTGGTGGTGGTTCATCGTAGAGTGTATGTTTGGCTTGTGGTCCGCTGTTGGCTGGGTTGCCTTCCTGCAATGTGTCGAGAATGACGCGGATAGAGTCGTCGAAGATACTGACAGTGCTGTCTAGCTCACTTTTGGCGGTGTCGAAGGAATCGATCAAGGTCCGTATGGCGTCAGTGATGTCTTCGTGGCGTGTCTCGTCGATAAAGTCGTAGAGCGTTTTGTTGGCTCCTCTTCCGGTCTTCAGCTCTGGCACAGATGGCTGCTCTTCTGTCCTCTCGTTGCCATCATTAGGATCTTCATCATTATTGTCGTCGTCATCACCTTCGTTGTTTTGACGATACTGTTGCGTTCTCTGCAGCGAGGCGTGAACGATAGTCTGCCTCAGCTTGCTTAAGCTCTCCTGCAGGCGATCGTTCGCCTTGTCAAGCGAAGCAATAGTAGCTTGGAACTCATCCGCGGCAACCTCTCCCACTTGCGCGACACCGTGCTTGAGGGTATACAGAATGTCAATCTGGTCGTCGACACCCTTTCGGGCGAAAGCATTACGTGCATTGAGCACTGCAATCTCCTCTATCAGAGTGCGGGAACTGGTAACGAGCTCGTTTGCCCGCCACACATGAGTAGTAGAGCTTAATGATTTCTTTGCGGTCACAAAGTGCCGTACGAGGTGCTCAAGGCTGATGACTCCATGAAAACTCGCCTCTTGAGAAGGTGGAGGCGAGGGCGAGGCAGAGGCAGATTCGGATGAAGCCTCGGAGTCACTCATTGTTACTTTGGTAGCCAAAACTGCTAGGTCTCATGTTCTGGTGTATCTCATGTCCGTCGCAGCATGCTGTCAAGCAGCCGGTGTGTGCAAGCATCGCTACCCGCATGATTAAGATACGAGCTTTTGACGGTATTTAAGATCTGGTCTGAAGCACACGACAGTCTACGCCATGCGGTGCCACGTTTGGGGCGGCGCAGACGGGCCGGAGGACTAGTGCCCAATTGTTTTGGCTCCAAGCCACAAGTCTCAGACCAATATCACAACCTGATACCGAGGAAGGCAAAGCCCCAGAGACGTAGACTCGAAAGTGGTTGGTTTTCGTTCGTCCCATATTCATTTACCAGTCGCTTGAGACACTCCAGCGGTCCAAGCACGTGATCAACGGATCACTAGCCGAAACCAAGCAGACTCCGCTTACCTGAGCAGCCAGGCCGGTGGCGTAATCGGCAACTTGGTTATTCCGGCAGGGTTGTGTCAAAGCACGACATTCGCACACCGCAAGGCGACACAGCAAGCCACCACAAGGGTTCACAGACAGTGCCTTCTCACACCTCGCACGACACTTTGGAAAACACGGTCTCTCGGAGTCCAACGGCGTAACAATTCTCTTCCTCCACCGGCCAGACACCGCGGGACCCGAACATCAAGGTAGCATTGAGGATTGAAGACACATTGGGTCCGTCAGGTGTTGAAGGGGCGACAAAGTGGCCTCTTGACCACATTACGAATGTGAGACACGCCTGGCCTGCCAAGATGGCATCAGCATCGCGCAATCCCACGTCAAGCACGTATCGAGAGGGAGCACCGGGTTACCATAACGTGCATGCCATGCCTTTGCGCCAACAACAGCCCACCCCAGGCGTCGATGATGACCAAGATCATGAGCATGGCGAAGGCGAACTATGTCGCCACGACCACGATCACGAGACGCTGAGAAATCGGTACCGCAAAGACGTGGAAGAAGCGGACCAGAACATCGCCATTCCTGCCAGCTCGAAGCATGCTGAACAGGCCGTCGCACCGTTCCTCACCAAGCACATACCCATGCAGTACAATCCTGCCGGAAGCTCATCGTATACCACCTCACATGCGCAGTCGCAGGACACGCAGCAGGGCAGCACAAAGTTCTGTTACCGTCATCGGCCCGACCTAAAGTGCCGGCGGCAGGCAAACGAGCCGTCAATGGAACAGTTGCAGAACGAGCTGGCTAGTCTCTCACAGTCTGATCAGCAGGCCATATCACACGTCTGGTCCTTGTTTTCTGCTGCGCCTGCAAAGCATCGCAACCTGATGCTCGAAGGCATCCTTACTCAATGCTGTTTCCCACAGTTGTCCTTCATCTCCGCCAACGTGAAGAACCTGATCAAGATCGATTTTCTCTCCGCTCTACCGCCCGAACTCGGTTTCAAGATCTTGTGCTCACTTGATACTCCCTCACTGTGCAGAGCTGCCCAAGTTAGTCAGAGATGGCGCAGTATGGCGGACGATGACGTGGTGTGGCACAAGATGTGCGAGCAACATATTGACAGGAAGTGCACCAAATGTGGCTGGGGTCTACCATTGCTGGAGAGGAGGAGATTAAGACGAGAAAAGAGGCAGATTCAGCTAAGAGGAGCCGGCAGAGGCCTGAACGAGTGGTCTCCGGCCATTACACCGATTCCGCAAGAGCCATTGGCTGCTGAAGGACTCGGAGTTGCCGCTCCTCACGCACCAGCGAATACTGGCATGAAGCGTCCTGCCGATAGCGGGATCGGCTCGCCTGAGGTTGCCAAGCGTGTGTGCTCCCGCGCAGTCTCTGCCGACCTCGTAACGGATCACGAAGACTCGTATTTCACGCCGAAGCGTCGACCGTGGAAGGACGTGTACAAGGACCGCTTCAAGGTTGGGACGGCATGGAAGTACGGACGTTGCAGCACGAAGATCTTCAAAGGTCACACCAACGGCGTCATGTGTCTGCAATTCTGCGATAAGGATAACGTTCTTATCACCGGATCGTACGACAGCACGGCCAAAGTGTGGGACATCAACACCGGCGAGTGCGTGCGGACGCTTACCGGACACACGATGGGCATCCGAGCGCTGCAATTCGACGAGAAGAAGCTGATGACCGGAAGTCTGGACAACACTGTCAAGCTGTGGAACTGGCACACCGGTCAATGTTTACGCACTTTTAACGCGCATAGCGAAGGCATCATAACGCTGCATTTCTCCCCAGATGGGCGCTGGCAGGCAAGTGGCTCGCAGGACAAGACGATCCGCGTGTGGGAGTGGACTACGAAGCAGACCTTCGTGCTCCGAGGACATACCGACTGGGTCAACTGCGTGCGCATCGACGAGGCTTCGCGGACACTGTTCTCCGCTTCCGATGACTTGACTGTCCGCTTATGGGACCTGGAGACTCGCGAATGCGTCAAAGTTTTCGAGGGTCATGTTGGGCAGGTCCAGCAGGTGCTACCGATGCCCGCCGAGTTCGAGCTTGATGAGTCTGTCTTCGCGCCCGTGGATAAGGACGACGATGCTAGTAGTGTCAGCTCCTTCACTCCAGCGGGCCAGCTCTCACAGGATCGCCGCGCAAGCCCAGTGCCATGCCCGGAACCCTTCTGGCCGAATGACCACAGCCGTCCTGCGCCGCCACGGTACATGTTCACAGGCGCTCTGGACTCGACGATCCGACTCTGGGATGTGCATGTGTCGAACCAACAACAGCAGCAGCAACAACAGCAACAAACCACCGCATCAAACTCCGCCTTCGTCGCCCTGCCCACCGACCCTTTGACCAACTCCCATACCCCACGCGCCCAAGCCTGCATCCGCACCTTCTTCGGCCACGTCGAGGGGATCTGGGCCTTGGCCGCTGACCACCTGCGTCTGATCTCCGTGTCGGAGGATCGGATGATGAAGGTTTGGGACCCGCGGACGGGGAAGTGCGAGCGTACGTTTGCGGGCCACGCGGGACCGGTGACGTGCGCGTGGTTGAGCGATAGTAGAGTGGCGAGTGGGAGTGAAGATTGTGAGGTTAGGATGCTGAGTTTTGGGGAGGAGGGTGACGGTGCTGTTACGAGATGATGGCTGTTATGACGGGACTGGAGTTGCTGATGCGGCGTGCGTCGTTAGCGACGGCGTATATGACCAGCTTGAGCAAATGGTATTAGCATGGCGCTGGCTGGATCAAGGTTTACTGGAGTTGGAGGCTTGTTCGATACCCATCCATATATCGTAGCGGTGTTTCGTTGAGATCCTCATTGTAACAGCAATCAACCAACAGGCCGCACGTATCGTGCTTCTTCCACGTGACAAACTCCTGCTTCTTTCGCCAGATACTGTAATCAATCCACTCTGCTATTCAAGAACCTTACAGCCCTTACAATATGCTGTAAAGCCTCACGCGCGTGTGCATTACATGCAACAGCAACCACGAAGAGCTCTTGTCCAATGATCCTTACATCCGCAGACCTCAACCAAGAGATGATGTAACACGTGCGGGGCTGTACACTACATAGTCTCCAGAGAGAGAAGCAACAGCTAGCAGAGCGATCACAACCATTTCGCAAGATGTCGACCGAACAAGCAGAAACCTACGACCACGCCTCCCAACCCGTACACCACGGCCGCCTCCGCATCAATGGCATCCGCATGCACTACATCACCGCCGGCTCAGGCCCTGCACTTGTCTTGCTGCACGGCACGCCCAAGAACAGTTTCTACTGGTACAGACTCTTTCCCCTACTGACGGAACACTTTACGTTGGTAGCCCCGGACTTGCGTGGGTTTGGGTACACCGACAAGCCGCCCGCTACCGAGGGTTACGATTGCGGGGAGAATGCGGACGATGTGGCGGAGTTGATGAGTCAACTGGGTCATGAGCGGTTCTTCGTGCATGGGGAAGATAGGGGAGCGGGTGCGTTGAGAGTCGTATGAGGCATGTGGTGGTTTGAGCGGGTTGCTGACTGTGTAGCAGTAAGCACTGTGCGAGTCTACACGGTCGGACCGTCATTGATGTGTGGTCGTTGAGCAGGAGTATGCCTATGCGGTGGCAGCGAAGTATCGAAACCGTGTGCTGAAGCTGTCGTTCTGCGAGATGCTGCTCTCGGGCTTCGGGCTCGAAGAGTCGTCCTTCTGGACGCCCGACAATGTGTCGGCGCAGTTCCGTCAGCAGGGCGTATGGTGCTGGCATTTGCCGTTCTTTTGGATGCCGCATGTGCCTGAAATGCTGATCCAAGGGCGTGAGCGAGAGTTCTGGGAGGTGAGTTCATTAAACGAGGTCTGTACCCGCTCCCGATGCTGATATCGACGAGCTGGACTAGATGTTCATCAAGCAAGAATGCTACAACCCTACCTCCATCGAACCCAAGGCGCTGGACCACTGGATCGAGTGTGTCAAACAACCGGGCGGACTCAGAGGGATCTTGGAGACGTATCGCTCGGCATTCAAGAATGCGGAGATTAACAAAGAATTGGCGAAGAAGAAGCTGACCATCCCTGTCATGACCATTGGCGCCCCAGAATTCTTCGGACCGAAGGTGAAGGAGTGTGCGTTGATCTTCGCGCAGAAGGTAGAGCGCAGTGAGCTCTTTGAAGAATGCGGTCATAGTCTCGCGTTGGAGAAGGCAGGGAGATTAGCGAAGTTTTTGAAGGAGTTTATGCTGGAATCTTAGCTCAGCATGTCTGCTTGGAGGCCTAATGTGGCTTCAGCAGCTCTATCCTGCGGGATGAGAAGACGCAACCTGAAGGCTATACTTTACCCATGCTCACCAGGGCGCCTTCCGTAACGTTCCTGCGCACCTTGTCGATCTCGGTATCACTTAAACCGCAATACTTCTTCATGTACGCCTCCGCACTGCCGAAGTCCTTACGAATCATTTGTAGCGTTGCCAGCATGTTCTCCTTCTTGCTGCTGACCATATTTTCTACGCCCGCCCGGTTGGCCCCAACTGCCGGATTTTGCAGGATGCGCTCAATGAACACCGGCTTCAGCTCCTTCAACCCAAGGTCGGTGAGACTGTACTCTCGCGCAATCTCATCGTCCGAAGCACCGGTCAACATGAACAAGAGCGCAATGAACACTCCCGTGCGATCTTTCCCAGCCGTGCAATGCACCAGAAGCGGACTAGGCTTGTCCTGTGCCATGTACCGGAAGATCTTGCTGTAGGACTTCGCGCCTGAGATGAGGATGTCATGGTACGCTTTCACGAAGCCTTCCGATCCCGACCGCGTATACTCTTTGTATCTGATGGCGACCTGCTCCGGGCCATAGTCCTTCTCTGCAAAAACGGGCACCCACTCACGGGTGATGCCGTACTCTTTGAAGACTTCAGGATCGTCTACCGCAACGTTGGCCCATTCTTTGACCTCTCGCCTTATTTCTGGCGCGGAACGTAGGTCGAAGACTGTTCGTATGCCTGGCCAGCATGATCAGTATCCTACGAGAACCACATGCGAGTGCATGTGCGACTGACCTTACCTAGATCCTGGCTCATCTTTTGGAGGCCCGTTCTAGTCGCTTTACTGGGGTCGGCAGAGCGGTAAACAAGGCCGGGACCGGCATGTTCGCCGCCTATGCCACGGAAGTTGTGAATTCCAGCTATGTCAATAAACGGCGGGGAAGGTAGGGCGTCAGCCATTGTTGACGCTGCTCCTCAAGAACGGCAAAGGTTGTGAAGATTGTACTCGTTCGTTGATCGGTGTACAGGTTGAGGTGTGGAGAAGCGAACCATTGGCGATGCCGAGAGCCCGAGCCTTCTCTTGCCGAGCATCCGAAGTGAACCCGGCCGTTGCACACTCTGTGGGCGAGCTCATGCTGAGATGGAGCGTCTGTCTTGCGAAGAGCCAAGCGACGTGATATGTTTTGTTCTGCTCTATAGCATAATGCTGGTTCGTACAACCTTCCCGTGGCAACCGCAGGTAAGCAGACTCCAGGGCGCATCTTTGTTTGGAACCTCCAGGGTGGAAGCCTGTTGCTCCTCGGTTACAGCATTGCTCTTGCGAAGCCGGCGGTCCTCCCCGGGTCCCAGTCGTCGCTGAATGCTCTGGCTGTACCGTTTCGCACGGTGCGTTCAAAGACATACCCGGTGAAGATCTCGGCAGATTCTTCGGCTTCCCTCGGCGATCTGCAAGAATGATTGTCAGCTCCTCTGCGACAAGTCATCGATCCACTGCATCCTGAGGTCTTACGGCTTACTCCTCAAGAGAGCTACATTTGATGTTGCCTTCGAAATGCCAGTCGCGGTCGCTACTGATATAGCTGTGATGCCAGAGCTCCTTCAGCTTCGCACTCACGGCTTCCTCGAAGAAGTCGCCCATTGTGATGCCATGCTCACGCATAATGGCAGGCAGGGCGCAGCGTTGCCAGCGACGAACTAGGTGAAGGTTCTGGCATGGTGGTTGCGACAAGTACATTCGTCGCCAGGACGCCTCAGGGTACAGTGCGGCTTGAGAGCAGGTCGGGATGGTATCGGCAGGGAACGAGATACAGACGTCCCAAGACCAGTGCTCGCTACCGCGCCGGCCAATGTCCATCTCATTCGGAGTAGGCGAGTCATTCACAATTACTAGAGTTACAGTAGGATAGCATCCCGGGAAGGCTCGAAGGAGGAGTCGATTGTTCTCCGGCTTCTTCCCTGGCGTCAGGTTCGCCCGGTAGGCATTGAAAGAGACTCGGCCTTCAAGCTTCCAGTCCGGCTCAAAGAAGAGTGCTCGTTGCAGATTGACGCTTCCCTGAACCGTGTGTCGGAAGCTTCGAGAGACGCGCTGAGATAACAAGATATCCTTCTGCGATAAGCTTAGGAGTATAACCTCAAGAAGTTCTGGTAGGCGTAGGACATGGTTCGCTGCTGAGCCGTCCATGAGGGGCAGGATTAACCGCAAACTTCGGTAGAAGTCAACCGAGTCGAAGCCCAAGGTCACAACAGCGCATCGACGACCCAAGAGAGGTACTATGAATAGGAAACAACGAGCGCAACATTACCAATCACCAGTGGGGACACCACATTTGTATAGAGTCCCGGGAGCGTTATCGCGAGACAGTCTAAACAAAGAATGAGCACGAGGGCAGTGACGTACAGCTTGCCCCGCCATCCATTGTTCTTAATCTTGACGCGGAACGCGCGCCCAATTGGGATGTTGGACATCCATTTCCGAGGGTTGCTTGAGACAGGAACAGCGCCGTCTCCTTCTGACCTGATCGTTGATGCTCTTGGCAGCTGTGGTTCCAGATGCCGGAGGTCCGTCGCAGTGCTCACGCGCGTTCCTGATCGGTGTCAGACGGCGTATGAATCGCCGATGTTACAATGGTTCGCGGAATTGCTGCCTTAAATCGCAGCCTCATACATTTGAGGTCTCCGTACACCAACGACATAAATTGTTTGAGCGATCCTTGCTGCGAAGTCTTCTGGTGGACGGCGTATTAGCCCGTTAGCATGTCAGAGAATCTACAACCTCCTTAGACTGAGGAGTCGCAGACCCTTGTTACTCCGACTGCGGGAAGCATTCACCGACATTACCCTAGATGTTGTCGTGTGTACCGGACACCGTCTAGGGCGCCTTGACGGGGGGCTGCGGCGGCCGCAAACAGCATATCGTTTCCGGCTGCCACATGCCCGGAGCTTCCTCGTTCGTATACCATCCTTCGGTGATCAAGGTTGTCTCCGCAATTTGCCATTTCGCGATTTTCCCGGCGTCTTTGAGATCCAGGTCACCTAGCCTGGCAACTATCTCAGATCGTCCTGCCAGCACGAAGAGTGTGCAGTCTCTTAGGGTCATGGCCTGCGTTAGACGGGCTATCTCCTCTGCTTCATCCCCGACTCGTAGAACGCCGTTTGGGTCGAGTGATTGCTGTTTTTGTAGGAGGGTGCTAAGAATTGGCGGCTTATCTGTAACATAGGCCTGAAGCCTGGTATCTGAGGTAAGTGCCGTGGCTGCGAGCGCTCGAATCTCTTGAGAAGTGCTGACCAGCGCTAATGGGCACACTTCCTGTGCATCAGTCGATGTAGTGCAACTTGACGCCTTTCGCCGTGCTCGGAAAGCGCATGTCCGACATCTGCGTGATTCCAACGGCGCACTCGGTGACTGAGCTAGCCATTTCGGCTTGAATTGCAGAAGCTCCTCCTCGGGTTCTGGGGTCATGTCCGGGACTAAGATCCCAAAGGCCTCGTTCTCATCTAGATGTTCGCCCACTCTCGCTTGTGGGCGGGCAAGCCTGCTCAGATGTTGATCTAGCACCATGATGAGTTGTGGGCTCAGCGCTACCAGCTCGTGTTCCAAGACCTGGTGGGCTGTGAAGAGTGGCTCAAAGACCTGCTTAATGGTCTGGAAGACCTCCTGCGTACTTGGCTGAGGACCTTTATTCGCCTTTCTGAGACGCAACAGTTTGCCAGTGACCTGGCTCTGGGTGCATTCATTGCCGCAAGTAGCTTCTAATCTGATCATGAACAGGACATTTGCGCCACCTTCGGCCAGGTATTCCAGCTCGCAGCGGCCCACAGTGTCTGAGCTACATGAGAGACCGAACTCAAGCAGACCGTCGGAATCACGTTTGTATGCAGCAACCTTCAAAGTAGATTGGCATGCCATGGTTGTGGGCATAGGTTCGTGATGACTTGGTTCGCGCACGTTGTTTGCTGTTGGGAAGCATCCTGAACCGCTTGGCAAGTCAACGATTACGCCCGTACAGCTCTACGGATGACACTTTAATGGTTCTGTTGGTGGTGCCAATTCTCCCGCTACTTACCCGACTATTCACGAGGAGACACATGTATGTGCCAGTCCGGAGGCAAGGCTCGCCCCAGCCCAAGCGTCAGTGTCAGATCTCCTTGCTGTGTAACATCCCTATGCGAGTGGCAAACCTGTGCCTCATGCATATTACCGGTAGGGGACTGCCGTGAAGGTTGACTTAGGATAATCTACAGAACTGGACGGATATTCTCAAGAACTTGTCAAGCTTTACATGGTTTCGAAGGACTCTCACGAAGCAGACGAATGCGGCTGTGTCAAAAGTCACTGTCACGTCCTCCACCAAACTGCGGATTCAGCACTTCAGGTTCAACACATAATGAGCAACATGGCCAGTCAGCAGCCTCTGGACTTGCCGACTCCCTCGTCGTGCACAGCTGGTGAGAGGATCTCATAGACCGTCGTCGGCCACGCTAACGCCAGCGCCGATGTCTGTATCGTCCCAATAGGCACAGGCAGTGCAAGTGTTTCGAAAGAAGTGGCGGAAGTCCAGCGCCTCTTCAAGCAGTCTGGCGTGAAGTACAGCATGCATAGTGCCGGAACGACAATTGGTGAGTGCTCTTTGATTTGGCATCCTCTCCGTCCCAGTTCGACTAAAGTCGGCGCAGAAGGTTCGTGGGACGAGTGCATGCGCATCATCGGACAATGTCACAGCCTACTCCACGCAAACGGTGTCGTGCGAATACAGAGCGACATTCGCGTCGGCAGCCGAACCGACAAGAAGCAAAGCTTTCAGGACAAGGTAAAAGCTGTCAACGACCTACTGGCGCAGGACGGTCGATGAGTGAAGGCAACGTTTGTACCTCGGCTCTTTGCTGACCTCTCCACTGCATTTGCTTCTCACTGAAGGCACTCGCATATAACGGCGTATAGCTATGGCTCCACTTCTCTCGGTATAGACAACTCCCCACTTGACAATCTCGGCAGGAGCATTTACCTCTGCTACAGCTTGGGTGTTCCTGACTAGCTGACGAGCATCCTCGCACTTTTCTACCTAATCTGGACATTGCCACAATCACTCTGCTCGTTCTACAGCAGCACCTGAGAAACGCTCGCTCACACCATCCAAACAGCCAGTTTTCTTGTCCCCTGCGTTCGCTTTGAGGTCATCAAGCCTCGTGTCGGCCAGCTGCTTAAACAGTCGAAGCCCTCGAGTTGCGTATCATACCAGTTGTGTAGCTTCAGCCCTGATTCACCCATCCGCCCCCGCTCACGCAAGCCATGCCATCCACCAAACAGAAGCTCGAATCGACACTTGCGGAAGGGTTCAAGGATGGTAAGATCCCACACGCCATCGTCTGCGCAACGAACCGAGATGGCTCCTTCACATACACCCACACCGTCGGCACCGCGCAGCCAGACTCCTCCACGCCCATCGAGCACGATGCCATGCTCCTCCTAGCCTCCAGCACCAAACTCCTAACCAGCATCGCCGCGCTCCAGATCGTCGAAAAGGGCCTGTGGAAGCTCGATGACGACGTCAGCTCGCTCCTCCCCGAGCTTTGCAACCAGCCACTCCTGCAAGGGTTCGATGAGGAGAAGAACGTGCCGATCGTGGTGGAGAGGAAGGGTGTTGTGACGCTTCGGTAACCCTCCCTCACCTCCTTCATCTGCCCCCTTCCTTCATCCTATCATTTCTCAAGGGTCCATGCCAATACCAAACACTGACGCGCAGTATCAAGGCACCTGGTAACACACACACACGGCCAACCTTACGATGTCTGGGACCCGAAACTCCAAAAGTGGGCCGAGATACACGGACGTAAGCCCGGCGCAGGCGCGACGGTGCAAGAACGGTTCAACTACCCGTTCACCTTTGAGCCCGGAACCTCGTGGCAGTACTCCGGCGGTCTGGACTGGACGGGTCTGCTCATCGAACGCCTTACAGGCACCACGCTTGATGAGTACTTCAAGACGAACCTTTTCGCCCCGCTAGGCATCCACGATATGACGTTCTGGCCATACAAGGATCCCACGTTCAAGGACAAGGTGCCGCAGTTGATGACGCGCACGCCCGAAGGGAAGTTAGCACCCTTCACCCAGCCCTTCATCAATACGGGCTCGACAGGTTGTTTCGGCGGACACGGTTGCTACGGCACGATGCGCTCCTACAACCTCATCCTCAAAGACCTTCTCTCCTCTACCCCTCGCCTGCTGAAACCAGACACCCTAAACGCCTGCTTCACCCCGCAGCTTTCCGGCGGCGCAAAAGAGGGTCTACAGGGCTTCTTCCGCTCCCCATTCGTGACAATGGTGATAGGCGAATGGCGTGGAGAATGGGACGTCAACTGGGGGCTTGGCGGCGTGATGATCATGCACGACTGCCCCGACGGTCCGAGGCGGAAGGCGGGGACGCTAAGTTGGGGCGGGATTACGAACACCTTTTGGACGGTGGATCGAGAGGCCGGATTGGCGGTGTGTTTTGGAACGCAGGTGTTGCCGCCGGGGGATGGGAAGGTGGAGGAGATGATTACGGCGGTTGAGAAGGCGGTGTACGAGATGGCCGGGACGAAGGTTGGGGCGGCGAGTGAGGGTGGGAGTCGGTTGTGATCTTAGTTCTGTCGCTCAGTCAACGAACTGGCGCGTTAGGTAGCGGCGGAACCCGCGCGTGATAAGTGCCCAGTTTCCGTCCTCGGTAGGCAAAAGGTCGAACAGTTCCCAGCGTGCTTCGCTGCCCCCGCCTACGATGTACAGCCTTGCGCCTTCGTCGTCAGTGTCGCTGACACCTTTCGTGCCCTTTGGCGCAAAAGCTAGTACACCCTTTGGAGGTCTACCTGAAGGATTCCCAGGTATTGGCTCGACAGGCCTGTGAACCTTCTTCCTTGTTCCGTTTGGGGCCATAGTCCAAGCGTATGCCGGTCCCCCCTGCCAATGAGGCGGGTCATTGCCTAGGTAGAAGGGTGTGCTGACGATGCTTCGGACGTCGCTGAGGATGCGTGGAGCGAAAGGACTTGCTTTCAAAGCAGCCATTGCAGATATTCCAGGACCGGTCACGGGTGGCGAGGCGGACGACGGCACAGGGCGGAGACCGTAATACTCTTGCACGGAGCCTTGGTAGCCTGTTCCGGACACGGGCGTGGAATGGCCGGAGAAGCCGGAAAGGGAGTCCTTATCTACTCCTGAAAGACGGTGGCCGGCGTAGCTCGAGGACTTGCGATGCTGTTGTTGGCGTTCTCGTGCCGCTTTCTCCTGTGCCGCCGCGAGAATGGCGGGATCAGGTGGGCGTAGGTCGAAGATGTGTAGGGTACCTTTGTCGGACGTTGCAGCTAGCCAGCGGTTGCCTGGTGAGATGGCGAGGTTGAAGATAACTGCGTGATCGCTGCCACGACGGTATTCGCCAAGGCAGTCAAGTGAGCGGAGGTCGAAGAGACGGATGAGCGTGCCCTGTTCACTTGCGGTGGCTAGCAAAGTGCCATCGTCAGAGATTGTGATGCAGCGTATCGCGGATTGATGGGCTCGGTGGACGCGCTTGGAGCCGCCCCGGAGCGGAATGAGTTGGACCTGACCAGTCGTTTGCGCCGGCACCACGAGAAGGTCGCCTTGCAGAGCTGCAATGGCTTTAGTGTTCTCCGCAGTGGAGTACACTGCCTTGACAATGTTCGGCACGACAGTGTTGTCGTGCGTGATCGTTGGCTCGTTGTCGTTGTCGTCTCGTGGTGGCGTTGGTGGAGCTTCGGGGTGCACTTCTTGATACTGGAAGACCACTACTCTCTGGGCAAGTAGCACAATCAGGTACTTTTCGTTCGCGCGAACTCCAAGCACAGGCTCGTGAAGGTCGAACCGGGTGACTTCATGACCAAGCAAGGCATCCCAGTAGACGAGAACGCTAGGCTTCTCGGCCGGTGATCGTCCGCCACCTACAAAGGCCAGATACCGATCATCCAATGCCACGGCGATGGCGACACCGCCTGCTTTGGGTAAGACAGGGTCGTAGGTTATGAGGCAATTATCGATGCGGAAACAACGCAAGCCAGCTGACAGACCAGCAATAAAGCGGTTGCGCGAGCAAGAAAAGCTGACGGCCAGTACCGCGGGCAGATTTGTCGGCTGTATGGCTTGTCGCGTGTTCATGTTGCCGTATCAACCTCCGAACGAAAACATGAAGCTAGGGAGAAGAAGAGGTGGCGCTTGCTGTGGCCTCATAATAGCTAAGACTATGCTTGCATGGTACGTAGCAAGCAGCGACAACAACAGCAAGCGGCGGCGGCGGCGGGATATAGGGTAGTGTTGTATGGATGTGTGGTTGCCAGAGGAGGTCGTGCTGAGAGATGAGATATGCTCTGCGGATGGTTCGGTCACATGCTCATCGTGGTCGAGGTCGCATTGATATACGCACGGACTGCTCTCCACAGAGCACACGCGCCACAAACGGTTGTCCCCAATCGGCGCCTTCCGTGCAAGCGTGTGGCTTGAACAAGCTTCGCGACCCCTTTGCGACTTCCACCACCGAATCAGCTGGGGAAGGAAGTAGCAGCAGCAACAGCAGCAGCAGCAGCATCCAACCTCTCGCACCCTCGGTGAAGCGTATACCACTGTCGTTCGTACTGAATACCGTCGACCGACAAAACAACCAATACCAAGCGATCCTGAACTGATACCACCACCCATTACCTACCTATGATGTCCTCCAACAGCTCGGGCGCACTCCGCCTCCGCCGCAAGAAGAACGTGAAGAAGGGCATTCAGTTCTGCTTGATGGTCTGCGGCGCCTCGGGTACCGGCCGCACCACCTTCGTCAACACTCTTTGCGGCCGCCGAGTCCTCTCAGGCAAGGATAGCGATGACCCTACCATTGCCCACTTGGAGGAAGGGGTGCGCATCAAGCCCGTCACCGTCGAGCTCGAGCTAGACGAGGAAGGCACGCGCGTCTCGCTTACCATTGTCGACACGCCTGGCTTCGGAGATAGCATCGACAATGAAGCCTGCTTCGGCGAGATCTCCACGTACCTGGAGAGGCAGTACGACGACATCTTGGCGGAGGAGAGCCGGATCAAGCGTAATCCACGATTTAGAGATAACCGTGTGCACGTGCTGCTGTACTTTGTGCAGCCGACTGGTACGTCACTCTCTCCCCACATCTATACACAGTCACTAACATGCTACGTACGTACAGGCCACGGTCTGCGCGAACTCGATATCGAATTGATGCGTCGCCTCTCGCCACGCGTCAACGTCATTCCCGTCATCGGCAAGGCCGACTCTCTCACGCCCCTCGAGCTCGCGGAATCCAAGAAACTCATCATGGAAGACATCGAGCACTACCGCATCCCCGTGTACAATTTCCCCTACGACATTGAGGAAGACGACGAGGACACCGTGGAAGAAAATGCCGAGCTGCGCGGCCTCATGCCCTTCGCGATCGTTGGTAGCGAAGAAGTCTTCGAGATGGATGGCCGTCGTGTCCGCGCGCGTCAGTATCCGTGGGGTGTCGTTGAGGTGGAAAACCCTCGCCACTCTGACTTCTTGGCCATCCGCTCCGCGCTACTGCATTCGCATCTCGCGGACCTCAAGGAAATCACGCACGACTTCTTGTACGAGAACTACCGAACCGAGAAACTGTCCAAGTCCGTCACGGACCCCAGCCTCAGCCAGTCAGGGATGGAAGCCGAGTCCCTCGACCCGCAGAGTCTGGCTTCCCAGAGCGTGAGGCTGAAGGAGGAGCAGCTCAAGCGCGAGGAGGAGAAGTTAAGGGAGATTGAAATCAAAGTCCAGCGTGAGATTGAGAGTAAGCGGCAGGAGCTGCTGGCGCGGGAGTCGCAGTTGAAGGAGTTGGAGAGTAGGATGGTGAGGGAGCAGACGCCGGGTTCGACCATGCCGGGGAGTATGTTGAGTCGGGAGGACATGGAGGACGATGCTGAAGTGGGTGCTTGAGTGGCGTGCGAGAGTGTATTGAAGTGGCGGCGGAGCGTCTAGTTTATGTGCTGCGTAGTATAGGCCGCAGCGCGCCTGCCGGACTCGCCTCTGTCAGATGGGAAAAAGTGCCGGTGCGGGAGTCTAGTCTATACCCATAATGCATATAGGTCTTAACAGCACGATTATCATTCACTTGCGCAACTTTGGCATTTCTCTCGGCCTGCGTCCTACATTTTGTCATGCTTAAACTGCCTGAACCTCCAAAGCACCCGAGTACATTCGTGACGGATGAACTCGCCCTATTCCTTGCCCTCCACAGTAGCACGATGTTATTAGAGGATAGTTGTTGTCCTCTACACCGCTTAGCATGTGGGTGGCGACAAAGCATTGAGCAACCATTCGAACCCAAGCGGCCTGGAGAGTGGCCGTGCGCGTGTGAGCCACAGGATTAAGCCTCCCTGATTCGGCCAGTAACTCCATGCACCACTCCTCTGCGGCGGCGCTCCGGCTGCTACCCATGGCGATCGAACGTAGCGAGACGTGAATCCTTCTCCGTCGCCAGCCGGATGCCGGTCGTTCCCGGCCACGGTTCTTGTAAGCCCGTCGGTAGCCGTAGCGGTGTGGAAGGTGCTGTCACAGCGTTGACATTGTGACTTTCGGAACCCTCCCTTCAGCGCGCGATTCAGACTCCGTTGGTATTCTACGAGCTTGCGAACCACGCCATCTACCGACCCGTACCCGCAGCCTTGATCTCCGGGTTGTCGCTCGTGGAGGAACCTTCATGCGTAGCGAACCTGGCCGCCTTCAGGGTCTGCTTTCCGGTTGGCAGGTATTTAGGCTCTAGCAATCCAATCTGCTCGTCACACGGTCAGCCCAATCGCCAATTCATGCTTCGCCCTCGTCCTCCTCTCCATCGGCACGCTCGTTAGGCGGAGATACATACCATGCTCAACAACCTCCAAACGGTATCACTCGGTTGCGCCCCGACACCCAGCCAATACTTCGCCCGCGCCACATCCACCTGAATCTCCTTCTGCTTTCTACTGCCCTCTTCTGCGCCGACGGGTAAGGTGGGAATGGGATTGTAGGTCCCCAGTACTTCGAGCGGCCGGCTGTCTCGCGCTGTGCGCGCGTGGGCGAGCACGATATTGTAGCGGGGGTTGTGGCGGCGGGCGCCGAGAGGGTGGGGAGTGCGTGAGAGGCGGAGGCGGAGGACCATTGTGTTTGTCGGTGGTGGTGTCTGAAGCTGTTTGAGGGAGAGGTTAAGGCTAGTATCAGAACGGAAATGGATAGACTCTTGACAGTTATGTAAGCGAGAGATAGGGTTTCACTGCACTGTTCAGATTGGGTATATACATCGAGCCAATGGCAGCCAGATTGATGGATAATCACGGTGCAGCAGCACTCATGTGTATCGTCCTGCACTCCACTACCTTGGCGCGGTGATGATACACCTACCTATCCATCGCTCCAACAATTCTCACGTTCACCCTTTGACGGTCATTCGGCAAACATCCCACAAGAAACTCCACAGCCACCTGCACATCTCTCGCCGTCATATCTACAAACCTCCATCTTCACCGTCGCGATCATCATTACCATCGTCAAGTAGAGTTCCGAAACAGCCAGATTCATCCCAACACGCGATCGTGTCCCTTCACCGAATGCCTCTAGATGCTTCCGTGCCTTCTCCCCCTCAGGACCCATATACCGCTTCGGGACGAACTTAGACGGCTCCGGAAAGCAGTCTGGATGCGTGTGCACGTGATACATCGACATTGAGAACGTCGCACCTCTCGGTATAAGTACACCATTGTACACCAAGTCTTCGTCCGGCGCGATACGGACCATTCGGCCAGGAGTGCCATGAGCGATGCGAGTCCCCTCCGAGACAACCGCGCTCAAGGTACGGCAGTGCCTCCAGCCTCGCAGCCGATGGGACGGAAGACGAAGACGAAGGAATCACCGTCCTCAACTCGGTCAACAACCGCTCATACCCCTCCTCGTTGATGAGGATATGGTAAAGCGTAATCGCCAGCGTCCGCGCCGTCGTCTCCGTTCCCGCAGTGACAAAGACATTCGCCCCCCCCGTAGACGCGCTCGAACGTCCTTCCCAGCCAGCGGCAGCGTCTCACTGCGCCAAATGGGATGCAAACCTGTCCTAAACTCCAGTCCGTCGCTTTGTCTTCTCCTCCTGCTCCCTCCGGCCTTCAGCAACCGCCTCATTGTAAGCCTCGCGATACGACCCTGTTGTAACCTCTCGGAGACTCACCAAATCTTGACCGTTTCGTTCGCCGGATAGTGGTGAGTGAAGTCAGCCATGCCTGAGGTCATCGCGACGTGATGTACACATCGCTCCGCTTACCCTGATCGGGCCGCGAATCCCAGTAAGCTTCGTAGAAGATGGTGATGGCCGCGAGCTTCAGTCCTGGAATATGAGCTATATGAGAGAAGTAGAGACGGTAGAATGCTAGAGCGAGTTGATGGAGGACGTAGGCGGCCGCAAGCCAGGCGAGGAGTTGGACGGTACTCGCCATACTTGCGCCGTTGTGACAGTGGAAATGGACTTACCACTGCACGAAGTGCTGGAAAGCCTACCTTTTTATCCGGTGTAGTGTTGTAGGTGTGGAGGTGTCACGAGTGGCAGCGTTTTCCATTTCGCTGCGATGTGCATAGCAGCTGAAGCAAGCCCTGGTGGTTTGTGCGCAAAGTTGTCACTGTCTGAGACCTTGGCTGCAGGCGGGCGTCTCTATCGTAGCCGCATAGCACGAGCGTCCTGAGGCTGGACTGCCATCGCTAGGGTAAAGGTCCACCTGCTTTGCAGCCAAGTCGGCCGTCCGGTCGTCCATCGCTGTGTCTCACACACACATCCTCCATCAAGCCGCCTGCGCCACCTGCGGCTGCCCAAACCTCTGCTTCCACTTCTCGATATTTCGACTGATCACGTCCGCCATCTCCATACTGCTCAGCTGCTCAAACGGCCTGCTCTCTATCACACCCGCCGACGTCGGGGCTGGCGGCCGGACGGCAACACCCACCTCAGCGCCCGGAAGATGCATCTTCACACCCGGTGGTGTGCGATCGCCCGCTATGTCCAGCTGAGCGCGCTGCATGAACGCGCTCATGGCGTCCATGTTGCGCTCCATATCCGTCAAACTCAGTTCTTGCGGGTCCATAGCAGCCTTGGTCAGGCCGTTGACGGCTTTGTGTTTGCCCTTGCCGAACTTTCCAGTGACCTTGACTATGCTAGCCATCCCGCCATTGATCTCATGAGCGCCAGGGCTGTTCTTGTTCGTGCTGTTGCTTGTGGTGGTCTGATGGGAGTCGCCGTTGGCCGCCTGTTCATCGCCACTGCTCACATGGCCACCTCCCACCAGATGCCGCTTCTTGCTGTGAGGCGAGGAGGTGGAGGGCATGTTTGACAGTTCGTGAGTCTTAGTGTATTGGTTGTTACCGAGCTTCTTCGTCTTCTTCACGGGTGCTTTCCTTTGCGCCGGTTTATCTGGTGCTACGAATGTCGGCGGACTGGCAGGTAGTGGAGACGCTGGAGGCGAGCTTCTGGAGCTCACGTCTGGCTTTGGTGTCTCGTCTTCAGCTTCTGCAATCATTGTCAGCGCAACTTGCGTGGGTTGGCTTGTTCCCAAACGCACCATCCACACGCCTGCGACCTGCGCGTTCCTGTCTTCGCCCTGCGGCCTCCGCCCGTACTTTCTCCCGCTCCTTCTCCTTCTCCCGCAATTCTGCCTGACGCGCCGACTGTACCGCTTCGGCACGAGCCCTCTTAAGCTTGCTGGCCGTGGTAGTGTCATCGTCCGAATCTTCATCAAGCGTGGCGGTGCGCGATATGGACGTGAGCGACTCGGAGCCCGTTCTCTGGCGCTTGGTCTCCGGTTTGACACTACAACGGACCGTCAGTGACACACGGCGACATGACGCTTCACTTTGCAGCTCACTCTTCGCTCTCATCGCGGTTCCTCTTTGCGCTCTTTCCGTTCTTTCGGCCGTTGCCGGAAGGTTCGACATCCTTCTTGCTCTCCTCCAGCGCACGCTGTAACTGCTCTTCTTCATCGTCGTGCTCTTTGCTTCTCATTGTGGCGCGGCGGCGCCCAGTGACCGGATCGGCGCTGGCGCGCGACGCCGTCGTCTCTCGCTCTCTCTTCGCTTTGTCATCGCTCTTGCTCACTGAGGACTTTCGCCTCGCCTGTGGATGGAGAGGAAGATAGTTCGAATATGGCTGACTGTGGTTCAAGCGGTCAGACGCTGCTGCGGCTGCTCGTCGTGTGGTAGATGCTTCGTGGTAGCGCGCCATTGCGCATGATACAGTAAAACATGAGTTCGATGTGAGGGTAGGGATAGGGTGTGTGCTGTAAGGAAAGCTTGCGACAGTAATCACACGGAGTGACTGCCTGCTCATGCGCCAAGCCATACCGGCTCTACCCAGTATTCGGCACTCCGTTGCGGCCAGATACGGCAGGGACGATTTGAAGCGTGAAAATGCTAGAGATGATCTAGGGAAAGAGTGACGTACCCTCTCGAGTCTGTGTGCTGATCATGCAACTTCGGCCTGCACTCCTCGCAGTAGTATTTGTCCGGACTTTGGCTCTCCTCCACAATGCCAACGCATCCGCCATGTTGCCAAACGCTGCAGCCGTCACACTGGATGAACAGTCCACCAGCGTCGTCGCCCGGCGTGTCTGCGTTGCTGAACACCTCGCTGAGCGGTGGACCGGGATATTCTTGCTGGCCGCAGATGCAGCGCGTCACCTCCTCATCGTCACCACCAGCTCCGCCGCTGTGCTCTTTCCCGGTTGCGGTGGTCGCCTCTTTGGTGGGCTGGGCGCGCTGGCTGCGACGAGGTGGCTCGCTCATCTCTTCGCTAGACAGCGAGTGCGGTGTGACTGACTTCTGGTGCGCATTTGTCGACTTTGTGTTTCGGTCTTGTCGTGAGGAAAGCGAAGAGGTGGAGGAGTTCGAGGTCGGTGCAGGTGGCTTACTGGGAGGCGGTTGCGCTGCCCGAGCGGAGCGCCGGATTGGCGACGGCATCACCGTTGTCGGCACAGACCGATGCGATGACTTTATCGATATGCTCTGTACACGTTACGACCTTGACGGTGAGTAGGGTAGTGCTCGTACTCCTCGGGCAGTGTGTGTAACTGCACGGACGTGTGCGAGCCGGTGCGGCAGACGGCGAGCTTTGGGGAGGATGCAAGGGAGGTTTGATTTAGATAGAGGTGATTGAGGACGTGCTCGGACGACGGGAGGGACTGTCAAACAAGAATCGGGTGCTGTACTGCTGTAGATGTGGTATGCGAGCGCCGAACAGAGCAGAGAGAAATGACCCTCACCATGTGTCTGTGAGCCAGGACCCTCATTGTGAGCTAGGCCGAGCGCCGATGTCTCGCTTGCTCGACGAATCAGAAGCGGCGTGGCACCAGGTACGCATCGCCAATCGATAGGCTGCGATGCTGCGCTTCGTAGTGTTCCATAACGCGCGGTGAATGCAACACTGCATGGATTCATATCGTTCGTGATGTGGTTGAACACTCCTGCGCAGTCGCACATGTAGAGGGATTGATGATGCAAAAAGGCGGGTGTGCGAAAAGCACCAAGGTGCGAAGAGGAAGCGAAGGCCCGCCGCGCCAGCAGTACGTCAGTGATCGGCAAACCCCCGTGCCTGAAGTATTGTATACATAAGGTCAAGCACCGATATAGACCGTTCGCAGTTGCCCGAGATTGTGTATCGAGGAGAAGCATTACACGAAGGCAGGCTCGTCGTCGGGAATGGTCAAGACCTTCAGTACCGGGGCCATCAAGGAAGCCTCAGCCGCGCCACGAGAACCGTGCGTCAACACCCTCCTCCTCTTCCGCCGCTTTGCTCAAGTGCACAGACTGACGATAGGATTCTATCGTGATGTTGCTCCAGGGCCGCAGAATGCAGCACTGCCTAGAGGCGTGTAACTCAGCCTACGCAATCTGTCGCAGCTATCTACACCCAACTCCACTCTTTTGAAGTTGGCAAGTCAGGGGGGCAGTGGTCATTGGAACCAAGCCTAACAAGACTTTGTCCGCTCGCCGCCTTACGAACTTCCTCAGACAATTGTCGCGCCGATCCACATGCGCGAGTGGCAGGCGGATGGGACTTGAGCTTGCTGATGAATTAGCGCCTATAACCACGCGCAACGCGGTGGTATGCATTGCTTTGCTCCTGTGACAGAATACATGTATGCTCATGGCCGTAAGAAAAGTCAAGTGGACAAGGCCGACTGTGCGTGTGTAACGATGAAATGATTAGGTGAGGTGATCAGAGGCCGACTTCAGCCTCAGCATGACATGCTTACAAACTGCTCGAGTCCTATTCGCGTGCTTGTGGATGCGCAGGTCTTCGGCCGATGCGAGTCACGGTAATATCGCGTCACCGTTGCCGAGCCCTCCCATCTCTTGACCCAACTTTTCGCGGATTGCCCGTGCCGAAGTTTCGGTTGTGTGCATGAACCTGACATTTGCGCGTGGGGCACGCTTCTGCAACACTTGCTTTAACTATGAGGGGCTCCCTTGAGTGGGATCCTTCCTTCACTGATCTTTCTGGTCCCGGCCAACGGAACGGACGGCAATGGTAGGGAACGCCTCGAGATGTGCTGCTGAGAGGTAATCAACGAGCGACCGTCTCGGTCGACCCCTCGCCAAGCGCGTTGAGAAGAGCTTCTTAAATACCGCAATTACCTCCATTTCGTGAAACAGCCTTGAGGCGGCTGCCACACATAGTACTCGACGCTAATTGACCTGCATATTCTGGCGCTGTACAATATCCGTGTCTGAGCAATAACTCTTCACCGTCAACGACAGCATCGGGCTCTGGAGCGAACAACGTCCGAGGGCGGAGCAGGCGACAACCAACTTGTGGCTGAATACATCCGGTACCTTCTTTGGCCCGAGGGCATGACGCAGCGGCACCATTTCTGGAAGCTGTGCTAGGAACGGGCTACCATTTCCACGTGCTGGCGATCAGTCGCATCCCAAATTCAACATTCACAGAACACAAGGTATAGCAGCGGAACAAGAATCGTAGTGTGAACGACTGCACTACTTTACATCGGCGCTGGTTCTTGGGTCGGCAATCTCCGCTCTTAACAATGGCGCTCCAAATGTTACATTCAAGACATAACAGGCCGCAAAGTTCCGGATCACAAATGGCACCGTCTTCAGATCCGCCTGAGGAAATGCAGCATCCGAAAAGAACATCGACCATGCCTACTCAACCGACTCCGAAGAAGAGCAAAGAGGGCGGCTTTTTCCGACGACGTGTTGGCCACCGGCCACGGAGAAGCAGTTCGGTTAGCTTCCCACATCACGAACCCTCTTCACCGACAGCAGAACATCACCCTCAACCGCAACCGCACACAGAAGAACAGCCGAACGGGGTGCCAAAGCCACAGCCAGTCATAGTCGTCAACGGACTCGCACCAGACAGTTCAACCACGACTCTCAATTCCGTCGCGACAGAGGCTACTGAAACGTCTGAAGCGGCCGAGGCCAAGGACGACGATGGTGACGATGTCGCCACCAGACAGGACTCGAAAGGTGGAAGAATCAGGTTCGCCAACGACGCTGAATTACTGGAACCGGGCGCGAACCTACCAAGTCCGAACTTCAGACGACCGTCCATATTTGCAAAGAAGGATCAACACGTCGACATCGGAGTTGGTTCGAAGGCAAGACGACTCTCCATCGCATTTCCAGAGGATTTCGAGGTCGAGGAGTGCCCGCTAGAGGAGCACTTTAACGCCATCAGCCGCTTGAACAAGAAGCACGTTGGCGAAGGCGGTGCGGCAGTTGTGCAAGTCATGAAGAGCAAAACAGCCGGTGATTGCAAAGCGAAAGACAAGCTCTTCGCTGTGAAGGAGTTTCGGCCATGGGAAGAAAGCGAAGAAACGGAGCACGAGTATGTGCGCAAGATCAAAAGTGAGTTCGCCATTGCGAAGTCTCTGGAGCATCCGAACATTGTCGACACCTACAGACTCTGTTACTCGGACCATCGCAAAAAGTGGTTCCACGTCATGGAGTTTTGCGATCAAGGCGACCTTAACGACATCATAACCCGAGACTTCTTCAGCCGCGAGGATCGGGATTGCATGTTCAAGCAACTCATTCGAGGCATAGATTACTTGCATAGCCGTGGGATAGCACACCGAGATCTCAAGTCGGAGAATCTCCTCCTTGACAAGAACGGCTGCTTGAAGATTGCAGACTTTGGCACCAGCGAGGTTTTCTGCGGCAAGCACCCTGGCTTCCGCAACTGCAGACGGCCGAGCCTGGTGAAAGCAGAAGACAAGATTAAGTTCTGCGAGCCGGGACTTGTCGGTAGCAGACCGTACATGGCGCCGGAACTGATCGCACGTAAAGAACCATACGACCCACGCGCCATCGACGTCTGGTGCTGCGGCATCATCTACATCTCGCTCATCACCGGCGGCACCCCATGGGAAGCTGCGGAGAGTGGAGTGAAGAACTACGAAATCTACGCCGGCTCATGGGACGATTTCCACGAGCGATTCGGCGAGAACGCCATGCCGACCAAGGAAGGCCCGTTCCCTAAGTTTGCGCAGACGCCGCAGTTCCGCAAGTTCGGCAGCCCGGATGTTCTGGCGTTGGTGTTCGGAATGCTGCATCCCGACCCGAAGAGACGCATCACGGCGCACGATGCACTCGAGTGCGCGACTGTTGTCGACTTTGCGTGTTGTCAGCAGGATGGGTACTCGGATGACATCAAGAAGCGGCAACGGAAGGCGCTGCATAATCATATACCACCGAAAAAGGGCAAAGGGCTTCTGCAGAAGTCACCGAGCTAAAGGCATGGCGATGGCGTTTTATGGGAGTTAGGGCGGGCAGCCCGCTGATGCCGTGATGATCTCACGCAGACCTATGGGTGACGGTGGTTGCTCGTACTGGCGGTCGTGACTTCGACGGTAGGCTTCTCAGCGCTGCCATCTCAGTACTTGTATTTGCTGCAGCGGCGCACAAGCGGCATTTGGAAGGATCAGCGGATGGAATTACGTCCTGCATATTCGCTGTACCATAGATGAGGCGGGCCAAAAACCCACATGCTACATGCCCTTACCACATCTCCCATACTACATCTGGAAGCACCTTCCGCATGATGTACCAATGCCCAATCGCACTATCCTCTTGATCCTTCCTGTACTGCCCGATCTTGTCTCTCGTCAAGACAGCATCTGTATCGTTATGGATGAACGGTATCTCGTACTCCGATTTTGGTAGCAGGTAATGCTTCCGACTTTTACTACCCAAATAGTCTGACGCGGTGGGCTCCCTAAACGAGATACTGCCCGGACTATTCCGGCAGAAGATTATCAAGTTCATGAAGTCCTCGGTGTCGGGCTTAGGCGCGTCGCGGAAGACCTTGCAGTGGCCATCGAAAGTATTGTAGATTGTGCTCAATACCCGCTTGGTGAGGTCTAGTTCAAGCCGGCCCGCGTAGTTGATGGCGACGACGCCGTTGGCTGTGAGTAAAGATCGTAAGTGACCCACAAAGGTGTCCGTGAACAGCGACAAAGGTTCCGCACCACCCGTGAAAACATCGTGGATAATATATTCGTAATGCTGAGTTTGCGTCGCCGATGCGGCAGCTGCCCAGGACACCGCATCTTGGAGCACGACAGTATGCTCGTCAGGCAGTTCGAAGTATTTCTTCGCGAAATGATGCACTGCTGGGTCCAGCTCGACGGTGGTGGTGTTGATACCGTGCGCTATCATCGCTTTCGGTGCGGTGCCGACTCCAAGCCCAATGACCAGCGCCTGCGCACTACTGTCGAATATCGCGGGTTCAACGATTATCAAACGAACAGCCTCTAGCATCTGGAAGACTGCATAGATAGGCTCATTGACCTGCCAGCCCTCTTTCTGTCTTCGTTCATCTGTGAGCAGCCATTCACCACCCAGCAATGAGTGATCGCAACGTAGAACCCTATAGCCCAAGTCCAGACTCTCTGCCACCGACACGTATCCCGTGCTAGACCACTGTCGGTCTAGCACGGTCCAGTTATGGACAGCCAGATCTCGATTCAACACTCCAAGATTGCGCGGAGAGTCGAAATGAGGATTCGCGAGGAATGCGTGTATCAGGGATGGCAAGCCAAGGGTAAACATCCAGTACGGCTTGCTCGGGGACAGTAAGCCATATGTAAGCCCCATTAGATATTGTAGCTTGACCGGCGTGAATATGTCGGGTGCCCAGACCGCCGCTGTGGGCATATATCGCGCAATAGCGTACTCCACGGGCCTGAAGTATGCCAGATCGAGCACAACAGCTGGGATGGCAACACTAGCGATGGCTCCCAGACGATCCTGTAGGTTCAACACCTCCAGCGCATGCGCCACGGCATAGGCCGAAGGGATGATCAAAGTATGGCACCCGAGGAAGCCGGTGATGATGCATCCCAGAATCGGGCCGAGCTTGCCACTATACTGCATCAGATACAGGTCGAGCACCGGTTTGTAGAAAGCCCAGAGCGTCAGGTACGGCAGTATGCTCCATTCATGCGCACCACCGAAGAAATGTCGCCAGATAAAGCCCAGAAGAACGGTGGCGGTGATGGCTTCGGCATGGTTTACACTCGCGGGTAATCTGCCGTATACCGGAGACAGCACATCCTGGGAGACTACCGAGTTGAGCGCAGCAATTGTAAGCAGCGGAAGAGTCAAGCCTAGCACCTTGTAAATGTTCGAAGTAGAGAACGGCTTCTCGTCTGGCTTTGCCACGGCGTCTTCGGCGTCGTTGTTGACGCCATCATCTGCGGCCTTCCGTTGTCCTTGTCGCAGGCGGACAGATTGTCTGCCCTTCGCCATGTTAAGCACAGTTCTCTTGGAAGATACGCTTGTCTATGTTATAACGTGTCCATTATCGGCACACGAGAGCCTGGTGCTGCAGAAAGACGACCTTATACTGTAGCAGTTGGAAGGAACAATTAATGCATCATGGCTCCATTGTAGCCTTCGACCCGCGTCAGAACAAGCCATCCGGGGTGTACCGTTTACTACCAGCTCTATGTGGTGAATTAAGTGGGACTCATATCGAGCGTTGAAGGCGGGATGATCCACCGCGTACCTGCAGTAGCGGCCAGTCTTATCGATTGTTGCTCAGCCAAGTCCGCCTTAGGTTAATATTTTGCCTGCTTGAGCGTTTACGACAAAACATCTATGTACTAATACTTCTGACAGAGCAAGACTAGATCCCTCACAAGCCGGGTGCAATGCCTCGACCGCAGGTGTACGGCAAGCGTTCGCGTGCCATCTTCAATAACAACCATGCTATTTTTGACAGCCCAGAGCGGCGGAATCCATACAGAGAGCCGGTGGAGCCAGCAGCGAAACCGACTGATGATGGGAACAATAATCGCACACGAGTTCCTTGCAATGCTAAAGCGCCAAAAAACACAGCAGGCGTGTTGGGTCACGTAGACGCCAATGCTGTGGCGCTACCTGCAAAGCTCAGACAGGGCAGGAGAAGCAAGCTCGGAATGGAAGGGATCCAAGTAGAAGTGGTGGAGCAACAGAAATTTGCCACGCCCTTGCGATGCGCCATACCACGAAACGATGAAGACGGCACTGTTCCAATGTTGCTTGTGAATCACGCTCGCGCTGAGACGCCGGGCGAAGCGCAGAAGTTGTGTAAGGCCGAAGATTGTTTGGCCGTATCTGACTGCTGCGAGCCCATAGCCCACGGCATTGTTGAAGAGCTTCTGACAGAAGAACCAAGACCGTTGCACGAGGCACACCATCACGAAATCCCCTCAGCGGAAACTCATGCGGTGCCAGACAGGGTTCAAGCGGACAATGTCTACAGCCGACACTGCTCAGAGCTACTGGATCTCTCTAACCATCCCATAAGTTCCCTCGCTGAGTGGTCGGATGAGCTTTCGCAGCACTTCACAATTGCCAAGATCGCAGAGGCTTCTTTTGGCGAGGTTTACCGGCTCTCACTGATTCACCGCCTACCGGGTCTGGACGGGCACAATGAGTCTGTGTTTAAAATGATAGCGCTGCAGCCACCGGTAGCGACTCTTCCGACAACGGGAAGGCAGCATACCGTAGCCTTGAAGAAGATGCTGTCCATGTCCCGACCGGACGACGTTGCGAATGAGGTGAAGCTGCTCCAACGTATGAGCAGTATCCCAGGGTTCACTCTGTTTCGTGATGTGCGGGTACTGCAGGGTCGACCGCCTAAGCGGTTCATTGAGGCCTTCAAAGCGTTCAATGTCGAACAGAAAGCCAGGCATAAAGATCGAAGCATCTTTCCTGATCCTGGCAAAAGGAGTAGTTACAGCGATAAGCAGCTTTGGGCGGTCATCGAGATGCAGGATGCTGGCAGTGACTTGGAGCGGTTCATCGAAAGTGGCGAGTGCCACAGCGTCTTCGCGGTATGGGATGTCTTCTGGCAAGTCGTGCTGAGCTTGGCCAAGGGAGAAGAAGCTGCCGAGTTCGAGCATCGAGACTTGCATCTCGGTAATATTTGCGTTCGCCTAAAGGCGGGTGCCTCATGCCCTCAGGAAGCGAACGGCATCGATGTGAAGAGGAAGCTAGGGTTCACTGACTTAGAAACAACAATCATAGATTACACAATCTCCCGCTGCCTCCTGTCGGCGCAATCAGACAAAGCAGTAGCCTACCAAGACCTGGCACTCGACCGTCATTTGTTCGCCGGAGACGCAGAAGCGGACTACCAGTATGCCATGTACCGACACATGCGATCAGCGGTCTACGCAAACGATCCTATGGCTTCAATCACCAAGGAGCGAACCGCGATGGCGGCCGAGAGCGGGACATGGCAGCAATACCATCCGATCACGAACTTAGTCTGGCTGCACTTCATCCTTTACAAGCTTCTTGAGCAGCTTGACTGGCCGAGTGCAAAGAGAGCGCCGCCGAAAAGGCAGAAGCTGGCGCATGCCGAATGGAAGCGCGCCAACGATCTGGAGCATAAGCTGCTCAAGATGCAGGGCTTGCTCAATCTGGAAACCGGACTGTGCAAAAACGGAATGCGGTTGGCCTCAGATGCTGTGGCTTTGGCGCTTACGGAGGGTTGGCTGGATGTCGAGGATGTCATTGGTGGGATGGCAGATGGATTACTCGAGGACCAGACACTGCGACCAGCAGAGCATAATGAAATGCAGGCGGAGGACATAACGGAGCAGTTAACGCATCTGCAGATCAACGTCGATGTGATAGAGAAGCATGGACTAGAGATTGCAGAACGGGAGGCGAGAGCTGGCCGGCATCGCAGTCGACGGTGCAAAACCTGATCTCCACTCTGCTGAGACGAAGCAAGAGAACAGCCTGTTCAGTATCGTACAGTGTCTTGATTCCGTACTAGATGCTTTTTGTACATCCACGCACCGTCCCACGCTCGACGCCCATTTGCAATACCAGACATGGCGCCGTCTGGATGGCTTACGGAATCATCCTGTGCTCTGGTCTGCTTACAAGACCATGTCCTCATCATCATCCGCATTTGCAGAACCGCCGTTCGCAGGTGCGCCATTCGGCCTGTCGTCCTGCTTGCTGCCCCAGTAGTCCTCCATCTCAGCATCGAGCTCTTCGGCCGTCTTTCGCGGACGGCCACCTCTCAGCGGCCTGCCATCATCGTCCGTTCGTGCAGGCCGCCCACCTCTGCCACTGTCTTCCCTTCTTGCGCCAGGCCTTCTTCCAGGCTCACGGGGCGCCCCGCGGCGTGGCATTGGCGAGCGTGAGTCGCGACCAGGTACATACCGATCTATATGCTCAGGAATCGGACGACTGCGCAGAGGACTGTCACTCCTCTCTCTGCGCCGTCTGCCTGCACCACCTTCTCTGCTACTGTCTAGCGCAGAGCTATCCATCCGCTCGAACATGCTTCTTGTTGGACGTTCGATGCGTTCGAACATGCTCAAGTTTGCTTTCGAGGGTGCGGTAGGTGCGGCAGGCGCTGTTGGCATAGTTGTGATCCGTATTGGCTGCCCATTTGCATTCTGGCCGTCATAGTCCGCAACAGCATCACGAGCGTCACGAGGGTCTTCGTACGTTACAAACGCCGTGCCTTGACTACGATCTGCACGGTCGTAGAGCAGTTTCACAGAAACTAGCGGGCCTTTGCGCTCGAAAAGTCCCTAGGCAAGGTCAGCCTGCACGAGTACATTAGCGAAGTCGAGCCAGGCTTACGCGAATGTCTTCCTCTGTCAGTTCATAATGGATGTTGTCGACACGAAGCTTGGTGCCACCACTAAGTCTGATATTAGCAGTGTTAATGCGTAAAAATGGCGCCACCGTGACGTACGTTTCTCTGGGTCTACCAGCTGTTTCGTAGCGGTCTTCATGTGCCGGACGCCGGTGGTCATATCTATCATCCTCGAAGCGATCGTGAACCCAGTCACTTTTGACACGTCAGTTTCATGCCCACACAAGCTAGAGTGTCAGCGGTGCACTGCTGCTCACGAGTCGAAGTTTACGCGGTCATCCTGGCGATTCTGTTGACAGTCATGCGGCGGTTAGCTACACTCTTCGCGGTTGGATGCTCGTCGCCGTCGCCGTTCGCTGTTGATTGAGGCAGTCGAATGTCGTAGGCGGATGTGCGAAGTCTAGGAGGAGGGAGGATAAGGCACCTGTTTCTGTCAGTACGCTGATCTTGCCGTCTACAGCCTCCGAGCATAAGTGGATTACCTTTCGAACGCCATCTCTAGGGTATTCCTCCCTACGGCTGGGACGAGGTGGTGGAGGTGCTCTACTACGTGGTCCTGGCGGTGGCCGACGGCTCTGGAGGTTGTATAAGCATCCGGAGGCTAAACTCGTGGGTGGGATCACTCACGGGACGCTCAGCGATAATCTCGTCAAGACTACGGTCCATCTTTGCCAGGCTCGGACTGTTATGAAACAGCAGTTTAATTAAAAGGTGCAGAAGGACAGACGTTGAAGCCGTGTGAAACTAAGTACGGCTTCTCGCACGGCAACTTCCGAAATCTACTCTTCAGTGCAACCATATCTTAAGTGTACTACTACCGATGCTCCTTGCTGCAATGCACGAAGCGTGGTTTCACGATGCGGAATATTCCAGAGCAACAGAGAATAGCACGCTACATACGTGCTAAGCCTTACCTGTGGCCACATAACAACTCTTTCTCTCCGGCGACGACAGCACTGGTAGTAATTGACATGCAGCGTGACTGTATGCATTCCCCCTTCTAAGATAACTGGCAGAGTAGCCGCCCTACTTGCTCTGTATAGACCTGATCTCACTAACCTTGGGATTGTTAGAAGTCTGCGAAGAGGGCGGGTACCTTTCTCGACAGGGTTATGATGTCTCTCTTACCCGTGCCATTATCCCCAACCTCCAACATCTCCTGCAACGCTTCCGCATTGCCAATTTTCCAGTCTATCACACCCGTGAAGGTCACAGGCCAGATCTGTCCGACCTGCCTGCTCGGGAATTGTACCGCTCACGCAACAACCCGTCAGGTCTTGGGATAGGCGATCAAGGTCCGCTTGGCCGTCTGCTCGTCCGTGGAGAGCCTGGCCACGACATTATCCCCGAACTGTATCCGCTGGAAGGGGAGCCAGTCATCGACAAACCAGGTAAAGGAGCTTTCAATCATACCGACTTCGACCTCCTGCTCCGCGTCAGAGGAATCCGAAATCTGATACTGTGCGGAGTGACGACGGATGTCTGCGTGCACACGACAATGCGCGAGGCCAACGATCGTGGTTATGATTGCCTTCTTATCGAGGATTGCTGTGCTGCGAGCGAGCAACCCTTGCACGATGCCGCAGTAGAGATGGTGAAGACCGAAGGTGGCATCTTCGGAGCAACCGCCACGCTTCATGACGTTCTTCTTGCGATAGACTTGCACCCGAAGGATTCAGCATGACTCTTCATGGATGCAATCACGCAGTGGGTGCCCGCATAGAAGAGTAACGAACGTTACAGACAGCGCCCACGGTAATGCGTCGAGCACAGAGAAGTGTCGACGTTGAGTGATAGGCTCGACATGTCCAAAATCTCGTATCAGTATGCGGAAGCGGTAAGCTTCACAGGAGTCAATCTTGCACCTGGTTAAAGAAGCTTCAATACGATAGTACGGCTGTATCTAGTTGTGCTTGTTGGTTGTCGCTTGTCGTCTCGAGCCAAATGCACAGCCGGCTTCATGGGAAGAAGACGCGTCGTAGGCTCTCGTTGCCGCGGCGAAGCTATACCGTTATACATCTTGGCGATGACTCGGAGCATATCATATCCATCTGGCGGACCTGCTATATCTTCTCCACTCCTTCAGCTTGATAGACGCGAATGGGATCGGATCCGACATACTTCATTTTCCCGATGCGAAACAGGTCGTGCTCGATCTGCCACATCCATAAGTCGCAATGATAGGTTTTTGACAAAGAGGACAATCATGTGCAATTCGTCACGCCCATCGGTAGGAAATCGCAGTGAACTGATGTAAATCCCATGTGGATCTTGTTACTAAGCTGTAGACTGACGTTACCCGGTACGCCTCCAAAGCTGCAGAAGCGTGGCTGTTACCCACCGTGGGGCCACATGTAGTGAAGACACAGTGTGTATGGTCCGCTGTTGAAGGACTTCCATCCCCTCGCTATCTTGAGCTTAAGCTGGATATAGACATGCCACCAGCTAAAGCGGGATAATGGAGCGGAGAGCATAGCAGTGCACTCAAGGAACCAAGAAATCAGAATGCCGTGCATGGCAGTTGGCAAGCCGAAACCGAGTACACCATCCTATAACCTTTGCTTCCAGCGATTTAGGAAGTCTCCAGTTCATCGGAAGAGCCCAGTGGAATGGAGTGCACTCCTCGTCGCCTCTAAGACACGGAGTAGACTGTACAGGTCGGATACCCTCTCTGGGTCAATCCTGGACTTTGTTGGCTCTGGTGCTTACCGACGCGGAAAACACCGTTCTGTACAGCAGGAGTGCAGATAGGCCAGCGTGCGATGCAAATTCTATCTTATGGTCAAAGGGATCCGAATCCGAATCTGGAGAGGCACTGGCAGAGTACTTAGAGACTTATTCTATAGATGTCTCAAATGCAGTATTCCCAGACTCGATTTGGTTTCAACGTGCCATGAGAGCCTCCATCACATTCCGGGCTACGATCCCTAAGTTCGCGGGCCGAAGAGCTGGCGGCGGATGAGGCGTGCGTACATTTCCACCAAAATCGAATGGTAAGCGTCTGCTTGACCATGAACATCACTTTCAGCAGCGACTGTGGCCGTCTTGAACATCAAAAACGCTGTGTCGCCGTCTGCAGTAGCAGTCTCCGGACTCATGAACTACGGCGAGCTCAGCACACGTCGAAGATACCTCAGTAGCTTAACGCCAGCGCAGCTGTCTGCGGGTCATCGCGATCTGCCACGCATGAGAGCGATCACTCTTTTCGTACTCGAAACGTTCTATCCCTTCGATCCCGCCACGCCGTGCCGCATACCCACTGATACGCGCAGTGATGGCGTCCGTGGCTCGCGGCAGCAGGCTTTGCAGCTTTGAATTCATGCCTCTCTTCCCCCTCCGCACTGATCGACCTTTTCTGTGTAGCTTTCCTTGCAGGGGTGCGTAAGCATGCCATCACCGCTGCTGAGCTTTTCAGCATGCATATCCTTGGCCACTCGACATCATGACCGGCACAACTATCCGATCACTACTACGTACGTCTGCTTGGAAGGGTCCCTAATGCAATTTATGCCGTCGGTCGCAGTGTGTGTGTGGGCCGTTACCTTATCCCTGCCGTGGTGGTTGAGACGCCTTCCGTACTCCACGCTTCGCCTCCATAGACCCGGCTGTGCGTGCACACGGGAGGAATCTGCGTGACAGCCTCATCTAAATGTCAGCACGTTGAATGTGCGTCACCGTGCTTCTCGAGGATGTCTTAGGTGTGTATACCACAATCTTTGCTTTCATCCTTCTGTCGCAGCCACCATCTGTCCTCGTTGCAGTTGTGTATATCCTTACTTCTGTGTACTTTCCTCTCCCGCTCCCGTCGCTAGAATTTTTGGAGCTTCTTAGTGATTACACGCAATATGGGACGCACTCAGCAGAGCCGCGACCAACATGGCAAGCCGCAATGGGATCAGCCTATGCTCGGCTACCTCACGCCAAAGGATCCGACGACTCAGTCTGCATTCCGAAATCACTTCATCGCAGCGACTGGCGAGTTTGTAGGCACCTTCATGTTCCTGCTTATGGCCTTCCTCGGCCACTCTATGGCTGCCAGTCAAGCGCCCGAATCAGGTCCGACCGACACCAACAGCAACCAGACTGTTATCTTCATTGCCATGGCGTACGGCTTCAGCTTGCTGGTGACCGCATGGACCATGTATCGAATCAGTGGTGGCTTATTCAACCCAGCGGTGACGTTGGGCATGGTGCTCACCGGCACGCTGCCGTGGTTCCGAGGCTTGATTTTGTTTCCTGTACAGATCATCTCTGGTATCTGCGCGGCGGGCGTGGCGAGCGCAATCATCCCTGGTAGCATCACCACTGTGCAGACGACACTCGCACCGGGCGTCAGTGTCGCTCAAGGTGTTTTCTTGGAGATGGTACGTCTTCGGGACCGAGTCCTGCCTGAAACGAAACTCTACTGACGTAAACGTTTACAGTTCCTTACGGCCGAGCTCGTCTTCACCGTCCTCATGCTTGCGGCGGAGAAGACAAAAGCCACATTCATCGCCCCTATTGGCATTGGCATGGCCCTCTTCGTAGCCGAAATCGCAGGTGTATATTATACCGGCGGGTCGCTGAACCCAGCTCGCAGCTTTGGACCATGCGTAGCTGGACGCAGCTTCCAGCACTACCATTGGATCTACTGGATTGGTCCCTTTCTGGGCGCAATCATCAGTGGTGGTTATTATCACTTTGTGAAGTTCTTCAACTATGAAGCAGCGAACCCGGGCCAGGACAGTTCCGGAGGGACATTCGATGCGAACATCGAGCGCCAAAAGAGCGCAGAAGCTGAGAGGATGGCCAACGGCGAAGACTATCGCGACAATAACATGGATAGCAGGATGGAGAACGGCGATGCGCGACCAGGTGCGCAGAGACATGAGAGTGATCTTCATCCTGGTTATAACGGCAACCGCATTTGACTAGAGGAAATGCAACGGAAGAAGGAGGATGAGGAGGATGAGAAAGATGAGGAGTAGATACCCGTTTGAGCGTGATCATGTCGACCTCGGAATGGCAACGGCCACAGGAGCAGGCATGCATTCACTCAGGGTCGCATCGCTGAAGCCGGACTTCACTGATGAGTGACTTACCTACGGCATCGGCATGTTTGACAGACTTCAGCGTTTCAGCGATTGTATTACCAGCGGAGCATGAGAGATGGGCTCAAGCAATTTCACATACCTTATAGATGGGCGGCGTTATAGCTGGGAGCTGAAACGTCTGGCTCAGCGCCCATCGCAGCACGTCTCCTGATGTAGCATATTGTACATGATTATTAATTCCATGTCGCATGGCAGCTACATTATCATTGAACAATGCAGTTCTTAGATTGGGGGGCCAAGCATAATTTGCATGCATGAGCCGTAGCTGGTAGCATCACTCTTGCGCAGTGTTAGAAGACCTTCGGAATTGGACAAGAAAGGACTGGTAGCATGATATGCAGTGAGGGTCGACCGAGCAGATCAGGCCCCTTGTCGATACCTAGGCAAGCACCGGCAAGCGTGCAAACAGGAAGGTCGCTGCTCAGATCAGTAGCCTGCGAAGGCGGATTGAGTAGGGATGCGAGAAGCAGGAGTCGACTCCGATTACTGCAGCGCCGTTTGGGAAGCTTCGTAGACGTGGTGATTGGCACCTAAGCCAAACGATGTCGAAAATGCTATCTTCGTTCCAATGAATGTATTGATGTGGGTGTGAAGGGCGGGGCAGAGTCGAAACGCGTCCGCTGCCGATGCAGCATATTTTCTCGATCCGATCGATACAAACGGGAAGGCGCTTCTAGGACCAAGACCAAGGCAAAGCAAGCGAACGACACGGCAAGGCACAGCATTGTTGACTCGCCGAAGATCCAGGAGTCACGTCGTGTCCTTCTAACTCGAGCATAGCGACCATTCCCAGATTGATTGTTAAAACAGTTATGTTGTCGGGTCTGCGAAAGATGAGATACAGTGGGCATTTAGGTTCCTCCACGTGATGGCTCGCTTCACCCTCGGCAGACCTTCTCGCTTCTTCCGCCGCCAAGACACTTCGAAGAGCGCCGGCAGCAACACTTCAGCCTCCGGCAACGACAGCACGAGCACTGCAGCGACATCTAGGAGCAATTCGGTTGCATTGCCGCAATCGACAGGCGTGAAGAGTCCCGGTCTGCCATTGTACGCTCCACGACCGCGGAAGAGCGCGAGCTTGTCTCAGCTCAGGGAAAAGTTAGCGCAGGTGCCGGAGCAGAGGGAGAGTGGGATTGAAGTTGGCAATTCTTCTTCGCTGCACCTAGACAGCGCAGAAGAAGCCGAAGAGGCGGCTAGAAGGTCGGGAAGCGTGACGTTGGCGCCTGAGGGTTGCGGCGCCCAGAGGGACGACAAGAGTCCACCGTCGGTAACGGAGTTGGCATTGGACGGCGAGCAAGACCGGCACGCAAGTCCGCCGGTGTTGACAATACAGAATCCTACGCCGGATGCCTCGACGGCCCTAAGTGCCACAGAGAACGATGAGCTTGGGTAAGTGCAATGCCATATCGTGTGAAGGCTTCTTCCGTCAGCATATTAGGAACTTGCCTTTTATTATCCGTATACACGATGCGAGCAGCTTGTTGAAAAAGCTGTTGGTGTGCTTACCGAGCCATGTGCGACAGCTCGCCTATGCTTCAGGTAGATTCTTGGATATCAAGGGCTCTAAAGTGCTACCACGTTGCTCCGAACAATCTTAGAATCATCGACTGTGCACAAACGAGGCTGACCATACCGTACCAATAGTCGGCCGAGAACACCATTGAGTACCCGGCAACCCGACTTCTTCGGGAAGAGGCAGCAGCGGGCGGATCTTGATGCCGTTTCCATTGCACTTTCCTCCCGATCGGTCTCTCCAAGCACTCGGCTTGCCGACAGAAGCCTGCGACGGCCGCCAAGCATTGTTGATAGTGCCAATGCGAAGATAGTAAGGACACTTATCGACGTGCCACGCAGGCACGACGACGAGTCACGGGACGGTTTCGCAACTGCCGCCTTCACGCCGGCCTTTAACAATATGGCACATATGCTGAACCGCAAGATCTGGGTTCGCCGACCAGGCGCATCGGCAACGCTAGTGCAAATCCGGGAGGACGACTTGGTTGACGATGTGCGCGAGATGATCTTGAAGAAGTATGCAAATTCTCTCGGCCGCACCTTCGATGCACCAGACATGACTCTGCGAATCGTGCAACGAGCCGAGCAGGGTCAGCCGCGGCATGAGCGGCAGCTGGGGCCGGAGGAAGAAATGTGTAGGACGATCGATTCGTACTACCCAGGCGGGCAGACGGTGGAAGATGCTCTTGTCATTGATGTCCCGCAGCGTCGAACACCGCGCCCTTCACCACGAGCGTATCAGCAAGCTGGATACCAGGCTCTAGACGACTATCGACCCTTGGAAAACGGCACTGACTATTTCCCGCCCATGCCCGCCGTCGTGCCGGGCTCCATAGCACAAACGTCAAACTCAAATGATGGGCGAGCGGGTGTACAGCAACACCATCCTTCGACAGCAGCACCATTGGAACCTCATCAGCGCTCCATATCTGTCTTGAACACCGGTCAACTACCGCCCTTACCTTCACCTGGAGGCGGCAGACGAGGGCATAGAGACCACCGACCAAAGTATCAACGGCAGCACACTTCCTCACCGACCATTGTAACCCACGCATCAGCGCCTCCTGGTCACAATCCAGGAGTAGTGGCAATCGGCGTGCCGGGTAGTGCAAACTCATCTTCGATGCACCCCCTTGTGCATCGCCAAACCACTCGGCCTAGGAACGATTCGCTCGCTTCCGATGGACACCACCCTACCAATGGTCTGTCGGCCGCAGTACCCGCGGCTCAACCGCCTACGCCACCAGCACCAGATACGCTGACAGCCCACCAGGCCGTCAGTAACCCGCCGACGCCTTCGTCAGGCTCAACGCCTGTGAATGCTCAGCATCGGGCAAGACCGCGGAAGAATCGGAAGACTACACCTGAGAAATCTGCTTCTGGATCAAGGCATCGCCGTGAGGACAACCAGACTGCTAACGGAGTGCCACCAATGCCTACTGCATCATCTATGCTTGATGGCTCTGTACCGCCAATCAATGTACTTATCGTTGAAGACAACATCATCAATCTTCGCATTCTTGAAGGACTAATGAAGAGGCTGAAGGTGAGGTGGCAAACAGCCATGAACGGGCAGATTGCCGTCGACAAGTGGAGAGGCGGAGGCTATCACTTGGTGTTGATGGACATTCAGATGCCAGTCATGAACGGCTTACAAGCCACCAAAGAGATTAGGCGATTAGAGAGAGTCAACGGCATCGGTGTGTTCAGCGCCGACTCTGCAACGCCCAGTCCTGTAGAAGAGCGCAAGAGGAACAGCGAAGCAGACACAAACGGCGGAAGCACGAGTGAACCAACCGTCAACGGCGACGCCAAAGGGAAAGACAAGGTTTCTGACGACAAACTTGCTATCAATGACGGCCTTTTCAAATCACCCGTCATCATTGTCGCGCTGACTGCTTCCTCTCTGCAATCCGACCGTCACGAAGCACTAGCAGCAGGCTGCAACGACTTCTTGACCAAACCCGTCAACTTCGTCTGGCTCGAGCGCAAAGTCAAAGAATGGGGCTGCATGCAAGCCCTGATTGACTTCGATGGGTGGCGGAGATGGAAGGACTACGCGGCGAAAGCCGAGGCGGGCAAGAGCGAAGAGCAGAAGATGAAGGAGGAAGAGCAGGAGCGGAAGGAGAAGGTCAAGATGGAAAAGCTGGCGAAGTTGCAGGAGAAGCAGCGAGCGAAACAGCAGAAGGAGGAAGAGGAGAAGAGGAAGAAGGGAATGAGCCTGGGATCCAGTGACGTGGGCACGGCGGCTACAGGGAATGGGACAGTTCAGGGCGCTGAGCCGCCGGTGGTTGCTATCGGACATGTTGGGGCTGCTAGTGAAGGGTAGGCGTTGTGTGATCTGGACAGTTCGACGGCTTACGAGCTGCCCGTCCGCTAGCGAAATTGCTCTCGCACAGGGCATTTCGCAGACTTGTTATCGAAGCAAGGCGTTTCTGGGGTCGCCGCTGCGGTAGACTGCGGTCCTGCAGGCTTGGCTCATTTGGAGGACTCATTTACATTTCGCCACCGTCGGTATCAATCTGAGAGCACCAAGCTTGCTGTCTATACACTCTATATTCATAATTCGAAGAACATGGGATTGTCATCAGATGTCGTCTCGTTCCGTCCACTCCTTCAACAGGTCGTCAGGAGGATATCTGACCAGAACATGCACATGGTCGACACCTCTCACACTCTGCAACTTTACCCAATTCTTGAACCACAGCACTCGATCACGGCCACCTTCACCAAGTGCGCGGATGAAATGGCGTTCCACAAACTCTTCAATCAAGCGTCGTGACTCCGGCGTCACGTCTCCCAGCTGATCATCAACCGCAATCGGCGTCTTGCTCCAAACAAGAAGATGTTTGATTCCAGGTTCAAAGCCGTAGGGCCAGTCGTTGGGCAACACAGCGTAGTCTCTACGGTCCGCAAAAGGTACGTCTGAGTGGTGAGCGAAGACCGGTCCACTGCCTGCAGGCGCTGGTTCTGGTGTCCAGTGTAGCCGCTCCTGGATGACAAAGGTCGTAATGCTTCCGTAGCGGTTCTTGATGTCGTAACACCAAGCCAGGTAGCGGCGTAAGTCGGAGGGAAGACGTTTCAGCTGCTCGAGGGTGTTGTTCGCTTTGACACTTCAGCCTAACTGCTGGAAGGAGTTCCGAGGAACGTGGACTCGCACCTGTGATTTGGCGTAATTCGTCCCAAGTGACGCGATGATAGTCTTCGTCCTTTGTAGCTAAGATCTCACGGTCGATCGCTGTTAGCGGGAACGGAGGGTTATCGTAGTCAATCTCTCTGACCGCGGACTGATGCATTTCGGCAATCACAGACCGGATCCGACTCTTCGATAGTCTTATAGATAGTGGACTGCTGTAGGAAAACCTACGAGGACACAACAACAAGAGGGCGAAAGGAAGCGGGCAAACCTTGCGGTGCGCTACGTTTCAGGACTAGTGGAAGCGTGCCTTCCCTTTCCGTCCATACTGCTCAGACCAACAGGTTCCTTTATGATTCGCTTCTACAGACCTAGTAGATGGAAAGCAACGGAGGACTATTGTGCTTCTGCATGTCTTCGATGTGATCCTGGCGGATTATATTGCCCGAAATGGGTTATGTGGCACCGAATGTGCGCCCCGCCTCCACAACGGCAGTCAGATCAATCTCGGTAGTGGTCCCCTCGGTCGGGGCGAGTCGGGATTACGGGTCCAGACAAACTATTTCGAGGTGTACCAGCAGTTGATATACGTGGTTGCGCACCGACGGCACTGAAGTTTTTGTGAGAAAGTGCGTGAAGACTTGCCCAGCATGGCGACGAAGGTCGTGGAGCTTCTCACCGCGGTAACAGACGTGACGACAGGGAAAGGGACTGCGAAACCGACGGGACCGTTTGCTCCGCAATATATCGTTTCTGTATACGTCCCCTCTTTGCTGCTCATTGCGACCACCGCCGCCGTAAAGGCGTCGTACACACCAGTCGCAGTTGCGTTGGCAGCAGCATGGGGTGGCTACCAATTCTACGCACATCGTATGCATATTAATCCGTTGCTGACAGCACATTGCTGACAGTAGGTTCTAGAGGAGACGAAAGTCCTAGACCCGAACAAGTTCCAAGAGTTCCCATTGGAACAGCGTACCGACATTTCGCACAACACCGCCATATACCGCTTCAAGCTCCCTTCACCCAACGCCATACTCGGATTGCCCATCGGCCAGCATATTTCCCTGGGTGCAACCCTGGATGTCAAGGATCCTAAAACCGAGAAGGTTGAGAACAAGGAGGTCGTTCGATCATACACACCTATCTCGTCCGACAATGAGCCGGGTTACTTCGACCTGCTCATCAAGAGCTACCCAACTGGCAACATCAGCCGGCACTTGTCCACGCTCAAGATTGGCGATACGATGAAGGTCAAGGGTCCCAAAGGCGCAATGGTGTATACGCCGAATATGTGCCGAAGAATAGGCATGATCGCTGGTGGCACCGGTATCACGCCCATGCTGCAGATTGTGCGTGCTGTCCTGCGAGGACGGAGTAAGGGTGACAAGACGGAGCTCAACCTCATCTTCGCCAATGTGGATGAGAAGGACATCTTACTTCGCAGTGATCTGATGTCTCTGGAAGATGAAGACAGCAAGTTCAATGTCTACTACGTGCTCAACAACCCACCAGAAGGCTGGAAGGGTGGCGTTGGCTTCGTGACCGCTGATATGATCAAAGTGAGTTGCACTGACGCTGCCAAAAATAGTCGAAAGCTGACAGGGAAATAGGAACATCTACCACCTCCGGCAAAGGACATCAAGATCCTTATCTGTGGGCCTCCACCCATGGTCGGTGCGATGAAGAAGGCTACAGATTCGCTTGGCTATGACAAGCCGAGACCGGTCAGCAAGCTCGAAGATATGGTGTTCTGCTTCTAAACCAAGTCTCGATGTCGCATTGTATGCGGGCGGATGTGCATACTGTGCAGGACCGGATACAACACGAAAAGGGTGCAAGCAACCTTTTCGTGTTGTATCGAACATCCCATTGACTTGTAGCCCTATCTAAGTGAAGAGATGGCTTTCGAAATAAAGTTGTAGTTATAGTGACTCGGTGCAACGCTAACATACTTCATTGACTCGAGAAGCGCATGTCGAAGAGACACCGAATGTAGCCGGTAAATCAATGTGGCTCCTGCGTTTGCAGTATACCTTGTTGCGAAACTCACATCATAGTAGTGACGGTCTCTAGATGCACTCAATGTGCTCTATGCTACTATCCTGGAGGTTCTTGCCGCGACGAACTCCGGGGAGAAATCCCAGTCCACATAACCCTTCGCCAACTTCGGCGTATAGAAGACCGCACGATCATACTTCGTCATTGCAATGGTCTCCTGGACTCGGTATACCAGGTCGGGATTCGACACGAAGTATCTACCAAAGGCAATCGCCACATCGTAGTCGGCGTACTTGACGTCCACTGTATCCTTGGCGCTTTCTGTGTTGAAGCCGCCGGCGAGAATGACTGGACTGATATTGTCCCACAGCTTGACAAGGAAACTGACATCCTTGTCTTTAGCGACATTTGTGTCATCGTTGCCCGAGATGCGCGCCTCGATAAGCGAAAGGTAACCGAGCTTCATCTTCTTGAGCTCCGAAACCAGATGGGTGAATGTCGGGAGCGGGTCGTCCATAAGCATGTCCAGAAAGTCACTCCAGGGGCTTAGACGAACGGCTGTCCTTTCGGCACCGACAGCAGCAACGAGAGCTTCCATAAGTGCCAGATGAAATCGGCAGCGCTTTTCGATGGTACCGCCCCAGCCATCTGTACGCTTGTTGCAGGTGTCTTGTAAGAATTGGTCAGGCAGGTACCCGTTACCGCTAGATCGTGGTCAGCATAGCACCAGATTGCCACATGACATCCACTAACCCGTGCACTTCAACGCCATCAAAGCCGGCCTCAATGGCGTTTCTCGCAGCAGTAACATAATCATTGATGGTGCCTTGAATATCGTCCTCGGTCATCTCGACAGGCACGGGCTTGCCATCGCCACTGAGCGGTATAGCGGAGGAGGACATCAACTTCGAGCCCACCCCCTCGAGAACATCAGCGTGGCCAGCCCGGCCTTGGGCCCAAAGTTGGCACCAGATCCTGCAGCCTTGGGCGTGAACAACGTTTGTGATCTCTCGCCACGCAGCAATTTGCGCTGGAGCCCACAACCCCGGGACGTTGCGTCGTCCCGCATGCCGTAGTGAGATCACAGTGGCTTCGCTGATGATTAGAGTGCCGGGTATGCAAGCTCGTTGGCTGTAGTACTCTGCATCACTGGGTGAGCATGGGAAAGCCTCGTATCCTAAGCGTACAACAGTGGCTCGACCATGAGGAGCGTACCCTTTGCGATCGGTAAGGGGACCCAATCGTCGTCACAGCGGTATCTGGTTAGTGGTGCCATGACCTGAGTGGTTTGGTCGCGAGCATCAGCGTTTCAGAATAGAAATCATTTTGCTCAGGACTTCACATACAACTCTGTGGGCCAACTCATCTTTGCCCAGCTTCACCGGGGCAAACAGCTTCGTCATTTCGTCCAGCATCCACCACTTTGCATGAAGAGAATGTCGCAGTACGACAGCCGTATCAAACGGGAGTAGCTGCAATGTCTTGCACACTGCGTATACTGAACAAAAGTGCTACTAACCTACCGTTTGCCTACTGTGCTAACAGGCCGGATCGAGCCCATATTTCCACTTCTCTAGAATTATGCTACCGGTAGCCATTGAGTCGACTTATTCTGGCGAGCCTAACACCGTACCCTGCCGGCCATAGTTTGCAGCTCCATAGTGTGGCCTGGAGACTGTGGTCGACATTAAGCACCGAGATAGGCAGACGCACTGGCCGTGACGGCCAACGAGTCATGGCATTTCTCGGCGAAACGTCTGTGCCCAGCCCTTCGGCTTCAACATCCCGTAGCGCCTTTCACCACATGCGGCTCTTTGGCTACCGTTGCCATCATGGCGCTTTACGCGCGACCAAGCACTCGCTGTGTACTGTATGGGCAACAATGTCTGCCGACTCCGTGTTCTGGTTCTCCGCTATGTAAGATTATAGGGTTAGGCCGGCACTGGTGCTGCATCGGTGCTTGGTCGCTGCACTCTAACAAAACAGGCAGAACCGGCGGACTTGCGGACAGACAAGCATAGGAGACCATGGCATGTAGACTGCACCCCTTCGCAGATCTGACCATCTTCATCTTTCATTCTCGCATTTCATATCAATGACGCATGCCCATCGTCGAACATGACTAGCAACATACAGATGACTGTCGCAGGTTGTACGAAGGCTGAAGACAGCAATGTCACCACGGGACCTTATAATCTAGAGTCGAGCTGCGACAATGAGAAGGAGCTAAAGGCAACATCCATCTCCGTTGCGGATTGCGAGCTGGGGCCGGCATCGCTTTCTTCGCCTACGGACAGCGACAGTGAGGACCGAGTGGAAGACGATGCCGCATCAATCAGCAATCAGAGGGAGCTCCTCTCCAACAGTCGTCTCATGGTGGCGTTTCCAGCTCTCGCTATCGCACTTTTGTAGGTTCATATGCAAGCGTCAACACGTGAGCTGGTCTGGTGCCATCAGATACGGGATGGTTGACTGCTGCTGATATTGCCTCAAAGCGTCTCTTTCATCGATCAAACATCAGTCTCTACGTCCATACCAGCCATATCCAAACAGCTCAACACCGGTGCAAGCACGTCCTGGATTAGCGCCAGCTTTCTGATCGCCAGCACAGCATTTCAGCTTATCAACGGCCGCTTGAGTGATATCTTCGGCCGCAAGAAGTGCCTCATTGTCTGTCTTGCGCTGCTCGGCTTGGGCGATCTTCTATGTGGATTTGCCAGAACGAAGGAACAGATGTTCGCTTTCAGGGCCTTGGCCGGCATTGGAGGCGGAGGCGTGAACAGTATTGTCATGATCATCGTCAGCGACATCACCACCTTGCAGACTCGGGGCAAGTACCAAGGCATTCTTGGCGCAGTTATGGCGCTCGCAAATGGCACCGGCCCTTTCATCGGAGGCGTTCTCGTGCAGCGTGCTTCTTGGCGCTGGGTAAGCGCAGCGATGTGTAACCCCATCTGAGTGATCCGAGACATAGCTGACCATCGTACCCATCAATTTGCAGACCTTCTTCCTCGTGCCGATGTTGGCCCTACCGGTGACCGTTATCATTGCAGTAGCTTTGCCTTTGAAACACGATAAAGGCAACCACATCGAGAAGTTGAAGAAGATTGACTACGGTGGTGTGGCACTCAATATAGCTGGCACACTCCTAGTACTTGTGAGTCATCGAAAGTTCCAGCATTGTAATCCGTTGCTTACATCTCACAGATTCCGCTGTCGGGTGGCGGTGTCACATACGCATGGCATTCTGCTTTCTTCATTGCAATGTTCACCTCTGGTGCGCTCGTATGCGTGGCTTTCGTCTTGTATGAGTGGAGATTGGCGCCGATTCCCATCATGCCCGGTGAGTCTTCTACATTATCAGCCTACTCTTACCGCGCTTATGAGATTATCAGTGAGGCTGTGGCAGTCTGTGCCATGCACTAGTCTCTATGCTCAGTCTTTTTTCTCTGGCATATGCTTCTTTGGCAATTTCTTCTACATTCCAATCTACTTGCAGAACGTTAAGCGCTACAGTCCCATAATCTCAGGGGCGCTCATACTGCCACTTATCATATCAACCTCTATCTTCTCGATCCTGGCCGGCCTGTACATGGCAAGATCCGGGAGGTATCTGTCGTCAGTCGCCACCGGCTTCAGCGTGTGGACGCTGGCAGCAGGGTTTACCATCACCTTCAGCAAACATAGTCATCTCTGGGCTATTATCATCGTGCTGCTGGTGGAGGGAGCTGGTATTGGGCTCACTCTCCAACCAACATTAATCGGCTTGCTCGCCAATTCGCGCGAGGAAGACCGAGCTGTTTGCACTGGGCTCAGAAACTTCGTGCGGACTATCGGTGGAGCCTTCGGTCTAATCCGTAAGCACTCTTTACAGATTACTGGTGGCCATGGCTGACTTAGTCGCAGTATCTGGCGTCATCCTTTCGAACACTCTATCCACAAACCTCAAAGGCGATACGTACGTCTCCGACCAGATGCTGACAACACTTACCTCTTCTATTGACAGTATTGAGCAAGCGGGCTTGACCGATGTGCAAAAAGACCGCATTCTCGATGTTTACATGCAAGGCATGCATTACATATTCATCTTCTATACGTGCAGCATCGCCGTGAATGTCCTGCTGAATCTTGGCATTGGAAACACAAACCTAACGGCAAGAGGCAAACTCAAGCCACAAGATGAGCAGAGCAGCCAAGAACGTACTTCAGGCTCAGCAGCCGTAGAGGAAAATTAGTTGATTAGGATTGTCGATAGCTGAGTGTATGCGCGATGTGTACCCTAAATGTACATCCAATACCCAATTTTGCGACAACAGTTGCTAGAGGGTATCGGAAGTCATGCTGGTTGCGTTCAGTGGCATGGAATTACAACCGAAATTTGTGCATGATTGGACGGTACCTGCGCGAAGCTAATGCAGTCAGACGTGAGTGGGACCCTGTGTCGGCGAGGAATCATCCGCATGTTGCTGTTTCCACTACTGTCACTGCTTCCATCTTCTAAACAAGGAGTGAGAACAGCCGTGGTCCACCACGAGCGGAGCAAAGTAAGTCAATGCTGGGCACGAAATTTGCAAGGTCGCGACGCAGAGCGAGTTGAGATCGCGAGCATCTGCCGGCCTTGCGATAGGCCGAAGTACAAGGCTATGGTTGGTAGCCCCATATCGTATATATGTAGGTCTTGTCGTCGAAGTGCTCTGCCAATATTCTGCTTCGATCGAGTGAACACCTACCAAAGATGCCTTCGACATACGTTCCACATCCGGAATACCACTATGATCGTGACTTCTGCGGATATGGTGAGGAAGGCCTTCCTCAGTTGAAGTGGCCGAACGGGGCAAAGATCGCTGTATCGTTCGTGATCAATTATGAAGAGGTAAGGCTGATAGCGAATACAGAGCTATGGGCGGCCTTGACAAGTTCTTAGGGTGGCGAGCGATCCGTGTTGGCTGGCGATGGACAGTCCGAACAGAATCTCCGTGAGAACCCGACAGGCCCACCGCGAGTCAACGAGCGCAACTACAACGTCGAGTCGGAGTTTGAGTATGGCAGCCGTGCCGGATTCTGGAGACTGTTCCGCCTGTTTAACAAGTACAAGATGAAGTTTACCCTGTACGCAGTGGCACAAGCCGTTGAGCAGCAACCGGAAGTTGCGAAACGTTGTGTGGACATGGGCCACGATGTTGCTTCCCATGCTTATCGATGGGTCGAATATCACGATTTCAGCATCGAGAAGGAAAGGGAGTTCATCAAGAAATGCATCGAATCCCTGAAAAAACTCACCGGCTATGCTCCAAAAGGATGGTACTACGGGTATGTAGAGCGATGTCTAGGACCACCCGCGATTGTCTGAAACATAGCTGACTCTCCAACCAATCAACCTGCAGCCGAAACTCGCCTCACTCGCGAACGCTCGTCCCGCAGGTCTACGAGGAGATGGGAGAAGACCTCCGGTGGATGTCCGACACATATGCCGATGATGTACCGTACTGGATTGATCTGCCGTACGAGAAGGACAAGTCCGATGCAAAGGGCTGCCTCATGGTCCCTTATAGCTACGACTGCAACGATTTCAAGTTCCACGTGGTCGGATCTGGTTTTAGAGGCCCAGAGTCATTCTTTGCGCACATGAAGAATGCATTCGATGTGCTGTACGAAGGTGCGTGTGCCCCATTCCTTGTGCAGATAAGATGGCCACTAATATGCAGCAGAGGGTGAAGAAGGTCATCCAAAGATGATGACGATTGGTCTGCACAATCGCATCATTGGCAGGCCTGGACGCTTTAAGGCTCTCCAGGATTTTGTTGATTATATTTCGAAGAAAGAAGGCGTCTGGGTGGCCACAAGAACCGAGATTGCTGAGTCCTTCAGGGAGCAGTTCCCATATCAGAAAGGACTTTTGGCGAAGGCGAAGTGAGCCTTCTTGGTACTTGTTCCTCGCTCAAAAATGGTCGTAGAAATTCAAGACTTATCAGTACAAACTCCACATCGGGTCGCCTGTCTGCGACCAGTCGACCGCTTGGTCATAGTAGAAAGTGGCAGGCTGGATGCCTGCCTCTATGTCCGAGTATTGTTGCTCCGGCAGATGATCTCCACCATAGCCGAGCATCTCATCAAGCATACGGACAGCCTGCCAGCCGCCAGGGGCCTCTTGCTGAATGTCGCACACAGCCTCTTTCATCGGCAGTCCGGTGCTGGTTGTTCGGCAGGCTGGATCCGATAATGGTAGTCCCTGCTCGTGGTAACTATGGGTGGTCGAACTCATCGCAGCCTTCATCAGTGTTCCGGCAAGGGCATCAAACATGTCTCTGTACTTTACAGCACCAGGCCATTTCTCGCCGAAAATCGTACAGATCTGAGTGCAGGCCTGGATTGCTTCCATTGCATCATAGTCGAAGAGACTTCTCTCGCGCCACAGGCAATACACCAGGGTCAGCCCAGCTACGAAGCAGGAATGCAGCGCCGTTATGGTGTAGCTGAGTATTCGTTGCTGATTCAGCTTCTTGTACGTCTTGCACACAGCGGAGGCCGACCGCAAGCCGGCAGAGAATCGGTGATCGTCCGCTTGCAAGTTCGGCAACAGGGCCACGAATATGCTTAGGAGCGTTTTGTGGTATTGCAGGTCGAAATACTCCCTGGAATCGTGGTATGCGGCTTCAGGATCAACCATCCACCTTGCCGTTTCTGACTGGATTGACGGCTGAGGAATATCGTCTCTCCAAGCGTCCATATCCATGAGCATGCTGTTAAGCTTGGCATTCGTCCCACTGTCGTTCGAAGAGACGGCGGCAAGAACGTCCTTGTCGCAGCGGAACAGGAAGCCTTGCACACGAGATTGAATGCGACGTAACCGAACGATGTGCAGGAAAGGCACGACGTTGGACCACCCATGGTCAATATGATGCTCGTCCGTGAGGTTGGTGAGATCGAAAGTAGCTACATTGCTGACTGGTAAGTCTGCATCTACCTCTCGATCGCTGATTGCGAATGGACGTCCTAGTGTGGTACTTGACATGCCTGAGACGTTAATTAGCAGCTTTGCTCCAAGCTGTGTGGCATTGGGATACTCGGGAGACCTACGATCTAAGCAATAAAGAGCCCAGAAGACTCTTGACCGAATCTCGGTATCACGTGTACTTGAGGCTGATAAGGAGCGCCGTTTCCGATGCAAACCCAGCTCCATCGCAAGAGTCATAGCATAGCGGATTTGCGACCATGTCCCACCTCCGTAAGGCGCTCGATGACCGTAAACGACGAGCAAGCAAAGGAACTGCAGAGTCGAGATGTTGCGCTGCTCCAAGATATATTCCATCGGTTCAATGGCCGCGAGTAGCTGGGCCTGAAAGTGTCAGCCTTGCAATCTGCGAGGGTACAATCCCTCTACGCACCTCCGGATCAACAGAACTGGGCTTTTTCATGAGATGTAGAAAACGGGCAGTGATCGCAAACAACAGGTGGAAGATGCTTCGCTGTACGATGGTGAGAGAGCCTGGATCTGCGAGCTGCGCTTGAAAAAGTGCAGCGTAGAGTTTGCGGTCTAGAACAGGCCACCGTGTATGCATTCTCTCGAAGAAGACGTGGAAAAGGTGCGCGGCCTCCCCGCCAACGGGCATTGCGAATGCTTCGGCGCTGGGACACTTGTCCGTTGCGTGTGCGCTGTTTGGCCGGAGCACCCCCATGGCAGAGGCGTGGTTAAGCAGACCATCATCACTGTCCTTGAGCGGCCGGAATATGGATGCTTGAAGCAACCTGGCCACCGTAGCTCCGGAGCTATTTCCCACATAGAAAGGTTCCGGTTCTGCGTCTGTGGCACCTGATGCGCAAAGGGACAGGTATGCGACACCATCAACCAACTTGGAGTCTCTTTGCTCTCCTGGTTGTGTTGTTGGCAGCTGGTCATGACGGTCTTCTAAGCGGCTAGGGGCCGTATAGTGGTCTCGCCCGTATTCGGGTAAGCGCGATTCGAGGAACGCTACCCTCTCCTCCAGCGCACCAATATATCTAGCAAGACATCAGCACGTGGTAACATTATGCGTTACCATGGAGTCTGGACACACTGGGTTTTCCCACCCGGATACTGGGGGCGAAGCACACGTTCGTAAACACAATCTACCTTAACCTTCCGACAGGAAGTACACTGAGGCTGCGAACCATCACACTAGCGCCACCGCGTTAGTGTTCGATGAAACCGAGAATGGTGTAATCGTATACGAACCCGTTGCTTCCTGTGCTTGCATCTCTTGCACGCCAAGTTCACGCGTGCCCTTTTCGAGCTGGGACTCTTCTGCCCGGGAGAGTCCTCCGAAGCCGTCTCCATGCAGTAGGGGAAAGCTTCCACAAGTCGTGTGATGCCTGCAGACGTTCTATCTGGAGGTAGGAGAAACGAAGTGGGTACGGATGGGATCAATAGGAGTTCAGCTTCCTTACCGTAGACCTACCATCCTGACCCGACTTCCACGGGCGGGAGAGGATGCCAATGAGACCAGAATCTTTTCACAGCATCGCTACATTTTGGGCTGGGCGGTAGGCAAGATAGGCGTGGTGGATAACATCAACCGAAGGAACGGCAGAGCGCGGCACAGCACTGACCAGCGATAAATTGTGTCTGGAGTCGTCGTCCCACGACTTCTACCCACGCGCATCATTCTGAACCATAGCCGAAGAAGTAGCAACAGCTCTTTGACATGAAACAAGCACATACGCAGATACGCACTCACCTGCACATCTAGACGCACTACTGAGTAGAACGGCCATGTTCGACGTAGCGGATTGTGCACCCTGTCTGACGGAGTGATTTTTACCGTTCGCTGTGGTTCGTGCTGGACTCTGGCAACGACCCACAGCCATTGTATAGTTCACCTTGGCGAAGTCTTGGACGCTCCGGTAACGTCTCTGCTGCAGCCACCGGCAGGAAAGCTGCCGACGGTCTGCCAGTCTGCCTTATCTCTTGGGAGCTCTGGTCGAGCCCAGTCGAGCGCACGAAGATCTACTGTCCAGCGTACTGCACGAGGGGGGCATATGTATTGGGCAAGTCAGCCAGGTAAGTATCAATTTCTACAGCATTCTTCAAGGTGCTTTTCACATTCTACTTAACCATTACGAGCATCGGTTCCTTTCCCACCCTTCAAACCCTGCGATATGCCTACCATGGAAGGCTTGAAGGCGTCTTTCCGCTCGAGGGACGCTTTCGTAGAATTTTTGCGTGCACCCCAGGAAGCGGTCGGTAGCGAGGGCATGGTTGGCAACTCGAAATGGTCCAACAAGGACCTGGAGCCAACGGCGGTCGAGCAACGGACGTGGTCTTGGTACAATCTGCCGCTATTTTGGTTCACCAACATGTTTGGGACAACAGGCTGGACCGCAGCTTCATCGCTGATTGCTGTTGGCCTGGTGAGTGTCCTGAATCGAGTCTTTGCTGTTTCGACGCTAACAAGTATGCCCGCAGACATGGCAGCAAGCCTTCATATCATGCGTCCTCGGTTCGCTCATATCTGCCATCATGGTCACGCTGATGGCACGCCCTGGGGTGATGTACCATGTTGGCTACCCTGTTATATGCAGATCCGTCATGGGCATGTACGGATCCTTCTTCTTCATCTTCATCCGCGCAGTCGTTTGTATCATTTGGTACGTATATATGGTCTGACGTCCTTCGGCTTCCGTTGTGCTAATTTGATTGCTACGTTTGTAGGTATGGAATCCAAACATACTACGCCGCGAACCTTCTATCGGTATGCTTCCGGTGCATGTTCGGTAGTAGCTGGGTCCACCTGGCGAACACTCTACCGGTTTCCGCACACGTCACGACCAAGCAGCTGTTGTGCTTCTTCTTGTGCTGGCTGATAGAGTTCCCGTTCTGCTTTATCCACCCCACTGGTATCCGACACATCTTCACAGTCAAGGGCATCATAGTACCTCTTGCGACCTTTGGCCTTTTCGGGTGGTGCATGGCGCACGGTACCGGCCTCAGCACTGCGAACGACTTCTCCAAGAAGGCCGCTGCTGCCGGTAACAGTCTGGGTTGGGCAGTTATGACTGGTGAGTCAGGGCATCCCGTACCCGCATCGGGAGACTAACAGCGTGCAGGCATCAACGTAATCATGGGCACGCTCTCGCCCATGCTAATCAACCAGCCCGACCTTGCTCGCTACTGTAAGCGGCCTCGCGACGCCGGCTGGATCCAGGGCGCCTGCGTGCTTTTCACGAAGACCATTGTACTATTCGTAAGTGAGGTTATCCCACAATGACCGGGTATTGTTGTGCTAATGTCTGGCGCCACGGTAGCTTGGCCTAGCCTCAACTGCGTCGATGGCTGGCAAATGGGGGAAGGGTGAGCGTCGCTACACTCACTCTAGACCTTGCATTTTTGGTGGCTGACTCTCTCAAGCGTACTGGAACATCTGGGATTTGCTCAATGCGATTCTGGACCATCACTGGAATGCTACTGCGCGTACCGGCGTTTGGTTCGTAGCAGCTAGCTTCAGTGAGTTCACATCATTTGATTGCTCTATTCGCCGCTGACCCTGTGAATAGTGCTCGCAGCCTTCGCTTCAAACTTCGGTGCTAATTCCGTTCCTTTCGGCGCCGACTGCACCGGACTGTTCCCACGATGGATGACCATCCGCCGGGGTCAGATACTCTGCGCTGTTCTTGGAGTCGCAATAGTACCGTGGGAGCTGCTAGCCAATGCTACCAAGTTCATCTCTTTCCTCGGCTCTTACAACATCTTCATGGCACCGCTCTGCGCTGTAAGTCCATCCATTACGTTAGACAAGTACAAATCAGCTAACTCTGCCACAGGTATTTATTATTCACTATGCAGTCGGGACGAAAGGCAACATTCACGTACCGTCCCTCTACGATGGGTCTAAGACAGGCCTATACCGCTACTGGTCCGGCGTCAACTGGATCTCAGCGTTCGCCTGGTTTGGAGGAGTCATCATGGGTATACCAGGGCTTGTTGGAACGTTTCAGCCCAAAGCAGTTCCGAAGGCAGCAGTGCACATGTATAATATGGGCTGGATACTCACATTCGCCACCGCCGCTGCGATTTATTGGGTAGCGCTGCTGATCTGGAAGCCAAGAGTCTTTCCGGCTGGATTCGAAGACGTGCCGGTGACGTACGAATACCTAGCAACACCGTACGGCAGGGATGGCTTCTTCGATGGCGAGAGAGCCGCTACTGCAGTGTCGCCGGACTCAATGAGTGTTGTGGACGTTCAAGTTACAGGGAAGGAGGACAGCAAAGCCTTCGGTGCCTGATCATGGCCAGCGACATTCTTGATGCTAGAGGGAGTAAGCTGAGAGTGCTCGTGGTTACCGTGCATTACATAGTCAATGATGAGTAAGATAACGATTAGCAGTAGCTCTATACACAACCCTTGACCAACGTCACTTACGTGCAGGATGCTGACGTAACACGGCTATCTGCACTCAAGCGAAAACGTGAAGTTGTCGCCGCCTTTAGATACAATAATCTCTTCGTCGGCCAAGCGTGCCGTAGGCGAACAATGGGCCGAGTTCGGGAGATATCGTTCCTAATGGGACTGTATCGGAGCCTTCATCGGTCAGTAGCTGGTAGGAGATAAGTATACTATTCCTCAACGGAACAATTTCCTTGTGACATCTCTTCTGGGTGCTTAAGCGTTAATCGGGCGGCATACCGTTTCGTGTCCAGCCATCTCAGTATGCCGACCGAGCCGTACAGGCTCACTGCTTCCCAGTGTCTTCAAGCCTACAATGACGGCAGCCTGACCGTTGAAGAATACGCCACATCGATCTTGCAACGCGTTAACGAACGGCAGCCTACGGTGAAAGCATGGGCTCATATTGAGCCTACCCAAGTCTTGGAACAGGCGCGCGCACTTGACAAAGTTCCCAAACACCAGCGTGGACCATTGCATGGCGTGGGTATCGCGGTCAAGGATGTTATATACACTAAGGGCATGCCGACACAACACAACTCTCCAATATACGCCAATGACCAGCCCGAGGTTGACGCCGGCAGCATCGTTCTCCTCCGACACGCCGGTGCGCTGATTTTAGGTAAGACCACCACGACCGAGTTCGCCGCAACAGTAGAGGGTGGCCCAGCCACGAACCCGCACGACTCCACACGTACTCCTGGTGGCTCATCTTCCGGGTCTGGAGCAGTGGTGGCCGACTTCCAGGCACCCATCGCTCTTGGCACGCAGACGGGAGGTAGTGTTATCCGACCCGGCAGCTTCAATGGTGTCTATGCCATGAAGCCGACGTGGGCAGCGATTACGCGTGAAGGCCAGAAGATCTACAGTCTCATTCTCGACACACTTGGGTTCTATTCCCGGTCCGTCGACGATCTCAAGCTGCTTGCATCAGTGTTCGGACTGAAAGACGACCAGCCTCCCACGAATCACCATGACGGTGTGAAAGGCCTCAAGTTTGCACTTCTCAGGACAATGGTGTGGGAGAAGGCAGGTCCTGGCACTCAAGCCGCGATGAAGAAGGGCGCTGACATCTTGCGCGCCCACGGAGCCGAGGTCACTGAGATCCAGTTTCCCTCCGAGTTCAACAAGCTTCCAGATTGGCACAGCTGCGTCCTGAAGTCTGACGGTCGGGTTGCCTTCCGTCCCGAGTACCAAGTGGCCAAAGATCAGCTCGATAAATCACTCGTCGAGCACGTAGATGAAGCACATGGCTACACTCGCAAAGACTACTTGGAGGCCTTCGACGGCATATCGGCTCTGCGGCCAAAGTGGGATGCCATCGCCGCTCAATATGACGCCGTTATCGTTCCGTCAGTGCCAGATGAGGCGCCAGAAGGTATCGAGTCAACCGGCAGTGCTGTGTTTAATAGTATGTGGACGGCGCTACATGTGCCCGTGATCAACGTGCCGGGCTTTCAAGGTGAGCATGGCATGCCCATCGGGCTTTCGCTTATCACGGCGAGATACCACGATCAAGCGCTGCTTGAGGTGGCGAAGGTGGTCGGCAAAGTGTGGGAGGAGGAGGGTAGATGGCATAGCAAGCTTTAAAGCATAGATACGAACTGTAATTCGTGAGCTTTGGGGTATCCTAACACCGCTCAAAGCCAATAAGAATGCCAGTGCATCGAACAATGTCAGTAGACGCCCCCAACGCCTCGCTAGCTCTATACAACACCACAAGTCGTCCCTAGCATCGCTTGAGTACGTCGACAACCCACTCCATACCTGCTTTGCCTTCGGGCAAGCCGAAGCCGCACAGCAGCGGGAAGACATGCATCTGCTTCTCCCAGTGCAGCCACTCGCCCGCCACACCGGCTTCCGTGCACTTCTCCCGGAACCGAATAGCATCGGGTGTAAGCATGTCGTAGCCTCCAGTAAGACCGTGCACGCGCACGCCTCTTCTGGCTAACGGCGTGACGTCCTGGTATAACGGTGAGACACGCGGGTCGGTGGCGTCCATGTCCTGTCGCCAAGCTTTCGCAGTACTTTTGATGAATGGAACGGTGAGGATGGGATCGTGTTCAGCGTAAGCCTCGATATCGGGATTGGAGCGGGTAAGGTCAGTGGACGGCGAGAGTGCCATTAGGGCCGAAGGACATGGCGAGTCGGGATCTTCATGCAACGCGCAAAGGGTGAGGGAGAGCATGATGTTGCCGCCTGCCGAGTCACCTCCTAGGATAACCTTGTCCCCCGCTTCTTCTGCATCTTGCAGTAGGCGGCGGTAGAACCTTGACAGTTCGGGCAAAGCTACTGGTGCTGCGCTGTTTGGCGCGAGAGGGTAGCTGACGGCGCTGAACGTGGTGTCCGGCAATCGCCTGGCTATCGCTTCAAACAGCGCCCAATGCTCAGATGATGGCGGCATCTGCCATCCTCCACCCGCGAACCAGTACACCCTCTTCCGCCCTTTCTTCTCGGTCGGGACAGGTCGTCCCTCTGCATTTCGCGGTATTATGTCGTAAACGCGGATCCCTTCGATCATGCGCTCCCGGACGTCGCACTTCTTCCGCACCTTCTTTGGCACTTCCAGCTGATTGGACCCGGCGGGATATTCTTTCCGAACCTTGGTAAGCTGCGAGTTGAATGGCTTGACACAACTATGCACTATAAGCATGCATATAGAACGACCGGTGCGCTTCGTGACGGTGATCCCAGGGCGGTGTTCTGGCATGAGAGAGCCATCGGACTGTGCGGGATCTAGCTTCATCTTTTCCATTGGAAGTTACAGCATTGTGAAAGAAGGGAAACAGAAGAGTGCCTGTAAGGATGGAAGCCAAAGCAAGGTACCTACGGTTGCGCTCTCCTACCACGAGGCTCGCACATTGCATGCTCCATACGAAGTGCGGTGCTTACAAAGGTCGATGCATTGCGCGGCTGGGCTGGGCGGAAACCCAACAGGCTTGCCATGTGCGCAATCGTCGAGCCGCGAGTGTCCGAAAGAAGCGTGATGATCGATGGAAGCGAACCCTGTTTCCGCATCTCAGATCGCCTTGGCGGTTGGCGATTAGACTCGCATCGAGCGTGGCAGCTTAGTACATCCTCTACACGAACGAGAACAGGCTCTAGCCTCGTTGCTCAATCTACCTTCTCTGCCGTGTCACTGTGCTGGCCTGGTATGTATGACTCTCTGATCTGCTGTTCCTGAGCCTTCCATCTGGTTTGCTTCGAGTAGGAGATAAGGGACGGATGGCCGTCTCCGCGCCGACTCGGCAACTTCCGCCCAAGTGAAATCGCAAGCTTCGAGCGAGCAAGCGCAACGACCGCATGAACAGTGCTGTGCGCCTTGGCGCATTGAACCAACGCTTTGAAGTCACATCGTCAGTACCAATATAATAACCGATCAGGTCGGCGAGCTAGCAGTGTGCGAGTCTTAGAGAGCGTTCAATCACATCGCTCACTCAAAACAGCACTCGAGCAAGATGAAGGTAAGCGGTGGGAAGTATGCTCGTACCAAACCATCAGTGCTCATTTGCCTACCGCACGACTTATGCGACAAAAGCGAAAGCTCACGAGGCTGAGCATTCCGCCGCATTGTGTTGGAAGCATGTTTCTTCGATCCTCTTGGCACTTGAACATATTCCATTACTACAAAAGACCTTCTTCCTTCCTCTTCTGCATCTCCGTTCTGAACACATCATCTCGTTGCCGCAACACTGCTCCATCGTCCAACCCGTCGGCCTAGCCTCCGTCACCTTCGCAGGTCTTGCCTCCACACGGGACCCGATGGTTGGCGGCGGTGCGTGTGCTGATCGCGGTCGGAGATGGTCATTGGAGTGTTGCATCTTCGCATGATGGAGTCAGAGTGGGGTGCATCCCTCTGAGCTTTGCAAATGGCCGGCGTCGGGTGTGAATGGCAAGCCACTCATCCAAGACCTTGCCAAGAGGAATACATGACGAGCGAGAAGATTCGAGTATTTCTCTCGAGCACCGACATCGAAGCGGCAACGGCAACGGCAACGGCAACGGCGACAACGACGATCTAGCCCATGGTCAGCCAAAAGGCTGAGCAGGGGGCTATTCCCCTCAGTTATGAATGAGTGTGAATGTTTCGAAATCATCATAGGCTCAATGAGCCTTCTGATAACCATGAAAGGATGAGGGATCCTCAACGGGGTTCACCTGCCTTGCCAAGATCAAATGAAGACTCTCCGCGTCTTGTCGACCGATGCATGTGACAAGACCGGATGGACAGCTGTGACCACAGAGACATCTGGCCCATGGTCAGCCAAGAGGCTGAGCAGGGGCCCATGCCCCTCAGCCTTAAAAATGCGTCTGGGTTTTGGATCATCAAAGGCTCACAGAGCCTCGAGACCGTGGAAGTATAAGTGATCCTCAACGGGGTTTACCTGCCTTCGGCAAGATCAAATATGAGAGGCTGCGCTGCTCCTTAGCATGTCTGACGACCGGTGTGACAAGACCGAACGACCGGCGACAGCAGAGACATCTAGCCCATGGTTAGCCAAGGGCTGAGCGGGGGCCTACTCTCCTTAGTCATGAACGACGATGTTTCGGTATGAAAGGCTCAAAGAGCCTCAGACCACTGAACAATAAGGATCGTCCACGGGGTTCACCTGCCTCCCGCCGAGACCGATGATGAGCTGCTACGCTCCCTCCGTGGCATGCTGGGCGACCAATGTGACCGACGAGATGGAAGTTTGAGCATGATGCTGAGGTTCGGCTAGGCAGCGTGCGTACGATGGCCGGCAGAGAAGTCGGGACGATGTAAGCTTAGGGCCGGCGATGAATTGACTGTGCCGAAGTGCTGCATGACGGGGACTCAATGTATGAAGGAAGTGGGTGTAAGGCGAGTAGCAGACGGAGTAGCAAAGTGCGCCAGAAGAGACGAGCACCCAAGAGATGAGAGTTATCGAGTTCTTATGCTACGTCTGCGTCCGATGGTCGTGCGTGGTGTAAACATACAGACTGCAGGAAGTCACTTGCAGGACTGTGGCGAGCAAGTACGAGGAAGTTAGAGAAACCGCTGACTTTTTGTGATAGGGAAGGCGTTGGCCGCTTATGGAAGTAGTTTTCAGGTGAACGGCAACTACAACATGGCCCCAGGGAAGCTCTTCGAGGTAGCAGGTCCATTAGGTCGAAGGCGCAGCACCGCCGTGGCAACTGCACTATCTGAACAGCACGTATGGCGGCGAAGCGCGATCTAAAGACAAGCAGTTCCTTGTCATGCGTACACCATGCAGGCAAGACGGCCGACCATCTTCGTTCCGGACAGCACAGCTACCGAAGAAGTACGGACTCATCTCGGAGAGCGCTGAGGTCTCTGCAGAAAGGACGTCCACGAGGCGCGGAAGCGGTCTGTCACTGTCAGTCAACCACGCCGCATACCACCGGAGAAGCATCGCACGCAATCGTCGGTAGTGCCTCGCTGCATCGTAGTTGTGGTAAGTATCACATGGTATGCAGATCTTGGCAGCCACGAGTTCCGTATATCGCAGTACCGCTTCAGATGCTGAAGTGAGCGGCAAAGACTACGATGTTGGTGCTTGAGTGCTGACAGAGTCGCTTCAGGATGCACGCTACATTACTACCTAGATGATTGAACTTCACAGTACTACGCCCACTGTCTCAGCCCACCGAAAGAGCACACGAAGAGCTTACACTGCAAACACTCCGTTCTACCGCAAAATGTACGGACGAAAACCTAAGACGATGGATACGGCTCCAAGCAGAACAACTCCCCCAAGGGCGTAGCGGAGCATGCGCCGATCACGGTTTCTACTATTTGGTACTTGGCTGCCTCGAATCAGAGCATTAAGTTGTAGCTCGAGCTGTTCTTCCCACCGATGCATTTCACGCTCAAGCGACTGGACGTGATCGTCTACAGCAATTCCCTCGAGGAGCTCCAGGCATGGCACAATCGAGTTCGGCCCCATCGCGTCCGAGTAGACACTGCTCGCCGCTCGAATCAAACGCTGCCTGTGGCTCTCGGACTTCATGCCGAGGGCGCGAAAGAGCTGTAGTGGTTCGGCATCCGAGTCTTTGCTGCAGAAGTCCTTGAAGTACGTCAGCGTAACGAGAACGACTTGTTCATGGCTTAGCGAGTAGTCTGGGAAGAACCTGCTCAGGATCTGTCTCTCGTCTCTCGGCACAAGACCTAGCAGGGCGAAGACTTTATCAACTGGTTCCCCGCACTCAGCCATGTGATGCGCTAATAAGAGGTCATAAAGCGGCTGATACTGCTTCGATGGCGATCTGGATGTCTTTGCAGGATTAGAGGTAACGCCTTGTACTGTTGGCCCCCCTCAGAGGCTAGAAGGCCGTCCCTGCTACCGTCATTGAAGACATCAATGCCGAACCTGGAAACCATGAAGCTCTTCAGATCAAACCAGTTCACACAATACCCGCTGCAGTATAACATGACATCTGACGCTACGAGAAATTCCTGGATGACCCACATACGGCTCCAATACGGTGTCTGAACGATATCCTCGAGGCTCTCATAGAAGTTGAATCCCTCATCATCGACTCTGATGATTTCCTGGAACCCTGGCGCACCCACGTAATGCTGAAGATGTTCCGGGATGCTAGTCAGGCCCAGCCAGACGCTCACCACAACCGCGCGCCTGTAGATCTGGTCCATTACTCCGACTTGTCAAGACTTCTCTGCATCGTTGAATTGATTGGTGCAGATAGCATCGACCCAGAAGTAGTCCCATCGTGGATCTTTTGTCACGTAGTGGAGGCATGACCACAGGTTGGGCTTCACAGAGAAACGTTTTCCATCGACGCGGATCCCTTGCGTTTCGGTGTCCTGACCACATGTGTACGATATCGCCGCGTAGCTTGGGGCTTCGTCGATGCGGCACGTGGATAGTCTAAAGGATTCGGATGTACGAGATCTGTGATTGATAGAGAGCAGCCGCAGGTGCCGCTCGTCTATCGTGTCCATATAGATTGACATGGTTGCAACATTGAGAGAAAGGAGAGGAAAAAGTTAAGCTGTCGTAAGACGCTCCCAATCAGGCTTGTATGTCCGTCGCATCAACGAAGCATTCGTGATTAACGGGGCATGCGGACAAGAGAACATGTTACCCGCGAATACAAGATGCTGTTCTTTCATGCTTCTATGCGTCGTGGATGAACAAGCCAGCCTTGCAGCTGCAGCCGCCGTGGACGACCAATCGCGCTCCTGCATGACTACGGACCGGTGAGTCAAGGTGCAATGAACGGAACGTCGTGTCCGGCACTGTCTGTAAAATACAGGGCATAGCGTGCGCGAGTAAGTACGGATCTGCTCAAGCTCATCGTCATATGAGTCCGCTCAATATCCCATACCTCGTCCCCTACGCCAAGGCGCCTTACCATAGCGACCAGCAATCCAGTACCGTCATACGGTCCCTCTCCGTTCATCACTCGTCCCTTAAGCCACACCATCGCCGTTCAACGCCCAATCCACGTTGTCTTTCAGCCGCTGACAGATCAAACACAAACACATCACACACCACTCCGATGCACCAACGCCCCACCCCTCCGAAACTGCACCGTCTCCCGCCTAACAAGCACCTGCAGCGCCCGATTGAGCGACTGCTCGCTATACCCTTTCCTCTCCACAAACTCCCTTCTCAGCGTGGCAAGGGAAGACGTATACCCGATTGGTAATCTAGACCGCACCACGTCAGTTCCCACCATCACCTTCAATCAGAAAACAAGGGTAGGGGGGGCCGCAAAAACATACCGCCTCCGCAACTCCTCCTCCACTTTATGCACCTCCTCAACCACCTCCCGACTCCCTCCTACCCCTCCGCCTGTCCGATTCCCCGCCATAACAGCATCCATCGTACTCCCCAAAAACAGCCGGATCGCCTCATCAACATGCCGCTCCGTGGCAACGGCTTGCAACTCAATCTTCGCCAAGGCCTCCGTAATCCGCACCAAAGACTCCAACTGCCTCACCGTAATCGGGATGGAGGACCGCTGATTGGCGTCCGCTTCTGCTCGCGCGACTTGCCGGCGGATGGAGACGAAGTGGGAGGAGAGTTTCTCCGCGGCTTCGGCGGAGAGGCGCGGGGCGCAGCGGGATTTGCAGTAGGAGATGTACCTTTTCATTTTTTCCACCGGGATCTCGGATTCAGCCTGGTTGTCGTTGTTATTGTGGCGGGGTCCTTGCCCGTTCATGTGGATATTCATGACGTGCTTGGCGATGGTCTCGTCACGGTTCCGGTCGTGGTCGTCGCGGACGATGAAGATGAGGTCGAAGCGGGAGAGGATGGTGGTTTGGAAGTCGATGTTCTCCCCCGGCGTCTTGAGGTCGTCGTAGCGGCCGAAGATGGGGTTCGCGGCCGCGAGGACGGAGGTGCGCGCGTTGAGGATGGTGGTTATGCCTGCTTTGGCGATGGAGATGGTCTGTTGCTCCATCGCTTCGTGGATTGCTACGCGGTCTTCGTCGCGCATTTTGTCAAATTCGTCGATGCAGACTACGCCCCCGTCCGCGAGAACCATGGCGCCGCCTTCGAGGTAGAATTCACGGGTAGATGTATCCCGCTGGACGGAAGCGGTAAGGCCGGCGGCTGAGGAGCCCTTGCCAGAGGTGTATATGGCGATGGGGCTGCATTTCTCGACGAACTTAAGGAGTTGGGATTTCGCCGTCCCCGGGTCGCCGAGGAGTAGAACGTTGATGTCCCCACGCAGCCGCATGCCGTCGGGGAGGATTTTCTTGCTGCCGCCCAGCAGCAGGCAGGCGATGGCTTTTTTGATATCAGCGTTGCCGTAGATGGAGGGGGCGATGCAGGAGGCGAAGAGGGAGTAGAGGTCCGGGCGGCGGGAGAGCTCGAGGAATTCTTGCTCTTCCTCTTCCGTGAAGTGCATGCCCGCGCTGCCGGAGGTGTTGTGGGAGAGGTCTGTGGAGATGCCGACGGCGCGGAGGTAGGGGTTGCGGATTGCGACTGCGCCGCTGCCTTTGGAGTTCTTTTGGCTGGCGTAGATGCTGAAGACGCCCATCACTACGCAGCGGGAGCCGGGGACGACGCGGTTGGCGAGGTATCTGTCTGCGGAGACGAGGATATGGCGGGGCAGCTCGCCGACGGGGACGTCGTCGGGTGCTTCTTGCAGTTTGAGGACTTGTTGGTCGATGAACTGGCTCTTTTCGTGGACGACGAAATAGGGGTCGAGTGGACACTTGTCGCCGTCGTCATTGGGGCCCTTCTCTCGGCCGCAGATTCGAGGGAGGGTGATGCCAGTGAAGCCGGACTGAACGGCGATGTTGGAGGTGTAGTCGCAGTTCCGGCATTGGATGTGGAGACTGGTGGCTTTGGAACTGAGCGTGCTGGCACCGATGACAATACCTGGGATTCGGACGAGGTGAGAGACATTTGTTGCCGTTAGTCCGCGGATGGTGGTGTGTGTGACGGAGGAGTGGATGAGGAGCTGATGTTCTGGTAGAGCTTTGCCCAGGCGGAGGTCGTCTTCGCTTCTTGAGGGGTAGAGGATCTTCTGTGTGGCGGTCTTGAGTGCGGCTTCGAACTGCAATTCCATTCAGTAAAACAACTCAGTACGGTGTAACGGGGTGGCATTACTAAGGGTATAATATCCGCCGGCTCATTGTTCAGCCTATGCGCCAGGTGCTCGTTGAAGGCGATGAGATGCGCAATATCGACGTCGCAGTAGTACTGTTTCGACAGCACGTTCTCCCGTATCTGATCACTGTACGTCTATCAGTCTCTCTCTCGCTCATACCTCGCTCATCTCCCGCATACCGGTATATGAAGGTGTCTTCCAGCCGAAAGTCGAGGATGAAGTCTACCAGTTCCTGCTGGGTCTGTCTGTTCGTCTCTTGCCCACCATTTGCGCTTCGGTCCTCGCCGAACAGGCTCAACGTATACACTGACTGTCGATCCATGCTTGACTTGTGTCTCCCGAATACGGCGACGAAGGTACTGCACCGTCAATGGTAGCGATGGTGGGAAGCGCGACGCTGGGAAGACGCGACTTGACACGCTAACACATTAGCCGAAGGGTATGCAGTAGCGCCAACAGGTGGCCGGAAGCCGGAGGTCAATAAGCCGACAGCTTTGACAGGTACAGAATGAAGATGTTGTTGAAAGTATGTATTCATTAATCAATTCTAGGTCCGGCAATTGTGTATCCTACAATGCAACATACGCCCTTTGAGGCCTAGACACTCCTCATGAGGCCGTGTACTTCACTCCCTAGCAGCCCGTCATGGCCTCGCCTACTCCCCGTTTCTCCATAGATACCTCGGCCACCACACCCACTTCGCCCACATTCCCTCGCTCAGGCTACCCTTTCCCGGATTCACTACATCGCCAGAACACGGCCAACCGCTATGCGCCGAGACGAGGCAGTAGCGCGAGCACACTTTCGCTTCAATCCATAGGCGGCAGCTTGGATGTCAACAGCAATCACCGAAGAACCAGCAGTAGCGTGCGCGAGACGAGCCAGAATGCCATATCCACACTGCTGCAGCCGCCAATCACCCGGACGGGCTTACCACAACACAACGCGCCTCCTCCAGGCTACAGAGCACCCACAACCCGCGACATACCGCCCGTAACATTGACAAACATCCCTCACGTGCCGCCGGAGAACTTCCGAGACTACCTAACTAGGATTGGGCCACTTTTTGAAAGCTTCAAGCGCGGACGTATCGAACCAGAGCAGCCGGCATGGCTGAAGAAGGACACGGAGCTGGAGAAGACGGATCGCTTCGCCGAGGCGCTGGAAAGGCGGTTCAGCAGAGACGGCTCGGTGTCTCCTGCTACCCCACGACAGCCTTCTTCTGCCACTCTTTCACCGACACCGGAAACGCCTGGAGGGCCAGGAGGGCATAAGCGAAAGACATCGGCAAACATCAGACGCAACCGCAACGAACCAACACCTCTATCTACAATCCCGAGCGTCTACTTCGACGAAGACTTCCACCTCGAAAACCCGCGCACCTTTGACGTCGTCTCAGAACGAGCAGAGATTGTGCGTCCACCGCTCGGCCAATCTTCACCCGACCCGAAAGCGGCCAATGGCGCACCGCATCCTCCGCGAAAAGCACTGGCCACTAATGCGATCTTGCAGGAGAAGTTGAGTTGGTACATGGATACCGTAGAAGTCCACCTAATCAACAGCATCAGCACGGCCAGCACGGGCTTCTTCGCCGCCCTGGGAAGTCTGAAGGAGTTGCAGACGGAGGCGGAGGAGAGCGTGGCGAAGATTCAGAGTTTGCGGGAGGACCTAAGAAAGTTGGATCGGGAGGTGGCGGTGGGTGGGTTGGAGGTGGCGGCGAAACGGAGGAGGCGTGCGAATGTTCGGAAATTGGCGAAAGCGACGGCGCAGGTTGAGAGGGTTGTGGAGGAGGTGAAGAGGGCGGATGAGTTGGTTGATGAGGGTTGCTATGATGAGGCGGCTGATCAGATGGATCGAATTGGGAGGTTGGTTTGCGGGCGGGCTGAGCCGGGAAGTGGCGGCGAGGATGGCGATCTGATGGATCTGAGACCGTTAAAGGCGCTGCAAGGGCTGGACGCTGGACTGCAAGAACTGCAATACCGTATTGGTGCAGGCTTTGCTCAACGCTTCACCTCGATCTTGATGGACGACGTACGCCAGCACGGTGAAAGAGTACCGAAGTCGGACACTCTGAAACGATGGTCACGCCAACGAGGTATACCACCACTGTACATGGAAACGAACGATCCTTTCCGCCAAGATCTTCTCGCGGCACTCAAGGGGCTCAATCGCGCAGGGTATACGGCCGCCGCAACGACTGCCTACCGAGACGCGGTACAGAGGGAGATGAAGGCCATCATACGCAAACACCTACCCAGCAGCAGCGACGACGACGCGGATAGTATGGTGTCCACCTCTACCCGCGGAGGCGGTAAGTTGAGCCAGCAGGAGAAAAGCACGATCCTAGCGCGTAACTTACGTGCAATGGACGCGGAGGATGCGGAGAAATTGCTCGTCCACATCTACACCGCTATTGGAGAGGCATTGAGGAGGATCAGTACGCAGACGAAGGTGTTGCTGGATGTGACGAGTAGTATGCAGCCTGCCTCTACCCCGACACCCCCCAATGGCAGCGCCCACCCCAACAACGACGTGCAACAAGACGAACTGTCGCAAGCCCTCGACCTCTCCAGCCTCCTCGGCCAAGCCGTCGACTCCGCCCAGACCCAACTCACCAAGATCCTCAAAGTGCGCAACGAGCAAGCCGTCCGGCTCTCCCCCGAGCGGTTCGTGCGGTATTTCACCCTCAACCGCCTTTTCGCGGACGAATGCGAAGCCGTTTCTGGCCGAGGCGGGCAGGCGCTTAAGGGGTTGGTGAATGCGCAGGTCTCCGGGTTTGTGCAGGTGCTGGGGACGGCGGAGTCGGAGAGGATTGCTGGGTTGTTGGATCGGGATGATTGGAATGCGAAGGATTTTGGTACCAATGATGAAAAACTGTTGCAGAGGGTGTTGGGGGGGATGAGTAAGGATCCGGTTGAGTGGGGACGGAGCGTGCGCCCGGTGTGGGAAGAGGTTGGTGGGGCGGTGGAGGAGGCGGTGGTAGGGGTGAATGGGGAGGGGAAGGGGAAGGGGATGAATGGTACCGTGATGGCGAATGGTGAACCCGCGTCTGCGACAGCAACGCCAGCACCCCCTACGAAAGCACCACCAGCCAAACCCGCCCACATCGACGAAACGCGCTATATCCTCGTCGCCTCTGCCATCGGCCTCCTTCCGACCATTGATTCCTTCCTCGCTCTTACCACACACTTAGGTCCTTCCATGACGCCCGCCCTCGCCACCGCGTTGCTCGACGTATTGCGGACGTTTAATTCCCGCTCCAGCCAGTTGGTGCTCGGCGCGGGTGCGACAAGGGTAAGTGGGTTGAAGAACATCACTACCAAGCATTTGGCCCTGGCCAGTCAGGCGTTGAGTTTTGTGGTTGCGCTGGTGCCTTATGTGCGGGAATGTGTGCGACGGCATTTGCCCGCCGCAAGTGGTGGGGGAGGAGGTGGAGGGGTGCTGGCAGAATTCGACAAAACGAAACGCAGTTTCCAGGACCATCAAAGTCAGATTCACGACAAGTTGGTTGAGATTATGACGACTCGCTCCGCTATCCACGTCAAAACGCTCCTTTCCGGCCCTACTGTCCTCCCGAACGGAGCAGAGGTGTCGCCGTATATGGACACCCTCACTAGGGAAACCCAAACGCTTCACCGCGTTTTGGCGAGGCATCTGGCCGAATTCGACGTGAGTCTGATTATGCGTAGGATTTTCGACGCGTATCGGGAGCAGTGGGTTAAGGCGTTTGGGGAGGTGGTGGTGGGGAGTGAGGAGGCGGGGAGGAGGTTGGTGAGGGATGCGGAGGTCTTTGAGGCGAGGGTGGGAAGAATTGAGGGGGGAGAGGGGTTGGGGAGGGAGATTGTTGAGTTGGTTAAGGGAAGGGTGAGGAAGGGCGGATAGGGTGAAGTTGAGGCACTGTGATGGCTGAGCCTACGATTGGTAAACAAGCTAGCCCGTGATTGTGTTGCCAACTCCCAGCCGGATCTTACTATTGATGGCACTCAAGAGAAGGTCGTAGAGGTCTGACAGCGCGAAAGTGGTACCAGTACAGAAGAGGTAGTGCTCTTATGTTCACGTCACACATACAATGCTCCATCGCGGCATGCGCTGCTGACGACGCCGACAACTGCAATCCGCCTCAGACCGTCCGACCCTTTTCAGACCATGCACCGATCTTTTCTAGGCCTTACATCCATCCTTTACATTTCCCATTGCATCTATTTCCAGACATACACCCGTTGTTTTCACACCCACAACTCCGACGTTACCCGGACGTTATAGTGCCGGCACGGCACCCTCCACTTGCTCCTTCAACACCTTCCGCAAGACCTTGCCTGCTCCATTGCGCGGCAAGCTGTCCACGAATACGACCTCACACCGCGAGACTTTGTACCCGGCTAACCGCTGCCGCAGGTAGTCCCGAACTTCTTGCTTGGTCAACGTACCCTCCGTAGACATGCCGCCATTTCCACTTTTCCTCTCACATTCCAACCCCGAGTCGAAGTAACTCCCGCCTTCGCGGCGTGGCGCAGTGACGGCATCCGGTCGACGCACCACGCAAGCGACCGGCCGCTCATCCACATCCTGCCCTGTCCCATACACCGCCGCGTCCGCGATTAACGGGTGCAATAGCAACGCACTCTCCAGCTCCGTAGGTGAGACTTGCCATGCATTCACCTTGATCATATCCTTGGCGCGATCGACGAGGTAGATCTTACCGTCGCGAAGGTAACCGATGTCGCCAGTCTTGAGCCAGCCGTCGGGTGTAAAGGCTGAGATGGTGGCAGTGGGGTTGTTATAGTAGCCTGACATGATTTGCGGGCCGCGAACGAGGAGCTCGCCTGCTTCGTCATTGTTGTGTCGAATGGGGCTGTCGGCCATGTCTGTGTTCGCAGTGGAGATCTTGACTTCGAGGCCCGGAAGAGGACGGCCGACGGAGCCGCTCGGGTCATCTTCGAGGCGACTGAAGGTGGAGAACCAGCCGCCTTCGGTCATGCCGTAGACAGGTACCAGACGCGGTGGCGTTTCGAAGACGGAGAGGAATTTCTTCCGTACGTCTCCGCCAAGTGGTGCGCCGCCGAAGTAGACGGCTTTCAAGCTTGAAAGGAGGTGGCGAGCCTCGAGCGGGCGCTCAACGAGCTTCAGCAGCATTGGTGGCGCGCCGAAGATCTCTGTGATGCGCAGGTTATGGACTTTCTGCGCGAACGTCTCGTCATAGCGGCGCATGAAGTAGGTTGGGTGGCCAAGACGGAGCGAGTTGAACAGCATTTCTGGGGCGGAGAAGGCGTGGAAGATTGGAGTGCAGAATAGCCGGCGCACTTCGTAGGGCTTGCTGGCGTGGTTATCTTCGATGGCGGATAGTTCGAGCATGATGGACTGCTGCGTTCGAGCGGCCAGTTTTGGCAATCCTGTTGTTCCAGAGGTTTGCATGAGTGCAGCAATGCTGTCGATCCGAGGCTTTGGAAGCAGCCCAGACGAGCTGACTATTGGATAGAGGAGCTCACGCAGCGTACGGTGACATGAAGTAGGTGTCTGGATGCTGTTTGACGTCACCCTCCTGGCTTGGTTGCTTGAGCTCGCGGATCGGAGAAGGTCTTCGAAGATGATGATCTCCGCTAAGGTGCCACTGACCTCTACAGCAGCCTCGACTACCGGTACATGCTCCGGCGATGTAATGACATACCGTGTCTGCGAGATGCGAAAGTGGTGCTCCAGCTCCATAACGGTGTAGGCGGGATTGGTGCCAGTCCAGCGACAGCCGGATGATAATATGCCTAGTACGAGCACCGGGTACAGGACGTCATTCGGAAGATGAAGACACACCGTGCTGTCGGCCGTGAATGCGCCGCCTAATGCTTCGACGAGCTGACAAGCCACCGTTCCCGAGATGAAGCGAGTAGTGTCCGCTGCATCGACGAGGATCTAAGCATGTCAGTGACGGTAAAAAGAACAGAGCGCAAGCGACGTACCGGCCAACCCTTCTCTCTTGCACCGCTCAGGGTCCATGAGACCAGGTCTGTGTGTGGTGGGAGACGGTTGTTATCCATGTCATGGTGCGGAGCGACTGCCCCTTCGATAGCCATCGTGCTGCAAATGCAGTGTCTATAAGTGTGTAGATTGTAAGCCTTAAGTCGCCAATTTGTACCATCGGGATGGCGATGTGAACGCACCGCACCTTGGTGTCAGATCTTCGGTGTGTAACCTTACCGATATTTCGGATCGGTTTCGGCAGCCTTTCGTCTGGGCCTAATAAGGCAGGCACGAGCCGTTTGCTAATGTGGAGCAAGACGCTGAGATCCCGGCAGACTCTTGACAATGCATATCGCACCCAGCGGAATACGTCGACATCTAACAAAGGCCAAGGTAACGTTCTTTCATCGTTTAGGCCTGGCCCGGTTGCGCGGGTCAGCGCAAGAAACACTAATGTGCTCATCTTTCGTAAGCAGCAAGTTCCTCCTGTGAAAGCCGCTCTTTTCCGTTCCTTCTGCGGCGGTGAAATTCGGCGTTCACACGTGGTGTCCCTTCCACAGTCTAATGTAGGAAAGTATGTTTCGTGCTCAACGTTAGGAGAAACAGTGTGGAGCGTAACAAGACATGATAGCTGGAGAGGTTCAGTACCTCCACACCTACAGCCGAGCTGGACGCCCTACCGTCACGGAGCATAGAGCCCTAATATCGGGCCCTTGCTTCACCACTACCGGTGTGAATCCACTCGTGATTGCGCCGTGCGGGAGCCATCCTGTCGATGAAGACGGAGTTCAAGCGTACTATGCACTCGGATGAACCCTGGTCGGCGGGACTGCTTTGCTTGCTTCAACATAGTTATTCGTGGGAAGAGTGCGCTAGATCTGGTCTGCGCTGCTTTTCTTCACATTGTCCACAGGATCTCGTAAGTGAACATTAGGCATCTCTCAAGCGTGCAATTTCGTGATCAGGCTCGGTGCGCCCAATAGCACAGCATCAGCACTCGTTACCCTTACGCACACACAGTATGTCCGTTGTTACGCTGGAATCTTCACTTTGAGATGCGCAAGTGAATGGGGTGGAGTCTTTTCACTGAACCGTGAAGCATGGTAGAGTTGCTGCGGTGTAACATTCCCCAACCGCGCGGCTCCTTCCACTTGGCTCAGGCTGCATGTCCAGGCCGCTTTAGGTTCTTAGTCGATACTGTGCCTACCAAGACGGGCAGATTGCCTTGCACAAGAAGTCGGGACAAGCTCGAGGGAAGGCGCGCCATACCGCATACGGTGGGCGAAACCCGATGTCGCACGGACCATCACCCTTTCCCCGACACCCATCACTCATATCTCCTCTCCACATCCACATCGTTCGCTTATCTGTACCACACTGGCAGATATATGCATTCACTCCGCGTGGCGTTGCGTGCGGAATGAGGTTTGGCAGGCGACACTGATGTCCATCAAAGGATGCACCACCCTATGTAAGAACAAAAGCGTGCAGTGGCATGGTCACGAAAACGTCCGCCACTTGTATATGACACGATTCAGGACCATTCAGATTCTGCGGAGAGCAAGCCCGCAGCCCAGTTGTGTACTTCCGTCGTCGATTCAGCCAGCTCTCAAGTACACGCTGTGCGTTGAAGTGCGTGTGGCATCACGTAGATCAATGCCGCCGAGCATGTGCGCAGCCGTAACCAAGCCTCAAAATGCACACACCCTCTTACAGTGCGGGATGCTGCCTATTACAGCACACGGATCTAATGGCAACGCAGCTCACAGTGTGCATGTATGCTGCGAACATCACCGTTGGACACCTCAAAGGCGAACCCTTGATGTCGCCGTATGCGACGGTCGCGGGCAGCCTTCCCTGCAGCCACATGGCATCGTTAGCAGATCAAATCCACCTTACGAAGTCTAAACCTGCAGTCAGAGTCTGAACGTATCAGGGCACGCCACCAAGGTGCAGATTATGTGAATGGGCACGCCAACCGAGGTGTTGCGAAAACGGAGCTGCGTAGCTCTGCGCTTGCCTGTCCGCCTTACGGCGTTTGCATTCAACATGCATGCGAGCTCTTTCCGTCTCGTCCAGGCACGCGGTTCTTGAAGATGAGTTCCTTCCGTCTCGACTTTGCTGACCGACGGATCTCGAGTCACCCGCTCTAGGTTCCCAACGACACATTCCTGACGACACCTACACGTTCTGACACCGCCCCCCGCGGCATTCTCTGCTGTTCTCTGCGGTAAATGCACGCTATACATCATATACTAGATACATTTGGTCACTGAGACCAACTCTCACAACCTTATCAGCCCGCGGGTGTCAAAATACAAGAACTCGCCTGCTGCAGACTTTCAGACAAACGCTACGCAATGCCAAGGGGCGATGACTCCCCCCTTTACCATCCGCGCTTCACGTTCGAACCAACAGATGAGTCCGACGACAGTGTCCTAGAGTATTGGCAGCAAAGCCGAAGCGACCGCCTACACCGACAGAGCCGCCGTCGCTACGGTGTCGTAGGCTTTCCATCTCCTGAACACTTGACACCGGTTCATCTGGTGTCAAACTTTGGAATGCCTCATCGCCCGAGTAGGCTAAGTGCGCAGAGTGCACTTCGAGCCGTTCGCAACAGCCTCCTGGTCGAGAACCTGTCAGATTCAGGACCATTCAGCGACCCAGAAGCCCTTGTCTCCGCGACCTACCTGAGCCGGCCTGTCAGACCAGCGGTGTCTGCAAAGCAGCGGCCTGAACCGCTTACGCTGCCAGACAAAGCCCTCTTTCGAGACCAGCTTAGCACTTCCACGCTTGCCAGCAGCTTCACGACTACTGACGAGAAATTCGAGGATGACCGGCTCGGGACTGTTTACACCCTCAAACCAGTCAAAGACTACTCTGACAAGGTCGCCACCAAAGACCAGCTAGAAGTGGTCAGGGTCAGCCATCCATTACCGCCTATTGCCAGCAGTATGCGCATCGCCCGCATCCGCTACCTCTGGCTAAGCTTTTATCGGCGGCTCATGCTTATTGTACTTGTCATCAACATCATTGCCATATCTGCCCTTGTCGGTAAGGAAGCTCGTCATCGTGGATCATTCGGCTACAATCAGGCGGCCACAGCTGTCGGCGCCAACCTTTCGATTGCGGTGCTCATGCGGCAAGAGCACGTCATCAATTTGCTGTTCCGCATCGCCCTTCTATTGCCGCACTCGACCCCGCTACAAATCCGCCGCCTAGCCGCAAAGCTCACGTACAACAACGGTGGGGTGCATTCCGGAGCGGCCATCAGCGCGCTGCTTTGGTACGTCTTCTTCTCCGTTCTTGTTGTTCGGCAGTGGGTCGGCCCACCCATAATGCTGCGGGCAGTTGTAGCCCTAACCGCAGTGCTTCTCGCATCGTTCGTGACGATCGTGGGGATGTCACACCCCGCCGTCCGCCGGGCATACCACAACCAGTGGGAGCTGACGCACCGTTTCGGTGGCTGGACGGCTATAGCACTTGTCTGGGCTCAATTCCTCATTCTTGCTGTTGTCGGGGCGAATGCAGGACACACATCCCTCGGCCTTGCACTCATTCAGCAACCGAACTTCTGGTTCCTCATAATCATCACTTGCTGTCTCATCTACCCGTGGCTTCGCACTAAGCGTCTGTCGTTCGAGGCCAAGCAACTCTCGACCCACGCAACGCAACTGCATTTCAACGACCGCAAGCTTCTCACTTGTCGGGGCGTCCGTCTAGCACACAACCCGCTACTCGAATGCCACGGCTTCGCCACCATTCCCGACACGGATACGGACAAAGGCTACAGCGTCGTCATCAGCAATGCCGGAGACTTTACCCGCAAAATGATTGACTCTCCGCCAAAGCACATCTGGATCCGTGGCGCACCAACCACCGGAGTCATGCGAGTATCCTCCATGTTTCACCCACTCGTCGTCGTCGCTACCGGCTCAGGGATTGGACCGTGTTTGTCTTGGCTCAACATGCATCACGGCTACCCAGTCCGTGTCATCTGGTCTGCTCGCAGCCCGGAGACGACGTACCAGAGCACCATGATCCGCGATGTGCTCAGGGCGGACCCGCAGGCCTTGATCATCGATACGAAGCAAACAGGTACCCCGGATCTGGTGGCGCTGGTCTACTCTCTGGTCAAGCAGAGTGGAGCGGAGGCGATCACGATTATTGCGAACCCGAAGGTGACGCAGGATGTGGTGTTCGGGATGGAGGCGAGGAAGATTGCGGCTTTTGGGGCCATCTTCGACTCTTGAGCATGCATCGTGTTGTTTCCGCGGGTTTATGCGCGGTCAGAGTTGTGATAAGGGTTGTACGGTCAACGGTCATGCTGGAAACGCCAATGTATTTCGGCTGCGGTCCTGCATATCGTCGGAGTACGGCTGGTCTCACGCTGCGGGAAACGCTGGTCCTTGACGTTGTTTCGCAATATATGCGCCTGTCCGTGACAAATAATATGCTGTCAACGATATGCAAGCTGCGACAGACGTAGGCTTTCCAGCATCATTTTTCTCATCAGAATACAGTACCCCGCTTCATCCATAGCTACCAGCCTGAAACGGTCCGTCGAGCGTCTGCTCCGCGTCCGCAAGGTTCACAAAGGGGTCAGTCAGATCCCACGCGTTACCGAAGACGGCGTCGAAAGCTTGGAAGTCAATCATATCGCAGTCGTTGAGAGTGCTGAAGTCCAGCTCAAAGTCCATCGCCGTCGGTGCACACGAAAGAGTGGGATCCTCGGACGAAGTCGTTCCGCTCTGGAATGGTAAGGCTGGTATGTGCTGTAGCATGCTGACCGAAACCGGTAACGACGATTTAGCAAGGCCAATGTCCACCGCTTGTTGAAGGTTTGATGATGCTGCATCGACACCGTGCTGTACTGCTCCGTCGCCATTGAGGAGCTGCGAGGCCGGTGTAGGCGCGATGTCTGGGATTGACCTGCTCAGGAGCTGCTGTCGTTGATATTTGGCGCGAACAATCAGTGTATTGACATGCTCCCAGGATGCCTCGCCCGCCTTGGTCGCATACATGCGCTCCCAATCACCCAATATTGGATCCAAGACAGCCCACGCAGTGTTGCTGAACTCCACGTTAGTGCTCCGGCCCAGCTCTGCCACTACGATGGCCATTGAACTAGAACAACCGTTAGCTCTATATCAGGCAGAAGATAATGCTTCCGGGTCACATTCACATACTGCCATTGCACATAGCCACGGAAGAACCAATGCCATGAGCGCAGTCGCTCATCCATAGCGTGCAAATGCGTAGCTTCAATGATGGCCACGGATGAGTGCAGCAGCCGGTGGCGTGCGGACGGACTCATCTCGCTGGTTGGGGGTTGTCCAAACGGGTATTCGGCCATCATCTTCGCTTTGTGCATCATGCTAGCAGCGAATGTAAGACACAAGAAATCAAAGGGTCTCGACTTATCGAGGTATTGCTCATACTCTGCCTTTAGCCGCGCTTGATAGCGCCTCTGAAGAGACTCCAACTCTGCTCGTTGTGTGGGCTCGCTGGGGTTAGTCCGTCGCTTCAAGGCCCACATGCTGTGCACATAACGAAAGTTCTCGAAGCGGATTAGACTGAACGTCATATCCGTGGCTCCGGATCTGGGTAGGGGCACTCGAGCAAGGTGTGGGTCTAGGTCGATATCGTTGAGGTTGGCAGGAAGGCGCACATTGCTGTCGTCCATAATGCTCGTTTTCCTACCTGTCGTCTCCTCCGCCGCCTGAGATTCCAGGCCGCATATGTGCCACCACAGACGCCTTCTCAGCTCGGCGGCGAATGGTCTGACTGACGTTGTCGGGTCCTTGTTCAGGCCCATCATCTGTGCTAAGCGGACAGCCAGAGCGAAGAAAGCCGACAGCCGTGCTGCATCGTCCTGCCGCCGAATACCGATCATATATAGTACGAGAGCCTGCAGGATTTCGAGGGTAGGGGTGCCGTACGTATTTGTAAGGCTTAACTCTACTGCTCGGCCATATCTCTGGAGTAAAGAGGTTCGGCTCTCATGAAAGCGTCTTCGCGCTTCGTCTGCTGTGCACGTGCTGACGGCAATGTAGTAGATGCTGAAGAGTAAGGTTTCCTGTGCAGACTCCAGGGGTTGCAGCCGGTCCGCTGCAGCAATAAGCTGTTTCATGGATGTGGGACAGTGAATGATCTTAGTTAAAGGGTCGACCCTTTCGACGAAGAGATGCCAGTACTCCATCAAAATGCGTGCCGGCGGATGCACAGTAGTCCGTACTGCAAGACTACTTTCCTGGGTCGGTCGCCCATTAGCGTTACCTGCCATGCTTTCGACTGTCGAAATCAGCCTCTGTCATATCCAACCATTCGTGCTGCGTACAGTCTGCGTAGCTGCGCGTTGTGAAGCAGATGAGAAAGTGGTATTGGACATACCCTGAGCGTTGTTAGTCAAGTGGTGACAGCGCAACATCGTGACTTACGTGAAAGTGCATCTCGTGCACCGAAGACGTTGTCAGAGCGATAAGTGCATCCTTTACGAGCTCACTGGTATCTGCGCCGGCCTCGAAGGCGCCTTCTTGATCTGAGTTCTCACCCGACACAGCATCATTAGACTCACCGGTAGTCGAGCGTCTGACCTTGAGGTGCGTCGGCAGGTCGCTATACGTGCCGTTAGTGGGTTCGAGATACTTAACAATCTGCTCCAGATGTCGCTCGCGTGCTGGTTTGTCTTTCTTGTAAGGTCCGCGCTTGCGTTTCGCACCTGTTTCTGGCGGAGGATATATACATGGTAATTCTGATTTCGTACAGTTCCTGCAACCCCGGGGCTCCCTGGTGCACTTGAGCTTTCGCTGCCGACAACCAAGGCATGCCATACCTGGCTTAGGGGAAGGTGCGGAGGATGTTGCGGACATTGCGGCTAATATGAAGTCGGAGACGAGCTCATGGAAGAATGGTAGTTCCTCCCAATGATGGTGGAGCCTCCGTCATGAAGGCTGCAACCACAGATCAGGTGCGGTGGACATTGGATCTCAGACCCTTCTACCTGTGCTTGTCCCTGCATTCGCGATGGCGAGCAAGTTGGGACACTGCAGGGTGCCAAGCCGAAGAACACCAACATCAATATCTTGTGTATCGGGGTGGCCCTTCATAGCAGTGGCTGTTCCCCACTGTGACCACAACTTGCCCTTGTCATAAGGTTCCAGACCAGAACAACCCTCCCACGCTTTAAGTTCTTCCCTGGCCGCGCTGAGAGGTGTTACTGATTCTGCTTACGGCAGGCACAAAACTGACCCTTAGTCCGTCACAAGACTGCTTCTGCCCAATGTATACCGGAGCTGCAGATCGCAGCTTCAACCACGTAACCTGCGTTCGGAGCCCAAATTAACCTTAACTGCGAAGGGTTGGAGTTGCGCCAAAGCGATACCCCTGAGTTACCCCACGCCGATACAGCCAAATGTGTGATTGGCCTAATGACCGCCACCCGCTCAACCGCTCCTAAATCCAGTTCGCGAGGTGCACTGAGCGGCAGGGTAGCAGCCTAGGCGTGCCAGGGTTCGTGATAGCGAGATGTATGGGCTGTCGAGGTGAGGTAGGTTCTGCATTTCTAGTTTTTTTCGCTTCCAGTCTTCTTTGCCGAAACGGTCACTCTCGTTATTGAAGATGGAAGCGATGAACAAGCTACACGGCGAGGTGATGGAGCTGTGGCCTTTCAAGGGTCCGCAGCAGAAGTACGTGTCCGTCGCGGACGAGGAAGGGGAAGGGCAGGCGCAGAAGACAAAGTGGATGAGGTCCGCGCCCGGCAGCAGAGGGAAAATATTCCGCATGGCCGTATGGATCCTTGTCCTGGCAAATGTCGTAGCTATCCCAGCTGGCGCGTACTGGTACTTCGGCGGAAGGGGTTCGCAGAAGACGGCAGACAGCGACTTGGTAAACGATGTCGTTTCCGAGTGGCCTGCGGAAGGCGACAGTGGAGGCTACTTTGACGTGGACACGAACAGCACGACGAGATGCCCTCAGCGACACGAATGGCGGACACTATCACGGGAAGAGCAGCAAGAGTACATCCGCGCTGTGCTTTGCCTTCGCACTATTCCTTCAGTCCTGCAGCCTGCTTTGAACAGGTCTTCGTACGATGACTGGCCATTAGTCCACAGCCACGTTGGGTACACAACGCACAACAGCGCGCCATTCCTCCCATGGCACCGCTACTTCTTACACCTGTACGAGAAGACGCTTAGGGGTCAGTGCGGGTACAGCGGCGCCCTACCTTTCTGGGACTGGACAATGGACAGCATGGCGCTAGAAATGGCTCCCGTGTTCAGTGCCGCGGACGGCTTTGGAGGCGACGGTGAGGTTGACGGCAACATTACAGTTGGACGCACCGGTCGTTGTGTTGTTGACGGACCATTCGCTGGCATCACTGCCGAGTATTACGATGTGAAGTACAAGCCGCACTGCCTGTCGCGCGGTTTCCGCGATTTTGAGGGCGAGCTCGGGCATATGAATGGTCAAGATGTCACCCGTGAGTCGATCGAAGAGGTGCTAGAGCTCAATGACTACGAGGACTTCGTCGTCATGATGGAGAGCAAGGTGCACAATGCTATTCCGTTTGGCATCGGTGGTGACTTCGAAACGTTCACGGCGCCTTACGACCCGGTTTTCTTCTTGCACCATACGCAGCTTGACCGGCTGTGGTGGGAATGGCAGCAGAGGCAGCCGAACAACGGAACGGATCTTTATTACGGACACAAGGAAAGGCACTCGATGGAGATGGCGAGCCTGGATGACGAGATTGACATGATGGGGCTTGCACCGAGGGTCCAGGTGAAGCAGGTAATGGATACGGAGGGTGGGATACTTTGCTATACTTATTCGAACATTGAGTAATGTACATATATCGGTTTCACAACTGCATTACTAGTTCAACGGCCAACACCGCGAATACCTCCGCTTTGTACCGGCTCGAAAGCGGCAAGTTCCGCCTTGCTGCCTATTAACCTTACTCTCACCCGAAGCTGCTTCATATGCAACCACTTTGTATTCTCACTACCCGTGCGCGCGGCGTAGGCAACCTTCATCTGCAGGCTCGACATGTCAGCAGTGATGGACAACGGACTAGCGCGTTGGTGTGCTGTTGGCTTAAAGCACTGCCACAGCCCCCAACATCGAGCGCTGTTCAGTGCGTTGATGTACTTTCCACCCTCATAAAACGGCGCATTCGCTAGTACACTCAACAGATGATCCGCCACTATTTCTTCAATTGCCGTGCATGTTGATCGGTGTTCGGCTGCCTGGATATGTCATCTCTGTGGAAGGTGGACAATGAAGGCCTCCGAGAGTTGACCGTACCTCCCTACGAACATTCCGAACTGGACCACGACGCCGACGAGCAACGCTTTCTTGTTCTTCAGCCTAGAAAGTCCTGCTCGGAGGACGCAGATAGCCACGTCCGCTGCAATGTCGAAGCAATACGTTTGGTTGAAGCGGCACCGTTCATTGCTGTGAAAAACGCTCGTGGCTACAGACTTCTCCAAGATGCCATCGAGATCGATGGTAAAGCTCTGATCATACCAACTTCCGTGGTGAATTTCCTCCGCCACTTCCAGTCTGGCCTGACGGCACCGGCACGACTTTGGATTCGGCATATCTGTGTACGTCAATGAGATGAAACCGAGAAGGCCCGCTACTACACCCGCGAGTTCAGCGACACGATGTACGCGAAGGCGTCTGAAGTAATCGACATGGCAGAGTACAACGCTGTGCGCATGGATAGCGGTGAGCTTGGAAGAGTAATCGATTCCCGTTACAAATCGTGGACGAAAGAATGGCACGACGTCCCAGACAACATTGTTCTACCTCGAGTGTGCCCCATCCGCCTAGGTAAGACGCCCTCAATCGAAGGCCCAACCGATTGGTACGAGTATGTCCCTCTAGACGCCGTAGCCGACGAAATCAGGGTCATCAACATAATGCCCTCAACCGATCATTCCGTACCTATTATCGCACACATAGCCCACTGTCCCATCCACTGCGAAGTAACCTTCACCGCTTTATCCTACCGGTGGAGCGTTGACGGCGCTCAGACCCAGATCATTGCAAACGGGCAGAAAATGCTAATCAAATCCGGCCTCGAAGCCACCCTTCGTGCCGTCCGGATGCAAGACAAAGTCGTGCCGTTATGGGTCGACGCAATCTGCATCAACCAATCCGACACCACAGAGCGAAGCCGGCAGATCCCACGTATGGGCACGATCTACGACAACGCAGCTCTTGTGATTAGCTATGCCGGCCCTGCCACCAACGATAGCGACCTGGCGCTCGAAATGATCAAGCTGATCAAAGAACTGAACATTTTGATGATGATTTGGAACGACAAAGATGAGTGGCACTTTGGGAAATGGGGCTCCAAACCTGCATCTCAAGGCGGAGGGCGGTGGTACGGCGAGAACAAGATCCCGCCCTCGCGCTTACCCAGGATGTGCGCAGCGCTCTACAAGCTGCTATGCCGCTCGTACTTCCGCCGGGCATGGGTATTACAGGAGCTGGCGTGGGCGTCGAACCCTATGGTTGGCGTGGGAGGAAGAATTGAGGTTCCCCTCGAGCAGCTTGAGTTCGCGGCGTACCTTTTGACGAGTATGTTCCATAGCGATCCTAATCTGGCAGGTCAGATAATGCAGGCGGATGAGACGTTGGAGGATGTGGATGTTAGGAAGCTGGCGTTTGTGCGGAAGCTTTCGGATTTCCGACATGTCATTTCTGGTGGTGCGAATCAGACGCTGATGCTACTGAGAGCGAGCATACGGGAGACGGCACCTGGTTACTTGGAGACGCTGATCCTGGCCCGTGACTTTCAGTGCAGTGATGCTAGGGATAAGGTACATGCTCTGTTCAATCTTGCGAAGGACAAGACCGGTCTGCGCTTCAAGTCCGACTATAGTAAGGATATGAAGGCTACCTATATGGACTTCGTGTCAGCTTGGATCGAACAGCATGGTACTTTGGACATACTGGGTGCTGTCGAGGCGCAGCCAGCGAGCCGTGACCTCTACCGCACCGCACCATCGTGGTGTCCAGACTGGAGCGTCCCGGCAAGCAGCAGCTGCCTCGTCCGCCGAGAGCGGATACCGACTCGCTTCATGTCCGCCGTCGACGACCTCGACGGCGCGCTGTATTCAGCTGACGGCGGCATGAAGCGCACCGACTCCACTGTCGACATTCCGCTGTTCGAGCTTAAGGACGACATCCTCCACGTCACTGGCATAATCCTCGACCGTATCTCTTTCTTCCTCGAAGCCCCGGGAGAGGTACCAGCAGGAATGGCCTTCCCGCCTTGCGACCCGCCTTCTTACTACAGAGCCATGATGTGGACGAAAGCGTTTTACCTTCACTACAAATCGAAGACACCAGAGACAGGAACGAAGAATCCCTACCCTGACGCCTTCCGCGCGGCGCTAGCAATGTTCCACGGCGACCTTCCCTCCTCCTGGCCGCCCCGGGATGAGAACCCAGCCAACTGCGACCCTCACGAACCCTCCGAACCATACGTTTGCATCCCTAACAGCAATCACAGCGGACAGCCAACCCCGAATCAATCGCGCCATGTCCTGTCGTACGGTGGTAGCTACGACCGTACTGCTGCCTGGGACGTCGTCCGCACCGTCTTACGCGGACGCAGGCCCTTCGTCACCGAGAATGGCTACATGGGTCTGGCGCCGGAGTATCTCATTGACGCTGAGACGCCGACCAGGACGGAGCCGTGGCTGTTGGCAATTCTTGCGGGTTGCTCAGTGCCGTTGGTGCTGAGGGAGAATGAAGATGGCACGTATGCGGCTGTTGGAACAGCCTTTGTGCAGGGATGGATGGAGGGTGAGGTATTGGTTAAAGAGATGGGTGTCGACACGCCAGCAGAGTTCTGGGAGGCGCTGGCAGGGGCGGAGAAGCTGAAAATCGTATGAGAGCGTACTCGTTCAGCCTCCCTTCAGCACCCGCACACTTTCCCTCTCGGCGTCCAAATCCGCATACAGACGGACGAGCCGCAGAATGTCATCCGTCGTCTTCGAAGCTTTGGCTTGCCGCAGCGTAGCACTCAGGTCCAGAAGCATCGTCTTCCGCACCGCATCGACTCGTGGCTGTTGTGCCAGTAAGAAGGGATGATTGGGACCCATCCGTTCAATCTGCCGCGTAAGTAAGACATACTGTTCCACATGCCTCTGCATCTTTCTCGCAGCATTTCCACTGCTGACTATACCGTCCACATCATCGTCCTCACTATCTTCTTCCTCCTCCATCACCGCGTCATCCGCAATCATCCCCAAATTCCCCTCAAGCTCCGTCAAACCCTCCTCAACCCCCAACAACGCCCGCCCAAGCATAACATCCTTCCTCAACCCTTTCTTCTCGCGCAGCAGCTCTCCCATCTCACCTGCCCTTTCCCGTACCCCGCGCTGAATGCCCTCCACCTCCCTCCTGAAGCCTAACAACCCCACTCTAACACCTTCAATCTTCTCCTCCCCTCCCTTCAAGTCGGATCCAAGCGAGAGGAACTCGTCATAATTGCCATTAACCAAGTCGAGCAATTCCTGGTTCAGAGCTTGGCTTCTTTGTCGTAGATCTGTCCGTAGATCTTCGAGAGTTTGATGCCGATTCCGGAGGGAGGAAAGATATGTTTGAGGGTTGAAGTTGGGAGCGAGAAAATCCTTACGCGGGAGCTCGCCCGGGTAAGGGAGGTTGTCGATATCGTCTCCCTCATCATCGTCGTCGTCGTCGTCGTTGTCGGGGTCGGAATAGGTGTAGGCGGGTGTGGAGGTGGCGGAGGGGGAGGTGCTGGTTGGGAGGTAGAACCTGGACATGTCTGTCTCACTGAGCTCTCGTGTCACCTTGCTGCCTTACACAGCGGATGCAGGAACGTTGCATGTTGATACGGGCGTGAGTCAGTCGATGTTCACCAAGACGACGATACCGAGTCAAGCACGCTGCTGCTCCGCCTACATGTACCCCTCCATCGACCCGCATCATTGGCCGACGGCCGGACATAACGGGCATTGATTACTCTACAAGGCAGGTACGACTATCTCTGCATTCACTTTCCATCCTTCCCTTCCAATGCGCAACTGTCTCTCCTCCGCCCAACCATCTCGCCCCGTCCCGCAACCACCAAGGTGAAGCCAACAATGCCCGAACAACCAGCCAATCCGCAACCCGTGCCCGATCACGACTCGATGCTGTCCCGCAAATTCGGCCGCGAAGTCGCCAACTACTTCTCCGGCTCGCCTCTGAATCGCGTAGGCTTCTTACGAGGCGACAACAAATTCCTCACCCTCGCCCTACACCACCCATCCACCCAGTTCTTACTGTGTAAGGATCTACAACCGCTCGTCTCGCCCACGCAGAAAGGGAAGCTCCACTATCTCAAATATGCCGACGTCAAGCCGGTCATTGGGGAGAACCCGTATGCGACGACGGAGACGGAGATGATTGGGATGTATAATTCGAATACGTATGTGCCGCAGATGATCTTTCTCGGGATCGATGAGAAGGCGAAGGAAGGGGTGGAGTACGAGAACAAGAAAAACATTTACAGAGGCGCGCCGTACTTTGCGGTAGATGTCACGCCGAAGGGCGGTGTGAAGGAGGCTTGTGAAGAGCTCATTAAGACGGTAACGGATAAGGGCATCGAATTCTCCAAGGGTAGGGTGATGGACGTTGAGGCTTCAGAAGGTACGCGATGCTGATCGGTCAAGACCTCACCATCTCCCCCTCCTCCCTCGCCCGCGCAAGCAAAGGCACCAAAACACATCAGCTAACGAGTGCACAAGCGGCCATCTATGCCGAGGCACGCCAACTCCTCGACTGGAACGCACGCAACCCCTTCTGCGCCGCCTGCGGGCAACCCACACTCTCCGTCAATGCCGGCTTTAAACGGACGTGCCCGCCTAGAGATCTTGCACGGACAGCATCAAAGACATCCACAGGTATCTCAAATGCACTACCGACCACATCCACGGAACAACCCATCATAGACGAGAACGAGAGACCGCCGTGTGTGACGCGGAAAGGCATCTCTAACCTCTGCTTCCCGCGTACGGACCCGACTGTTATCATGGCCATCGTGAATCATGCCGGGGATAAGATCCTCCTTGGCCGACAGTCCCGATGGCCGCCACACTGGTACAGCACGTTAGCCGGTTTCGCGGAGCCCGCCGAGAGCATAGAAGAAGCCGTCCGCAGAGAAGTGTACGAAGAAGCGGGCGTGCACGTCGGACGCGTCGTCATACATAGTACGCAACCCTGGCCGTACCCGGCCAACCTCATGATCGGCGCGGTAGGGCAGAGTATTCCGGGTGATGGGGAGAAGATTGACCTCGGCAATGATCCTGAGCTCGACGATGCGAGATGGTTCGATTTTGACGAGGTGAGGGAGGCGTTGAAGGTTGGGACGAGTGGGTTGGGAGAGGATGCCGGGCCGGGGTACAAGGAGGGTGGGCTGAGATTACCACCGACTACGGCGATTGCGAATCAGTTGATGACGAGTGTTGTTAATGGATTTGTGAGCGGCGGCATGGAGAAACTGTAGAGAGCGGCTTACTTCTAATGGTTGTAAATGTGACTGGTGAAGCCGCTGGGATTGTATATGTTGTACATATCGCTGGCTAGTTAGAGAGCTTACAGCCAGACTGTTGGCTGCATGAAGTGTTATCGGCTTAGAATAGCTGTTAGAACCACTGGCGTTCTTGTGACAGATGGCCCCTTCCGAAGGCTTGACTGTGGTGCAGCTGGCGCTGTACGTAGCAGTCCCTGGCAACGCCGGGAGCAGCAATTGCGGGTGTAATGTAGGTCGTCGAACACTTCCATCTGCCTCGGCGTCATACCGCTTTGCGGGCGGATCGTTTCACATTGTGTCACGCTGCGAGATGGGAGCCCGGTACTAGCTGGCATATCCACATCGCATCGGAGCTAGGGAATCCTGTTCGACCATTCACGGACCACCCACGCGACTCTTTTGCCGACGAACAGAGAGCTCGTCCTCGAGCGGCGTCCCAGCTTCGAGGAATCGACAAAGGTCCGTCCATGTCCAGCCAAGTGATTGATAGTGTCGACAGCTTGCGACCCGCTCAGGGCCCTCCACATTGCAGAAGTACCGTTTTGACGGGTCTCTGTCCTCGACATTCAAATTTTGGCCGGCCCCAATCATTACGACACAACACTGACATCCTTGACATCCACGCTCCCCTCCCGGCTGAAGTCTCCACTCAGACTCAAGCCCGGCCCATTCGTACTACTAATCACCACCTCATGAATATCCTTCTGCACGCGGTCGCTCAAACCGGCAATATCTCTTTTTACGTTCTCCACAAACGCTCGAATGTTCCTCTGCACTTCTTCCGGCGTGAAACCCAGCTGTCCGATAGCAGTCCTCACAACGCCCATCCGCTCCCGGTACTCGCTCGCGCCAACCATCCCTCTCACGGCAGCGCCAACGTCCTTTACCACCGTATTCGTCTTGGCACTCGGCATAAGGCCCTTCGGACCTAGTACGCGCCCTAATCCTGCTTTCGTGAGGGGTGCTAGGGAGTCGGTATGGCATAGTAATCGATCAAATTCTATCCGACCTTCTTTGATGGCTGAGAAGAGATCTTCTTGCCCCACAAGACTCGCGCCGGCGTTCTTCGCCGCGCGGGCTGCGACGCTGTCTGGTGGTGCTATGACTGCTATTCGTAGAGCCGTTTGGACAGGGTGAGGCAGGCGTAAGCGGTTGCGTACGGTGGGGCCGTCTTTAACTGTGCGTAGGCGTAGGTGGATCTCGTATTTGCTGGAGGTTGGGGGGCGGCCAACTTCGGCTGCGCGGAGGTATCTACGGAAGTCAGTCATTGCTCGGGGCGATAGGAGGTAGGGTGCCCCGTACCGCATAGCATCTACTAAGCTGAACTGGGTCGCCTTTCGGAGGTCAGGAACAAGGAAAGTAGAGCGGGACTTCTTCTTGCGGGTGGGCGCGTCCTTGCGCTTGGGGCCTTTGGTGGAGGTGGTTGCGGCGCGGAGTGTTTGCTGGGATTGGGGAAAAGTGGAATGCCGCGATCGGAGGAGGACGGAGCGGAAGGAGATGGAGGAGAGGCAAGATGGGCAGAAGCGCGGCGAGACTGTCATCTTGACTCGTGCTACGGTATCTTCATATGGTCGTGTGCAATAAGAGTGCATCAACATGGAAGACTAACTGTAGATGCCCGCGGAGAATGCAAGCTTGCGCCGATGTTGTGCCGAGCCAACATGTTCTTCTCATCCATCAGCGTCCTAACAGTGTACAACGTCACAGCCTGACGCTCCAGCTTTTTCACATAATCGTGGTGCGATTACTGCACAAGTCTTCAACATGTTGACGATGCAGCCTCCAGTACAGGGTTGTGGAACCCCTGGCGATACCCTGGTTCGCGTTACCATGCTTCTTCCCTTCTTGAGATTTCAATCGACCAACCGACAGTCATACCTGCTTCATATCCAGCTAATAATTCCATTTGCGCCATTCTGCCAAGCCTTACTCAGCCTGCTTGCAGAGGAGAAGGTAGAAAGGCAAGTTGTCAACCGTTCACCCTTCTGACAAGGTCTTTGCCTACCGTGTCCCCGATTGTCTGAGGAGATTTTCCGGTCCTATCAAGCCTAGTCCATCGACACCTCCCCAGTCAATTTCACTCCTTTTCTCTCCCCCACTATAATGCGGACGCTCCACGTCTACGCCACCGGTAAGCCTCTACTGACGCATCTCATGGCCTACCTGACATCCTCACATCTGCACCCTTTCTGGAACCGGCGTTTGCTGGCTGCTGTGGTGCAGCGCCTGTTGCGCCTTGTGTTCTGTGTGTCACTGCTGTATGGCCTTAGACCACGCAGACTGCCACTTAGCCTGATCAGCTCACAGGCGGCTTTGCTTGCATCCAGTCGCAACATTGCTGTAGAGGAAGCACCACCTTCTTCGCGAAATCTTGGCGCCACTGATTTCCTTCAAGTGTGGTGGGAGACTCATTCAGGCACCACATTACCGCGGCTGAAAAGTCAGGGCCGGCTTCGCCTTCTACCGCATCCGCCCAGGCACGCGCGATGATTAGACGGAAGAACGACTTCTCCTTCGAACCCTCGAACCCTAGACGTTCCCAGAGGTCGCTGTCTTCGAGGTTGATGCCAAAGAGCAGCTCCAGCAGCATGATGCCGAGACACCCAAAACTTCTGTCTGTCCGCTTCGCTTGTCGCTGCTCGCCTGGCGATTGGCTACTGAACGTCGCGGCTACGTACGGCCGGTCGAACATGATGTGCGAACTTTCTGCGCCAGTGCAAGGGAAGCAGATGTCTTTGGCCTCCCACTGCTTTCTCGCCCAGGGCGTGGAGTGCAGCTGAAGGTGTGAGGAGGCGACGGCAAGCGCGATGCGGTACCTGTCAGAGCGAAGCAGTTTCTGCCTTGCTATGCCGGCCAGAATGTCTTGTAGTGTCACTTGTCCCGCCGCAATCTTCTGCTCTGGCTGCGAGAATACCGAGTACCGACTCCCACGCTTGGCATCAGTCAGAGCACCCAGACAAGCCACTTGCATACTGCAGGCCTCCATGACGGAACAAAGCATAACGATCTCTTTCGGTAACGCAACATTTCCGTCTTCTTCAGCTTTGCTCTCCAAACTGAGACCACATCTGAGACGTTTCGCTTTTGTCGTACCGTCACCGGCCCAGGCTGCAACGGTAGCTGGCTGCCCGAATCCATCGACTTCTCATCTCCGCCAACAACAATTCGTTACGTGTTGCGAGAGAGTACGCTTCGGTAGTGGTTTGCAACGTACGATGCTCGACCTACTCCGGCAGACTGTGGCTCTTGCCGGAAAGGTTTCGCACAAGGCAGACCGCTAAAGATGGCCTTAGCCCGTATTGAACTGAGCTTGAGTATCCATGGTTGACTCACGGCTACTGAGAGCCGAGGAGGGGAGGGATGCAGCAAGCCACCACCTGACAGCATGTTGCGAGTGAAGCTGGAAATATGTAAGGTGTCGTCAGGCATGTGTAAAAGAGAGCACGTTGGTTGCGGTACCTGCTCTGGCGGATGCGAGGACTGTACTGGGAAAGAAGGAACCACAGCACCTTGGCGACATGGACGGTTGTGCCTAGCCTGACCTTACTGGTCCGCTACGATGCGTTGGGGTACGTCAATGAGCCGGAACTTGGAAGGGCTTCGGGAGAGCCATCGTATGCATGGTCGCACGATGTTGTTGCGCACAATAGATGAATTGACTCATCAGGGTTGTACATCCGGTAACCGCACAGCAATATCTCCACTCTGCGTAATATACCGCACCCACGGCAAACTCGGGTATTGCAACTACAACACACATCATCAGCAGCCGCACCTTCGGCACTCGTCCGGTACTGTTGCGTGTAACGTACCTTGGGCTCAATAATCTTCAAATACCGCACCTGAATGCCACTCGTCGTGAAGTACGGAATCTCAAACTTGACATTGATCGGCCGTTTCGCCTTTGACGAGTTTCCCACTCCACCCATTGAGCCGCCGAAACCGCCCATCATGCCGCCGCCGCGTTCTTCGTCGCCGCTGCATCACTCGTCAGCGGAAAGCCGTGTCAGTTTTGAGTTGAAAGACATTCACCTACCGTACAGATGGTAAACCGAGTTCTGCACGCATCAGGAACTCCTTGCCACCCCCAAACTGCTTGATCTTCCACACAATCTCACTGCTCTCGGGCGCGTAGTGGACGGCGCCGATATTGGTGCGGAAGCGCGGCGTGTCGGCGTCGTCGGGGACGGGGATGTGGATCTCGACGTTGTTGGCGGTAGAGCGGCGTTTGAATTGCGCTTTTGCCTGTACATCCACACAATCAGCACTTGGCACAGAGACTCGTTAGGGATTAGGTGGCAGTAATAGTGCGTACCTTGAGCATGTATTCTATCCGACTCCCGCTATGGCTCTCCACCACGCATTCCACCCAAATGAGCGGCTTGACCTGGGTGTTAAGTCGGTACGACATCAACTCGAACTCGCCATCAGGTGGTATGAAGCTGATCGTCCGATCATTCTCAAATCGCGATAATCGCACGCATTGGTGGAATTTGACGTCCTCCATCTCCACGCTCTTCCCTCTGCTCGTCCGTCCGGTAGTCTCGAACATGACTTTATCGTTCAACCCCAACCTCAACTCAGGCATGCCGGAAAGGTAGCATTTCATCTTTATCGCGCCCAAAATCTCTGACCGCAGCACGTTGCCCGTACTTGACACTAGCAAGTTGAGGGACTCGACCACGTCAAGGAAGACCTCGTTCTTGCGGTAGCGGATGCCCTCGCTCCGCCACGAGACAGCGTTGGTGACAGCAATAGGCGGCCGCGCGACCTCAAGCTTATGACTCTCCTGCGTGATGTACTCCTGCAAGATCTTACTCTCCGTCGTCTGCGGGTACCCGAAATCCATCATCTCGTCCAACAACTCATAGATCACCACAAAGTTGTCGCGTATGGACTCCTCTTCAAGCTCCTTGAAGTACTCCGTAAACACCTCGACGATCTTGTGCAGGAAGAGCAGGATCTCGGCGGCGTTGGAATTGCGTTTGGTGAGCGCGAGGAGGTAGAGGTTGTTGTGCCGGATGTAAAGGTAGTTGATCCCTTCGCTGGTCATGCAGGGTGGGGTGGAGGAGGACTCTTCTTCGGCTTCGGAGAGGAGGACGGGGAACTTCTCGACAGCGGACATGGGGATGTCCCCGCGGTAGTTGCGGGCCAGGAGGGTTTTGCCTTTGAGGTCGAGGAAGAAGATTGCGGAGGCCATGATCGAGTAGTGGGGTGGGCACAAGGCCCGGCAGTAGGATCGAGAGGCTTATGGGTGCTTCGTCGCAGGCCGATGTTGCGAAGGAGGGATCGAGTTGGTTGAACTTGTATATATTGCAGTGGATGATGGAGGGGATGTAAGGCCGGCAGGCGAGGCTGTTCAGCTTGTGTATGGTTCTGTTTGGCGGGGACTATCGTACACCACTCGACAATCGTGTCCCAATATCCGCAATGGCCGTATCTAAAGTACAGATGAAGTCGACAACAATCTGACTGCCTCAGGCAAAACGAGCACCGCTGATGGCAGCGGAGTGAGCGGAGGTGCTCGAGCCGCCCTTATGCCAAGACATCAAACACGACTCGCATTCACTTGACGCATCTCATCACCTCGACACACGTGATCACCATCGCTCGACATGTCGCTACTGCCACCGAAAGCGCCATCGATGGCAGCATTGGCCTGCTTGGAGTCAGCATTAGCCGGCCTCCGCCTCTCCCGCCAACACCTCGCACTCCTGCCCCTCACTTCTCGCCGAAACGCCTCCCATCAAGCCCAAGGGCGTGCAAACGGAGCCAAAGACGGTGCGGGAAAGCGGTTGGGTGCGAAGAAGACGGGTGGAGAGTATGTAGTGCCGGGCAACATCTTGTTCAGGCAGAGAGGCACGCATTGGTTTCCCGGGGAGAATTGCTTCATGGTATGCTATACTCCCAACCCACGAACCTTCATGGACGATGCTGATTGATGCGTAGGGCCGCGACCATACCATCCACGCCGGCGCACCCGGCTACGTCCGCTACTACCGTGACCCAACTCGACACCCAAAGCGCAAATACATCGGCATAGCGCTGGAAAAGCACTACGACCTCCCCACTCCTTACAATGCCGCGAGGCGAAGACTGCTCGGCATGCTGGCCTACCAGTCGCCGCAAACCGCACCCGAACAAATCACTAATATCAGCGACCTGACATCCACCGAAGACCCAACAACCATCCGCCAGCAGCCCAACAGCGCGCGAGAAGCCATCACCCTCAAACCCACCAAAAGCAACCCCCTCGGCCAGAAGCTGAGCCTGAAACCGGGCTATCAGTACCGTCTGTCGAACTGGGAAATTGGCCGCCTCCCCGAACGCCAGGAAGCGGCCGCGCGGGCAAAGGGCATGACGACGCAGGAGTACCCGGATCTCAGGCTGCGCGGTCGACAGTTGAGGCCGGGGAAGGTGCAGCCGGGGACTACGGTGAGGAGGGGACGACATGTGAAGGGGTTGGTAAAGGCGAGGAGGACGGGGGCGGTGAGGGAAGTGCGGAAGAGATGAGCTCTCATCCTCTCTGTCCATCTCAATGGTTCTTCCGTGCTTCGTCCACACAATGCTTGCGAGCATATGACCCCACCCGTTCGGTTGGATGGATTTGTCAAGTTGCCCTACGCCGTCAACGTCCACCAAGCAACCCGCTCACGATCCGTCTCCAAAGCCTGAAAGCCTCGTTTGTTGGCGCTTGCAGCGGAGGTACGGGAGTCTACGGGTCGGCTTCGGTCACAACATTGGGAAAGGAACGCGATGCGGCCCATGCCAGCCCTACGAGCCGTGTCACCTGGTACGCCTTAGAGACCCCAGGGCTCCCGTGCTCCGCCATCCCCTGCCACCAGGTTCGCTGCCCTCCAGCCCTCCGAAAGGCGATACTTTGGAACGCCATTAAGCCGTGGTCTCTGCTGCAAGCTGTGAGCGTGGGTCGCAGGAGTCGGTGATGGGCGTCGGACTTTATGGCCTGCGAAAGGTCGTGCAGTCAAGCACTCTAGACGCAGTCCGATGGTGGTGACGAGTAGCTGGGCAGAACCGAGCGGTGGTTCTGGGGCACGTGCGAGTGAGCACAAGGGTGATTATGGTAAGACGTTCGCGGGATAAAGAGAACGGAAGAGTGTATCGAATGCGAAAAATTTGAATTATCGGGTACAGCACAATATGTACTGTTTGTAGCTCAGTCCACCGCTTAGCATTCCAAGTACGAGTCGAGGAAGCGCAAGTGTTTCTACCAAGTCCTGACAGCAACGATCGCCATGCCAAATCACGCGATGGAGGGAAAGCTTACAATCAGTCGCTGAAACATTGAGAGCGAGCATTCCTCGCAGCCAAAACAGTTCCGTTCGGACTCCAGCCTTTCTTGTTTCAAGCCAGTGGCATGTCAGGTGAGCATCTGATAGATCGCTGTGGCTGCGCTGGAGCTCGGTGGGCAGCTATGTATGTCGCTGTTACCGTCCGGCCGGGTCTGTTCCCTCAACAAACCAGAATGGAGCCTTCACACGTTGCTGCCTTCCCAGAACGACCTGCTGTCATACTGCGCAACAGTCTCGATATGCTCTTTCCTTCCCCGTACTGCGTTCGTTGGATCCAGGCTGCCAGAGTCTCCTGTAAAGCTCTGCCTGAGCTTCAGACGCCTACCTTCCGGGCGGAGTGCGAAGAGGCCACGATATTAAAGGCGGAGTTCATAGATCACTGGAGATCCGCTCAGCCCAGCATTGAGAGCTGCGGCCTCCCCAGCGAAGATTGCGCCTGGGTATCGGTTCAGGGAAAGTTTGTCACAGGGTACTTGGCCAGCCTGATGACAGCCGAGTGCGGCGGCTATCAATGATCGAACATGATCCGCCGGATAACGCACTTTGTCAATGCAGAGCTGGGCCTTCTCTTGTAGCCAGTAAGTATGTCGTACTGTAGTTGGTCTCGGCCACTGTGGAGGCGTGTAAGGCGCTGCAATTTGAAGAACTCGTCTTCTGTATCGAGCGTAAAACCCCCCGGTAGTGAAGTCGGCTGGAGAATACTTCGTATGGTCGCGTTCTGAGGGTACAGTTTCTCCCTGGGAGAAATCTTGAGAGACCTTGCTAGTTGCTCATGGGGAGTGCAGAGGAGGGTTACAAGCAGTTCCGCCTTCTCGCTATATCTTTCATTGTTGTTGGGGATTGATCTGTTTATGTCTTCCCAGACGAAGCTCGTCACCTCGACGTTGGGACATCAGAATATGACGTTGCTGCCACGAAATTCAAGCAAGCCTCTTGACGGCAGCCAGGCATTGACCTGGAACAGTTGTTGATGCCGTGAAGAAGGTGGAGGCATGAGGGTTTCGGCACCAGGCAGTACAAAGATTTTCCGGTCGTCATATTGACAATCTCGAACGGACTCCACGATGGTCCAAGACAGAATCTTCGTGTGAAGCTCTTGTGGGAGAGCCTGTAGCTTCGAGCTGAGCTGGAGGCAGGCTGTTGGGGCGGCGTACTCGACTCGAAGGGAGCAGGTAGTCTTGACGACGGATTCGGCACGTCGAGGATGTAACGGCTATGCAGGTCGCACAGGCGCACTCGCTGCTGTAAGCAGGGTTGTTCCAGAGCTTCTGCTGTGTCTTCGAAGTCAATCCGCCACATCGATTGCTGAGGCGGTTTGAATAGCCAGTGAGTGACGGCGACTCCGCACACCGTCTCTTCGGCTCGGATCACTGGTGCAAACCATGACTATCTCTAGCGTCGGGTCACGAACACCATTGTCGCTTTGTCGCACAAAGTTACAGCTTGGCCATGATCTTCCTCGCATTGCAGAGTGGCTTCGATGCAGGCGGCTCGGCGCTGACTCCTCGTGTAGTGAGCGCCCTGGTTGAAGCGGACTGCTCCTGACAATACTCCATATTCAGTACCACTATGAGCGCCAGTACAGTGCTGCGTTACGTCGAAGAAGGGAAGCTCATGGATAGGGCGGACACGGCCCTCGAAGCCTGCATCGCCAGGCACGGTAAGAGCGCAGCAATCTTTCAGCCAGCCCAGAGGTGACAGCTGCCGCATCTGCGTACTTGTCGTAGTCGGACGCCGGTTGTTCCATGTCATGCTGCTGAAGGTTGTTTACCTAGATCTGCCATACTGTCTATAACCGTGACTCATGGTTAAAGAGTAAACGAGCCGCATCGTTCAATCTCTGGAACATGATGCCAGAGGTGGTTACGCTGACTCGCATTCACTTTTAATTGCGATCTGTGAAAGGAAGGCGCGGTTTGCTGCCTGAAACATCAGTTTGCCACCGGTCAATGAGGCAGCCATCGATGTCTGTCTCGCCCTCACATTCACCTGCCTGCTAAGTGAGATGGTCTTTATAAGTACTCTTCACCCAACACGCCTTGACTCATACCATCGTCGAATAGATGCAAAAGTGAAAAGCCGCCCACATACATCCACCGCTGGATAAAGTAGTCAATCGGCATTATAACCTAGCCTGGCCCAACTCCTCCACCACCATGCCATCCTCCAGTAACCACAACACCTACCTTGAGCGCCAGATTCTCGACCTCTTCCGCGCAACCTACCTCAAGATCCTCATTCTTCCTCGCGGCGAAAGCGCACGTCAACAGATAGTAATCTGGTTCGCCGAACTCCTCGACGTCGAGCGCACCGAACTCGCCCAAGTACTGATACCAACACGAACGCCAGCCTTCCCTACGCCCGTGACCTACGAGGAGCGAAAATTTTGGTTCGACTTCAGGATCCAAGCATGCCGGTTGAGCGAGAAGCAGATGCTGCTAGGTGCTGCCGAGAGTTTGGCCGATGTCGGCGCTGCCTTGATTGCTGTGGGCAGGGCGAGCGAGGCTGGGAAGTGGTGTGAGGCCGCCGCGGGGTTCGAGGAGGCTGGGTGGAAGGCTGAAGCTGAGGCCAGAGAGACGAAGTGGGACTGTGAGGAGATCAGGTGAACGACAAGACATCGCCTGTGAAGCGGTTTACAGTTGATTAGGCTGCAGCAGGGGGCGATGGAAGCCTGTCGTGCTTCCGCAGGGTTTGCCGCGATCTAAGCCGCGATCTAAGGAAAGGCAGCAGCGCAGTATGCGCGGTCAGAGTGCCAAGCTATCAGGCACGTACTTTGACGAAAGCAAGTCACGAGCCTGGTAAGTGAAAGGAGACAGAGGGTTGAAGTCTGGGAGGAAGAGCTTCGCCAGTCGGTACAGTGATTGGGTACTTACCAAATGCGCGAAGCAAACCAAGCGCTCGCGCAAATGCAGTCCCTTCACATTACATCCCGCCACCGGGTTCCTCTCCTATCCCCACTCCATACATTTGGTATGAATGGAATTATGTGCGGCACCTCTGACGCCGCCTACACAACCGTAAGCAATGCATAGCCAGCTCTTAATGGTGCCGAATAAGGCATTCCTTCTCCGCACCGCAGAATCGCAAGAGCAACAATTGAAGCACACCTCAAGCCACGAGACGTGATTGGGTGTGGCTGCTGACAAGCACTGTCTTGTAGGGTGCGTGATGAGAAGGAAGGAAAGAGCGCATACAACAATTTGCGCGAAGTTGTGTTCACGCTCGCACCGAACTTCTGCTAGTGTCCGTGATAACCGAGCCAATTGCAGAGATTCACTGTTCGAGCTGGAGCTCTTTGGTTGCATCCTCGGCTGAAGAGAGTCTCCTCATTGTTGCCCACAGATGCCGACTCACCGCGGAACGAGAGTCGAATATGGTGCGGAGTACTGCTGCCATGCGTTGCAGCGGATGTTGCTCATGCAGACCTCCGGTAACAGATCAAGTCTTCTCTATATGCTGCATTGTAAATGCCTGTGAAGTTGCTACAGCGGAGCTAATCCCTACCTCTATGCTGTCCATACGCTCGAAGTTAGACATTAGTGTTGCTTGCGTAAAAACCTCACTTGTGTGAATCTGCGCGCACAACATATAGATCGAGTTTCACGAAACCGGCCGTGCCTCTCATCGAAGGGCTAGGCTTCTGCTATCAGCCATGGCGGACTCACCAATTCAGAGCCGGAAGCTCTGGGATCCTGCCGATCCCAAGAACACCCTTGCCTACAAATTCATGCAGCATGTAAATAGCAAGCGAGGACGCAATCTACAATCATGGGACGATCTTCACGCATTCTCCGTCGACCATCTCAACGAATTCTGGGAAGAGGTTTTCCAGCAGCATCCCATCATACATAGTGGTAGCTATAGTAGGGCTGTTGACGAGAACGCCCGTATGGACTCGATCCCGGCATGGTTCGAGGGAGTCAAAGTCAACTTCGCAGAGAACATTCTCTTTTGGCCAGACCCGCAGGATCCTAGCAAGCAGACAACAACCCGGAAGCGAGATGGTGCCATAGCTTGTACCGAAGTTCGTGAAGGCTGTACTGAGATCAAGAACTTCACGTGGAAGGATGTTCGAGAACATGTCGGTCTCCTCGCCAATGCTATGCGGGCACGCGGTGTTCGAAAGGGTGATCGCGTCGCTGTCGTTGCGTCCAATTCGTTCGACACTATGACGGTGTTTTACGCTACAACCGCGCTTGGTGCCATCTTCAGCAGCTCGTCGACCGATATGGGCACCAAGGGTATTCTTGATCGCTTGCGGCAGATCAAGCCGAAGTATGTCTTCGTCGATGATTGGGCGGTGTACAATGGCAGGACCATCGACCTGCGGCCGAAGATGGCGGAGATCGAGAGCGGGCTGAGAGATATCCAAGAAGTGGAGGGTCTTGTGAGCATGCCGCGCTGGCACGATAAGCCAGCTGACGTTTCCGGTGTGCCGAAGTGCGAGACGATGGCAAGCTTTCTCCGCGCCGGCAAAGGCGATGAGACTCTTCGTTTCGAGCGGATCGACTTTTGCGATCCGTTTATTATCGTGTACTCGAGTGGGACAACAGGGATGCCGAAATGCATAACCCATGCGGGAGGTGCTGTACTTATCAACTCAAGAAAGGAGGCGAACCTTCACCGTGATAACACGGCTTTCGATGCGGAGGAGCTGTGCACTTTGCAGTATACCACGACGGGCTGGATCATGTATCTGACGAGTTGTCTATCGATGCTGGGCGGTGCTAGGGTAATACTTTACGATGGCTCACCCTTTCAGCCAGATCTCACAACGTTCGTCAAGATGGTGGGGGAGCAGAAAGTGACCGATCTTGGTATATCGCCGCGGTATATGCAGACGCTCGCCACTGCGAAGCCGCCGGTGCTGCCGCGCGACGTCACAGATCTGAGCCATCTCCGCAGAGTAACCAGTACGGGCATGGTGCTTTCGGAAGCCCAGTTCGAGTGGTTCTACGACCAAGGATTTCCGTCACACGTTCAGTTGGCCAACATCTCCGGAGGAACGGATCTGGCTGCCTGCTTTGCCATGGACACAACGATGAAGCCTATGCACTGCGGCGGTACCATGACAGCAGCTCTCGGCATGAAGATTGAGGTTTTCGACCAAGAAATTGAAGGTGGGAAAGGCATCAAAGGCCGTCCAGTGTCCGGGGGCGAGTCGGGAGAGCTCGTATGCACCCGAGCGTTTCCGACAATGCCGGTGAAGTTCTGGGATGATCCGAAGGGTGAGAAGTACTTCAATGCCTATTTTGCTCGCTTCGACAACGCCTGGACGCACGGTGACTTCGTTTCGATACATCCGGAGAACAAGCAGATACACTTCCATGGTCGTGCCGACGGCGTTCTCAATCCTAGTGGTGTTAGGTTCGGTAGTGCTGAAGTCTACAACTGCTTGGATGCAAACTTCAACGATGAAATTCTGGATAGTGTTTGCGTTGGTCAGCGGAGACCGCAGGATATGGATGAGAGTGTGCTGTTGTTCTTGCTGATGAAGCCGGGGAAGAAGTTCACGCAAGCGCTAGTGCGGCGGGTGAAGGACGCCATTGCGAGGGATGTCGGCAGGAGATGCGTGCCGAAGTATGTGTTTGAGACGCCTGAGATACCCGTAAGTGCAGTCACTCTTGGAAGTCTGACCGTAGCGCTGACAACAGCAGACAACCATCAATCTGAAAAAGGTCGAGCTCCCAGTGAAACAAATCGTCTCTGGCAAGACGATCAAGCCTTCGGACACCCTGGCGAACAAGGAGTGCCTGAAGTACTACTATCAGTTCGCACAGGTGGAGGACGTTGTAAAGCCTCAGAGCAAGCTCTAAACCTAACAACTTGATCAACTCGCACCTTAGCTGCAATGTTTTCAACGACTTCACGATTGAACAACGAGTTCAAAGTTGCAGGTTACTTTTCATCTTCGATCATTCACAGCTTTGCTGTTCGATCATGTCACTGCGAGGATGTCAGACTTCTGTTGACTCGATCAATCGGTCCACATGGTAAAGGGGTTTGTTGAGATGCTAAGTAAATATTGTTGTGTGCGTCGCGTGAGTTAAGGTAAGAGTATTGCGGGCAGCCAGTGGGTTTCATGTGCATTCGGCTAAGCCTGTTGCAACCTAAGCGGCACGAGAACAAGATCTGGAGACCCACAAACGCAGCCAACTCATGCAATTTGCTTCGAAGCATTAAGCTTATCCCAGAAACTATCGATCGTCAGTATTTGTATAGCACTGTAGGTCCAAGGAGATCGCTCTGTGCTTTCGAAAATGAAAACTGGTTATGTATTGTGTTGGGGTTGAAGCCTGCTAAAACTGGCTTCGTGGTCTAGTGGTATGATTCTGTAGGTCGTCTTCTGCCCCAATCACTTTCGGCTGTAAGCTAATGTTGTCAAGTGCTTTGGGTCTTACCAGATTGCAAGAGGCCCCGCGTTCGAAGTAGGTTTACTATCCCAACTGACAGTAAATGCTCGAAAGCTAACCGTCCCATCGTCGCGGCGGAGCCCAATGGATAGATTATCTTTTGTTTTGTGCTTGTGTAGACTCGGATTCGACTCCTGATAAGGATTTCGTCAAGATCAAGCAATGCGGGCTTGCTGGCCCCCGGAGTTCGGTTTTCCGCACCAGACTGGATTCAATCATGCGCGCTGCTCTGCTATCAATGGGTATTCGTTGTGGCACACTTAGATCTTTTGGTAGCTACCCATTCCATAGCTAACAATGTTTTCGGCCCCGCTGTAAACAATCCTTTACGTCTGCTTAGGCCGGAAAGTGAAGTCAATGACTCATGCCTAAGGCAGAACGTAACGCCGGGCACTTTCGACTGCCGACCATAACTGGAGTACGCTGAGCTGATCCATGGAGTCATTTGAGTACCTGGTCGAAGGATGGAATCCTAACATATACATATATCAGCAAATGACTGAGCTAGGCTCACTATACTTAACATAGCTTTTTCTTAAGAAATGGTGTGCATATAACAACAGCACCTCGGCCTGCCTACTGAAACCCATCTCAACCAGCCAGGATACACGATCAGTCCAATATGCCCTCCATCCTTCAAATCGTTGGCATCCTAATCGCAGCATATTGCTCAACCTTCATTTACTGCTTCGTACGCAACCTCTACTATGCCAGCAAGTCTGGCCTGCCAATGCTCGTAGTGCCATGGGACCAAAACCACTTCGTCTGGATGGTGACAGCTGTGGCATTACGCCCACATCTCGAGAAATGGCTGCCGAAGTCGATTTACAAACGGCTTCGACTAACCATCTACGGCTGGGAGTTTCACGAACGCGGACGTCCACACAAGGAGTACCTCGGTGGCAAGCGAACATACATGCATGTCGGCCTTGGTAGAAGCGAATTTTGGACGAGCGACGCAGAGGTGGTATGGGAGGTACTACGCCGCCCGAACGACTTTCACCAACTCGACTTGACCGATCTTTTCATGGCTCGCTTTGGTCACAATGTGCTGACAACTAACGGTGATCGATGGGCTAGGCAGCGGAAAGTGGTCGCCTCAGTGATCAATGAGCGCATATCCAAAGCTGTTTTCGACGAGAGTGTGCGGCAGACCGAGGGTCTCATGGACGAAGTCTATCGCAGCTCGTCTGACACATCAGACTGTGCAGAAACGAACAAACTCTTCGACATGATGAAGAAAATCACGATCCATGTTCTTAGCGGCGCAGGCATGGGCGCGACTGTGTCCTTCAGTGGCGACACACTTGAGAAGCCTAAGCCTGGCTACAAACTCAACTACATTGAGTCAGTCAAGTCAGTCATCTACAACATCACTGGTCCCATGCTGCTACCGCAGTGGCTGCTGGCAAACTGGCCGTCTACATGGCCGGCTGCTGAGAACATGCGTACATTGTCCTGTGCGATGAGAGAGTTTCCGGTGCACACCAAAGACATGATCGAGCAAGAGAGACAACGTGCGGCAGCTTCCAAGTCTGCTGAGACACGAAGCAACATTATGAGTCAGCTCTTGAAAGCTTCAGAAAGCGAGGCTGATATGAAAGGAAACGCCTTGTCGGAGGAAGAGATGATAGGCAATCTTTTCCTGTTCACCATTGCTGGCTTCGACACCACAGCCAATACTCTGTCTTACGCACTAGCTCTACTGGCACGGTACCCAGCTTGGCAGGACTGGCTTCTAGAAGAAGTTGACCAGATCGTGCCGTCTACCGCAACCGCAGCAGAGCTCGATTATACTACCGTCTACCCGAAAGCGAACCGTACGGTAGCGTTCATGTTGGAGACACTGCGACTCTTTACGCCACTCATTCACATCTCGAAGCAGACGGCAACAGCTCAGACCATCCAAACATCGACTGGAGCATACTGGATACCGCCGAAGACCACTTGTTACGTGAATACCATCCTCTTGCATCTCGACCCAGCAGTCTGGCGCAACCTAAATATCCAACCTGGCGAGGAAAGCAGCGACGATGACGAAACGCTTTTCCGACCTACGCGCTGGCTCAACCCATCTGGCAGCGCGCACGTCATCTTTCAGCCGCCACGAGGGAGCTATGTGCCGTGGAGCACCGGACCTCGAGTCTGTCCAGGCATGGGAATGGCTCGCGTGGAGTTCGTCACCGTGATGCTGATGTTATTGCGTCGGAACCGCATTCAAGCTGTTTGTCTTGATGGTGAGGACGAGAAGCAAGCACAACTCAGGCTAGAAAGCCGGATGCGCAAAAGTCAATCGATCCTAACGCTACAGATGGAAGGCATCTACGACGTCAAAGACGCAACCGACGGCCTTTCACTACGGCTGGTGAAGCGTAATCGTGAGTAGCAGGCTGCAGAAACGAAGTGACTTCCAGCCATTACCTCTGATACTGCTCTTCTGACGGACTAAGCACACCTCTGCACACGCAGTCTCTCCACGCCGAGCCCAGCATGAGCATGAAGGCCGCCCCTTCAGAACCGCTCTTCATCGGCTCACGTGAGTCATGTTTCAAAGCATTGACAGCTGGTTCTGCGAAGCCATTGTCATCCACACGAGAAGTGACCGCGTGCCTTTTAGCACTCGCCCAGCTCATGTACTTCGGTTGGGCGTAGATCTCAGGCCTGAAAAGCGCCATACGATACGTTGCTGCCGTGAGCAAAGCCGTGCCGGACACCTCGCCCCACCAGCTCCGATCACCCAAATAGTTCCGAAGTAGGCCAGACTGATCATCGTCGGTGCTGACGGCGCCGTCGATGATCTCGCCAATCCATCCGTCGAGCTTCTCCATCTCGGGCTGCATTGCTTCCCTGCTCACATTCCAGCCGGAGATCGTAGCCCTCACCCTAGCCATCCCATAAGCCGCCCATCCATTACCCGTACTCCAAGCACCTTCGTCAGCCATTTCCGATGGGCCGACGATGTGCTTCCAGAGACCCTTTTCAGGCCCGTCGCTGATGGAGAGTATGTTTCTGTACAGCTCGATCTGTCGAACAGCTTCCCGCAACAGATCCAGATCCTTCTTGTACACTCCATAATAGGCCAGGAAAGGCGGGAACATGGAGACAGCGTCTGACCAAAGCTCTGCTACCTGTTGCCTGTGGCTTATGGCACCATTGGAGTAGCGTGGTGCCCTGTCGAGTAAGTACTCCTTCTGCCTCTCGCAAGCAGTCAAGTAACGACTCCACCGCGTTCCGACCATTACTGCTGCCACACCCAACGATGCAGGATCTGAGACACTGTATTCATCGGCGTATAGCATTTGCTCCTCATATTCGATGTGCTGGTACACCCAAATGAGTGCCTGATCCATGTGCAACGCTTGATACGGGATATGGTTGCCCTTGAATGGATCACTTCCGAAGACAGACTTCTCCGGGTTCACCAGCTCCATTACCGCTTCCGCTGTAGTACCATACTCCCAGCTATGGTTCGCCAAATGCTCCGCTTGGTGACGAACGGCATTCACTCTGAATGTGAAGTTGAAAGTGGCAATGCAGCTCTCGTACGTGCTCACGTCGAGGGAGGGCTGTGAAACATAGTTTTGCCAGTATACCGCCACGAAGATGCCAAGTAAGATCAGATAGACGGGACCCCATCGTAGACTAAGCGGCCACGTTGAGTAGTCTGTCCAGGAGAAAGGATGTGTGGTGGACACAGTCGTGACCGGTTGCTGGGTCACAGCAGGTTCAGTTGCCTCTGGTCTCCGTCGCTGTCGCACGTCTGCCATGTTTGTGCGCTTCACCGGGACGAATGTGTGCACAAAACCTGCCGAGGATAAATATCACGCTTTTGGACAGCGATATTGATATTGTTCGAGGTCACAGCCCGTCAAGCATGCTTTCATACTTACAATTCGCTTGGCTTCATCCACCTTCTCGGTACCTATACCACAATAACAGGTTTACCTTAGCTACCTATCCGGGTAACTAGATTAGCGGACTTGCTTCTTTAAAGTGGAAAGCCGTTTCAACAACCAACCCTCTTTAAGTGTTGAAGCGGACTCAGAAGTGTGAGAATCACGAAGATTGCTGCGCGATGACGGTGATCCACACTGACGTTCCATTGTGCGCTCATAATCAATACATGACGGAAACAGCACCTGGGAACATCTACAATGAGTTTGGAGGAATGCTTTGGTCATAATCATAGGGGGTTTGGATTAATGTGTACAGGGCGCAATGGGCAATTCACGGATTCAATGCTTCATCATACCCTTGTGGCTGTCCATGTCCCTCTGTAGGGTATGTACCCGTTTGTACCGACGCCATGTCGTTAGACGCTCAAAACGCTCAGAACGCTCATCATATAGCACATTCTAGCTCGCAGCTAGTCCGATCTCGACCTATAGAGCTCACAGTCAGTAAGATTCCTCCGCGTCAGTGAGTCAGCACTTTTCTTACCAGGTCGGCCCGGCGCTCAATCCGCTCGATAGCAACGCCCCAACACTCCTCCTTCGGTCTTGCGGGCGGCGCAGTCGCTGGTGGTGGACATCACGATCACTAGCCTGGCTTGCTGTAGTGACTGCACTGGGGCGTCTACGCGTCCTGCTCATGCCATCCGGGCTGTCAAACCCACCTGCTCCAGCAGTCATAGCTGCGTCAGTCGTTTGGCCACCTGGATGTTGCTTCGGCAAACCCATCTCATCGAGATCGCCCTCCTGCCACGACCCAGTAGTATTGAAGATCGAGCTGCGTCGCCGACTCAGTGCTGCAATCTCATCATCCTTCTTATGTAGGTTGTCCGAGGGCAACAAGATAGCACGATCTAGTGCATACGGGAGCCCACGATGCCTGCCTCGGAGCATCATAGCGATGATGACAAGCTTGCTGATGACCTTGAACTCCGCCGAGAAACTCGCATTGATGGTTGGATACCCCAAGCTCAAGCCCACCGTACCGTACGCCGACACGATCTCAAACAGCACGGAAAACATGGTGAAACCGTAGTCGTTAGTATTCTCCAAGCGTCCACCCTCCACGATGCAGATGATGAAGAAGCCTAAGAACACGTACCACAAGTCGAAGCTGAGCTGTCGTCGCAGATGCTGGCCCACGTAGCTCTGCTCTCCACCTTCGCCGTCTTCCTCTTCACCTCCCCAGATTCCCAGACTCTTCTCTTCGTACACATTGGTTCGGCGCACCGAAATGGCGATCGGAAATACGGAGATGTACATCATGATCAGATAGCTGACCTGGATTGCAGGATGGAGATTGGCGAGGTTGACGCAACCAAAACCGGCTGTCCTCGTGGACACGGCTTGGAACCAACCGTTGAGCACACGGAAGCCTGGAGCCAGCGATGTAACGGTGGTGTCGTTCAGATCCAAGATGATGAAGAATACGAGATCAATGCCGTTCAGCAGGACGAGGATCCAGAATAGCCACCAAGTAGCCCTTGATGGAAATAGTAGCGTGAAACACCGTCGGGGATGGTCGAGCAGGAAACGCAGCTCCTCCCACGTCGCGCTGCCATGAGCAGTCAATTTCGATGCAACCCATATGGTAAATCGCAGCATGCACGGGAAGCCTGTGTTGCCAATGATGATGAGGTAGGAACCGAACAGGAGTGGGAGAACCGCTGTCTGAAAGCTTATCATTGAGTCGGGCGTGATGGTGTAACCAAGATCGTTGAACATTGATGCAGGCGTGAATACGCCCCACCAGCCGGCATCCTGTCCGACTGACTGCACGTATGATTTCCATGGTTGGGTGTGCATTATCCAGGGCAGTAATACCGCCATACCGAGTGCGTGAAAGCCAACGAAGTAGGCGATCAGGATCTTTGCGAGTGTCTTCAGGGCTCGATACTCAATGCCACCGAGCTCTTCGCGTTGGGCTGGCGTCAAGCCAAGGAAGGCACTGTTGCGTCCTGTGGTAGCCTGCCAGCTCAGATATGGCATGGGATCGTCGTCTCTCTCCCGGCTACGCGCAGTGGTGAGACTGCTTAGCGTTTGTGTCACGGTACGGCGAACGCCAGTAAGAACCGGTGGACCCCGCGATCTATTATGGCGTTGCGAGATTCCGCTTAGTACTCTGCCCACTCTATCCCGAACACCGTCGAAGTGGCTGCCACTCACAGATTCGCTGTCACGGCGGTGGTGGCCAGGATGTTGAGGTTCGTTGATGGTAATACCACGCCGTGGGTGCTGATTGATGGTCACCTCATCGCTTCGTCCGTCCACACTGCGAGTGGAGCGCTCCGTATCGGCGAAGCCTTGAGTTGCCGAGCCACGAGTTTGTGGTCGCCGCAAATCACCGGCCTCAAGTTCTTGTGGCACAGCGCCGAGGTCAACATCTCGCGGACCAGGTATTCGAAGGGCATTCGTTTCCTTTGCAGCACCTCGCTGCCGCTCAAGGAACAATATGTGCTTGTCCATGTCGTCTCCGTCGCGTATTGGCGCTGGCATCGATTCCGTCTTGTCAGAGCCAGGCGCAGGCAGTTCGTCTGCGAACGTAATGTCGCGGTGCAGGCGTGGCGGCATTCCGAGGTATGTCGCGGCAGGCGTATTCGGGTGCTCACGCTCACCCACATGGTCTAGTTGATCTGGTGGTATCTCGTCGCTTTGATCGCTATGTCGGTTGCTACTCCTCGGCGTCACCGATTCGCTGTCCAGCGCATGGTTGTCATTTAGCTTTTTCGCGACGTCCTTCTGTAAGTCGGTCAACCCCGCATTGATATCCTCGTCGCCATTGACCTTCGTAGCGTCGTGCAGAACCTTGATCTCCCGTCCATTGACTCCCTTCTCTAACCGATCAAGGTCCGCGCTGTTACGCATTTCGCTCTTTGTGCGGGTAATGGTCTTCGCTCTTGAACGCCGCTGCTCCCGCACCTCTTTTACCAAGTTGTGGAAACGCTTCTCGAACCAGTAAAGCCTCACGAAGACGACTGCGGAGTTGATGAAGATCGGATTGCAAACACAAGCGATCAACATGAGTGTGACCTGCTGATACAAGTAAAGGTTGTTCACATCGACTGTGTTTAAGCCGGACTGCGTCGAGGCGCCGGCGGCGAAAAAGAGGGCATCGATATATGGCAATAGTCCCGCTTTTGGATACAGAATGATCGAGCCAATGATGGTCATGCTCACCAGATACATATAGTGACATGTGATAAAGTTGAAATGCAGCTTTCTCCATTTTCGTGGGTCGACCTGACCGAGGCGCCTGGCGGCCTCGACTATAGGTTCGAATACCATCACGGCGGTGTTGTTCGTTCACAGTCCAGACCCTTTCGCCAGTGATTTGAGAGGCCCAGCCAAGGTCGATGTCGGAATCTTGGCTGACCACTCAGTCTCCGTCACTGTTCACACAGCTCCGAGCCGTCACTTTTCTTGCGCAAGCCGTCACTTTGAGTCTGGTGATCCTTCACCCAACTCAAAGTCTTCTTGAGGGCGTAAGGTTGTCAGCACCTCCCTGGTGTCTTCATAAGTGCAGTCATTTGCCGAGTACTCGGCGGTCGTGCTGCGCCCCGGAGATGCTCAATGGTTTGCGTTCGCCCGAGTTCTCAATGTCTCCAGGTAGTGCTCGTAGGGATAGTGCTAAGAAGCCCCAGGCGGATCTTTTCCAAGGTCGTTATGCATATTGATTGATTATGCTTGAAATTGCTTGTACTTATCGCAGAGTAGTGGTCGTGCGAGTGGAGCTACACCAAGCAATGACATCGAGTTAGTTTCATTTGACGATCCCGAGGCTCGATCTCTTACCGGCCCGGAAGCTTGCTCTCAGCCCTATGAGCGCCACGAATTTGGTACAGGACCCGACTCTCACAGGTGCTCTATGTATCTACAATGGACCATGCTAGCTACGGAGAAGGATTAAATTCGACAGCACAGCACGATCGCTTCTGGACTCATGGTTCCCCCTCCCACTTTGAAAGACCAATTCCCGAGCGTATCAGCTGAGGCCTCCTATACCGCCCACATCCACTTCCCGCCAACGCCACGCTATGCATACAAGTAAACCGCTGATTGACAGCGTGAGTGCGTGTTAGCAACGTCACGACCGGCTTCCGCGTTACGCGCACCACCTGCGCGCGCTTCTGAACAACCGTATCCATGGCCCAAATTCGCCCCACTCCTTGGCCTGCTCTTTCGGAATATAGCTGCCAACATCCTTCAAGATAGTTCGCTCTGGATGGGGCATGAGTGCCAGAACCCTGCCGTCAGGAGTTCTGACGGCCGTAATGCCGAGTGGACTACCATTCGGATTGTGCGGATACCGCTCGGTCGGTCTCAAGTGATTATCCGTATACCGCATACACACTAGCCCCTGGTCGATCAGAGACTGCGGCGTTGCACTGCCGGTTGGCGAAAACTGTGCTCGCCCTTCGCCATGGGCGGTGACGATGGGCAGAAACGAACCATGCATCCCGTGCAAGAAGACGCTGGAAGTCTGGTTTGCCGGGTCGCTGACCTCGACCATGCAAACGCGCGCCTCGTACTGCTCAGATATGTTGCGCTCGAACGTCGGCCAGGACTCAGCGCCCGGTATGAGCTCAGTTAGGCGCGAGAGGAATTGACAGCCATTACAGACACCGAGGGTGAATGTGTCCTTGCGCTCAAAGAATGCTTTAAACTCGTTGCGTGCTCCCTCGTGCAGCAGTACGCTCTTAGCCCAGCCTTGTCCAGCACCGAGGACATCGCCGTAGCTGAAGCCTCCACAAGCCGCAAGGCCAACACAGGATGCGAGTGAGAATCTTCCAGACAGTATGTCGGTCATGTGCACGTCGATGGGAGAGAAGCCGGCCGAAGCGAATGCGCACGCCATCTCTGCTTGACCATTGACGCCTTGCTCACGCAGAATCGCCACCCTAGGCTTAGCGCGTAGCTGTGAGGTAAAGCTTGCAGTGTAGGTCAAGATGTTCTCTTGCGGTTTGAAGGTAAGCTTGTATTGCAGACCAGGATCGCCGTCATTGTCTATGCTCGCCTTCTCGGCATCCGCACAGTCTGGATTGTCACGTAAACGCTGCATAGCCCACGATGTCTGGGACCACTTCTGCTGCAGCTCCTTCCTCGAAGCGCGGTAGACGCAGTTTGCACCGTACCACATCGCCAAATCCTGTTTCGGCGCTTTCGACACGGCGCCTAATACGATCGGACGCATAGGCGCAAAGACGCCACGGAACTCATTTTCGTGCTTCTTCCTGATCTGAAACACGGCGCCAAGCTCTTCGTTAAACAGGGTCTCGACGAGATCCTGGGTCCTGCCAGACTTGACGACGTTGTCGAGCATGACATCCACGCCACAACGGCCAGCGAGCATCATCTCTACCAGTGTCGTGAGCACGCCTCCGTCGGATCGATCATGGTAGGCCAGCACAATCTCTGACTCGTGCAGCTGCTCGATGGCATGATAGAAATCTTTGATCAGCTCCACGTCTCGCACATCCGGAGCCTGGTTGCCAACTTGGCCAAACACCTGCGCTAGAGCCGAACCGCCAAGCGCCTTCTTCCCCTCCGCAAGGTCAACGAACATCAGTAATGTGTCGCCCACCTCTTCCGGTCGTCTTAGAGTTGGCGTCCAAGTGCTGCCGATATCATTCACTGGCGCAAAGGCGGTAATGACCAGCGACAGCGGCGCTGTCACTTCCTTATCCTCCCATCTAGTCTTCATGGACATTGAGTCCTTTCCAACGGGTATGCTGATGCCAAGATCAGGACATAGCTGCATGCCAATAGCTTCTACAGCCTCATATAGCGCTGCACCCTCGCCTGGATGACTGCTCGCCGCCATCCAGTTCGCCGAGAGCCTTATACGATTGAGCCGGTTTTCTACACTCGCCGCGGCAATGTTCAGTAATGACTCAGCGACAGCCATACGCGCTGATGCTGCAGGCGATATAAGCGCAATAGATGGTCGCTCACCCATGGCCATTGCTTCGCCCGTGCGTATGCCCGGTGTAAGCGATGTTGCAGTTACTGACACATCGGCCACGGGCGTCTGCCATGGACCCACCATCTGGTCTCTGACCGTTAAACCACCTACAGTACGATCCGAGATCGTGATGAGAAAGGATTTGGAACCGACCGCAGGGAGGGCTAGGACGCGGTCGACTGCATTGCCCAGTACGTCCTGCGCCGGCATTTTTGGTAAATACGCAGACAGACTGCTGTCAAACGAGGGTAGCTTTAGTCTTCTCGAGTCCACGATACGGTGCATCTTGGGCGGCTTGCCGAACAACACGGACATCGGCAGATCAATAGGCGTTGGCTCTTCTTGCGAATCTCGATCCATCAGTATCAGCCGCTTCTCCTTCTGTGCACGTCCGACGACCGAAAATCCGCAGCGCTCGCGTCTCGCTATTCGTACGAAAATCTCAAGCTTGTCCGGTGCGATGGCCATGACATACCGCTCCTGAGCCTCGCAACACCAGATTTGCAGAGGACTGAGACTCTTATCCGCGTTATCAATCTCTCTGAGTTCGAAACGCGCGCCGAAGCCAGCGTCTTCGACAAGCTCTGGGAGCGCGTTTGATAAACCTCCAGCGCCAACATCATGTATCAATTGAATGGGGCTTTGCGGACCCATGGCGGTGCAGTTGTTGATGACTTCCTGCGCCCGCCGTTGCACTTCCGCATTGCCGCGCTGCACGCTTGCAAAGTCCAAATCGACGCTTCCTTCACCTGACTGTATGCTTGACGCAGCACCTCCACCGAGGCCAATGAGCATAGCAGGACCGCCCAAGACGATGAGATGCGCACCTTGGCTGACCAGGCCTTTCTGCTTCAGAGCGTGCTGTGGCCGCACGGTACCAACTCCGCCAGCGATCATGATAGGCTTGTGGTACCCTCGTACCTCGGTCTTGCCATCAGCAGTTGGTACTTTCGTCGTGAGGGTACGGAAATAGCCGGTGGTGCACGGTCGGCCAAACTCATTGTTGAAAGCAGCGCTGCCAATAGGTGCTTCAAGCATTATGTCAAGACTGCTCGCCAAATGTGCCGGCTTGCCCACATCGAGCTCCCACGGTTGTCGGAAGTCCGGTATTAGCAGATCTGAGACGGTGAAGCCAGATAATCCCGCCTTTGGCTTCGATCCTCTCCCAACCGCGCCTTCGTCTCTTATCTCGCCACCAGATCCTGTCGCTGCTCCAGGGTATGGCGATACAGCTGTGGGGTGATTGTGTGTCTCGACTTTGGCCAGGTAGTGCACCGTTTCCTTCGTCTGCCTCCACTCGCCGGTGCTACTCTCAGGCGCCCAGAAGCTGCCATCATAGCCTTGCAACACCGCAGCATTGTCGCTGTAAGCGCTGATGACATGCTTCGGATGGGCGCTGTGGGTATTTCGAATCATTGAGAACAGACTGCGGGGCTTCTTGACGCCGTCGATCGTCCAGTCTGCGTTGAATTGCTTATGTCTGCAATGTTCGGAGTTGACCTGAGCAAACATGAAGAGCTCGACGTCCGTTGGATCGCGGTGCAACTGGTTAGTATATGCGTCGATCAGGTAGTCCATTTCCGAGTCGTCCAAAGCAAGGCCAAGCGTCCGATTAGCCTCCCTGAGTGCACCTTTATCGCCGTGAAGCTGAATCCGTCGCAGTGGCTTGGGTGGCAATTGAGCGAACATTGAATGCAGATTTGGCGGCTTGGAACCAACACTCTCCGTCATACGATCGTGCAGCGCGTCAGCATTCGGGATTTTGCCATCCTCAAGCGGCTGAGAGAAAGTCGCCGCAAATAGCACGCCTCGTTCTACCCTTTCAACCACGTCCCCAAGTCCGCACACCTGCGCAATACTCGTCGCCTTCGAGCTCCATGGCGAAATCGTACCGGGCCGAGGATACACATAGAACAATCTCACAGAGGCGTCGTCCGGTGGCGCCCCGTTAATGACAGCCTTGAGTAAGATACCGTACAGCCTTTCCGTAGACTCCGGATAAGAGCCATAGTCCAGTAATTGATCAAGTACCGAGATTTGTTCCCCGAGAAGCTCATGCTTCGACGCAACATAGTGCACCCATATCGCTTGAAGCTGGCTTGCACCTATTGCTGTGGCAAGGCGTCGAAGGCGGAAGCCGGAGAAGGCGGCAGAGCCTGGAAACGCTCGGGTTGCACTCTGCGCGCCCTCCATGCCTAACGGAGATGTCGGATTTCGTGTTCACCTGAGCATCCCAAGATGTGTGCTGCTGGCTTGTACGATCGCAAAAGCGCATGAAGTTTGGTGCCGACGCCTTATTCGCTCGGATGCAGCCGGCGCCAGCAACTTGCGAGAAGGTAGAGGATTTTACACGATAATGTGAATAGTGAAGTCAAATCTTGTCGCTATAAACGCTGATACTTCAAATTCATTCAATCGGTCACATTCCTGGTATCGAACATATGCGCGCCTTAGAACTCTAACAGCAAGACGGAACAACGCAGTATCCAACAAGCCGCGCCACCATGCTACATAACCTCAAAGCTCCTCGACAGGCGCAGTATTCTCATCACAAACCTCTAATACCTTCGACGAGTTGACCCTGATACCCTGGGCATGGAATACCGCCCTTTCCTGCGATTTTACGTTGTCTTCCCAGATAATGATGCCGCTGTTGGTGTCGTGCTCAGTCTTCGAGGAGATTGATGCAGAGAGACTAGACGTTGCGCTTTTGGTGCTTGTTTTCTTGACGAAAGGCGACAACGGAGCGAAAAGCTCATTGAAGTCAAGCTTAGCAGCTGCAGCCTTCTCCGGCGTTGGCTGAACGAGGACATGCGAGTCCTTGTCCAGACCTTCTGGGATAAATGGCTCGGTCTCAAGGTCAGACAACGGCGAGCGCTCTCCGTCATCCATTTCCTCGCCAACGATTTTCCTGCGGATAATCTCTGTCTTCTTGACGTGTCTCGGCGCAGCGACAGCAGGCTCACCAAGTGAACGGGAAGCGGTAGGTGCATCATAGTCGGCAGGCGGTGTGTTCTCCTTGCCCCTATCGTCGCGCACGCGTTTGCTACCCTCCTCGTCTGAGCTGATGTCTAACGTGAGCGTGCTGTGCTCCATAAGGTTGGCAGCTTCCTCCTCCGGCGAGTCCTCATAGATATCGAAGAACCAGTCCTTCGGCATGCTCTCTTTGATGGTTGCGCCAGTACTTTGGGAGGTCGAGAAGGTGCCACTGAGTGCAGCGTCCAGGCTGAATGGCAAGGAAGAGCCGCGAGAAGCGAATGGCGGGTCGATGCGAGTGAAAGGTGCCGAGATGCGACGGTTTTTAGTGATACCAGCAATCTTGCGTTTAGGAGAACGGCCGGCAGGAGCAGTAGAAGGTGCACGAGGAGACGCCATGTTGGCACGAGCAGGAGTCGATAGGCGGGAAGGAATGGTTGGCGGAGGTGGCATGGAGTTGGCGGGCGTCAGTGAGAAAGTGAATGGCTTAGCAGCGCTGTCGAAGGCGCTGCTCTTGCTCTTCTTGGAAGGCGAGGTGAGCACCGTTGGATCGACATTCTCGCTATCATCCTCATCGAAGCTCGAGGGCTCAAAGCGGCGTTTGTTGGGAGAGAAGGCATCCTTGGGCGATGCACTGTTCGCTTTGGCACCCAAGCCACTCTTGGAGGCGAGCAAGCCTAGCAGCGTAAGTACAGATTTATTGACAATGGTGTCACGTTCGAAAGCCTACCATTCTGGCGGTTCTTCGCATTGGCCAGATGCTGCAGACGAGGGTTGTCCACAGGTGCAAAAGGCACCCGTGCCATGGGCGCGTGGGTTGTCATTGTAGTTCCTATCACCACCTCGCCCTTCTACCGAGAATCCTGTCTGGCCAGTTGCAGTGGGCTAACCAGTAGCTGCCGTTCAATGCCACAAGCGACTGTCTGCACTACCAGCGTGGTAATGATAACAACCCCGCGACGAAGAACGAATGTTGGGAAGGAGTTGTTGCTAAAGAGACGATACAGTCTATGAAGAATTGCTACACGTTCTGAACCGCCTCCGCACAGACTCTCGTGTCGTGACCGCGATGAAGAGAGCTAATGCAAGTTCGTGAGCGTGGAGCAGACGTGTTGGACTCAGCGGAGCCAGATGTGTGTTGCCGAGCGATCCACAGGCGCGTGTTCGGCGCGTTTTACGACAGGGGTCTCAACACTTCCAGGCTCTGACGCTCCCACCAACACACCATTCTGATGCACTGCCATCGCTGTCAAGGCATGTTTAAGCGCTAGCCTTCGGTTTGGGTTTGACGACCTCAACGACGATTCTTGCTCGAAAGCTTTACTTTGACTGCCAACACAGAGTTGGGAGGGTGGGCGGCAACGACTATTGATTTGACAATTGCCCCTCGCTGTCACAGCAACGGATCGTGTCAGTTTTGAAATCGCCCTTCAGAAGCGTTTCAAAAAGTGTTGCGATACATCTTGAGCCATCGTTTACAGCTGTTCGTCCCGGAAAGGTGTCATGAACTCGCTTCATTTCTCACCACTTACTTCAGCCAAAGGCGTAGCTCCAATGTCTAAGTCCTGTATGTCGTCCATGTTCGCCTCAAACCCTCCCGTTCCGTCCAACTCATCATATCTGCCAAGTCCGATGTCACCACCATCGACCCCATCGGTCCTTGGCGTCACTACCTGCTCGGACATCCTGCCCCTTCCACCTTCTCCAGGTCTAGCCGCAGCCTTCAACCTCCTGTTCGTCGCAGCCTCACTCCATTTCGCAAGGTTGCGGTACTCCCTTACCATATCCAGCGCTTTCTCGTTCAGCTCCCCACCATTGACCGTGGTGGTACGAGCCTCTTCCTCGTTCTCCGCCGTCAGCTCGTCCGGCAACTCCGCGAGCATCTGGTACAGCTCCTCCGATTGTTCTTCGCCATTATGAGTGCAGAGTATCATGTCACGCATGATGATGCGGACCTTGGCCATCGTGCCACCTTTGTACCATCCATTGATGTGCGCATCGCACTCTGTCCGGACGTCGTCTGTTTGAAGGAGGCGATGCAGTAACGGTTCGGTTACATCGCAGACCTGCCACATTTTACCGCCGTCTGTGGCCGGCGTCTTGCCGTCGAAGATATGAGGCAGAGAGTTCTTGTTGATGTTGGTGTTGATTGCATGGCGAAAGGCTTTCGACTTAGTCCGACTGGGTTGGCTGCTCGGCGGCGGAAGGTTGCCGCCCAGAGCAAAGACACATATCTGGTAGAAGCGATACTTCGGATCAGTCCGAGGATCAAGGCCGTACTTGATGAGCGTGTCACGGAAGGGTCCAGCGGAGAAGCTGTAGCCGAGCCATTGCGTGGCCTCCTTGATCGTGCCTTCCGGGTACTGAGGGAAGACGTTGCCGAGGACACGCTTGGTCACCATTGGGCGTGTCTCAAGGTACTTTGCAATATCTCCGACCGCTTGGTTGAGGTGGACAGGGCTTTTGCTGGTGACCTTGAGATCTGGTGGAGGGCCGAGCGGCACATCCTGAGCATCCGGTGCGAGAGAGGTCATTATCCGCCTTGGAGGAGGGTGGGCATTCGAACTCGTGGGTTGACCGTGCTCGTCGAAGGAGTAGACAACGCCAGGTGCTTGCTGATACTCGTAGCGATATGGCTGATCGTTGGCTATAAAGCTTGGCGGGAGTGAGATCGACACATTCTTCGTTACCCCCGGCTCGATGTTCATCCTAAACTTGGCTAGGTCTTCGTATCTTGAGGATATGACATGGTGTTTGAAGTTCTGCATGATAGGAAGGTCGCCCATATACATTTGAAAGTCCGCCTGAGCTCGAAACTTGTGCGTTTCTGTAATCACACCGACAGGCTCAATGCTGTACTTTCCCTCGTTGTCTCGCATGCGTCGAAGCAACTCCGGGGCTTTGAGACTGACACTGTGCGTTGCAGCGGCGTCATGTTCGGTGAAAGGCTCGTCTGAGCCTCTCTTTCGCTTGCGGCCAGTCCATTTGGGCACGGTAACCCTGACGAGTACATTCCGTGTCTCAATGGCTGTGGAAGCCAATTTCTTCGCCAATGGATCATGTGGTCTAAGTGAGCAACCAATAACGGGTTCGGGGAGCTTCGCCTGCCTTTCTGGTACCTTGATCGTGCTGTCTCCTACTCTATGTTCGAGTACCTGAGCCAAATCAGCGCGGATTGAGCATGGTCTCGTTGCCAACTTACATGTTTGATCTGTGCCTCGCCACCAAGGGATTTGATACCATTATGGAAATTCCTGACGATACATGGATGTTCGATACTTACGATCATCGACGACGGGACGCTATAGGTAGGAGCGACCTGGGGCACAGATTGCTCATCTACAGGCCAGTTGTCTGGCACCGCCATCACGCCCGACAGCAGAATACTCTTGCCCGGTCTTCCTACGCGGAGGATAGCTGCGTGAAGAGAATCTCAGGTTTTCCTATGCAGGCTACGCAGATTGAGTGCTGGAGGAAGACGTGCTTGGCGAGGCGAAACTGGGCCTGGAGATTGAACCCCGCTGCGGCTTGACGGGAGACCGATCGGGAAGTTCCCGCGTACGGCGCCGCTGCTGCGCCAGCAATGCCCACACTCTTGCAACATCCACAGAAGCCACCGATTGCGTCTTCCCACCACTCACGCCGCTTACAGATTCCTTGTTGCTTTCGCCTTGATCCTGTCAGGATCCCTTTCCATATATCGCGCACATCCTAAAACTGCCGGTCACGTGGAGCCAAGCCTGATCCTCGTGCTGAACATCACCGACCCACATTGAGCCGCTCTCGCTGGCCATACACCGTATACCAAGCCTCAATGGCTCAGTAACCACTGTGGCATCTCATCGAACAAGCACTGGAGCTCGGCGCCGACGCAAAGTCAACACGGGAAAGGGTCAGACTGCTAGGTGGGGACGGATACACTTGCAGAGTGGGCTGGCATTGGGCTCCCTCTAAGCTTGCTACAGCTTTGCGAGACTCACGATGAAAGGCTTCAGGCAACGAGTGGTAGGTCATACCCCTCCTCCCATCATAGTCTTGCTTCATGTGTTGATGTGCTCTTCTGTTCTGACAGCAAGAACAGCTCTCGCGCGGCAAAGATAAAGAAGGCAACAAGCTCGCCAAGAAGAAGGACGGCTCCTCAGGGACCGCATCACCTCGTGACGGCTCATCAAACCACTCGCCGGCGAATTCTGCGCATGCTACTCCCTCGTCTTCACAGTCGAACCTGGCGGATACGCGGAACAAGCCGCTGCCCGGCACAGATGGGCCTCCGCAACAAGCTCCCGGCGCTGCACCGCCACCAGCCGCGGCGCCGCAGATGAACATGGGCTTTGGACCTCATCAGGGTCAATTTGGCGGGCCGCAGCAGAACCCAGGCGAACGACACAATCTCAATGCGGCACCACAGCAAGGACAGCTTACGCCGGGAGGACATGCCAGGACGATGATACCTGGAGTTGTGATTTCGCAAAGCAACACACCCGTGAGTCCAAGCCACGCTATGGCTAACGCTATGTTTGGCTAACTAGTATAGCACGCTCCACCGCCTGGCGCTACAGAGTCTATGCCTCATGATCTTGCACCCCCGAAAGCGGGCCAGAAGAGTTTGCTGTTCGACCGACTATCGGCGGCACCAAAAGACACGGTCCCGGAAGGCATGCGAACACCGAAGCGACAGCATTCGTCGCGCTTCGATATCTCGGACCAGAGACAGCGGGAGCTGGAAAAGCTACCTGGCTTTCACGAGGTACCGCCAAACCGACGGCAAGAGCTGTTCATGCAGAAGCTGGATCAGTGCAACATCATCTTTGATTTCAACGATGCCTCGGGCGATATGAAGAGTAAAGAGATTAAGCGCTTGGCACTCCATGAGCTGCTGGACTACGTAGCGCAAAATCGCCAGGTCATTTCAGAGCCAATGTATCCTCGGGTAGTGGAGATGTTCGCAAAGAACTTATTTCGACCAATACCACCCCCCATGAACCCGCAGGGAGAGGCATTCGACCCGGAAGAGGACGAGCCGGTGCTGGAGGTCGCGTGGCCGCACATCCAGGTCGTCTACGAGTTCTTCCTCCGGTTCATCGAGAGTCAGGATTTTAACACCAACTACGCCAAGCAATACATTGACCACGGCTTTGTGTTACAATTACTGGAGCTCTTCGACTCAGAAGATCCGCGAGAACGTGACTTCCTCAAAACGACCCTCCACCGGATCTACGGCAAGTTCCTCAATCTGCGCTCCTTCATCCGCCGAAGCATCAACAACGTCTTCTTCCAATTCATCTACGAGACTGAGCGCTTCAACGGTATCGCGGAACTTCTTGAGATACTGGGCTCCATAATCAACGGCTTCGCGCTCCCACTCAAGGAAGAGCACAAGTTATTCCTCACGAGGGTGCTGATACCGATGCACAAAGTGAAGAGCCTGAGCTTGTACCATCCGCAGCTGGCGTACTGTATCGTGCAATTCTTGGAGAAGGATGCTTCGCTCACGGAAGAAGTGGTGTTGGGTTTGCTGAGGTATTGGCCCAAGGTGAATAGCACGAAAGAGGTCATGTTTTTGAATGAAGTGGAGGACATCTTCGAGGTCATGGATCCAGCGGAGTTTGCCAAGGTGCAGGAGCCGCTGTTCAATCAGTTGGCGAAGAGTGTCGCGAGTCCGCACTTTCAGGTAAGAACATCATTTTCAACCGAGACTTTGTGTGCATTGCTGACAATTGGTGTGTAATAGGTGGCCGAACGGGCACTCTACTTCTGGAACAATGAGTACTTTTGCAACCTTGTGAGCGACAACGTGGACGTAATCCTGCCAATCATGTTCGCGCCGCTATACGAGAACTCGAAAGGCCACTGGAACAGGTATGCTCCCTCTTACCCTCACCACCTTGCCAAACCGACGGCATAGCTGACGTAATGATGACTGTCAGAACCATCCACGGCATGGTCTACAACGCCATGAAACTCTTCATGGAGGTGAACCCGCAACTCTTCGACGAGTGCTCGCACGACTACACCGAACAACAAAACAACGCCGACGCCGTGAAAGCGAACCGACAAGCGAAATGGGATCGCCTGACGCAGCTTGCGGAGAGCATGAAGACGAATGGCGCGACGCAGCATAACGGCGCCATGACGCCGCGGCCTTTGGGCGGAAGCGGTGCGACGGGCTACCCGGTCAAAGACGCCGGGCTGGAAAGCCAGAGACGAATGGAGCAGCTACGGTTGGGAGATGATCCGGCGGCGCAGCAACGAAGACCTGGGTCCGCGAAGGAGTATGGAGGGCAAGGGCTTAGTAACTCGGTACGTTGACCGTTGTGACCGTTACTTTCCCGCCCTCTTCTCTCTGGTGTCTTCGTCAGTCAACGATTATTGCATATCACGTTTGTTTGTTGTGGAAAGAGCGCCGCGCTCTCGCTGGCACAGGCGGGGAAAAATTGTTGTGCAGGGTTGTTGTATCCTAGAGCAGAAAATCTATTGAACGCACACACACATGCCTGTTCTCCCGAGCACACAGCACGGATCGCCGCATAGCATAATTTTTACTGCTTTTCGATTCGAGCACATGAGAACAATTTGTGAGAAGACCACAAAAGGTGTTTCTGATCAACCGTCTTTTTTGGCGCGCGTACAGAAACGCCCCCCTTCTTCCACCTCCAGCAGCAGCATCGCGGCCGACGCGGTCAAAGTCCAGCATAAAGCCGTCATCGGACATGGCATGACGAGGACGAGGTCGAGGAGTAATAGTGGTGCGAGGCCCGGGTCGGCGGGAAGCTCGAAGGGCACCGGGCTGGGTATCAATAATACGAGTGTGCCGGCGAGGAGTGATTCGGTTACTAGTCCGAGGGGGGAGAGGAAGTGAGGGGATTGTAAGGAACGGTGAGGGTGAGGAGGCTGGAGTGAGGTGGTGGGGAGGTAGGGGCGCGATGGCGTATCTGCTTGTGGGTGGCAAAGTCGCGTCTGTTAATGATGGCTGCGCTTACCGAAGGCTTCGAAAAGCAGTTGTTCTGCGTGCGCGAGGAGGAGGACGTGTGACTTTTGTCTGGGCCTGCAGTGGAAATTGAGCTATACGGTGGGCGTAGTAGAGAGGGCGTAAGGGTCGGGAAAGCCAGGCTACAAACGAGGGTCGTGTAGGTCCTATACTACCGTCTTCCGTACCATCGTGTAAGCTTCGGAAAAAAGGGCGTTGTCGATTCGAGTCTGGAATTGGTTTTCACGAAAGTTTGCCGACTCATTTGAGCGACTTGTAGCGGGATGCACTTGACGGTATCTGAGTGCAGCAGAGGGGCATTTGTTGAAACCTGCACGTTTAGCTTTGTCCATTGGCCCAGACTCACCCGTCCTAAATATCGATACAGGGACTCGCTGCCAATGAGACTGTACACTTCCCGTTTTATTGCTTTGTATGGCTCGTCATAGCGGTTACACGGCGCGCGTCACACGAATACTGCACCCCACATCGCAGCAGCTGGGACGACTTCTTCGCCGCTATGGTACAATGTACACAGTTTGCTGATTGCGCTCAAGCCAAATCCACTATTCCCCCTCGCATCTCAATCTCTGTGGAAACGCGCCGTCGCCGCCGCGTCGGGATACATGTTCTCCTTGAGATTCACGCCCAGTTCTTCCCGGATCGACTGTAGGTCCTTGAGGTACTCGTCGTACTGGCCTTTGTTCTCTACCTTTGCTTTGATGCCTGTATATCCCGCACCCCGCGGATCAGCAAAGGAAACGTGTGTATGGTATCAGTGGGTTAATTTGCTAGGCGTACCCTCGAATATCCTGACGGCGGTCGGGAAATCATTGACTCTCCGTGCCGCTTTCAGCGCGGCGACGATGACGGAAGGTGAGGGGACGAGATCGTAGGCGAAGGCGTTGTTGAGGTTGCGTTGCAGTTCGAAGACGTCTTGGACTTGTTCGAATTCTTTCTCGTACCTGCCCGGACACAACAGCACGCATTAGCACACAGCGCTGCTCGGCATGAGCATGCGCAGATGGAAGAAGGGTCGCGTTGCGGAGGTGGATTCAGGCCGGTTGAGGCAGTATCACCACGCACTCATATGCGGCTTGAGTGCATGTATGCTTTGTGGACGGGCTGGGTCTTACCGCGCAGTGAACTCCTCAAAGCTCTCCTCATGATGCGGATCATGCGGGTCGCCGGCGGGCATGGCCAGCCCGCTGCTCCTGGTGGAAAAGCATGCGGTCGCTGGCTTGCTGGTGGTGGTGGTGGTTGGGGCTAATCGGACGGCGGAGCGGAGACGGTAGGAGGAGGATGTGGTGGTGGACAGCCTCGCCCGCGCGATGCGAGCGAAGGTGGCGGAGGACATTGGCGGAAGGGTGGTGGAGATGTGTGGTTGTGTGTCGCGTGTGTTGAAGCTTTGCCTACTTTATGCGGAAGGGCAGAGCAGCAGCAGCAGCTTTGGCTTGGAGAGACTGGAGCTACTGGCTGGACGTTCTCTGCCATTGGATTGGACGGAGCCGAGCGAATGCCTTGGCGCTCGCCAGGGGAAAGTCACGTGTTTGTCCGATTGATCCCGACGTCACTTCACTCGCTGTCGAATGGCGGCTTCAGCCCTATCGGAGCGTTCGGTTCAAGCCATCTTACCCTGTATGAAAGACACATGCATAGTAACATTTGCTTGACGCCTTAACCGCAAGGCCTCTGTGTTCAATCAAAGTAGAATCACGGTGTACTACTACAATCACAACCGCGTCTTTCACACCTCCCCCTCCAACCCATGTCACTGGTGCCGTTCGCTCTCGTAACGCAGCACTGTCTACCATCGTCAAATCGGGCCGAAACGTTCCGCCAGCCGAGGCCGCCAACTGTCGGCGGGCAGCAGCGACAAGCGACAAGCGACTGGGGGGGAAATTTCGCGTTCTGCTTGCAATTTCCGTGTCGAGGACCCCTTTCAAGTCCCGCCTTTCATCCATCCACTTCTCCACTGTGACTCTCTTCTTGTTGTCGCAACAAGTCCGTCCATCCTCCACTCTTCGCCCGCTCACCTCCAGTCACTCCTTCAGAGACCACGTTGTGCGCGACTGTGCTAGACGCATTACTGCCGCGCTCAACGGCGAGCACGCGACACACCAGTGACTTGCGCATCCGCCACCTTCCGCAATCGGTTTGACAACCACCTCATCGCATTGCAGTCGACTTCTACAACAACTCCCACGCTGCTAGAACTCTATCGCAAACATGGCGCAAGCAGACTGGCTCGAGATCGGCCTTCCCACTCTTGACCGTCCCTTCGGCCTCGCCCTCTGGCCCATCTTCTCCAAATGCTGGCAAGCAGTAGTCGGCTACAAGCCGGAGCAGTTCAGATTCACCCCCGGCCGCACTCCCATGGCGACCATGACCGAGACGGCCGTGACATTGATTTCCTACTACATCATCATCTTCGGCGGGCGAGAGCTCATGAAGGACCGGCAGCCGTTGAAACTGAACGGCCTCTTTAAGATCCACAACTTCTACCTGACCGCAATCAGCGGCATACTACTACTTCTCTTCCTGGAGCAGCTCATCCCAGAAATCACGCGAAACGGCGTCTTCCACGCCATCTGCTCCTTTGATGGGGGCTGGACGCCGCAACTCGTCGTCCTCTACTACGTGTGCCCCTCTGAACAGTTCACCCCGCTATACATGTCCAACTAACACCTCACTCCAGCTAAACTACCTAACCAAATACCTCGAACTCCTCGACACTGTCTTCCTCTTCCTCAAGAAGAAACCGCTCACCTTCCTGCACACCTACCACCACGGCGCCACCGCCTTACTCTGCTACACCCAGCTCCTCGGCCACACCGCCGTCTCTTGGGTCCCCATCGTCCTCAACCTCACCGTCCACGTCGTCATGTACTTCTACTACTTCCAGTCCGCGCGCGGCATCAAGATCTGGTGGAAGAAGTACATCACCATCCTGCAGATCGTGCAGTTCGTGATCGATCTGGGGTTCATTTACTTCGCTTCGTATACGTACTTTTCGGCGAGCTACTTCCCGTGGTTGCTGACGGCGGGGATATGCGCGGGCGAGGAGTTTGCGGCGTTTGCAGGCATGGCGATCATCACGAGCTATTTAGTGTTGTTCATTGGGTTTTACATCAGCACCTACAAGAAGCCGGTGAAGAAGGGACGCGGACGGGCGGTCAGCGCGTTGGTCGAGATGAAGGACGAGCAAGTGCCGGATGTGAGGGAGGCGAGACGGAGGTTAAGTGGCGGCGCCGCGACGATGAACGGGAGTGCGTTCAGTACGGGGAAGGAGAACGGACTGCCGAATGGAAATGGACGGGTCACGCGGTCGAGGAAGGCTTAGAGGGCTTCGGATGATACGCTGGACTCGGCGGAAGAGTGTGCTGTTGAGGATGTGGGGATGAAGAGGCCGAGGCGGAGGCAGGCGGAGGGATAGTTCGACGGAGATCGCGGGTGGGCTGTGGGCGTTGAAGGTGCCTCGAGGTTTCCGTTGAGTGCGGACGCAGCGCCAAAAGAAGCTGGGCGTGGCCAGGTGTACACACGGCGTGTTGTAAGCCACGTGAGAGAAAGACGATATCGTGTCACGGACGAGCGCAACGACAGCATTGGTGTTGGGGCCATATTGTACGATCATGGCTGTGCATGGACCGAGGCGGCGGCGTTCGTCAAAGTTCGTGGATGGCGTTTCGCTTGGACCGGAGCATGTACATGTAAATCCTGCTAAGAAGAGGGAGATGTACATCTAGTGCTTATAAGGGGCAGCGCCAATAATTGCCATCTTTGGTTGCAGAATATACCAGTCAGTTCCGCCCAGCTGTCTGACGAGATTCTTATTGGAGATCGGTACGCTGTGTAATAATCGAAACCCCGAATAGTCTCATGAAAAGCTGTTGAGCGTTGTAATAATGTAAGGAAGATACACATTCCCAAGAAACGCCTACGCTAAGCTCAGCTATTCGACAGTTGGCGAACTGAAGAGCCCGAACGTCAGCAGGTTCTGGATACCCTTGCGTTGACGGTTGTACCTACAGACTATCCGTGCCTTTTCCACAGTAATCAATCACAAACCTTCACGCGGCCATCGTCAGCTACACAAATGCAATGGGTCTGCTTCCGGCTTCCGAGCTGCTGAGACAGCAAGATCGGCTTTGGTTCAGCAATGCCCTATTCGGATAAAGGCATGTGAAGTCTGGCCCTAAGGCGAGCCTCCTGAAAAACGCTATGCCGACAAGCATCCGTATGTCCTCGAGATATGTTGGCTATGCTCGCGGATTCTGCGCGAGAGGCAGCAGAGATGATTGGAACCGACTCCGCCCTGTACTGCGTTTGTCGACAGACATACTGTTATACAGCGTAAGAAGGTGGCTAGATGGCACACGGAGTACGATGCAGCGAGGAAGTAGTTGCATCGTTGCAGCTAGAGCGGGCAGTGTCTGGAGTCTGGATCTCCCGGTTTCTTGGACATGGTGTTCGATCACATTGCATCTGGTGGACGGCTGTAGAATCCTTGTGAGGGGCTGTGACGTTGACTTCCAAGATGAGCTGCCAGCTAATGCCGTAGAGAAAGCATCGCCATCCAGCCTTTTCAATGGTTGATACGATAGTCCATGGTTGACATGGAGAAGGCTACTATCAGTGGACCTCCACGGGCGTTGGTCAGTCACTTAGTCAGTCAGTCAGTCCCCCATCGCCAGTTGCTTTACTGTATTTGATAGGCGCAACGGCTAAACTCGCCTGTATCAAGGTGGTTGTTGTGTGCGGGAGCAAGTAAGAATAACGAAAGGATGTAGAGTTGTGCAAAGCGGGGACTTCCGCACCCCTGCCAACACCATCTTCGCGGAACTACAGGACCTTGCCCTCTTCCACATATGCAGCCGGGCGTATCCCATCCCGTCCCATCTCATCATGCGACTGCTGATTGATTGATGATGTACTCAACACGTCGACGCGAATACTCTCCCTCGGGCGACCATTGTGGTGGTGTGGACCATGTCAGATCAGATGAGCTGCGAGGCGTATGCGAACCATACCTTATCTTCGAACGAAGGGCGAGAAGTTTTCCACCCCCGTGTTTTCTTGACTGGGCGGCAGCATCAGCATTTTGACGCAGGAGACGACGCAGTTCTCACGAGACCATTGACTGGGCGGTCCCTTCACTTATCGCTTTGCTTTCCGGGCGATTTGCCTCGTCACTATTGAGGCCGCCCCAGAATCCTCCACGTTGCCTACATCCCCACTTTGCCTTCTTCGCCTCGTCTTTTACCCACGCAGAGATGATTTCTATTCCCTCGGGATGCTGTGTTGTGTTGCTTCCATTGTTCCATTCTTCTGTTCAACCTCATTCTTGGTTTCGCAGTTGAAACAGTGTTTATGGGTGGCTGAGTCCTGTCTGTATCTTCTCAGGCTAAAGTTATCGGATTTCTGCGGCCACCAAGGCCAACTCACTTCGTTAGCTGCACGTTCCACATCCCGCTGCAAGGTGAAACCGACAGCTCCGCCAGTTTCCCACATCCAAACGTCGGCTGCGGCTATGGCGGGTAGCGCGTCTGGACACGCAGGCGGCTTCCACAACGCTGGTATGAGTGGCTGGCAGCAACCGTCTGGGAACGGCTTCGCCCATGACAGCTCGGCGTCATCTGGTAGCTCAACAATGCTGTGCCTGACATGTGGCTTCTATCGTACGGTCGAAGAGATATTCGATTGCTTCCGGCAAAACCATAACGTCCGCGGTATCCGCGAGTTCGAGGATGGCGCCATGCAGCATGCCATGCAGTCTCGCATACCCAGCGTCAGCAGCAACCATACAGGCTGGATGTTCATCCCTCAACCAATTACGCACGATTCATTCAGCAGCAACCGCTACTCCTATGCTAGCTCGTGAGTGGGCATGCGCACATCTGCCAATGCTGAACATCGCTGACTATTGTGCAGGGTATGTTCAGCTATCCAAGCCCTGCAAAATCAAACCTTTACTAAGTCACGTCAAAGTCGTCTCAGAGTTATCCCAACTTCGGTCAGGGCGGAATGCACCCGTCTCTCCAGTCCTGTCTAAGCTCAACTGGAGGAAGTTACGGCGAGGCTCTAATCAGTCCCAACTCCCTCGCGGGAGACACGGGACATACCCACAGATTCTCCTTTGGCAGTTCGTACGTCGTGCATGCGAAAGAAACACATATGACACATGATCGCAGCTGACCACTATCAGGGTATGCAATGGCAACGCTCCTTAACAGCCATGTCCACCACCGCCCCTGTCCGCGGATATGTGATGAAAAGAGCAAGTGAAAGCAATGGTCGCTCCTGTGCTAACGCATTGCAAACAGGTTAATAACTCGTCTCATCTTCGAAGCCCTGGACTGGATCCAACCGACTATGTCTTGGACTCGACGACGTTTTCCGCAGACATTGACATGGAAGGTGACATCTTCTCAATGGATGCGGTCCCATACACAGACACTGGCCCACCACTACACGCCTACCCACCGACTCTTGATGTTCCTGACAATGGACAGACTGTGCCTTGCGGGGGTGGCAAGGGTCGGGTCGGCCTTACTCCTACGCAGGAGGAAGACCTGCAACGGTATAGCGAAAGATGGGCTGCCAGAACGTTCTTGCCATCTGAGGCAGAGATCAATGGCCTCGCCGCGATCACCTACCTTGATCCGGAGTTTGTTCGGACTTGGTACAATCATTTCCGACAACATTGGATGCCTCCAGATGCTGCGCGGGTTACAGCAGCGAGTGATACATCATCTGCTTTGACCGAATTGCCGCAGGAGGCGCAAGTGTTGACCCGTACACCGTCCGGTCGGCTCAGTTGTGCGACGTATGCAAAGCCTTCGAAAACCGTCAGCGAGGTTCAGGCTTGGGCGAGGGCCCGCTTCTGGAGGGCGTGCACTTCGCATCAGTCCCTCAACGCACCGACAGACCTGTTGTTCAGGTGTACACTTCCAGGATGTCAGTACTCGACCAATGAACGAGACGCTTGGCAGCGGCATGAGCAGAACTGGCAGCCTCAGGAGTTCTGGTAAGCGGAGCGCGGTGTAGCTCTTTCCCGAGTATCTGAGACATGGCTGAGACACTGACTCGACGACATATAGGCATTGTGTCGTTTGCAGAGCGCAGAGTCAAGGTCCCTCCATATGCCATCGAAAAGACAAGGTCTGGGACCATTTCAATGCTGCACATCCTCATATCGACAGGACGAAGTGGGAAGCCCTCAGGAACGACTCTGAGGTAGCAATCAATGCTGGATTTGAGCGCAACTGCAAGTTCGTTAATGCGTTGGGGATCCCGTGCTCTTATGTATTCAAGGACTGGGACGATAGAGTCAAGCATTACCTCGCACACTTCAACAAACGCATTCGTGATGGACCTTGGGAGTTGCGCCCGGGCCGACATCGCTGGTTTGAGGACGACGACCAAGATAACACAGGCGCTTCTGGATCGTCTGCGTCCGGTCATTCTGGCTCTGCGCCGCAGCAGAAGGGCCGCGCAAGCTATAAACAGTCTACCACTTCGCGACGCCAGAAAGGACGAACACAACAGTCGACCACACGTGCTCAAGGTCACGATGGATCGATCACTCCCTCCGCCATCAAAACACCTTTGACAGAACATGCAACATTCGGAGACGCTGGCCTACTTGTACCGTGCGTTACTAGGCCGCACTCCCTACTTGACGTCGAACACCTTTGCCTTGTAAACGATCCTGGGGACGTTCGTTATCTGGCTTTCGACCACACCCGGCAGCAAGGTACTTTGTACTCAGTATCGACACTGCTATCGGCCATCCACTTCGACCATCCCGACCTGCGCATTCGCGTGGAGCTTCTGCCTGCCGCCTTCAAGGACGCTGTTGCCTTGACACGCGACCTCGGCCACAAGTACTTGTGGATAGCAGAGCTGTGTGAGCTCCAAGGACGCAATGTCCCACCTAGACACATACTGGAGCATGCAGCGCTTGTAATTGTGCGCGTGGCTGCGAAGCCTTCGAACTGTGACGAGATTGATGAGGATGCCATATACAGTTATCAATTCGTTTGTCACTACAGAAACGTTGACCAGATCTTCTCATGGCGGGAGGAGAACGGGCCATTTATTCCACTCCGGAACCTTGGGCACGGAACGTATGGCATCGTGGACGAGGTGCAGCTACGATATGGCGGCGAGACATTCGCTCGCAAAGAACTGCAAATCTCCCGCTACCACCCGAAGGCTCGAGCATTGACGTTGCGGGAGATTGACACCTTGCAGAGATTGGACCATCCTCATGTGCCACATTTTGTCGCCGCATACTACAAACAGGAAAGACGCTCGTGGAACATCCTCATGACCCCAGTGGCCCAAATAAACCTACGAGATTTCCTCGCAGATCCACAGCGATGGCCTAAGAAGCGCAAGAGTCTCATCAAATGGTTTGCTTGCCTAGCTTCTGCGGTTGAGTATCTGCATGGCGTATCCTGCCGCCACAAAGACATCAAGCCTGCCAACATCCTCATCAACAAGAACGACATTCTCCTGTCCGACTTCGGTACCTCCCACCACTTTGAAACGAACCTAGACGAGCCAGGCCGTAGTCGATACTACGAACAGAGTTTGGACGACTCATCTACAATAGGAGATGGCATCATGACACCCAAGTATTGTGCTCCCGAAGTGGCTGCGAAGAAGAAACGTGGACGTAAAGCCGACATCTACTCGCTCGGCTGCGTTTTTGCCGAGATGCTCACTGTCGAGCTCGGAAGCAGTTTGACGGAGCTGGCAGGTTTCTTGACGATGTATGACCGAGGCAAAGCTCGATACGCAACATACCATGAGCGACTGCCGGATCTGCATGCATGGCTTGAGCGACTAACAGCCAGCGCTGGCACCGCGTATCATATGAAACTGCTCAGTATCTGCAAGGCTATGCTTGCCTTTACACCTGCAAGCCGGCCTTCTGCCACGACTGTCTTGCGCGAGCTTTGCGAGGGAAAGCATGTCGCCGGGGAGACTCCGTTGGATTGGTGCCCCTGCTGCTACAGAATGACGAAGACAGAGCTTGACACGTTCCGTATGCCCTTACCGAACATCCACAAGCACGGTGCACAACTGTGGCAACCCAAGGGCCGTTCGATGCACTTCCCTGACATGCGGCCGCAGAGCTCAAGCGTCGTGTTACAAATCTCCATGCCAGGCTTCAGCGGCGTTACCTGGGTCTCAGTTGAGTGGCGATGGCCAAGACTCAAGACCTTCGCAACCATGACGACCGTGCAGAGCATGATCTCCTCTGTTACCAGATATTTGACACCGGCTGTGAAGGGCTCCAGTGGCATGGCGCTGTGCCAGGCTGGAGTTTACCGACCCCCGGACCAAGCTGTTCTGGACTGTCGCAAGATGTATGGCAGTGTCGTGAATGCTCTTTCACAAGTCTTCTCGTGGCGTCAAAGCACCCGGATGGTTGAGGACGGCATCACAACCAAAGCGAGCCTAACAACTCGCAATGGACTTCGGAACGCTGCGGCAAGCGTGGCCGCTTGCCTCGAACCGGAGCTGGTCGTCATGCTTCTCTGGCTCGTGAGTTACCACGTCGGCATGACTTTGCCTCGCCATGTTGGCTTCAATGGCTCAGCGCTTGCGCTCGGCATGATTAAGCATGTGCCTCACACTGGTGGCGGTTCTATCACCACCTCAATGCTCGGCGACGTCGATGGAGTTGATCGACTGAACGCTATGGACGAGGATTGCGAGTTGCCGGTCTGCGAACCCACCCATGCCAACGGGAACGATGCAACTCACTGTACGCCACCGCAGACAGACGCCGAGCGGATCCTGAGCGATGTGGACATCGACCTTGGCGATCTCGGCACAATCAACGTGTCCACTCTGCTCAGCATTCTGCGCAAGCACAAGCGGTGTACTTGCTGCTGCTCATTACACCCTCAAGAGGCTGCAACCAGCATGCGAAACGGTGTCGTCTGCCAATGTAGCCTGGCCGGAGGCTGCTCGCTGCCGTCGGCTATGATCAATCTCGGTTTCGACGAATGCAGTACGAATACCTTCACGACAGTGAACCTTACCGAGAGGGACGACACTGCTGAGTTGTCCAAGTCAATCTTCGAAATATGTGCAGACTTTGATTTTGGAGGTTTTGACATGTGGTAAATGGGGTTGATGGGACGGAAACGACGACTATAACGACTTTTATGAATGATGACACGGTATCGCTTGCTAACGGGCATTGGCGTCCCTTCATGTAGACTTGCCGTTTACGGCGATTGTGACAAGACTGTTTACTAATAGATCATCTGCTGCAAGGCGGTGTAAATGTATTTTTGCAAGGCTTGATTGTATGTCATGGAATTCTTAGTCCATTCATCGCCTACAAGAGAATTACAGGCTTGTTGCCCTCCGCGAGGTGTCAGCGGCTACACCGTCCAATGATCCTCCAGGTCGGAGTGAGCTGTACTCTCATACAAACTTCACAATATTCCTCCCTCAATGCATAGTCATTGATATCGTGGTATCGTCTCGTCAGAAGCAGAATGCAGCGCCCCGATGCTTTCCCCGCAGGTCGTCCTACGCTTGCGCGGACACCAAGGCGACTGACATGCTGCGTTGCTGTCGTTGCAATCTCGACACCTTCGGCGCTGGCTCATATAGAGGCCACATCGTTGACGAACCATCCCGTGCCGGCCACTGTATACCACCCTCCCGAGGGTCTTCGTAATCCTCCGGACACGGAGGTAGAACAAGCGGTGGCTCCCGCTCACTGGCGCCTCTGGGCACCAGCTTCGGTCGCACACTCGGTTTACGTTCGATTGTCGGCTCTGCAGATCGTGACGGTACTTTGGCCGTCTGGGCCTGTTTCGCTGGATTGAGCTCCTCGTTGACGCTGCCGTCAGATGAGTTCGTGCGCCGCGAGCGTGCAAATACGTTTAGGCCAACCGAAGAGTAGACCTTTTGAAGCCGACGCCGTGATGATGACATTGGACTGGTTGGCGTGATAGGTGCCGTACGTCCCACCGATTGCTCGGGCTCTGCGATGGACGGGTACGGATCGTGCTTGAGGAAGTCAGCCGTCCATGGACCCCGTACCGCACCGAGCGACGGCGCCGGTGTTGGAGTCGTGGGCGATGAGCGAGCTGCCGTAAACAGCTGTGGTAAGCTTGGTCTTCGTCGTAGGCTTGGAGAACGCTTTGGTAGAGGTACACTCGTCGCCTGCGGGGCGAGTGTTCGACGGAGATCCGTAGAAGCACGCGGTGAGGGCTGATGCTGACTGCTGGCCTGACTGCTCGCACCCGACCGGTTGAAGCGCGATACAGGCGGAGCCACAGGTCCAGCGCTTGCAGGTCGCCAGATACGAGGGCTTGACGGACCGTCGACAAGCTTGGGCATGGAGACGACCTTGGCTTTACCTGCCGACACCACTCTTACCGCTTGTGCTCTGCCGCAACGTTGCTCGACGTCGTCGCAGCTTTGTATAAGTTGCTCAGGCAGTGAAGACTCGATGCTGGTCCGCTGGGATGCGAAGTCGTCGCTGCTTGCTGTGCGGAAACTCATATCATCTGTCCCTAAAGGAGAAGCGACTTCCTCATCTGAAGTGTAGCCGCGCCAGAACATTTGATCAGTCTGGAAGTCCTTGATCGGCATCGAATGCTCCGGTGTGTGCTTCCCGAAATCGAAAGCCATGGTGTATCGCTTCTCGGATGGAGTGCTCGGAGCATACTCGGTTGACGGCATCTTGACCAACGTAGACAAGCGACTGAAATTGGGGACGGTCCTGTAGGTGGCAGTAGGAGTGCAGAAGAAGTCCTCCATGGGGCGAGTGGCCGCCATGTCGCCTAATATTCGGTGCTTGGTTAAGCCTGGACTCGCTTGAAACAGTTGTGGAGAGCCCACTCGTCGCCGCTTGATTAACGGGTCGGCGGGTATGGAGCAATAGTGCAAGTCGCAGGGGTCGCACGCGAGAACGGATGCGCAAGCGTCGCGCTCTCACTGCATTAGCATGCAGTATTGATGAAACCCTGATCAATTCAACCGGGGTAGCTTGATTCGATCCTGCAACCACGGGTGGAGGTGCAATGTGTAAAGAGCCGAGACCTTCTGTGCCGTTTCTACGAGGTCCAGTATAAGCGAAACACGGTTCTTCGAGCTTGCAGTGGTCGCGTGAGGACCTGTGTCGTTACTGAAGCTCTTTGGAGCTGCTTGTTCCGGTGCGAACAAAAGCCTGCGTGATCGGTGCCGCAGCTGCACGGAGCCGTAACTCAAGTCTGTTGCACGGCAGTTGTCGCAACCGCGTGGAAAAGCAGCAGTGGCAGGCCTATAGATGACTTCTCGTATCAGAATTTTGTCACCGAGACTGTGCCGCTGGTGTTACCCACCGTCCAGCAGGGGGAGCCAAAGGTGACAGGTTCTTGAACAAGGATGTGGCAGCTTTAAAGCAGAATCTCACGGGCATCAATCGCTGGGTCTGCAGCCTCTTCCTTCGGTTCCTGTGAAATGCAGTCAGATAGCTCAGCAGCGAGAGGCCGCCGCTATATCTCACTCAGCCATGTAGCGACAGTGGGCAATGCTCACAACCCGGGCACTTCTAGCGCAGCGAATCCATCACGAGTTTCCTCACTCATTGCGTGATTAGTGCGGCGACGATGCCGAATCAGACACAGCGGCGGAGGCCAAGCGTCCATCCGGCCGTTCAAATCAACCCTGCGCCTTCCCCATTGGGTATTTTGCGCGGTGAGGCTCAGCTCAGCTCACATGCACTCCTACTTCCAACAACCGGGCGATGGATCGTGATTACGTCGACGTTAAACTCACACTTCGGTCAGTCGTCTATAGAAGAAAAAAATGTCTCGCCGAAGACTTCGACGTTGTTCCAAACGGCTGTTCTTTCGTCGCGACTACGGGTCGGCAGCCGGAATCAGTTAGTGTCACCGTTAGATGTAGTGCCGCGAGGGAAAACGTCCGGGGCAAGGATAGAACTCTATCTGGTGGAGTGCCGCGAAGATTTGCTAGAAGGAGGCTACTGTGTATAGAACTCAACTCTAAATTCTAGCTTCAGCGTACGGTACTGTTCGGCGTTCAGGGCTGACCTTCAAGTTGTCAGCTTGAGGTGAAGTTCCCCATAGCCTGACAGACGGGATAAAGAGATCTAACGATTATGGTCTCGGCGAACGGCAGACTCATCACGTGCGCGCAGATGCACAACGCTGCTGGCATCAGCACGAAAGGTTCGCCAAGATGCACGTTTTGCCGTAGTGTGTGGAGCACAAACTATTGGTGGCACCATTCTGGCGTCCATTTCCTTTCGAGATATCGCCAAACTTCCACCTACTCCGAGACACTGAATGCGCGTCGTAGACAGGGCAGCCCAAGCATGATAAGTGCCAATAGGCGCTCACGAGAATGAGATCCCGCACTTCTAGTATTGTGGTTCAGGGTGCTGTAGTGCCCGCAGGAGGAGTATCTGCGAATGCATATCTCGCTTCGCGCTCGGAAGACGCACTCTGTTCGTTGTCGACACCCGGGATAAGGTTTGCGAAAAGCGCTTGCAGTCTCTACACCGTCCAACGGCCGAGACCTGTAACGGCTCTAGAACGCTTCCTTGCGTAGGTCGCAACATAGTTCGTAGCTCTTGACACAGACATACCTTCGTCAACAGCAATGGCCGCTCACCACACACCATGTGGCTGTAGACAGCCGTCTTCTAACCCGCCGTCACTTCACCCCTTCCTCTCGCGCCTCTCCCTCTTCCTCTCATACTTCCACCATTCCTTCCACCGCCCCTGCCCCTACCTCTCCCGTCGAGATCCGCGGGTGGTGGCACGTTGCTGTAGTTGTGCGGCCGGAAACTCGGATTGTTGTGCACGACTCCCTCAGTCGGATCGCTGTTGTCGATGACAGTATAGCCTTGCCGATTCCCGCCGCCGCCACGACCTCTCCCCATACCACCATTCACGGGGCCGCGACCACGCGGGTTGAAGTTGCGCGGCTCACCACTCATGCCACCGCGGGGGTGGAATGGCATGGTTTGCTGACCGTAACTGTGTCCACTCCCGCCGTTGACACCATTAACACCGTTCGCGTCGCTGCCATACCCTCCGCCTCTACCACGGTACTGATACCCTCCCCTCGGACCGCCGTTCTGCCCAGCAACTGCACCCCTAAAGCTACCCCGAAGCGGCGGTGGCGCAGAAGCTTGCGTCAACTGCGGGCCATCCGATCCACCGTACCCGTTCGCCGTAGCGGCAACTCTCTGTCCCGGCCTCAGTGGGGCATACTGCTGCTGGGGCGCTCTCGCCCTTGCCGCCTCCGACAACGCTAAGACCTGCTTATCTGTCAGGTTCAGCACAGCATCACTAGGGACCGTGCTTCCTCTGAACGGTGAGCAGCGGCCATTCAGCGTCGTGCCTCCAATAAAGGTCATGTCGAGGACGACATCCAGCAGCATCTGCCTCGTGGTGCGAGTCATGCCGATGACCGTACCCCTCATAGCGATCGGTACGCGGCCTGAATCCAGCACGTAGGTGATGCGGTCGCCGAGGTGAAACTTTTGATGCTGAGTCCGCTGCACGGCGTCGCTAGGCTTCAACAAGGCCATGCGCGGAACACCGCCAATCTTCTTGCCCGTGACTTGATTGTCTTTCCCATTCAGTTCGTCTGCAGCCCTCTCGATCTTCATCACTGTGTCGCCGTCGAGCTGCTCTGCTTCAAGCGGCACACGTTCGAAAGTCTTGGTCTCGATACTCTTCAGCCAGTTGCCAATCTCCTTCATCTTCAGTTTCGCTTCTTGCGGGTCAGGGTAGAAGGCCGTGTCCTCCCATCCATCACCTGTCGGGTTCGCCGCGATTGCAGCCACGAACTCCGGGAATCGAGTCATGTATTCAGCCAGCAACGCAATAGCCTTCCGACTGTACTCCCATCCAGATTCCGTCTTGCGACTGTAGCCCAAGACCTTCTGCTTCTTCGCCTCAAACTTCAAGTTCAGGCCGAGGTTCAACCGCAAACCAGAAGAATACACATTGAACGCCGACGTCAACTTTGACAACACCAGTGGATGCAAGCCCAACATCTTCGAAACCCTGAACGAAGCCGTGTATGGGTCTTCCATCGCTGCCGCCTGGACTATTTCGCGACCGAAATCCGGCTCCTTGTTCGTCAACATGCTCACCCAAGCTTCAGCTCGGTCGCCGGGCTGAACGGCAAGAATGCGCAGTGGACGACCGTAAGCCATTTCACCCAGGAAGAATGCACGCGTATCCACGGGGAACTCTTCCTCCATGGGTAGAGCTTCCTTTTCCAGGAAGCGCTGATCCTCGCTTAAAACGTTGTCGACAATGGTCTGCGTGGCGTAGTCAGGCTCCATGCCGGAGATTGGAGCGTACTCCTTGACCGTAGCTCCCTGATCGGTCTTGCGTAGTCCAACCAGCATATCTACGGTCACGGTGCTTTCAACCGTGCCAATAATGATGGCGAAGCGCTTCGAGTACACTGACTCGATGCGATTCGCCTTCTTCTTCCAGTCTGAGATACCCTGTGATTGATGCGGTATCTGCTCCACGTTCGCGCTCGTCGCCGGTAAAGACGGATCGGCTAGTCGGTATGTGAACATCTCGTCGCTCAGACTGACCACCTTGCCTTCCGACAAGAACGGGTACCCAACATGTACCGCCTTGCCCAAGCGCGCTGTCGCTTGCGCAACGGTACCCTGCGTTTCACCTTCTGCCAACGTGATGACCATGCTCTCGTTCCTACTGTCCTGCTGAAACACATTGACACCGTGAAAGCCGAGTTGGCCAATGTGAGGCAGGGTGTGCAGCGTTGGGAAGCCAGCCAACGCTGCCGCGCCAAGTTTGACGCCGTCCACTAAGCCGATATATACCTCGCGACCCTCCATCGTCGGCAATTCGAAAATGTTCTCAACACAATGGCAATGCTCCAAGTCTGGAAAGATGCCCGGTAAAGAGCTAGCGTACGTATAGTTAACAGTCGCGTCATGAACGAACTTCAAACTCACGCCGAAGTCGTTCCTTCTCTTCTCCGCTTCGGTCAGCATCGCGTCTTTCGGCGCCATAGCCGCCAGAAGCCGCTTCTCGTCAATGAATGGGATCTTAACCACAGCCTCCCAATCCTGCTTCTTCCCGTTCATGTCCAAATCGAAGTCGCGTGGGTAGAAGTCGATGATCGGGCTGTTCGGATCCGTCATCAATGGCCAATACACTTGCGGCACGATCTTCTTGCTGCGATCCGGTAGCACACCCATTAATTGCTGGAATGGGCGGAAAGGCTGTCCAAGTTGGAAGTTCATGTTCGCCTTCAAGCCCTTCTTCACATCCGATATCATGGGTGAGTAGTGATACTGGTAATACCACGGCCAGCTGACTACGCCGCGGTAGTAGTAGAAAAGCACCCACTGCAAGCCTTGCACGTAGTTCTCTGTTAGCTTGGTGAGTTCGGCCTCGTTCTCAATGCCCCATTCGAACTTGTCGGTGTAATGCTTGTTCTTCCATTCGTAAAATTTCTGCTCGTACTTCTGCTGCGCCTTCACTTGCGCGTCCTGAGCGGTGACGTCTTCGACCTTCGCACGGTCGTACTGTTTGAACACACGTAGAAGTGCATTCTGCGCCTCCTCGTCCTCATCGTCTTCCTCGTCATCCATTTCTAGACGTGGAGGGAACGACAGCTGGATATGCCTGTTGCCCTCATCATCCGCGATCGTCCCGCAGTTGAGGTGCAGATTCCTAGCCAACTCCTCAACAAACGCACGGTCCGCAGCCTTCAGAGTGCCCGGCATATCCAAAGGATTCGGTTGCGCATCGCCAACGCTCCTACTATTGACGTAGCGCTTGATGCTCTGATACAACTCTTTCTGATACGTCGTCATGCTCTGCACGCCCTTCCTCTTCACCTTCTCCATAACATCTTCCTTCTGCACCGTCTTGTCCTTAAGCCAGTTGGCATCTTCATGCTCGTGCTCGAAGTGACGATACTCCACATGACTGAGTTCGTCCAGGAGCAGCTCAAGCCGCTTGAGGTTGATCACACCTCTCTCATTGATGTAGCCGCCCGCTTTGGGCAACACTTGCTTGTAAACACCGAACATGAGCGCCAACGCGCCCTCGTTGATGTGTAGATGCGGTAAATTGGGTAAGAAATCATTGCCGACAAAGAACGCCATCAGAATGAAGTCGTCGATAATGCGCTCCATGTCGAATGGTACGCTTCCAAGCGCACCAGGCTCCTTGAGCTCCTGGAATTCCAGCTCAAGGTATTCGCGGACGATACAAAGGTGCATCAGATAGAAGTTCTGATGCTCGAGCTCAGTGCTCTTGGTCTTCGCCTGCCGGCCAAACGTGACTTCTTCGCGCAACAAGCAGAAATGCGGATCATGTGACAACAAGCCCAACATGATCAAGTCCGCGTCCAGGCCGTACAGACAATGCTTGACATTCGGATCGTAGTTCGGCTGACTCTTCGCTTGCCGGATGTACTCCATGATTTTATGCTCACCCTCACCAGGAACTTCGTGACCGGAAAGGACGATTTCGCATCCCTGCCAGTCAATATCTTCGGTGACTTTCTTCGCAACAAAGTACTTCAGCTGCTGCGTCAAGCGCGCCATAAACTCTGTACCTGGCGTGATGCAATTCGAATCGAATGGATCCTCCTTCGGCATCTCTTTGCCTTCGGCAATAGCTTTGTTTCTAGCCTCCTCTGCGTCCCGCGCCGTTCGAAAGCGACGCGCACGCTGCTGGTTCATCTTAGCGCGCGGTGCCACACCGTCAATAGCCATAAAGAACAGCTTCTGCGGCTTGATCTTGCCAAAAAGATGCTCGATGTAATTAAATATCTTGATGAACATTTCATCCTCGGAGACATGCTTAGTGATCGATGAGTCGGAGTTACTGTGGGTGCAGTTGTGGATGATGCCGTTCATGTCGAGGTACAGGCAGTCAAACTCGGGAATGCGGTTCTCAGCTATAAGCTGGGAAATGGCCGGATACCGCTCAGAGAGCCAGCGAAAGAACTTGGGGACACCTGCGCGCGGTCAGTATTTGCTTGCTCGTAACGTGCGGTGATGGACGAGTGCGCACCCATGGCGGAGGTTGTACCCGAAAACCTGCCGTCGACGGCTGTCCGGGGAGGCTGATCACCGCGGTACTCAGTATATGGAGTGTATGTGTGTGTGTGGAAGAGGTGATGTGGGAGGTGACGGCGTTCTGACACGGAGTCGATGCAGAAGCGAAGGAGGATGTGCTGCCCTCCACGAAGTCATACACTCGCTCGCAGATGACGCACGGACCGCTTGATGATGCATATGTGCCTAAGGCGTCTGCGGCTTGACCACCACGCGCCTATGGGTGCAAGTACTTAACGCGTCGGTCTGCCATTTCCACCAACACCGATCTACCACCTTGACATATACGATCAACTCAACGCAGCTTCCTACAACATTGCTCCCTATCCGCACCTGCCAATGACCCGCTGACGACCTGTACGAAAGCCTTTTCACTCCGAAAATGGAGGACGTCAGTGAGTCTACCTTGCGTTTCCAACTACATCTGCTTTACTTGAAAAACATTCTGTATTCAGCATGACCTCCGGCAGCAATGCCAGTGGGGAGCTAAGCGGTGATACCTCGAAAATCCACCGTCCGACGTCGGACCAAACAACGGTGGATGCTGCCGCTGTACGCCCTACACGATTCGGTGTGGAATGTGCCAGTATCCTGATTGCCGTATGCGAAAATCAAGGAACGACAGCGGCGTACCATCTCAACCAAGACAACCGCCTACATCAACGTTGACTGCTCTACAAAATGCGACCCATTCGAAGAGTAACGATGCTGGTCCTTGCGATGTTTGTTAGTCTGCTGAGCGTGGAACATTACGCCTCGCAGTATTCATACGCATGACCTCCGTCGCCGGCAGTTCACCATCGAGCGTCTACTTTACGTCAACCAGGAGTCCACTAGGAACTTTTCTCTTGCGCGGGACCGCCAGCACGCTCAAGATGTCGCTTCTGTTGCGGACATTGCTCTGTCGAGCCCAGAACGACTAGGGGAGTTTTGCTAACAAGTGCTTTTCCAGACATGGAAGCCGATCAGGCAATTTTGCAAAACAAGCTCATCAATGAAGAGTACAAGATATGGAAGAAGAACAGCGTCTTCCTCTACGACATCATGTACAGGTGAGCTATCCATAGCATTTAGGTGAACCGATACATGCCAACTGACTCATTGGTAACGTCAGTCGCGCACTTGAGTGGCCAACGCTTACCACCCAATGGTTGCCGGATGTCAAGGACGTACCGGGCAAGCCTATGCGCACCCACAGACTACTTCTCGGCACACATACTTCGAAGCAGCAGCCAGAGTACCTACAAATCGCACACTTTGAGTTGCCCAAGCCCCCCGCGGCGAAGATGGCAGACTACAATCCGAACACAGAGGAGCTCGGCGGTTACGGCGCGAGCAAGGAGACCATCAAATTCTCCGTCGTGCAGAAGATCGTACATCCGACCGAAGTCAACAAGGCCCGCTATCAACCACAGAACCCGAACCTCATCGCAACGTGGGCAAGCAATAGTAACGTCTACGTGTGGGACCGATCGAAGCACCCATCCGTGCCACCGAACGACCAAGCAAAGCCTCAGGCAATCCTGCAAGGTCACAGAGATGAAGGCTTCGCGCTAGAGTGGAACCCGCACGTCGAAGGCCAACTTCTCACCGGCAGTGGCGACAAGTCCGTCAATCTCTGGGATCTCGAGCGTGACTTTAGTCTCGAGACCAAAACCGTCAAACCACGTACCAGCTACACACATCATGCCGCGAGCGTGAACGACGTGCAATACCATCCCACCTTCGGCAAGAACCTTTTCGGCTCCGTATCCGACGATCTCACCTTCAAGCTTATGGACATGCGCAGGTCCACTACCGACAAACCCGCCATTGACTTCGAGCGCGCCCACCCGGATGCAATCAACAGTCTGGCCTTTCACCCCACTCACGATAAACTCTTCGCAACAGGCTCGGCAGATAAGACCATCGGCGTCTTTGACCTCCGCTTCCCAGACCACGGCAAGATCCACAGCCTAGAAGGGCACAAGGACGTCATCACAAAGATCGACTGGCACCCTTCCGACTCCGCCATTCTCGCTTCATCCTCCGACGACCGGCGCGTCATCTTCTGGGATCTCAGCAGGGCAGGTATGGAGCAGACACCGGAGGATGCAGAGGATGGGCCGCCGGAGATGCTGTTCATGCATGGTGGGCATACTAACCGTGTCAGTGACTTTACGTGGAACAAGAATGATCCGTGGGTAATGTGCAGTGCGGCGGAAGATAACCTGATCCAGGTGTGGAGGGCGAGTCGGCATTTGGTGGAGAAGCTGCCGCCAGGAGTGAGGAGAAGGGAGGTTAGTGAGTCCTGAGTCACACCGGCAGCGGTGGGAAGGTAACACTTGGACGGCGTTCACTATAGGCGTCAAGGAAGTTTCACTGATGGCAAGCAGCTTTGAAGTTTTAGCTTTCGCTTGACCAGCATGCGGTCTTCAAGCGCGGCGTCACGGTCCGTTCGCCAATGGAGCCTGTTAGAGCCCACCCGAGGTGCGCGCAACACGAGGTAGTACTACCAATACACGCGCACGCGTTCAAAGAAGGTTCCTTTCGACCACTTTCTTCACATTTGAATTTAGCAACATCCGCCAGCACTGCTAACGAGCGGGAATGGCGCATTTGCCAACACAAGCTCCATCAAAAGTCGGTCTGTGTCTCTTGCCTTATAGGTAACCCAAGGTGGTGTGATGGTGGCGCAGTCTCGAGGTTTTGAGCTGCATCGACAAGCGAACCGGTGCTGCGTGGGGTTGGTCAGCTTGACGACAGCCTTACTGCAACTCCTTTCAACGCAAGGCTACCGGTGAGTTCTGCTTCATTTCCACGGATGATAACACCCTTACGATTGCGAGCTTCGCATATCCTCCATATTCGGCCCAGCGAGTCCAGCAGCGTTGTGCTTTTCGCACTTTGTCCTCCGTGCGCTTGCCGAAGCTTCGCAGAGGACGCTCGGAAGCAGGCTGCGGAGCCGCCTCAGCTAGCCGAGATATCTGGTCTGTTCGACTTCTGCTTTCGCCTTTCTCAAGTGGCCTTCGACGGCCTTCGACCTCCGACTCCGCTCCGACACCGTCTAGTAGGGCTTGAGCAAGGCTAAGCATTCAGTCCTCATCGGCTTGAAGAACGACGGTGACTGTCAGCTCCCCAGATCGACGAGGCGCTGCCTTACGCGGTCATTTGTAGCGAGGTATGGATGATCGGGACGAGGGCAAGTGGCCGAAGGAGCACGAGCGGGACAGCGACCGGGCGGGAGCCTTCTCTGCAGAGCCTCGCACCACGTTCCCTTATGACCACAGTCGGGAAGTTGAAGGCTCTCCCGTGCCGCTTGTCGCCATGCAGGATTTTGGGTCCTACGCTACACAAGGGGAACCTACACTCAACATCTCCATGCATCCTGAGCCCCCTAGTACAATTTCCTTGCAAGGCGACCCTCTGGCATACAGTGAGTTGAAGCCCCCATCAGTGGTGTCGAAAGATGAGGTTGCCAGGAGAGGGTCCAGGGCCAGCGAGGATGCTCGCTCCTCAAATATTGCTCCGACCCCTACCAATATAACGACATCCGTCGGACACGGCGACCTTGAAATCCCGTTCGTACAGGTCCAGAACTCTGATGGGACATGGAGCTGCGCTGTCGCTGGGTGTACGCGTTCCCGCCGCTATGTGCGCCCCAGTGATCTGGCCAAGCACCAGCGAGTTCATGATCCGATGTATAAACTGCATTGTTCATACTGCGACTTCATTGCGATGTTCCCGTCTCACATGAGGGAGCACGTGGGAACCAAGCACTTCGGCAGAGTCTACATTTGTCCGGCAGAGGGATGTGGCGCGAGCTTCGGGATGTATGCCAACCTTGTAGGGACCGGACGGCATATGAGTAAGTATCACCCAGAAGTAGCGAAGCCAACAGAAGCGACCTGCAGGCGCTATTTACATGAACCGGTAACCTCCATGACGGATGAGGGCTATTATAGTCTTGACAAAACCCCAGCCAGTACTGTAGCACCGGGAGACGACGTTGACATTGAGGAAGATCACCGAAGCATATATTCAGACAACCGCCGGACCGGCCTTGATGCCAGCACGACAAATAAGCTCATCCGGGCCTTTTCAGACGAAGTGTCCCAAGATCTTGGTCCTGATTTGGAAGCAGAGGACGTGTCTGAAGCTCTTCCCGAACTCCTCTATATTCTGTCCAAACTGCTCCAGTGCGACAGAAATGCTCCCGCCGAGCTTGCCAGCACTTTCGTTAGACAGCAACGAGATAATATCGCTCCTCGAGTCATCGTACGAGCGGAAGCGGAAGCACGAGAGTCCTACTCTACCATCAAAGCCTTTGACGTTGACTCCTGGATAAGTGGAGTAGGAGGTACCAAGGACGAACCAGGCGAGCGACCTGCTGACGAAGCCGATGTGAACGATCTTAGCGACGAAGTGATCTCGGAGGTGACATTTCCGGAACAAGTAGAAGCCGTTCGAAACTACGTCCGGAAGAGCGCAGGTTACAGATGGCTCCTTGTCAGAACACGCTTGGCTGCAAGCATGATGCAGACTGGGTCCGAGTTTCAAGACCTGGAGCGAGAGCTTGTGGGACTTTGTGTCAGCCATGGGTAAGCATAGAAGCACGCCCTATTCTCATCATGTACAGAAGAGATCTGGCTCGATTCGTACTTACCACGAGGCTATGATTCGAATGTTACTTTACGTCGGATCTGCGGGAATGGCTCTTCGTGGCTGAGGGCACCAGCAGATTCGCCTCGTGCACAAGAGATTTGCTGACGAGCCTCATAGCCCTTCGCTAAAGATTCGGCTTGGTTGGTCTCCGACCGGCTTCATTCGAAACCAGTACTCGCAAACTGCCGAGATCAGCATAGCCACGGCCATCAGCTACAACGGTTTTGGAGAGACTCTGGAGGCGCTAGAAGTCACAAAGTATGTGAAGAGAATGTGGCCTACATATGGCGATTTTGTTCTGGCTTGCGTCGACAATGCAGTTTACGGCAACCATGAAAAGCAGAATGATATGTCAGGTACGTTACTCCTGCACACAGTCTAAGCTTTGCTACCATCCTGCGGTGGCTGTTCGTTGCGTCTGATTGACTGCTGTATTCCGGACTAAGTAGATACTCTCGGAACTGACATCACAGAGTAGTCAATTTGAGCCAAGCTGCCGATGGTATGGGCTCTTTGATACTCACCACAATAGAAGATGAGCTTCTTGCAGAAGTCGACGGTGATCCTGTGGCTGTTTTCGAGATGATCGCAATTCTCGCCTGGCTGGGCGCGGCATGTCGCTTGCCAACCCATTTGGCCGGCCCGAGTTATTGCACTATCAGCCTTGTTCCGCCTAGCGATGAGTGCGCTTTTCATCAGATTCGATACCACGAGCATGCATTGTCCGAAACCGGTACGGCCGCAAGCGATGAAGGGGCGAGTCATGGCATCGTCGACCAGAGCTACCCATCCACACAAGACGAGCCGAGAAGTCCCGATTCACATACTTCTGCGCACGCGAATGATTGTTGGCTTGCAATGATCAAGAATCCATCGATCGTTAAAGGCTTCCCAATAGCTCGACGTTACAACTCAGAGAAAGGCATGGAGACGTCGCTTGATATCATGATAGCACTCTCACGAGCGCGTTGGGCAACCATTTTTGATGGCATGACTGTCTTGAGAGGATTCTGTACGTTACTGGTCGCTGTCCAGATGCATTGTGATTCTGTGTTCTGGCACTATGTGCTGTCCGGAGACTTGCAACCTCTTCTTTACTCGGAGGCTCACAAGTACTGCCAGCCAGATCGGCATGCAGTAGCACCTAGCGAACTCCAAGGGCTTCGACATTTTATTGGATGGACGCCAGTCGCGTATAGCCGGATAGGTACGTGTTGTGCCGGAAGCAACGACGGCACGTCCTTCGCCAAGCTACTCGGCCGTTATACAAAATTTTCATAGGTGTGTTATGCAGCTGACTGGCAACACAGGCACACGGGACGCGATCCATTCGATATACGATGTGAACTACACGGGTGATGACAATCTCACTAAACCTGGTTACGCACTCGATGGTGTCACGGTGGGATTTAGCCACTATGTAACTGGGTCTAGTAAGATCAGTGTTGGGAACCGGGACACCCCGCTCACCTACTCACTGGCCAGAGAATATGAAATGCAGGTTGATCATGCTGCAAACCTTTTCGTGATCTTCTACGATTGTGAAGCACGAAGGGCGTGGATGCTTGACGGACGAGAAGCTCTTCTCTACTTGAGTCGCGGATTCTTGTCCTCGCCACATGCGCTTCCGCGCCGCAACGGTTTCTCGGAGCGTGTGGTGGACCAGTTCATCCACCGTGATCACATGATAGAGGGTCGTAGAACGGCGCGGGAGATTCTGCTCCAGAAGCAGAACCGAGAAATCAAGATTTACGAAGGCTTTACATTCGAGCAGCTTGTGTCTCGCTTTTACGAGACCATCTGGCAGATGCGCAGCCATGTGCCGAAGCTGCAAGCTGCTCAAAGGGTGAATACTACCGATCTGAAGAAGAAGTTCATGCATGCTCTTGAAGGCTTTGGCTTTGCAGACACAGTGTCGTTGAACTTCCCCGTGCGCTCTCGGTACGCTAGGTTGGGCCGGTCAGGCAAGGAATGGTGCCGCTTCGTGAATACTACAGGCACGGTCAACATTCTAGGCAAAGGCTTTGGCCAAATACTGGGATCTCTGGACAACTGTCGACGTTGCAAAGAGCTCCCGGGAGGTCCGGACTTTCTCGCCACGTTTGCATCATTGCTTGAGGATATTGCACGTCAATGCGGTAAGTCTCGTGGTCTCAACGCACTCCAGGCTAGGCCTGCTATGCGGGCCAGAAATTGTCAGCCAGTCAACGACATGATTGGACGATCCTGTTAGGAGCAAGTGCTGACCATTCATGCAGAAGGAGTCACTGCAGCTCATCTTAAGCTCATGCAGAACCTCTACTGGAACCGGCCGAATGAACACTTCGCGACCACAGCGTGCGGGTGCACGCAGCTTGGTGCCAGATGTGGTGAAGCTATCCTTGAGCTCCATGCGATCCCAGCAACAACGAGGTCGAAGTTTCAGCCCGGTCTTCATCATATGCACGCTGATGCTGCCGTCATCATCGGCCGAAAGTGCGATATATGCACACGCACAGCATCGGCACCTGGAAACAGCACTGAGAGGTACAATGACACAGCGCATGGCGGCACCACACCTGATAGCGGGATCGGATCTTCGCAGGGTTCCGTAAGCACTCCGACCCCGAGTATGTCGGATCCCAAGTCCGTCGCTCTGAGCGTAAGCTGCTCGCGCTCGGGTCGTGACAGCACGAATGACTTTGATGCTCAGGTTGGGGAGAAAGATACGACGAGATCTGACACCTTGGAGCAGCAGCTTTCAGGAGGATTGCAGCCAAGTACGACTGATACGCGCAGCTACCGGCAACCTTCGCTCGACATTGAGAGTGCTCTCACCCAGGTCTCGCTGGATGATCTCCAGACAGAGCTTGAACGGAGAAAGGCCGTTCAGGAATGCACCGCGCATTATCGCTGGGCAGCGATGGCGCAAGATGCGAGCAACGCTTTACGATCAAATGTTGCAAGTAACTCTGCAGAGGAGATGCATAGTGAGCGAAAAAGGAAAAGAGTCCTGTCTCCAACGCCCAATTAGACTGTCGTGATGAGGATGGAGCGGGCAATCACGGTCTGCTCGCCACTCAGCTGCGCTAGAGCTCAGCGGAATGTGTGGTAACGACAAGGCGTCCGTGTGGCATTAGGTTGTCGATACGTAAGACATAGAGCTGCAATCATCGAGGAATTTGATTCGGTGGGCATGTCCTGGAACGTAGCGCGAGTCAATTGTATCCTGATAATGTTCACGGCCAGAATGTTCTTGCGAAGGAAGCGTTAGACGTGTGTCGCAGCTCGCTTAGTCTATTCCCAATGGCAGGTACAAGCCTGTCTTGGCGCTTAGAGGTTTGGACGACTTTGGACAAATCCACCAACTCGCCACCCCACGCTGGAGTTTGCGCATTATTCCATCCGCTCGTAGAGATCATTTAGACACCTCCGAAGATCACCAAATTGCGTGCTGATACCATGGGTCTCCCGCTGCGACAGGAACCGGACATTGAGCAGAAGTACTCGCAAGCACGGGCCCAGTCCTCAGAGTCCAGCGGAGCATCTCAACTGCCACCAGAAGCACTAGATCTAGCCTCCAAACTCTTCGACTTCGCACGTGAAGGCAAGACCGCGGAGCTCAATCAATACATTACCGCTGGCATACCTGTGAACTTGACGAACCACAAGGGCGACACTCTGCTCATGCTGGCGAGCTATCACGGCCATCTGGATACTGTTGAGATGCTGTTGCAGAAAGGCGCAGATGCCAACGTGCTTAACGAAAGAGGACAGAGTCCAGTTGCGGGTGCGGTGTTCAAGGGCTATGATGACATCGTGAAGAAGATGGTGGAGGCTGGTGCGGATATACATGCAGGACAGCCTAATGCGGTTGATTCCGCGAGGATGTTCCGGAGAGAGGAGTGCTTGAGGCTTTTTGGTGTTCAGGAGGGACAGTGAGCATGCAGCGGAAGCAGAGCAATTGATGTACAACATCTGTACAATACGAGCAACGGCCATGCCCATGCGCCAAGAACATCTTCGCCGTCTGAATCTTGCCACTGTCAATTATGGTGTCTCGGCTCATTCACAGCATCTCCACCCGCTGGTTGTCCTTCACCGGCAGCAACAAGCCTTCCTCAGGATCTGTGTTGATCTGGTCGCTTACGGCTTTGGCCAGCCTGTCCGCCATAGACTCAATCCTCGTACCGAGCCGCTCAAAGATGTTACCAGCCATACGCTTTGCTAGCTCAGTCGAACAAGGTGCTATAGGAGTCGAAGGTGCTTCATAGCATTCTTCAGTCGTAGCACTCGACGTGGCGGAGCTTTGTCCACCGGCAGCAACGGCATGCTTGTGGATTAGTCTGGGCTCCCCAGCACTATATCGGTAACCGCTGCGATCTGCATCCACAGCTTGTCCGAACTTCGGCAGGTTCGGTATAGGCGCCGTGACAGCCTCCCACGTGAACCGCGCCGGACTCATAAGCGGCGCTTGGCGGTAGCGCAGCTTCTCTTCATCATACGATCTGCGACGATGGCGAAGCGTGCTTTCCGCGTCGCCTGGGACAGCGATACCAAGACCGTGATACTGTGCCGAAGTATCAACGCTAAGGCCCTTCTTCCGCCTTCTGCCTCCATTCCGCACAACAACAGACGTAGTGCGAGCACGGCTTTCAATGTCTTCAGCGTGCACGGCGTTGCTGCGTCGTCTGCCGCGGCTGTCAGGAGGCTCGTCCCTTAGTTGGTCTCGCTCGTAGCCGCCGTACCTGCAGTGGCGGCCTGGTGTCGACCTAGAGATCCACTTCAGGCTTGCCGGGAAATTGACGAGGGCTAGCACGAGCGCCAGAAGCAGTCCGAACGTAAGAAGGCTTGAGAGCATCCCGACCGCCCAACGTGGCAGGTCTGGTAGCCCGCCCTTGGGCGAGACTTGTGAAAGGGTGGGCGTCGAATGCGGCAAGGCAGTGACCATCGTGTGACTTCTATCATTATTCCCGGTCGTGTCGTCGCCATTCTTGAAGCGAATAACAGTGGTGACGCCTTGGTCACTGTTCAGCGTCTGGACGGGCAGCAAGTATTTCGAACGTTTGGCTCTGGACGGCGGGTAGAAGGTCACGTCTGCAGAGGTCGCCGTACTAGTCACAGCTTCCAGCCATGGCGGAGGAGTATGCGTGCCAGCAGCAGCCTCAACCAGCGCCGAAGCCAGGCTCGGTGGCTGACGAGGGTCAACTGGGACCGGCGGAAACATGACGTTCGTTGATTTGAGGGCTGTCAATGTGGTACAGCTTAGCCACCAGATATTGGATTGAGTCGGAGATGTCGAGTGACGTTCAAGGAAGGTGCAATGCTGCACTAAGCCGATACTGAGCGATTAGCAGTAGGAGCTGTGCATAAGTCGACAGTACAACCAAAAAGACGTGGAAGAATGAGAAAGGATACTGATCCTCGCTGAGCCTACGCGTGACGTGAGGTTAAGCATAAGGGTTTGTCAGTGAATGTATGCTTCTCGACGCAAACTTCGATCTTCACATTCGCCACACACAAACGCAGCAAAAGTCAATACCGGCTCAATCATCCTCCACTCTCGCCCTCTTCCCGCCACCCTCACTACCCTCCTCCGCCTTCCTCTTTCCAGCCCCTTCCTTGACCTCCTTAATCATCGCCTCCACCCCAAACGGATCATCTCCTCGATCACGCTCAAATTGCACCGGCCCACTCCTCGCCTCCACCGTATCAGTCCCTCGGAATCCTTCCTTCGGCGCCCGGCCCAGCGCCTCAAACCGCTTCGTGCTCTGGATCTTCTCCATCGTCTCGCCGCCGTCCTCACCTTCATCATCGTCGCCCACCGTAGGTCGATAGATACTGTTGAGCGCATCCCGCTCGGCAAAGAGAGGTTTGTCGTAAGCCTGATCCTCGTTGAAGCCAGCTGCGAAGCCGGAAGACTGATTGAAGAGACGGCTGTCGTACATTGTCTCTTTGCTTTGAGTGGGCTTGGCCAGGCCGAGCGCCACCTTTTCGGAGATGTCACGGTTTTGCTCACGAGCCATCATCTGCAGGCGTCGCTCATGGCCCATGTTCTTCTGTCGCATCTCACGCTGGGCTTCACGTCTTCGTTCCGCGCGGACACGCTCCCGCTCAACACGGTCACGGTCACCGTCGTCTCGTGACGGTGAGCGGCTGTAGCTTCGTGACCGGTCGGAGTCGGATGAGTAAGTGCTTCGACTGTTTGCAGATCGACTTCTTGAGCGAGCGTTTGCAATTGATGGACGTCTGCCGGAAATAGCTGCTTCGCGCTCTTCGCGAGCTTTTTGCGCAAGCCGGCGGAGGTTCTCTTCTTTCGCTTCTTTCTCCTTCTCTGCCAAGCGCTGCTGCATACGTTGTCTCTGCGCCACTTCCTCGCGAGAATGCCTTTCCGCCATGTGTAGCGCTTCCGATAACTGTGCGAACTTGTCATTGATCGTTACGTCCTGTAAGCCTCGCCCATCTGCCGCTAATCGCTTGTCCAGAGGTACAGTGTACCCCTTCGGATTCTTCCAGTTCGACACCGGCGGCGGGATCCTCCATGCTTCTTGGTCCTCGGCGGTTAATTTGCGTGGTGGGGAATGCATGACAGGCGGCGGCGGACTCGGCGGCCCTCTTGGGATCTTCTTGATCTTGTGCTTCGGAGGCTCCATTGGGTCTTGCTGTCTATGTACAATCTTCATAATCCGATCTTGCTTCTTTGTATTGTCGCCCATTTGGTTCGCCGGCGTGTAGCGCACAAACGTAGGCTCAGGCCTCGTGGTACCCTTAATATTTTTCGGCTTCTGAGCTGCAAGCGTGCCATCGACCAAACTTTGCAGCGCCATCTGCGTCCGCTCCATGCTCGCCTGGACCTCCTCCTCGCTCGGCTTCGCCAGGCTAATGTCTCCGGCATCCGCTCTCTGCCGGAGTGGTATCAGATCCTTGAAGCTGGCCTGCACGACTCGCTTGTCGCTATGCCCTCGCCTAGCGATCGCATCATATTTCACCTTGCCCTCACCGTCCACTTGAATGGCTAGGGCGTTCGAAGTGGAAGGCGTGCCCTTCCGGCCCATATCTAGCGGATACTGCGCGACCGGTATTTCGGGGAAAGCTCCGCCATCGCCAAAGTCTTCGAGGTTCCGTGGTCGCCATCCTGATCGCTGGCCGTACGGCGGAGGACCAGATCGCTTAATCACTAATTGTGACAACTCGAGATCGCGGGCACCCACCACCCTCGGGCCTCTTTGCTGGGTGTGTGTCGGCAGCTCCTCATCCTCGCCAATGTATTTCGGCTTCGGTAAGGCACTGGCAAGCGAGCTACGAGCGGAAGTGAGTGCCATAATTTGGCGGTCGAGACTACGGAAGTCGTGTGCTTCGACTAAAGAGATTCCGTCGCCATGAGTCAAGAGTCTGCGAGTCAGGTCAGTCAGCAGAATGCGGGATCAGCCGAGCGGACATCGTGTTACACAAGATAGTCATATGCATACGATAGCGGTATCGCTTAACACAAAACCCGGCACCGAAGTCATGCAGTATCCTGTAACGTTGTCTATTTATCTATATGCTGTAGAGCTGTCATGAACGAGCATGTCAGCAGAGCTCGAAGATGAAGTGACATCGATCAACTCCATCTACGGTGATGGCACCTTAGAACCATTATCTGAAGAGCCAGCAGTATATGCTTTGACCTGTCCATCTCAGCCAAGTATCTCACTGAGGCTGGAGTTTCCGGCAAGCTACCCTGATGCGCCTCCGTCGGTTCTTGGCACGCAGTCGGTAGGAGAGAGCGTGCCCAAAGGAGAGGGTAGCTACTTCGTCGGTCTTGTTCGCGATGTCCTTAGTGACATCTACACGCCCGGTGCGCCATGCATCTTTGACTTGGTGGAGGAAACTGGCCAGAGGCTTCAGGATCTCGGCTACAGCTCGGGCGCTTTCCCGGAACAGGAGGCACAAAGTACTCAAGCGAACAGTCAGCCAGTTCCATATCATGATCTAGCTGACATTGATCCTAACAATCACCAGCCATTGGACCATCTTGGCGACTCGCCACCCTGGACTCTCTCCGATGTAATTACGGAGAAAAAGTCCGTCTTCGTAGCTCGAGCTGCTCCCGTCTCATCTCCGCTTGAAGCCAGGACTTACCTTGCCCATCTATTGGCGACCGACAAAAAGGTCGCCAAAGCCACGCACAACATCACCGCTTGGCGCATCCGCGGAGAGAGCGGCGTACAATACCAAGATTGTGATGACGACGGCGAGACAGCGGCTGGTGGCCGGTTGCTGCACTTAATGGAGCTGATGGACGTGTGGGATGCGATGGTAGTCGTGACGAGATGGTACGGTGGCGTGCTGCTAGGTCCGGATCGCTTCCGCATCATTAATCAAGCCGCCAGAGACGCACTTGTCAAGGGTGGCTTTGCGGCTGATGCTGGCAAGGATGGCGGCAAGAAGAAGAGTAAGAAGTAAGGCTCAACTCTCAATCCTGAGTATCACGATGCTTCTCGCATCGATTAGGACTGTCGCCTGGGCAGGATCGATCGATTACGGTAGGATGTGGTTGTCATTTCAGCTTGTCACAGGATAGGGTATATCTGCATCAACAAGCGCTCCATCCGTCGCTATGCATTTTATGTAGTTGTGCTTCAAATCCGATGCGTGCAGCTCTCTCGAGTCGTCGTCTCGTTCCCTCCACCTCTCTGCTCCTCCTACAGTCCCAATGGGTTCTGACCCGTCTGCGCATTGCCTCCGATGCTCTTCCCGCCAGGCCTGGAAGCAACAAGTTAGATGTGACGACATTGACCGATACAAAGCTTAACACCTACCAATCCTTCTTGTCCTTGTCTTCATCACTGTAGCCAACCTCGTTCTTGGCGTGCCGTTCGACCCTCAGCAGAGCTTCGCCGCTAGGTTCGGCAATGGAGCCTGTGAGGGCACCAACTGGTTTGAGGCCTTTGTCGAGCACTTGGCCGAGCGGGTCGCCTATTACGCTAAGCAGGCCTGGCGGTGGATGTCAGCTGGTATGTCCAGTAAGTCACTGACGGAGACAATACCCTTGTTGCCGTCAAGCGGGCCGTCTGGTGCTGAGTCGGGCATGTTCAGCTAGTTATGAGATAGGATGTAACTACTTAGGATATTGAGGAATGTGAAGAGGGGGGGAAGAGAGCAGGGAGGGTGTTCTTCGAGTATTGTTTGTTCTGGCCGCTTGATCTACAGCACCGTTAACGCGTCCGCGTGCCGCATGACGCAGGGCCGCAGACGACATGCGCCACCGCGGACAGGTCAGTCTTCTGCAACACATTGATGGACCAGCACTGCAGCAAGCTTCGATGTCGCTTATGATGCGTGGGTCAACACTGTAAGACTGTGTAGGATAGACACTAATGTGTAAATACTGTTCGCCAACATGGATTGAGCTTGCACGCACCAGCCCAAGTGAGACCCGAGCGTCAATGATCCTTCTCCACTCACTGCCGACTGTATAGCACAGCAAAGTCACATCACTCGTATGGTAAAACGGTCCCCGGTATGAACTCTGGAAGCCAGCGATAGGAGTTATATGTGCGGAATATAGTCGGTCAGACTACCTTCAAACCCGATCAAAGACCAAGTCAAGCTCGCCAAGATCGACAGTAAAGTGATCCAACGTGTTAAACAATAATCGGGTCCCATCTTCGCCAGGCGCAAAGTTCACGTCATACTCCAAGACCAACCTCGTCGTCAGCGTTCGCAACTCGATCAGCGCCAGATTCTTGCCTATGCAGCCGAATGGTCCTGTTGAAAACGGAGCGAAGGCATCCTTGTGCTTGATCATGTCAGGCTTGCTATACCACCGCTCAGGCAAGAAAGAATCCGCTTCTTGGTAGATCGACTCATCTAGGACAAATTTGTAAGCTGATTGCTGGACCAGTAAATGACTTTCTCACGGCCGACATACCTCTACCCATAACGTACTGCGGCATAATGAAGGTCACATTCCCGGGCACACAAGTGTCACCCACCATCATGCCCTCCTTCGGCGTCAATCGAGAAACACCACTAGGGACAGGAGGATGCAGACGCAGCGCTTCATTGATCGCACCATTCAGGTGTTGCGCATGCCGGATATCCTTGTCGCTCCAATCACCTCTCGTAAGCGGCTTAAGCTCGTCGCGGAGCTTCTGCACCTGTTTCCGATCCTTCGCAAGATGGTAGAACAAGTAAGTCAACGCGGCAGCGGTCGTGTCAGAACCAGCGACGATGATGAGTCGAGCGTCAGCTTGCAACATTGAATCTTTCTGCGGCTGTTTGACACCTTGGTACGCTTTCAAGATAGACGTCATAATGTCCACGCTACCCTCCTTGTCTTTCTCACTGGCGTTTTCCACCCTCCAGCTTGTTTCATCCACGCAGAACTGCACGAACTTCGAGTAACCGGCAGCCAATCCCGGCACCGCCGTCGATGCGCGAAACAGCCAGGTCGGCAGCAACAACGCCAGCGGTTGCATGCCTTCACTGAGAAGTTCTAAAGCCCAATGTTTCTCCCCCTTCTCAACCATGTGGTAGTCTTTGCCGAATCCCAACTGGCCCATCACGTCGAAAGAGTAGAGGTTGAACCATTTAGTCACATTTACCGGAGCACCCTTGAACTCACCGATGCGCTGGACAACTCTATCGTTGACGGCCTCGATCTTGGCCTCATACTCTCGCAATGCTTTGTCGGAGAAAGCAGGGGCCCACACCTTGCGGCGCTTGTCATGCAAAGCTTTGCTACGGCTCGTGTGCATAGAGGTCAACGGTGCGTCGTTATCGTACCAGGAGCTTTTGGTGACCTTGCTGTGGTTGCCATATGTAAGCTCCATGGCTTCAGGATCGATGATGGACAGGTCATTGCTGCCGATACGGACGAAGCGGCCGTACTTTTCATGCACCGCTTGCAGCTTGTAGTACGCATCCGAGTGGCCCAGCTGGAAAGAGAAGTAAAGGTTCGATAGCCTTGCTGGCCATGGTCCTGGGAAGCGGTTCAGTGGGTTGAGGAAGAGGCGGTACATCAACAGACTGCCGTATGCGCCTAGTAGGTAGCAGGATGCGATATATGCTGTTGCGGCACATGCGCCGCCGACAGAGACTCCAAGTCCCTTGTACAAAGCTAGAGCGCTTCCAACACATGTCAAGAGAAAGGTATTGAGGTAGAGCACAGCGTGCATATGGCATTCGTAACGGTTGAAGTAGAGGGCATGGGTAGCAACACCAACTGCGACGGCGACAAGGCCAGCTAGCCGTTGAGTCGCTGCATCCATCGCTAATTAAGCACGCAGCATTGACAAGTCGCCTAACGGTGACTTAAGTAAAGGCCTTTGCAGAGTTGTCCATCCTGTTATAAGACCTCGGGACTCAGAGTTTGTGGCCCCGCTTTCTCAAAGTAGCGAATGGGTATGGCGTGTGCCATGGACATGCGGATGTCGGGGCTTGCGACTTAGACCAATACAGTGCTCTTTGATCAGGTGTAGGTCGCCGTACGTACCGGCTCTGCTATCATGAGCGCCAGTATGCTGCGATTGGTCTGTTGGGTAATTCGTCTTGGCCGGAGCCTGTAGAGAAGGCTGCAGCGCGTACTGCTCGGCCTGATACATTCCTATTGGGTCTACTTTTACATAAGGCTTTCAGCGATGGCTGCGATCCTGGTCTCCTCGAATACTTTTCGTGGATCTCTATAGCGTCATAGTCCTACCGGTGCCTCCATGCTTGTGAACGCCATACTGTATGCTCATGTCTGGAGCGAGCAGTGTGTTTCGAACAAGCAAGCGCTCAAACCCACTTCTGAACCACAACTCCTCCTCTTTTGAAGTCCGCAATGTCGCCTAAGACCTGGGATTTGTCGCTAAGCTCCTTACTTGGAAAGGTCGTCATCAACGCATAAGCGCGTTGAGTAGAGGCGGGTGAGGCGCGATTTACAAAGTCATAGACGTCGCCGATGGTATGGCTGGTATTAAATCTGCTGCGCATTTGGGTACCATCCCCGAGCCGGATTTGAAGCTGGACGACGGGTGCGCTCTCATCAACTTCCACCTGTGCCGGCGATTGGGAAGTTGCTGAAGTCGCCGGCGCCTGTTGCGACCTGGGTGCCGTGGATGTGGTCGACGAAGAAGATGCTGGAGGTAAGCCTGGAGTGGGTGATCCGAGACGCTGGCCTGAGCCTCCGAATGGCTTGTATTGCTTCTTTGGTTGCACGTAGTTCTCGCCACGATGCGGCGCAAGGCTGAGATCAACTTCTTGGTCCGGTTGTACATCCAGCATGCTAAGCGGTGCGCGGCCTTGGTTGATCTGCGTCATCATGTCTTGGTTCGCTGGGTCGTCGAAGCGGAATAGTGGGCCGTCGTCAATACTCACGCCGTCCGACCAGAGATGCAGCGTCCGTGTGACCCGGGGCTGCCTCTGTCCGCCTTGCGCTCTAGTTGCCGCTGCATCCTCAAGGACCTGAGACGGCGCATCATCGCCACCTAAGGTTTGTGCCCGACCCGTGAAGTGACTGCTGCGAGTCGGCTGTGGTTCGTCCTCGTCCTCGTCCGCAGCTTTCGGTCTGTCACGATTTGCACGTGCCTGGTTCATGATGTTCTTGAAGTGGTCGGGTGGCCCGCCACGATTGTCCGGATTCTGCACTGCAAGTCCACTCTTCTCGCCCCCCGCGAACATGTCTTGGTTCTTGTCTTCTTCTTCGCCGTCATCGTCGCCGCGCAGCAAATCGCGCAACGACATCTGCTTTGGACGTTGACCTGAAGGTTTCTGGCTACTACTTGATGGCTGCGACGATGTGCTTGGTACTGGAGCTTGTGCTGTTTGGTGTGTGGGTTGGTCCTGCTCATCTACATCGTCCTCGTCTTCTTGCGGCTCGTCGGCAGCGGCATAGAAGAGTCCCACAGCCTCTTCGAGGTTCCAGTTTGCCGATTGCAGTGCAGTGACAGCCTGCTCGTCCCATTAGCCTACTATAGCACGTGCTCGAAGATGCTTAGTAGAACGTACAGCACTAGGGTTTGCGCCGGTGATGGCACTGAACTGCGCCACCTTGTCCTGCTGTTCTGCACTCATACTGCCGCTCATGCTGGGTAGCGTCTCAAGCCTTCTACACCGTTGCTTCGCAGTGTCGTGCAATTATGTTATGTTCAGAGTGACGAGGTGCGATCAATAATACTTCAGATGATGGCACTTTGAGTGACTACTGCTTGACTGGTTGAGCCGTTGATGGGAGAGTTGGGGTCGAATGTACTTGGTTGGATGGACAACACCATAAGAAGATGCACATTCAGGCACACAAGGCAGACGTCACAGATCGATCGGTCTTGGCATCTCATTGACCGACGTGCATGTGCTCGTTTGAGTGTGCCAATGCCATCCGTTTGACTGCTTTGACTGATTGATCATTCACCTCCTGTGCAGGCATCACTCTAGGACCGGCAGGAGGATTGACACCCCTTAGCGAAGCCTGCGCCTTGAGCGCTCCGCACTCTGCCAGCTACAACTCCTCCTGCCTCAACTGCATCTACCATGGCGTCGCGTGACCACCCACTATCCGAGTCGCAGACCACATTCCCTTCAGAAGACAGCGAGAACTACGATGCCAACCACAGCAATCAGGACTCGTCTGATGAGCCTCCGTCAACGTCATCAAGTCCGATGATACTTTATCAACCACCAACGCTCATCTCTATATTCAGGGGAGCCGCAATCAACCTGCTATTACCATTTGTCAATGGGCTGATGCTGGGGTTCGGAGAGCTGTTTGCGCACGAGGCAGCATTCAGATTAGGGTGGAGTGGCACAAGGGTAGGTTACAACCATGAAAGCACCACGAAATCAAGAGTGGGAGTGCTGTGGGCCTAAGCTAACAACGTGGGCTAGATCTTTCCAGAGCACCGCAATGCAAGACCTGCCGGACCTGGCGTAATGGTGGCAGATGATCCAATTGAACGAAGACGAAGAGATGGCGAGGAAATGGACATGTATACTTCTCTAGAATGAGAGGATCTCAATGTGCAAATCCCGCTTCACACTGCTACAATGTTGATAGAGCATAGGGGATACCATATTGGCATAGAGTGCGGGCAAGCATAGCATGGCGGCGTATGAGGAGCTACGTAAGCACGTTTGAACGCAAAAGGCAAGCGAGACGCCAATTCTGTTTCAATTTATGGAACACAGGCACAATAACAGTTTCCCTGACTCTAACGCTATCATGTCGCTGCCGGACATGATGTGCATTACCCAACGTTAAAAGGTCTTTGCTTCTCAATACCAAACCAACGTCTGCAGCAACGGTGGGAGACCATCGAGCAATGACACCACATCCTGCTCCGGATACCGAACCAACCGATTACAGCGAGCCAGCTACATGGTTTCAGCTGCACGCTTGGATATGATCGTCGTGTAGCTGCAACGCCGCGATCTGGTATATTGCATGGGCTTTCGACTCGTTCGAGCTCTGACCTTACGCCTTACCAGGATCCTACATATTACGCTGGGTCAGTGGCTACGATGAAGCAGATAACGGTTACCGGGTATAAATCAAACAGTTGATCTTTGGACGTGGTAGGACTACGCTGATGTCCGCAAGCTGGCATGTTTGTGTCCTCAGCCTGTGCTGGCGCTCGGCTTCGCTCACTGAATCGCATACTGTGAATCTATCACTTCCGTCACAATCTAGGTGATCTCGCGAAGATTACGGACTTGTGGAAGTCTATTCCCGCCGATAGATTGAAGCAGACCGGGTACATTGAAGTCTCATATCATCTGCAGATGGCAGCATGGCAACGCGGAACTTCACTGCCGTTAAAAAACAAATTAGAAGCGTGTGGTGATGCGAGCTGGATTGCTCATGTTATGGTATGGGAGTGGCCGCTATGACCAAATCGTAGTCGTTGTGATGGTGGTGAACGTACCTTAGAGTAGAGCTACCCGGTCTTCTTGGTCGAGGTTACAAATGATTGCTGTTGGCTTGCGCTCACTATTGCAATGCCATGCCATCCAACAATCAGTATGGTGCTAATCCGGAAATGGTGCTCTATTTGCCGCCAAGGATTTACGATGCGCTGGGGCAACTCAGAGCTCCAAGTTCTAGCGTCTCCATTAACCGCACGAACTGCGTCTAGCGTCTAGTCTCTTTTCACGTACCTGCGCTACTCTACTATCGCACTGAGCCGTTTGGCAAGACGACGGGTCACAACATCAAGCGCCAACATTGCCACCAAGACGGCGTTCCTCTGCTACCAGACTTTCGATATAATGGTTGTTCAGGAGTTCGTCTGCTTTCTGTTCGCTCATCGGAAGCAGTGGCCTTCTTGGCTTCTGACCGTAACCAAACCGACGATGCAGTATCTGCTTCATGCCAGCGACCTGTTCGACACATTAGTTTGTCAAAGCAGTATATCGGAAACGAAATCAAACATACGCCGACACCTGCCGCAACACCATCTGCAAGCGCGATGAGGCCTTGCAGCCTCCTCGCTTCCGCTTGATCTTCCTTTCTCCTTGAATTGCACAGCTCCCACAGCCGCACACACACGCGCTATAACGATCACCCGGTCAGCAAGACAAGACTGTTCGATGGCTGATGTCACTTATGCTTACCGGTGCAAAGTTGGGTAGACCCGAGATGGCGCCACCAGCTCCGACAGCGACCGATGGTAGCAAGATGTCAATGAATCCATCTATCACCTCGAACTTCTGATGCGGATCCACTCTAGGATACTTCGCCATAAAGTCCGGCCCATGAGCAACGGCTGTTATTCTTGTGATCTTGCCAACACTCGCACATGTCAGCTTCGCCCCAACAACGTTCGGTGTCGCCCGGAGCACGTCCAAGATGAAGTCACTGCTCATATCGATGCCCGCTGACACCGCAGGGAAGTTATACAGTATCACGGGCACCGTCGACGCCGCCGCAATATCCACGTAGAACGCCTTCAGCGCTGCCATTCCGTCGGCTTGCAGACCCCCTGCATAGTATCCTGACGGTATCACCATGACAAAGTTCGCTCCGGCTTCTGCGGCATCATTTGCAAGTATGATCGTCTCTCTTGTGCTTGGCGCACCGACTCCAGCGACGAGGACGACCTTGTGGAGTCCAGCTTCATCCAAAGCTGAACGTGCCGTTTGTGTTATGATCCGACGTTCATCACGGCTCAGATGTACGGCCTCGCCCATTGAGCCGGCCAGAACTGGTATCGTGCCCTCGGAGGCAGTGAAGACGACGTGCTTGCGCAGCGCTTCAAGATCGATGTTCTCATTCTTGTCGAAGAAAGTTGGTAGGGGTGTATAGATGGCTTGTGGCAACGGTCGGGAAGGCATGCTTGTTCTCTTCCTTTCTCTGCTGTGTTCCCCTCTTCGTTCGGAAGCGTTGCGAAAACTATCTCGGAGCGTTGAGGAAGATTCAATATAGCACCGGAGGAGGGACGTCGGACTCTTGTAACTGACTCCGGCACAACAGCAGATGGCGGAGCCTTTAAGACTCTCCATGTTCAGCCTGGCTTCGCCGAAGCGCCGTGATTGCCTATCCATATCTACTGACACTAGAGCGAGAATCTAAACAGAGGCGAGTTCTCGCCCAGCTCGCTCAATTCCTGCGGCGTATGCGTAGCCTTGACGCTCTCAGCATCCGTACGATCTCTCTGAGCATTTGTCCTGCGCAACAACCACCAATGCAGCGTCGCTGGAATCATGGCTCCGAGCACAGTGCACCCCACGCTGAAGCCGAAACCGAGTGGATACACTGGGGCTTCAGATGCGATGTAGATATTGCTGCCGATACTGCCGCCTCCGACTGAGCCCACAAGCATGAGAAAGCCAATGGCGGCTGCTCGTTTTGATGGATTCGGTACGTTGACCGACGTCCAAGCACCGACGATTGGAGCTGTTCCTCGGTTAGTGGAAGGCCTTGAAGTCCAATGGTTGCAAATGCATACCTTGTGCAGCGTAGCCTGCTGCGGCCAGAAAGATTGCAAAGTAGCTGACGCCGGCAAGACGCTTGTAATGCACAGTCACCCACAGGATTATGATGCCGCTAACAGCACGTCAGTTGTGGGAGTCATCTCGCTGCAAACACTCGAGATACTCACATTAGACCCAGGGTATACGCGCTCATGATGGCAGCATACCTCCGCTGGAAGCGATCACTCAACCAGCCCACCAGCACGCAAATAATGGTTGCGAAGATGTACGGAGGCGTGGTTAGCGCCTGCGCACGAACAGCGCTGTAGCCAAGATTCTTCACCATCGTCGGCAAGGTGTAGCTGAGCGAGTACGTTGGCACGGAGCCGCCCCACCAGAACATCATCATCATGAGGTAGGTCTTGCGGTCTTTCAGCGCTGCGATAATGTCGCTCCAGCGGAAAGTGTACGTCGGCGCATCCGGTCCAGAGGCGTACTTAATCCTTAGCTGCGCATACTCAAGCTCAGCACTATTAAGCCACTTGCTGCCCCGCTTGGCGGTGTATTGATGTGGGAATTGCGGAAGGAAGAACAGACAAGCGAGGCCAGCCACGATCGTAATTACTCCTTCAATCAGAAATAGCCACTTCCACGCTCGCCAACCCATCGCACCGTCGAGGTTGCCGACGCCGTATGCGATAACACCGCCAAAGGCTCCCGCAGCGGTGTTGGCGCCGTAGAAGATCGCCATACGCGTTGCGAGCTCTTTCGGGGTATACCACATGGACAGAATAAAGTAACTGCCAGGATAGAGACCAGCCTCAGTCATACCCAGGACGAGACGGATCGCAACATAGCTGCCGTAGTTGTGGACCAGACAGGTCAGCGTCGTGATCAAACCCCAGCACGTCACGATGAAAGGGAACCATATCTTCGGTCCTAGGCGACGCAACGCAATGTTCGACAAGGGCTCGCAGAGACCGTAGGTAAAGAAAAGGTACATCAGTGCGAGGTTGAACTGGGTCGATGTCATGCCAACGTCTTGGAGGAAGCCAAAGAGTTTCGCGTTGCCAGCATTGGACTTGTCGAGGCTGCACATGAGGTAGAGGAAGCTCAACGTGGGCAGAAGTCGAAGGTCCAGCTTGCGCAGCAGCTTCCGGTGAGAGTGGCCGTTCTCAGCGTGGAATTCGGCGTGGAGTGCGAGGTATCGCTCATACTCGACAGTGTTGTCGAGAACCTCTCCAGCTTTGATCGATGTTGTGTCCGACGGCTTGATGCCCTTCTCAGCGGTGACGGAGTCTGTCGACGAAGCAGCCATCTCCAAAGACTGTGCGGTAGTAAACTGCTCGGGAATTGCTGAATGTTCGATACACTCTGGCTATCCTGTAACAGTTTACTCGTGGCGGTTCAAGGCCATCTTTATGTTCGTTGAGGCAGTCAACGATATGCGTGCCGGAGCCCTACGAGCTCTAGGGGAACAAGGACGCCACGTGCGGCAGACGACGATAACGGGCGATAGCGGCGATCTGGCTGTTGCAATGGCGTGCCAATCTAGCAACCGACTCTTTGTTCGTTGATTCCTGACGTCCAGCATATTGACAAGCCAGTTGCGGCGATTCGGCAATACAGCTGGCTTATCATCGCTAGCGGATAAGTTAGGAAGCCGAAATCTGGGCGCCGAAAGTCAACTTGGCCGTCCGTAGTCTGCCGACGCCAGGACGGGCAACAACAATGTACAATCCTATGATGAGTCGCAGACATGCCGGAAAACAGGCACTCGGCTCGAAGACTTGTCCTTCGGTAACAACGGCGTCAGACTGAATTACAAATGTCACTGTTTTGACAGGTCCTGGAGACTCCCTCCTCAAGAATCATCAATTATTGAAAGCCATCATGCCTAGTATCGCAAACCTACCAGCTTCAAATAACCTCCCAAGTAAGGTTGCCACGCGTGCGAAGAACGAAGATGGGACGCCGCTCTATCCTGACTTTATGCGTAAGTCCTGAGGCTTGTGACGTTGGCAGCCGATACTGACTCGGCCTCGCCAGCCTTTTATGATCCACTGGAGAAGGTAGACGAAATCGGCTTGTTCGACCATCAAGATCCAGGCTTGCGTGCCGATCCTGCACTTCCCAACCTATTGCGCAATGCGACCAAGGTTTACAACCTGTCGCCCCACGTCGGCACGGAAGTGGAAGGGGTGCAATTGTCTCAACTCACGCCGGAGGGTCTTAACGAGCTAGCATTGTTCGCAGCTCAGCGTGGTGCCCTCGTCTTCCGCAACCAGAACTTTTGTGACATCGGTTTCGAGGCGCAGAAGAAGATCGTCAGTCATTTCGGTCCTCTCCACGTCCACGGATGGGCGCCGCACCCTGGTAAAGTCGCCTTTCGTGCGGTGTTAAACTCTTTTCTGACGTGATGCAGCTGCTGGCTCTGCGGAGCACATGATCATCTACGATCACAAGGAGGATCTCCGCGTGCGGCGCTCATGGAAAGGCCGTAGTCCCATCCAATGGCACACTGACCAATCTCCTGAACTGCAGCCACCGGGTACTACTTTCATCGGGATGCTTGAGTCTCCCGCTGCAGCCGGCGGCGACACACTTGTCAGCTCGAGCGTGCAAGCTTTCAGAGCATTGTCCCCTCGTTTTCGAAAGCGTCTTGAAGGCCTGACTGCAATACATTCGAACAACGACGGCGTGAGTCAGGAGCTCAAAAACGGCTCGAATGCGGTTATGCGCAGACAGGAGCTTACGGCAGAGCATCCTGTGGTGAGAGTGCATCCTGTAACCGGCGAGAAGGCACTATGTAAGTCACTGTGCCCTTGGTTTCGTGAGTCAATTAACTGACAGTGTTAGATGTAAACCCGGTTTACACCAAGCGCATCGTTGGCTACGACCAGGAGGAGTCTGACTTTCTTCTGGGCTTTCTCTTCGATCACATTGCCAAGCGCGCCGACTTCCAGTGTCGCGTACGTTACGAAGCCGGAACTGTGCTCGTCTGGGATCAACGCGTAACCAATCACTCGCAGACGCTGGACTATCCAGCGGGTGAACGACGACATGCATTCCGCTTGACGCCACTTGCGGAGAAACCCATCCCGTCCATGATGGAGGAGGACGACGGCGAGTGTCTCAAGGATATCGGGCGTGCATCGTTGGGTCTTTGCTGAGATGGTGCAACCGTAATCAGATCTAGCATTGCTCATAGCATAATGTTCGTACTTGGACTGACGCTTTCAGCCGGTGAACCATCCCAGTAATGTGCTGGCCATGTCTGCCAATATTGCGTAACCGCATTGTCGGTCACAAAGTCGAATGGCTCGTTGCCGAACAATTGTTGCCAGTCTGTGTCCAGTCCGTTTTCGAGCGATGCGTGTTCGATGTTACCAGTTTCGTACTGCTGCGCCACGGTACCATTACTGTCATTATAGCCAGTTTCAGGGCATTGCTGTTGGGGTGCGGCGTGTTGCCCGCTTGCTTCGTCCTTCCGATGCTTGGCAATACGTTCAAAATAGTACACGATTGGTAGTGCCTGTGGCCAGATTGCAGAAAGGTGCCGCAAAGACTCCAGGAGCGATCCAAAGCGATGCTCAGCTGCAGTTGCCAGGATTGGATTCGCTAATCGCAACTCCACATTCAGCTGTATCAGTGCAGTGAAACAAACGTGCACACTGTTACTTGGTAAATACTTCAGCATGTCCTGTTCCCGGAGGCTTTCGAGCAGAGACTGTACGTGCGCGGCGGCGGCACTGCAGATATCGGCATCCTCTCTTCTCATCTCATCACCGTTTGCTTCCGCCGGCGGCCGTGGGCGATGCAGTAGCATGAGACCGCTGTTGTATGCGAGATGAAGCATGGAAGCTTGGAGTCCGAGCGTGATTGTCGGTCGAAGCTTAAGTTCATCAGGCAACTGCTGTGTCCACAGCGCAAGCCTCTCGTCTGCATTGCGCAGTGACTGAATTCTACTCTCTGGCGTGCTTCGAAGCGCGAAGCGAGCTCTGACAGCCTCCGACAGTATTCTCATTAGATTCGTCCGCTGTACGACAAAGTCGGTCGCAGTATTCTCGCCGCACTCATCGAAGTCGGTGCATCTGAGTTCTGCTACGTCGCAGTCTTTAAGGCGGATCACTTGAGGTCGCCCATGCTGCAAGCTCAAAGAAATGTCGTAGGTGTACAGCAACCAGAACACTCTTCGCCACATACGCTTGTTGTGTTCTACAAGCCGACTGGGTTCAGCATCGCGGTGCATACCGAGACCGAGGGCAATCGTAGCGGCCATATGTACCCACAACCAGGCGTTTGCAGCAACGTCTTCCACGCCGTCTGTGTGCCATGTCAGTAACAAACATGCTTGGACGACGATATCTCGATTGCGTTCGAACCGCGCGTCCACCTAGTATTGGCGGGCAGAGAGGTCAGCTAATTGCGAGGGATCCTACACCGCTCTGCTTACCAGCATTTTCGCTCTGCGGAAGAAGGTGGCCTTTATTGCCTGACGCTCGTCGCCGACGTAGAAAACATGGGCACCGGCAACAAGCATTGCCTGCAATAAGACCAGAGAAGGCGGGTTTTGCGGGTCTTTCGCATCGTACTGCGCCATGAAGCGACGCTCATCTACAACTGGAAAATAGGCGTTCACATGGCCGAAGTACATCTCGAGCAGCCGATCAACGAGCGTCTTCTCCGGCAGCTGCAGCGCCTCGGCAGGTAATCGTTCGGGCTCGTACGAAGTATGCTGGCGGGCAATGCGATTGCTCGCATGGTGACAGGCGTCAGAGGTGCTCGACCGGTGGCGAACCAGAAAGTTTAAGTTTGAAAGACCGGTGCCAATGTAGGTCACGCGAGCATCTTTATCGATAGCTCGCGTGTCAATGGCGGGCTGCTCAACGAACTCGACCAGCAGCGTCTTGCAGTCGTCCTTGTTCAGTCCGGGAAGTGCTGAGTGTACCACGGCTGACTGAGCCGCATGCACCGCCGCAGGTGGATTTGCGGCGGATACGCCATGATTTTGAAGTGTTTCTTGTGTTGAAGGCCTGTTAGCTGGAACGATTGCGACCGCTCGAGCACCTTGACGCTTCCGCTTGATATGGGTACGGCATTCGTCAGGTGCCGGCCCTTTACGACAATTGCTGCAGGGTGTGCCCGAGGCTGCGAGGTCACATTTGACCTTGCGCCAGTGGCAAGGCGCGCAAGCTGCTCGCCTGCGACTTGCTTGCATGAAGCAGAGGAGACGCTAACTTCGGAGGTTGAGGTGGTTCGCTTATCGCTCGTTTGTTCCCAGGCACGGTCACGAGGCCTCGCGCTCGTGCCGAGGCAATTCTAAGCAGTGCATCTCCAGTCGCAAAAAGTGAAGGGAGTGTATTGCATCGGTCGTTGCGGCGCGCTCATCGCTACGATGATGCCCAGTAGAGGCTTACGCATTGCAGGCTCCAATGCGCCTCGATTATTACAGTTCCAATGCCGCAGTGTATGTAACAAAGATATTGGAAGTACCGTGCTTCACGTTACTAACCTCATGGTAGCTCTCCTCCGCTACAGGACTGAATCGCATACGGACGACCCCCAGGCCCATACCATCTCTGTCACCACCGTCGCGATGGCAGGGCACATCGTTGCGTTTAATAGCAGCCATGCGGCATGCATCCACCGTACCCACAGCATCTCCCGCTCAGCCTGTCGCAGCAAATCACATACCATCGTCAGAGCTTCTATCTCCGTCTGACCCAAGCCATATTACAATCGATGGCATAGACCTTGGCCAAGCTTTTATAATGCCTGATATCCCGGAAAAGATTGGCTATCTACAAGAAGTGGGAATCAGCTTTTGGTACGGCCCAACTTCTGTGATTGAATGGATCCTCGAGCACATCCACATCTACAGCGGCATGCCCTGGTGGGGGAGTATAGCCGCGACCGCGGTCCTCCTCCGCTTGGTAATGGTTCCATTCTTCGTCAGGTCTGCGGACAGCCAGGCTCGACAAGCCGCGCTCATAACCGTGACCAAGCCGATCACGGCAGCAATCACGCAGGCACAGCGCGACCGCGATCAGGAGTCGATGATGATGCACGTGCAGCGCCTGCGCCAAATCCAGGCGGAGAACGGCATCAGTTACTCCGCCATGTTCGTTCCCATGGTAATGCAGGCTGTGCTGGGATATTGCGGCTTCAAGCTTGTAAGAGCCATGGCCAACCTTCCCGTCCCGGGCCTGCGAGACGGCGGCTTTCTGTGGCTCAAAGATCTTACCGTTGCGGATCCCTATGGCATCCTACCGCTCGCCATGGGCGCCGCCATCCACCTCGTCATTCGTATGGGTGGCGAGACTGGGGCATCGAACCCTGCTGCAACCCCACCAGGCATGAGGGCATTCATGCTGTATGGGATGCCGGGTATCATCATTCTGGTTACCGCATGGTTGCCGGGAGCGCTATGCGTCTGGTTTTCGGCTTCCGGAGCTGTAGGCCTCGGGCAAGCTCTCTTGTTTCAGCAACCTGCTGTACGAAGGTGGCTCGGCATTGCGCCACTTTACAAACCGCAGACGGAAGAGGAACGACGGTCAACAGGTTTTGCTGGACTTTTCCGGGACCTTGTACCTGGCTCAGGTAATGAGCGCGGACGCCAAGCGCTACGACCTTCTACACTAGACAATCAAGCCGGCAAGAATTCGGCATATATGAGCCCACAGTGGCAGGCTCCTAATCTGCAGACTCGACCCACCTCTGGCGGCGCTCAGGGCAAGATTGTGGACATTGTTGCAAAGAGCAGCGCCACTCCGGCTTCAAGCGAAGATGAAGACAAAGGATTCAAGGCCCTTTTTAAAGCTCCAGGTACCATATGGAAAGGCTTGAAGTCCAACCTGCCCAAACCGTCCCAAGCTTCACTCGACAGAAGTGTGGAGAGAGCGGCGCAGAGGGAGCGGGACGCTAAGAAACGGGCTGCGGCGGAGTATGAAGAGAGAGCGCAGAAGAGGCAGAGACAGCGGTGATCCTTGTTTTATAGAGCACTATCTTGGCGGGATGCATTGCGTGGATGGGACACATGTGTGTAAAATTTTGCATGCTGAAGCCGGCGCCCGAGTTGGACCCAATTGGGATGAGGCCTTACCTTAGGCAAGCTCCGCTTTTCGGACCCGAATGTATGGATACTCGCGTTACTGATGATATTCGGACTTCCAGACGAGGAGGCGAGTGCGCCCGAACTCTGGAGCTGCGAGCAAGATGCGCGGCCGGCTTTGTTGTTGTAGAACCCGAGGAAGAGTATGCGGTTGTATATAGCCAGGCTCATAATCCGCCATGTTTCGATCACTACGCTCAACTATCAACCTCGATATTCGCAGAACGGTCTCAAAGATTTTCTACACTTGAATCCTGCAACTCACTCCAGATCCTACTCAAATCACAATGGCCTCCCCAAGCTCAATTCCAATCGTAAGCATAGGTCTGACCCGACAGCCTCAAGTCCAAGCCGCCGCACTCTTCGACGGGACACCGTACTACATGGCCGCTACACTCGACATGACAGACAGTCCGAAGCAGTATCAGTTCTCGCCGCAGAATTTGGGCGCCGTACTGAATGCGTTATATCCGCGCCCGCGGGCTCTGGTCACGGGAACTGCGGTGACAGACGAAATGTTGGAGAGCATCCGGCCCGTTTGGGAGGAGTATGTCGGTAGGGTACTTGCTGAGAAAAGTGGTGACGAGAAGAGCTGTTGGATTGCTGTGAGTTGTGCGACTGTAGTTGACACAGGCGTTGCTGACAGGCTTGCAGCTGTCGAAGTGGCATGCCACGACCGGACCGCCACCGCCGGGTCTTGTTAAGGAGCTAATGCGGCAGTTGAATGAAGCCTTTCAAGGAGGAGAACGGCTAGGTCGGAACAGCAGGTCTTGGGCTGAATGGCTTAAGCTGCGTTGATCAGGAAACAACAGTTAGTGCAGGGTGTTGATGGGAGATGCTGCTCTACCTGCGTAACTGTTCGCTAGATGTACAATATGCCAATGCAACGCCGTCGCTATGCGTATGTGCGTTTACTGTACAGTACTGTAACGTGTCTAGACGATGAAAAGTGGCTACGACTTCTTTTCCGCAAAGTCAGAAGCCTGCATGTTGCGAGTCATTGAGGGTAGCTTGACCTGTTCATACAATTGTTAGCACGTATGATTCACCTCACGACATATCGTACATCCAAATAAAAGCAACTCAACTTACAACAAGCCCATCTAACTCCTTACTCATCTTCACCTGACAACCCAGCCGGCTCGTCTCCGTCAGCCCAAACGCCAGGTCCAGCATATCGTTCTCATCATCGCTCGGCTCCTCCATCTTGTCGTACAGATCATCGTCTTGTACTATGATATGGCACGTGCTGCATGCACAGCTGCCTCCGCAAGCGCCTTCCATCTCCAAATCGTTCGCTTGCGCAATGTCCAGGACATTGTCGCCGTCTGCGACTTCGAACGTATGTGACTGGCCTTCTTTGTCGATAAACGTGATCCGTCGCTCCTCACCAGGTCGGGGTGGAATGAGATCGCCGTGTAGTCGGAAGGTTGTGGTTGTGAAGTTCCGGGCTGGTTTGAGGTTTCGGACGTGTCGCCAGCATGTTCGGTTTGAGTGCAACTTGGCTATCGTACAGACCGGGCCGCTCGCTTTGCGTGAGGCGAACATTGCAAGTGGTATGCTAGCACTCATGTGTCTCGATTGTACATAACTTGAACTCTGCCCGCAAAGCGGTCGACATCGTGGTGCGGTCCGGCAGCTTTGCGCGATCAGAGTCCACTGGGCAGCGACACTGCGTTGTGCCATTTCGGACCAATACAGCGGAAACACGAATATATTAACGCCGCGAACAGATCGGTTTGGTACCGAAAATATTCCCACGCCGCTCGTCTCAGATATGGCGGCGACGGCGATTCCGGAGATGGAGCTCGGACCATCAGCGACTTCCAGAGCATGCATGTGCAAGATCGGCCTTCGTCATCCTTTCGATCATCCCAGAACAATCACACCGTCGACATCTTGGGTAGCGGACGCCAGTCATGGCGGGTTTCGAAAGTGACCGTTTCCAGCCTTTAAGCACATCCCGGGAACCCAATCCGCTTCGACCATACTACCACCCTCCCTCTATCGGTCCCGCAGCGTCATCGTCATCCTTCCAAGCAGCACACACAGCACGACCTAATGCGCGACCACCAACTGCTTCGATCTCAAGCACCGCCCGAGAGCTTCTTCCAGAACTCGACCTTGATCTGAAAAGCTCCGCAAGTGAAGCATGGCAGCATACGCGGAGCTTGTTCGATACGCTACTTTACCGATACACGAGCGTGCTCTTAGCTCAGCCATTCGATGTTTCCAAGATCCTTCTACAAGTGTCGCTACCGCCCTCGGCGGAAGTGTCTTCGCCAGAGCGGAAAAGGGCAGATCCAAGGCGGCAGCCTCCAGCTAGTGGACAGACCGAGAGAGGTTCAAACTATGAGGAACGTCTGAATGAAGTCTACGAAGATGAAACAAGTGATGAGACCGAGGGGAGCGACGACATTCCCGATTACTTCACAGCGACAGCGCCACGAAGTCGATCACCACGTAAGCGAAGACGGACGCCACCAAGCGAGGAGTTGTCGCCAACGCCCACACCCAAGAACCGAAGAGAGCAAGAAGACCTCGAACGTGAGTACAAATTGCGACTGAAGCGACCAGACAGCATCACGAATGTTGTCTCTGCGCTATATAATACATCTGGGGCCGTGGGCTTATGGCGAGGCACGAACACGACGTTCCTCTACAATGCCCTTATGCGGACGACAGACGCTTTCATACGCAGCTTGCTTCTTGCCGTATTAGGACTTCCGGACATCATCGGGCCTGATGCAAGCGGGTTGGGAATGGCGTTTGGCGTACCCGGCAGTATGGGCTTCAGCGGCCTGGATCTCAGCGACAGCCCCAACCCTATTGGCAGTCTGATCGTTGTAGGCCTTTCCAGCTGTGTAACAGGATTGTTGTTGTCACCACTTGATATGGTACGAACACGGCTCGTTGTAACGCCCATTTCGCACGCTCCACGAGGCCTGGTGCAGAACCTTCGGAGTCTGCCGTCTCTGCTCGCGCCGTCTAGTCTCTGGCTCCCGACTGCGCTAGCCCACACAATACCCCAGACCTTCTCCGCTGCATGTCCATTGGTCATCAGGCGACAACTCAGGATCACGCCCGAAACGTCGCCAAATTTGTGGTCGCTGGCAGCGTTCTGCACGTGCATGACGGACTTGTTCATACGACTACCGCTCGACACCATTGTGCGACGAGCACAGGTAGCCGAGATGAAGCGCGCCCAGCCGGACATACCAACTATTGTCGAGCCAGCACCCTATGCAGGACTTAGTGGCACGGTATACAGCATTTTCTACCTTGAGGGTGAAACGAAGATCAAAGACCCCAGGACCGGCATGATCAAGATTAGGAAAGGTCAAGGCCCGTCTGGGTTGGTTCGAGGGTGGAGAGTGGGCTTCTGGGGCTTGGTCGGAGTCTGGGGTGCTGGCGCAATGGGTCCAGGAGAGCCCAAGGGACGAGGAGAGTTTTGATCATCTGGCATGTTTGCGAGATGCATTTCGAGTGTGTTTTCTAGCGAAGCGAAGCGTTGGTATTGTTTGCGCTTTACCCATGGTATACTCTGCTCTATACAGATATGACTGTTCGCTCGCATATCGTATGAACAGGTCTTTGCGCGAAGCTCTATCACCAAGCGACGCGATCACGCTTCAACGCTTGTATGTCATCTTGTTTCCAGAAGATGTAAAAGCTTGACTCGGCTAGGCGTTCCGTAGCGCGTAGGTGGCGCGTTTGCAGCGGGAGAGTTACGGGAAGCACGGATTAAGCCTCCGGATGATCGTGAAGACCAATCGATCTTGCAACAGCTGCCATCATGCCCTTTCGTCATCGCACCTCGCAGAGCGCTGTTTCAGCGACCTTACTCAGCTACACCGTCGATACACGTGTGGTGTCTCACTGCTCTCACTGGCTAAGCAGCTTAGTAACTGCGCGTGCGAGCCTTGCCCCAAGTCCGCTCACCATGTGTTGCTCTATGCGCCTAATGGCTAAGGGCGCATATCCCTGTTGTTGCAACACCAGGTAAGGCCCATTTATGATGTCGTAGGATTGCGGCCGCAGATGCAATGTGCAATCAGACCTTCAAGTAAGCACCAACAGTATCAGCATGCATTGCTGACCTGTGCACCCTCCCGTCCTTTCTTACAGTCAAGTCGCTCCGAACCGTGACACCCCTGCCACTTTCGTATTGTGAGCAACATGGCGACGCAAAGGGCAGAAGCTACCGCCAACGTTGACGGCTATGGTGATTATCGCCATCCAGGCGCGACGAACAGAGACATAGCCTTCAACCGCCTGCCAGCGAACCCAGAGACCCTACTAGATGAGGCGCTTTATCCAGCTGATGCGTACAGAGGCACAATATACTGGGGCGACCTACCACTTAACGAGCGAACGAAGTTTGTCAATCAGCAAGCGAACTTTGAGGCCGGCCGCGAGCTTAAGATTGTTTGGGAGATGTTTAAGCAAGACCCTCTAAGCCCAATCTCCGCATACATGCAGAACTTCGTGATTACCGGTGTTGGCTTCTTCACCGAAGGTTACGTACTGTTCTCCGTTGGCAACATTCTCCCACTATTCGAAAGTGTCTGGGCAAGTTGCTTCAAGCAGTATAAAGTTTGCAACAAGGTCTGGGTAGAAGCAGCCAACTACCTCGAAATCGTCGGCATCATTTTCGGGCAGGTCGCTGTTGGCATCATCGGCGACTTGATTGGTCGTCGCTGGGGTCTGATTCAGGATGCCGCAATACTACTCATCGGCAGCTTAATGCTCACGGGCATGTGGGGCAAGAGCTTGTACGGCTGGACAGTGATGTACGCTATTTCTCTGCTGGTATTCGGGTTCGGAGTCGGCGGCGAGTATCCCATGACTTCCGTCAGCGCCATGGAAGGTGTCCACGGGCAAGGAAGCACCAAAGCGGATCGCCTGCATCGTGGACGCAGTGTCTTGCTTGCCTTTCTCATGCAGGGCTGGGGTCAGCTCGCCAACCAACTAGCCCTGATCGTTGTGATGCTCATCTTCCATCATGGCGGTAACCCTCCTTATGGCGAGATCGTGACGCAGGAGACCTTCCGCATCACCTTCTTCATCGCCGCACTATTCATCGCTTACTTCCTGTACCTGCGAGTGTTCAAAATGAAGAATGTGGATCATTCTCTCAAGGCGAGCCGACAAAAATCTAACGTCACCGGCTACGATATCACATCTCTCAAACTTACATTCAGGCATTACTGGCACAGGCTGTTCGCTACAGCGGTCTGCTGGTACTGCAACGACTTTCCCTTCTATGGCAATCAGATTTTCCGCTCGCTACTACTTACCCTTGTAACGTCAAACAGCAACGACGTCTTCAAATACTGGCTGTATAACCTCATCAACGTTGGGTGTGAGCTGGCTGGTTACTACCTGGCAGCGTTCTTGATCGACCACAAATTCTATGGCCGAAAGAGGATGCAGGCTGTTGGCTTCATTATGTCCTTTATTCTTTTCCTTATCTGTGCCGCGGCATATCCGTTGTTAAACCAGAAGCCCGGCAGTCCTGGCGCGCAAGCGTTCATCTTCCTCTACTTCTTTAGCAGTACGTTAATTAGTCATCTAGCAGTGTCGATGGTACTGATCTCACTACCAGGTTTCTGGATTCAGTTCGGTCCGAACTCAACCACCTTCCTCTTGGCTGCTGAAGTGTACCCTGCCCAGATCCGTGCTACCGCTCACGGCATGAGTGCCGCAGTTGGCAAGCTCGGCGCGCTAACCAGCACTGTGCTCTACAACTACATTCCGACCCACATCAAGTTCTGGGTGGTCTGCTGGTTTGGTCTAATCGGCTTCGCTCTGACCATGATATTCATACCAGACACAACTGGCATCGACCTGCGCGAACAGGAACGATACTGGCAATTTGTGCGCGAAGGCCGAGAGCATGACTATCACGGCGTCGCGGTGCATCCGCGCCACCTGTCCCTGTACGAGAACGTCGTGTTGAAGCGGAGTAAAGCGTATGATCCGAAGCTAGACCGCGACATGAAGGTTGAGGAGCTAAGGCAGCTTTACCACAAGGCGGAGAGTGGCAAGGCGAAGGAGTATGATGGTGAAGGTAGGGATAGCTCGGATACGGTGGACGATAAAGTCAGCTCGTACTTTGAGTGGGAGAAGAGTCGGAAGGGTTAGGACCAGACCTTGTACACTAATAGCGCACTGCGTTCAGGGCCTGTAGAACCTGAGCATTCTACGACGACACTGTTCACGTCTTGAGTTTGCTCACTTCTACCATCAACATCCGGCGAAAGAAGCCTTGTAGGGAATGGGTGAATTTTGTGGTCGATAAATATCTCCAGGCTCACTAGTGCAATCTGCTGGTTGATCTATCGTTTTCCGGCGTTGACTAACCCGGCGCAAAGCCCAGAACTTAACGCAGTTAGTAGCCCGTATCGTAATGCTTCCGCGGAAGTTCTGTACTCGTTCCCATTCGGTGTGTAGATATACTAAATACTGCAGTAGCCAGCAGAAGTTAGGTGTGGATATTTTAGCGCGCCTACAGCGGAGATCGCATCTCCATCAGGAAGGCACAGGCGTCTTCTCTGAATCCAGGCTCCCAGTCAGGGACCGTACAGGGTGTCTTCACCTAACAGTTCACCTCACGCATTCAAGGAAACTTAGCTGACCATGGCGCTGCCAGGCATGGGCGGATTTGGTGGCATGGGGTCAGGTGGGCGACAGATGGCTGGAGTGGACCAACAGCAGCTGCAGGAGCAACAGATGATAAAATACGTGAGCAATCAACGCGTTCGCATCCAGTGTGCGTTCATTCCTAAGCCATTTCATAGATGCAAAAGGCGATGGAGTCATGCCCAGCCAAGACGGTGATCGCTGGGACGATGGGTTTCGGCTTAGGAGGTCTCTTCGGACTTTTCATGTCCAGTATGCGCTACGATACGCCGCTCTCTGCAGGTATGCCAGGTGGTGTGGGCACCATCTCAGATCTACCTGTACGGGAGCAGCTGAAGCGAGGCTTCAAGGACATGGGAAGATCAGCCTGGGGAAGCGCGAAGAACTTTGGCTACATTGGTGCAGTCTTCGCCGGCACTGAGTGTGCGATTGAAGGCTTAAGAGCGAAGAACGATCTCGGAAACGGTGTTGCCGCAGGCTGTTTGACAGGCGGCTGGCTGGCGCGAAGTGGTGGGCCACAAGCTGTCGCAATCGGATGCGCTGGTTTTGCGGCTTTCAGCGCCGCCATTGATGCGTATATGCGTATGCCACAGGACGACAAAGGTGCCGATCCCATCATCTAGATCACATTCCAGCAACGCGTTAACCTCAGCGACGTCTGATGGAGCTTCGAAGACTTGAGACGACAAAGGATCTGAGCGCACACTCTGCGACATGTATCAATCAGTTTTGCCGGGCCATGAGTATCGCAGTACCGGTATGCACATCACCGTCACCGAAAGGTGCGCAAGCGCTGCAGCAGCAGGCGCGTTGCGCCGAGCATTGCTGCTTGCACAAGTTGTCCCTCGAAAGGCCTTTATCTGCGTGACACCTTAGACGTGGAACAGTGCTCTTCCCGGGCCAACACCTCGAGTCCATGCCTAGACTTTGCATGGGAGCTTACTCCTGTCCTGGACTGAGAGCATCGTGCCGATACACAGCTAAAGCACACCGTCAATCCAGTAGCACGACTATACTCGCTAACGGATGCCATACTAGAGTTGAGATCAATCACTGCGTGCGGGCTGAACATGGTTGTCTGGAGGTTCTGGGTTCATTGGCGCGGTGCTTACCGCCCAGCCTAGATCTCTTATCCATCGCCAAGCATGTCGCTTAGGAGGCTGAATGCGCTGGAAATGCAGAACTTCCGGAGCCAGTGTTTGGATGTTCGCGTGACGGTCGCTGCATCGTAAAGTGGTGCTTTGAATGTCTTTGCCGGCATTCCGACTTTTTCGAAGCCACCGACGCAACAGTGCGAACTTCTCTTCGCCGGCTGAAACTGCCTCCCTTCTTCCGTCCAAAGGCTGGATCACGCATTTTACCACTGAACGCTCCGGCAAGTTCAAGTGCAATGCTCGATCTGCGGCTCAATTGCAGAGTTCAACTGCATGCATATTGCATTGGCAAGCCAGACCCCGCAGGCTGCCGAGCCGCACGGTTCGACTATAACTGCTTGTATTTAGCCGGCCGCATGCTTGCACGCTACCATTCTACTTTCGGTCTGACGACATCCTGTTCCTGATCCTAGCATATGCACTTGCGGAGCTGTGGAGCCTCCAGGTTTTGCCTCGTCCCCAGAAAGCATGCCACAAACCCTCTTGTCTCCTCGGTCCTTGCCATGGCCCAATCAATCAGGCTTTTAGCCGGTACCTGAATACCCTGCAAATGATGAACATGCAGGCGGCTCGCGTACAGCAACATGTCCACCGCTACTGTTCGCATGAAGATCCACGGTGCCGGTCAGGCTAATTGCACACATAGTAGCTATACAAAAGGTAGGCTCCTGCCGACCAACGACGGCCTTCCAGCAAGCTGCGGTACCTTGCATCTCCCCAGCTAGTCACTCGCTTCTTAACAGAAACCATGTCGTTCCGCTCTTTCATCGCCACGGGCCTGTTGGCTACGGGCGCTCTCGCTGCTCCTCAATGGGAGGGCTGGGGTGAGGGTTGGGCGCCGTGGAACCGTGGCCAAACGGCAACGGTCACGATCACGGTCATGCCTAGTGCTGTCACCAGCACACGCACTGTAACGGTGTCTCCCTCAGCTGCCACCTGCAGTGCTTCCACCAGCACTCTCACCACGACGGTCGCTGCATCGGGCTTAACCTGCACCGCTGCCACAAGCACCCTCACTAGGACGGTCACCCTTTCCGCCAGCGCTCCTCCCAGCACCTCTTCGTCCTCTACGAGCGGCTCATCCTCCTCGGCCACGTCTCCCACCATTACAAGCTCCAGCGCAAGCTCCACGTCTTCGTCCAGCTCTGGCAGCAACACCAACCCGACGGTGACCCTCACGGCTACGCAGACCAACACGAGGACTGGTCTCAACGCGGCTGCAACCTCAATTGGCAAGCTGTGGTTCGGTACTGCGGCAGACATCCCAGGTATGTATTATGGTAGCTGTGCCGAGATGGGTCCTAACGCGGTGCAGGCACTGGCGAGGCGGCCGACTACTACTACACCCAGGAGTTCAACAACACTCTTGACTTCGGCGAGGCTACTCCGGCAAACATTATGAAGTACGAATTCACTGAGCCGCAGCCCGGCGTCTTCGACTTCTCAGGTAGCGACTACTTCTTGGCCTTCGTTAAAGCGACCGGCAAGCAGGTCCGCTGCCACAACCTTATCTGTACGTTGGCTCATACATCCCTATCGCTTGCGGTAGACTCAGCGAAGCTTACTGACGCATCGTTTTGTAGGGAGCCAGGAGCTACCGACATGGATCACCTCGCCCACTGTCCCGTGGACCAATGCTACTCTCTCCGCAGCACTGTACCGCCACGTCTACACTCTGGTAACATACTTCGGAGACCAGTGCTACAGCTGGGACGTTGTGAACGAGGCTTTCTCCGACGCGTCAAATGTCACCTACTCGGACAACGTCTGGTTAGCAAACATTGGTCCCAGTTATGTTCAGATGGCCTTCCAGGCCGCTACCGACGCTGTTCGCAACAACTCATTGGCTGTCAAGCTTTACTACAATGACTACAACATCGAGTAAGTGGCTGCTGCACGAGGTCGAGGGTTGCTTGATATTGACGCTTGCTTTCTCAGGTACCCTGGTTACAAAGCGACAAGGGCGCAGAACCTCGTGACTTCGCTCAAGAGCCAAAACATTCAGATCGATGGTATCGGTCTCGAATCACACTTCATTGTCAGTAGTTATTCACTTCATCGATGCTCTACATCTTGGCTAACATTCCGCAGGCCGGCTCAACTCCCAGCCGCGCCACGCAGGCTGCCAACATGGCAGCTTTCGTCGCGCTCGGCGTTGAGGTTGCAGTCACCGAGCTTGACGTGAGACTTAACCTGCCCCCGACTGTCGCCTCTGAGACGCAGCAAGTCACAGATTACTACAACACCGTTGGCGCTTGTGTGGACACGCCACGCTGCGTTGGTGTTGTTGTTTGGGACTTTGTCGACACCTACAGCTGGGTGCCAAGCACCTTCCCAGGCCAAGGCTATGCCGATCTCTTCCTTCAACCCGGTGGTGCCAACACGACCCTCGTCAAGAAGGCGGCATATGACGGATGCTTCCAGGCCCTGACTGGTCAGGCGGTCGGTCTGAAGATGTAGAAGGTTGTCATGATCAACGACAGATGAAAGTGTTACGAACGAGAATGTACATAGTGAAGATGAAATAGTGAGGCGGTGCGGTGAGGATCGACAAGCAGTAGATCAAATTGTATTGTACGATCGTTCATCACACGCTGCGGTGTCATTGTCTCTACATTACCATTAGCGCAACCGACAAGAGCTTCGAGATGTAATTGTCACACCTGCGCACTCAATACTGCCATCTGCCTAACCCCCCTGCAGCAACTTGTCGAAACATAGGTGTTGTAACGGTCAAATCATTTCGGCGAATCAGCGATCCTTTCAACAGTGGCAATGTCGTTCTCCGCAAGTGCTCGGATCTCTTGTAAAAGCTGTGCTTGCCGTTCGCCTTGCTTTACGCCTAACCAATAGCCGATTGCGGACGGTATTAATGTCACTGGAAACGGCTTGTTATATTTCGACGTGATGATAGCATCTGCACAAGGCGTGTAGCGAGTGTCAACAGGAGTTAATTCGTGTGAAGTCAAGCGTACACTGACCTACTATCCTCCCGAACGCCGACATGACGAATAAGCCCACGTGGTGGAACTGCACCTTCTCTCTTCGAGCCACAGCAGAGCAAGCAGCCAAGGAAGCGTGCCGAAAGTGTAGCTCTCGACTTCACGCTGTACAGAGTGGGCGGAATGTAGCCCACACCATCTCGGCTCAATGGAGACACGGTGGAGCCTAGCCTCTTGCAGCCGAAGGTTAATCAAGACTATAGGATGTGGACATGTTCAACCACCCTCCCAACTTGATCATGCCAATAGTGAATCATGGCTCATCAAGTCAGTTGAGTAATACTTCACAGGCGGCTCGCTAAGCTTGACGACGTGAGAATCCATCACGGACAATGTCAAGTCGAACACAGTCTTCGCGAGGCGGAGCAGTGACGGCCGTTTTGCCCATTGTGGAATGTGACAGCCCCAGTGGCGATGATCTGGTTGTCGTACAATAGCCTCCGAGAATCTGATCGAGAAGCTCATGCTTCTTTGGTCACTAACCGTCATGTGCCATAGTCACGAAGCCCAATGTTTCGGCCAATCTCTGAGCATGCCTGCATACTCTGCCATGTTAATGCAAGACACCGCTGCGCTACTGTCACATCATGCGTCTTCAGGAAATTGCCCATGTCGCAACCGCACCCAAGTGCAGAGACTCGCGCTCGAACAAGGTGAGCCACGCCCGAAACGAATCTATTGCAACATCGGTCGCGGAAAGGCTGGGTTCGTCACAATGCAATACGTCGAGAATAGCGAGCCCGAGAATTGCGTGTTCATCCACCTTCCGCTTCTGTAATGGTACGACAAACCACCAGCAAATTTCTACTCTCGTGTAAAGCTAAGCTACGCGAGCTGTCGGAGAACCGCTATGGCGAAACGGACTACCAAGCGAGAAACCCGTTGCAGGATTCGCAGATTCTGCTGGCAATGAACGTCTAATCAGTGGTACACTGCCATTGGGTAGCTCGGGCGACGGAGGGATAGGGCGTGCACTGCCGTACAGCCTCCAGCAGACCAGAAGTAGTGACACTACAACCATACGCGACAGACCGGTGTCAAGTAACACGGCACTGTACGGTTCCCACACTTACAAGCACAGCTTTACCAAGGCTCGATTCCACATTACTGCGGGCAGAAACAGCGTGTCCTTAGCCGAGCCGGATAACTCAGTAAATCCAGCCCACAAGAAGCTTAATGGGAAGAGATCGTTCCTTCTCCCTACTGCTGGCACTCTCGGTAGTAGCAGAGGACGTACCAGCAACGAGAAACTGGGTCCCGAGAGAGCTCGCAGGAGGTCCTGGTTCGCTTGGGAGCCGCGACAGCGGAAACCCTTCTCCGTGAGGGAAACGCCGCGTCTGCCTCTCGACTACAACTGCGAGCCATTCGCAATAATCAAGGCTTGACCAATGCAGCAGAGGATCCGTCAGCGGCATGATTGCCGTCAATGCTGCCTCCGCTCAGCCGCAAGCGCTCCGGTGACTCGGATCACAGCTATGCGAAGAGTGGACTGGTTGATGCATAGGACTGTGCGGCGAGCTAGGAGCTAGTGGCGGTTTGGCTGGTACTTCTGCCCGAATAAGACTGTAGGATGGCCATAGTCCTACATGATCAGCACTTAGGAGCCGCCCTCCTCACCCTCTTCACCCTCTTCACCCTCTTCACCCTCTTCAGCCAAGCTGAGCCTCGCCCTGACGTCCTTCACCAACGCCTTCGCCTCTTCCACCTCCCATCCATCTTGACAAAGCTCGTTGGCCAGCTCCATAGTCCGCTGCCACTCGCTCTTACCGTACATATACCTGGCAAGCCACAATCTAGCCTTGCAGGTAACTTGCGTCACGCCCAAGCCTTCTTCACCCTCTTCCGCACCTTCTTCCTGAGCGAGCGCAAGCTCCATGTACGCCGCGGCTTCCTCCGGATCATGCCCTTGGTATAGCAACGCTATGTCGTACAATATTTGCGGGTCCAGCGCCCCACCTACGGCATGAGCTAGCGGGTCGCTGTTGCCGCTGCCGAAGCTGGAGCCGGCGTCAATCTGGCTGCCGACAACAAGTGCTCGCTTGTACGCTTGGATGGCGTTGGTGGTCTTATTGCACTTGGCATATGCATTGCCGACCGCAGCCCACATCTTCGGATCCGCCGAACAGAGCGCCGCAGCGCGCTGATAGTAGAACAAGCTGTAGCTGTGACACTCGAGCATTTCGTAGCCCTGGCCGAGGCCGTACCAGGCACGGTAGTCCTTGCGGTTCGAGTCCACAGCTCGTCGATAAGACTCGATGGCTGCTTGTGTATTCTTAAGCTCGATGTACTCATGGCCCATGAGCGTCCATGCAGCTTGAAAGTTACGATTCAGTGTTAGTGCTCGGCGAAAGTGAAGGACTGCCTTCTCGTGCTCTGAGATGAGGCTGTAATAGTTGCCTAAAATGCAGTTCGTCTCAGGACGAAATCTGTCCGTATCGCTGGCCATGCTCGCTAGCGTAGCGAGCTTCGGGCGATTTGGCAAAACGTAGAGTAGATTACTGTAGGTCTCCATGCCATCGAGGCGCTGAGGGTGCTCCCTTAGCAAGCTGTCGAACGTTTGCATGGCGAGCTCATGGTCCCGAGCGTGATAGTGCAGTAAAGCCTTCTGCTGTAAGAGAAAGGCTGAGCGAGGAAAGATGCTTTGCAGCTGCGCCAGGGTGTCGAAGATGTCCACAGTTTGCTGATACAGCTCTTGACTGCAGTACACGTGGAAGATCAGAGACATGATATTGCGTGGAAGATGCTCACTGATCTGCTGCATGTCTTCGGGCGAGCCAAGCAGCGAGGCCAGCTCTAGCCATGCCGACCAGTTGTAGGGTTGGAGGTTCACGCTTCGCAGCAGCCATTGTTTGGCAAGCGCTTCAGACTTGGACTTTGATAGCACCATGCCATACAAATAGTCGAGCCAGCCTTGCGAGCTGGTAAGGTCCTGGAGCCCGCCCCTAGCGGTGAACCACCGTTCCAGCGTCGCGAGAAGTCCCGGAACTTCTTTGTTCATCGTGGCGGCGCCGTCAGCCGGACCAAGTACGGTCTCAGAGTCTTCGTTCTTGCGCTTCTCGCCAGCGAGATAGCGAGCATAGAGCGAGAGGAACAAAGCTTTCTGACTTTTGTTCTTCGATAAATGAGTCGCTTGCGGCTGAATTACCGGCGTCGCTGTTGCTGCTGATTTGCCTTTAGAGCCAAAACCAGGTTTAACTAAGTCATGGGCGTCGAAATGATTACTCGATGTGGACTGTCCGAGCTTTGATGGCGACGGGAGTTGTGCTGCTGGCGTGCTGTGTGGTACCTGAGAAGGCAGAAAAACGGCAGCACAGCGATCAAATTCTCGACAGTCGAGAAAGGATTTGGCCATCATATGTCGTGGTAGCTCCGCAGCCTCCAGCTTGGCTTCCTTTGGATCGTGGTTGACATGGTAACTTCTCAAGGCAGTCTCGGGCTCGCCCACATCGGTATCGCCGTCGCCATCAGCGCCACTGTTGTTGGTGGTGGTGAAAGAATTGAGCAGCTCTGCAGCCCTTAGTACGTGTCGTCAGAGTCTGATCCTTCCGAATGGTAACGGCACCTACCATTTAGCAGCGAAGTACAGAGACCGTTCGTTGCACGCTACAACAGCTTGCTGAAGCTGGTTCACCAGCTCTATTTGCTGCTCCATGGACAGTGCCATGGCCAGGGTGCCGCTAACGGGAATTTGCTCTAGACCGTCGAGACTTTCTGGGTTGTATGTACTTCGCCAATAGCTACGGACACCTTCCCATGCAGCAGTGGCAACGATATGGCGAAGCTTGAGACCATCAGCCGAGTCGCGACTGCAGGTACGCGCCGTTACCGGATGGAGCCGTTAGTGAACACCTTGCGGGGTGTACCTGCATTAGCGTATCAATGCCTACTCAGCAACAAAAGTGGACTGATTTCTTGGAGTCGTGCGGGTGCAAGTGGATAAGTCAAGTCTGGACATTGCTGGCTGCTTTCCAACGTCCCGTGGCTGTAGAGTGGTGTAGTCGAGATGCCGGCCACAAGACAAGACTTCGAAGAGGTCTTTCCACGCCTGGTGGCAGACTTGAAAGAGCACTGTGACAAGTACAAGCTCCCGGAACAGGCTTTGAAATGGTTCGAGCAGGTATGTCTGCACCAGATCATCCAAAAATTAAAACACCGCATTGACACGTCTGACAGCTAAGCTAGAGCCTCCACCACAACACCCTTGGCGGGAAATATAACCGCGGGCTATCCGTCATTGACACCACCCAGCTCTTGCTCGGTCGCGAGCTTAGCGAAGATGAGTACTTCAAGACGGCGACACTAGGTTGGATGATCGAATTGCTGCAAGCCTTCTTCCTGGTCAGCGACGACATAATGGACGCTTCGAAGACACGCCGAGGGCAGCCTTGCTGGTATCTCATGCCCAATGTCGGCATGATTGCCATCAACGATGCCTTCATGCTGGAATCGAGCATCTACCTGCTGCTGCGCAAGTATTTTCGACAGGAAAAGTACTACATTGATCTTGTTGAGCTCTTCCACGAAGTCTCCTTCCAGACCGAGCTCGGACAAAGCTGCGATCTTCTCACAGCTCCCGAGGATCATGTTGACCTCGACAACTTCAGTCTGGAGAAGTACACCTTCATTGTCATCTACAAGACCGCATACTACAGCTTCTACTTGCCTGTTGCTCTCGCCATGCACTTTGCCGGTTACGCTTCACCCAAGAATCTAAAGCAGGCCGAGGACATACTAATACCTATGGGCGAATACTTCCAGGTACAAGACGACTACCTTGACAATTTCGCCGATCCGTCTGTGCTGGGCAAAATCGGGACAGATATCCAAGACAACAAGTGCAGTTGGCTGGTGAATCAGGCGTTGAAGCGGTGCAGCAAGGAGCAGAGAGACATACTCGAACACAACTATGGGCGTAAGGACGAGGCGTGCGAGGCAACGGTGAAGAAGCTGTACGACGAACTTGACCTGGAGAAGGTGTACAAGGAGTACGAGGAGAAACGGGTGTCCGAGCTCCGAGAGAAGGTCGCACAGCTCGATGAGAGTGATGGGCTGAAGAAGGGTGTGTTTGACGAGTTCCTGCGCAAGATCTACAAGCGGAGCAAATAGATGGAACTTGTCGTACGGTCCTGTTTTCGTCTTCATTTAGCAGACCCTAGTTATAGAGCGCTAACCGGAAGGAGCGATGGTCGGAGCAACTTCACTTGGTGCCGTACAATTAACCATGAACCTCGTCACAATCCGGGTTCATCACAATGAGCGCAGCCATGCCATTCGACTTGTCACTTGGTCTGGAAGGCACGCACGTACTTGTCACCGGCGGCTGCGGACTGTACGTGCTCATTCATTCCATCCGTCGAGCTCATCGCTGAGCGGGCATTGCGTGTAGTATCGGTCGGGTAGTAGTACAAGCGTTCCTTGCAGCAGGCTGCAAAGTCACTTTCGTCGACCTGAATCTGCAAGATGTTGATGATTTGAAGGCCAGATATGAACGCAACCTCCGTTTCCGCAAGGCAGATATCTCCAAGGACATCGGTGATGCCTTTGCCTGGGCTGAGTCGCAATTTGGCACGGTCCAGTGCTGCGTGGCACTCGCGAGTATGGACTTGAGCATGATTCCACAATTCGAAAGTCTTTGCGACGTGGATCCGCACATTTGGCAGCGCGTCTTCAATACTAACATTAACGGGACGTTTCTTACTTGCCAGCGGTGGCTGCAGGGCATACGAGCAGCTAGCGAAGATCCCGAAAAGGCAGAGAAACTGAAGAACGTCAGCTGTATCATCATGGGTTCAGAGTCTGGCCGCTTCGGCGTAAGAACGATGGCGGCTTACGCCGCCGGCAAAAGTGCCGTACAGCAAGGCCTTCTCTTATCGCTGGCACAAGACGCTTCACGGATTTGGCCGAAAGCTCGCGTGAATGCTGTCGCGCCGGGTGCCGTTGGAACGGAGCGGTTCAAGCAGGAGTGCGAGGAGTATGGTCGGGAGTGGCAGTGGGCAGAGAGTGAGGCGACGGTGCCGCTCAGGAAGGCTGTGGGAGCGGACGATGTGGCACGAGCATTTGTCTTCCTTGCCAGTGAGCGGTGGAGTGGCAGCGTTAGCGGTCAGTGCTTGAATGTTGATGGCGGTAAGAGTGGCGCAATGGTATGGCCAAGGCCCGAGACGGCATGACGTTCTTCAACGGAGGCCAGAGCGGCAAGTAAACCTGCCTTCCATTCCGCAAAAGACAGCATTGTTTCAGACACGCTCATCATTCGAATATAGGCCATTATGTGCTCTCTAGCTGATCTGGTATTCAACACAAGACGCCCTTCCAAGTTCAACTCCGCTGAATAGATGAGCAGATACCTACCGTGCTCTATGTGTCACACAACGGGCAAATCATCGAGCAGGCCATCTACTGACCTCGACATCAGTGTATGCCGTCATCTAGGCGAGCGGTCCGCCACTCACTCATCGTCTTCGGAGTCCTCAACCTTCGCTTGTGCTTCGTGAGTGGACGCAAAAGGCTCGTTGGCTAGCGGACGTGCCGGAAAGTCCTGAGGGTCGCCAACGTCGCTACCACTGTCAGCCCTGATCGACGTATTTTCCGGACTGACGTTAGCCGTTGGCTCGGTCTTGGCGACTTCCGCGCCGTCTACCTTAATGCTGTCCACCTCGCCGCTGTCAACCTTGCCGCCGTCGACCTCTGCCGTTTCGTTGGTGGCCTCATGCAAGTGCACAGCTTGTGCTTCCTGTTGCGCAAGCTGTGTCTTAACACGACCCGATGCCGGAAATGCAGGCATGTAGCCGCTGCTTGCCCTCTGCTCGAGGTAAGGGCGAAGAAAGCTGGCATTGCGGCTATGCATAGCATTTCGACCGGAGCGCATGCTTCCAATCCTGGGATGTAGACCGGGGCGCCTCACAGCACTTTCAGGCGCAAACTTCTTATTCTTGTTGAAGGAGACGTTACGCTTGATGCTTGGAGGGCCGGCTTGAGGTACTCGTATTGCTGAGACTCTACCACGCGCGGGCGCCTTGCCTTTGTCTCTCTTGCTGTGAGCAGTAGGACCGACATCCGCCGTGCCACCATCCTCCGAGTCGGTAGAATGGTGCGGGTCCCAACCTTGCCGCTCAGAGGCCTCGATCATCTCAGCAGCGAGATCATCCTTCGCTAGTTTCTCCGCGTGAAGCCACTCATTGATTGTCTCTATCGATTGCCTCCGCGTAGCATACCGGGTCGCGAACATCGGGTTGGACAAATCGCTGCGGCTTATGCCCGCATTCAAGAGTTCCAGCGCATGCTTCAAGTAGATGATCTGTGACTCCTTGAGGGAGCTAGGCAAGTCGCCGTATGTTAAAGGATGGTGAACCTCGACCTCCGCGTCGCGACCTAGGAACAAGTATTCATGGTAAACTGTACCGCTTCCCACCTCCGGAGTTGGCTCCAGGTATTCCTGGAATCCACCGCTGCCACGGAGACGAGAGGATGATGCACCACGAGCCAACGTTGGCCCGCTGCGTTGCTGCTCTACAGAATTAGCTGATGCTGTCCGTCCATACAGGGAAGCCGGTCGACTGCCGTAGTACGAGGGTTGCCTAGCCAAGTAGGAGGGCGTTCTTGCGCCTGGCCTCGACGGACCGGACGTACGACCTCTGTTTCTGACAAAGGATGTTCTTAACGTGATCCTGGATGGACCATAGCTGGGTGACCTATTGGGAGCGTAGCTTGGCGCACGCTTTCCAATGTACGAAGGTGCTCGCAAAGGCACTTGCACTAGCCCGAAGCTGGGCATACGACGAACATCGGGCGGACTGCCGTATTGAGAGGCCTGCCGCGCTGTCATTGCGCTGACAGGGGGAGCATCACTGGGCAGCTCTATATCTCGCCTCTTCAGCTCCGCTTGAAGAGCCTCGAAGCTAGTGAGGATTGCCTCAGACTCTGCTCCTTGTGGGCGGCCATGCCTTCCACAGGTCAGGCGGCCACCAAGGCTCCTATGGAGATCAAGCAGAAGGGGCGTTCGCTGCTTGGCAATGTTCGCTTGTTGCAGAGGGTGCATGACCTTGAGACAGTCTGCACCACTGATACCAAGCGGGCGTAGGTCCAGATAGTCGATTGTCTCGGTACCTGAGCCTATTGTGACCATATGGTGTCTATTCTTGACGTTGGTCATCGACCTCAACCTCTGATCGCCGTTGCTGCTTTGGAGAACGCTAACGCCCGGTCGCTTGGTATCGCCAGCAGCCTGCGTACTGCTGGCTCCGCTGACAGGAGCACCGGACGCCTGATCTTCGGTCTTGATGGTATCCACCATAGCCCGAATGCCTTGGATCAAGTCGGTCATGTCGGGGTTAGGGGCCGTATAACGAGCCTGCTGGTCGGCCATTATGTTGGCTATGCAGGAATACGCAGCGGCAGATTCAAGCTGCGTATTACCACGTGCTACCGCGAGCTCCGCAGGCACTATGGCGTAGCCGAAGGTAAAGCCCCCGTACATATTCTCGAGCATGTCGACTGCGTCCGTAATTTGTATGCTGGGATTGGGATTCTGGCCACACACATCCAAAAGATTGTTCAGGATGTCATCGATGGCGTCTGACATGGTCTGCTGTTGCAGCGTCACGGTATTGTATTCCAGCGGGGAGTAAGCGTACGGGGGTGGGTCTGGCGGGTAGTAGCATACCCTGTTATATTGTGGTGGCGCCATCATAGGTCGCCAGTCGATGCTCGGTCTTCTCATAGACCTTGTGTCAGTTGTATAAACTGGTAGGCTGATGGTATAAAACACCTAAGGCTGTCGGTATACCTCGACGTAGCAAAACGTCTCCTTGCTGGTTCAATTGGCCCAGGAAGGGCTATGGTGAGATGTGGTGAAAGGTCTCTTTCTGCTCGAGGGAAGTGGCTGGATGCGGTGAGTGTGAGGAAGCAAAGAGCAACCTTTTGACAGATTGCATCCTTTATATGTAAGTTCAAAAGACCGCATGCTGTCACTATACGTCTGTCGCAATAGTTAATACTCTTGTTTATGCCGTACAGCGAGAGATAGTGAAGGGTCCTCCAAGCGCCTCGTGACCCAACCTTCGTAGGCGATGATGTGGTAGCTCTCACCGTCAATGCTCAATGCAGGCCTCCGCGTACGGCTACCCGGCTCACTATGAACACTTCACCACACCAGTGGCGCAATCATGTATTGCACATGCTCCACAGGCGGCGCGATGTTCCGCCGGTGTAGAAACATGTCTAGCAATCACGGCTCATCATGTCTGCTGATTTACGCTCTCCTCAACGTGAGGTTGCAGCACGAGAACGCCACGCTGCTTGTTATATTTAGTGAACTTGGGGACTTTGCTGTAGCATGCTGATGTGACATGCAAGTCCTATCTGCAGGATGCTGCCACAACAGCCACCATGTCATATCTGAACCGCCGAGGCATAACCTACGCGGTCTAAATGCTGTCAGCGTGATCAGTGTCCCTGGCCTTTGTACGCACATAGGGCAGCCAGGATACTCGATGTACCTGGATAAACAAAGAAGTCTTGCTTGATACACTTTTCCTTTACTGCTCGGGTTCTGCCCCAACACTTCTCGTCACCTCCCATGTGTGGAAGCATGCTGGAATATGGTCTAATCGACAACACAGTGTTCCCATGGTCGGACGAGAAGATTGACCTGCCACATCCAAGTACACTTACTGCAAAGATTGCTCTGCGCTCGTATACTAAAAAAGGGTCATGGTGGTCTAACCTGTGTCCTTTGCTCCGCAATCCACCGTGTCGCGAGTGTGTGAAATCTCATCGTGTGAATGTCACGGAGACGTCGGGTCGATGAAACCGAGCGCTGGAAAAGGGAAGACAAGGGATGGATGAGTGCAGTGTAGACAACTCGTTTTCGGAGCCTTGAAGATGCGCCTGCGATCGGGCACAACCACAGTATTTGATTATCAAAAAACATCGTAATGAAGTCCGGAGGCCTGTTGAGGTTGTGGTGCTCCCCACACGAAGTCACACCTACCGATATGCGGTGCTTCTTGGTAAAGCTGGGATTCCCCAGCTATACCTCTTGGCTAGTGAAAGTAGCACTCAAGACTGCTACTCAAGCAAACCTCCATGTCTCGGTATCTGTGACAAAAGCAGACCATAACGCCTTCGAGAGGACATAGGTGATGCGACAGCGTCAATCAAGCTGCCGAGGTGCTTCGATCTGCTCGAAGGCGCGGTGTCTCTCTGGTGAGAACTCCGAGCAAACGTCGATCCATGATAAGCGGCGCGCTACTGTTAGCGCTTCGAACGATCGTTCTCTGGCACGAGACGACGAAGACTGAAGATGAAGGGATGCACAACTTGCACCGCACGCTGTAACATTACGTCTCAGGCTCTAAGTAGGGTGTTGAGAGAATAGAGAGCACTTTGGACGGAGATGGTAAGACCCAGCGGGTCACGTGATGATGACCGTACTCGGAGCCAGCTCCGAGTACGGTTATGGCGGCCTTGGCGATCTGGACCGTCTCGAAACGCGAGTGGTGGCGAGACGAGGGGTCGCATGCATTTCTGGAGGAACACCGCGGAGGCGGCTGCCCTTCCATTGCCAACTTACGCGCAGCCGAGACTTTTGTCGCCAAAGCGGGCAGCATGCGGATGGTGCAGCACGTGCGACGACGCTGCGGGAAGGTGTGCACGCAGCAGAGCGCTTCGAGGGTGCGCGAGCGAAGTGCACCTCGTCTGCTTCAATACCGAGTTGCAAAGGGTCCGACCGGAAGCGGCTGGAAGTGACGAGAACAATCCATATAACACTCGCGACACCACTGGCACTTCCCCAACCCGTCTATCAAGCCACCGAGTAGCAGATCCGCCAGGACAAGTGAGGCAGTGCTGGACACGACTGGCCTTCCAGTCGTACAGCCACCGTCACGGCCCACACCTCCCGCTCGCCACTGCGTGCGTTACTTTATGGTGCGAACATTGAAATGGTCACGATCGAAGCAGTGCGCGAAGCCAATGCGAAAGGTAATCAGCTTCACGACCTCGTTGCAATTTTCGTTGGTGGCACTGGCGGCATCGGCGAGAGCACCGCAAAGGAATTTTTCAGGCACACAGTCCGGCCTGTAGCATACATCATCGGAAGGTACGCTTCGCTCATGGATCAATCAAGGTATGTGCCGCTAATGTAGTCCTAGGAGCGAGGAAAAAGGCAACAATATCTGCGAGGAGCTGCGAGAAATCAATGCGGACGGCAAAGCGATCTTTCTCCAGAAGGATGTCAGCCTCATCCGCAACGTTGACGAAGTCTCGGAAGAGCTTAAACGCCGCGAGCGAAGGATCCATTGCCTCTTCCTCACCGCCGGCTACATGAGCCTCAGTGGGCGTAATGAGACCGAAGAAGGCATCGACCGTAAGATGAGCGTCAACTATTATTCCCGCATACGCTGGATGATGAACCTTATGCCAGCCCTAGAGGAGGCTTCGCGTAGGAACGAGCTCGCCCGCGTCATCACCGTTCTCGCCGCAGGCTCAGAGGGCGACATCAGGCTTGACGATCTTGAACTCAAGCACAACTTTACGCTTCACGCTTGCCTTGCGCATAGCGTTGTGATGACGGATTTCATGATTGAAGAACTCGCTAGGCGGCATCCCGGTGTCGCATTCAGCCATTCATATCCGGGCACTGTGAAGACTGGGATTGCGAATCAGCTTACCGGTCCGGTACGCTTGGCCGTCAAGGTCATGTACGCGGTCATGACGCCCTGGATCCTCGATGTTAAGGAGTCTGGCGAACGTCACTTCTTCCAGATGACGAACCAGTGCTATCCGTCACGCAATGGCAGCGTAGGCATACCCCCACCACCCGGCATTCAAACGATGAAGGGCTCTGATGGTGAAGTGGGAAGTGGTGCGTATTTACTAGATTGGGACGGTAAGTCAACCGGCGACGAAGCGGTTTTGCGAAAGTATCGGGAGCTAGGAATGCTCAACAAAGTAGTGGATCACACCACGCAAATATTCGAGCAAGCAGAAAGGCGTAACCGGAAGGACTCTAAGCGCCCCGCCGCCGAACAACTGCAGAGTGGTCGGTCTGTGCCGGACCCCATCGGCTGGCGGTCAGGTTGAGATGTTTGGAACTATGCTGTATCACTTACGGATGTTGCTCGCAGCGAGGCGTCAATCGGTATGGCGGGGCCCGTATAGACGTGGGGTATACCAAAGGTCGTCAAAAGGCAGGCGTGCACGGTTGCAAAGGATGGCTCTTTGTATGCTTGCTGGACCAACTCACTCAACAGTTGCATGCATCGTCTCTACGTCTTTATGTACTAATCAGTACCGCGTCCAGCAATAGGGGACGTTTGTATCAAAGTCCATGGCATAAGCCGGGTATCTGAAACGAAATCCAACCTCTGCTCTGCTTCGTTTAGCAAAGTGACGCCAACGAAATGCTGCTGTCGCAGTGTGTTTGCGCGACTGTGCTTCTGCGCCATAGAGGACGAAAGCACTCTCCAGTCCCAAAATTCCACGCGCTCTCTGAAGCTACCAGTGTTCAATGCTAGAACGCTCGCAACCGAACCTTGGACGTCGTGGAGTCGGTTCGAGTCAACAAGAACGATCTTGCGCATATCCGCATATGCTTGGCTTTCTGCAACGACGTGAGTGAAGGGACGACACGCGAAGCTATCGCGGTCCCAATGCGCCAAGTCCCGGGTTATGATGCACGCGTGCGGACCCAAGAGCTCTCCAGCGACATATGGCGTTATGCCTGCAGAGTTCGGAAGATAGACTGTAGCGTTGTTGAACAAGCATCGGCTTCGTAAGCAAGCCTCTCCATCAGACAAGGAAGCGGACATAGCGGCAGCGCTGCCCGGGTCCTCACTTTGTTTTGGCACTATATTGGCCCGCTGCCTGTCCAGAGCGCTTGCATTCGGGACAAGATTCGTGATGTCAGCAAGCGGTGAGCTGAGGTGGACGTCGACACAACGCTGTCTTTTCGCCGGCGGGCATGGCGTTCTGCCTGCATCAAGAGTTTGCAGCCGCTTCTTGTCCGATATTCCGCTCGCTACCAAAGTGCTCCCCTCCAGGTCTGGCGTAACCTTGCCGCTACTACGTCTGGCTGCACTTGGCGTCTTTGACGTCCTCTTGGACCTTGGTGTTACAGTACTCTCGCGATCCAGTCTATGTTTTAGCTTGTTCTCCATCTTGGCGAGCCATTTCCGCGTTTCTTGCAGCTCACCCTCGGCTGGCGCATCTCGCGCATGGTGCGCCTGCTCCTGCAATGCGTTGAATGACACGCAATCTTTCCAAGTGCGGTCTTCATGCAGCTTCGTAGCGCGTGCATGGCGGAGCATGTAAAAATCGGAATCGGATGGCTTGCTAAAGCCCGATCCTAAGACTTCGAGCACCATTGGCCTGGCGAAGACGACATCAATACCGACGGCAGTGGAGTTGCGCACTTGGAGTGGCATGTCGCTGTCTTGAAGTCGATACTGGAGCTCTACTGACTTCCCTATAGTGTTCAAAGATTCAAGTACCGGCTTGGGAATGCATCCTTCTGGCTGCATGGTGTGTACGATCTGGAAAACCGGCGTCGCATCATACCGCTGCACCTCGTCAGCATTGAGAAGGCAGCCAAGATGGTAATCGGTCCACTTGATGCCAGCTACACCGCTCTTCAGCGCCCGCTGAGCGTTGTGACTCGCACCAACAACCGCAAAATCAGCTTCGTCGCCCATACCTGCAATGTAGTCCTTCTTGAGCTTGATGTATCCAAGCCAGGAGTCAGTGGACTGAGCGCCAAGTCGGAAGTAAGGTACACCACAAGGCTTCAGGACTAGACCCTCGCAACGTTGCGCGTTCGAAGCACAGAATTGCTGTAATAGAAGGCTCTTAGCCTGACTTTCAGCAAAGTCTACGATCTTCCACTCGGCGCCCATCGCGCGGCCGGGTATCTTGCGGTAGATCTCACGCAGCCACTGCCTCCGCTCCTCGACTGGCTTGCGCATGATTACCTCGTCGTCCCACAGTAGGAGATCGAAGAACACGACAGCCAGGTGCTCACAAGCACGCGCTTGCAAGTCCCGGCTGGTGCCGAGGGAGACGCCTGACCGAGTGATATGTTTCCGAACTTCGTCGAAGGACAACACCTGTTTGGTCTCGTCCGAGAACACTACCAGCTCCCCTAGAAGGATGGCTTGTCGCTTGACCTTGCGGTCAGCTTGTGCAAGATTCAAGCATTCAACGAGCGTGTGATGCAGTCCCTGACGGTCAGTGGTCGAATCTTTGCCGCTCTTTGAGAAGATCTGAATACACTCCGCCGGTGTCGAAGACTTGGACAGGTCAACGTGGATCTCGCAGTATTCGCCATCGTACTTCCGCTCCACTATCCCTCTGCCTCGATTGAACATCCGTAAGCAGTGCTCTATGCTCCTCGCCTTGGTGAAATCTGGCCTGCCAACTTTAACGCCAACAACAGGCCTGAGCGAGCTTGCTGCTTGCTGCTTGAACAGAAGCTCGGATCGCGGATCAGGTTGCTCAGGGAGTTGTCGTAGAAGTGCATCTTCCTTGAGCAGTGTCATCGCAACGCCGAAGTCGTTTTGGAAGCGTAATAAATCCGGGAGCAGGAAATGGAAGGATTTCAAAACGAGATGCTCGTCCACCCTTACTGGCGCGAAGTCTTTCAAGAGGAGACGCACGAGCCACTTGCCTTCTTGCGGTGAGAGTCTCTTCACTATGTCGCATACTAGTCTCTCATTCACTTCGGACGAACCGGAGAGCTTAGACCGTACAGTCGGAGCGGAGAAGTGACACTGCTCCGCGACCTGGAATAGCATTGCGTCCACTTCTTCCAAAGTGACGGAGGGCTTTGCAGGCGGGCCCCCAGCCTGCATGGCTCGTTGAAGGCATACCGCAAGGTCGCCTCGCCGCGGTGCTCTGTACGCCTGCAAGTCTTTGGCGCGTGCAGCACTCAGGCCGAGACCGCGGCTAAGCAAGCGACACAACCTCGTCGCTTGAAGACCATAGACTCGGTCAGTTCTCCGTTCGGGCAGTAATGCAGATAGGAACGCCACCGAGCCACCAACTTCAAGCTCGTTGATGGCGCGTCTGTGCGCTTTGAACCAATTAGTAGTTTCTACCCTCAGCTGGACTGCTTTATCCGCTGGTAGATAGGGCGGATCCCGAGACTCGATATCTTCGAGCTTTTCGAGGATATCAGTTATGTGTGAGAAGGGGAATGGCATCGAGATGGTGCTTGAGATCAATAGTTGTTGTTAAGCAATGTCCGATATGGCTGGAGTTGTTGCACCGTGTCGACACCATCCTGGCTGGTAAGCCCAAGCGAGTTGTAGGCACCAATGGATAGCGGGTGTTGATACCAACGCGGCAACGGCGAGGCAGAAAGACCAAGAGTGAACGAAGGAAGTGAAGCCGCCGAGAGACGCGAAAGCACGAAAGGCGCGTTGTTTGATGTGGCGTCGGAGCCGGCCAATCAACGCTCGGCTACTTTAACAGCAACAGTGCCTTTCTCAATGGTTCGCAGAGACATTGTATTGAGACACTCATATGGTTGTGTCCACGCTGCTTATCTGCTTCAAAGATGCGCGAAGGCCCACGCGCAAGCGGGCGCAGGATTTCGGTCTACGCATACGCAACCGTGCCGTCTTCCCTGATCATGCCTCGCACTCCAAGTCTAACTTGGCCTCCACTGACTGCAGGACCTGACACAATCATCTCACCTTTCGGCTCCGGTCCCGCAACTTCTCCATCAGCTTTCGAAGCTAGCCTGATCTCCACACTACTTAACGGGACGCCGAAATGGCTATTTGCAGACCCATCTACCCTTCGATAGTCGAAGACATTGGTTTGTGCAATGGCGCCAGCAACCTGCGCAGCCGTCAGAGCGTAGCATATTCGTGATCTAGTCAGAATCCTTAGGTCTGAGACCATCGTTGACGTAAGCACAGGGCTACCGGCACCAAGACGTTCTGAGGTCAGGATTAAGCGCAGCTTCCCTGGCGTATTGCCGGCTGAGCTTGATGGAGGCGCTAAAAGCTGGAAGAGCAAGTTGTCGGTAGGCATGCGACCTGCCTCCATCGCTTGCGAGTGAGAGTACTTGCCCACCTTCTGCGCTAGTGTCGTGACACCTTGTGTCTCCTTGGTATGAAGACCGGCCAGCGTTTCTGCCGATGCAATGATGACAGTCGGGCTGACTAACCGACTCGCAGTGGATAGTTCAACGCCAGAGCTGGCTACAGAGGTAATGGCTAGCGAAGCATGGGTGTACAACGCTGCGAATGTCTGGCACAGCACGTAGGTGTGTGTAAAGCTGTCCGCTGGGACCACGAGGTCGGCAGACGTGAAGCGCTGCCTAAGTGGTAATGCGGTAATGAGTGCTGCGGTAGCGGCGACGATATTACGTTGCGTAAAGGTTACGATCTCGGGCTTGGCTGCCGGATTGGTGGGTTGCCAAACAGCGACTACGTCTCCAGGCTTATCGCCGTGATCGTTGCTTGGAAGATCGGCGCTCGCATTGGCTTTCTGGTTGTCGACCAAATCATGCCACACACTCACTTTTAGGCGACCCTCAGCAGCCCCTGGCACACCGTTCCAGTCCATATGCCTGCTGGTCTTTTCAACTACCCAAGTCAACAACTTCAGGCGCCTGCATTCTTTTGCAACACCGTCGAGCGGCAAATTGCCCGCTGCACAAATCAGCGCATCAGCACCCGCTGAATTGATTAGCTCGAAGACCTTCGGATGCGGTTGGTTGTACGGCAGCAAAACGGACGTCAATCCATAGAATGCGCATGAGAAGATCGTCAGGAGGTACTCAGGCCCGTTCGGTAGGTAGATCGCAACACTCTTGACACCGGCTTGTTTGAGATGTCGCCCAATAATGCCAATCTCTCGGCTCAGATCGGTAATGTCGTGCTCAACGAGCTCTTCCCGACCAAGCACGGTCATAACCAAGCCCTTTGGAACCTCTTTGCCATCGTCCCCTACACTGCCTCCCCTAAGCACCTCCCGCCACACGTCTCGAAGGTCCCCGTCCTTCCCACTTGCCCACCGCGGCGCTCCGGCATCCCGTACGTTCAGGCCGGACTTCAGACTCGTGCCGTACGGAACTTCCGGGCTACGGTAAGCGGCACTTTCATTCTTGTTCCTGACTGGAGCTGACGACGACTGACGTGCTAGCAGTAAAGGATGTGTGTCCGGTTCTTCTGCGAACAAGAATGGGTACGCTAGTAAGCCTGCTATCACCACAGCGAGGATGGTAGTTAGGAACCCCCAGTCCGACAGGAAGGACGCGAGCAAGGCATCAGTCTGCTCGAGGTAATTCGACATGCTGGGTCGTTCAGTTGCCCATGTCTACACCCTCCCAGTTACAGCTCTCACACCTTGTTGCGCGAGCGAAGCATTCACTTTTGGTGGACACTTGGTGGGGGCTTGATGGCGTATATGGTAGTGATGCCTTAGGCACGTAATGCAGCAAAGGCGGTGTTTGGATTGGCCTATAGCAACAACACCTTCGTGTGTCGCTCCTTTGTGCTGGGAGATCACAGCCGGTTATGTAGTGAAGCGAATCGCTCGGAAATCCAATTGCTAACATACTCCACACAGCTACAGCAGAGACGGAGTGCTTGAGGTGTCAGGGCGTCCAGCAGTGTTACAAGCCATGTCGACTACGACCGCGCTGGTCCAGCGAGCTGCTTCTACCGTGAAGAACGTCGCGACGACTGCCACGCCGACATCTTCGTCTCGAGACCTCGCTAGATCGGACGACACCACGAGCAAGCCGACATTGTCGTCGTCGCTAGCGACAGCGACATCGGTCCTCCCAGCGCTCAACCTCACTCCACTCAAGAGCATCACCACACCACAGAAGCCGAGCACACCACAGCAGCAACCCACGCCTGCAGCCCCAACTCCTGGGCAATGGCAACATCCGCGCATGCAGGAAATCATCCGCCGACAGAATGCGACAAGGTTCGATAGCAGCAATCTCCGTGTCATTGGCATGAACGCAGCTTTCCTCGTTGCAAGCGTGCTTGTACCGCTCTTCGGCGCCAAAACCCTGCCGAGCTCTTGGATTCGCGCAATCGAGCCTTATGCATTATACGCGCTGAATCTTCTCCGCGCTTTCTTCATCCTCAACGTCTCCTTAGCCGTGCTACCAGCCTTCCGGCAGTTGGACAGCTGCGAAGACGTCCCACTCACACCCTCCCAACGTCGGCTTCTCGGTCTGCCACCTATGTCGAGACCAGCCACACCGCAAGAACAGCAGCAATATGCCACGCCGCCGCGCTACTCCCGCTCAGCAACTCCGCAGAGCGCGACCACCAGTCTGCGCGGTAACGCCTCCGACTCACCACTCGGCGGACGAGGTAGTCCGTTTGATAGCTCGCAGCTCCGACAAGGTGTCTCTGGGTCACCTCGGCCATCACCTTTAGGGTCGAGTCTGCGGAGTGGAGAGCGTGATGAGAGTCGGCGTCTTAGCTATAACCGCAGCTCACCTCTAAGCACGCCGGAGTTTGACGCCGTAGGCAACGTCAGCACGCCAACGAAGAACAGTAAAGCAAGTGTGCCGCTCAATAGCAAGTGGCTGTACGACAAGGGCAGGGCAAGCTCACGAGCAAGCCTGAACGGGCTTGGTGCCTTTGGCGGTAGCGGAAGCATTTTCACTTAAGCTCCATTCACTACGTCAGCAATTGAAGACATGTTCAAGCGTGGCGTTGGAGGCAGTCCGTCCGCATGTGCAGCGGCGGCGTGTTGCAGTGCACTTTGGTTGCAGCGTTCATCGTACTGATGCAAGACTAGGCAGTTGACAGAAGCAAACCACCTAACAGTCACTACTTAGCTTTCTTTGGCGACTGGAAAGCTTCAGTCCCTCTTTGATTTCATTGCATGATCGTGCTTGCTACTGATGCACCATTGCTAAGCCACCGCTGGCCCGATTCATGTCTCTCCTAGCAGCAACACAAAACATTGCACCTTCTACATTATCGACCGTTGCAGCGCCGACCTGATATCATAAGACATGACAGCCAGCTCGGTGTCTGCGAATGTCAGTATTCGTAAAGAAGATTACTTACCACTAACACCAACGTCACCACATCCTAAATCTGCCAGCTTTGCCACCCACGCTCACAGTCTTGACCTTGAGAAGGAGCGCCTTAGAGTGCAGCAGCTGGAGCGCGAGGTTCGAGAGCTCAGAACAGCCCTTGAGCGCTTGCTCGGGTCTCGGCGCAGCCACGGGGTCCGTAACACACCGGACGAGCACCGTATGGATATAGGAGTATACTCTCCAAGCTCCTCGATACTCTCGTCACTTCAATCATCGCGCAGACGAGGAACCAGTCCCATACGGAAGCCTCACACTCGTTGGGAGTCAGACAGCAGCGGAGCGCTAGGCCTGAGCGATCCTTCGAGTAATAGCGAATTTGGATACATCCCTATCGCTCTGGATCCCGAGCTCGCCCTCGAGCTGCGGACAGCGTATCGCGGCCACAAACGTGACAATACTCACCACGGTGCTGACACGCAAGACTCTACGGAGTCAGCGCACCTTCTCTGACTAATCCCTCAACTCCTATGTAGGTCACGTGTTGTATCAAGGGAGAGTTGCTTGGCCGAATAGGCCGGTGATCCTTGCGCGGGATGGATTCTTACATCGGAGATCATACGGACCTCCAAATGCGTTTGCAAGCTTGGATTGTTGTCGTGGCGATGGTAGTGCTGTCAAAGCTGCCTTCCCGAGTACTGACAGGTGCGACATATCTTCTCCGCTGCCTCACTTGACCGTGATGTCGGCAGCCTCCCCATAACCGTTGTAGCACACTCCACGCAAGTTCCACTGAGACCTCTTGGGCTGTGTGTTGCCTGCTGCATCCGTAGCACGACTATAGATGGTTCTTGCACTGCCAGACGGGATCTGTAGCTTGCACCTCCACAGCTTCCAGGACCACTTGCCCTCATCTTGGTGGCTCAGCAGCTCAGCATCGGTCCAGTTGATGCCACCATCTGCGGAGACCTCGACCTTTACGACTGGACCATCGTCTCCGGAAGGAACTGCATATCCTTTTACTGTAATATACCCGTCCGTCTCTCGCTCAACGGAGGATCCTCCGGTAGGGAGGGCAATGGTGCTATTAACGGGCATTGCTTGAATGGCAGGGGTAGTGCCCCAGTACTTTTTCGCTGACTCGGAATCGGTTGCATCCGGCGGCAAGACCTTGTAGTCATACTGCATGTAATGATTTTCACTCTCCTTCATTTGCACCGTTATGCGGTCAAGCCACTTGACTGCGCGTGCGCCAGCTATTCCAGGCGTCACAACTCGAACAGGGTAGCCATGCCCAACCGTCAACCTTTGGCCGTTCATCTTCAATGCCAGAAGAACATCGGCATCCTCGCGTAAAGCCCGTGAGAGCGGAATCGAAGCGCCATACCACGTATCCTCCTGGCAAGGAGTAGAGTAGCATGCGAACGCAATGTGTGCGGTCTGCTTCTCAGCATCACCAAGTGCAATGCCTGCACGCTCAAGCACATCTCTGAGCTTGGGGCCGGTCCATTTGCAATTCATCACGGCGCCGTCGAACCAGTCAATACCCTGAACTTCATGTATCTTCGTCCGCATAGTATGACGGCGGTTACCTGCGCACTGCAAAGCACAGACAACATCATGTTGCTTGAAGTCGTTCTGCAGATCCTTGACCAAGAGCTTCAGCTCGCGGTGAACCGAGCCATCAATGGTCACGACATGAGTGCTTCCGTCGATATTAGGGTGGATGCCGTGGTTGCGATCGTAACCTTCATCCACGGGAGTCAAGAACTTCGACACCAGATCTTGCAGATGTGGCTCGCGATTAAGCGGTTGCTCCGGGAGCTCAGGCATGTCGGGCTACAATGACCAATGACACTGGGTTGCGCTCACGCTCAGTTCTTTATCTCCCAGGTCTAGTCCAAATGTACTATTGCGAAGTTCACCACGAGAGCATTGACTGTTACCCGAAGCACAATGCGGCTTCTTACAAGATTATTTGCATGGAGAACGAAAGTTTTGAATGCGACATTGAGCTTTGCATTACCGACATTCGCCGTGTACTTGGGAAGTCACGTCATGCTTGGATGACAGTGTGCCACTTCACTGCACTCTCGCCGTTCTACAAGCACTTGTAGCGTAACTCGGCGTGCTGCGCAAGACAGACAAGCTCACATCAGTTGACTTCGCATGTGCTACAAAACGCCAATTTGCCTATGGCTACGAACAGACTCACCCAACTGCATGCTCTTACCTTAACGTGTCTTCGGCGGCACTACGTGGTTTTGGTGCCAGTAGTAGTCCGGCTCGGATGTCAACAGTGTCTCGATCGTTTCCGTACCCGTCTCTGGTCGCCGTCCAAGTACTGTCTCCAACGCCGGATCTACAAGCTCTGCCTCGCCATTGCACATGCCCTGCAGCCAGACCAATCGCGCCTCAAACCATGCCCGACCTTTCCCTCCTTCATCGTCCATGCTGCAAGCATCGATCCAAGCATCAGGCTCCAATATCTGTATTGGAGTATTTGTCTGACGGACTTTGTCAATGGCTTTGACAATATCTACCAAAGTTTCCGCTTGTGGGCCAGTAAGTAGGATGATCCTACTCGCAGTCTGCGGCGTCACAGAAGGGAACGCTCCCAGACCTTTGGCCAGTAGCGTTGCTATACCTTCTCCGAGCTCATCACGGGACGTGAACGCGACGCTCCCTTGGTCCACTGGGGGTTCTAGCCGCGGTAGCAAGACCGAAGTTCGACGAAGGATACCAATTCAGAGCCAGTGGGAATGCATTAGTATATATTCCGGCCCGGAGAGAGACGAAATCAAGACCAGACCTGTGGCACGTCAGGTTATATCATGAGTGAGTAGCGTATGTGGCATAGCATACTGAACGAGCATATCTTCAGTTGCGTAGTGTGCCTGCTGAAACCCAACCTTGCTATCACCGCCGTAGCCGCCGAGCGCCAGGCTAACATACCACACCTTCTTGACGCCTGCCGTCTTCGCAGCCTCGATAACATTTCGATGCTCGGCACTGCGCGCTGGTGTGTCACGCTGAGAGCTTGACATGAAGAGGAGAGTATCGATGTCGTTGAAAGCTGCCTCGAGCGTTTCGAGCCGACCGTAGTCTGCAATTCGGAAGTGGAGGCCTTGAGATTCGAACCGGGCTCGACTGCCTTCGCTGCGAGAGGTAGCAACGATATCGGAGGCGTGAATCTTGTGCTTGTGAAGCATGTCGTTAAGGACCTTGGCGCCTAGTCCACCGGTTACTCCGGTCAAAAGATAGGATATAGTCATGGTGGCGTAGCTGTCTGTCTTGCCTTTGCAACAACCGATTGCAGTGATGTGCTTTCGGCATCATCTGAACACGATGTTCCATGATCTTATTATATCGGCGGTCTTCTCGGAACAGTCACGTGACCTGGCAGCCTCCTTCCGAAAGGGGAAAGAGGGCGTTGTGTCGCTGACAAACGTGCCGTGAAGTCTGTGCTTAGGTTTCAGCGTTTGTTTTATCAGCGTACTCTGTAACGTGCATATGGTTACAGACCACGAACCTCTTCCAGGTTGACTCATCCCCTCATGCCCAAACACTTCCAACAATTTCCGATCCTCCACATTTCCAGGCTCACTCGACTTCACGAAGTCGCACATTCAAGCCAGCAGCGAAAGTCGCATATATGCTTAGCGTTAGGAGAGCGCTCACATCAGGCACGCAATACAGAGCAAGCATCGTACTCACCGCTGCAGTTGCGTTGGGAAGCTTCACCGTGTCTACAGGACAGACATACGAAAGCTGGTGGTGGTCGTCCTTAATGCTGGTCGTGCTTCCCATAAACGCACGCTCAACAGACACAACCTGGATGATCGAGCCCAAAGCAGGGCGCTAGCTCGTGGGGAGCGGTCTTGCACATCGGGCCGAGCCAGAGCCTTGGCAGCGACCTCTGTGCATCGTGGTCCCGCCGGAAAGAGTTTGCTGGGCGTTGTCCACCCTAACGGAGGCTTGTACTGCCGTCTCGCCGTCCGGCGTAGCAGGAGCCTTGACCTGTCGAGCCTTCGCTTCTTGGCCAGGCTTGCTGTGATGATCGTACTGCCTCAGAACTGTCGAAATACCATTGGCGATGAGATGCAGGCCAAGCGTGAGCACAATCAACATCTTCTGCCCAATTGGGAAATGGATGGTAGCGAGCAGTCAAGACCACAGCGACTCTTCTGCCGCCATACGTGTGCCCACAGCATAGTGCGTCCTTGCCAACTTCGTACAAGTCCTGTGATTCAGCCATGAGGAGAGCATAGGCGTCTTCTGAGAATATGCTGATCGCCACGTCTAGCAGATCGTCCTACTGGGGCTGACCAATGAAGACTCCTTTGCATAGCGTTCTGACGCAGTTTGATTCGACATCAGCCCACGGAGCACAAAATGGATGATTAGTCAAATACGTCTTGTCTGGAAGCCCGTCTTTTCGAACAGACGAAGGTTAGTTCAGGACGTTTCGACGTCGTGACAGGGAATCGTGATAGAAAGCCTGCAGATAAGCTAGAATAGCATCAAATGGAGGCGGACACACTGTCGATTTATTTCTGGGAATGTTCGAATGCTTATATACCTTACCTCATCTGCAACAATGGAATGCGGTACAACGTGTACCGTGCGGCCTCGGTCTGCGACAATGTTGCGATCTTTACGCCGTGTCCACAACCGAAGGCTTTGAGGAGGGTACTTCGGGTCCAAGGGGAGCGCGCCGCAAGTGGTATTTAGGAAACATACCCTTGGCTGAAGACCTTGTGTCGTTGGTGGCAAGCTCATAGTACTTTGCTTCTTGGTCGCCTTCGGCTGCTGGCCAGCGGCCAATCTCTGGGCATCACTATAACGAAGATACCTGGCCTGTACGGCATGGCTAGACACATCGAGGTGGAGACTGTCGTGACTGCACCTTAATCCCTTCATGGAATCGGCGGTGGAATCAGAAGGGTCATGTGCTCAGAACAACTTTTCATTCTCAAGTAAGCGTTTGCGAGGTGACAGGCAGCGCCTGTCTTCTCAGCATACCAAGAGCAAGGTGTGTCACGGCTAAGCTCCGTTGACTCAATTACATTATGTGCTAAGCCGCAATCGCACAGCTGATGTCGCGAAGATGGATATCGAATATAATGGCCACGACACTGTGGCTGGGCGGACAAAAACGTGGTCGAAAGTAGCCGCAGAACAGCCTTGGGCCGACCGTAAGAGGCGGCGATCGGCGCCAAACCTTACATCATTTGGCCAAGAGGGAAAAAGTACAGAAGGCCAAGGCCGCATCGACCATGAACGGCAGCCCGCTCACGAATCAACGCATTCTAGTCAGGCACGAGGAGGCACTTCACTCCAATGTATGACCGGTACCTGCATGCTTCGAAGGACTAACGTTGGTCGCACGCTGTCTATGTCTGGCGCGTACAAGAAGGTAGGTCCACTCCTCTCATCTTCCTTCTTCGTACCATCTACAGTTCCATTCCGTCGGTTGTACCATTCAAGATGAAAAGCTATACTGTTGCGGCCATCGCGGCCATCACGGCCACCGCTGCCGCCTCTCTATACAACGAAACTACCACCAACCACACCTGCGTCCTCCAGCCCAACGTCCTCTCTTGCTCAGCTCAAGCCAACCCGCGATCTGTCGATTCGTGCTGCGCGGAAACTTTTGGTGGTCTCTTCTTGTCCACTCAATACTGGGACACTTACACCGGCCTTGAGAGCCAAGGTCAGGTCCTTCCCCTCAATACTTGGACCCTACACGGTCTGTGGCCCGATTTCTGCAATGGCAGCTACACCCAGTATTGCGACTTGACGCGCCAATTCGACCCAAGCCCCAGTCCCAACACGACCAACGGCCTGCCCAATGGCACCGTCGTGCCCCGCTACACCGGCCCGAACATTGGCACCTTCCTCACTCCATTCCAAAGAAACGACCTCCTTGCATACATGAACACCTTCTGGATCAACCAAGGTGGACCAAACTACGATTTCTGGGGCCACGAATTCAGCAAGCACGCTACCTGCTTTAGCACGTTCGATGTGCCATGCTATGGCCCACAGTACGTGCAGCACCAGGAGGTTGTCGACTTCTTCGAGACCGCCATCCTGTACTACAGGCGCCTGCCCACCTACGGCTGGCTCAGCGCCGCCGGCATCCGCCCGTCAAACACGACCACTTACTCCCTGTCGGCCATTGAGTCGGCTCTGAGGACTGGCTACGGTGCGACTCCGTACGTCGGCTGCTCCGGCCCACGCTACAACACCACGGCTGCCGGCCGCAACTCCACCGACAATGGCTACACGCAGATCAGCGAGGTGTGGTACTACTTCCACGCCTTCAACCGCCCACAAAGTGGCCAGTGGCTCCCGGTCAACCAGACCGGTAGCAGCTCTTGCGCACGCACGCCTGGTGCTCTCCAGTACCTGCAGAGGACACCTACCTCCGTGGGCACCGCTGTTGGCCCGTAGAGGAGTGTAGTGGATCATGGATTGATGATGAACCATGTAGATATGACCAATCAAAAATTTATCTAGAATGTGTAATATGAAAGCATGAAAACAATATCTACTCAACTCAATTGTGTCCAACGTATGTACATACATGATCGTCTGCCGGTCAGTAAAGTGTTGTTGACTGGGAGTGCAAAGGCGCGAGAGAGTTCACCGGAGTTACTTCCGCGCCCTCACAGCTTTAACAAGCTTACTTGTAGGTACTTCATGCACACAATCCGACGGTGCAATGTCTTCTCGCCTCGCGCCCCGAAGCGCTCTGCTGAGCAACTCAATAGCGACCGAGCCATATGTATGCCAAAGCTGCAGACTTCAAGGCATCCAGAGGGGCACGCGTTCAACGCCAACGAGCCTCTTCCGGCGTTCGATTTCAATTGGCGTTGATCACGACTCGCGAAAGAGCGCGAGACACCCTTCAAGACCCAGCCTTGATCCGCGCTCGCTACCCATACGTACGCCTACGCAATCGAACGCGCGGTCGGCGTCGAATGGGACCAAGGGAACCCTCGCGTCTGCCACGGCGGTGAATGCCCCGTCGACCGTACCGCCGGCATACCGAGAGCTGCACCAGCGATTGCTTGCGTTAGAAGGTGAAGCGAGCACCTACATTGACCTATCACGTTTGCAACTGGCCGCGAGAAGCTTAGAAAGCAGCACTCCGACAATACGTGTTGCGGTAGTCGGTCTTGGTGCAAATGGAGCTGTGGCCGCGAGGAAGCTGGCGAGAGTGTTGTTAAGCGACCCTTTGGCTGAAGCAGAACCGTGGGAGCAAGAGATACTGGACTCCGCGAAGGATGGCAGGAGCTTGCTTATACGGTATGGAGACAGCGGAGACGTAGTACGGCAGAGTCCACTACTATACGCCATGCATGTACCGTCTCCGTTCCTACGACGGCACAACGTCGAGATACTCCTGAGTTCGCTTAATGCCCTGAGCTCTTCAGAAAGCGGCCTCAGCCACGACGATATCGAGGAAGCTGTTCTGGTGCCGCCTCTCGTAACGCCTAACGCTGCAGGCGGCAGGGTTGGCTTTGTAAGGCATCCTGTGCACAAGGCAGTACTCGTCGCAGAAGGTGTTACAGGAGCTGTGGAGTACGGCCGGCTGCCTCGGTCGTTGGCAAAGGCAGAGCTTATATACACTGCCTTGAGTCTACCGCTGCGCTCCTCGACCGGTGAAGCTTCTTCGGAGGAAGCTGCAACCGATAATGTGGTTGATCTAGACCTGGCGACCCATGCCTTGAAAATCTTCCGCGAGAGCAACGCCAACGGCGCCAGATTCAGTGAGGAATGGCAGATCAGCCGAGTCACTCTCCTCTCGCGCTGGATCGCACAGGCTCAGCCTGAACAAGCGCAAGCAGCCGATACGCTGCATTCGACCGTTCTGAAGCTGCTCGACTCGGTCCTGCTGAGCACCACAGCGGCAATCGAGCGTTCGGAGACTTTGCAGCGTTCGACCGCGGCGAAGGAAACTGTGCCGGAGACAGTTCGAAGTCGGCTCGCCGAGGCTATCTCTGACGATTCTGCTGGCTGGCATCATGACCTCCAGTACAATCTCGAGTCCGCCTGGCTGTCCAAAACGTGGCGTCGGACAGCCTGGTGGCGCCTTTTCTGGCGTATCGACGACATTTCGGTCTCCGCCGCCGACGTGCTGCGCCTAAATTGGCTAGTTGATGCTGAACAGACCGTCGTTTACCTAAGCGGCAGGATTGAACAGGCTGGACTTGCGACGAGCGCTGAGCTTCGCGGAGCCAGCACAACTCTGGATTTCTCGGATTCGCAGTCACCCGCAAGCCAAAGCCTCGACAAAGATCCGGAAATGGGTCCCAAAGCGCAGCCCAACCTTGCAAACGCTCTTGGCGCATTGGCCATGGCATCAACGCCGCAAAGCTTGACTCCTACGCCGGAGATACTGGAACGGGGAAACGTAGTCTTCCTCCCACCTTGGCCACAGACAATTCACATGGCTCGGCAACAGATGCTGAACAGTGTGGTACCTGGACTGCACCGGAAGGCGCAGATCTTGCTGTTGTCTACCTTCAGCACAATCGGAGGCGCCGGTGCACTCGCGGCCTGGATCTACATAGCTACCGCCGGCACAGCAATACAGACCGCAGGTGCAGTAGCCGCCCTCGGGTTGGTGTGGAGTTTACGTCGCCTGCAGCGCTTATGGGGTAAGGAGCGTCAAGCTTTTGCTGATACACTGAGAGAAAACGGACGTAGGGTATTGGCTGACATTGAGGCTCACTTGCGGCGGCTCGTCAGCGACGGAGGCAGAGCGAGTGTGCGGCCAGAAGATGTGCAGAGCTGGCAAAAGGCGAGGGACGCAGTCCAGCGCTGCCGAGAGGAACTTGAAAAGGCCCGCCGCTAAGAAATGTACTAATAGTGTATCATGACTGCAAAGCTCCTCCCAACAGAGATTACTTCGACTACATGTTTTTCCACGTCGTTGATATCATAAAGTAGCCGTCTCGGGCATAGCATGCAACAAGAGTCGACGCCAACCGTGAACACGAGGTATGAAAGAAAGGATCACCGTCCGTAAACATCAGTCATCGACCATCATGTACCGCTCACCCAATCGTGGGGCGCCACCCTTCCAATCCTCACGCTCAAAGTACCGGAAGACCAACTCGTAGCCCTCCAGGTCATGCACGATCCGGTCAACCCTACGATAGCCCTCGACATAGTCCATAAGCTTGTCCTTCTTCGCAGCCAACTTGTCGTCCTCCGCCTTCGCCTCGAAGAGCGTGACGCTGAAGCGGCCAGGCTTGAAGATGCCGACGACCTGCTGCACCACGTCCACCGTCTCCCGTCCGAGCGCGCGAGAAGGCACATTCGTCTCGAAGCTGGCGTATGAGCATTGCGGCTCAGGCGTCACGTGCACAGTCCAGTAGTTCGTTGAGTCTCCGTCGCCAGGCATTGGCACGACTCCGTTAGCGGAATAGCCGCAAGGGGTGAAGAGGTACGAGTCAATCTTGGCATCTGGATAAACAGACGCCGGGTAAACGTCGGCAAGCCCGCAGTGTTCTGTAACAACCGAGCCCAGTGTGTGGCCCTCAGTGCTGAACTCTTGGGAAAACGTCAGCGGTTCCGTGTTGTCTTCGGTATCTGAGCTGCAGCCTGAATGCTCAGGCAAGGTTTGCGCGAACACATCGAACTGTGCGTCGTCATCCTGGTCTGAAGTAGTATCACGGCCATTGCCAAAGCCGTCAACGAGGGTCTTTCCGGAGATGCTGGGGTCGGACACATTCCGTTCAGCAATGACGCCAAGGTGGTGAATGGCGTCCTTGCGAGCCTCGTGGGTGCGGCGTGCACTGTCTTTGGCAATCGTGCTTGCGTTGTCAAGGTAGAACTGGCGAGCATTCCTGACATCTAAATCTGTCATCAAAACCTCTAGCGTCTCGTCGCCATTCTCCATCTCAGTAAGGTGCCTTTCCGGGTAAACAATCGGTTGAGTCTTGCTTTGCATAAAATCACGCTCAGGGCTCGCAGGTGGCGTAAGCTGCGTGCCTGGACCGGTAATGTACAGGTACCAGTGCTCTCCATTCATTTTGCCTATCATGTAGGCGCTGCCACCCATGAACATCTTATCGAGATAGCGTACCTCATCGCGCCAGCTACGATGCGGACCAAGCTGTTGATCTGGAAAGAGGAAGTTTTTGCGGCTGTAGAACACGCGATGTGGTGTAGCAGCAGCTGGGATCCCGATGGGCAGATTCGCTTTGACATGTGGAAAGCCGGCTTCGAGAGCGGCTATCTCCAACATACGCGGCAGACCGCAAAGAAGTGTGGTGGTGCCGCACGTCTTCAGTACAAGCTTGTGCGGGAAGACGAACATGCTTGACTCGGAAAGCAGGTAGGCGTCGACATTGCGGCTTTCGACCACAGACAGAACCTTGCAGTTGACAAGATCAAGCATGCCCTTCCAGACATCTTGCGAAACGACCTTCAGACCGTGAGGTGAGGCAGAGGCAGGTAGTGCCGTCTCCGAAGCCGAGAACCATACCTCCAGTAGCTTTTCCGGTCCCTCGAATTGATTGCTGGAATCAAGGTCGAGCGCAGTGATGTCCTTATTGATCGTCAGATGCGGCGTGCCAGGCACAGATGACGGAGAATTTGTGTAGTTCGATGGGATGCCAAAGCTGGTCATCTCCGAGTCCAACGTTTTGCGGACTGGCGTCTGCTTGACGGAAGACTGGCTGTCCCTAGCAAGGATGTTTGCTGGTTGCGTCGCTCGTCAAACTGCTGGTGAAACACTATCTGCTGGCCAAAACCGTGAGCCCCGCTTGAGGAGCGTAGGCCCACCCTGTCCTTGCCTTCGTTGGAGGCTGGCTTGCGCCAGCAGCAATACTCTGGTATAGTTTATTTAAACGTCTCTAGGTGACGTTAGGGAGGCCGTGCGCGAAGCGGAACAAAAGAGCTCTTGCGAGGCCTAATGTTGCCGGCTACGTTTTGGTGATTGCAGTGAGGATGTGTTTGATGGTTGGCAGAAGTATCGGGCGATCAAGCAGAGCTATCACGTGTTCAGGCGTGAGTGAAGTTGTGAATGGAAGAACGAAGTCGGTGTTATCTGGGCCTGGTTGAGCAGTCAGTGACGAGTCTAAGTCGGTTACACAAGAGGGAGACCGTACTTCTTTGGCTTGGAGAAAAACCGAAGAAGGTCCTCAGGGCTCATGGAAGGTGTGCGGGATAATTAGGTGGCGAACGGAAGACGAGCTCTACTACAGAGCCAGTCTACAAGCGGTCCCGTGACTCAATGAGTCTGCCAGCTTGAGATGGAAGTTCAGGCGTAACTGCCTGATCCGGAATTGATGGTCTTGTGCTCACGGTACCATATGGTACAGTGAATACTCGACAGGCTTGAGGCTGTAGTATGCTGCCAATCCTCCGTGGACTAGCTCGTGGTAGGGCAATATGTCTTGCTCTTGGAGGTCTCGAATGCTCGGAAAAAGAATCTTTGAGGCTTTCAGATTTCGCGGGAATTTTGCTCCAACGTCAGAGCGCCGAGACGCGCCGAATGCACCTGCTTGCCACGTGCGCCACCTGCGCCACAGATCGCGATCGCATGCCAAGCCTCGCCCGTTTCCTGGCTGCGAGATCTGTGTCTTGCTTTCGAGGTTGCAGATATGGCGCGTGAACGTTGCACGAATTCCTAGCACAACGGTCCGACGGAGTGAACAGATGTACAGAGGGTATATTTGGAGCCCCCCTTAGCTGCATACTATCCACGTTTGCACGCAACCCTCTCCCTTCAATGCAACGACAGATAAACCTCACTGGAAATGCATAGTCTGCCCAAACTGTGCAGTAACAATCCCAGCAAGCTCTCGAAGATCCATCACGACCTCAGCTGGCCGCTCCCAAGCAGGGAACCGTACCCGTCCATCCCGCCTGGTAAGCATCACCACTCGATGGTAGGACTCTGCCCACTGCGGCGGAGTTATTCCAGTGCCGGTGCCAGGTGTAGTAGGGTCTCTGAAATGCGTAATACCCAGCGGAACGTTATTGTGGCTGACCCAAAGCGACGGTAGCAGTGCTGTCGAGTTGACCAGCCATCTCAACGCTACTTCAGGCCCGGGCAGCCAGTATATCATCGTCCACGTGATTATCGCGGTTGGCGTCCAAGGCGTGCTGGGACTGCCTAGTTCAAGCGGCTGAGGGTATTGCGGCGAGCGCCCTGCTCCTGGCGTGCTGACGGCCTGCGGGCTTGAGCGCGTTGATCCCAATGTCTGACCAGGCGGAGACAGACCCCAAGCAGGTGGTGATAGAGATGATGCGCGTAGGCCGACGGGACGTATCGCGTCCAACATCCACGCCAGGAGTCCGGGGGGCGAGTCACAGAGCGCATACGCCAGCGTTTGCGGTCTTTCGCCCACCTCAGATCTCTGTCCTGGCGTCAAAGGAGGTGTCAGGCCCTGCACCGCGCCGGCCAGGTGTTGAGCGCCTGGTGACTGTAGGGAGAGACCAGAAAGAGCCATCTCTTCTGCTGTGTAGCCCCAGCCTGACCTGCGTAGCATTGCAAAGGTCAGCTTGGCCATTCGGTATCTGAGCCAGACGATGAAAGAGGAGTAGCCGAACCTTGGTGGTGGGACTTCAGGGTTGACGGTATGAAGGGCCATGCAACTATCAATGCATCCCAGAGCAAGAAGCCGACAGATGCGGAAACCCCTGTTCACCGTCAGCATGTTGCACATCAAGTGTTATCCTGCGAAATGAGGGAGGTAAGCTACGCGTCGCGTCCGTCGCCGTTCGTCGCCATCTTCACGATACGGTCGCAAGCACCATGCAGTACCTCTACGATCGTGTTACGACGCTAATCGATCAAACAGACGCGTCCCAACTGCCCAGGACAAAGTACTCACCATCCGGATCCGTGCGCAATGTACCGATGATAACCCAACATTTTCATCAGCGCATCAAAGATGGCTGCTGTCGCTGTCATGACGTTTCCATCCTCCAGCACTGCATCGCTGAATCCGAAGCCTGGTATGCTCGGTGCGACAACATGGAATGCCTGCGCGTTCTCCGTTCCACGTGGTGGTGTCGAAATCGGATCGCACAAGGCTTCAATCATCGGTGCGATCGCGATGAAGCTCTCTGGCAGGCCATGGACGAACAATAATGGTATCGCATTTGGCGCTTGTGTCTGTCGGTGGACGAAATGTATCCGGGTACCGTTGACTGCTGCACGAAATTGCGGAAGAGCGTCGTTGTAGAACGTTTCTTGCTCACGCCAGTTGTATCGTTCAAGCCAATGGTCGACCAACGGTTCCAACTCGGTTTTCGACACTCCTGTTTGAGTGGAGGCGGTCTGGAGGCCTTGAGGTTCGCGTGGGAAGCGCGCCAATTCAAGTTTCTGTTTCGTCAAGTCGAGGTAACGCTGCGAGACATGCATGCGATAAGGTTGGAGCGCGTTAGTCGGCAACGGCGAATGTGACCCTCTTGAACTTGATGCCATCGACGCATGTTATGCAACGCAGTGATCATATAAGAACGAACAACGCGACGGAAAACTGGAAAGTTTTGATGATGGGTCAGACCCCAATTGTTCGGACGGAGGATGATCAATGTACGTGGACGTTATCACGGGACCAAGGGTATGACATCCAGAACTTCAACAACCCAAGCATGTTTCAGCCCAAAGGGTTCTCTTCTGCACATGTCGGGTCCAAGTGCACAGGTCAACCTAGCCGAAGTGTATCGCGAAGATAGGAGTCTTCACGGACGCTCGGTCGGATCTGCCGAAGCATTGGAACCCTTCAGAATTGCGCGTACACGAGGGTCGGTCCCCAATGTCGACCTTTACCACAAGAATGGCCGCTTGCGATTGGCTCAATAAGGCTTCGGTTCATGAGCGGCCCTGCATACAGATGATCGACAGTGTGGAGCAGCCACGAATAGCCACAGTGGCGGTGCAGACAAGACGACACCACATGCAGACCCCCGTCCCAGACCAGTGGCAAATGCTAGACTTCGCAAGTAACAATCAAGGCCTTCCTGGTCATGCCTTGATCCAAGGCCGCATGTACGCAAGTATTGCCGCTGTTGACCACTGGCATTACCCGTTTGTCAGAGTGGAAAAGCCGAAGAGCAATGAGCGTCTGTAGCATTCGGCGGGTCTATGCTTCTGTCTGCATTTTCCCATGCTTTGTGTTGCGCTCCGTCATTACCCTTAAGATGCGATATCGATTGCAAATGCAGTCCAGAATCGAATTTGTGGGTAGGACGGTCCAGGTGTAGTCTGTCGTGGTTAGCGTACAAGTGAAGCCGGGCCACAGCCTTAGTTCTAAGACGGAGTTCGCGATCGTCTCCGGCTCGGCTTAATCTCGCCCTGGGGTAAGTTCAGCCTTGTGGTGCTTGAGACTGTGAGTGGGAACATTAATGCTAAGAACTTGCTTGTTGTCTGAACTTCTTCCTGCGTTTCCGGGAACATTTGGAGACGAGCACGAGGAAGGTGCATATACACTATATTAGCCGCATATCGAGCTGACGAGTGACATACCAGAAATAACCACGCCATCACACTACTTCCCGAAAGCTCGGGTAAGAAGCAGGTGTTGTTGGAAGACGTTGACGAGACGTCGGCAGTCGCAACCGTTATGCGTCAAGTGCTAGGGCTCTCATCTCCCTGATTCGTCTACCTCTCATGCGCCGTTACGCTTGTAAATTCCTCCGGTTGTTTCAGCATGACGATGTAGTGTCGGTCAAAGCTCCCGTCCCAATCAGCAGCCTTGACGACAACAGTATCAACCTGACGAAATCCTAACCTCAAGTACAGGGGGTAACCTGCCGGACTGGCCTCAAGACATGATCGAAGACCCAAGCGTTCGGCACGAACGACTCCCCATTGTACTAGCATTGTTCCCGCGCCTCTCCGATGGTGATCTTTGTGAACGCATAGTATGTTTAAAACTGCGTGATTGGTCAGAGAAACTTCACACGGAGTACTGGCCATCACCCATACGCAGACGGCTGTTCCGAACTCACGATAGTGGGGATCGCCACCCCAGAGCTTCTGTCTCATGGCCGCGGTTGCTCCCAGGAAGTTCTCAGCAATCTCCTTCTTCCTGCCACTGTACCAGTCAACCTCGGGGCTCTTTGCCCATTCCTCACGCGGGCGCTCGGTCTCGTAGAAGTTCCACTTGGCGTACCCGAGGATCACGCCAGATTCCCGGTCAGTGCACTTAATGAAACGAGCGGACGGATCCTGTCGCCATTCCATGATCGTGCGGTCCCCGGCTGCTTTCCGAGTTGACGGCGCATAGTGATCTCCCGGAAAAAGCGCATCGTGGTAAGGATCTGATTCAAAGGCTGAAGGACTAGGTGAGCGTGATTGCGTTGCTGGACAAAGAGGTCGAGCACTGACCAGAGAACTGAATCTCCATCAAGCGATCGATATCGCCCTCCTCTGCTGGTGCCACCTCCAGAGCCATCCTCCAGCGTCAAATCTAAGCGGTCACTGTAGTTCGAAGGGTGGTGGACACTGCAATCATTCACGCGCTCGCCGTCGTCTGTGGATGAGTAAAGCTGCAGTTGCTCATCACAAGCGGTAGTGGCGTTAGGTGAGAGTCTGTTGCGGTTATTGCAGCAGCGAAATCATCACCCACTAGCTGCATGACGCCTGTGTGCAAGCGACGCAAGCTAATGCAGGCCCAAGACTTCTTGCAGATTGCGAGTTCCATAGTGCTGTGCGTGTTCATCGGATGTTGTTAGGCGAGAATTGAGGGCTAGCCAATAGAGCTTCTTGTTGGTTGCAAGCCCCCACTGGCTGCCACATGGCAACCTTCCATCATCTTGAATGGCATGCTAGGCGTGATAGAAACCACTACTAATCACATGAGAAACGTTGCAGCCGGTATTAGAACATGACATCCGACGTGCAGTGGATCGGTTGAGATTGTCACTCGCACCTCCTCTAGACCATGTTTCGTCCTTGCGCTATCTATTCATGGTCTAATCACGAATGTTGATGTCAATTTTAGGACCGATGTAGGTCTTGTGGCCAATAGTGACATAGTAGATCAGACCCAGTATGACCACACCACCGTAGACAACGCAAGAATAGTTCATCGTCTCCTTCGTGACTGGCAGTGCCACCGGGAAGAAGGTGAAGATGACGGTCATCAGCGTGTAAGCCGCAGCGATGATGTTGATCGGTAGACCCCACCGCCCCAGGGTCCATGGCCCGAGTTGAACGCGCTCGCCTCGGAGTCGCTTCATTATCATGAGCACGATGGGAATGAGGTAGGACGAGAGATAGCTGGACACGACAAGGCTCACAATGGCGTTGAAGGCGACAGAGGAGCCGATGTTGATCAAACCGAGCAGAGCATTGATGACGCCGGTAAGCGCAATCGTCCAGACCGGGATGGCCCAGCGTGCATCGACCTGCATACCAATCAGACTTTACGTTCAGCTTTGCAGAATTAGAAACAACCTACCCGTCGGAAGACCTTGGACAAGGGAAGCCCGTGATCTCTGGAGAATGCCCAGGCTTGGCGAGAGGCAGAAGCAACGAAGCCGAAAGTTGCAAAGATGTACATCGCAATCAGTAGGGATGTCAACGCCGTAGTGCCCGCCTTGGACTGTAGAGCGTTGTAGAAGATGCCAATAAATGGCATTGGGTAGTTTGTGAGCACATCCTCCGGGTCGCCAAAGCAGTAAAGGATGAAGATGTAGGTCGCGAAGCCTAGTGCACCGTTGATGAAGATGGTGAAGAACATGGCCCGCGGTACGTTGATCGATGCGTTTTCCACCTCTTCGGCCATGTGGCAAGCTCCATCATAGCCGATGAAGAGTACAGCACTGGCACTCTGTCCGATGAGCCACGAGAGACCACTGCTGCTGTAGCCGGAAAGATTGGTGAACTCTGACCACACGAAGGCGTTCGGGCTGATTGGCGCGAGGTAGACGACAGGAATGAGGACGGCAAAGAAGCCTATAACGTGCAGGATAAGCACGACGCCTTCCAGTCCGGGTAGTAGCTTGATCAGGACAGTGTTGACGAAGAGTGTGACAATCAAGACGGCAAATAGTATAAGCGTGCCTTGCCATCTTTGCGGTTCGTAGGACGGGTAGTTCAGGGAGACGAGTGCTTGGATAATGACACCGCCAAGGTACTGTTGGCGCAGTGTTAGTCAGTCACGGATCTGGGTTTTGAATGTTCAGCCTATACGCACAGTTCCGGTAGAGGCCGCAGCCTGCCAGCCAAGGGTGCTGAGCCAGCCGGTTAACCAACTGAGGAATTTCGCATGCTTGGGCGGGGCCAGCAATGCAGTCCAATGATATTGCCCTCCAGAGATTGGGTACCTGTGTCATTCAATCAGCTGTGCGCTTGGCATAGAAGCATTGGAGTTGACAGACATTGAGGCCATTTCCGCCATAGATGCGCAAGTGGCAAGAGCGCCAAAGAAAGCAAAGATGTAGCCATATATCATGCTAACACCGCCACCGTTGATGAACGCTGTGGTGAAGAAAGGAATAGCAGACTCCCAAGTGCACATCATAGTCGTCGTGAAGCCAAGAATGGTGACCAGTCCAAACCGCCGCTGCTCATCGTCAGTCACGCGAAGACTTGCGCCTGGACGAGCCGTACCTTCGTCTCCTGTCGCACGCCCATTTTGCGCATGTCAAGGACATCGCGATCAACACCCTGGGCGTCTTCGCCATTGAGGCCGAGGTCGTAGTTCTCGACATTGGTGTCCGGCTTCTGCTCAGATGCAACACCCTTCTGGCGATGCGAGTTGAAAAAGCTCATATTGACGATCAGTAGCGAGACGAGGATGTGCACGCCACGCAGAAAGGCTGTGGAACACCACAAGACAGAATGTCTCAAGAAGTGCAACGAGTTTCGGGGAACATCACTAAAGGGTCAAATGAGGGATGCGAGCTCACCAGACGCTATTGCCGGCTCGAGCGGAAGACGGCTGTGTGCCGTTGCCCGCCGCCACGCCTAGATCTTGACAGGGTGTGCGCGCCCCATATGATATGCCGAGGTGCTCGCAGGGTCCTCGATCTTCGGAGAAGCTGCAACCTGTCGCAGGTGTGCGGCACAGCTCGTGGACGGTCGATCAACGAAGACCCTGGAGTCTCCTCCCAAATGCAAGCGAAGCGGGCTCTGCCGGACACGTTGGTGTGTTTGTCGCAAACTAAAGTTTTAGCTTCATATACCGCTTTCCACCTAGCGTGTCGGGGATCCTCGGGGAGCTGACGGAAGGGCTTGTGAATTAGTGCAAGTCTGTGGAGCGGAGATTCAACAATTGGAAGCGAGTCGAAAAGCCAGACTTGCAGAGACAGCGGTCGGCAACCTGTCGGTTCGTTGGAATCGATGATGCTGTCAACCGGGTCTGCTGCTAGGCGCGAGACCACGCACCACCATTGAACAACGGCAGGTCGCCGGTGCTGGGGCCCAAGCTGAACCAGTTGGAATGGAGCAAGTGGCGGGGCGGGTGCCGTGATCGCCAGTGGGTACCCAAACAGCTTCTACCCGTTACAGATAAGGTCCCTCGTCAGGGGGCGCGGGCCAGGCGGGATGGCTCGAGGTCGGGAATGTCATCCGCGCGACCGCCAACCTGATCCTACTCCACTCCATGTTAGATCTTGCGGTTCGTCTGTGACAACCTCACCACACCGGCCACAGGTGCTCAATGTGAGCATTGCTCACAGCATCGACGTCTGTGAGGGCTGATGTCTTCGTCATATGTGGAAGGTCCACGCCACGGCGCCGTTACCACCGATGACCATGGCGCCATCTTGCAGATTGTCGTTTGGTATATGCTGGTGGTTATGATACTGGCGACGGCCTTGCGACTCAGCATCCGTTTCCTCACCACGCACATACCAGGACCCGATGATGCGGTTCTTGCCGTGGCTATGGTAAGTGTCGCGCGCTGCTCAACACTTCGAAGCTACACCTGCTTACCGAATTGTTACGCCCAGCTGTTCGCTGTGGGAGAGGTGGTAACTGTGTCACTGGCAGTGAATGCTGGACTTGGGAAGCGGGCGTACTTACTTGACCCAGTGGACGTGCTTCATATCGAGAAGGTACGTCTTCTTGTCGTGCTGTCTGGGTATTGCTGACAGACTCTCGCACAAAGTACTCATATGCTACCAACGTCTTATACCTCATGGTTCTCGGACTAGCCAAAGCGTCCGTGCTGCTTCTTATCTGGCGTTTGGCGGTGATCAGGTCTCAAAGGGTCACGGTTATGGTCTTGAGCAGTCTCGTAGCGCTATGGATGGTAGCGTCGATTTTCACGGTCTCGTTCCAGTGCAACCTACCGCAGCCCTGGGGCTACACAACCGGCAAATGCGTTAACCTTGTGAGGCTATCGTCTGAATTTTACACCATTGAGCTGACCAAACAACAGTTTGCGTTCTGGACAACGATCGGAGTCTTCGACATCTTGACCGACCTCGCTTTGATCGCTCTACCGACACGCGTCATCTGGGACTTGCGCATGCCATGGCAGAAGAAATCGCTTGTGGCTTGTGCCTTCTCTTTTCGAATACTGTACGTGTATCAGCCCTCTGCTCGTTAGCAAGGTACTGACTTCGCCTATAGTGTCATTTTCTGTCAAATTGCGCGCCTTACCTTACTCTCTCAATTGGCCAAATCGGACGACCCGAACTTTGATTGCGTCCCTTACGGCACGCTCAACATTTGCCAAGTCATGCTCACCGTTATCACCTCTGCTATTCCGGCGTGGAAGCCCTTCATGGACCGGGCTGCGACTGGTATGCTCGGAGCATCGCTTGGACAGCGAGAAGGCACATATGGTGTCTCAGACCTCGGTCCGAGCTATATCATGGAGCCATATCCGCTTGCTGTGGGATCAAGTCTAATGGCTAGCACGAACACCAGTAACGGCGACGAGTTGCGGCGCGCACCATCTTCCCAAACCGAAGTCTACCCTCCTACTCAGCGCAGGAGCAGCGCCCCGTTCAACGATATGCTCATGATCCAGAAGCAGGTAGAGTACCACATTGAGTACGACGACAATGATACTGAGCTGGACCGTCGTGGGACCACTTCTGACGGAGCCGAGACCGATCACCGTCACTCGCAAGCTGAACTTATACAGGCGGTGACTTGAACTGTCAACAGATATGACCGTGTACAAGCAGATCGAGACCTACTAGAATATCTGGAGAGCTCAACAGCGCGCCTCGCCCTATCTAGACGACGCGCGATAGCTATGATTTTGACAGCATGCCTGGGTGCTATCTTGAGGATGGGAGAGTGTCATACTTTGCGCCAAGCGCATAGCTTCAACCCTTGCGGTCTCCTCCGCTTTGTCAAAACAAAGTGCTAGGCCGCGCGCAGTGCAGTCGGCTCAGGCATGATGTTGGCCTCTTCGGGGGGTCGAGTCCCTGGCTGTCAGAATGTCGGTTCGGTCAGCCGAGGGAGCATCCAAGGATGCAAGACGATGATTTGGACGTTTCGAGAGTGAATGAGAAAACGAGTTTACGAATTATTGTGGAATATAGGAGATGCGTCACGCAGAACAGGATGCGTGGATAGGACGGAAACTCGGACAGCATGCAAAGGGTTTGTCAATACAGGCACCTCCTATCCGAACCCGACTAACGTGCGGCCAGAGTCTGTACCTGCAGCGTGGCGCCGAACGGATCGCGACAAAGGATGAATGTACGGCGGACGATATGCCCGAAGTAGGCAGAGGTACATCCGGCTTTTCAAAGACTGTCGCTTTGAGACCTGTAAAACGCTCGTCGTCTCACCTTCCCAACGCCACCTTGTATGCACAGACATTACGACATGGTCGTTCATCAACACACTACCCCGTCAGTGCCATTGACTCGCTTTGCGTCTTACGCAACGTCTCGCCTGCGATCTATGGCTTGCGACTCCGCCCTGAACCTGCTGACCTGCATCACTGTCAGTCAATGCAAGCGTGATCACGTGCTTTGAAGCATAGTTCTGCCCACTTACTGGCTAATTCTCCTGGCTACCCTCGCCAAGTTCTCGTCCTTGTCCGCCTCACTGCTCGCCCGCTTCAACGCCTCATCCCGCGCCGTCTCAGTGCTTTTCCGCACCTCCTCATGGCTCGGTGGCAACCGCTCGTTCTGCAGATCAACCTTCCGCGCGTCCTCGAAGCTGTTAATTGCCTGCTTGATGCCCTCCGCGCCGAGCATGAGCGTGCCAGCCGGAAGGCGTCCGCCAGATGCAGTCTTGAGTTCCGTAACGCGCTCGGACTCCTCACGCAACACTTGGAAGACGCGGGACAGCCGACCGATGGCCAGGATCTTGTTCTTGATGGCTCGACGCTTGAACTCCGTGCTGTCCGGATCCAAAGCTGCCTGGGCCAAGGGTGGCGAGGCGGGGCCAGTCGAGGATGGCGTGTCATCTTCCAATTCTTCCTTGCTGCATGTGTTGAGGATGGCAATGAGCATATCGGTGATCTTCTCGCCTACGAAGGGCAGAGACCAGGTGAACACGTCCATGAAGTTGGGAAGCCAGTAAGGATGTGGTGTACAGTTGAATTGGCGGATGTTCATGACGTTGTTTTCGTACTTTAGCACTGCAGCCTTGTTGTTGTATACATCCAAATAATTGGGCGCAGAGAAGATGGTCATGACGGATGGGAAGCCTGTAGTTCGGGTCTTGCGGTACATTCGATAGCCCGCATCTTGCGCCTCGTGCGCTCGAATGATCGAGAGGAGGTTGTTCTTCTCGAGGAAGGCGCAAGCGGCCGGATATGAGAAGAAGTAAGAGCATCCTCGGACATGATTGTGCACGAAGTACTCTTGCGTCTTCTCCTGACCGAACTCTTCCAGCGGGTCTGCCCATAGAATGTCGCACATCAGACCGTGGGTAGGCGGCTCTCGGAAACGATCCAACGACTTCAGGTCTTCCAGTGTATGTAGCTCGGGGCTCAGGCCACCGTGAATGCACAAGAACTGCTTGTTCATGACAGCTGCAAGCGGCAATGCGCAGAATGACTCTATGCAGGCCTCGTACACCCGCTCACTGTACTTGTGCTTACACTCCAGCTTGAAGGTGAAATAGTCGGTCAAATGACGGCACTCATGGTTGCCTCGCAGCAGCCACAGAGTGTTCGGGTACCACATCTTCAGCGCCCACAGATAGAGTACGCACTCGATCGAGAAGTAGCCACGGTCCACGTAGTCGCCAAGGAAGAGATAGCGTGTCTCTGCTGGATCGCCACCCACCTCGAAGAGCTTCATGAGGTCGAAGTACTGGCCATGAATGTCACCGCACACGGTGATGGGCGCGTCCATCTCCAGCAGGTTTGGCTCAGCGCGCAGAACCTGCGCGCCTCCGTTGATAATCCACAGCGCTTGTTCTTCGGTAAGGCGACCCTCGCGGTAGAGATGCTGCTTCAGGAAGTGGAGGTTGGGTTTCGATCGATCTACAGGCGATAAAAGCTGATCTTCTGTGGGTGTGTTGAAGGCCGGCGCTTGTACATCTACGTAACAGTACCGTTAGTACCAGCCTCAAGGGGTGCGCAAGGCAGGCTATCTTACCTCTGCAGACTCGGTCTTGCGTGCTGACCGTGACTCCATCCTCCATGGTGTGTAATGTGAAATCTATCTCCGGCACTTGCTTCTTCTGCTGAATTGCGCGAACCGCATTGTCGGCGTACTGCGCATGGTCGACCGACTGGCCGTCCATGGTGGCAGTCGTTTTGTCGATGCCTCCTCAGGATCTATCGATCTCTCACTCCTGATACCACTGTAGACTTTGGCAGATAAGTGTGTATGTTCAGAGACAGCACCTGAGAGCTTGTGGACTGCGGTGTGGCTTGAGGTGTTGCACGCGACCTGTTGGGTGCGGCTGAAGGAGGGTTTGACGGGTCAAGATGAAGTCAGACTGGTCCAGTGAGACAGTATGTTCAGGTGCACCCGGATAGAAGATTCACGCTTCAATGTACGCAGTGATGAACAAACCAAGAGGAAGCACAACAGACGGAAAGAGTGTGTGGCACAAGGCTGGCGCAGAAGCAAGAACGCCACCAACTCCGCGCTCGAGACTCTGGACCCTTCGCTCTCTGTGCTGCTGTCCCTGAAAAGGCACACGTCAATTCGGGAAATTGCTGGACATCAGCTTTAGGCAGTTACGTGTCGCCATTCTCATGAGTTTCTGGTGGCAGACAAGCTAGTTGTAGGTGAATCAACAGTTCGTGCCCTGGCTTGGTGTACATGCGTTCGAACCAGAGATCACAGGGCCATGGTCATGTTGGTCGGAGATGTTGGGTATTCATGCTATACAATTGACGCTATCTCCATAGTATGCGCTGCAACAACGCCGCGCAATGCAATCTTGTGAAAAGCTACACACTCATGGAACTCAGTCTTCATTCAATAACCACGCAGACCGGCGAAGTGCCTGTGAGCGTGCTTCAGACTCCGCCGAGTGATCAAGCCGTTCGAACAAGATGTACCGGGAGCAAGCGGTTCTGGAACAGCGCAACCATGGTTGCAAAGGCCCCATTGACTACCCATACAGACCACAGCGCCATCGCTTGAGCAAGGCAGTGCGCCGTTCCTGCAGCTGCCACTTGGGGTCGACGAGCCGGAGCCAGAAGCCGGAGCCGAATATGCCGCAGAAGATGCTGCAGCCGATGACGCAGCGTAACTGGCGACTGGGGCGTAGGAAGCCTGGCCGGTGATTGTAGCCATAGTCGTCACGGTCACGGCGGCATTGCCAGCCACGCTGCTAGCTGCACCGGTCGCTTGTGAAAGGCTAGCGGACTGGGCTGCTGACGGTGCGCTATACGCTGCGCTGGAAGGGGCCGCGGGCGCCGCAGATGATTGTGCCGCTGGGCCAGAACCGGAGCCACCGTCATTGTTGCAACCAGTGCCGCTCGGTGTGGCCATGGGAAACGTGATGGCGGTAGAGGCAGCCGCACCGGACGGCTTCTTGGTCGTGACATACTTGCCAGGGTTCGGAAACAGCAGGTCAACGCTTTGTGTGGTTGGACATTGGTTGACGCTGCCCAAGTTCGCCACGAACATGGTCGGGAGCTCGCTCATCTCCGAGCCGTCGCCGCCGGAAAGGTTTATGTTCACGCAATTTTGGTACATCTAAGCAAACAAACGTCAGCATGGTCCTTCAGAAGGCTGACATTTCAACAAACTTACCTCGCGGTTGCCGACGGAGTTGAACCACGTCCAGGACATAATGGCGTTGCCGTTTTTCACGCCTTGCGGGATACTGAAGTTGAATTGGTTGACACAATCGACGCCGTTAGCCTTGGGATCTTGACACGAGAGCGCGCCGCTATAGCTGCCCTGAGGGCCAGTGTATTGACCGTCGAGGTTCTGGTGAGTGTTGCTTGGGCACCCGCCTTCGATGCTGTAGATGACAAACCAGTTGCTCGGATCCTTGACTTTGGCCGGATCCGTCTCGTAGGTGATGGAAATCTGGCATGAACCCCTATCAAGACGTCAGAATGATTCTACACAAGAAGCGTAACAACAGCCTTACCCTCCATGTACAGCTGTATTAGCGCCGTTACCAAGCTCCCATGACAGCACTTGAGACGAGCCGGCAGGCATGGACAAACCACCCGAGGAAGGCAGAGCGACTCCGTGGCATGGAAAGTTGCTTCCACTAGCATCGAGAGGATCCTTAGGCGCACTGCCTGGGATAGGTGCAGGCGAGGAGATGAACATGTGCGCATTCACCGTGGCGGTGAAGCCTAGCAGAGCGGTAACCAGAAATGCAGACATGGTGTTCATGTTGGCCTTCTTCGTCTTCGTTTTTGTAGCCGTAATGTAAATGAGTGTAGGTGTGGGAATCAGCGAGTATCGTTTGTCGGATAGACCTGCTATGCGACTGTGATTAAGTTAGTTTTACTTGTTCGAACAGCGTGGAGGTTGTAAGAGAAGATTATGACGGCTATCTGAGACTTTGCTTGTACGGCAAACGTTGTGCGAAGCTTCTATTGTGCCAGTTCATTGTCCGCATGCGATAAAGAGCCCAGTGACCGATTGTTACGTACCCCGATTGGTAGTGAATGTTTCCTTCTTGAGTCCACAATGGTGAATGAACAATCAAGGAGCCTGCTCAACAGGGTACGCGAAATGGAAATCGAAAAAAAAATATTAGTGCTTCGCTACCTGGCGAGAGCTGTTGTTAGAGGCCTTTGCAAGGCGGAAGAAGCGAGAAGAACGTGAAGAGAGGGAGCAGGAGATGATCGTTATTTGAGTGCAATGTTCACACCTGCGCGTCCTGACGTCCAGGCGGTAAGGGAACATGATTTCACCATCTGCGACGTGGTACGGAGGTAGTGCGTTGTATGTTCTGGGGCTCTGTGCAGAGCGCAGCCAGTGGTTGCGGTCTTCTGGTTCTGCGCGGCGAAGGCTCCTCAGATCTTCGACGAGGCCTGAAGCGCTGGCGCGTCGGCTCTGGCATGACTTAAACGCATACTCGTGTCATCGTCCAATTGTGTCCTCAAACAAGTGGTTGTTGACGCGTCTCGGGAACGCAGGTGAAGTGCGGACATGGCGGGCCGAGCCAGCAGGTGGAACGTGGTGACTCGTTCGCGACCTTCAGTAACAAGCCAAGCCTGTTAACACCGAGGACGGGAGGCCTTGGGTTGTTTCGCGAACAGCATTTTCGAACAATCTCGATGGTGACATTGCCAACTCTGGTGTCCGATTTCATTAGATCCAAACCCCAATTACAATGCTTAGTCAGCATGTCATTGTAACTCTTGGCTTCCTAGCGATCGAGCTGCCCTATCGACCATACTAGCCATGGCTGAGATATCCAAGAGACTGTTCGCACGTCGCCGTAGTCGGCTGAGCCATCCATCGTGCCTGAGCTATGGCTCCACCGCACCTACTGGAGGGTGATGCCTTTCGAGACGCGAACAATACAGGACCGCGCAGGAGCCACTACCTAGAGAATGGGGGTGTCTTCTCCATCTATGCAGATACAAAAATCAACGCGCCACCAAAGGCTGTCTACGACGCGATTCTAGACATTGAAAAGTGGAAGGATTGGAACAGCTTCGTCTTCGACGTGAAGGTAACAAGTCACCCACATTCTCACCACAGAGCGTTGCGAATGGAGGAGGGCACCAATATGATATTCTCAGTCAGGTGAGACAACCAATACCCGTACGTCTCAGCAGCAACCTGACGTTATCGCAGGATGACGGAAGATGACAGAACAACGAGCAAAGAACAATGCACGCACGTGGGCCCTCTAAGGACGTTGGCAGACCACGATCCACCAGCGCTTACGCACATCCGTTGGTCATTACACAACGCGGCGCTGATGGCACCTGGTTTCGTGATCAAAGCCGAGCGAACGAACGAGCTGGAGGATGTTGGCGATGGCACGACGATATACCGCACGTGGCAGACGTTCGGCGGCATGTTCGCGAATTCCGTCAAGAAGAAGTATGAGCAGGCGCTGAAAGATCGCTTCCAAGACTGGTGCCGAGATCTGAAGGCGTATGTGGAAGGCAAGCAGATGAACGCTTGACGTCCATCACCACTAAGAGTCTGGCGTATCTTTCCATGGCCGACTTACTGCGGCTATCGACCCGCCGCCAAGTCCAAGAACTATCGGAACATCTCGCCCACTCGATGCCGTTGAGTGTCTGTTATTCAATTCACGGCCGTTTATTGATGCCTTGCACCTCTTACAAGGTTACGGCCCATTGCCCAAGATTCAAAGACCGCTGGATTGCAAGGCTCATGCGCTAAGATCCCTGCAGTGTGTTCAACTGCTCAGCCAACACTGGATTTAGAGCCCCATGCTGCACTCATGTACCGGGTACGCCATGCGCCGAATGTTACGGATCAGGCGATCGGCAGCCCAGGTATGAGCCACCCAGAAAGCGTGCGTGGAAGCGACTGTCGAGGTCAACAACCGTAGCTCGTATCTGCCGTGCCACGCTTATGGAGCTTTCGCTTCTACTAAGCGAAATCTGCACCCTATATGGAAAATGCTGTACGCAAGCGGCCGCGGCGGGGAAATACCTTCTAGACGAGCGCCAAGACCTCGGAAGGAATATCTTCCGTAGATCAGGGTTGATGACATCTGATTGGCTTACACGCATGAGTCGGGAGACCAGCAGCCAGCTGCACCTCATCGTCGTCAGTGATCCCGAGTCTGACATTAGGGCAACAATCCGCCTAACGTGACGTTGTATCACCATCCAAGTGTCTAGTAAGCAATACTCTTGCGCATCTCACTTATTCAATGCACTCTTGCGGCTGTCTTCAGCACGATCTTGTCCAGCTCGTGTCCATCAAAACAGCCTACACGTAGCAGCAACATGTCGACCTCAATCCAACCGCAGATCACTGAAGTCACCATTGCCGTGGTGTTTGGTGGCGTCGCTGTGCTGGTGAGCCTCTTCGCCTACTTGTTCAGCAAGCCCTCCTTTCCCGAAAACGCACCGCCTTTGACCAAGGACGCGTACCCTATCATTGGATCATTCCAATTTTTCACCGAGCGATGGGATTTCTTCAAGCGAGCAATAACAGACTCGCCGACTGGTAACTTCTCCTTTTACGCCGGCAAGCACCCGGTGATTGGTGTTTCCGGCCCGTATGCTCGCAAATTGTTCTTCGACAGTAAGGATATGAGCTTCGGAGACGGATACGCTGCTTTGTTAGCGGGAGCCCCGCCGGTCAAGGAAGACATCAACCCTTCAGATGCCGATCGCAATGTGGAAGACTTCAGCAGCCATTTCGCCAAAAGGCTCACCAATATGGTCAAAGGCCCACAGCTAAAGAAAGGCTTGCCTTATCTCCTGCAAGATGCACGCAAGAACCTGGACCAGCTGGCGGCAGAACCTGAAGGTATTACGGATCCCTTCGACAGCATCTACCGCATAGTATTCCAGTTGACCATGAGAACTGTGGCGTGCAAGGATATTGCGGAGGACCCAGCACTGCTAGACCAGTGCCTTTCACATTTCGAGGCAGTAGAGATGGTGTGCAATCCATCCCACCAAACCTTATGTGATCATTGAAACTTTGCTGATGAGAATAGGCGAGCACACCGTGGGCGATTATGTACCCAGTACGTCTATGGTTGATCAGAACCTCTGCTTGGAACCTCAGTCAATGCTGACCAAATACACCTACCACCTCTAGTGGATGCCCTCTTTGTCACAAGCCAAGCGCACGTACGGTGGCGCACAGCTGTATATTATATTCAAACGCATTGTCGATGCTCGTCAGAACGAGGGACTGCGCGAGGATGATCCCTTGCAATACCTCATGGATCTAGGCGACAGCATCAAAGATATCATCACCTTTGTCATTGGCGCACTGTTCGCTGGTCAACTCAACAGCGGCATCAACGCGGCTTGGATACTCATCTACCTTGCCCATAACCGATACTGGTTCGATCGTGTCAGGGAGGAAGTGATCAGCGTCGCGGACCGTTACTGCTCCGACTCGTCTTTACCGCTGAAGGAGCGCCTGATGCAGGTTCCAATCGAGGCATGGGAGAATGACTTCGAGTTAATCGATCTGTGTCTCAAAGACACCATCCGCGTGCAGACGCCCGGCACCGCTTTCCGGAAGAACATCTCGGGCCACGACATTCCGCTCAACAAGCAGGGTACTGAGGTCATTCCCAAGGACGCCTACTTAGCATACGCTGTCGGCGACGTCCACTACGACCCTGCGCTCTACCCCGATCCGGAGAAATGGGATCCATCGCGATACCTGCCGGAAAGAGCGGAAGACAAGAAGATACCGTAAGCAGACCCGCGCATACCCGACATGTGTTTGAGACATCACTGACATTTGCACCTATGGTTATCAGGTATGGCTGGATGGGCTGGGGATTGGGTCGCCACCCATGCGCTGGACAGCGCTTCGCGAAGCTGGAAAACAATGTCATCGTCGCTTTCTTTCTGGCATACTTCGATGACGTCAAGGTTGTCGACAAAACAGGCAAACCCATATCGAAACTACCTTCAGCCGAGCGCAACAACTCCTCAGCACAGAAGCCAACAAAGCGGGTATACCTCAAGTACAAGGTTGCAGCATAGGCTTCGTTATCGAAGTAGTTACTCCACGAGATCTGCTTTTCTTGCGGGACGGATCATGAACAAGTTGCGATACCAGGTCTCCTTGACCCTTTCATTGTCAATCCAAGTGTCTGTTCTTCCGGCTTCTCGGAAACCATGACGCTCATACAAAGCCACAGCATCGGGCGATGCCTCAAGATACGCTTCTGCGCCATCACAATCTGCTCGCTCGAGGCCCCAGCGCATCATTTGCGAGCCAACACCGCGTCCCTGATACGCTGGATCGGTCGCCACCATCTCTAGATCTATTGCTCTGTCTCAGTCGCAAACGCGCATTTGATCCTGAGTTAATACCGACTTACACCAATGCGCTCTTGAACCCATCAACTCAGGATGCATCCTCACCCATGCGCCAAACGTCTCATCGGCCAGCGCCGTGTCTGCGCCTTTAGGCCACTCTGGTAGCTGAGTATCGAGCGTCTGACCGGCAGCGTGGTGTCGCCACTTGCAGTAGCCGACGAGCTCGCCAGTGTCTTTGAAGACTGCCTTGCGCCAATGCGAGCCTTCTTCGTTGAGCTCATCGCGGATCATCTGCTCCCACCATGCTCGTACCTAGTAAGGAAGCATCAGCGCTTTGTCAGTCCAGAAGTGATCTCTGTTCTACTGCCTCACTGTTGCGATCCTTGGCCAAACAGCGAGTGAATGTGGGTTCTGGAAGGCCGCGAAGTATATTGTTACGCATCGCTCAGCATCAGATGACTCGAGAGGCTGCAGTTCAAACGCCATTGATTCCCACTAGAACTTGTGAAAGACGTTAGGAGATTGTTGGCGTTGATAGCTCGACGCGTGCCGTGTACGTCGCCAGGTTCGCATTGTCCAAGCCAACGATCTTATACACCGGTCCTGCAAACTTACATTACGAGCTTCCCTTTGCAGTCACCGCATGGTTAAGTGCTGACTCAGCCTGAGTTGAGACTCGTTGCATCTAAAAGCTGTTTGACCATCAAAGAAAGGCGACCATGCCATGTCCTAGCTCGATATCTGAGTGGTGAGTCTCAATGCACATATGCACGACTCTAAGTCTTCAAAACTTCTATACAGCGCAACACTATACAATATGGTAGAGCTATCAGCTTGGTCCCGGCTCCATCTGTGTCCAACCATCACTCGCCCACTTGCCAGCCTTGCTGTAGTCACCGGCCGAGCTACCTGCTAGGTACGCAAAGCGAAAGTACTCTGGTATATCACCCACGGCTTCAGTCTCTACACCACCGTCCAGATCATCAATCTCGTTCAGATCATAATGCTTTCCATGTCGATGTCTTCTCCAAGTCCAGGTGTAGTTCCCGACTCCGGTGTCTACGTCGCCCCAATACGAACGATCATCCGCGTATCCTTTAAACCGCTCAACATCGTTCACTAACACGCTAATGCCATCCCAGAAAACATCCGCCTTGCGCTCGTACTGCGGCAACGGGCCAAGGTTGAAAGTTATATTACTCGCTCCAATCGCAAGCACGGAGACTGCAGGTAGTAGCGTGCCTTGCTGCGCTCCCTGGAATAGCTCGCCGGGTGTTTGCAGGATACTATCGAACCCCCACCGAGCAATGCCATTGACGAAGAGACCGACCAGCAAGCCTTGGTAGAGAAGACTAGGGCGGTTCTGGAAGGATGTTCCGGGTAGCAGGAGTAAGGCAAGAATATAGTGGTGGATGCGCAGGTCGAGACCAGGTACTGAGATCATGACGAGCAAGGCGGCGACCATCAGGCCATAAATAAGCAGGTACCGCGGCATACGGCCTTCGAGGCGGAAAGACCAGGCTTGACCAAGAGCAATGAAGAAGATTGTGAGGATGACGATGATCAATGCAGGTATGGCCCCGGGTTGTGCTCGGATGTCATGGGGGGTCAGTCGCTGGATAGGGATCTTGTCGAAGGTCTGATTGTTGAGAGCCCCGACCCAGAGCGGCCCAAGCCAGAGGAACGTCTTTTCAACTTGTGCGGTGAGGCCGGCGAGTGTCCGCTGAACGGTGTAGCGGTACGTGACCCAACCACAAAAGCAAGCGGGCAGGAAGCGGCCAAAGGCGACCGAGAGCAGGCTGTAGTAATTGGTTAGATTGGGAGGGTCGGTAGCTAGGGCAGTCTGGAAGAAAGATATGACGAAGACGCTCCAGAAGAAGACGGCAGGGTCTGTGGTGAACAAGCTCAGCACTACGGTGAAGAAGACAGAAACAGCGAGAGCAGGCCAGCGTAAGTCTTTGCAAGATGCTCTTGTGCCCGAGAGGAAGCCAAAGGAACGCGGGAAATAGCTGTCAAATCCTACGCTTTCAATGCCGTGGTGTTTGGATGAAGTGAAGGAAGGCTGCTCGCCGGTCAAGGTGAGCACACCACAGCCGCCTTCGGCATCTTTAATGAAGCCTGCGTGTACGGCAGAGCCGCAAATGAAGCTGTCACCGCGGTAGATAGCGTTGTCTACGAGAACGTCTTCGAAGCCCGTTTGATGATCCGTGGGCCCACCAATAACGAGCGGTCGGTAAACGATCTCTTGGTCTCCCACAGCGTGTGGGTTGAGTACGTGGGTCTTGTGGCAATCGGCCGGACAACGGAATGCTAGCGAGGCGTTTGTGAATGGTCGGCATCGGTCGCCATTCAAGCCGCAGCCGTTTCCATCGTCCCAATACCGGTTGCCGCATCCTAGGCGAACGGGGCTGCCGTAGCCCGGAATGCTCGAAGAGAAGCTGCTTGCTCGCAGTACGAGCGAGAATGCCAGAAGCCAGCAGCCGTATAGCGCCACGAGCAACCAGAAGCGTTGGATCTTCTTCGGCGCATACCGATCCAAGAGTGCGAGGGGCGCATCCTGCATCTTCGCGAAGACAGGCGTGATGTGGAAGATGCGTGGCGGATCAGGGCCTTTGACCCATTCCACCGCCGCCCGCCATGCACTCTTCACTCGTGGCGGTACGCGCTCAGCAAGCTTGTCGCGCCATTGACCACGCTCAGCGCCTCCCAAATGCAGTCCGTCGAACTCGGCTGAAGGCCTGTCAGAGCCTCGCAATGGCGCGTCCGGACCAATGATGGTCTCATCGTCTGCATCGTCGTGGTATGTTTCCAGTTGTCCGTCTACGCCATTGACTTGTGCTTGCTCTGCATCTTGCCGGTCGTATGATACCATTACGCCGAGTTTGTCCGTTGGTGAACTCCAAACGCTATCACCTGTTGCAGACGGAGAAGTTTAATCGTCAATTATGATGTACGCCTGATCATATTCGTCCATATCGTGCCATGCAAGGACACCACTATTACATTAGTGAGATCTAACTGATTACGAACAGCACCTCATGCCCTGCACATGTACATTAGTGGCCCGGTATCGATGCAGGAACGGCAGCGGGCGAAGCGGAGTTCCACTCCGCCAACCTTCCCTTGTTGGAACTCGGCACTGGGCTGTTGCGGTTCGCTAGGGCGTAAGAAGCCGTCATTGAGCGAGATTAGTAACCAGCGTGTATACACCGATAAGGGCGGCCTAATCGTTACTGTTAATGTGTGTGGGTGGTTTGTTGTCATTCCGTTCATCAACAAATCGCATCATCACCATCGCTTAAGTCTTGGTGAAGTTACGATAATGGCAAGCTTGAAGGCGCAAGATGGCGCCATCGACCATCGCCCGGAGCCCAAGGACTTGACGCATCACTTAAGCAGAGCGACTCGCACCCGACAAGCCAGCTCCATCAAGCAGTTCTACAAGTACTTCGCCATTCCTGGCATTGGACAGCTTGCGGGAGGTTTACCCAACAATTACTACTTCCCCTTCGATACGCTCGAAGCGAAGGTTGCTAAGCCAGAACGATGGCAACCAACGCCCAACAAGCCCGTCGACCCACCACCAAGTGAAGATGATGTCGCGAAGAGGGTGTCGAAGCTGGGCGTCGGCGCAACCCAGAGTCCGTTGAACCAACCTCAAGGCACTGTCTACGTCCCGCATACCAGCCAGCAGAAGAATCCGATCAAGAAGATCGATCTGAGCACTGCGCTTCAGTATGGCACCGCTCAAGGCTACCCGCCGCTCTACTACTTCATCCGCGAGTTTACGCGCGACCACATGCACCCCAACTGTCCATACAACGGCGGACCGGAGGTTATCTTGACATGCGGCAATACGGATGGCTTCTCCAAGGTGCTCCAAGCCTTGTCGAACGAGTGGTCGGAGGAGAAGGACTGGATCAGGGATCGTGAAGGTCTCCTGGTGGAAGAGTTCTGCTACATGAATGCCGTGCAAGCTGCCAGGCCTAGAGGCTTGAACATCGTTCCCGTCAAGATTGATGATGAGGGTATGAAGGCTGATGGCCCAGGAGGGCTGAGGGACGTCTTGGAGAAGTGGGATACGAAGAAGGGCAAGCGGCCGCACTTGATGTACATGGTCACGTACGTACCGATTCTACAACGGCACGACGATAATCTTAAGCTAACAGCGTCCTGCATAGCATGGGTCAGAACCCTACGTCTGGCGTGCTCTCTCTGCAACGCCGCCGCGACATCATCGCGCTTTGCAACCAGTACGATATCATCATTGTCGAAGATGACCCGTACTGGTACCTCCAGTTCCCGACCTCCACCGCTGTCAACACAACCACAACCTCCGACTCTTCCAACACCTCCTTCAACCCCTCAGTTAACATGTTTGCCAACGCTGAACCTCACCCAGACGACTGGAAGAGCAGCGGCTACGCCTTCCTCGACAGTCTTGTCCCTTCCTTTATCAACGTTGACACCGAAGGCCGCGTCATTCGCCTCGACACTTTCTCCAAGACCGTCGCACCAGGGTGCAGACTCGGTTGGATCTCCGCCCAGCCTGCGCTCGTGGAGCGGATCTTACGTATTACCGAGACGAGCACGCAGCAGCCTTCGGGTTTCGTGCAGAGCATGATCGCCGAGCTCATCCTCGGGCCCGATCAGAGCGGTCTGGCTTCGGACAAGAAGCCTTCGAAAGGCAGTAAAGGCGGTCCGCTCAACGGCGATGGCTGGAAAGCTGATGGCTGGGTCCGCTGGCTTGAGGGGCTGCGCGGCAACTATGAACGTCGCATGCAGAAGATGTGCCACATCCTCGACGACGGCCGTTTCCTCGTGAAGTCCGGCCGTCGCAATAGCCTTTCCGAAGAAGCAGATGAATGGTCCGTTGTTGAGAAGACACAAATCTATTCCTTCGACTGGCCAATCGGCGGCATGTTTATCTGGCTGAAGGTCCACTTTGATAATCACCCACTGTACGCCACATACGCCAAGGCCAACGAACTGGAGCGGCTCGCGCGCGCACTTTGGATCCTCTGGACAACCAAGCCGTTCTTGGTGTTGGTCTCGCCGGGAACGATCTTCAGTCCGACACCCGAAATCAGGGAGAAGGAGGGGTGGAAGTACTTCAGACTCTGCTTTGCGGCCATCAACGAGGAGGAGCTGGAGCCGACGAGCAAGAGGTTGGCGGATGGTGTGACTGCTTTCTTCAAGATAAAGGAGAAGAGCAAGATCGAGGAGCTGTTGAAGGATGACGAGACTGCGGTGGCGAGTCAGGACGGTTTGGCCCAGTTGGCACAAATGATCGGGCCGTGCTGAACACATACACGTGGCCATACCGCTTGAGTAGTCAAGTGTATGTATCATGAAGGAACAAGCGCATGCAGTGCCGTTATGATTGACATGGGCCAATCTACACTAGCGCCTGTTGAAGTTCAGGTATCTACTGCCGATGGCCAGCAATATCAAATTGCTCCCGATAAACGCGCATAATATGCCAAAATCCCTCCATCGCTTGTCAAAGCTGATGCCAAGTGGCTCATAGAATTGATCGCCGACGCTATACGCACAGTATGCGCAGTCTGAGGTCATGTTGTTGACGATGTAGCCGGGACCGCCGTTCGCGAAGAAGCTCGCCATGTACTCTCCGCACGTCTGGCCCGCGGGTGCTGTGAAGTGATTCAGCTCTGTCTCTGTACACACCACTGGCAGTCCATGCAGCTCTGTCGCCACCAACCCCGAAATAAGCCGCGTGAACGGGTCAAGCTGGTATAGCCACACCCGCCAGCCCTCCGGAATCTGCGGCTTAGGCACCGCGACACCGCAGAAAAGGGCGAAGATGACAATAACGAAGGGGTTGAGCAGGACGGCAAAGAAGGTACTCGGCGTCAGAGCCGAGATCGTTTGAGCGAGGGTCACTGAGAAGATTTCGGTGATCAGCACGACGAAGAAGGTGTATCCGGCTCGACTGCTCGCCAAATTGAAGCCGGCTGGGTAGTAGATGGTGACAAAGAAGCCGACAGCGCAGAGGACGCTATATGGCATTTCGGCCAGTACCATGGAAAGGGCGAAGGGGAGCTGACGGTACGTCTTCGAGGCCGCCTCACGGTAATAGATCAATCTGCTGAGGTCGTACATCGGCTCTACTTGAGCCAGAATGAGTGCGGGAAGGACCGTGACTTGGAAGATGACGAAGATACGGTATTGCAGGCTGGTCCGCGAGTCGTTGAGGTTAAGGAACATAAGGCCCGTCAATAAGGCGATGGCGACATGGTTGAAGAAGCGCGTGAAGCCGTAGTTGGGCGAGCGCCAGAAGGCTTTGTGTGCGCGTTTTTGTACGATCTTGATCTGGTGCCAGAGTGGCGTGGCGTACTCTTTCTGCTCGACACGGGATTGAGACTGGACTGCTGAGCTCCTTTCTGCCTTGATCCGCACGATGTCATCTTTAGTCCGGACCAGCTCTGGACTCTCGCGCCATATGTCTGCCCAGTCTCTGTCGCCTGTTCGTGCTGTTTGACCAGCGCCGATAGCGTCGAGCATCCACTCAGCAGGGTTGGCATCGGGCGGGCAGTCTGCGCCGTTCCTAGCGAAGTAGTCAATCAGAACGTTGGCATCGCTGCCAATCTCGCCAAAGTAGACGCACTGCCCACCCTTCTGTAGTAGTAGTAGGCGGTCGAAGCTCTCGAAGAGTGAAGCGTTCGGTTGATGGATTGTGCAGAGGATGGCTTGGCCGGATCTAGCAAGCTTGCGCAAGAAGCGGACGATGTTGAAAGCACTCTGGCTGTCCAACCCGCTTGTGGGCTCGTCTAGGAAGAGCAGCAAAGAAGGGCGAGCAGCAAGCTCCACACCAATGGTCACTCTCTTCTTCTGTTCGACCGCCAAGCCACTTTCCTGGCTTCCGATAATTGCATCTGCGATGTCTTCCATCTCGAGAAGGGCAATGATTTCTTCCACATAAGCATACTTCTCCTCCTGCGGCGTCTCATACGGTTGCCTCAGATCTGCAGAGAAGCGGAGAGCTTCTCTCACCGTCTGTGTACCTTCATGCACATCAAGCTGCTCGGCGTAACTCGTGCCACGTTGGAAGTCTGCACCAGGCGGCATCCCGTCGACAAGCCTGTCTCCGGAAATGACACCGATGTTCTTTCGAGAGGCCAGTACGTCCAGTAACGTGGTCTTCCCAGCACCAGAAGCGCCCATGAGCGCTGTTAGCTCTCCCGGTCGGACATATCCAAAGACGTTGTTGAGTAGGCGGAGTTGTCCGGAATGCACCGGCACATCGTAACATAAGTCCTCCCACGTCAGCACCGAGTCAGATTCGACCTTCAGCTCCGAAGTGCACTGCTCCTCGCCTTTGGTGCGCTGCGCCTTCTTCGCTCGCAAATCCTGATTCAATCTTTTGCGTTCACTGTTCTCTTTGGCGAAGAAAGTGACCGTCTTGCCACCAGCTCCCCACTTGATGTACTCTCCAAGCGAGACGTTAGTGACCAAGAAGAAGACTATAAGCGCCAATATGATGCCCCAATTCCGCCAAAGCTGATCGGGGTAGTACGAGAACGCTGTCTCGACATAGCTGTCCCCAGTCACAACAGGCGTGCCCGGTTGGCTACCGAGCAGTGTGCACACCTGATGGTTGATGTCGCCATACCCGGGACCGTATGGGATGAGGGATGTGCCTGTGCACATCAGGTCTATCCGGCTGAACTCATTGATCATCATGGCTGCGAAACCGAGGCCCAGTGCGTTGATGTAGAAGATCCATCTCAGCCAGACTTGTTGTGACTGATCTTGGATGAGATAGCCACTCGTCAAGACGAACAAGGTGATGATGACGGCTGCAAACTTGATGGCGGAATCAAAGTCCGGGCACATACAAGCCACGGTACGGAAGAAGAGAGTGATCGCTAGATAGCCGGAGACAATGACCAAGACGAATATGAAAAATGCGCCAGCGTTGAGCACCAGCCCTGTCATGAAGTAGACGATAATCGAGAAGACCAGTATTCTTGGAAAGGCGAAAGTCAGGTCCACCGCCATCTGTGCAAGCCATAGCGCCTGATGACATGGGGTGTGACTCGTCAGCGTTGTCCCAAGCAAATAGCGGAGCGCATCAGTCAACTTACCGAGGGTCTGTGGAACGTGTAGGCTCGATGCTTGTTGAGCATGGGTCTGCCCACCATGGTATTCGCAAGCTCGCTAAAAGCTTCGAAGCAATTAAACAGCAGTGCAATGAATAGCACACCGCCTCTCGTGAACGCTCCAGCAGACGTTTGAGGTTGCTGCAGCCAAACCGTACCTATTACGATAGCAATCACGATAGATGTGACCCATGAGACTGTAAGCTCAAAGCGATCCTGCCATTTCAGGGTCGTCTGCCTCTTGATCAGAGCCCAGACCTGCAGATAGAAGGGTATTGAATACACGGACTTCTTCGATGCACGCCTTTTGCCTTGTATAACAGCCAGCTTGAAGTCTTCGTACACTTGCTGCTCTTCGCCAACCCGCTTTCTGTACGTTGACATCTCCTGGTCTCTGCGACTAGCATAGTCAGACCTTTCGAAAGCGTCTGCGAGGTCGCTAGGGGTTGATGGTACATTCGTAGCATCTCTGCCTTCCTGATATTCGCGCTCGAACGGATCCGTGCAGCCTGTCAGATAGTCTGGCGTTGTCTGGCGCGGTTTCGGCAAGAACCCAAGGCTCTCAAAGTACGCTCTTGCCTCTTGTGCAGGGCCGAAGAAGACCTGCCGCCCCCGGTCGATAACCAGCACCTTATCAAACTGCTTGTAGATGTTTTCGGAAGCCTGGTATAGGGACACGAATGTCGTGGTACGGTAGATGTTAGTGATGATGCGAAGCGATTTCGCGTAATCTACGGCGGTGGAAGCGTCGAGACCGCGCGTGCTGTTGTCGTGAGAGCAGACTGCAGCACCCGCAATCATCATCTCAGCGATCGAGACACGTTTGCGCTCGCCACCAGAGATGCCGCGCACGAACGGGTTGCCGACCACGGTATTCCTCGTGTGCTCGATATTGAACATCCGCAACAGCATCGCCACGACCTTGTCTCTGAATTCTGCTACACTCAATCCTCCCGGTCGCTGTCCTGGAACTTTGCACTCAAGCGCGAAATCCAGAGTCTGCTTGACGGTCAGCGTCGGGTTATGGATGTCGTCTTCTTGGCAATAGACAGCCTCTCCCCGGTAGCGCTTCTCGAACTCCTGGCTGGTGAACGGACCGTAGAGCACTTCGCCGTTGATAGCAGTATAGCCGAAACGTTGATTTGCCATGACTTTTAGAAAGGTGGTGCAGCCGCTGCCCGGTCGCCCAAGGACGAGCACCATCTCACCAGGCTTAGCTACGCCATTGAAGCCGTGTAAGATGTCGACTTCTTTCGCTTCCGAATTAGTCTTGAGCATACGAAGCGCGAGCTTGAATGGGTACCCAAAGAAGCCAGTGAACGCGTCGGGGAAGGTTGGAACATAGATTTTGCTGCCACCCATTCCTCTAACCGTGAGGTCCTCCCACATAACACCAATTTGCTTGCCCTTGATGCCAGCATCTTCTTCCATTCGCTTGTTGCCTCTCAACGTCTCTTCCAAGTCGAAAGGCTCGTGTTCGTCGCTGACACCGGTTGAAGCGGCCTTCTCCACGTCCTGTACCCTGCCCTTCTCGCTCCGCCTGCTTTGCTGCCGTGAAAGCATTCTCGACACATGACTGAGCTCACGCTGCAACTCCGCGAACTCCTTCTCGGCGCCAACGACGTTCACGCCGAGACTTGACCGCCCATTTGGAGTGCTGTCTATGGAGGCTCGTTGGGTTGGGATGTAAGCCTCCTTCTCCAAACCGGTCAGCGTATAGTCCGAGTCGCGACTCTGAACGTTAGTGCGCGGTTCTGAGGCTTCGAGGTCCACCTCAGTGGATGAGTAGCCACCGTGCTGGTGGGCAGGGTGGTTGAGACGAAACGCTTGCTCCACCTTCTCTTCGAACTCCTCCATCTTACAATGCGTCTTAATTTATCTTCCGCAGCAGGTAATTGTCAGCTCATCATCCATGGGTACTTTGTAGGTGTCAGACAAAGGAAATAGCGGCAATGGTCTTATTTCATACACCATACTAATCACTGAGCTTACCACGCCTTGCGCCATGCGGCGCTATTCAAACCGTAGCAATGGAGTCATACCCGAGCAGTATAGCCGGTGCCCGGCGCGGCAGCCCGATCGAATACCAATAGCCGGATGGGCGGGAGCGCCTGTACATACTGCAGGAACGGTGACCATTTCCGCTCAAGTGATGCATCGTGGAGAGCTGTCGGCGGCTGCAATTAGGGCGAAGTGCCCACCATCTGCCGAGGACCCGCAAACTCTCGCCCACATGACCCTCCCCCACCAAATCAGAAGGTGGAGTGTGTGTCTACACGACAATAGAAACAGATTGGCATTGGGATTGCGGGCGAAGCTGACGATATTGGGTCGACATGCTTGCCTCTGTATATCATACACAATTAACGTACCCTGGTCTCGATTTCCACGAGCGCCTGAACTCCTCGCTCTTTTGCTACGCTAACGATGCTGATGTTGATAGAATGCCGTTTCCAACTCCGAATCCCGTGCGCCGAGCTACAGCTTCCGGCCAAACCAAGATAGGCCCTCAAACAAGACATTGCTGACCGCCGCGGCATTGTTGCCAGCGTTGAATTGTACGCGAAGTGCGACTTCTAGTCTTTCATCTGCTCGTCGCCACCGTCTGTCATGGCATGGTCAGATAGATCCTGACTTTCGGCCTGGCCGCTTTCAGAGGGCTTATACGGGCCCAAAGCGTGTTGTGTGTGGCCTTGTCCGTTACGCGGCGGTTGCTGCGAGCGCCGACCGACGACTTGAACCCAACGCTCTGCAGAGTCGAGCGTAGCCTTACAGGCTAGGCCCACATGTTCCATCATATCAAGCCCTTCAGTAGCGAAAGCAATCATGCGATGCGCATTACGGCTGGTGTCGCTGTCGCCGCTCTGACCGTCTGACACTTTCTGCCAGCGTGCGGGCAGAGACAAGATCTGGCGTCGCACAAACTCTCGTGCATTCTCTGGCAAGGCGCCACCCACCGTGTTGGAGATGGAGAATGTGACAGTGCGAAGCGTCTGCCAGATGTCATCGCAGTGGCGTTTGATTACTTGTGCAAGCCTGCGAGCCGCGTCGTCATGGTCCGGTGTCTGTGGGCGCTGCTCACCGTCATGTTTTGGCATATCGTGCGTCTTGTGGAAATGGTCGCGCGCTTGATCGTACTGCTCAAGCACAAGCTTGAGCGCGTTAGTGAGTGTCGCAATGTGTTGCGCACTGCGCCCGAGGAATCCCAAGATATAGACGAGACTCTGTCCTGATGTTTCGCTCATGGCTACGCTAAGGCCAGACGCGGATACTACGAGCTGCTGCGACCATGTTCGATTATGTGCTGGGCGCTGGAGTTGCTTTGACCTGTGGAGCGACGCCGGACTGGCCTCCTCACGGTACGATGGTGGCTTGCTGGCTCCGTATGGCGGTAGCGACTCCATAGCTGAATCGAACGAGTCGCGACGTGCGACCGAGCGAGGACTTGCAAGGCCTGACTCTACATCCATCTCGTCGTGTGCGTCGCGTCTCCGTTTGCCTCTTCCGGAGCCGTCTCGCTCTCGCTCCGCCTGCTCGTGCTCGCTATGGCTGCGTGGCGTCAGATACCATCTGGCCACGCCCTCTACGCCTGTCATCCTCCCCACGCTACCAACCGTACTGACTACTGGCTTTGCGATGTTGCGCTCCACCATGTTCGCACCAGCTCGCACGAACCGAGGCGAATACGACTTGGTTGTGGAGTAAGCGTAGATACTGCCCCCAATCGCGCCACCGATCCATGGATGCGATTGAGTCAGTAGCTGCAGCATTGGCTCTTCTCCTTCATGATAGGACTCCTGCCGAGGCTCCGAACTTGCATGTGACTGCACGTGCACGTGCAGGGGCATGTGCTGTGGTGAGCGAGCGAACTCTGTTCAGTATTAGTCTGTGCGCCATGGCCGTTGCATATTGCTGAGCGTACCTGGATTGCCTAGACCGGCCAGTGCCTCCGCAGCCTCGCGCGTTCTCGCATCGTCACCATCTGTCTCGTTGGATGGGTTTCGGCTGAGCTCGTTGAAGCTCATGAAGCTGTTCATATCTGCCGGACTGTTGCCTGCTGTCCCGTTGCTAAGTCTTCCACCATTGGGAGGTACGTGTGTCTCCATGGGTGGTAAACTCCGGACTGAGTCCGGTGAGCCCAGTCGAGGCACGCTGCCTTGCGGTGATGAGAGTCGCTCATAGTCGGGAGATAGCACGGTTGTGATGCTCGGTAGTGTGATGTCTGACGTATGTGCTCTAAGTTGAAGGACATCCGGCGGAGAGGGTGGTGGTCCTAGATCGCTACGGAACGTACTGGCATACGGCGGTGGGTGCTGTTCGGCTTGCATGTCGATCATATACCCCTCTAGGATCAGCTGTTGTCGATATGAAAGCAACGTGGGTCGTGATGGGAGTGCCAGCGATACATCAAGGCGCCTGAGCAGAAGGAGGAGAGTGGCTTGACTGGCGATCGCACAGTGGAAGTGATACGGAGTGCACAGTGTGTAGTTGTCGGTTGACATGTGACGCCGGCCGGAAAACCTCCGTGCGTGTGGTGGTCTGTGCTAGCTTCCTTCCCTATTCGTCAGAGGGGCGAACACTGACTTGAACACTCCAAAGCCACCCATCTCCATGAATCCTACGGCAGTCAGTCAGAAGTGTACCCTTGAGACTGCGTGTCTATGGTGCAATGGATGATCAGCCTGGCTGAGATTGTAGCATAGACACGCAGTGTTACAAAATACATCTGCATGTACCTGGGTTCAGCCACGCTGGAGGTAGGTCCAACTGATGACCGAACGCTTCCGGTTCAAATGGGATGCGATCACGAGGCTCCCGAGACCCACGGTACGTGTTGGATCGTGTAGGTCCAACTCTTGCACACCATACAATAGTCGCCAGCAACGCTGCGGCCAGCACAATCGGATCTCCAAGTATCTGCCGCGCGCTGTTCCTTTGCCACAACACGCTACTCGTGGGGGCCAGAGCTGGGTTAGCCAACTAGAGGATGTTTAAGACCATGCAGCTCCTTGATTTGATCGCCACGGCACTGCCGAATCAACGCTTGAAGGTCGAGCTTCTTTGCAGCGGGGTGCCACACATGGCGAGCGAAGGATTGTATGTGCGAGAGTAGATGTGTATACCTCCTTGCAGTCGCTTCGTTTACTCATCTTCCCTCTCCTTGCTTGTAGCGCGGAAGGTAGATATCAGGCTTCTTACCATGCGCATCTACCTCCTCTTGCGTGACATACTGCTGCTTGGGCTGGCAGTATGTGGCTACGGCGCCAATGTTGTCAGGCAGGCTTGTAAGTTTCTCTGCGCTTATCAGCTTCTAGGGGTGATGCTGAGCTCAGGAAAGCAGCAAGTAGCTGTAGCGTGGCAACAACGACCATCACCAGCGCTAGCGACGCTGCGAGCTTCGCGACCGCTTGTCCTACATTCACCGGCGATGTTGCACTCTCAACCAAAGCCGCCGGCAATTTGTCCTTCGATGGGCTGGTCAATCTACAGGGCTCCTTCATTGCAGCAGGGTCCGGTCAGCTCAACAGCCTCTCATCCAACAGCCTGCAATTCATTACCAGTAGCGTCTCTCTTGCCAACTTGACCGGCTTGAAAAGGTTCAACTTCAGCCAGCTGCAGTCAGTCAACACCATCACGCTACAAGGCATCCCACAGCTCGACACATTGTCTCTGCTGCAGACGGTGCAAAGTGTCGGCATGATCCAAGTCAACAACACGCAGATTCGGAGCCTAGACGGTTTTAAACTGCAGAGCGTAGTGAGGATGATAGTGGTGAACAACGACAAATTGGTGAACCTCAACTTACAACTGTACAATATCACCGGCCTACTTCAAGTCCAGGGCAATAACCCTGCGCTCAACCTCTCGCTGCCGAACCTGGGATCTGCACACCAGTTTGCGATCTACAACGTAACCGCAATGTCCGTACCAGCGCTCACCCAGATACCCGGTCAAGCCGTGTTCATTGCCAACTACTTCACGACCTTTAGCGCTCCACTCTTGCAATTCGTTGGTGGAGGTCTTGGATTTGGACTTAACAACAATCTGACGAATTTGTCTATGCCAGCGTTGGACACTGTCCAGAATGGACTCGAAATTGCGTACAACTACAAAATGAGTACCATGGAGGGATTGTCCGCCTTAAAAACTGTAAAAGGCGGCTTGCTCTTCCTTGGCAACTTCACAGAGTACGTTATACGCTGCGCGAACCCGTGCTCTATGCAACGCACTGACATAGTTGTCTCAGCATTACGCTCCCAAGCCTCAAGAATGTCACCCAGCTCTTCAACATCACCTCTCAGCAAGCACTGTCGTGTGACTCCTTCGACACGCTTTATCAAGAGCACGCCATTTCAGGCAACTATACCTGTGCATCGCTAACCGACCGCGGCGGTATAGCAGCAGCTAGGAACAGCAGTAGTGGCATTGCGAGTAACAGCACTGTGTCCACGCTTTCTGGTACTCAACAAGGCCTGTCCAGCCCCGCAAAGACCGGTGTTGGCGTTGGTGTTGGCTTGGGAGGTGCAGCGCTACTCTTGGCCATCGTCCTTGGCGTCATCTACTTACGCCGAAAACGAAACACCAAGTCACAATCTGCAGACGCTTTACCAGAAGCAGACGGCAAGGAGATTGAACGTGCGGTCATGCTCGATGGAAACCAGAAAGTAGAGCTTGAAACGCCGGTGGCGGAGCTGCACTCGGGCAAGAGGGCTTTGGCGCAGGAACTAGAAGCGCAAGAGGGCGACGTAGAACTGGGTCGTAGTCCATCTTCGGCGGCATTGCCGCCGGGTATCGAAAGTAGGCATGAGATGCCGGCCAACGAGGTCCCGCCAATGTACAGTCCTCATAGAGAGGAGGTAGATGGTGCGTAGAAGTTACAGCGCGATCAATTGATGACGCTACACTGCGCTATCTGGGTATCTTATGCATGTCTCAACCGCCATCGATGCTCTGTGCCAGTGACCTTAGCCGCCTCGGCCTGTCGGCGTAAACTTCGATCGCGCTCGTATCTGAGCACCGTACTTGTAGAACAAGATAGGTGCAGGCAGAAACAGTACACATAGAAATGCCAGGATCGATGTCGCCCATGGAACTCCCAATTTGCTATACATTTTCGTCGCGAACAAGGGGAAGACAGCGCCGAAGATCGAGCGAACGAAAGTATTGGCGGCTATAGCCGAGTTACTGTAGAAGCCGTAGCAGTCCTGTGAAGTTGCGTTAGCGTAACGATCCAGTCTCCGTCTCAGGTGTCTTTTGCGAAGCGCGGTGAAGTCATGTGATGTGAGGTTCTCCGGAAGCTTGCTCTTCGGGTTGCCCAAAAATGCGCTCCCACTGCTCTTTCCGCCGTCCCATTGAGGAACCGAAAGTTCAGCATTGGGACTGAAACCACCTAACTTAGGAAGCATCGATAGTCGCCGATGCTAGCATAGCGCTAAGGGGATACTTACGATGATATAATTGATGCCCTGCCAAAAAGTGACCAGGCAGCCCATACCAAGGAACGCCGTGGCAATCACTTGCGGCACCCAGCTGATGTTCGGGGAGCTCGTCCATGCAAACCAGAAAAGCGACACAGGGAGTATAATGGCTCCAATGATCATTGGAGGTAGTCGTTCCTCGGGTATGGGTCTTCCGTGCTTGATGTAAGCGCGCTTGAAGTTGGTTGCGGTGCTGTAGGCCATCAGGGCTGTGCCACCCATGATGCCAACGATAAAGGCGACGAAGGGCAGGGCGGAGACTCCTAGAGACCAGCCGCGCTCGATGTGGAAGGAGTAGGGGTACTGTACTTTGTGTTAGTATAGCGGATTCAGGCAGCTCTGGCGGAACTGACCGCTTCGAAGAGCAAGTATATAACTCCGTAAAGGTAGCTCATATATGCCGTAAGTAGCGCCAGAATCGGCTCTTGCACGAGCATTACAAACGGTCGGATAAGGTATACGGTCGTGATAGTATGCGCGGTGATTCTGTTCTCGTCGGCCTTGGCATGAAGCGCCCAGTTCTTGGTTGTATACCGCAACTCCTTCGCCCGTAACTGCAGGATCCTTGCCGCAGACGTCTCAGGAATGACCAGTAGTCCTATTACGCCGAAAAGGCCAGCCATGATGAGAGTGAGCCAGGCGGTCCATCTCCACCCGAGGTAGCTTTCCGTCACGAAGCCTCCCACGATCGGTCCAGCGACCGGTCCACAGAAAGCTCCGGCAGCGAATGCACAGATGGCGTACGCTCTTTCAACAGGGTCCCACATATCGGCCATGGCTCCACCCACTACAGCTAAGGGCGCCGATGCCGAGAAACCGCCCAGAAAGCGTCCCAGCATGATTGTTTCGACATTCCGGGCAACAGCCACGGGAATATTGAAGATGGCGAAGGCAATGTAACCAGCAAAAAGCGGAACACGGCGTCCAAAGACTTCGGATGCTGGGCCGAAGGCTACAGGACCGAGGACGAAACCCTAAGATGAACCCTACATCAGCGACGTCGTTGCCTCGCGCTTGCGTATGAGGAATAGCGCTGCACGCACCAGCAGAAACAGCGCTACGCCAAGGGTGGCCGTGACCGAGCCTATGTTGAATTCAGTGCTCACCGGCTCGATGGCAACGGCGAAGATGGAGCTGGAGAATGTGACGACAAACGTCATCATCGCCATCGACACAGTGATGGCAATTCGCCGCCGAACACTCCAGTTCTTGGGATTGCCTGGGTCATCTTCACCGTCGAATTCGACAAGATTGGGGTCCTTCTCCGGCAATGGTGCAGAAGTTGGAATGTTCCGGTCTGCTTGCTTCTCGACATCATCTGAAGCTTCGGCGGCCTGCATGTTGATACCTTCCTTCTCGTGACATACAGGTTTGTCGATTGTGTCTGTATTGTTCACATTGTTCGCCCTGCTCCCTCGTTCGGAATCCAATGGCTCGCGGAGGTCTCTTGGGTCGGCTTGCTTGTTTGTACTAGTCTCCAGAGACATCGCAGGCGACTACAGTAGATGGACGTGGAAACCATACAAAGCACAAAGAGAATGCGGAAGAGGGAGCATTGCGCTATACCTACATGCTTCTACTGGCTGATCTGTGGATACCGCTTGCCAGTGTCGTGGTTGCGGTCGGCTTTAAGCTTGTTGTCTCCTAGAATGCCCTGTCTCCGTGCCGAGAGCCGACCCTTGCGGCGTTCCATCGAATGCGACAAGCTTCAGCTAAACCTCGTTTCGTATTATGAGAGAAGCTACACATCATGTCGTACTATAGAATGCTAGAGTCACTCCGTGTTGGGAAGACGCTGGCATTCGAGTCATATTGCTCCGGTGAAACTTGCCAGGAAGCCTCGATCGCAGATCATCCAACATTCTCAACAAGGGGCAGAATCACACGACTGTGATCGTCCATTGAAGTCGTTGCTCCCTGCCAGACACGATGCTGCGATATGCTGGCGGCTTAGAAATGCCACAGCGGATGAACTGTGATCGTCCAACTATACAGACAGCCTGTAGACCTCGCTGTGAGCTTCATGTTGCACAACCTTTCCAACCCTTCACTCCCGAACGCACTCCTTCCACGCCACTAACGCTTGCTCTCCATAACTGCCAGGCGCTGGCGTCTGCGCTTCGATAGCCTGCGCTAGAATCTCCAGCCCAGCTTCATAGTCCTGCCGGATCTTCTTCGCGAGTTGCGGCTGCGGTAGGTCTCTACCAAGAATGTTCTCGGCGAGCATCAAGCCGTGCCAGATTGGGACGCCGTGTAGCATCTCCATTTGCGGGCCTGTGGGTGCTGGGGCACGGGAGGGTGGCTGCAATATAATTATCAGCATGCGTACATGTTGAGCTAAAAGGAAAAGAAGGGCGTCTCTTACCTGCGCGTGCTCCCCAATACAACTCAGCAACCTCTCGGCGTACATTTTCACACTGCCATCCTCATCCTTGCCGCCACCGTATCTGTATGCAAACACAGCCGAAAGCTCAAGGAACACCCCAACCACCTCCGGCCGTGTGCGTGGGTCATCCTCCCTCAACACCGCGCCGCCTCCGTGCTGCTCACTCTCCAACAACAAACCTATCGCTCTCGCGTGCTTCAGCGACTTCGTCACCGCCTCCTCACTCCAGCCTGCCTTTTGCGCCGCGTGATGCATTGCCCACACCACATTCTCTAGCACATCCTCCTGCTTCAAGCTCAAGCCGGTCTGCTTGGATATCTTCAAGCAATGTATCACAATCTCTAAATGTCCAGCCTCCGCAACTTTTCTAACAATCCTGCCCATCCTCTCCTCCCTCACATCCCTCTTCTCATGGCCTTTCGACTTACTGACACCCTTCAGCGCCGTCAGCAGCGCGGTTAGGTTCTTCCAATCACCCCCATACTCGTCTCTCGCACCCTTAGACATAAGCTCGAGGGCGCGAACGAAGAGTTTGTTGCGGGAAGGAATCTCCTTGCGGCGGTCTATCCATGTTAGAGGTACTTCTTCGTCGCCGACAAGAGCGGTTTGAGGATTGTCGAGGAGCTGTTGGCGGTATTTCGTGCCGAAGATAAGACGACGTTCGGATTTGTGCAGGTTGGCGGGGATAAGGTGCTTGTTGCGGAGAGTGAGAAGGATGTCGTCGAGTTCAGGGGTGGAGGTTTCGGCAAAGGTTGGTAGGCCGTCTGACTGAAGTATTAGCGGAGATTGGTAAGAGGTGATGAGGATGGCATACGGTGCTTCGCTCTTTTGCTGGTCTGAGAGAATGCTCGGTGGGTCGCTTGCCGTGTCTGAGACTGTGCAGCGCGTTGTAAGCGTAGAGCACAGCGAGTGCATATGCTGGCCATTCTAGTCAACCACTCGACCAGCTAGCCGACGGTGTTGCTCTATGTCAGTGATAAAGAGTGAGGAAGATTGGTGCAGCATTTGGCTCCCTAACCGGCTGCACCACCAGAGTCTTGGCTTTGCCGAGCGCCGCAAAACGATCCATCTCCAGCTCGACTATTCTCCCACACGCAAACATTGCACACCACGTGGAAGCAGACAAAATGTCACTAGTCGCGTCACCTCTGCGGCCACTCAGCTACCTTAAGCAAGCTGTACGACAATGCCGCAATGAGCGAGAGCAATGCAGACGATACGCAACAGCAGCCGCAGTCCAATATCCTTCGCTACAGACTCGCTACCCTCCACCCTCGCCCGGCTTTCGACCCTCACAAGCCATTAAGCAGAACCGTACGGGTGCCCAATGTATCTGTCACATGACTTCACTAACGTATACATACGTGTATAGGCAGCGAAGAAGGGATGAAGCGCATCCCCGTCGTGCCTCCACCCCGCTCCACTGCCAAAGCCTGCCCCGACCCCATCGCAACCCTCACCCAATCCCAGATTGCCGTCCTCGACCCCTCCGGCGCCCGCACCCGCCTCTTCTCCCCGGCCAACCCCGACCGCCTTCAACCCGGCGATATCCTGCTCGTCCGTCTCCGCACCGGCGACCCCGTCTCTGGCGTTGTCCTTGCAATCCGACGTCGCCATCAACCCATTGACTGGGCCGTCTTACTCCGTAACCAACTCACGAGAGTGGGCGTGGAGATGTGGTTCAAGATTTACAGTCCGAATGTGGAAGGGATGGAGATTGTGCAGCGCAAAGAGCGGAGGGCAAGGAGGGCCAAGTTGTACTACATGCGCAAGCCACGTCATGATGTGGGTAGTGTGGAGGGTCTGGTGCGGCAGTATATGAGGCAGAGGATGGGTGGGCCGATGGCAAGTAGGGATGCCAAAGGGAGGGATGGGAATAGTGGCAGTAAGAAGAATAATAAGCGTGGCAGAAACTAGGCCTGCTGAGCGAAGCAAGAATGGAGCTTGCTAGGCTCGTCTAAGAGGATACGGGTGATGGCAGCACCCTGGCCGCGTCAAGAATATATACACTGGTGGCAACTCCGAACTCTTTCAGCACCCACCCTTAAGTCGGGATGCCACTTTTCGGGATCTCCACGATATTCGGGCTGTCCGCGTTGAAGATAGTCTGCGCCAGGCCGATGCGATTATGGTCAAGATCATACACCACATACGCGCTTCGCAAGAAACTGTCGCCAAGGATGGTCGGCAGCCCACTTCCATCCGCTGCTCCATATAGTCCGAACTGGCACATCTCCACTCCGTTCAGATTACCGACGTCCTGCAACACCATCTGAGCCAAGTCGACGCTGACGCTGACGCCAGTGAAGTAGAAGACGATGCTCAAATGGTACGGATTAGCAACATTGGCGCAGGGAATGATTGTATTCCCACTTGTCGAACCCAGCGGATAATACATCGCTCCCACAGCGCTCGCAATTGATCCTACGACTCCCGCCGGAAGGACCGTCAAACCAGTCCCCGTGTCGAGCGCGGCTTGCAGAGAGTATCCACTCCCTGTAATACCTGGACCATTACCGATGGACAATCCAGTCACTTCGACCATAGGCTGGAAGTATGTCACACTGCCGTCGCTGTTTGTCGTCCCGCCCACCACCGGCACGGTATGCAGTGGTGCGACGAACTTGCTCCGATCTAGCCCGCCGAATAGAATTGTGCCGGTGGCGGAGGAGAGCGAGTCGAGCCAGAGACTGTAGCTGTTACTCGCGATCAGTCCATTCGCAGCAAGATTGTGGTTCAAAGTCGGGTAGTTTGCCGGCCATCCTACGCCAAGCACACCTTGACTGATTCCTGACCCGGACGTGGCCAGCACGGCGAGCTGCGACGGAATAGACACGCCAGAAAGGGATGCGGTATCGTAAAACCACGTCCCTGTCACGCTGGCGCCGTCGATGAAGCCTGTGGTAACGCTCTGTCCGGTATTGGAGAATGTGGCGCTCAATGCGCTGGTAAACGCTCCAAGGACGGAGCACAGGATGGCGAGGGAGGTGCAGAGGGTGGAGGTCGAGGATGGTATGATTAGACCTGACGAGCCGGTGTCGAATTGTAGGGTTTGCAATTGAGGTGGGGTGCCAAGGGAGATGTCGATGGAGTAGGATGATTTGCTTGGCGACTGGAGGAGGAGTGCGCTGATGGAGCGGCGGGAGAGATCGGATGAGGAGTTGGTGTAGAGGGCTGTCGGGATTGTGATATTGCTCAGAAGATCGCCGGCGGTGGTGTTGGTGAGTAAGGCGGAGGCTGTGGCGTTTTCGTCGGCGGGTTTGTAAATGGAGGCTTGAAGGACACGCTGGGCGGATGTTGTCGCTGCTAGAGCGGCGAGAGCGAGGAATGTTGTTGAAAGCATCATGGCGGGTCGATCTTCTTGGTGGTACAAGTCGCAATGAAAACAATGATATAGCACACAAGATAGCGTTACAGGCAGCTGCGGGACAAACGAATGACTATGAAGTGAACGCACCGAGCCTATGCATAAAGAAGGAGATAACACTGAAGTGAAGAATGCGACCAAGACTTTACTGTCCATTTTCGATCAGCTCACCACACCCTACACTACGAAGACGGTACATATCGCCCATGTAGTCGACTTGCAATGATCCAATGAGGATGTATGGGCAGGGCAGGCTAGAACGGAACCGCAAGCCACGAACCGAGGCAACCGTTGCTCCCCACTGCCGCTAAAGTGCCACGAGCGTTCCAACGGGCGTGGTTGGCTCTTTGGCTTGCCGAGACAATTTCATTGTCAGCGAGAGTTTGTCTGCTTCCAGACTGGGCACACTCTTTGGCAAAAGTCAGCTTTGTGAACATCCCGTTCGCAGATGTGACGAGCCTTGGTAAGTTCCACTTACTCGCAGGCACTTTCCAAGGCTACATCAGTATTTTCAACAACCTAGCTTGTTACGGATATAGAGTGGCTGTTAGACTACAGCTCACTTCTGTTGCACGAACCAAGATCTACGACTGCAGTGGAATGAGATTACCGAGTATACCAGATCTGCTCTAGTTGATTTCCAGTTTGCGCTCTGACCTTCTACATAACCATACGAAACTTGAGCGCGTCCTTTTCGACAATCTCCTTCTCCCTCGCCATCAACTCAGGCATATCCCAGCACACAGCGACGAACCGACCAGCAAGCCAGTCTCTCTTCTTACTGCCCAAAAACGCGAAAGTATCGCCAACCAGTTCGGGAGTATCATTGAGGAGATCTATGCAGACTGCGTGTCAGCCCGAGCACCCAAATTTTCGGAATCTATATGCTTGGCTCACGGTGCATGTTTGAAGGTATGTTCTTGGCAAGCTCGGTGAGCATTGACGCTGGATGCATAGAGTATGCTAACAATCCCTGAAAGATGGGTTAACGTTGTGGTTCCGTCTCATACGCTGTCTCATTGTGTGTCCCGCTCCCTAGCGGGTTATATCCGCACAAGCGCACTTACCTGATCGCCGTAATCCTGCATCAGGAATTCAGCGAAGCGGACGACGGCAAATTTCGTCGTTTGGTAAGAGCTCGCACCCGGGGTGCAGATGTGCGCGCCCAGGCTGCTAATGGCGACGAAAGTCTTGTCGCCACCGCAGCGCAGCAGCAGAGGCAGGAAGGCCTTGGCAAGCCAATAGGTACCGCGGATGTTAATCTCCCAGGCATGCCAGTAATCAGCCTCGTTGCCCTCAAGTAGCGGTACGAAGGGTGGCAAGAGCCGGCGTTGCTGATTACAATGTCGAGCCGGCCCCACTCGCGCTCGAGTTGCTCCGCCGCCGCCGCGACGCTTGCTCGCTCTTCCAAGTCGATAATCAGCACCGTCACCGTCGGCTCTGGGTGTCCGCTCTCTGCCGCCGCCGCCTTGACCACGCCAACAAGGTCGCTGACCCTGCGCCGCAAGCCCAGTCCGATGTGCGACGCTCCGGCGCGTGCGTACGACTGCACGACCGCCCGTCCAACGCCACCGTTGGCGCCCGTGATTAGCATCGCCTTCCCTTGCAGTCCCAGCTGGGCGAGCCCTTGGTGTCAATTGCTGGATATGTGTCATGGTGTGTCGTCCGGGTGAAATTTGTTACTTATCATGTCCGTTAGTAAGGGAGGGAGGGAGAGCAACTCGGTGATGTTTGAGGGACTTCACTGGCTTGGGACGCTTTATACGCCTGAGAGAACGAGAAGTCATGACCGGTTTCAGCCATTGTTTCCCGCTACGGGGACCTTGTCTCTTTCAGAAGGACGAGTTTCGTGGATGCGGATTGTCTGTAGGCCAACGAGAGTTCAATCTGCATTTCCCCGTCTTACCTGAAATCCGCGGCCTGCTTCCGTTTACATTGCTTCACCAAGAGTTGGTTTCACGCCGTGTCTGTGTCTTCCATACCGATTATCGGACTCACGCTTGCCTTATCTGCTGCAGACAAACCCTTTCAACGGAGATATACTGTCCTACTCCCGAGCACCTAAGGAGTTACTCCGATAAAGCCGCCTTCGCACATAACAAGTACAGTGGTGCCCGTTGGAAGCGTGCTGCTGCATGTTTGTTGTGCCTTGTCTTCTTTGTGCAGGACACGGACCGACGATGGGGAAGCTGTTGCAGGTGTAGAGGAGAAGAGTCGAATAGCATTACGAAAGAGTTGGTGCTCAATGGTCATGGCATCGCAAGACAAGGTGCCAATATTTAGCGTCGGGTCAGCCTTCTTGGCTTGCATGGAGACTTCGCTCGTATCCGATTCGGACATCGAATGAAGCACTCAGTAGACAGGAGACGAGGAGACAGTGTAGAAACAGGTCTTCGGTGCCGATCCATGACTTCGGCGCATTCCCTCCGCTGGAGTGGAAGTCTCGACCATGTTTTAAGTCACTGCCCCTCGCACGCCGAAGTTCTTACTTGTCACCTCGCCCTCGCTAATATACGCTATGGGCAGCAGGTACGGTGGCACCCGACCAACGAGCTGAGAAAGTGAATATGGCGGACATATATGTAGTAAGCGTATGCGGATTCCGCTGAGCCTTTAGACTTATCGCGGTTGAACAACTTCGCGTCCTCTCCCTCTTCCTCGTAACCAAAATGTGCCGGTATGCCGATCGATCGCACGTCCGGCCTGTACGCTTCACTGACATAGCGCAGCTGGTTTGCCTATATCTCACCCACGGAGCCGTGCCTCCTAGAAGATGCCTTGGTTGCCCCCTCAAACTCCCTAGCGCGCCAAGTGCATGACCACTATCTACCGGGCCTCATTGCGCACAACCCGGATAATCTTAAGGACTCCGACCATCTCACCACCGCTCGCAACAGTTTATACAACATTGACGGCCTCGGCGTCGCGTGGTACACCTCGTCAAACGCCGACTTCGAGAAGCCCAATGGCGAATCATGCGATGGCGTTCTCCGAGAAGGCTTGTTCCCAGCCGTCTTCAAGACCGTCCAGCCACCGCTCAATGACATGAACTTCCGGTCCATTTGCAGCAATACCGAGACGAGGTGTCTCTTCGCACACATCCGCGCGGCATCTGCGAGTCCTATCGTGGCGGTGAACAACCACCCTTTCATCTTCGGTCGACATGCCTTCATGCATAATGGTGTCGTTACTAGCTTCACCGCTATAAGGCGAGCAATGTGCGCGGAGATGGGCGACGCTGCGTTTGCGAGTATTCATGGCGGCACTGACTCCGAGCATATTGCGGGCTTGTACATGACCTACCTTACAGCCGGTGGGGACGTAAACTCCTTTCAGCGAGAGTACGCTGCAGATGAGATGGCACAGGCTATGCATCGTGCCGTCGCCACCGTCATCACGCTGCAAAAGAAGCTGCTGGGCGAGGAGGCAGCTCCCAACAGCCTCAACTTATGCGCCACAGACGGTACGAAGCTTGTCGCATACCGGTTCCGAAACCACGCCACCGAACAGCCGCCATCGCTATACTACTCAACCAAAGCAGGCACGACGTTGAACAGGAAGTATCCGGATCATCCTGATGGCATCGAGAGCCCAAACCGCTATGCCGGTCTGAATGTAGATGACCACGGCGACCACCTGATTGTCGCGAGCGAGCCGAGCACGTACAAGGCGGAGGATTGGGTGCTGATTGGGAAGAACCAGTGCTTGGTGGCGGAGTCGGGAGGGAGGTTTGAGGTGAGGGATGTGCCGTATGAGAAGGCTTGGGATGCTGAGGACCCGGCGGCCTGAGCAGAGGTGTAAGGATCGGTGGAGTCCTCATTTGAGGGCCTCCTAATCTCCCTCATACCGTCCTCTGCCCACAGCTGCGTTCTTACGCTCAAGGGTAGGAACGCAGCCATGAGTCCCATTGAGTTGTCCTTTCTCCGTCGCCAAGTTGACCTTCTCCCCATGCAGAGCCTTAGGAAGCGGCTGCGGGCGTCGTCGGCTGCGGCCTATGTGCGGGCTGGCAGAGTCATCCGAGGCTGCCTTCTCGTTGTTAAGGAGCTCATTGCGCTTGTTGCAACGAGCCTTGTTCGTTTTGGCGACTCCTGCTACGCTTGCAGTCCCTGCAGAGGCGAGTCGCCGTAAGTTGCCTAAAGGGAGTGGATGTCATGTCCATGAGCGGCTCTGGTGGTCTCAAGCTGCATCATCTTCGTGGCCGATGACACTACGCATTCTTCAGACTGACAATGACAAGATAAACGCCCCCGACCAGCAATACTTTGTACAGGAGAATTGGCCAGCAATACGACTCGACCTTTCCGACTACGAGATAGATCCTGGTGCATACAAAGAGAATGACGCCGCCGCCGCTGACGATCAGGAAGTGGAGCGGTGGCAGCGCACACATGCGGAAGACGACGAGGAGGCAACGTACGAGGCAGCTGGTCAGCTTGGCTCGCACGCCACCAGGGTGCCCTTCATGGATTTGTTCATCCAGGACTATCTTGACGAGTACAACACGAGTGCAATGACGAGTACCTAGAAGAAGATGTGGCGCACTCAGCTGTCTGGCGTTAACAATTACACCTTCGACCAGCGCATTATCTATACAGTCCACATCTGTACTCTGGACCCGGACTACACCTACACGCTTGACGACGTTCACAATCCCGACCTCTTCTGTCTTCGAACGGGCTCTCCGTCCGTTGCCTAGAAGTGTTTCAGTCATACCCCCACTACGCTCAAGATCACTCCGTTCATCGACCACAATGGCTTGCCTCGTGGCGTAAGGAGAGAGATTGCAAGGCGGTCCGCCAGCAATTGAGGGGGAATGAGATTGACGCTTTCGCCTCCTCAACGAAGGCGGCTGTAACGCTCACTTTTGCCATCGCTAGGTTCCGGGGAGAGGTCAAGACTCTTCAAGCAGGAGAAGCAGTCGGGATATGCGTGGAGAAGGATCGTTCGAACATCGAACGTTGTGTGGTCCAGCAGGCAGTCCCAGTCGTTGGCGCCTTGAAGTCATTGTGTTCGAGTAAGTTTGCAATATTGATCATCAGTCAGACCGGCGGCGCAGCGTAGTTCGCAGGTCCCGGAGACGTCCTGGGTTTCATGATAGAGGTGTCTGCAAGAGGCTTCCATAGTCGTTGACGCGAGACCTTCGTCGCTCGCAAACTCGAACCAGCCTCCTGCAGAGCGGCTGTCGCATCAAGCACACCGCGTAGATCAAGCAGCAGACCGGTTGCTCGCCTGCAATCGGCAAAAGACCCGACGCTGTGTTTCGAGACTTGCGTAGAGCGTTCGCGGAAGTTCGTCGTTGCAAGGTAGCAGTCAGTGAACGCAGCGCGTGAACATGAATTACGCGTCAGTACGCGCGGATCGACGCACCACTACTATTCACTTATAGTCGTGAAGCATCATGGAGCAAGGGAGGCTGGGTGACAACGCCATGCTTCGTCAACCTGTCTGCGCTTCAGTGCTATGACCTTGAAGTCAGCAATGCATGAAGCAGATATTATCGGGGTCCACAGAAGTATCTCGCTTGAGCGGACTTGAGACAGCGCCGTAAAGAACGAGAAAGTAATGCCAATGGCACCCCATGATCGCAAGCACTCCGAAGACCTATCTCAACACTTCAGCAGCCTCCTCAACTCTGCCTGAAATTGCCGCTCAAACTCCTCCTTTCCTGGCAGGTCCTGATGGCGGCGGTACCAGCTCATGCCGCGGTCCTTGTCGAAGTTGCAGTCATTGAACCGAAGCACGTCCACAGCAGCCCGCCTGTCGACGACGGCAGCACTATTAGCCTCCAGGAAGTAGTGCCCGTCACGGAAGATCTGTCTGGCTAGGCTTTTCGGATCTCGAAGGGCCCCGATGCTGCAGTCGAAAGTCAGGGACTGGAGATTGGTGCACCCCGCCAGTAGTGTCAGGGCGCAAAAGTTCATGGCTTTGTGGATACCGCGTCCGTTGCCGTAGGCTTTGATTCTCATGTTGGTGACGTGAATGCGATGACTGCCTATGGTGGCGAGGAAGCTGTGAAGAGCGTAGGTGTTTTCAATGGCCAGATTCTGTTGGTATAAATAGCCGACAGCTTCGTCATGGATCTGCTTGCAAACGGCTAGTAGTGCCGGGACGAGCGTGACAGGCGCAGGCATGGGGGTCGAAGGCTGCGGTGACACAGGCGGCTGGTACCAGCGGTGATGGCGACGGCGCCTGGCGTAGTATGTCTTGCCATCCGCCAAAATCACGCCGCGGCTGACAGTGCGGCGATGGGCTTTCGTTTTCGAGACCAACGTCATGCCGTTGGGATCGGTCAAGGCAAGCTCGTAGACGTAATCACGAAGCTCCGCAGGCAATGATAGAAATGGAAAAGGCTTGACATTCTTCGCCCTAGCTGTCTTGACCGAACGGCCATTGGCTTTCTTTGTCGGCTTCTGCGGGCATGTAAGCGAGAGCTCTCCATCAGATCTTGTTTAGCACCATACCTTACGAGAGCCGAAGTCGAGATCTTCGTCATTGTCATGGGGAACGTATGCCGGCTGGGAGTCTGCATCAATGCCGAGCATCTGGTCGAGCTCGTCATCTTCGTCGAGGTACGAGACCTGTGCACGCTTGCGTTTCATCATCGTGGCCATAGCTGCTTCCGTGCAGATTGTATCGATGAAAAGATTGTAACGATGAAATTGATGAGAGTGACAGAGTTGAAGTGAAAGTCGACCACTCATATACCTTCCAATGTCGGCGCCATGCTGCCTAAAACACGAAGCTAGCGCGAGGCAACAACCCCCGAGCGCCTGCACTGCCACTCGCACCTTCCGTATCGACAATGTGGCGTGCCATATTGAATATAGCTATATTAGCTCGAACCCGGACGTATTGGAATGAAGGTAAGCCAGGGAGAGTCTCCGGACAGTCTCGTTCATGGAGAGAAGAGGAAGGCAAGTGTGAAGGTGAAGTCAGACGGCATTGAGGCTCGCCGAGCTCTGCCGAAACTCCTACCGTGAGCGCCTCCACCGGCTTTCATCTTATCCCCACCTCTCTTCCGACGCCGCTCGCATCGATCTGTAAACACCAGCGTGGTTCCAATCTTCGCATTGTTTTATTTTCCTACCTTTGTATGTTATCGGATGCAGTGATAAGATAGCAGGCTAGTATGATGGAATTCGCCTGTTCGTTGCCGAAGCTCTCAGGAGCCGGTGGTATCCAGATCCGGTTCGTGCAGACCTCACGTGCATTCAAACGGCACGCGAATCAGAGCAGATCTTTCAGGACCAGCGCGACCTTTTTACGAGAAGCTCCGGGCGGTGCGCCAGAGAAAGTACGTGGTCAGCGGAAAGTCTTCGACTCTGTGGATGAAGCCGTTGCCGACATCAAGTCTGGATCAACAGTCCTGAGCGCCGGCTTCGGATTATGCGGTACAGCAGAGACCATCATTGGCGCCATGGTGCGGCGCGGTGCCGACAACTTGCACTCACTTACCGCTGTCTCCAACAACGCCGGCACGGCAGTCGGTGGTGGTCTCTCGCCGCTTATTGCGGGCGGCCAAGTGACCAAGGCCATCTGCAGCTTCATCGGCAACAACAAAGCGTTGGAGAGCAGGTACCTAAACGGCGAGATTGCTATCGAACTTACACCGCAAGGTACTCTTGCGGAGAAGATCCGATGCGGTGGCGCCGGTATTCCGGCTTTCTTCACTCCCACAGGCGTCAACACTTTCGTGCAAACTGGCCAGATTCCCCAGAGACTCAAGGGTTCCGAGATTATCGAACCTGGCAAGCCCCGAGAGACCCGTATCTTTGACGGTAGGATCTACAACATGGAGACTGCGATCAAGGGCGATGTGGCAATCTTGCGCGCGCACAAGGTTGATGAAGCTGGCAACTGCCAGTTCAGGTACACGACACAATCATTTGCACCCCTCATGGCCAAGGCAGCCAAAGTCTCCATCGTCGAAGCCGAGCACATCGTCCCGGTCGGTGAGCTGAAATCAGACGAGATCGACCTACCTGGCATCTTCATCGACCGTATTGTAAAGGCCACTGCAGATAAAATGATTGAGTTCAAGACCCTCCGCAAGGAGGAAAATCTCGAGGAACAAGGCCAAAAGGACCCTGCTCTAGCCCGACGAAACCGCATCGCGAAGCGTGCTGCCAAGGAGCTCAAGCCCGGCTTCTATGTCAATCTCGGAGTCGGCATGCCTACCCTCGCACCATCGTACCTACCGCCTGACGCAAATGTTTGGATACAGTCCGAAAACGGTATCCTTGGTATGGGCCCCTACCCTACCGAGGAGGAGCTCGACCCGGACATTATTAATGCAGGCAAGGAGACCGTCACGCTCGTACCCGGTGCCAGCACTTTCGACAGCAGCGAATCTTTTGGCATGATCCGTGGCGGTCACGTCGATGTCAGTATGCTCGGTGCTCTTCAAGTCGGCGCAAACGGTGATCTTGCAAACTACATGATTCCAGGAAAGGTGTTCAAGGGTATGGGTGGTGCTATGGATCTTGTCGGCAACCCGGATGCGACGAAAATTGTTGTCCTGACCGATCATGTCGACAAGAGTGGCAAGCCGAAGATCGTCCAGAATTGCACCCTCCCGCTTACTGGCGCTCGCGTTGTCAGCACCATCATTACTGATCTTGTAAGTCTGACCGTCGAGCGCGTGAGAAGAAAGTATCGTGCTGATAAGCTTGCAGTGCGTGTTCGATGTTGATCGCAAGAAGGGGGAGTTGACTTTGATCGAGCTTGCGCCAGGCGTGGAGCTCGACGAGGTCAAGCAGAAGACAGGCGCCAAGTTCAACGTCGCGGAGAACCTTGGCAGAATGGAGTAAGTACTGACATCGAAAGTTGCAGTGGCTGTACAGCAATTCTTGTACATTTGACTGTATATATCAAAGCTTCGCCTTGGGCGTATCAAGCCCCGGTGCAAAGCTAGTACCTTTCCCACCACCGATCGCCTCAATGATACTGTCGACCTGTTCAAGCAACCAAAGGCTGCCCTCATTGCTAGCCAACCACTTACCACCCTGCACCTCCTCCTCCGCCTCGGCACTGCCATCCTCATAAGCTTTACGTAGTCCGAAGACATGGCTCACGACTTGCGGTCCCACGCCCGTTTGTGTTCGTAAGCAAGCAACCGCCACGATGGACATGAGTACACGGCCGATATCGGGGCGGTTAGGGTCGTTGCCGCCGGGGTATCCCGGGTCGGAGAACAGCGCGCCGTATTCGCCTTCGATGATGAAGACGGGTAGATCTGGGTGAGACTGTCCGAGTTTGGCGGTAAGCTTGTCGGTGAACGGGTGGTAAATGCTGTTCCAAAGCCAGTTGCCACGCTTGAGAGTCTCATCTATGCTTTGCCGAGACAGGTGTCTGCATACATACCGTCAATCACAATGGGTTTTCAGGTCAACTGGTCTCTGTTGGCTTACCGTCGTGGTTTTCGCTTCCTCAGCTCGCTTTGAACGTCCTTCGGTAGGCCGTCAAAGAAGGCTCCCAGTGAGTTGATGGTACGAGGTACCTGCACGACGACCTTAGTTTTGGCTCGAGGCACTCGCACTCATCTTGCCATCAAAGCGTACCCCATTGAGACCGATGCACTTCAGGCCAACTTCACGCATGAGCTCGGCCGTCCAAACACCGCTCTGCGCGCCTCTGCTCTGGTTTGCAGACGTCGCCAAGCCGTACAGCTCAAGTAGCGACTGCGGCGAGTTCATGGTCATGGTAACAGCAGTCTACTTTACGTCAGCGGATGATCGTACTCTAGAGTGACTGCATCCATACAGACGCTGTAAGCCATGCCGGCAAGCCGACTTGCTTTGACCTTGCATCTTTGGCTATCTTCTCATAGACGGAGGCAATGTGCCTTGGAGCAGTTGTCGTATTCGGTCGAGCGTGCGCGGCATTGATGAAAGCCTTCAACGGCTCCGACAACTTAGACATGCTTCTTTACCATACTCAAACCTTCACCAACGACAAGCAAGGGAAGGTTGATTCAAATGCAGTGAAGGTATTGCTTGGACTGGTTAGATCGAGCCATTGGAACATGACGTTCGCCGGAACTCGGCAATCAAACTGCCGAAGACGTTTCCTATTGGACGGCATCTCTTGATTTTACTTCACCTTCTACATTCACTGGTAGTAGGGTAGAGTTCATTTGTTATGTATAGAGAATGGCAGAAAAGTTGTAAGGATGCCCTAAAGATTTAACAATTAAAAAGCAACTTTTCTGCACTACGTTGCCAGCTTTATGACGGGAAGCTCTGCCATATGCGTTTTGGCACTCCCATATGGCACCAATCTGACCTCTATGGTATTACCCAAGCACCTCTTCTTGTCGCCAACTGGCGGATAACCTGGAACACTCCCGAAAGCAAGGTCCCAAGCGATTTCGCATCCTAGCGCGGTCATATACCCTGGCGTCGCATCTGGCGCGAAAGCCGGATTCGCAAGCTTATAAGAGGCAAAGGTTTTGTTATGGCCGTGGTAGGTCAATGTTGACGGATCGATCGCAATGCTCCACGCAGATGTATTGTGATACTGCCAGTCCCGACTTTGAGCCGGAGCGTAGTTTGCGTCAAAGTAGGTATTGGGGTTGTTGTACGGTTTCGGCAGTGTCGATGTGTTGGTGTTCTCAACTTGCAAGGCATACAACAACGCACCCTTGTAGACAGCAACTGTGTCATTCTCGCGCGGCTCGGTGCGGATGTCGCTAACGAGGGTGTACAAGACAGTCGAAGTACCCTTTGGCAAACTGAGCTTATGAAGTCCACTGTCAGGGTCTGGCGAGACGCAAGTCGTCGAATCGGAGTTGACCGCAATAGAGGATGCTGAGCCAGCCCATGCGGGCACACGAACGTAGAAGTCGAAGGGTGCGGCGGCATTGATGGTGTAACTGAGCGCGTCCATGAAAGGGTACGCTGTCGTACAGCTCACAGTCACTTTACCGCTAGACAATGTCGTTCTCGCGGCACCTGGGCTGAGCAAAGCGTGAGCAAAACAATTGTTGCCAACCTTGACGAAGCTGTTGGAGAGAAACTTGGGCCAGCCTTGTGGGTGGTTGACCTACATATCCATGTTAGCATCGAGACGGCAAGAGTCATCAGGCAACTTCGGTGCAGATTGAGGTGAGAAGAATACCGTGCAGCAAGGGTAGTTTGGTTCTAGCCCGAAGGTCTGCCCCCAAGTATTGACATTGTAGAAAGGCGTATTGGTGAGGTTCTGGGCATACGGTTGATTCGGTTCTGCCATGTATTGGTGAGCCCACCAATCCGGCGTCAACCTATTCGACCACGTTAGCGTCCGCCACTCCGAGAAATGATTAATTCGTGTAGAAGCTTACAAGGCAGGCAAGCTGTTAAATGCCGCAAGCTCCGCTCGATCGGCATAGTAATTGGTGCCGAGCGCCTGATAGAGGTACGACAACGAGTACATCGTCTCAACAGATGTACAGAGCTCCGAGCCAGAGTATGGGGCCAATCCCACTAAGCGTTCATCTGCAAGCACCGTGCCAGAAGACGCACCGTGGTACTGCATTGTCCAGTTGACGCCGTCCATCGCGGTCTGCACCAAGCTGTCATTGTGCGTGAAACGACGGACGACTGCAACCGCCTTCAAGCCTTGAGCGACGTTCACGCCATGCTCAAAGGGATAGTTGGCTTGCGTGAGATTGATACTGAGGATGTTCAGATCGTTCTCCATACCTTGACCTGTACAGTGACGGATGTAGTTAGTCCTCATCCATTACCCGCGCAATTGTAGACAACCCACCGAAGTACGCTTGCTGGTTGTACCAGTCTTCCCAGTTCAACCCTGCTTGGTGGAGGTAGTTCATGTTATCAAGCAGTAACTGACTCTGGTTAACAGGGTGGTGCTCAAAGAGCCACTGCAACGTTATCATCATGTCTTGACTTCTCGCCTGACCCCACGAGTACCCGTCCGCTGACATTGGGTCGCCGTTGTGATATATATACCCTGTGTAGTCGTCCGCGAGCATATCATGCATGAGGGATGTGAAGTTGTGCAAAGCGGAGACGATGGGTGTCGTCCAGGTCTTGTTGGCTTCGGCCAGCTGTATCAGACCCAGACATAACGGATACCTTGCCCAGAAATTACGATCTGTCCCAGTTTCTGGTCCAATCCAGCCATCGCTTGACTGGCGTGACAGTACGATATGCGCAGCCGAGTGGACTTGGTCTTTCAGCCTCGCGTTGTTGAGGCCATACGCTAGAGGCACCAGTCCGTTAAACCAGTAAGGAAAGCCTTCGTTAAGATTGGAATACTCCTTCTCTCCACCCAGCCAGCTGGAGTGCGCGACATAGTTGTAGAAGTCATGTTCGTGGCCAGCGAGACCGTCACTCATTAAACGCAACTGATCCTTGAGCCATCCTTTCGGCGAGATAGAACCAAGCGGAAGTGGTTTGAACACAAGCGGGACAAGCGTGGTGATTGTCTGCTGCGCTCCCACCAGCGCAGAGGCCGTGAGGAATGCAGGCAGAAGTAGCGCTAGCTTCATGGTCATGCCCTCGAAAACAGATGCGAGAAACGCAAGAGAGGATGAAGATAATGATGGGCCGTCATTGTTGGCCTCGAACTTACTTCTAGCTCTCCAAGGCGTGTTCACTGCCTGCGGAGAACGATCCCCGCCTCAGGCCAGTGTTGGTGCAGGGCTGTGGCAATGCATTCCATTGCTCAGCGGTAGTGCCAAATGAAGGACCGATCAGCGGGTACATGAGACTGCAGGTTGGTGGACACCCGAGAAGGATCGCTCTACGGCGTTGCATCATCGTCACATACCTCGTGAGCACTCAGACCTCGTATTCGAGGAGGGTCGTAAAGCTCTGTACAATGGACAGAGCAAGCTTGTCGCCGGTAGAGAGGAGGATGGAGGTTGTGTTAAGAGACTGTCGGCAAATGAGGGAAGTCGCTTCTTCCCGCACCACCACGATGGAAACATGAGTCAGCAAACTCAGCAGCCTTCTGCCTTTTCCGGTTCGTTGTACTCGAGGCATGAGGGTTAGCGGTGCCTCTTCGAAAGATTCATGGAATACGCAGAATGTCCACCTTCCCAGCTGGCTGCGGAACACGAGACATAAGCTGTCTGTGACAATGAGGTTTCAGCTTCGTGACATGGAGCGGTGCTTGTACACTATACTACAACGGTTTCGCTTGAACGCAGCCAGAAATCGTCTACAACAACCGACTTAGAGCATACCTCTACGCCATGCGCGATTGGCAAGCTCCTCGATTTCCTTGACCTCAACCGGCCCCTTGACGTTTTCGTCCGCCAGACTTTCAACAACCGCCTGCGCGACGACATCAGCCTGTAGCGGCTTCGCACCTCCAGCGCCCATGGCCCATGTGAGATTGCCACCTGTAATGCTGTTCACTAGAAAGCCGCCATAGGTCACAGCAGCCATCGGTATAGTGAAGGTCCGGCTACTGTCGTAGAGAAACCCAGGTCGAATGAAGATATTCCGCATCCTTGGAAATGTTGAAGTAATGGTTGATTCAGCTTCTCGCTTAGTGTTGATGTAGCGTCCTGGCAGTATTGGCGCACCAGCCGCGGCGGAGATGTAAGCGAAAGAAGCGACCTTTGCTCTGTCCGCCTCCCTGGCAAGCACAATGGCGGAATCTCGGTTCATGAGCTCGTAGGTCAGTTGGCCATCTTGCTCACCGGGCTCAATTGGCTCTCCATCTTGTCTCTCGAGTGGGTTGACGCTGCCTCCTCGTTTGGTCGAGGAGAACGCTCGTCTTAGCCCGGAGACAGGCGACTCCTTTCCAGTAAGTACACCTTTGTAATCTGCCTCCAGCAGTATACCCATGCTGTGTACCACGGCATCTGCGCCTTCCAGATCGGTCTTGTACGTATCGGGTTGTAGAATGTTGGCTGACCGCCACGTAACCGACTTTGACCACGGCGGTGCGGTTTGATGGGAAGACACTGACGGCCAATTTGGCTCCCCGGAGCGGCTGTTGGTCGTAGGGTCAGTATGACTGGCGACTGCTCAATCAATTTAGAGATTGTCTGCATACCTACCTAATCGACGTCACATCCCAGTCTCGTGCTACGGCGGCTTTGCAGATTCTGCTGCCTAAGAAGCCGTTGCCTCCACAGACGACCAGTTTCTTCTTTGCTGCAGCTGCGGCCATCGTGACTCGCGGCGTTCAAGCGATACGAGCTTATACAAAGCTACCCTTGCTGGACACGATGTGGGAGCTTGCATGACGATCTGACTGTCGGGTAGATCCGGCGCGTGTGCCTCGGTGGTCTCGTTGCCATGCTTCGCACACCTCCCATCATGCAACGACATCCCAGATTACCTGTTCAGGGTCAGCAGGCGCGCAACGGTCTACGTTTCCGCCTCTATAAACTCACGCCTGGTACACGGCTACCTTAGTAGCGGAGGGTCCTCGTCCGAGGGTTCCCACATATCACACATCGAGCCCGACTACTTCCATCTGAGCTTTTCCGGCCAAACGAAGATCTACGTGGTTTCATGGCTAACTCCAAGGTCATGACGAGAAACGCGATGTGCAGTGCTGTATCATTTCAAATGTTCCACCTTCCTTAGTCTCTTGAAGCCTGCTTGCACTCAGAAACATTTACAAAGAACAACGCACGCACCGTTTCTGGCTTCCCAGCAGTCACTCTGCAAAGTTGGCAACGTCAGCGCACCAGTGAATGAGGTATGTGTAATGGCGGCAGTAGCCGACGGGCACTTGAGGGCAAACTACTGAAAGTCCGCCCTTATCCTTGTATGCTATGCTGTCTCTCCATCATCACGTCCGTGCCTTCCTCTCACACCCGCATACCATTCCATAACAGCAATGCGCCCCTTCGGATACTTTGGCGCGCCTGCAGGCTCTTATTGGCAAACGCCACGACCTTGGAGCAACAATTTCGTACCCTACCAGCATGCACATAGTTTAGACCTAGGACAGATGTCCAACACATCAGCCGAAGCACAGCTCAGTGATTATTATCCATCGTCTTGTGCGCCTTACCCATATGTAGGCTATCTACGGGCGCTGCAACATCCGCGAGGGCCGGCATCATCTCAATTCGGCGGACATACTTCCGGCATGCATCCATTTGGCGGCCGGCAAGGATACGGTACCCAGCAGGCCAGCCAAGTGCAGCAAGACCGGCAACAGCATCGAGGCTTTGTCGGCGGTAGTTCGGCAGGTGACAGCAAGAAGGCCTGTCTACGCGCACACAACGACGCTCGAGCCCAGAAACGCCTTCCCGCCCTCGAATGGTCCGATGAGCTAGCTCAGCATGCGGCACAATGGGCGCAAATGTTGGCTAGCAGGGACTCCGGTATGCAGCATGCCGGAACACGCCAGGAAGGAGAAAACCTTGCCTTCGCAACCGGCTGCGGTATGGCGTTTGAGCAGGCGATACAAGCCTGGCTGTCGGAAGAAGCTCACTATGATGGCGGAGCGGTGTCTGCCGCTAGCTGTTCCGGCGGCTCCGGCATGGCGACTGGGCATTACAGTAAGTTGATGTCAGTTCGCAATGCAATTCGGTCTTGCTGACGATCATATGTAGCACAGCGCATGTGGAAGAGCACCACCCATGTTGGGATGGGCAAGGCGCAGTCAGCAAGCGGGTCATGGTATATTGTCGCCCGATACTCACCACCAGGAAACTTTATCGGTCAGAAGCCTTACTAAATGGGTTATTGCTTCATCCCTCGGATTCAGTGCATAACTGCGATAGGGTAACGGAGTTTGGCGGAAAGCAATGGGGGTGCAGCGGCCGATCTTTGTTCGTTATATGTACTGTACAGTATGCTTTACGCGTAGGCAATAGTGCCGACACGCCACTCCGAAGAGCCTTCATCGAGCATATATCGTCAATCATGCTAGTGTCTCTCCTGCCTTCCATCACGGAGCCATAGGGAGCGCGTCTTCCGCTTGAGGATTTGACCGTTCGTCTGCTGATCGATAGTCGTTACACCGTGCCTTAATCGAGAACACAGCTCCGGTCCGATAAAGACGCAACAGTCTCCGGGGGGACGGGTTTGTCTCGCTGCACGAACGCCTTAGGCAGGTCGTCAAGACTCACAGCCCGCCCAGTCCTTCTAACGTCCAATCGCGTACGTGGGTCGTCGAACTTCAGCTTGGCGACTCGCCTCGCTTGACTCGCTTGTTGCGCTCAAGCCACTTCCTCTTTCCAGGCCGGGTTTCAAAGTGTGGTGCAATCGTCGAGACGTCCTGTCCAGCTCCAAGCATAGTGCTACGCATCTTACTACGATACGCGTCGACTGTCGGTCCTAGTGTTAGCGTGATCCTGCCTACCGATGGTAAAACCAACTCACGTGACCGTTGCAAGAAAAGCGTCCGCCCGTTGAAAGTTCTTGCCTGACCCCAGGCCATCCGGTACCCAAGTTCGTTCAGCGCGACTTCTTTCGCTCTCCGGCCTTTGGTCATGCGAGGCACTGGAAGCTCCGTTTCACTTCCATCCAGCAATGGCACCTTGACGTATGTCTTGCCCACTACTTGCGCTGATCCGTGCGGACCAACTGCTTGGTCGTCTTCATCATCCCAACGCTCCCGCCCCGATGGTGAGACTTGCCTCGGAAAGTAAGATCGCGGAAAGACGGCGTTCGTCCGCAGATGCGCGTCTGGCATGTCGTCCATCTTTACTTGGTCCAACATCACGCGTACACGCACCCTCGTGCCACGTTGCTGGTCTTCCACCAGAATAAACTTGCGTCGCTTACTCTCTGGCAAATCACCGAAGAGAGCGCGTCGGGTGCCTTCATCATTTTCCTCCTTCACATCCCTTCGCGTAGTGGCTGGCATGGCAAGCGATGCCGCCTGCGGGTGCATTGGATCTATAGCATTGTGAAGTGTAGGAATAGAGGAGGAACCTGGAGCTCCGGGTTGCTGAGGGTAAGTCGGATAGAAATTCTGCGCATATCGTGGAGCCGAGGCCGAGGACGGTGATGTCAATTCATCAGCAGAGGGTGGCGCTTGGTGATGGTGTGCCGGCGCACTATTGTTGCTATATTCATTGCCGCCTATAGTGAAAGAGATTGTTAGCGGTCGATCATCGTAAGCGAGATTGTGGTGTGGCAGCAGGGGTGCGGTTGCGTAGCGAGGCACAAACAAGCCGGCCAGCGTATAAGCAGCGAAGTAACAATAAAGCACAAGGAGCAATACAGGGTATATGTGCGTGCAAAGAAAAGCGATAATGTACACAAGGCATATACTGCTTGGGAAGCCTCCTCTTTCGGCGCTGTAGCTGTGCTGTCATGGGAATCGTACAGAGGGCGTCCAACTACAAATGGTGAAACATGCTGGAAACATCATCACCACCACCAGTGTCGCTGTGATGATGATGATGTATTGGGGACAGCCCCGAGCCAAGGGTGCTTGCTCGAGAAGGCATACCTTGTGGTGGTAAACCTGCGCTCGCAGGTCCAGAAGGTCCCGAGACCGCTCCCGGCGTCAATTGCGCCTTCCGGTTATGGATCTTAGCCATGCGCCGCACTCTCCTGCTTCGTAATCGTACGTCCTGGTTACTGTTGCGCCAGCTGTCGACTGCACGCTGGATGAGGCCTCGCTTCTCGCGTAAGACTGGATTTAGTTGCGCAAGCGCCCAGCCCACTGTGTTGCATTCGCTCTCGTAGTGCAACCGGTTTCCCTTATACTGTTCCTTCCCAACGCAAGCGCGTGGGTAGACACAATTGCTGGACTTGAAGTCCGAAGGGAGCTCGTCAACGTTCACGGACTCTACATCGCATCGAATCGTGTATTCCATCTTGACGCGGTCGCGTGAGTACTCGAAAGCGATCCATTGCACGCCGGTATTGTCCTGACGTACGACGAGCGGTGTTGTGGCCGGAATGGGTCCAGGAGCTGTGAAGTATAAGCAAACGGACCGTGAACAGAACTTGGGATTCCTCACCTGGACCGGACGGCGTCTGAGGCGTTGCGCTGGGTGCCCCCATGACCGAAGGCGTCCTGGTCATGGTAGATTGAGCAGGCTTAGTGTCAATCATGCTGGGTTGGGGATGACTTGGCTGTGACTGCTGTTGTTGCGCCATGGGTGGTTGCGACGGCTGATGTGACATAAGGGCACCAGGAGCGGAGGTCATTGACGGATGCGAATGTGATGCGGCTTGGTGCGGCACATACGGGGACTGGTGAGGCATGGAAGGATACTGATAGTACATGGCTTGCGCCATTGGCGGCATTTGGTAGAGAGGACGTCCATGGGCGTCGGTCTGTGGAGAATGTATTGATGCTGGCGAATTCGACTGTGGTGTCTGATAGCTTGACATCGGCGGATAAGGCTGGCGGCTCATTGCCGTTTGGGTTGCCATGTCGTTGGGCTCTGGCAGACGTGTTAGCCCAGAGTCAATAAGATCGTCGCATGGCCTTCAGAGCGCATTTGAGAACGGGGCAAGGCATTTGTGAGCGGGAAGGGCGCGGCTCACCCGTCGAAGCGTAGCTACCGGCTGCACTGTTAGTGCTGTACGGACTTGGGTGTGCTCCGAAGAAGCTGGTGTCTCCGGGATGTTGAGGATGGATACCAGGAACAGAGCCAATGTACGGAGACTGATGCTGCTGCGACAGGCTGGCGGATGACGAATGTGGCGATATATACGACGCTTGAGATGCTCGAAGGCCGTGCGATTGATGGGATGTCGGAGGCTGATGTTGCTGGATCAATCCCACCGATCGTGGATGTTGAAGAGGTTGAGGTGGCGGAAGAGCCTGCTGGCCGGCATTGGATGCTTGATTCTGAAGTCACGATTCAATCAGTTCTATACTCGAATAACGCGAGTGTTTAGTTGTCGCGCGTATGAGGCGTTTGTTTGTTGCAGTATCAAGGTCACGGATCCTGGTCCGGGCAGGACGGGAGTAAGAGAAGTGTACCACGGGTCGGCAAGCCCACGGCGACAAGGGCAGGGAAGACGAAGAGATGTGATGGGAGCTGTCAGCCTGCAAGTGTGTCTCGGAGGGGTACGGCGGGGGAGGTTCTCCACAAGCTGTTCATCAAAGCTTGACATTCTTTTGGGTGCTGATCAAATGTGGCGACAACGGTAATGAAGTGCCATGGACAATCCAGGAAAAGCCTGGATGCACAGAAGATGCGTTGTGCGCTTTCTGCTGTGCGTACTGGCATGGTGAAGGCGGGGCGTGAAGCAGAGATAAAAGATCATTTTGCGTTGTGCTTCCAAAGCTTCGGCGAGCGACAGTCTGAACAATGCAAGGGAACATGGATGATGGCGGCACTGAGGCTCGAAGCGACAGGGGCCGGCAGTGGAGCAGCGGACGAGTCGGAGAAAAAGGGTTGCGTACCATGCCGAGAGTCCCGAGTTGTAACGGACGGAGAGGCGATCAGGTCTGGCAGTAGACGCAGATAGAGCAGCAACGTTGTGCATGCAGACGAAGCCAAGGGTCGTCCAGGTCCAGGGTGAGCGCCGATTGACACGCCGGCGGGCTTTGGTGCTTTCGTTTGGCGTGCGCAACGGGCGCGCAGCGGATGACAGGGTTGCAGGAGCGAAGGACGAGGGTGCGTTGGGCTAAAGGCAATTGAGAAACCGAACAACTCACCTCGCGCGCGCGTGTACCTTCCCCTGGATACTTATCGTAACTGTCCGCTGGCGGTGCGCGTCGTGATGAGGCCATTGTCAGGCCGAGGGACCGGTTGTAAAAGGCTAACAACAACAGCCGTGCGTGTTGATGATCGATCATCTCAGCTTCGGTAGCGTGCCAAGGCTATGGTGTTTCAGCTAGCGTGCGTCGAACCGACCCAAAAAGCTCCGCACTTGTCAGTTCAACGCGGATGCAGGACCACCACCTCCATCTCCCCACATAGACAGGCCTCGCAATACGATGCACTATTGCTCACGCCAGTCCACCAATCCTTCTGTCAACATGCATATCTGACAATTGGTTCTACATCCATCGTGTTGGTGCCCTTCGCGCATCAGGCTTCAAGATAAGGCTGACGGTGGCCGGCACGCTAATATGCACGGTAAATGAAGGCTGGCACGCATCTGTCTTCGCTGACTGCCTCACAATGCGGCGACAGCCACGATAGATTTGGGAAGAGTTTCTGCACAGTGCACAGTGCGTGATACAGCCTTACTATCTTTCGGACGGCAATGGAAAGTGGACTTGGAGGCCCAACCGCAGATCGTTACTCCCTTGAGAAACACGAACCAATCGCACTCACTGCTCGCATCGTGACCTTTTCCCTGATATTGGGCCTCGGTTGTGTCGCTCTAGTGAGTAGTAGGTGACATAAAACTGTTGCAATCAAGCAACGCTCTCGTCTTTGACTTTGCAGCGGCGCGTTGTTTCAAGCAACGGTTTTTGTCGACAACGCAAGCTTTGCATTTAACGGTCACTAGCGTTGATCCACTCTGCCGCAGATGATGGTCACTCCTGCCGTCTCCACAGCTCATCTATCGGAGACTCTGGAATGTATGTGTGCTCTGCGAATATGATCGCGCGATGGAAATCTGCCAATGGACGGAGCCTGTGCGTCTCCTGCATTGCAGGCTCACCCGGCTTACCCAGACTTTCCTGCATCAACATAAGATTGACCTTGTGTTCCAATGCACGTCCGCGGTGCTAGCGTGTCATCGCTTATGGAGCCAATCCGAGCTCGACATCTATATGGCTAGAAGCTACAACGCAGGTATACTCGAGATCGCCTCGGTCTGCCTTTTGCGGGTCCGGACATCGGTCCAGAAGCAGTTGACGAGCGATCAACATATATTTGAACTTATCAGCTCTCCCGTATGAATGGCTGGAGCAACATGGCCGTCTTCTGCCAACCAGACGGGATGGTCTCCGTCCCCGGTACGATGTGCGAACAGGGGCATTGCCATTTGTGGAGAATGCCTGTATCTTCGCCAACGGCGCCCATGTTGCAGACCCGAATGCTGCATGACTGCTGCCGAAGGTCTGCCGCCCACTTCCGACTTCGTCGTTTGATTCGATCTTACTGAAGTGTAAGCGCGCCGGGGAACAGCAACAGCTTCAGGAGAGTCCAGTCTTGTTTCTGCTACGGAGCGATCAGCATGCAATGGTGGTGTGATTGTAGAAGCAATGTCGACCTGCGGGAAGACGCCACCCGACCTGCTAGTCTGTCTCGGCAAGTGATCTCTCAAGCCTAGCACGTGGAATCCTGGCAGGCCACTTCGCTATCGAAATCCATCCCGCAGATTCCCGCCTCTTTCTGATTCGCATCTGTCAGCAACCTAGCGACGGTGTGTATCCGTCATTAATCGTAGGCGGAGTGCAAGGTGTATTGTCCCCTAGTATAAGTGCAATCTGATGACCATAAACCTACATGACATAAAGGACCTACGTGTGACAATTCCGTCACGGAAGTTGAAGTTGAGCCTATCTCGCTTATGACACCGCAGCAGGAAACGAGACAGCGCTAACCGCTTTGCGGGATCGTTGCAAGTCAAAGACAGCCGTCTGGCAATATTCACATGCTCTTTATCAGGTGGAAGGCTGGTCTCCTTTGCGGCCTTCGTGCCGGCCATCCGGTAACCTATCCGGATGCGAAGACTGGCGGCTCAGCGATACCAAAGTATCGATGCGACCCTTGGTGGCACCGTGACAATGAACACAATGGCGAATGCAATCGTCTCAACTCCAATCTCCTTTGGTGTACATGCGGGCCTTTACGACTCTTGACATCATACGTTGTTCTTCGTGTGACTGATTGACATCCGCGTTGGCGGTCCCTTTTCCACCATCGTCGTCTCACCGTCAAATGTGCACAGTCAGTACTCCGGCCGTGGGCGGAGATCGTCAAGGGTGCTCACCACTGCAAGGAGTTGGATAATAAAGCCAAATATACACATTGGCGAAGGAAGATCTGCACTTCGATGGTGGAACATAGGCATGACTCGTGACCTGTCCCTATCCAGGAGAGCAGCACCGTCCTTAAGGTTCGGCGGTCAGTCACAGACTTGCAGCCCGACGGGACCGCTTATATACTTCCGAGGCGTCAAGCTTCTCAACGGTTATCATCCTTATTATGACGGGCGCGCAGGTTCGAGGTCAGTTGACAGCCGTTTCGAAGTCAAATGTAGTGCAACGGCCCTAGACGTTTCGATCGGTTGTGCGTGATGCAGGACCACGGCTTGTATATACCACGCTCGGCCGGACAGCGGTCTCGGAGTTTGCAGACAGCTTGCACTGCATACGTGCCTGATCCCAGGACTCATGACTGAGCGAGTATACAAGAGAGTAGCGCAGCCTCTTCAGCAGTTAGCACGTCCGCTTGCCGATTGCAGAACCAAACTATGTTCTCAGAGACGGCGCGGTTACTCGAGCAAGCATTGACGGATCCTACTGAGGTAGTGAACGAGTGCTGGAGAGGGCAGAAAGGCAGGGCGCCATTATTCAGTGACATGGTGCGAATCATACAAAGTCAGCTACCTTCCCACGCAAACTCGACGCAAGAAACTCCATATACTATACGCTCGCCAACCTAGGTGAGTCGCTCCTGCCAAGGCCATCCGTCTTTCCTGAGCCTTTGGGGTAGTGGAACGCAACAGCATCCCAACAGCGGTCAGCTATTGTCAAGCGAGCTTGATGCTTCACTTTATAAGCCCACCTTCATTGGTCCTCTTCGCTCCACTCGTCACCTGCATCCGAGTCAGTGGAATCTTCTTCTCCGTCCTTACCTCCGAACACCGGTCCGTCAATTGGCTCGGTGCTCAATACGTCCAGGATCTCATCCCCTCAATGACCAAGATCAGCCATCACTTCGGCTTGGGGCAGGCTCAGAAGCCACCACCGAAGAAGTTGCCATTTCCCTGCAAACACCGAGTCTTGCGTGGGAAGTTCTGCATCGGGCGCCAGTCCGTGCTGCTGCTCCAGGTTCCTCTTCGCATGCTCGTGATACTGCAGGTAAGTATCAAGCAATACGACACTGTCGGTCAGTTCGTCAAGCTCGGCATCTGCATGCAGGAGCAGAACTTTGACGGCATCGAGCGCGAGCTTGTCGGCATGAGCGGCGATTCTCAAGCGGCGCCTCGAGCTTTCACGCAACTCCCGAAGCTGCCGCAGTTTCTTGATGACTTCCGGAACGTCGTTGATGCAGGTAAAGTCCCGTGCGCATATCCGGTCGACGTCCATGGTGTAGCCAGCATGGAGTTCCCTGACGAAGAGAGGCAGGCTGTGATAGATCAGGCCCAAAGCGAGATATTCCGCCTCAACTTGGGCAAGACACTTACTGAACTGAGTATGGCGATTCTGAAGACGGTTGAGCTCGGGCACCTCGGAGGGGCCTGTAGGTCCGGAAGTTCCTGGGAGCATCTTGTAGGATATCGTGCTGTTTCTTCTCCAACTTGTACTGTGCGGGTGGTAATTGTGTCGAACCGGATGCTATAATTCTGAAGCATAAGAAGAACAAGCAGCAGCATATATAGGCCTACGAGCAAAGCATTGTCTGCCGGCTGCCGCAGTGCATTGTGCTCTTTGTGCTCTAGGAAAGGGTGCGGTGCGCTCAGGTGGTGCCTCACTTGACGGCCGCGCTGCTACTGCCTATCAGCTCGGCGTCATCTCACGCTTGGAGGAGCATGATGCACTGGTATATGGCGACTGGCTTGTGTGACTTTGCTCAGGCTACCTAAGTCCGACATCAGTCTAACCGACCATCTCGCCGCCGATGACGGACCAACTCATGACGCTCCCGTGCGCTTTCACTGCTTCCTCCAGCTCTGTCAGCATTCCACCCACCTGCTCCAAGAACATGGTCAGCCCCTCGAGAGTGCTGATTGCCAGCTCAGGCTCGACGCTGTTGAGTTCCGCTTATGCGCTTCGTAGCATGTCGGCAACTGCCTTGAGCACGATACCATGTACGCTCTGAGGAGACGATTCGAAAGCATAAACGCTAGTTCTGGTGTGAGTTGTACTGAGGCTGTGACTTTCCCGCACAACTGATGGTATACGCGAGAACCTTTCGGCCAAGGCTTGGTATTGCGCAACGTGCTCGTTCTGAAGGTTGCGGCAACTGTCCAGATCGGCGCGTATGTTTTCTCGCGTGGGTGGCGGCATGGCGGTAAGCACAGTGTCAGCGTATCCGATGGCCACGATTGCTGGGCTGGTTTCTGAGAAGGTATCTGCGGTGAGTGTGTAGTAAAGGAATGGGGCAAGAACAAAGGACAATGCCATTGACGAGAAGTTCACGTGAGGCAAAGTTCACCTCTGTCGGTAGACTTACGACAGAAACGCTTGTCAGCAGCCCTGAAAGTGTGATTGCCGAGATAGGAGACATTATGCTTGGTCGTGAATGCAGCGTTGTTGGCAGGGCACAATATGTCCACATTTCTCTCTAAGGCTAAGGGATAAGTGAAGAGCGTGGACAGTCGACGTGCACATGGCATTTGGAGCTCCAGACCAGCCTTCGCGAACGGTCCTCTAATACCTCACCATTGAGTGTGAAGTCTACAGCAAGTAGGTGGTGTCGCCAAGAAGGAAGTGAAGTTTGTGCTTAACCCGGCCGTCATGACCTGATGTCAGTCAAGGCCATGTGCGTGCGGGGGGCCAGCCGTATAGCGCAGTCACCATTGGCACCTTCAAGGGGTACGGTAGCGTACCAGCGAGGTCGAAAGGACAATCTTGTATCAAGTAGCGGCACCCGAACAGGAGGGAACAGCGTGAGTAATACCGCGGTTGAAGTTGATCGTTCCGTACGGAGCCGTTTCCGATTAGCTTGACATAGATTAGTCCGCGGTTGTTCCTTCCCGACTTGCGGGTTACGCAATGGTTGTCTAACACAAGGTCCACCAAGCTCCATTGTAAATGCAAAACGAAAAATCCACAGAACCCCGACAATCTGCTGGCAAGTTAGACCGCACATTAACCAGGTGTCGATGGCCGATCTTGTAATCGTAAGGCTACGTGAATGGTCATGCGAAAGCTGCTGTGCAGCTCCGGTAGCTGCGTGTGGTAAACGTGACCATGCATCCAGTCCATGGAGCGCTCCTGGGGGCCGCATAAGATTTACATAGCTGTAGACGCCGGAGCCGACTGAGTCCGCTGACAAACACTCGGCCTCATTGCCTATGGGATGATACGGTTCCGGAGGCGATGCTGACAACTCAACTCTCGCATGGCACTCCGAAGCGGAGAAGTATGTGTACCCGTCAGGCTACTGCATCCGCCGGCGGCTCGAACGGTGGCCATCGGCCGTGGAGCTCACAATCGGCCTTTCCCTTTCGCGGTCACGTTCCCGCTCTCGCTCCCGCTCACGGCCATGTCCATGGGTGGACTCCCTGGTGGGTGGCAAAATCCGCTCCGCTTGGCTCGTCGGAGACAGAATGGCTGAAGAGGCCGTATCAGTTCGTACTCCTTCATCAGGTCGTCAATAGTACTTACGTCGACCATATTGGTCATAGCCAGGTATCCCGTACGTGCTGCGTTCATTAGCAGTGCTCATACTATGATATGACCCGGCAATGCGAACCTTGGCTGAGGCGGGCCTGGCATAGGGTCCCGAGGATCACGCGCGGGTACAGAGACTGTGGTAGCGGCCGGGCTCGGGTAAGCGTACCTTGGATCAGCGTAGCCGGGCGGCTCATTGGGGTACCGGAGGTCTCTTGGGTCACGAAGATCTCTTGGGTCACGCGGATCCCGGCTTGAGGGTTGAGGCTGTCCATATGGGCCGCTTGGGAACTGTGGTGGCTCTGACCTACTAGGTATGCCTGGCGCAGGATTGTACGCAGCCGACACTGGCACGAAGAAGTCACCCTGTCTTACGTATCCCGGAGGTGCTCCGTCACTGGGCTGCGGTTGGTAGCTTGGAGCATACCGTGGCTCAGGTACATATCCGGAAGTTACTGCGGGCCGACCGTATGGCGCAGATATGGGATCCTGCGGCGGGTATACAGGTCTACTGTCCGAGGGATAGCTTGGCCTGTCCACTGGGTATGCTCGGCCATCGGGCTGGTATCCGCGGTCTGGCTGACCGTATCTCCTGTCGGATGCAGACACCGCCGGCGGGTCTATATCCATCCGATCGTTGTGCGCCCTGTCGATCGGCATTCTACTTGGCATCCGGTGGTCTCTGTCCCGCGAAGAAGGCGGCGCTCCATATGGGCCATCTACTGTGGGTGAGTCGCCGCTACGCCGGTCCGGCCTCGCACCAGCAACGGCTGCTTGATATGTCGACGACTGCACGTAATCTGTTAAGTCTCGGTCAGGTACTGTGATCCCTGATGAGTCGTGTATGACTGGACTGTTGCTACCTCTTCCGCCTAGCACGCGCTGTTCCTGCTTCCATCGCGCTGAATCCGCACGCAAGTCCGCTATCATTGCCTGACGCATCGTATTAGTACACGGCCTTGCTATAAGCAGATTGAAGCCTACAGTGGTCAGATTGCGGTACGCCTTGATCCAGTAGCCATGGACTCCCTGTCCGTGGTAAGCTTAGAATTCCTGGGCACGGTTGGGTACCCTTCCTATCCTACCTCATTCTCGCCGGTACCTAGACCTGGCCGAACAGTCGCATCGTTTCCTAGGTAGCGCTGGATGTCCGCGGAGATCACATGGCGGTCTATACCGTCTCCGGGTATGAACCACTGGCGGGCTATCTCACGCGCAGCCATGCTGCAAACTGTACAAATGTATAAAGGCGGCGCCAAACTCCTGTTCCAGAGAATAGACGATCAAAATCTCGCTCCTACCCAGGCTGGTTGGCTGGCCTTGTTTCGTACTCAGGGCTGCTCCGTCTGGCAGGCTCCAAGTGTACCTGTGGCAGGCAATCCGTGGTCTTCTCCGATATGGTTCGGGCTGGCGATCCAGACCGGAAGGCTCGAGCGATGGGACGCTCTGTGGGTGCAAAGCGAGTCTCCAAACCGACGAGAGATTCGCGCTACGTATAGTCGACGTTGGAGTAGGTGGAAAGAGAATGAACAAAGCGCTCTTGAAAGGCTGAGCCTGGCCGCTAGCGAGGGGCAGTCACACCCACAGAGCGCTCAGACTTCCAGGAAGACCTATGATTGGCTACCCAAGGGCCAGCAGAGTCAGAAAACCGGGGTCGGATTCGCCGTGGCGTTCTCTATGGTGAGTGTTGGTTAAGCGCTTTACAGCAGAGTCTCGAAAACCACGACGGAAAAGTACTTCCGCGAGCAGGGGATAATGCTCTGGACCGTGTGAGGAAAGAGAACTTCAAGTGGGAGAGGGAACGAAAGTGAAAACTTCGTCAGATCACGGTCGGATCAACGTGGCAGTCGACGAGGCCTTCTTGGGCTTATTGCTGCCCAATCGAAAGCCGCTACCGTTGGCCAAACGGGCCATCATCGTCTCAACACCACATGCATCCTGCTTGCTGCCTTGCCGCTCGCGACAACGACATCCATCGCTCTAATGACCGTCCTACCATGCTGCAAAAGCGTACACGTGTATTGCAGCACGGCATGCCGGCGCCAAAAGCAGGCTAAACATTATTGTGGTACGGCTTCTGTGCCTACTCGACTGCAGTAACACAGCATGCACTTGTTACGCAGCGACGAGCCTTCGTGTAAAGCTGCCATTTGTCACTAATTTAGCAGCACAGCACAAGTGGTAAGCCGGTCTCGCATTGCAGACCACAAATTGCAAGCAGATCCAGCGCTATCGGATGCTTAAGTATTGTTCTCGTTCCGCTTAAGTACGCCCCGTTGCATGAAAGACATTGACTGCTTTGACTCTGCGGCAGCGCTAATAGGCAAAGATCGTGTCGAATAGCATCGACGGTCCCGCGTGCGCTTAATCGCACATGTCAACCTGGCTACGTTGCATCATGTTGTTTTGGTGAACGAACTGCCAGCCAATACGGAGAGACATCTACTTCGCTAAAGCTTGGCTCCTCCATCAAGTACCCGGATTCGAAACTGCCATCTTGGAGCATGAATGTGCACTTCCTCACCCGTCTTGGTTTGCATCGCAATGGCCACCTCGTTCTTCGTTAGCTTCACTAGCCGCCCTCGATCTTGATGCGTCAAACCACCGCCATCAGTCGGGAAGAGCTCCACCATGGTATCAGCTTCGATCTTGAGCGGGTCGTCGGCGTCCACAAAGAGCTCTTTGTTGGAGAATTCGGCTGCAAGAATGAGTGGGACGCACCTTGCAGCGAGACTGGCTTAGGTGCTAGAGCTCTGGCGTCTCGCACAATGGCCACGAAGCGGCTACGCCAGCTGTAAACCTCAGGGTAGAGTGCTTCCGGGAGTTACTCTGCAGACGGCATCAAATCAGCTATGGTCCAGTCGAATGACCACAACCCTATCGACCAGTAAGCCTACGTCTCTGTATTGCTATGTCGGCATCGCGTACCCTCGAGGTCGGCTAAGCTGGGTTTACTGGTGCCAGCAACCCACTCTCTGCCATGTGCGAAGAGCGAGTCTGCGATACCCCAGCACTGGCAAAGGTTCACTAGGTCTTCTGGTCGTTGCCTGACAGCTTGCTGCATCGTCCAGTCGTCGGTATAGAAGCCTGCCCGATCCTTTACGAACCGCTGATTGCTCAATGCAGGATGAGTTGTAGGCATAGTCTGAACTGCTTTGTAGAATACCGACGCATCAATGCTGAATTTGTTGAGCAGCGCTGCTGTCCTTCCAAGCGCTGTATGATCATGCGGCTATCGATATAAACGTCGCGACTGACCGCCAAGCACGGACTTCGGCATTAGTTGACGCCCAATTCGTTCTGTTCCGGCCGTGGGAGCATCTGCAGCCGGCTGGATCTGCGCCCATCGTCAAATATCAGACGCTTCAACCTACGGCCTCACGTACACACTCTGCGTATGCAATATGGCGAAGTGCCAAGTACCAGCAACATCGTCTACCGTATGGTGACAGCGGATAGTGAAACAAAACGAGCCCGTCTGGGACGTCACCTTGCATACTGGGCGGAATGCTCGAGCCGCGACTGATCAGTGTCCAGGGATGTCGATGATACGCCGTTGTCTTCACACGAAGCACAATACACCGCGCAGCGGCGATGCGGCAGAGCCTCGGTCGAGCCCACTCTTATTGTTCACGGCCAGTAAACACAACCTGCAAGTACCTCTAGATGCGTCCAGTCTAAGCATGCTACAAGCGAGTAGCGGTTCAATACTTTTGCGATGCAGACACTTATAGGAGCTTGAAACGAGCCATTGACCTCTACCAACTTTACTCACGCAAGCCTCATTCCTCAATCAGAACGCCAAACGCCCAGCCAGCGGCCACTAACGTGACAACTTCGTTGCCTCCGTTCAGTGCTAATCCGCACTCACGAGTAACACTCGGCTCGCTTCTAGTACGAAGCATTTGCTCGCACCGGCTTCGACTTCTTAGAAGCGCCGACTTTCTTCAGCGCCTTCTTCTCGCGTCTTCGGACATAGAGAGGCTTAGCTGCAATAGCAGCCAGTAGCTCCTTTTCGTACGGCTGAGTCAGAACACGAGCTGCTTGTAGGTTTGCCTGGTTCTCGAGGTCAGTAACAAGTTTGGACAGGACGCTGACTCTGGTTTTCAACGCGGTGAGGTTGCGGTCGGCTTGGGAACTGCAGTAACGCAGGAAGGGGAGCCTGTCCGGACGATGGTGGAAGCCTTCGATGATGGAGCACAGCTTGTTGATGCTAGTCGTATCAAGGAATGCATCCACGGCTGCGTTGCGGTGCTCCGTTGTGGCAAGGACCAGGTTTGCGACGTTCGTCCCTGCCGTGGCTTCCACATCATCCAGACAAACGGACTTGATCGAGTCGAGTTTGGCGAGGGCCTGCTTTGTGTCAGTAAGGGCCGTGAAGTACAGATGCCTCATGTGCTCGGTATCGTACTCTGTGACTGGTTCAGCCGTAGCCTGCTCAATCCAGTACTCGCCACTGGTGCGCTTGCATTCGTCCACCAATCCGCAGACGCTATCTATGAAAACGAACGCCGTTGATTGCTCGTCGATCTCGTGGACCACCTCGACAAGCGAGTGGCCGCAGATGTGGACGGTGTGGACGGTGGTGAAGGCCATGGTGTTTCGATTAAAGTACCGGATGGAACAATGTCTAGGAATTGGTGAAAAGCCTTGGAAGACCAGAAAGGTTTGTCTGGTGTTGGTCGCCGGTTTATGAAGACTTGTTGCGAGATGCTGAGCAAGACTGTGGTCCTGCGGCGCCTTTCGCTGCTTTTATGTAGGCTTCCCATGCGATGGTCAGCATATTCACTGGTACAAACAACGGAAACAAAGTCCACATTATACCATTGTACGGAGGCTGACCTTTTTTGCAGAGAAAGGGTGCGACGAGTCTTTGTCGCCTTTCAACCATCGCTCTTTGTTGTTGTTCGACACGTTGCGGTCGCCAGGCAATGATGTCGTAATTTAAACTGTATAGGTAGAATACTGATGCGGACGTCGCTGCTGCTAAATACGGACCATTATGGGGCCATATATTGATTGGACTTGAAACCAACTACTCGGAGACGGTAAGTACTTACCCCAGCGGTTATGATGAGCGTATGTTCACTACCTGTCTTTTCACTGCGGACGACCGCAGGAGGGTAGAACATTTGAGACATTACTCCTCGAAACTGCTAGCATGTTTTTCATGCAATTGTACAACGTTCGACTGATCACTGCCGACACACTCAACCCATCATCTGAATCAGAAACTAGCGCGCACAGATCAGGTATTCCTCGTCACAGCAGAAACGGTGGGAAAGCGTGAAGGAGTATATCGGGCATTACAGCTTCATGTATATGAACTTCTATTTCCAAAGGAGCGTAATGAAGTCAAAGGCGATGCTCCGTGCTCGCTTTTGTGTTACCGTTGCTTTCTGAGCTTGGGGTTCAGTTCTTGAAGAACCTAGTCGCCTCCCGTTTAGCACGAGACGTCGATGGTCCAGTCTCGGTTCGCATCCCACAGGCCGAACGAAGGCGAGGCAGGCGAGTCCTGGTAGCAGTACTGCAAGAATGTTAGGGGAGCATTTAAAGAAAGTAGTATCGCAACTCACCCAGAACAAGTGGACAGATTCAATGGCGGAGCAACCAACACTCTTCCAGTAAGCCTGAGCATTGGCCTGAGAAGGCTGGGCAGCACCATAGTCTGGTCCAGAGACTGGCCAGCCGGTCTCGGTCACCCAGACCCACTTGCCAGGGCTGATGGCGTTGACCTGGTTACGGGTTGCATCCACGGATTGCCAGAAGGTGTCGTAGGCGCTGCTAATATCGCTGGATTGGAAGTACGCTGTTCTCAAGTCAATGATTGCTCGTTCACGGCAGCTAAGTCACACTCACGGTAACCGTCCATGCCAATGAAGTCAGAAGCGACGATAACATCTGTGTTGGCGTTGTCCACCCATGCGGTCCAGGTGTCGACGTGGCCGACCTCAGTGTAAACGCCCATGGCGTTGACCATGCCCCTAACATCGTAGATCTGCTGCGCGAGTGTACCAGCGTCGGTGTCGCCACGGTAGAGATCTTCCGACCCAACGGAGATAGCGAGAATCCAGTCGCTGCCATGGGCGTTGATGGCGTCAATCAGGGCCTGCTTCTCCGCCGCGTAATGACCCGCATCCTCTGTCCAAACGCCAACCAAGATCTGGGTACCAGTGTTCAAGGCTGCAGGGACAGCGTTGGCTAGGGTTCCGCAATCGCTGGTGGCGTAAAGGCGAACGCTCGTGAAGTATTGTGGTACGCTCTGAAGGTCGTTGAACGCCCGCTCCCAGTCATCCTGCGATTTGCAGCTGCCATCCGGGTTGTTTGCACCAACATTAACACCCTTCCAGTAAGCAGATGCGAGAGGAAGGGCGGCCGCAGCCAAGGTAGCGAAGGAGGAGAACTTCATCGTTGCAAGTAATATCCTATAAGAATAGCGAGTGACTGAAAGGATGAAAGCCTTAGAGGAGACGTCTGTACAGTAGGTTAAAAAAGGTCTGCAAGATCAAAAAGACAAACCTGCTCAGCTCTTCGAAAGTTCTGTGTGGAAATAGTTCACTATTTACGAACGGCCTATTGACGCATGCGGAGAAGGGATGCGTGGGGCGCAGGTCCCGGAAGAGCTGATTCGTGCGGTCGCCGCGGTGTGGCACCACTTGGCAGGGGTAAGTCGTCTGCTCCTCATGAATACGACGCTGGCTTGCGTCATGGGATCTGCTCCCGGCCTCCATGTTCCCATCTTAGACTCGTTGACAACGGAGGCGAGTCCGTACTTGATGAAGCGACTCCGTACCTGACCTCGTAATGAATACGAGCCGTACAGATCCTGCATGCTCTTTTGGAGGAGTGAAAGCCAAGCAAACGCAAGCTCCGTGTTGGCGCATATAGATCGTCAGGTACAGACGAAAATATGGTTTACGTAAGTTCGAAGGCGTGGCAAGGCGCTGCGTCCAGAACGTGACGTGGACGGCTCCACTAACGGTCCATCGCCAAGGCTGCTGAATACGTCCATCTCCCCCACGTTACAGTTCTATCAATCAATGTCCACGCATTCCAATCCATGCAATTTGGTTCTGATCATACAATGACAGACGGTTCTTAAGTCTCCCTCGTTGTGTAAGCTACCGCAACCTTCAAAGTGGCACCGGGTAACAGATCTGAAGCTGTTGCATGACGGTAGATTTTCAAAAAAAAAACAGTACTTGGAACCTCACTCTACCGCGCTGATGATCGGATCGCCGTAGAAAACTTCTCACTTGCCATAGCAGCTGTAATCACAAGTATGCACCGCCGACTCATCCATGATTGTACGATAGTTGTACTTCGCACAGTCCTCAAAGGTACCAATGTTGGGGGTTGTCTTTGAGCGCTCCAGACGGCCCTTGGAAGGACCATCCCCACCGATTCCGGCACGATGGATCATCCACTCGATATCATTCGCTTCCGTCAACAGGTAGTCATGAACGGCTTCGTTATCTTTATGCTGACCGTCATAGCTGCGAGCGACGATATTCCGAAACGCCCAGAGACTAACACCAAGAGAGCCTCTGTACGGCCTGCCTAGTGCTCCAGCTTGGTAGAGAAAGCGTTTGACCCCGTGCTTGCGCATTGAAGGGACGAGCTTCTTGACGAATGCTGTGCAGATCTTGGTGGTCTCTTGAGCTTCTCTGTCGCCGAGCATCGCGATAACGTAGTCGACTCCCTTGACGAGCCTGTCGGTGTCAACCTCGTCGTCGGTGATGGAGCCTTGCACTACTTCGAGGTTGCCACTTGGCTCGGTCGGGAGTTTGGAGGGTGTCCTGACAAGTGCACGAACGTATTGGCCATCTTGCAAGGCCAAGGTGATGAAATGCTTGCCGGTTCCACCTGTCCCTCCTAGCACCAGGAAGGTCTTTGACAGCTGCGTCATGTTCTCGCCTTGCGACGCTTTGTCGATTGAATAACGAGCTCGGCGTCACACGAATGCTGTTTAAGAAATGCGAGCAGCGTCAGCAATGGATCAACGTCCTGGTACAACAAATCTCTGACCACGTCACTCCGTCAGCTTCGCGATTATGGGAACGATATAGCTAAGTCTGATATCATCAGTAGAAGAGGCAGATGCGCTCCCTTTTATGCTCATGCTGCACGGTCCCGAATGATTAAGACCACCATGGCTCTGGTGGTTGCTAGTCCTCGTACAGGCGGTGACAACAAGTGACTTGCATGTAGTAATTGCGAGGGCAGGTAAGAGCAGCGATTCTGGTCAAACATGCGGATGAACATTGGCTAGATACGGTCGGAGTCCAACCCAATCTCGTATATACTGCGAACCGCGCACGGCCGAAACGATCGTGCGGACAGTCTCGGTGCCTCGCTTCGCCGAAGAGGTCATTGTGCAGTACCTCAGGTGCGGGCAACCATTATGCCGCGTAGAGCTTCACATGGAGGTGAGAGCGTGCGATGCTTGCAATAGTTCTTCCCTGCAAAAGCCGCTCGGGTTTGTTGCGTCGGAGAGTGCCGGCACGAAGAACTTGACTTCACGCCGCTCATTTTGCGTGTCCGCACAGCATGGCCTGTATTTCACTTTCTCCTCTTGGACTTCAGCTTCTCATGTCTCAGGTTAGGAATGTTCGCGTCTGAACACTGTTAGCAGGCTGTCGTTATACTAAGCAGGTGTCCTGCTAAAGGTTGCAGAACCGAGACTCTATGATCCAACAACCTTTACGCGCCACCTGGTCCGCCAGCTTCTACCACTACATTTTGATAAGTGGATCTAAAGTGTAGAGTCATGGCGAACTGAGCATCGCCGAATGTGCTCGTCAGTCACTAGAGCAGCGTGCTCCGGAACAGCACACTTCTGGAGAACAAGATGAATATTCCAGGGCGGAGACCTTCTCGAGGCGTGCGTCTACCGCAGCCTGCAGAAATGGTGGATACAGTGTAACATGGTACAGTGACATGTCATCCCTGGTGTATATTCACATATCGTTCTCAATTCACTTCGCAAAGCCAGGCAGGCACGCTAGTCTACCGTTGCAGCCGGTAACACCACTCAAACATCGCCAGTCTTCCGTATCCAATTTCTTCCAGTGTTTCATGCCGCAAGCAAATTTCACCTGCAGTCATACTTCCTCAACAATCCTGCTGATGTAGCATGCTGTGGTGTAATCGTGCCATTACACGCCGATCGTACAGCTCGATCGAACTCAACTCAGCGAAACACTTAGCATGGCGCCTCGGAAGGCTGCAGCTATGCAATCGACGCCAACGACCACACGCCGCAGCGTAAGGTTGGCGGAAAGCAAACAGACCGACAACACCGCTCATGCTTCCGCAATCTCCACCAACAATCGTGTGACGAAGCGCAAAGCTGCCAAAAAGCCCAAGCCGGAGAAGTATGACTGCACCACCTGCGGTCGCACCCTTGCATCATCTTCTTTCCCTAACCATCTTGCAACTGGAAAATGCGTGCATCTCATCAACACCTGCAAGCGGTGCACCAAGATCTGGATCGCCACTCAACTAGACACGGTGACCTACGACAAGCTTTCCAGTCCGGAATGTCCTGAGGTTCTGAGCAACAAAGACGTCAACCGCTTGGCGGCGAAGGATGTGCATGCGAAGTACGACAAGTTTGAGCGCGCCGGCATCGCAGTGACGAGTCCCGGTTGGCGTTGGTGCCTGAATCCGAAGTGCCGAGAGGGTCAAGTTCATCAGTCCTTGCTCGACTCTGGCCACAGGGCAGATGGTGAGGTTTAAATCATCGAGGTCATGAAGAACGGTAAGGAGGTCACAGGTGAGACTGCTGTTTCAAAACCCAAGAGCAATAAGAAGGGCAAAGCCAAGCCCGACGAAGACGACATCTGCACTTGCAAGGCATGCGGCACCAGAGCTTGCGTGCCGTGCGATCGGCCGTACCATGAGGGTGAGACTTGCGCTCAGTATCAAGGGCGCAAGGAGCGGCAAACGAAGATGGATGAGGAAGCAACCGAGAAGACCATCAAGGACGTCTGCAAGAAGTGCCCAAATCCGACGTGCGAGATGAATATCCAGCGCTCGTCCGGCTGTGACAAGATGACATGTAAGTGCCGAAAGAAATAGCGTTGGTTTCACTTGAGTTTGTGCTGACCAGCAGCTACAGGCACGCAATGCAGGACCGGCTTCTGCTGGGTCTGCCTTGCAACGTATTCCGCTACCGACCAAATCAACCACGGCAACAGATGTGTGTACGCTGCGCCGGGTGCTATCGATCCGCATGCGGCGTTCGCCTGGCCAGAGGACGGTGGAGCTGGGAACTGGGTTGGCCCGGTCAATGGGCTGCAGCACTTCCAGCAAGCGGCCGCTCAGTTTGTCGAGCATGCCCGGCAACTGCTCGGTGAGTAAAGACATCCAGTCCTTCTCGCGACAGGGTGTTTGTAATCACGAACGAGTGCGCAGGTCGAGTTGGTATGGCTTGGAGGTAGATTCATTGTGCGTATGAGCACTTAGTGGCAGTAGCAGGTGCCGCGACTTAGCGTTCGTGCCGGAGGATCCACGTGTTACATCCTGAACACTCCAAACTTCGTTTCCTTCTGCTCCACACTTCCACCCATCGCTGCTTGTAAACCCATGCCGAGCACCCTCCTCGTATGCTCGGGAGGAATCACTCCATCATCCCACAGCCTAGCTGTCGCAAACAGCACATCGCTCTCCCGCTCGATCCTCGCCTTCAATCCTTCATCCACCTTCCTACCTACCGCTTTCATAACCGCTTCCAGCTGCTCTGGGCCCATCACGCTCGTCTTCGCTGTCGGCCAGCTCCAAAGAAAGCGCGGACTGTAAGCACGCCCGCACATGCCGTAGTTACCAGCCCCCGCCGAACTGCCGATCAGTACAGTAAATTTGGGCACCTCCGCACAAGCCACTGCTGTGACCAGCTTGGCGCCGTTCTTGGCTATGCCGCCCTTTTCCGCGTCCTGGCCCACCATGAATCCAGAGATATTTTGGAGGAAGATGAGCGGGACGTTGCGCTGACAGCAGAGCTGGATGAAGTGCGCACCTTTGAGGCTGGACTCGGAGAAGAGGATACCGTTGTTGGCGATGATGCCGACAGGGTGGCCATAAATGGTCGCGAAACCTGTAATCAGGGTGCTGCCGTAAAGTGGCTTGAATTCGGAGAACAGACTGCCGTCGACTATGCGTGCGATTACATCATGCATTGGAATTGTTGTTTTGAGGTTAGTGCCCACGATGCCGGCAAGCTCAGCAAGGTCGTGGATTGGTTCGGTCCAGCCTTTTCTTCGAGACGCGCTGTCTGATGTCGGGTAGTTGAGGTTGGAGATGCACCTTCGGGCGAGGACCAGGGCATGAGTGTCATCGACAGCAAGATAGTCTGTCACGCCAGATACTTCCGAGTGCAGCTTGCCGCCTCCAAGCTCCTCGGCGGTGACCTCTTCACCTGTAGCTGCTTTGACGAGTGGCGGTCCGGCAAGGAAGACGGTGCCTTGTTCCTGCACAATGATGCTTTCGTCGCTCATGCTGGGCACGTAAGCACCGCCTGCAGTACAAGGTCCCATCACAACGCTGATCTGCGGGATGCCCTGCGAGCTCATTCGGGCTTGGTTGTAGAAGATCCGGCCGAAGTGATCTCGATCGGGAAAGACATCCGCTTGATGAGGCAGATTGGCACCACCGGAGTCGACGAGATATATGCATGGCAGGCGATTCTGGAGCGCAATTTCTTGCGCTCGCAAATGCTTGCGGACAGTCATAGGATAGTATGTCCCGCCTTTGACACTCTGGGCTGGTCAGCAAAGCGTCGCGGGATAGGCAAGCTTTACATACGTGCTATCGTTGGCAACAATCATGCACATTACACCCTCTACCGCTCCGATCCCAGTTACCATGCCGGCGGCGGGAATATCTTCCTCGTACACGTTGTGACCGGCCAACGCACTGAGTTCAAGAAAACTGCTGCCTGCATCTATCAATGCTGTGACTCGGTCTCGGACCAGCATCTTGCGCCTCTCAATGTGTTTCTGCCTTGCCTTCTCAGGCCCGCCTTTCGCTGCTTCGGCGTGAAGTTGAGCCAGCTTGGCCGTAAGATCTCCCATTGCCTCGGCATTTTGCTGGTATATCGTGCTGCTCTTGTCGACAGCGGTGGGGATTATCGACAGTTGGGCGGCGTGGTCGCGTGCTGTGAAAGTTGCAACCCTGCGGCGGCATTGCCGGAGATGCTGTGCCGTGTTGATCTTCCGGCGTGGCAGATGGTACACGCTGCGCAGTAGCGGACGAGACATTGCACTGACGGCCATATCAGCCTACATGGTGATGGTGGACGGCGTAGGTCCTGGGAGGAACAACGACCGATCGACATCCACGCTTCTTGAGCCGAGGCTAAGCGGGCGTGTGGGGATCTCCGCGTGGGGAAGGCACAGCGTCTACTTCGAACGGTTCCCTCCTCCCATATAGCATCCCGAGCGGACGAGGGACAGTAGGCAATATGGCGGCTCTGCGAGTCCGAGCAGCACTACTTCGCTCCGCCGTCACTCGTCCAGCTCGCGCATCTCGATCTGTCTTCTTCGCCGTCCAAAGCCGGCATGCATCGACGCAGAAGCACCCGAAGGGCTTCCGCCCACCCTCGCCGGACGAGCTGGAAGAATTGCGCGAACGCACAATCGAATTTGCGCGCCGAGAGATCACCTACGAAGTCGCGCAGTCGACTGACCACCAGAACGAGTTCCCTCACGAGATGTGGAAGAAGCTAGGCTCAGCCGGCTTGCTAGGTGTGACGGCTGATGAAGACTATGGCGGTCTATCAATGGGCTACCAAGCGCATTGCGTCATATTGGAGGAGCTGAGTCGGGCCAGCGGCAGCATAGGCTTGAGCTACGCCGCACATTCTCAGTTATGCGTGAATCAGATCATGCTTAATGGGAACGACGACCAGAAAGCCAAGTATCTGCCAGGCCTAGTATCAGGTGATACAATAGGTGCGCTAGCTATGTCGGAGCATGAGGCCGGTTCGGATGTGCTTAGCATGCGAATGACGGCCACGAAGAAGGACGGCGGATACGTCTTGAATGGCACCAAGATGTGGATCACGAACGGGCCCGATGCGCATGTTATCGTTGTATATGCGAAGACGGATCCCGAAAAGGGACGAAAAGGCATGACAGCGTTCCTTGTAGAGACATCTACCCCTGGCTTTAGCGTAGCCCGTAAGCTAGACAAGCTCGGCATGAGAGGCTCAAACACGGGCGAGCTCTCCTTCGACAATGTCTTCGTACCGGCCGAGAATATCTTGGGGCATGTAGATGGTGGTGTACGAGTGCTCATGGAAGGTCTGGATCTGGAGAGACTGGTCTTGTCAGCCGGACCACTTGGCTTGATGAAAGCTGCTTTAGACGTCACAATACCGTACGTGCACGAGCGAAAGCAGTTTGGTGCTCCTTTAGCGACGACGCAGTTCATTCAAGGTAAGCTTGCGGATATGTACACGAAGTACCGCGCCTGCTCCGCCTTCACGTACTCCGTTGCCCGAGCGATCGATGAGAGCTACCAAGACCCGCAGATCAAGACCCAAGATTGTGCGGGAGCGATCTTGTATGCTGCTGAGCGGGCAACCGAATGCGGCATGGACGCTATCCAGTGTCTGGGCGGTATGGGGTACATGAACGAGATGGCCGCCGGCAGGATTATGCGTGATGCGAAGCTGTATGAGATCGGAGCTGGGACAAGCGAGATCCGGCGGATGGTGATCGGGAGGGCCTTCAACCGAGAACATGGGCTCAGATGAGAGCGCGCAATCAGTATGTGGAAGCAAACGAAGGCTTTCTCTCAGAGGCACCCTTGCAATATCTAGGCAACAGCATTGCAGAGCTGAGCGTGGTGCTCGCGCCGAACTTTGTCGCTCTGAGGAAGCAGCATCCATTAGGTCTAGAACTGGCAGCCGCCTGGGACAGCCCCTTGGCGAGGTCCGTACGATTGATCGAGTCAGTTTGGCGGCAGCACTCAGCCTGCGTAAGAGGCGTTGCACGAGCGGGAAACACGATGCCGTACTATTTGGCGAAACGAACGAGGAAGAAGTCCGCAGTTGTTCAGAGCACGTGAGCCGGACCACGTGAGCCGGACCACGTGAGCCGGACCACGTGAGCCGGACCACGTGAGCCATATATGACGCTATTTGAAAGGGAAGCTACGACCGGTCGCACCTAACCTCATCCACCGAGGCAACTCGTGCCCAAATGCGTTGCGATTCATTGCGCCCAGGTCCGATAGACGGAATGCATATGCCAGCACTCAAACGCCGTTTCGCCGCCTATTCGACTCAGACTGCGCATGGCGGCCATGGCGTAATTGACACCATCACGACTCCAGCTCGAATTTCGCCTTTTTACGCTTGCCTGCCGAGCCCGCCGGCCCCTTGTAGCTCTTGACTTGGATCTCGCCAATAGAACTTGCAAGCATACTGATAAGATCATGGGCCAGCTTTGGCACATCGACCAACGTCTCCGCGAAAGCTGCACTGTCCATGCACATTGCAATGTTCGCCGTATAGCTTTTGACGATCGCTGCTCGGAGCTCGAACGCAGTAACTTCGTGGGCAACGTAGACGTGCGTGGCGATCTGGTCGATGTAGCTTGGGTATCCCACCCCGGCCGTGAAGACCTCAAGGAGCATAGGGAAGTCGTTGGCTATGCGTGAGTAGATGGCGGGCATCATATACTTCTATGCCATCGCGTAGAGATCGACAATCTCCGTGACCCTTTTGGCTCCTTCATCGGTGCAGGTCACTTCACTGACATCGTAGCCGTTATGACCCTAGAGGACCAAGATCATCTTGTACGTGGCTTGAAGGTTGCAATCGTCTTTTAACTCGATCTTGGTCGCCCCAGCTTCCTGTCAACGGTTAGAGTCAGGTCCACCCACCCGTAACGTTGTACATGCTCACACAGAAGTCGCCTGCAAGAGCACGACGGAACCATTCGCTCCCTTTCACCAGCACGATCCTGTGCGCTGGCAGCTGATGGCCACAGTAGAGTATAATGATGTCGGCGAATCTCGAGGAGGCGAAGTCACTGCGGAAGCCGCTCATGTCAAGGTGAGTGTCTGTATTGAAAGGCATCATGGCCGCCATGCTGACTGCAAACGCGATGCTTGGCGTAGAGTTCAGTGACTGACTTGAGAAGACTGTAGAGTGAGACTCGCTTGGCAACAAAGAGAACCCAACCTGCTGGTCACCTGATCGGTCACGAGCTGGCAAGCTCATGCCTTCCTTTCTCGGAGCTCACCTGACGGTGATGCTATGCAGCACGTGTACGCCTCCTTAGCAGGTATATTTTTGCTTATGCTCAATGGCAAGTGCGACTGATTTGCATCCAGACGTTGATACGAGGTCAGCCGAAAGTGGACTTTACGGCTTGTACAAAGTATTGAGCGTTCCGCAGCAACTCTCCAGTGTCGAAAACCTCGCTCCCTGAATCGATTCTCCAGTTGGGTAAGACACTGAACTCAGCCGGGTTCACTGATCTGTAGTGCATTACACGCTCTCCTTCTTTGGCGTTGCAGCTTTCGCTGCGGCGCCCTCGCTAGTTTCGTCCTGGCCCGGGTTTGCCATCTCGTACTCGAGAATCTTGATGAATTGGTAGAAGCCAACGGCTGCGATAGCACCAGCGGCTGGCCCAACCCCTAGATCACTGTCAGTGCTACCGAGTGAGAGGGAAGCTTCAAAGCGTACAGTATATCCAATGCTCCTTGTCAAAGTGGCCTGTAACTACGCATGGTCCGAACGAGCGTGCTGGGTTGAGCGAGCCTGTAGCTTCATCAGTGCCGGTACGTGATGCAGCCCATCTTGCTAACATACCGCCAGTGTAATAAACACCGACCAACTCTGCCACGAACAGAGCAAGCCCAATTCCGACCGGCGCCATGAATGTTGCCTTGTGCTTCTCCTTTGCCAGCATGAATATCGTGAAAACAAGCTCCGCGGTCAGTATCGCCTCAATGAAAACGCCACGTACGAGCGACGTTGACGCCGACAGCGTCGTTCGCACGTTGAAGGATGTTGGGAACAGAGTCTTCACAATGAAGGAAGAAAATATAGCACCAGCTATCTGCGCAGCGAGCAAAAGGAAACCGCGGACGAGGCTGACGCTACGGACCATGAGCATGGCCAATGTGACAGCCTAACCACGTCAGCGACAGTGTCTTCCCATATATTTGCGAACATACCGGATTAAACAGCCCGCCAGAGATGCGAAAGAAGATCCAGACATTCACCATCAGGCTGAAGCCGAAGGAGATACCGACGTACAAAAGCACAATTGGACTGAAGCCATTAGACTGGTTCGTAGTTGATTTGGTAGCATCTGAGCTGCCGATGTTGGCCACCTGCGTGCCTGCAAAAGCAAAGAAGAGGAACATTGTAGTCCCAACGAACTCGCCCAATGTGGCGACGAAGTCTGTCTTCCATCAGCGCGTTGTAGTTAGTGAAGAAGAGGAGGATGAACGTACGGTTCTTCAGCGAGCTGTTCATCCACATTGTCAAAGGAAGCCTGAGCATCTCCTCCGGTGGCGGTGAGTCCCTGTTCTGTACTTCTGTCTTGCCTTTCCGTGGCGGCTCGTGGTCATCGTCATCCTCGTCAGAGGCTTCTTCCCACTGTGGCTGTTGACGTGGTAGTCTATGCGGCGGAGGCGGGCCTCGAGACGACGGCGGCTCTCTGACAGAGTTTCCACGTCTGTTCCGCTGTCTATACCACGTGTCGTCACCATAGTAGTCATGTCTAGCCGGCCCACCATAATCGTAGGACATGCGGCCGTACGGTCTTCGCTCATCGCGCTCATCCCAGGCATACTCGGTAGGGGGTGGACCCCAGCGCATCATCTGTCTTGACGGATGGCGTGGTGGTGGTGGCTCCTCTTGTGGGTCGTAGTCAAGTCGTGCTGCATAGGATTCACGCGCGGCTGGAGAGTTCACCTTGGGTTCCAAAGGGTGTGGCGCTGATCTGAGCAGCCCTTTGCCGCTATCATTCGACGGCCTCATGGCATCCTCGCTTTTGCGTTGGCTTTCAGGTCCGAAGGATGAAGGTACTGCTTGGTGTTGCGACATTTCGAGTGCAAGTGCTCACTCGAATCGGTACCTTCAAAGCTGGCTTTTGGGACGAAAGCCAGGTACGATATTGATGAAAGAGAAAGGTGACGGCCACAAAATCAAGGTGTCTTGCACACGACGATGTAGATATCAACATTTGGGAGTGCCAACATACTTGACAGTCTCACCTTCAAATCTTAGGCGCTCACTGCAATCTTCTGGAGCGGTAAGTGCTGTCAGCGCGTGCTTCCATTCCCGCCAGCAGCATGTCGCCGATCTCTGCAACGCAAGCAGAGACGACCATTGTTGCTGGGTGTACCATGTATAAGGTAACCCCGTCAAGCTGCAAGAGGTGCATAATCAAGGCATAGCCTGGCATTCGGAAGCTGTCGCTTGCTGTTGGGCCAGTAGGAGGCTTGTGCCAGGATCCGAGCTCTCGCAGCGCTAACAGTGCTGTCGTTTCATCGCTCTTCGCAAAAAGCGCAATGACGACGCACCACAGCCATGCACTGGTATTTCAAGTGATGAGGCTAACACGCAGGATGTTGGTGATGCAGTCGAATTAGTGGACCGCACGGTCATAGTGCGATGATCGTGCAGTCTGTCGTACATCGTACTTGGGATACTGACACAACATGGTTGGTGGAAGGACAGTTCAGGTGTACTTTTACAAGCTATCGTTGGGCTCTGACCGTGTGAGAGGTCGGTGGGAACAGGTGCAGAATGTTAGTCGGCAGGACCAAGGAGAATGAGGTGCTGGCGTTTCGATATGAAGGAGCGCAAAAAGCGCGAGTCAGCCATATGAGTCTCAGCACAGACCCCTACGGCTTGCCAGCATGGAGCTACAGCGTCATGGACCAGTGCAGAGACAATTGCTGTTTCAACCATGATCCTCTTGTTACATTGAACACTTGGTGTCCTGATCTAAAATACAGCGACTGGCGGAACATTGAATTATAATTTGAGGCTGTCGCTGGCCTGTGACGGTCCGTCCATGCCTTGGGCAGCCCCTTAGGCAACGTCATTCTTCTCAACAAAGGAGTCGTCCTTCTTGTCGTCAAACTCGCCTGCATACGGTCGCGCCTCGTTACTGTTGTCGCCGCCAGCTACGGAAAAGCGTCGGACTGCGGCATGGTAGCCGGGACTCTTCGGGGCAAACTTGACATTCTCATAGAGCTCATTGACCTGCTCCAAAGTCATGTCCTTTGTCTCGTAGACCATGAAGTAGATCCAGGCAGCACTATAACTGATATCAGCTCCCAGCCATTCATATCAGAGTCTGATGCTTACGCGATCCAACAAAATCCGCCCCATATCCAGAACACATTAGAGCCGAGGTTAGCGTAGTTTGCACCCTCAAGATACGGCGTGATGAAAGCAAGAAGCCAGTTGAAGAACCAGTTCTGCAGATTCGTCAGTGCTTAGCGGCTACTCAACACCTCCAAGCGGACTTACTCCAGCCGTTGTCATACTGAGACACTTCGCTCGAACCTTCAATGGGAAGATCTCGCCGGTTACCACCCAAGCACCTGAAATCGGGTCAGCAATATCCATCAATCATAGCTCCAGACATCACGTACCAGGGCCGAATGTCGATGCGAAGAAGAAGATGTAGAAGCAGATAAATGCGAACTGCGCCGCCGCCGACGCCTGGTTCGTTATTGGCGTTGCAACTCCGCAGGCGGCAACAATGTATTGGGTCACCCCCATGCCAATAGCGCCGGTAAGCAAGACGAAGCGGCGGCCGAACCTGTCGATTGCGTAGAGGCCGGGGAAAGTACAGAGCACATTGATGACGTTGGTGATGACCTGCAAGATGAATGCATTCGGAAGTCCAGAGCCCGGCGAGCTCGCGAAGTAGCTCGTACCGTAGTAGAAGATGAAGTTCTGCAAAGGGTGAGCACAAGGCGGTTGTCGGATATTATTGCGCGACTTACAACACCAACAAGCTGCTGAAGAGCTTGCAGAACAACACCGGTAAGGGTGCGTTTGCCGATGTTACCCCTGAAGCAGTCGATGTAGCTAGCCTTCCCGAGCGAGTTCTCGTACTCCCAGTTGCCGTGGATCTCCTCAAATTCGCTAATGAGCGCTGGATGTTCCAATGGCAGACGGCGTAGGTACTTGAGCGATTTCATTGCCTTCTCGTCCCTGCCCATCTTGATCAAGTAGCGTGGCGTCTCTGGCAGCGCAAGCATGCCGAAACACTGCAGAAGCAATCAGAGCGTGTCATACCATGACACGAGGCTCTTGAACTTACGAGTATCAGACTCCATGCAAACTGAATAGCAAGCGGGATACGGTAAGATCCTGCGAAAGTCTGTCAGATTACAGAAGATCAGCATGGCCTGGCTTACGTACCGCTGTCCGTGCGATTCTGGGTGCCATAGTTTACAAGAGCTGCCAAAAGCAGGCCAATGGTGACTAAGACCAAGGGTAGGAGCGTTAGCCGTGTCTGATCTAGGCCAAAAGGACTGCACATTGCTTGTTCGCTTCACTTACTAGCCAATTGGTACGCTCCGATGACAAAGCCACGAATCCATTTAGGGAGTGACTCTGCCTGGTACATTGGAACTGTCCCCTGTCAGCATCTTTTCGTCAGACACGGACCATCTGGCATACTTTGCACAGATATGAGGCCAACACCCAGACCGGCGAAGAAGCGGCCGGCAATGAAAGTGGGCTGAGATGTTGACGCGACCTGCAGAATGACACCGAGGTTGAAAGGGATTGCGGCAGACAGGATGATGCCCCATTTGCGGCCAGTAATATCTGCAAGCAGGCCTGCTGCAAGAGCACCGACAAATGTACCGACTGACAGAATCGACACGATGAGTGAGATGCGACCAGACCCGGGGTCTCCGAACTCCTGCTTCCAGTATGGCATGGTCTGGATACCGGAAATGGTACCAGTATCATAGCCGTACCTGTTGAGGTGGTCAGTTTGTCGGCAAAGCGTGGTGGCCGGAGGCTGGCGTCCTTACAAGATACCACCGAACGCCGCAAACATGCCTACCATGATGGCAGGCCATGCTGAGCCAGGCTCATCCTTTGGCTTCTGTAGTGCGAAGCCCATTCTTGCTGAGTGTTATACGAACCTGGTGAATGGTGTCAGCTCGGGGAGCAACAGTCCCGCCAGCTCAATGCGTCTTCAACGGTGCCACGGAAGTGCACCACCAAGCAATGAACAAAAAAGCGTGAGGAGTGGTTTGTGAGGTCGGGCAGCTGAAGAAGATGAACGGAACGTGGAGCGGGCGGATACAATGCTACGTCTCCATATTGATCTGCGCCGCTTATGCACTCAAGCATGCTCTCTCCGCATGTGCTCTGCACGCCCCGCGCCGCGCATGGACCTTGCTATTCCTTCCACGGCGGTGTTCTTCGATGTCTCGCGCCAGGATTGGTCACCGAGCAACGGCCAAGTGCGGTGACATCACTGCGCTTGGATCGCCAAACACGACCTGCCCCAGGTTACCTGCGGACTTTGGGGCTTTGTAGCGGAGTTTCACGATCATGGGGCCGGGTCAGGTGCGTCGGGTTGATCTTGATCTTGATCTGGTGGCTTGGAAGTCGTTTGATACTCGCGTGATACCGGGAGGGTTATCAAAGCGCGCTGCCAATGTTTATATCGCAGTAACTGCGCGAGAACGCGAACGAGAACGAGAATGACAACAGGCTTACGAGCCTGCCATCTCATCGAAGACTGTAAGGCCAGGAAAGCATGGCTTTTTGTGGTCAAGAGGAGATCATCAAACCATATACACATACATGTCTGTCACTACATCGCCCATAACGCTCAAAAGGATATCTCGCGATGTAGAGAGGCATGCATCAACCTGGGCCTCATCCATCCTAACCCGCATGTACAGTCGTAACAACTTCCTTCCGACCTCTTCTCGCCTGCACCTCCAGTCATCCTAATCTCGACTTCTCATTTGACGTGCTTCTCCTACTTAAAGCTCATCTTTAGCCCTGCTTGTCACCTCGCTCGCCACACTGCTCACACTGCTGGCGGCCCCCTTCACGCCCTCAGACACCGCACTCATGGTATCTTCTGCCATCTTACTCGCACCCCCCCCGAACGCCGCAATCCTGCTTTGGGCGCTCGCCATGGCCTCTTTGATCTGGTCGTTCATGCCCTCGACATACCCTGTCTCCTCACCGTAGAGCATGCTGCTCACAGCACTGCTGACAGAAGATGCTTGCGCGGAAGCTGCAGACGTAAGCGAGGAGTACACGCTCGCTGCACTCGCCGACGCAACCTCAAGCGTACCAGTAGAAGTACCGTAAACGGCTTCGGAAATGGAGCGAGAGGCAGCTGAGGCAATGTTGGCGAGACTGGATTGTGCCGCTTCCGCATACCCGGTCTCATGGCCGTAGATCGCTTCGCTGATCGAAGACGCCGTATCACTGTAGACACTCGCCGCGGCTTCGGTGGCGGACTCAATGGTACCCTTAGTCTTGCCATAGTACTGCTCGCTAGCTGCAGCGACAGCCGAGTCGAGTTCGCCTCTTACCTGTTGCACCAAAGATTCGAGACTTGCAGGTGGGGTGAAGACCGCAGAGACGGCACTCGAGGCAGAGACGTACGTATCACTGATGTAGCTGCTGGCGCTCGATGCCACAGCCGGAGCGCCAGTCGAGTAAGCGCTTTGCAATCGGCTCATGACACTGTCCGTAAAGTCCGGCTCTTTGCCACTCACAAGCTCCGAAAAGAGAGACTGGACGGCATCGTACTGCTTCGCCGCAGCCTCGCTAGCTTGGGCGGCGTACAGGCCTGCGGCCTCAGTGACTTGAGATGCATATGCACCTGCCTGGCTCACAACGCTCTGGGAGAACGGTGGAGGCTGACCGTAGACTTGCTGGCTAGCGCGGGAAACCAGTGCTTCCCAGTTATCGCTCGCTTGAGACGCCATAGCTTCGGTCCAAGGGGTCTCGGAACCGTAGATGGCAGAGCTGGCTTGGGATGCCATGCTACTGTATGCACTTCCCGCAGCTTCTGTAGCTTGCGAGATGCTGCCCTTAGAGGTGCCATAAAACATCTCGCTGGCTTGAGACGAGGCGGCGGCAAGCTGGGACGAAGCAGCCGCAACAGCGCTGTCGTATCCGGCGGAGATGTTGTCAAGTGCTCCGCTTGTAGAGGACGAGCTCAGGAGGTTCTGCATATTCGAGCTCGCCGCTGCAAGAGCGGCACTGTACGTGCTTTGAGCCGCAGCGACGTATGCCTGGTAGCCTGTCGTAGGTGTCGCGCCCACAGCACTACTCGCCGCCTGCACGAAGGAAGTATACTGATCATGCGCGTAGCCAATGCCTTGATAATACGCCATCTGCGCCGACGCCAGGTAAGCCTGAGGCGCAGGGCTCGTCTCAAAACCCGCAGCGACCTTGGCAGACTGGTACTGCGCTGACGCAATGCTGAGACCCTCCGCAAGTCTTGAAGAGGCGATGGACGAGATGCTCTCATACGGGCCCTGAGTAGCTAAGAGACTGCCACTTGTGGTTGTTGTCGCGCTCAAAGCATACTGTAGCCGTTTGCTCGCCGCCGCAACTGAGTCGGAGTATGCGGATTCGATCGAAGAGTACATCTGCTTATGCACCGGCTCTGGCGTGCCAGAAATCTGAGCAGACACGCGGGATTTGGCAGCATCGTAATGCGATGAGGCTTGACTTATGGCATCGCTGTAGCGTGAACTGGCGGCAACGGCAACGTCGTTAACATATGAGCTGGCCGATGAGGCGGCTTGTGCGGTCGAGGGTGTGCCATAGACCGCTTCGGATACCCTGCATCGATGTCAGTCGCGTCCGACTATGGTACAAATCGGGGTCTTCTCACGCAGTAACAGCGCTCTCGTACGCATCCCTCGCCGCCTGACTCCCCTTTTCTTCCTGCCCTGCAGTGCCAAAGGCCACGCTGCTCGCTACGCTCACGACACTCTCGTATTGCTCACTTGCGGCGCTGGCAAGATTGGATGTCGCATATACAGTCAAGGAGCACAGTAAGACTGCCAATAAACCATGAGGTGCCATATTCGCAGCGCTATTGTCGCATAGCCTTTCTTCTGTATAACCTCCTAATTGTCGCTCTTTGCTATCGACCGTGTAGGGACCAGGAGTCGAAGTAGGAAGGATCCGTGTGCCGAATGTTGCCGCGGACTGAATGCAGGGGTTAGGGAAACAAAACAGTAAGGGAGGTTAAAAGTCAAGGTGGGCTACAATGATAGTGGTGTTTAATGTTGGCAGTTGGCACGATTGCGGAGGCATCCGTTCCCCTGCAAGAATTACGTAGCTGCGGAGCACGATATGTATCCCCCGATGCTCAGTCCAACAGTGCACGTTTTCAACCTGGACAACCTCCGAATTCAGCGCATCGTTAAGTGTCAGCCTGTGAATCTTCACACGACACGGCGATCCTTGGTCACCGTAGCCGGAGCCCCTACATGACATATGTGCAAGCGGGTATTAGACACTTGGTGCAAATGTATGCTGTTAAGGTTGGGAGTTGGCGAGAGCGTGCTGTCATGGAGAGTTTGCGACTGTCATATGTGTCCGTCGCGATCTTGTTAGGTAGTTCGAAGTGAAAGTTCAATGGAGTGCCTCATGCAATGCAATGATGGAACGATTGAGCACAAATATAAACAACCTACAGATTGCAATGCGGAAACCACAGAGAAGTAAGAGACAAGGCCCGCGTTAAGATGGTAGCGCGACTTACTCACGACTCGACGGCCAGTCCCACGATCGATGGGATGGGCTGTCTTCCTACAAGCTGCGCAATGAGTAGGTTAGTTCGCTCATGCCACGCCGGCAATCCTACCAAGATCCTTCTATGTTGAGTGAGTCGTTGCACACCAGTCCATATCCTGTGATTCAGACAGAGCCGGCTTCAATGGCCACGTTGTCGCTCGCGTAGCCGTGGACAGTCTCGTTTCTTGTGCCCTTTCTGGCCGCACTCGTGACACACCAGGTTATTACTGGGCGAACCTCCATTGCGACCACCGGATATGCTGGTTAGCTGGTTCAGCTTGATCTCTTTGCTGCGACGCTCCTCAGCTAGACGATGATTCTCTGCTTGTTCGACGTGGCGCTTCGCTTTTCGTTCGGCGCGTACTTTCTCGGCAGCCTCCTTTCGTGATTGGGCGATCAGTGCTTTGGCGCCAGTAGGGTCATCACTCTCGTCCGCATCTAGGTCGCCAGAGCCGGCATCTGAAGGCGCCGAGGACGATGCATCAGAACCACGCCTCTTCTGTATATTCGTGAGCCCTAGATAGCAGTGAATGCACACTTACATACCTCTGCGGCATTGTTGAAGTTGCCGAAGCTCCTCCTGCCACTCACGCTTGGCGTAAACACTTCGTCATCGAGCTGATTTGATGAGCGCTCGACCCCCGCAGTATCTAGCGCAGCGTAGCCCGCCGGTACTACTCGCAGCGGCGACTGCGAAACGGACGGGCGGGTCTCCTTGAAGCTCAAGTACCACTTCGTCTCGCCTCTGTCTGCTGCTTCACGTTCTAGCGCTTGGGCTCGCTTGCTTTCTTCCGCCTCAAGCGCTTCCCGGACGAGCTTTGCATCTGAGCGCGGCGTTCTTGATGGTGTAGAAGCAGAAGAGCCGTACGATAACCGCTGCTTCTTGGACGGTGGTTCTGAAGGCGTGGTTGGCGCAGGCGAAGGCGGAGAGCCAGCCGATCTTTGCATGAACTTCATCGTAAGCAAACGCGAAGACATCATCTTCGGCTGCCGAGAAGGTTGTGCCATGGGTGTGTATAGCCTTGGTCAAGAACAACTGATCAGACTGATTGCACAGCGGTAGGCATCGAGTTCGAATGTGTACTGAATTCGCGCTCGGCAGACGCCGCTAAATGCTTGACCACAACATTGCTGGGTAAAGCTCGGCGAGCAAACACGCCATATAATGTTAGTTCTTTGAATTTTCCATTGCCTTCGGGCATTTGGTCAATTTGAAACAATACAGAGAAGATTAGCATGGCCCCTGCACTAAGGATGACACATGCAAACAAAGAGACGCAAACAGTTTTTTGGTCGAATGTGCGACGCAGATTATGTTTTCGACGGCTTTGCATTATAAGCAGGGCGCAACATTTGGTCTTCGACTTGATGTACTGTGTTCTCTCGCTGAGGATTACAGAAGCTATTAGACGTGCCTTCCCGTTATGCCACAGCTTCCTCTTCGGATGAAGTACAGAATCGTTTCAGGTTTAGGGCGGCTCTGACTTGGGACTACTTGCACAGGCCATCGCTGCTCCCGTCTCCGACAAACAACACGCCCTCAATCCCCTCACATGCGCTAGGGAACGCGTCTTGCAAGCATACTAGCAGCACATTGTCTCATTTACCCCCGACAGTACAAATGTGTAACCGCCACGTGCTGCTCTACCACAGTTGCCCGAGCTGTTGGGCTTATCGTTCACCTCCTCTCGGCCGCGATAAGAGGCTGGGTCTACTCATGCATGCCAAGTACCACCTTGAGCGCCAAGCTCACGCATACGACTACACTGCTCCTGATGCGGCATCTCGCAATGCAACCTTCTACTCCCCGTCTCGCCTATCATGGCGGACGGCAGAGCGAACATGTCCGCAGGTATTGTATACAAAGTGAAGCGTGCCAGACCGGGTGAAGGTAGGAGAGGGAACCATGCGGTTTAGTCTGTTCACCATGAAGACGGGTATTACTTCTGTTCTTTTACTTGGCGCAGTGACCGCTTTGCCGTTGAAGCGTAGTGAGATCTCCTTCTTGAAGAGTAAGACCGACGATGCAGTGGTATTCCAGCTTGGCAACATCACTTACCTCGCCAACACGAAGTATCCGAAAGCTACCATCAGCCTGACCGGCGACCGCAACTTCCACGCTTTCAGCGGTGGTCGGACTAGCTTCCCGATTACCGTCGTCAGCTCTAATACTTCCAGTATAACACAGCAATCTCTCAGCGCTACTATTGGAAGCTATGCCAGCGATGATGTCTGGACCCCTGACTTTCTTGAAAGCGTATATATCTCGTCCACAGTCGCTTCGCCAGGCATGGGAAGCGCAGCCCTAACCTATCTGGCATCGCTCAATGTCACCGAAACTTTCCTGGACAGCGCTCTAGCTGGCGGTCGAATGCCGGCTGCCACGATATGCAACTCTCTCAATAGTTCTGTGGTCCCTCCTGGCCCATATTTGGCAGTGCTCAGCGACGCTTCTTTAAGTCTTGCTCCTGTTTACCGGTTGTATGAAGACACTTATAGAGACTTTCTGTTCGGTAAGCGGAGCGACATGTCCATACCATCACAACCGCTGAAGCACCGCTGATTGTGCTACCCAACAATCTGCAGGAACGTATGAATCTGGAGATGGTAGCGGCAACTTCACATCAGCAGATTTGGCACTGCCGAACTTCGGCTACCCGTTGATCCCTGTACCATCACGCCTCTACTATTGGAACGATCCTCGACCCTTCGCTGGATTCCGTGTGGCTATCAAAGACCTCTTTGATATCAAAGGACTGGTAACTTCAGGAGGCTCACAGGCATGGGCCTACATCAGTTCGCCGGCCAACGCCACTGCGCCGTCCATTCAGCGCATCCTGGACCTCGGTGGAACGTTTGTAGGAAAGTATAAGCTGGCACAATTTGCGTCTGGAGCGAACCCGTGGGAATGGCAGGACGAGCATTATCCATTCAATCCTCGCGGTGACGGCTGGCTTACATGTTCCGCGTCGTCGTCTGGTGGCGGCTGCTCGATAGCAGCTTATGACTGGCTGGACTATGCGATTGGTAGCGATACCGGCTCGTCCATGAGGCGCCCTGCTGCCGTGTCCGGGACATACGGCAACCGGCCCAGTCAAGGTATGATCACCCTCGACGGTGTTATTCCACTTGGAGGAGCCACAGACACTGCCGGCGTGTTCTCACGAGATCCATACAAATGGGCGTATTTTGCGAAGCAATGGTACACGCCGTCTCTACACCAGAGCTCGAATGTCACCGGACTGGCGGCGTTGAGCGTACCGGACAATGACGGTTTCCCAAAGACGATTCTCTTTCCAACAGATTATCTTCCGTTGAATAACTCGGCAGCCGAACCCATCCTTGATGCGCTCATAGCCAACATGAGCTCCCTCTTCGGTATGACGGTCAAGCGCTTTAACTTCACCGCCACCGTCCAAGCTGCGGTAAATCCCGCCGTCAATAATATTGTTGCGCTCAATAACGGCCCTCTTGGCATCATCAACTCGTACACACAGTGGGAAGTTATCGGCAAGCCATTGGTGACAACTTGGGCTCGCTTATTCGATGGCCGTTTCCCGCCGATCGACTCTGCTCGGCGTGCCGGCTGGCGGGCCTATAATGAGACGCGGAACTCTTTCACAGCGTACAACAACGCTCTGGAGCAGAAGAATGCAGCTGTCGAGTGGTACGAGACGTACGTTCAGTATTCGACTGCAGACTCCTGCTCCGAAAGTGTCATGCTCTACGATATCGGTACAGGCGGATTACCATCTTACCGTGAGCAGAATCTCAACAATAATCCAAACGCTTCCTTTCTGGCAATTACGCCAAAAGGTGCCGCGGTCACCGGCGCAAGCATTTGTCCTTTGTGCGTCGACTGTGTCCTTATCCCTCACCGCTGTCCAAGACCGTGCTGACTTCTGCGTTCAACGTGTAGGTATGGGTGCGCAGATTACACCATACCAATCGGCCAAGTACCGTACTACAGTCAAGTAACATATCACACGGAGATGGTACCGGTGACGATCAACATGGTGGTGAAGCGTGGCTGTGACTTTGTACTTTTCAACATGATCGAGAGGCTAGCAGATGCAGGCGTGCTAAAAGCGGTGAAGACCGGAACGACAGCCTTTTGAGGTCAGGTAGACATAAAGTCCATCCCAAGATCTTCCTAACGTTGCAACGCAAACGCTGGACGGTACTATCCTCCAGCTGTTCGACTTGATACAAGTGCAGGAGTACGCTCTCAATAGCACGGCCATAACTTATCTCATAAGGCGCATAAGTCGGTTGTTTCTCACAATACTTTTAAGCAGCTTGGAGCTTAGCGTGAAGAGGCACAAGTCAAATGTGTAACGATAATGCCCAGAGGGTTGGCGCGGAACAGTTTTGTGCTTTGGCGATTGCATCTTATGACTCGGGTGCCAAACGCTGCGTCGCTTTTGGTCATCCCACACAAAGTTGCCAAGGTGTATCATGCTATCCAGCCAACAATAGACAGATATTTCGTCGGAGCTCTGCGATCTCTAGGTCTCTTTCTGAACCTTGTTGGTCTTCGGTGCGAAAACTCTCGAGGAGAGATCAAGCACCGGAAGCTTGTTAGGAATGCCGACGGCTTCGCAAGCCTCGAGGATCGCCAGGTACCTAGCACATCCGTTAGCATCTCCGCTGTTATTAAACAGACGTGGGGTTCAACGAGAGTTGCTCCCGTTGGATGTAACATACCATCCGCAAATTAGACCGATGAAGCCAAAGCCACCGGCACATCTCAGCAGCGTGTTGACGTGTTCCAATTGCGCCTCAGTCTTGACATGAGGAACGTAGAAGTCGGCGGCAGCGATAAAGGCGAAAAGCCCAAGCAGGCCGAAGAACGTCAGGCTGAAGAAGACATTGGTGCGGACCGAGGCGATGAACAGGGCGAAGCTGACAAGGCACATCGTGACGTTATGAAAGGCCTGGGAGCTGTTGTACGCCGCACCGGTTGCACCACCGAGCTGGGCAAACGGAGCGGTGGTCTCGTGGATTGGGTCTTGAGTGTAGGCTAGCGAGCCCCAGTGCGAGCCGTAGATAACGAAGACCTGTAAATCTTATTAGTATTATTGTCTTCGCGGATTTGGCTATTGTTGAGGCGTGGGTTCTCACAGCAAACGGAAGGGTGTTGCCAAGGATGAATTCACAAATACCAGCAATGTTCATGGCAATGCAGCCCAAGAAATAATAATCCCCAGAGAGACCGATCAGCGTGTACGGCGGCTCCGAGCCCGAGAGTTGACAAAGTGTAAGGACGGTGGAGGTATATGGAATAAGGAAGCCCAAAAGGCCGAGGAGAGTTGGGTTGGCTAAATGATGTTCGTTAGGCTCTCTGCCGCTGGGATTACTCCATGGCTGAGTACATACCAAAGCGCTTGGCAAGATCACCACGGCGTGGCGCAGAAGGCTGGAAGAAGAGACGCTCGTAGTCGGCCGGACTGAGCGTCACGGTGACTTGACGGCTGAGATCGGCTCCGTTGCCCATCTCAAGCTGTGCTCCCATATCGTGACCAATCTTCTCTTCTGCCATCTCGGCGGCCATGCTGTTGATTCTGTGCGAAATATGAATGGGTTGTTGACAGAGATAACCCTGTGGTGTAGTAAAGTGAGCTCTTCCGGTGAAATGAGAGAGTTCGTAGAGGCTAAGGGAAGAGAAGTTGCAGGGTGTGATCACGAAACTATTGTACTTGCCATAAGGCGAGGGTATTGAGGTCAATTCTGACCTACCCAAGGTCCTCGGTACTTTCCTGCAATTCGACTGTCCCAACCCGTCCATGAATGGAACGAATGAAACGGACGCCTCCCCACAGACCCCGTGGCTGCTCCAGGAAGGTCGGCGTTAACATTCGCAGGGTTAGTGCGGGACCCAGGACCTATCGGTGCTACGGTGTCACACGTGTCCCAGGATAAATTGGATAGGTATGACGTTCAGCCTCGCGCTTTGCTATAGATGTGGGTGCGATAGTGGAGATGCGCAGCGGTTGTTGAGATGCGCCGATCGAATAAACTTTAGTGTCGACCGCCCTCTTGCTCCAATCGAGCGCTGGTAGTGTGGAGGACCTCCGCGTGGGTACAACGTGGAGTTCTCCAGACTGGATATCCCGCAACTCGGACGTGTCGAAGTACCGCGGCTCGGTGCCTCGAAATGAGCTAGCAAGTGGATCGTATGGACCTCGGGTGTTTTGAGGGAGAGTGCTCTGGCTGGGATTGCCTGAGAATGCCTGCCTTACTGTATATTGGCAAAGTCGAATCGAAAGAGGGCAGCAGCAGAGTAAGTAGGTGGTCGGACAAACGCCAATGGAGTTCACGCCATCTATATACAAGCCTTTACGCCCGAACGATCAGTAATACATGACAACTTGGCAGGCACCGAGGTAAGCTTAGCCATGCTGAAGGAGGTCCAGGTCGGGAGGGGTAGCGCGCCACAAACGCCAAAGAGCAGGGATAGTAATGAAGTTAGTGCATCCTGTCAGATGTCGTCCCCTCGGTACGTTACTCTTAGCCTCTATCGAACGGTTTGCCGAGTATTTACCAGTTAGACTTATGCACGAATTCATTTGTCCACAAATACACTTCCAGGTCTTAAACACGCCCGCAACCCGCCTGGTCACTACAGCACCTGGAGTACTCTCGTACTGATTCAGTGAACGATATGTGCTACCTCCCCATACTCTCTTGCGGCAGAGCCATAATGTCCTTAGTCTTCCACTCGCAGCCCTTCCATCTTCGGGATCTCGACATCGGATGCTGGGGTGTATTGCACTTCACTTCAAGCAGGCTGCCGCATTCTTGACTACTAGTCCCCTCGTATCGGAGTCAAAGAGGCATCATGTTCACGTCGCCACTATAGGACACAACCAACATCACCGTAGGTGACGTAGTATGATCAGGAGAATACAGCGTCAAAAGCAGAAAAGATGATTCACGTCCTTTTAGCGCTACAAGACAAATCACTATGTTGCCTTAAGAGTACCGCTGTGATGGACCGTCTCGTGCCTACTCCGATGCCTTAGTGGCATCGGGCCTTGCCCTGAGAACAACTTCGGAGACAGTGGCTACATTCGCGGCAATTGGAGCCACGCGTCGATGCACTTACCGTGCCGGGAAACGTGCCATTTCTTAGCATGACAGCAAGTCCTTCTGCGATGGAGACTTCTACCGGAGTTTCAATGATGTTGATCGGATCCGCTTCCTAATTCCGCCGACTCCGAGACGGTCGTAGAAGAAGATATCGTACCCATTCGGTGCCGCATCTGGGAATAACCTGGCAAGCGTGAAGTCCGCCTCGTCCTCTGCGGAAGTGCTCCCCTGCGGATACAGATTAGGTTCCGATCGGTGAGCTGGGAGACCGCCCGGTGTAGAGTGCTTGCCAACGAGGAAGGCGGACACGTTCATAGTCGATCAGCCGCAAAGAAGTGCAATATCAGGGATGAGGATGATATTATTGCTATGGAAGTTTAGTGTGACCAACGGCGTGAAGCAAGGGTCTGGGTTCGAGTCATTGTAACCACGGTACAGTCTGGTAATTACAAGGAGTTCTCGATATTGAGCTTTTGGTATCACCCAACATGCGAGTGGTGACGGTGTGACCATAAGCTTGGGCCACCGCGCGACATGCTGAAACTCGTTGATAGAATTGAAGGCTCCAAACCTGATCGAATCAATGGTATATCGTAGGTCGCGGATGTCACACGGAAGATGTCCCGGTATTCCAATTGGGTAGGAGGTTCATCCGTACTAGACGTAACGGCACTAGAGAGCACACCATTGTACATGACTTTGCGGCGAACGCGCACCACGTCCGGTCAGCTGCAGGTGTGCTAGGCATCACAGAAGTCATCTGCTCAATTGGCGGGCTACCTCCCTAAATATCTCAACTCCAGCCAGCGAAGTGGCGGGTAGGATACCATGACCAAACCACTGCCTATCCACATGCCGACATCGGCATCGCCCACTGCCACCGCAAGTGGGCCGACGAACCAGGTCTCATACATCCCAAGAACCGCACGCAGCCAGCCTAGAAGGAACGCTGCGAGCGCTGCAAGTCGGACTGGAAGTTTCGAGCGATCGTTTCAAGCCTCCCAGTCCGGAGTCACTCTGCGCTTGAAGAGAGATTCTTCTTCGAGAACGATGCAGATCATTGGCAGAAGCCAGTATCCCATCAGCGCCAAGAAGTTCTGAAAGATCGTGAATAAGTGGTTTCGCCCTACTAATGCGCAGACTAGCTGTATTCCGACGAGAACGAGGACCCATATCCAACGCGGGATCTACAAACCGATGGGAAGGCGGGTCAGCTATGTCACAGGAATCATATTCAAGACTATGAGTTGCTCTGCTCACCATTTGTCCGTACCGACCCATAATCTGGCAATCGATGGCTCCGCTGTAGATGCTTGGCGTGCAGTTAGAGATGACACCTAGAGCGATTATTGCGGCGCAGAATCTGCCGAAGTCGCGTAACGGTGCGTAGCCTGTCGCGATAAGTGCGCCAGAAGACGTGGTATAAGCGTCGGACCATGCAGACAGCACGGTTACGCCCGAACCGAGTCCAACGCCAAGCAAGTCCATGAAGCAGAATGACAGCGAAAGGCCCCCAAGAGTTAGTAGGAAGATCATCCAGCGAGGTGTATTCTCCGGGTAATAGACGTAATAATCCGATCCTGCAGCGGCCCATGAGTTTGGGACATAGAAGCAGGTTGTTAGGAACGTGAAGCGGTTCGCGGCTAGTGCTGAGCCGGTGACGGACGAGGTCAGTGATGTGTTGAAGTTCGGCCCAGCTGAACCGACAAGGATGAAGAGCATAATGACTTGGGGTAGCCAGGCAAAGCTACCACATGTCAGGAACTCGCACGTTTTTGCATGGCTGTGCATTTCCAAGCGCATACGGCGCAGTTATGTGCCTGCACCAGCTTTGGCCGATGCACAGAATGGAATAATGATGTTGGGTAGGGTAATTGACGTACCGTTCGTAGGTTTGGAAGATCTTCATGCCGAAGACTGCAATCGCGCATTCGATCACAGTTACAATGACGACACCCACAGCGATGGACATACTACCTCCACTAACCGCTGAAAGCACCTGCCCGCCTGTGATTGAATCAATGGTCGCCCAGCCGACCATAAGGACGATGTTGAGAAGCGTGCAGATCTTTGCAGGATAATAGCCGAAGAAGTAGCGTAGGACGACCTGAATGCTTTGTCAGACGCATATTCTCGCTAGGAGGTACATCGAGGGGCTTGACCATCGTTCTGTTGCCGCTAACAGCACCCCAGGTACTCATGTATGCAGTGGAAGCGGAGCCGCACAACACTCCGACCACAGCACACCAAGCAGAGTCCGAGAAGCCAAGCTTGAACACTAGAGGTCCGAGCAGCCCAATGGCGAGATTGTTGACCGTGAGGTTGGCGGAGAACCAGAGCAAAAGCATCTGCAGCACGTTGGTTCCAGAGGGCGCTTGGCGTTCCTCTGGTGAGACCCGTTCCAGGCCCCGGGCTTCAAAACCGATGAGGCTCTCGATACGGCGATTCCATCTTCTCGGGGCCGATGAGTGATCAGCATTGTGAGGTAACGACAGTCGGTCAGGGGACGCAGACTCCTCCACATCGTCATCCCTCACAGAAGCTCCTTGCCTGACCATTGCTGTGTGACGATATCGTCAAGCCCACAGCGACCGATATCAGGTTGGTAGTGATACCGCCTGGCGAAGCCTATCCGAAATGCGGCCTGATGTGTAAGACGTCAAGGAAGGCTGATAGACGTAGGCTAAGACTCTGACCAGCGTTCCTTAGGAAACCATCAACACTACTGTATTAGTACACTGTAGTCGCATGCACAAAGTAAGGTTACAAAGCTTCCTGGCCGCGTTATAGCGTAAAGGCGTAGGCCGCTGTGGACCGAAGTCTTGTATGTTGTCTGGCATCGCAAACCACTGATTGCGGTGGCAGCTGGCGTTGATTACAGTTCGCGGTAATGTACTCCGACGTAGGTTCAAAGTCTCTATTCGAAACCAGCTAATGGGCGTGCTTGCCATCTGTGTGTGCGCGGGGGCCATCTTGACCATGGCCAGTTAGAGCGAGTCGTCAGTCGCGCAATACACAAACAACGCCTTGTAGGCCCTGCTTATCCGGCTACTATGTCGACGTCAGACCAAAGAAATCACTCTCTACTGGATGTATAAGATCAATTGTACTCAAGCCCGTGGTAGTGAGAGCGTATTGCCGGCCTGCAATGCATTCTCCAGGACCACACGGCTCGCCTCCTTCATGATCTCACCCATGTTCGCTCAAGCATGTTGCGCTGATGTGCAAAGGAATAAGGCTGGCACCAGCAACCTTCGAGCTTCCGAGACAGTCGACTCTGAGCCATTCGTCGAACACGCCAGCGCTGCCACCCTCGGCCCATAAGTAGCGCGATCCAATCCAATGCCAATCATTGAATGCTGTTCGACGGACCTCTCGGACAAGCTCCTGTTGCAGATGCGTTGACTGGAGCGCGCCACAGCTGCACACTTTCCAGAACTATGGCGCCACGGTCGCCGTTACTACAATGCGGGTTGATCATAAATCGGTTTTCGGGGCATTAGATGCAATATGTGTGGACGCATGGAATGTACCATTGCGCCAGGCTATTTAGAATGTGACTGCCTCACGTCTGGTCCACAGAGTTGACACGGTCGTGACATCAGCACGAGGAGACAGTGACCAGCGGACACATCCCTTGCCGATTGTACCGTCGAAATATGAGACGCTAGCGCCGGATAAACCCGGCAGATGTTGCCAAGATTCAGACTTCCATGTGCATTTTCGTCGCCGAAACGAAGCGCTCTTTACTGAAATCGCAAGAATGAAGCGCAAATTGAACAAAGACGATGTACCGGAGGCAGTCGGTGACGGTCGAGATGGCTCAGCGGCGAAAATGGTGGCTGCCTTCACTGATCTCAGTATCGATCCGCGGCTTCTCCAGGCCGTGAATCGCGAAAAGTTCGCTGCGCCGACACCTGTGCAGGCGAAGACCATCCCTTTAGCGTTGACTGGAAGAGACGTTCTCGCACGCGCAAAGACCGGATCCGGAAAGACGTTGGCGTATCTGCTGCCAGTATTGCATGGCGTCCTGCGACACAAGGCGGGCTTTAGCAAAGTGAGGGAAACGACGGCATTGCTCCTCGTCCCTACAAAAGAGCTCGCCGCGCAGATTACATCGACACTGAAGACGTTCACATCCTACTGTACCCAGGAGATACGGTATGAGAACCTTAGTAAGACGGAAGATGCTGCGGTGACGAAAGCACGTTTGGCAGAAACGCCGGATATAGTGGTTGCCACGCCAGCCCGAGCAGTGTACTGGATGAACCAGAGCCTTCTGAAGTCAGACCGTCTCAAATACCTTGTCATCGACGAGGCAGACCTGGTGCTCAGCTATGGCTACGAAGAGGATCTGCAGACACTTGCCGCAGCTCTGCCGAACGGCGTGCAAAAGCTTATGATGTCTGCCACTCTTCGTACTGAGATCGATACACTGAACTCAGTTTTCTTCGCGGATGGTACCAAACCGGAGATACTTGATCTCTCGGCAGAGGAAGCAGCCGAAAAGCCCACCTTAGCCCAGTATACTATTCGGACTGGTGAAGCGGACAAATTCCTATTGATCTATACGATTTTCAAGCTACAGCTCATTAAGGGCAAAGTAATACTGTTCGTCGCAGATATAGAACGGTGCTATCGTGTCAAGCTTTTCCTAGAGCAGTTTGGCATTAGGAGTGTTGTGCTTAACAGCGAGCTACCGGTCAACAGTAGGCTGCATGCTGTAGAAGAATTCAACAAAGGCGTCTACGACATCATCGTTGCTGCCGACGAAGAGGAAGTAGTTGGCCAGGAGGAAGCCAAGCGTAAACGAAGAAAGCTGGAGATTGAGGAGGATGTCGAAGGGCAAGAGAGGCCGTCTGCGGAGCAGCCTCCCGTGCAAGGCGACGAGGATCAGCGAGGACTAGCAGCACACGGCGAAGCCACCAAGGATGAGGAATCCATCCATCATGAAGTCAAGCAAGCTGCTAATGTTCGTAAACGAAACCGGCGCGACAGAGAGTTCGGCGTCTCCCGCGGTATCGACTTCCGCAATGTCACCTGCGTTCTCAACTTCGATCTTCCCACCACGTCCAAATCCTACACCCACCGGATCGGCCGTACCGCCCGCGCCGGCCAGACAGGGATGGCCCTGTCCTTTTACGTTCCAAAAGACCAGTACCGCAAGCACAAATCAACCAGTATCCCGCAGACCGAGCACGACGAGCGCATCCTCGAGCGCATTAGAAAGCGTCAAGCCTCAGTGGGCGGCTCAATCCAGGAATGGAACTTCGACATGGCCAAGCTCGAACCGTTCCGCTATCGCTTTAACGACGCGTTACGAGCCGTGACTCGCATCGCCGTTCGTGAAGCTCGCACGAAGGAGCTTCGGCAAGCGCTGATCAATAGCGAGAAGCTCAAGCGGCATTTCGAAGAGAACCCGGAGGATCTGAGGCATCTGCGACACGATGCTGAGACCCATGCTGTGAGGAGACAGGAGCATCTGAAGCATGTGCCTGATTATCTGCTGCCGGCTGGTGGGAGGCAGGCGGTGAGTAAGGATGTGGGGTTCGTGGGGTTGAAGTCGGGTACGGAGAACTCCTTGCGGAAGCGCAGAGCGTTCAATAAGAGCCGAGGAAAGGGCAGGATGATGCGTGGCAGAGGTATGGATCCGTTAAAGGCGCTTAACGCAAGGGGGAGGGGGAAGAAGTGATTGCGAAGTTGATGACGGTATCTGCGAATATTATACCTTGTCTTGCTGCGACATCCCAGCTGCGAAAGACAATTTTGGAAGTCTCACAAGGCGCAGGTCTGCTACATGTCTCTAACTGACTCGGTCTGGCTTTCTCTTGCGGTCTCTTACGGTCCCTCGATACAGTGCTCATAATTGCAGGTCTAGATGCGGGTTGTTCGGCAGTATTGCGTTCAGCGCACCAAGACAATGACCGGTGTCGACTGCCTTGTGGCCCTTTACGCTCACCAGGCAGGAGCTGCAAACTTTCTATTTGAGGACGTTTCCAAAGCTGATGCCACTGATTCTGCAGTTGTTCGTCAGTCACAGCTTGCTAACGCGCATTGTCAGGATGCCTTTCAAGGCCTTTGGGTAAAGCAAGAGCGCAACTGCAAACACTTCCTTGATGAAGAGATTGGGGACATTGAGCGGCCCTCGAAGCCCTGGACCGAACTGCGGTCGTGTGTCCGCAAGAGTGAGCTACTTGACAATGTCGTGCTGAAAGACTTCAACCCGTCTCACGGCTCGTTATTCCTGAGATGGGACGCCACCAACGATGATCTCGTACCTCTCGCGAAGACCCAGATGGCTGCTCACGAAGTCACTCATCGCATGGGTAGTCGCAATCCTCCTCTTTCTAAACGCTCCGGCAGAGGTTCACTTGATCTCGCCGTTGGTGTACAGGTTGCACAATTCACGCCCTGCGCTACAGCAGTTGTTTTATCGTGCTAACTCGACTTGCATCGCCAGATGCACGTGGTATCCGAAGCAGGTGGAATGCAGGTCGGGACATGGAAGACTCTGAAGAATATTTCACCGAGACCAGCCTTAGTGGCGCTGCTGATTCCCGCAAATTCAATGTTTGCCAAGCATGGCATATCTGCCGACAGGCAGCGCCTGGTGAATCCCATTCTGCAGCAACACATCACCGTTTTCCACGTACCGGGCAGATGGCGCCAGCGAGCAGCATCGTCGAAGCTGACAGCGTCCAAGAAAGATATGGACCGGCTGAAGCCATTCAGCAATGAGAGTTCGCCAACAAGAGCCAGCAAGCAGCCTACCACGACAGCTATAGCCTATGGAGAGCTTGTCCGCTTTGACGCAAATACTTAACGATCCTTGGCTCGGTCTGCACAACCTGCAGTACCCGTTCCTAACTATCTGGGCCATGTCTGCGGCTCGGCGTGCGGCGAAGCAAGTAAAAGTGGAGTACGGATGCGGAGGATGATCCTGCCAGTACGGCGCTATTCTACCTGCCCACTAATCACCACGATCTGCAGAACACGCTCTACTACTTGTAGAGTGCGGCTGGGTTGTAGTGAGCAGCAAGGATCTGTACAATATCGTTCGGCATTGTTAATTGCTTCTGCCCAATGAGTGGCGCCTCGCACGTGGATCAGCCTTGGCTTCCCTGGAAGGCCAACGGAACAGGGCTGGCTGGGATGGTGAGGCTCGAATGTGAGACTGTGCACTGAAGTTACGAAGCATTTGCTCCCAGATCTCGAGCTTGACAATCTCTATGACTTCTCGTGCCGACCATCGTCTCCATTGGCATATGGTCCTCCCTCCAACTTCACGAGCCCTTGCTCCTCATTCTGCTTCTTAGGTTGCCTACTCCACTCAGGCGCCTCATCCTTGCCATTGTCCTCCTCTTCGTCGCCCTCTTCCTTGGTCTGATGGACTGTTTGCGGGTCGTGCTCAGCTGGGCTGTACACAGTAACCAGCTCTAGCGGCTGTGTTTTCGATGTGTTGATGAACTGATGTTGCGTGCCGGCTGGCACCACCACTACATCTGAAGCTTTGATATCCTTCCTGCTGATCAGCGTGTGATGTCACATAGTAAACAAAAGTCATACTTGGTCTTTGCCAGCCACGGTCGCTCTGCCTTCACCACTGGTAAAGATAAGGACCTGATCTACCGTATGGACCTCGTCACCGATGTCGCCGCCGACGGGGATCTCCATGGACACCAACTGGCTGTAGAGACCAGTATGTATGACCTTCCTGAACTGGCCGAACGATCTCACTTCAGATGTGAGCTTGGGGAAGTAGTACATTTGGTGCTTTGGCGGCTCTTTCGGCATGCTGCTGTCTTTTCCCATCTTGGCTTGAGTGTACGAGAGAGGTCTTGAAAGACTACGAGTCCGATGAGGTCTGGAAGGAGCGGCTACAAGTCTGCGAAGTGTAACAGAGAGCGCCCGCATTGGAATTAGTGTTGACAATGGTTCGATTTGCAGCAATGCTGCTGGACAACATCGGAGTGTGACGCCATTGATAACCCGTCCCAAACGCTAACACAACCGAGAACTCCAATGCCTTCGAAGCAAACCTGACCTGATTGACAGGCTTTTCTGAAGTTTCATCGGTATGGCAACTTTCCTCAAAGGCCAGCCACGTATGGCGCGAGGTCGCTTGAAAGCCTGCACTGAAGTCTGTCCTCCTCACCACGGCCTAGATGAATAATCATCTGCATCGCGTCCCTCATCCACACTCAGTAACTGTACGCGGATGCACGGAAACGGCTCCACCTCCACCCTTATCACACAAACCGGCCCGTGGCCTCCCTGTCAACATGGCCCATCAAATGAAACCGCACGTCCAATCTTCACCATGCCGCCTCAACAGCATCGTTCCCGAGCGCATTACGACGCTCAGCCTGGCTAGTTGTCTCGCCTACATCAGACCTGCATTGCCTATCTCGCCGGTCTTGGCCGCGTGAGATACAGCGTGCAGCACAACATGGTAAGCAGAGCACAAGGTAGTACATTTTCCTTCTTCATCAGTTTCACTGTGTTCAGCCTGATTTCCATCTTAACTCGTACCTATACGGACCTCAACAGTTAAGCAAGAATGAGTGGCAAACTTGGAACCCATGATGCCAGCCACGCTCCTATTCCAGGCACGGTACATCTAGTGGACCTGGAAGGCACCGTCAATGCGAAACATGGTAAAGGCGCAAGAAGAGATATTGTACTTGTCCCAGCTCCATCGTCAGACCCAGATGACCCAGTACGTCCCTCAATCCCATTACTGCGACTTGACATTAACATCATCTGCTTAGCTCAACTGGTCGCCCAGCCGCAAGGCACTCTCAACGACATGTATGTGTGTTTACACGCTCATGGTTGGTATCGCCAGCGCTGCAATTTACTCGGTGTTGGTACCCATCTCGGAAGCGACGGGCTTTACGCTGGGTGATCTCAACGCTGGAACGGGCTACATGTTCCTAGCCTTTGGTTGGGGATGCTTGTTCTGGCAGCCGCTCGCGTTGCAGTATGGCAAACGGCCGGTCTATCTTCTGAGCATCATTGCGACCATGGCCATCCAAGTCTGGGCGCCGTACACCAAGAGCAACGGCCAATGGATCGCCAACAAGGTGCTTCAAGGTTTCTTCGGCGCCCCCATTGAGTCGCTTTGCGAGATCTCGGTGACAGACATCTACTTCCAGCATGAACGAGGCACCTACATCGCGCTGTACGCGTTGCTTCTGGCTGGCAGCAACTTCTTTGCTCCCATCATTGCAGGCTTTATCGCCGACGGTCAGGGGTGGCAATGGGTACTTTACTGGTGCGCAATTTTTTGTGCGATTGGTTTTGTCTTCTTGTTCTTCTTGATGGAGGAGACGAATTACAGCCGGACTATCATCATTGGGCATGAGAACGAACCTGACATGGCGGTCGCTGTATCAACCGAAGACAATGAAATCTCGGAGAAGGCTCCTGCCAGCCCCGATGTCGAGCCTGAAGAGACAGGTCTCGAAACATCTTTCCAGCGCAAGACCTACTGGGACAAAGTGAAGCTGTGGCGCACTGCGGATCTCCGCAAGCCAAACCATCTCGCTGGAATGGTCGCTCGTCCTCTCATCTTCCTGACGTTCCCAGTAATCGCATACGCCGGCTTCTCATATGGCAGCAATCTCGTCTGGTTCAACGTGCTCAACGGCACCGCTTCTCTTATCCTCGGCGGACCACCTTATAACTTCCCTGCATGGGCTGTTGGCACGGCGTATGTCTCGCCACTGATCGGCGTCGCAATAGGCAGTGCGTACACAGGATACATTGGCGACCGCATCGTGCTCGGCATGGCTAGACGAAACAAGGGTGTCTTGGAGCCCGAACATCGCTTGTGGCTTTTCTTGCCGTCACTGCTGCTGGTGCCCTTCGGACTGCTGCTATGGGGAGTTGGCGCCGCGCATGCTGTCCATTGGTTCGGCTGCGTCTTTGCCATGGGCGTGATCGCCCTCACCAACACCATCGGATTGCAGCTTTCGGTATCTTACTGCATCGATAGTTACAAGGACCTTTCTGGGGAGGCTATGGTGACGGTCATATTGGTTCGCAACACCATGAGTTTTGCGATCGGGTATGGGTTAACGCCCTGGGTCACCAACATGGGCCTGCAGAATGCCTTCATCGTCGCAGCCTTTGCTGGCATGGCGCAGTGCGCAACATTCTTTCTCTTCGTCCGTTACGGCAAGACGCTAAGGAAGGGTAGTGCGCCGCGATATGCCAAGTACGTTGAGAAGATGGCGAGTAGTGGAGTGATCCACTAAGTTGCTCGGTTTCGCGTGGTAGCAGACACCATGAGGCCTTGCACTATCCATCAGCAGCTAGATGATATCCGATGTAGCTTAACTGTTCGGAACTCGGTATAGCATAGAGTTAGGGTTTTGCTCACGATGACTTCATCGTGCCCGCAGCTTCCGTGCAAGTGTCTTTGCAGCATGTAAGCATAAGTTATGTCGTCGCTCTATGTTGTGATATTCAACACAGGCTGCTTGAGCTACAGTTAATGCCAATCTCAATCAGCCATGCCAAACTTCAACCTCCACATTATCAAAGGCTCTCGCACGCCCGAAGAAGTCAAGAAGCTTGCAGATGTCGTCCAGCAATGCTCGCTCGACCATTTCAATGCGCCGCCAAGAGATCGGTACCAGGTATGCTGCGCTTTTTATGTCGACACATGACCGAAAGGGAGCATACTTTCCGCAACGTCTTTGCGATGTTGACAAGTTCACTAGGTAATAACCCAGCATGAGCCGTACGAACTGATTTTCGAGGACACAAACCTCGGCATTAAGCGTACAGACAAGCTTCTGTTCATACAGATCTTCCAGCAGGGCCGTACCGCAGAAGTGAAGCAGAATTTCTATGCTAAGCTTGCAGAGTCGCTGAAGCAGGAGTGCGGCCTGGAAGGCAACGACCTTGTCATTACTTGCTTGCGCAATGAGAAAGAAGACTGGAGCTTCGGGTACGGCAGGGCGCAGTTCTTGACGGGTGAGCTGTAAGTATCGTGGATCAAGGACTAATGCGGAGAAGCTTTGTAGATATAGAGATTCAGGTACCGTTCCAACTGCGTGGATCCGGATTCCACTCCTCGCTTTCGATGCTAATTCGTAAGGCTTCCAGCAGAGGCAGTATCTGCTTGAAATACGACTCCTCGTCAATTAAGGGCTTCGGAGATTGGGCGTTCAAGGCGAAGCTATGGGCTGCCTCATCGTAGCTCCACGTCCACCATACTTTCTCCAGGTTCGGTAGGTTCGTGTTATACCGCTCATGATGATCGATCTTCATGATCAGACCAATCAGGCGGTTGCACCAGGTCTTGAAGCTGCCCTTCACAAGAGCTTGATTCCGAACGAAAACAAAGCGCTTGACACCCTGCAATGCCCGTAACAGCTGTACTATATCCGAAGTAAAGTCCATGAGGTAATGCCAAAAACTCGACCGTTGAAGCACGATTGTCAGGGTATCGAGCTGCAACGAACTGTTGCCGAAAGGATGCTGACCCCAGTCGATCAATTTCCGGAAGTGCCTAGCATCAGCCACGAACGTGATGCTGCGTAGTGATCCAAGCTGCGTGGACTGCAGATACTCCAAGCGCTCTATAATGCTATTTGCAACGAACAGGCTGTTGACCACAAATGCTGTTCGCTGGAAAGCGAGAAGGCCGCCATCTTGGTAAAGCTGACGGCAAGATTGCAGAACATGAAGCTGCAAGCTTGCACGATAGCGCTCGTTCAATATGATCCCGGAAGCGGCACGTCCAGCAGAGAAGTAGTCAGTCGAGATGTCTTCGGGGAATAGCAGTTCCAAGATGGACATGCGTATCTCAGCCGGTAGGGCAAGTAGTCGACTTTGCTGCACACAGTCCGCCATCTCGATGGACAAGGTCCGCCCTTACGCTCCCTCCAGGCTCAAGACTGGTCAGTACTAATGGAGTGGAAGGTGAGGTATTAAGGAGGGTGATGGGGAGATATGGTCGAGACCTCGGCCCGCTCTTGGTGGGGCTCGGGGTGAACGCGGCTCTGCGGGAGATCTCCGCCATTGACATCCAAAGTCAACAGCTTACCGTTGTCGTGGCTGTTGTAGAAGAGAGCAGCGGATTGACACCAGATCTCGATCTATCGCTTCTCGAACCGGATGAGGCTGCAAATGCCAGTGACTTTTGTGCGTAGGAGGAGACATAGTAAAGACCTCCTTAGACCGGGGTGACTTGAAACAGCAGCGGCATCTGACCTAGTCCTACCCTACATGCTTCACAACACCTTGTTGTTAGTATTGGACGAACCACACGAAAATCAGCCATGGCAGACTACGACGATGATCCCGCAGTGGAAGATGATTTCGAGAATGAGGATGAGGAAATGGAAGATGTAAATGAAGCGGACGCAGAGGCCGATGCTGATCAGGAGGATGATGCGAACGGCGACGAGGACGACGATGAGGACCAAGAGAATGACGATGATGAGAATGGCGAAGATGATGAGGACGAAGATCAACCGGACTCACCCTCCCGACGAGCGACTCAACCTACCGCGCCCCGGCGGTCAGCACTTGAAACGCAACAAGCCAATCCTGCTGTTGTCCTGACTTCAGCATCGCCGCACCATGGTGCCGCGCGGTCTCCTGGCGCCAGTATCGTCAGGTCTTTCCTCCCGCCTACTCGACCTGAGGCGGTCACGGCGCAAGCCTACGATATCGTCCCCACCATGGCGGCGCCGCAAAGTACAAGTATCAACGCCATCACCGCCACGCCCGACATGCACTGGGTGTTCAGTGGCGGCACAGATGGCTACGTGCGCATGTACAATTGGGTGGACACGGCCAACGGCAAAGTCCCACTTACCGTGGCGCAGAAGCATCCGTTTGTAGACAGCGTAATGAAAGCCGGCAGCCTACTAACTTACTGGGAGAATGAAGACGCACTGTACCGAACGCCGACCAAGAACGGCGAGGATGAGAGCAAATGGACGAGTCCGGTGTACTCTCTGGCTGTGCAGCATCAGGCACTCTGGCTATTGTCAGGTCTGGAGAGTGGTGGCATCAACCTACAGACCTGTCGACACCAAGCTGGCACCCGGATTACTACTCTGAGGGAGCATACAAGCGCCGTGTCGGTACTTACGCTGAGTCAAGACGAAACGCAGTTACTGTCTGGAAGCTGGGATAAGGTTATCCATGACTGGGATCTGCAAACTGGCAAAGTCAAGCGCTCATTCCGCGGATCTGGCGGACAGATTAGCGCCATCGAGCCACGACCTTCAAGCGATGTACCCGTGCCTGAAGTGCCCGACGCGTTACCTAACCTGTCCAACGGTACTTTCTCCAGCAACAACGCAGACAAGCCGTTTCCGGATGGCATGTTTTCGGACGGCGACGATGCAGACGCGCCGGGCTCGCCGAGCGGCAGCCTGTTCGGCGAGAACGATCACGGCTCGCTGTTCGGCGAAGACAACGCGGCTGGTGGTGGAGGGGGAGCGTACGGCGACGATCAGGGAGAGCTCCCTCAAGCTCTAGAGGACGCCTTGCACGACCCTGATCAAGACGCACCTGGTGAGATCGATATCGAAATGGATGACATCGGTCTTGGTGGCCCTGTGCAGCCTCCAGAGACTGGCTTAGCACCACCCGAGACAGTACCTGAAGCAATAGATGCACAGCACGCCGCTCAAATCGACGGCAATGCAGAAGCAGATGGCGGATCTCATACTGTCCACCCGACTGAGCAGCAGTCTACAGAAAATGTGTCTACCGAGCTGCCGAACGGCCTTCCGCATGCTCACGAGCCACTCACAGCGCCGCCTACAAACGATAACTCGAACGCGACAATGTCCTCTACCACCTCAGATCTGCCACCCCAGTCGGAGTCCACATTCCTCTCGACATCGATAGACGGCACGCTTCGCATCTGGGACCGACGCGTCGCCCAGCCCATCGCCGTCGTACACCCACAAGCTCTGACACCGCCATGGTGCACAGGCGCCTGCTGGAGTCCCGACGGCAATACCTTCTACCTTGGTCGTCGTAACAACACCGTTGACGAATACAATATACACAAGCTTTCGTCAACCTCCCATGCGCCTTCACGCCAGTTTAAGTTCCAGGCCGGTAGCGGTCCGGTGTACGCTGTTCGAGCTATGCCGAATGGTCGGCATCTTGTCTGCGCCAGTCAGGATATTCTTCGTATCTATGACTTACGGCACGAGAGGGAGAGGGACAGTAAGGGGAGGAGTTCCGTGCCATTTACGATCGTGCCCGGACATAGGGGTGGATTCATCAGTGCTGTACATGTGGATCCGACTTGTCGGTTTATGCTCAGTGCTTCGGGTAACCGAGGCTGGGAAGGTGGCGGGACGGAGGTGTTGCTTGGGTATGAAATTGGCGTGCAGGATGAAGCGGGAATATGGCACAAGTGAAGAATTGCCAACGTGCTTAGCATACTAGATGCCCTTTCGTGGCCCAGTGCACTCTTCGACGGCGGCCTGACTCAGTCAGAATGTGACACCTACAACGCCTGAGGAAGGAACGCGAATCGGGCGAATGACTGCACGTGGAAGGCGGAATATCCCGGGAAAGCTCGTTCGAGCAAACAAGCTATGCCACCGCGCCATCGGTTCCTGCAAGAAGCATCCAACGCAGAATCACATAGCGTGCATTTCAGCCATACTACTGTTGAGCAGCAGAGATGGCGGTGGATCTGCTGCGCAAAGGGCTTGCGACGTACGCTATTTCTCATTCAATGCATTCCATGAACTCCCTGACCGTTGGAGCAGGCTTCATGACAGTCAAGAATTCACGAACTTTACCATTATGTGTGGCTACAAGGGATTTAAGGCGCACAAAGTCGTGGTAGCAGCCCAATCCGATTATTTCCGGGTTGCCTGTGCTCACGGCAGGTTCGCGGAGGGGGAGCGAAACATCATCCTACTCGGGACACATGGCGACGAACCAAACGCCATGGGGGATGTTGCAGGCGGAGACGATCCGGAAGTCATCGAGCTCATGATAGGCTTCTTCTACCATTACGATTACATGATCTCAACAGGAACACCGAGCAATGTCGATGTTTTCCAATCTCAGGCGGACAATGAGGAGACTATGAGCGCACCACTGGCTCCTCCCAGTGCAGAAGTGGAAGAAACCGACGAGCCATGGAGTCTACCACCCTCGGAGGAGGCGCGGCACTGCAGTCGGAAGAAGCGCAAGCGGAAGAGGATCCCTGGGAATCTTGACGGCGTCAAGGATTGCGACATGCTCAAACCTGACGATACTCACACGCCGCATGCGTCCGGAACACGCCGCGTCCTCAATGCTCCTTTGGCAGTCACGCATGCGAAACTCTTCGCGGCCGCGGTGAAGTACCAGGTCCCTGGTCTCAGGGCGCTTGCATTGTCGAAGTTTGAGCAGGCTGCAAAACTTGCTTGGCAAGACGCGAGCTTCGCAGAGGCAGTGCGCGTTGTGTATAAATCCACCCTTGATGAAGTCCGCGAGCTCAGAGATGTTATTCGTCGTACATCAATGAGCATAAGCAGGTACTGCTAGTGAAGCCCGAGATTGACAAGGTGGTCCGCTCGAACGGATCGTTAAGCTACGAATTGTTGCGCCTGGCGGCTGCCATACCGCCGATCGAGGAGGCCGCCGCGGACCAATCGCACTGTCAAGACAAGAATACGCACGGCGGTCGGGGTTGGCCGAGGCGTCATCCCATTACGTGGTCTTGACCGGCTTCTCAGGAGGCGAACACGGAGCATGCGGTATTGGTATCAGTTGGATGAGTAGACAGCAGATGCTTGATGGATAGCCACCAGAGAAGACGGTTTGTCGTCTGACAGGCCAGTGGTAGCTGCCAATCCAGTGGCGAATGCTGCAGGATTTGAGATCATCGTATACTGTTCATAAAGCAAGCTTCGTCCTTAAGCTTCCAATGCATAATATAGACAGTTCTCTTCTTGCAATGACTAGCGCCCAGAGAGGAAGGCACGGCGAACTAACTTCGTACAAATCGGGAATGAGCCCTTGGGAGACGGCTCAGCCCGCTCAGCTTACGCATGCTATCCTCCGACCAGAACCATAGTCCTCTCCAACAGAGCTGCTCGCAGTTTAAACGGCATCTGTCGCCAGTAAGGGCGAGCGACTGTGAACGTTGTCGCCGTTTGCTGTCCCGGCAATATTTGATCGAATGCTATTGCCCGTGGAAGACCATCTCTTGTCGATCAGTGCGGGACAACCCACCTCATCATTATCAACGTGGGACCATCCGCAAGGTTAGGTAATTAGCAGGGCTATGGGAGGGCACCGCTGCAGATCGATCGTGCAAGCCTGCGACGAAGACTCACTAATGTTGACGCTTGCGGTAGAACTTCTTCGCAATGGCGCAAGTTCGGAATATAGTGATTCGTAAAATGAGCGAACACGACATGCAGGACGTGGCCGCGATCTACAACCACTACGTGAGAACATCTATCGCCACCTTGCAAGAAGAAGATACAACAGTAGCCTTGATGGGAGCAAAGCTGCTCGGCATTCGGCAGAAAGGGCTGCCGTGCCTGGTCGCTATCAGTACTAACTCGCCCACTGTCTGCGGTTACGCCTATGCAGATGACTGGAACACGCGTTCGGGATATCGATACTCGGTGGAAGGGACTATCTACCTCCACAAAGACAATTGCCGGCAAGGCCTTGGCAAAATCCTTCTCGAAGCGCTTATTGCAGACTTGCGGAAGTGCGGCAAGAAGCAGGTACTGGCAAAGATGTCCATCACTCCCGAGCAAAGCATTGAAGACGTACCATCCTGCCGCCTGCACAGGTCCTTTGGCTTCGAGGAAGTAGGCAGATTGAAAAGGGTTGGTCTGAAGAACGATGTTTGGCTAGATGTAGTGATCTTCCAGCTTGCATTGGAGGGAGTAGAGGGCTCGAAGTCGGTTACGGCCGGCGATGAACATTGACAGGGCGTCGTTACTGAGAAGGATTTCCAGTGCGACAGGCAGTGTCGTACTGTAACGTACGAGCGGCACTTTGCGGAGTTCCACGGTCTGCAGGAAAACGATCGGTGCTCCATACTCACAGCCTCGGAGCGAACCGATGAATGTGAGGTCGTGGAGGGTGGCGTGAGCCTGTCCACACTCGCACCACGGATACTGCTCGGTAAAGCTCAGAGATCGTCAGTACTCAGGTACCTTCTGCCCTGTCCCGCTCGTGCAGACAGCAAAGACACATGGCGTTTGGGGGCTGTGATGGTGCAACACCTTCTGCAAGCTAGGAGCATCGCGAACGGTCTGTACGATCGGTATCCCACGCGGCACTGCGGCATTCCATGCAGCTTGCACGACTGGGCAGAGCTGTGCCGCTTGCAGTAGCTCGGTACCGGTACCGCAGCCCTGTCAGCTGTAGCTGGTTTGGCCAACCATGGTTGTGTCATGTTGAAGTGGCACCACTGGTGGAAGATTTCACCATCAGACAATGGGTTCTAGACGGTGTGGAAAAATTGCTGTATGACTGTGAAGCGATGCTCTCTCCTGAAGTAAACTCCTAAGCACACGTGCGTTCGAGGTAAAAGGCGAACATATACAACGCATACAGGTAGCTCGTCTATATGCTCACGGCACATCAGCTACATCTCAAATCCAGATCAGAGCTGTAGCTCATAAGCGATCGTGTGCGGTGGGGGTATCATTTGGTTTTCGTCGCGCCTGTACGCCTGCCGTTGCAATCTTTCACTGTCAGACTCCGGACGCCTCGGCTTCTGAACCGCGGCTTCAAACGCTAGCACGTAGTAATGCAGCCTCAATGTAACCCAAAACGCCGGTGCAATGCATCCAAGGTGACCAAGATTTTGTATGTCGAATGGGTTGCGACAGGTTTCAGATATTCCACAAGATGTTGCTTGGAGTAAGGTCGTCTAGCTGGTCAACAGCTCGAGCTGTGCGGTTCCGCGCTAAAATGCGCCACGCACAACGCCACCAGATCCGAGCCATTCTATGGCCGAGGGGGCGTATTGGATGGAGGCTTGGCAAAGCACGCTCGACCCAGGAGCCGGAACGCACGCCGGATGATCGGTCGTAGAGCTCATATGCCAATTGGTATTCCTCGTTCGATCTTGAAAAGGTCGAGTGCTAGACTCGGAAGATCTTGGATAGCGGCACGGACGTCCGGCGTCGTAGCCAGTTGCGGATGGCACTTGAATGCTTCGCAGACGGTGTCCCGAAGTCCTCGGTCGTTGTCGATCGTTGAACAGTAGACTTCGAAAAGTACATCTGGAAAGTCTGGCGAGTCGTAGTTGCAAGCCATTGCCATTTCGAACTTAATCTTCGCCAATTGCTTCAGTGATGGAATGTCGTACTTCTCCGCTAGCGCGTACACTCTTGTGTGGAGCAGAAGGTGTGACTCATCTTCAGGCAGCTCATCCTCTTCATCGAAGGATTCGTAATCGCTCTCACCGTCAGCAACAAGCGGCGGTGTTCGAGCTCTTGCCTTGATGGGCGATCTCGGCATCTTGTCTGGCCATTCGAAGCACTTTCGTGTTTCCATCGCGGATGTGGGTGGTGTGATAGGGGACTCTGGGTGGTAGCAGCCTGCTGCAGCGAGTAACGGGTCGGAAATCTGAGTCAAGTCGAGCTTTCTCGGCAGCTTCTTGCGGGCGTCCGAGAAGGCACGATGCCGGAAGACGGTTGCTCGCGGCTGTTCGGGCTGGTTAAGGTAATCCAGATGGTAGAAGACTGCACAGATACGGTGTTAGCAAGCAACCTCAATCGAACACACGTATTGTAACAACGCACAATGTATCATCTGATTGACAGCCTCCTCGTCATCTTCACTGAGGTCGATGACTCGGTTGTCCGCCCAAGGATTGCCGCAGGCGCCGTCGAAGAAGCCGCTCCGTGAGCATATGATTGCTCGGTGAACCGCCCATTGTCGGTAGTTGCATAGAATAGTCAAGTCCGAATACTTCCCGCCAACATGAAGCCTGCAGCGAGCGTGAGCACCACCCATTGTCATGCAGCTACGATCGTAATATCGAACGTCAGTACGTACGCTGACAGTGCGTTTAACAGGTCCGTCTGCGGACAATCAATTGGCGAGGATGGAGCAGAAGGCGAGGCCATTGCGGAGTTTAGCTCGGATTTGGCGCGCAAGGCGAGGAGGGGATCCGGGGCAGTGTTTTCTTTCGGAAGGACGGCCGCTAGGTGAACAGGTGTAACAACAGCGGTCTAGCCGTCTGCTTCTGAAGCGTAGAGTGTCTGGCACTGATGTAGAGTTCCTGTATGCAAAGAGAGAATGGAACGGACCCCGCGGCGTAATGTACGATCAGCAACAAAGAGTCGAGCGGGAGGTCAAAAAGCGCCTGACCTCGAACAGGTAGCCTAAGTCAAAACTTTCCCTCGAATCACCGCCGCAGCGCTTGGCGAGTACGCGTTCCTGCAAGTGCTAGCTCTGCAGACTTGCTGCAGCTGCAGATCTGTAGATACCGGGGTGCGCTTGAGCGTCAGCCTTCACACAGCTCAAGAAGGCAAGGCGCTGGCGCCGCAACCTCGGTGCCCTTCGTGGGGGGTCGCGTAAGTTCGGGCTAGCCTCACCGACAGCACGTGGAAGATTGTCAGATGAGTGTTGATCGCCAGATCGAGAGGTCTTGTGAGAGCTTGTTGCTACCAATGCCTCGCGAAGGTGCCGTGAGCTTCAGTGGCGTTGCGTTCTTCGCGGCGCTCATGTGGTGGTACGTCGATATCGGACAAACCGTTCAATAAGCCACGAACGCCTCTTGTGGAGCTGAAGGTATGCTTAACCGCGGCGCAGGCGCTCTTGTTGCGTCTGTCAGACGGGCTTCCCGATGATTGGTCGGTGGTTCTTGTGAAAAAGAAACGAGCAAAAGTTCGGCGGATGTGTTGGGCTTGCAGTAATGTGCCTGTAAGATCGCCTCGAGGATAGAAGAGGCAGAGGGATCATGGGAAGAGTGTATTATGACAACGCACACTTAATATTCCAGTACCCTCATAGTTACTTCGGCGCCAAAGCGTTCAAGACCTATATGCTTTTTGATTGAGCAATTTGCGCCAAGTCATGCAAGTGATTGCGAGGCGGTGTTGCTTGGCCAGCACTGTGCACGTTTGACTGTAATCGCTGCATCGCTTGGGTCCACTGTTCCACAACGTGTTTCAGGGACTGACTGCGTGCAGGGTGCCGCAACTAGAATCACTAGAATGCTGGGTCGGCAACGGGCAACCCGGAATGCGTTTCCGCGACCACCTTCGGGACCGCACGGTCGGACCGAAATCACATAGTTGTATCACAGCTGGCGGTAGAGACGTGTGGCGCTGGGCATCAAAGGCTTCGATGTGACAAGGCGAGACACAGCACGAAGATCTTCAGCTGTCATACATCTAGACTCAGGGCAGTTCGAAACATTTGAGTGTTGGCATGCAATATTATCAAGGATGTTGCCATGCGGAAGAGCTCGGGATGCCGCACAATGCCTACTCTTGTGCAACGGGCCGTGCAGGTCTTCAGTATACTCGTGGAAGCTAGAACGCTCGGAATGCGAGGCTTGCTCGCCGCAAAACGCAGGGACAGCCTTGTCGGCCGATGCTTACGCCGAGATTGACTGGGTTAGTGGCACATTGAGTACATACTCTTCAGAATCGAGCCATTGGAAGGCGAAGTTTGTGGACGACCGTCGGTTAAGTGAATGGATGACCCTCCATCGCCTCGCTGAAATGGACGCAACCTGGGAGGTCCATTCGGACAGGCACCGTTGATCGTTGCTGTTGGAGGAAAACGCCGCTCGTCGCTGATCAGCCCCACTCGCGAATTGTTGGTTTTGCTGGAGATCGAGCCTCTTTTCCAATCGCGCAGTATCCGGCTATAACATCGGCGCTTGACGACACAAGCGTGCGATCTCCGACATTCATGAGGGTGTGCAATTTCTATCTAGCGAGTGAAATGGCATCCTCCGACTTTGACCATGACATGCCTGCTTAAAGGAGCTGCCTCACAGGCATCGGCAGGGTTGAGCTTCAGTTTGCCCCGGCCGGGGGACTTCGGCAGCGGTACCGGGTGAGACTTGAATGTTTCGGATAGAACAACATCGGCATCTTCGAACTCTCCTGACCTACAGTACTGTTATCCACAATGACGGCTTAAAACCCCCACCCCTGCAGGGCTGACCGGTACGCATGTTGAGTGGTCGATGGAGCCCGAATCGTGAAACCCATGAAGTGACCCGTAAGATACAGCCATGGGACAAACAGAAGGTCAGATGCTTATCCCGATCCAACCGTGCAGTACTCCACTACCCAACGTCGCGTTTGGTGATCGAGATAAGGCCTACCGCCCTCATCTGTGGTCCGGAGGATCCAGCATTGACGTGCTCAAGCATCATTTTGGCATCCTGCGATCGTCTGCATCGAACAAACAGTGAAGCGAACGATGCAATCAACGAACACCGAGGGGCAATGAGGGGCAGGTATGCCAAGACCTCAGGCAAGGTGACGTTTTCCAGCGGCGTTTGCAGGCACGAAGGATCAACTGCGGCGAAGAAAGCCAGTGCACACGCGCTCTTGCAATCGGCAAAAAAGACATACAGCATCCGGGAGCACATGATCAGCCTCACATGTTCCAGCATACCGAACCGAGCATTTAGCGAGAAACTTGTGACGTAGGTTGTCCGCAACAGCTCGCCAACAGCTCATCGAGCTTGCTGTTGCACTGCAACATGGCCGGCGATTTCAAGCTCTCCGCCACGCTACGTGGACACGAAGAAGATGTGAGTAAGCTTGATTACATTTCCCTGCCTTCTAATCCAGGCAGCTGGTCACGTTCACTTTGGCCCCTTTGAGTAAAGTCATAAGCACAACTTTCGTTTTAGGAAGGTACGCTTCCAAGAGTAAGCTGACCCACCAGCCAAGGTTCGTGCCATAGTATTCCCTACTCGAGAACTTCTCTTTTCTGCTTCAAGGGATAACACAGTCCGCAAGTGGAGCCTCACTGCGCCAAAGCCTCCCGCATACGACGACACAATCGCATTACAAGGCTCACACTGGTTCAACGGCCTGGCCTACGCTCCCCCGTCGAGCCATCACCCTGATGGTATCATTGCGGCTGGTGGCAGGGAGACCTTCGTCTTCGTGAAACATGTCGGCAGCCCGCCAGATGCCGATCCACATCGCATGTTAATTGGCCACGCCGGAAACATCACCTGCTTGGCCTTCACCGAGGACGGTAGGAGGGTCATTAGTGGCGGCTGGGACAGCCAGGTGTTCGTCTGGGATGTCGAAGAAGGCAACGTTGTAGCCGAGCTTACCGGTCATGGTGGTCCGGTCTGGGGCGTGATCGTCTACGACGCGAAACTGGTCTTAACCGCATGTGCCGACAAGATCATACGTATCTTCGACGTCAATGGCAAGAGCCTGAAATCGATTAAAGGCCATACTGACGTTGTGCGCTGTTTCTGCAAGCTTCCTAGCGGCCACTGGTCCGGCGCAGCCTTTGCTTCTGCAGGTAACGACGAGGTCATTCGGTTATGGACATTGGACGGTGCCCAAGTGGGTGTACTACACGGCCACGAGGCATACATCTACAGTCTTGCTATCCTTCCGAATGGCGACATTGTGAGCTCGTCGGAAGACCGGACAGTAAGGGTGTGGCGCAACAGCAAATGCATACAGACGATCACTCATCCCGCAATCAGTCTGTGGACTGTTGCTGCATGTCCCGAGACAGGTGACATTGTAAGTGGCGCAAGCGACAATGTCATCCGCGTCTTCTCCCGCGACCCAGAGCGACAGGCTGATGCAGAGGTGAGTCAGCATCTCCACCAGTGTTTGACCGTTGCTTGACTGATGAAGGACAGACTATCCGATCCTTTGAAGAGAGCAACCGCATGTATGCGATCCCAGCGGAGACGGCCAGTCAAGGCCAGCCATTCCAGAAGGAGAATCTTCCCGGTCCAGGTACGTACGTCCGTACAATATCAGGTTTGCCGTTCTCGCGTTGCTGTTGCGGTACGCTTCTGGGAGGCGTGACGATGCAGTAGTGCACCGTTCCACACCTAAGCTCTATTGCGTGTCAGCAGCCACAGCCTTGGTCGTTTTGCGGCAGATTCGCATCGTACGGAAGCATGTAAGCTGACCACCAGCATTTACAGAGGCACTGCAGACGCAAGTCGGACAGAGAGACGGCCAACAACTGTTCATCCGTGAGCACGACGGTTCGGTGACGGCGCATCTTTGGTCAAGCACGACCAGCCAGTGGAACCTGGTAGGTTATATTGATTGCCTGCCAGCTCAGCGAACGTAATTGACAAGCCATGACAGATTGGGTCCGTAGTGTCCGGCGAAGGCTCTGGCGCGAACAAAAGGCAGTACGACGGCAAAGAGTACGACTATGTGTTTGACATCGACATCGAAGATGGCAAGCCACCGCTTAAGCTGCCGTACAACGCTACGGAGAGCCCATGGGATGCTGCCCGCAGATTCCTGGAAAGGAATGAGCTGCCAATGTCCTACTACGAGCAGGTAGCTAACTGGATTTCGGATAATACTCAAGGTGCCCGCCTTGGGCAGTCAAGTCAACCGGCTCCACATCAACAGGACCCTTGGGGCACTGACCGAAGGTACAGACCTGGCGATGCAGCGCAAAGTTCGACAACTGGCGAACGCAGATTACCACAGCGATCGTACATCAGCATCTCCGAAGGCAACGCACAGAACGCTGTCACTAAGATCTCAGAATCTGCGAAACAACTCCAAGCCGCCGGCAAGCTTGACCCAGTATCTTTGCTGAGCGATGACGACCTTGCTGCGTTGCAGACGCTTGTCGACCAGCTGAACAAATCTTCAAGCGACCCACATCCGACCGAAAGCCAAATTGCGGCGCTGCTCACTGCATGCTCAAAGTGGCCGAGAAAGGAGCGTGTACCAGCAATTGCATTGCTGGCTCGGCTCGCTGTGTCTCCAAGCTTCGTCAGTGCTACTTCATCTGGCGAGAAGACCATCGTGGAGACGCTGGCACAAACAGGCCTGTTAGAGCAGCGGCAGGAGACAGCAAACAATGCGGTGCATGCTCTTCGATTAATCGTCAATCTGTTCGCTTCCGACTCCGGCCGACTCATAGCAGACGGCGCGTTCGAGTCAGCATTGCAGCTTACGAGACCCTTCGCCTCTGAGCCTGAATCACCGGCACAGTACAAAGCGCTCGCGGCGTTGTACCTCAACTACGCCGTGCTTGTTGTCGCTGGTGCGCCGGCTGACGAATCAGCAAGTCGCGAGGCTAGAGCGAAGGTTCTACTAATCGATATCGCGACGCTACTAGAGTGCGAGAGCCCGCATGCGAACGATGGGGATGCCTTGTATAGGATTTTGTGTGCACTTGGGACACTGCTGACCCTCGGTGAAGACTTCAGAAGGGAAATGAAGAGTGGCGTTTCCGGCACGCTGCACGTCGCTGGCAGTAAGCCGGCTGCGCAAGCGCAGAATGTCAAGGAGGTGATGCAAGAGATAAGAGATGAGTTGCGATGAGTCTTTCGATTGACTGCATAGCGAGGCGCGCAGCAGGCGCAGGCAAATCGTGGCCATGGGATGACAGCTGCTGCCATCAACTCAGGGCCTCAGCAAATGAAACCGATTTCCCGTGAATGCTAGCCTTGCACTTTGAAAATGCTGGGACGAGCATAGCATCTGCAAGGCATACCGTATCAAAGCCCAAAAGACGGTCGACACCGTCTGCACCACCACCTGCTCACGCCATCGAAGCGGAAAGGCCCTACCGGCGGTGCTGGGTCGCAGTTGCAGCTTACGGACTGTTCATGGCAGTTACAGCAAAGCTTCACATTCGCGGTGCCGCATGTGTTGCAGCAGGGTCCGTTGGTGTCCGGCTTCATTGTTTGCTTCGCCTTCAGAAGGTCGTACGCCAGACCGTCGATGCTGCGCATGCACTTCTCCATAGATCCCTTGCGTAACAGCACATCTTCATGCCGGAGTAATGTCTGTGTTGCAACGTTGCGGAGACCCTTGTCGTTCTCTGGCGTGGTCGTGTAGACTAACCTTAATGCCACGACGAATGCCTCGCTGTTCCAAGCATATGTCGCAGCTTTCATGAATTTGCCGAGGGCAGCATCTTGGAGAGAGTGAATGCCGTACTTGGAGCCAAGAGCGTACATTTTGGCGTGCATGACGGTATTGCAATCCCCAGTAGGCGTCACCTTATCATTGTGTTTGGATGGCCATTGTGAGCCGCTTAGACCGTGAAAAGCTGGGAAGAAAGATCCTGCGGTCTGCGACTCCTTGGCGTAGGCGGTTATATGAGCCTCGTCTTCAGTTACTACGACCCGCGTAGCGGTGTAATCGTGCTTGTACAAGAAGTCGATCATGAGCTTCACTGCTTCCGGGTCGTCCGCTCCAATGTCGTTGTCATCCCTGGCAGCTTTGAGGACCACCGTACCGGTCTGGCCCTCTGCGAAACCTCCGGGTTTACAGGCCGCTGCGAAGTATGCGGAGCGGGTGCACACTATCACTTTGTGGACTTTCGCCTCGAAGCTCCCGCACTTGATAGTCAGGTCGGAGTACGCTCCACTTTGCAGCACACTACAGCAGCGTCAGTACCTGTCTGACGAGCGAGGGCTCTGTGTTCGTACATCACTTACCGTAGCAGAGCTTCATCCGACTGTGCCCTGCCCAGTGCCATGGCGTTCGACCTATATCAGCTGGGAGGCCGCAAAGGAGAAGACGACGTGCTGGGAGGTTGATGTGGAAGCTCTCGGAACGTATCGAGCAGAGAGCTTGCGACTTAGTGTAGCCTTTGACTCTTACCTTGCCGTGTGCACGGAACTTGTTAAAGGGTTGATAAGGTCTCGATACGTTCACCGATCGAGTCATATGAAGCGCACGTGCGCGTCGTGTTGACCGCTGCAGACATTCACACGCGAAGTGACGCTCTCAGCAAGGACTGCACATAATGAAAAGGTGTTGATGTTCGCTGCCTCTTAGAAAGTTCGTAAGCCCCGATGAGATACATTGCGTTGGAGTCACTAATATCATCTGACATGCGCTTCTCCTGACGGCGTCCAATGAGCAAGTGTTGGATATTCACGACGTGCTAAGCCGCGCGTGATATGGTTGAAGTGAAGTGAATACCGAGATGCACTCAGCGCAGCAGCGGCTGCTCCCGTCACGTTCTGAGATCAATCACTTGCCGCTCCTTTACACGTCGCATATGCACTTCTAGCTCGGGCTCGCTGTGGAACCACACAAGCTTCATGGACTCCGCCGCTTCTGACACCTGCGCTTGATTTCGATCAGGACACAGATCGCTGGCAGGACTTTGTGTTCGTAGACAGCTGATATGGTATGACGTTTACGATAGTCGTACGGAAGGCGACAACTTTCTGCTAAGTTGACTCTACTTGTGTTATCTTCCACACCTGTCCATCTCCGTTGTCTGCGACAAAGTTACATACAGGCATCGCAACATGTCCATACGTGGCTCATACAGTCCGGATCAAATCCAGCAATATTACAATCGCATTTGCTTCCCCAATCCAAACGTCTCACCTCCATCGCCACCCTCACCGACGACAGCGATGTACTAAACTTCCTAACCCTCCTTTACAAACATCAACTCTGCAAAGTGCCATGGGAAAACCTAACCCAACACTACTCCTGGCACCGCACCGTCAACGTAAAGCCCCAACACCTCTTCACCAAGATCGTGCACTCCCCCGGCCGCGGCGGCTACTGCATGGAAGCGAACCATTTCTTCCACACTGTCCTCATCAGTCTCGGCTTCGATGTCCGCATGGCCGGGGCCCGTATATACAAGGGCGAGAGTTTCTACGGAGGCTGGACGCACGTCGTCAACATCGTAACTATTGCCGGCACGAAGTACCTCCTGGACGGCGGTTTTGGCCCACAGGCACCGCCACGGCCGTGTCTTGTGGAGGAAGGCCTGGTGCAGACGCAAATAGCGCCTGCGCAGATGCGGGTGATGTATGAATGTATTGATGAGTTTAGGGACAAGACGCAACGGATCTGGATCTACCAACATCGAAAGGATGACCATAGTGATTGGCAGCCCATGTATTGTTTCTCCGATATGGAGTTCACGTCCAATGATGTGCAAGCGATGAACTTTGCGCCTTGGCTGAATCCGCAGAGTTTCTTCTCGCATCAGGTTGTTGGCGTGCGGTTTACCACCGACAAGGAACCACTGGAGTATCCGCGCTCGCCAGACGCGCAGGCGTTGGAAGGCGAAATCGATGGCGCGTTGACATTGGATGGTAATACGCTGAAATGGCGGAGGGGAGGGGAGAAAGTGCTCGACCTGACTTTTGAGAAGGAGGAGCAGAGGGTTGAAGCGTTGGGGAAGTACTTTGGCATTGTGCTTGAGGAAGAGGATCGGGAGGCTATCAAAGGCACAGCCGCCGAGGTGGCGGCTAAGGGTGTGAAGGGTTGAGTATGACTATTACGGTCGAAGCTATAACCTCAGTCGCCTTCGCTTCCGTACGTACATCCTCTTGCAAGTCATCAGCACTGTACAATATCCAACCCCCGCAACTCCCGCCACCCGACCGCGCCGCACCCATACCACCACCTCCTGCTCACTCCTTACAACCTCGCCCCCTGCAGCCTCATCTTCTCCCTCTCCCGATCCCTCATCAACCGCCGCAAAATCTTGCCACTCGGACTCTTCGGCACAACATCAATAAACTCCACCCCACCCCTCAACCGCTTGTACTCCGATTTATGCTCCTCGACATACTTACTTATACTCCTCCGCAACAGCGCATCGGACTCCTCGATGCTGCCGGGAGCCTTCACGACAAAAGCCTTGGGTACTTCGCCCTCGCGCTCGGAGGGGACGCCAATGACAACACAATCGTTCACGGCCGGGTGGGTGAGGAGATGCGCTTCCAGTTCCGCCGGGGCGACTTGATGGCCTTTTGTCTTGATCAATCTAAAGCCAACGCTGTCAGCGAGAATCACCCCCACACAACAACAATACTGCTGCTGAGCCAGCGAAGCCAAGCGACGTACTCTTTTATGCGATCCACGATGAACAAATGCTCATGCCCCTGCGGACTCTTCCGAATCACCACCTCATCCCCCGTCCGCATGAACCGCCCTTCCTTATCATCCATAAACGTCTCCCGCGTCGCCTTATCGTTATGCAGATACCCCAACACGACCGCCGGAGACTTGACCCACAACTCCCCCGCCTGGTCGTACCCTTCGATCTCGTTCCCCTCCACCGTCACAATCTTCGCCGTGATCCCCGGTAATAGTGACCCCGACGATCCGAACCACACGTCCCCCGGCACGGTGGAGCAGACGACCGTGCAGGTCTCCGTGAGACCGTAGCCCTGTCTTACGATCCATTGGGGGAAGATGGCGAGGAGGTCGTCGGCGGTTTCTTTTCCCAGCGGGGCGGCGCCGGTGAAGCAGGCGGTTACGGAGGAGAGGTCGTAGTTTTGCAGTATCTCCTTCGACTTGGTCATGTGGATGATCATGGGCGGGACGAGGTAGAGCATGTTGATCTTGTAATCCTGGATCGTCTGCAACAGGACTTTGAAGTCGTAGCGGGGCAGGACGATGACGCTGTCGCCGCGGTAGGCGCCGACGTGGCTGCCGACGATCAAGCCGTAGATGTGCGACATGGGCAGCAGGCCCAGCGCGACCTCGGTGATGTGGTCGAGGCCGGCGGCTTTGCGCGATTCTTCCCGGTTCGGCTGTTCGTGCGTCGCGATCTGCAGCGTGTTGGCGATGACGTTGTAGTGCGAGATCATGACGCCCTTGGGGAGGCCGGAGGTGCCGCTGCTGTAGCAGAGGAAGGCGCAGCGGCGGGCGCCTTCGCCCGCGCTCCACTTGGTGTCTGAAGGTGGGATGGCGGAAAGTTTGGCGCCGGCGGTGATGAGGCTTTCGCAGGTCTTGTGGCCTTGGTTGGTGAGGTTGCCTGTTACGGAAGGCGCGAGCTCCATAATGAAGACTTTTTCTTTCGGGATGCTGGCTTTCTTCGTCGCGGTCATGGTCGTCTCGAGAAGTGGTAAACAGGTGAAGATGGCCTGCGCGCCGGAGTCCTTGAGTTGGTACTCCAATTCGGCAGCATTGTAGGCGGCATTGACACACGTCAGGATGCCGCCTAGTCTTTGCACAGCCCAAGCGAGAGTCAGGTAATCGATGTGGTTGAGGCTGAAGATGGCAACCACTTTATCCCATTCGGAGCCTTGGTCGGCTTTCCAGCCGAGCTCCTTCGCAAGCGATCGCGAGAGATGATCCGTTCGCGTTCTGAGCTCCGAGGCGCTGTATGTGCGGCCGGTCAAGCCGTCGACGAAGGGATGGCGGGAGTGGGCAAAGGGAGTGCGGCCGTATTTCTCATCGTTCATGAAGGTCTCGATGGAGACGGAGTCCGGGATTTCTGGAAGCGGCGGACTCCATGACGGCGGGTAGAACGGCATTCTGATCGCTTGGCTAGGTGAGGTTCAAACTGCGGTGCTGTGTAAAAGGAACAACCAAGACGGACAACACGGATCGGTGGAGTGCAGGTAGGTAAGAGATCCTCCTCTTTCTTGTGTTCCTGTCGTCCGCGATTTACGGCCCGTGTTCGCATCCAATACGAGACAGTAAGCTGAGAGGAAGGGTGAGGTCTCCACGATGACCGAATGAGCACTAAGGGTTGGATGTTGGACGTGTGAGAGAGAGACGAGAAACAGAAGGACCTACCAAATCTCACCAAGATCTACGACTGCGGGACGGCGAACCCGGAGTCATGGCTCTGATCGCATGCGCAAAGCGTATAGCGCCCGCCCGCCGTGCGATGCTGCTGGTCAGAAGCTGCCTTTGAGCCGAGGTGGGAGGGGGGGGAACTTTGGTATCTCCGCATCATCTCCACCTCCGCCGTCCTTGGCTCGCGCGTGGCAGGTTTATCCTAAGGCAGTTAGTCGGATCGTGAGAAGATATGCCGAGGCCCGACAGAAGAGCGGCGTACATGTAACGGTCTGTGCTGCACGTCACTCTGGACGGAGATGATACACTCGCGATGCTCAGATACTCCTACGTATCCATCTCGCCTCAACAACACCATTGTTGATGCCAGAGCTGAGCTGGTTACAACATCTGTTGGAGACATCAACACTACTCAGCCCCAAGACCATATCACCCACACTTACAACTCCCCCCATACCCCTCCACAACACTCATGCACTCCCAGCAAAAGTCATACCTGCATTGCGTACAATGCATGAAACGACACCCCCCATTCTTCTGCACCCTCCTCCCACACCCGGGACACGGTCTGGACACTTTTTGGATTACCCTGAAACTTTGGTCCTCCTCTTCAAACCGCCCCTTGACTCTTTCTTGATACGCCACGCACGTCTCCCCTTCGTGCCATGGCCGATCACAACTCACACACGCACGAGTGCCGCAGACATGGCATGTGCAGATGTCGGTGTTCTGACCGTTGGGTGGCGGGCCGTGGCCAAGGGCGTCCACAAGCGAGGCGAAGATGAGCGTCTTGTGTTCGTTCACTACGAGTTCAGGTGAAGACTCCCCAGACGCTGGTGGGACGTGGACCTGGCCAGCCTTGCAGTGAGTCCCCAAACACCAGCGCCAGCCCGGCGTGTTTTCGGCGATGAATTTGCGTTCCATCTCCTCGAACCTGGCAACGCAACGTCAGCATCAAAAATGTGGCAATCTGCCTTTTATAAGACCCACCTAGCAAAGACCTTCTGCGTCCCCGCCACCTCCACGTCCTCACCGCGCATCACCGCCTCGCAGCCCGGATGCGGACACTTGATGCCGAACACTAATCCACTCCTCTCCTCTCCACCCACTCGCTTCACCTTCCCATCCTCTCCACTCCCACTGACCTCGACTTTAACATCCTCACCTGTTTCCTCCCATCCTTCCTCACCTTCTTCCTCTCCCTTCTCCTTTCCATTCCCCACTTTCCCTACCCTCACGCCCATCACAAACCCACCCCCCTCAACCGCCACCTGCACCCACTGCCTCAAGCACTTCTTACACGTATTAATCAGATGCTCACACTCCCCACTCGGATTCACATCCGGAAACTGACTGCCAACTCGCTCCACGTCGCAGGCGAAGCAGAGGTACTTGGGCTGCGGGCCGGTTTTGCGACGTTTAGAGGCCGGTGGTTCATCGCTGCCGTCCGAGGGACTGGGTTGAGGGTGGGGAAGAGGGCCGGCGCTGCGAAGATGCATTGTCCTTGTGATATTGTATGGGGGAGAGTAGGGAGGACAGTGAATTGTCGTCGGAGAGAAGGTGCATGGAGTTTGGTGGTGAGAGAGAGCTGTTACTGGTACCTTTCGCTCATATATGGAGGTAGAGTAGAGGACTTATAACGTGTGAAGCCGGGCACAAGGCACCGACACGCACGCGCAGACCCCTTCAGAAGTCAGAAGTCAGACAGGGCAGTCACTACTGCCTGTGCACAAGCCAAGCAGGCAGCAATCTGTACACATGCCTGAGGCCTACCACCGCTATATACAGTATTTACAAAGAGAAAGATAAGAGGAAGAGGGGTATATACATATATGTATACTACCCCTTCATACTCTTCCGCTTCATCCCCTTCTTCCCCTCCCTCTCCCTCTCCTTCTCCAAAAACTTGCGCTGCTCCTCCGCACTCAGCTTCCCCAACTTCCGCTCCCGCTCCTCCTTCTTCAGCTTATCCCCCGCCACCCGCTTCGCCTCCGCCTTCTCATCCTCGTCCACCTTGCGGATCTTGCGTTGCTCTTCTTCACGCGTGGCTTTGATTTTGCGGAGTGCTTCGGGCCGGAAGTGGGCGGTGCTGACGAGGAAGTCGGGGAGGCGCAGGAAGAGGGCGAAGAGGGAGGTGCTGTCGGGTTGGGTGCGGAGGCGGGTGGAGAGGGTGATCCGCTTTTTGGGGAGGGTGTCGTTGAGTCTACAATCAATTAGTGAGGATTTGCCTTGGGAGGGGAAGGGGTGTGGGTTGTACTTCTTCGGCGCGTCAGTGGGTTGGTCAGTAATGATCAACGCCTCCAAATCCTCCCCGGCGTCCGTGATGGCTTTCACCAACTCCGGCGTGACCAGCGCTTCCGTCACCTCCGCGCTCTCGCTCATCACCGTGCACCACGCCGGCAACTTCGGATGATCTTTCGTCGCCGTCAGACTGAGATCGTACCGATCGTCGCGCAACTGCTTCATCTTATCCTTATGCACGATCGCAAAGACGAAGCCGTCGTACGAACTATCCTTGCTGCCTCCTCCCGGAGTTGCGGACGGGACGAGCAGTTTCTCCTTCCCATCGAAACAGTACGCCGTCGCCTCCAACCTCTCCACCGGAGCGGGCACGCTGTCGAAGAAGAACGACAGCACAGCCTCCGCCAGCCATTTCCCGGGGTTATACCGCGGGTAAAGCGTGAGCTTGACATCCAAAAACGCCACATTCTGCCTCCCGGTCGCGTACGTGGTGTATACCCCCTTATTCGCCTCCTTCAGCATGTCGTCCGGCACATCCGTACTCCCCATCACCTTCTTCTCCACACTCCCCTCCTTCCCCTCGCCCTCCGCCAACTTGGGACTCCTCTTCCCCTTCACAAACCCAATCTGCGCGTACTCGGACTCCAGCAGCGGGAGGTGCACGGCGCACCATTGTTTGGCGCGATGCCGGTTTGCGCGCGAGCCCCAGAGGTGCGCGACGATGAAGGCGAGCAGGATGGGGAGGAGGAAGAGCTCTTGGTAGAAGTCGGCGAGGGTGACGCGTTCCCAGATGCGGTACCAGGCTGTGTAGGGGCGGTCCGCGGCGGAGGAGGAGAGGGGGTTGAAGAGGGGGGCGGCGGTGGGGGAGGCGTTGGGGGTGGCGGCGTGGGCGGGGGCGAGGGGGGAGGCGGCGGTCGCGAAGTCGGCGAAGTCTGGGAAATATGAGTGAGATGCTGTATGATTGGCTTTGGTGTGGATGTACGTACCGGTGTCAAAGTCGGAGGAGATGGAGGAGGCGGAGGACTTGGCGCCGCCGAGGAAGCGCTGGAGGAAGTCGGCCATGGTGTGCGACAGTGATGGCGACGGCGACAGCGGCAAGAAGGGGGTGGTGGTGGTAGTGGTGGTGGTGGTATTAAGTGTGGAGGGAATGGCCACGTGAGTGGAAAGTTTGAGTGTGTGGAGGGAAGCTGCAAGGTGAGGTCAATCTTCCGGCGGCTCGGCTGAATGCTACGCCGGCGGGGTTCAAGGCACTGCCATTGACTCTTCGTCTCAACTCGTGGGTACCGTATGACTGTGCTGCCGATGGGTAAAATGCCAGTCAATATTCCTTTCAATGAAAGTTAGGGAGACGTCAATCTTCAGTTCGCACCTCATGTCTATCTTATCCATCGAGTTCATTCATTTCAATCAAATTCGAAGCGGCATCTTCCTCTTACTTCCCAAAGCGGCAGGAAGCTCTATCATCTATGCTTTCTCCACTTCGCAAGGTATAGGGCGCGACTCTACTGTCTCCATCTCATCTTCATTTCATCCTGTACATCTTCACTTCTTACACACCTCTGAGTTCCTATATACGACACCTCATATTCGAGCTGCTCCTACAACGGACTACCTTATCAATAATCTACATGAACCTACGGACCACCCATTCCTTATCGCCACCATGTCCCGCGAACACCCCTCCCTTCCCACCTCCAACCCCCCAGCATCCCTCCCCACCCCTCACTCCTCTCACTCCTTCTGGCATAGCGAACCCTCCCCCCTCCTGCTCGGCCACCGTTCAACCCGCACCCTCCCGCGTACAGCCGACATTGTCATAATCGGCTCCGGCATCACAGGCACAAGCGCCGCCCACCACATCCTCGCCTCCACCGCCCCCGCCACCAACACCCACACTCTCAACGTCGTCATGTTAGAAGCCCGCGAAGCCTGCTGGGGCGCCACCGGCCGCAACGGCGGCCATTGCCAACCCCTCCTCTTCGAAAGCCCCCACGACCCCAGCATCGGCCGCTTCGAACTAGCCAACTTCCACGCCCTCCAACACCTCATCGCCGACAAGCAAATCGACTGCGAGTTCGTTCCCCAACCCGGCGTACGAGCAATCATGTCGCAACACCATCTCGACGAAGCCGCCACGGCGCTGGAAATCATGAAGACCACCGCCCCCGATCTGCGCTCCATGCTCCGCCTCGTTACCGACAAAGCCGAACTAGCTTCCTACCGCATCCCCACCGCAAAGGGCGCCGTGGTAACCACTCTCGCCGCGCGAATGTGGCCCTACAAATTCGTCTCGCGTCTACTCTGCGACCTCCTGACCTCCCCCACTCTCCCCTCCGGAGGGACATTCAACCTCCAGACCCTCACCCCCGCCACCGCCCTCACCCCCACTCCCACCGCAGAAGGTGGCGGCTGGACCGTCCAAACCCCCCGCGGCAGCATCCACGCCCAAAGAGTCATCCTCGCCACAAACGCATATACCTCGCACCTCCTCCCCTCCTTCGCGGACCTCATCGTGCCCTGTCGCGGGCAGATGAGCGCGCTGCACCCTCTCCCCAGCCTCCAGGGCGAAAAGCGATTGAAGACGAGTCTCGGCTTCCTCGGCGACGGACTCGACGATTACCTCATCCAACGGCCCAATGAAAGGGGAGGCCATCTCATGTTCGGTGGGGGACGGCAGGAGGGGACGAAGAGTGTGGGTGTGACGGACGACAGCGTCGTTGACGCGCCGACCGAGCATTACCTCCGCACGAAACTCGTTTCCGCTTTTGATCTGCCGGAGGGTAAGGACGACCCCGCGACGATGTTCGAGGCGGTGAATGTGTGGAGTGGTATTATGGGCTCCTCTCGGGATGAACGGCCGTGGGTCGGGCCTGTACCTGACCAAGACGGTGTTTTCCTGGCGGCGGGGTATACGGGGCACGGCATGCCGAATACGTGGTTGTGTGGGAAGGCGGTTGCGGAGATGGCCGTTGCGAGCTTGAGTGGTGGTGGTGGTGGTGGTGGTGTGGTTGGTGAAGAGGGGGAGGAGGAGGAGGTGGTGATGGCGGGGTTGTTGCCGGAGAGTTATCGCTTGACGCGGGAGAGGATGGAGAGGGCGGCGAAGAGCGAGAGTGTGGAGGAGAAGGATTGGGCGGAGATGAGGCGGGGTGGTGGGCGGAGTAGTGGGCGGAGTGGTAGTGGGAGCGGTTTGGAGAGGGTGCCGAGTGGGTACGCTTGACCGATGGCGGGAGTAGCGATGTTGTGCTGTTCGTGCGATAGCGGGTGTGGAGTCCTCTAACCTCAGTGCACTGCTCTCGGCATTAACATCCCTTAGGCCCTAATCCTCGAAGCCCTTCCTTCGCGCGATAGAGCTTGTGTCCGCAAGTTACGATCGTAGATGATTTTCTTTCACTCCACCTCAAAAACCAAACCCACCCCATCATCCCCCGCCGTAACCACCCTGCCTCCCCCAAACCCCCCCTGCACAAACCCCATCACCCCGCCCCCGTCCCCACCGCCTCTATGTCCCCTCCACTCCCCCACCAACCCCTTCCCCGCTCCCTTCCCCTGTCCCTCACCCCCACCCCCACCCGTCCCCGTCCCCGTACTCCCACCCCTAACATCCCACCTCCGAACCACCCCATCATTCCCCCCACTCGTCAACACCCACCCCCGCTCATTCACCGTCCCCAACGGCGTCTTCACAAACTCGACCTGAATCACCGCTTCCTCCTCGTGCGCGGCAGGGATATGTCGACGTAGGGCGAAGTTGTGCGCGGCGTCGAAGAGGGCGATGCTGCCGTCTACGCTTCCCGCGGCCAAGAGGGTGAGGGGGGGTTGGGAGAAGGAGAGGGTTTCTATGCCGTCGGATTGGGCTTGCAGGGAGGCGAGGATTTGGCCGGTTTGGCCTGCGCTCGCTGCTGCGGGAGCGGGTGCTTGTTTCGCTCCGCCGGTTTTGGATCGGGCGCCTGCTCCCTTTGCGCCGGTTGTCCCGGTCGATGAGTTCGTGGCGGAGAGCCGAGGTAGGCCGACCACCCGAATCTGCCCTTCTGCCCCACCGACCGCGACGATCCCGCCTCCGGGCGAGATGGCGACGGAGTATAACCCTCCATCTACCCTAAACCTTTCGTCCGCCGCTGTCAGCGCTACAATGGCTTCCGATCCACTCGAGGCCGTGAGCCCCGCCGCGGCAGCTTCGCCGAAGACGTCCCAGACGTAGAGACTGCTGTCTTCGGACACCGTGGCGAGCAATTTGCCGTCGGGGGTCCAGGCGCCGGCTGTGCAGGGGGCTTGGTGGAGGAAGAAGGATTTGGTTAGGATTAGGGGCGCCTCGTTGTTGGAATTGGAGGTGGTGGTGGTGGGTTGCACGGTGTAGATCCATACGCTACCGTCGGACGCGCCGAGGGCGAAAGTGTTGGTGTAGGTTTTGTGGGGGGAGGGGAGGATCCATTCGATGCTTTCCACTTCTTTGACGGAGGCGTGGAGGTGGGCGGGTTGAGGAGTAAGCGTGTTGGTTGTGGTGGAGAGGGTGAGGTAAACGTTGAGTTTCCCTGCCAGTGTGCCGGTGGCGATGTAGTCGCCGGAGGGGAGGAGGAAGGTTATGGCGTTTACGGTCTCGTCTTGTTGGTCTAGCCGGGATAGGATGGGTTGGCTTTGGCGTTCCGTCGGTTGTGGGTTACTTTCGTAGCTCTTAGGTAGTACGGGACCCTCGTTGGCAGTAGTGCCAGGTTGCACAGGCGTTGAGTCCCAGATGTATGCTATGTCGTCGCCTCCGCCTGTGGCTACGATTTCCGGTCGCAGAGGGTGTTGGGCTATGCAGTAGATGCTGTCCTTGTGTGCGTCGAAGTGTGCCACGCTGTCGTTCTGGAGCTGGATCTCCTCTAGCGGTCCCTCGACGTCTACATCCTCTCCGTCTTCGCCGTCTTCGTCTCCCGAGTCCATGGCGGCGTCTTCATCGTGCTCGATCATCTCTTCCGCGTCGTCCATGTCGAGGAGGGCGTCGGCTTGCTCGTCCGTGAGCGAGTTCGCTTCATGCTGGTCGCTCATCTTTTCGTCCGCCATTTTGTACTTTGTCTCTCACAGTAGAAGGTGGTATGAAATGCTGTTGCAACGCTACACTTTCACTCATATACACCTTGAAGATGACGATGTTCCTTATCGATAGTGCCTGATTACTGTACAGACGCCTCCTCAGCCAAAAGCTCACGTTAGCCGTACCGTAGCGCCAACTGTATTGCCACCATCATGCACGCTTCATCCTCATCCGGCTCACACAGCCTCACTACTCGGTTCAGTTCGACAAACTGCCATGTCCAAAGCCAACATGAAGCCATCAGCTACGCCAGTATCCATACCTGCCAGCAAGTTGCTGACCAGACTTGATGCTCCCCAAAAGCCACCATAATGCGCCTCCTCAACTGCAAAACCCACAAACTTCACGACTTCCTCGGCGACGACATCCCCGACTATGTCATCCTCTCCCACCGCTGGACCGCCGGCGAAGTCACCTACAAAGACTTCCGCAAGAACCGCAACGTCAACAGCCTCGGCAGCGTCAAGATCATGCTCTTCTGCGCCTTCGCCCGCTCCCGAGTGCGAGAGTGGGTCTGGATCGATACGTGCTGTATCGACAAACGAAGTAGTGCCGAAGTCTCCGAAGCAGTGAACTCCATGTTCACTTATTACCAAAATGCACGGGAATGCTACGTCTACCTCTCCGATGTCCCGCCGCTGAGCCATGGGCGGAAGGAAGTCATGACCCGCTTCACCTCAAGCGAGTGGTTCCTCCGCGGCTGGACGTTACAAGAACTGCTAGCACCCAGCAGTGTGGTCTTCCTGACGAAGGAATGGGAGATCATAGGCAGTAGAGACACCCTCGCCGACCAAATTTCCACTCTAACCACCATCCCCACGCAAGTGATCCAAGACTACCGCACCGCAACCAACATCTGCGTAGCGCAGAAGCTTTCATGGGCCGCACGACGTCAAACCACGCGGGCGGAGGATATGGCGTACTGTCTCCTCGGCCTGCTGGGCGTGAACATGGCTCTCCTCTACGGAGAGGGAGGCGCAAAAGCATTCAAGCGGCTGCAATTGCAAATCATAGCCGACAAAGACGACGAGACAATCTTCGCGTTCAAAGCGCCGCGTGCCGCGTTTACCAGCACGTCAAGTTTCATGCTCGCGCCATCCCCGTCCGTCTTCGCGGATATGAAGCTAGTCTCCAACACGCCGCAGACGAATCCACTCTACGAAGCTCGTCCACATTTGGCTGTCACTAATAAGGGGATCTTATATCAGGGGAGTGCGAAGCAGCTGTTGTACGATCGTAGGGGTAATTCAACGCCGGGACTGTATATTATATTCTTGAATTGTTTCGGGGGCAAGGCGGGACAGAAGTGGCCGGTGGTGTTGTGTAAGCCTTCGCCGGAGTGGTTTAGCTTTGTGCGCGTGCATACGGAATGGGGGCCTGAGGAGATCTTGGAGGAGTATCCCGAGAGATGGTGGGAGGAGGCAGCAGTGGAGTGGGTCTATATACGCTGAGCGTTCAGGTCATTGCAGCGGGTTGAGAAAGGTGAAGGTGGGTCAAGCGTGTTTGCTTTTAGTCTCTGGGACTCCGACGAGGGCTGTACTGTACTGTACTGCACAGCTGTCTGTGTGGTGGTGGTGTTGTTGTTGGAGAAGCACAGCGCATGAGGGGAACCCGTCCAATGCCGCACTGGGAGGGATTCGTCACAGGCCGTGACGGTGGAAGTATCATGCTGTCCATGCCATCAGCTCCGATCAAACTTGCTCGTCTTTGTGGCCTCGCTCCGGCTGCATCTGCGAGTGACCAGCAATAGTAGTCCGTTAGCCAATCATTACAAAGAATGCAAAGCTATCCCAGCCAAGTCATCGATCGACAAAGCGGTGACCAGGTAGGCTTCAAGGGCATATAGTAGCAAGGCAACTACCTCTTGCAGCGACGATCCGCTCTATTATGGTCAGCCGGCCATAGTGAGCAAAAGTACATACGGTGGCTGACTCGATTCTCGAGTATAAAGGCAAGGCATCTGCTCGTCCATTCAATCTTTCCTCCCTCACCCATCACCCATTACATCCTCCCGCTCGTACCGCCGCCCGTACCAATTACCACCATGCAGGTGCAGCTTGATGTTATCGCGCTCGGTCTCACATGACCGGGCAGAAGCCTTCAGCCTTGCATCGCCATGTGCAGTAGAGACCCCGCAACTCTGGGACTGCCCTGGGTCAAGCTTTCACAAATGGTCGTTGTGCACATCTCACGTATCCTCACATTGGCGACTGTGATTGTCAATAGAGTCGTGCAAAGTCAACGTTGAGAAGATGGCAGAGGCCGGTGACAAACGCAGTGCTCTCGCGTCTGGCGTCCGACTGTTCTTCGTCACCGTCATCAACCTTGCGGCACTTACGGCGGCAGTCTTCACGATCCTCGCCTGGATTGATGCGCAGTTCGCCAGGGAGCAGGCGAACGTGGATTCGGAGACCGCCAAGGAACAGGCGGACGCGGCTAATCTTATTGCCTTTGCTGCAGCGTGTGCCGGACTGGCCAGGCAGGTACGCCTCGCAAGTTGATAGCTTGTTGCCTTGATTAAGGTTGCAGTGCTGAATGTTCACATAGTCCGTGACCGATGGGAACCTGTTCACTCTCTGCTCGCTCGCTGGCCCTTCAGCAGAGTCATCACTACTTCTACTAGCCCAGTCTTTATTCTCTACCACGTTCAGGACAGAAAGCACTGTGACCACTCATACTACGACATATATGATGACGATCACTTCCGCATCTGCGACGACTACGTACGGCGCAACAAGCACTCTGCGGATCACGTCGGCAACAACGCCCGATGCCGCTCCCACGCCGTCGGCGACAAACTCCCAAGTATCACCCACGGTCGGAGCAGGACCAGGTGCGCGCGGCCTCCACCTTTCAGAAAATTATAAGATCGCCATCGGCGTTGGGCTCGGAATTGGCCTTCCGTCTCTGCTGATGGCCATTTTCAGCCTTGTTTTCCTGGTGCCGAGAGGTCTTCTCTAGCAACGTGCTGAATTGACACTCCGACAATTTTACGCGCTAGGCTTTGTCGTTCACTGCTGCATCGTATGCTGATCCGCAGCAAGTCATTTGGCATTATGCACTTATGTACGACTGCATGCTTCACCTTTAGTAGGCGGTACCGTTATCACCCAGTGTCTCTTCCCTGTTGCACGACGCACAACTCCAGCAACCATTAAATTGCAAATAACAGTCTATGTCGGTCATACAAAGCCCAATTCCAATTGGGGACCTGTTCCGAATCGATGTGCCTTGGGCATGGTCCTGGACACCCAGAGCGAAAGACGCCTCAGAAGTACCACATCGGCGCAGTAAAAACCGATACCCGATCTCGAGGCGGCTACCGCCACATCAGCTGGTTTCTAATCGTTTCCCATACGTGGGGAGCCTACATGATATTGTCGGTTCCCACGACACTTGACCCGCCGTCGTAAGTCCATTGCCGTGCCGAAAGGTGGGTAGCAAGTTACGTGTGTATCACGAGATACGAGAGGCAAGAGGTGCGGCGCCGGGCCTTGAGGACCTTCACGCACCATCTTGGGATAAGTGCCGCACCGCAAGGTGCTTCTTAAGCTTACGATCTATTGTATGAGCACACACCCTGCTTCAGGACCCTGGAGCACCATCTCCTACATCAACGATTTTCACGCCAAGTGCTACTTTCGTCGCATCGACTTTACCAAGCGTTACGCCGACAGGAGGGCAAATAACATGACCGGCATTCACACTGATGCCATCCCGCGCTCGCTGTTGGATGACAGAGAGCTGCTCTGCTGTCGCAGTTCCTTATTCAAGGCGAAGCAAGAGATGGGATCTGGCTATGAGTAGTACAGACGCTATCACAGACTAGTTGTGGCACACCAGGATGTCTCACAAGTGTCGAGGGTCTGACTGTCACCATCGAGGGTGAAAGCGCAGTGCCGAGCCCGCGAGCTACACTGGAGTTATCTCAAACCGTCTGTCACGCGAGATGGTCACGTTTACCAGTCTGCCGTTCTTAGTGTTACTGTCCACACCGCTACACCCGTGATATGGCGGCTTTCTAGCTAAGTAGCTTCATGAGTCACATTGCTACGCGCATTTATGGCCGCAAAAGCATCGTACCAGCCAATCGAGTGGCACTGTCCCAAGCCAGATGCCATACACTATGCTGCTCTCCAACCGGTAGACCTGGAATGCAGACGACGTTTGCGTTACCATCATCTCAGGGAAGAGTGTTGGCATCTTCCCAAGCAAAATGCTCTAGGCCATGAGGTGGTCTCAAGGCGTGAGGACCGCATCGTTACGTGGCATGATGGAAACACAGGCACTGGGCTGGCTAACAGCTTAGTAGTATCTCAATCTCAGTAACGCAGTATAGGCTGCTCTCAAGAAGTGGAAAGTCGATGATGGCGTTAAGAGGTTGGGACCTTGGGAAAACAAGGACCTTGTAATCTCGGCCATCTTACAAATTTAACCTTCACTTCGAGCTAATCAGCCTGCCGTGCCCCATCCCCAACTCTTGGTCGTTACTCATATGTGCTTATGGTCACGATAGCTATCTCTTCTACACCGACTCAAGCGAAGTGATAGTCGAGCTCATGCGGCGACTCGAAGAGAAAGTACTTGATCTCCGGCCTTACCAGCGACAGATTCACGTTCGACTCGTTGATCATGAGGTGCTGGGAGGGCAATCAGCATACTATGCAACCACAATTGCGTTGAGAAGGCATGTAAGGCTTACCGAGACAATGCCTGCCACGTCGTCTTTGATGATGTCGAGCTGGTCGCGGAAGGCTGCAATACCCTTGTTGCTCATAGGGAAGTCCTTGTTGAACTCGTTGATAGCCGCTGTGTCAAGGTAGCCGTAACCAGCGTAACCTCGATTGCCATACGCCAACCTCGAGCACAATTCGAATCCCATGTCCGGAATGGGTTTAGATGCTTCTGTGATAGCGGAGATGTTGGTGGTAAGCCACTGACGGAACAGCGTAAGTGCCATCCAGCCGAAGATGTCACTGCTGTAGCGGCCCTTGCTGATGCTCTCCCCGTCGCCGTCGTTGACCTTGAAGAGATGGTCCTGATAATAGGAGAGAAGCTTTTTCAGGGTGGTAATGACGTGATATTTAGCACGCTCGGCCTTGTAGGTGAGCTGCTCAGCGGTCGTAGCATCGAGATGGGCGACGAACCCTCCATCCCCATTATGCGCGTTGTTGAAGACCACGCCAGGAATGTAAAACTGACCGACGCCGTGGATGAGACCCTCGCGGTAGATGACCCGAGACTTCATGCGGACGGCGAACTTCAGCCACTCAACAGGCTTATTGGCGATGGACTGGTACAGAGTCTGGGTGGTGGCAAGGATGGCAGCTTCAATGTGGCTTTTGACGACCTCGATCTGTGTACAACATTAATACGAAGGTCGACTGTGACAACGGGACAGAGACCTACGCAGTTGAGATATTCCGCCACGTCTACGACCTTGATTGCGATGGGAAGGATGTCGGGCAGCTGCGAGCTGAATCTGATTGGCATGGAGTAGATGGCTGCAAGCACGATATCGAATGCCTGTACAACCACCACCGTTAGCTGGTTGCGGAATGCACGCTCCTTCTAGGTCAGCTTTACTTCGTAGTGTGGGTCAATCGCAACGCCGTTCTCCAAATCTAGGCCGAAACCGACGAGCGCGTTGATCGGACGACCCATTTCGTCGAGTCCTGTCATTTGGAGCTTGTACGGAATTTCGCTGTCGCTGACCGGATCGTCTTCGGAATCGCGCAGCTCGAAGCGATACCTCGTGGTGACGCCCCTGTCAGTAGCCCACGTACACAGCTTGGCAGCCCACTCATCACGTAGGTGGATTCTGAAGAAGATGGAGGAGCCCCTGAGCAGGCTGCTGTGGAGCTTGTATTGACGGGCTCCACTGATAACGACAAGGACATCGCCGTCGTTGAAATGCGGAAAGGCAGCGCCTTCTTCAAGCTCCACAAGCCCGTAAGGACCCATGAAGGGCTCCAAGCGACTCATTCGTGAAGGCAAGCTTCAAAGGGATACGCTCATGGAGATGTAGTGTGAATAGTGTGAGCGGATCAAGTTGCTCGGAGTGAGTGAAAATGGTGTGACAAGCGTGGTCGCGTGGACAAAGCTGGCCTTTTTGGTCAACAAGCAACAGGTGCGCATCATCTGTGGGAAGTGGCAGCCTAAGGCTCTAGGTTGGATCGGTGTGAATCGGTGGTATGGATCCGTATGAGCCCAGGAGCTCCTTCGTAGAATCCCACTAGCGAGAGATTGTTCGGAAAGGGGCCAGGTAGCTGCTAGTGATCTCGGACTCCTACTGAGGACGGAGTTGTTGTCGTGATGTACAGCCTACCTTTTGAATACGTAACCCATCCCTCCACGCAGTCTAGGTGGCCAATCTGCTATGTCCGCAAGCACGCATCTTCCAAGAAACAGTCACACCACCGTTTACTGCGTATTCCCACGGAGTGCCACCACAGCTAATGCTCGATATTACAGAGTGGATGCCTGTCATTTCCGTGCAGCGAACATCGCTCAAGCGCCTCCCGGGTTTCGGAGACCGCGGCTAACCTTGATAGTATTCCCGGTTATAGTAATGCATTTACGCAATACGTCTCAAGTCGATGTGCCTACAGACTGTTCGCCGGCGAAGGAAACTCGCAGTAGCCTGTCTCCCAGCGCTGCGGCCTAACTCCTGTCTGCGGCTGTACCTGTCCACGAGCGATGTTGGCCACGCCATCTTAGATGCGCAGAACCACCTTTCAGTCGCAGGAATTACGGTGCGAGCAGTCGCCTTGCAGCATAAAAGGAACTAGACTCACAGGCGGACACTGCAGGGGTGACAGACACAGCACGCATCACTGCGTCATACGCTCACCAAGACTATACGACGTTGTAGATTCTTGCCATCGATTTTCCGAGCCATTGATAACAGCGATGCGCAGCGTTTTGCCTTCCGTCTGAGGAGACAGTGCACTGCTAACGATATGACTGTGACATTGCAAACACGATCTGTCCTGTCGCGCGGTAAGCCGTACCTATGAGCGTTTGGAGCAGAGTAGAAGACAAGACCTGGTGCTGCACCCGGAATCGTTGATCCTACGATTGTTTTATTGTGGATTTTTCAATCTTCCCATGGTGAAGACTCAAGCCTGCAGTAAAATTTGCCGCTTTGTTCTCGCTGTCACCCATGCGCTTTCGTTCGCTTGCAGCTCTTTGACGGCGGGATGGTGCGGCCAACAAGGAGCTCCTGTACTTCCTCCGACCCGTAGTCCGGCGACCTCCCAATCCGCAGTCCTAATGGCTTCCACGATCGCGTCATGGAACTCACGATGGCCGAACACTTCCTCGCCAGCCTTCTCGAGCTTTTCCGCGCCCTCCTCATTGTCCACTTTCAAAAGCTTCTGGTAGGCGCGCGCCGATGCCATCATCGCGTCGTTGCGCTCCTTCACCTTGTCGATTTTGGCGGCGGGCGCGGTCGAGTTTGACTTGCTGTTGGCGGGCGCGGTCTGATGGTTTGTGGCGTTCATGTTGATTGTCTGGCTTCGTAGAGGTGATACAAGGTAGTGCGCCGAGGTGTGATATTGCACGGTAGTAACGAGGAATGTTCGCAGTGGTGTTTGTGCGAGTCCGTATGATTGTCAAGTCAATCCAGAGTCGCCAGCTCGTAGTTTGGGAACCTTCTGTGAACGTCCGCTTGTAGCCGACGCTCAGCACACTTCCGTCGACGGTGAGTACAAAACCACAACGACGAGCTAGAGACTGTAGCAAAGTCGGAGATTCATGTGGTCGATATGCTGAACAATCTCCATGAGTTGAATTCGCGATATCGTGGTTGGAAGAGCGTAAAATGAACGATGCGCGCATTATCGGCTAAAGCCCGGCGGTAGCCTTTGTTGCATTTAATGACAACGGGTGCAGCCTTGCCATTCCCCCGGTCCATTGTGACCGGGGGAATACAGAGTGTAAGTACGTCTTCCCCTTCGTGACATGTACAACAGCAGCATCAGCAGCGGCACGGCAGTCGGCAAGCTCTTTCTGGACCTGGACCTGGACTTGGATCTGGATCTGGACTGGACTCAGGTAACTATCCCCCTCCCCTCATTAATGCTAAAGGTTGGTGTAGGCCATGAGTTTCTGAGCTTGGAAGCTCGGAGCTTGAGGCCTCAATCATTTTTGCCCCGGCCAAGGACCGCAATCAACAGGTGGCACGCTGCAATACGCATGGAAGGGCAGAGCGTTGATGCACGTTCTGTCCTCGCTCGTTCATCACTGCACGAAGAGATGGCGAAGGTGGGAGGCTACAGCTTGCCTTCAGCCGACCAACCTCCGAGTGGTTTTGCTAAGCAGCTCCGGAGCCGCAAAAGCAAGACTCGCAGCACCCGAAACAATGCGCTGCTTTGGCAGTATGCAGTTTTGCAATACCCCGGGCCACTGAGAATCGCTCTGATCTGACACATCGTCCTAGACAATGCTTCTATGTGACCTTTGGCATTATGACTGCAAGGCAAGCTCGCCGTTGCATGGAGGTCTGCACAAGATCGATCGACAATTCAGCGCGGCAAGTGGCTGCGAATCACACATGCAGACTGGGCGCAGTCGGCAAGACGTGCAGAGACCACCAGTGGATAAATCATAATCCTGAGAAGCGTCTCGCCTTGCGTCTGCGGTGCCCGTCGAGCCTTCGCTCTTACAATGGCGGCATCACTACACCACCACAACCCGTGCTTTTGAGACCTTTGGCACCTTCTGCCCCTTGAGTCAGGTTTACTTTGTGCGCTAATAGACTGAATCAGGGCACTAGCGCGGAAGCGTGGCGGAGGATCATAATACCGCTCGCTTCTTCGATCGCTTCCTCTTTCCTTCTTTCTTTTTCCCTTTAGGCGCGTGCTGGTTCACAAGCCATCACCAAGTCGGGGTGACCATGCTCACGAATATGGTTCACCAGGACACTCCACCACATTGCACCGTGTGGCAGTGAGCACGCCTTCGGCCTGGCAAGCCACCGACATAATTTTTGATTTCTACCAGTGCCAGCAGAGATGCATATCAGTGAGGATTAGTCCGAGATTGCGTCTTCGCGGCTTTTTTCATCAATGACCTTGCCTTGAGCGAGGTGTTGGAGAGGAAGAAAGTCTTCACCGCACGCTGCAGTGCTGCTCGTGGGTATTGCAAACGATCAGATCACCTCTTATAGTTGCGACGCGTTCCAAATTGCTGTGCTGAAGGGCGAATGGCAAACGGCGGACATACTGGCGAAGCCATCTCCATGCTCACGGTTTGGAGTTTTACAACCACTGCACAGCACGCTTGCGCAACCGCCACCTTATATTGAGAAGACTGCTGCCACTGTCCTTCTTATCGTGATGGTGGAGGCTGGGTTTCCGCCAACAGTCAAATTCGCCAGCCCTCCCACACGCCGTGAACGTGTTGCGAGTCGGAAGCCAAGTTTCACCGAAGGACAGTCCATCCCCTGACTACACAGATTATTCTCACGGTGTGAACTATGCCGCCATGGCCATCATACGCCTCAAGTCACGCATCGAGGACCGCAGCGTCGCGCCTTCCTCGTCCGCAAAGCCAAGCGGCCATTATCACGGATGACGACAATACATGCGACGAGCTTCCAGCTGACCAAGCGTTGATTGATACTACGAGCGCGTACAGCCGGCAGGGAGATAAAAGGCGAGCTTTCCCAGCCTGTCGCCCAATCTTCTCCCCTTACGTCTCTACGCGTAGGCCTACCAACCGCGACCCTTAACTTGTGCATGCATCTGCTGACTTGTCTCATAGCGTCTGGCTTAGATCAACTGCGGTGATGGTTCTTCTCACTCCTGACCGGGTGATACCCACTCATGAGTGGTTTCTCTCCTCGTAAAGTTTGGAACTCGTCCGAGGACCGCTGGGCTTGCCAATGTCATGGGCACCGTGTCGCTGGTATTGCACCGCCTCCAGCTGACGCAAACCATCTTTTCATCAATTTTCTGGCCTCTGGCTGGAAGTTGGAGAAGAGCCGCAGCGGTGAATGCAAACGATGACGCCAGCGGTGCACGCCAGGGCAGCTTCGTATAAAATTCTGCAGCCGGCTTGACAGCACAACAACAACAACAACAACCAAATCCACACACACAACGCCGCAGCCATGTCTCAACCAAACGGCGCACAGGCAGCACCTCGCTGCAACCACGAAGACAAAGTCGTCACATCGACGACCACGCTCGTCCGCTTCCGCTGCGGATCTTGCGACGCCGCAAACCTCACTCGCATCAACGAGTGCGTCAAATGCAAGCGCAAGCTCTGCGCTCGTTGCAAGGACTCGGCCGGGTAAGCATCGCCTTTGCTTCAGCCGTCTCTTCCTTGATGGCTAACCATCCTGACAGGCAAGGTGGCACTGCCAGTGGCACTGCCGGCAACTAGGGTAGAACGATTGGCGGCGCTGGGAGCGTTCTGGGCGGAAGATCGGTGATTGGGGTTGAGTCGCTCGTGAATAAGCGGACGAGCGTTCTCTTGCCATAGTGATATTGAGCATGACACGATAATGATCAGCTTCGAAGGCGACTTCACGTTACATGTTGTTCAGACAGAGTGTGACCGGAATGTACCCCAATCGATTCCCTTGCTTCGTTGAACCGGAGGCTGGCCCAAGCCCCTCCTATTGACTGTCGAGGCTGCAAAGACATCCATCAGATCATTGAGCAGGTACGACTAGATCACCGTATGCATGCATTTCGACGCCGTTATTCATAGGGTGCCGCAGCTTGCTGCACACGCTATTCAAAGCTTTCAGCGACGGGACGCCGTGCGTCGTGCGCCACAAAATGTAGCGCGAAGATCATCGAGCGGGCATCACGACAACCACATCGACTGCGATGCAGGTCTCAGATCTACGGGCAGATTCGCCGCAGATTCGCTTTCCGTACGGTCTGCACCGAGTCAACACGCGTCCAACCGGTCACATAGCCACGCCGACAGGCAGAACATGCGACTCATACGACTAACCTCAGCTATGATGCTACGAATACCGCAGCATGAGCTCCGTGAAAGCCCATTCGCTAGCAGCCATGCTGGGACTGGTGAGGTGCTCGACAAACAGCAATAGCTGTACACGCAGCCTGAGCGAAGACGACACCAACACCCTTCAGGTTCGAGGGCTCAAGAGCAAGTACAACAGGCAAGCTGAATAGCATAAGGACACCAAATTCGTGGCTACGAAGCAGCAGGCCAGCGATTCAGAGATTTGTGTCCGGTACCATCGCGTGCTTGTAGCCTTGCGGAAACGGTGACGGAAACGTTGTAGCGCGCAGTACAAGGAGTATGCTGAAGCGCCGCTGACACTGCCTTTCAGGCGCGTTAGCGTAGTTGCCGTCGGTGAACATGCTGGGGCAGTTCAGAGGCAGAGCACATCTGGAAACCTATGACAAGCGGACCTGCGACGCAACCCCTTCCATGGGAGCAAGTTGGTCGTGCCAACTGCACAAGGAGCCTGGCAAGCAGGTAGTATTGAGCCGAGATATCAGATTCAGCAGCATGAGTCCGTCATGCAGCCCGCAGCAGAGGAGGAGTCGATCCCTGATGATCCTTCGACACTCAATGAAGCAGGAAGGGCCACGGTTGCAAGCGGTTAGTTTGAGGACATCGGCGGCATCGACATGGAGTGCGAGGCGCGGTCTAGCGGGCAACAGTATCCGGCGTTGACAACGACTCAGAAATCAAACGAGGCGGCTGACGAACAAATAACCACCTGCACGTGTCTTAGCGCTGGCCGAAGGCGGATAGTCAAGGTGTCTTCCTGGTACGGCAACCATCGCTGTCTGCATGGGCCGCAGACCCCGATGCTCTCTGGCAGCACGAAGCACTCTCCACATTCTAACTCCTCACCATACCACGGACCGGAAGGGCACCGTCTACAGGAGCCGCAGACCTCACTGGCTCTCCGGCGGTGTGCTTAGTTCGGCCCATCTCCGCACTTCGTATACCGACCAGAAGCAAGCTGTCTGCAGGAGCCGCAGACCTCGCTGGCTCTCGGGCAACGTGCTTCTGGTGTACAATTCTTCCTCTGGACTTCCCGTGGGACTCCATACGTATTTTTGACCGCAACTAGTGCGTCAGGTATACCATATTCAAGCCAGCTGGGCGGGCTAGGGATGACCAGGTCTTCGTCGGCGGGCTGCAACAGCTCTCCGCCAGACGGCTTGGGCTCTGCCATGGTTCATGATTGGCATGCTCAACTCGACGTCAATACTGGGCTCGGTCTGCCTCTGTCTTCGCCCACGGGCCGTTAGCGGTTCTCCGTCAAGCGGCCTCCGCGTGACCAAAGCCGCTCTCGTAGCCAAGGTTCATACGGGCAGATGGTTTGTCTTCGCCACCAAAATTGCTCTCAGCAGTCGAGCTTCGTAGCGTCAAGAGCACTGTCCGGGGGTTCTCTACCTTTGGCAGGCTGTGATATGCTCACCGCAGAGCGGACAGTCTTCATCCACGAGACTGGTGAAGGGAACCAATGGTCCCTGATACCCTGACCTAAACTCCTCAAGCATTCTCCCAAGTCGGATCGTACGCTTGCCATCAACTCGAGACACATTACGAGCTGCCGGTAATGGAAGATGGTAGTAGTAACGCCTACCACTCTACTTTCGTCACTGGTCAATAACCCGGTCGTCCGCAGCACTTCATATGCGCTTGGGCTGCATGTCTCGTGACGGTACAGAACCGTCAACCCACCATGACCGGCCGTAGGGAGGCCTTAGCCGTATCGATGCGTGGATGCTGCTACCCATTTGATGTCGCATCTTGTCGATGGCACTGTTTAAACCCTTCCAACAACTGTTTTATCATAAGAGCTGCACTGATGCCAGCTGTATACCGCAAGGCAAGGCTCGTACGGAGTGCAAAGACATGCAGTTGTAGCCGCCAATCAAAGCATGAGAAAAGCTCCTGCACGATCCCGGACATCAGCCCAAGCAGAAGTGGGACGCTTGTCCGTGCTGAAAGGCGGGACGGAAGCTTCAGCTGCAATGCCCGAACACCAGCGCCTTTTTGGTCAGGCTTAGCACCGACTGAATCTTCGATTGCTTGATTCGTTGCTTGTTGGATCTTGGCAATCATCATGCTGCGCAAACACGTGCGGCATTGAGGCCATGGCGATGGTACCTTGCACACCTCGATGACGGCTGGGCTGCAGATTGCGCTTGATGGAGCGATGAGTGGTTCGTGCAGCCTCACGATGGTCATGGCTAGGCATAAGAAGTCCTCGCCCGCAGTGGGTGGTGTGCTGAAGGAGTCCACGCCTCTCGTTGCTCGTTGTTCATTGCCCTCGCTCTTATTCTCGCCGCCATGAAGCTCACTTCCGCGGCTGTCCTGGCCTTGACCGGTTTGTATGGCACCGCTTTTGCGTGCGAGGCATGTGCTGGCGATGGTGAGAGCGATATAGTACTTACTCGCAACGTCCGCCGCATGCAGCCCGACGCGCAGAATGCCTCATCGCTGCCACGCTCGCCGCTCGCTTGGGGTCAGCTTAACTTCCTCCATACCACCGACACTCATGGCTGGCTAGAGGGCCACCTGAAGGAGAAGAACTATGGCGCCGACTGGGGCGACTTTGTGAGCTTCGTCGCAGATATGAGAGCAAAGGCGGATCTTTACAATGTTGATTTGTTGGTTGTCGACACTGGTGTAAGTGCGAAGACAGCTGGGCAGCTGTGGGCGTGAGAGGGTCTCGAACGCCTCACAGGCGCTCAGCGGCTATCCATAGGCGGAACCGGAGGACGACGAGCTGATAACTACTAGGATCTCCACGATGGCGCTGGTCTCAGCGATGCAACAAGCCCCAATGGCGTGTTGAGCAATCCCATATTCGAGGTAAGTGAGCAACGGAGAGAGGATAGCCTGGCAGCCTCAATTTGCGGGCTACGTGTGAGCAGCAAACGTGACGAGGCCCATCACTATCATCGGACCACTGCCCACAATCATGGGCAGTGCAGGAGGCATGTTCTTAAGACCAATGGAGCCTTAGAATGAGCGAGTAATTCTTCAAAACAGCTACTTCTACACAAGAGTGTAGTCCAACTACCCAATGGCCACTCGTCCAACAGCTCCACCACATTTAGGGCTGCTCACGCCACGCACGGGACCCATACGGCACACCGGCACCTTGATGGGCTGCACCAACCATAAGGGCATTAGATCTACAGATGTCTTGGCCTGCAGCATACGGACCGAGCTCCTACGAGCCATGGCGGCGCCAAGGGGACGCGACCGAATGAGAGACATGCTGACGGCGCTGTAGGATATCAACTATGACCTGCTCACCATCGGCAACCACGAGCTCTACATCAATGACATATCTTACGAACACTACTATAACTTCAGCGTGCATTATGGCGACCGCTACCTTACCAGCAACGTCCAGATCTACAACCCGAACCTTAAGCAGTTCGAGTACCTTGGGCAGACGCACCGCTACTTTCAGACCAAGAGAGGTATCAACATCATGGCATTCGGCGTTCTCTACGACTTTACTGGCAACGGTAACGACACCAAGGTCATCCCAGCCCGCCAAATGGTGAACCAGACATGGTTCCAGGCGGCCATCCGTACACTTGACCCTGTTGACGTCTTTGTGCTTATCGGCCACAACCCCGTGAGACCGACCGTGTCGGGCAGCACGCTCAGCATTGTCTACAACGCCATCAGGGCCGTACGTCCGGACGTGCCCATCCAAATCTTCGGTGGTCATACCCATGTTCGCGACTTCGCCGTTTATGACGATAAGACCACCGCGTTGGAGTCCGGCCGATACTGCGAGACGCTCGGCTTTTTGAGCTTGAGCGGCTTACCAAGTGCTACCTACCACGGCGCGGTGTACCCCCCGGGTGTGCCGAACCCGAGCATGGCGGCAAAGAAGATCGGTCCATACGCCACTACTACGGCGACCGCAGCTCTGACTACTTCCACTTCGCCATCGAGCTTGGTCTACTTCAGACGGTACCTTGACTGGAACCGTCAAACGTTCATGTACCACGGCATCGGCCAATATGTCACCACTTTCGACACTTCAGCAGGCGTCAGCGCCACGCAGAACATCACTACGACGCGTCAGCAGCTCAACCTGACAACGCTTTACGGCTGTGCTCCACAAACCTACTGCATCAGTTGCGCTCCCTTCCTCAGCAACGGCAGCATCTACACCATACTCACTCAGGCACTGTCTGCCGTTGTGGTCAACCAAACACGCGCCACCATCCCTCGCCTGATCATTCTCAATACCGGTTCTGTTCGATTTGACCTGATCAAGGGCCCATTTACCTACGATGACAGCTTCATCGTTTCCCCTTTCACGGACGCCTTCCAGTACATCCCGAATGTCCCCTACAACCTCGCTTCTCAGGTGTTGGCCAAACTCAACGCCGGACCGTACCAAAAGCGCAGCGTCGAGCCCGAGCTCGCCGCTCGCGACTTCAGCTTCTACAACCCAAGCATGAACCAGCAGGACACTTGCGTCGACCCTGTGGTCTCCACTCACGGCGGCCTCCAAAAGCGCGGCAACATTGTCCGTCGCCAGAACTACACCGTCACACCCGGCTACACCACAACGGATGATTTTGGCACCGACGGCGATGACACCATTCACAGCACCATCCCCTACTACAGCACTCCAAACGACTTCCAAGCCAATGCATCCTTCCCTACGAATGGGAGCTTGCCTACTGCGGTTGATTTGATCTTCCTCGACTTCATCGCGCCAAATGTGTTGTCCGTGTTGTCCGGACTGGGTGCTAAGTACACAACTAATGATGTGGCGTATTATCTGCCAGAGAGCTTCACAACGAACAGCTATCTGCCGCTCTATGCGCGGCGGTATTGGCAGGCAAATGTGCCAAACTGCCCAATTGGACAAGGCGTTGGCTATAATGACACAACCTCATAAGAGAGAGCTGAGTGATGAATGAATGATGCGTTAGGCAAGTAGCCGACGTCATGATTATACGAGAACGGGATTCGTATGATATATATGCAATATACGAACACTTGATGAGTGAAAGCTCGGCATGAAACGTTACCTGTCCGGCACGCGCAGACGTGTTCCATCCGTCCAGTCCTCGTCCGTCATCGATCTGCCTGTCTAGCCTCAGGATTGAGTTCTACTCCATCCACCTGCATGTCCACTGCGGGGTGAGATCAACTACACTCCCGATCTCTTGCTGTTCCCGGTAGCTGGATTGTTCAATCAACTATAGGTACATCTTCTCCGAGTATTCAATTAAATCTACACCACATAACAGAAAGTCATACAGCAAGATGGGAGCTCAATCATTCCGTGAGATCGTCGGCGCGGGACCATCGACCGCAACATGCGTCGACAGCACCTTGATCATCGTCGACGCACAAAACGAATACGCTGAAGGCAAGCTCAAGGTCTCAAATGCGCCACAGTCAAGAAAAGCTATCTCGGGATTGTTGGAGAAATATAGGAGTGCAGGAGGCAAGGTAGTGCATATCAAGCATCAAGTACCCGAGGGCGCGCCAGTCTTCACGCCGAAAACGAAGCTGGCGGAGGAGTACGAAGAGCTTGCGCCAAAGGAAGGGGAGAAGGTGATTGAGAAGTTACATCCTAGCTCGTTTGCGGAGACGAATCTGGATGACTATCTGCATGGGGTGGGCGGCAAGAAGATCGTTCTGACTGGGTATATGGTGAGTCTCCCCCCATGGACTTGGCTGCGAAGAGGTGTGCGCTGATGCTTCTGCTAGGCTCACGTCTGCGTCTCCACGACCGCGCGTGATGCCGCCCGTCTAGGTTACGATGTGCTCATCGCCGAAGACTGTGTGGGTGATCGTGATATCCCCGGTGCGTCGGGCGCAGAGGTGACGAAGATGGTGATGCATGAGCTTAATGATGCATTTGCCACTGTAGTCCAAAGCAGCGAGATCAAGTAGCTGCTAGTATTCGTGCGTACATTCCAGTTTCCGGTGCAACGCGTAGCATCAACGGCCGACAGCGCATCTCTCCGATATCATTTCGGCGTAAGATTGCACGTTGAGGCAAGCTGGTAGTCGGTTCGAGAGGCAGACTTCGTGACGAATGGGACTTCGGTGATAGTGTAGTATCTGAGATCGCCAAGCGTCCCGCGAGAATTTGTAAGTTCGGATGCATGTGCTGCAATGATGGTGATACCTGCACCTAGCCGATGAGACTCAGTCTGCTCTGTCGTCATCCGCTACAGGCTCCTTCCACCAGATGGCCAAGCCTTCGAAAACATTCGGATCCTCGGTAAATGCTGGCATCCTGTAGGAACCTCGCGCGCGCATAAAGTCAGCGGCTGCCTTTGACTTTGCTGTAAGGTTCCGATGGATCGACGAACCGATGTAGAGAGCCGGATCACCAGCGCAAAGCTCGGCCACAGCCTCTGTGCTAACATCCATGAACGGTTCAAAGACGAACGAGGCTGGCGATACATGTTGCGCTGCAAGACCCAGCTCGGCCTTCCCGACGGCAGAAAGTGCGCTTTGCAAGACGGTGAAACCATAGCAGCCCAGGAACTCCGTGTCGACCGCCGTGTATTGTGGGTCTTGAGCGAAGCGTGCAATCTTGTCTCGACTTTCCAGTTCAGAGTCTGTTTCAAGGTGCTCGATAATATCAACCAGCGCCGCGAATTGTAGCATACTCCGCTGTCGACTCTGCCAATTCGACCTGCTGAAGCTGCCAGAAGCCAGGCATACTACTTTCGAGATTTGCCAGCCATCATCGGGCTTCTTCCTGTCCAGGATCTCCAAGACTTCTGTGCGGCAGGTGCTTACCATCCATTTGCGCGTGGCGGCATGGAATACGTCTTGAATCTGGCTAACGGAGCAATCTGGCAAAGGTGGGTTCAGACCCGGCGCAGGTGGCGCTGCTCGGCGACCTTTACCGCGAGCGACATGAGTCCAACCGTCATCGTTGGCGGCTTCCTTAGCCATGCGTCGCCGGAGTCACTGGGGAGTCGTAGGCGATGTTAAGCACTGCTAGGCGCACAATTCAAAGCGTGACGCCGGGGGTGAAAGTTTACGAGATATTGGTATACTGCACTATCTCATGCCCCGAGCATCGCCGTGAGGAGCTCCCCAGTAAACGATAGATTGCCGCACCGCAGTACAGGCCGTGATTCTCACTTACAGTGAGCTCTGCCCATCACAGATAGGGTCACATTATCCCGTAGAGCTCATTGTCGCCCATATATGGAAGTAGCCTTGAGGCAAATGGGTCCTGTGCCGTGTCTTCAACTTGTATCCTCCGCCCATATGGTCAGGGTTGTTGTCAATACATGCAACACTCAATGTTGAATTGTCAGGCACTGAACTCAGACACTCTTTGCTCACGTGACAGCGAACCCTTGGGCTTCGAGAACCTTCAACATTCAAGCGTTTTCGTACGTGCTTCTGTTGCTTGCTTACCCCAATCGCCGAGCGCAAGAAACCTCGAATACAAATCAGGTCAACCAGCATGCCGATCAATTATAGCAAGTGGGATGCACTCGAGCTGTCCGACGACAGCGATATCGAAGTCCACCCCAACGTTGACAAGCGTTCCTTCATCCGCGCCAAGCAGAACCAGATACACCAGCAGCGACACGAACGCAAGCACCGCATAACCACCCTCAAGTACGAACGAGTGGTCAATGATGGCTTGCTCGCTCGCATCGATGCGCTTCTGACATCGCTCGAGAGCCACCAAGCTGAGGTCGAAGGTAAGCGTGATGCGAGTGATGTCGACGAGGTTGTGTTCGATTGCTTGCTGGAAGTTCAAAACGATGGACGCCTGGGCGAGGATCAACCGCCTGTACCTCCGGAAGGTGTGCACACGCAGGAACAGCAACCGAGCTACAGCAAGATGATGGGTGCGCTGATCGATCAGGTCAAAGCGGAGGTGGACAAGTCCAAGGCTGCGGGCACCAAGCGGTACGAAGCGTATGTGAAGGAAGTTGGTGGGCACAGGAACAAGGTGCAAGGGTTGCAGAAAGATCTCCTGACCGAGCTGAACAAGCTGGAGAAGGAAGAAGGCAGTAAGATCACGAGTGAGGGCATCCACACTGGATTCAGCAGCTCGCATGTCGCGAAACCGAAGCCCGTAGCAGCTACAACAAATACTGGACCAGAGCTACTAAACCCAGGCCGACCAGCGATATCGAACGCAGCAGAAACGCCAGGCTCAGAAGCAGATATCGAGGACGGCGGTCTTAGCCCTGCACCCGGCGAAGATGAAGAAATGGATGCCTCACCGCTTGCTAAACGCTTTGGTAAGATCAAGTTCGGCGACTACCAAGCTAGCATGCAATTCATTAGCCAACATCCGGAAGTGCTGGCGGAGAAGGAGACAGACGGTTTGCTGGTTGAGGCCTTCACCGCTCAACAGGAAGCCACAAGTAAGAAAGACGAGGACTACGCTCGGCAATGCGTCCACCAAGCGCTTCTGCTACAGTACTGCCGACAACTGGGCAAGGACGGCGTGGGTCTGTTCTTCAAGCGCATCCAAACGCCCAATCACCAAGCCCGGAAGTTGTTCCTGGACGACGTGAACAACACCTACGCTCGAATCCGCACGCGAACCGCCGAGCTCAACAAGATGAAGGAAGAAGAAGGCGCGGACCGTGAACAGATCCAACTCCACGCCGTAGATCCGAACACCACCATCAACATCGTCACCCCGCCGCCCATGGACCAATGCACGACCGATGAGGAGCGAGCGAGCAGGGAGATCTTCGAGTCTTTCCCACCCGGGTTGCAACGAGCGCTCGAGTCGGGAAATCTGGAGAAGGTGAACGAGGTGTTGGGGAAGATGAGCGTGGATGAGGCGGAGCAGGTGGTTGAGCAGCTCGGGCAGGGCGGGATGTTGAGTTTGGAGGAGGGTGTGATTGATGCTACGACTGAGGAGGGCAAGAAGCAGATGGAGGAGATTGAGAAGACTCATCGGATGCCCGTGCAGGGTGGTGTGGCGGCTGACGGTGATGATTTGGTAGCGGCGCATGCCGCTGGCAATGCTTTTGGGATTGAGGACATGGATTAAACATTAAGCGAATCACTCCTTACCCAGTTCCGTTGCTAGACCCGCAAGCGAAGCTGGAGGCTGCACGTTTCACAGCTCTCGTTCTTACAATTGCACAACAATGCTGATCTCCTCTCTGCCCTTGCAGACGTGCCATGCTTCCTGGCAGGAACAACATGGCGCTACGTAACAGTCGTCGCCCAAGTGGCGAGGAGCTGAGCGACCGTATGGCCCAGTAGAGGCGGATCGCAAAGCGGCGTTTATCCAGTAAGGTTGAACATCCGATATGTATGGATACATGTTGTGGATGGTTACGGAGGGGCGCGCCGCTTAGGACTCTCCAATAAGGCTCGAGGCTGGTTGCACAGGGTGCAAATCTGTAAGAAATTCCGGTTCATATTTCGAGGCATTCGCCTCGCGGACGCTTGGAGCGTGCGCAAACACCGTACCCGCTTCGTCAGTGAAGCCCGATCAGTGTCAGGATCTCAACGAAGCCTGCGCCGCACTTCAACTGAGCTGGCTACTTCCTCAATGTTGTGCGCTGCTATAAAGCGCAGCTTGTCGGCGCATGTCGCCCGGATAGGGCTTCCGTACTCGCATGCGAAGCGTCGGAGCCGCGGGGTTCTTCAGCGTCCCTAGATTGTTGGCTGCCGTGGTCGGATACGTTCATGCCATGGCGTATTTCGGCTTTCAGCGTTTCCTCGAGTTGACATTCTTTCCAGCTCCAACCTTGATTCTACCACCCGCCCGCCCTCTGTCACCGGTCAGAATGCTTGGCAGGTAATCCTCATCCATGAAACTTCTCTCCTTCTGCTTCCTCTCCACCTTGCTCGCCCGCTCATACTCCTTCTGATCTTCGGTCAAGATTAGATCATGACCCCAACCACCCTTGCCACCACCGCTGATGCGACCGTTCGCCGACCCGTGGACTGGCTTCGGTATACTGTAGCGGTCACCGCGGGTGTTCCACTGCATGTTCTTCTTGAGGTGCAGCTTGAACTCGCCGTTGGCGTTAGTGGAGCATGACACGCGGGTAAGGCTCGGTTGGCCACACCTCGGGCAGAACTGCTTGGTCATGTCTTTCGTCACCTGGAAGCAGGCGTGGCAGCGTAATACGAATGTCTTGAGATGCTTAACCCGAGTTAAAGAGGATGACAGTAGGTTGAGGTTGATCTGCAATATCACATTCTGCATCGCGAAGTCGGTCGTCAGAACGCCCACTTGCATGGACTTCGGCTCGGATGACAGCGAGATTGATGAGCCTGCATCTTCGGCCTGTCGCTTCTTGAGATTGGAAGGAGTGATCCAGCCTTCCGAATCAGAGTCAGTGGCTGGTTGGCTGGCGCCAGAGTTGTGCGCAGAGTCGACCTTCGCCGCATCTTCGTCGGCGTTCGCTTGTGCGTCGTCGTCAATTCGTACCTTTTCTAGGTCCTCCGACAGCTCGACCACAGGCTGTGTTGGTGCAGATGAAGCTGCGACATGCGCGTCCGGACCACTGGAATGCAGTTTGTCCTGCTCCATGATTTCGTTTCCCAAAACTACATTCTCAGCTTGATCTCTCACTGTCTCATCAGCGTCTTCGTCCTTCTTGATACAAACGTTTTCAGATGGCCGAAGAGTTTGATCTTCCGTGAGATTGGCCATTTTGCCACCTTCAGTAGACCTAGCCGGAGGTGCACCGTTGACACGCTTTTGCCCAGGCACTCTGCGTAATCTCCAGTCGCCTCCGTTCCGCTCGCATTCGATCTCGTAAGTCAAAGCAATGATCTCAATATCTGGCTTGCTGAGTACGGCCAAATCTCCAGTTTTGCGCGCAAAATCGGTAACGAACTTTACGCTTGCCGGGCTCGGCCTTCTAATGGTGAGGAAAGGGAGTAAAGTAGTCTCTACTCGCAATCTAGTTGGCGCATCTCGGATCTCAGAGATGACAGCCGGCACTGTTACGATGCTTTCTGATTGTCCAATCAATGACGACACCGGTGGCTCGTTCCTAATAATGGCACCTGAGTCAAGCACCAGAGTGTGCACAGGCTTAGAAATTTGATCCATGACCTCAGCCCAAATCTCCATGCGGGTTTGTGTGATATGGAGGTCAACTTGTAACGGAATTTCGGGTTGGCGTTTTTCCAGGAGCCAACCCCGATGTTCTGCCGATCACGAGATCTGTACGCAGCTGCAAATGCGTCATGTGACCTTTAGCTACAAACAACCGCGATGGATAGCACACAGGACTCACTAACAGCGAAAGCACCCAAGCCTGCAATCACTGTCACTCATTTTACCCTTAGCATATTATCATGCCGCCTGCTTCTTGGTGGTCTTTGCGGACCTATGGTTTACAGCGTACTGACAATAGCTAACGCGGCGTGCTTTCGAACCCTAGGTGGCCATGGAGACCGCGCCGGTGCGGTTCTGTCGTTATACTGCAGTTCTTACACCTTGGCACCTCTGCACCCTTCTCCGTTGGTCTGCTGGGTCCTTGAGGCTCCTCGAGGTGATTGATGCAAGTCGCTGCAAGGGTCGAAGCATAGCGGTGTCCAGAGGCTACATATCCATGGAACTCCCCCCTAAAGAGACTCTTGCCTGCAGAAGGTGAGCTGGCAGGCAGTATGTCCAACCTCAGCGAGACGGTTGCGCTGCCCAATGGACCGTGCTGCAAGGTTCCTTGACTCTCGGGCGGCCTCGGGCACCGTGCGCCTCCAGGGAAGCATGAGCCATGGCCATTAATCCCGCCTTTTGCCCACTCACTTCTTTTTCCTTGTTGTTCATTCTTTTCTTCGTCGGACTGTGGTTCGCACTGCTGAAACAACCCTGTGCGCTGTATGCTTGTGCGAAAATTCTTTTCAACTATCAAATGGACCTACTGGCTACGCCACCTAGGGAGTCCGTGGGATGTCCGCCGAAGTCCAACAAGGTCGCCTGTCTAGAGAGCTGGCTTGTCAACACCTCCACGCGATACATATCCGAGCGAAGCTCACAACCTTGGCTCTGCGGGCCTTGCGAGGATGAGCGTCGTATCTCTACATCGCCGTGGCTATCAAGGCCGTCCGCAGTCCCACTATGCAGGGCCGTCCATCCTGTCGGCTCTGTTAGTCGCTGCCTTGAACACCCAGATAAGTTTAGCAATCATATATTGATGCTGGTCTATACGAAGAGACAGAACTCCACAGTCACGCCGTTCAATTGAACATGGGCGCGACCAGGGAGCTTTCAGTGCCCGAACGAGCGCATCATACATACCGCGTAAGCACACTATTCACCGTGTACCTTGCACTTCGGCTGCACGTAAGTTGGCCTGGCACCAAGGTTGCATTTCGCCACGATCGTGTCTTCAGACCCGGATGGGTACCAAGCATGACCAGCCGTGCAATCCGCATTCACAGACCCCCAATCCGCGGGATAACTCATGGGTTAGGTGTGTTATCAGGCGATGCATTGTTCCCGCGAGGTTATGTTATCCGTCCCTGGAGCTCAACAGTGTCCGCCTGTTTGAGATTCTGACCATTTCGTCGTAGAGGGTTCGTCTGGGCATCTTCTTGGAATACGCTAGATGCCATGCTTATGGCTGGCAACACTTACGTCTCTTTCTGTCCTCTGATCATACCCGACTGATGTTGGTTCTCATATGTCTTCTCATTACCTTTTTTTACTCGATGGTCTGTCAGTCACCCTTCATGTTCATTGACTGCACTAACTTTTAATAACGTTTAATGCAATGGGAGGTTCAGTAGTGCAGCTTACAGAAGCATGTGGCGACTTTTTACGACCTGCTGGGCAGGCAGACGGTTATGGCTCCGGAGACGTCTCACCGGTAACTGGTGCTAATCGTGCTGGATCTTGCGCCGCTGATGCTGAATCCTGACCAGCCTTAACGTTGTATCTATACCTAGGGCGGACCGGCCGTAATGCGAAAGACGGCTGGAACATTGTTCTCAATACCATCAACTCCGCGATAGCGGTGCTGCGAACATGATGCCTTCCTCAATCAATTCGAAATACCGCAAGTACTCCGACTTCGCCGGCATAATATCCCCATTCGTGAACCTGTTGCGTACGAAGAAAGCAACATCAGCTGAGTCAGGTTGCGACAAATAGGAACCAGTATGGGTCCGAGTGGCGGCCAATCAAGTCGCTGGATCGACATCATACCGCGACACGTCGATGCCCAGGAGAAGAAGGCAACGACGATGCGGTCCGCATCTCTGTCGAGGCGTCTTCGTAAGACAACTGCACTAGTCATTCCGGCCAAAGAATGTTCGCCCGGGTGCCTTAGCGCCGCTTGATGACGGTTGTACGACCAGGGGCGGGCGGTGGTGGTTCGCCCAGTCGATCGTCTATAAAAGCCAGGCTCCTCGCCGTCACTTCAAACCCGCCTTGTCAGTCATACTGCGCCATAGACGATCATCTTCTCACTGAACTGCGCCGCACTCATCAACAGCGCCGTGTTCCCAGTGGGATGGTCCACTAAGCCGTCCCGAGGAAGGTCCGCGTGTCTCTGGTTGGTTGGCGAAGCGAGGCCACTCACAAGAACAAAGCTGTATCTACATCACGCACTTGCGCTGGTTCCGCTGGACCATCACTGGACCTATATACCCGACGTGGGAGGAAGGCCTCATTTGAGCCGCATCACGTGAAGACATGAAAAAGCTACTGATCACGTGCGCCCTGCCGAATTGCCGCGCATACGATCGTCCCGTTGACGATTACCGGATAACACTGTGTGCGTCGATCCCTTTGGATCGCACAACCTACACAACGTTATATCAATTCCGGTCGATACAACATCTTCTATGACTTAGGTGCGGCGGATGGGTAGCAGCAAAACTTCCGGAGCTCTAGACTATTCTGCTGTCTATCGGTTCCGGAGTCTTTCGCTACCCACGATCTGCATTCACCGCGGCGTCGCCGAAGTCTATACGCTCCTGCTGCTCATGGCTCAATGGCATACCGAGGCATGAGTGGGACCGCCCGGCAACAGGGCCTAATCTAGCCTTAAGACCTATTCCGGGCGACCTAGATGATGCAGCTAGCTGTGCTAGGTTCCTTACCGAGCTCACTATCTCTGGCTATCGGAAAGCAGGTGCTCACGGAGCGCGGGGCTCTGAGGGCACGCTCGCCAAACTTCTGCCCGGCGCGCAGTGATGGCGTGCATGACTGTGCCGTGGGCGCCAGGCTAGATGGTTTGGACAAACACAAGCCCCGCAAAAGTCGCGATTGTATCTGTGTGGTTGGTGACATCGCTCACCGGTCTTGATTCGGCACCACTGATTGACGACTGGCAAACCGTACATCGTCATGATGTGCCCTACGGTCCTGTCTGGCGGGCACTGTACGAATCTACGATATGAAACCCGCAGCGCCGGACAAGAGAGCACTTCCGCAGTCACTGCCTGATTAGCGTCGAGAGAAGGACATACCGTGAGTCTCGATTCGAAGCGTGCATCGTGGAAAGTCGCCGACATCCACACATGTTCCGTTCAGGCATCTAGGACCATGGAACTTCAGACACCGACAGTAAGCGCATAGTTGTGCCTGGATGCAAACGCGAGGATCTAATATGTGTAGCCACCATTCTTCTTTCGTGTTGATATGCTCCGACCAGATCAAAGTATGGAACAAAGATCCGATGGAGACAGGTGGCTTCCACCACGGCCGTCTGGGTCAAACCAAATTTACCTGCGAGGTGAATGGCTTCGCTACTCCGGTCAGCCAGGGCAGAATATCCAGCCCTCGAACCTGACCCCTCCGAGTTCGCCACATCACGATCAGTCCGCGAACACTATGCTGTACTCAAAGAGCTACTCAATGTATTATTCACATGGCACTATCTGGGTTCTGCCGTACGACGCTTCGGAGCGCCAGGTCAGCACTGGAACACAAGATGGCTCTACGCCACCAAACAGTAGCGTGGACCTCAGTAATGACGAAGATGGAGCGCAGGATTGGGAGAGCCTAATGTTCAATAACACAAAACCCTGGATCGAGGGCATATCCTACGTTAGCGAAGATGGTCATTATGAGCAGCTAATAGAACAGTGGCCGGGTCAGCAGGGCTGGCTTGATCGACTACTCCCCGATCGCTACCGCACCAGCCCCTCCGTCAAGCACAATAGACCCCGCCAAGGTGCTCGACGTGGCGGACTATGCGGTGAGCTGCCCGTGCTAATTGGCTTACTTGCGCTGTCAGTCACGCCGTCGACACCACAGGAACTTACCAGGACTCTACGCGGATGTATGCAAGCCCGCGGCTGGCGTGAACATGGCGAAGCTGGAAGCTGTAAGCAAACGATTTGTTACTGGTGGAGAGCAACGTTGACAGCACGCAGGGGTCAACAGACGCGGCGTCATTGTCCACGTCCGCAATGATGTGAACGATCCTGCTTCCACCTCACAAGAGCTCGATAGATTCGCTAATGGAGGCTATGGCAACATCTTTCCGTGACCAAACGGAGAACGAAAACGGCGTGGCATACTGCGTGGCATACTGCGTGGAACAAGCCGGCTTGAGCATGTACGCACTACATTAGCCTTTGGTCATAGCGTAAGCAGGCGCCATTACAGTGAGAAACCCTGTGGGAGGAAATGATGATACGTTGTATCAACCGCTTCAGACGGTTTTTAAGGTGTAATGGTCCCAGTGTCAGACAGATGCAAGGAAACAGGTCGCCTGGTGACCAAGCAACACCACGGTCCCACGCATACACTGACCTACTATGTCACGATCACGGCAACCTTTGTCATACAGGTGCTCCTCTATCTGATTGATGTCGTCGAAATTTTCGGCGTCGTAGCTGCACTCATTCCGAGGCATTCCTGTGCCACGATATCTACGGAGCACTGACATAATCCAAAAACCGCTCCCCGTGCTGTCGTTGTCACCGCCGAAACGCTCAGAAGTCGAGGAGATAGTGAACGGAGAATATAGCCAAAAGCTTACTGACCCTCAACATTGCCTAGAGACGGTCAGGCACCCATTTTTGGCCTGCTTCTATGAGCGCTTCTTACCAGTGAATTGCGAGGTAAAACTGCACGCCGCTCGTGCGATTCATGAACAATGCTACGTTCTCTTGCGATCTGTATACCACGTGCGATTTGCACATACAAAAGGGTATATCCTACACTGCCTTACCAGTCTCATATAAGCGAGCCATCCAACACCGCGTGATTCAGCTATCATTGAATGAGTCGCCGTCGTACAGCCTAGGTTGTCGGCCCCGTGTATCAATAGCCCTCACCGTACTTGACCTCCTTCTCCACACGCTTCGCTCGGTCAATGACGGGTCCATCGCGCCCGCGCTCCTGCTCCACTTTTCTCAGTAGACTCCCCTGCACGAACTTACTCGGCTCATGGACATCCATTAGCGGGCTGTCCGCGTGGCTGCCATCCACGACGCCTCGGCCTCTGTTACCACCACCCCAGCCTTGTTGAGCACGAGATCCCGCCAACAAGCCTTCACCGGTGAAAGGATGATGATCCGGCGAGCGAGTCGACTTCGGTTGCTGACCACGCTGCGAGAGACTGCGGCCAAGTGGTTGGGAGACCTCGTTGAGTGCGTTCGCTCCGCGCCAGTCCGTACTTGATGGGATCCCGAGAGGATCCTCTGGAGTGGTGGCGCTCTCTACTAGCGCGCCAGGTACGTTCCGGTCTGGGCTGTGACCCTTGCCCTTGTTTGCGTGCTGTGGTGGCGCTCGGTATTCGGGTGTAAGATCCACCAACGGCTTGGCCGGCACATTGGCTGCTCGCATAGACCTCGAGCGAGTAACGTCACTAGACACATGTGTTCGAGTAGATCTGTTGCGTTTGACGCCACCGTCATCAAGAGATCTGTTTTCATGCTTCGTACGGACTGACGGATTGCGTCTAACAAGGTCTAGCGACTGGCGATTTGCAAGAGTGTCGTCATGGTTAGCATCGAAGCCTCCGTTGAGCAGGTTCGGGCCAGAGGTGAATGGCTGCTGCAGTTGCTGCTTCTCGCGCACCTCAACATGTTGTTGGCGTTGGGAATACTTGCGCCCGAGCAGTCCGGTGGCTGCAAATTCCTCAAGCCGACCGTCGTCGAACGACGTGCGTGTCTGGTCGAGCGAAGTTCGCCTAGCAAGGTTGCCCAGAGGCTCATCGTCGGCAAGTTGCGCTTTGTTTCCGAGAGACACGGGGGGATGCTGCTGCCGGTGCCTAGTGCTCGGACGGCGCTCAACGCCACTAACCGTGTCCGGTTGATGGGCAGATCTTGCAGGGACTCCAAACACGGGAGGCGGTGCATTAGCCGACCTCGCTGTACTAGGTCTCGCACTGGTGTCCTGCGTCTCCATCAAAGGTTTGAACGAGCCCAGCTGATAGTGCGAATCATGCGACTCATTACGCCGGTGTTCTTTCGACATCCGCCTTGTCTCGTTATCCACCGCATGGCCTTCCGAGGACTTGAGCTTCCTGCCTTCACCCAGAACGTTGACGAGATACCAACTTCGCCATCCTTGCACCGCAGCATAGAAGTCGTCGGCTGTAGCCTTGTCGTTAGTGCACAAGAAGTGCACATAGTCATGTGTGCTCTCGAAAATGCCTGTCTTCTGCTGCGACTTGATTGCGTAGCAATATTTCTTTGGCGGCCTGACCTGCTTACGCAGCTTCTCCTGGGTCGGTGTATATATGTCGAAATCACTGAGATGACAGATGTTTTCTTGAAGCAGCGGCTTGTTCGGGTCACGCTGCATGGTGAGTTGACCGTCGAGCTTTAGCGTGATCATGCGCTTGTCCCACCTCCCAGGGCGTTGTGAGACCGAGAGTAGCCAGCTGACGTCGCCTGGCTTGTCATGCGGCACGCCAGCTAGGCTGAGCTCGGCTTCAGAGCTGCCTGTCCTGGGATCAACAAGGAGCAGAGAGTTCTGGCGGTCCGTATCCCAGCTGTTGATGACATCCCGGACGTGCTCATACCGCCGCAATGGTCGCTGAACACCAGCTTTGGCGAAGTCCTCGAGCAGCACTGCTGAGCGCGTGTTGATGCGCTCGGACATGCAAGTGGCAGCACTTTTAATAATGTCGGACGTGGTCGTCGTAAGCGTGACCGGAAACACTGTTTTCGACTTACCGCACTCTACAAGCACGCTTCGATCGCCTGCGTTGACTGCGGAAACTGGCGCGTCGGTAAGACCTTCATTGGTTGCTGTCGGCCGCGCAACCAGAGCATCTGCACCCGGCGATGCTTCTCCACGTTTGCGTTTGAAGAAGCCAAAGCAGCCTCGTGGCTCATGGTGGTCGTCGCTGAGCTTGGGCTGCTGACTTTTGCTGACCCTAACTTTGTCGAGGGACGGTGGGCACTGGCCTTGCACCGACTGGACTGTAGACTGGACATTTTCTGGCCTTGGCGGCGGAAATAACTCGCCGTTGGGTAGATGCTTCTGGTCGTACATCGGCGCTTGGCCTTCGTGACTTGCCCCTGCACGAGGCTGACGCTCGGGCAGATGGTCCTCCATACCGTCAGTGCCGTAGCCGTCAGCATCTACACTTGGATGTCCAGATCTTGGGTTTCCATGGTGTGCGGGCGGGCTGATCCTGGGCTCTTGCTCACGCCTCGCTGTAGAACTCGCGCGGTTGAGCTGAGATTCTGGCATGATGCTGGGCTGCGGTGAAGTAGTCATAGGGTGATCGGTCTTTGCCACTGCTGGGCCGTTGCGATCGTCCTCAGCGCGTGCTGTCGCAGGGCGTCCATCGGCTTGCGCTGGGCTCGCAACATTCTTGCGACGATACCTTGACTTTCTTCGCGTAACACTATCATCAGTTGGGTCCGGCTGGTCTCCCGGCACGTCTGGCACTTCGGGAATCACCTCGTCCGGCGCCTGCTGCTGAGCTTTACGTTGCGATCTGTACCGTGAAAGGCGCTGGGGCTGTGATGATAGGTCTTCCGCCATTGCGCGACCTATGCTGATTCACGCGACACCAACGGTGTTGTCGGTGAGGTCAAGATCAGCTTGCGAGCAGCTCAAACGCAGAACTTGAAACCTGTAGCATTTGTTTCAAGACTGACAAGGATGTCCCGCGTTAACATCCACTGACGCTGTTGGCCAGCTGCTCGACCAAATGTGGTATCAGGTAATGCTCGCAAAGCGCTACAGACACCGCATCGCCAGCGTCAACCAGGTCACGGTTTTGCAAAGGCATGATATTGACGGAGATTAAATCCGGCGCAGAAAGGGGAGAAATACTAGATTCGCGTGGTCGCAAACAGAGTTCGGCCAGCGTGGAGTTGTCGCGCGACGTGTGGAGACGGCCCGGAAAGCATGACCTGCTTTGCCGGTAGATCAATCGTGCGCAATCGCATAGTCCCATTACGCCATACAGGCCTTAAACAAGAAAACTTCCACGTGCTTTTGTGTTGCACTTGAATACGACAATTGCTGGGCCAAGTTATTGCCAACGCTTTGAAGTTCAGTCGCTCGTGTACCCAACCACATATATGCCCACTATACCCATTGTATCTTGTAACACCGCTCTAAACGCTTCGAACGCCGCTAGGAACGCTCAGGGATGTACAACAAACGGCAACACATGCCTTGCTCATTAGTCTTCAAATTCACTCTCGAGGATGGACTCTGGAATCCTCGCCATCCTTTCCACCTCTGCGTCTTCCCTCCCTTGCTTCTTCCGCACCACGCCCCCACGCCAGTAGACGTACGCCACCAACATGACGCCAAAGACGAAACCCAGCGCAGCCAGGGCGGCGTTGACTGGTATCGGATTGCCGTGAAACCCCTCGTACGTCAGCGCGTCGATCGCAGGCTGGAACAAATTGACCAGACCGCTCAGGCAGATGATGGTGCCGTAGATCTTGCCGAACGTCGCGAAGCCGAAGACCTTGGTTGCATAGTCGGACATGGCTGAGTAGTAGAGCGGTCGCAGCAAGACGAACAACACGACGTTGCCGTAACCTGCCCAGTAGAAAGGCAGAGAGCCGAGCACGCCGACCGCAGTCGTCAATACCACCAGGATAGCAAGCATATTCGCCGTACTGACATTGTCTAGCAGCAACCCGATCACAGGCGTCGCAGCTACACCTCCGATAGGCAACGCGATGTCAAAAAATCCATTGATGTTCTTGGCGGCCTTCTCCGAGTGCAGCATATACTCATACTGCGTCTTAATCGTGGCGATGAAGAAGTTCATGCGCAGCATCTGCAGCACAGTGAGCAGCGTGATCAAGATGAACCAGGGTGAGGCAATCTGCTTGTAGGCAGGTTGGCCGTGCAGAGCGCCCCAGACACCACTCTTGACATGCCGTTCTTCCTCTTTGTGCTCGCGAGCCTCGCGGAAGTCAGCGTCGCCAATGAGACTTTCAAGATCTGCGACTTTAGAAACCCGATGCTCCCGTCTGTGGGCGCGCAGACGGCGAACTTCGGCGTCAGAGAGCTCGTCATCGGAGTCGTGGACCTATTCACTATCAGCGTCGCCCCTCTACAAACATGAGGAGAGCAAGCGAACATACATCCTGCGTTGGGTCTTCCGCCTTCTCCAGCTTCATCTCTAACTGAGGCACGCTTTTATATCCATCCGGCGTCATCAACGTGAACTGAGCGACAAAAATGATAATCGGCACAGCAAGATACCCAAAGAAGAACTTCTCAGGCTTGAATGTGCCGTTCGACGACTCGTAAGCCAGACGGTAGAAGAGAAACACAGCAGCGGAGGCGTCAAAGGCGCCCGTGACGGTGGCGACGATGGTACCCGAGAACTTCGGAAAGGCGTTGGCTATGGAGAAAGAGGGCACGAATATGAACGTGCCTCCGAGCGCCAAGAAGATATTGCCAACAATGTAGCCATCAAACTCCGGGATCGCGAAAGCGTAGCCCATCAGAATGCTGCCAATCGCCAAAGCGATACTGCCGATGACTGCGCACACTCGAGGTCCATAACGATCGAGGATGGTGCCGACAGGGAGCGCTGAAACATTGCAAGTCGTGCTCGCCACCGCAAAGAAGAAGTTCAATCTCAAATCCTGCTCAACGCAGACCTCGACATGGTCGGCGAGCTCGTCTGCGGTGCAGAATTCGCGATAGACTCCTTCACCTATCAGTACAGGCTTGAGCGCGGCAAAGCCGAAGACGATGCCGGACGCAAGCCAACAGGTCAGCACGGTGAAAACCACCTGAGCTAAATCAACGTCAGCACCACGAACCGAAATCAGAAATGGAGTATACATACCAACACGCCTCACAATGGGGACTTTGTACGCTGTCACACCACCAGTCGGATTCGTAGCCTGGCTCGGCTCCGCCTCTCCGTGTAATACATCGTAGCTAACCACGCGCCGTAACGACCTCACCGAGGGTTTCGCATGAAGCAGCGAAGTACGATGCTGCGAAGGATACCCATGGATCGTGCCGTAGCCATTAGGAACGCGCGCCGGCGAGAGATTCGGGGAAAGCCAGTCTTCCGGGATGCGCGGGGGTTCGCGATCAGTGCCTTCGATGGAAGTGACGCGCTGTACGAGGGACATGAGACCGCCTGACGTTTGCTGATGAAAGCGTGCTGCTCGCGGAGATGGCACCTGTTGAAGGCGAGGACGAGGTTGCGCTCAGTGGCGTGAGAAACGGCGTATGCGAACGAGCGGTGACAGCAGGCACGTGGTGAGGTGACGGCAGTACGGCAGTCCAGATAACAAATTGCCCTAGAAAGTTCTCTTCCGGTAGATTGGATGCAAGACCCACGCTACACAGCAGACGTTGATAGACAACGGTACGTCTTCTAGCGCCTCTCTGTACACCTTTGCACCCCTCCACCCGATAAATCGCGCAGCAGCACAGCACTCCGTCAACGGCTGCAGCAGTAGGAGATTGCGATGCCAGACTGCCAATCGCAAAAACGAGACGGTACAATCACGGCAGTGGAAGCCGCGGGGTACATAGGCTAAGAGCATCGTTCGGCAGGCGGGACCCGAGACGGACGGGTTTCACTTACCTCGATATGGCTAGCTGAAGTTTGTGCGCTCGACATGCATTGCAACTGTATATGCTCTATGATAGCAGTAGTGGGCACCGACATGTTGAGACAGGGAACGGCGGACAACCGCCAATTTACATCAGTGCAATGGATAACCGGCTTGTGTCCTTGAATTGGCAGCCGTAGCGCATGTCTCAACATATTCGCGCATTGAACTTGCTATGTCCAACAAGCATCCCGCTCTGTCCATTCGGCCATATTGGGATTCGCGTTGTGTCTGGTGTTGCACCGCACACTAACAATCTGCTGGCTCATCTATTTCTCGTAGATCCAATCGTGGCTGGCCTGCTTCCAGCTCACGATCTCGTCCTTCTTGAACCACAAGTCAATCTCCTTCTTCGCCGACTCGACACCGTCAGAGCCGTGGCAGACGTTGCGACCGACGTCCTGTGCAGGTTGAACGTCAGCAAGCAGTGGACGAGTGGAAACCTGTGAGACGTACAATGGCGAAGTCGCCGCGGATGGTGCCCGGCTGCGATGCCTGCGGGTTGGTGGCACCCAAAAGCTGGCGGCCGACCTTGCAAGCCTCACGCCCTTCCCAGACCATCGCGCAGACGGGTCCGCTGCCCATGTCTATCGTCCCGTTAGTGCTGATTCATCCTCTTTGTACGTAGTGGGGCTGGCGGACAGGTGATGAGGCCCTTGAAGAAGGGCTTGTCGCTCAGATCCTCGTAGTGCTTCTCAAGATGCTCCTTTGAGGGCGTAACCATCTTGATGGCGACTAGCTTGTAGCTGAGTCGGTCAGTCAAGTTCTCCCTTCGCCTCTAGCTCGCAACGTACCCTCGCTTCTCGAAGCGGTTGACGATCTCCCCGACGAGGCCGCGCTGAAGCAGACCTGTTAGCATTGAACAGCTAGAGGTCTCCTATGCTTCACGTACCTGGACACCGTCCGGCTTGACAGCGATGAAGCTGTATTCATTAGTAAGTTGTCCACCTTACCGCTGTGACCGCCTTTAACGTACGTCTGCTCTGAAGTCATCGTGGATTGCTTAGCTTGCTGTTATGGTTCTGAGATGATAAATGATTCCTGATTGCGTCGGCAGCAACAGGAAGATGAAGAGATGGCTTGGTGTTTGTGGTTTGTTGACGAGACTGAGAAGCTGTCCCAATGGTTCAAAAACTTTTGGTGGGGCTCAAGCGCGGGGATTGATGATGCAGGGACAAGATCGGCCAGGGGCAGCCACGAGCTTGCTCCCAAAGAATTGTCGCGTGGGTGAAGCTAGCGATCTATACACACCACCGCCCTCCACTCGGTAAGCTACGGCGGTGGGAATCATGGCGCGCAGGTGGGCGAGTTTCTTGTTGAGCTGCCTGGCTATCTGCTCACTTGTCACGCTGGCCGGTAAGCATAGCAGTCGACAAGCATAACTACTGCACAGCTGACCGCGATTCTTACAGTGACGGTGAAGCATGAGAACTTCAAGACTTGTGCACAGTCTGGTTTCTGCAAGCGAAATCGAGCATACGCTGATACAGCACTGTCAACGACCAATTGGGCGTCTCCTTACAGCCTCGATCCTACATCCGTGAAGTTTGACAGGGGCATTTTGACGGGGACCGTGATCAAACAAACTATCAACACAGATGAGACTGTTCGATTGCCACTGACCATCGCGTTCTACGAATCGGGTGTTGCACGTGTGACCATTGACGAGGAGAAGCGACAGAAAGGCGAGATAGAACTCAGGCACAATAGTAAAGCCAAGAAGCAGCGCTACAACGAGGCCGAACAATGGGCAATCGTCGGCGGCACGAAGCTCAGCACGGGTGCCGCAACAGGGAATAGCGCCGAACAAAGTACTACGCGCGTCTCGTATGGACCAGCAAGTGCCTTTGAAGCGATTATACGCCATTCGCCGTTTGGGGTCGAGTTCAAGCGCGGTGGAGAGACACACATCAAGTTGAACGATCGGGGGCTGCTGAACGTTGAGCATTGGCGGCCGAAGATAGACAAGCCTGAACCGGAGAAGAAGGAAGGCGACGAGGAGAAGAAAGAAGGCGAAGAAGCTGTGGTTGCCGAGTCTGAAAAAGACGCTGCGGAAGATGAGGGTACGTGGTGGGATGAATCTTTTGGCGGCAACACAGACAGCAAACCACGCGGCCCTGAAGCCGTTGCTTTGGACGTTAGCTTCCCAGGCTATCAGCATGTTTACGGCGTTGCTGAGCATGCTGGTCCACTGTCGTTGAAGGAGACTCGTGGCGGTGAGGGCAAGTACGACGATCCGTACCGTCTCTACAATAGCGACGTCTTCGAATACGAGATGGACAGCCCGATGACATTGTACGGCGCCATTCCATTCATGCAGGCGCACAAAAAGGACTCTACGGTGGGTGTACTCTGGCTGAACGCTGCTGAGACCTGGATCGATATCACTAAGAGTACCACCTCCGCCAACCCGCTTAGTCTTGGCATTGGCGGCACCGTCTCTACGAACACGCACTGGATCAGCGAGTCCGGGTTGCTTGATATCTTTGTCTTCCTTGGCCCGAGTCCGCAGGATGTCATTGGGTCTTACTCGGAGCTTACCGGATACACTCAGCTTCCGCAGCAGTTTGCCATTGCCTACCACCAGTGCCGTTGGAACTACGTCACGGACGAGGACGTGAAAGACGTTGACCGCAAGTTCAGCAGGCACAAGATCCCGTACGACGTTATCTGGCTTGATATTGAGTACACAGAGGGCAAGAAGTACTTTACGTGGGATCCTATGACCTTTGGCGACCCGCTGGGCATGCAGAAGCAGCTCGATGAAAGCGAGCGTAAGCTGGTGGCGATCATTGACCCGCATATCAAGAACGAGGGTAAGCGTCCCCGCGCGGTTGTCACAGACGCAGCTAACCTTCTTACCCATTGGTAGGGAACTATCCGATCGTGGATGAGATGAAGTCGAAGGACTTGGCCGTACACAACAAGGACGATAGCATTTACGAAGGCTGGTGTTGGCCGGGTAGCAGCTACTGGATTGACTGCTTCAGCCCGAGAGGGCGAGAGTGGTGGAAGGGCTTGTTCAGGTACGACAAGTTCAAAGGCTCGGCGAAGAACACTTTCATCTGGAACGACATGAATGAGCCTTCGGTGTTCAACGGGTATGTGAAGCGTTGTATAATCTCAGCCTCATCATTCAACCTTGCTAACGCTCTTACTCTTCGATGTTAGACCCGAGACGACTATGCCGAAGGACAACTTGCACCATGATGGTTGGGAGCACCGCGATGTGCACAATCTGAACGGCATGACGCTCGTCAACGCAACATACGACGCCTTACTTGCCCGTGACAAGGACGAGGACAAGCACCACGTCCGTCCTTTCGTTCTCACCCGGTCATTCTTCTCCGGCAGCCAGCGCCTGGGCGCTATGTGGACCGGCGACAACCAAGCTGCGTGGCCACATCTTGAAGCCAGTATTCCCATGATCCTCAGCATGGGCATCTCCGGCTTCCCGTTCTCTGGTGCAGACGTGGGCGGCTTCTTCGGCAACCCCAGCAAAGAGCTCCTCACTCGATGGTATCAGGCAGGCGCCTTCTATCCATTCTTCCGCGGACATGCACATATTGATACGCGCAGGAGAGAGCCATACTTGGCCGGCGAGCCTTACACGCAGATCATCACGCAAGCGCTGCGATTGAGGTACAGTCTCCTGCCAGCATGGTACACTGCCTTCCATGAGGCGAGCACCACTGGTGCGCCCATCGTGCGGCCAAACTATTACGTGCATCCGAGCGACGAGAAGGGATTCGCGATTGACGACCAGCTGTACCTTGGCAGCTACGGCTTGCTGGCGAAGCCGGTGACGAAAGAAGGAGAAGTAGCGCAGGACATCTACCTTGCGGACAAGGAGAAGTACTTCGACTACTTTGATTACTGGATGTACGAAGGCCCGGCAACCGTGAGCGTCGCAGCACCACTCGAAACCATCCCACTCCTAATGCAAGGCGGGCACATTATTCCACGGCGGGAGCGGCCTCGCCGTAGTAGTGGCTTAATGCGATACGACCCTTTTACTCTCGTTGTCGTGCTTGGGAATACTGGTGACGCAGAAGGTACCCTATACCTAGATGACGGTGCCAGCTTCGACTACCAAGACGGTGCCTATATTCATCGCCGTTTCGTCTACAGTGCAGCTATGGGCACGCTTAGCAGCGAAGACCTTGCAGTGGCAACGGGATCTAAGACTAGTGCGTACTTGAAGGAGATGGAAACCGTTAAGGTGGAGAAGGTCATTGTGGTTAACGCGCCTGAGTCTTGGAAGGGTAAAGCGGAGGTGAGCATATCCGAAGAATTGGCTGGGAAGAGCTCCGGTACGAGGAGTGTGCCGTTGGATTGGCACGCTAGGGAGGAGGGAAGGGCGGCTTGGGCTGTTATTAGAAACCCTGCTGTGCGGATAGGGTCTGGGTGGAAGATCAGTTTTGCGTAGGCTGCTAGCGAAATGTCCAAAGACCGTAGCGCAATCAATGTATGAATGCATATCAGCGAGGTTCCTCCGCGTTGCCAGAGTGCATTGGAACATCTCGTCAGAGCTGAAGCTATAGCAGTAGGCTAGCGCGCTCATAGCACGCTACCAAGCCCTCAAAAGACTCGTGGGCGTGGAAGTATCGCTGAGATCATGTGGCAGCTGTACCGGTATCAGCAATACGGCGCCCTGAGGCGAAGAACACCTGCGGGATACAATGATATAGCTTCCGGCATCGCATTAGTGTTCGTTGACGAGACACCAGCGGCCGCGAGCAATCTCTGAGTTACGAACGGGTTCAGCTTATGGTGAACGAAAGTTATACCTCCCAGAAGTAGAGTTTCATCGCTCTTCGCAGGTATACACAACCAGGGTATATTACGCGGTGACTCCGGGTCGCCACAAATTCCGACGACAGGAACGCTTCATGGCCAGGAGTACCGCCGTCCTGACGGATTGACGGATCATGTATGTTTGAAGTCTCGAAGGATGTTGATCGTGCTTCGATTGTAGAGGTTGGGCGAAGCACGACTACTCACCTCCATGACTCGTGTTCCGACAACAATGCTGCACAGTGACGCTACAGCCCGTTAGACGCCCAGCCGGGCGAAGCTCAAGGCTAGGTACCGTCGTACCGGGCGGTGTGTCGCGTGTGGCTATATGCTCAGCGATTTTTGCGTTTGTTCATGATGTCTACATGTCATAATATCTGTGCATTGCTGAGGGTACGACTAAGATGTCCGCACATGGCAGGCACGATAAATATTACGACAGTGATGATTCCGGCCGGGTGAGGAGCGGCAGAAGATCGCACCGCAGCACACGGTACAGATCCCCAGACGAGGATTACTATGATCGCAGGCGATCGCGTGATACGCATGATGGACGCGATGCGGGCGGCCAGTCCAAATATGACATGCTTGGGAAGACGTCTCTGGCCGTTGGCATACTACAGGTTGTGGCTGGGTTGATGCAGATCTGGATCACGAAGAAAAGCGCGGATCGGGAGCGCGAAAACCAGCGGCAGAAGCGAAAGGAGTTCGAGCGGGCGAAGAGGGAGAGGAGAAGGCGGGAGAAAGATAGCGAAGATGAGGGTGATGAGGCGGAGGAAGTAAGGAGAATAGGGTATGGTAGTGCGAGGTCTAGGTCGAGGTCGAAGTCTAGAGCGAGGAGGAAGACCATCGAGGCGCCGCCGCCGCCGCCAGGTAGTGGAAAGAGTTCGAGGAGGAGTTCACTCGGTGCCAGGGGTTGGGACGAGGAGACGATGCCCGAGAGACGTGGCTAGGAATGCATTGTTGATTGGGACAAGCGCCTGAGCACCGCGTCTCATCAAGACCGTGCAGTGATGCAGGCGCCAGCTTGCTGTTCACCTTTACTTCGTCCACGTCCGTATTGCGATACCTGGGGCAAGCCTCGAGAGTACCTGTTGCGGCAGCCTTACTGCTTATCAGCGGTTGCTTCGATCGTGGCAAGCCCATGCGAGGGCTGCTGAGCACGCGAGGCGTTCTGCGGACTACCAGGGCTTGAATTCATTTTCATGAGCTCCATACTCCGGAAACAGGGCATCCAGTCGATTTGGGGCCACGCTGGGCACTCAATAGCCTATACTTTGCACCGAACGCCGCCTTGACGAGGACAACCCTGCAGTCGCCAGCCAACACCCTCAACCGCTGCATATCGGCAACCAACAGTCCACGAGACTTTAGCCGTCTGTCGTGTGACGTCGGTGCGCTCTCAGCGTGTCTCGGGACACTGCGATACTGTTGCAGCCAGCCCATCTGTCCAGGATAGCCGCTGCGAATACCGGTAAGCGCTCCTCGACAACAGTGCATGTGATACCTACCGACCTTCACCGGTCTCTAGCGCCATGCATGCCGGTCCGGCTAGCGTGCATCTACTACTCGGTTCCGATCTTGGGACGCCACCCGTGTGGGGGTCAGAAACAAGAACCACGACTTTTGGCATCGGCATTCAAAGCCTCCAAACGGCGCCGTTATCACACGGGATTGATACTGCCAATTTACTTGTCACACGTCTCAATACCGTCTGTGTTGGGCCAATGGAAAGCAACAAACCGCTGTCGTGGATTTCATTACTGGCTATCCGTGCTGCAGAGGCATCAGGTGTTGCACAGTCGCACGCATGGACCGAAAAGCTCATTCGTAAGAAGGTAAGGCGATCATGGACGCTCCACGTCTCAGCATGATAAATACGTGGCGGCGCCGTGTCCATGATTCCACGAGGAGCGAAACAAGGCAGGTGTGTCCAGATCTTGTCCATAGGCCAAAGGGGTTTTTGCGAGCCGCTGCCTACTATGATCCTGCACAGTGCTAGGGTCTTTAGAGTCACGGCTCTGCTCGCAGCGGTCTTACACTTGGTTGTGCTCCCGTGATGGCGGCGCCGCGTAGCCTTTGCATTATGGTGGCAGTATTGCAGTGCAGTAGAATTTACGTGGTGGAACCTCATACGCCTCAGGTAGCCGTGGCGACAAGGATTGAAGCTTCAAGTGTATTAGGATGGAACGTTAGTCGTCCAATAAGATGTCAGCCTTGCAGCATCCCCAGTCACGCAAGCGTGGATATGCTGTGACGAAGTATAATTTGTACATTTGCCCTCCACCGTCTTCGCAGATTGCCCGTTACGACACAAACATGTCCTGCATGCCGCACAAATGTTCACGATTGGGTTAACAATGGACACTCTCGCTCAAGCACTATCATTGGGCAGTTGCGCCATCGTGATATGTAGACAGAAAAGCTTTGTTGAGGAGGGAAAGTGCTGCCTGTTCAGGTACCAGCGAGGCTAACGTTCGATCGTGTGGTCTGCAGCTGTGCGCGTTGCATTGCGCTCTTCGATACCACAGACTCAGAGAACCTGCGTACAGCCTCAAGGCGAGGCTTAACCGACTGAGGACGCAGTGATGACACTGTCATGGTCGGCAGTGGTAAAGTCAAGGTAATTTGGGGAGTGAGAACGACTGCATCGAAGCTGGATGGGTTAAGAGAGGGCGGCGCTGAGAAAGACCTCTGCCGGACTCGGGACAACGCAGGTCGAGATAACGCAGGTCGATGAGATACACTGGCTTCGTCTTCGACCTTCTGTAGCCAGTGTACGAGTCGAGTGCTTTCATCTGGTGGTCCTTGCAATGGGCGTTCTGTAAGTACGCTACTCTCAAGCGGCAGAACGGATGCTGACGCGTGTGGATCATCTTCATCAGCGAAGTACAGCGAAAAGCGTGGTGCCTCGTGTTCCGTCCAGTAAGGAGTACCCAGAGCGATGGTGGATGGAGTTGCCGGGACCGTATCAGTCGCATATGTTGCGTCTTCGACTACTGGGGATGTCACATAAAATGGCCGTTCGTGTGTCTCAACGTCCAAGCCTTCTTGAATGCACAGAGCACGAGCCGCTTCAAGATCCTCCGTAGCCCTTCTCACCTCAATGGCAGCCTCTTCATAGTCGCCGTTGTAGTGTGCTTCGAATTGTTCGTCACTGAGACTGAGCGCCTGTTCGTGATCGGCGGCGAAATTGCGATGCGTCCGGTCTTCTTGGTGCTCCAAGACAAGGTAGTCGAGGCGTTCCCGGAGGTAGCGGAGTACACCAAGCTTATGAAGAAAGTCAACTAACAGAGGATGGTGGTTCTGTCGGATGGGCTTGTCCAAGGTGAAACTACCTTCTGACTTCGCGGGCGAGCCTAGTGATGAGAAAGCATCGGGGTAATTCTGGATGTCCGACTCTCGAAGCAGATCAAACAGCCTTTGTGCGGAGCGTACAAATGAGCGCTCCTTGTTAGCCAGACGGTAGTCGATCTCATTAAGTTTGTCTTCATACGCGATTCGTGAGAACTCGATCGAATCGACGATCTTCCTTTGCTCCACGACTTTCTGGTGGAGGCGTTGCAGGTCAGTAAGACGGTGAAGCTCGGATCCCAAGGCTTCCATATGGCTTGCAAGCCCGTCCATCAATTCCGCTTCTGCGTTGAATAACAATTTGCGCTGTAGTCGAACGTTCTCGGTATCATAGTTGGCCTGATCTCGGAGAAGTAATTTCTCATCCCGCAGAGGCGCGAGTTTACTGTGGCAGCGAGCAATCCGTGACACGACTTTCATGAGGGACAGGCTTCCCGGATGATGGGTTGCTTGCGCGCTTGACAGTATCCTTGGTTGATGGCTATCGACAGGGCCTGCTTGCTCTGGAAACGTTCTCACCCGAGTCGGTCTGGAGTCGTCTTCTGGCACTTCGTGACTGTGGGACCGCGGAGGCTCCGATAGCATGTGCCTTGTCGGTCCATGCGGTCGGCTGGATGACGGTGTCGGTTCACCATGACTGGAGGCACCGCTGGTATGCCAGGCCTCCAATGAAGGGGCAATCAATTCCCAGTCCGGTGATAGATGGGGCGGAGCAGTGGCACTCGACCGACTTTGAACGCTGTCGTCGGTGAATTCATCCTTGACACGAGTCTTATGACTGCCATTTGGCATGTCGCAATCTATCAGGTGCGCTCAGGTAAGAGGTTCGATTGTCTCCAGGTGAACTGCATGATCACGTGCAATGTTCGCGCTGGCGGTTGATGGAGACTACCATCTCCTGCAGATGCGCGAGCTTCAGGTTCAGACCTTAACTCTACCTGACCAAGGTCACACAAGCCTGGTACTGCCGGCCCCTTAATGAGGGTCCGCAAGGCCCCTTCCATTTGTCGTAGCAGTCATCTTGTCAGAAATCTGGGGAAGCTTGCGCGCCTTATCCTTTGTCCTTTGGGAGGCTAGCGGCAAATTGCTAGTCTCACCTGACACTAAAGCTGCAGGTGCATATCTTAGCGCCATAACCCTGGTGACGTGGGCTTCGGATTGGCCGCTGAATACACACGATGCTGCATGCCTTTGGGCTGCAGAGACTATACCCGGCGGCGCTGGCCACAGTAGTGGCCTTCGGTGCCCACCAGATGGCGGCATTAGCAGAGCCGCAGACAGTTCTGCTGCGCGGGGTCACGCTTAAGAGACCCAAGATCGTGCTTGGTCCTTCATTCTGCGCTGATTGACCTATGCAACGGGAGCTTCGACAGCCATGTCATCGACTCTTCATGGTGTGGTGTGGCTGCCCGATCGAGCACGGAATTCGTGGTACTACTACGATGCGGCGACCGATCAGTTAGTCTATCAAAACGGCAGTCGGTTTCATCGGCCGCACAGCGTGCCCAGATCATTCTATTTGCAACAGGCATCAAACCAGGGAGCGGCCCAAAACATCGCCGAACAAGCTCAAGAATCACCCAACCAACGAGCACAGCAATCAAATTACACGTACGGTCAACCGAGTACCACTTCGCCGCAGTTAGGGCCGCTGAACGCTGCACTTGCTGGAACGCACATTACCCAGACTCGCTCGCCCCCTTTCCAGCCCATCTCGGTTTCAGCGGTTCGAGGTCAGATCTCCCAGGCCAATGGTGTGAGAACGGTAGCAGTTCAGCACCCACGGACTGGTGTTCAGACTTATATTGGAACCGGACCAGCAGATCGCATCACTGATCCGACATTACTCCAACAAGGTATCACAGCACGACGAGCTCTTTACCCTACACAAGGATCCGAAGAAGCTCTCTACTCGACGTTTAGGACGCGCGATCGAGCCTTTTTTGCTCAAGGGAGAGTGTTCCTGGTCCTCTGGACAGAGCCAGCTGGAGAGACAGCAACACTCATCACCAGCACGGAACGGAATGATCGCCAGCCTGATCCCGGTTTGTACGCGGGACGGTATGGTGAGCCTGTATATTCGAAAGTTCGCAGATTCGTTATTATAAGCTCGACACAGCAATACTGTACTGCACTTCCCATCGTCAGTTATGGCAGGCAGGGCGTTGGAAAGTCGGGTGTGATTAAGGAGAATCATGCCATCATTCACACTAGTATCGTTGCACCGCTCCCGTTGTCGACAGAGATGCCTGGTCCCGGGGAGAAGCCCATGCGGCGACGAGCTATCCGCATCACTCCGGACCAGCCCGCCGATCAGCTAGACCCAAGGTCCAGGCTCGATTACGGTAAGCCTCACACAATACACACAAATCTCAAGGTCAAACCATTTGGGATGGTGCACCCGGGCTCATCTGTAGATCTCGTAACATCCTTTCGTAATGTATGGGGCGTGGAGACAACGCCCCGGACTCATCACCATGATCATGAAGACAACGAAGATGACGGCGAAGACGTGAATGAGGATGAAGAAGATGATGACGCCCATGACAGTGCCCAATCTGTCCATCCAACCGCCCAGCGTACCGCTGCGCAACAAGCTCTGCAATTGAGGGCAAGGTACGCTGCCCTAGCGCAACAAGGGCAGTCACGTGAGGAGGCATTTGAGAGCCTAGTGCGGGAGATTCTGGCTGCTCGCCCAGAGCTCGCAAGGACAAGTGTGGTCGCCCTTGTCCGGGCGCGGCTTACACATGGACAACATGCACGCCATCATACACAAACCGACACCGACGGTCAAAATGATGAAGACAACGCCAACTCTCAGGCTGGTGAGAGCGACGACAGTGTTGATCAGGCTGATGACGTAGATGACCTCGAAGACGAAGACGAAGATATCGATGATGATAATGTTCGTCCTACGCAGCAACGTCGACGAGCATAGTGCAAGCTTCATACGCAGAGCAACGCCGGAAATATCACGCCTTAGCTTACGAGCTTTACACAAGTGTCGGCTATATACTAGGCCACACGCATTGTGCGATTACATACGAAACCCTGCCTCGGCCTACTACGAGGCTGCTGGTGCTGAACGTCTCTTCGAGCATACAGCTTACCGTATTTCTACTGGATTTTTCCGTGGAACAGCCAATCGTTGGAGCTGGAAACTGCTTCAGCAGTCTTTTGGCGCCATGGCAAGGTCATGATCATTTCGGGAGGCACCGTGCATCCTGTCCTCTGCTTGGGACTTACTTCTGTATTGCTGCGTGGTAGCTGCAACACAGTCGAACCTGGCTAGCAGTGCGTCGTTGTTGCAGAGTAAAGCTGTAGACGAAATTTTTGTATTCATGGGATTTCGAGGAGATAGCATGGCCTCGAGCATCGTTTGCGTGAGCTGTGCATGACGAGATGACGGCGGTGCATGTTCGTGATTTTGAACGATACGCATGCCTTTGCGGAGTATACGGTATTTATGGTAGTTGATCATGAGGTGATTCGCAGCCGAACATTTCGAAGCCGTGTCGGCATGGTTTGCCATCAATTTCAAGAAGCATTCTGTTTCCAGAGCGAGCAATTTGCGTCACTAGTGTCCATAGGCCCGGCACAACAGAAGGGTGGAGACAACTTACCCATAGTTGAACAAGCACCGGTGGTGCGGAACAGTCTGCTCTCAGAAAGCATGAACATCGACAAAGAACATCGAGTCAGAGACTACAAAGAGCCCAGGGACTACCGACGTCCACATAAGCTTATATGCTTAGGCACTAGCACGTCGACTTGTCCAGCTTGCAGACCTTCATGGTTCGCAACTCACCATTTCAAGAGTGTGCGTGTACGGGCCTTCCCTAGACCATCCGCCGCGGTCACGGTCCGCAGTAGTTGTTGCTAAGGCACGCTTGCAGCTATACCGTACGTTCACTTCACCTAACATTTGGAGCACACTATCGCATCACCTCTACCCCTATCTCGACTCTTGTCAGCCTTTTGTTCGGCGGAGCACGTAGAAAGCCGCGCGTGAACAGTCTGTCTCGCTGTAGCTCGCCTGAGGTTCGCGGATGTCTACAAGTGAACCATGTGACATAGGCACTTTGGTTGATACGCCCTAAGAAATGACAAAGGAAAGTTTCTTGCGGGCATGTTACGTACTAGTAGCGATGTCATGTATATTCCGCTATGCTCGCGAGGGTATGCATACCACTGAACCAGACAGTGTGCTTTACAAGGGCATAAGCCTTCGCCGTGGCCTAGACCTGGCCTCGTTCTTCAAACCTCGAGCTTAACCTACGATAGCTACGCATGCTGAATCATGATCGAGCCGACAACTAAGCCTAGTAAAGATGGCATGCAGGCGAGATGGCCCACTCCTCTCCAAAGTTGGCACATGGTCGGAGTATTAGGAGTGCATATGCAGAACGTCAGCACTCCCGCAGCCTTTCAATGTCAAACGGGCTGCTGCCGTTATCACTCTATCACTGGCATACTGTTACATAGCTGGAATGCGGCAGGATAGTCCGCCTACATGCGTCGGCACAGCATGTGCTTCAGCAGTCGTTGCTCGTACCTAGATCCGATAGTCGAACTCTGAATGCCACGATCGCACCCCGGCATCCTGACGATTCAAATGTGATTCTGGCAGCGTCCGAATGAGATCAGTCTCGGAGCGAACACGACGGAAGTTATGCTCCACCGATAATGGTAGACTCCCTGACTTCGAAGGCAGCGAGTCCGCTGCAACAACGTGTGTTTCAATCTTCACCGTTCTCTGGTGATGATCTGAATTCCTCCCTTTGGGGGCTGCTCTCGCTGGTGAAACGCGGGAACACTCGGTACTTGCAATCGGCATTGCATATGGCACGCTCTGTAGCCATCCTTCGACATCTGAAGATGGAGGAGCCGACCGATGAAGGATGTCCCGTGCATGATACGTTGCGGAATCACTGGGCAAGCATGGTTCGGCAAGCGCCGGAGGTAAGAGTGTATCGGCCCTCAAGTTCGGACGACAAGACGAAGAGCTCGACAGCCTGTTCCGCCTCAAGCGCAATACATCGATTCCTTCATACTCACACTGCTGTCGAAGCGATTCAACCCGTGATTGACATTCGGCGATCTCACTTTCGGTGCATCTCATCTTAGTAGTAAAGCAATCTACGAACTCATCGTCTGGTAATGACGGCTCCCTTCCCTGGTCCCGGTCGTACTGGCGTTGAGTTCGGGTTTCTGCGTATTCCTCGTATAATTCGAGACGGTGCTGTTCGAGAAGAGAAACTTGGCCAACGGCCGAGAAGTAGTCATCAGCTGGACCGGGGATCGGCTCGGGAGAAGATGGAGGGAGCATGGCACCAGGAGTAGAGGCTAACACTTCGGCACGCTGAGTGGGTATGTGATCGCTGTTACCGCCAGTTAAGTGTTTAAGGACGTCAGAGAGTGTCAGTAGCAAGCTGCTCTCCTCCTGCGCAATTCCATACTCTAACGAGCCAATCTCGGCATCAAGTTCGAGAGCAGCTTCGAAATCATGAGCAAGATTTGCACCATCATTGTTCAGCTGATCTATCAGCGATGCAAATGATCCAGCAGGCGTTCGAGCAAGATCCGTCTCGCCCTGCCCAGAGAAGGTCTCTACTATGGCAGCGAGCGATTCGTGAGTATAGCGACGCGTGTCTTGATATGATTGCATGACACGGCCCCTCCGTGCAATAAGAAGCAGGAGCTCACGGCGCTTGTTCGCAAGTCGATCCAGAGTTCGAGAGGCAATCAAAGTCAAGGTGGCCGTGGCGTCCGGCTCCACGGCGTCTTCGGAAGAAGACGATTTAGGAACACCATTGGAGTGCTCGAGCGTGGTAGTCTTAAGATTGTGCGCGTCTTCCAGGATGGCGGTCTCGCTTAGGCTCGTTTCCACTGCCAGAAGGGACGATTGGCACGTCACAGGTTTTGGGTACAGTTCCTGGATACGCGACCAATCTCCATCGGACTTGCATGATGACGCCTCGGCATCTTCAAGCGCGTCTTGCTGTTGCTTCTCCGGTGGTGTTGCGGTGTGGGCGCAGCTGGATTGCATGGGTCCATTCGTGCTTAGAGGAAAACTCAGAATGGGACGACTCTATAGAGCTCTGGCCGGAGCTCGAAGAGCGGAATGGTACAGCTACTTGCTCAGAAACGCAAGTAAGGTGCTCGCGGAGGTGGAAGTCGTGCACGCGGTAAACATGAACAGCATGTCCGCACGGGAAGGCTGCAAGGTGTGATGATTGCGGCTCTGCGAGCTCTGTCGCTTGCACCGGGGGGGGGACGGCATCGTCAAGAAAGGAGGGTGCCACGCGCACGGCTCAGCTCATGTCTCTCAGACAACAATATGTAGCAGACACCAATCACAAGCGAAGAAAAGACGAGGCTGCGTCGGGTCGGCGTGGGGGTCCGTGCACAGTTCTGGCCGCCGCACTGCAGCATCGGCTTCACATCTGGCTAAGCTGCTCGACAAATGGGCAGGGCAGCTCGAATACTGCACGTCTCGCTTGACGCTCGACTCGCTTCGAGCTGCATGCATCCTTGACCCATATGCTCGTCTGCCACCCCGGCTCACCCGTCCGCACCTTTTGACAAGCATGCTTTCACACGCCGTCTACGTTGGAGCCTTACACGTAGGACCCCACAAAGGTAGGATAAATGGCAGTGCTGCCAGACACTGCGTGCAGCGCGTTAACCGTACTATACGCGCCGTATCTTGGTCCTTAACGAGCCATGTCCAGCGGCGCTCCACCTTGGCAGTATGACGCTGCAGCTAGGCAGTGGTTCTACTACTCTAGTACGCTGCAGTGTAAGGTATACGACAGCGAGCTTCGAGCTCAGACACGGAACGGAGGCAGTGGTAACGCAAACATAGGCTCTCAATCAAGGTGAGTCTAGTGATTCTAACTCACGGCGCCATGCTTACGTGGGACTAGTCCATACTGTCAGACAATGCATCCCAACGATGCTGGGGGGCAACAGCACGCATTGTCGCCTCATGCTAAACCATACCACCCTACGCAAGTTACTGCTCCAATGGCGATACCCCAGCGACCAGCACAACAATCAGCACAATTCTCGACTAATCTTCCGTACGACCCCAACGCCACTCCCCGCTTAGGTGGCAACGTATCAACGAGCCTAGGTAGCGACTTCGCTCTACTTTCTCTTGGTGGCCACTCGTACCCCACAGGGGCCAGTGTGACTCAGAGCTTTACGAAGCCTTCCGGCGTGGCTGAATATGTCACGACCAGTCCGGCAGGCGTGCAGTCTCGGTACGAAATGGGCCCAGCAAGTCAGATTACCGATCCTACGCTCTTGGCCAATGGAATCGGCGCCTCCAAAAAGTTCCTTGGCGTTAGCGATGCTCATGTTCGCTCCCAACAACAATTCAGTCAAGGTAAGGTGCGGTGTAGGCGGGAAACTTTCATGAGCTGAGTGGAAGTCAGACTACAAGATCCGTGATAACCCACGAAGATTCTTCCGGGTTGGCCGCGTAAGTGCTTATCCGTCTGCTGCTCGAACGGACGAACACTGAGACGTTGCAGGTCTTTCACATGCTACATCCAGAAGCAGCTGGACAGCACACAGAAACCGAGACCGAACTTACCTTCGACACCACCTTTGGTAAGCCGTTCCTCATCAAGGTCCGTCGAGTGGTCGTGGTCAAAGAAGGCGATGCACACTGTACAGTAGTGTAAGTCAGGCACATTCTCATGCGTGTAGGCGCGACTAAGCGTGCCCAGTGCCATCTTCACCTACTCCGGCCGTGGTGTCGGCAAACCTGGCGTCAAAAAGTCCGATCACACCATAATCTATACAGGACGTTCGCCACCGCCAACATCACCTTCAGAACAGCCAATCCGCGGCGAACAAGGCATGCGGCCGTTACCAATCAAAGTTGAGCCTAACATCCGCGGCACCACCCTCAGCCCTTCTTCGCGGCTTAACTTTGCCAAAGTATATACAGTCGAGCATGATGTGGCTGTTCTGAATTTTGGTATGGTAAGCGCAGGCTCAATGCATGCTTTAGAATCGCAATTCCGGGACGTCTGGAGTTTGAATGTACTGCGCCGTTCGCTGCTGAGACCAAAAGAACCTCGATTCCGCGCAGATAGTGTTAGGCAGCCACCGACTTTGCCGGACGCGGCGGAGCATTCAGAAGACGAGGACGACGAAGAGTCTGAAGACTCTGAGGCTGAGGATGGCGACCCAACGCGAAGAATGGTGGCCGCAATCGTTAATGCCTATGAGCGTACTGGCCGTGCAACCGCACAAGCTCGCGATGAGGTTTATAAGCGGATACGCGGCGTTATGGATCATAGCGAATGCTCACGAGAGAACGCCGTCACGCTTCTATACAGAACGCTCTGCACCCAACAAACTACAGTCGGCGGTGCTAGTGAGCGTGGATAGAACGACGAGAGCGAGCGAATGAGGTATCGGCAATACGGGAGTGTTGACAACCCATCCTGGTTGGTGTTTATTGAAACGGGTCGCTTGACTCGTTTCATTTATACGTGACGTCGAGTCTGGGTTCTCCTGCCGCTGCAGGTGTCCTGACTTCGACATCGATGCAAGAATCGTCATGCACGAGCGGCTTGGTGGAATTCACGGGATCGAAAGAGTTTTACTTATATTTATCGCGTCCTGTGGAGCCTGTTGGAAGGTACGTACGAATCTCCGCACGCGGAGGTGTATTGAGTCGAGGGATCTGTGCTCAATCGGCGGTCGTGTCACCCACGAGGCGAGTCACGCTTAGAAGCGGATCATTGTAGGTTATAGGCTGAAAGGCCCTAGATGCCAGAACCCTCTCTTGATGCGAAACTTTCATGGATCCTAGGTCCGATAATTGATATATTTCGAACGACAACTCCATCCCGCGCTATCCCAGATGCATAATGGAAACTCCATCCTTTGGGCTATCCGCTTGTTTCACGCTCAGGTTCTCCGCGTCAGTCACGGCAACGCCCGGTTTCAAAGTTTGTCCTTTCTTGACCTCCATGCCGGCCCGGGCTACAACACTCCACTGCAGCCGCCTCAGAACATGCTCATGCTCCGTATACAGCTCGTCATGGGCCGGCGCTAATGAAGGCGTCTGAGCAAAAAGCAGGTCGATCTTCTCAAGTGGTATGCCGGCTGTCTCCGGGTAGAACAGCCATACAATGATGGCATTGGCGACGTTCATGACAGCCCAGATGATGTAAGTCTTGTAGCCAATGTTCTTCAGCGATGGCGGAGTGATCTCAACAACCAGGAAGTTGCCCAGGAAGTCCGCTGCGGCAGCCAGAGCTGCACCCTTGGCTCGAATCTTCAACGGTAGAATTTCTGGCGGGTAAACCCACACGCAGCCCATCCAGCCCCAGGTGAAAAAGGCTTCAAACAAGAATATGAAGACAACAGCGGCGATGCTGGCTGCTGTGCCGCCGATCGCGACGCAAATCGCCTCCGCGATGAGGACGGCGGACATGCCAAGTGCACAAGAGAAGAAGAGTGGTCGGCGGCCTACTCGGTCGATGGTGAACCAGGTCACGAACGAGGCGAGGATGTACCAGGCCTGCAAGAAGCAGCCCATGAGAATTGCCATCTGGGTTGAGAACCCGAGGCTCGATTGGAAGAGTGTCGGTGCGTAGTACGTCACAATTTTCTTTCGAGAGTCAGTGAATGCGGACCATCTGATTGATAGGTACGAAACTCACCATGCCGCTCATTTGTTGCATGAACTGTATCCCGCACGCTAGGTAGAACCGCTTGTCCGCGCTGATGCCGTTCGAACGGAAGAGGTCGGCCCAGCTGCCTTCTTCCTTCGCCTCGATGCGAATGGCCTCGAGGATGTCATGAGTCTCCGTTTGAACGTCCGGATTGTCCACAGGCCTGCCTCGAAGTCTGCTGAGTACTTCCATACCGCGCTCATGACTGGCTTCATGCCGCATCAGCCAACGAGGAGTGTCTGGCAATCATGGCGTTACGATCATGATGTATACTGCAAAAACCAGCTGAAAGAGTAGCGGAAAGCGCCATTGAACGGCCGACTTGTGGAAGAAGAAGCCGTAGTTGACCTGTCATATCCGAGTCAGTAGTCAGGCGTGGTATCACTTGGATATAGGCAACATATCCAGTACGCCAGCATGAGGCCAAACAGCATTGTCGTGAGCTGGCAGCAGACTTGCCAGCCTCTTTGCGCGGCCTTGCTGATCTCGCTCTGATAGACCGGAGTGACTGACGTGATGTACCCTATCCCGATACCCGTGATGATCCGAGCGATCATGAATTGCACGCGCTCGTACGCACTGCCCATCAGAATGGTTCCTATGGTCAGAATAGTCGTACCCGACAAAAGTATGCGCTTCCGTCCAAGTGGCTCGGCTGTAAAGGCTGCAGCTATGGCACCAGCAACGGCGCCGACATCGTAAAGTGCTGTGATGGTACCAACGAGCAGTGTGCTGGGGTTGCCCATGGCTTCTAACCAGAATGTAGAGATAACAACGCCGGACATGACGCCTTGGTCTGCAGTACTGTTAGCGTTGTGCTCAGCAATGCCACCAAGTGTACGTACCGTAGCCGAACAGTAGGAAACCTGCCGAGCAGGCAGACGTGATGGCCGCTACCAGCGCTGCGCCGTTAAGGGCCGAGACACCAGTCTTGGAGGCCATATCTGTATAACACAGCTTCAAACAAGCAAACAGTGACGACCAGAAGCACCGGCGGAGACTGGGACGAAATGAATAGAAACCTACCGCTGATCTAACCATACAAGCTTCCGTCAAGCCTCGTGGACCTGCAGATGGCGTATACATATGTGCACATCGACCTGCTGTTCAGAGTATACATCTGGACGATCATTGAGCGGTTTGCTATGAGCTGACGTCCTTTACGGCACGTACATTGCCGCGTCGTGGAGAGCGCGGGTTCGTGTGGAGGTGAAGTGGAGATGTGATGAGTCCTCCTCAAGTGTTTCCAGCGGGGGAGACTTCGGCATCTCCTTTCCAGGCATCGCATCGTTACCGTGATCACGACAGACCCGGCACGCACGGCATGATGGTTGACACAGGGAGGCTGATCAGGAGTGACAACTTTGGGCGCCTGTATCCGTCGGGACAGCGCCGCCCACACCCTAGCAGGCTGTGTAGCGGCACTGAAAGCTGGTCGAGCGTGCGGTGAGTGTCTAGCCAGCCAAGACACACCACAACAACAACATATGTACATTACGAAAAAAGATATCCTGTTCATGATCAGAACCCCATCCTCTTCATGCCCTTCTCCAACTCCTTGCCCTCGACAATTGAAACAAGTTTCGCATCATGCACATCATCAAAGGCAGTACTTGACAGTATTTCCCACATCTTGCTCACCACCTCGTTGACCGCACAGCCAGCTTGTATTGCCAAAGCCTGACGTAACGCTGAGATGAGCGTAGACGGCTTCGGCAGTCCCGATGGCAACGGACTCTGGCGATGGAACATATTAGCGACTTCGGCATTCAGAAGTCTGCTAGGAGCGTCAGTGTTTCGACTTCATTGCGGATCATGTACTCCTCGCGGCCATTCAGGCGTCAAGAAACGCGAACAGCACAAGGAGCAACGGAAGGCTTGAGACATACCTCAGAGCCCAATCTCCTTTCTGATGCCCATCAGTTAGCAGCGCCACGAACATTGTCGGGCCTTCCTGCAACAAGAGTTCCTCGAACGCCAGTTCGATATCGCTCCGAAGTCCAGAGTCCTCTGCAGCGTACCTACCATGAACAGGCTCCGGTCCATATACGCGCAAGATCTTAATGCTCGCAATCAGCTTGAAGAGCAAGCACGCCAGACTAGTTGCGGGCAGGCGCTGAAGAAGCGAGATCTTGGCACAGTAAGTCCCATCTTTGAACATGTTGTGATCGCACATGCCGTCCGCATGGTGCGTGCGAGCTGGCTCGAGGTCCTGCAGATGGTAGAGGAGAAGTAGGCCGGCACGGTGTATTCGCTCCCAGCGGCCTTTGAGCCATTCGAGCTCGCAACTGTGACATGTGACTTTGAGCCAATGCTTGTGAATCTCGTCTAAAGTAGCGAGCCGCGTGTGGGCGACGCTGAGGGCACGGTAGGAATCAATCCTCAAGCCTGGGAAGAGACATGTGCTGGTCTGTGGCAACTGGGCGCGCTTGATGTCCGCAACAAGGCCGGTCTCGTGTCGTTCGATGATTTTATGCAAGCGCTTACATGTCAGGCGTAGGTTGGCGAGTGCTGAAGGTGTGTATTCCACGTGTGGTATGATCTCGAGCCAGATCTCTGCGGGGAGGCTGTCTGCTTGCTTTGGCTGATGCGCCATGGCGTGCTTTCTATCTTGGAGGACAGTAGGTTGATCAATCGGTGTGCTGTCAATGCTAGGTTGAGATACAAGTGCAGCAGTAGATGGTTAGGGAGAGTGACAGTACGGAAGAAGGAACCTTGATGACACTACCTTGATGGCTTGTGATTAGGACATGATTGCTCGCTTGGGCAAGCATGTCGACACATGCTTTCCAGCCGGAGTCAACAAGCCAAGTGATTGCATTTCACGAGCATCGTGTCCAGCCGATACATGCCGCTCTTCCGCTTGATGTATGCTTACAATCGGTGCATAGATTTGATGAGTAATCGGGTTCGAAACAGCATACGACACCTCCATCGAACACAAAGAGTGATAGTGAAGTGGCGACCGCTCTACGAGCTCCAGCATGCACAATCTAGCCGCAGCGGCGAGCTTTGCAACCGGATGTCGAGTCTCATCCATGCCTCTGCCAGCAACCTAGGTAGCCTCTCACGGGTCGTGTCATGAATGGCGATGCTCTAAAACACTGCAAACGCCCGGCTACGTCCATCATGTGTCGAACCTCCACTTCTCTGTGCTGCTCAAGTCGTCTCTTTGTTCAATCGTCGTAGCCTGCCGGTCTCTTCCGAGGTCCGTGTGGTACTGTAGAAGGTCAGTAAGTCTATGTGCAGTACAGCAATGCGACAATGCTCTTGATGCAAAGCTATCTTCTTCCGCTCTCGCAGACGGATTTTGCGTTTACCAAGCCTACGTACACGACGTACCTGGGTAGGTTAATGGTATTTGCGGCCTCGGCCCATCACCAAAGTACCTTCTGATCGGAGGCACGGTAAACTGTTCAACACTGTCAGTACGGATTCTGGTCTCTCTCCGAGCCTTGACATATGCCATACGAGCAGTACAGGTCCAAAGCCACCCACGACAATACTCCAGAAGATGGCAGGCTTAGCCCGAGCGGCCCAGTTTATGTACGCGCCGGGATTCGACCAGAAGGCGACGGGTGCCATTGTGGGGTGCTCAGCTAGCTAATTGGTGAGCCTGCGCTTGTCACTGTAGTTCAATGAACAGCCGGAGCTTAAGTGTAGGTGTCCTGGTCGTGTGCATATAGAGTGCTCATTGCTTCCGCCGACCAAGCTGCGGGAGAGACAAGGTTCAGTCTCCGCAGAGCCGCAGAGCCGCAAAGCTTGGCACTTCAATGCAGCGACGTAGCTTCAGCACACGATCACTTCACTTCGTTGGTCTGTTTGAAGGTTAGGAGCTGCATTGCTCTCCATCAAACGACGAACATGAACTTACGGGTACTCGGGCTCTTGTTAGCGCTGCTAGGCGCCGTTGCGGCACTGTCAGCGCAGGGTAGCAAGCTCCTGGTTGTGCTTGAGGACGAGGCGGAGAAGAGCAAGTACTCACAATTCTGGGCAAGCCTCGAAGGTAGGCATATACAACCACATCCTTAGTGATATGGACACGCGCACTCATGATACACGCAGATCGAGGATTTCAGGTAACATACAAATCGCCTAAGGATAGCTCATTGTCGCTATTCGCATATGGCGAGCCAGCGTACTCCCATCTTCTTGTCCTTCCGACAAAAGCCAAAGGCCTTGGACCGAACCTCACGCCAAACCTCATTGTAGACTTCATCAACGCTGGATCGAACATACTGTTGGCACTCTCCGCTCAGCTGTCTGTTCCCAGCGCAGTCAGCAGTCTCCTCCTGGAGCTGGACATCACTCTTCCTCCGGATAGGAATAGCTTGATCGTGGACCATTTCAATTACGACACTCAGAGCGCGAATGAGCAACATGACGTCCTGCTCCTACCCAGCCCACAAGCGAGTCGGAAGGACGTCAAGAACTACTTCTCCGTCGATGGACTGATCGCTTTCCCACATACTGTCGGTCAAGTGCTCGGAAATGCTTCACCGCTTCTATCACCGGTCGTGAAAGCACCAAGTACAGCATACATCTACAACCCGAAGGAGGAGTTCGAAAGCTTGGAAGACGTCTTCGCGACTGGCTCGCAAATCAACATTGTTTCAGCGTTTCAAGCCCGTAATAGCGCTCGCTTCACCGTTCTCGGCAGTGTGGAAGCTTTGGAAGACAAGTGGTTCGATGCCTCAGTCCAGCTACCCGGAGCTGGCAAGAAGAGCGAGAAGACGGCCAACAAGGCTTTCGCGCAGAAGCTCAGTGCCTGGACGTTCAAGGAGCTGGGTGTGCTGAGAGTTGGCAGCGTCTCTCACTACCTCAATGAAGGTAGCCAGAAAGGTGTCAGTAATACTACTGCCGTGGGCGCAGCTCTTGACATCAATCCGACCATCTACCGCATCAAGAACGACGTACACTACTCGATCGAGATGTCCGAATGGGAGAATGACCACTGGGCGCCATTCACACCCGCAGCAGGCGATGCACTCCAGCTCGAGTTCAGCATGCTGTCTCCTTTCTGGCGTCTGGACCTTCAGCCAACCGCACAAACCGCCAACTCATCCATCTACTCGGCAGAGTTCAAGCTGCCGGACCAGCATGGCATCTTCAACTTCTTCGTCGAGTACCGGAGACCATTCCTCACCAGCGTGGAAGAGAAGCGCACAGTGACTGTGCGGCACTTTGCGCACGACGAGTGGCCGCGGTCATTCGTGATCAGTGGCGCTTACCCCTGGATAGGTGGCATTTGGGTGACGGTCATTGGGTGGGTGATCTTTGTGGCGGTCTGGTTGTACAGTAAGCCGGCGCAGCCTAAGAGGCAGCTCAAAGCTGGGAACGTAAAGCGGTGAGGCTGCGCAGCTTGTGTTGTGAGCGCTTACATTGTACAGCATAGATGCTCAAAAGCAATGAGCACAGTATCTGCACTCTTCGCCGCGTGCGTACCGTTTCTATACTTTTTACATCCTCCTCGAGCCGCTTGACCTCTTCAGCATCGCATATTGCGCAGCCACAACCGACCTACAATCCGTGGTTAAATTTGGCAAACGCCACCTCAGACCGCCGTACCTAACCAAACACCCAGCGCCAAACAAACGAACCCAACCATTATACACTCGCCTTTGCCAGTCACCGACGTTACGTGCGTCTCATGCATCATCTGCTCCCTCTCCGCCTCCGCAGTTTCCTCGGCCAACTGTCGAGCAGCCGCCTCCGCCTTAGCCCGCTGCTTAATCTTCGCCGCCTCTTTCTTCGCAGCTTCAAGCCTCGACCGCCTGCTCTTCGTCATTATCTGCTCGATTTGCAGCTCCTTTTGCAGGCGTTTGTTCGATAGCTGCAGTTGCTCGATGTCGGGATGGTCCTCGGAGGCTTCCAAGACATCGCGGCTACGCTTCAAGGCCTGAGTTGGTGGTGGTGTAGTCAGGCCGTTAGGCGGTAGTGGTGGGCGGTTCTCCTTGTTGCTGTCGTTGGTCGATGCCGTGCTTGAGGTCTTGGCAGGGTCGGGTGAGTGTTTGAGGGTCTGAGGCTGGATGCTCATTGACGCCGCTGATGGTGTCAAGCCGGCTTGCTTGCTATGGGCGGCCTCTGAGCTGTTGCTGCTGACTGCATCGTCACTCGCAGGATCATTCTCCGGACGTGCACCTTCTGCTGTAGCCGCTGGACGCTTGGGCCTGTAGCTGCCCGCTGTTGTGCTACTTAGCACTGTCTGAGTGCCGCCAACACTGGTAGCTTTTGTCTGCTCCGGAGACGGGAGAGGTTTCGCCATTTCTGAGCGAGCCTTCTGGGCGAGCTTATACGCTCCTACACTCAGACACATTGCTTAGTGGCAGATTGACCGGACTTGAGAATGGGATGGGGATGCTGAGCGCAACAATGTAGGTGCAAACTGGACAGGTTATAGTGTCTATAGGATTGCGAAAGTGTCGTCTCTCCATTGTTGCATTCACCGGCAGGGCATGCGACATGCGACTGTGACTGAGACAAAGAGCCCGCAACGTTAATTTTGGCTGTAAGACATTGTATCCTGCTGAAACTCATGACGGCCGGCTGCAGCATGCGTGAGATCGACGCTCTGCAAGTCCTTCGTCCTGAAAAGGACATCTCACTCAGTATTGGGTACCTCCTGCCTGACATCAAACGCCACTCGCTGTGCTGCAGCTGAGCATGTGCCTCACTTGCCGTACGATGCAACCATCCGAAAAACGCCGATGAACCCAAGGAGCGACCTACCAACAACTGTTCCCGCGGAAGGGCTAACTGCGTCTCTCACTTCACCGGCCCTTGCCGTAGACAGCATCCCTCCTCAACCGGATGTAGTTGAATGACTCCGCATTGTACCAACGCCACCAGCCATATACCAGCGCAACGCTCGCGATGAACAGAATGAGCAAGGTTATCATCCATTTGGTCTTGCTCTCCATCATATCGTCAGCATACTGCTTGCGTCTAGCCTCCCTTACAGCAGCAGCAGTGGAAGCGGCGAGCTGACTGTTGCGTTCGTTCAGGCTTGCGATCTCCACTTGACCACGCCGGCGATCACCCTCCAGGATGCCATTCCTGATTTGCAACCTAGTAGTGAGGGTCGTCTGAACTCTCAGATATTCGGCCAGCTCGTTCCGTTGATTGCGCAAGCGAGCTGTTTCCGCTTGGACAGGGTCCTCAGGCTCGATACTCTGGTCAACGAGCGAGCGAAGGTCGCCGTCGACATTGCGGACACGCAGCTGCCTCTCATGATCAGAACTGTTGCCGTAGTCGCTTGCTAGGATGACCGCGTCTTGCGAGCTGGCTCTGCTCATTTGACTGGCAGATGAATGTGAGCTGTGGTTGGTCTGGGTCATATGGCTTTGATGAGATCGGTGTTGTCGGCTGGAGCGTAGCGACTTGATCGTCCACGAAGCCGGCAGGTTTGTGGGAGGGCGAACCCTCGTGACCGCAGCTGCTCAGCTGGTATTGGCGTACCGCTGATGAAGACAGTTTCTGTGACGTCGTTAGGACGTGGTAGATGAGAGCAGGCGCACAATTCCTGTTCGGGCTGTGCGAAGCTGGCAGTGTCAGAAGCTGCTGCGGGCAGTTACTGCTGGTTTCGGAGTCCGTAACGTTGGCAGTGACAGTCTGTGCGTGACGGCGATTTCTTTCCTCTCCAGTGGGTTTACCAATTGGTGGATCAACCGGAATTGTGTTTCTGAGGCAGCTGGGGACCGGATACTATGTGGTGGCCAGTCGAGGTCGATCGATGTAAACGATGGACTGTGTTGCTGGGGAAAGCCAGTCTGCTGCAGTTAAGTTGTGGGTAGACGATCTGGGACACGCCTTGACCCGGTTGGTTGCTGCACACAATGGTTTTGTGCGAACGTCCAAACGTTTGCGGTAAAGTCCGAAGCGAGCAAAGTGTTGCTGCTGAGGTCAAAGAAATAGCAAGCGAGATGAGACTGCTCTATACGTCTGTCGGTTGTCTTCCTTGTAACACACTGTAACACCTCGTAATATCCTGTTGCGGACTGATGCCTGTTACTTTGCCGCCAGAGTGTTATACTTCACTCGCAACAAAGACGGGAACACATGAAAGAGAAGGTGGTGCATGTGTCAATCGCCCAAAATGACTGACATGGGGCAGCTTTGAGTGATCCTAGACGCCTGAGACATGAGACAGCTCGCATAAAGCGGATAGACAATGGCCTGGGTTCGCCTCCGCCACAATTGACGAATAGACGAGGTTTAGTTTGATCGCGGCCGAAGTGAATGGGTCAGTCGGTGAAGCGAGTCGTGCCAGTATCCGAATGCATGTAGTGTAAGACGTGATTAAGTGCTATAATCTTATTCCTCATCAGAATCGCTGTAGATGTGGTAACATAGCCATGCTGTCGGCACGAAACTAAAGAACGATCATCATCGCTCCAGCGGTCATAGCGCCAAGAACCATGGCAACACCATACCAGCCGCCGTAGACAGCTTTGGGCGCGACGTGCGAAGCAGCAGCCTTGCTGGACGAAGCAGCGGCCGTACCAGTCGGACCGTACGTGCTCCCCGTCACGCCATGCACACCCAGCACATTCAGACTGGTCTGCGCGGCAGTGAGATGCGTTGCCCCGGCCGACGAAGCGACTCCCGACGCCGCAGTAGCGGTGGCAGAAGCAGTAGATGCTCCCACACCCGGCGCGTACACATTACCTGTCGCTGTCTGCGTGACGGTTGCTCCGAGGGCTGAACTGCCGCCCACGGCAAGCACACTACTCGCTTGACCGGGGCCGCCAATGGCCTTGATGTTGGAGGTGGTTGAGTCGTAGAAAGCGTTGGCGATGGCGACTTGGCCTGCGTCGAGATCGTAGACGACGTAGGCGGACCGCAGGAAGGTGTCACCGAGCAGAATCGGGCTGCCCTCGGGGAGGAGCTGGAAGCCAAACTGGCAGGCTGGAGCACCGTTCTTGAACGTCAAAGGTTTGCCATTGGAACTGTCGAGAGGGATGGCCAACTCCGAGAAAGGGACGGAAATGATCGGGCCGTTGGTGCCCCCGAATTGGTAGTCGATGGCGCCGGGCTATTGCATCTGATTAGTAATATTCATATGAAACAAGGTCGGTATAGCGTACAATCTTCGAGATGTTGCAATACACTAGGTAGCCGTATTCTTGATCGTTAATTACGCCGAAATACTCTGCAAGTTGAATGAAGAGATCTTGTGGCAGCGTCGTGAGCGTAGTGCCAGAGTCGAGGACGGCGGCCGTTGGAAAGTTTGTGGGATCGCTCAGAACGTATGTTCCGCTGGAGTCTGTCAGAGCCATCAGGCTCCATACTACGGAGAATTCGTCGATGGTGCCGCTCTCCGCATCGACCTGCAGGTCCAAGACGGTTAGATTGCCGGTGTACTTCGCGGTATCGTAGCCTCCGAAAAGCACGGCGCCTGTGCTTTCCTCGATGTCGTCCAAGTAGAGACTGTAAGCGCGGGTGTTGATGATTCCCTGGCTGACCATCTCGTCGATGATGTTGGGATACGGCTGGCCACCGTTCGGTACAAGCGATTCATGCGTATCGTAGCCAATGCCCATAATGCCTACCTCGACATTCTGGGCTTGCTGTGCTGCAGCCATGGTGAGGTTGCGCAGAGTGATCCCACCAATGGTGAAGGTGTCGGAAATGTAATCGCCCGTCACACCGGAGCCAGGCGTCACGTAAGAGATAGAGAACTCTCCTTGAGCGAGAAGCTCATATGTTGACGACTTTGTAGCATCGTCTGTCCCGCTGTCAGCTCGAGGTATGGTTACTGCGTCTCGCTGACCTACAAGAGCCACCCGCACACGTCTTGCAACCTTTCGCAGCGGCTGCGGAGAAGAACCAGACGTCGCTACTGCCGGTATCTATCTGAAGCGAGATTTGCTGTGGTGGTGTCCCGATCGAAGCGTTGACGTAGTACAATCCAACGTTCTGCGCATTGCCGAGAGTCACAGACTGCGGTGAGCGTTTCTGAATGCCTGATCGCTTTGCGACCCGCCCAAGTGGCATAGACACAACCTTGAGATCATCTGCAAGGCTGAATGAGGGTAGAAGTAGCAGCAAAGCCGCGAGTGTACTGGACAAACAGTACATCGTAACCCTTTCGTTAGTGCCAAAGAAAAATCAGGTCAGCGAAAGCGATTGCTGAAATTGTTGCTAAGCTGGGTAGTGAAGTAATGAGAACGGGATGAACAAAAAGAAGCGAGTTATATCATATTCTCGCCATCTGAGGCTGAGCAAGCCATCGTCGAACAAGGCGTCCACAGCCTGAAACAGTGACAGTAATACGGCGCTTCACGTCCAGGACTATGGATGGCTAGACTTAGCCATGCTTAGCTCCGAAGGTAGCCGGGGTAGGCATCTCCATGAACAATGCTGCTGCAGAAGCTCGCCAGTGCGCACATGACACGCCGGTGTGCTCCGAGGCGAGCAGGCAAGGGGAGATGAGGAGCTGCTGTTCGAGGCCGCGGTAGGCGAAGGGGTGGCTTGACGGGAAAGGCCGTCGGGTGGTGTGGGGGCGTAGCCTTGCCGGCCGCAGCTTGTCACGCAGTACCACGGGAGCTGAAGATGCTTGGTGAGCTTGTAAAGTGAAGGAGCTAGCGGCTTGCGGGAGTCATGCTCATGAGGCTGTGCAGCGAGGCGATATAGAACGGCATTACCTTCTCGCCAATGTGCCACGGTGTCCTTTTGAAGTCAGCACTGGTGGAGATTGCAGGCTGCTAAGCTTTACGGTGACGGTCCGCTTCGACGACCTGCCTTAGGCAGCACAACCTTCGCGCTCACCACATCCACATGACATTCCATGGTAAACACCCTTCGCGAGCCATATACGCTGTCACCATATATAGCATTCGCCGCGCAGCTTCAAGCATTCCTATGTAACGTCCACCGCATATCTCGTTGCAATGGATGCATAACCATACTGGGGGACGCTTCGATCTTGCAGCATCTTTCAACAGCCGCCCAAATCGAGTGAATGTACATTCTAGCCGCCTTCATTCCCTCAACAAACCCCACCCTTGAAGTCCAGAGTCAAGAAACAATAAGTATGAGATCCGATTTCATAGACTTCAGCCACAGAACTCCATTTCTTGCGTTCTCTTTCGATAGTGGAAGGAGTGGATGATCCACACCATGGTCGACAGAGCGCGCAGAGGCCTGGACGGAAGCCAAGTACGTGCCGGAATCACATCGAAAGACCGCAGGACTTTCAGGAACCGACCCCCGCTGCACCCCCGAGAAGGCGCTTCCGGTCTTGATCGGTGCTTCGCACATTGCCCGGATACACCTTTCAGAATAGGGTGGAACCCTGGGTCGAATATACGAAGAAGCCAGAATGACATGGCACCGAAAGTGGCGGGAATGGGAGCCATCTTTACAAACGCTCAACAACCACTGCCCGCAGTACTGACACTGACGTAGATCTGTGAACTTCTGTTATCAAGAACTGATGTATACTCCAAGCAATGGCGGCAAAGGGAAGATGTTTCATACTTCCTTTTATTAACAACACCAGTGCCTGCATGCAGATGTAGCCCCCTAAAGCATAGCTGCACACCAGGCTTTCTCGTTTAGAACGAGCACGTACGCCCCTTCCATTCCTTTTGTATACGAACTGAGCGGAGCGCCATCAGATGTCATGAGCATGCTGAACATGCAATCGGGCCCGGGGGCAGCGCCAGAGAAATGCATCCCTCCTACCAACAGTAACCCCAGCCCCTATACCAGACACTCGCTCGCCACGCACCATGAACGCCAGACACGCCTGCCGCACGTGGCTTGCAACCCTGCCTCGCATTTAGAGTCTCAGCAACGACTCGGCCGTTACCGCCATACTGCAAGGCGCCGCAATCGCCCGAAGATCAGATGCCGATGTTCGCACTATGTTCCCACCCAACCTCACCGATCACCCATCCTAGTCCTTTCAAGTACAGCCTCAGCCGCACTCTCCTTCTCCCCCCTCACCTTCGCGCCCTCCCCAACCTCCTCCTCTCCCGGACCACCCTCAACATCGTGCTCCTCCAACCTCGCCCTCATCCTCTCCTCCTGCGTCGCCCCATCACCACCCTCCGGCTGCTGCACCCTCTCACTCCCACCCCCCTTAGTTCCCCCACTCATCTGCCACTCCATCAACTTCGCAAACGCCCCCTCACTATCCTCACTCAACTGTCGATAACTCCCCACCTGCGCCACCTTGCCGTCCGCACCGATGCAGATTATGGTGTCGCTGCGTTGGATCGTCGACAGGCGATGCGCGATCGAGATGGTGGTGTTGTTGCCACGTAACAAGCGAGCAAGGGCTTGGTTGACGAGGGTTTCGGACTCGGCATCCAAGGCACTCGTCGCCTCATCCAGAATCAGTATATCCGGATTCTTCAACAACGCCCGCGCAATCGCGATCCTCTGTTTCTGTCCGCCGGACAACTGCGTCCCCCTCGCTCCAACAAACGTCTCCAGTCCCTCCGGGAAATCAGAAATAAACTGACAATTCGCCTCCCGCGCCGCCCGGACAATCTCAGTCCGACTCGCCAATGGACGACCATAGGAGATATTCTCCGCGATCGTGCCGCTAAACAGCACAGGTTCTTGCCCCACATACCCGATCTTGCGACGCAATTGCTTGGCATTCATGGTGCTGATATCCTTGCCCCCAATCAGAATCGTGCCAGCACTGGGCTGGTAGAACCGCATGAGCAGACTCGCCACGGTACTCTTCCCCGCACCCGAAGGCGCGACAATGGCGACGTTACTTCCCTCCGGAATCTCAAAGGTGAGATCATTGAAGATCCGCACGGCCGGGCGGGTGGGGTAGGAGAAAGCGACGTTCTTGAACTCGATGGCACCGCGGAGACTCTTCACGGGATCGCCGAGGGTCGGGCTGATCTCCGCCTTGCGGTCCTGCAGTTCGAAGAGTCGGGATGCGGCGCCGACGCCTTTCATCAGTTCGCTGTAGAAGGCGGAGAGGCCGAAGAGACTACTCCCCGCGTACCCGGCGTACATGAGAAAACTGGTGAGATCGCCGATGGAGAGGGCGCCGCTGCGGACCATATTCCCGCCTACGTACAGTAAGGCGATGAACGTCATGTTGCCCGCGAAGCCGGAGAAGGAAAAGAAGGTCGCGGATATATACGCTTCCCTCTTCCCCAAGGTGAAGATTTTGCGGACCTGATTATTGTAGCGTCGGACTTCTTGTTGCTCGCCCACGAAGGCTTGAGAAGTGCGCACATTTCCTAGTCGTTCCTCGGCGATTTTGGTGAGAGTGCCGAGATTCTTCTGGATCTGGCGGGAGAGGTTACGGATGGCGCGGCCGTAGAAGAAGGCGCCTATCCCGATGATGGGGAAGACCAGGGCGATGACGCTGGTGAGTTTCAGACTAACGTAGGTCATTAGTGTTACGCCAGCAGCGGCGGAGACGAGCGCGCGCAGGCCGTCGGACATGTTTTGTGTGATGCTTTTACCCACGATTATGGTGTCGCTGCCGAGGCGGGAGATCAAGTCGCCGACGCGGTTGGCGTCGAAGAACTCGGCGTTTTGGATGAAGGTGCGTTTGAAGAGTTGGCTGCGAAGCTTCGTTACTATCCGCTCGCCGACGATGCGGAGGAAGATGATGCGGCCATAGTTTGCGCAGGCGCCCGACGCGATGAGCGCGGCGAGGGCGATGTAGAATTGCTCCATGGACAGGCCGAAGAGAGTGCTGGACTGCGCGCTTGCGGCGTCGAGGATCTTGCCGATGGAGAAAGGGATGCTCATGCTGATGGTGCTACTGTAGATTAGGAAGATGAAGGCGAGACCGAGGGAGCGCCATTCGGGGAGGGCGATTAGGAGGAGGCGCCTGATCTCCGCCCAACCTCCGCCTTGCGCCGTCTCGCCTTCTTTGCTGAGACGTGCGCTGAGGTTGAGTTGAGAGGCTTGGGCTGCCTTTTCGGTCCGCGCAAAGCCATCGGCGTCTTCGTAGTGGTCGTCTGGGTCGCCTTGGCGCTGGACCTCGTCTCTGTATGCTTTCGCGGGCACCGCAGCTTCTTGTGAAGTTTGTTTGGTGGTCTGCAGGACCCTACGCGGTTGCGGTGTGCGGATGTGTTGACATTGGAACGCTATTGACGGTCGTGCCGGTGGCTGTGGTCGTCCTAGAGAAAGACATCGCCCACCAATGTTTATATTGCCTTCACCACGTCGCCATCTCCGCAAGCCAGACGTGTCCGCTCGTATTCTCGTGGTAAACAGCGCCCCGTTTCCAAGACTATCCCATGCTCTATGCGCAAACATGCGCGACCCTAGCGCTGCCATCACAGCCGTCACAAGCCCTCCAAGTGCGTCTCTCAGGCGAAGTCAGCTTCTGCTACCGCCTGTAACAGCGGACAAATGTCGAATATGTCGTCATCGCCAGTTGAGTCGCGCAGAAGGTTTGTAAGGTACGCTTTGATTGAACGTCCTGAATGGCGAAGATGCCGATCACCTCCTGACTGTTGTCTGCGGCCTCGCAGTCTACTTTGTCGCTGGCTTTAGCTGAGCATTGAGAGCATCATCAAGTCGGACGGTCTAACATTCACCTACCCCGGCCCGCCCCGTCAAGCTCAATGCGAATGCGCGCTAGCACGTGACGGGCATTGCAGGCCATACTAAGAGGAGAGCAAGGGAATACTTATGTTCTGTGCAACGCAGAGGTTCAACCGTAAAATGGTGAATGAGTCCTTCGACCTGACACCCATCTATGCTACAAGGTCTTGGCGTGGTCCGGAAGACGCCAACGGGCAATGCCTCCCAGCGCCGTAGCGCCTCCTTCTCCGTTTCCAGCGCACCATCACCGTACCATCCGAACCAAACACATCCGAAAACATCTATCGAAGATAACTGTGTTACACCCCTACCGCCCCTGGCGCCCTCTCATCCTTCCGCAAACTCACCAACAACTCCCTCATCCTCGCCTTCCCCGTCCCACTCGCGCCCCCCGCCGCTCCCTTCCCACTCAAATCCACCAACTTTGCAATCCGCTCCCAGCTCGTGCCCCCACTCGTTGTATCCTCGCGATTCTTCAGAAACTCCTCCGCCTCCTTCCGCGTCTGCGCCATCCCCTTTTCCTTCTTGTTGTTGTAGTTCTCGTAGAACTCGTCGATGGCTTCGCGCGCGGCCTTCATCGTTTCTTCCTTTTTGCGTTGGGAGACTTCGTCGCGGTGTTGGAGGGCGAGGGCGCGGCGTTCGCGCCAGGAGCGGAGGACTTCCGGTTCTTCGTCGTCGTCGTCGTGTTGTTGTTGGGTGTTGTCGTTGGTGCGGTAAGGAAGTGTGTTGCCTGTAATTGTGCCGCCGGGTGCGACACGGTCGTTTTGCGTGTCCACGGCGGGGAAGGAGGATTCAAAGTCGCCCATCATGTCGTCCTCTGCTGCGCCGTTGGTGTGGTGGGTGTGTGACGGTGCGGAGCTGTCGCCGCCACCGAGTAGGTCGTCATCATCGTCGCCGTCGGCTACTGTTGCAGTGTTGTCGGCGGGTGAGGCGAATTGTTGGGCATCGTCGCCTAGTGCTGCGCGCTCACGGGCGAGGAAGTCGGAGGGTTCGGAGGACTCGAGGGCGTCGAGGGTGGGTTGGCCTTGCGCTTCGGTTTGGCCTGTACCATATTATCAATACCGACAGACCAATTCCTCCGCTGTCAGTGGGTTACATACCAGCATCGAAGTCGTCTAATGAAGGGAAGCGGTCCGCCATTGTCTTTGCTGCTTCTGACGGTTACGATTCACAGGTCGATGCTCTCACCGCGGCCTACAATGATAACAGAGTGTCGAAATCTGGTTACGGTATGGAGTAAGTGGAGATTGTGGTTATATGTTCTGGCACGATCATCGTTATGGTCAATAAGGTAGCTGTTGCTTGAACATCAATCATTGCTGCCTAAGGCTCAAGAAGCTTTCGGATTCCCTCTGAGCCATCTCCATCCCAATCGCATCGCGTTTCTCCACCACCACCACCACCACCACCAAGTCACTCTACAAACAATGGCCTACTCCCCCGAAGCGGTCCGCGCAAAATTAACCTCCCTAAACGAAACCCAAGACTCCATAGTAGCAACCTCCCAATGGCTGCTCTTCCACCGCCGCCACGCCCCCTCCACCGCCCAACTCTGGCTCGCCCACCTGCAAACCCCCACCCTCACGCCCGCAAAGCGCCTCAACCTTATCTACCTGGTCAACGAAGTCGTGCAGCAATCTCGCGCACGCGGGAAGACGGATTTCGTGCTAGCGTTCGAGCCGATCATTGCGGAGGCTACGGCGAGCGCGTATAAAGGCGCGAATGAGAGTGTGCAGGGGAAGATTGGACGGGTGGTGGAGGTGTGGAGGCAGAGGGGGGTGTTTGAGCGGACGATATTGGATGCGGTTGAGGCACGGTTGGAGGAGGTGAGGAGGGCGAAGGGGGGAAAGAGTGGGGGGAGGCAGTTGGGTGGGACGTTGTTTGGTGGTACCAGTGGGAGTGGTAACGGCGTTGTGCCGGTGGAGTTGGAGGGCGTGGCTAAGAGTTTGGCGAGTGTGACGAAAGCAGATGTTACGAAGACGCCTGCGGTGGAGAATGCGGAGAGGGAGTTTCAGAAGGTTACGGATGCGAGTGCGGCTGTGCCAAGTCCGCCCGTGCATGCGGCGAGGTTGAGCGCGTTGTTGAGGAGTCTTGCGACTGCGCAGGGGGCGGTTGAGGCGAGTGTGCGGGCGAGGAGAGAGTTGTTGGCGGGGTTGGAGAGGTTGGTGCAGGAGAGTAAGGTGAAGCTGGCGGAAGATGAGGCAACGATGGAGATGCTGGGGGTGAGGAAGGAGGGGATCGAGGTTAAGAAGCGAGAGGTGGAGGATGGCATCATGCGAGGGCTGTCTAACCCGTCTTCGCCTGTAGCGGCCTCAGCGCCTGCGACGGAGGGTCTGGCGCAAGATGGCGCGGTACAGACGAACGGAAACGGGGCAGAGTCCACCGCTCCCGAGGCGGAGTCCTTCACGCCTCCACCACCCGAAATCGAGTCCTTCACCCCAGAGCTGGCAGCCAACGAGGGCAGCTTGACCGGCGATCTCGCACCACTCCACGACACCTCCAACATGAGCCTGCCAGCAATGCCAGACAGCACTGAATCAAACCCCACCGGCGCAGACTCCATCGCAGAACTTCCACCCACTCACGACGAGCCCGCACCCTCTTTCGAACCGCCACCAGCATTCGAGCCGCAGCAGATAATCCCAGGATTGAACGATCGAATTCGCCAAGCCTCAACTGAGATCCCAGCCTCCGCGACTGCTAATGGCGCCAACCCGGGCGATCCCAGACTCAAGCGTAGGAAGATGTCGCACCCGAAACCTAGTGATACGGAGGATGATGTCGACCGCGATATCTTCGGTGCGGGAGGGGCGGGGATGGTGGGGGTGGATGAGGATGGGGTTGCTGCGTTGCTTGCTTGAGTAAGTGGGTGCGCAGCCGTTTTCTGCAAGGGATAATGAGGAAATGGGGTAGGCTGTGGGTGGCGGATGGTATTACTGTGTGCTCCAGATGCGACTGGAACGGGGCGTCAATAGCAGCATGAGAGTTTCAGGCCGCGTTTTAGCGCTGCCGTGGGTGTTGAAAGAAACAAATGCTCGTCAGCTTGCTGGTTGCAAGTCCTCGAAGCGGACGACAAAAAGAAATCTGTGCTGGCATTATCCGGACTGGAAGCCTTGTATGTTATCTGAGCGACACAAGCGTGTATCTGACCAACCTCGAACATTGAGGTAGTCTGCAGGTCTACGGATTTCATGGTTCCCATCTAGCCACAGACCCTAAGCATATGGAGAGGGACATACGGACTAAATGAGAAGTAGGAGAGTAAGTAGTTTGTCGAAGACCGACCTTTGATCGCTCTAGTGGACAGGCATACGTCTGTGAAGGCTGAACGCGCCGCACGCTGGCATAGCATTGTAATGTCTAGTGCAGAGACTATCATTTGAGCTTATCTGTGTCTTTGCATCAAAACTTTCTGTCGGCTTGAGGTAAGGTGCGAATGGGCGGAAAGAGGCGTGGCTCGTCACGAGGCAGTAGAGCGGAATCCCAAGCTTCATTTTCCATCCATCAAGTACCTCCTTTCCCTTTTCCCACCCCAGGTCTCTGACGAATGGTGTGGCGACCGTCATGACTGTGTTACATACACTCTAAAGCAATCTTGCTCAAAGACCCCAGTCATTATTACCAACGCGAATCAGAACTGCCGGACATTTTTGCGGCCGCTCTTGGCCGGTAAAGGTGGTCATGGTGATGGTCATGGTCGTGCGAAAGGAGCCATAGTATAAGCAGCCGGCTATAATAGGCAAAATTACCCACTATCCGTTCCTAGAGGACGCGCTGCAATCGGTACAAGGACTGCTGTATCTGCCTACGCCGCCTGGTCCCGGATCTTAAATTCTACAGAAACCGATCCAAATGAAGATACCATCCGGTCCTCTGAGGATCTCGACGACACGTCTCATGATAAGATTGAAGCAAGGGGAGGCGACATGCTCGAGCGTCTATCACAAGAGCATACGACAGTGTCCGCTTCCCATCGCGCCACAAATGCATGGACAGTAGCTGTCATGGTGGGATGTAAGTGCGTACCTGTTTGAATTGTAGCTGACACACTGCGTAAGCATGACAATTCGGCGAAGTGTTCTGTGCCATTTGGAAGCACCAATCGCGGCTTATGCTTTACGAAGTCAAAGCCGCTTTGGGCTTGCCATTCACTTCATCCCCAGTGTCAGTGGTCAGAGTGTTACTACACCGGCTTCATGATATCGTCCCATATCAGGTCAGGTAGGCAGTAATCAGGTTTTTCGCACTGCATAAAAGAGCCAGAAACTCCCCATCTGCACTTTCCGTCCACTCATATTCAGATTTTGCCAAGCTCACATCAGACAATCAACTACCGAACACTCCACAACCGAACAAGTCACGATGGCAGTCAACGCAGCACACCAAATCAACATCACCTCCGAGCTGTACAGACGAAAGTCGTACCTTTGGCACGGCGACCTCCGACTCGCGGGCAACGGCACACCAGGCAAAGCCGAGCCCACCAGAGCCTTTCTAAGACCAACGCCCAAGGACTACGACGGAATGGACATCTTTGAGCGATGCAGACAGGACTTCCTGGTTGCGCAAAGGGCGCTGGGGTGGGCCCAGGTGCTCGAGGTGGAACGTTGCCGTATCAGAGGGGAGGAGAGGACTGCAAGGATCATGCAGACGATGGCGAAGGAGAGACGGGAGAGGGCGGAGAGACGGAAGCGGGCGGAGGGGTATTCGGGTGCTGGTTTGGATTGAGTCTCTGAAGCATTGGCTGCGGAGTTGGGTGTAGTTGGCTTTTTCAGCAGTTTGTTGCGCTGTTACGACTTTGGGATTTAGGGCACAGCATGTACGATACCCAAACGCATTGATTGTGATCATATACGCTTATTGGCCTTTTCGGCAGCTTTCCGCCTCTCTGCACCCTTGGGATACGTCGCATGTCCGAAACCTCCGATCACTGGCAATATGAGTCTATAGCTTGCTGAGCAGCATATATATCTGCTATACACTTGGGAATGTGCACTATGCCAACGGTCCAACCCAGTTTCGCCGCCATTTCCCAATTTGGCTATAGCTTATGCCGCTATGCCTGTTCCTGTACGTGACAGATGAACTAGCCGCTAGATCTCCCACTCTATCTCCGACCAGCTATACACATACCGATCACCTACCATCAGATCGTATCATCCCAAACCCAGTAAACACCCTCATAGTTCATTGAGCCACCCACAAGGTCTGACAACATGGCGACCCAATCCTTCCGCGACATCTACAGCTACCTCCCCCCACCCTCCGAATGCTTCGCCCTCCTAGTCGGCTGCATGGAGCTGACCGTCTTCGGCCTCGGCGGCCTCGCCAACCCCATGGAATTCGGCAAAGGCTACGGTCTCCCCATGACGCCCGCCACAACCTCTCAAGCCCACCCGGGCGCACTCGAAGCTTCGTCCGACGAGAAGCAGAAAGCCGGTAGCGTGCAGAAGACGCAAGAAGCGTACATTGCCGCGATTGCTGCACGGAATATTCAGAATGGCGTGTTGATCCTGACGTTGGGATTGTATGTTAAGGATCGGCGGGCCATGGGTATTGCGTTGATGGCGGGTCTGGTTGCGACGGTGGGGGATGCGTTGATTGTGCAGGCTTATGGGGTGCCGAGTGCGGTTTGGGGACATTTGATTGGGGTCTTTAACAGTGTGGCTATTGGAGGCTCGCTGTTGTACTGGGGCAGGACTGATCCTTGGTGGTAAGCTACGACGGGGAGCACGCGTTGGTATGATGTTTCAGGTCCGAAGTTGTATGTTGTAAGCGTCTGCCTGTATATGACCAAGCAGCATTGCCAAACGTGCGGATAGTATCCGGAGCGATGGGCCGTGCTCGAGATGCTTCTATAATCTAGGTTCTGTGACAACAGAACGGCATTACACATTCAGTTCGGCGTCGCCCACAACACCCAATTTCTCCTCATACTTCGCAAGGGCAGGCTTGACGTCAATCTCCAGCACCTCATCCACAATCTGCGGCGACCTTCCAATGAACGTTTCAGGCTCCATCAGGCGCTTCAGATCGTCAAGAATGGGTTTGAAGAAGTCATCGTTTCGTATCCGCTCGATGAGATCGTTAGCTTTGCCTTCTTGCTTGACGACAGCGCCGGCTTGGTGTGACAGTACGCTAAATCCACGATTAGCTAGCCGAAAGGAAGGCATGGTATGCAATTGGATGACGTACCGAATCTTCTCATGCGCATCCTGCCTTGAGTGGCCTTTGGTGACCATCTCCATGATGATGTTCTCCGTTGCCATGAACGGCAACTCTAGGTCTATCCGCTGTCTAATTACAGCTTCGTTGACAACCAGGCCCGAAGAGACATTGTTGAGCTAAAGGCTTGTATCAGCTCATGCTAAGCGAAGGTATTTTAAGGATACCAGCTTACCAAGATCAAGCAAGCATCCGCGCACAAGAAACTCTCCGGCAGCACGATCCTTCGTATCGCCGAATCGTCCAGACTCCTCTCCAACCACTGACTCTTGTACGTTTGCTCCGCCTCTGCACTGAAACTCGAGAGCATTCGCCCAATCGAACAGAGCCGCTCCGACCGCATCGGGTTCCGCTTGTATGCCATCGCACTCGACCCGATTTGGTCCTGCTCGAAAGGCTCCTCCAGCTCCTTGAACATGGCAAGATGGCGTATGTCGCCGCCGATGCGTTCGCAAGTACAGCCGAAAGACGACAACGCATGAACGATGTCAACGTCGATCTTCCGTGAGTACGTCTGGGTCGTACTGAGAGATGCGCCGTTGAACCCGGCCTTCTTCGTCACCAATCGATCGAGTTGCTTTACCTTGTCATGGTCGTCTTGGAAGATGGCAAGGAAGGAGGCTTGTGTGCCGGTCGTGCCTTTGACGCCGCGGAACTTGCCGAGGAGCCTTTCGCGAGCGTGTTCGAGGTTGTGAAGGTCGTCGAGAAGGTCTTCGATCCAGATGGTGGCTCGCTTGCCTACTGTCACCATTTGGGCGGCTTGACCGTGGGTGTAGCCCAAACAGGGCACACTGCGGTATTCTTTGGCGAATGCGCTGAAGCGTTGGATGACAGCTGCGAGCTTCGGTAATAGTTCGTCAAGCGCATCGCGCATAAAGATCTGTGCCGTTAGCGAAGAAGGACGATCGCCTGAACTTCGATTGCCCTACCAGGTCTGCATTGTCTGTCACGTAGCTGTTTCCAGTTAGCACATGTACTTCTAAGGACTTACAGGCACGTACCGTACCCAAGCCAGCATCATACATACCAAGAAGTAGCACCCCAGTGAATTATCCCCGCCGCTGCCGGAGCCGCAAGACCGTACGTATGCACGTGAGCCATGACATCGTGCCGTCTCCGTTTCTCCTCGATAGCGGCGGTTTCGAATTCGTGGTCCTGAATGAGCGCGTGGTCTTTCAGCTGCTGAATTGCTTCAGTTGTGATACCCTCCAGACCCAATTCGCGTTCGGATTCGGCAAGGAAGATCCAGAGTTCGCGCCAAGTGCTGAAACGGTTGCGTGGCGAAAAGATGTACTTCATGCGTTGACTGCAATATCTTGAATTGAGCGGGCTGCAGCGTCGTTAGCGACATCCAAGATCGTGGGAACAGAAAACGACACGGACATACTTCTGGTAAGTATCATATTTGGCATCGAATGCACTTTTGGTAGGGGTCAAATGCGTCATATCCATTAGTGTTGCGAGCCTGACATCGGGCGTCGATACCATCCGTTGCCCAGCGCCATCAGGCATTCTCGACGAAGTGGTTCCGGACATGTTGCTTCACGGATCTGTCAAAGTTTGTGTTGCCTGCAAACAAGTGGTTCCAACAAACGGTGCTCGTGGCGAGCGGTACAATGATATTTACTTATGTCGCGACGGAGCGACACACGACGGTGGATGTGCTCACGCGAGCAATAAATTTCGATGGAGTGCAGTGCAGTGGAGCAATGGAGCAATCTGGAGAGAGGGGCCCGTGCGTAATCGGCTCACTGAGAAGCAGGGAAAAGTAAGGTACGCCATAGCGTAAGAAGCAGAGTAAAAGAAGTCGGAACCTGTTGATTATCGAACGGTGGTCGCATTTACTATTCTAGCAAGGTGTTCTAGAAGATGAAACCAATCGTGTGGTCGTACCACCAGGCGGCACGCCCACCGTTTGCCTTCCTGTCAGCCGCCTTCGCCAACCACTCCTGTTCGTCCGCGTCAATGATGTCCTTGCCGGTGAACAAATCAGCCTCGTGCGGTTTAATAGCGTGAGTCCGTTTGATGACCTTGTAACCAAGGATGAGGAGCAGATACACTGGGATGCCGATATAACCAGTCTACCGATCAGTCAGCTTTTGCCATGTGAATGTCCTTATGGTGGCGTTGGCATACAATGAAAGTCTTGTAATCCCACCTCCCTCGAACGAAGACGGTGAAGTTCTTCGTGAGAGCAATGATACAGCAGAAGACGAGAGCGACGATACTGCCCCACAAGCCGAACGGAGATTTGTACGGCATCATCTTGTCGGTGATTCCCTGAGAAACATCGTATCAGTACACATCTTTGCGGCGTCATCAATTAGTCAAGTCGAGCTCACCTGCGCACGTCGAGCCCGCACAAAGTAGATGTGGGAAACGAGGATGGATATCCAGGACAACAGCCCGAGGATGGAGACGACATTCACGAAGTAAGTGAACACTTGTTTTGAGCTCGTGGAGACGTTCAAGAAAGCCAAGCAGCAGACGGTGGCGCACACTCCCAAAGCGTAGTACGGGACACCCCTCTTGTCGGTGATTGCGAGGAACGCTGGTGCCTGCTTCTTCAGTGCCAAACCGTGCAACGTCCGAGACCCAATGTAGAGATCGCTGTTGGCTGCCGAGAAGACGAAGATAAGGATGCATGCGTTGAGAAAGCCGGGGAGACCATGAATGCCTGCTAGACGGATTGCGACAACGAACGGCGATGCGGCAGCTGAGCTGGACTTCTTCGTAGCGAAGATGAGCTGGCTGCTGTTGTAAGGCACGATCATACCTAGCAGGAAGACCGAGCAGATGTAGAAGATCAGGATCCGCCAGAAGGTTAGTTTGATAGCTCGCGGGACGTTTCGTCTTGGATTTTGGGCCTCTCCAACGGTCACGCCGACCAGCTCGGTGCCCAGGAAGGCAAAGACTGCCGTGACCATGCTGCTCCAGACAGCCAAGAAGCGGCCGAGCGATCCCTTGTCAATGTAGTTGTGGAAAGCGCCAGGATTGTGCCAGTACCGAACTAATAGGACGGTTAGTGACGTGCGGGAGAGCATCTGTGCTCTACTTCAGCGTGTTACGCACAGCCTAGGACTTCGTGGTTGGGACCGCCACCTGCTGCAAGTACGATGCAGAGTATGATGATGCCGAGAATAACAGCAATCTTGATGCTGCTGAGCCAAAACTCAAGCTCACCGAAGACACTTTTCCAATGATCAGCACGAGCAACGCTTGTGATCGACGGGAAATGCCGGTCAGTGCACGTACCGGACTCCGAGGTAGTTGATCAGGATGATGACGACTAGAAAGACGGCAATGAAAACGCCAGGATTCACACGTTCTGGCGGACACCAGTATTGCTGAGGATATTGGGTTAGACAGTCAGCCAGAGGTCAGACAGCATGGGGCCATTTGGCAGTGGGTATACGCACAATGACCAAGGCGGCGGCAGTTAGCTGATTCGGGGTAGTGATCTGGAGACATTTATCAGCCCTGTCACAGACGTTACGTTCGGCAACCAGCTTACCCAATACTTGAAGAGGTACGTCCATCCAAGAGCGAAGCCAAAGGCAGGGTCGACGAATCTGGTGGCGTATGGATAGAATCCACCGGCTCCGGGAAGCCAAGTTGCCATCTCTCCAAGCGCGGTCATGACCTGCACTCGACAGGTCAGTAGGTGCGCAAGGTATGATTAAGTCTCTGTTCAGGCAGTACCATGTAGACAAGACATCCAACGATACAGTAGGAAATCAGGATTGCAGCAGGTCCTCCTGTAGCCAGCGCACTGCCTGTGCCGATGATAAGACCTGTACCAATGGCGCCACCAATGGCAATCATGGAAACGTGACGTGCAGAAAGGCCACGGTGCAGGCTGTGGTGCTGGTCGTAAGGATCGCTAAGCTTGGTAACATCTCTCGTTGGCGAGTCGTCGCCATGTTGTTGGTACTCGTATGCTTGCTTCTCAGCATCATCGCCGTGGTAGGTTGCCATGGTTGCAACACCGCCCCAAGAACGGAGAGTCGACCGCAGATGGAAAAATTGAAAACGTCCCAGCACAGAGGGTGTGAGGCTCTATAAGCTTACGGAAATGGCTGCAGTACTACCTTGGCCTACTACAAGGACAAAGAAGCGAACTAATACCACCGCGGCTGAGCGGTCCACTTCGGCCAGGATCCCGTTAGTGGTGGGCGTATGGCGTGCTGCCAAGAGTGTTATCAGCTTGGCAGAGTGTCAGCCGCGTCTCGAACTGCATGATTAGTTGCTAACTCGACTTTGAGATACCATCGAGAGATACGACCGACACAGAAAGTGGGGAGAGTTCGAGGTCGAGTGTATCATTCTTTTGCAGCGCGGGCGGAAGGCAGGCCTCGAAGCTTGGTGGGGTCCATCAACGCTCCGACGAAATTTTCGACGGCATTGCCTCGTGTACCGCTCAACATGCTAGACCATTGGCGTACAGTCAACTACGTACAGGAAGGACAGTAAGCAAACGGAAACGTGTGAGCCTCTCGAGGTATGCGGTAAGCCACTAGCCTGCACGAGTGCCGTGTAGTGAGCATGATAAGTGGCAACCACATATCTGAATGCACAACTACGGGCAAGCCAAAGGTTCTTTACGACTATTGCAGTGTAAGTTAGCCATGTGAAATCACGGCCACACCGCAGTCATCGACGGGCTGCTGCTGGCTGAGAATGAGTATTGCCAGAGGAAGCGCGTACGCGCTTGACCTCTCTATAGAGAAGCGTGTTGCGCAACCATCACGACGAACGCCACGGCAGAGGAATAACAGTTGTGATGATTTTGCCCAACAGATATTGCCGCACCACTCTCTCGTTCTCGAGAGTGATTTCGCAGGAATATCGCTTTGTAGATGGCGGAGATACAACAGGTTATGGGTGCCAGAACGTTTCGTGCCAGAGCACCAATTCGACAGTAGGATGGCAAGCATGCCCATACAGCTAGCTATGGCGAGCCTACACTTTCTGAACCCAGAACCAACAGCAAGTCCCATCGGTCGTCTTGACGTCGTCCATCCAAGTCAGACACCTGGGATGCGCCTACGCCTACTCCATTTGCTCCCCAATCATGCCGGAAAGCAGTGGTATCATCCAAGCCAACAAGCAACACCCAATCGCCAAGCCAGTGCCTTCTCAAACGTGACAAGAGATCGTTCGCATGTATCATCCATGCAAACTGCGTCAAGGCTACTCCTTCGCATTCTCATTGAGCTCCAACGAACAGACCATCTGCAGCTTCTCCAGCTCCGGATGCTGCATCACGAGCTTCACACTCCTTGCACCTGCACCAACACCAGCAATCGTGCCATTGGCTTGTCCCGGTTGTTGCTGGGCTGCCGTAGCACCACCAACTTGGCCCACGGAACAGCCACCGTCGTCCAAGCACTTAATCTCGCGCCCAGCGATGATCTGCTTCAGCCGGCCGTTCTGCGCATTGCGGATCTCCACAAAGTCATTGTCGAAGAGGATGAGGTAAGCGCCGTACAGCGCGGCAGACTGCGCGTTACCCACAAAGTCCATGATGACACTCCTGCTGACTTCGCCGTGCTTGTTGACGTAGACAGCGCAGTTAGAATAGACCAAGAGGAACTCCTGGTCGCTTAGCCGCAGCATGCCAAGGGCGCGTTGGTCCTTGATATGGCTCGCGATGTTTTGGACATGCTCCTGTTTAGTGTCCGGGACGGAGAATGGCTGTTTTCGTTCGAGGGATAACACCTCGAAGCCTCTCGCTGTACAAATCGCAAGAGAAGAGTGGAAGAGATTCATGCCCGTGCACTCGGCCGGAATATAGAACTCGTCGTACTCGCGGAAGAACTCGGTGTTACCACGTCGAAGCATACCGACACCCACACGCCGTCTTTCCGTGGACTTCTGGTAGACGGGTTCCAGCACCTTGAACACCGAGTTCAGGTTCTCTCGCTTCTTGTAAAATAGGAGTGTGCGATCCTTCATACGACCGGCAAGGAAGAAGCCGACGTCCCGGCTGCCGGAAAGCTTCTGAGGAGCTCGCTTGGTGGAGTCACTGGACGGTGCCGGTCCGTTGCGCTCGTTGGGACACACGACGTCGAGGTGGTAAGCGATCAGGCTCTTGTCAGAGATGAGCAGGAAGAGGTTGTGTTCCTCAAGGACGGCAATCTGGGAGACTTTGACCATCGGTATTGCCTGTAGAACATTAGCACAGTCAGCTTGCCACGAATGGAACGTCTTACTCACCTTCGTCCACCCTCGAGGATTCTCGAGCTCGCTAATGTACACACCGAAATCTGTGCCGACCGCAAGCATTTGCTTAAGGGGCGTCTGACCACCAGTAGCAGAAGCCGGACCCATCACAGTGAACCCAGTCGCACAATTGACTCTTGCTCGACAGACCGGAACAGGCCGTCCCGTATCCTTGAACCGCGTTTCAACCTCCTTAATCGCACGATCAACTGGGGTACCCTTAATCACAACAGTCTTGCCGCCGCCAGTCGTCGCAAAAGCATCGGTGTAGAACGCCGAGTCCGCCATCACCTTTAGGCGGAAAGGCTCTGCATGCTGTGCGTACAACGCCGCTGCATGCTTCGTCTTCGCCTCGATGATCTTGACGCACCATTCTCGCCTTGCCGCCTCGTTAGGCGCGAAAAGTGTGTATATGTCGCGACCCAGATGCTTGATCTTGAACGGATACATGATCTTGTCCGAGTCCTTAACTTCCGAACTGTTCATGGTCTGCAGACTGTTCGTGCTGGAAGAGGTATTGACGTGCTGGAGAGTGTTTGGTCCTGGAGACTGATTGGTCTGCGTTCTGGTCAAGGCATTCGGATCGGCAGATGTGGCTGTCCGTCCGGTGACCGCCGAAGTGATACCTTTGACGTATGTGCCCTTCTGCACGGCAGGATCGTTCGTACTTTCCAATATCAACAGATCCATAGGTATCGGCAGCCTGCTGACATCGTACTTGTCCACCTTGCCGCCTTGGTCGCTTCGCTGAGATACGATCTTCGCAATGACGAGGTAGTGATCAAACAGCAGCGCATGGCTTTCAAGCCACGTAAAGCGGCTATCGCCCATTCTCTGCAGGTCGCCTTTATGTATCAATTGTCGGCCTATGTGATCGAGGTTCAGCTCCACAGCCTGCTGCATCCCAGGCCTGAGCACCAGCTTGACACTCAGATCTGCGAGATCGACTTTCCGTTGCACCTCCGCGACGCGTGCATCGCACTCGAGTGTGACATTCTTCACCTCGTCGTAAGCAACCTGCAGATTCCGCTTCTCTTCCTCAAGGTGCTCACCGCGCATGCTCTTCATCACAGTCTGCAGCAGCAAAGTGTACCTTTGCAACCTCGTAATCGGCGCTTTCAGATATGTATCCCAGCCCAGCCGCTTCGACCGCGGATCCTTCACAGCCCGTTCGATAAAAGCACGAAAGTCAATATTACGATCCAGCTCCTGCCGGACGTAGAATGTGGCACTCGGAAACCCTCCAGCGTATTCCAGATAAGCAGCTTTCGCCTTCCGTATCCACTGCCGGAATATGTCCGAAAAGCCAACAATCCATGGACCCTGTTCCTGCTGCCTGTACTTGAGCTGCGGGAGTAAGTGATCCTCGTTTGCTTGCTTGATCGCCTCGACACGCCCAAAGACATCTTTGATGAACTTGTCTTTTCGCTTCGGCGTGATGATAGAAGGTTCGGTGTTTAAGAGCGTATCTCGATACAATGTTCGCAGAACGGTGAGCTGCTCCATGTAAATGTCTTCTGAATATACGATCTCATGTAGCACGTTCTGCCTTTCGAGCTCTTTACGGTCTCTGTTTTCTAGATCTTCTTTGCCTAGATGGTAGAACTCGGCCCAGCTTTCACTCGTCCGTACAGGCTGTGTCTGCAAGTTGAGCTTCTTCAGTGTCCGCTGACAATGGTGGCTGTAACACCGTCCGGGTATCAGGAACTCGTGCAAGGTAGGGGAGTAGCATCCGGCGCCAGTAAGTTGAAAGATAACGCCGGACATCGGTCGGGACACGAGCTTGACCCATTCTTCGGTGCGGACCAATGTGCCTGCGGCGTACATGTTGTTTACGACGTGGTTGCTCAACCCCTCAGCGTCAGCAATATTCATAGTCGGCACCTTGTTTGTGAACAATGCAACCAACGCCTCCTTCACGTCTGCCTCTTTCAACTCGCTGTACTGTTCCGGGCTCACGACCTGCAACAGCCACTTAAGCATTCCCATCAGACCCCAAGGTTCCGTACACTTGTTGAAATCTGGCGCACCGAGCTTCCCAGGCACGAAGCGCTTTGCCCCTAGGCTTGGCAAGTCCGGCACGACGCTCGAGGCTGGTGTGGACTCGTATAGAGGTGTGTACACCGAAGTCCTGTACTGCTGCTTAAGCCTTGCCTCAGCGTCCGTCTTTGAGCGCAGCGGCTGCGAGACCAGGGGCGTTGTTTGGTGGTTGATCAGACTGGTACTTCGCGGAACATACTGTCCTTGCGCGTTGTAGCCGTATGCATCCGGCGCGTGCGGATACGGACTGTTACCGCTGCTTTGACTGTCGTACCCACTTCTCAAGTTCGTCTGTAGAGGTGGCATAAGCGGCTCCTCACCTGGTACGGCGGGCAACGGCCGGCCTGCGTGGTACGTGGTCGAAGCTTGCTGGAAGAAGATGTCTGGTGGCTCGTCCGGAAAGCGTATGGGCAGTTGACCCTCGGTAAGCGTATATTCATCGCCCTCATCATAGCTTTGCCGCCTGCCGTGTGCTGTAGGCTCGGAAAGCCCACCGGTGCCACCAGCATCAACACGGGCAGCTGGGTTGAACGGTGGGAATGGGTGGATACTGTCCGTGTGATAGTCGTACTCCCCTCGACTGATCTGGCTTGACTGGCTCGCGTGGCTCCGCCGCATACTACTGTGCTGTGAAGAGACCGGCTGACTGTACGAGTCCTGGCCGTTCACGTCCGGCATGAGTATGTGGGTTGTGACGAGCTGACTCGGATCATTCCCACCATAGCTCATTTGTACATCTGGGCCAGTAAATGCACTCACGTCGTAGCCGCCATAGTCGTCGCTGTCGCTCGCTGTACCAGCGGACTGTTGAGGCTGTGATTGCCTCGAATCTCTTACGGACCCATAGTTAGAGAAGCGGAGTTGGCTGCCGCTGCTTTGCCGTCTCTCTTCCTCCTCTGCCTGTTGTATCATTGCCAACCCCTGCGTTGCTTCTGCATCGCTGTCGTCGCTGTAATGCTGCTCATGTGTCGCAGGCGACAAGTGACCGTTCAAAGAGTGACCGTTGCGCGCGGTGTGCGGCGAAGAAGAAGTAAATAACGGCGTTGGCTGAGGTACATCCTCTGCCGGTGGGCGGCTCAGCGATATCGAAGGGCTGTGTCCCCTACGATTCCCACCGCCAGCAGGTAGCAGCGTATTTACGAGATCATTGAAGAGCTCTTCCTGCGCCAAAGCCTCGGCCTCTTCGTGAGTCGGTGTCGTCCGGCGATTGCTCAGATGATTGGTGAAATAATCGGATTCGACATCCGGCTCCGGTGGGCCTGGTAGTGGCCTTGATTGCGGATGTCGATCGAGCGTGTTTGTTCTTGAAACCAGACCGTGAGCAGGCGGCGTCGGTCCGGGTGTGATTGACGGAGGCGACGGTAACGAGACATGCGAGTTGGTCGGATACAATGGCGAGGGTGATTGCCGCGCATCATGGCTCATCTGATAGTGCGGAGGAGACGGCAGAGTCAGGTCATCCGCCAATCCCGGCAATGCAGGTGAGATTTGGTAATGGCTGTGCTGCGGCACGGGAATGGTACCCAGACTATGCGCGTGAGGTCGATAGGTATCCGGTGGATAACCTGGACTGCTGGTAGAAGACTGATATGGATACTGTGGCACTGACTGTTGTCTCTGCGGAGGTTGCGGTTGGTAAGTGAGCGGTTGAGCTGATGGTTGAGAATTGTAGTGTACAAATGGTTGTTGCTGCTGGGGTGGTGACGGTTGGTACTGCTGTTGAGGCGAGAATGTGCTACCGGAATAGCTGCCTGGCGCATAGCCATACTGCGGCCCACTGCTGCCCGCCGAAGGTGGCTCTGGGTAGGCAGACGGAGTGTATTGTTGCGGATATGGAGCCGGTGCTGCTGTCACATAGGCAGCTGGGTTGTACTGTGGTATTGATTGCTGGTTTGGCGGCGGCTGCGGCGCAAAGTGTTGCGGGTTATATGACGGTTGTTGGTAAGGCTGTTGGGTCCCATATCCAACGCCTACGCTTGGATTTTGTGGTGAGGCATAGCTGTCTTGGTAGACGTTGTGCCCAGGTTGTTGAACGGGGCCACCTCCTCCTTGAGAAGGATCATACGAGTGCTGACCAGGATATTGCGGTTGCGCCGCATACTGCCCGCTATAGTTCCCATTCGGCCCAGGCGCTGGCTGCTGGTATTGGCCGTACTGGTCATAGTAGCCTTGGTTGGGCGGCGGAGGTTGTTGGTATTGTCCGCCCTGGTAGTATGACATTGTAGCCCTTGTATGTTTTCCGGCTATGTCGGGTCTAACAGCTGTGCTGGCGGGACAGTCCTGCCAGCAGGCTGAGATGGGAGACGGCGCGCAAGCCGCATGGATGTCGCCTGCCCGTTGACAGTATGCTATTGCTTCCCAGGGCGACTCCGAAGGCGCAAAGAGTCATTCATCCTAAACCTATGCTTCTCTTTGCGAACCCTTTCTGGCCAGGCGGCTCCAGTAAGCTGTCTCAGTATGTCGGGCTGCGCTGCCTCTAAATGCCAAGTTTACGCCTCGCCTTGGCGACGGCGGAGATCAGTCACCAAGACGTGCGGAGGTGTCTACGTGCTGTTCAATTCGCAAGATTATGGTGCTGTATTGACCTTACGCAACTCAGCTGGCTCCTACATGCGACCTTGTGTGCTGACTCAATCGACGAACACGCATGCGGGCATTCAAGGGTCCAGGTCCAGGTTGCATGTGGCGTCTCTCACCACGTACCCCGCCAAGAGTGGAGGGAGGAGTGGCTTGGTGCTGCATAGGCCACCTTCAGCGAATCAAGCCACCCCCTACATGCATGCGACAGGTGAGCGACCAAACAACACAACCTTTACTAGAACATTGTCATACCCTGGGATAACGTTTGAGTCGGCCCCTTGCAACCACGGCATTGCAACCACGGAGCCTGTTCGCCCAGTGTCCGAAAGACTGCCGCACAACACCATGGCTTGAACGGGACGACAAGACATTTTCTACCCTGAAGGCGCCCTTTGGTAGGTGACTGATGTGATGGGCGGCACGAACGCGAGGGGCCCACCACCAGAAGTCGAGAGAGCACCACCGGACGAGGATAGTATGTAGGCAACGCTTTGCGCCATCGCTCTCCCTCATCCTGAATGCCGCCAGCATCGAGGCACCGTAGGGAGGTAAACAAACGGCAAGGTAATTCCGTCATTCGCAGCAGCACACAGCAGCTCAGCGACCAGTTGTACGATCACTCGAACAGTCGCCTTGATCAACTGATATGGTGCCCGACTACATGTATGTACACAACGAGGCAGAACGCGGCTTATCCCCGCCTTACCCCACGACCGAGGCAAACAAGACGTCTCTCCACGCTCGAGCTGAGGTTGAACGAGGTAGGGCGATTGCATTGTGGTACGGTAACAGGCTGTTCTTTTTGCACTCCTCCCCGTACAATCTCCATAGCGCACATCTTCGCTCACACCTCATCCTGTTCTCGTTTCGTATCCTTCCACTCTCCTAGCAAAAGCCTCATCCTGGATCTAGGACAAAGCATCAGCAAACTCCAGGTCGGAGTCTATCTACCATCGTCCCCAAGCCTCATATCTCGACGCTGTGCTACGCAAAGATGGTCATCAAGCACGATTCGCCGCAGTCGAACAATATCTACGTCAATCCTGATGTTGATGATATAGAATTAAACCGTGAGACTGCGGAGCGCGATGGCGCGTTCATTCCTGAGACGGATTCGACGGGCTACCGCATACGAGAAGAACCGTATGGCACCAAGCGACCCATTCGCGTCGTTTTGATGGTACGCAAACTGTCGAGCATGATTGACGTGCTGTCTTGAGCAATGCTGATGGCTATACCCAACACTCACAGGGTGCAGGCGCATCGACGCTGAACTTCTTAAAGAAAGCAGAAGAGCAGATGCAGAATCTGAAAATCACCGTCTATGAGAAGAACCATGATGTTGGCGGCACGTGGCTGGAGAATCGCTATCCGGGCTGCGCTTGTGACATCCCTTCTGTCAATTACCAATTCTCCTGGAAGATCAAGCTCTGGACGCACTTCTACTCCTACAGCCCAGAGATCTGGCAGTACCTGAAAGCTATTTCCGACGAGAATGACTTCATCAATAAATACATCAAACTCCGGCACCAGCTCGAACAAGCTGCGTGGGACTCGGAAGCCGGCGTCTGGAAGTTTAAAGTGAAGAGTCTCCAGACTGGCGAAGTGTTTGACGACGAAGCGGAGTTCTTCATCAACGCAGGCGGCGTGCTTAATAATTTCAAGTGGCCTGACATACCCGGTCTGCGCTCTTTCAGAGGGAAGCTGATGCACTCAGCTGCATATGAAGAAGGCTACCCATTGGAAGGAAAGAAGGTTGCCGTGATCGGTGCTGGAAGCTCTGGAGTGCAAATCGTCGCTAAGGTCTCTAAGATCGCTTCGCACATCTACCACTGGATTCGTTCGCCGATCTGGATTACGGCAGGCTTCGCACAGACATGGGCAGGGAAAGACGGAGCGAACTTCAAGTACACCGAGGAGCAGCTCAAATATCTCGAAGATCATCCGGAGAAGTACCTCGAATACCGCAAGCAGATTGAGAACGAGTTGAACCAGCGCTTCAAGTTCATCATCAAGGGAAGTCAGGAGGCGAAGGATGCTCGTGAGTTCAGCTACAAGCAAATGGCAAGGCATCTCAAGGACGATCCAAGGCTCGTCGAAAAGATCATCCCGAAGAATTTCAACCCCGGCTGCCGTCGGCCTACACCAGCTCCTGGCTACCTCGAAGCACTTGTTGCGCCAAATGCCACCATCTTCACCGATGCGATCGGTCACATCACTGAGAAGGGTTTCGTTGACCATGAGGGCAAAGAGCATGAATGCGATGTCATCATCTGCGCTACCGGATTCGACACCACCTGGCGGCCACGGTTCCCTCTGCTCAACGGCGCAGGAGTGGACCTGCGCGACTTCTGGGCCAAGGAAGTGGTATCTTACCTCAGCATCGGCATTCCTACCTACCCAAACCACTTCACCTTCTGTGGGCCATACGGGCCGCTCGGCCACGGTTCCTTCATGCCGCTCATCGAGCGCTGGACGCAATACATGTTCGACGTTATTGTAAAAGCCCAAGTCGAGAACGTCAAATCCTTCACACCCAGGCTAGACCTTTCGAAGCAGTTCCTGCAGCACGCGGATCTGTTCTTGCAACGCACGGCGTGGACGAGCGCTTGTCGAAGTTGGTTTAAGCAAGGTAAAATTGACGGGCAAGCGGCTATCTACCCTGGCAGTAGGCTACACTTCCTACATTTGCTGGAGAGGCCAAGGTATGAGGACTTCGAGATGGAGTATTGGGACGCGAACAGGTACGCTTTCTTAGGCAACGGCTTTGACACGAGGGAGTTTGACGGTCGAGACATCACAATGTACCTCGGGTTGATGGACGGTGAAGACCGGCAGCCAGATTACGATGAGGACTTGATCAATAAGCTTGCTGGTTGGTCTGTTGGTATGTAAGTGATATCCTCCAGGTAGTTGCGGACGTATGCAAGATCTCTAGCGCTCGGACGTAACGCCTCCGCTGTTGGTGGTGTCAAGCAATGCCACTAAAATCGCGCCGACGCCCGACTTGAACCCCGAGAGCACGCATTCCACCGAACTGCGTTTCGGCCGGTTGTCGACATCATACCAGTGACAACGATGGTTTTCTAGTATAAGAAGGTAAGTCATGCTCGTCAAATCAGGCTGTCTCTATCTCTTGCATCCCAATCACAGTCACAATCACCAAAACACCTACATTAAGACGCTTTGAAACACATCACTAGCTATCCATACCAGTTCACAGCCACAAGATCTCCACGAAACCAACAAACATGGCTCCGAAAATGCACTTCAATCCATCTACAGAGATCCCCAGCCTTGAGGGTAAGGTCATCCTGGTAACGGGCGGCACAGCTGGCCTCGGAAGGGAGACAATCCTCTCTTTCGCTGCGCATCAGCCAGCGCACATCTTCTTCACAGGGCGTTCGCAATCTTCCGCAAATTCCCTCATAGAAGCAGTCAGGACGACGCAGCCGCGAACCCCAGTTACCTTCATACCATGCGATCTCGCCTCCCTTGCCGCGGTGCAGAAGGCGGCCAAGGATGTACTCTCCCAGACTGACCGGCTCGACATTGTTATGCTCAACGCTGGAGTCATGGCATTACCTCCCGGTCAGACCAAGGACGGCTACGAGATTCAATTCGGCACCAATCACGTCGGCCACGCTCTGCTCGCGAAGCTTCTCACCCCGACAATGGAGGCAACCGCAAAGCGTACTGGTGACGTCAGACTCATCTGGAATACCTCGACGGCTTACAACATGCACTTCGGAGAGGGAATTCATTTCGACAAGCTCAAGACGGACGGGCGTGCAATCTCACCCGTCGGCCTGGGATGGGTGCTTTATGGACAGTCCAAGCTCGCGAATCTCGTCTACGCGCGTGCCTACGCCAAGCATCATCCCTCGATCACGTCGGTTGCGATTCACCCGGGAGTCTCGCCTACCGGCCTTGTGACATCGTTGAGCTTCGCCCAACGCATGTTCATCTACGTTGTCAATTTTGGATTGATCATTACGCCGGAACAGTGCGCTTGGAATCAGCAGTGGGCTGCTACGGCTCCCAAGGGGACTGGCGAGCGTCAGGTGGAGTCTGGACGGTACTATGAGCCACTTGGTGTCAAGATGACTCCAAGGTTCAAGGCTTCGAACGATGCCCTTGCGGAGAAGCTTTGGGACTGGACGCAGACAGAACTGGAGGGCTATACCGTCTAGCAACGTCGAGGAGTTGAGGTAGCAGGCGATAGAAATGATGCATTCTTGTGTACGATATCATGTTGGTAATACCTACTGTAATGTCTGCGATGGCAACGAGCACAAGAGCACGTCCACAGCCGTCGCCTAACGTGATGTTTCAACGCACGCCCTTCGGTATGACCAGACGCCACCGTTATCCTGAGTGGTAGCGATAGATCACCTTGGGGCTCCTTTCTGGCGCTTATGCGTGACACTTAAAGATGCTCAAACAGCTTGGTGAAGAGTTCGATGTCTCCTTTGTACGAACCGTAGCCTGTTCAAGCAGCTAAGATAAGGTTAAGTACTGCACTGCAACGGGGCCATGGTTTAAGGGGAGCCAATGCTCCACGTCCGTCCTGCCACGAGTGACTGCTTCAATGAAGCCTGCTCCTCCTTCGCTTCTGGGACGGCGTCTGTTATGTACCATTGGACTTTGGCAAACACTGGGTGTCATCAAATTTCGCGCTTCGAGGTATAGTAATGTAGCTGCTGGCAATTGTAGATTGGAGGTCTCGGGTTTGCATCGATTTGTTCAGGTTGCCTCGGTCATGCGAGACGGCAGCAGCACCCCCACAATGACAGCACCTTGTCGATCCCCAAAGCCTCGTGAACAGCAAGCCACGGGTGGCAGCGGTGACCAATCGCAGGCACATTATTACATTGCACATGTCTTGACCAGCCGTGTCCGCCCTTCGATCCATCTGTGCCGTGTCGAAGTCCGAGGTTTGCGCAGAGGTGTGCTACACCTTACGAAGTCGTACATGGCGAGCTGACCTTCTTGGATACATCATCATGTAATATTATAATCATGTCAGGCAAAGAAGACATTGCCTACGCGGCACAAGCTGTAAGCAACCTGAACAAATCTACGTTACTGCTCGGTAGAAGTTCCATTATGCTGAGACTGGTATCGAGGATGCCTTTACCATCTATCATCATATACAAGAACTCCCAGAGCCAACCACGTCAAGCTATGCTGGCGGCCCAGCACTTCCAGCACTTGGTCACGCAGTAGCTGGGGCGTTGGCAAGCGGAGGCGTCAGACTTGTGCTATACCCACTCGAACTTGTCACGACACGCTTGCAGGTACAGCGGCAGCTCCGTGCTCCCTCGGAGGCACCGTCCGCGGCCCAAGATGCGGACGCCGAATATAGATCGCCACTCGATGCTGTACGGAAGATCTATAAGCACGAGGGCGGCTTCTCCGCATTCTATACTGGATGTGCACCCGATCTAGTCAAAGGCGTCGCAGACTCTTTCCTCTTCTTCCTTGCGTACACTTTCCTACGCCAGCGTCAGCTCAAGAAGGACGGTACGAAAGATCTCAGCGTCGTTAAGGAATTAGCGGTCGGCATCGCCGCCGGGTCGTTGGCGAAGCTCTTCACCACTCCTATACAGGTGGGCCCTGACAGCTTCGATTGAGTAAGGCTTCACTGACCGTTTGTGTATCATTAGAATGTCGTGACCCGAAAGCAAACAGCAGCTCTTGTAGCAGCGCGAGAGCCGACGTCGACAGCCAGCCCAGCCGAGAGCGACAAGTTGAGCGTCAGAGCAATTGCTTCTCAGATATATGACGAGAGAGGCATTACAGGCTTCTGGCGGGGCTACTCGGCATCGACTATCCTCACGCTGAACCCAGCAATTACCTTTGCTGTCGACAACCTGCTGAAGCAGCTGCTTCCGCCATCTAAGCGAGACAAGCCGCCACCAGCGCTACGATTCCTGCTCGCAGCCCTATCGAAAGCTGTTGCAACCACTCTGACGTACCCGGTGATACTGGCGAAGTCCAGAGCTCAGGCGGTATCGCACAGCTCGATTGCGGAAGCAGAAGGTACTGAGGAGACTCCCTCGGACGACCGTAAAGGCAGACTCCGAAATCTTACGCACCGAGCGCTCCACCTTTTAAGCGCACAGTATAGACTCCTCTTGGCGGTGCGCACGATATATCGTAACGAGGGCGTAACCGGATTGTACTCTGGCCTCGAAGCTGAAGTGCTCAAAGGCTTCCTAAGCCACGGACTTACGATGACGATCAAGGACAGAGTTCACATCGGCGTTATACAGCTGTACTACATGGTCCTGCAGCTCCGGGGCCAATGGACGCAAAGGGTGCAGGAGGCGAGGAGCCTTGCAACTAACGCCAAAGCGCGGGCGGAGAAGGCCGGGGAGGTTGTAATGGAGAAGGGCGAAGATGTTCAGCGCAACATTCACCAGCTCGCCGCCGGCGGCAGGGAGCAGGCGGCAATGGTCGGCGAAGCGGTGATGGAAAAGACTGCGGGATCCCAGCAAGATGTGCAGAGTCTTGCCGCTGACGCGAAAGTGCAGGCGGAGAAGGCCGGCGGGTCTCTAATGGAGAGGAGTGTGGCACTGGGAAAAGATGTCACAAGTCTTGCCGGTAACGCGAAAGTTCTGGCCGAGCAGGCTGGCAGTGCGGTGATTGAAAGGACTGCAGGAACTCGACAGGATATTCAGAATCTTGCCGCTGATGCGAAGGTGCAGGCCGTGAAAGCAAGTCAGGCAGTTCTGGAAAGGACTGGAGGACTGGGAGGGGACGTCCAGAGTCTCGCCGCTAGCGCAAAGGCTGGAGCGGAGCAGGCTGGGAATGCCGTGATGGAGAGGACGGAAGGATCTCGAGGCGACATCTCCAATTTGGCCACTGATGCGAAGGTGCAAGTGGGGAATGCAAGTCAGGCCGTGATGGAAGGCGCCAAGGAGCTGGTCGGGAACGACAATGGTAATGAGTAGGAATCTTTCCATCGGACATTGGTCTTTGTTTCAGTAGTGTATCTATACAACCTTTTGCGTCCATCCAAAATCCATCATGACTTTCTTGGAGTTGCGCGCTCCGCGAATAGTGTTGATGCGGTATCCGGTATGTATTATTCGACGCTCGAGGTCAAGCCAGGCCTTGGCTTTGCGGCTCTCGACTTCATAGAAATCCTCGCGTAAAGCGTCGACAGGTGCGGGAGGGTCAAGCGCTGCGAGCATTGCAGTGCGAGTGCCCTGGCTGGTACTGACCATTTGTAGTCCATCGAACGCTCTAACATCGACCTTGCTGAGCCCGATGTATGAGGGCAACCAGCCCTGGAAGCAGCGGATATACGTCAAGTTACTCCAAGTGGACGAAAAGATGGTGAGCACAGGAGGCGTCCTGGACCATGCATCGGAGTCGGCGCTGTTGCTGCCACTAACGTCCAGTAGAGGATCAGCACGACATAGTACAGCCAGTGCCGGTACCCATTCAGCACAGCCTTCGAGGTCCAGCCACTGAACCCTCAATAGGCTTGCACTTAGTTGGCGCAGAATGGCTGCAGGTTCGTTGAGGTCTTTGTCAATCATTGAGTAGTGATGCGAGCCGCCAGCCTGGATATCTGGAGCATGTTTAGTCGAGATAGTCGCTGCTGTCAGATTTGGTGTCAATGTTGGTCGGGGCCAGTAAGCAAGTGAGAGATGGGTGATCTGTGGAGCATGCTTTGCTAATGACAGCAAATCCCGCCATGAAGCCGTTGGCGGTGGATGAGAGAGGCAGAGATGTGTCAAGCCAGCAACACGTGGCAAGCTGATAGTTGCTCCAATGGCAGGTGCTGAGCCATCTTCAGCCTCCCATGACTCGGCAACCTCGTTACTTTGATCTGTCATTGCAGCGATCCGGTCATGTTCCAACAGTCTCGCGATCCGCTTGATTGTTAGCGGACCGTGTCCAGCCAGACCCCCGAGATCGAGTCGTTCGATCATCGCATCTCCGTGAGTCAGCGCATCAAGCGCATTAACATCGATAGGAGGACCGAAGTACGCTAGGTATGATAGTAATCGAAGACGTAGTTGTAATGACAGTTCAGCAAGCGCGACATAATCCTCGCTATCGAACATCTCCCATTGCTCAGCAAGCCGTTGCAAGGCAAGATGCAGCAACCTTGGTGGTCGTTCATCGATTGCGGGACCATTGAGGGATAGTAGTCGATCGAATCGCATGAACTGCTTTGGCCGCTGCCGCTCGACGTCCTTCACTGGATTCAATTTGCCTTTCGCTCCTTGACCTCTTCGAACGGACAAGGTAGGCTCCCAAGGACTTCTGGTGGCCAACCAGCTTTTTGGCGCCGCAGGTCCAGGAGTCCTCATCCTTTCGCGTAGTCGAGCACCGATCTTCGGCTTGGGTGGCGCACTTTCCGGTACGCCGAGAATGCTTCTCAGTTCTGGTGGTACAGATGGCTGATTGACAGAAGCAGCAAGCTCTCGCTTCTTTTGTAGACCTTCTGGTGTCTCGACATTGCGCAGCGCACTCAATCGTTCGTTGACGGTTGCAGTTGACTCACTGCCCGCTCCGCCATCTTGGCGTGAACCGGCGGCGGAACCGGAGGATGACTGGCCTTCGACTTGCTTGAAGTTGAAGACTCGCTTCTTGGGCATGTAGCCCCGGATACTGTGACTCAGACCGCTACTGTATGAGCCAATGTTGCCGCTAAATGTCAGTGCGCTTTTCAGGTAGGGTTGTTGAGCGAGAAAGAATCATGGAACAAGAGTTGGTGGCGTTCCAACATCGCGTTACAGAAACTGGCCCGAGCGTTGGCACGAGTCATTGGCACTCAATAGCTGACATCTGCTATCGCTTCGAACGTTCCTTGGCTTCCTTACACGCTCGAAGTATGTAGTACCCATTTTGTAGTCGTCGAGTACGGCTCGGACTTTGCAACATGGCTGGTATAGTACTGCGCCCACCTTCTTTCTCGCCTGCGAAAGCGCCTGCTGAATACAGCTCGCCCAACATTGCGTGGCTGACGGAGACATGGCACGTTACTCACTCCACGCTTCCAATGTGGAAGGATAAACGCAATATCCGAATCAAGTATACGCCGCTGCCAGCTTCTGTGTCTTCGATCTCGGTAGAGTACACGGACCGCATGGACGACGAGGTGTCCTACCAGAGTCTCAAGGATGAGAAGATCCAGACAGTGCACGGAGTCGACAAGCTCGCGAGTTCTGGAGACGCTAGGGATGCGTGGGATTGGCACGGTAGGGGCTGGCTGATGCTTGCAGGCAAGCTGGCACATAGCCATTGGGAGATCCTGGGCTGGGGTGACGAAACTGGGACGGGTAATAAGTGGGTTGTCACAATGTTTGCGAAGACTCTTTTCACGCCTGCTGGCATCGATGTGTACTCGAAAGGCGTAGATGGGCTGCGGAAAGAGACCGTTCGGGCGATCAAGGATGCACTAGCGAACATTGAGGACCAGAACGTGCAGAAGATGGCGGTTGAGCTGTTCGACACCACGCTCGACTCGGCTCGTCGATAGATCAAGCTTTCGTTTGTGGTTATCGTCGGCAGTGAGACGAATAATGTGGCTCCATAATTTCTCGATCTTCAGGCTGGCTGGTTCGTGTGTTATGTGTCTATTACCGTAGCCGTACCGTCCATCTACGCAAGCATCGCCATTGTCCCACCTGCGGTGCGTCGACGACATCTAACCCTTGCCGTACCACGTCTTGTGCCCGAGAACCATGCGGCACATCATGTACATGGACGCTGTGAGGCGGTGTTAGCCATGATCAGCAATACTCCTGGCCAGGCACATGAGTGTGTACTGACCTGAGGTCGTTGAGATCAACAGGGCGTAGTATGGGTAAAGCATCAAGCTAGCACGTGGGCCCTATGAGGACATTGTCAGCCATACGCGCATATATAGCCGTTCCGCCTGTCTCCGGGCTTGTCAAAGACCATGCGACCACGTCGTCACGAGCCTTACGCACCTTCTCCCATTGCCTCAGACCGTCGTGGGTTTGGTGTATCCGCTGCCACTTTGGGACATGGTTGGGCCGGTAAAGACCTGGGAAGTTGATGCTGGAATGGCGTCAGTGACGGTATAGTTGCGATGGGTTGGATAGCAACATGCTGCGAAGAACATACCGCCTAGCGAGTGTCGCACGCATCGTGACTAAAGTGCTGTACTGTCAAGTAGACCGCCGAATGTCTTCGTACTGATTGATGCGGTAGCAGGAGCTGTCAATGTCGAGCTCCTGCGACCCGCGGGAGTTTCCGGCGCGCAAACGCTTGGCAAGGCTGAACTCCTCAATGAGCACACGATGTCGGCGTGACAACTTCTCTTCTGGACAGCGCCTGGTGTTGTGCCGCCGGCTGAAGGGCCATTTCGAACCATGGCGCCTGACAGGGCTTGCCATATACCTTGCATTGTTCCTGTGCGATGGGTGCGCGCTTCAATCACTGGTTGAGCAAACCGTCAACCCGCAGGTTGCTACGACATGTTCTTCCGCCAGAGAGGCGCGGAAGCTTCACACCATGCTGTCGGACTGAACGAACTCATCGGCGATGGCAGGGATATCACTCTGCGGCTCTCGCCCACCCGGGAGAGGTGAATGGCTTGCAAGGACTTGAGGACGCTGGGCCCAAGGACAGTGATGAACGCTTGGATGCCAAGGCAGCGAAGGCAGTACAGATGCTTGATACAAGCACACAGGAGTATGAGAAGACTTTGTCGAGCAAGGATGAGTCTTTGCCAAAGATACACAAGAAGCGTCTTCAGCGATTTGCCACGCCAGCAGAGGTCGCGAAAGCGATGCCACTCTCACGGGCTGCCATGTCAGAGCTGGTAGGCGAGGTGCATGGTATCAAACCGAAGCATATTAGCGACTCCTTTGTAGCGAAGCTATTCGCCACCGCGGCATTCCCTCTTGACCTGGTCGTGCGTGGACTTGGCTTCCTCGGCGTTCAGGACGTCGGTCCGCTTGCTCTGCGTGAAATGGCATTACGAGCTGGTTCAACCGATGCCTTCATTGGTACTCTTGCAACGCTGAAGCAGATGAAGATCAAAGTCAGCAATGCTTTGTATTGCCGCCTTCTCCGGAAACTTGCGGCAGATGGCCAACCGGAAATGTTTGATGCGTTACTCGCCAATGATCAGCATCCGGACTCTTTCGAAGACGATATGGTCCAGGATCGTCTGCTGAAAGCTTTTTTGCATTTGGAGCAATGGCCGATGGTCCACGTTACTATGATGGGGCGCGCGCTTGCCGGTCACGAATCTGAACATCGCGCATGGAATGAACTCCTCCAGCATTACTTGGAGACGGGCTCCTGGCACAATGTTGAGCAGACATGGCAGAGTATGCAGGCACGCAAAGTGCACATCACTCATCGTACTGTTGGGTTTATGTGGAGGTATGCTCTTCCCGAGCGCCGAAAACGGCACCGTCCAGCGCTTTCCCAATGGCACAGTACTGATCGACCGCACTTCGACGCGCTCACGTTCGTCACTAATGCCTACATGTATGCGTCGAGGCACGGCGACAGTGTGGCACCGAAAGTATGGGTGGAGATGTTGAAGCGGTATGGGATGGTCTACCGCCTCTGGCCTGAGCTCGAGAAGCTTGCGTTATGGCTCGGCGAGCGATACGGGACTGCGGATTCATGGGAAGCGATCAAGAAACGGCAGCAAGGGTCCGTATTACCGAGCGATCCTTTCAGCACTATCTTCCACTGGCAGATGCAGCAGGCATTGTTTGTTTGGGGTTTCAACAACGCAGCCATGATGCACAGACTGCGAGTGCGGCCTTTGAAGCTTGGAGGAAGCGATGGCATGACACCTTGGGAGGATTGGGCGCAAGGACTCAAGCTACTGAAGCGGCTGTCTACAACTTACGGTGTAGGCTTGCGGACTTCCTTCATCCGCAAGGCATTCCTCCTGCGCATGAAGATCATCTTCTCAAGGCGGCATACCGACGTGCCAGTCACCCGCCTTATTCGAAGGCGGAACCGCCTAAGCTTCGAACAATATGTTCGGCAAGGGTGTGAAATTTTCGGTCCTCGTCTGACTGAGCCCGGCCCTCAACCGATGCGAGACGGCGTGCCTGTGTACTACGTACATGGGAGCCGAAGCCCGCACCGGATGAACAAACCAGACCATCTACTGAGGTCTCAACGCGCTCTCAAGCAATTCAAAGTTGACCGAACCGCATTGGATACAAAGCCGCACACGCCACCTGGCACTAGCGAGGTGCATACTTATTCTTGACCCCTCCGCTTCGCTGGTCCACCGTGATCACCCTCGCCCTCAACCGCATCGATGGCTTTCTGCTCATTCAGCGAGTTCGCATCCGCCACCCAGTCCGCAAGGTACTCCGGCACCTGCTTCACCTTGTTCGCCTCTGCCGCTATCGGCTCGGCGAAGGTGAGATACGTCGGCACGACACCGATCCATGTCTTACCGACGACATCCGGATTCTGCAAGTCGGCTTTATCATCGCTCGGCCCACCAGCACGAGTCTTTGCCGACGCCGTCTCGATCCGGACTTTCAATACTCCCGTCGAAGTGATCTCCGCTGGCGTTGCTGGAGCCCGGCTGTTCTCCCACCGCTCCGGGATGCTGTTATTGGTAATCAGCTTCAGCGCGTACGTGATCTCATCAGCGTCCGTTATGACCGAGCCATGACCGAAGCAAACCGCCGAGCGGTAGTTACAGCTGTTGTGGAATGGCGCGAGCGCAAGCACGTAGCCGTCCAAGATGCTGCCGCAGACGCAGAGGGGTATTTCGTCGTTGGCTGTCAGCCGGAAGAGGCGAGCGACGGATGAGCCGTGGAGGTAGATGTGCGGTTCTTCGTCGTGATCGTACTGTCCGATTGCGCCGAGCATGGGTAAAATGGTCGGGAAATGCGGGCCATCTTGCTTGGAAGGTGCATTGAAGGAGACGTGCAGGATGGGTGTTTCGTTGATTATGCCGTGGACGAGTTCTGCGTTGTACTCCGCTGTGATGCTACTGTCAATGGTTGTGATCTATGTACAGACAAAGATGATGTACACACTTCGCTTCGCAAGGCGATTGCCTTTACTGCGTTCGTCCGGCTTGTATGTTGCTTCAGGCGACATTGCGGCAATGACTCAACTTGACCAGTGCCAGCTTGGTTCACGATAAAGCGCAGGAAGTAGGGAGGTATACGCAGGCAACGGTATGTATGACTCTGTAAAGTTTGCTTCTTCGAGTGTCGGAGAGTCATAAACAATGACTCGATGCAACAAAAACATTGAGTCCACGCCCCATCTCATCCTGAGCTGCATGATGCGGTCTAAGCTTGCGGCTATAACTGCCGCTTTCGGCGCTGTGCTAAACGCAGGTGGAGCTCTGCCTACATGCATCGCTGGAGTAACATTCTTCAAGACTGCACTAGTCCAGACGGCTGGCAAAGGATCGTCCATGTCTGATAAACGCTGTTTTCGCCAACAATATGCTGCTTTCCGCTGCTGATGGTTTAGAACAGGGTTGCATCTTAACCCTCCATATGCTGCGCACGCGTCCTGTGCTCGATGTCGCTCCACTGATCCTTCCGAACGCGACGCGTTGCTGAGACGCTGCGTTGTTGCTCGAATCAGAGGAGGGATGGCTCTATGAAGTCCGCTAGCGTGACGCAGCGACAGCCAGGCTCGTCGCAGAGCGTGGTCTTCGCCGCTCGCGGCTTGTCTGTGAGCCTTCAAAGTAACCTTCTGCCAATGGCGGTGCAGCGGCAGATGGCGCTCGAGATGCGGTCATCAAGCGACTCTGTGGCCAGCCCTGTAGATGGATCTGAGCAAGCGCGAGGCTGGCCAAGTCCGTCGAACGGATCGGTACTTGCAGCTGTTCTTTCTGTGCAAAGAGCCGCCATACTCTCCCTCTAGTCAACGTCGTCCGCGGATGTATCAACACCCTTATGCCCTCCGTGATGCTGCGCCTGCCCGCCAGCAACTCCATCCGCCTTCGCAGCATCACCTGTCGCTCCCGCACCACCGATATTGGCATATGCGCCCTGCGGCTGCTGCGTGCCCTTGTGCCACATCGCGCTATGAGCGGACAACACACCCGCCAGGTTCTGATTGATGCGCCACGGCGCCACACCCCTCGAGTCGGCGCGCTTTTTCTCCTCTTCATCCTCCTGCACCGCTTGCCGTAGCTGGTCGCCCCATAGCAAATGGAAGTTAATGTTGAAGTATACGTCGCCAGTCTTCCGGTTCTTGAAGACGTACCGCAAGCAGTGGCTTTTCTGGTCTACGTATTTGATCACTTTCAGACTGAAGCCGGGCAGTTTTAGCGCGAAGTTGGGGAAGTCGAGGTAGGGGTTGTAGAAGTCGCCTTCGTATAAGCGGCCCTTTTCGAAGACGAAAGACTCGCGATGTTGCGCGGATAGGAAGTGTTTGCGTCGCTTTTCGTTCGTATCGGGTAGTCCATGTTTCCGTCGCACGTCGCTTCCCGATCCAGAAGCGCCTTCCTTCAATGGGTCCTTGTCCGCCGGTGCAGGGAAGTCGGTATCCTCGTCATAATGATCGCCAATGCGCATCGCGAACCAGCAGCTGAGGCTTGGCCCATACAACCATGGTTCGTCTGCGTATGCATCGCAACTTAAGCCGGGATCAACGAACTCCTTCACGATCCTGAAAGCCGTATTGAAGCCCGGCGGCAGCTTATTGCGAATGGGATGATCGAAGTCGTTTCCCCATACCGTATCCAAGCTCGACAGGTCCTGTTTCGGTACGAAGGAGAATCCTATCGAGTATAGGTCCTTGTCATGCGTAGGATCGTTGAAGTACGGCGATGTTTGAGGCGAGGAGGAAGGTAGGCCGTGAAAGCCTCGTATGCGGACGTTGATCTTCGCGCGCACGTACTCATTCTCCACGTAGACTGGCACATCCGTGTTGACTCGCACGACTTCGTGTAATGCTTGGTCGTATGAAGGCCCGGCGGTGATCATGAGCTTGTACTTCTCCGTCTCTACGTCGTCGGCCGTTGGGTTATTACTTCCACTGAAGCCGCCGCTTGCGACCCGTTGAAGCTTCGCCTTGACTGCTGAAGCCATGTTTGCAAAGTCAACATCAAGCGCATGCTACAAACACGAAGAAATAAAGCGCATTCGCTACAGTCACGTAATGTTTGGCTATTCACAAGTGAATGTCAACCAGCGCGAAAATCGACGTCCCTCATGCGCAAGCTGCAAGCTGACGTCTCCAGTCTGTCAGCCGGACGATTCACATGCGGCCGATCGTCCACCTCGGCCGAGTGAAGTGAATGATGGGCAAAATACTGAACGTCGCTTGCATGTCTGCCATATGCGAATAAGAACAACAAAAAATGTGAGTTGAACCTTGCCCGATTTGAACGGACGACCATCTGGAGACTCATTCCAACAGTTTTGGCTGTCTGGAATCAGATACGCTACCACTGCGCCAAAGGTCCACACAATAAAGTCGTGGATCATAAATAATGCAATATCTAGGGTTTTCCATCCAGTGCCGAGCATGTACCGGATTCAGCGGCTATATCAGGCCACGAACACATCCATAAGTAAGACAGGAAAGCATGGCAGCATGAAGACAGAATATGCAAGGCTACTCATAGATGAAATATCAGTATCATACCTCCCTTCGTGCCTTCGCGGATTACAATATAGGCATTGTTGCAAAGCTACCCTGCAAAACGATAAATACCTCCGAGGGTATCATTTGTGATCAACCATTGCCTTCCCTTTCCCAGTATCGACACCATGTACACCTCACTCCAACATCTGAAGCAACGCAGTCAGCTAATACCCTCCCGTTGGCGGAGTCGCGCTGATACATGCCAGCATCAACTTCTCGTAATCGCTACCAAACCGTCAGTACATATCCAACCAAATAACACAACAAGATTTCTTTTGCTTACCCTCTCGTCTCACTGCGGATCCGCTCCGCCAAATCGCGCTTGTAGAAATGCTTGTAAGCAGCTTTACACTGCTGCAAGCGATCCCGATTCCAATGTATCATGACCTGCATCACCACCGCGTCAGCACATACCCTTCACTTAGCGATCAGGAAAGGACTGTCAAATCTCACAATCCGTCGAATCAACGCCGAATCATTCGTCCCCATCCCTCTCATCGCATCCTCCAACAAATCCGCATCATGCTTCGCCGGATCCTCCGCCGCTCTCACCATAAACAGCAAAGCATCCTCCATATGACCCGAAAAGTCCTTGCGTATGACCTCCTCCAGCGAGCGATGGTACTTCTGCCGGTATTGCTGCGCGATGGCGCGGAGTTGGCCGTTGGAGCGACTGGAGATGATGGAGCATACGGTTAGTTGGTCGGCACCCATGCGTGCTTCGGTCGCTTTGTAGAGCTCCGCCACGTCCGCTTCGATTTGTTGTGGGACGATGGGCGCGGATTCTTCCTGGCGGCGCGCGGACATGACCATGTCGAAGAGTCGCTCCGTTTTCGCGCTTAGGTCGCCTTTGACGTCTGATTCTAGTGTGCGACGGTAAGTGTGTTGGTAGTGGGTTTTGATCGCGTTGATGTCGGCGTTGCTGCGGGAAAGCAGGACGTCGTTGAGCGCCGTTTCCTTGGTTCCTAGGCCTTTGATCGCTTCGTACAAAACATGGCAGTCTTGATCGAGCGGTCCACGGACGATAGCTTCAAGACCCTCGCGGAAGTTACCGGACGTCTCCGAGTGGATGTCTTTCATCAGGTCTCGGTGGAGCTGGATGGCAAACGCAGACTTTACACTGTTGATTTCAAGCGGGCCCAACTGGCCCAGTATGCGGATCAGCGCTTTCTCGTCGGTCCCGAAGCCTTTCATTGCAGCCCGTAGTCCGTGGGCCGCTTGAGACATGTCCATTTGCGACTGCTGGCCGGGCACATAGCCGGGTGATGGCGGAGCAGGCGCGGCAGGAGCGCCATACCCGAATTGCTGCTGGGGTGCACCGTAACCTTGGCTTTGAGGAGGTGGAGGGGCGTTGTACTGGTTCGGAGGCGGTTGTTGGTTCCATTGGCCGGGTGGAGGTTGGTTCCATTGGTTCGGCGGAGGCTGACCGTAAGAGCCATGGTTTGGTGGTGGTCCTTGAGGCGGAAAAGGCGGGCCTTGAGGTGGCCCCCCTCCGTAGAAACCTTGGTTCATCGGCGGCGCTTGACCTGGCTGTCCGTACGATTGCTGTGGTGGCGGATAGCCTTGCTGTGGCGGGTAAGGCGAATCTGCAATGCATCAGTATCGGAGCAGTGGTATAAATTCGGTTGGCTCACGAGGCTGTTGATATGGTGGCCCTGGTGGTCCTTGACCGTAGTATGAGTTGTTCATTTTGATCTCCCAAGATCGAAACAGTATAAGGGTATGGAATGCCAAGTCTTTACGATAGCAAAGAGACGCCAAGATAAACGACGTATGTGAAAGTTGTCTACCTTGCTGCGCCTTCACCAGCTTTACGTCTTACGTCTCTGCGGGGTGCTTCCACAAACACAGATTGCTCAGCCAAGCACGAAGGAAAGGGCCCGCGGGGGGCTGAGCACGAGAGTTGCTGTAAGCTTGAGCTGTCTGAGTGCCGTCTGCCGAGTGCTCACGTGCTCTTCACGTATGCGTCTTACAATGGTCATGCTCGGAAAGGTTGAGCCTGCCGACGGCGGCCTGAATGTGCGACATGTTATCTCACCGGAGCGACTGTGTCACGTTGCACAAGTGGCATCAAGCTGCTCGATTGCCGCAGGAGGTGATCTTGCACAAGCTGATGGACACTGCTCAACCCTCTGTAGATAGAGTTCCATGAGAATGATAACCACTCGGCCACCTGCTTCAGGTCGTGCAGTGGCGACACAGCACATCAATGGTCAGGGGACCGCCCCAGTGCATTGGTCTGGTTGACAGGCGAATGGCATGGCATCTCGACACAACATGAAAGGGATGAAGGAGCACAACATTTTCAGCAAACAATCCCATTCTCTGACCGGTGCGACTTCAACGTACAGCACTTCATCCCATATCGGACCGGCTGCCGCCTTCATTCTGCACTGCTCCCTCTCCTCATGGTTCGCAAGTCAATGTTCGCGAAGGGCGGCAGAAGGATTTCGCCAAGCGCTGCGCCATCCCTTTGCAAGACGGAACGTCACTGGCCGAGTGCTCGGCAGGCACACTTCCTTCACCAATCACGCTCTCCCACGCTGCGTGGCCAATCGTGGGTATGATATCAACGGTCATAGAACCTCGTTCTTGTGAGTTCTCGGTCTATGTAACGCGTGCCGACATCCTGCGGGTTCACTCGGCATTAGATCGTCATTCCTGGGGGCGCACGGCAGTGCCCACAGTATATGACTACAATGTGGAGTGGTAGTAACGCCGTAAAGATTGTGGGTATTGTTATCACATCTCTACTGAAGACTGCAGTCAATCCCACCCATATCATCAGAACCATTGATTAATAGCGTAAGCGTGCAGCAACTTCAGTTCACCTGCATGGTCAAGATTGAAGTACCTACAAGCGAAGCAGTCAATCGAGTCCGTCGCCCTGTTGCAGTCTCACCGGAGTGAGCCAAGCCATCAACGGTGATACGGCACGAGCACCTCATACAACCGCTCCTCAGCCTTACTGCCGGCGAACCCTTACATATATCAGAAGGGCCCTCAGCGGGCGAAACTCGACATATTCCTCTCAAGATCCCCTCATCGACATCCTATCGTTCCAGTTCTCACTACAGTCAAGTCAATATGACGACGCCTTACGACCCAAACAACTACCCAACAGCGCCGCCACCCATGACTCGCGCGAGAGGTTCATCATCAGCGGCCACCCGCTACACGCCAGACGCCTACGCCTACCAACATCCGCACGAGCAACAACAGCAGCTCGCCGCTCAAGACCCGTACCCAACCGCAGGCTACCCTTTCCCATATGGCAAACCCGCACCACCACCACCCCAACCGCCCATGCCTCAAAGACCCTCCTACGGCTACGGACCCAGTGCGCCTCCACCCTCCAGTGCAGACCAAGCACAAACTCTTCATCCCGACGCCGCACTAGCTAACCCTCCCTACCCCGTCACAACAGCAGACCCCTACTACGCCCCTCCACCCGCACGTCCGATCGAAGACCGCGAGCGACGCGCAAGCTACAGCTCCCAGCGATCCCGCGACTCGCGGCACTCGCATCGCTCCCACCACAGCCACCGCTCTCACCGGACTGAGTCGGAGGAGCGGGAGCGGGGGCGCAGACACCGACGCCGTGAGAGGGAGCACAGGGAGGCGAAGGCGGATTACTATTCGGGAAAGGAGAAGGACTTGAAGCATGATAAGGGCGCACCTACGTGGGGGGATACGGTGTTTGGGCTCTTTGATGCAGTTAAGGATGCGTTTGGGCCCAGGGGAAAGTATTGAAGTTGGGAAGATTAGGGATGGGCTGCTATACGAGTATAACGAATGTGTTAGAGCATGACGCTCCAATCTTGACGAGAGCATGACGATAACGAGATATACCCGATGGCATTCGTGTGTACTTAACATAATCTTATTCCTGTTTCAACAGAATGACACAAACATCTTAGCATGGCATGATTGAAATCTTCTTCTTTCGTATGATCGTATCTTCGATGTATGTGGCTGATAGCTCGTTCAACAATGGTGAGAGACTTAGGAGGTGCAGAGCGCTTGCAAATCGTTCTAATACTGCGCGTGACAGCGATCTTGTGGCTTGCGCCATGTTTCGCAATTCCAGTCGCATGTCGACACTCCTAGTGTACTGTGCTTGCAACATAGCATCCGTATATACAATCCGTAGCACATGTACATACAGCCCGAAGTGACGGTCAATGCCGCTCGAACGCTCGACGCCGCACGTGCACCCTACAACCGCTCAATGCGCCACGATAAAAAACGTGTTGATGACCAAACAAACAACCATCACCACCAACCCATAAATCGCCAATGCCAGACTCAACTTCCGCAGCACATCTCGCTGCCACTGTCGGCCGCGAATCCTGCTCGTCCATGGTTTTCGGCCACGAGCAACCGGCGAACCCGCGTCTTCGTCTTCACCAGAGCCCTCGTAATCCTCGTCGTCTTCGTCCTTCAGCAGGCGCTGATGGTGTGGACTATCCGGCGACGAAATCTTGTAGTAGAAGAGACCTGGTAAGATGAACGAGATGCTCGTCGATCCCGTACTACCCACGTACGCTAGCACTTTATCCAAGCTGGACACGGTCATGGCGACGATGTAGGAGAGGATGATGATAGCCGTGGTGATGACCGCAAACCGCAGCTCAGACATGTCCTCCGGTTTTGGCCGCGAAGGGACCTTTTGGCTGCCTCCGCCATTGCCAGATGATAGCAAACTACTCCGCGTCGGACTTCCAGACGCTGGTGTGAATTCCTCGTTGTTCTTGCTCCGGCCTTGCGGACGCCATTTGCTGACTGCGTCCACGGAGGCGCGGCAAGGGTGGACTTGCAGTGGGTAGCTGAACATGACAAGGACGACGATTGCGGCGCGACCGATGGTGGAGAAGACGGAGGGTGTGTATTGGGCGACGATGTTGCCCATGATGTTGGTGCCAAAGGAGAGGTAGCCGGTGATGGCCACGAGGATGTAGATGGAGGCTGCGCTGCCGATGGAGGCGCCGACGACGGCGGTGGTGCGGAGGGGTGTGTTATTCGCGATTTCGTTTAGGATGGAGAACATCTGCGATTTCGTTAGATTCTATGAATGTGTGGTTGGCTGACTTCGCGGCGCGCGTACGTTCTGATGGCATGTATATGCAAATACGATGATCGGAAAGCTTGCGAGGGTTGGGATGGCCCCTTGCCATTGAACCCAGTTGATATCGCCACGCTCCGGAAGGGTGTCGCCACTCGCGTAGTGATATACGACGAGAACGACCAGGTATGCAATCGAGACCAGAGCAATGACCGATGTGTACTTCAAGCTGTCAAGCTTGCGCAGGAACGACAGGGGTATCACAATCAACCTGATTCACTCGTCAGCTTCACCTCTCGGCTTTGGTAAAAGATAAAAGTCCTCACATGAACGCCGTAACCCAGAACCGCCTATCAAGCAAATACAGCGCATCGCCCACGTCCCCAAACCCTCTGACAACGCCTGGCATGAGATCGCCAATGATGATCAAATAGCTCACTCCCACGCCAAAACACTTGATCGCAATCGCCGCGTCAAACACCACCGCCGCATTGGGATACGTGATCTGACTCAGCGCAAAGAAACTGCTTGCCCCTCGGTCAAGGTATCGTGCGCATCTCGTTTGCAGGTACAACCCAAAGCCCGCGGTCAGACCCGCCCATAGTATGACAATGGTGCCTAATGTGATGCCCATATTGCTCAGCGCATGTGGCATGGCGAGTACGCCGGCGCCGACGATGGTATTGACGAGGTTGATGACGGAGGAGGTCCATGATGCTGAACCTGCCATGCCGACCTGCTTTGGGTGTCGTCTTCTGCTGCCGTGGGAGGCTTGGCTCGTAGGGCGCGAGCCATGTTCGCTGGGGGTGCCGTGAATGGCGGCGTAGGATGGCATTGCTTATGACTCTTTTCCTTTCCAATGGCAGAACAAAATCGGGGCGTTGTGGGCTATCGGAGCAGCATTGGGGAGTCGCGCACAACCGAACGGGTAGGTCGCGTGCTCAAGGTCGTTGCTGCGAGGGGCCGTCAGTCTATAAAAAGTCGTGATGAGTTGAGAGATAACAAGGCTCGTGCTTTGCACGCGGGAAGTGGTCATCGGCGGCGGGTTGGCGGCGGGCGGAGCGCCCCCTGCATCGGCTGGCGGACTTAGGCTTCACCACCTGCCGGCAATGAAGTTACAACATGGGCAGCATGCGACGATGACATCGGCAGCATCGAAGGCGACGGCAACGGACACCATTGCGCTGCTTGAAGAGCGGCTACACCGCATCGACTACGCACTGAATGGAGATGCTGCGACCTATGATACACCAGTTGCAACCATAGGCAACGGCTCAGCATTAGCCCGGTTGCGTACACTCGAGCGGACAGTGTCGCAACTTGTCGCACGCTCACCAGCAGCTGCAGACGCCATATCACTACACAAGCAGCACCCATCCATCTTCAACACTACCGCGGGCGCAGCTTCGCCTCTACCAACCACCCAGCTTGCGGCGCTCGTGCTTGCTCGAGCCTCGCTCTACATCTCCACCGCCGCACACCTGACACAGCTGCAGGACACGCATATCCCCGATCCAGCACCGTTGACGAAGTTGGTCAATCTACTATCGCGGCTAGAGAGAGCACGGACGAGGCAGCACCAGCAAGCGCGCGAACTCGCCGAGCTTAGACAGCGTAGCGCACTGGCGGTGGAGAAGTGGTACGAGGTCGGTGTGCTGGAGATGGGTGAGAACTGGGCTGACTGGGAGGAGCGGGTGCGGGAGGTGGAAATATTGGTGCGGAGGAGAGAGGCGGCGAAGAGGAGGGAGGAAGGAGCGGTCTGACTGACTGGCAATAAATCTCAAGTGGATGCAGCTTTATCGAGTTCCTGCTAACCGGAGCTGGACCGTCTGGCGCAAGTCATGGGTTCGATCCGTCATTGACTTCATGCTGCGACTTTCGTTGCGGCAACAGTACGCCTTCGAAGAACGTGCTGATGTCCTTACCGTCTTCGAGACTGCCAATATAGGACACGTGATGATCGGGCCGAAGAACGACGACGCAACCCGTATGCATATCGACGCCATACCCATGGTAAGCCTGGCTATCTTTGCACCCTGGATCCATAGAGCCGGCATCATCTGCGAATACCTTCCAATAGTCCCACCCCAGCGTCTCATCCCAGGGGTGGTAGACATCATGCAGCCGGAGTATGTCGAAAGCTGTCCGGGCCCCGGAGTGGATCAGAAGCACCTCAATAGCCGAATGTGTCCGTTCGGCTCCGCCTGTATATCGCCGGCAGACCTTGCCCAGCAACTCGCCAAGAGCCTGTGTTTTCTCCCATTGTTGTGGAGTAGTCAGGTCGCCGGCAAACACTACAACTCGCCACCTGCCGTTACTAGGAAGGACGTCCGCCAAGTGGATGACGTTCGCCTCAGCCTGACACACAACCTTCAACGACGGCATTCTCTGGCCTATTGTGACGCCTTTCGCGCGCTCTGGATCGCTAGTCACGCTAGCATGCGAGCAGGCTGCGCCGTTAGTGCTCGACTTAGCTTTCGTAATCGACAGAGATTGCGATACCAGCTGACCCGGCCCATACTTAACGGCGACGCCGCTCAGGAACCTCCCGAAGCCTTCTCTGTACTTCTGATACTCCCGGCTTTGCTCGCTCGGTCCGTGTGAGTAGAACTCCGCCATCTCCCGGTCAAGCTCAATTAACTGCAGAGCGATACTTCTCCGCTCAGCTTCGTAAGTGGTCAGGATCTCGCGCTTCGCAGACCCTTCCAAAACCGAGCCCAGCTTCCAGCCGAGATTGAAGGAATCTTGCATGCTCACGTTCATGCCTTGGCCCATCATCGGCGAGTGCGTATGCACCGCGTCACCGCATAGGAAGATGCGATCCCGGTAGCTAAAGCGTGAAGCGACTCGCTGTCCGATAGTGTAGACGGACTGCCAATCGCATATCCGGAAGTCAAGACTGTACGGCCGCATTACCGACCGCGCCTGGTCAAGGATGGTTTGGGGAGTGGCGGACTGAGCGCTAGACCTTTCACCTGCTTTCGTCTCGCCCAATTGCACGTACAGACGAACAAGGCGATGTTCGCGTGGCACGGTCATGATGCTACCGCAGTTGGAGTGGATGATGCATGAGAGGCGAATGTCAGCTGTGAGACAGTGATCAGCTTCAACGATAGGTGAGGTTGCGATGCGAAAGGTATGTAAGCGTACGCACGGAAGTCCGTCAAAGGCACGATGTCCATGACACCAAAGTGCTTGTTGGTATGCTCGCCTTCCATTCTAATGCCAAGCTGCTTGCGCACCCAGCTGTGTGCGCCGTCGCAGCCGACGACGTATTTGGCTCGGACGGTCTCGGCGGCGCATCCGTTGGCGGTGTTGCGGATGGTCAGAGTGATAGGGTGTGCCTCGTCGCTGTCACATAGCCCATCATCAACAACGAGAGATTCAGGCCTCGTTGATCGTTCAAGCCTGACCCTTCCCGTCCGATCTAAATAGTCCAGTAGCACCTGTTCCGTTAGTCCCTGATTGAGGCTGACCTGCGGAAAGCGACTCAGATCGTGCGGTTGTGCGGCAAGTCGTGCTGTCCTCTTAACATAATTCGGATTATGTGGGTCTGGGTTCCAGGAAGCGAGCTCGTTGACACGGTAAGCATCTTTCAGCACTCCATCTACCACATCAAATGAGTCCAGGATCTCTAGCGTTCTCGAGTGTAGACCGTCGGCGTGCCCGCTTCCAGTTCGTTCGGCTTGATTATCGATGAGACGTGCTGATACATTGAATTGGCTCGCCCATGCCGCCAGCATAAGACCGGCCGGTCCTGCGCCGACGATGAGGAGGTCAGTAAAGGACTCCATCACCCGCGCCTACCTACAGACGCTCAGAGGGTTCGCACGGATATGTGGCGTAGGGCGTGGCAACATGGGTAGGGAAACAGATCTTCATGCACGAAACGCAAAGTTACCCCATGCACGATCCTAGCGCCCCTTGCAGGATCGTCAGGTACCGCGCGCATGTTGCCGTCATGGCTCGGTCATACAGAGTAGAGTTTTGTCTTAGGCGATCACACGATCATGGTTGCGTTCTGGGGAGTGTATAATCAGGCAACCCGCCCCAGACCTGGATTCAGTGTACATCAATGGTGAAGCGGGAGTAGGATTGAACGAGAATTACAGCGCCGGACCGAAAGCGTCCAGAGACGGCGAGGAGAATCTAACCTATCGTTCATATGATGCCCCGCCGGAGACGGTACTCTCGAACGCATTAAGATCCTGATGTCGACCCAGGCTATGCACAGGGTTTGAAAGTCTGCAGTAGGAGACTCGAGAGTTGCATCTTTTAGTGAAGGTTGCGTTGCTATTTGATGAAAGACTGTTGATATCCTAAAGCGTCGTCAGAATGCCCAGGCGTGTGTCTTGGCTCAAGCGCCACACCTTGATGCCGCCCGGTGCCCCTTGCAGATAAATGCTGTGGCACGGCAACTCTCGTCTGCAACTACGATAAGGACCTTGATAATAAACCACTGCCAATTGTATACAGCAACAGTCTCCCCGAATCGCGGTTCGTCGCGAATCGTGATAATCGGCTCCGGCGCGAACAAAGCGTACGACTTATTCGCGTAAGTGTGAGGTGCATTAACGCTTTCGTCACGACTGCGTCTCTGTGACTATAAGCGGAAAGTAGAAGATCTTGCGAGATGCAACAGTAAGTAGATCCCACAACCATTTTTCTCTCAGCCTACGCATCTTTCTTGCATGCTGCAACAATGACTCAAACTACTACTGCCGACTCTGCTGCTCCCGACCGTAAGCACCTCATAAACGGGTTCATCAGCGGCTCCCTCAATGGCAGCCTGAACGGACATATCAAACCTCAGTCCAATGGTTCATCTCAGCATGATGCTGCGGACGAGCCCGAGATTATTGATATCAGGCAGAACGGACTGTCTCTGTCGCTCACCGATGACATTCACAAGGGTCTCCACGCACCTTCTGGAGCGCGAAGTCTCCCTGGACTACTTCTGTGGAACGATGAGGGTCTGAGATTGTTCGAGGAAGTCACGTACGAGTCCGAGTACTATCTTACCAACGCTGAGATCGCCCTGCTCGAGGGTCACGCGCAAGAGATAGCCAAAGACATTGAAGCGGGCAGTATACTCCTCGAGTTGGGCAGTGGCAACCTTAGGAAAGTGAACATCTTGCTCAAAGCGCTAGATGCGCAGCAAAAGGACGTCGATTACTATGCGCTGGATTTGGACCGTTCCGAGCTGGAGCGCACCTTACGGCAGGTGCAACCCGGGACCTTCCGGCATGTACGGTGTCGTGGCCTCTTAGGCACGTATGACGAAGGGCAGACGTGGCTATCACAGCCAGATAATGCATCTCGGCCGAAATGTGTGATGTCGCTAGGCTCGACCATTGGTAGCATGACCAGGGCAGAATGCGCCGACTTTTTGCGAGCATGGGCAGCAACTCTATTGGCGGACGCAGGCGATCGGTCAAAAGGAAGTAAGAACCGCGTCATTATGGGCATTGACGCCTGCAAAGATGCGGACAAAGTCTGGCACGCGTACAATGACAAGGCGGGCTGCAACAAGCGTTTCATACTGAATGCGCTTACTTACGCGAACACGCAGCTAGGCAGAGAAGCTTTCAACCTGCAGGACTGGACATCGCAGGGCGTGTGGGAAGCTGAGGAGGGCAGGCATAGTCAATATGTCGTGCCACTGACAGACGTGCAATTCGACGACGTGCGACTTGCGAAGGGCGAGAAGGTCTATGTGGTGTCGAGCTATAAGTACGATAAGGCGGAGGGACGTCGTCTGTTCGATCAAGCGGGCCTCGAGGAGTTAAAGAGCTTTATGAATCAGGATAGTTCTTACGGTAAGTGTGCACTGGTTACGGCGTAAGGAATGTTAGAACGAGTAAGCTGATCTGTGGTTTACTGCTAGGCCTCCACGTTCTTCGTCCGCGTGTGCTGTGTAACTGAGTCGTACCGTCTCTCCACATTTGGAGAGGTCTCATGCATGAGCGGAAGCAGGGAGCATAGAATCGAGAGACGGTCAAGGCGCAGCTGAAAAAGCGAAAAGTCCAGCATTTGCAGGTGTACGGACCTTGCAAGCATTACTACTTGTCAAACATTCTAGACACATCATGCCCACCGAAGCCGATGCTGATGCAACCTCTGCATCATGTGTGCTACGACGCCAGTATATCTTTCATTGACGGCGTCAACTCTGCTCCCACCGCTTCTCTATTGCTCACCAAGAGCGTCTTAAAGATCTAATAGGGGGTCTGTCATTTCGCGCACGCAGTGCAAAAGGTCGCTAATGCGCCTTCACCGACTCATCTAGTTTTATTTCGAGCTTCGTGAGGTCTTCGAGGGTACAGCAGCGTCACCCTTTCCGGTGAAGAAGGCTTTGACAGCTGCTGACAGTTTGCTCGTTCGATCGCTTCGTTTCGATGCCTCTCCTTGGGCCGATGCTTCGCTTTCTTTGGAAGTGTCGTCTTGCTTTTCATGGGAAGGCGTCTTCTCCATCAATCGCGGAGGTGCGTATGGTTCATTGGCTTTTGCGTAGGTCGGAAGCTGGTCATTAGGGCGTGGTGTTGCCTCGAGCACACGGGCTCGATCCTCGACAAGCTGCTCCCAGCCTATCACGGGATGTTGATGTTGTGGCATCGTGCAGGAACCTGCCGATGCCCACGGGTTGTGTGTGGTTTGCAGTAAGAGTGAGAATGCTTATCCTGGAGTCAAGAATGGTACCTACGCTGTTCCGCCAGCAGGTAAGACGGAAGCTGTGACACACTGTCTTCGCGTCGCCACCTACTGTCTATATAATGACCTACTGGTAAACGCAAGCTTGCCATGGTGTCGACTACACGTCGTGCGATTGCTAAGGTGAGGAAGCATGGTGCCCAGACCCAGACGACGGTGAACGAGACACCGAGTCCGTAGGCTGGCGGATGGAGCTGGGCAAATTATCAGCAACTCATGCGTGCTCCGAGTCCAGACACCATCCGAGCCCGCCTTATGGCGCTTTCGAGACACCGCCGTCCTACGCCGGAGTTGCTTGCCGAGTTATGCGCATCCAGACTGCTGAAGATCATCCCGTGTGAAATAATGCGTACGGGTCATACAGTGTTTGTAGTCAGTCTCCGATGGAGGCGTTACGGGCTTTCTGCTTGTTCTTCAGCATGTCGCACGCCATCTGCACGAAATCGAGGTCCATGTGCAGTAATTGAGTCCGGGGAGCTATATATAGTCTGAGATCGTGATGTCAAGTTGTGCCTCGTGGTGGTGCCTTGTGGCGAACCACTCCTGCCGAGACGGTTCGGCGAGGCCGACTGTACGTTGCTTCAACAACGACTATCGCAATGTCGTCGGAGTTGGTGGAACCCACATGAGTGGGCAACATCCCCAACGCCGCACGGCTTCTCCCGGAGGCTGGGCCGACCTCGGAGTTGAAGATGAACGCCGGGTATTGGAAGTGGTCAAAGGCAGGGTTGCTGGCGACGAATTTCGTAACATTGCTGCCTTCACATCTATCGCTTGCGCTTGATCATTGTTGCCTACTTTCCCGCTCGACCATCTCCGCACAGTATCTGGCGCTATCAGACCCAAGCCGGTAGTACATCCATGGCTGCATGTTGATCAGGCATCCAGGCAACTGTGTTCATAGGGCTACCATTGGCACGATGAGAGGTTTTCGAAACGGGTCATTTCTATGCTAGCAGACTGTCTCAATACCAGAACGATCTAGGACTTCTTTCATCCTAACGTCTCAGACCTGCTCTGGACTTGTTGCGGTGACTCATTGGCGACTAAGCCGTGGAAGCAGGATCAACCGCACATCAAGCCGCCTAAATTGTCCCGTGTCGAACCAGGATGGCAGAAGTATTGGTCTCGACCGAGACGGAGACTGTCGAATCAGTGACACCATCGTACCGTCGGCGAGTCCGTCTGCAGGGCGCAAAATGAAAGATGCGAAGCTAACGAAGACCAGCAATGGCAAGTTGTTTAGCTGCGAGCCAGTATGTCTGCTGCCTTGAGGGTTGTCAATCAAATACTGTTCCTAACTTCGCGCAGTGTAGAAGAGGCAAGCTTCGTTGCGACCACAACAGCCCCGTCTGTGGTCGATGTGCTCGGCGTAACAAGCCCGAGCAGTGCATCTACCATCCTGCGCCGTAAGCTCTCCGCGTAAATCTGACCTTGTTAGAGTTACTCATCAATGACAGCTTGACAAAGCCACGCGGACCCGAGTCTACGGGCGTCCAGAAGAGCAAGCCACCATCGCGATCAGCGACGACCGTGCCATATCAACCCTCTTATCCAGCGACAACGTACGACCGGCCGCTCTCTGGACTTGTAAGCCCTCCTGGCAGCACCGGCGTCGGCGCACAACAACACGATCATTCTGCGTTCCGGCCAGTCAACAGACCATCCACGGGACGTAACGCCATCATTCAGCCTCCACCGCCGGTCATGGCTCCTACACCGACCTCTGGAGAGGATCGACGTACATCCTCATCCGCATCGTACGCAAGCCCTGAGGGGTCCATGTCATTCCGAGAAGGCAAGATTGGTTTCCTGGGTCCAACCAGCTACTCCTCGATCTTCACTGAAAACCCAGCTAGTCTGGGCCCAGGTGAGAACGAAGCGGTAGAAGACACGCCTAACTTGCCGCCCGTCTCTGCTGAGAGCATTAAGTCTGGAGCAGAGATATTAGCTCTGCTCCGAGATATTCCACTCTATGAGAAGTTCACACAGCGATGGTTCGATCTTTGTGAGGGTATTCTCGTTATGCAACCCGCCTACCGCATATGGATCGATGAGTTATGGTCCGAATTCGGCCGCTTACTGGTGCAAGGCAACCCGGAGCAACTGCGTAGCCTTTCGGAGCTGGTATGGCGAAACACACGGAAGCCGATGAAGATACACGGAAACATGACAGCTCGAGAGTGGGCCAAAGCTGCCTCCGGCCGGAACCTGAGATGGGAGATCGTTGGCATTATATTAACATTGGCTGGCCTGATTGCAACCAACCTCAGCAACTGGGACAGCATCTTCGACAACATTCGGGACCGCTACATTGATAGAGCCAGCTTTGCGGAGCGCATGCGAAAGGCTTCTGAGTTCTGTCTGTGCTTCTGCTACGAGTCCGAAGTGTTGAATGATCTGTATGTATGCTTCATGTACGAAGATCTCATATTGGTGGAATGCTTGAAAGGAGATGCGCATTATGCCGCATGGCAACGGACGGGAGAAGTCTGCGATGTCATTATCGCGCTAGGCCTGCATCAAGGGAACAGAGTCAGCGCGGAGACGCCATTCTTCCTCGCGGAGCTGCGGAAGAAGATCTTTGTCTCAGCGTACGGTCGTGACAAAGTGACTGCGACGTTTCTCGGTAGGCCACCAAGACTATCGCATCGATATTGTAAGATGCAAGAGCCGCTTGACCTCTCAGATGAAGACTTATTCCTGGAGGGAGCCGAACTGGAGGCGGCTCTCTCGCAACTCGACGCGAACGGATGGAATACGGGCGGAACGCTCTGTCGCACGACCTGGCTCCGTGTCTGGTTCCAACATTGCCGCATACGAGAAGACATCCTCGAGATAGCCCTAGGCTCGGAGGAAGAAGACATCACGTACAGAAGCAACCGAATCCGCGACGAATTGGACCGCCTACACGCCTCGTACCCGGCCTTCATGCGAATATCACCTGAGCAGGTACTGGAAGGTAGCGATGTGCAGGTAGGCAAAGGCTGGGGTTTCGCCAAATCCGAGCTAGGCGCGCGCCAGGTCAACGGCATCTTTATGATTTGCATTCACACTGGGATCACATATACCGAGTTCTTGCTTCAGCGCGCGATGATCAACCGACGAAAGATGGATTACAAGGATCTGATACCCATTTCCAAGCGGATTCTAAAGCTTGTGTTGTTGGCACAATCACGAAGAGACCTGTTCCGCGACTTCCAGGGCGACCTGATATATTTGGTAAGTATCAGTCCGATAGCCACCGCATGACAAGTGGCTGACATACAGTGCAGTGTACAACCCACGGCCTTCCCACTGCAGGTGTCCTAGCCATCGAACTCCTCAAGCAGGAACAATCACGCCAATACACCCCGGACATCCTACCTCGGTCTGAAACGATACAGGATCTCAGCGTCTTCATCTCGGCATTGGGAGCCGTAGAGCCGGGTGAGGGTAACTATTCAATCTGCAACCAAGGCCGGCGGGCATTAAAGCGGGTGCTGGATCAGATCTTAAGTCCACAGCCGCTTCCCACAACGTCCGCTGAACAGCCGGCGTTTGACGAGATGAGCTTATACTTTCCGACTGCTAACGATGCGGATTTCCTGCAGTGGCTGGAGAACGTGGAGTGGGATAAGGGCAATTTCATGGACGCTCCGCCAGGCTCTCAAGGGGTTGCGCCCTGAGTACTCGCTGTAGCTGGTCTGGCTGAGGTGCAATTTGTTGTTTACAGCATTAGGCGCAGGTTGTTGTTACAGCATTAGGCGCAGGCGGTAATGATCGTGATGCGAAATGTGCAGCGACGGCATGATGGCTTTGGGTAGTAACCTACTCGTATTATCCTTGCTCTCACTGTCAACCTAGGCGTGGGCAGTGCACGCTGCGACTGTACAGTATGCTGGAAACCAGTGCTTAAGCGACCAACTCACCAGCAGACACGATGCAGAGCACTTGCTTGTGCCCACCGTACATAACGCTACGCTTGCAGAACGCTCCCGCAGCAAGTCTCAACGCAGCCAACACTCCACGCCCGACACCCGCAGTCATCTTACCCACCATACCTCTCGCCTCCACCCACATCTTCAGCTTCCCTACCCCTCTTCTTCTTCCCCGCTCTCTCCGCTCCATCCACCAACCCATTTCTCTCCACCGTCGGGGAGCTAGCCCCCGAATTATCAGTACTGCTCCACCAGCCCTCCGGTCTCGACCGCCTCCCCGTCTCATCCGTCATCACGCTCGCAAGCGGCGAGCCTGGCGTGGCAGTCGCAGACCCCATCTCTGAGTCCGAAAATACACCGGAGCTTCTCATCTCGTGCTGCTCGTGCCCGTGCCTATGCCTTAATTCCTGCCTTCGCTCCTGCCGCGCCACTCGTGCCTGTTCCCTCGACTCAGGCCCTGGCAGTCGTCGACGGTGATGGCTTGCGGGGGTGGCCATGTCATCGGACCTGGGAGAAGACGGCGGCTCAGTACTTTGTCTACTGCCGGTGCGGGAATGCCCGGTACCCAACCCCGCCGCGGCGTCGCGGCCAGTTACCGCGCCCGCTCGAGCACCGCCCTCGAATCGAAGACCGAAGGCCGAGATTGCGCCTGAAGCGGAGGCGGACGCTATGGCGGGCCCGGCGGCGGAGGCGGAGAAGTTGAAGAGGGAGGGTGGTGGAGAGGGTCGGGATTGACGTACCGAACTTTCTGCAGCTACGCCGTTGGTCCTGCGACCCAGCAATTCTGTACGGTTGGGAGCAGAGGGTGTCAGGGCGAAGCGGTCGGGGTCCGCATCATCATCGTCGTCCTCCCGTTCGTCTTCCATGTCTGACTCGTTCAGGAACTCTCCCGCAGTACTGCCTCGCTCGTTTTGTGTTGTGAAGTCGAAGGCGTCGGCATTACCCGGCATCTCCCCATTCGGTAGCTCTGTTCGCTCGTCCTCACGGTAACCAGGCGTCAGATTACCATTCGGCGACTGACCAGGTGCAGCCAGCGCCGCGCGATCAAGAATGCTCTTCCGTACACCCTTCCACCCCACTGCTGCCGCTTTCGTCTTCTCTGGTATGGCATGCTTTTCCAGCGCATCCAGGACATGCGGGAAGACTAGCTTGTCAACATCGCTAGCCCACAGGAAGTCAAGATGTTCGTACTTCGCAATGCCTTTAGCCACCGTATGGCGCGGTAGCTCCTTGAGCATGAGTTTGATGTCTACCAGGCTGTCCGCACCACCATACAGCAGCACGATAGGCGTCTTAATGTTCCTCGTTGGGAACTTTGCCACTTTGTAGTACTTGCTCGAGTTTCCAACAGCAAGCGGTGTCGTGACCTCGTCATCGTACATCTGAAATGTGCCATTCCGGATGATCTGGAACCAATGCACCACAGTCTTCGTACTGGTAAAGGAGTACAAATGCGGGTATGCAGCGAGCTTCTGGTGCGGAGTAATGTTGGCCGTGCGCCAGCCAAATAGAAAGAGCAAACACTTGTCTATGAACCAGCAGAAGATGGCGGGGTAGAGTAGGGCTTGCCACATAGTGGCGCTGCCGAGAATGGCGCGCCGGCCGAAGGCGAGGAAGATGATGGAAGGGTTCGACTTCATTAGGCTCGCCACTATGCCTGATGCGAGACCGGGAGGAGCCATAGCCGGTGCAAGTGCAACGAAGACGTCGACTTTGCTATTGAGGGTGGGGTGGATGGAGAGGGTGGCGAAGGCTTGGGCAGTACCTTGGCTGAAGCCGATGTAGCTCAGACTTGGCTGGTGGGTGGTGCTGAGGATGTAATTGATGCTGTCCGGAATGTCATGGAATGCGAACTGATCGATGCTGAAATCCCAGAAGGGCACGTCGGTCGGTGCATGGTGGAGCGATTTCTTGCTGTACTTGTTGCCACGGTTGTTGCCCAGCCAGACGTCGTAGCCTTGATCGACGAGCAGGAAAGGAAGACAGCGTTCACGCTCGGTCAGACAGACCCAGACCTCGCTGTTCATGAGCAGGCCATGGTGCAGGTAAACGACTTTCTTCTGCACACCGCTGGGTCCGGAGTTGATCTCGCGCCCTTCTTCGCCTTGCCGCCAGCCTAGCCTGTGCAGACCGAGCAGGTAGCCGTCGCCCGTCTGCACGATGTGCTCTTCCGCGTAATAGCCGAACAACTCGCACAGTTCGGTGAAGTCTTGCGCTTGTGCAATGGGGGAGGAGACGGCCTTCTTCCGATTGCGGGCGCGGCGGGAGTAAGGCGAGGACAGGCCGTTGAAGGCATTACGGCTCACGCGGTAGCAGAAGCGAATGATGGGAGTGGGTAGTAAGAGAGTGATCGAGCGGACGAAGGACTCAAGGAAGACAGCGAGGAAAGAGAAGAGGAGCGCCAGATACTCGGTGAAGTGCAGGCGGCCTAAGAACGGTACGCTGGCCATGTTGAGCTACTGTGAGGCCAATTCGTTAGTGTGCTGAGTCCATCGTAGAACCCAGAGCGAGTGTAACAGAGCGAGTGTAACAGATCGAGACGAGGACAGGATGCATCAATGCCGCAGGGCTCCTCTTTCGTGCATTCCGCTTCCGTCATTGTACACGTGAAGGCGGGCCCGTGCTCGACCCTTTCGCCGCAAAGCTTCGCGTGAAGCACAAGTTGATGGCATCCGGGTCGGCGCCAATATAATATATCACCCATTCTTCATAACAACCATCTCGGAATCCAATTCACGATCTAGAGCATGCAGCCGGTTGTCTACCATTAAGCTCCCATCACCACTCATATTCACCCGGTTGATCCACACATTCCGGCGCAACCATGCCATCATCCTGCAAAGACATCCGTATACCTTCCCTCCCATCCTACCTTCCATGACATTCTCTGCTAACCACTCTCAGGCGCCGCTCTGGCCGTCTGCCTCCAAAACTCCGACTGCGTCCTCATTCACCGCAACACCCCGGCCGATTGCCTCCGCCAGCCCCTCTCCGACACCTTGCCCACCACCTGCCTCCAACTCAAGCGCGGCTACGGCGAGTGCAAGCGCGGCATGATCGACATGCGAAAACGCTTCCGCGGGAACAAACCTATTGCCGTTTCCACCGAGCTTGAGGCTGGAGGAGGACAGCCAGATGGTATGTTGTATGCGGGCAGGAGTAGCTATCAAGACCCGAAGAGTGGGGCCAAGTGGAAGCCCGGTGAGGATGGAGGGGACGAGTATGAGGTGTATACACGCAATGATGGGATTGAGGATGTGAGGAAGAAATAGAGGGGTTGCACTGTTTCCCGACTGTGGCGCTGGATGTTAAGCTACCGACTCCCGTTCAGCAGCTCAGCACGCGACAATCTGATTGAGATACTGGTCTCGAACTTCCAGCAAGGAACACGCCAACGTGGCCTACCCATTACACACGGGTCGGAATCTCATTGCGGATAAGCCGACACCGCGACACTACTCCCCTCTCGTCGTTTCTTCAGCTTCACCGGATACGGCTGCTGACCCACAACATTATCCGGCGACCAGTACCGTGCCACGATGTACGTCACGCCTGCCTTTGACGTGGCCTTGCCCATGCCGACATGCGTCGCGCTAGACCAGACGCACTGAGCTGTTCATCCCCTTCACTCAGCTATTCAAGCACCCCACTTCACTCCACGGTATAACATTCTGGACTTATCAAAGTGGCTATGATTGCGAAGATTGCCATTACCAAGCTTCTCATCATGGTACACCTTATCTTCCGCCAACCGCTTGTGGGCCGCAAGAAGACTGGTCACATCCTTGGTACTCTCGAACCAGTTCTTGCTGTACTAACCATTGCAACGAAGAGAGTGAGAGCATTGCAGACACCCCATCTCGGCAAACTTCTCGGCATAGCGATGGGCACCTTCGGCAAGGTCATTATACCAAATGAGTGGTTGACAATCAAACCGCTGCGAGCATTGTTAGGAGCTCCGAGGGCTTGGGCCGCCTCAGCGAGCCGCGCGAGGGTGGCCTCATCTGAACTGGTTCGTATAGGGCCGACGAAGGGTTAAACTGGTCGGCCTGGCGCCGGGCGTTGCTCGGCCATGGTATATGGGTCGCTTAGGATGGTGCGCACTCTGCCTCTGGCCTTGCTGAACCTTGCGCTCATGGTGCGCTATACACGAATGTGTATCCTACATATTGGAACAAAAGGAAACGGAGCGTTAAGAGTACACAACCACGCATCTGCGCAGGCCATAGCGAACAATTATCTATCCTTTGACCACATGTGCCGTCGGTCAATAAGTGATCATGACTAATACCGCACTTACCAACGTTTACTGACTGTCGCTGCAGCGAGCAATCGAACAGTAACGGCAGGCGACGAGCCTCCACTGCAGATAGAAGTGTCGGCATATCTGAGGATACCAGGATTGGATCCTCCGAGAAGCCGTCTTCCACATGCGCCCGACGCACCCGAATCTCTCAACATGTATCACAGAAGTGTGACAGTGAAGGTGAAATGCAGATATTTAGTGCTGTCTCTATCAACGTTCGAACACATGCGGATCTATCCTATCGGCCTTCGCCGCTAAGCTCTTACCTCAGCTTAGTTCACTTAGAGTCTAATCAGGGTCCGGCCAATGGCGCCAAGGTCTGAACAGCTCGCGTATTCAGCTGCTCGAATAATTTGTGCGACACCACGTCTCGGCTCGATCTCGCGCTCTTTGGACACAGTTTGGAACGGGGCCGATCTGTTGTCATCGCAATGCTTTCGACCTGAAAGGCGCAGTCATTCGTTGCTTTTTGGGTGAAGTTGGTCGCAGAACGGTGGAAGAGCTGACGTGGGCGGTGAGCGAGTACTCCGGTTCAAGGAGTAGGAGGGCTGGATAAAGAGTCTGGTTCTTGGCGGCCGACGGCACTGAAGGCTTCACTGGGCTCGGCGGCATCCAGGGGTGGACGGCCATAAGAGCAAAAGGCAGGCATCAGGACGCTCGTTTAAAGCCCCATGGACCGACCTACCTTCGACTACGGTCTTCGGCCACCGCAGATGCGTGAGATATATACGCCGCCTCCGCAGAAGGCACCAACACTGGACGATGTCTCGGTCTGTGCCAGCAACACGAGCGATCTCAGTGGCAGCCCACTACCTAGACGGAAAGGCAAAGACAGGCATGAAAGCCTCGGGACGATGCTACGGCGCGGTATAGTCGAGCACCAACTCGGCCTAAGCGTCAATCTCGTGCTCTTGGTGGCTTTGATGTACACCCTCTTTCCCGCTCTACGGCAAAGGATGAGCGCCTTCTTCTTACTCAGCTACCCCATTACCAACCCTTCCACCGGATCTACCGTCTACGGCCAAGGCACGCAAGACCTCTGTCTTGTAGCAACCTTCATCGTCCTTTTCACCGGCCTCCGCGCGTTCGCACTCGAGTATATACTATCACCGTTAGCCAGCCGCATCCTCGGGATTTCCCGCCCCAAGTTCCGCGTGCGCTTCGCCGAGCAGAGTTACATGCTGCTCTACTACGCTCTCTACTGGACGTGGGGTCTCATGCTCTTCATCCGCAATACGCCCTCTTCCACTCGCTCAATCAACGACCTACTCATCTCGCTTTGGCATCCATTTCCGCAACTCTACGTCGGTCGTGGAATGAAGATCTATTACCTGTCGCAACTGGCCTTCTGGATCCAGCAGGTCATGGTGATCCACATCGAGGCTCGTCGGAAAGACCACTTCCAGATGCTTACGCATCACGTCATCACCATCGCCCTTCTCTCCTTCTCTTACCCATACCGGCAATGGCGCGTGGGCAATGCCGTGCTAGTCTGCATGGATATCGTAGACTGCGTGTTTCCCTTCGCCAAAGTGCTACGGTATCTCGGGCTGCAGGTGGCGTGTGATGCCGCCTTTGCCGCGTTCGTCATCCTCTGGATCGCAGGGCGACATGTGTGCTACAATGCTATCTGTTGGAGTATCTGGGCGCATGTCGCTACAGCCGAAGTGGATGGGGAAAGGGTCATGCCATACGGTGTGTATAGTACACATTCCGGCAAGCGACTAAGCGAGGACGGGGGGAAGGACGTGTTGGTGAACCTCCTTCAGCCCCTGCTACATCCGCATGCGAGAACGTTCAGTTTCAATGCGAGTATTCGGTGGCTGTTCCTGGGGTTGCTCTTGGCGCTGCAGTGCATCACCATCGGGTGGTTTATCATGATCTGCCGCGTCGTCGTACGCGTGCTTCGCGGAGAGGGAGCGGACGACAGTCGGTCTGATGGCGAAGACGAAGATCAAGCGGCGGATGAGGAGGAGGCGTCGGCGGCGGCCAACGACGTGCCAGCGCAGCCCTCGGATCACCTCGCCCTGCCTTTGACGAAGCCGAAGCCGCGCTTCATCGAGATTGAGTCCACGGGCGAGGACGTTGTCCGGCCATCATACGCGAAACGGAGAGTCGCGTCTGCCTCTGGTGTCAAGCGGAAAGGCAAAGGCTTCAGCTCCGGTCTGAACCTCGGCGAGCACAAGGAGATCCTGAATCGGATCGGGTGTCTAAGCGAGGAGCAGCTGGCGCGGGAGAGGGAGAAGAGGGAGGGAGGCAGCTCACGGCCGGGCAGTGCCGCCGGGAAACGCTGACGCGTCGCTATTGAGCATAGCATAGCATAGCATAGCCTCTGACGTGTAACGGAATGTATCTTTTTAGCGTGCTGTTGGTGGTTTGCTGGGCGTAGCCTGCCGACTACCGCCTCCCTCCCCGCCTTTCCGCGCCAAACTTGCGAAGTATTCCGCCAGTTGATCGATTGGCACATCGCTGCCACCGCTGCCACTTCTAGCAGGCGTCGCACTTGCCTCCTTGTCCTCCCTTCTCGGCGGCCGCGGTGTTACATTGCGTGATGCAGCAGGCGAACTGAAGCCCGAGGGCGGAGGCGGCCTCTTTAATCTCTCTATCACCGCCTCGGCGGAGACGGTGTTATAGCTCACACCACCTACATTGAACGATACGTCTCCGACCAGTTCGTTGAGAGCGCCGGTCTGTTCGCCGGTGGGGAGTCCGATCATGCGGCTCGTCGAATGTAGCGCGCCGGCAGCGGTGGAAGTCGAGGCTGTCGCGCGCTTGGCATCTTCCGCTTCCAGTGCTTGGAGGTGTGCGCGCATTTCGGTCAGAAACTGTTGGTCGGGTTTCGTGGTGACCTCGATCCGCGGTGGCTTGGGCGCTTTATGCGCGTTGGGATCCAGGATTGCTGCTTCGTAAGCAGCAATGGCGGAGAGCGATTGCTTGGATGGTGACAAGGGCCGTGCTGCCAGCTCTGGATCCTCTTCGCCTGCGTCTGAGGTGGCGTAGACTTCTTGCTCTGACTCCGCCTGTGGCACTGCTGAAACGTGCTCTTCCGCGCCGCCATTGGTGTGGTGTTCGTCCTCTGGCTCCGGCTGTGCCGCTGGCTGTGGCTTCGAGTGGTCGACTCGCTGCTGTTGGGCGTGTTGCAGATCTTGATCCCAGGCCTCGAGCACAGACTCAGGCGAGAAGTTCTCGGACAGAAGGCGAATCTTGCCTGCACTGTCCCAGCCGCTCGGTACTACGATGGCCATTCGATCCACCACGTTGTGTTTAAGTGCCAGATCCAGTCGCTTGGCGGGAGCAATACCTTTTGGCGGAGCAGGTGATAGCGGGCCAAGGTCCAGATTCAGGCTCGTGAAGAGTACTTTCTGAATTTCGGAAAGCGCTGATCCAGGCGGCTGGGGAGGCATTAGACTACTCGTGTATACCAAGGCAGCCGAGAGTGGTAGCATACAAGTGCGTAGACACTGTGCAACATAGTCGAAGGTGTCTTCCTTGTAGCCTTCCCTTTCCAAACCTTCCTGCGCTTCTACGTACTGGACGATGACCGTGAAAGCTAGTGCGTGCTCTTTGAGCACTTCCAGTGGCCTGTCCAGCGGCGAGTTCGGGGGTAATAGAGCTGCTGCGAGTAGCTGCAGCCATCTGCGTAGAAGTCCGAGGAAACGCCAGGGTTCCTTCCATGACAGCAGAATGCTAACCGCCGGTCTTCTTCCACGTTCATGATATGTCTCATTACCTCCCGCAAAACCAGCATCGTCGTCCGGCTCAGCTTCGCTCTTCTTCTGCTTTGGCTTCAGTAATCGCCTCAGCGTCGGCTCGTACGCCATGTCCGGCTCCGGCAAGGTGTGCACTTCCAAATGCGCCGCCTCCTCCGCCTCGCCGCCCAGCATACCTGTGTTCTGATGGGGCGGTGAGTACAGAGTCACATGTCCATAGCCATACGCGAAGCGATTGCTCAGCGTGAGCTGACCTTTTGCTTTCTGCGGTCTCGTGTCTCGGTTTCTTGACGGCGGTGCAGGCGGCGGTGGTCGAGCGAGACTTTGTATGAAGGTTCTCTGGTCATCAGGTGAGCCGCCACATAGGATGAGCTCGCGATGTTGAACTGCTTGCGTTCGGTTGCGAGCTTGCGCTTCGCGTGTCTGGCGGAGGAGGCTGGACCATGTATCTGTTTGGCGCTCTTTCTTGCGCTTTAAGGGTGGATCATTGGTTGAACGGTGGGATGGTGTAAGAGCGTGGGTACCACTCGGTCGCACGATGGTCGACATGCTGTAGGGAGAGGGAAAGCCTTAGGGTGAGAAAGATGGGTAAGAATGCTTCTCGACTCTGGGCAGCAATGCACACTGGCGCCAGATAGACGCGTTCCCACGTGCTACGGACCGCCCCGCGCCTTAAGAAATATCCGCAATCTAGATTGCATCTGCGCTACCTACATGTATGCACAACCACGACCACTACTGCTTGAGAAGCGTCGTTCCCCAGGTCCTATGATCTAGAACATCCACTTCTTTGTGTGCACTCTGGGGATTATGGACTGCTGTGTTGTACCACAGGTATCGGATTCGCGACGTCAGCAGCGTCGTGAACGTAGCCGAGATCTGAGCACAACACACTAGCCAAGGATACCACTTCTACACCTTGTCAGTCATCCTTGCTTCTGCACTCACTCAGCCAGCGCAACGCCATCTCAGCTCTTTACATCAAATGCTTTCTCGAGTGCACAACTAGTTGCTGCGCACAAATCCACCGGTACCCCTCCACCATCTTCAGCCAGCCACCAGTCTTGGCGCTCGGTAGCAGCTGAGCTTGGCCAAATCCGTACTACATTCAGCCCTGACCTCTCGCCTATATGCTCACGCGTGGCGTGAGCTTCTGGTGGCCTGGCCAAACAGAATGTGCAGGGCACGGTCGTAGCTTGTCCCTGTCAAGCTTCTACCGTTGTCGCAAAGTGCGCCAATGCGTGACAGCCACAATCAGCTGGCGGTGGGTGCTCACGAGGCGGAGCCTTTCTGTAGCTTACTGTAGAACCGCGGTAGGCTATGCGTCGAGTTCTGAACCTTCTCTCGAGTCCTCCCTCCTTCGTTTCGCGAAACGATTCGGATATCTATTGGCACTGACTGAAGACAGCCGGGCTTCCTAAGTCACGCCTTCAAGGCCTTCCTGTGGCGACAGTCTCTTCGTGGCTTACAATGTCTGCTAATCACGCCGTGGAGCAAGGCCCTTCGCTGCATGGTAACGAGTCGGAGATGTCACATCAAACAGCGAACGCCGCCGACTTATCTCCTCGACGTCGCCCCGGCTATATCCGAGTCCCGTCTTCCGTAGAGCAATCGGGTGCCTCTGAAGGAGTCCAGGCACATAGGGACGACTTTACCAATGAGACTATAGATGGCGCAGCCACCCATCGTGGACTTGGTATTGCCAGCAGCACCGCGCCTGCTCAGAAGAAGCAGCCAGCAAGCCAAGGATCACCTCCCGGCATGGCAGGCAAAGCGCGTGCTGAACCCACTTATACCACACCTGGGTCCGCTGACCCTTTGGTATCGCCTGTGTCACCTAACCTACCTTCGGGTACTATCCGCTTCGCTGAGGCGCCTTATCAGATCGAAGTCCCTTACGGCGACACGAAATTGAAGGACCGGCAGACTGTAACATCTATCACCTCGACTCAATCACAGTACGATAATTTTGATCGCTGCCGAAGTCGCAAAGGGTTCAGAAACCGGCTGGGCGTGATGTTTATCACTTTCCTGCTGACATCGGTATTCTCGACCTTCTTCTCTGGCCTGTTCTTGGTCGTCTCGATACGCAAGCCGAGGTACGGCAAGATGATATCAAGTGACGGCAGCCTTACAGCGTCATCTGCTGCGTTGTTGACAACGGCTCTTGCTAAGTTGACAGAAGCCTCATTCGCCACGGTGTTTGTGGCTTTCCTTGGGCAGATCTTCGCTCATCGGGCCTACAAGCATGTCCACGGTGTCACGCTTGCCGAGCTTAGCTTGCGCAGCTGGATCGTCTTACCAGGCAAGATCTTCATGGAATCGGAGATAGCACGCTTTGCCGGATTCAGCTTTCTCGGTGTCGGCTCGCTTCTCGCAGCGCTTTGCGTCGTGCTTTACACACAGGCTGCAACCGCACTGGTGCAACCTCAGCTGCAATGGGACAATGCGCAGCTCCAGATCATGCAAGGTCTGGTCCGGACACAATTCGCTAATTCCTCGTACATTAACGAGTACTGCGAGACGCCCATCTCTTCATCGTACGATCCCGACGAGGCCGCTTCGACTTGCATTCAGATCTACCACGCTGCGGAAGCATACCACAACTACTACGGCTACTTGAGCGCCTGGAAAGAAGTCGTCCAGACTGGCAATGGTAGCTCGGAACCAGCAAAGCGCCCACAAGGCTACGCTGTTATAAATGACGATACCACAGTTACTCAGGCTTGGATCGAGCAAAGTAACGTCACAGCACTATACGAGCAGCACAAGATAATCGTCAATAACGTTTCGATGGCCGTCCCTCACCCAGGCTTGATCCAGGCTGCTTCCGATGGTGTTAACGGCATTCTGCAGCCCGCCGAGCTTGCCGGACTGGGAAGCTATACAATCCGTGCCTCTGTTGCTTCACCCGTAATACACTCCTTGTGCGTCACAATGACCGAAGCACAGCTCAAGCCTTTCGTTTTCGAGCTGTGGGATAATGTGACCTTGCCGGTCAACTTGACCATCTGGCCAAAGCAGCTGAGCTATGCCAATCCGTATCTCGGTGGTACACCCTTCGATGATATTTTCGGTTGGGGCCCGGAATATGGAGACGGGAAGTACCCACCAGTGTTTGGCAAAGTGCCTATTGACTACAACACTATCATCAACAACACGCTTGACATGCCATATGGGCGCGACTCAATCTATTTGCTGGGAAAGGGTGGGCCTAAGGATTCCGCAGGCAACGTTGTGGAAAGCAGTAACTATGCGCTTTGCCAGCTAAAGGTCGGGCAAACGCCAAGCTGCTCGACGCTGTTCACCGCTAGCGCCAGCGGCGCCGAGCTAGTCGCGAGATGCGAAGATCCAAGCGATGCCATGAGCTACGGGAGCAATCACCCTGGTGCTCTTGGTGGAAACGATACGATCAGCCTAGCTTGGCCTGACGTCGCCACTCAATGGGCCAACAGTACGTACCGCCATACCCGCAGGCCTCGCTTGATTTGCACTAACCATCTTTACAGGCTTGGCCCTCAATGAAGGCCTTTTCGACGGCAACGGATCGAACGCTCGCCTGCTCACCCAGCTTATCCTAACCGAACCGACTCTGAATCCTGATCTACCATCAGCCGCCGAAGCGCTGGCAGTGATGGCAGGCTGCACCGTCCTCCAGTCCGCCATCGACGCACCATTCACCGAGCTCTTGAACTACACCTCCCACCCCACCCTGAAACCCAGGAGCTACGGCTCTGGCTACGGTTCAGGTTACGGCAACTCATCGAGCTACTACGGCTCCTACCAAAGCTTCCCCGCCATGGTGCGCGCGCGCGAATATGCCAGCGGACCTACGCAGAAGTACCAGAACGCCTTCTACCCCATCCTGATACTCACCTTCCTTCTCAACCTCATGGTGCTACTCTTCCTCCTGTTCCAACGGCACTGGTACAATGACTTCACTGACCCGACTCATCTCTTCTCGTTGGCTATCAATAGTCCGCCGAGCAAGGAGATGGCGGGCAGTTGTGGAGGCGGGCCGGTGGGCAGACAGTTCGAGGTCAGTTGGCAACTTAATGTAGACGGGGACGAGCATGTATATCTGGAGGCTTTGGATAGAGTGCACGCGGAGACGGGAGCGTTGAGGAGGCGGAGTTGGAAGGATGATGTTAGTATGCTTATGAGTCCGGTCAAGAGACTGACGGGTTCAGAGAGGTTCGAAGGTGGGTCTACACGGCGAGCTGGTGGGTAAATATCTCTTCTCTGGGCTTTTTTGGGTAGCATAACTCTGGAACTACTTCCTCGCTTTCATCGTTAGCATCACCGCAGTGCTATCCTGGTGAACACTGAAGTTTCAGCCTACAGCAATCAGACTACAGTATGGCAGAAGCCTCTACTGTAGCAAGGGATTGTCTATAGCTGCAAAGCTACGCTGTCGAGCACGGAGCAAACATAGCGCACAACATCAGTACGCCGATGCAATTGCGAATAGACTTTCGCGAACATGTGGAATCAAGGGACAACAGTGGCCTGCGTCAAAGCACATGCTCGCTCTTCGCTGGCCTTTAGCCGCAATCCTCATCCCAGTTGGGTTCTTTGTAGCATTCTTCTATGCCTACAGCTGGTACAAGACACATCAGACTCTTCCACCTCCAAGTCCAGTTTCACCCCCAGTCCCACCTCCAGACGCCTCTCCCTCTCCGGCAAGATCTCAAATTTCACGCCCATCTCCACATCCAGCGGCCGCAGCAGCCCATGATGAAGGTATGGACGAAGGCGAGAATGAGGATGATAATCAACCTCCAGAGGCTGTACCTCCAGAAGCTGTACCTCGATAGGCCGTACCTCAATAGGCCGTTCCTTTGGCACAGTACTGCTCGAGAGACGGGCAGGCATTCCAAGCCATTGTCAACCGCGCCCGGCGGAGGAGGAGACCAAGAAGGACTCTCCACAGCACCCGCACCGGACAACACCGCCAGGCAAGTCTACAGGATGCAGGATGTCCAGGGACGGTAGTAATTCCCTTGATTATATGCCGGGAAGGGTCAACTCGGAGGCAGCGCAGGTTGTCGCAAAGTCTTCCGGGCATCCCGGTGCTGCGTCGGCACGGAAATCATAGTCTGGCGCACTAGCAGCCTTGCATCGATCGGCCGTGCATGATAGAAAAGCCATTATTTGCAAGACAGGCCGCGCGCCCGCATGAATCTTGCGGTGACGCTGTGAGTTCCCGTTACTGCCCGTCTGAGACCCTCGGACCGCGTCCGGCGACTATCGCATGCTTTGGTGGTGCACAAAGCCGGTGAAGAAATATCCTTCAGATCTGTCTTCAGCTTCTCTCCACTCATTCAACCATGCCATCCATTCCGTCACCAGCCAAGACCTTCGTCTTGACCCTGACATCCACCGCCGCTCCTGGTGTCCATGCCACCACGTTCCCCTCTTCATCCACAAACTCCCATCTATACCGGCTCAGGTAGTGCGGGATGCCGCTGAGCTGTGGTCCATACCTCTGCGTGTTATCGTACAGCTCGAAAAGCGGTACGGCAAGGAGCTTCATGTTCTTAGGGACGCTCAGCACTTTGCTCTTCGGTAGCTGGATAAGGTACAGCTTTTTGCACTCCTTCGGCCGCGTGACGTGTGCGGGTAAGTACGGGTACATGAACGTCTCGAAGTTGGGCCGCCACCATACTGCAAGAGTGTCGGTCACGTTCCAGTCCGCTTCTGCAGGCGTGTCGCGCGTGCTGAGGCTGCTTGTCGGTGGAGGTGCAAGACGTTCGTTCAGGCGCGCTTTGAAGCCTTCGATTTCGTCACTGGAATGCGGTATATAGTCGCCAGGTCTGTAGCACCGTCAGACACACCAAATATTGACGGAGAGAGGCATACATACAGCTTGAAGAAGGCGTTGGCAATCTGCAGCATGAGCACGTGAGGGTGGTTGTGCTCATGGCAGACTAACACGGCTTCGCAGGTCCGCCGCATGCCATGCTGCTCATAGTGCTCTTCCAAGCGCCGCAAACGTTCCTTTACTGACGGGTCCTCCTCCGGCTGCCCTTCTTTGGTGCCGAAGGTGTAGTTGCTCAGCGGGTATAGCCTGACAGCTGGCGCCTGTCGCTCATCGAAGGGAAGGCTCGTGGGAGGCTGAACCGTGGATTGTTGATACGCAGTCGAAATGGCTGTCATTGTGAAGTCAAATCATATCGTCATGTGTAAACAGTATGCGTTATGGTTACCTACCCGTTGTCGATGCTCACTTCAGCATTAGAGCTGGTGTGCTTCTACGATCGATAGCCCGCATCCCCGCAAATTATAAGTACCTTCCCATAGACATTGGCGAAGGTAAGGGAAGTGAAGGCGTTCGATGCCGGTATGAATGAGGCTTTGCCGATTTCTGTTTGTGCCAATCTGTGAACGGAGTGTATGTGGAGCTATATAAGCCTTCCAAATCCAGCTCTCCAATGCTGCTTCGATCCCGCCATGTCTAGTGAAGCAATTAAATACTGCCTCTCCCCCGGCTAGCGTCAGGTCGTCCACCAACTCTTAGAAGAAAAGCCTACGGTATCCCACAGGACCAACCGTAAGGCAGACGCTGGTCGTGGTGACATAGCTTGATCTGCACTGGCTCATGACTGGGCGAGGTGAGCTAGACACCTGCGACGCGGAGGTAGTATAGGTCCAATACGACGTCTGTGTTTCAGTTTCGTAGAAATTCTGCGAAGACTGTATCAGCAAGTCGTACGCTTCCAGCGGTACCAAGGATTGGACTCACGGAGCTCTGCGCAACCGGTATGCTGGTAGTCTCCACATACGTACTCTCTCTGGTCATATACGTCGGGTACTCGGAGGTGTACGTAGTCTAGACAGTGGTCTGGGATGTCAATGTCACCGGGAGTTTCTTGGTCCACGTGTGGACGCTCTCAGTATAGGACACCGAAGTCTCTTGACTGACGCTGGCCAACGTGATGGAGTCGCAAGTGGTTGTCTCGTACGAGTATGGGCTGGTAACAGTAGTAGTGACCTCGCTCTAGGTAGTCGTGGTCTAGCATACATATTAACCGACGCGACTAACCTTCACAGTAGCACGGGCGTACCGTAGGGTAGGGTCTAGTCCCAGTAATGGTATATTCGCTCGTTGCAATCTGTGGGACGTAGACCGTCGTGACATCATAGGTAGTGTAAACAGTAGCGCCTCTCGTGGAGATGGTCTCAACGGTACCGTAACAGGACCGCATGGTCGGTCCTGCACTGCTGGGAGAGGGCGAGCTCGTAGAGCTCTCGTACCCTGACAGGCTTGGTATGTTGGGAAGAGGAGCTGGTAGGCGACGCCTGCGTAGAGCTAGTAACGGAAGTTATCTCACTTGACGCGGAAGAGGAGGTGCTCCAGGTGGCAACCGTGGTAGAGGAGATGCCCCAGCGACTGTTGATACTCGAGGAGCCACCCCAGCTGTCGCCGGTGGTTGATGAGGAAGACCAGCTGCCGCCTGGGAAAGCCGCGGCGATGCTGGCCAGGTAAAGCATGGCCGGAGCGGCCAAAATGAATGAATGCATGCTTCAGGAACGATCGTGATGAGCTTCCAAGAACGAACGTTTCGAGATGATATGGAAGAGCGTAAATGCTGGTGATTGATGTACTATCACCTTCTTCCACGGTGACTCTACCTTTATACTCAGCAAAGATCATGTTGCGAAGCACTGTACAGTCTTTAGTTGCAGCGTCGTGAACACTGATACAGGCAACGTCATCAACAGAAAGTTTGAAATTCACAGCAGGCTCTACGAGACGCGAATGAGGTGCTGACTCCGGTCGGTCGGTCGCTTTGTATGGCGGCTATCGCATGGCATTGGTGCCGCTGTTGGGTGTCGTAGAGCTTCTGATGCGGTGCTATATTGGCGTAAGTATATTCCGCGCTCTTCTTTGCTGTTCTTTATGCACTTGGGGTTGCTCCTGCATGGCGAACAAGCAGAAGATCTCTACACTGGGTGTTGAACCGGTGTCCTAGTTGGATATATGAAAGGCACCAACTCGAGTCAGGTACGAAGCAGTAGCTGCACACTCGGCGTAAGCTGCAGCTAGAAGATGGTCATATCCCAAGCGAAGAGATGGACGTGCAACGAGGTGGGAAGTGGCCACGCCGGGGCACAGCAACGGTATGCTCGTACGAAAATGCGAGTCAGTGATGGCGGATACGACGATCAGCACGTTCACCTCGAATGATAGTTATGAAGGTAGCTTTTCAGGTGGCTGCACCCCTTCCATTGCTGGGCCAGCCGTGCGTTCTGTATTACTAGCCATGCGTGCACCATACGCACAAGAATGCAGGTGGAACAATGGTACATGAATGCCGATTCTGGTGCCCGGTGGAGCCTATACTGTGATGCAGCAGACCGGTGCTCGTGTTACACAGCAGCAGGCTAGGAACACGTAAGCTTCCCGAGTGTCCAGTCATCTTTTCTTCCAAGGCTTACCAGTAACATGTCCTACATACCAGTAACATGTCCTACATTAGTTTGAGGGACATGATGGCAAAGCCTGCCGGCATCTGCTGAGCGCCCTCAAGGTCGAAGTAGAAACGCCGTCAGCAGTGGGGCAGCAGCGAAGCCCTTGCGTGCAGAGATACCGGGCCCGCAAGGACTCGGAATCAATGGCATGTTGTGATCCAGTGTCGCCGTGGCTCTGGTTGAGGCTCCAGGTAATTAGAAGCTTTCTCGTACTCTTGATCGATCGCGTACAGAAAGTCATGTTGGTGCCATATTGGCGTTACCGTACCCGAGCTGATTCGAATACGACGAGTCAGCGCCTGGCAATGACTGGTTGCCCATTACAAGAGCCGGGTTCAAAAACGTCTCCCATTCGAACGGTAAGTCCAGCGCCCAGTCGAAACTTGGTGCCTCGGTCATGCCGACACTGCTGTTGACCGATGGGTGATCGTCAAGAAGTGGAGCGTCCGGGACAATGCTTAAAGCTGCCAACTCCTTCTCTTTTCGCCCCTTGGACATCTTAACAAGCAGTAATGCCTGATTGTATGCTTCGCGTGTCATGTGAGTATCGTAGGATTGAGCGATTTCGCGTAAGAGAGCCATCGCCTCCTGTATGTTTGCGAGTGCACGCGGCGTGCCTACTGCCAGCAACACGCACAGAAACTGAAAGGGCGCATGCACCACGTTCCACCATGGCGTCTTTGCGACAAGTAGCGCCCTTGGCGCCTCCAGGGCTGCTTTACCAACAGATATGACTGACTCCGCTCGATCCTTAGCGTCTGTGAGCGACATTAACCACAACCGTCTATATATAGCAAATGCAAGATCTGCTTTGAGCAGTCTGATGAAGGCGGACCGAGTCTGTAGGCTTTCAATCGCGGTTAAGGCTCGGCAGAGAGCGCCAGGCGGATCAGGCTCGGAATCTCTGTCAACAACATCGTTTGGTAAGATCTCGGCAAGCTCGACAAAGTGGTGGGCGTTGCTTTTCCCTTCTTCATTTGGCCTCTTCGTCGTAATAACGTCAAACGCGACGCGTGAGCGACCATACTCGAATGAGAGTATGATATTGAGCGCTCGGGCAGTCCAGAAGAGTCTTCGCCGCGTTTTCGCCACTTTGTGATCGCCGCTCGGAGCAGCAGGATAGACGACAGCGATAGTCTGTACTTCCTTATGAAGACCGCTCGCTTCCACTTGGTGCATAGTGGTTGAGGACGATAGCCACGAGCCGTGTGGTCGCGACGTAAGCCTTAAGTAGATTGTTCGCAGAATCCAGCCCGCAACATTGTTCGTGGTAGGATGGTTCACGCTTTTAGCAATTAATATATGGCGAGCCGCTAAAACGCAATCGTTTTCACGCGGATGCGGGCTGGAAGAGAAGAATGAGCCCAGTGCTGCTACGCCATACAAAACCGCGTCAATGTCGTTGGACGATCGACGGTCGCTGAACCTTGCCGCGGCGTCCTGATCGAACTCCGACTCGTCCAGAATGCCAAATTCTGGATTCACAGCACCGAAGAAAGACTTCGACAAGCGCTGCATATCTGGCCAAGTGAGCAGCGTTGTGATGTCAACGCTCTCCTCGGTAAACTCGGGTCGTATTCCAGTATGCCAGGCGAAGGAGTGAAGTCTTGGTATGCTCTCCGATTCCAAGTCCATGCCCAGTATCCGTGGGAAAGCAATGGCAGAATTTGCCCTTACGAAACGAGTTTTGACCGGATCTAGAATGCTACGGTGGTGAAAGCGCGCTCCAGGAGCAGTCAAAGGATGCTGCTGCAGCTGGACAATGCTCGGTGGCGTGGTGTCTTCGACAGGCTGAGGCCGGACTTCTTCCTTCGGGTTGTCGCCATTCGCCATGTACGAGGTTCTCTTCGAACTCGTCGAGTACTCGCATTGGTATTCATACCGTACGCAGGTTCCGCACGGGAACCGGCCATCGCATTTGCGCTGCGAAAGACTCAGCCGGTGACCCGTGTTGCATCGAAAGTCGTTGTGCCGACGTCTATACCTTGCGGTGCCGACATGGTGCGCAAGCAGCACGAGAGCGCTGTCGGCCTTGATGACCCTCTTCAGGATTCGGGCTGAGCGACCGTTTCTGCCCGTCTGCTTCAGACATTGGTATCGATGATCAATGGAAAGGTCGCAGAGCGGGTGTTGCGGCTATACTAGGTTCCAGAGCGTCTGCACGGACAGTACCGTATGCTACTGCCGTTTCATCGTCCATCAGTGCATCGATGTTCAATGTCGAGCACGTACTGAGCTGATGAGACATGCAATCTTGCTTAGTGCTTTATTGCAGCGAACTGTGTCGATCATCAAAGCCCAGCCTTCAGCCACCAAGCCGGTACGGAGTTTGTTGATCTGTCTCATCCGCGCCGAGATCGCCCCACCTGCTAGAGGCAACGAGGAAGTCCACCGCACCGAACAACCATACAGTAGTCAACATCCAAAGGCCGCCCTCATCGCACATGGTATCGTCCGGCCGTCTGTAGTATAATGCGCAGGTTCCAAGCTACCGATATGTAGCGCCCAGATTTGCCTACGTACATAAAGCTAACCCCAGTTGCGCCTCATGTAAGTGAGTCCTTTTATCTTCGTAGCTTTCTTATCTCGCCCGGACGCCATAGGACACTTCTACACCTGCAGAATGGCGCAAGTTTTCCTCATAACGGGCGCCTCGACTGGCTTCGGCGCCCTCGCCGCAAGAGCGCTCGCCAGGAGCGGCCATACCGTCTTTGCCGGGATGTACTCGCATGACGGGAAGACCAAGCAACATGAAGATGCAGCCAGCAGCTTCGCCAAAGAGCATAAAGCCGATCTGCGCACTGTGTCGCTCAACTTGCTGGACGAAGCTTCCGTGGCCTCAGCGGTCAAGCAGATCCATGACCAGACGGGCAAGCTTGACAGCATTGTCCACAACGCGGGCCACATGAACTTCGGTCCGGCTGAGGCCTTCACGCCGGCGCAATACCTGCGCATGTACGATATTAACGTTATAGGCTGTCAGCGCCTAAATCAAGCAGCGCTGCCTGCGATGCGCAAACAGCGCTCCGGCCACCTCATTTGGATCTCTTCGAGCTCCGTATATGGTGCCGAATCACCTATGCTGGGTCCATACTTCGCCGCAAAAGCTGGGATGGACTCCCTCGCGCACACGTACGCGCACGAGCTGAATCCATGGGGCATTGAGACGACTATTGTTATGCCAGGTGAACGCTATAGCCATGCTAAATCAAACCCTCCGAAGCATAGCTGACCGTGTGATCCATGTTAGGTGTCTTCACCGGCACAAATCACTTCCAAGATGCAGCCAAGCCCGGCGTCCCAGAAGTGGCTAAAGAGTACGAAGATGGCCCAACAAAAGGCATGTCCGAGCAAACAATGTCCGGCACAGCCAGCATACCACCGCCTGACGCCCACCCTAGCTTGGTTGCCGATGCTCTTCTTGAGCTGGCAGCCAAGCCACGGGGCCAGAAACCCTTCCGAGTATACGTAGACCCCGGCCAAGATGGGTGTGATCTCGTTGCGCCACTTGTTGATCGGATGGGAAACGACTTCTACCGACGACTCGGTTTGGAGAATGTAACGACAGTGTCGCTTTGACGCAAAGCTTGTTTCTGGCTGAGCTGCTCAACTTGCGGCTATCGCGCTGATTTGCGCTGCATCGGTTTACATTTGCATCTCGTCACGTCATCATAAGCGATTGCTAAATTTACATTGCACGTCCGTCAATGTGCGCCTTCCTGCACCTCCAACTCCTCGCTTAAACATCGAGCCCGTCAACGACGACACCCTTCTTCCAGTCATAGCACATCTTACGGGCAACCTCATCGGCGGCGTCGTCAGACACCAAAGCGCCCACCATATACAATGCGCCGTCCATGCCGGAGGTGACGCCGCTAGTGGTAAGCACACGCAACCCTCCTAAACGCAAATTGGCGCGCTTGAGCACGCTCTCACGACGCATGTTGCTCATCTTGAGGCTCATGCTGCCCTTGCGGGCGGAAGACTGGCGTCTAGCTCCGTTTGCACGCTCCTCGATGGGAGACGGCGGGCCGCCTGCATTCGATTTGCGACGCTTGTGCTCCTTGTACTCCTTCCTCGTCATGACGTACGGGTTGTCATCGTCTTCGCCCAGGTCGAAGCGGAGATTGTTGACCACATAGCGAGCCTCCATGACATCGCAGCGGTCGGCCATGTCGCGCTGGGCGGCGTTGGAGCAGATGATCTCCATCTTGGTGATGAAATCGGGATGGGTGGTAGCAGCGAGTCCACTCAAGACACCAAGCTCGGCGAGGAGGAGTGAGCCGGTGCAGACGGACATGAGAGTACGCTCACGCGAGGGGTTCTTCTTCTGCAGCTCGGTGAAGGCTTTGATGATGGTAAGTGGCTGCATCTTCTCCTTCAAGACCTTCTCATGACCACCACCTGGTACCACGAGGATATCGATCTCAGCAAGGCGCTTCATAGCTTCGTTGAAGTCGAGGTGAGCGCGGAAAGAGGCGCCTTGGGCGGTCACGACATGTTCCTCGGCTGCCGCGAAGATGACACGGAAGGCCTTGGATTCTGCGTTGCACCAGATTCAGTCACGCGTCGCCTGTCATACAGAAAATTGCTTACCGGCATTCTTGGGGTCGTGCTGAGCCCAGCTGAAGACTTCCAGAGGACCAATCACGTCCATAGCGTCCATGCCATCGTGCATGGTAATGAGGACTTTCAAGGCCTCATAGTGGCCGTCCTCTTCAATGATTGCACTCATCTTGCCGACTGACTGTTATGGAACGAGCTTAATGATAGACACCAAGGTCTTGTCACTAAGAGGAGCAGGAAACTGCAAATCATTCAGAGGAGTGGTGTATATTCCATTGTGATCCATCGTCACGCGACAGCTGAGCTCCCGAACTAGAGCTCTCCCCGCCTTCCTACCATCAAGATTTAACTAGTGACTGGGGTACATGAAGGCACGTGAGCAGCTTGTGTGGGGTCTCGGGGCATAGCAGGAGAGTGCGTCCTGAGCCTGCACTCGTCGTTGTAATCAATGAGGCACAAAATAGTCCCAAACACCATTACCTTTTAGCTTGCGTCATTGTCGTCAAAGCCTGCAGCCACCTCAAGACCAGAACCAGCCACCTCAGGACCAGAACCAGCCACCCTTCTCGCTTGACTTCGCCGTCTCAGGCTGGGTGACCAAGTCTTGCGGCCGGGAAGACTCCTGATATGTGTGCACCTTCTCAGAGGTCTCTTCCCGCCCGTCTGCGAAACGTTGCTTCAGCACGACCTTGCTGGTCACAGTGCCATCCGGGTATCGTGTCGTCTGTGTCGTCGTGAGCGAAGACAAGACATCAACCTTCGCTGGAGGCTGCTCGGTTGCAAGACTGCTAGAGGAGGTGTTCTCAACGAAACTAGGCGGCAGAGACGGTTGCGGTGAAAACTTGGGCGCATCTAGCTGCAGCGCCTCGCTTTCCTGCAAGAAACGCTCACTTCGATTTTGCATACGCTCTGTTTCCTGGTAACGACTATACTCATTGTCCAGATCGTCCGGACGGTCCACGGCAGATGGAAACTGTGGCGGCAACTTCACAGCGTCCGATCGTGGCTGCCGGCATCTGTTCGCCTCCGTCGTGCCAAGGGAGTCTAAATGCTCCTGGAAGTCCAGCTCAGTCACAGGTGGAGATGGTTCCACCGGCAGAGACGGCGTCGCGACTTCCTCAAGAAGCCTTTGCATATCCGAGCGGCCCCATAAGTTCGGCTTCATTTCTGACTCCAGATAGTGATCTGTGAGCGCATGATGTATGCCGTTACGACTAAAGCTGTTCCAATAGGATGGTAGCTGCGGCGGCAAGATACCTCTGCATTGTAAACTCAGCATCCAGTCGAGCCCTGGACCGCGTAAGTTAGAAGTGAGGCGTCCATGCGGAGGCCGATACCCAATCCGCTCAAGCCCTTCCAGCGGCTTGTCCAGGGTAGCGAGCAGCAGATCCTCAAAAGCCGCTCGCCATTTCATTGAGGATGTCGATGAAGATTCGTCCGCGTGGCCGATAGAAAGAGGGCACTGCAAGTGGACGGGAGAATATGAGCTCCACTTGAACCAGTCAGTGCTAAGCCACGGATGATCTGGTCGTCCAGCCCTCCAAATCGCCGTGGATGGTGCGTTGTAGCCGCTGTCTGATTGATAGTAGCATGCGCCGCCCGGGGATAGCATCGGGCTGGAATGGTCGAAAAGACTCCCGAAGGCCGTAGTGTCTCGGTACAAGGCAGCAACTTTCTCCTGAGATACGTGCGCATTCTTCCTGCGCGCCTCCTTCAGCAGCATCAGTGTCGCCTCTTTGGCCTCCTGCTGCACACCAGGCGATGCACGATCGCGAAGCATCTGACAATGATCCGGCGACAGATCAAGACCCGTCCACCGCCACCACATTTCCTTCACATCTTGCCTCCTACGCTCACGGTCGGCTTGCATAGCTGCTTTTAACTCGGCCACGTTCGTGGGAAAGCTTCGGAAGCTGTCGGCCAGGCTGCTTGCTGTATTGTCGACAAAGTCTTTGAACGTCACGAAGAAGCTTCGGTTTAGCGCGGATGGTCTGTGATCTTGTTCCTGCGAACGCCTGCCATCTTCCTCAAGCTCACGAAGGAACTTCTTGTGGCCAGCTTCCATTTGACGAAAGACGTCAAGCGGAAAGCCGCAATCAGCCGCATCGATAGGTTGTGGCGACGACACTGTGGGTGAGACAGCACCCCGGTCGCGCCCGCTGCTATCTTCTGCGCGACCCATCGTCACAAATGGATCCTACAATGGTACTCCAATAGGTCAAATTGATGCGGTCGCGTCGTTGCCCTACGCTATGAAGCTCCGTCTCATATGCGGGGAACGTTACGCCGATGATAGGTGGAGGCTGTGGCGGAAGGCCCCGCTGACTCACCCCGTTCACCTTGCATCTCGTGACTGTTCGACTAATGCAGTCCATTCGTTTCAATATTCGAACGGTCTTGCAAAACATCAAGACGTGGTTTGACACGTGCGAGTACTGGGCACTTTTCCATGATCACTATTATCCATGGTGAGCCTGCCGCAGGAGATACCTTGCTTCCTATATCTCAGCCTTACGACTCGTCGAAACGTTATAAGCCGAGTCAGACGGTGCATTGTGAGCATACTGTAGTATAAAGACTCGAATCCTTTCACACCCACTCAATGGGGAGGCGCAAGCCTAATGTACATGCGGGGGAAGTGTTAATCGCCAGCTTGATCAGTCTCGGTGATTGCACAAAGGCTCTTCCTCTCACGATGCTTACGCTTGATACCTCTGGACTGACCATAGCGACTTGCCTTCTGGACCTAGCACTTAACTGCGTACCTACGATGACGCGCTACAATCTGACAACAGCGATGTTACCCAATACCTGGATACGAGCTAACGGAGAAGTTGCTTCAATAGTGTTATGTATGTAAATTGATGCAAGGCTGCCGATAAGCTTCTTACAGTATGGAGCCCGTATTGGTCGCGCGAGAACTTTCCAAGCGTGTCTGGTGACAGGGTGAACGTTGCACATCGATAGCATGAGCGGTTGACACTCGTGTCAGCCCAATAGATCGGCCAAGCATGCCTAGTTCTTGCCGCTTGTCCAAGTTCTTGTATCTCGCAGGATCAGACCGTACTTTCGCGCAGACATGCAAGCATGCGGAGCAGAGCACGCGGCTCGGCCGAAGCTCCACTCAAAAGGCGAATACGGTTACAGTCAAGCACCAAGTGGAGACTGAAGTTTGTGGCCGATCTACCGGTCGCTGACGCAGGGCTGCGTCGAATTTCCTATTCGAGCCATGATCGCAATCACAGTATTATGGACCGACGAGGATGTCGGCAGTTGGTAGGCCGATAATAGTCATCCTACCTTGCAGAAGCAATGAGGAGCCGTACCGGCGTATACACTATTTGTGCAAGAGGATGAGAATGTGCAGCTGCTGTAGCTTTGCGTGAGGCATAAGCGCGGAAAGGTTGCTACAGCTCTCTCCCATGAGCTACATGTTTGGGGGCGGAGAGCTCCTTTCACAGTTTGGCCCTGCAGCTCTGCAGCTCCAAGTTTGGTGCTACTGCAGCAGCAAGCAAGAAATATCCCGGGCATGCCGCTTGCAGATCGCGACGTAGCGCGGCTCGTTTAGCAGGTACGTACTATTCGACTACAACAATAACAACAATATTAGGCGGGGCGAAACAAGACGTTGTTTGTCGCGTGGTGACGAAGAGGGAGGGCACTGACGGCGGAAAAACGTGGCCGAGCAAGGTCCAGCATCGGAGTCGTAGGGGTAGCCTCCGTCTTAACCACGGAACGACTTACTCTGCGAAAACCCGAGTCACCGTTGGACAACGGCTCGTCATGTGCCGGTGTTGCGATAGGGTTGACAGCCTGCAGCTTTCGGTTGCAGCACTCGGAGTGGCAGGGCTTCCCTATTGAGTTCGCACACCGATTCCTTGCCAGGCGGTGTCCCAGCCAGCCTTGCTGCTGGTCGAGACACAGAACGTCACTGGATCTTCGCTCCTGTCTGTTCGTCTCATTAAACATCAGGCTCGTCTCGACAGCCGCTTTTCCGCGCTCAACATCTAGGGGCAGTCTCGACCATGGATGGAGGTTTCACGTGGTCGGCGTCCCTTCTCCGTCTTTCCAGCGACCCAACGAGCGCTGGTCGAAAGGGGCATAGGACCTTGACTCAGCCTGGTGATCTCGCCGTCCTAGCCACCCAAAACGACCCAAGCGGTCAAAGGAGCTCGCTTACGCGGCGAATCAAGCTTAGGTCTGCTAATTGCCTGCAAGGATTGCGCGCTAATCCCCGTGCGAAAGCCCGTTTTGGCCGGAAAACGGTTCAGGCCGTGGCTTTAATTTTAGAAGCCTAGCATGGTGGCTGACTCTCTCATTCGCCAAGCGTCGCGCCAGTGCTCAGCTTCGACCTCTCTTCAAGGCGTCCTGCTGAGCCTTGTTGTGGACTGTGCACATTGCCCCCACAGATCGATCATTCTCCTTCTCCTGGCCAAGATTTATTATACCCTCGTTTCCGCCGCCGTTTAGACAACTCATTCATACACTCGTTCATCCGACATACAGGCCAACAGCAACAATGGCATCGATCGCTGTCTCATCCGAGCAGATGCTCTACCAATCCGACAACTCTTCCGCATTCTCTGATCCGATGGCCCCTGTGCCTGCGGGCTTCACTCTCTACCAGCCTCGCATTCTGATCGGCTTTTTTTTGGTTCTTCTCTTCGTCTTGGCTCGTATCTTCACCGCTGGCAAGCAAAAGCTCCCGGCTGGCGTCAAGGCTCTCCCACGACTACCAGGTGTGTAGCTATCGAGCCATCGTTCGTCTCGACGCCACTAACAGCCATCGTAGGTCTTCCATATGCTGGTCGTTTCTGGGATGTTCCTGGACCTGGTATCGATGCCGCATGGCACTTCGGTGCTCTCCACAAGAAGATGGGCCCGATCTACGAGTGGAAGGTATGTTGTCAATCAACACTGATTAACTCACATCGATTCTGATCGATCCAACCAGGTTATGGGTGTCACCCACATTTGGATTGAGACCGACAAGATCGCACGCGACCTTTTCATTTCCCGTCAACGCAACTACTGCGATCGCAACGAGCTCCCTGCCGCCATCGGTGTCCGTGAGGGTTCCGAAATTCTGCCGCTCATGGGTTACGGTGAGCAATGGCGCCGCTACAAGAACTTCATGCACCTCATCATGAGACACGCCAACCCGCAAGCTTTCTACGGCTGGCCTGCGATCGAGAACAAGAAGACCATCCGCCGCATCCTAGAGAACCCAGACGCCTGGTCCGAGCATCTTCTTGTTCATTGCGCACGCACCATCGCTTCCATTGCCTGGGGCGACCCACAACATGGCAGCAAGCTCCTTACCATCATTCCCATCATCCTCAAGAACGTGTCTCCCGCCGGCCCGCTCATCAACAAGCTTACCTTCCTCTCTAACCTGCCGGAGTCTATCTCGCCATGGAAGAAGGAGGAGGCAGCCCGCAAGGCCGAGATGACCGATGCTTTCATGGAGCCGCTTCAGGACGCGAAGAACAGGTCGGTTCAAGGTACGCTCGCCGACAGCTGGAGCAAGCTTTGGCTCGAGAAGGAGAAGGGCACCGAGCATCTTGACTTCTACGAGGCTGCTCACGCCATTGGCTCCAGCTCTTTCGTCGCCATTGCTACCGTTGGTGGCCCGCTCCACGCTTTCTTCCTCGCTATGTGCCACTACCCGTCCTGGCAATACAAGGTCCAGGAAGAAATCGACCGTGTCTGCGGCGACCGCCTGCCTGAGGTTGGCGATTTCCCGCAGCTTCCTGTACTTCGGGCAACCGCGAAAGAGGTTCTCCGATGGAGACAAGCAACTCCCCTCGGTGTGCCGCACGTTGCCATGGAGGATGACGTCTACGAGGGCTACCTCATTCCCAAGGGTGCCATCTGCCACGCCAACCACTAGTAAGTTCTTCAACCCTCAAGTAATTTGCACCCCTTACTAACGCTTTTTGCAGCCTCATCAGCCGTGAGCCCAGCCTTTACCCACGAGGTGACGAGTTCGTCCCTGACCGATGGCTCGACCCATCCTGGCCTACCTACAAGGAGCCGCTTAGCGAGTTCCCTAACTTCCGCGGTGACACTGGCTTCGGCTACGGCAACCGTGGCTGCCCTGGAGTCGACCTCACCTTCACCGAGCTTGTCACTCTGATCGGCTCTCTCTTGTGGGCATTCGAGATCAAGCGTCCAGAAGGCCGTGACGGCCGCAACGCGCCGATCCCGTGGTACGAGACCGCACCGTGGGTCATCACCATGACGAAGCCGTTCAAGTGCGACATCAAGGTCCGCAGCGAGGAGAAACGCCGCCAGATCCTTACAGAGTTCCCAGCAGGCGACAACCTCGTCGTTGACAATGAGAAGCAGAAGAAGGATCGGTGGACGGTCGTCCGCCCGCAAGACAAACTCTTCAACTGGGACGGTCTGACCGACCAGGCGACAGACTTCAACAGGGTCTACCCTGAAGGTGCATAAATGACGATTTACATGTTTGCTTGCATGCAGCGATACGCAGGGCGTTGGCGGATTCTAGGGTTGAAGCACTTGAGAACACTACAGGCATCGCAGGGCGTTATGGTCCGCTCTGGCGATTGGAAAGTCTGGAATTGATTGGAGTCATGATGTGGATGGCTGACTTCTTCCGACTTCGAACCTGTCTCTCACTCTTGTAATTTAGCGATTACATCGCATGTTCCGATTAGATGATATACTATCGATCATTGTCTCAACACGGTGCTTCTTTGCAGCTTCTTCACATATGTCATTCACTTGCTCGTGCCTTGCACGATGAGAAAACACAGAACATGTAGTGGAAGCCAGGCCTGACCCGCCCGCTTCCATCGCTGTGCCGTCTATGTCAGTGTTACAGGGATCGTGCAGGTGCATGCAAACCTCGCCTTCTCTATACTGCACAGTCAATTCTTTGGACGCTGGATCTGTCTCTCAAGACGGCGTGTAATCATTAGTCGGTAGATATTGGTCTGGAGGCGTTTAGATCGCGTTTGGCATCGCGCTCTGTTTGCTCAATGACGTAGATCTCGCGAAGTTCTTGCCTCCTTCACCAACGCTGCGCCAGAGTTATAACCCTACCCGCCGTCAGGCGTGATAATGCAAACTGTGTCGAGAGCGTGTGACTTGCTTTGATACGCCAATGGACAGCCATGACCACTACAGGTCCGATGCGGATGACAGAGTCAAAGCCAGACGCAACACTCCAACCCCATTCAGACCGGCGTTGGCGATACTCGGCGCGCTCGTACTGGTGTTGAACCTGAAGTGGGCGTTCCGATGGCTGTTGTCGGGTTGCGCCACGGAGACGATTCTGTTGTTGTTTGGAGACCATTACGGCACAAGGCCTTTCTCCTTCATTCCGCTTTGGACGTTCCTTGCGACATTTAACCTCCTGTATGCCATATCCGCAACTTCATGGCTACTCTACTGGTGGTTCACAGCGTTATGCTATCCCACAATTGCCCTTACCTGCCTGCTCCAGTTCGACTTCACCGCAAACTTTGTACGGAAAAGTCTCAGAAAGGCGTTAAGGGAGTTGCACTTCACGAAAGACAGAATAGCGCTGTTCAATCTGCCTGCCTTGGAAATCGACCAAGACGTGGACGGCTTGATGGTCGTAAGAGGAATTACAATTAGCCTGTCCTCTCTAACGATCGTGGCGCATGGCGTCGAACTAGGTAAATACCACTTTTCTGGCCTTGCCGATGCGGCTGCTGAACGATATGCTAGGTCTCAAGCTTGCCGATGATATCGAGCTGGCGATGCATGTTGACGAACTGACGATCTCCCTGTTCCGACGCATCAACGTTGGTGACGTGTATTGTGTTGTCAAAGGCGGAAAGCCTGAAATGATGTTCGCAGATCTTGGTGACTCTGAGGGTTCAGAAGCAGCAGACGACGACAGCATCTTCGAAGTAGACACGGCATTGCTCAGGGCGGCGACCGCTGGCTCAGAAGGATTCAAGGATCGACCGAGGCTTCGTCAGTCTTTGACTGGAGTCAGCTGGATGAAGGACTCGACTGCAAGGGAAGGTCTAGACTTCGTCCGTACACTCTCGCCGGATGACCAACAGGCCGAGAGACAGTACCTCACGACGCTGAAGGAGATCCAGAGAGGTAGCGCCATCTATCAGAGTCGAGAGCAGGTCATACACGGTGGGAAGAAGTATGAGGACCTCAAGTTCGACAACGACAAAGACATGCGAGCAGCAATCTGTGCAGAGTTACACTCTTTCCCGCCTATTGTGCACCCACCGCAACGCTCTATTCGGGTCTCTACGCTGCAGCATCTTTCGCCGCCATCGGTTCGACGCTTCTTGCACCGTCTCCCATTCCTTCTGCGGCTCCTACTTGCAACACTTAGCTACTTCCATCCCATCATATTTCAGTCCGTGAACGCGACTGGATCAGGGAAGTGGCTTACGGCGTTGTTGCAGCAGCATGTGTTCAAGCACTACGTATCCACAAACGGAGACCTCCGGCGGCTTGCAAAGCGTGTCTCTGCGTGGTTAGCCGACGCGCACTTCTGTCTTGAACTCAATGAGATCGAGAGCGTCGGTCGAGTACCCGTCAACACCGCTTACGATATTGTGGCGAACCTCAAGTTTTCGGACATCGTGGCGTACCGTACCGCACTGCAGCAACAACTAGATGGCAAGGTCACGGAGGTTGTGAGGCTAGGTGGTGCCGATGCATCCGTCGTTGTCCCGTGCTTTCTGATCCCACATCACGAGCACCTCCTCCCGCCGAAGCCTGCGGAGACAGACGAGCTGGACCTGCAAAGAGAGGAAGTGGAGAAAGCCGACGGAGTACCGAAGACCATCCAAGCACAGCAGAAGTTGAAAAAGCTGGAGAAGGATGAGACGAGTATGAAGTTGAGCGTGCATGCCAGCTTACCCGCAACGTTCTCCCCAGAGCTGCTACAATTCATTGCGGCATTGGTAAAGGCGACGAAGATAGTCGAGGTAGAGAAGCAGATGGACGAAGGCGTCATTGATGACGGCCCTGCCTCTCCGGCTTCTCCAGCCGTCACTGACGATGAGTCGATCAAGCCGGTCTCTAGAACGGACAGCGGGCTCAGAACTAACTTCAAAAGTCTAGCGAAGAACCTGCAGCAAGGCCTGCGCGACGGTGGGACTGGTCAAGCTTTCCGGGAGTTCGCGAGCGACATCAAAAGAACCACAACTGGCGGCATGAAGAAGGCGGTATGCGTTAGACAACTCTGAATCATCGGAGCCAATGCTGACTCTCGTGCCCATCGTGTTAGGTAATCGGCGGCATTGTGAACGATCGATGGATTGCGAAGATGGTCGGCAAAGTGGCTGCAAGACTCGAGCGTGCACAAGGAGATCTAGGCTATTCGGGCGAAGTGCCTATTGCGTTAGAGCCGTACCGCGAAAGAGCGGAAACGGCAACGAAGTTGCTGCCGTAATGGTTTAATGCTGCATTGTTGATGCGAAGCTCGACACGTATAGCGGAATTATACCAGCGTGCTGTCTGTCTATACTCCTAATAATCGTATAAATTATTGTTAGCACCACGCGTTTTTCCCGTGCAGGACGATTCGACTTCGTGAGACTCGGAGCGTATAAGTCGAAACTCTCATACTGGCAGCGTAATATTTTGAGAACAAATTGGCATCAAGGTCTCACACGAAGGAATACGGTGATGCAATCTTATTCCAAGTGGCTTGAAGCACATAAGTCGCGGCGCTTGGCTCGGCTGCGGCGCTTTCAACAACTTATATAATCGCGTTATTACGGCGATTGTGATGGCGTAGACGTTCCCATGTGCAGGCTGTGGACGATGCTTCCTACGCCGGAGGCTGACTTTGTCCCAAGCCTCCTCTGCAGAGCGTCGCGGCGTGCAAATCAGAAGGAGAAGAGCAGTATGGATCAATAGGCATAGGAGTGTGAAGCCATAGATGGCGCGAGAGTCATCAACGCATAAGTCACCGATCCTGTCGCCGCTGCGGATGTCGAGGTAAGAAGGCGATACCGGGAACAGACGGAGCACTTCCCGTGCGAACAGAATAGTCGCGAACGAATGGGGTCTATGTCTTCGCGAAGCCAGACGAGGCCACACGGGCACCCATACTGATATGCCTCTCGACCCAACCGCGTCGGTCATGTCAGAAATGGACATTAGCTCCTGACATGCGGCTTGCGCGGCATGCAACTGCGCTGGTTATTTTGTAGACGCGGAAAGCGAGGCTTGTAGATGGTATCGATGACATCCTGCTGTGGATGCAGTTAGATTGCCACGGGAGTTGGCGCTATGCATGGCGCAGCTCCGGCTGACAAGCGCTAAGGATTTGCAATATAAGAATTGAACCGGCTTGGATATGCGAACTCGGAGCCATGCTTTTCGTGACTCAAGGCTTCGCCTGTTGTCAAAGAATGACATGGCGTGGAATATCACCATCACCAACGCCGTCCGCCGCGCCACCCAGGCCTACCTCCTCCACGAGCTCGTCCACCACCACGCTCAGACGCCATTGCTCTGGCACGATCGACCTCCGCGTTAGCCTCTTGCATTGGCCGAATGGGCACGTCGGCATAACCAATCGCAGCGTCCTTGTCTCGCTTCGCTACCGCTTTCATTCTGTCGATACCGTCTAGAGACCAACCCCAGTAGTTGCGCGTCGGCCGGTCAGGATCCTTCCAGAGAACATTTCCCAAGGCATCTACATCCTGTACGTCTTCTGCGTTGGTATACTTGTCGAAAGCACGGAGAATCTCCCCGTGCAAAGCTTCAACATCAGTCTCCAACCCTGCGTCCAGTGCTTCTCCTGGACAGGTCGTGTCAACGTTGCCAGTGCATCACAACAAGTGAACAGACTTACCACCCTCGTGCCGATCGTGAAGCTCGTATCCGCCGACCGGCAATGCCGCTGCTCTGAGCGGGTAGCCTCTTGTACGTTTCATGTACAATCCGTTAGCGGCGGGGAGCTCGTGCCATGGTGCAGTAGGATCGTTAGGAACACCATGGCGAGCTGGAAGGATGGCTTTTGTGTCTCTGGTTCCTGGTAACGTCTTGCTATTCGGCTGCGAGTCCTCTGCGGTAATCCCTTCAGTCAACCCGTCCCATGTTGCGGTATTGCGATGCGCTCGGAGAACATGTTCGTGCGTTGCGACAACCTCAGCTTCAGACACAATCTCCCCGTCATGCCAGATTTTGAGGATTGACACGACTTGAAGATAATTGCTAGCGGACTGTTCATTGCCGGCGTAAGTGGCGAGGGCAGCCAGCGCTGGCAAGTACTGCTGGAACGAAACAAGTCCTTGCATCTGGAGGCCTGCTCCACCGTCGGCGGTGCTCGCTTTCATCAAGAGGGATATACGGTGACCTGCACAGAGAGCATCACTGACCAGATACAAGAGGTGTAGTCGCTTGAGATGCGGCTGTGGAGGCTGCTGAATTCTGCCATTGTTGTTTGTGCCCAGTCCCGTATTCGCGTCGTCAGGCTGAGTGGTATCAATCCGCTTGCCGAGCTCGCGTGGCGAGAAGGACTGGCTTAGAGATAAGATGTATCGAGCCAAAGCCGTGCTTTTAGCAGTGGACGTGATGATGTTGGACAATATGAAAGCTGTACATCGCTGATACGCCGATCCGAGTAAGTTCTGAGCGTGGAGAGCATGGAAGAGCAGAAGTATGCAGATGGACAAACCTGTATGTTACTCTTAGTGCAGACGTTGGCAACGCGCTGGATGTCTGTAATGAAATTATCAGCATCGCCGCCTAGAATCTCGCGTAGATAGCGTGTGCATGCAGTATGTGCGTCGGCAGTAGTAGACATGGGAGCATCGCGGGTTGCGGACAACGTGAGAGAAACTATGTTGGGTGGAAGATGTCGGCAAAGTTGCCAGCTACTCTCTCCCAAGACTGGCGTTGGCAGAGACACGAAACGGGAGAAGCCGGCTTGGCTCGACGGCAACCTCGTTGCGGTCACTGTCTGGCTGACAACAGCCGCGTTTCATTCGTAGCTATCCGAAGCTTGGGAGTGATTGATCTACGCAAAGACGGAGAGTGATTAGGACATACGAGGCTCTGCTTGACCACAGCACCTTTGTCGGTTGAGCACTTTGGCAGGATTGAGAACTGTAGCTGGGTGTTGCCAGCCTTGTGGGACAGCCTTCTGCACGCCGACTGCGTTTGTGCCAAGGTCTCTCGGACTCTGTACCGCCACGAGCTACCCCTGCTGAACGCTGCCGTAATGACATCCTGGCTCCAGTCTTTCTTCTCGACATAGTGGCGCTACTCCTTGGGACCGGTAACGATGGGTGCATCGGAAAGTAAGCTGACGTTCAAGGAGGACGTCTTTCGCCTCGCACGAGAGGACAACATCCCTGCCGACGATGTGTGGTGGGCGCAGTTCTACCAGCTACCGGAGCACGCCGACGATGTCTTTGCGCTGTGGAGTCCTACAGACGTCCGAAATTTGACATTGAATGGACCTGACCGGCCGTCACCCGGTGCTCAGGTCTCCCCGAGGAAGAATCTTGAGACCCTTATCTATGTCTGCGTGGCTAGGCTCGATGCATTGCAGCGGAAGCGCTGCTTTGCCGACCCTCATCAGCCGATTGCGCCTGAAGCTCTCAACTGCATGCGCATATTAACCCGTCTCCTGCCCTATATTTACGAGGCAGACCACTTGCATGTATGGGAGGAGAAGTTCTTCTGGCAGCCGAGGACGCCTTCGCAAAGCTGGGACACTAAGCGCAATCGGCCGGGCGCGTACTATGATGGTCTAGACCCAGCGAAGAGGTTTCTTGTCGAAGAAACGGACGGAGAGCATGTCAGTAACCGTGTCATCGGTCCGCCGCTTGGTGAGCAGCTCGTCGATGTAATGATTCGATATATGTTCTTTGCAGGCTTCACACTGCCTAAGCGGCTCGACTCCCAGGGGCTGCCGGACTTAAAAGTCGCCTATCATATCTGGAACAGTGGCATTGGATGCCGGCAGAGCGCCGGGATGACGAGGGAGAACGAGAAAAACGCTGCTGAGGCAATCCGGTTGCTCCTGAGCCTTTGCAGCCGCCAGATGTACATTGTGCCGCGTAAGCATCAGTCCCCTGTCTGCCGGTTCCCTCGTCCAGAGCAGAGCTGTACTGATACGAATGAACAGAGCTTGTCGCAGAGACGGACGTCAAACCAATCTCGTATATGACGCTCAAGCCAGATCGCCAGGTTGCACTAAGCATGATTTGCTCGCTCTTGAACACGGTACGCTCGCATCAGCACTGCTGCTTTTGCAAAGAGCGACAGGAATAACGTGCTGACGAGCCAAAGGTGCTGAAGTACAATCCAGCGACATGGCGGGTTCCAGTCGACTTCGCAACTGACGGTGACCCACGTTCGAGACTGGCTAACCTTTCATTGGACCTACTGTTGGTCTTGGTGCTCTACCCTGAGCCAGCCGGGCAGTCTAATGCTTATCGTCGAGCAGTCAGCCGGCTGCACCGGGTTGAGGATTTTCAATTCATACAGCAAGGCTTGATGACAGTTCTGATGCAGCCCGTATGTGCTCGATCGTACAGTGCTCCACACATGCTAATACAGGCTGCAGATCTCCGGAGTGACAGCATACCTCGCTGGTAAGCAGGTCCCATGGGCGCCTGAGATGCTCATCCTGTTCTGGGAACTTCTACAAGTCAACAAGCGCTTCCGAGCTTTTATCATCGAAACAGATCGCGCGCACGACTTTGTCGTGCTTGTGCTCTTCTACGCCATGGGCGCCAAGGACCAGCCCACGAAGCAGAGCATTGTGCGGATGTGTGTACTGATTCTTCAAACCATGAGCGTCGAGCCGACATTTGGCTCGCACTTGAACAAGCCTTTCGTGGGCCAAGAGAGCCTGCCAGCTCAACTCCGCATTACGAACTTCCACGGCACCTATGCTGACTTTCTAATTACATCGGTGCATACACTTATGACGACCACTCAGGGCAGGTTGGAATCCATCTACCCGGCCCTTCTCGCGATTATCAACAATGTTGCGCCGTACGCACTCGAGATCCAACGAGCAACAAGCTCAAAGCTACTCGATCTGTTCGCCTCACTCTCCTCGCCCACATTCTTGCTGGAGAAGGAGGGCAACCATCACCTTCTTGAGCAGATGTTGCAAATCATCAACGCCGTTCTTGAGCACCAGCTAGCCGCCAATCGGCGCTTCGTTGAAGTCCTTGTTCGGAGTCGCAAGCGCTTCCAGATATTACGCGATTTTACCGTTGAAGGTGCACTTGCGGAGCTGGATCGGCAGGCACAAGAGCGCAAAGAGCGTGGTGAGGCTTCACTTACATCTGGCGTGCGCAGCCCGCAGCGCAATGGCTCGCTCGATATGGGTCGAAGCCCGGTCTCCGCTCGGTCTCCGCAATTGGGCAATGTACCGGAACACGGAGCTTTTGCCATTGGCGATGACGAAGATGATCAAGACGACGAAGCCGTGAACGCCGCCATGACCGGAAGCACTTCTTCCCTCGTGCCGCTCAGTGCGTCCACCAGCAACGTAGATGAGGCTCTACCGCTACAGTCAAGAGGCATGTCGGAGAAAGCGCGAGGAAAGCAGCCCGTGGGCGAAGGCAGCTTCTCCCGCTCAAATTCACGAAACACGTCGGCCGCCAGCCTACCCGCTCTCAACACGACGTCGTCAATTGTGTCCACAGGTATGCCGACTCCTCTTCAGCCCTTTCAGCCGACTCCGGAATGGCTCGAGACATGGCTACCGCACCTGCAGCTCCACACGATACTAGAGGTTATCGGCCAAGTTCGCGTACGCGGGGATGATATAACTCTACCGGAGCGCATTGAAGTGCTCGCCTCCGAGGATGCAACCGCACCCAAGGTCCAGGCCTTCGTCTGGACGTCGCTCTCACTCGGATGGTATGTAAGTCTGCTTTGGGGCCTTATCTACGCCTCCGATGTCTCGTCGAACAAAGGCATACATGGCATTTGGTCTAGCACGAGCATCAAGCTTTTCGCAGTGAAGATGAGTGCGCAGACGGGCAGTATCAGCTTGAGAAGTCCACAAGGTGCCGTCGATGCAATCGGCAATGGCATAGTGCAGCGTTTAAGTAGCTTGAGCTTCCAAAGCTCCCCTACGGTACGGGAAGTATGAGTTGATAGTAGGCTCACGCTAAACGCCTCGCTTGAGATCCTGTCAATGTAGCCGCCCAAGCACCGCGCGAGCATGCACTGTACATTCACAATTTCGACTCCAAATCCTCGAAGTTACTCAATGGTTTCACCGCCTTCGCACCCGCACTTAGTGGCATGCTCGCCTTCCAAGCCTTCACGTCCTCAATCATCACTGACTGGCTCTGTCTCTCCGGCAGCACTTCTCTATCTGTCTTCGCCACGTCATTTTCACGCTCCCCCTTCGCCGAAGCATTCGGCGAAATGCCAAGCAATGGCAGCACCTGCGCCAATACGGTCTGACCCTGTCCCATAACCTGCTGCACCTGCTCCGTAGCAGCGCCGGCGCCTTCCTTGAGGTACTCGCCCAGGGCGTTAAGGATGCCTTGCGTGTCACCAGCGGCCACATCGACTTTCTCGAGCCGTGCAGCAAGCTTGGTGGGCTCTGCTTGCACGCCTAGTTGGCCGAGTATATTGGTCAGCGTGGCAGCCAGCTTCTCACGCTGCTCCTTCGGATCGGTCTTCTTCGCAATTTCGCGAACCGAAGACTGCGCCTTGAGATGGACCGCCGTCTTCGCTCTCGTCTGCGAGCTTGGGTGCATGTACGCCTTGTAGAAGTTCAACATGTCCTTCTTGGTCAGGACTTCGATGTGCTCGACATCGCGGTACGCTGCATCTTATTGTCAGTGACTTGACCTTCGCGACCGGGTCGGGGTAGCAGGACTCACCGAGCTCAAAGTCAAACTGCTCGCTAACGACATGATGCCAGAAGCGAGCTGTCTCCTGTCCCAGATTCTTCAGCTTCTCCAATCGCTTATTGATCAACCCAATCTTGTGCTCCTCAAATTCGCTATCGGGCATGTCCAGCAGGGCCTGCTCGTACCCAACCAGCCAGTTCTCGATCCTGCCAGTCAAATACTCACAATCCTTCTCGGATTGAATCAAAACACGGTACGAGTACAAAGTGCCGTAAATGGCTGCGCCACTGCTGACTACATACCCGAGCTGTTCCTTCGTCCGTAACTGGTCGAAGCAAGGCTCGCTCGTCATCTGTGCGAACAGCAACAGCTTGGCGCGCAAAGATCGCTCGATATTGTTGCCAAGGTGCAAGCTGTAATCGATGCAGTGATTGATGTTCTTGGGGTCCTTCAGCGTGCGAGGGTACGTAAAGTCCGATCCTTGCGGCACCTCGATGGCTCTCTTGACGGGCCATTGGCTTGGCGGTAAGCGTCTCGGCTTCAGCGTGTGCATCACCATATCCGTGATGCGCAGCGCGTCTTCTTTGTACAGATTGCCGTGCACGAGTAGCTCAACGTGCATTTGTTTCAGGACCTGCGGGAAGAAAGCGCGGACATCGTCAGCCGTTAAGGCCGGTAGCTCTTCGACTATCTGTTCTGCAATCCAAGCCTTTTCGTTCACGAGCCAGCGGCTGTAAGTAGAGATCTGCCGGAACGGATCTTGATACTCGAGATCCTTCATACTCCGCGTGACCCACTCTTTGGTGATGTCGAAGCGGTCTTGCTTAATCTCGAGGTCTCGCATACGGAGCAACACCTTCTCGAGCAACACCGGCAGCTTGTCGTTATAGCCGGAGACACTAACATCGATGCCTTGATTATGCATTGAAATGCTGTAATCCAGACCAGCGATCTCGGCATCATAGGCGTATTCTTGCAAGCTGTCTTCCACAAGCTTGCCGTACATCTGACCCATGACCGCTGTCAGGGGCGTCGTGCTGAGTAGGGGTGTTCGAAAGCATACTTGAACGGTGGCTCTCGGCACCCAGAACTGGTCGTCCTTCTTAAACCATGTCCGCACGTTGTCGGTATTGCGGATTAGCTTTGGAGTGAGCGCAGGTTCTACAACTTCCCTTTTCTCCACATCAAGCCGTTGTGGTACAAATTCGTTCTTGGCTGGTAGATGCAGCTCCGGTGGCCGCTCATTTGCGCTCGCTTTCGCAGCTTTCGTGATCTCCTTCAGGAAGTCTGCAGGTATCTTCTCGTACTTATACTCTGTGCCATACCACTCTTCCTTACTATCCGTGTCAACGGGAAGCTCCCTGCTGATGAGGATGAAGCGGAAATTGTCCGGGCTGAGATGAGCAAGTCCGCGCTTGATGCTCTCGGGTTCGAACTTGGTGAGCACGAACTGTCCGCTGAGCAGCCGATCTCGCGGGAGTGGCTTCTGCATGACTCCTGACATCCAGCTGGTCGTACTCGACGCTCGTGACTTTTCCTGAAACATGAAGTTGACGTCTTGCAGCTTGCTGGACTCCTCGAAGATCCAGCGGTGCGGCGGCTCCTCCTTCAGCATGGCGACGTAATTGAAGAATACTTTCACGACCTCCTTGTATTGCTTCAGACCGTCTTCCGTAAGTTGGATTTGCACCATCATCACTCCTGAGCCAGGACAGACGGTCGAGGCACCTGCATTCAAGCCGTTTGCCCAGCCCTTGGCCTTCAGATGCGCAAGAATGCTACCAGGACCCTCGTGGCCAATCAGATGGCTTAAGTATCGGCTCGGCTTGGACTCCCACATCTCTTCCTCGTCTGGATAAGTGAAGTGAAGATCTATCAGCTTCTTATCCATGACTGGCTTGGCAAAGACCTGGGTGCAGACATCGTTCTCATCGTATACTGACAGACCGTCCCATCGCAGCTGCGGTAGCGCCTGGTTTGGCACGTCCGTAAACAGCTCTTCAGCCCACGCTTGCAGCTGATCCAATGACTCTCTGCCAAGTATGCATAGCTTCATCCGATTAGCCGAGTAATGCTGCTCGTAAAAGTTGATGAAGGCCTCCCTTATCTTGACGCCTCGCTCGATGGGGTCATCGTGCAAAACCTTGTAGTTGCCGGTAGAGAACTTATGAAACGGGTGCTTCTTGCTGGCCAAGCTCTTGTCCAGTTGATTGAACCGCCAATTGTCCGCCTGCAAGTTCTTCTTGTTCTCGCTGTCCACGGCTTTCAGCTCCCGGTCTAGCGTATCTTCAAGGAAGAGAGGCTTTACGAAGAACTGTGCAAACCGATCCAATGCGCCATATAGCGGTGCCTTGTTCTTCGGTACCGAAACGGCCAAGCTCTCCTTGCTGACATTCGCGGAAGACGAAGGGCTGTTCGATGTCGCGGAAGCGGAGAGCTCGAAATAGTAATTCGTTGACGTGGCGGCAGTGAAAGCATTCGAGTAGCCGCCATACTTGGTCAGATACTGGTTGTAGTCGTTCTCTCCTGGATACTACGTGAGCACGTGGTCAGTCCTCTCTCCCTCATTTTGGTTTCAACCAAGCATAGAAACGACGTACCTTCTCCGTGCCCATGAAAAGCAAGTGCTCGACTGCATGTGCCATTCCTGGTAGATCATCGGCGTCGCTGAAGCTGCCGACATTGACATCCATGGCCGCCGAGGCCTTGTCAGTGGCAGGGTCATGGATGAGGAGTACCTCCAGCTCATTGCTGAGCTTGACGACTCGGTACTGTCGGTCGTCGAGGAGCGGCTTCTCAAGCTGGTCTGCTAGTCGTACAACGCCACCGGCAGGCTGGGCATGGCTGTACAGTCGCTGTTCAGCCATTGTTGCGTAGGTGCGCTTCCCAAATGTAGGCCGAACTGTACGTGCTATCTTGCTGGTAGTAGAAGGCCTTGATGTACTACATCTACTGCCTGGCGCACTTGATGGGAAGTGAGAGGTGGAGGGTAAGACGGGAAGATGAATGGGCGCTGACGCTTGCTTGATGCCTGCGGCAGTGGCGAGATGACGAGGAGATGGCACACTCGAGGAGACAGTGGAAACGTGTCTTACTCTCGTGACCAAGCAAGGCCGGTACATATGCCGAGGAGGCAGAGGAACAGCTGCATGGCAGCGGCGACCGACGGGCATATATGTTGGTGAATGTAGGAGAGCAGGTCGTGCGGCGCTCGGGAAAGCCAAGGCAAGGCAAGGTACGGGCGAGAACAATGCTAGCGAAGCTTCACCGCCAGCAACATTGATGGACGGAGCTAGATAACGGGCGAGCTGCTCTGTCGCACAGGGACGTTGAAGGAGGTGTTTGCGCACGAGCTCGCTGCGCTAGCTGCCATCATGCCTGTTAAACCATGCATGAGCTTCGTACAGCAGCTTTCCACTTGGCGACATGGGAAAGACTGCGGGAGCTTTATATACAAGATGTTGAACTTTTCATCGGTATATTCCCATACTTTGCGTTACGGACTTTCACGACGTTACTCTGCTCAGTAACCATCCCGTACGATCACCATCCCTTAGACGACCAACCCCCAGATGACCATCTGCCTGACGACCATCCCGTAGACGACCACCCCGAAATGTCAATCAATCCAACCTGCACCCTGTTCTGCTTAGACGGAGGCAGACTCCCACCATCCGCAAGCAACAGATACCGATCTTCCTCATGCTGCAACAACCTCAAACTCCTCGTGTAACTTCTGCGCTCCCCCGTCTCCACCTTCACCCACTTGCTTCCGTCCACTTTGCCCTCACTCGTGGCCTGATTAATGAATGCTTCGGAGTGCGAGTTCGCGCTCACGATGATGAGTCCATTTCTTGTCGCCGTATTGTACGGGCTTGACGACGGCACTGTTCCATCAGTCGCCACCAACGGCAAGCCTGTCACGTTGCCGAAAGTGAGTGGCGATGAAGAGATCTTGTAGTAGACAGGGAACTGGTAGCTGTTGGGGTAGACACCACCAATCATGCCACCGCCATTCTCATACGTCATGAACCATTGGCCGCCTGGTAAGGAGGCGACGGTCGTCATGCCCGGACGAGCGGTGTAGTTGGCGTACGCCACGTCATCGACAACGGGTCCCCAGCTTTCGCCGTCGGTGGTGGTCTGGTGGACAAGCTTTTGGCCGTGGGCAGGGTCGCGTTGATCGGAGTAGAAGCAGATGAGCTCGCCGTTCAGAAGGAGGAGGAAGGGCTCCCAGACTGGCGTGAGGCCATTGGTAGGTTCTGCGACGCCACCGTCGGCGATGTGGGACACGAAGGACCAGGTGTAGCCGCCATCGCGGGATGCGTAGAGTTCGATGTGCGTCGAGGACAGGTTTGTGGGGATGGAGCTGCCGCTAAGTAGGATGTCGCCCTGCTTGAAGCCGGCGAAGGAGGCAGGGAGCTCGTAGAGGAAAGGTTGGTAGCGCAAGCCGAAGCCGCGGGCGGTGTCTTGGACTCTACTGATCTCAGCCCAGCTTTGGCCATAGTCGGTGGACTTGAAGATCGGGAAGTAGACGGGTGGAGGTTCGGGGCTGTAGTTCTCCCAGGTGGCGAGGAGGGTGCCGTCTGAGAGTTCCACTGTACGAGCGTACAGAGTGCCAGGGATGGTATAGTTGGCTGGGGACTGGAAGATGGTGTTGTTGTTGAACGTTGTCAGTTGCTTGGCATAAGCATTGTGTTGGGGAGAGGGGAGAGCTGCGGTGAGCGAAGAGGCCGTGAAGGCCAGAACGGCGAGTGTGCTCAAGAGACGCATGGTATTTTTGCCGAAGAGGTAGGAGAGTGTCTGTTCTGGAGGTACGGGAAGTAGACGACCTTGCCGATGTATATATACACAAAGGATCTGCAATGGTACTCGGACACAAGAGTGTCCATCATGCACGTCAACTCATCGTCAGAATATCATACCATCGATCCGCCAACCCCGCAGAGATGTCGCAGAGAGGAATGGAGAATCTAGGATACGGTGTGGGCTCAATTGCGGAGTACTTGAGACGCTTGTATGATCATCAGGTACATTTCCCGCCAGACAATGCTCTTGAGCCTTCGGGTCGACCTTGAGTGTTGTCAAAAAACACCCCACCGGACGCTAACTTCCGGTGGTGGCACCGGGATCCTCCACGCGCATCGTGAGGCGGGGCGGCTACGGTTAAGAGTCCTCCCGGTGGCTTGCAACACCCCGCGCAACGCACGGATCTTCGTAGACCAACACAACAACTTCTCTATGGTGTAACACAACCAATATTGGTCGTAGCAGCTTCATATTGATAGTAGAAGCAGTTCTATATATACTCTATCGAACTACCAACTCATAGCCCTTCAGGTGTTATAGTTGCCGCTTCACCCTTGCTCCTCTGCCAAGCGGCTGTCCCTCTGCTTCCACCTTCTAAGTAGCAATAACTGGTAATAGAGGTAGTGTTGCTATTCGAGCCTGTTGAAGAGGCCTACGAGGCCTCTTAACTGAGTGTTGTAGCTCGTGTAGCAGCTGGCGGTTGCTCTGGTTGACCTCCTTCGTTACCGACTTCCTACGTACCTCTACTGCAGCGGCTGCAGCTCGAGCTTGTTGTTGTTGCTGACGAGCTTCTTTCTTCTCTGCGGCTGCTCGTTGTTGTAGCTGCTTTTGTAACACTCTGGCATCGGCCTCGAGTCGCTTCTGCTCAGCTACAGCCACTTTTGCTTGCTCCTTCTTAACCAAATAGTCCTTTGCTTGCTGAATCTTCATAGGGCTATAGAAAGTCGAACCTTGGCCATCTTGTGCTCGTAGATCCTCGAAGAGGTGTTTGCTACGTTTGCGGCGCTTCTTCTTATAAACTAGAGCCTGCTTGTAGCCGTTGTTCTCGGCCTATAGCAGTGTTACCTGCGTGCTGAGGTGGTAGAGGGTGTTCTCGAGTTTACGGAGGTTTTTTCGATCTCTTTCTTCTATAACCTCGTTAACAGTCTCTTTTACTAACGCCCTAGCTATTCGCCACTGCGGTGCTGATAAATGTGAACCGTTCGAGCTTGATTGCAGTCGACTGCTCTCTGTTAATGGTGCAGGAGCAGGCTCTACTAGCTTAAGGATAACTGCCGGATTGAAGGGGTGTATACCGGTTTTGGACCATGCAGAGGTGATATTTTCTTTGGTAAACGCTTTGCAATAGGCTGGCCAGAAGAGGCGAAGGAAATCACGCTTGCTGACTGACGAGAGGCCTTGGCAGTCGTGAATAAATTAGTCAAGCTCTTGGCTGTAGTAGATAGCTAATGGCGCAAAGAGGCCGATATCTAGAGGCTGCAGCCGGTGTGTTGAGTGCGGTGGATATGTGGCAACAAGGATGCCGTAGTCGTTACACTATTTAAGGAACCTCATGTTGATGTGGGAGCCGTGGCTATCGACGAATAGCAACCGCTTGCGCCTACGAGCTTTGCTCCGAGTTTCGCGGTCAAACACCTTCGTTAACCACTCGAAACCGAGCTCGTCGTTCGTCCAACCGGTTGGTGAGGAGGCTATGAAGGCGAAGTGCTTCTCTATATCGAGATCTTGTATCTAGGAGTCCTGAAGATTGCCGGATTTCGCTGAGTAGATCAGCGCTAGTGCTACTGCAGTGCCATTAGCGTATATAGTCGCTATCGTTATAATCCACTCCCTATTGCTATCTTGAATATTGCCAAGTATCTGTTGTGACTCGTACTTCGCCTTATTGAAGATTCTATAGGCTCGTGTAAGGAGGCCTATAGCAAAGCCTTTTTCGTCCATATTGTACACATTCTCCGGTTCTATGTCGTACTGCTCTATCTTGAGCTTGATGAGGTCGAAGTAGGCTTGGTATTCCTTCATATTGTCGACTTTCTTGCGAACTGCATCGATAGGGCGTAGGTACCGGCTCATAAGCGTATCCGGCCATCGTTTGACGAAACGGCTGATCCAGTTCTTCCCTGGCTCTTTGCCAGCGATCTCTGCAGCAAAGCGGCGAACCATTAATGAAGTCGGTGCTAGGCCACGGTTACAGAGCTTGTTAATATAGGCTATAAGGTCTTTCTCTTGTTGGGGGTTTAGGAACTGTTGCGCCTGGTTCGCTAAGTGCTTGGTCTGCTGGCCCTTCTTCAAGTGCCTCCACAACGTCGTACGGTGAACTCCATGCGCTTTTGCGATAGCCGTTAGATTCGGACGGTTAGTGGCTCTCGCCTCGTCCACTGCGGAGTCGATTGGGGCTATTATTGGTTGCGCAATGAGTTGTTCTATTCATGGTGTTTGACGCGAAAGTGTTGCAACGCGGGGGATCGTGCACTGCGCCGGGAGGACCCGTAACGGTGAAGGCGCTTCACGTCCGTTCGAGTTGGATGTTTGCTGCTGTCTACGATCTACCTACTGAAGTACATTTGTTCGTCTTTGGTGTGGTGGCTTGCGGCCGGGCGACTTACTCAATGAAACTTCGACTTCCTTTACCACACTGCTTTGCTATTGAGTAATAACAGTCCCACATGCTATGTGAAGCCTTACAGAATCAATTTGATGCCTCCCCGCATGTACGCCGAGTATATCTGAGCGCGGAATACCTGACATCCGGAGTAGCAGCCATAGTTGGCCGGGTGTACCGGCCACGAGGATGCACCAGCGTGAACCAGTTGGTGAAAGTCTCAGCGGCCGCAAAGGGCACTCAAGACGTGATCGACTCGGCATAAGGGCATATAATTATGGTCGCACTCGAGTACATGTTTAAGCTGGCTCATTTGGTACAGAACGGTGAGACGTTGTAGAATCGAACGGTCCATTGCGAAGCATACTCCTGGTCATTCAGCGTCTGCATGTTGATCTGTGGCCTCGACCGCCCGACATCGCACGAGTTGGTGGTAGACTTGCATGGGTGACGCGAGAGGTCATTCCCAGTCCTTCACTCACATCCTCACGTCCTCCTGATAGGTGACAACGCTAGTCTTCCTTTCCACCTCCGCAACACGGTTCTCGAGATCATGCTGCTCAAACTCCGCCATGTTCATCGTTGGGACGAATAGTGGAGCGTTGGTGAAAAGATAATTCATCTCTTCGAGTGGCCGCTTCTTCGTCTCGGGCTGAATTGCCCAGAAGAAGATGGCGTTCGTAAAGTTGCAAACGACCTGTATACCTGGTCAGCACCCGTTGGTTTTCCGTCGGAAACTTTGATGATGTTTACTTACGAAAAGAATGTAGAAGCGCCAGCCAATAGAGGCCATGGCGATCGGAGTGATCTGGCCGATCAAGGTGTTGAAGGCGAAGCTGACCATCACACCAATGGACACACCCTTGGCACGGGTTCGCGTATCGAAGACCTCAGCCGGCACAATCCAGCTCAAAGGCCCACACGTGGCGCTGAAGGAGAAGTTGTACAGCCAGGTCATGATTGTAAAACCCCACCCAGCCCCTACATTCCGTGAGACACCCGGCGGGAAACTCGCCAGTAGAGCGGTCGCGATAATAAAGGTTACGCAGTTGGCAAGGTTGCCGCCGATCAGTGCCCATCGCCGACCAAGAGGATCGATGAGCAGGATACAGGCAGCCTCTCCCGCAAGAGCTATGAGGCTGTTGATCCCCTGGTACTCCAGTGTCTTACTCGTTGGTATGCCAATTTGTGCAAAAATGGTTGGAGAATAGTATTGAATCGCGGATACACCAGTCATTTGAACAGAGGCTTGGATCGCGCAGACGAGGAAGAGGCGGCGGAAGGAGCTTTTGTTGGTGAACAGTTCGGCATATGACTTGGCCTCATTCGCATGCTCGAAATGGATGCTGTCGGTAATCTGTTCGAACTCTGCGCGGACCCACGCATCATTCTCATCGCCGTGAGCGTGGAGTTTCGCCAGCGAGCGAAGGCCATCCTCTGCTCTGTCATGATCGATAAGCCATCTGCAACTCTTGTCAACATACGGGTTAACACCCACGACTATAACGGCGTCCGTACCTTGGCGACTCAGGAAAGAAAAGGATGAGCATGGCAAGAATGCCGGCCGGAATGATCTGGATACCAAGACTGACACGCCATTGCTTGCTGGAGTCTGCTGGAAACCGCGTATAGCAACCGTAGCCGACCCATGTAGCAACAAGCGCACCGATGCCCAACATGAACTGCTGGAGCGCAGTGACACGACCTCGAATGTCCGGGTGTGCAATTTCAGCCTGATAGAGCGGAATGATCATGACGAGGAAACCTATTCCCAACCCAGCAATACACCTTCCGGCGTACAAGTACGACAACGACTGTGCCCCAGTTTGCAGGCCGCCGCCCACAAGGAAGATCAGAGCGCCAAGGAGGATAGTCTTGCGTCTGCCGATCCAATCTCCCGTAGGCCCAGCAAAGCAAGCGCCGAAGAATGCACCACCAGTGAAAACAGAGACGACAGCGCCAGATTCGGCGGCGGTAGGGTGGAAAGTGTCGATGAAGTTCTGGGAAGCAATGGCTTCTGCAATAACACCAAGATCATACCCATACAGAACCGAGCCGACCGAGGCGAAGACGCCGACGAGAAACTGTCAAGTGTGTAAGCATGCAGCAATCTCGGACTCGATGTAGGTAGTGAAGCGTACTTGGTAAAGTTTCGGAGGGATAGCCATGTTCGAAGCAAAGTAGACGATGGGAGGAGGTTGGTGCAACAGTGCAGTAAAGGCTCGCTCGCCTCGACCCAGACATGGCCTTCTTTAACATGATCTACGGCTCCATACTCCACAATATAACTCCACACTAGCCTTCCCGAGTCGTGGTGTCCGCGTGGAGCATGTCGCGTGGCTACAGGTTCCGGTGGACATTTCCACCACCGGCATGTGGAACGGTCACGAGATCCAAGGCGCTGCCAGAGTGCAGTCCGTGGTGGCGGGTGGAGCTTCACCAGTCAGTCCACGAACGATTTTACGCCATTGGATAATTAAGGACCAGATGAAGAATCTGTAGCCGCGCCTGATAAGCCCATTCTGTGAGAAAGCTTCCGCACGTTCCACAACGAGCGGGACGCCTCGACGCTGTGAAAACTCCTGTGTTTTCAGATTTCTGGACCAGCACCTTTTCAATGACCCACAAAGATCGCTTAACGGCAGTACATAGTATGTGAATGCACTCAAGGTACAGTCGAAAGCTTTCTTCGAAGCGTGTCTCGGTGCGTACAGCATGACTACTTTCACTAAGCTCGACGACGGCGACCAGCCCGGTATCTTCGTTTACCCCTCTCATAAGCTCAGCAAGATCAACGACAATGTCTATAGTGGATTCACGGAACACATGGGTAGGGCAAAGCGATGCGTTTCATCCCCTCCCACAAAGTTGTGAGACATTGACCTCCCACTTATTAGGTCGTTGCATCTACGGAGGACTCTACGACCCTTCAAATCCGAACATGCATCTAATTGATGATAATGGCTTTAGAATCGATGTCATTGAGGTACAAATTCTTGGCTGTAAGCCTCCTTTCCTGTATGGAATAAAGCTGACGGGTATGATCAACACATATCAGGCGTTCAAGGAGCTCAGCGTCCCTGTTGTAAGGTATCCGGGAGGCAACTTCGTTGCTACATATCATTGGCTTGACGGTGTTGGGCCTCGAGACCAGAGACCGAAACGAGCAGAGCTGGCATGGCTTGGCGTTGAGACGAACGAAGTCGGCACAGACGAATTTATGAAGTGGTGCGAGGTGTGTACATGAAGGCCGTTACGCCTTATCTGTTGTACACAACCTTGCTGACACAACTAACCTCGCCTCGTAGGTTGTAGGCACCGAGCCGTATTTGGCACTAAACTTCGGAACTGGTGCGTTCCGGTTTCGTCACGCCTTTGGGAGATTTGTGCTGACCATCAGTAGGCACCCTCGACGAAGGTAGGCTTGGGCTTATACAATGCGTGTGTAGGCCAGATACTGAATATCATAGCACTCGGCTGGCTCGAGTACTGCAACTCCGAGCAAGATACACACTACGCAAACCTGCGCCGCAAGCATGGCCGTGAGAAACCATACAATGTCAAGTATTGGGCACTCGGCAACGAGTGCTGGGGACCTTGGCAAGTAGAGCAGGTCCATCGCTCTCAGCACTAATGGCTTTGCCAGTGCGGCTAACAGCACGCAGATGACGAAAGAGGACTATGCGAAGAAAGCGTATCAGTGGGTAGGCACTACAAACCATAACCCATGCTTGCAGTCCGGCGGGCTGCTAACGGTCGTGTCTGACACACTCCTAGGCCAAAGCCCTCAAGATGCAGGATCCGTCAATCACACTCATCTTGTGCGGAGAGAATGGTGTCTCGCACTGGGACTTTCACGTCCTCACGCAGTGCTTGAAGCCGGATGTGCATGCTTTAGGCGGCAGTGCCACAAAATCCTTGATTGACATGCACAGTATCCACATGTACACCGCGGCCAAAGATCCCATAACCAATGCGCTCGCACCTCGGCTGGCGGAGAGATCCATCGAAATTTGCGCGGGTCTCATTGATTTAGCGAGGCAGGTCAACCAGGTACCGGCCACGGTGCCTGCTCCGACGATATGCTTCGATGAATGGAATGTGTGGGATCCTGCTCGCGCCCCTGGAGAGACTGGTGCCGAGGAGCAGTATACACTCTCGGATGCCCTCGCAGTGGCTGTTTGGCTCAACGTGTTCGTACGGCAGAGCAAGTACATTGGCATGGCCAACATCGCTCAGAGCGTCAATGTAATTTCTCCGTTAATGACGCATGCAAACGGCCTCGTGAAGCAGACAACATGGTGGCCACTTCTACTGTTCAGCAAGTACATGCGTGGCTCAACTGTCGCTGCTCACGTCAGTTGCCCGACAGCGTCTGGCTCAGAGCACGCCTGGCTGGACGCATCTGCCGCAATGGGCGACGACGGTTGGGTCAGTCTGGTGGTTGTAAACGTACACCCTAGCGAGACGTTTGATATCACCGTTCAAGGAGTGCAGACTTCGGCAGCCGAGGTCGAGAAGTACGTTATTACAGGCGAGAGCTGGCAAGCTACCAATACCGAGACCGACCAAGCGGTTAAGATCCACGAGAATAAGTGGGGTGGCAAGGGGCCTTGTTCATTTGCCAAGATGAGCATGACGATGCTGCGATGGAAGCCTTCAGGTGGCGCGTAATAATACCGAGACGGTGAACTGCGCTACTGGGCTGAGACGTCCTCCATGAAATGGTACACTATCCGGCCGTATAGCAGACTTGACTCAGCACCCTTCCCTCTTCCTAAGGGGCCAATCTCTTATCTGTACCTGCAGCAGTGCCACTTCTAGTCACGTTCGCCAGTCGGGTTAGGATGTCATAATACTCTCGCGTGACACCCCAGCAAGCTACCTTCGACCTCAATAACTTCGACCCTTCCAGAAGTACTTTGTGTGGAGCCTTGCGAATGTCTCCAACATTACTGATATAACCAGCCATCTTGTCACCGTTACGGACGAAGTGTTGGACCATCTCGTCGTCGCAGGGTCGGTCAAGATGAATGAAAGCGGGCTCTTCGTCGTCCGAAGAGGTCTCGCTTTCAGAGAGCATGTCACCCTGTGCTACCTTGTGCCCAGCTCGATTTGCTTCTGTTGCTCCGTTGTGCTTTGCAGGCATCTGTTGCAGGCCAGCTGCTGTGAACAGCCTGGAGTCGGGTCGAGGCCCATGTATGACCGACTGAGCGCATTGCGATGCCTTCTGTTTACGAGCATCCGAAGCATCTCGCTCCAGAGAGGCTGACTTGTACGAGCCATAGGTCCATAATAGGAAGGATGCAATATATACTGCAAGTGGCTCGTACAGACTTTGATGTGAATGCCGTCTGATATGCCAGAAGACGGAGCCAGCGTGAATCATGGCCTGTCGAGCCTTGTGTTGATCTTCATGCAGCCATCTCCAGACTATTCTACGGGTCTGCGGTTCTTTATCCGGATTTCGAGGCTGGTAACTGCCGTCGTGGACGTAGAAGCTCGCCTTTGAGGCTGATCCTGGCTTGTAATTGATGAGCGTGAACAGTAGGTCCTGAATCTCCTGAAACGGAGACAACAAAATGAGGCGAGCCAGATGCAGATGAAGCACGCCGTGAGGCTCCATCCCCATGGCCTCGGCGGTAGCTGCTGAAGCACGCCAATTCAGGAAATCCAGGCAATCACATGCACTGTTGCGCCAATTAGCGTACAGGGGGTAGAGTGGGAGCCATAAGTCATCCTTCGCCGGCGTCTTCAGGAACCCACGGGCGTTATCTGCGGCTTTCCACTCACTGAGCGGTTGCTTGATATGCGTGCCAACCTCCCACGTCTTTAGGTACAGCGCATGTATCACAAGGAGCTGCGATAGCTCGCTCATTGCCGGGTGAGCCTGCTTCTTCTGGTAGATCTGCTCAAGCGCATCGTAAAGAGACGGCATCGAGGGAGTAGTTTCTCGCCGACCGAGCCACTCCTGCGCAGAAACAGCATCCCAGAGGGCGTCAGCGCATGGCAGAGGCGCTCTTGCATCATCAATCGTACATAACGGACGGCTGTTGCACAGGTAGCCGACTGAGACATCCAGAAGCCACGTCAAGTAACCGACCCGACGCAAAGACTCCTGGCGCACCCATTGATCCCATTGTACGCGCAATAGCTCTGGTACAATGTCGGTCACCATCGAGGCTGTATCCGTCTCAGTCATCTGGAGGATGCCGGCTTGGAGACACCATCGAGCAAGATCAGCATGTACTCGAGGTGCCAAAGTACGTAGTGTCTCTCGATCGGACTGCAGCAGGTTTACAAGGTTGAGTATGCGAGCTTGTGCTAGCGCTAGGTCACAGAGGTCGCTGCTGTCATCTTCGGTGGTGAACACGGCCCGACGCAGAAGCTCCGAGAAAGCCTGTCTCAATGCCACAGTACATCTGATTGAAGTGAAATTGCTTCCAATGGCAGCAGCTGCAACCAGAACCAGCCAGTTCGTTTGAGTACCAAACGTCGACCGATGAAGGAGCGGGAAGGTTGGATGGTAGTGCACAAAGTAAAGATCAAGGCAAGCATTGAATACCTGCAGCTCCGGGATCGTGCTGCCTGCGAACCGCCGTGAATCCACACAGTCGACACACAGCTGGCGGAACTTGAGACAGATGCGCGAATACGACTCACAAGAGCATAGCGTACAGGATGTCGCCCTGGTCAACTCTGTAAGGTCAGCAGACTCCGGGAAAGCGAACGGTCCAGGAGCAGTCTCGGGGGAAAGGAATGGATGGGGCGGATGAGAGTATTTCCTGCGCTTCCTCCTATGCCGGGGCATCTCTACTTCGGCAGCAGTGTTTCTGCTGACGTCTGCGCTGGAACCGGTCGATGAGATTGGACTTTGGGCAAGCCCTAAGGCAGCCAGCTGTGGTTGGCGATCTGACAGCGAAGGCGGTACATGACCCCCTTGACCGAAAACGGAGAACCCTGGAAGCTGCAAGCCGGCCATACCAGCCTCCTCATGGCTGACCGGCTGGTGTAAGCCTGTATTCTCATACACAGAGGGCATCAGGAACGAGATGTTCTGCTCAATATCGTCGTATGACCAAGGATCGATGTTGAGCGGTATCCAGTTCAGGTCGAAAGAGTCGCCCAATTCGGCTCCGTCGTAGGAAAAGTTCAGTGGCTGATCATCGAAATTATTGCCGTGCTCCAACGGAATTGCGCTGCCATTAGATTGAGTATGCTGTGTCTGCATACCCGAGGGCATCTGGTAAGGCTGTTCCGCTGAAGGTGTCTGACTGACCAGCGCCGGACGTTGGGCGTTATTGGGCGTCGTGATATTGTGGTTCATGCTGTGGGCCAGCATGGATGTTACACTTGGCCCAGCGCTCTCCCGTACGGAGCCTCCCCGGTTAGAAGTTCCGGCGTCGCTCTGAAAGCGCAGAGCGTCGAAAGATGCTACGCTAAATGCTGGGGAGACAGCTGAACGCGGTTCCTGCCCATTGTGGCCTTCTCCGGACTGTTGCTGAGGGCTTTGCTGTAACTGCGCAGCAATTTTTTCGCCGGAATTTGTAAGGATAGACCTGTCGTCGGCTAGTTGAGGTACGGAATAGGTACATCTCATATCCCTCATGGAGCATCGTCTACAGGGAACACCACCCATACACCTCACCCGAGCGTGTTTACAGTGGACACATGCTTTGGAGACTCGGTGTGCTGAGGCTAACTCTTCATCGAGGTGTCTCGTCTTCTTGTGGCGCAACAAAGAGTCGGACCTGGCGAACAGCTTTCCGCAGGTCGGACACGGTATGGCCCTCGAGATTGCGCTGTGCGTCATCTAGAGCATGGTAGTGCAGAGCAGACGCTCCATTGAAGCCTTTGAAGCACATTCTCGGATGCTGCGCCTAACCGAAGACGGTGGTCACGTTCACCAAGTGCGGAGTCTGAGGTCTCGAACCTAAGCAAATACGCCAGGTCCCGGGTGGGCCACATCCCGCCACTTGGTAATGGATATTCACTTCAACGTACATTCTATACAGGTGAAGGACAGTCCTTGACATCCTTGCCAGAACAACAGCCCCTGAGCGCCTTACAGAACGCTATCACTATACTAGTAGCATGATGATCATGCAAAACCCGTCGCATCATCTTGAACAGCCCCTCTCGGCTTACCACGTCTCGGCGATATACTGTCCTGCCTCTCTCTTGCCTTCCCAGAACATCTTCGCCGTCTCGTAGTCCAACCCACCCTTATCCATTGCCACATCAATGAGCGCACTCTCAACGCCCTCGCCCATGCCCTTTGTGCTGCCGCACACGAAGATCCGCCCGTCGACAGCGTTAATAACGAACCATACAATATCCGCTTGCATACGAACCTCGTCCTGCACATACTTGGCTACTTTCCGCTCCTGCTTCGACTCAAGAACTGCCGGAGTCTGCTCCGTTACATTGGAGCCAGAGATCGTGGAGACGGTGGGTAGCGAGGTGTCTGCACTATTTTCGGATACTGGAGGGGGACGGGCGCGGCTTTGCACAACTTTCTTGATCTCTTTCTCGTGCGCGCCAAGTTCGCCTCGGTAAATCTCGTCCAGCATGCTGTCCCTGATACCTTGGATCAGCCAGATTTTGTTGGCGCAGTTTGCGTTCTTCAGCCGGTTCAGGATGAAGCCGCGGAAAGGTGCCATGCCAACGCCAGCACCGATCAGCACCATTGGACCGTCGCTCGCAAACTCCCGCGAGAGCGGATTAGCCATAAGACCGCGGAACATTGGCACCTGAAGGTTAAGTTTCCGTCCTGCGACGCCTGGTTGGAAGGAGTATCCCCCAGCCTGTGCATCTCTCTCCGCCTCCTCTTCCGCGATGATGAACTTCTTCGCGATCCGCTCGAGGAAGCCCGAGCCGACACCGGAACGATTTGAGCCGGTGTGAGCGGCTGTCTCGTGAACAGTGACGGCAATCTCGATGAGTCTCCGGCCGGCAAGACCGTCCCGCGCGGAGGAGACATGTGGATCGTTGGATAACGAGTAGAAACGCGGCATCAGTTGGTTCAGCACAGTGCAGAGTACTTCGAGAGGCGGCTTTGAGGAGGGAAAGGCATGGAGCAGTTGCTGTAGGGTGATGTGCGAGTCGGTACGTAGGTCGCAAAAGGCGGCTTGTCCTTGGGCTGAGCAGAGGAAGAGGAGAATCTGCCGCTCGTTCGGTGCGGAAGCATACTCGGCGAGGAGACGGAAGAGTGGCTTGGTCGGTGGGGTGGAGGAAATGTCTAGGGTCCAGGTAAGAATCTCACGGCGGGTCGTGACAAGCTCGCGAGACTCGTCTTCTCCCCAAATTGTTGGCCAACGGCCACCAGCGGTAAACAGTCTGACCGGCTTGTCACGTTGGAAGCGCGGTATGCAAAGCTGGTCCATAATGTCTTCGACCAAGTACGGATCATTCGGCGGACAGACGCCGACAGCGCCGCCGACTTTGAAGTCTACGCCGCCTTCTTCCGGATACTCGGTGACATCGAGATCGAAATGAAAGGTACGCTTTTCTGCACCAGGCTTGGTCAGCTCGCGAGCGCCGTACACTGGTGCATTGAAGATAGCATATGGCGGGTGCGGCTTCATGTATGTCGGAGGGTAGACGTTGACTGCGTCACGATCATGCTCGTGTTCGTCCTCAGCTGGAAACTTCTCGGTGATGGACTGTCGGCGGATGGAGCCGAACGAGATCTTCTTCTCCGGCAGGTCAACCAACTTAGTGAGCTCAGTGTCCAGCGTAAGCGAGCCGACATTGAGGCGCAGGAAGCGGAACGCCTCATTGTCCGGCGGCTGTATGAAGAATCGCTCTGGCTCGCCCTCAGCAGCAGGCAGGGCCTCGAGGAAGCAGCAACCATCACCGCAGCAATACTTCTGCAAGAACCTGGTTCCGGTACCGTTACCAAGCAACTTCCGGATGTCCTCGGAATTGCTTGCGAATGTGGTACTTGCACGCCTTTTACGCAATGTTGGCGAGTTGCTCGGTAGCAACTCATGAAGCTTGTCCGTGATCTCTGCCATGTCCTGCGGCTCCGTCAGAGGAGTCGATGCTTCTGAGTCTGTTGCGGTCTCATCCTCCGTAAGCGCTAGGCTTTCCCCACTGGACCGTGGACTCGACATCGCGCTAAATCTGTTCTTCATCTGCGGCGTGACGCACAGAAGCGGCGTATCCTTTGGCTCCATTGGTATGGGGTTGTCTGGATGACTGGTTGCGCAAGTAGGTATGCTTCTGTGCCTATGCTGACTCTGACCAAATAGCGGCAGTGAATGCCGTCTGGCAGCCATTGTTGACTGCATGTTTGCTGACGTCGTGAGACTAATGCGGTGCTGTATGTTTGCTATAGCGAGGCTGGAAGTCGACCGAAGGCGTACGTATGCGTTATTAAGTCTTGGTAATGTGGTAGCTGTGTCGCCATAGTAAGTCACTATGATCGGCTGACCAATGCTGTGTGGTGTGGAAGTATGGACGAGTGCTAACGGTAAGCGCAAACCAAGCGCAGAGAAAGTCACATATGGGGTACAATGTGACGGTGCTCACCGCACGACGGACTCTCGGCCGGGAAAGTGTATCGTCTCGTCGGCACTGGAGGGCGGCGTGTGGGTGGGGGGTTTGCGGCTCAAGTTCTACTCACACTGGAAGATTGATCTGATAAGCGGCGATCGAAGCCGCAAGATTGCGTCGGCGGCGCAGACGTATTTGCGGGCCAGCTTTGAACAAAGAGATCCCAAGTATCGACGAACGCAACCAAACGGGTATGATAGGGAACCTAAGCAGGAGAATCACACTTAGGGGTAGGATCGAGGAGTGTAGGGAGTAGTGGCACGACTTGAGACTTGGCAAAAGAAGATGACACTGACAAGATGAGACTCGTCGCGGGAACGAATTCCGCCTCTACCGACTTCGCAGCCGCTATGACAATGACAATGCCAAGCGATAGTGGATCTCGCTTAGGCATCTGAGAAAGGACACTTTCCAGGTTGTTATGCTTATACAGTTTAATTCGTCGACACGCTTGGTTCGTCCATACGAATCGCCAATACTGGTCTCTATCCGGTGAAGGCTTGTGGCGGAGGTCCGCAGTCTGTCCAGTCCCGAGGATTCGCGCTCCTGCAACTACGTTGGCACCGTCTGTTGCATCCCAACAGCACCGACCTGGAAGCATGACCCAGCGATTCCTGGCCAACATACGGAACGATTGGGTTTGAGGATATTGGGGAGCCACACTAACCTTCGTAAATAGCATGAAACCGGACCATCTTCGACACGCGATACTTCGTCCGCGCTGCATGTTCGTGTGGTTCTAGAGAGCGGCACGACTCAATGTGAGTGATGACCTGGGTGCGGATGTGTAGGATCGACCCAGTGTACTGTCTCCGGCTTTTCAACCGGCTCAATTTCTGGGAGATTGACGGCTATCGCTTCGCTGTCGCTGCGCATAAGCACGCATTCCAGCTTCTCATCCACAGACGCATTGATCTCCTGGTGTGGTACTGCAATCAGTCATCAGCACACAGTTTCATTTCTGTAAAACCATCGAAGTTGATACCGTAAGGAGGTACGTATATGAAGTCACCAGGCCCTGCCTCAGCAGTAAACTCCAGCTTCTCGCCCCATCGCATCCGGGCCTTGCCTTTGAGGACGTAGATCACACTTTCCAGATGGCCGTGGTGATGTGCACCGGTTTTTGCATCTGGGTGGATGTGGACCGTTCCAGCCCACAGCTTTTGTGCGCCGACCCGGGCAAAGTTGATTGCGGCCCTACGATCCATGCCTGCCAATATGTCTCAGTATCGCAACGCGCTGTTTCCGCGTGAGTCTCTCTTCTCAGTCTTTACCTGGTGTTTGCGGAGTGTTTCCGTCCAGAGAATCAGCTGGTATCACACGCACACCGGACACCTTCCAAGCATCTTCCGGTGCCTCAGAAGGCGCAGAACTCATCGTTGCGAATCGCTGTAGAGTCACCTCTATAGCGAACACTGCTGACTGTTGAAGTGCAGCTCCAGACACAACAGAGTATGTCTATATGCCGTTCAAACCAGTGCGACCTCGGCAGCGGGGTCTGCTTCAGCTCACTCTACAGATTGTACCCAGCAAGCGTTTGGCAAACCCTACCACATATAGTAGTCTGCCCGCTGTAGCCTGCATATTCACACTGATCGCTCGCTGCTCCGGGGTTACACCAGATGGCTTTGCTCAGCTCACAAGTAGGAGAGCATGCACATGCGTACTGAGACTCGAGAAGGACAGCGCACGGATCGAATAGCGACATCATGCTTCGAGATCCACTTTCGACCTGGTTCCTCGATTCCCTCGCCTTCTCTTCTACCCTCTACGCACCCTATAGCTGTGCGCGCACGCGATGTCTTCCACTCGGTCATTGCTAACAACTGCAGCCAAGCCTCACCGGGTGGCTCTTCGAAGTTCTCATGGCTGGCTGAGACGCGGAAGGTGGCTTGCACGTGGTGGCCTGACCATCAGCTTGAAGCCACATTCTCCATAGCCTGTCGGTGGTGCAGTGCCAGATTGGTGCCCGCAAACACGGTACGCATAGCTTTTGGGTTGCTTGACACTTGTCTCTGCACTCCTGCCACGGCATAGTCACGGTTCAAGACCGGTGTTGCGACCCCAAGGTTTCGGTGAAAGCGGCAGACCACACTCTGAGTTCTTGCTTCGGCAAGACCATGCGAAGCCGCACGTTGTGACCGAGCTGAACGGTTTGTATATAAGTATCCGAATATTGACTCGCAATACTCCTCTTTCGTTTGCTGCCGTTTTTGTTCCCTCTAATCCCCCGACAACCGGCTCCTTTCCACTCACGTCCACCCTACGCAACTTCTAAAACCTTGCTGGCTCCATTCGAGCACTTCAGCATGGCCACTAAGCAAGCCTTCGTCTACTCAGGCTCCTGGTCCGACGAAACTCGTGCCCAACCCGTCCTCAAGTTCCTTGAATGGTACACTACAACAATCATTGACGAGAAGAAGTTTGATCTCTCACCCACCGACGCCGGCATGACCAAGGACTGGGTGCTACAGAAGTCTACCGGCGAAGTCATCGAAGGTGCCGACAAGGCATGGCCGGCGCTCAAGGAGGCGTATGCACCCTTCAAGGAGCACGTCCATGCGCCCACCTTTGTCGTCCAGTGGGAGACGGAGAATGGCTGGTCTATGGTGGGTGTGGCGAACCTTTGGTGGAAGCTGCAGGCAGATGGCAACGATGTTATCAAAGGTCACGGAGGCAAGATGTGGGATGGAGTTACGCCGGGTAAGTGGGCAATGTTCCCAGCTTGTTATTTGCGAGCGTTTACTGATCCTGGTCTTGCGCGCTTGAAGGGGCCTTCAGATTCGATTTCACCAAGAGCGAACACGGCCATGAAGGTATCGCACTCACACGGACCGAAATCTACGATGATCCGACTCAAGCGGTAGTGAAAATGCTTCAGAGAGGCATGCTCAAGCCTGAACAGCTCATGCAGTCGTAGCGTGTTGACGAGTAACGCTACCTAACTGTTTGGCAGGTTCTATAACGGAGACCCACATGTGCTGTAGCCTGTTAGATGGCAACGAACTTTGGTGCATCACGCCTAAAAGTTTCATTATCACGACACACGCACCGTGTCTGGTTACAATTTTTCTGCAACACACTGTCTGCCTTACACCGTCTCCACTCGGCAATAGATGTCACACGCTTGCGTTCCAGGACGGGTATTTGCGGTCGTGGCGCTGATAGTCCTAAGCATGGTCGCTCAGCACATGCGTTGGGATGCTACGATGCAGGTAGGCCGTTTCCGTTGCGATCATCGACGTTGTTGCGCATCGAAGAGGATCATGAAGTAGCAACCATGTGGTACAGCAAATTGTCAGCATTTCACAAGGTAGGCCGGATGTAGTGGAAGGTGAGCTCCAACACCTTCTTGATTTGTCGAACAGTACAAAACCTTCCCCGACGCAGCACGCAGCATTGTGCGACAACCGGTATTGCGCCGACTGGGATGTTTAACAAGATTTAGTCAAGCATGCTTAGTCTCATCGCTTTATCTTGGCCTCTGTGGGACTTTCCTCATCTGCTCTAGTCCAATCAAGGACCGTACGGCCCACCGCGGACAGCCGGCTCGATAAACCAATGGCATTGCCTCACGTCCCTGGTCGATAGCCGCAGGACCTGCCTCTTCACCAACATACTGGTTGATCCGATGCACGTTATCAAAGCTACTGTGGCCACAACCACAGCCGGCCTAGCCGTTGGCCATGCAATGTTGTTGCAGACGGCACTGCGCGCAATTGGCGTCATCTTGGTGTGGTGCACCATTCGTCCATTCAAGTAAGAGGACTGTAGCGCACGGGTATGTATGTTATCTCGCACTTCAATTCTTGTTCCTGTTTCATTCGCACAGTGTATGCTGCACGCTGAGCGACTCTTACCATGGCTTCGAAGCGTCCAGGCTTTGTACGAACGAACACTGAGTTCGCTGAGGACGTGGAGCTGCAGCCGCGGCTTGGGGAACCCAGCAGCTCGAAGAAAACACAGGCGTACGACATCCAGGATCCTGATGTTAAGCTTGGAACGACTGTAAATGTCGAGCCGGATAAGGAACAAGCTCCACCGCGCTACGAAGAGGATATCGATGGTTTCGCGAGAGTCACAGAGCCGGTCGAGACGGCCAAAGACCTGGTGACCCAGGTTATCCATGTTGAGGATGACCCGACCTTGAACGTGTGGACCTTTCGTGTGTTCTTTCTAGGTGAGTGTCATGCTGGTCAAACACGAGGTGAAAATCAGAGCTAATGTGAGTGCACGAAAGGCATTGGTCTCTCCATCTTCGGCTCCGTTCTGCAGGAGATCTTCTACTTCAAGCCGCAAACAATCTACGTCTCCGTGGTGTTTCTCTGCGTCATCGCATACGTGCTCGGCGAGGCTTTGGCTATCGCTATTCCGCGGGTCAGCATTCTGCGGTATTTAAATCCTCACCCATTCAACCAAAAGGAGCATGCCGCAATTACCATCATGGCATCCGCGGCTGCCCAAGCCGCGACTGCGACGGAGGCGTTGGCAGCGCAGCAGCTGTTCTATGGCGGTTATCCCTCGCGAGCGGCAGGTGTCTTCGTCGTGCTCTCGAGTCAGCTGATCGGGTACGGTATTGCTGGACTGCTACGAGATGTGCTGGTCTACCCAACGAGAATGTTGTGGCCAATCAATCTTCCGGTGGCGACCTTGCTTGAAACACTGCACCGTGACAAGTCAGAGACGAAGCGAAGGCTGAAAGTCTTCTATATCATCTTCGCATGCATATTTGTGTGGGAAGCTTTTCCGGAGTACATATTCACGGTCCTTACTGGCGTCTCCATTTTCTGCCTAGCTGACCAAAACAACCTTGTCTTCACCAATCTCTTTGGTGGTGCAAGCGGTAACGAGGGTTTAGGCGTGTTGTCTCTCTGCTTTGACTGGAATTATGTTGGTATGTCTTCCGCCTTCTCTTCACGAAGGACGTCGCTAACGGGTGTGTGTAGCTGTAAGACTGAACGATTATGATGCCCTGTTGCGAGACGCTTGCTGACTTCGGCACCTTATGATTCATAGGGACTGGGTTCACCACTCTGGCTGCCGCTGCAGACGCTTGTCAACAGCATGATTGGCATTATCGGCTGCTATATCTTCTTCATGGCCATTTATTACAGCAATACCTGGCGTTCACTCGACTTTCCCTTTCTCTCACAGGAACTCTTCGACGGCGCCAGCAACAGCACCTACTTTATCGTCTGGAACCAGACCGCCGTCCTCAACGAGAACTTCGAGATCGACCCAGTCAAGCTCGAGCAGATGGGCATTCCATACCTCACCGGCACCTACATATCCTATCTCCTGGTCTCTAATATGGGCCTCACAGCAGCTCTAACGCACATGTTGTTGTGGAACTTTGACGACATCAAGGCTGGCTGGGCGTGGGCGTCGCCAAGGAATCTACGGAAGCTTTCCAGGCCAGAATTCTGGCAGTTCTGGAAGACCACAGAGACTCCGGAGGAGAGGTTCGAACGAAAGCAGAATGACCCAGAGCTGGACCCACATTACAAGCTGATGATGCGGAACCTGTACAAGGAGTCGCCGTTGTGGTGGTGGGGCGCGGTGTTGGTGGCATCGTGGGCTGTGGGTCTGGGATGCCTGTACTCCATGAAGGTGAGATCTTCTTGCCCACTAAAGCTCCGTCACTGTCATGCTGAGTGCTAACGTCCTGCCAAAGTCGACTTTACCGTGGTGGGGATTTTTGCTCGCCACTATCCTGACATCGCTGTTCATGCTATTCTTTGGAGCGCAGTTTGGGTACGTCCGTACTGCCATTCGCCTTGTTAGCCCCAGCTCAACAGAGCATTGCTAACGCCAGCCTTCTCCGTTAGGTTGACCGGGTTCCAGTTCAACGTTCAGCCAATCTGTCAAATGCTTGCCGGATATATGTTTCCAGGGCACGTGCACAACCATGACACTTCTGCGTTTGCTGGACTATGCTAACATCATGCCCCTGTTGCATGCAGACGACCTTTAGCCAACTTCTACTTTACCTGCTACACCTACAATGCTCTCCAGATGGGTCAACTACTGGCTAAGGATCTGAAACTGGCGCAGTACGCCCATTTACCTCCGCAAGCGACCTTCACATTCCAGATACTTGGCTGCTTGGTTGGAGCCCTGTTCAACTGGACCATTATGACCACAATCGTCGCTGCCCAAGCTCCGATTTTGACCTCCATCCAAGGCACCAATATCTGGTCCGGTCAGAACATTCAGCAATTCAACACATTGGCCATAGCGTGGAGTATCGCGGACAAGATGTTCAGCGTCGGTGGTCGTTACCAATGGGTTACCTTATCCTTCTTGCTGGGCTTCGTCGTGCCGTTACCGTTCTACTTCCTCCACCGATGGCTCGGATGGAGGTTCTTTAGTTACATCAACCTCTCGATCATCCTCTGGTACATGGGCGACCTTTTCGTGGGAATAAATAGCTCGTTGACCATGTACTACATCATCGGATTCATAGCGCAATGGTGGCTGCGGAAGCACCGGCCTCAATTGTTTGTCAAGTACAATTACCTGGTCTCTGCGGCATTGGACGGCGGCACGCAGGTGCTAGTGTTCATCTTTACTTTCGCCGTCTTTGGCGGTAGCGGCAAGGCTGTGCCATTCCCTACGTGGGCGGGCAATCCGGACCAGGACGTGCGCAATGCTGATTACTGCGCAATTAGTATGTGGACTCTTACCTCAATCTCAAGACATGCTAACGTCTCCTAGACCCTGCGAACTTCGGCTGAAAGCAAGGGCACGCATAGAGGAGGCTGCGAAGAGTTGATACAGATCTCAATAACGTTCACCGAATGGACGTCGTCCACTCAGCAATATGTGGCGTAATAAGCTCAGGGCCAAGCGGCGACTAAATATTTATCATCGAGACTAGCATGGTGCATACTGTGAAGCGTAGCCTTGTTACGTGTAAGCCGGCATTCGCCCCAAGCATCACGAGATCGGGCTGGGCGACAGAAGTACAGTGTGTACAGGTATGATGTACGGCACTGGTACTGTATCGGCCTTGGCTTTCAGTGACAATTGCGTGCCTGCCCCGCATCATCTTCCACCGTGTGAAGTGTGGAGAGGTATCGAAGCTCATCACCCTTGCATCGCTTTGACATCACAGAGCGAACGCGCGAGATCTTGCAAGATGGCGTCCTCGATTGGCCTGGAAGGCCGAAGATGTTCGGCGTGAAGTGGAACACGCACCTGCTCACCACTAGCATATCTATCGTCGCCGCACTGCTTACAGCCACGCCCTACTTCGCTAGCCGGCATCCCATGCTTAACCGGTTGACGCACGTCCTACGTACAACAACACCTCCAGCTTCACCGAGCGCCCTATCACCGATCGTCCGCAGCATGGCGACCATTAATGGTACATCAATGCCGCCTGACTGGCACAAAGGACCGGACGACTCATGGCATGGCAAGATCACGCCAGACGGCCCGTTCAAGCCGGAGAAGGATCGCTATCACCTCTACATCGGCTACTTCTGCCCTTTTGCACACCGTGCTAACCTGGCTCGACTGCTGAAGAAGCTGGACAAGTATGCGGGCATTGACCTGAGCATTGTCAAGCCGTACCCGAAGGGTAACGAGAAAGGATGGCCGGGCTGGCGGTGAGTTGTTTAGTAGCCCTGAGGATGGCCGCTGCTGGAAGCATTCGCTGATTGATATGCTCCGAGTCAAGCTTCAACCACAAAGACGAGCCTTTCTACGAGGGTGCAACGGAGGACAAGCTGTTCGGCAGTCAGTTCATGCACGAGGTGTACTTTCGAGCCGACTCGGAATACAAGGGCAGATACTCGGTGCCGGCCTTGTGGGACAAGAAACTCAATACAATAGTCAACAACGAAAGCGCGGAGCTGCTGAGAGATTTACAAACTGCGTTCGACGAGCTGTTGCCAGAAGATCTGAGAGGGGCCTTCCTCTACCCGGAGCCGTTACGGAAAGAGATTGATACTATCGCCGACTGGATGGGCACACACCTCAACACTGGAGTATACAGTGCTGGCTTCGCGCCGAACCAAGAAGTCTATGACAAGAATCTCCCACCTGTGTTCGCCGCTCTCAACAAGCTCGAAGCAATCGCCGCTTCCAACGGTGGGCCGTACATCTTAGGCAAACAAATGACCGAAGTCGATGTGCGCGCATACGCCACCGTCGTTCGTTTCGATCCCGTGTATGTGCAGCACTTCAAGTGCAATCTCGGTACGATCCGCTACACCTACCCGATCCTGCACAACTGGCTGAAGGGCTTGTACTGGGATCATCGAGAGTATCAGAACTCGACGGAGTTTAGGCACATCAAGGAGAATTATACGAAGAGTCACTATGACGTAAATCCGAAAGCCATTACGCCTATGGGCCCATGGCCGAATGTAGAGAAGGGTTATGAAAGCGATTGGTCGAAGTTGAAGGCTGGGAGAATTGATATGCCGGAGGTGCTGGAGTGGGAGAAGAAGATGGGCTGAAGACGCTTACTTAAGTTGGTCCGTGTAAGAACGTATGACAAGGATGGGCTGTGCAGATGGGCATTTTCTCAGCTCGTTGCTAAATGACGCGAACGGCTGGTATAGAGTCCTTTGCACCACTTCTGAGCTTGCCATAACAGAGGCGATGATTTGGCCTACGGTGGACCTCCTTCAGCGTCAGTCACTAGTGCGGCCGGCCAAGAGCGTGCTTCTAGTCCGTTCGGCTTCTTGTGGTCACGCGGTGTCCGGCGCAGGCTTTGTTACGATCGATCGACGTACTATCCGGGTTCAATGAACGATGTCACGGCGCATGAGGAGATGGCAGCGGGTATCTCTCCATTACAGTCTACTCTGCATGCTCTACACTGATGCCGTCCGATCACGGGAGCCAAGAAATTCCGCTGATCAGCAAGCGTCTCACAAAATCGCCAGGCCTGTTCGCAACCCTCGCAAACGCATTTCGCAGGTGCATGCCTCCGGTAGATGACGACAACAATGGCGGCAGCGACGACTTTGCAGACGAAGCCGCAGCGCTCAGGATAGCGGCTTTCAGTCTCCACAGAGATGTCGTGGACGCCCTCAATAACTTGAAAGCGCCCCACCAAGCCGTCATTGATCAGCCTCCAGTCTCCCCTCTAGAGCGATCATGCCCGGACGCCCGTCGCAATACCTTGGCCGACCACGACATAATTGCGGGGTCGTACAGGGCGCTGCCCTTGAATTATGAATCGCGTGACGGCACAGGCTGATCTTGAGGTGGAGGCTGGTGATCCTGGAGGGAGCATTAAACGCTACGCTGCCCTGCCCAGGTTGTTGGTGGAGACGCGACTTGGATGTGCGACGAGCATATCGAGGCCTGCCGCAATGTTCGTTCGAACTTATAGCGTGGGTATAGAAGGTTGCGAATGGGGCTTCGCAGAACGCAGGCGGAGCTCGAAGCCGGAATTATCCGGAGGGCGATGCGATTTCGGGTAGGCATTTGTGTTGGATGTAGAGGTGCATTGACTAACCAGAAGTGCACCGAATGCCACTCTGCAGGCTGAAGGGCGGATTGACGAGTTGGCCACATATCCTTCATGCTTCACGCATCGCCTCCCTCAACAGCGGTCCCACTCTTTTCCGACTTGCCGCCAGATTCCCCTGCCTCCAAAGCCGCGCAAACGGCAATGAGGTCGAAGTTGCGTTCTCCAGTGCTTCATTGGCCAACTGTAGCTCCGCTGTACACTTCTCTGAAAAGCGTTCGGCGGCCTCCTTCCCTTTTCCATCTTCAGTGACGATCAGCAGGAGCTGTCTCGCAAACTTCCCATCAGCGCCAGTATATGCTGTCATGATGGCGAAAAGGTCGAGACTGCGCTCGGTGGCAAATGTGTTCAACTCGTGCGGGAAGTCTTTGTTCGCTTCAGTTTGATGACGGAGATACGCGACATCCTTGACCACGCTGCTCATACCCAGTTTCAGCGAGCCTTCGGACCATTGTTTGTAGTCTTTACGCAGGATGTCATTCAGTGATAGGCCGTCCAGGTGCGACTTGGCAGAATTGATTTCGTCGAAGAACTTCTTACGGTCATAGTCCTTGCCCAGCTTCGGCGAGGCATTAATCCTAGCCTCCAGATATCTCACGGCGGAGATATCGTGCTCGGTGACTTTGTTCTCGCTGGTGAGGTCGAAAGTGTCAATTAGAATACTGGCCAGCGCCAGCTTCGCGACTTGAGCATCCCAGGTGGAAGTGTAGGCTGTATCGTCCAGGATGCCGTCAGAAGACTGACCGTTTGCGGCGCCGATGCTGGTGGAGGCGGAGCCCAGGTCATCCCAGATTGAGCGGACATGGTTGGTCACAAGACTGGCGCAGCTGCCAGATTTGGTTACGATGCGTGGGTTGGCAGTCGGCGGGACTGAATGCTCGTCAACGTGATGGTCGATACAGCCTGTAACGGATTCCGTGTAGTGCTTGCCGAGAGCGCCCTGGAGGGCGTTGTGGTCGACGAGCGTCCAGTCAGTGCTGGCGAGAGGAAGAGGAAGTGTCCCAAGGTCGTCCAGGCTAATTAGATCGGAGGGGTTGACGTCCGCGTGGCGAAGAAGTGCAGTGAGCTCAGGACGGAGGCGTAGGTCTGCGGATGGGATGTTGATGACCGGCAGCACAACATGGTTCGCTTGTCGAGCTTCTGGCTTGCAGGAGTGGATGTAGGCGTACACTAAAGCACAGGTTATGGAGTCCAGGTCTGCGCTTTCGTTGCCTATCACGAAGGATGCGGTGCCTTTGCCTTGGTCATGCAGGCTTGATTGTAGATGCCGCTTTGCTGTGACAAGAAACGTTCGAACGGACGTGCGAGACATCGTTGGTTAGCCAAAGCTTGTCCGTCCATCGATGACCTTCTAGTAGGGGACTTGCGTCGATCGGTATCTCGGTAGCAGTGTAGGTTGTGGTATGACTGTCGGCACTGCTGCTGGTGGGGCAAAAGCTTCACTTGCAGGTGTTTGCTGCCTTGAGCACTACTTGACTTATGCCACAGCTCAACCCTCGTTGTTCCCTTCTTCAGTTGCAGAGAGCTCTTGACCCTCTATTCGAAGCGTATCGCTGATCACTGCAACAAGAGCATCTGGGATAGTGACAGCTTAGCACGCCAAGTTCACTCCACCTCATTACAGTCCGACAGTAGTCGCAAGAGACCTACATAATACTGAGCACACGTTATGGCTAGCCACGCGAATGCGGGCAAGAAGGCACTGGAGGCCAAGGACTGGTCCTCAGCAATCACTCACTACACCCACGCCATCGCCGACTCACCTACCTCCCCAGACTACCTGATCCAGCGTTCAACAGCCTACCAGCGTGCCGGACAGTATCCAGAAGCTCTACGGGATGCCGAAAACGCCGTATTGGCAGCGCAGAAACGGGCGAAGCGGGAGGCTATCGTGGAGGCACAATTTAGGAGGGGTGTGGCATGTTACAGCCTAGAAAGGTATGGCGATGCAGAATTCCTGTTCAAGTTGGTGGAGCGCATGGATGGGAAGCATAAGATGGTGAAGATCTGGCAGGGCAGGGTCGCGATATCATTGAAGGACCTCGGGGACGGAGGCGAGAAGGCAGTGTGCAACATCAAGGAAACGCCGGAAGCTAAGAGTGAAGCAATCGCAACAAATGTGACGAACGGGACAGCTACAGCGACCAACGGTCATTCAACATGTACGTCAGCACAACCGTCACCAACACCCGCGCCACAGCAAACACCCGCGGACAAGATACGGCACGAATGGTACCAGAACACGCAGAATATCTATCTCACCTTGCTCGCGAAAGGTGTGCCAGCGGACAAAGCTTCGATCGACATCACAGCCCGTTCGCTCAGCATATCGTTCCCGCTAATCACGGGCTCATCGTACGATCTTACGCTTGAACCACTTTACGCCGATGTCGTTCCGGAGAAGTGCATCAAGCGGATCATGTCCACGAAGGTCGAAGTCATCCTCGTGAAGAAGGTTGAGGGCGAGAAATGGAAGTCGCTCGAAAGCACCGAACCGCCACCCACCAAGCTCGACACACCCGTGGCAGAGTCTAAGAGTGATGCCGTCAAACAAGCGGTGCTGAATCCCACTTCTACGACCGCACCTAGCTATCCAACCTCCAGCAAGCACGGTCCCAAGGATTGGGATAAAGTAACTAAAGAGGCCGCTGCTGAGCTCCGCGATCCTGCCAAGGCGAAAGACGGTGAGGATGAAGATGACTACGAAGGTGGTGACGAAGCCAATGCATTCTTCAAGAAACTGTTCAAGAACGCCTCTCCGGACGTACAGCGTGCGATGATGAAGAGCTACCAGGAAAGTAATGGCACGGCACTCAGCACCAACTGGGATGAAGTGAGTAAGGGACCAGTGGAGACGCATCCGCCGGATGGAATGCAGGCGAGGAAATGGGGCGAGTAAGCTGGTTCGAGGAATGGTGAAGTGTGATCTAGCGTTGATCTAGCGTGGCGTTTGGGACATTCAGCGGTGGGCTGCGGTTAAGGACGACTGGCAGAGGCGCTATCGACACATAGCTTACTCACATAGGGGATACGATGCAGCACGAGGCTTCCATTGATAGCTCCACCAGTGCCGAATTTGCATGCATGTGAATACTTTGCTATCCTTATCCGATTGTCTCGATATTGACTAAGGCTTACCGGACAGCATACAGCGGAAAGTGTCCGCTTCCACACGTCGATGCTCGGTGCTCGGTGCTCGTGTGCATTCTCTTTCCCAGCGAAGCCTGCTGCTGAACAATTAGTGATAAGACATACAGGGGTGAATAGCTAAGCACACGAGGAGACTTTCTCATCGCAGCCTGTCTCGTAAAGCTTCCCACAAATATCACCATCTGGCGGGACAGCCATGAACAGTGTAGCCTCCAAGCGTCTCTTCCAAGAGTACAAGCATCTCACAACGGATCCACCGGACGGCATCACTGCCGGACCGGTCAACGAAGATGACCTTTTCATCTGGGAAGCGCTCATACAAGGACCCGAGGGGACACCATACGAAGGCGGCATCTTTCCAGCCGAGCTCAAGTTCCCCAAGGATTATCCGCTTATGCCGCCTACGATGAAGTTCACGTGCGATATCTGGCATCCGAATGGTTCGTTTCAGATCGTTGGAAAAGCCGTAGATGAGAATCGGCTGCTAATCATCTCTTTGTGGCTTAGTATATCCGAATGGTGTGGTTTGTATAAGCATCCTACATCCGCCGGGCGATGATCCGAACCACTACGAACAAGCTTCCGAGCGATGGAGTCCGATCCAAAGCGTAGAGAAGATCTTGATCAGTGTCATGAGCATGATTGCTGAGCCAAATGACGAGAGCCCGGCGAATGTGGATGCGGCAAGGATGTGGAGGGAGCGGAGGCAGGAGTTCGAAAGGAGGGTTAAGGCGGATGTCAGAAGGAGTTTGGGGTTGTGATCGTGACGGAGAAGCACTTTGTCACGACATTCAATGCTGGATTAGCAGGGCGCTTGGGATTTGGCACGGACAAACCGTGTTGGCTTGATACGACTGTACCTGAGAAGGTGGGGAAGAACAGTGGCTGCCATACTGTCACCTTCTTAACGCTTCAGTGAGCATCGAAGCCGACATGCAAGCTCTGGTGTCTCTCATCAGCAGGAAGTCATGCCCACTTTGGCCGCCACTATCGATAGATCACCGCTTCCAAAACTTCTTCTTCGCCACGTCTCTGCTCTGCCTTACCAGAGCTTGACTGTCAGCTGCAGTCTCTGGTATCGAAGTTTCCGGGAACGTAAGCTGCTTTCCTTTGCTCGGTTCCTTAAGCGTCGAAATCTTCTTCGCCACATCTCTGTTCTGCCTTACCAGAGCTTGACCATCAGCGACGGTCCCTGGTGTCGGTGTCTCCGGATACATAAGTTGCTTGACCTTCTTTGGTTCTTGGGCACCGCAGGGTCTTGTTCGCCGCGATTGCTCGGATTGTACCTTGCCATAGCGCTACTACTCTGTAGCTCCGCGCGGGAAGGAGCCGCCTCCATTTGTACCTGCGCCTCTGGATCCTTCACCAGAAGCACGGCGCTACCTGGGTCTTTCTGCGGAACGGCCGCCGAAAGCCATGACTTATTCTTGGAGGACGACCCTTCCGTTCGTGGTATTGGCGCCAGCGTACTCGATGTCCGAGGCGCCGGCTCCCGAACCGGCGATTTTGGCTCCTTGCTTATGCGTGCGAGTGTAGTGTCTCCGCCAGGATGCACTGAATGATGGCTAGCAGACGGCTTTGTCTGCGATTGATTAGCTCCTGGCACTGGGCTCCGTGTCAACGCGCCCGAGGCTATCGCTGAGGTCTGCTTGGGGTCTTGCGACTTCTTCACACGAGCAACCTGAGTTCCAGGAGCCGTGACCGCAGGGCTGCCGGCTTTCAGGCTGCCGCCAATGCTTGTCATATCATTGCTGCGTACGGCGGCGGGTGATGGCCCAGCCTTGCTTTCCTTCTTTAAAGAGCTCACCACAGGCTCATCCTCTAGCTCTTCGACCATATACTCGACATGCGGACCGATCGGAGATATCTGCCTAGACATCCCTGCAGCCGGCGGAGCTTGTTCGATGCGCTGCTGCTTCCGCGCATGCTTGGCGACTCTCTCCACGGCCTCGAACAGACCCTTGTCAACTGCACCTTTCATTTCCGAGGCTGAAGCACCTGGCCTGACTTCGCTCAAGGTCTTTTCCATCTTCGCAGTCGCAGATTCCAGATCTTCCGCTCTGGCCACACCTTTCAGTTGCTTGCCAACGACGTCATCAATCAATGCGCGGATGTCGCCCTTCTCGATCTTGTGTGTACGGATCTCGTCGATAACCTTCTGCAACGCCGACATGTCTACGCCAGGTTGTGGTTGTGGGGAGCGAGCTTGCGTTGCCAGAGACGCAAGTTCGCGGCCGTGCTGCTGCTCTTGCTCGAGCTGAAGGCGGCGGTGGCGGTCAAGCTGTTGACGCAGACTATCCGCCTCGCGTGCTTTAGCCTCGAGCTCTGCGCGGCCACGTGCCTCCTGAACTTTCCGCTCCTCGCGCTCTTTGGCATGTTGCTTCTCATGAACGTGAAGTTGTGCGGCATTCTGCCGACGCAAAGCCTCCATCTCGCGCGTAATAGCAGAGTCTCTGGCTTTACGTTCTTCATGCTCGCGTTTGTCTCGAGCTTTGCGCTCTTCACGTTCGTTCGCCCAATCTTGCTGGAGGTGCTGCTGCTGGGCAGTGAGTGTCTGCTGCATGACAAGCATGCTCTGCTCGGTGGCAGCCAGTCTTTGCCGCAAGGATCGATCGGACTGCTCGTTGTCGACTCTATCGTGGTCAATTTCTGCCCTGTGGCTCTCGTGGTCACTATCGGATAATTCATCGTCACTATCAGACTCCTCCTCGCTGTCGCTACCCTCTTCACCAATGACCCTGCTGTGCGGTGTTGGAGGTCGCTGCAAGTGCCCAACCTGCGGCCTGGTCTGAGGAGATGTGTACTGGATCTGCTGAGCATTGACCTGTTGCACAGCATGTGGAGATTGTGCGTAGTGGATCTGCTGCCTGCTAGTCTGCTGGCTATAGCTCGCCTGCCGCTGGTAACCTGGCGACGGTACCGGCAATGCAGGCAAAGGAGGCGTCATGACTGACTGCATCATGTTCTGCATGTTCTGACGCATGCTCTGCGTCACATTGGCCTGATGCAGCATTACTTGCTGATGGTGCTGCCACGCTTGCTGATGATGCTGATGTGCTTGAGCCGACATTTGCTGACCTGTGATATTCATGTCGCTCTGAGCCGAGTGTACAGCCGCTGAATGTGCAGTCATAGATGGCAAAAGCATTGGAGTACTGCTCTGTGACGATGATGACCAAGATATACTCTGCTGATGAAACTGTCCTGCTGTGGCGCCCTCGTTGCAGCTCCAGTGTTGGCGATTGTGTTGGAAGCCGCCTTGATCTCGTGGTAAGCCTGACATGTTGCTTACGTTACGTCTTGTTATGCAATTAGCTTCGGTGGTGCGCGTCAGTCTCGCGTATCACGAAGAGACGGTGAAAGGCAGTCAAGACAGCTGCGGTGCTTGGGTTGCAGCACTGATAGAATGTGCAAAAGAGAGGGTTGCAAAGCCTTAAGAGCGCTTGCTATTGAACAAGTCCGAACGAGCGTCACTAAGGGTGAGCAGGCGGACCGTACGAATGTGAGGAAACGGATACTGGTAACTGAAGCGTACGTCGTTGCGCAATTTGATTTTCTTGCTAAGCACGTCGTGTAAACTAGATCGCGGGAATATGTGACGTGTATTGTTTTGTGCTGTGCAGTTTATGGCAGTCGATTCCATCTTTACTCGTCCGGCTCGCTGTCAGAGTCGTCATGCTTCCCATCCTCGTTATGGGGCGTCCTCTTCCGTTCATAATCCAGAGCATGCGCAGTCATGAAGGTGCTTCCCATGCGCTTCAGCGCCGCATACACCGGGCTTTCCTGCTCCGAAACTCCTTGTCTCCTCTGCCGCAGAGAGCTAGCTGGCGTACCGGGCGCAACACCGCGCTCAACATCACGGCCGCTGGCGGTGGTGGTTGGCGTAAGACCAGCGCCCATACCAGCCGTCGCGCCGGCCTCACCGCTTGCTACTGCCTCTCTAGCGTCGTGCTCAGATGTATGCACCTCGCGCCGGAGTTCGTACGGTAATGTAGGGTCTCTCTGGGCGCGCATTCGCGTGACATTCGAGCAGTGTTCGTTCTCCACGCGGAATAGCACCCACATACTCCTCCGGAGCACCTCCGAGAAGGCGACAAAGAACGATACAATAGAGGAGTGCTGTATGTCGTCTTTGTAGATGATGTAGAAGATCCAGTTGAAGCGCAGGATTGGATCAAGCGCCATGGCAACGTAATAAGCCCAGACCTGTTTTCGGTACGCCAGTGTGGGGCGGAGCAGCGGATAAGGCTTCGAGTATGCGTTCAAAGGCATCGACCAGTCGTAGTTAAGGTCCCAGAAAGAGCAGTAAGAGCTGTTGATGACGGCTGACGTGAGGAAGAAGGCCATTGTACCGTGTCCGCGATGTAGTCGCCACACCGACAGCGAGACATACTGCAAGATGGTGCACGTATACTTGAAGCCGTTGGCCAAATGGGTCCAGAGCTCCGTATCGTAATAACGACGGAAGCACTGGAGTAGACGCCAGATGCCCGGTAACGTTGTGAAGAATCCGAGCAACATCGAATGGCTTGAGTTGCAGCTTGGCGGGTTGCTCCAGTGCTGCGCATACAGGCAGAAGAAAAGCTCGAGATTGCCAAGCGCGTAGGTCTGCGAGCAGTACATGTCTCCGAGGAAGAAGTCCCGAAATTCAACCGGAAACACACCAGCAAGTAGCAGTCGCCAATTGCTTGTTAAGAACCAAGCGCGACTGCGAGGATAGAACAAGGGCGGTGGAGCGCAGAGTAACACCAGAGAGAGTCCGATGAGGATGACCGGCCAGTAGATATACATGTGGCTCGCTGCGCCGAAGGTTGAGAAGTTGCACCAAACAATAAAGCCGAGCAAAAACCAGAAAAAAGCCGGCATCTCCGCAAGCTGCTTCCAGTCCAGCATATCGCGAGGGTCGAACTCGAAGATGAATTGATAGTTGACTTTGTACTTTGTGAAGACAGCGGCGTCGACAACGAATAAGGCCACTTGAATCAGCATTAGCAGGTAGCCGGCGTAGATCTGCAGCAGGTACGAAGTGTTTGTCTGCTCTGCTGGACTGTATCGAGAGTCCGTCAGACGGATGATACCAGCAACAAGACCTTCGACTCCAAAGACTGCTCCAGCGGCAAGAAGCAGGCCGGCGCGAAAGATGGGCCCGGTGAAGTCGCCAGCTTTCGCGATCTTTGCTCGTAGCTTGCCGACCGCTACTTTGTGGTTACCGCGCTCAAAGTAGCGCGCATACAGATCCTCAACCTGGACGATCAGATCATCCATTGTTGTACTTTCAACGAAGTGCGCTTTGTTGACCTTCTCACTCATGTACCGCAGCGGAGGACTAGCGTTAGCGGTCTTGTCATACTTCTTGTTGATTTTGCGGAATGCGGTTCGATTAAGTAAAGCGTACGATTTAAGCAACTCAAGGCCTCGATAGTACTCTGCGAGGGCGATCTTGAGTTTCCGCTTTGCCTGCCGGTACGGCGGCGCATGGACAGGTCGTCTGGTATAGTCTTGGCTTGGATCTACCACACGACCAGCGCCCACGCCTAAAGCGCGTTCTGGTGTACTAAGCTGCTCCATAGCTTGTGATGTCTTCCCGACCGGTCCGGATCGTGCCTTCTCGAGTGCCTCACGGGTCACTTCCAGTGATCTTTTGAAGGGATGCTGGCGCCGTGATCGCGCAGCACCTCCGTCAACTATGTCGTGACCGTTCGTTTTCGCCTCTGGCTCCGGTAGGTGGTCCCAATCGATATGCTGATTGCCGTTTGCCGTATTCTGCCGGCTTAAGTTTGTTCTGCTGGTTTGTTTGTGCTTCTGCTCCGCTGCGAAAATCTCTTCTGCACGCCTGTCGCGCATGATGTGTAACTGCTCACGGAGAAGCTTGAGCTTCTCTCGAGCTTCTTCCTCCTTCGACTTGTAGAATGATTCTATCTTGTGCAGCTCCTTGTCTAAGAAGAGAAAGAACTCTGCTTGGCGAAAGTCGACCTCGCGGTAAGCTTCCAAGGCCACATCGGTGTTGACGGGTCGGTTGCCACCAGATGGAGCAGCAACGGACGAGAACATTCGTCTCACTAGTGGCTTACTCCCACCGGGCAGAGAATTACTCCGTTCGGTCTGCCGAAGATGCTCAAACCGTTTCGAGGACAGTGCGCTGGCTGGAGCGTCTATTGGCTTTGTGATCTGGTAGGCATTACCTGTGTGCGCTAGCTGAGTCGGAGGTGGTTTGAGGTCACGGCCTGTGACATCTGGAGATCCAGGGCTGACAGGGCGTTCATAGTCATCGTCATGGTGCACATCGATGGCCGGCTGTGGCAGTTCGAGCGTTGGAGCGCGACCTAAATGCTGCATAGCCGGACTCGGATCGTCAGGTGGAGTACCGATGATACTTCCATACCTGGTCAGTCGAGGTCCATCCTGCTTTATCTGCAACGGACTGCGCTCGTTGATAGGTTTGGCCTTCGGTGTTCGTTGACCGTCCTGGGACAGTTGCGGGCTCGGCTCTGCGCTTCTCGACCTGGGAAGGAACAGCGGCGTGTTGCTCGCTTGTGACGCAGGCGCAGAGTCTTGCCCTGGGCGAGCTCGGTCACGCTGGAAGAGGGAGTAAACAGGCGCATCTCGTAGAGAAGCGAACGGACTTCTCGACGGTGGTTTCTGCCGCACCTATAAGCGGCTGCCATCTACACCATGTTGCGCATTTGGATCACGCACCTCGTCCTCGACACTTCTCATTGCCCTCGCCACAGCTTTCAACTTCTTCTTGCCCGTCTTGTAGTCCAAATACTTGTCCTTCCATTCTGCGACCAAGCCGTCTTCCAATTCCTTCGCGAACTTCATCCCGGCCCGCGTTCGTTCTGACGGCCAATGGCCTATACGTCGATTCTGAGAGATGAGACTGGATAGCGGCCGGGCTGTGTCGGCATCGTGCACATTGTTCTACCTACATGTACACCTCGTCCTGCAATGCTAGATTTGCTTCTTCGTCAACGCTCCGCCCAGCTAAAGCCCCTCTAGAATGTGATACATGCCAAACATTGACGTTATTCGAATACGTATGGTAGCTGTTCTCCAACCATGTTGCTTTTCTCATCAAGGTATGGTGTCGGCGACGGCCCGGTATCGTCCCGCATCGCTGCACTCCGTCATCGCAACGCTGTTGTTCTACTCAGGCTGTACAAATGTAAAAGTTACGACACTGATGTAGCAAGGCTGTCCCTATCTCAAACTGGCTGAGAGATCAAAACCACTGCAATGAAGCGCTACGGCGGTACGCGGATGCCTCCAGCTGAGTTTGGCCCCATGAGCAGCTTACACCCTTACACCTACTCCTGCCGTTCGTACCCTGTCAGCCCGAAAGCTTAGCGGTGCTTGATGAGCTTATCCGCATAGCCAAGCTTCTCCGCATGCGGCATTCTGCATCGCGTGATCTCCGTCTATAGCTCTCATTCGCGTTACGACGCCCCACAGTAGAGGCGGGCAAGGTAGGTGGCTGAATATTGCGACTAGAACGTACGTGAGCTTGCCGAACGGTGTACAAGAATCCGCCTGGAAGTGATCTTGCAACAAGCGAACATCAAGCAAGAACATCTGCACCCTCGTAGAAACCCTACCAAACAATGGAGCCTAGCAAAGACGATGCACAGGCGAAGGCCGCAGGACAGCAATTTGATCACGCCCGGCCCTTGCCTATGGATAGGGAGTCTATCGCAAGCTCTGCCGCTGTCTCTACCTCTCCTTTGCTTCATGATCGCGCTAGGATCCTTCGGGGGTAGGAGTCTGAAACGGCTACTCCTGCGCGGCGCAAGTCTTCTATCGGGAGACTTGTGGAGCGCTCGAAAGAGGAGCGCGCCTGATCGCTCGCCACAGCAGAAAGGCTGACAAGCTCCTTCCCGAGATCGTGAGAGCTTTCCGTCGTTACCTAAGCGTTGATGAACAGACAGCTGCAATGTCCGTTCTTGATCCGGACAGCGAGCTGTACAAATTGGTGGCGGAGAACGGGTCATCGCGGGACGAGGGCTGCGTCGATGCGTGGGTCCGAGACCACTGGAAGCAGCTTCGAACACTTGAGCGGATGAGAGCTAAAGCTGCGGTTACGCACGTGCACGGGCTAGAGACGCCTGCCGCCGAGCAAAATCGGTCCCTGCTGCCTGAACAGAAATACAGCTTGAAACAGAAGCGAACAGGAGCATGCATTCTAGAGACATTAAGTAGAACAGCAGGATGGTAGTTCGATGGAACAGCATCTGCTTTGCAACATCTGCTCTGGCTTGCCCTGGCTACAGAGAGCGTGCATCCGTGTTAATAAGAAGAAGATTTTCAGCATGGCGAGTTATGCTAGTCTGCCAACGGCTTCAGTGGCGAGGTACCGAGAAAGAAGCTCGTTGGTATCGCAGGAATGGGGATGATTGCTGTCGTGCCCCACGTAAGCGTGGCCAAATCGGCGGACATCTTTGGCGCTTGGTACCCTGTTGGCGCGACCGTCGCAGTGCTTGTCGTCGCACTATAGGAGACGTGGTCGCTGCTGTCCTTCAAGCAGAATGATGGCGAATCTGTGTATGCAGATCGACAGGCGTACCATTGACCTGTCACGAGCAGCGAAGTCAGCTTTCTGCGTAACAGGGCGTGTCTCGCTGCTGTACACACCATTTCCCGTTTCCGTCCACATCGCGAAATCTTTGATATCAACACCGGTGCAGGGAGCTCCGTCAGCGCAAATCACACGGACTGGGCCACGCTGCGCACCATTGGCTTCGGTGCCGGTCCAGTTGTTGATCTTGATGCTGCTCAGCTGCACTCCGTTACCGGCTACGGTGGACTCGGAGCTCCAGTATTGGTCGATGTTCAAGCTGTAGGCGTTGCCGTGGCCGATGAAGTTCTCGAGAACGACGTCAGACACGGTGCCGTTACCACCGTTAGACTTGATCATATACATCTGGTTTGAGCTCCAGGTGTACACGTCCTTGTAAGTGACGGCACTGATATTAGTGTCACTGCCTAAGGAACCCATGGCGCAGCCACCGGACCAGTTGCAGTAGATCTGTTCGACAAGAATGTTTCTGGCTGGCGACTTCACGGTCACATACTCATCCTAGTGAAATGTTAGAGTCAGGACCTCCACCCGGTAATGTAGTTCTCGTGCCTACCTTGTTCGTCACCATGATATCGTGGATCCAGATATTGGTCGACCAAACATCAATGCCATCAAGCCCGCCTTCGTTGCCGCCGCGAATAGCCAGTGGAGGAGAAGAATTCGAAATCCGTACCGTGTTCGATGAAGATCATATTGCCGCCTGCGGTTCCGTTACGATAGATGATGCCGTCAAGTTGTAGAGCCCATGCATTACCGCCAGATAGGGTAACCCAATTGGCCAGAGCGTAATTCCCATTCGGTATCACGACGACGCCGCCGGATTTGCAAGCATTGAAGGCAGCCTTAAGTGCTGTTGAAATGTCGGTCTTACCGTCCGCAACAGCACCGTATGAGGTTATGTTGCATGTTCGAATAGCTCTCTTCGCAGCGATGGATGTTTTGGGGCCCACGCTGGTGATTATATCTGCGGACTGAGATGCGACCAGCGCAGGGAGCGCCCAGAGGGCCAGCCAGAGCGAGGCGAGCAACATCACAAAACTCGATTCAAGGTGTAAGAAGAGAAGGTATGGAAGTTGAGGCACAGTAAAAAGTGACAATAGTTACACCAGATACCTAGGCAGAGGTAAAGAGTCGATGGGGCGAGCTGACCCGAGGTGCGCAACTGCGGCGACGATTATGTACGCTGCTAGCAGACATCAGGTTCACATACCTGTAGCGTTGCATCGCAGCAAAGATGGCGAGCTCCACGTAAGCCGTGGAAGCGATATCTTGAGACAGCGCGCCCTGCGTACCGCCAAAGTGAATTTGTTGGGGCTGGTCTGGCACGAGGCCGTCGCAGCAATGGGCTGTTGCGTAATAGGAACAAATGCTTCTGAGTGCTAACATCTTCTTAATGCACTCTTTGCATTCCCAACCGACTGCGGTCGTTGTATGATGTACGCACTACGCACTTTTGCACGTGAGATGTCGTGGCTGCGTGAGGAGAGTTGGGCGAGGCGGGAGTCCATTTCTCCGTTTGACGCCCGAGCGGAGCTCGCCGGTGCTTGGGCGACCATTTCACAGCACACTGCGACCGACGGCAGAACTTCTGTGGCCAAGGGCCAGAACAGAAACCCTCGACTGATTAACGCGATAACGTTCATGTATACGAAGAGCCGAGCGTGACCCATATGAGAGCATTGACCTTGACCGTTCGCATATTCTACACCTGAGAAGCCCAGCATGAATACCACGGAGCGCAGTAAACGTCAGAAGCAGCGCAAAGTCCTGCTCATGGGTCGCTCGGGAGCGGGCAAGTCTTCGATGCGATCCATTATCTTCAGCAACTACGTAGCAAAGGATGTACGGAGACTGGGCGCCACCGTAGACGTTGAGCATAGCAACATCAGATTCATGGGAAATCTTATGCTGAATCTATGGGACTGTGGCGGGTAAGACAGTAGGCCGGCGCTCGCCAGTCAATCGACTGAGCTGATGCTTGTGTATTCCAGTCAAGACTCTTTCGTGGAGTCTTACCTCACCAACCAGCGCTCTCACGTTTTCACATCTGTTGCTGTGCTTATCTTCGTTTTCGACATATCTTCAAGAGAAGCTGCAGCGGACTTGTTGAACTTTGCGTCAACGATCAGGGCTCTGCATGAGTTCAGTCCCAACAGTAGAGTGTTCATACTGATTCATAAGATGGACCTCATCCCGGCCGATCAGAAGTCTCGAGTTTTCCAGCAACGCGCGGTAGAGGTACGCTCAACCTGCGAAGACGAAGGCTTCCTTGAGCAGCAGGTCGACTTCTGGGCGACGTCAATATGGGATCAAAGCCTATATCGCGCATGGACGCAGGTGATCTACTTCCTCGTGCCAAATGCTACGGTCATCGAGCGCATGCTGCAGAAGTTGGCTGAGTTGTTGGATGCTCGAGAGCTTGTACTATACGAAAGAACGACATGCTTGGTCGTCACCCACATCACGCGCGGCAGCGAAGGACAAAATCCTTACAGCGACAGATTCGAGCGGCTAAGCAGCATATTAAAGACCCATAAGCATTCTATGGCAAAGCATACCGGTACTTTGGCGTCTGAGGTCTCGTTCGCGGAGATGCAGGTCAAAACTGGCGAATTCATGTTCTTCATCACGCGGCTGACAGAGAACACGAACCTGGCAGTAGTGATGCCAAGCGATGAAGCTACTTTCAATGCAGCTAGGGTGAATGTGCAGCTTGCAAGGCAGGAGTTTGCTCACCTCGACATTGTTGAGAAACGGAGCAAGGATGCTGCGCGGTTCGCAGGCATGAGAGACAGCCTTGGCAGTGATGACATTGCGTCAAAGGGCAGCGAAGATGAAGAGATCGCTTTTGCAAGACCGAAGGACCGCTAGAAGACGCTGCTGGCGTTTCGCAGAGCCCAAAGGTTCTGGCGCGCAAGCACCACGAGCCCTATGTGGGTCATTGGCAAATCTCCTCCCATTCCGCGTCCGCTGTAACGTGACGAACAGTGGACGTTTGCTGGAGGTCTGCGACATAGCTAGTTGCTGTCCACCCTACGATCTTCGCGAGGAGCGCGCCCATCGACGGGTTGAAGCGACAGAATTAGAGCCTTGGTATAGGCATGGGACCATTCAGTACGTTGGTGGCCCTCGCTTCTCGGCTAGCGACAGCCGCTGAGCCTGTTTGCCGTGCCGGCGTACGTATTCGGCACTGGGTCTTCCCGGATCCTGCGCCATGATTATACAGCATAGATCCTGGTCTTGTTCACTAGAAGGTACAAAAGCTATCTTTCGGCCGTACAGATCTGCTGCACAATGAGGTCGAGGTCGGATGCATGGTGGGTAGGTGCTTTCGGGTAGCATAGTATGTTCCTTTTGCTCTGCCACATTGACAAGACGACAAAACGTGGTTGATCATCCGTCTCACGTCTCAGGTACGTAGAGTACGTAGCGACATGCAAGGGCGTTGAATGGAACTACTCGCTTACTGGCGTACGAGCAACTTTCGTCGTTTTAAGATTGTCGCTCCGTGCACATGTCTTGGCGGAGACTCGCGCCACAGCTGTGTCGCAATGCCTGGCCCTCGTCCTCCTCACGCTTATGCAGTGGCAGTGGCTGCCCTGCCGTTTGTGCTCCATATTGGCTTACGTATTCAGTGCACAGATGATACACCCTTTCCCGAGTCTTCCCCGGAGTCGTGGCTTGGCGGCCCAGCGTCCCGAAGGCGCTATTGGGCGTTGGGTGTTTGCTGGTTTCGATCGTGCACATTATGACAGATCGTAGCAAGTAGTAAAGGAATTCTCTCTACCGTCGGAAAGGGTACGGCTGGGCGTTCGCATACGACTGAGACATCACCCCTGCTTCCTCTACGCACATTGATGCACAGGTCAGCGGCTGACTGGATAGTCGGTACATCTTTCATCCTTCCCGTCGTCATACCCACTGTCTCACTGTATTCCAGCGAAGTGGATGAATTTGGAATCTTGAGTATGCTTCCCACGCACGTTGACAGACTCGCAGGTACCCGCAATCTCGGCATGCCTGCAAGCCGCCAAACCTCTGCCCATGAACGCATACAAGACCGTGTGCTGATTTCCGCGGGGTGTTCTTACCGTGCATCGTTAGGTTGTGGGCACCACTGGCGCCTTTTCGGGAGACTGCTACAGCCTTTTCCATGCACAGCCATGATACAATAGTAGTATACAGCCAATGCTTCACATCTGAGCACAATGCTGCCCTTGACAGCTCCCTGGTGCTGTAATCCCAGGTATGATCGTAGCCTGCTGTGCTAGAGAACAAGCCGGAAACCCGGTCTCACATTTTGCCCACGCCTTTTCTTTACGCTACCCGCACACTGCCAGAAGGTGAGCTTCTGTGTCCACCTTCTCTAAGCGCGTCGAAGTACATCGGACTGTAACCATCTTCCCGGGAATGCTCATCGTAAGGGTATATGCAGTCGTGATGTCGCTCAAACTCCACCAGAGGATCTTTTATGCCCCATTGAGATCCAAGCCAAGCACCGCTCCGCGTCTTGTTGGGCCGTTGCAGGACATTGCGAATTTGTAGATGACGGGTTTGAGCATCGATCAGCTGATTCCTGGCGCTGTTCCAACATCGTGAAATCGTCTGGAAGCAATCCAGCGCATTGTTCGTGGCATCCAAAGTGGCGCGTAGGCCGGTTTCCAGACCTCCAGCTCCAACAATGTCAATGGCAAGTATTGCGGCATATCCTGCAAACGGTGTCGAGAGCAACGGGTCGCAACGTTCAGCAGGCGCCGGGATAGAAGATGACAGCTCGGCAAAAGCTGCTTTCTCAGCGCCTAGCATTGTCAATAATTTGTGAGCGTGATGATGTGCGTCCCTTATATTCCGCTTCACGGTTTCGGGAGCCACCACCTTGTATCGGACGTAGCGGTTTAGTCTCATTAGGATGCAGTGGTAGAGGGTATGCGTCGAGACGAACACGATGCCGTATCCGCCCAACATGCTACGTCTGATATTCTCTTCGCTGTAGTGCAGATATTCCGGAAGCCGCGATGACCATCCCTGCAACCTATTCTGCGTTTCCGCGTAAAACGCTTCGTACGCTTCTCTGAAGGAATCGTTGGAACGGTGAATCATCCGGCTAGAGAATGTGAGAACGTCGCCCCAGATCGCTGAAAGGAGGCATAGCCACGCCATGGGACACACCGCACTTGACGGGGTCAGTATCGTTCGGAGAGGCTCCACAATGCCGTTGTTGTAGTATGGAGCATCAGAGACCGATCCACGCTCATAGCAGTCATCGGCACAGGGCAGACGAAGAAAGATATCCCGGAGATCGATCGCGCAAAGCGTGCCACATTCATAGCGATCGAGCAAGAAGCAAGACCAGAATGTGCGACGTCCGCACTCGACGAGCTGTTCCGGTGTAAGCCAGAATTCGATACGTCCACGAGCGCGTAGACGTTCCATTGCATCCGGAGCCGGTTCCGTGAACAGCGACTGGCCACTGCCACTACAGGCACGGATTGCTAGACCTGCAAAGTCCCGAGCAAGGCCGCTGGCACCTTTTCCGGTATAATAGAGCGCCATGACCAGCCGTGCTTGAATCACGGGAAGATCTGACGTGCTGATTGTCGCTAGGATTGCATCTTTCGCGACTTGTGCGCATCGTTTGCCGTAGCCGGAGAAGCGATCGTCTGTAAACACCGAGCCCATTGCTAGCATGGCGTAAAGCATTGTGCGTTCCCGTTGACACTTGTCCGTGGCATGTGTCAGCCAGTCCATGAACCGCTTACGCGGAAACAAGCAATATGCGCCACTATTGACATGGTTGAAGTATGAATCTATAAGATGACGGCTGACCTCTCTGTCAACGGCGAACGGATCTTCTTCCCACGCTAGGACTTTGTCGGGTACAAAGACTGTGGGACCTAAAGCCGCGACGTCAGCGACCTTTGCAACGCCAGCCGATGCAGGCTCCGGTTCCAGGCTAGGAGACGCTGAGCGATGCTTCTTGCTTGGTACATTGGGCGGTGACGGATCCTCCCTTGACCTTCGCTTGGTTATGTTGTGCTCCCCGTTCGGTTCACTGGTGGCCTGTGGAGTAGGATCGGACGCGCCCTTGCGCACAGGGGAGACTGCATCACCTTGCCACGTCGATGTAGCTCCGATTTCTGGATGCATCGGTGCCCTGCGTTGCCGTCAGTGACTGCGACTTGACCGTGTCAGCCATACCTACTTTCGACACGTGCGTTTGGCCTTCTCGCATTGGAGGCAGCTGTTTATGCCTGGCTCGCATTTGATCTTCTTCTCACGACAGTCTAGGCAAGCTAGCGCCAACCGCTTGCGAGGCTTGTTGGCCTTGGTGAGCCCCCATTGAGGGTTTACTTGCTCGCCATCAACATGCGTTGGAATGCGGTGCCCACCCTCGTACACATGGAAAGTGCCCTCATTCGGGATGTCTTTCACGCCGAGATACTTCTTTTGAGGCTCGTTCGCGCAGAGCTGTGCGTTTTCGCTCATCGAGCGATCGCAATTTAGGGTGGTGCTCCGGTACTGGCTGTCATCGGGAGTGCCAGCGTATGGGCTTGGCACCCCGTTAGTGAAGTATGAAGTAGAACAGGATGGGTGTGTGCGATCATGTCTAAGCTGGCTGAAATCTCGTACATCATTGCCGCCATTGTACGGCGATGCCGGTGATGATTGCGGAGGGTGTCGCGCAACTGGACTCGTCTCCAGGATTGGGAGCTCTATGCGGCGCCCTGGCAGACTTGGGTACTGCGTACTCTCCACAGGCGGATGTAGTGCTAAAGGTGGATGCCATCCTTGGAAAGGGCGTGATGTCTCACTATTCCTCGTGCTCGAGTGAGCCAGTGGGTTGAACGACCACTGTGAAGCGAACGCGGACGGGGCATTCGTGTGGGGACCTGGAGACAGCAGGTCACGGAGCCCGGGCAGGATCTGGCCGTGTGGACGGTGGTCGGCGCTTGGATTAGGAGAGGTGTTATATGGGCCGTGCAGTTGTCTCCGCGTTCCAGAGGACTCGGAAACTGAGGGTTGCAGGTAAGGTCTCGGTCGAGGCTCCACCGGGCGAGGCGGTTCAAAAGCCTGCTGGTGAAATGGGGCAGGCTGATGGCGTGGCAAATTCCCACGGTCGCTGTGACTGTGCGTGTTGGTATCGGTGGGCAGAGAGCCGTTTGGTAGCATGGTCTGATTGAAGGTTGTGGCCATCTGGTGTTGATAGCCTGTCGCAAACCTCACGTAAGCCCGTGGCCACCGCAACACGGTTGCGACGCTGGCCGGCGCGCAGGTTGGAGTCCAATGTGGTAAGCTTTGGTCGACGCTGAGTGGGGAAAGTGGCCTCTTCAAGTCTCGTATTCTGCGGTCGATCCCAAAGCCAGTGTATATGAAGCAGCTGTTGCTGCTACAACCCTGTGGGATCTCTCGCGGATAGGGATGCTTGGTGGGATCCGACGAATCCGTAGGGACAGGCTCTCACTGTCCGTTTCCAAAGCCCTCGAGCAGGCAGGCAACTGGTGGCTGATAGCAAATATACGACGCTGTAATTCACAGTACAGTAGAGCCCCAGTTCGAAGCAAGCATCCAGAATTGTGTTACGGTTTACAGATCGTCAGACCAACGTTCGCGGCAAGTCTGAGCTGTCGGCACTGGTAGCTCCACCAGAAGTTCAACGAACGGCGCGCAGTTTGAGGTCCCAAGATCAATTATACAGGCCGGCGCTCCGGTTCCCACACCAGCGAATGACCGTAGCCGCGTGGGGTGTTCCTCAGTCGGTCAGATCTTCAGTCTGCGTAATTTCCTGAGTTTCACCCAGGGTCCTGAAGGGTGAAGCAGAAGCGTGCTTCGAATGACACCTGAGACCATACGTTCGGGATTGGATGTACAGCTACGACCAAGGGTACGCGGATGCATCGCCAGGCTCTTCCTAGCAGGTCACTAGCTGGTCATTAGCTGACGCACTCCACCGCGCGATGCTGGTGGCTGCAGGAGGCTGCAATATCGAGCGGAATACCTTGCAGGGTAACCAGGTGGGCCGCAGCGCGAAAGTCTCGGATCGAGGATGAAGCTGCAGCGCGGGCCGAATTCCCAATGGGCAACTAGGTTTACCCTTCAGCTGCAGCGGTCTCCCCGCACATGACAGCAGATGCCTCGTCGAATGGGGATGCCAGCCCAGCCTGATCTTCTTGGTCCGCGCCAGTGCCAATAGAGTTATGGCAGCCCGGCATTGCCCACCCGACTCATCGCCCACACCGACGCTTAACCTCATCAACCGAAATGCAGGGGTGTTCTGATAGAACGAGGGCCCGCCGCAACCGCATGCTGCCAAGAATGCGCTGCGTCTCTGCTCTGCCATCACAGATCTGCAATGCACACGTGTGTCGCGAAGGTGTATTGACTCCATCATGATTATTAGACATTCGAGCAACAGTATCAGGTGGGCCAGCATAGCGGTCGATCTTCGTCTGTCAATGCACGAGCGCAGCGCAAAGAGCGGCCTTGGCTTCCCTTCGTCAACCTCCAAAGATCTACCAACGCAGATCGCAAGGCTCTACATTCTACAAACCATTCGCACAATACATACTGTTCGAGCGACCATACCCTGCGCAAGCCGCATTCGAGACGTTTTACGTGAAGGGAACATTCCTTGTTGTCACGGTAGCAGTTCATTATACGAGAGCACTAGTACCGACAACATAAACGGCTTTGGAAGAAAGTGAACGCAAATGCACCTTTACTACCGCGCGCGACAAGCGCCAGCGACAATTGTCCAACCACCCTCGCTTACGCTATGATAGCGGCGCACCGTTGATGAACTTGCCGCCGACTTGTACGGCGGCATCTGCTGAGGAAGACTTAGACTCAACGGTAATGGAGGTAAGCAAACCTTATCGAACGGCTTCCAGCTGCACGGTCGAGCCACGTATAGTCTCTCGGCCTTTGCGCAGGCGCCAGAGCATGTGAGTGTGGCAAGAAGTGGACCCCCCAGCCGGGCTGTGGACCTGCTCGTCCGAGTGAACAGCAGGTTCGAAAGAGCGACGACCAATGACTCGAGCGCCTCCTCTACCGCCCCACACTCTCCGCAATCCGCCAAAGAACTGATGGGACGGACGTATCTCGTACGTGCTTGCTCGTGGAAACCACGCGTTGCTGATCTTCACCTCTGCCGCTGTCGATCACATCGTAGGTGTCCGATGATGTTCTCTCGATGACCGCTTACTTCGGCAGGTTGTTCTGCTTCGCCGCAGACACATGCTCCAGTGCAAGTCCTTTTCAAGCATGCCGGAACAAGACTTGGCGTCTCGGTGGCCGCACTCAGCACGGTCCCGCTAATGGCCATGACAGCTGAGTCAACGGGCGCGGGTCGGCACCGTGCCCTGGCGTTCATCATTAGGTTACAGTAGAGCAAGCCGTCTGCGTCTTTTGAGCCACGACTACCGAGACTATTACTTCGTTAGCTCCAATAATGTTCGACACCAGCCATAATGTCTACGCGGAGAACATGATCTCGCTTGGCTGTGCGCTCGTTGCAATAGTCAGATTTGCAATCTTACTAACGAAGCAGACGTGCGTAGCCGTCGCTTTCGACGTCTTCCACCGAGGAGCGATGAGAGTGCGATGATTGACTATCCCACATAAGGAATATGCACTTCCGCCACTGCTTCAGCAGCAGCTCTGTCAATGCACAGCAGCGTCATTGCTACAGGATCACGACTAAATAAGTTCGTCCTGTAACCGGGAAACTGGAATTGACTGACTCTATGCTGGGATGCGTCAGTCATGATACTAGCAGCATGATGTGACTGCAGACGATCCCTCGCTCTGCGGCGTCTGAGCATATTGAAAATCCTAATGCAAGCACAGCTTCCAGCGGGATTCTCACCCCACGCTAAAGCCAACCTCGCATCGTGGTAGAGTGACGGCACCTTGCAGACGCTGCTGTGCGCCCGCCTCAGTTCGTGGGTCACACGACCTCAGGGCGATCCGGTTGGCTTGCACTATTGCCGTGGGAGGAGCGATTATGACGCCTTCAACCTGACCTGATGCGGGAATCGTGTATAGGTCTTGCACACTTCTCGCACCCTCGAATGCATGCTCTCGTATGGAAAGCGCGCAGAGTACGATACGAAGATGGGAGGGCTAGGACAAAGTTCGCGTGGGAGAATAAGCTTGCCTGGTGAGCGTGCAGTTCATGTCGAGAAAGCGCAGACCAGATTGACTGCCATGCATGTGCCCATTCCCACTGACCCTCCACTCGGGTGCAGTAGTCGCAATGGGAACATGATGTTCTCTAAGATCCCATCGCAAACAAGCTTGTACACCTACGCATCTACTCAATCTCGTATTACTTAACTTACTTTCAGACATGCAGGCCGTCCCCCGTTGGCTAACAGCCACCACGCGGACAAGTTCTTTTTACTGCCGTAAATGGGTCAGCACAAGCTCTCGAACATGGCGGATCAGAGCTGTCGGAGGGGCGGAGCTGCCGCCGGAACGTTCAACCCGGCTGTGACCGGACATTGTGGTCACCAGATTGCCGGACCGGCAAGAACGGGTCTGAGATTCGGACCATAAAGTATAGCAGACTTAAGCGCCTCATTGTCACCTTGAACATATCAAGAAATTGGGCCATCGAGGCCGGTCCCGGGATTACGCAGGAGAAAGGACATCTTGGCACGTTGCCTTCAGGTCCTGCTCGAATACATCTACATGCTTATTGGCTGTCACAAACCTCACATGACTCTGCCCTTCAATGGCAGCGGCCGCAGGGCTCATGCTTGACAGGCCCACTACAGGACTTTGGCACGACTCATGGACTTCGCTCTGGCCACTCCTGCGTCTTCTCAACCAAGGACAACGAAAACGCTCCTCGAACGGACCATGCCATATCGGCCCTAGGCACCCGGTGTGGAGCATATCCTTTACAACAAGACCCGCTCACGCCTGGTTTGCAGCCGACCACGTCTCGTGAAGCTGCTTCTGTCTCGTCCAATCCTTCCTCAACTTCTTCGTACGGGATTTGGCAAGCTCCTTGCCCTCCGTGTCATGCGTGGGCATACCCTCCTCATCCCACGCGCTGTATTCGGTCGTCCGAAACATGTCCAGATGAGATAGCTTCCCGCGGTCCAACCGCTCCTTCTCGGCCGCCTGCGCTTCCTCTTTCGCCCGTGATTTGGCAGCAGTAGCGGCTTCCTTGTTGGCACACTCGTCTCGTAGAGATTGGGAGACAGGCCGCACCAGCGCGGCTAAGCTCTCAGCATCACGGTCTTCCAAATATATATCTAGCTGCCATAACACACTATCACGGAGATGGTCGCATGCAGCAAGATAGTCCTTCGGTGATGCTCCCTGCGTATTTAGCTGGAAGAGCTTGCGTTGGAAGTCAGCATAAGCATTCGCGTATGGCTGATTGTCAGAGTATCTGGTGTCTCTGTCCTCGAGCTTGCCCAATGTGGCAATATCGACACCGCCGGCTTTGGCTTGCTCGCGAACACGGTCTCGTAGTTGTGACAGTGGGTAGATGAATGGCTTCGCCTGTTCAGGAATGTCAAGACCGGACCATCCGAGGTCGCCAGACTTATGTTGTGCATCGAGTCCAAACATGACGACCATCTCCGTCACCCACCTTCCAAGCTCAAGCGACAGCGTGTCTGGATTGTGCTTCTGCGTATTGTACAGGGTGATGAGGTCGCTGATGATGCGCATTGCGGTGGGTGTGTCAAAGGAGTCGCACAGGGCGTCGTGGAACTTGCGCTTGGCTTCCGCCAGCGCGTCTGCGACGCTACCGGCACCATTCTGCATCTTGATGCCATTAACGCCATTGGTGCCGGCGTTGACGTCGAGCTTCATTGCAGTCATGCGCGACTGCAGATCTCGGATCTTAATGAAGAAGTTGTCGACCTTGTCCTCCCATGCCCTTCCAGCCTTCACCACCTCACCAGTGATCTCCAAGCCGTCGCGCCAAGCGCCAAGTAGAAAGACGATGCGCAGGCCTCTTGGTGTCCAGTCACCCTTTGCAATGGCTTCACGTATGGTGGTGAAGTTCTTAAGCGACTTGCTCATCTTGCTGCCCTGGATGCTGAGATGACCCATATGCAGGAAGTAATTGACCCACTGCCGGCTGTCCTTACCACTCTCGTGCCAAAAGGCTTCTGATTGCGCGAGTTCGTTGTCATGATGAGGAAACGCGAGGTCAATGCCGCCGGAATGAACGTCGATTTGCTTGCCGAGCACATCAGAAGCCATGGCGCTGCACTCAATGTGCCAACCTGGACGGCCATCGCCCCAGGGAGATGGCCAGCTAGGCTCTCCTTCCTTCGAAGCCTTCCACAGCGCGAAATCTGCCGCAGACTTCTTGGACCCGCTAGGCTTCGTAGACAGTGCGCCCTCGCCATCCGCCTGCAGTTCACCGTCATTGCGGTTCCAGGGTTCTAAGCGGGCGTAGACGCCACCAGTGCTCTCCCACTGCTTGATGTCGTAGTAGACGGAACCATGAGTTTCGTACGCAAAAGCGTGATCTTGAACTTGCTTGACGAAGTCGACGATCTGCGGACCGTACTCCGTCACTCGTGTAAGCTTATCCGGGGATCGTACATTCAGTGCTGCCATGTCCTCGAAAAAGCGCTGTTCGTACCGTTTCGTAAGCTTCGTGAAGATGTGGTGGTCGGTGCCTTTGACAGTTCTCTTGTACAATGAGTCAATGTACGGTAGGAGCACTCCTGACGCTTTAGCCACAAAAGCATCGTAAGTGTGATCCAACGCTAGGAGCGCTTGGACAGCAGACTCCGCGGTCCTCATATGCATCCTGATCTTTGCTTCCTTGTCGCCCGGTGGCGAGCCATCGTTGGTAAGACTCTGCCCTTTCAAGACGTGACCGTACGCAAGCTCGACCTGCTCGTCGTAGTTGGCCAGTACTACTACGTTGCTGAGTAACGGCAAATGCTTCGCAACGTACATTAAGAACGCCTGATTAGTGATCTCTCGAACCTCTTGGTCCACTTCAGTATGCTGTGCGAGCCATTCAGACAGCAGGTGCTGTTGTCTGGCAGCAAGTATAATCTTGTCGTCGACATCCGTTATGTTCATGACAAAGAAAACTTGAAACCTGAAGTAATCGGACAGAATGCGACGGATAATGTCAGTTGAGACATAGTTTCGCGCGTGACCCAAGTGCTACCTCAACATCAGCCTCTGCTTCCCTGCAATCTTCCTTTGCCACAAGCGACTCAAGCCCGCCTCTCCAACGTACCGCGTCATCATACACCGTTGGCCCGCAAGCATACCATCCCACCTTCTTCCCGTCCTGATCGATCGGAATAAATGGTACCTTCGACCTGGTCAAGCTATTATACACCAATAGCCTTGGCAGCTCTGCTGACTCGGCTGGTGCTGGAGGAGGCTGCCATTCAGGCAATGCCGTTGCCATCGCACGCGTTGGAAGATATCTTGCGGATATTGCTGTTTTTGCAAGGCGCTGAGGGGGTGTGATGCCGACTGTCAGCCGGATACCTGGTGGGACTACATGCACGAAGGATGGGAGGCATCGAATGAGGAGGTTCATGCGTCGACGGGCAGAGTCAGGCCGAGAACATCGTTGTTGGCAGTCATGAATGTATCAATGAAGCATGTGCATGAGTCTGCAGGCACGAGCCACTCTTGCAGCGGATACAGCCGCTAAGCCCTTTTTAGCGCCGAGCAACCTTGTCGGCTGTTCCGGCCTCCTGCACACGCCAATCATATATCAATACACAGATGAGAATGCGAAGAATTGATGTCGGTTGGCTCGAGGACGCTGTGGAACGCTCTGATTAGGACGCACCACATTACATCTCGCAAGAAGGTTGGCAAGCTCAAGCAGGCAGCCTCCGAGCATGGCGTTTTCGCATTGCTCCGCAGCGGCGGTATCCCTGGCATCATGTACGTTGAAGGCCCGGAAGAAGGGGTGGTAAAATGGGTAGACGCTGTACATGTATGCGCAAAAGAAGGTTCACGAAGGCGGGATGAGCTAACGACGAGTGCAGGCGCTGAGGTACAAAGACTATCATGTTGCCTCTCAGCCTGCCATGCTTGATCTTGAAGTCGGTGCGCGCAAGTCGATTATCGATCATCGCGGTCTCACTGAGGTCGACACCGTTAAGAAGTTCGGTGATATCATGCTCGAGCGCGGCGTGTATACCTGGTGGCGAAAGGCCATGGGATATGCTTCGCAAGATGACCGGCTTTGAGTGAGTACGACCCGCATGCTTGCCCATTCTCTCCGCGACGCTGTCTGCGATGGCGCCAACTCCGTAAAGTAGTGGTCTGCGCGCTAAATGCAACATTCTTGAAGCATTTTCTCTTGACCGCCGTACATTCAGGTGGTGCGGAGATAGTGGATGAGGAGCGGCGAAGTGGAGGCTGGTACACAAGCTAAATCTGGCCGAAATGACTGTTAGAAGCTCAGAGCGCCTCATGGGCACATCACGCTTCCGTTAGATTCCAAGGGCACAGTACTTCGCTGTTCCCTCCGACAGATGCAGCCAAGGTGTTGCGGCACTAGCAGCGGCTGAATGTTCACCAGCGCATTGCGCCATCACCATAGCCGCGCCCACTCCCGACAACACGCGGAACAAGTGGGCAAAGCACGCGATGGCACGCATGACTACAGCGTTAATAATGTCCCAATGTCGAGTTGTACTTCTTGTCACTACTCATTCGCGACAACTGTTCGGCTAAGCAGATAATCTATCGAATTTACATATCTGTATTCACTCGGCAGTTTTAGAGAACAAGCCATTTGAAGCAACCCGACTTGTTCCGAGCATTGAGTTCGGCGATTCGGCGATTGCAGTCGAGTCACTGGAACAGGTTGCACACAACTTGACGGTACGGTCGCAGAACTAAAATCTTCAGAGCGTTTCAAAGGCTTTCGCGTTTCTGTCAGCTCTGCCAGATCGCGTTGATCAAAATAACTCGGTATCATGGCTGCCTCGTCACAAAGACTGCTCCTTCAGGCACTGCGATCGTATTCACGTCAAGCCGGGCCTTCGAGAAGTGATCGGCTTGCAGCAGCCACCGTAATGGGGTACTGCTGCCTTGCTTTCAGTGCTCCATTTGCAGGAGCAGCCTTCGTGAGCGAAAGGGCGCGAAAGGATCAGCGATATGCGAAGATGTGAGTGACCGCCTCGTGGAAGCTTCAGCGTTGTATGCTGATGGGAGTAGGCGACCATTGAGCTTCAGAGACTGCCTGCCATGTTCGCCGTTGGAGGATTATGCTGGAGCTCTACGGCGGTGACGGTCGCACCAGCCGTTTATTCTTCGACGCTCTTCCATAGCACGGCACGGCATTGGTCCGCTGTCTAGCTCTTAGGGTGTTGGGCGTCGGGATACGGAGCATTGGCGCCATTATTTGAGTGGAGAGTACGGTGTAGACCGTATGTAGTGGAAGGTGCAACCTGCGGATATGTCGACTTCTCAATCGCGAAACTCTTTCAGCTGAACCTGTCCCCTTTCCTTGACCGAAACGGTTCGGCAGCCTCGTACCGCCCTTTCCGCGCCATCTCCTCCTGCTCGTGCGTGACGGGTGCCGGGTCGCCGCCCTCAGCCTGTTGGCTGGGTGATGGATTGTCGTTTCCGGTCCTCAGGACGATGTTGTCTCTTCGCTTAGCATTGCTTAGTCCGGTAGTCGCACCTTCGCCAGTGCCAGTGACCCTTGAGCTTCTTCGAGAAAGCTCTTCTTGCACCCTCATGCGCTCACGTAGCTGCCGTCGTTTCTCCTCCGCCTCCGCCCTTTCTGTTCGGTCTGCATTGACACTACGTTTGGCAAAGTAGTAAGAGCCACCACCAGCAATGATGAGGACGACCCAGCCGTAGCCTACTGATCGAATCTGCGAACGGTCAGTCTTGTATTTTGCTAATGGGACAGGTGCACGTCGTACAGTATTCATCTGTGGCAATGTGGTAGAGACTGGCCTGAGCCTCCCTTAGGAGATCTTTATATCTCCGCTCTGATCCCAACAAAGAATTTTACTGCATCCACTTGAACGGTTCGAAGTGGTGATGGCATCGGTCACCAGTCCGATGGTCCGGGAGAAAGAACAGGTTAATCACTAAGCCGGCTTCTTCCGCCGGGCTGTGAAGAGGTCATCCGAGGATCTATCTGTTGACTCATTTCCACCGGCGAAGCCTCGCTCTCTACACATGAAGCACAGTGCGAGGTGGAACGCTCACCGTCACTGCTGCTCATCCATCGCTGTGCGAGGCAACGACGGCGCCAATAGAGTAGTATGGCGCCCAAACGCAAGGCGCCAGCGACAGACGGTCGACCTTCCAAGCGAGTCGCCTCTGGTATTAGCACGCCTGTAAGCATCGACAGCGACGATGATTACAGCGAGAGTGATGCTCTATCGGGAGATGGGCGACAAACACCGGTGCGGCAGAAAAAGTACGATGCAGTGATCAACAAGTACCAACCGTCTACATACGATGCAGCGAAGAAGAAGGCCTTTAAGGCCGATCCTGCCGGCCATCTCTTCAAATCGAATCGTGACTTCGTCGATGAACAACTGAAGCCTGACCATCGACTGCGTCCGCTGTGGATCGACAGGCATAGAGGAAGGGTAGTACTTGAGACCTTCTCACCCAGCTTCAAGCAGGCGCAGAACTTTCTCATCAATATTGCAGAGCCACAAAGTCGGACGACGAATATGCACGAGTACACGATCAACGCGCATAGTCTCTTTGCGGCAGTCTCGGTAGGTCTTACCGAACAAGATATCGTGCGGCAACTGGAACTCTTTTCCAAGACAAAGGTGCCAGAAAGCATGATTGAATTTGTACACAGCGTCACGCAGTCCTTCGGTAAAGTGCGTCTTGTATTGAAGCATAATCGATATTTCATTGAGAGTCAAGACGCTTCGGTACTCCAGATGCTGTTACGTGATCCAGTCATCAGCACGTGCCGTGTCGAGGAATCCGACGAGCTACGCACGGAAAAGGCGGCGAAGATGGGCGGCTTGATTATACCCGGCACAAGAGAAGCACAAGGGAACCGAGAGGCGCAAGCCCGGCTGGAACAGCAGCAAAAGCAGAGGCGAGAGCAGGGCGAGGACGAGTCCGATGATGAATTCGGTGGCCAGGAGGCGGAGAAGGACATGACGGAATTTCTCCGCGAAGAGGAGGATGATGACGAATTGGATGAAGTGCATTCGTTCGAAATTGATGGCAGTAAGATTCAGATCGTGCAGGAACACTGCAATGTTAAGCTTGGCCTACCCTTGACAGAAGAGTACGATTTCCGGGCTGATGAGCAAAATGCCACGCTTGACATCGACTTAAAACCTCAGACTCAGATCCGGTACTACCAAGAACATGCCCTCAGTAAGATGTTCGGCAACGGTCGTGCCCGAAGCGGCATCATTGTTCTACCTTGCGGCGCCGGCAAGACGCTGGTTGGTATTACCGCAGCCTGTACGGAGAAGAAGAGTGTTATCGTCCTCTGCACGAGCGCCACCAGCGCGGGCCAATGGCGTGCAGAGTTCATCAAGTGGTCCAACGTTAATCCTGACGATGTCATCATCTTCACCTCAACCGAGAAAGGACGTGTACCTAACCGTGCCTGCATCATAGTATGCACATACAGCATGGTGACGCAAAATACACGGCGCGCACACGATAGCAAGCAGACAATGGACCAGATTACGAGCCGCGAATGGGGACTCATGGTTCTGGACGAAGTGCACGTTGTCCCGGCGGAGATGTTCAGGCGGGTGACTGAGCGCATCAAGACGCATTCCAAGCTTGGCCTTACCGCCACACTACTTCGTGAAGACGACAAGATCAAGGATCTTAACTTTCTCATCGGTCCCAAGCTCTACGAAGCCAACTGGCTGCAGCTCAGCGAAGAAGGCCATATCGCTCGGGTGCAATGTGCCGAGGTGTGGTGTCCGATGACAACCGAGTTCTACAGCGAATACATCCAAGCACAGACGACGAACAAGAAGAGCCTTCTCTCCATCATGAACCCGCGCAAGTTCCAAGCCTGCCAATTCCTCATCGACTTCCATGAGCGACGTGGGGACAAGATCATCGTCTTCTCCGACAATGTCTACGCTCTGAAACAGTACGCCGAAGGACTTAAGAAACCGTACATCTATGGCGATACCGGTCAACGCGAACGCGACTTAGTCTTGCAGAACTTCCAGTTTAACGACGCAGTCTCCACCATCTTCCTGTCCAAGATTGGCGACACCTCACTCGACCTACCGGAAGCTACATGCTTGATTCAGATATCTTCGCACTACGGCTCGCGAAGACAAGAGGCGCAGCGTCTTGGCCGCATCCTCCGCGCCAAACGCCGCAATGACGAAGGATTCAACGCTTTCTTTTACTCGCTCGTTAGCAAAGACACGAACGAGATGTACTACTCCAGCAAACGGCAAGCCTTCCTTGTCGACCAAGGCTACGCATTCAAAGTCATCACGCACCTGAACGGCATAGATCGGATGCCCGATCTCCGCTTCAGCACGCAGGAAGAGCGCATGACGCTGCTTACCGATGTCTTGCTACAATCCGAAACGGCTGGTGATGAGGAGAAAATTGTCGACGATCTCTTCTCGGACCGTGCCACTTTTAGGAAGTCTGGAGTGGGGAAGAAGGGTAGTGGGGTAAAGCGGCAGGCCGGCACGCTTGCGAGTTTAGCTGGCGGAGAAGATATGGCGTACCTGGAGTATGCGAAAGGTAGTCGGAGTAATAAGGCACTGGCCGGGCCGCGGAGCGCGTTCTTCAGGAAGGAGGATAGAGACCGGGAGAGGAGGAAGAAGGCTCAGAGGGAGCTCATGGATTAGCTGGCTCAATTTTACAAGAAGCAGCTCTGATCTAGCTTTTGCTACGAGTATCGTTCGGAGATACCGTTCAAAAGATTGCTTGGATTTCTCGCTCGCACACTTTGCATTGCACTTTCCATCGCAAACGCTACGATCGATACCGTCGTAATCCGCCACAGCTCTCGCAAGACTGACAAGGTCAGTCATGAGTCACTCACATACTTCCACTTCTTGTCGCCTTTCGCTCCCAAATATGCAAACTGTGAGCTTAGTGTATCTCTGATCGTCTCTACAGTCATCTTCGGAAACCTACAACAAGTGGTCAGCACCTATACCGAAAAGAAGGCCCACGGGGGTAACTTACCTCGCCTTCAATCCCTTAGCCAGTTCTACCTTTCCCACCACACTTCCCACCACGGCTTCTTTGAACTCGGCCCAATCCTCTGCACTTACGACCCTGGCCTGTGGCTTCCGCCCTGGTTTAGCTGCCTTTGGAGCAGCGGAAGTGGCAGTGGGTGCCTTCTCGCCTTCGGCCGTACCCACAAGAGTCTGCGAAGCAAGCGGACTATTACTTGAACGCTCCTGTAATGGCTTGCGCTGCCCGTTGCACGAAGGCGTTGAATCAGCAATTGGCACATCCGGCGGCGCCATTTCATGCGCCCAGTATGCCGTTGACCACGGATCGATCATCTGGCCGCTGAGGCTGGGCAGCAACACGGTCAATATCATCCCTCGCATCTCCGGCGGCGTGCCTAGCATTGCTTCGCCGTTGATGCTTCGACTGACGATGTTGCTGCTATTCTCCCAACAGATGCCCGTACATGTCGGCTGAAGATCGCCCGTGATCATCTTACGCTTGCCCTTCAGCGCGTCCTCGTCGTCATCAAGGAATGCATCGATGCCGTCCGCGCTGCCGACGGACTCATCATCGTCTTCATCATCACCGCAGTCGTCACCTCCCTCGCCTTCGTCAGCCTCGTCCCATTCCGCTTCGGAGTCATAACCGTAATCCGTATCCGTCCGAGACTTGCTGAACGGGTTGAGCATCAGCCGTCGTGTCGTTCTTGGAGACCTAATCTTGCAATACGAGCCAAAGTACGCCGGCCGAACATCTTCACTGAACTGTATGTGTCGGAGGGATACAGTGTTCAGTGCATCCAGAGGCTGCAGCATGGGACCGTCCTCCGTAAGATCGTTCGGCCGCTGCACGGTCCCTTGGATCATGTCAACAAGCGTTCGCACGTTCGGAGTCGCTACGCCACGTGTAGACGCTCGATCAATGCGGAACATATGGTCCACTGCTGCTGTTGGCTCGACCATGCCAAGATCGACCTTCTCTTGAAACGCAGGGTCCTGGAGTTCGCGATCAAAGTCGCCTTGCCAGTAAGCCAAGTCATCCGGATTGGGCACGTTGTAAGGGTGAGCCATAATGGTGCTCGAAGGAAGCTCAAACGGTAGGAAGTGCTTGCGGTAATCAGACATAGTCGGCTTGGCTGGGGTCGGTGCGGCATCTGTTGTTGCGGTGACATGTTTGGAGGGCGAAGCAGTCTTATTTATGTGGTCGGCCACCTCATCGTACCGTTCAAGAGACAGCGATCTGTGCCTACCAGGAGTGCCGTTCTCGGTATCGTGACCATTCAGTGCCTTAGCCGGAGTGGCGGAAGCAGCGCCAAAGAAAGCGACCAATCTCATCTGGCTACGTTCTTTCTTCTTCTTGGCTTCTTCTCTCGCCTGCTCTGCCAGGTCCTTCTCGCGCTTCTTGCCCTCCCTCTCCTCAGCCTTCCGTCTTTTCTCCTCGTCCTTCACCCGCTTCTCCTCCTCTTTGCGGGCCTTCTCCTCAGCTTTTTGTCTGTCCTTGGCCTCTTTCTCCTGAGCTTTTGCAACCTTCTCCGACGGCGTCAGCTTCCGCCTCTTCGCCGCTGGGACGTCTGCATTGGTAGCTGCTGGAGTTGTGCCAGAAACAATACTGCTGCCCACAATCTCCGCGTCGGTCATGGTTGATATGCTAAGCGACGGCGAACCTTCTCGCCGCCGGTCATGGGCCCCAGAACTTGCCGAGCTCGAGTCTCCTGTGTCCGGTGGCGTCGGTATGACGAATTGTGAGCCTGTCAAATTCAATGGCTTCTTGCCAGGCGTGTCTTCCTCCGGTGCTGCTCGCTTGCGTGGGTTTGGCGATGCTGGTGAGGAGTCGATGGTCTCCATATTTACGTCCTTGAACCAGTATGTACCTAGCAACCGTTTCAGCTTGAGAATGTTCTTACACCATGCTTCACCACCTAAAGCATCCTCACCATACAGGCTGCTTCAGATGGATATCGAATCTGGAGGCAGAAGACGCGGAGCCGCTTACTCAGCACTCTAGCGTGTCATTCTGGCGTCGGGCGACTTCGACTCTCGTGTTAGCCTCGCTTGTGCATTGCTTCTAGGCCCGAGCCATCACCATCACGTAGTCATGGACATCGAGGACCACTTCGATGACCTGCTTGGCGGAGAACTGCTACCTGCCAAATCCTCCCAGGAGTCCTTAACCGCAGCTGCGGCTACCCTTGCTTTCAGTGAGGAAGAAGATGACCTACTCGACTCTGGCTTAGACTATGCAACAAATAATTTCGGAGATGGCATCTCATTCAACACGAGACGTCACGCAAAGCGTCGTAAGCTGGACGGCGGCGATGGAGATGCGCTTCTCAACAAGCTTTCACTGCCGCCAACCCTCTGCGATACCAACAATCCAACTTGCATGCCATATGACACGAAAACTAACATCGCCGGTGAAATACCAAACTCTGTGCAGGAGAAGATCGGGCTCATCTTCCAAGGTCTGAATCGGGATTTGCTCGAACAGCGCGACGGACTCGCTCTCACCTTGCGTACGAGGACGCGACAAGCGAGCAGCAGCTCACATGAAAACGGCAATGCTCGCGACGTGAAATTCAGACGGCTCTGCTTCCCAGGCAGGGGTGTAGAAGATGCGTGGCGTTTCAGTACGTTGACTCAATCTGATATTAGTAGCGGTGCTGACGAGCCTTAGCGGTCGTACTTCGCATGTTGGAGTTAGTGCACGAAGCACTGAGTACTGGCAAAACCCTGTCGAAGAGGTATAACAAACAACCCGGTAATTGTAAAGCAGACATATTAAGTGTTCCATCGCAGAGACATCTACTACCGTGATCCAGCACTTTTCGGCAGCCAGACGCATGTGGACCGCTACATTGACGACATAGCCTTCACCTTTGACGTCCCTCGGTCTGCACTCAATGTGACGGCGGTGGCGAAAGGCCTAATACTGGGAGCCGTAACGTTCTGTCGCCGAGATGGTTCAAATGCCAATGCTGCAGTCGACAGAGAAGGCGTGCTCGTCCCACCCCTCAGTGAGCTCCTTTCGGTGAGCATGAAGGCCGTCAAATGGGTCCTCGTTATTGAGAAGGAAGCCAGCTTTCGCTCACTGGCTTCTTCCAACTTTTGGGACAGACTGTCCACTGAAGGCGTGCTGCTTACCGGAAAGGGCTATCCAGACATCGCGACCAGAGCACTGCTACGCTTTCTGAGTGAACCTTCTCCGCAGAACGGCTTTGCATCTCCGCCCGTTTACGGTCTGGTGGACTTCGACCCGGATGGGCTCGCGATACTGGCGACTTATAAGCACGGTTCATTCGCGCTGGCGCACGAGAACAGCTCGCTACAGGTACCTCAGCTCAAGTGGCTGGGCCTGCGCAGCGAGCACATACTGATGGAGAGCGACGACCCGCATGCGAGCCAAGGGCTCATGATGCTCACACCGCGCGATCGCGGCAAGGCGCGCAAGATGTTAGAGCGCAGCGTGCCCGGCAGTATCTCTGGTGCACTTGAAGCGGACTCGGAGGAGTGGCGAGGAGCATTGCAAGTGATGCTAATGCTCAACGTGAAAGCTGAGCTCCAACTGCTCGATGCGCAGTCGGGCGGAGTATCTGAGCTGTTGGAGTCGTACTTAGCGATGCAGAGCCGCTATACTGCTAGCTTGACAAGGAATCTGCATGTCGATTCCCCGTGATCATGCAGCGCTTTTCAAGGCCGCTCACGTTAGCGAATGCTGCTTGCAAAGCTTTTTGAGATGTTGTGTAACATGCTCACATAGTATAGCAATCGTGCGCCGGCGTGCGCTGCTCAAACGGCCAACAACACGTCGCAAAGATCATGTAACATTTGGGAAGGTGTTAGTGTAAAGTCTGTTGACGGTTGGCGCTTGTCTCATGATCGGCAAGCCGAGAATGTCCGGCACATGGACATCCGGCCGTCTCCGCCTAAATGCCCCACGTGCCCACACTGCGGAGAAGTTCTTAGGAACAAGAACAACCCGAGCTCTCCACCTTCTCCCCAACTTGCCGCACTCCTCTCCACATCCTGTTAGCGGTGGCACCCGTGCGAAGAGTGATCAATTCGTACAAGTAATGGCTTATGCGTCGCCGGACCGTACACCGTCCAGCATAGCGGCTGCCGAGGCCAGCCATGATGGCGAGCCGGCCTTGAAGCGTCCGCGCTCACAGTCGGGTGAGGAAGCACTTACTACGAACGGAGATGCCGCCGCAGGCGCAAAGGCAGACTCTGTCGCCGGCCAGAGACTGTACAGTTGTGGCAAATGTTCGAAAAGCTACGCGCGGCTAGACCACTTGAGCCGCCATGTGCGTATGCACACGCAGGAGAAACCCTATCAATGTCAGATCTGTACCAAGGCTTTTGCGCGTGCCGATCTTCTGAAACGACATACGCTCGGCCACTCGAAGGATGATCCGAACACGAAGCCTGCGGCGGTCCAACATAGCCGGGTCTCCCAGGCTTGCGAGGCTTGCGCTGGACTTCACCTCAGGTGTGAGGAGGAGAAGCCTTGCAAGCGATGCATGAAGAAGGGCATCGCATGCAACTTCACCCAGTCCTACCCCACGTCCAATGGTGATGGCGCACCGCAGGCTCCTGAGATGAACTACATCAACGCTCAAGACCATGTACCACGGTATGACCCTATGCTGCAGCAGTTGCCTCCAGTACAACAAGCGATCCAGCAGCAAAGCACATCGCAGCGCGCAATGCAGCCAATCCAGCCGGCTCCGCCAATGCACAGACATTCTATGTCTGGCGGGCAACCCACGCCGTTACCGGCTATGCAGATGGTAGCGCCGCAGATGCCCACGCCGCAAATGCATACTCCACCACATCCGTCTCAGCATCAGTCGATAGTCATGGACGGAGCAATGATGCCTCCGCAAACGCAAGGAAACAGTAACATGTTCGACTACTTGCGCGACAAGATGATGCCGCCCGTCAACGGCGGAGTGCCCACCAATCTGCAGGTTATGGATTACCAGGCTGGACCATGGACCCCTCGGGAGCTCTTTGATTTCGGCACGACTGACGCAAGCTACGAACTCAACGACATGGATCTTACTTTCCTGGATACGTATAACAATGCCAATCCGTTCGATCTGCGAACGCCGAGCATAGGCTTTCCGACTACCGGGTCCGACATCATGCCCAGCTTCACTTCTGCGCCACTGCCGCCGATTGACACGACAGCACTGCCCAAAGCGTCGGTGTGGCGATTCAGGCCGCTGGCGAAGGACTCAGGCTCTGCTGAGCAGGCCAATCTGTCACTTCCTACACCAACCAGCCTTGACATTGACCGTCGAGTGACGTGCGAACCATTATCGCAGACGTCACGAGACAAGATTCTGGCCATGATCCTGAGCACGTGCAAGCCTAATAGCATCCCACGCGCAGTCGCTTGCTTTCCTTCCATCAGCTTGCTCGATAGTCTGTTCCAATTCTCGCTAACGTCACCCGGCTCTCACGCAAAGCACTGGATACACGCACCCACTCTTCTTGCCGGCCAGAGCAGACCGGAAGTACTTGCTGCTATCATTGCGGCGGGAGCAGTGCTCACGCCAGACGCCGCAATACGCAAAGTCGGCTACGCTATACAAGAAGCCATCAGGACAGCCGTGCAGGTACAGGTCGAGGAAGACAACACTCTCATGCGTGATCTCCAAATCATGCAGGCCTCCCTGTTGCAGCTCAAGATCGGCTTGTGGAGCGGCGAAAGTCGGAAGATGGAACTCGCTGAAGGCTTCCATGGTAACCTGATCACAATGGCACGTAGAGGCGGCTTCTTCCGACGGGGCACCTACGAGCGCATCGTACCGTATGCTGAAGATCAAGGCGACGTGCTGGAAAGCAAGTGGCGACAGTGGGTCAGGCAGGAGTCGCGGAAACGGTTTGCTCTACACCTATTCCGGCACGACCTTGAGGCCTCGGTATCACTCCTTAGCAGTCCGCTGATTTCGTATGCTGAGCTGTATCTGCCCTTGCCGGAGTCTGAAGCGCTATGGCATTCTTCCTCTGCGGAGTCGTGGAAAGCGACATATCTGCGTAGCTCGGCGCCGCGGCACGAGAGGCAACCGTCTCTGGTCGACTGCATTCAGGACCTGGACATCCTTGCAACCAAGGACATCTTCGTTGACGGGCGACAGGCCAGCATGGCCGTTCTCGGTGCAGCGTGGCGGATGATCTGGGAGTACAGACAGCTGGATGGCAGTATCGGCCCTACTTACAACAACCAATGGTGCAACAGCAACCTACTCATGGCGTCTCGGCATGCCGAGCTAACAAAACTGTTGCAATGCTTCCGAATGTGCTCCGTGGAGGATGCCAAGGTGACGCTGATTCTCGAGCTATTGCTCATGCATTTGCACATGTCGCTCGATGACGTCCAGCTCTTCGCCGGCTTGGAAGGCGAAGAGGAGGCTAGGCGTGTGTATCCGTCGCTTGTGCACTGGACACGCACCACGACAGCGCGGCAGGCGTTATGGCATGCTGGGCAAGTCATACGTGCCGCGCGTAACCTGCGTCAGGGTCTCATCTGCGATTTCGCGGCCATTGCTGTGTACCAGGCTAGCTTGGCTTTCTGGTCGTACGGTATCATCACTCGGACTACGGAGCCAGGGCCGATGCTTAACCAGCCAGTCACGGCTTGGCTTGACACTGCTGAGGATACTGGCGTACAGCGTTGGATCGTTAATGGTAAGGGTAGCGCTGCGATCCGCACCTGGGCAGGCACGCCGCCGGCGGAAACATTGGCGTTTGTGGGCTCTCCGGATGAAGTCGTTGCGGCTGTTGTGCAAGTCATGCGCTGGAATCATGCTGAGGCCAGATCACCGCCACTCGTGGACAACTTGATCAATATGATGGACGGGCTGCGAAAGGCGGCAAGGACGTGAGTTGGGAAGGGCGCGTAGCCGGATTGTATGACATCTCGGTCCCTGCCGTAATATCGCCTATTGAGATTTATGGCACGCGTGTATGCTGAAGTCGTCGCTGGACTCTTACTGTCCGCGAGTTGTGCGCCAGGGAATGTTGCATAACATGTAACACTTTGAAAGCCGTAGCCAGGCTCACAACCTGTCCCACCGACCGCTTGACCTACTGTCTCGGGGTCATACTACTCCCGCGAAGGCTACATTCATTGTGTTCCCAGCCGAACACACAATGCACACGAGCATTAAGCTGTGAGCATATCGATAGAAGCATAATACTGCCTATAATGATTAAGGGCAAGGGTAGCGCAGTTCTGTGCATGCTATACGAGCATATGAAACGAGTTTTGGTGGGATGAAGATTTCATTCCTTCACTATTCTGCATTTCTGGTGGAGGGCATTGTACCACTCATGCACAGTTTCCGCGTACTGCATCGTCTCAATGCTCTTTTGTGACAACAAGCCGCAAACTGTGCCGGTGTGGGAGAACTCTACCACCTGCTGTTGTTGTCGGAGTACCCGTTGTAGTCACCGAGCTGTCCGTGGGGCTCCCTCTGGTTCGGGTCGTATCTGTTGTTCAATTGTCAGCATGCCTATCCATCCACTTGTAGCGAGTCTCTGCGGCAAGCGTACTGGTCATCCCCGCCGTAATGCTCGTCGTACATGCGCTCAGCCCTCTGCTTGGCCTCGTGCTTGGCACGCTCGCGGTCGACGTAGTCGGCGCCCTTGGTCTCGCAGAGCTTGTCGACCTCACCGCCCGCAATGCCGGCGAGTAGCTCCTTGGCGAATTGATGGTTGACGACCTTGCCTGCGAACTCGTCAGCTATCCAAGCCAGCTCGTCGGTGTCTGTGGTGTTTACTAACCCTCCTTGCGCTGTTGGTCTTCGAACACCTTCATCGCCATCTAAGTGCAAGGTCAGCAAGGCGTCACTTAGGAGTAAGCAGGTCATGCATACGAAGGAGGCACCGCCGGCAATGAGCTCGTGGCTGAACTTGCCCTCATGGTCGGGCTGGTCGTTCTGGACCTGGTTGTACTACGATGGGAGTTAGCTCAGCGATCTGGACACCTCAGCTCTTGACTTTTTACTTACGGCGTCGTTGTTGTCGTCGAACCAACCCATGGTGATTGTGATTAGAAGTGATTACTTGTGTGTGCTTTGAGTGTAAGATGTGTTGTTTGGAGAGAGAAGTGCGTTCGAAGTGAGGGAACTTATACCGCTGCTTCCCCCACCTTCTATTCACTATGGCGACCCTGCATATACGTAGCAGCGAGCTTGTGACGCAAATGGACTCGGTCCAAGCTTTCCAATGAGAGTGAAGGCGGTTCGTTTCAGCTGTCCCGGGATGACCACCAGTAGATCACGACCAGTGAACGCTGCGAACGTTGCGTCTCCCCTCGGTTCCTCTGACAGAGACACCGAAGCGCCAAAACCGATACTACAACGCCATTGGCTTTCTAGACGTTTCACCGCATTCGCGGGGTTAACAGTGAAGCGTTCTTTTGTATTACTCTCCTGCTTCGTGCGGAGCTGTCGTCCCACTTCGACCGTCATGCCAAGCAAAACAAGCCCGCCAGGTACGGAAAAGCAAGCTTCACTGAGCCGCAGTCCAGAGCGCTTCACCAGGACAAGCTCGTACCGGTGCCGCCGTGGCAGCGTGGCAGTGCTTGGCCGCTTGCGCCTCACACGCAAACCGAAGATCGAGACCAACGCCACATTGTCAGACTTCCGTTTGAAGTAACACAGAAAGCCTTTCTGGTCAAGGGCAGAATAGCCGTCGCCGAGTTATGGGCCGTCTGCCAACAGCCGCAGACTTTCCGGCCAATGTCGTTCTCACGATCGTTCCACGTAAGTGTGCCAAGGACGCGGCTTGCATCGCCACATACAGTAGGACATGCAACTTTGTCATTCTGAAGAGCCTCACGACACAAGTGGCGAGCTCGACGTATGCCGAGCATTATGCATCTAGTTGAAACGTGATATGACACTGATGCACAGCCGATAGCACGAGACAGTGACCCGCCTACGAACGTCCTAATCCTGCTTCATGGTCTTGGCGATCAGCACTCCTCTTTCACTAAGCTCGGTCAGCAGCTCAATCTGCCGGAAACCGTGTGTATAGCCGTTCAAGCACCTCATGGTTTACTCGACCTAGGCGGCTTCCACTGGGGTGACGACATTGTCTTCGACTCCTCAGACGGCGGACTGGATGCCGATGCTGGCTTCAAGCAGAGCACTGCCATGCTCAAAGGGCTGGTGGAGGACGATCTGATCACAAAATGTCGCTACAGAGCTCGGGAGATCCTCTTCCTCGGGTTCGGTCAGGGTGCTATGGTGGCGCTGAACTTGGCTCGTATGTTTCCCTCCGTGCATGAATCTCTTCACTTCACCTGACTTGGCTGACTGTGCGCAGTTGCCATCCATCAGGCAGCACCGAGTGCGGCTGACGCAGAGCTCGGCGGGATAATCGGTATTGGGGGTGGACTACCCAGCGAAGCACCGGCCGCACAAGTCAACAAATGCAAGACCCCTGTTATAATATGCGCAGGGTCGAGCGAGTCCACAGTCACTTCTTCATCAGAAGACAAGCTCAAGCACAACTTCGAGCATGTGGAGTGCAAGCGATACCGAAGGCCTGGCGACCATATGCCTAAAGACCGAGACGAGATGCTGCCCATCATGCAGTTTCTTGCGCGAAGGCTCCGAAGCACGAAAGGCATTCCCAAAGGTAGTGTCGAGCTCGCATGAACCAGTGCAATCACTGAAACCTTGTGCAACCGTTGCAACCTCGAGAGCCTCACCGTTCTGCCAAACCTTGTATCGCTGGCCAAGTGCCATAGACGAATGCGGCGTCCTTCAAAGCACAAGTGAAGCAGCCAGTCATCAGGTGAAATGAGAAATAACGCTGGTGTATAGGACGTTCACGGAAACATTGATTCACTTCAGCATGCTGTGCTGCATAGGTTGGAAACTGCGACCTCACTCCGAGCTTTGGATAGTGCAATATATCATAGTGTGACTTTACATATATTCCTGAAAGACCTCTCTTGGTACTTCGCCAACCACTTCCTACTCCGTTGCTCAGCATCAGCTTGGGTCACGCACACGGCAATCGTTCGCAGGGCTTGCTACGATGGAATCAAAACCATCTCTCAATGCATTGTCGCCTGAACTCATTGCCACCATCAGCGAGAACTGCGACAATGCTACGCTGCGAAACCTGCGGTAAGCCGAAGTGATGTTAACCCTTCCACGACCAATTGGAGTCACGCTGACTCTTTACCCATAATCTTTGGGCTTGTCAACCGTCCTCTGTCAGCCGCCAGCCTCGACGCCTTCGGTAAGAGGTTTTCTGCAAAACGCTCGCATTTGTTCAGCGATTTCGGGCTGCGAGCGCTGGTGGATATTGCAGCCTCACCACATCTTGCACGACATATCAAGCATGTCGAACTCGTCACACAACAGCTGACTCAGGAAACTGCAACTTCTCCTTCGCCCAGAAACGCTCTCATCACTCGTAGCCCGTGGAGCATTACCTTAGAGAAAGGCCGGCGGCTCGATAGTGCGGCGGTCGAAGCTGCATGGGGCCCGTGGCTCGATGAGGAGGGGTTACTCAATACTGCCGTACCGGTCAGCCTTTTAAGCACAGCTTTCGCTACACTGGCTCCGCATCGTGATTCCTTTAGGGTCACTATGGATGTCAGAGAGGGTCCGATCAATCGCGGCCGGCTTAGACGCGCCTATGGCCAAGCTACATTGTGCCAGCAGCTTGGCAAAGATGCGAGCTGCCTACGGATGGACGATATTGGAACGAACCATGAGGATACGGTGACTGCTGTGGCGAAAGCCATCGAGCAAACATCCTTTCCCGTCGCGGATCCGGCATTTCGGGCAATTGCAGTACTACCTGAGTTGCATCAAGCTGGCATTGGCCATCATTCTTCGCCTGCATGGTCAGCGGTTGACACCCTACAACTCAATCTTACAAAGGATGGTGCCTTCGGAAGCGCCTGCGCAAGCACTGCTCCCGAGCAATGGATGGCAGCAATGTCGGGCCTACGGTACCTCATGCTCCGGTGTTCGTACTCCTTCGGTGGTATGAATCCCCATGACCGCAAGCTGGAGCGACTGGGGAAGGCTCTTCAGCTTACACCGGTCTGTCAGCTTTGGCTCGATTTCGTGATGGTGCCAGGAAGCCAGGTCATCAAGCTACTTGCTCCTATCACGTCGCAAATCATGGATCTCCGTATCAGCGATTCAACGTTGCAAAGCGATTACGACTGGCAGACAACTATGAGATATATTGCCAACAACCTGGGCCTGGACCGACTTGAGCTCAAGGATATAAGTTCGGTTGACTCGGAGTGGAGTTGGGCTGGCATGGGCCCATATCTGAGGTTTGGTCCGCACTTCGAGTCAGAACACATCGTCGTGCATAAGGCGGAAGAGGTCAAGCGCGCACTATGCGATTTAGCGACAGTCCACAGCCAACACAAAAGTTTGAAGACGAGTAAGAGGGCAACCGCATGGAGGCTCGGGCAATATCGGAGGAGCATCAACTGGCCCATGGAGCGGAGATCTTCCCGTTGAAACACGGTTTCAAGAGCAACCGCGAACGTCGTTCGATGGTCGATCAAACGGGCCGAGGAGGGCCCGCGACTATGGTTCTCGGGATCGGACGCCGCAAGTGTACATGTATGTAGGGTCAGGCCAGGTACGCCATCGTGCGCTGCAGGGAAGCGCGCAGGTACTACTGCAGCTTTGTAACCCGTGATGATAGCTCGTGCAGGTCACAGTACACTTCATATTGACAATCGTTTATCGACGTCTTGTTGCACTGCACGGTATTAAGGATCACCTGCACAATAACGTTGTCCTGTTCGATCTTCAATCCGTCGATCGGGCGGTGATGTTTGGAAGCTACATCAGCGGCGTTCAGCCCCTGAACGGGCCGCCAAAGCCGCGGCTGTCGTCAATGGCAACTGCACATCTGTTTAGAACGCCCTGACAGTTGCCGGCAAACGGTCGCATATTAGGTCTCAGTGCAGCAGACTTTCTAGAAGTATGATGTTCGAAGCCTTCGGAACTTTCCTGAATATCTCTATGCCATTCATAACATACATCGACCTCTGTGCGAGTACCCCGCGCAGCCGTTGGTGTGGAGGCGGGCGTGTAAACAGTGAATGAGTTGGTCGAGGCAAGCCGAGTGGAAGATGGCGGAAGCATACCAGATGCTGGAGGAGCTCGGCAGTAAGTCATCTCATCGTACAAACGTTTCTGTCGCGTGACCGGCTAAGTGAAGCATAGGTGGCTCCTTCGGTATCGTCTACAAAGCCCTTGACAGGGCCACCGGCGAGCATGTTGCCATCAAGCACATTGACCTCGAAGGAAGCGACGATGACATTCGCGAGATACAACAAGAGATAAGCTTGCTGGCTACCTGCAACAGCGAGTACGTCACACGCTACAAGACATCCTTCGTGCGTGGCGTGAAGCTATGGATCGTGATGGAGTATCTTGGTGGAGGGAGTTGCTTGGACCTTCTGAAGCCAGGTCCGATCGCAGAAGGATATATTGCCATCATCATGCGCGAGCTCCTGCGCGGTCTAGACTACTTGCATAGCACCGGCAAGATTCACAGAGACATCAAGGCGGCCAACATCCTACTTTCGGAGACCGGACAGGTCAAGATCGCAGACTTTGGGGTGGCGGCGCAATTGACGAACATCAAGTCCCAACGCATGACGTTCGTAGGCACGCCATTCTGGATGGCGCCCGAGGTGATACAAGAGGCTGGCTACGATTATCACGCAGATGTCTGGTCGCTAGGGATTACAGCTATGGAGATGGCACTCGGCGAGCCTCCGCGAAGCGATGTGCATCCGATGAAGGTGCTGTTCCTCATACCGAAAGAGAAGCCGCCGCGGCTGGAAGGTACTCAGTGGAGTAGGGAGTTCAAAGACTTCGTAACATTGTGTCTCAACAAGGATCCGGAGAAAAGGCCTTCAGCGAAAGCGTTGCTGAAGCACGCCTTCATCCGCAGAGCTGGAAAAATAGAGTTGCTACAGGACCTTGTGCGAAAATGCAAGAAGTACGAGCGAGGGGGCACTGAGCGGGAGCGCGATCCCCGCTACTACGAGGAGACGCTGAAAGAGATGAGCAGCAGTGTTGAAGGCGATGAATGGGTGTTCGACACGGTGAGACCGTCCAGCAACACGCGCGGGCTGCAGTCGGCGAAGCAAACTGTGAAGCGCAGAAAGCTCGAGCGCATACCGTCGGGCGACGGTTCGGATGTAGAGCATGCGACTGCAGCTATGGAAGGCATGAGGCTCGATGCTGCACCGCTGGGCGACATTACCAACTCGGCGTATGGGACGCCGACGAAGGATCTGTCGACCATTCGAACCCCGAAGCCTAGACTCAGCAGTCAGCGAAAGGTATCAGCCCTAGCTCTCCGTAAGGTATCAGGGTCGTCGCCCACAGCGCGACGTGTGAGCCGAAAGGTTTCGGGCAACAATCCTAACGTACGCAAGATTAGCGTGCAGCAGCCGAAGCAGCCACTCGGCCTTGACATGTCCTACGGCAACAGCACCTCAACAGTGCGGCAGTTCAAGCGAGTCTCGTCTGGGGACGGCAAGCTCCCGTCACCCACTCAGCCCTTGATCTCGCCACAGGACAGCGTTTTCGACAGCGATGCAGAGAACAAGCCTCCTCCGCCGCCGCCGCCGATGGCACAGGAACGGCCTTCGCAACCCGCCGTGGCTACTACGAAAGAGGCGATTCTAGGACGTAGATGCTTCGCTAAGTGCATCGACCCTGCATTCCAGGAAAGCTACGCTGCCACAGGCGATCGTGCAAAGCGGGACGCACTGTCCAAGGTGGCAGAGGCGTGGTCCTTACTCGACGAGCATGATCCGGAAGGCGAGCTGATACTGTTAAGAGCCATCATGGACCGCGTGCAGGCTGATCCTAAACTGGCAAGTGCACTACTTCCGCAGCGCGTAGCTAACGCACAGCTGGCTTCTCTCCGGATGCAGTCGCCGGTGAAGAGGAGCATGACCGCAACCGAGACTGAGGTGGGCAGCCGGGACGTGACACCGCAGTCTTCACCCACGAAGGCACGAAAGAGCGCACAACTACCCTCAGCGCCATCGTCTCCCACGAAGCCTAGTGGCAGCCCGGCGAGGCTCGTCTTGAACCCGCAGAACCCACACCTCAAGAAGATGCGGTCTAACCAGCAGCTCAATGCTGAGAAGGAAAAGGAGCGAGCCGAGAAGGCTGCGTTGGAGGACAAGATGCCTGGGAAGGTGGAGCCGGGCATGGAGCATGTTGGTATGCTTGCGGATGTACTGTACGGACGGTGGGCAGAAGGCTTGAAGGCGCGATGGCCGGTGGCGTAGTGAGTCCGCGTTCTTGCTCCACCAGACAACCTTGGGACCTAGGTGCTGTGCATAGCGGCGAAGTGGGATCTGTCCCCTGACGGTTCACTTTTTGTATTATATATCATGGAGTTGCGGCGGGACTGCATATGGTGGGCATGGGGGGTCACAGAAGGTATTCTGAGGCGGCCAAAACTCACGTGGGAAATGCGCGCATGGATAGAGGACCATATCGACAAGACGTGTACGGCCGATACCAAAAGCTCCCCTCTCCACCGCTCGGAGTACGATCCCCTCGTTTGCAGGAAGTGACTACAGACTGTTAGTCAGCTGCTCAAAAGGTACAACAGGCTTCATGCGTGAATCCGGTCTGCGGAGTCAGACTTTGCCTTTCTTCCTCAAGCCCGACCAGCAAAAACATTGTGCAGGTGCGGTTGGGCGGAGTTGGTTTACCAGAAAGCTCTTGAAACAATCATCATTGTGAAACATCGGGAGTTTAGAAACATTGTAATGCGTCTTACCGTCAGATCGACACGAGACTGCACCTGTAGTGACTTTGCGGATACGATATGTGCCAGCTATCAGGTCATCGCCCCATCATGGGAGCCATCCTTGCGGACTACCCTCGTGGCGATGGTTTTAGAAGTGGTCAATCCATTCTTGACCAATCACGGAATCGCCTGTACCATGGCGTACTCGAGGTCGGCGATGATTTGAGTCCATGGTCTTGCTGTTAGAAGAAGAAGAAGAAGTGTATGTTGATGGAAGAATTTCGAGATCCTTTAGCGGGCGAAGTGGTCTGTGTGCCTGCATACGTGAGAAGCCGAGCTTCCAGAGCGAGCTTTCCTTCATCACTGTACGGACCACTGGCGCGTGCCCTCCTCTCCCAAGATACACGAGTTTCGAGTAACAACAAGAAACCATTCAGACACGATCGCGAGGCAACAACAAAATACTGCTGCTAGCCAGATACTTCGATATCCCTCTAGCCTTACACATTGCTGCTTGCAGGCCAACGACGGCGAGACTTGCGTACCATCTTACCGTAGACCAACTTTCCCATGGACAAGAGGGACGAGAACAGCCCTTCGAATCTCTGGACAAGACGTGCAAACAACAGTAGTTCCAGCAAACTCAGCCTGTCCATGAACAAGACTTCCCACGGCGACAACCGAGACGACCATTCCTCTGGTAAACGATTCACTTCTTTAGGCAGCCACGGTAGGAGTAGCAACCCAATCAGCGCGCCACTCTCGTCGTCAGGAAGCGGTGCGTCGTTTGGGTTAGGCAGCGGCGCCTTCGCGAGCTTCGGCAGCGCGTCCAAGACGCCGAAGACTCCAGGCTCGGCGTTCGACTTCGGCAGGAGTAGCGTGGATAAGAAGAGAGAAGATAGCTCGGACGAGAGATTGCCGGACAAGGAGCCGCAGACACAGCCGCAACGGGTGCAAGCACGGCAGTCACAGTCATCTATACCGCAAGTACTGCCACTGAGGTTTTCATGGATTGTGCACTACCGACCGCCGTCCGGGAAGAACACGGACTGGGAGAAGTCTATGAAACCGCTTTGCCGGATACACACGGTTCAGGACTTCTGGAAGGTGTATGCGCATCTCAAGCGGCCGTCAGCGTTGCCGCCCGTCTCCGACTACCACTTTTTCAAGGACGGCATACGGCCGGTGTGGGAGGATGAGGAGAACAAGAAAGGTGGCAAGTGGACCATGCGGCTCAAGAAAGGCGTCGCGGACCGGTACTGGGAGGATCTACTACTAGCTCTGATCGGCGAGCAGTTCGCTGAAGCTTCGGAGGAAGTCTGTGGCTGTGTGGTGTCCGTGCGGGCGGGCGAGGACGTCTTCTCCATCTGGACGAAGAATGATGGCGGCAGGAACGTTAAGATCCGCGAGACGCTCAAGCGGATCTTGGCGCTGCCGCCCGACACGGAGCTGGTATGGCGTGCGCATAGCGAGAGCATGACCCAAGGGAAAGAAGCGGAAAAGGCTCGAGCGGAGAAGGCGGCGGGTGGACTTGCCGACAACCAGAAGCGGCGTAATACGCTCGTTGCCAATGCTGGTGGCAAGTCGGATCCTTCCGAACGTAGTGAGCTTGACGCATAGGTAGCGTTTGCATGGCAGTCCATCATTTGGCTGGTGGAATGGGTTAGCAACGTGGCATCGGGGCTTGGCTTGAGCGTTTGCGGTCGTTTCTTATGAGCGGGACAGTCTGTATTGTATAACAGCACGGCGGCGCGAGCCTCCTAGCTTCGGCAAGCGAGCATGTGGAACATGTACTGTAAGCTTTGCATTTGCAATAGCAGATGCAACGTTCTTCTTCATTGTCTTCTTGACGCATCCGCGGTCACATGTGATGCTTGCATTCGTATGGTACAGTATGAGCCAAAGCAGTGCTCTGCTTGTGAAGGTTTTAAGCCGAGCAGCTTGACAACGTCACGTCGCTTCGCGCTCACACTTCCACGCGCTTTCGCACAACTCTCATAGTTCCGACACTGACAACCTCCTTTACAACTCCTCGTGCAGTGACGATGTTCTTCAGACTCGGCGACACCGATCTCACGCATCAAATCACGAGTGAGGCGCATATTGCGTCTGAACAGTCAGCTTCATGCCGCCCTTTTTAGCTGATACTTACGAAGGCATTAAAGAGTATATCTGGGGCGGGCGTACGGCGATTGATGGACATGACGAATCGCCAACAAATACCTCGGTAGGATATACTTTGGCCCCCCAGCCTTTCAAATACAAAGGCACGCATGGCTCACTTTCAGTGCTAGACCGTGGACAAGCTCAACTCCTCCGGCCGTTCACATGCCAGGAACACGGACGGCGCAGACGACGAGGTTGTGGAGGTGTCGCAGCCCAGGGATAAGGGAGGCGCACGGAAACGAGGCAGGGAGGTAGAGAGTGTACAGCTTCCGTCGGCCAAGCGACAGCAGCAAGGGCCGAGTGAGCTTGAGCTTAGGCTGGTGGGTGACTACGCAGTGCCGGCCAAGGCTAGAGCGATCGTCTTCCCAGGTCCGTGGCAGGAGAACAGGACGAGCGCAAAGCCCGGTATGGGTGGGCCAAGGGTTTTCAGGCCCCAGAACACGCTGAACGACGATCCATATGCGGCGGAACGGACATGGCCTGGCACACCTCGACCAACACATCAGGGCTCGCAGTCTGACTTCTGGGATGACAACAAAAGCGCTGCGAAACAGAAGCAGACCGTGCTTCCGATGGTGGCTAGCAAAGACAGCAATGTCAGCGACTTCAGGAGGCAGATACCTCGGTATGCTAATGCTGGAAATGGCTTTACAGACGGTTCAAATGAAAGGCGAGCGAAGAAGCCAAAAACTTCACACCATACGAAGCAAGGCACACTGATGAGTGACCCTGTGGACTTGACGTCAAATGAAGAAGATGAAGCAATCATCTCTGCACCCGTTGCCGCTATGAACGGCAGGCAGACTGCTTCTGCAAAAGAGTCTCCCGTGCCTAGCATCCGAGTGAGGTCTACGGCATCGTCCGGATCACACGGCACACAGCATTCACATGCCAGGAAGGAGCAACGACCAATGACTGCGTTACAAGCGAGCAATCAACACATGCTCAAGCCCAAGCCGCCACGCAAGCCTCGAAATGATGACGCTTTCAGCAAGCCTTCTTCTCGGGGAGCGTCCATCGCAAGCCAAAGCGGCGGCAATAGCACCGGCGCACGCGCTGCTCCGTCGAGCATCGAGGTCCTGGACGAACGAGTCACTCAAGTGCAATCCGGTACAGTGCACAACAATCGTTCGAGCAGTCGAAACGGCGAAGTCCCTGAGATCTGTCTCGATCGAGACACGAACGAATATGTTGATCAGACAGTGCTGCGACGAACTGCGGATCAAGCTAGGAGAGCGAACGATGCATGGACTGACTGTGGTAAAGAAGCGCAAGCACGACAGCAAATGCGCAATGATACAAAGCGCAATGCTCAGGCGCAACGTCGGAGCATTGATGAGGAAACGGCAGTCCCGGCGCCAGAGCATGCCGCTAATGAGCAATCGCGGGATGCGGCTGAATCAACGAAGCGCCTTGGCCAGATCTTCGTGCGTGAAGAAGCAGACGAGTCCATTTCTGCAGAGCCGAAGAAGCAAAAGGCTTCGCAGCAGATGATGGTCAACTCCCGTGTCAGCCCAATCAAGGAAAGCTTGAGTGATGACGAGCTGCAAGGCGGCAACACCGTGCCAAGTGAACACTTCCGCAACGTCTCACCCGCCAAAAGACCTACTGATCACCGCACTCGACGTTCGCCTTCCGACATCAAACCCACGCCCTTCAAGGAGTCATGTACATGGAAGAAACAACCTGTGGAAAAGCCACATGAGGCTAGGGCGGACCCCGAAGAGTGGCCCGTCATCGCATTCTATAGCAAGTCGTATTGCACGACTCGTAAGACAGTGAAGTTGAAATACGACGAACATGAGAATAGCCTCGAAGTATACGAGGACGGCATGCCTGCCGTTATCACTGGAAAGCAGCGATCTGTTGGTCTCGGACCCAGTGAGGTACGCACAATAAAGCACAGCAAGCATAATACCAGGGTGTATATCACAGGTTCGGTCACCGACGTCAGCAACGGCCATATCTGCATCGCTTTTAGTGACGAACGAGGGGTCAATTGGTTCCTGGGTCGGATCATGCTCGCGACAAACCATCACGTCACAATCAAGCATATTGAGGACGAACAGTTGAATAAGACGTTCTTTAAGCAATCAGCTGAAATAACCGAGGCGTTCGAACGGGCCAAAGCCAATCCTGCAGCGCGCAAACCAGCAAATCAATCCTCAGCTACGCACCGTTCCCATCGTCTAGACGACGAGAACGACGAACACATTATCTACGATAAGATGCCAGTTACAAGAAAGAACGTGCGCCAGAGCATGGTCGGCGGCGAGGGTGCCTTAAGCGCTGCGAATGTTGGTGAGGACGCTGCCACTTCGCGCCACTTGGACAACGCAGCAGAGCCCCGGCGATCGGCACGGGAGCGAAAGTCTGTCGTAGAGAGAGCGCCGTCGCCGACCCTCGAACGGTGGACTGTACTACACAAACCAAAGCGATGGCCGCACCCCGTAGCCTACCCACCGCAGGGGTTGCGCCGTGTCACAGTCGAGTTTGATGACCTGGAGCGTCTGGATGAAGGCGAGTTCCTGAATGACAACATCATCAGCTTTGCTTTGCGCAAAGCGGAGGAAGAAATGAAGCCTGAGCTCAAAGAACGGGTGCATTTCTTCAATACGTTCTTCTACACCACGCTCACGACGAAGAACGGCAAGAAGGAGTTCAATTACAAGGGCGTACAGCGCTGGACGAAAAACAAGGACCTGCTTGGCACGCCGTACATTGTCGTGCCCATCAATATCCACATGCATTGGATCGTTGCCATTATCTGCAATCTCGATAAGCTTAGCCGGAAGCCAGCGTTGTTCGATAAAGCCGTGTCTGACGACGAGTCCGATGGCTCTATCAGGTCCGAGGGCGAAGCTGCATCAGGACCACAGAAGCCTGCCGCAGCAGGTATGAATGGCAACAACTCCAATACTGCGGATGTCCTAATACGCCAAGAAGTAGCAACAAACCAAATGCATGACTTGTCACTGTCAGATGACGGACGTCGGTCTTCGCACGACTCTGCTTCCTCTAGTGGCGACGACGGCAAAGCTCGCGCCATGGAAGCGCTGGCCTCAAATTTGAAGATCAGTACTGCCACCCGCAAGAAGAAGGGCCGGAAGAAGCCTGCAGCTCCAGTACGCAAGTTCTCTCCAGACGCACCAACCATCATCTGTCTCGACTCTTTCGGCAATGCTCGCGCCACGGAGATGCGCAACCTCAAAGACTACATTGTCTTCGAAGCGGAGGCCAAGCGAGCGATGAAGGTAGATCGTGAGGACATCCAAGGTATCAATGCAAAGGGCATTCCGGAGCAGACCAACTTCTGCGACTGCGGTGTCTATCTTATTGGGTACATTGAAGCGTTCGCCAGAGATCCGGATGGCTTTGTGAAGAAAGTGATCACGAGACAGATGGACAAGCAGGCTGACTTCGCCAACTTTAATCCGAGCGAGAAGAGAGCGCAGATTCGGGAGCAGCTTCTGGCCTTGGAGAGAGAGCAGACTGCGGCGAGGGTGGCTGCGAAGAAAGCAAAGGCTGGCGTTGGCAAAGCTTCCCCGGCCGCTGCCTCGGAGACTACGACTGCTGAAAGGGCCGCTTCTCGCATTGCTGCTTCGGCAGCTGCCTCTCCCCGCGACTCACCAGGGCCGCTGCAGACGAAACAACCTCCTTCTCAACGACCTGAACAATCGAAACAGTCTCAGCCTCCACCGAGTGCAAGACAACCGCCAAGCGCCCAACAAGAAGTTTTCTCCACGAAAGCTCAAGCGTCCTCTCCGGCTTCTCACAGCCGCTCACGCGCCAACGAGCACCGCCCTCGGTCGGCGCAAGCTGCGAAGGAGCCAGCGATGACAGCTCAGGAAGCGAAGCGGCAGCGGCCTGCTTTCGGCCCGGATGACGGTGATGCGGACAAGCTAGAGGCAAAGCCTGCCCGGCCACTTCCGCCTTCAGGTCCAGGCCGGAATGACCATCTCTTTCCATCAACCCGCATCATAGTGCCTCACGACGACTGGAACGGGTCTCAGTCAGGCGATGAAGACGACGACAATGCCGGGATGCTTGACCATCCGAACAACAATGCCCGAAACTCAAATAACGCTCAAGCTGTAGATGCAGATCAAGAGTCTCCACTGCTCGACCATTTGTCCAAGTCTTTGATCGCATCACAGGAAAGCGATGCAATAGTTCCGATGTCACAACAGCCAACCTCCGAAGGACATGTTCAGCATGACGGTGTGACCACTGAAGCTGCTGGAGACAATCAGACGCAAGACTCGCTTGTACTGCTTGACGTCAAAGAGAGGCCTGCGGAGGTTGCAGACTCACAGGAGGGGTGGCAAGCTAGCAACTTCCGGACACCATTGGCTGGCAAGCGCACGAGCTTCACGGACTAGATGGTCGAGCAGTGGCGGGTAACCGTCACATCAGCTCCACTGAGTTCACGCGGACAGCAGGCAAATGCAAAGATCTTTTATGCAACAGGTGTCTGCCGTCTATCTCTAACCACGGGGTTTGATGCCTCCACGATGTCATCTGCCTGACCGTCGAACGCCACGCTAACCTTACAATGCACTCACGGTACGCTGGATTGCCTGCATTCGTTCCTCGAAGTGTCAGACCGCGTTCTTGACAACCTCGTCCTCCTTCTGCTGCGCTGCCAGCGCGTTCGTGATGTGGCCGTTAGCGCCTCTCCCACGCGTACCGTCCTGTTGTGCTTCAGAAGCAGCAACCGCATCCTCCACTTCTAAACACGGTCAGTCAGCTCCAGTACATAGCACAAGCGAACAGTGGTCTCTGACCAAGAATGGAAGGCCTACCAGCATACTCTCCTTCGCTTTCCGCACCAACCCAGAATTTCATCTTCTCTCGTTGGAACTCCGCGAAGTCCCACTCGCGATCGTCAAGCTCCGAAGCGTCCGCGATCCAGATGTAAGTTTCAGCGTTGACTTCGTCGCCTTCCAGATTACCCTCGCCGCATTCGTCACCAACTTGGGTCAATAAGCGGACCTTGACATGCCGGCGTTCGTACTCGCTTCCTTCGAAAATGTCCAGCCGCCACATATCGGCGTCCGTGAGACCTATGACGTATGTCCCGCGGACAGTAGAGCCGGAGTGAGGTAAGACGGCTGGATAGTCGGCATGTCGAACACGGTGGCGGCGGTGGTTATGCAGAACTGCCGGGTAAGTCCTGAGATTGTGTGATGCGAAGATCGGATTATCTGGGGAGCTTGAGCCGTGGCAAACACGATGCAGGACTTGTGGTGCCATGAGTGTGCCGTAGAAGAATGCTGATCTACCTTCTGAATGGGCCATGATTGTGATCCTATGCCACTGTTGTTGCGCAGAGGTTAAGATAAGGAACTCTGTCACCGTCGATTTGTATCCGAGCTTCTAACACGCTATTGGCGGGCACGAGAGGCCGTTGTCACAAACACAGACATAGACAATTCGCCGTTTGCTTCGAGACGAACGCCTGTTATCATTCCGCCTTCTTTGTCTGCCTCCACCGTGTCGATCGGCGTGCGTCCCTGCAGTTGTGCGCTTGGGGAGCCACATGCGACGGCCCGGTGTCGATCGCCGGCGCCAACAACGCCACGAGCAACCCCTGGTTGGTGAGATTTGACCTCACGAAATCAGCCTGTTGTCTTCTCGAACATGACTCCTGTCTTCTTTGCTACTCTTCTCCGATGGTTGTAAGATCGTTAGCAACTTGAGACCAGGCCTTTTGCATGCACTCTACACTCCCCTTTTTGCCTTGCTGTGTTTCATATGGTCACCTTCGCTACGTACATTTTGCGCTCTACTCTTTCCTGAACAGAATTACCTGCGAGAAGTTGATGCGCATGGCGAATTAGGAACATTTCAAAGCTGTCTAATGTACGCCATACCCGTCTTGTGTGCCGGTACATACCGATGCTTCTCACGTTGGGTGGAGGGTGTAATTATAGAGCTGCCAGTATCCGGATGCTAACACCTCGACAGCTCTGTTGCCATGTCTCTAGCGCTGGTGAAGGTGGCCATCTCATGGTTTGCACCAATCTTCATCGTCACTTCGCCCGTCACATCATATGCCGACCAGATATGGAGCATTCACAAGTCCCGCTCGTCGGCTGGCTTCTCACTCGACATACCGTTCATTATGCTGGTGTCTTCGATCCTTAAGTAGGTTGAGTCAGTCCACTGAAACCCCGCATCCTCAAAACTTATTGCCACCGCAGATGTTTCTACTGGTTCGGCGCGCATTACGATTTCAACCTGCTCTTACAAGCTGGCATCATGTGTTTGGTGCAGGTGGTTCTCTTACACGTAGCCCTACTCCACCGACCACCATTTGGAGCTCAGCACAGCCTCAACCAACCTTTTGCTGGAGCTCGAGAGGGGCAAGTCCACGTCAATCGGCCATACAACTTCTGGCAGTGGCGGAGTCGGCGCCCTTATTGGCAGTTCTTGGCATCATTTACGGCAATCGTAGCCGCATTACAGTACTTCATCGGCCAACAACCGAACTACATCCTGATACAGGGCTACGTCGCACTCAGTATAGAAGCTGTGCTGCCCATCCCGCAGATCCTGGAGAACCATCGCAGCCGATCGTGCAGAGGCTTCAGATTGAGCGTGCTTATCAACTGGCTCGTGGGTGACGTTTTCAAGATGACATATTTCTTCCTTTCCGAGGGCGGCGTACCTTTGGCATTTAAGCTGTGCGGGTTCTTCCAGGCTGCATGTGATATTTATCTTGCCGTCCAATACTGGATGTATGGAGAAGGTGAACAGCACGCGGATGGCCAATTGAAGTCACCGAGGGTAGCGTGATGAGCAGCCCGGTTCTCACTTGTGGTGCTCACTTGGGCTTTCTCTTGCTATCGGCATGCCGCCATCGATGAGTTCGGGAATCTGCGGAGAGGGCAGGCCGAGCCGATTGCGTACCGAGAGTGATCGAAGCAAGCACTACGAGACAAGAATGTCCCTTCGCTTGGCGGGGTTGCTGTGAGGAAGCTGGTACGGAAGGAAAGCTTGCGAGGGAAGGCGCGAATCGAAGCCGATCGGCACGAAACATGTCGCCAATCCCATGTATACATTTACCAATACCAGCTACTCCTCGAGCTCCTCGAATCCGCCCCTCTTGCCATATACGCTCCACGATGGAGACTCAACGAAAAGCAGAAAGTATCTGGAAGCTTTCCAACTCGGCGGAAGCTGCTTACCACGGCGTAGTTGTTTCTTCCCACGGTAGATTTCGCACTTCGGTCACGGTGTCCATCAAAAGCTGGATGGTCCCACGACCATGATCTTGTCTCGAGGTCTGACCAAAATCTGCACATCACGGCGGAGACATCTGACTAACATCAATACCATCCATTCACGGCACAGATGTCGGACAACATTTACCGCACAGTAGACGACGGTTACCTCGCACTCGACCAAGGTGGCTGGATCGAGTCAAACGAGCTTACGACCACTCTTCCCACGAATGCACTGACGATGCCCTCGACAGCTGGCAACATGTCCCAAGCTGATCACCACGTATCTGAAGGCCATTGGCCGTTGTCAGACGATCTTATGACCTCTCTGGCTACGGATGCACGCACTATGCCCATGGGACCTGACATTCTCAATGCCACCATGGCATACGGCTCTGGACAGATCGGCTTACCTCGCAGCCAGCACTTTTCAGCTCTTCAACATCACAATCTCCCTCAGGTTGATATCCAGCATGCGCAGCCAGCGGCGCCGACCACCCAGCGCGTTCCCATCTCGCCGGTATCGACTTCTGGTCCGATGAGTAGGGTCGTCAACGTTCCAGAAAGGCCGAAGCCCGGTCGCCGCCCGATTGAGGAGACACAAGAGACTGCCCAGGATCGCAGACGTCACCAGAACCGCAAAGCCCAGCGCCTGTTCCGTGACAAGCGCCAGCAGAAGCTGCACGAGACGCAGCTGGAACTGGAGGAGCGCAAGCGCGAGTACCAGACCAAAGTGTGCGAGTGGGAGACGGAGAAGCATGAGCTGGTGAAGGAGACGAACAAGCTCAAAAGCGAGCTGGAAGCCACGCGCATCAAGCTCCGCCAGGCTGAAGCGAGGCTGCTCAACGGAGGCAAGCAGACCGACATGCTGGTGCCGAGTCCCACGAGCATGGGTTCCGGTTCTGTCGCCGGTGGATCTTTCAGCGGCCCTGCCCAGCAGCGTAATGACTCGACGACGACGGCCACCACGTCCACAACCGATCTGGCGTCTATGGGGTCCGTCGGAGGCGCTCACGAAGCTTACGGCTATGATGAGGATGACACCTTTGAGTCCTTGGACCCGAGCAGTGGTGAGGGGGAGACCAACTGGTATGACGGTGCGGAGCCACATGGTGATTACTACGTCGATGATATGGCTTTCTACTCCAACGGTCTATAGGAATGCGTGTGGACTTCGAGGGCCGCCCGATAAGGGTGCGTGTGTATACGGAAGCGTGGCGGACCGCGCAGGTCGCTCTCTTAACTGGGCAAGCGACTCCGAAGGGTTCAGCGTCGGTTGTATGGCGAACAGCTCGGGCTGCATCCAGTCGAGACGGGTGGATTTTCTCGGCATGCATGAGTCGACTCGCAATGCGTGAATTATCTCATCACGCTTGGATTTCTCTCGCCATGTGTGGACTCTTCAGAGTTGTGTATCTCGTTCGAATTGCATAGGCTCTTTCCAGCTGTGCGAGATCCTCAAGAAATGCGAACTCTCCGGTCATACCAAATAAGGTCAACTAAACAGTGTACACGTTGTCATCACTTGTTTGCCGTACTGAAGCAACAACGCAGCCAGTGCCGCTTCCCGTGACATATTGAGCCAAGTGTGCGTACTCGTAAGATCAACGATGTCATGGTTCTGATTGTTGCACTTGCCTTCTAAGCGGAAGAGGTCGAATGCAGTGGCCGCGTCCTTGCCGGAGCATCCCACGTAGTCGGAAGTTGCCGTGCCCTTGCCTGGCAGGATTGGAACCCTACGATGTAGATCCCGTGATATCCAGTTGCACAAACAGCGACAACGCACGCACACACACCACGGCGCCGAACATGCTACAACGCGCCCCGATGCGGGCAATACGCTCGTTGTGCCAACGACGGGCACCCACGGCCACCTCCACCCTTCGTCACTCGTCGAGCAGCACCGACAACCCCATACCCGCCAACGACCCCAACCCACGCAAGCCCGAGTCACCCGTCTCGTCGACCAATGCTCTTCGCACATCATCCGAAGGCGGCTTCGACAAGGCGTTGCAAGAAGATGTAGCGACGGGGGAGAAGATGCGGCAGATGCAGGCGCCCAACCGCGCCACGGTCTGGAGCCGGAGTCAGAAGCCCCGGGCGGAGGCGATGGTGGGCCCCCGGTTTGAGCAGACCATTATGGAGGATCAGGTGAGTAGGGATGGTTTGAATGAATATCTGTTTGTTGGTACTTTGGCTAAATATGGTGGTTTGTGTAGCCAAGACCGTATGCCGCCATTGAGCTCATCCACAAGCAGCCCGTCCGCTGGACGCGCGCACGAAAGGTATCCTGCGACGGCGGTGGAGGCCCACTGGGCCACCCGCGCATCTTCATCAACGTCGACAAGCCGCAGATCTGTTGGTGCACGTACTGTGGCGTGCCTTATGTACGACCGAAAGTCCACCAACGAGTCTACAACCACGACCACTAACGCATCGATAGGCACACGAGCACCACCGCAAGTACCTCGAGAGTCTACCGAGCACCTCATACCCCCTTGGGCCTACAGACGATCCTGCCGCGCTTCCTGCCGATCATTTCGCGCCGAAGACGGGTTCGACGGAGCAGCTGCAGAGCAACACCGGCCTGCCGCTCGAGCAGAGATAGAGCAGCTCGCGCAGACAGCAATTGTATTTAGCCAATTCACCTCGAAGCGTCCGCGCAACTGGAGCCTTTGCGCCGTGCTTGACAACCAATATCCAGGCACCCATTGCGACGCCATTACCATGCCATTAGCCACTCTGACCACCCGCTCACTTCTTCTCCCCCTGAATAGTAGCCACAACCTTCCGACTATGCTTCGCCGCCCTGAACTCAAGCAAATAAATACCCTGCCAAGTCCCCAACGCTAACCTTCCCTCGCTAACAGGGATAGAAACAGTCGCGCCCACCTTTAGACACGAACACCAGTTAGCGTAATCCCACAAACCCACCAGCCATCCTTCACTTCACGTCATAACACTCACCAAAACACTCTTGATATGCGCCGGCATATCATCTAATCCCTCAGCGCTGTGCCTGTACAAATCCCCTTTCCGGTCTTCCGGTGCTAACCGATCCAGCGCATCGCTCATATCCGCTCGAACATCTTCGTCCCAGTTCTCGTTTAGCGAGAGCGCGCATGAGGTGTGTTGGATGAAGAGGTGCAGCAGGCCAACGCGGTAGGAGGCTATTTCCGGCAGGGAGGAGGTGACGGTGTCGGTGATTAGGTGTGTGCCGCGGGAGTGGGAGGGGAGGGTGATGTGTTTTTGGGTCCAGGACATGGTTGGAGCGGTTGCGGTTGTGGGTGGTGCTGTGGTGGTGGTGGGGTAGCAGGCCGCTGGCGGACAACAGGCGCAAGTTGGGAGGAGTTGGCGGGTTTCGTATGGTGGTCTGATGAGGTACTCGAATGGGAGAGTGAGGGGCTTGATGAGGAGATGGAAGGCGGAGGGGAAGAAGGCGAGGATGAACTTTATTGCGTCAGTGAGACGACTTGACGTGTTCTAGGTCTACGTACAATGGCAAGGAAGATTACGGTGTTACGTAGGCTGTGGTCGACGGGCATTGAGTGCTTGAGCTTTCGAAATTCCGCAATGCTGTAGCTCCTATGACGTGTTTGCGTCTTGTTGGTGAAATGGACAACCGTAGTGCATCACAGGAGCAACAGTAACAGTGAGAACATGAGATGAGCTGGTCGTCGCTCAATTTATGGCAGTGAAGCTACTACGCGGACCGAGCTGCCACGGAATGCAGAGCCTGCAAGCTCTAGGCAGCAGTCATGAATCAAAGCGCAGTTCCGTCGAGTCGTCAGCGATCAAAAACCACCAGTGGCCAACGTGGCCTCATCGCATTGCTCCCCTTGCCGCCTCGCAGAAGCATGCTGAGCTACAGCTGCTGATTTTCAAACATGGCAGACTCGAAAACGCCTTGACAGCTCTAGTCAATCCTTCTTCTTTGCTTCCTCCTCAACGCGGAGGAAGTAGTACGAATCCTGAAAGCGCGGGTCCTTCTTCCACTCGCCCTTGAGCTCTTTAATACTGATGAACGTGCTATGAAGTTGTTAGTCCATCCTCGCCGGACTTCAGCAGAAGGGCGGATCAATCGTACCGCAGCGTGTGACTTCCATCCAGCTCAACACACCAGCACATCTGATCATCCTTTATATCGGTAGGCACGATCTTGCGCTTGTCGTTCGCGCCTTCCTTGGCGGCAATCTTCATGTTGTCTTCCTCAACCTGTGCCTTGGTGCGGCCGGTCCAGACATTGCCCTGAATCGGAGCCACAGCCGGGGCCGAGTAGGCGGGCTGATAGATATAGTAATTCGACATCGGCTGAGGCTGCTGCGGCTGTGGAGGCACAGCGTAAGTGTAGTATGCCGGGGTTGGGTAGGCGGCTGCTGGGTGTGGTGGCGGCGCAATGAAGCCGTACTGGGCTGCAGCCTGGTACGGTTGGTAAGCTATGGGCTGCGGATACGGCGGGTAGTAGACTGGAGGCGCCGGGGTGAATTTGGGTGAGACCTGAGTGATGGGCTGGGATGGGTAGTAAGTGTGAGAGCGAAGTCCATTGTGGGAGTCGTAGCCTGGCGCGGCGATGACCGCTTGCTTGATATATTCATCGTCGTCCGCCCAGTGCTGGTGGTCACTGCCGGCGTCGGAGTCGGAGTCTTTGGCGGCGGTCATCTTGAGGATTGATGGTGTCTATCCGTTCGTTGAAAGGTGCTCCTGCAGTCACTGCCGCTGACATGAAAGTTCAAGGACGGTCCACTCCTCGCGCAAGTTTGAATTGGACTGACACAGCTCGAATGGAGCAGGGTCACGCGGTGGCAAATGAAGCTCGGAAGACATCGGCTGACGGATGGGGAAGGAACAAACTTACTTTCTTCGCTTGTCGTGGTACGGCAGGCACGATGATTCTCCTCCCGTCTCTGCGGTGCTCGCGCGGCGGTCTTTCTGGTAGCTCTTCAAGCCAGACGTCGGCGAATGGCCAACACCACGGGATGCACATAACGCTGCGGAACGATGCGAGCGTTGTCGGTGATGGTTCGCCGGGAAGGCAGCCCAGCGCACTTCGAGGATCTTGCCGACCTTGCGGAACTTGAGCGATGGAGGATCGGCCAGGAGCGGGTAAGAAGAATGGACGTCGGAAGGCGAACACAAGGCACATGACGAGGAAATCTCTTGGCGTCATACAACACTTTTCTGCGACTTGAATCCAAGCGTTCTTCCTAGTCAGGTCCTCCATCTTTGCCCAATACAAGTCGCGGGTGCGAAAATGGACGCGGTAGCGATGCCCCCAAGAGACGACTTCTACTGCAACTTAGAACACCCTACCAGATCACCAAGCTCAGGTATCAGGCAATTTGCAGAGCTATTGCTCGTCGCCCACGGTATACGGCGCCCCAATATCTCTCATGGCACGTGCATCCCTTACCGACATTTTATCCTGATCGAAGTTCTTCAGCATCCGCACCTGCAAGGCAGGTTAGTCGTGACCATCTCCGTGCAGGCAAAACAGCATAAGTTCGTACATTGATACTACACCTGACCTCCTCCTGAAAGCCAAGCTTCTTGATGAGCTCCCTGCTGTCCGTACCCAAGAAGCAACAACACTTCCTGCACACCCCATACGGATACTTATTCTCACCTATCCGATATTCCCCGCGATGGTCAAGCCCTTTCGTCCACTCCACATTCCCGAATAAGGGGTGCACCGTCCATTGACCGTTTCGAGCGCAGTAGCTACAGTAACAGTTGATGGCTACGCAACGCTCCGGATGCTCGGGTGTCACTTCGTCCTCGTAGAGGTGTGGAGAAAGCTTCATCCGGTAACGTATGGTGCCGCAGTGACAGTGTAGGTCGTAAGTCTTCCAGTTGCCATTGGGCGGCGTCCAGGGCGTCTTCTGGGCGGTGGGCGCTTTCTCAACCGTGGTGGTCATTGTCGTTATCCCGAGTACTGAGGTCCGCTCCCAAAACAAGTTCGGGCGGGAGACGGTGAGCCCAAGGGGCTTTTTGGACTACACCACATCGGACACATGCCACTGGTGCGTGTAGAACCACGTTGTTATTGCCATGTGCACCCTTAACTAGCATTTACCGCCATGGATCATTACGGGTGGGCGCATAAGCTATATCGCAGCGCTCATTGGTCCCTAACATCGCGCATATCGTGCTACGAAGTCTAAAGTCGGACCCACGATCCCTCGGGACTATCACCGGAAGAGGTATGCAGCTCGTGATGCCATGGCTTTTACAACACGGGAGTGACGAGGTGAAAAAGCACGTAGAACACTACGAAGGGTTACACGAGAAGAGTTGGACGCTGCTGTATGGTCTTGGCAGTGCACAGACCTTTACAACAATAGACGGTTGTGATTGTTGTTCCCATCACCAATGCGATCCATCATACCCTGCATCATTTGAACCGCTGCGGGAACGCTTTTGACGATGTCTGAGGACAGCAGCAACACCTCGGTCGGGTATCTTACCGCCCTCAGCTCGACGGCCTTGCGCTTAGCCGCTTTTTGTTTTCTCAGATGGGCACGTAAACAAGAACGCGCCGGCGCTCCGGCAGCGCGATCTGTGCTGATAGTCTGAGGCGCAGATACCTGGTCATGTTTGTAGAGACTCGAATCTACTTTGAGGTCACAGACCGAGCTTATGTTTGACAGCAATTTCCACCCTTGATCATCGGCCTTCTTGCCGTCTATGTGCCAAGCTGGTGTTACAACCTATGGAACACTGAAGCCTACGATGTTATCGCAGATGAAATCGACATCATCGCCCGAGGCTCGGATCTGGACCGGCACAGGTCAGATGACGGTCCCGGAGATGAAGTCAAGGAGCTGGATGTTGAGGAAACTCTCATCATCACGAAGAAAGACCCGGAAGTATGGAAGACGATATTGACCGGCCTGCCAAGTCCTTCGAGCATCTTTTGGAGCGTAGTCACCTTAGCAATCAACGTGGCGTTGGCCGCCATGGTTGCGGACTTCGTCTGGCGTGGTACTTTCTTCCATCAAGCGCACGATCTCTCCATGGCTAGGGTGGGCTACGTGTCAGACACGACCGCTAAAGTCCTCATACGGGAGCCGGATGCCAGCAAGTACCCTGTCTCCGTTTCGTATCGGTACGCAGATAGACCGATGGCTGGCGTGAAGACGGATACGGCTTGGAAGACGGCAGGGAGCATTGACTGGTTAGACTCTCGGACCGACTTCACTGGCACTCTGGAGATCAGCAGACTGAGGTCCGACTCGCGGTATCAGTGGGTCGCGAGCAACAACCATACTGGCTCGTTCACGACCGCACCGAGAACGGGCTATACTTCCACAAGACGGGAATCGGCTGGGCTGTTCACTTTCCTGCATTCCTCCTGCCTGAAGAACAACTTCCCGTACAACCCTCTCAGCCACACACTGTCTAACCCAGGGCTCCGCTATCTGGGCGAAACCCTCCACACCCTAAAGGCCCAGTTCATGCTGTTCCTGGGCGACTTCATCTACATCGATGTCCCACGTCGGCACGGTAGCTCGGTGGAAGACTACCGGCGCGAATACCGTCAGATATACGCCAGCCCCGATTGGCCGGCGGCCACCAAGGATCTGCCCTGGATACACGTCTATGATGACCATGAGGTCGCCAATGATTGGGACAGAAACACCACCGGGTTCTTCTCTGCCGCATACGATCCGTATCAGCATTACCACGTTTCCGCAAACCCGCCTGTTGTGCGGCCGGGCGAGAGCTACTTCAGCTTCACTCAAGGCCCAGCTACGTTCTTCATGTTGGATACCCGCCGCTACCGCTCACCGAATGATGAGACTAATGGCACGGACGCCGTCACTGGCGATCCGACCAAGAGCATGCTTGGCGCGCAACAACGCGCTGATCTGCTCGCATGGCTTAACCGTGATGAGCTGCCAGGCGTGAAGTGGAAGATTGTCGTGAGCAGCATCCCGTTTACGAAGAATTGGTGGTTTGGCGCACAGGATACATGGAGAGGCTACCTGGGCGAACGCCAAGTAATACTGGAGGCTATGTGGGATGTTGGGCTCCGAGGTACGTATACCCATAAGAGATTCCCACCTTCATTGTCCATGACTTTGCTGATTCTGCCATCCATGGCTTCTCCAGGCGGCGTAGGCGTGATCATATTAAGCGGCGACCGCCACGAGTTTGCCGCGACCGCATTCCCGCCGCCACCGGACGGCAAGGAGGAGATCGTCGGTCTTGGGCCCATCGGCCTCGGCGCCAGTCCCTTCGCCATGGTGCCGGACGCCACCTCTGCCCTCCGCACCCATCGGAAACGCTGGCCTCTTTCAGCTACGGTCCACGAGTTCTCCTGCTCACCCTTAAATATGTTCTACTTGCCAATCCGCACTTACACCGAATCATCGACGAGTGACGACTACGTGAGCGACGTATGCGTCAAGTACGTACCGGACGGCAACAGCAAATTCGGCGCCGTCAGTATCAGTAACCCTGCGACGAGCGAACAGAGCGTACTGCATTACCGCTTGTTCGTGGATGGGGCGGAGCGCTGGAGTTACACGTTGACGACGCCACCAGAAGTCCGAGGAGGGGCGCGCAGTAAGGATGCAATCTGGGGCTAAGGGGCGTCGCTAGATTCCAGTGTAGTAGCCCGTAAGAAAGACTTTGCATGGACATGGACGAGCCCTCCATAAGGGTCATTCGCTGTCACTCGCACGGCCTGTCTGACACCGGCTATGCTTGCGGACAGTCACTTGCTACTCGTAGTGATGGTCCGCTGTGTGGAGGTGGGTCGCCTCCTCCAGAGTGATCTCGTCACTCTGGCTGTGGCTGTGATTGAGCGGCAAGTCCTAGAAGGCGCTGCAGGCTTAATGCTGCCTCGCTCGGGACTCTTTGCGGCATGATCGGCAATTCGTGGAAAGCAATGCCCAGGCCACCATCGCTTGGATCACGCCACGACAAATCTGTCGCGAGTGCCGTCGTGCTACCCACAGACACCACCCTGCCCATACTCCCAATTCTGACCTTTCTCTGCCCGCTCACCATCTCACTTTCTGCCTTCCTAAAGCCGAAGATTCGCGTCCGCGTCCGCACGGCCTTCCCCTTTCCCTTCCCCATTCGCCTACTCCCCTCACTACTACTACTCCCTCCCTCCGGCACAGCCGTCAGTGCTCTCCCACCCATTCCCGGCCTTACCCTCACCCCACCAGCACCCGCCGCATTGGCCGTGGTAATCTCCCCCAAGGGCGGCAAGTGCGCCGCGTACTCATCCGCGAGGCTCATGCGAGTCCTTGCGCAGATTTCGGCGATGCCATCCAGTGCGGTCTGCAGTTCGGGTGATTCGGCAGCGCGGAGGATAGAGGCGAATGCGTAGGAGGAGATGGCAGGAAGGGGTGGGGGAGGGGAAAGGGTGGCAGGGGTGGATTGGGGCTGGGAGGGAGCCGTTGTGAGGGTGTACGGGCGGACGAGGACTGGGCCGCTGGAGGTCATTGGGGTCTTGCATTGGACGACTAGATCCCGCTGGAGGTGAGCTGAGGTCACACTGGTCTATGGCGTGTGTAGCAGCAGATGCGCTCGTACTGCCATGGGGATGGCGCTAGCAGGCCCGTTGAGTCTGATTGTCACATACCAGCGGAATAATTTTGGACAGAAAGTGCTAATAACCCTGTGGCATTCCGTAACGCTCGTATGAAAGTGGGATGACTTGACCAAACTCCATTCCACTGACTCGCGCTTTTCTCGCTTAACTTGCCGTCTTGGTATTAGCGCGGAGCAGTATTCACGACAACATCGAATCTCCCATCCGCCTACTCCTGTACCATCCCACATTCATTAGTATTCCATTGCCATGTCTGGCGATGAGAGGCAGCGCGAGGACGGCGAGGTGGAGGAGACTGTCGTGCCGACACAGGTATTCGCTCGAGTGGCACACACGCTCTCACTGTAGTTGTTCTCCTTTCGTGATGCGCTAACAGGCATGGTAGGCCGTCAGTGGTGATGACGCGACAGGGACTGCTGTGAGTATTGAGCCATACCTGGACTGGATTAGACGGCACCGGATCGGACTGGATGTACTTGACTCGAACGACCCATGATGCGAGGACTCTGGCCTTCTGATGGGCATCTTTCCGGATGATGGCTACAGACCTGTTGGAACACCTCCGAGGAACGCGATGCTGTACTCCTGCTGCTGCTACTGCTGCTGCCGAATCTTCATTGACTTACAATCTGCATATTACACGCTAGTCATGGAGCTGACGGTAGGTGATCACAGGACAACACAGACACGCCCTCAGACGGCCAGGTATGTATCACACGCGTCTTGCCGCGCCTTAACAGCGCCACGTCGTGTTTCTAAACCTTCTCTTCGTATACTGCGTTGCTTCTCTCGTATACCATTTCTGCCACACATCCTGTTTCTGGCCAGCATCACTCGAGCATCAGGCTACTTAACGGCCGCATATACCATCTCCATCATCACTAACCGTCCAGCAGCAGCAGAGCAACGCTCAACCCGCCGAACAATCACAACAGTACAACTGGTGCAAGTGCTACTTCGAAGCCGCCCCAGGCACACAAAACCATTACTGGATGCACTTCATCACCCGCGAGACCAAGTATGAAGAGCCGACAGAACCGTACTGGATCTGGGATGCCATGACCAACAACGTCCACGAGTCCGGCCTGCAACAGCCTACCAAGCCCGCGCACCCAGCAGCGCCCGGTACGAGTGACACAAGCCAGCCCACGTCCCCGCCCGCAGACTACCAAGGCTACAACCCGAAGATCCACGGCAGCTACGACCCTAACGCGCCCTATGCGCAATACCACAAGCAGAAGCGTGCGGAAGAAGAAGCACTCTCCAACCCCGTCTCCGGCATTGTGCCAGCCGCTTCCACGGGCGAGTATGCCGCAGTAGGCGCCTTCAATCGCTTTTCGGGCCGCTTTCAGACCGACGAGCAGTCCACGGAGCGTCACAACGACTTCAACAAGAGCGGGCGCCAGATGAACTCTTTCTTCGACGTCGATGCGGCGGCGAACTCGCATGAGGGGAAGAGCCTCAAGGAGGAGAGGCGGCAGCAGCGGTTGACCAAGAAGGAGGTTGCGGAGCTGAAGCAGAAGCGGCGCGAGAAGAAGGAGAAGAAGAGGATGGATTTCTACAAGTCCTGAATCGATGGTTGGATGCGGTTTCTCAAACGGCATGGCGACGGCGACGGGCGTTTATTGCTCCGGTGGGTAGATATGAGCCTGCTTGCGCTCTGGGATTGCGCACAGCGATAGCGGTTGACAAGCCTGGAAATTGTTACCTAACTGCAATGAATGCAATGTTCTCATGACTCGTACCTGTAATTATGATGCTGAACATGACTCTGGTCACCCTGCCCCGCCATCTCATCCCACCTGCCATATCCAAAAGTTTCTATCGCACCACCATATCCATATCCCCCACACTCACAGATACACACCTCTAGACCATTATGTCTCACGACGCCCTCATCGCCGAATGGCACGACCGCGCCCAAGCCTTTGAGCCGCTCGACTTGAAGAAGCTACAACAACCGCTCGGCGAGCTGGACAACCATCTCACTCTCCGCTCCTACATTGTCGGCTACACCTGCACCGACGCTGACATAGCAGTATGGAAAGCCATTCGGTCCAATCGCGTCGCGTATGGCTTCATCAAGGGCGGCGCAATGGCGAGTCTGTGGCGCTGGTTCAACTTCATCGCCGAGACGGAGAATCCGCAGCTCGACCAACACTCTTCGGCCGGTGGCAAGGACGGGGTCAACGGTGTGAAGGAGACTACCGACACTGGTGCGAGCTACGACATCGGACTTGAAGGGACCGAGAATGGCGTTGTGACTCGTTTCCCGCCCGAGCCGTCGGGGTACCTGCATATTGGCCATGCGAAAGCGGCATTGCTGAACGAGTACTTTGCGCACAAGAAGTACAAGGGCAAGATGATTGTGCGGTTCGACGATACGAATCCAAGTAAGGAGAAGCAGGAGTATCAGGATGCTATCTTGAAGGATTGCGAGTTGTTGGGCGTAAAGCCGGATCAGGTCACATATACTAGTGATTACTTTGATGATTTGTATAAGCTGTGCGTGAAGATGATGGAAGAGGGTCATGCGTATGCGGACGATACGCCGCAGGAGCAGCTGAGAGATGAGAGGGAGAAGAGGATCGAGTCTAGGCATCGCAATGCTGGGGTGGAGGAGAGTTTGAAACACTTCGAGGAGATGAAGAGTGGCAGTGAGGAGGGTACGAAGTGGTACATCCGAGCTAAGATCGATATGTCGAGCAACAACGGCGCCATGCGCGACCCGGTCATCTACCGCTGCAACCCGCAAGCGCATCACCGGACCGGAAGCGCCTGGAAGATCTACCCAACCTATGACTTCGCCTGCCCCGTCGTCGATAGTGTCGAGGGAATCACCCATGCGCTCCGCACGACCGAGTACAACGACCGCGACGCGCAGTACCAGTGGTTCCTCTCCGCGCTGAAACTACGACATGTGTATAATTGGAACTTCAGCCGCATGAACTTCATCCGCACTCTACTCTCCAAACGCAAGCTGACCAAACTCGTCGACTCTGGCGTCGTCTGGGGTTGGGACGACCCGCGTATGGCCACCGTACGAGGTATCCGTCGCCGTGGTATGACGATCCCGGCTCTGCAGGAATTCATTCTCAAACAAGGACCGAGCAAGAACATCAATTACATGGATTGGACCACCTTCTGGGCAACCAACAAACAGTACATCGACCCCATCGCGAAACGGTATACAGCCGTCGTCAAAGAAAATGCGGTCACGTGTACAGTTGCGGGAGCGCCTGCGGCACCGCGGACGGAAGATAAGGAGGTGCATGCCAAGAATGCCGAGCTGGGGACGAAGAAGGTGGTGTACAGTCGGAGTGTCATTCTGGATCAAGCGGACGCTCAATCCTTCGCCGACGACGAGGAGATCACGCTTATGAATTGGGGCAATGCGATTGTGAGGAAGAAGACGTATACGCTTAATCCGGTCAACATGGTCGCCAGCGCTGTTAGCAGCGTCACGAACGGCTCGACGGGATCGGCCGAACGGACCATCGCCTCGCTGGAGCTCGAACTCCACCTCCAAGGCGACGTGAAGAAGACCTCGAAGAAAATCACTTGGCTGTCCACGGATCAGGAACTCGTCCCGCTTTCCCTCTACGACTTTGACTACCTCATCACGAAGGATAAACCCGATGCAGACGACGCGCTGGAGGATATCCTAAATCATAATACAGAGTCTAAGACGGAGTGCTGGGCGGATTGCAACGTGGCGGAGTTAAGGGAGGACGATGTGGTGCAGTTTGATCGGAAGGGGTATTTCCGCATCGACAAGGCCATGAAGGGTGGGGAGAGTGTTGTGGCGTTTCAGATCCCGACTGGGAAGAAGATGTGAGGCGTCACAGGTGGGGAGGAGGGAAGGGTTATGGGATCATTGTAACAAGATCAGGATTCTCATGAATTACGGGGGAATCCCACCGTTGGTAATTCGCAGTACATGCCCATGTTCGGGGCCCGGAGTCTGCTATACATGTACCTGGGAGACGCTCGAAACCGGGTCCAGGTGGATAGACCACATTACAATAACGCTCCAGCTGCAAGGGCATGTGATGTTTCTCCACCTTGAACGAAAATTCCATCACGGCTGCGCATGTGCTTTGTAGGAGGTAGCGGCGTGGGTATTATCGATTCAGTGTGGAAAAACAAAACAAAACCGCACGCTATGCTGTCACGTGTCTATATCCTCGAGTACTAATCTGCCTCGCCCACCAGTCCGCCGAGCATACGAATGCGGCAGGGCAAAGCTGGCTTACGCCCAAACGCCGCCGAAACACCCACGCACCCATACCAGAAAACAGCCCCCTGTCACTTTCGTTCGTTCGCTCGTTCACGCACGCCGCAACGGCGCCAACCCTTCCCCAATTCGTGCACAAAAAGCCATATGTACAAGAAGAAGCTTCTTGGGCCCCGCAATATCACCGCCGCCCACGCCTTCATCGGCTGTTCGTTCAGAGGAAGTCGTCGTGCTCGGACCCCCGACATCTCTACCGGATATTCAAACTCTCATACCGCACCCAATTACTCCGCTGCCGGTTCGGGTGTTCGAGGCCCAAATGGTCGTCCGGGCCTAGCTTCTCCGTCGTTATGTCATCTGCGAACAAAATCTCTCATCAGCACAATACACACGACAGACTCACAAACGCCACCGACTCCACACAAAAACAAGGGAAGAAAAGAAAGAAAGGTCGTGGGCGAAATGAGAAAACTCACCATCCTCCAACCAAACGGGCCGGCTATAATTCTGCCCCCCCTTGACAACGGCAAAGCGGACCTTCTCCAGATTCTTCCCCTTGATCCCCGTGCGCTTGCTCAACCGCTCCCGCGTCTCCCGGAAGACCTCGCCCTCCCTCAACACGAAGATGAAAGGCGTGCCGTGGCTTTTACTAGGCTCTTTTTCGAAGTGGAAACAATTCACCAACCGCCCTCCTCCCACGCCTTCCATCGCCCCTCCCTCACCTCCCTCACCCCCCTCCTTCCCAGCCGCAGACCGCTGTGAGAGTAAGTTCCGCTCCTCCTCCGGGATGCGCTCGGCGTAAACGGTCATGTACTCGTTCAACGCCACGACCCCCATCCCCAACGACAAGACCTTATAAACCTTCCCGCCATGCGCCTCGTAAAACCGGACTTGCTCCCACACCTCCTCCGGCAGGCCCGCCCGTTTCGCCACCGCGGCCAGGACATCGCTAAACGTCGACTGCTTGTGCAGCGCGAACTCGAAGGGTTCTTCCTTGGTGATGCCCTCGCTGAGCCAGACAATCCGGACGTTCTTCCGTTGTTCGAGGTCCGTGAGACTCATCTCCAGGACTTCGTAGCACAGTTGGTCGGGCGCTTGGACGGTGGCGGCGGTGACGTTGTACCCGTAACCGCTTCCGGAGCCGAGGAGGATGTTGGCCACGGTGGTCGCGGCTTGGCGTTTGACGGGGGATCGCGGGGTGCCTTTTGCGGCGTTGACGGTGGTGAAGCGGAGGTGGGAAGGGTCGATCGGGGTTGTGCTGCTGACGGAGGACAGATGTTCGGCGACTTTGTGCGCCATGGCGTCGTAGCTGTCCTTCTTACTTAACGCTATGCTGAATTTCTCCGCGCCTTCGTGACGGACTTGAAAGGCGGCGTTTGGTGGGGGCCATTGTTTTGGGGTGAAGGTGACGAAGATGCGGTTCACGAGGAAGTCGTAGTAGGCTGTTGCATCGAGGCAGGCGGTGGGGTTGGTTTGGCGAAGGGCTGTTACTTCGGGTTCGGTGAGGTGGCGTTGGAAGCAGATGATGTCGCCGTCTTGGATTTCGGAGGCGACGAGGGTGTTCTTGGGCTTCATGCGCTCGATGTAAGTCTGTTTGATCTCTTCATACAGCTCAAGCGGCACGCCCTCTTCCCACTGCATCATCCGGAGGATATGCGGGGCGAGATCTTGCGCTTTCTCCCACGGTTTCATGTAGACGTGTCCGACGCCTCGTAAGAGCTGCTTGTCCACGTCAAAGTACTTGAGGAAGATGATGATGGGTTTGACGGGTTGCGGGGGGTTCAGGTGCATGTTGCCATTCGCCGGCGGTGGTTCCTCGCTCGGCCAGATTGGCGCGCCGTCTTCGTCTCGTGTTGTCTCTTCCAAGAAGATGCGGAAACCGCCTGTCCGTGTGCTGAACTTGTCCGCCGCTTCTTGTAGTGTCATATCGTCCCAAATCAGCGGATGGTCGGGTCGCACGGTGCCGTTTTGTCGGTTGACCATGATCCATGGCTGGACTAGGTCTTTCTCGAGATCAAACTGCTTGCACGCGAATTCGGTGAGCTCAGAGACCGTCATGGTGCGTAATAATCGGTACTGCTTTGGCGCTGCCGGCTCGGTCTCATCCGCTCCCCACGGTATTAGGTCGACGCCCTGATACGCTTTGTAGTGTGCCTCTGTCGCGACATTGACCGTCATATACAGATGTGCCTCCTCGCGCTCCTTCCGTTTCCGCTCGGCCGCCGCTCGCTCCTCAGCCAGCCGTTGCGGGAGATGTGGCGGCGGCTGGACATCGTTCCCCGCCGGCAGAATCTGATCGAGTCGGCTCTCGCGGATATACACCAGCATGTACGCATTGTTCGAACGCTTCGTAGACCACTGTCGCGTATACGGATTCTGACCCTTCTGCACGCCATTCACCGGATTGGGCGCATAGTCACCGCCAAAGTTATCATCAATCGCCTCTCGCTTCGTGGCGCGCGTAACTCGATCGTCATCGAAGCGGAAGAACTCGCCATTCTTCTCGGGCTTCAGGAAGGAATAGTAGTGGCCCGCGTTCAAGTCACCCGAATGCACCAGCACGCCATGCAAGTGGTACACATACGGCTCCGACATATCCGCCGCCGGGTCGAGATATGGCGAGGCATCCCATACCTCCGGAAACTCGTATCGGTCGTTGACCTTCATCATCGCATCTCGCTGGAAGTCATATTCGAACCGCTTCAGCTGCAGATGCAGCACTTGCGGGAAGCTCTCGAAGATGACACCCTTCTTCGCGTCTTGCAGGCCGAAGCCTTCGGCCATGTACTTGTTCTCGCCTTCCAGCGTCTCCACCTCGATATAGTTGCGGAAACTGTCATCCAAGCTCTTGCATCCGGACACGTTGAGCTGCAAGTCCCAGAAGTCTTCGATCCGGCTGGATTCGTAGTCGACGTTGATACACCTCAGATATGTCTTCATCTTCCCGACGAACATATTGGGGAGAGCGTTCTCGGCCTCGGTGCCCTTCATGCGCGTTTCGAGCTTCTCCATCAATATGCGGGAGAGCTCTTGCACGTCTTGCTGTTCGAAAATCTGTCGATTATCCCAGCCGAATGATTGGGTGAGTTCGTGAGTGGAGACGGCGACGGGGTCGGCTTGTAGGCGGTAGAAGAGTCTTTGCAAAGAGTAGGCGGAGCTGGAGGTAGCTATCTGGTCGGTGGCGGTCGGTATTTGGTAGACGGCTTTCCGGAACGCGCCAGTGAGGTATAGTGATTGCAGCAGTGAGTTCAGGTAGCATGTTGCGCCCTGGTTTCGCAAGCCGACCATGCCGGTCTCCTTCTTGCTGTCGTAGTTGACGAAGTTGTGCCATAACACGCCGGTAGGATCCTTCAGTACCCGCACGTAGGCTGTCATCTTCGCGCAGTCATTCTCCACCAGCGGTCGGTCAGAGCCGTCAAACTTGGAAGCGAAGATCCTATTCTTGTCCGCGAACCGCGTGAAGCCCCAGTCCCCTTCGTCCGCGGTGAAACGATGACTCGCCTCGTGATGGATATATATGGATGGGTCGTTGGGGTTGTGCAAGACGAGCATGAACTGCGCGCATGCATACCAGTCTTCCGGCGGCTTCTCATTCTCGAAGCCTTGCTCGAGGTAGAAGGACACGCTCTCTGACGCCTGATTGCCGGCGGGGAAGAAGAGTATCCGCCATGGGTGTCCGGCACACTGAAACACCGGTCCATGTGATCGTTTGGGAAGTTTACTCCAATTCGTGATGTCCCACGTGTGTATCGCCTCTGCCTCCGTCTCGTACTCCGGATACGCCGGCAAGAAGCGATCCCTCATCGCATTGTGGTCGGTCGCCAGCGGTAACGCGGGCTCATTCGGCCCGTCTGCATCATCGACCATGCTGTCGGCGTCGTCGGGGGAGATGATGGCGACATTGTCGTGGTCGTCGTTGGGCGTCAGGCGTTTCTCGTCGTAGTCGGAATCGAGCATCATGTCGCTGCCCATCTACCACGAGCACAGATGTGTGTCAGCAAGTGTCGTCATTATACTTATTTGCATCTGTGTGCGGCCGAGCTGATCCATCGCAAGATATGCGCCGAGTGGGTTTGTAGGGTACGGTAGGTTGATATAGGAGCAGGTGGATAGCTTACATGATCCATGACGGGCAAGCACGATGCCACCCACCCTCTAGCAATTAAAACAGAAAGCCGTGGCACCAAACCGGCAAGGCGCGGGTATATGCGCTCCAGGTAGAGCTATAAGCGTATCCTCGGCAGAGATTGAAGAAGAAGAGGTTGTGCGCCCGCGCAGTGTTGCTGATGGTGGTGGTGATGGTGGTGGTGGTGGTGGTGGTGGTGGTGTGTTTGAACAAGTCCAAAGGGTGCAGCTGTGGGCAAGCATACATGTGGATGCATGCGATTCCGATGCAGCAGCAGTGCAGAATGTTGCTTGCTGGGCTCAATTGGCCAGTCTGACGTAACAATACTTTTAAGCCCTCGTCAACACCACATACACCCTCGACGTAAGAATCACATGTGCTCCCTCGTGACTGTGCTCAACATGGTCAAGTGATGGATTACGGGTTGTATAAACCGTCACCCTCAATTGACTCTACCAAGCATGGATGGCGGCAGAAGCATGTGCGTGCGAATGCAGCCTCCCACTCTCAACTCGTCCTCGTCCTCGCCATCGCCCCGCAATATGTGGCGCAAGCAAGCGCACACGCACACACACAAGGCCCGGGCGTCTGCAGCAAGGTGAAGCCAAAATGCGGAAACCACCCAGGCAGAGTATTTCGATATGAGGCTATACATTCGCTCATGTCCCCGGGGTCGCTGGTGTAAGGCTGGCCCACTGCCATCACGACAATGGAAGTGCGGTGGTATACGACATGCAAGCAACGACACCAACAACGACAACAACAACAACAACAACAACAACAACAACAACAACAACACCCCTCCATGGCGGTCCTCCAACGTCCTCGACGAATGGGTGCAGCGTGAAGCACGACCCATCAGTCTGCGCCAACTCACCTTCTTCGGCCGCACCCTGACCGAAAGCCGGCTGCTCGACTCGGCCAACTATGTCCGCCTCGAGCTACCCACCCGCATCGCGCACCGCCTGCGCAACATGCAGACCCTGCCCTACTCCGCCCTGAGCAACCCGCACATCAAGCACGTCTACGAACTCTACTACCACGCCTTTGAACTCCTGCGCAAAGTCTCCCACATCGCCACGCTGCGGGACAACGACCGATTTTGCGATGTGCTCAAGATGTGCCTCAAGGACCATCTCTCGGTCATCCCTCGCTTGGCGCAAGGCATTCTCGAGATCCAGGACTCAGTCTCGGCAGACGAATGTGATCGCTTCATGACAACCTTACTCCGCTCCCGCATCAGTCGTCGAGTAATCGCCGAGCAGCACCTAGCACTCACAGAAACCTTCCACTCCCCCTGGCACTTCCCCGGCAAAAAGTCCAGCGTGTCCCCCGAAGACGACTTCGTCGGCGAAATCTTCCTCAAATGCAACGCCAAAGAAGTCGTGGAGAAATGCGCGGCGCGCGCCACCGAGCTGACGGCAAGAGCCTACGGCCGCCACGTCACAATCCCAAAGGTAGTCCTGCAGGGCCACCTCGACACCACCTTCCCCTACACCCCCTCCCATCTCCAGTACATCATCGGCGAACTACTGCGCAACAGCATCCAAGCCGTCGTCGAGCAAGTCGGCTCCTCCAATCCGCCACCAATCGAAGTCCTCATCTGCGAAGCAGCGCAGCACGTCATCCTCCGCATCTCCGACCGCGGCGGCGGCGTCGACCGAGACATCCTGCCGTACATCTGGAGTTTCGCCAAGGGCCCGCGTCGGAGCAGGCGCCTGCATAATTTGGGGAAAGTGCCGCGTTTGGCAGGCACGATGGAGGAGTTGCAGTTGCCGCCTTCGCACCCGGATAGTGTTGAGGAAGGTTCCTCGGGTGAGAAGTTTGGGTCGTCGTTGGCTACGCTTTCCAGTCGCCCGCCGGACTTGCGCTTGGGGATGGGACTGCCGATGAGTCGCATTTATGCCGAGTATTGGGCGGGAAGCCTCGAGTTGCATAGTTTGGAGGGGTATGGGTGTGATGTTTTCTTGCATCTGAGGTGAGTTTCTTGACACTTTTTCCGCAGGTCCCATTTTCATCTTTTGTGTATACTAATTCGGGATTGTCGGGCAGTCGGCTGGGAAACAAGAATGAAGTGTTGAGTACGAGGGCGAGTATGGATGCTGTCTAGCAACTGCCACTATCCCGCTTACCATTTGCTCGACGGACATCTTGACGTGGGTAAACCCGAGAGCATTTTGATCCGTCATGGACACCCGAGAAGCCCTCCTCGACAGACTCAACATCCACGTCTACGGCGCCTGCGTGCCCCAACGAGACTCACCGCTGGAATGCTACATCCCCCTCCACCAATCCTACCGCGGTCCCATCACCGATCCCTCAGCAGACACATCAACAAACCATCTACCGTTCTTCAACGACACGATGCAGGGCTGGATGTGCGGTGGTCGACCCAGGAAGATCGAGAGTACCGCTTCGATCACTGGTGAAGCGCGGGTTTATGATAAGGATGTCGTGACGACGTGGCGTCTGCCGAGCCCCGTGGCGGCGTACGAGGTGTTCTTCTAGGAGAAGGCTTTCGCGTGTGCGTTGGGAAGGGAGACGATGTGGATTGCCGTTGAGGCGTTTTTGGATGGAGAGGAGGGTGGTATGTGCGCCGACATTACATCTCGAAGGCTTATTCTTTTGTTGTAAGCATGACTGACAGTGCAGGCGCAGTCGTGGCGGCAGACGGCACCCCCCTTGAACGCTTCCACGAGTTCATCGCTGACCTCGGCACCCAACCCGTCACCGTCACCATCTCCAGCTTAGTAAACGACATGCTCCGTCTCTACCATGACTGCGCCGCAAACGGTACCCGCTTCTCCTACCACGCCGACGTCGCAAGTTTCGTAGAGAGCTTCGTCCTCTCACGAGACTGCTTCTTCTACCCCGAACGACGCGCCCCCGTAGTGGAGGCAACATTCCAGCAGTGTCATTTCAGTGATGGAGGACGAGAGGTACTGGACGTGCAGATCTTCTACAGCTGGGCGCAGCCCTTGTTGGGGTTTCGGGCTTTGGCAAATGTGGTGGCGGAAGGGGAGGAGTTTGTGCTTGCGCCTGTGGCGCCGAATGCGAGGGTGTACGGTGCCGTGAGTCCTTGCTCGGCGGAGTACTTTGTTGGACCCGCGGAGGACTGGTTGAGGTGGGACGCGTGAGTCGCCACGTATCAACTTCACTCGACGGCACGCTCCTTGCTGACGATGTTTGTGGGTGAATAGCGACCGCGAGTGTCTCCACGGCACCGTCCCACCACACCTGGCCGCTAATCAGGGAGCTGAGCGCCTCGACTGTTACACCATGGGGCTGGAGATCATGGCTATCATTACGAAACACTTTGCTGGCGATATCCGTTTAGAGAGAGTAATCCGTTGTGGCGTGCCACTTACGGTCCGCAGACGACCGGATCGGTGTACGGATGACGAGGAGATGGTGATGAGTCCGCCGCTGCGCACACTACAAACGCGAGTGTCTCCCTGCCGTGGGAAACGAACATCGCCGCACTCCTTGAGAAGGACAGAATCTTACCGCAAGCTTCGGACCGGGCACCAACCTCCTGCGAAGCCTCTATTTCCGTCATTCGCAAGCAGTGCGAGCACGGTGCGCCGTCCTACTCCCGTCCGGGCTTACAGCGGTGCTGTCGTTGATACGGAGAGTGAGATTGAGAACGGAAGCGCGACGTACAAGGAGATCAGCCAGACGCTGGAGCGCAAGGCGGAGTGCATGAGCCCGGCATCATCGCCGCTGATGCTTAACCCGCTATCGTTGGCGAGGCTGTACGAGAATTCCCGTCCCGTGCGTTCGGACGGACGCTTGGTGTTTTCGCGGGGAGATGGGGTGGTAGAGCGGCTGCGTGGGTTCGATTCGGATGCGTGATCGCGCATCGTGAGCATTGCTTTCCGCATCCTCTAGGACTGGGATACGCTGCTGGGTGGCATGATTTCGAGCAGTCCAGTAATACTTTATTGCATTCTGCCCATCGCCGTTCTTGTGCACAGTCACTTGCGAAACACATGGCCAAGCTTTTCCCACGTGCCTGCCAAGTTTTCGCGCGTCGCAAGTGAAACGCGTGGGGCACAGTCGAGACACGTCACGTCATGTCGCAAACAAGGTTGGAGGGCGCACAGCCACGCCGAGAGACAGTCTTTACTGTGCGCTTGTGCCTCATACGACCTTAATCCTCGAACGAGAGATAGTACGAGTAGCAGCATTCATATAACAGCCGATTGCTAGTAGGTTCATCCAGCAAAATGGCCAGCGACGGTACCGCCTCGATCATCCTCATTGTCATCATCACCATCTTCCGTACGTCCGCAACATTGTATCCCCCCAACTCCGCCTCGCTAGAACGTTCGGCTGACAACATGCTAGTCCCACCCGTCGGCGTCTTCCTCATCAGCGGCTGCAGCGCAGACCTCCTCATCAACATCCTCCTAACGTGTCTGGGCTACTTTCCCGGCCATGTAAGTGCAGCACCACCATCACCATCACTGACTGTCCGTGTGTACTTTCGTTATTCAGATGCTGATTTTGGGGATGGTTGTATCGTAGATCCACGCTTTCTACCTCGAGTACGTCTACTATAAGCGCCGAGACAATGCTGCGAGGGGGGTGATGGATAGGCCTGCGCAGGGGGTGTATTCGGACAATATTCAGAGTGGTGGACGGCAGCAGGGTGGGCAGGGGTATGGGACGATGTGAGGTGTAAGCTGTTGAAGGCTTGGAAGGAGCGCGTGGCGATGTTTTAAGAGTGGCTTAATGCTTAATGTGGCACGTGATATCCAATTGCAATTGATGCGAGCATCAGTGAATGAATGCGAATCGCAGATGTGGGTCCCTTTGTTACTGATGTCAAGTGACCCGTGATTTACCTGCATCACACCTCACTTCATTCGACCGACGTACAACTTAGCGCCGCCTTCGCTTCGAGGTCTGCAGCCGCACTTGCAGCAACTTCGTAACACCGACATCTCAAGTCAAGAGTGTTCGAAGCTCGTCATGGGCAGCGACGACCAGCCACCGGCCAAGCGCCGCAGGTCAAGCTTCCAACAGCCTTAGCGATAGACAGTAGCTGACTGCTTCACAGAATGGATCTGTCTAAGTCGATCTTGGTCCTTGTTGGGAAAGAGGAGAAGCCGTTTACAGTGCCCAGGTCATTTCTTACCAAGTCATCAGAGTTCTTCGTGACCTGTCTGAACGGCGCCTGGAAGGAAGCTTCGAGCAAGGAAGTCAAACTACCGGACATCATGCCTGACATCTTTGAGATTTACCTTCAGTGGCTCTACACCGGCGAGCTCGTATACACAGATCAAGATCTAAATGACATGCCTGGAGGCGACATCATTCTCGCTCTCGCCGTCTACCGAGCCCTAATTAGACTTGCAATTGCTGGAGATGTGCTTCAGGACATTCCTTTCAGAAACGCAGTGGTTGATGCAACCATCAGCGTGTTGCCGAAAATTCCGATCTTGCCGTCTGCCGGACTTATTAATTTGGCTTACGAGAACCTGCCACGAGCAGGAGGACTCATTCGCCTGATGGTGCGTGATGCAGCGGGCAGTTGGATCGCGCAAGACACGCCATGTGAGGAGGGGCCTGCGAAGTTCCTAGCAGACGTGATTGGTGAGCTCAGGACGGCTATGCGCAACGGGACAATCCTAAGAGATTACGTCAAACTTGAAGAGCGATGCACCTACCATGAACACAACGACCGCGTTCCGAAGTGTGAGACGGCGAAGAAGTGATCACTGAGATGGTAATACCCTCACTAAGAGAAGACTGGGTGCGCACGGCACGACGTTGATGGCGAGCCATCACCACCACGTTTGGTGCGAGCTGTTCGGTGTAGCGCGCGCAATGGTCGTGCGAGGGAAAAAGTGACGCCTCAAGATTTGCGGCGGTTAATCTGGCGGGCAAATGTGCCTCACGGTAGCCAGAGTACAGTTCCAGCTATTCACAGCAAGGACTCTTTCACTGCAAATTTTCGTGAGAGAGTTGTACAAGTGAACCCGCTGACTTCATAACACTTTCTCATTGAACGTCCGAGACATCCCTTGCTCGCTTCACAACTCTTCCTTTGTGAGCAAACATACTTCCGGCACGAGCAAACATCCCCTTCTGATAGCATAAAATCGGGGGACCACGATGGCTGGTGACGGGCCTCCACCAGCCCAGCGGCAGAGGTCACTATGCACGGGATCATGCTGTATATATCTAGCTGATGGCTGTACAGGCTCGATCTGTCGGGCTCCATCACCATCCTCACGGGCAAGCATAAGAAAAAGTTCATCGTTCCGAAAGTCCTCCTAGTCAAAGCTTCAGACTTCCGCACTGTCTGCTTTAGGGGAGAGACCTGGACTGAGTCAACGGTCAAAGAAGTCAGGCTTCCACTCATCAGCGCAGAGGTCTTCGAAACATACCTGCAGTGGGTATACACTGGTCACCTCGCTTACACAGAGACAGCGATCGAAGACGTCGCCAAATGCCCAACGGCTGAGAGCGGAGTGGCTGAACGTGAACTGCTTTGGAAGCTGCTTAGACTAGGCTATCGCAGAAGACATGCTTCAGAATGTCGATTTCGGCAACCTCGTCAATGATGCAGCTGTACAAGTCGTGGCGGCCGCTCGGTGGCTTCCATTGGCATTCGAGATGAAGTATGCGTACGAGAGCCTCCGTCGCAAAGCAGGGTACCTCCGCCTAATGGTTCGCTGGTACGCAGCCTACTGGAAACCCCGACGATATCGAAGAGCGCGCCACCAAGTTACCTATCGAGCTCCTTGCAGACATTCTGTCCGAGCCCAGAAGTGCAGCGGTGAGCCGCACCTTATATTCGCATGCCGAAGTGCAAGCACCGATGCGACCTTTCACGTGCACAACGATCGCGTGCCGAAGTGTGAAGTGACGAAGAAATAATGATGGTATCAGTCCGCGGGGCTGCGAAAAGATTGCCAACGGACCACTTCCTGCCAATTGCGAGCGCCACTGCAACTTGTCACGCCGTCGTCAGTCGTGCATCGAAGGTGTCGCGCACTGAACAGAACACACGCCTGTGCCGGCGGAGGGTGGGAGAAGGCCATCAGCGGATGGAAGTTGATTCCTGTGCGAAGTGCAAGCAAAGCAGGGGTGGGATGCAGATCGAGTTGTGCGACACATAGAAGACATGCTCAGCATATGTAGAACAGGGTCAGACCGCACAAGCTTCGCCTTTCCTTTCCCTCTCTCCCCTCAACACGTTCGCATCTGTCCAGCAATCGGCAGCTCAGAGGCGGCTCGCCAGCACCTCCCCTTCACTCCTCACTGGCAGATTCCGCCCTTGCGCATCGCAGAACCCATAGAGCATCATCTGTACCCAGTGCCTGTGCAGACCATATTTCCTCCGTATCCCCTCCCGCAAGATCAGCTCCTCCGGTCGAAGCAGCCGCTCTCGTGGCCTCTCCACCGGAACGAGCAAGCCTTTACGGTGAGGATAGAGCGGTTGCTGGATGGTATTTGTTGCCGTCATTGATGTCGGCAAAGCTTGGTCTTTAGCTGTTTGTCCACTCGCCGAAAGCGAGTGCAGGTAGATCGTAGTGCGTTCCAAACCAGCAGTACCGACTTCGTACCACGGTATACCCATAATGCTCTGCCGTTTGACGTGGTCTGCCACGTTGTCCGGAAGGCGATACTTCTGTCGCACCCACAGCTTCAACACATCCAGCCTCGACATTGGCCAAAACGGCTCCGTAGGATCCCAGCTATAACCTCGTAACACACGCCACAGCGGTGTCAGATGCCTCTCCGCCATCAGCAGTTCCCGCAGATCGCAGCCAACGGGCGCACAATTCTGCCACTCCTGCGGATAGCGCTTGGTATTGGTGCTCGGCGTGTTGAACGGCATGACTTTCCCCAATGGGTCTGTGAAGGCCATGTCGACCTTGAGAAAGAACGCGGTGGCGCAAAAGATGGCGCTTTGAGAGAGGTATTTCTCGCTCCTGCAGAGCGACAGGCGGTAGGCGTTCAGCGGCATGTCCATGATAAACCATATCCGCTTTAGCGCGTCGAACGTGCCTGGGACGCAATTCAGGCCTTGTGTTGCTAGCGAAACCAGTATGTCCTGGCAAATGCCTTGGCGCCAGACGACCATCTGAAGCCAGCGTAGGCTGGGTATACTCGGGATGTTGCTTAGATTGCAGTCGATAATCTTGCCTTTCCAAGCGATCTTCGCCAGAGTACTAGGATTGCGAATGCAAAGGTCCTTGTAGAAGCGCCAAGGGTAGATGCGGTCTGCGTTGGGCGCCCACTGGCGCATGTTCGCGAGGATAAAGGACAAATAGTTAGCATCGAAGGCTCTGTGGAAGATGCGGCTGATTGAGTAGAGGCTGATCAACGAGGGCATTGTGAGGAAGCTGATGATCCGGAAGAAAATGTCGGGATCTCGCACCATGGCAGCGACGACGCTGAATGGTCCTTTGTCGGCTGTCAACGGAGTGCGAAGACGTTCGAGGCCTTTGCCAGAGATTTTACGACCGGAAGGTAGAGTGATCGTTGGGTTGATGGAACAGACCTGCGGCACGCCGGCCGCATCGTAAGTGATCGCGAGCTTGTTCTCCAGTCGCGCTCGCTTGACGGGGCGCTCCGTGGCAAGATTTGGAGGAGCGCCGAGCTGGAGTGGTAAGGGCTCGAATCTGCCGGTGTTGAACTTTTCAGGCGATGTGGACGCTCTCCGCTTATGCAAGTTCCCGAGTGTAAGCGTTTCGGCGCTCTCATCGGGTTCGCTAGGACGGCTCTTGATGGGCTCCGCTCTGGGCCGACTAGCAATATGGTCATCGCCACGTATTAGGGGAAGTATTGCCATGGGAAGCGATTGGTGCGGTATGGCGACTGCTCTTGCTCCGGTAGGTGAGAGGCGGCGTAATGTCGCGTTGACTTCGTCCTCCTCCGCCGTCCTCCGGTCTACTCGAGCGTTGTGGACCGCGGTATTGATCATCGCGCCGTCGCCTTGGATCCCTACTCCGCGAACGCCCTCGCTTACGTCTCTGCTTGCTGCGTCTTGGTTGGTCATCGTCCTCGCTCTTGGACTTGTTTTCGCTCTTCTTTTTCCTGTCCCAAACGTTGCCGAAAGAGCTATGGAGATGCCACCCGTGCTCTGGCCACTTCACTTCGTAGTGGGAGTGGCACAAGAAGGTGGCGATTGCGATGGACAGAACATAGTAGTACAGTCGATCAATCCCCATTGCTAGTAGGAGATGGGTTGCTTTGCTATTGCGCGGAAGTCTTGACTGAACTGTGGTCTCAAGGCTGACAATAGCCGATGTCACTGCTATTGTTCGTGTGGATTTTGCGTGGATCGGTTGTGGCTGGTGGCAAGGGTCGTGAATGCACTGTGTTGGGAAGGAGCGGCCAGTCATGAGGAAGGAGCAGAAAAGGAAGCCACACTCATATCAGCAAATACAACGGTTCCAAGAGCGCTGCATGTAAGTGTATTCGCGTATCTGCTTCGGTGCACTGTTCGTGTTGAGCATCCCGCAATCGCGCAGTAACGCACCGTCACCACCAAGGCCTGTTGAAGCGGCCGCCCGTGGATTCAATAAACGCCATCTTCACCAGAACGCCGATACCAATCATCTCCTATTCAACAGACTCAGAAACTCTTCCCTCGTTTTTGCCCGCTTCCGCATCGCACCCAGCATGCAACTCGTCGTGGTCGTCGCGCCATGCTTCTCCACCCCTCGCATCACCATGCACAAATGGCTGCTCTCCATCACCACGCCGACACCCTGCGGCTTCAGCACCTCGGAGAGTGCGAGTGCGACTTGCTTGGTAAGACGCTCCTGTACCTGGAGTCGCCGGCTGAACATGTCCGCTATACGTGCCAGCTTTGACAAGCCTATGACTCGGCGGGCTGGGATGTAGCCAATATGCATCTGTGGGGTAGTGTTAGCTTGTCTTGAATGCTGGAGGCTGGGGCAAATATCCTACCTTGCCGGTGAAAGGCACTAAATGGTGCTCGCAAAGACTGTACACTTCGATGTCCTTCACGATCACTAGCTCATCATGATCCTCATGAAACACTGCGCCGTTCACGATGTCGCGGAGGTTCTCTTCGTAGCCTCTCGTGAAGAACATCATGGCTTTTGCGTACCTTTCCGGGGTGCCATGCAAACCTTCTCGATCCGGGTCTTCGCCAATGCACTCGAGAATAGTCCGTACCGCACCGGACAACTTCTTGAGCCGCGCCTGCGCTTCTTCAGGATTGTTACGTTCCTGCAGTCGAGCAAGCGTGCCAGCGGATGGCCAGGACAGGCCGTCAAAGTCAACAGGCGGATGAGCGGTAAACGGCGATGCAGCGCGCGAGATGGCGGCAGGCGTAACCAAGGCTTCGTCTCGAGCATCTCTGGCAGCCACCTTTACGTCCAAGTCTTCGATGTCCCCGTCCTCTACCTGTTCATACTGCTCGGCCGAGTGCTCTTGCGACCCGTTCATATGTGGTGGATCGCTCTCGTCGTCCAGATGTAATCGATCCATGCTTATGGGCTCCCTGTGCGCGTTCATGGAGGCCTGTATAGACTGCGCTGTCCTTTTGCGCTCAACCTGGTCAAGAGCGCTTGTAGCAGGCGGCGCTGCATGTGGAGAATGCCCGTTCACCATACGAGTTTGTGCAGACTTCTCCCCAGCCGATTGATGCAGAAAGGGTTCCATCGTCGCTGTCGACTGCCAATACCAAGCCAGGTTTGTGGGACCGAGGTATGCAGAGTGTGTCGCGTGCTATAGGTAGTAATTGGAGTAGGCGGCCTGAATGTGGTAGAAGAGCCACGACATGTTTCGGCCGCCTATCGCTTGATATAACCACACTCCATCATCGTCTCACCTGATCGACAATGCGCCGAAACTCCAGATCTTTGTTGTGCTGTGATGTTGGTAAAAGCTAACATTTCTGACTGCCGACCCCTCATTGGCCAGAGCGCGAAGGCGGATGATGCCGGCCGGGCGCAAAGAGAGCGACTTCATGCTTTGCTATCGCGATGCTATTTACTTCTCGTCGGCCATCAACATCGTACAACTTCCATCGGCGAGAGCGGTGACACTTGACCGACATCATATGTGCGTCTCCCTGAGCATATTCCTGCCTTTTCAGCACGCCGCCTGTGTGCCTCCATCTGTATAGTGAGCGCCGTCCTTGCGAGCCCTTCTTTACCAAACCATGGCCAGAAAAGCCCTCGGAAGCTCGACTGGCACCGTCTCTGCGGCGGTAGTGTGATGAAGGTCACTGCTCCGGGCCCGTCCGATGGGGACTTGCTCTCGATGACTGACAAGCTATCCGCTTTGTCCCACAAGCCGAGAGCGTTGCGCTCATGGTACCTTGCTCCTAGATAGCTTTGTGACATTCGCAAGGGTACTTTTGGTCGAATTGATGGCAGCAGAGGGCGGGTTTCCCATGGATCGACTTCAGCGGTGATGCAACATTGATGTACTGCCGCTTACCTGGCTGCTTGATGCGCAGCGCATGAGGCACAGACAAGGACTTTCAGAAGTTCAGTCTCACCAGCATCTGGTGCGAAAACCTTTGGAACACAGACATACAACACAACCGTCTGTCACCGGCCACGTCTGCTATTCTCGCAGAATGGGCACCCTGCCGCGATCATTGACTGCTGCGCAAAACGGCGGGCTTGCATAATGCACCCATCCATACCGCTCAAGAATACTGACAAAGCTGCTCCCGAGCTAACTACACACAATCTTGCTCTTCGAGAGCTCCCGGGTCCTGCTCAGGCTAGTTGACAGCTTTCGGCATCGGCTCACCGTGCTTGACATGACCTTGCCGTATAGTGCAGGTCAGGCGTAAGTCTTGTTGGGCACGCAATGGCAGCACCCTTCCGAAGTGCGGGTGCATCTGGTGAGCATTAGAAGTACCCTGCGTGTTGCGGAATTATCCTGTGCCTCCGTGACTGTGCCGTTTTTGATGCTGGGTTCCCGGCATCGCACTCACGATCACGTGACATGATGCCATGGATCTCACTCGCTCGTGGACATGGATGCACTGTCCGTCCGGTGGTGGGAAAGCGAGAACGAGCGAGCAGACAGACACTACTGGAAGGCCCTGGTGGCACATCTCTGCTCATCACTCACTCTTAAAAGCACGAAACCCGCCAAGGCCGGATTGAGGGGTGACCCACCGGGACAGCCGCACGCTTGCAGCGCAGCAGGCGGACTCGGAAAGGCAGGTGACGATGCACTTTGCGCTGCGTTGCTGATGCGCCAATAGGTGAGGACAACTTCTTTCATGGTCGTGTGCTTGAGTTGTGAGGAGTATTTTCTGGCATGATTCTGCTTCTGCATTGGCCCTCTGCGTATGGACACAGCGCCTCTGTTCGGCCTATCATTCCCGCTGTTTCTCTCCTGCGGCTGCTCCCTTCGGATGCGCGCACTTTGATTGCGACAGATGGCCGACTCACCACGCCTTGATCGCGAACATGTAAGGAAGGGGAACGAGAGTAGCAGTCATTACCGAGGCCGCTCGCAAGGTCGTGGAAGGAGTGCGGAGCGTGTGAGAGATGTTGTGACGGGGGAGCGTACGGGGCGAGTAGAACGTCAGGAGCCAAAGCCAGGCACCGCTCACCGATCTCCTCCACACTTTTCGACTGCACGAGCACAATCACCTTCTCCATCAGCGAATCATCGACGCCCTCGTGCGAATAGTAGGAGCCGCTCACCTCCGGCTCGACTGAGCGGAGAAAAGGCAAAGGGTGAACGTGCTCAACCAAGCACATCCAGCCGGAGGCGGAGTGCTGACCGTGCCTCTTACATCAAGAACCACCGCCCTTCTCCATCAGCGGAGAAACGGCGTCGAGACAGGTCACGTTCGCAATCAACGCAGCGCCACAAACATCGTCGCCATCATCGGAGCGGAAGCGGAGACCGATCTTACTCTCGCACACGGCAGCGAAAAAGAGACGGTGAAACCTCGCCGAAGCCCACCAGGGGCCAAGAAACAGTGGCTCCAGGGCGGGGTGCAAGCACCGACCAGCGCTTTCGATCCCGATCGAGAGACTCGCGCTACGGTCGGGACTCTGCAAAGCTAGGAAGGGCATCTCCAAACCACGCGCACGGCCGGAGAAAAGAAGAAGAAGAACGCTACCATAGTAGTCGACATCCGCCGCGGCGTGACACGAGAGGCCGAGGCTCGACCTCGCCACCTCGCCGTGACCGCCGATCGGAGCGTGAGCGAGTGGTAGATTCTCGGCATCATAGGCAGAGCAGAGAAGACGAAAACTACCACGACTCGCGGTCTCGGAGGTCACCACTGCCGCCTAGTGGAGGTCGGCGGCATCACCGCCAGCACTCTCGATCTCCAGGAGATCGACAAGCGAGGCCAAATAGCCGCGACAGCGCTCGCCGTGAGCGATACCCGCCGTCTACTCGACAGGGAGAACGTGCTCCCAGGAGATCACTCAGCAAAGAGAGTCGCCACTCACACCGTGACGAGCGAGATCGTGACGACGATATGTACAACCGAGGGGGGCCCTACAGCGGCTATCATGGCTACCCACCCGCCCATTCACCGTATGGCCACGGCAGCTACCCACCATCGAACTACCCCTCTCACGCACCATCACCGATGCATGGCTACCCGCAACAGCACTCGCCGTACGGCTACCAGCAAGGCCCACCATCTCAACCTGGTGTGCCATACTATCAGCCCAGGCCGTCGCGGCAGTTTGCTAACACGCCATCACATCCTGAGAACCAAACACTGCAGCGGGGCGGCATCGCGCAGCGTGGAGGTCGAGGCCACTTCGCCAACCTGTCATGGACGCCAGGAGACGGCACTAGAGGTGGCACTCTCGTCCAGCCAGGTGAGAAGTCGCGCGAAGGCTCACTAGCCGCTCAAGGTCCGTCTGCGAAGGATGCAGATCCCGAGGATGATGACAATCCGTTTCGGCCACCCGCTGATTTGCGTGCGGAAGACGAGAGTGTGAAGAAGAAGCGGAAGATCACACCTGCTGGAGCCGGGTCACGACCTGCGTCAGTGATTGCCGCTGTAGGTGTTGGCCCAAGTATGTCGCAGGACAAAGAAGCTGCAGCGGAGACGGAGAAGAACAAGATTTCATTCTCCATCAAAGGCAGAGCAAGCCAAGCTGCAGCAGCAGCAGAGAAGGTGCCAAGTGTGGTCAAGCTGGAGACTTCACCACTCGTGGCGAAGAAGACGCCAGCACCGGTGTCACCGCTCGTGCAAACTGCTGTTCCGAAAAGCCAGAACTACGTGGGCAACACCAGGCTTGAGCCACCATCAGCCAGGAAGCCCTCGCCTCCGGCAGTAAGGAAGGAAACCGTGCGGAAGAAGCGGCTAAAGGCAAGACCGAGCTTGAGCGAAGACTTTGCGGCGTCAGACAGTGTGTACTACAGAAAGACGGGCAACGAGTCTGTCATTGGCAGCGGCACGTACGGCAAGGTTTACAAGGCAATACATGTGTATAGTGGCCGGATGGTGGCGCTTAAGAAGATTCGTATGGAAGGCGAGCGCGATGGAGTAAGTGATTTGGAAGTCAAAGGGTCGAAATGCATACTGACATCCTATAGTTCCCAGTCACAGCCACGCGCGAGATCAAGCTGCTACAGTCGCTAAACCACGTTAATGTGGTGCCATTGCAAGAAGTCATGGTGGAGAAGAACGACTGCTTCATGGTCTTCGAGTACTTGGCACACGATCTGACCGGCTTGCTGAACCACCCAACTTTCACTCTCACCGAAGCCCACAAGAAGCACCTCGCCAAGCAAATGTTCGAAGGCCTGGAGTATCTACACCGGAGAGGCGTGCTACACCGTGACATCAAAGCGGCCAACATCCTGATCTCGAAGACCGGCGAGCTGAAGTTCGCTGACTTTGGGCTTGCGCGCTTTTACGAGAAGCCGAAGAAGCAAGACTATACCAACCGTGTCATTACCATCTGGTACCGCCCTCCCGAACTACTCCTCGGCGAGACGCAGTACGGCCCGGCTGTGGACATCTGGAGCGCCGCCTGCGTGCTCGTCGAAATCTTCACCCGCCACGCAATCTTCCCCGGCGACGGCGGCGAAATCTCCCAACTCGACAAAATCCACGCCGTCCTTGGCACCCCCTCCCGTAGCGAATGGCCCGGCATCACGGATCTGCAATGGTACGAGCTGCTGCGCCCCACCCACCGCATCGCGTCCACCTTCGCGGAGAAGTATAAACACCGTGTCAGCGCCGACGCATTTGAGTTGCTGGAGGCTATGTTTAGCTATGATCCGGCGAATCGGCCGACGGCGGCGGATGTGCTGGAGCATGGGTATTTCACCGTGGAGGAGCCCCGAGCGCAGCAGGTGTGGGAACTGGCGGATTTGGAGGGGGATTGGCATGAGTTTGAGAGTAAGGCGTTGAGGAAGGAGAAGGAGAGACAGGAGAGGGAGGCGAGGAGGAGGGAGCGAGAGGGTGGTGAGGGTGGTGCCCAGGGTAAGAGGAAGGCGGAGGAGGGAGCGGCAGCCGGTGTGGCGCCCACGGAGAAGAAGCCTAGGACTTCTGTTGAGGTGACAGGCTAGTGTGGGTCTGTTGGAGATGGTAGCCGACTAGAAGAGACATGTACGGCCATGACAGGGCCTCGTTTGACTGTACTCCACGCCTATCAATTTCACGACCTCGAAAGTGGCTGTGACGGCGACTTTCCCCTGTGCAATGAAGGTTGTATTGCTGGAAGGTTCTTCAGAAACTGGTCGCTGAAAACGCATTTCAAACGCATTATGCAGTGTACGTCAACTCATGCCTCCGTTTACTGCTGCCCTTCTACTCATACAAGACAAACCCTTCTCGACTACACGCACTCCCACTCAGCAAAGACACACCACCTCGCACTGCGGTCCGCCAGCACCAAACCACGCCACGTGCCACGTTCACCGATTTTGATAACAGTCTCCCACGACGTCGTCAACCCATCATCTTCCGCTCCATTCGGTCTCGAAGTATGCTCCTGCTTCCGCGTCAAGCGAATGATCTTCTGACTCGGCGTCTGGATAGCCAGCTTCGCCGGCTTTTGCTGAGCACCGGTCATGCCACCAGCGTTCGAGGAGTAATCGGAGCCGGACTGCGACATGCTTGCAGAAACCATGCTCATGGCACTGCTGGGTCTGATCTGCGGCTGCGGGCTCACGGGTCTACCGTTCGAGCCCGTCCCCCAGGTGTCTGGCGTGAAGCGGGATAGAGAGGAGGGATGCTGGCGCACGCAGAAGACGAAGGTGTTGTTGATGGTTAGTCTGCTGCATTGCGGCTGCGCGACGTAGAGGTCGTGGCGCTGGGCGTGCGGTGTCGGGTGTCGCGCGTGAAAGTCGTAGGGTGGGTTCTGGCCTGTGTGCGACAGTGGGAAGGCCACGGCCAGGGCGTGGGGGTTGTCCTTGATGGAGTGCATGAGCCCACGCTTGCCGGCGTATACCTTCAGCATGCCCTGGCCCTCGTCACTCGGGAGCAGCGCTTTGATGGTGAAGCGTTTGTGGCCGGCGACCCATTCTGTCTGTGCGAAGACAGGCTTCTTCACCACGTCGCCGCTCTCGAAGAGGTCGCCCTCTGGGTCTCTGGCGAAAGCGCGAGCTTCTGTCTCGGCGACGCACTCGATATCCTCCGGTACGGTGATGTGTAAGTGTGCCATCTCCAAGTTTTCCAAGTGCAGCACGCTGGTGCTGAAGTTGGCAAGCTCAATGCCATTCCTGAAGTACGCCGGGCATGCGCAAGGCAGGCTAACCAAGACCTCGTGATCCAAGGGCGGTACGATGTGCTGCTGCTCCGGCAACAGAGGGATGTGAGTGTAGCAGATCTCGCGCGGGCGAGCGAGGAAGTACCACGGCTCCGCAGTCTGGCTACTGGCTGCGCTGTAAGCGCTGCGGCGCGGATTCGTCGGGTTGGCTAGCGAGCAGTCCATGATACGCCACTCTCCGTCCACAATGACAGCGTTCCACCAATGATTCGCACGAGCCACCGTGTCGAGGTCCAGGACTTCGCCCGGCGCCTTGAGATAGCCATGAACTTCTTCGGCATACAAGCCAAGAGCCGTACACATCTCCTGCACGAGCGCAGCAATCTCTCTATTGCATCCACGCTTGGCTGAGATGACACGCCTAGTGTCGACGTCGCCTTCGAAATCTTCTTCCCACGTGATGCGTTCTGACACCCATGTGAAGATGGCACGCAGGCGTTGCACATCGCTACGATGAGGCCGACATACATAGCTTTGAGCAAGTGCGGCTGCTGATATCATAGGCGGCACACTTTGTATGAAGCGTGTGCTCTTGTCCACCAAAGCTAAATTCGGCGTATCGAAGTTGGTGGGCTCATCGATAGCCAATCCATCCAAGCCTTCGTCGCCTTCAGTGAGTTCATTGAGAAGGTCGATAGGGTTCAGGGCGGGCAGGCCCAGCATATCGGAACGTTCAGCACGCTCCTCGCGCTCTCTGCGGCTGAGGGAGTTCGAGCGGTTGACATCGCGCCTGACGTGCATCCACTCGCCTCCTCCGAGACCCATCTCTCGAGCAGCAGAGCTTCCGCCTAATGCTGAGTCAGGCCTGGAGGCAGTACCTCCCGCGAACGCCATAGACCCAATTCCGTTTGACAAGAGGCTCTTCGTTGGACTGCCTGCACGACTGCCCGGCCTGCTCCCAGTGGCACTGCCGATGGTTGAGCGAGCCGTCGCTGCACCAGTTCTGGCAGTGGACTTCGCGGACTCGAGCATCTTCTTGAAGAAACCAGACCTCTTCACCTTCGGGGAACTTAAGCCGCCAAGCACACCTGCCGTCTCCATAGGGTCTTTAGTCCAATCCGCTACCGGTGTGATTGCAGGCTGATGCTGAGATGCGTGACTCTCATGATAGCTTGGTCCGGAGAATGTGCTCTCGGTTCCAGCCATGCTTCGCGCACTGGATCCAATGTCACCCATAGACTTCGTGTGAACCACGCTGAAGGGTCGCTTCTGGCGCTGACTGCCAAGACCGAACTTTCGGCGCGCCAGACTTCCTGCGCTCGTGGCGCTGAAGCCACCAGCAGAGTAGCCGGACATGATGCTGTGGCTTGTAAGCTGAGTGCTCGTGCTGCTTTGTGTCGCTGAAGAAGAGTTCGTCGAATTCGTTGCGTTTGTCTTGGTGGTGTAAGAGCGGTTGAGGCGCTCACGACCTAGCTCGTATGTGGACTTCCTGTGTTTGGTTGTCGGATGTTGTGTCTGCGAATGCAGCGAGCGAGCAGATGAACTGTGACTTGAGTGGCTGCTGGATGTGGCTGGTCGAGACGTAGCCGATTGAGTATGGAGCTCCCGTTCCATGCGCTGCACATAGCTCGCAAGCTCCGGTGGTCCGTCTCGCGAATGCGGCGGCAGTGCGCCGTTTTGGGTTTGAGCGCCATTCAGACCACGTGCATACGGCGCGGTGAACCCAAGGGAGGACTGAGCGCGCTGCTGCGATCCGGTTCGTACTAGCTCATACTCTTCCGGCGACCAAACATCCGGTGTGGGAGGTCCGTCATACTCCTGAACTACGCTCATGTCTTCGAGAGAGGACATCACGTCATTCATCGCATCGCGAAGAGGAGACGGTGTCATGTGGCTTCCGGCAGGTGATACGGAGATGGGTGTACGATTCGCGTGGCGACTGGTATCCACATCTCTGTAGTTGTTGACCACCGAAGGCGCTCTACTTGGCTGATACACAACTCGGTGTGCTGGCGGCGGTGGAGGCGGCGGCGACTCCACTTCCATTCCCAAGTCCATACCATCTGGCTGTGGGCTTGTAGGTCTCCATGGCCGCTGATCGCCAAACGAAGGCGACGGCGACGGCTGTCTCGAGGTTGGCAGCAGTTGTGGGTACGCCGAGCCATCATGGTATGTAGCAGGCAGTGGGGAGCGAGATCTCGGTCGTGCCGGCGACTGAGCACGAGAGGCAGGCTGTGGCGAGGCTGCTCTGTACATCGAGGCAGCCGGCGATGGAGCACGATAGACAGGCTGTGGCGAGGCTGCTCTGTGCATCGTGGCACCCGGCGGCGCCGCATACCGGGGCGTTGGCGTGGGTGAAGGTGATGCAGCAGCTCTTAAAGGTGGCTGAACACTTGGAGATCGCGATAGTCGCCTTGAGTCGTATCCTCTTGGCACTGGCTGCGGGATCCGTGGCGTACTATCTTCGGACGATATCTGGCCTTGACTGCCCTGGCTCTTAAGCGTGCCCATAGGCGCCTGTGTGGTCTTCATCGACGCATATGGTTTGAACTTGGGTTTCGAGGACGGTGCGCTCTTTGTCTGGTTGGCGGGCATGGGTGAGGCATTCCTGCTGTTTGGCGCTGGCTGAAAGCTTTCGTCTAGCACTTTGACGAAGTTGCTCGGGAAGAGACCGATTGCTCGACGGTCCCGACGAAGGCGGCCCATCCACCAGGAGCCATCGCCAGCATTGAGTGCTTCGATGAGATCACCCTCAATGAAGCCGAGATCTTTCTTCGTCTCGCCACCCCATGAGTATGTCGCGCGGCACCAGCATGGGAACCTGTTCGGTAAGCCTGCAGTGGCCATTGGAGTTGTTTGCGAGCGAGTGGGTTACGCAGACTGTGTGGTGCTGATGATGTTAGTGACGATGGATTAGGCGACCGAGAAGTGATGTGCCAATATCATGCACATGGGAGCTCTGTGTGTGTTTTCAAAAGAGAGTGCATTAGAAGGCAATGGTCCTCGTTAGATCGGTGCCATGATTGTTTTGACATGTAAATATGGCCCACGGTCGTTGCGGGAAAGGCGGCTGTTCCTGCAGCCGGCTAAGCCAAGCCCGATTCTAGTGCCGATCTTGTTTCAGAGGGCCAAATGCGGCAGGCCTGCTTCAGCATCCAGGTCTCCCCTCGCGACGGTGTCAACATCTCGTGAACAATGTTTCGGCCAAGTTACCCTTTGATGGCCATGACAATGTCACAGTGAAAATGCAAGTGGCGGTCGGTTTTGTGTCGGAGACTCCCAGCCTTCGAAGGCCCTCAACCACGGACATGTCACGTCATCCGCTGCCTCTTGGGCTAGAAGATCAAACATTATTATTACTGCAGCATATATACTGAATCATTGAATTGCTTCATGCAGGATTTGGCTTCAATCCGATCTGCAGTCTGAGCCTGTCACGCTTCGCTTCCTCGGTACCGGTTCGGTCAGCCTCAAGGGCATTGAGCATCGCATCTACCGTTGTCACTAAGACTGGGTCAGTTGCAGTCGGCAGGGTCTGCACTTTCATGATCAAACTTACAGCCCAGCTTCTTGATCTCCTTGGAGGTTGCAGGAAACTTGTCGAGTGGTTGACCCGTCTTTAGCGAACGTAATGGCTGCAATTTGTCTTCGTCGGAGTTGACGTGGCTGTTAGCCACGCGGGAGACATTGTTGATATTACTTGCAGTGTCAGCATTCAGCGAGCTGGCGCGTGGTTGTTGATTTGCGGCCTCGCTTACATTGCTTTCGTTTTCACTTCGAGCTTCTCGAGCGCCTTCATCGTTGCCTCCTGTGCGTTCGCGGCGGCATTGTCAGGCGTGGGGGCTGTTGTCTCTGCCTGCTTTTTGGCGGGCGTCCCAGCTTTCTTTGGAGTTGAGTTCATTGGCTTTGCAGTCTGCGCCGGCGTCAAAGGCTTGTTTGGCGCAACCTGACCATCTACAGCTGTCTTTGCGGGAGTTTGAGCCGACATTCTGCGCTACTTTGATGAGAGTACGAAAGACGGAACGGAAAGTAGGACAGAAGGAAATGTCTTCAACCTTATCTACACTGCCCGGAAACCTGTACCTTGTGAAGTCTTCCCAACAAAAGATGTGGTCGAGCTGACGAAATGTTGGATGTGAAACTTGGAGTGGCGTCAGCATTCTCCACAGCGGCACGGGCGTCCACGTGATGCCGTCCGCGGTCGACTGGTAACCCGCCTCCGACGGCGCTAAGGAGCTGTCTCCGTGGCACAAGGCTCACAGCTTCACCGGTACCCACCAAGGCAACCAAGCGGCCTCCTCTCCTAGATTCCCTTCCACGCTCTGTCAACTCCTAGTTGTTCTCTCGCGCACTGTCAAACAACAACTTCCAATTGACCGCATTGTCTGCCCATAGCTTGCATAAGCATGGTCAGAAACACCGCCTCGATGCAATCACTCCGCAATAGCATGAGCGAGCTTGATCTCACGTCTGCCACCAAGTCGCAGAGTGCTTCTCGACCACTCAGCCAGATGTCACCTGTGCCATTGCCGCCACAAGAGCAAATGTATCAGGTCCAACAGCAGATACAGCAACAGAAGCAGCTGCAGCAACAGATACACCAACAGCAGCAGCAGCAGCAACAGCAACACGCTTCTGTCAGCCTCCACCAGCCCACCCAGGTCATCGGCAACAATCCCTACACCAAGTGGTTGATGACGCAAATTGCTACAGGACAAGCCACGCCCGAGCAGCGATCTGAATGGGAACAGCATATTGCTGCTATGAAGGCAATGCGTGCACCCATGCCGCCTCCAAAAGGGCCACTCGATCATCGCACGTTACCTGGGCTGTCTCCGGCTCAAGGTGTCACTGTTCCGGAAGCTCCATCCAGCCAGGCTCCGTCACAGACGCAAGACTACTATATGCAGCTCATGCTTTTGGAGCAGCAGAACAAGCAGAGGCTTGCCATGGCTCGGGCGCAGATTGAGCAGCAGGCGCAACAAACTGGGCGGCCCACGCCTCCGAACCAGCAATGTGCCTGCACCTCGTGTAGCACGCATCGAGACCTCCATAAGCCAAAGAGTAATGGAGCTCCGGCAGTGGGTGCACCAATGCACAGCGTCCCGCAACCGGCCGCTACTCAGCACACTCCACGAATCCATGCTCACGAGGACTATGAGTTGCAGCTTAGACTCCTTGAGCAGCAGAACAAGAGGAGACTGCTGCTGGCGAAGCAGGAAATGGAGGCTTCATGCCAGTCTCCTGTTGGTGCTGGCAGCGATCTCGACGTGCAGCCTAAGCTCCAAATGCAAGGATTGCAAAACGAGAGGCCGCTGGAGAGGCAGCAACTGGAGGCCTTGAACCAAAACATGCCAAGTCTGGGTAACGACGCCCTAACTCAAGGCGCTCGCGTTAAGGTCGAGGAGCTTCCGAAGAAGGCAGAAAGCTCGAACCCGAGGCAAGCTACCAGGCACAATGCCGCCAAATATACTCAGCCTTTCTGTGAGTTCTTGACGAAAAACCCTACGGTTTTTCATGCTGTTCAGGCCATCAAGGATGAACTCGAGGAAGCTGGCTTTACCGCCATGTCTGAGCGTAATGAGTGGAAGTTGGAGGCTGGCAAGAGCTACTATGTCAGCCGCAACGGCTCCGCGCTCATTGCATTCACGGTTGGAGGCCAGTACAAGTCGGGCAATGGTGCTGCCATCTTGGCAGGGCATGTTGATGCGCTCACAGCTAAGCTTAAGCCCGTATCGCAGGTGCCGAACAAGGTAAGTCAATGTCCAGGTGTCTATTCTGACCACTACTGACCCCTTATGCACCATTATAGGCGGGCTACGTCCAACTTGGTGTTGCACAATACGCTGGCGCGCCAAACACAACCTGGTGGGATCGTGACCTCGGCATCGGCGGACGTGTGTTGATTAAGGAAGGAGACAAGATCGTTACGAAGCTTGTGAAGCTCGACTGGCCGATTGCTCGCATTCCAACGCTGGCGCCTCATTTCGGTGCGGCTGCGAATGGTCCGTTCAACCCTGAAACGCAGATGGTACCCATTATCGGGCTGGAGGACACATCAAGCTCAGCCACGCCGATTCAGACCGCCGAGCCCTTCAGCAATCCATCTCTGATCGGCCAAGGCTCCAACTACGGCGCCAGCTTTGTCTCCACCCAGCCTCCGAGACTTGTGAAGGCGATTGGAAACGCCCTCGGTCTCCGCATGGACACTTACAGCTCGATCGTGAATTGGGAGCTTGAGCTCTTCGATACCCAACCTGCGACCGTCGGAGGCCTGGACAAGGAGTTCATCTTCGCCGGCCGTATCGACGACAAGCTTTGCTCCTGGGCAGCCGTTCAGGCGCTCATCGAAAGCCAGGATCAAAGTAAGGACAGTTCGATCATCAAAGTCGCTGCCCTGTTCGACGATGAAGAGATCGGCTCTCTACTCCGCCAAGGCGCACGCGGCAACTTCCTGCCGCAGACCCTCGAGCGCGCCGTGTGCTCCCTCGCAGGCAGCGCGCCCGGCCCCGACCTCATGGGCCGCGTGTACGCAAACAGCTTCCTCGTCTCCTCCGACGTCACGCACGCCGTCAACCCGAACTTCCTCAACGTCTACCTCGAGAACCACGCCCCACATCTCAACACCGGCCTAGTCGTTTCGGCGGACAGCAACGGCCATATGACAACTGACGCCGTCTCCACTGCTGTGCTGACTCGCTGCGCAGATACAGTTGGCGCGAAGCTGCAGGTCTTCCAGATTCGGAATGACAGTCGCAGTGGCGGTACTGTCGGACCGATGTTGTCGAGCATGACTGGTATCAGAGCGATCGATGCGGGTATCCCGCAGCTTTCGATGCACAGCATACGTGCCACGACTGGCAGTCTTGACCCTGGTTTGGGTGTCATCTGCTTCATGGGCTTCCTCAATGCGTTTGAGAAGGTGGACATGGAGTTCCGGCATTAGTTGATTCCTGGATGGTAGTCGGTGCATGGACCTGTTCTCAGGACGACGAACACCTGCCCGGAACGTTGTGGATGGGAAGACGGACAGAAGCGTGGGAGCATTTTCTTCGACCTCCGAGCAGATTGCGAGTATGTACCCTCCCCTACCGAAACGGTAGCCACAAGGCCTGCGAACTACATAGCCACGAGATTGTTGATTCATAAGAGGCATGCATTGTTCCACAGATTTGCACGTCGGTCTCATTGGGCACCTGACAAGAACACAGCTTGAGAGCGAGGTTTTGCGACATCGGCTTCCACGATCCATGAAACGCCGCTCACACTCCTTGCTTTGCTTCGGAATGGACTTCATGCAGGCACTTCCAGCCTTGCAGAGCACATCACCATCAGCGCGTTCACTTAGGCGTCGCGACCCAGTATGTCGTGTCGTTTATGCGCTCGCCAGCCTCTGTGGTATTTCGCCGCCACCGCGTGAAGGAGTAACAGGAAGGCCGCTTCAGTAAGCCATCTACCAAGCGTGCTGGTCCATTTTCAACATAACTTGGAGAACACCTGCAGACTTATTGAGAGGGATCGTTAAGATTCCATGGGAAGAATGAGATTGTGGAATTTCTTCAAGTCAGTATCAGAGAAGGCTCCAGGTGACTATGATCCTGGACGTAGCGGCCGGGTGGGCTTGTTCGCCATCGTTGCGCTGCAGCACGCCCTTTTGTGGAGCTCGCTATATGTCCTGGGAAGCGAAACGTACCTGCTCATCGAGCACGATATCGGAGGCGATGTCCTGGTCTCTGCGATGATGCTGTTCGTGGCCGTGAGTGATGAGAGAGCTCGTCGGTCGAGCAACAGCCGGCTAACTTGAATGTACAGGGTGGCAGCTCCTTGGTATATCTAACGCTACAAAACGCGGCTGCGATGTTGTTCGTGCAGAGGTCGGACGTCCACGTTCAACCGAACAAGAAGCGTGCAATGCAGTGGCTTGCACTCATATCAATTCGACTTAGTGTCACAGCCTGGCTCGCTGCTTGCGGCCTCAATGTTACCTCCACATTCGCTCGGCAGCCATACTGCTCGCGGATTGGGAACCGTACAGATTCCGGCGGGTTCATCAACACAAGCGTCGCCTGCATTGTTCAGCGCACCGATGTCGGTGCGAGCTCGGTTTGCTTGTAGGTACAATTATTCCAGTCATGCTGATCTTGTTGTTGACAGGTACAGGCTCGCGGCAATCCTGCTCTTCATCCTCTTACACAAGATCACGGAGACGTTTCGCGCCCGTCTCTTCGGCATCGTGGAACATCCGGCAGATATTCCTCCGACACTCCCATGTTACGCCGTCCCCGGGCGAGCGAAAGCCTTGGATATGTCGTTCAACTGCCGATCATTGAGTTCACTTTCCTCGCACACTCTCGTCGCATCGCCAAGCGATTCGACAGCACAGCTCCTCCCAGCATGCCCAGGGAAAGCTGTCATTGGCCTAGGCATCGTCTACGGCCCACCGACACGGAAACAATCAGCGCCATCCCTCCTCATGCCGAGACCTTCACTGTCTTCCATACGCACTCACACCACAATGGCGACCCTCCCACCTCGGTCACCGTTACTACCGCTGCCTGCATATTTCCCAAACAAGTACCGCAGACTCAGCGCCATACCGCAGGCCATTCACTCACCACGCATTCACAAGCTACCTAAGCTGGACAGATCAAGAAGCTACAAGGCGGTCAAAATGATCCCACCGTCGCCTATCCTTTGCGCGCGGAATTTGGCGGCGTTCAATAGAAGCACGGAGTCACTGTCAAGCGTCTACAGTCGGAGCGTCAGTGGCGAGAAGCGTTCTTCCGTTCCTGGTGTATCTCTGGGTGAAGCCAGTCGCAGTTATAGCTCGACTACCTGTACGATTGTGGTCAGAAGTCCGCTTGGGACAATGCGCATGGAGAATGATCCAGACGTGGCCGCGGTGCTGGAATGGGACATCAAAGGCCTCACCATTCAATGATGTCTCGGACGCTGATACCGAGATTGATGATGCAGAATCTCTACAACGACATCTGCCTACCGGAAACGCTACTCGCCAATACGGAGGATCGGGAAGCTGGCCCTTCCGAAGCGAAGAACAAGTGACAAACGCTTCGCACTCGCCCACTGAGACAATTAATGAAACAGTAAGAGCTGGTATTAAGCCTTCTTAATGATCCGGAAAGTCAGAGATGGCCGGTAATTGTTCTTGAGCAAGCATCTCGTCGATTGTGCTTCAAGGCACTCATCACCTGGCCGATAGCGAAGGCACCGATACCGTGTCAATCAGACCTAGCCTTTGTGTGCCCATTCAGACCTCTAGCATATTCGGTCGTAGCGTCAAGTACTTCATGTACCTTCATGTCTGTACTTACCCTGAACTTTCTGCCACGCCACTCTATCTGTGAGCCGCCCCACAATGCCCAAGTTTCCACCGGCGAAGCGATGAGCTCCCTTACCACCCATGCCCGCAACCACTGCCAGAACGGTCGCAGCATACCGTCCCCTCTCAGCAAGCGAGCAAACTCTGGAGTGTCTTCGTCCATTTCCACGTAACTGGCAGAGTTCAGTCGCAAGTACATTATGCGGTCCGCAAGGCACCAGATGCTGACGCTCAGAAGCCACACAAGGGCAAAGGCAGTCCACGTTTTCGGTATGCCGAGATACGTCCCAAAGAACGGCAAGGTGGTGATGGCGAAGGCACCATGAACTGAGCAAAGCAGGCTCTCAGTCGCCGGCTCAACGAACGTGGCAATGGGCACAGCGAACATCCTCGCGCGATTCCATCTGATCCTTCGATTCCAGTAGCCTTTGACGCTCATGCTCGTCATCGGCTGCAGGGCGACGTCTCCCCAGCAAAGTGCGTGCCGGCCCCATACTTCTCCTGCCTTCTCAGCCGGAATCTGATTTTTGAACAGTAAGTTGCCAAGAAGGTAGTCCTCACAGATATTGCTACTGAAGTAGTCAACGCCTTGACCTGAAGTGAGACTGTCAAGGTGCGACCGCCGCACCATATTGGACTTGCCGTTGCTGGCATTGATGATGAGTAAGGAGTTGGCGGCGACATAGAACTTGCCGTGAGCGGTAGAGAGGAACATCTCTTCCACGCGGCCACCGCCGGTATTCCAGAAGCTGCGTTGTTGCCGTGCGTTGGGTAGGCTGAGGGAGATGTCTTGGCCGTCAGTGTCGGTACGATCGGAGTCGAGGTTGCCACTCTGCATAAGCTGTCTTGCTTGACTCTGGATTGCCTCGGGCTCGACATCGACCACCAGCGGTAGGTGATGAACGAACTTGTACTTGCGGTTCGTGCCCTTCCCTTCCAACCGAGCGACCATCCTGCCAAGCACGCCCTTTGCCACCCAGACATTGCAATCAAGGAACCATACAACGTCACCAACAGTTTCCCGGTAGGCACGGCTCATGTTTCGGATCTTTGGGTTGGGTCCAAGGTTGAGTGTGCCATCTTGGAGCACGGCATCCTCCGCCTCAATCAGAATTTGCACGTCGATGTCTGGGAAGTCCTGGACAAGGCGCTCAAGGGTCGGCAGAGATGGCTCGCTACGATCGGCAATGCAGAAGCGTATGTGAACCTTCTCACGCGGATACTTCTGCCGGACAGTGCAAGCCAGACATTCATAGAGACATGGCTCCACTCCTTTGATGGGACGGATGATAGTCACATGCGGAGCGTCAGCGCCCCATTGTACGATTGGTGGCGGCTTTCTGTAGCTTCGTAATCTACATCTGCATTAGCTGGGTATCATTCGTGATGGTTTCGAGTGGCATACGTCTGCACAAAGCCAACGGCGCATACTGTGCAGACCACACAGTACCAGATGAAGCTGCCTGTAGCCGCCAGAAGGATCAATGTAGACGCATATTTGCCTCCGTAAGACACCAACGTGTCTCTGGCAACTCCAGGGTCAAGCATATGTAGTCAAGCATTTGCGATTGTATTTTTACATTTTGGCGTGAGTCCGCGACTCGCATTGGCTTCAATCTGCACGCCCCACTTTGGCATGTTTACACTTGCAATCAACAACGAGTGATTCTTCTATCCCATCGCAACGAGGACTGCTTACTGTATCATTACGAGAGGGGGATAGCCATGCAGTCAAGCCCACCCGTACGCGCCTGGAAGCGACCTGCTTCGCCCACAGACTCGCACTATTCGCTTGATCTGGGCGCGTTAGAGGTCGACGGTCGCAACAATGGTGACTCTCCGGTCGCTCAAAAGCGCGTAGATCGCATCCTGAGCGAGGACATAGACGGACCAAGCGACTTCACGGACAACATGATGCAGTGGATGCAGCGTGGAACCATGGGAAGAGGCACAGTAAGAAGCGCGAAGCACTCGATGCAGCGACGGCTTGAACGGGGCGCAGACGGCGGCGCAAACAGTGGCAAGCAGGACAATGATCTCGGACTACCACTCTCACCGGTTGAGAATGATAACGGGACTGCAAGCCATCATACTCCCGATCATAGTCCACCCAAAGACTCGCCGTGGCACGAACAGCCTCCGCACATCAACGCGCTGTCTGGCGCCGACGAGAGGCAAGACAGCTCAGACTGGGATCCCTATGCGCCATCTGGTACTCCTCACCCTTCGGCACAGAACCAGATTCTTCAGCCCACCGTAGCGGACTACCTCACCGAGCTCACGCCCGCGCATGCTCCGTCTCTCCGCCTGACGACGAGGACTCTTTCCCAGCGAAGGGAGCGATCTCCGCAACGGAGCGAGCCTCCCTCACCAGCCCGAGCATCAAGCGCCACTCTCTCCCCGACTCGTTCGCCAGTAATGCAGCGCTCCCAGCCGGTCAATGTCAGCTCGCCATTCACCGAGCCGGAAGCGCACCGGCAGCTGGTAAGGGAGACACGCCAGCTGCAAGCACGCTGTCAGCAGCTTCAAAGCCTCAACAGTGCGCTTAAAGAGGCACTAGATGAAGAGCAGCGTGTGCGCAGGCAGGAGAAAGCGGCGTTCGAGGTGCAGCAGGCAAGTGTTATTCGACACGAGCAAGATGTGGAAAAGGTGAGGATGGAAACTTTGGAGCAAGTGGCGAGCCTCCGTCAGGTGTGTGGTGAGCAGAAGAATCGCATCGAGGAGCTAGAAGCGGAGACGAGAGCACTCCGCCGCAAAAATGAAGAATTCGATGCACGGAGTAACTTCATCAACGGCGAGCTGGAGCAGGTGAAAGAAGAAGCCGACAGTGTGCACGCAAAGAAGGCTGCTGCAGATGAAGCCACTGCAGCGTTACGGATCGAGCTGGAAGCCGCTCGAAAGGACAATGATCAGACCAAGCAGCTCGCGAGCGAAGAGACACAACGTGCTCTCCAGGACGCTAGTGATCTACGTAAGCAAATCAACGAACTAGGGCAGCAGCTTCGGGACGAAGCCATCGCGCATGACGATGAAGTACGAAAGCTGGAAACGACACAGAAGCGTGAGCTCGCCGAAGCAAAGGCTGACAGCGACTCTGCGCGGAATGAGCTCGAAGCAAATCAGTCGCTCTTCAACGATGCAGTCGTCGATCGCGATGCCGCGCAAGACTCGCTCGCCGCGCTACAGTCCGATCTTGAAGCGGCACGAGGCGATCTGTCGACCGCACACGCCGAGATTGGAAGCTTGAAGCAATCGAGCGTAGTTGTAGGCGCCGAAGCCGACGCTCTGCGTGCGGAGCTTGAACTTGCGGCCGAAGTGAACGCCGCGCTCGATGCCAAGATCTCTAACGCGATTCGTAAGCGCGAAAAGTACTGGCGAAGTCGGCTGGCGGAGAGCGAGCAGGAGAGGCAGACGATGGCTAAGGCACTGCTAAAGCAGTGGGGGCGGGAGGAAGTTGGGATGGAAGATCCGCAGGCGTTCGAGTTCAGATACCATCTGCGCGGTTGTCCGAAGGAGGCTGCAGTGTAGCCAAGATCGTGAAGCTTGAGATTCGGCACTCGATAGAACACGTGGCGCGTAACGTTGGTTTCCGCACGGTATCGAAATCAGTTGTAGAATGATTATGCAAGCCTGTCATAACAGTCCCTTCCTAGCCAGCTCAATCTTCCTTGCCGCCTCTCCCGGCGCCCATCCACCTTTACTCACGCACGCCATACTACCGTCCCCGAACTCTACCTTGTCCTCCACCGCTGGGAAAGCGCAAGGGCAATGGTGTGGAAAGTGAACGCATGATAGAGTGTGCGGGCAGAGATATTTGTCGCAGTGAGCTTGGTAAAGTCAGTAGGAGGATGGCTGGGCCGAGTGGTTCGTGGTTTAAGGAGCTCACTTACCGGCCTCGTACTGCTGCTGGTACCACACTGAGTCTGAGCCGGCCTGCTGTGGTTGTTGCTGTTGCTGCTGTCCAGTGAACATTTGCTCAAAGAATTGAAATTGAGCGGAGGCGGGCAGGACGAGCAGAAGAAGAGACGCGAGAGCAATGTAGAGCTTCATTGTGACCGTATAGATATCGTGCCGCGTCTTAGCTAACCAACTGGAGTCGCAAGAGGCTCAGGGAAGGGAAGGTGGTGTTGTCCTTCGATACGACAAAGGTATCGGCACCGTCGGCTAAATGTTTCTCTGTGCACAGACAGCATGCTCGAAATCTTCTCCAAACACCTCAGCATTAATTCTGCAAAGCGAATATATTGACCACACATTGTCAAGTCATCTACCGCCAACATGCATCTGATGTACACCCTCGATACTGCTGGCAAGCGTGTGTATACACTCAAGAAGATCACCGACGGCGAGGTCACCAAATCAGCACACCCAGCGAGATTCTCGCCTGACGACAAGTACTCTAGGTGCGCAACCCGCCGGCCAACGTGGCCATGGGCGGTCCTTGCTAATGTAGTTATAGGCATAGAGTGACCCTGAAGAAGCGCTATGGTCTTCTGATCACACAGCAGAGTAAGCTCGTTGCGCTTTCCACACGTGAAATTAATCCGAAGACTGACTGGCAAGCAGAGGACAAGAAGGTGCTCGGACAATGAGCTAAGCCTTGAGAGTCGTGTTCGGTATCAGCGAGGAGTCAGGCGTCCTAGGGACGTACGGTTTTGTCTCTCAGGCTTATGTGTCCTGTTGTTTGATCGGGTGGCACCATTGACGCTCCGGTACTTGCGTGCCTTTTATACCGTTTACTGTTGGAGTTTCACCAATGTCAACCGGCAGAGTGGCGGCAGCCAACGATGCATGTATCTGTTGCATGTAGTGTCTATCATGTCTACAATCTAAGAAGTGGACCTGCTCACATCTTACCATTCGCCTCCTTGAATGGGTCGCCTCCCACCAGATCCATCTCCGTCGAGGTCGGCGCATACCCACCAGCGACTGCCACCACACCCTTCTGGTCAAGGAAGCAGTCCTCAGTATCAACATACTCCGGATCAAACTTGAAGATCCTGACCTCGGCGTTTTTCCAGCCGTACATGCTAGGCCCGTTCGGACCAGCAGTGATGTTGCGTAGGACGTCGCCATGCGCGACAAGTACAATGTCTTTCTCCGGTCGCGCTCGCAGCCACTGCCGCACCCATCGTGCACGGTTGGAAATGGACTTGGGATCTGCCGCCCAGAAGCCTTGTTTGCTCGTCCAGTCCGGCGTTAAGGTGGAGAAGTTGAAGCCGGCAAACTCTGGGTTGGCTTCTAGGACATCTCGAGAGCTGCCGGTGTCGCATGGGAGATCGTTGCATTCTTGTGCCTGGGGGAGGCAGACTACATTCTGGATACCTAGGCGCTCCACAGCCGGTGCCCAGCCGAGTTTCGTTGTTTGCAATGTTCGTGCTAGTGGTGATGTGGCGACCAGCTCGACTTCTTGTTGCAGCTTTGCTACTTGAGGTGCAAGGCTTGCTGCTTGTTTCTTGCCGAGCGCCGTCAACGGTGCGTCGTGGACTTGAACTGTTAGCCACTATGCCAGTGCTTGATCTTTAATCAACGAACACATACTGCTATAGTCCAAGTCAACGTTGTGCTCCGCTTGCGCATGACGTGTGAGAATGATGCGGGAGTTCGGGGCCATTCTTGCAAGCGTTTGCAGCATGCACAACACACTGATCAACGAGGCAATTCACACTTCTACAAAGAAACGATAGCGATGTATAGGATGAGAAGCTTGGAGGCAGTCGTTGAGTCGGCGACATGAAGTTTCTCAATCAAGTTAGCGTCTGCATTTCCGCAGACCATTTAACCGTTGTACGGCCATACCAGTAGAGGAACACCTGCAAAGCACAACTTCGCCATCTTTCAACGACATGACTGGGTTCAGTATGAACGAAGTTGTGAAAGGGCCGGAGAAGAGTGTCGTTTGGAAACATTATATTGCGGGTAACTGTGATACTGGTCTTGAGCTCATTGGGTAGCTGCAAATGTGCAATATGCAGGGTTGACCGTCAAAGCCAGGCCGTGCTTCGCGTTCGCTTTACAGAAACATGGACTGCTGAACATGATGTTGACGCACCCACGCCGTTACGTCCACCATCTCCTCGCCTTCAAGGCCGTTATTCTTGACATTTCGCTCACTTCAAGCCTTTCCAACCCGGCCCGAACGGGAATCTGAACGCTACGACTGCGGTCGCAACCAGATAAGCCACAACAATATGATGTAAATTAAGACTATTGTGCGGGTTTCCGTTTCGGTTCTGGATTCGAGGTGTTTTGGCACGGCCCAACGATGGTTGATGTTCGAGGCTATTCCGTTGGGACTGGTATAGGTCCTCCTCGTCTGGATGATATGGCCCAGGGAACATGGTGGTATGTTGTTGAGAGTATGGCGGTTCTATGGACTTGTTGTCCGTATGAAGCGGCTTCACAAGATCGCGTTGCGTGTGATCTGTAATGCAAGCAAGACTGTTGATGATAGATGCTGCCGTTGAAGTGAAGTGTTATACGATCTGAATCAGTGAATCTGTCTCGCGTGCATATTCACCACGACCCGCCACTGTTCCGCAATGCAGCATGCATAATGCATTGTCCTTGATTCCTGATAGCGTGGACACATAGCGCCGATGTAACATTGGCTGTAGTCTTCTTGACAACGTATTAGTCGATTGCTTGTCACTCTTGCCCAGCGGCGCTCGTGACTCGAAGACAGTCAATGGAGAATGGATCAGCTCCCTGAATCGGTTCAATCTGCAAGACATATTCCAGAGTCTCATTGCCCGCATACTTTACGTCCTTCAGTTGAGCGCTGTCTATGCTTGTAAACTCCCAGCACTGGCAGGCTTTGAACGGGTTAGGAGATGCACACTGTCCTGTCTTTAAAGATTGGCGCATCGTTTAGGAGCACATTGAACCATCATCATAACAACCATGGAGTGGGTAGTGATCCATACGTGTAATTTGTAATACAGGCTTTGCTGTGCCAATAGTTTGCGAACATTCTCTGTTGCGGCCAGTTCTTGAAAGACGATGAACGATGCTGAAGTCTTGGAGACGAAGACGAGTGATTTTGCTGCTGACTCAGCTTATATTGCTCTCGGCACCTGAAACACCGTCACCGACGCTAGTCATGGATCCTTCCATGCACTTGGCAAAGACTTCATGCGCAGCAGATGCGAGTGCAAAGGCATAAGCATCGCACTAATAAATTCCAGTATGATCTACGATTGGTGTTGTTGTGGCCATGATGCGGCGACTTCAACAGTAGGCTCTGTTGGCGACTGGTAGCTAAGCGACACTTCACTACTGTCAGATCTCCTTTCCATTGCGTTCGACTAGCGAATGCATTCAAACGCCTCGCTATGGCCTTCTTGGTATCCGCACCATCCGTAAGGAATCGATGGACGCAACTCATTATCGCCGCGATCTTGTTTGTGGCGACCGTCCTATACTTCACACCAGCATTGGAAGCTGTCAAGCGCATCAATGCCCCCGGCTTGCAGTCTCCTTGGCAAGATGATTCGACCTCCACCCCTTTATCGAATGAGGAGGGTGTTAGACCGACGCGGGATTACCACCCTATCGACCGCCTCATCGACGAAGGGAACCGGACCGCGCAGGTCTTGCTTGCTCGGGAGACGCATTCACTACATGAGGCAGCGCAAGCGTATAGAGAACGGCGCGGACGTCAACCACCACCGCTCTTCGATGCTTGGTTCAGATTTGCCCAGAACAAGTCGGCGGTCATAGTAGAGGAGTTCTTCGACCAGATCTATGATGACCTTGCACCTTTTTGGGGCGTGCCTGCAAAGCAGATCCGCGAGCAGGCGCACGGCTTTATTCATCGTATAAGCGTGCGCAATGGCAATGTGACGCAGCGTACCGATATACCACAGAGGGCATGGATGGATTTGTGGCAGAACATGACTCAGACAATTGCAGAGTGGTTGCCGGACGTCGACATGCCAATCAATGTAATGGATGAGAGCCGAGTTGTGGTGCCATGGGAGGAGATCGATGGATATATGTACAAGGAGCGCTCTACCCGGCACATTGTCCCTTCAGACGAACTCAAGACCAGCTTCGACAGCCTGCGAGCGCTAGACCGGAACCCGCCAGCAGCATTCGAACCAGAGTTCCAGGGTATGGGACCTTACTGGCCGCTTGCGGTTGTTGGTTGCCCGCCGACCAGCCCAGCACGTAAAGCATATATCCAGACGGACTTCTCCACGCCGCCGCCTATATCTGGTGGCCGCCCAGAAGGCTCGTACGAGGGATATGTCTCTAACTGGACGCTTGCGGGGAGTCCTTGTGACGACGCTGCGATACAAGGTATCCATGGTACTTTTGTGGAGCCGATCTCGATTTCAACTACGAAGACGTTCTTTCCACTATTTGGCGGAAGTAAACTTCCCATGAACAATGAGATTCTTCTACCGCCTGCAATGTACTGGACGGATGATCCTTTCTACAGTGGCGGTGCGGAGCACGGTCAGAAGTGGGAGAATAAGAAAAACAAGCTGATCTGGCGCGGTGCCGCAAGTGGTGGCCGCAACAGAGAGGAGAATTGGAGACGCTTCCAACGTCACCGCTTCGTGAGCATGGTTAACTCAACGTCCGTGCGCTTGGCAGAGACCGGTGAGCAATTGCCGCAGAACTACGTGCTCCCCGCGAACGATAGCTACGAACTCGCCGCGTATCCAAATGCGCGGTACATTAAGTCGAAGAGCCCGCTGGCGTATTGGGTCGGCGAGTGGTCGAACGCAGCCTTCGTTCACCTACTCTGCTTTCCGGAGCCGGCCGACAACCCGCAACACTGCCCATACACCGATCATTACTTCAGCGTCGAAAAGTTGATGCCAATGTCCGAGCAGTACGCGTACAAGTATCTACCAGACCTTGACGGCAACAGCTTCTCTGGCCGCTATCGTGCATTCCTGTTCAGCACCTCGTTACCCATCAAGGCCACGATCTACAAAGAATGGCATGACTCGAGACTGGTGCCCTGGAAGCATTTCGTGCCCATGGATAATACTTTCAGTGACATCTATGGCATTATGGAGTATTTCGTCGGTAATGGCAAAGCTGGCGTGGCGGGCCATGACGATGCCGCCAGAGACATTGCCCTGGGTGGCAAAGAGTGGGCAGAGAAGGTTTTGAGAATGGAGGACATGCAGATCTATCTCTTCAGGTTACTGTTAGAGTATGCCAGGATATGTGACGATGACCGCGAGCGCATGGGTTGGAGAGAAGTACAACAAGAGAGCGCTAAGGGTTTAGCCGTAACCGTGGACGCAGAACAGGAGGACCCTGGCGAGCCCACTCAAGATGAGGGAGATGGGGTAGCCTACCAAAAGGAAGGCGACAATGGTGTTGGATAGTTACAGAGTCTAATAAAGTGTCTCGTTTCTCCTATACTCCATGTCGCAGTCACGTGACGTTAAGCCAGCCAACTTCTGATTGGTCTAAGCGCGCCACTCGTCCTGCCCTTCAACCTCCATAGTCGCGAGCGCCGCGCGCAAAGCCTATCTTATGTCGAGCGACTCAAGGTATATCACCTGTTGAGACCAATTGATGATTGAATGCGCCGGCTTCTGCTTCTCCGAATTAAGTCTGTAGCGTCAACGAGAGGTTTCGCCACAAGCCAGCAGTATTTGAGCAAGAACTTCGCCGCTGAGTCAAGGTGTACATTGAGAACAGTCACAGCTAGGGGCCTACGTCAAGCCTGCGCACTGTTACTGAAAGCCCGAAGAAACTTCACAACCACGACTTCCACCATGGCTCTCACGAACGGTCAGATCAATGGGACTCCCACTGCAGATATGGACGACATCTCAACACAACTTCAGAAGCTTGGTCTTTCGCAGCCGCCGGTGTTTCCTGGCGTACAGCTGTTCCCACAATATAATCCAGTCGATGTCTATCGAGGGTACATTATCGAGCAAATAAATCGCATCACCTCCGTCGAACCCAGCATAATCAATAACGCAGTTGCATGGACACAGGATCTAAAGCACGGAGACCTAGTCTTACCGGTACCAGCCCTGAGGTTGAAGGGCAAGAAGCCGGACGAGCTTGCGGTTGAGATCGCCAACCAGTTCGACTGCCCCATCATTGAGAAGCCTGTCGCGGACAAAACTTTCGTGCGCTTCTTCTTCAAGCCGGCGCCCTTGGCCCATCTTGCCCTCAGATACGCATTGTCCCAGAAGACTGCATACGGCTTCAACCCTAGTCTTGGTCTTCATGACCCGTCGAATCCGGAGAGTGGCAAGAAGAAGCTAATTGTCGAGTACTCATCACCGAATATTGCAAAAGAATTCCACACTGGCCACTTACGGAGTACCATAATCGGTGGCTTTATGGTCAAACTCTACAGTGCCGCCGGATGGGACACGGTCTCAATGAACTACTTGGGTGACTGGGGAAAGCAGTACGGCATGCTAAGTCAAGGCTTCGAGAAGTACGGCAGCGAAGCGGAATTGGAGCGTGATCCGATTAAGCACCTTAACGAGGTGTATGTCAAAATAAACCAAGATAATGCCGCCGAGCAGAAGGAAGCAAAACGGCTTGCGGAGAAGAAGGATGAATTGGAAAAGCTCAAGAACCCACCCAAACCAAAGAAGCCTGCAAAGGGTGAGGCGCCTGTAAGTGCTTGGCCATATTTCTGGTCCACGATGCTCTACATCTTGCACATGCTAACTTGTTGTAGCCACCCGAGCCCAAGTGGACCGATGAACAAGAAAGGGAACTCCAAGACGTAACCGCGCAGCTCGAGAAGGTGCAGGAAGATCTGGTGCAAAAGCCAAGCATCGATGAGAAAGCCCGTCGCTTCTTTAAGCGAATGAGTGACGGCGACCAAGAAGCACTGAAGTATTGGCAGAAGTTCCGTGATCTGTCCATCGAAGCCTACACGCACATGTACGCCCGGCTCAATATTGCTTTTGACGATTACAGCGGCGAATCCACAGTGAAGCAGGAAGACATGGACAGGGCGGCTGAGGTCCTGGAGAAGCGCGGCATCTCCGAAGACAGCAAGGGTGCGGTGATCGTGGATCTCTCGAAGCACGGTGCGCCCAAACTTGGGAAAACGCTCGTCCGGAAAAAGGACGGCACCAGTTTGTACCTGACCCGAGACATTGCCGCCAACTACGAGCGATATGAGAAGTATCACTTCGACAAGATGATTTACATCGTCGCATCACAACAAGACGTGCACATGGCGCAATTCTTTAAGATTTTGGAGCTCATGGGCCCACCGTATTCTGATGTGATCGCCAAATGCGAGAACATCTCGTTCGGCATGGTGAAGGACCCGCACGGTCAGACAATGAGCACGAGAAAGGGAACTGTGGTCTCGCTAGCCGATAGCCTAGATGCAGCGCACGAAGCCATGCACGAGGTCATGAAGAAGAATGCGGATAAGTACGAGCAGGTTCAAGATCCAGAAGCTACAGCCGATACGTTGGCGATATCCGCCATCATGGTGCAGGACTACAGCGGCAAAATGATCAACAACTACAACTTCGACATGGATCGCATGACATCCTTTGAAGGTGATACCGGACCTTACCTGCAGTATTCTCACGCTCGCGTCTGCTCAATGGAGCGCAAAGCCGCCGTGCCGCGCCACGAGCTCGAGAATGCAGACTATAGTCTCATCACCGCCAAAGAGGGCATTGAGCTTGTTCGTGCGCTAGCTCAGTGGCCGGACGTCTTTCTTAATACGTACAAGACCCGCGAGCCGGTTACGGTGCTGACGTATCTTTTCAAGATGACGCATCTGTTGAGCTCGTGCTACGATGCCAAGGATACGAGCAACAAGAACGCGAAGACTATGAGCGTTATGTATGCGGAAAGTCCGGAGAAGAAGGCGGCGTTGATGGCGCTTTACGATGCTGCGAGGCAAGTGTTGGCAAATGGGATGAGGCTGTTGGGACTTAAGCCCGTCGAGAGGATGTAAAGTGTCCATTCGACGGATGCTTGTGGTAAATCACTTAGCGAAGCGCTCGTGTCGACAAGCCAGACCCTCTGCTCGGATCGAGGTTACGTGCCTGGTCGGGTTCGCGTCTTGCCAAGCTACCTCCATCTGAACAACCAGAGCGCGAACGCATCCTGACGGCTAGAGTGCAAAGAAGCGGGGTGGTGTACGGTGATGGAGGTGTGAAGTGGGCAGGCATGCAGCGGACATTCCAGTTGACGGCTGCACCAACATTTCGCCATCCTCCGCCTTCGCAGCCTGGACGAGCAACAGCTACTTCGATCAAACGCTCCAGTGCGTGAAGGTAGTACAGACCGTTCTCCAGACTCTCCAGTATGCTAGGTTTGTTCCCACATTCCTCGCTTGCACGGCGGGCTCGAGCGTAGCGTTTGTCACACAGCGTGGCGTGCAGATACGTGGAACATTGCGAGCCTATCTCGACGTCGCTTCCCGCGGCGGAAGTCGATGCATTTGACACTGCAGCGAGCAGTATCTAGTCTTCAACCGCCATCCAAGAGGAAAAGCGGCTAGTTAAAGCAGTCAGCTCGCAGCTACTCACCTGATAAGAATCCACATCTACCGCTTTTCCGCATCGAAATATGATTGAGTGGTCCATCGCATTCAGGTACGAAGCCAAAGTCCACACAGTGGACTGCTCGAGCGCGGGTGGTGCAGCTTATCAACGCCATTGGCTCGCGTGACGAGCACCGCTACCAAAGAGCGGTGTAGAGTCATCTCGCTGCTGCAGCTTAATGCGATGGTCGACTTGGTCCGCGTGGATCTCCGTCGCCTGCTGCGTAGAGCTCAGCACGACAATCGCGATGTCGTGCGTCGACTTTCCCAAACCTAGCATGGCGATCAAGATGCAAGCGTTCGGTGCCGTCGCGCGGCCATCCCGGCCGGCCTCTTCCACGCGACCATGTCTCGGTACTAAGGCTGTTTCAGCCCGCACAACAACGATTGGTGGTCACTGTACAAGCGCTGGGCCATCACATGACACTATGCACAAATCAAACAGACTCTTGGATATGGGATATTCACTTGCGAGGCGGACATGGCAAGGTGAGAACATTGATGCTGCGGTGCGGATGTCTCCGCTGAAAGCGCGAGCCACACCCGCCGTCTCCACAGCAAAGGGATTAATGCGCAAGGTCTCGGCTTCGTTCACTGGACGACTTCAGACGAACATCCAGCCGGCAAGACATGTCTCTACCAGGTTTACCACAGCCCAGCCACAAGAAGGTCGCCTTTTCAGACCACCACTGTCACCAACAGCTCAAAAAGTTCCACTCGCGGAGACAAGAAGCTATCAGCAGCCGATAGGTGTCCGGCTTTCCCAATCCCACAAAGCTGCATGCAAGCTGCTAGGCAGCCTGCCAGTCGGACGTGCAGCTACACTAGCCACTCGTTGCGTTAGCAGTCAGCCGTGCCCGTCCGGTTCTTTTCGCGATGATGGTGTGGGAGGAAATTGTCAAGCAAGTATAATCCCTTCTCATCCCCAGCTTTTGGGCTCTTTGGTGTGGTGGCGATCATCTTAGCCCCCTCGTCCATTGCTGCCCTATCGTCCGTATACAATAGCCTTATCACCACTTCGTATTGTTCTCGGCTCACAAGCACTCATTTACATCAACTGGAGCTCTGCTGGCCACAGTGCGTGCCAAAGAGCTCCTGCGCAGTACCTATTTCACTGTATCTGCCCGCCTTGCATGACCGGTGAAGCGAACCAACGGAGCCTAGTGGCCTGCGCAAACAGTCATCCCGTTATGTTCCTTTGACGTCGTTTGCCTGACAATGCTCATGTCACATCCCAGACCTCCTACGACAATGACAGCTCGACGCTTTCCGAGACACCTACACTACAATCGGTAACCTTGTCTTTACATTCTAAGACATTGTGAGCTTTGGATTGCGTACCGCCCAGCCACAAGCACATCGCGCCGTCTCCGGCTGCTATCCTGGATCCTCGCGACAAACCCAGTCCTGTTGGCAGACCAGCGCTCCTATCATCAAAATGCCTGGAAGCAGTCGTGTTGTGCCTCAGGCCGCCCAGGTCGAGGATTGCGAGAGTGATGAAAGCACAGCAAGGCCAGACACTGCCAGACAGGCGCGGCGCCGTACACAGTCGACGAGGCCGGCGTCAAAGACTATACATAGGAGTGACTCTGGCTATTCGTCACATCACGCCGCTGTTGGCAAAGCCGCGCAAGTCCCGGCTGCTGTCGTCCAGGCTGCCACAGCTTCACGCCAGGCTCCTCCGCCAACCACACTAAAGAGCCGACCAGCAGTCCACCGCAGTGAGAGCACGAGAGGACGGCCGCAAGCACCCTCGAGGTCTGCTTCTATGGCAGCTCAATGCACGGATCCGAACTGCGCGGATCCTAACTGTGCGAGTAAGCGGAATGGCGACCGTCGGTACGTACTGCCAAGGCTTCAGGATCCTACGGCATACCCGCCGACTGCAACGCAATACCCGCCATACCAGCAACCGCCGACAACTGTGCAAGTGCCATTGTCGCACTATCAGCCACCGCCACATCAGTACTATGCGCCACCTACACCTACCACTCAAGCTGCACCTAATCTGAGCCAATACCCTCGCGCTCGTGCATCATCTGCTAGTCGTCCGTCTCGTCCGATGAGCATCCATGGCGCGGTGAACTTCAGTGCTTATGGCGTGCCGCAGCAACATGGACCGCCACCGGCACGATCGGCATGGCAGAACTTACCCGCCACATATTCCTCACAATACCCACCGGGACAGTATTACGGCACTACACCCCCCAACCAGAACATCCCACCCTATCCACAAATGTCGCCTCTGTTGCCATCACCAACAAGCCCAACGTATGCTGTCGCACCTAATCTGACTCGGACGTACTCCACGCGCACGGTCAATACCGCACTCCCAGGCTATGACGTGACCGGTGTCGCAGTAGCGCCCATGCGGCCGCCAACTTTCTCTGCGAGACAGACTTCAGCGATGCCTGGCAGCTTCCCGCAGCAGGAGACAGTTGCCCATGATGAGTCAGAGGCCTCACAGTCCTATAGCGAGTCGGAGACTGACACTGAAGACGAGCGTGAGCGCGAACTCGAACTTCGACAGCGCGAGCTTGAACGTCAACGTCGCCTTCGTGATAACAAACTCATGCCTCCGCCGTCACGCCGGCCATCGCCAAAGAAAGGATACACGATGCCGATTGTGCAGCAGACAACCCGCCCTTCAGCTCGCCACGCGCCGAGATCTGATACAGGCGTCGAATACTCTGTATCCGATCAGGTGGACTCGGACAGGACACCACGGCCGACCGTTCAAAAGCCCCGGACTAGCTCATCATACTCCAGCCAGAGCCGGCGACCGTCCGTCTCTACCACCGCGTCATCGGGTCGAACGAAGGCTACCACTGTCTCCGAAGGCTCGGGTTCACGAAGATACGCTATCATCGAGGGCAGATACGGGCGGAAGAAAGAATACCTTTCTAGCGAACAGTACGACGATCTAGTCCGCCGTTATGAGCGCCAAAGGCACGAAGAAGCAGAGCAACGTGATCGCGCCGAAGCCTATCAGCAGCATTATGGCGGCCCACGCACCCCGGAATTGACCGCCGAGAACATTCAGAAGGCTCAGCGGCGACAGAGCGGTAGCCATGTGTCTGGCTCTGGTCACAGCAGGAAGAGCAGCCAGTCATCTTCGAAGGGCTCGCAACCGGAGCGTATCCGCATACAAGTCGGAAAGACGGTTTTGCATGTCGACCCCGATGCCACTGTGACTATGGAACCTGGAGATGACGGCACACACAGCCTCGTGGTGAAGAATCCATCTGGCAGAGATAGTGGCTACCACGGTAGCAAGAGTTCTGGAAGCAGGGCGAGCAGGGTGAAGGACACCATCACGGAGTAGGAGGAGTACGAGCCAGGCATGTGAGCAATGCAATAATGCAAGGCCACAACCCCACAACACCACTTCTTGAGACTGATCCAGAGAACCGTCACCATTATCATCACCACCGCCACTCTCATTATCACAACCTCTCTGCAACAATTACCGTGCGACTTAATGAGGGCTTTGAAGCTATCACGAGTTTTGGTGTCAGCGATTCTTCACTTCTTGACCAGATACCCGACACTTGTGCAGCATTGCCATGCAGTGCACAAACGCTTCGGTCATCTGGGGAAAGCTTTGCATTAGCGTGGCGTATTTTGCGCCTCTAAAAGCAATGCTTCGTTTTGACTTCCGGCGGTTCACTTGAAGATACCCCTTGTCGTATAGCATGGCGTCCTCGGCATCATCCGCACTTAGCAGAGCGCTCGCATAGCTGGGTTCGGCTAAACAGTCGCTAATGGTTCGAGACGAAGACCAGATACGGATCTGTACGATTTACGAACATGATTTAATTGTCGCGGCCAGCGGGTGGATGTTGCGCCGAATGGGCGCGCGGCGCATAAGTAATAATGCAAGATCTTAGCTTCAAAGCAGCATTGTAGCAAGTCGCAATGCCGGCGACGGTCTCATTGAGAGCACTTATCTACAGATACCCTCAGCATCAGCTTGGAGGCCTGCTTCCCATCCATCATTGCTCATCGCAACCAGCGAATGTACACACTCATCCCTCATCATTGCCATAGCACCGCTGCCATTGGCGCAAGTTGTTCACTCATGAAGTGCCAGCGTACCTTCCTTGTCTCATGCACGAGATCGCGGCTCCATCTCTGGCGGATGCCAGAACCTCCTCAGCTGGGATAGAACACTATGCTCTTGCATACGAGCTCACAAGTCCATAGTTGCTTCGCACTTTGTAGATTCAATCCAGGTCACTGTCTGCGCCACGCCTATAGCCGCCTTCCCTGGCTTTCCTACCTGCCCCTTTCTTCGGCGAACTTTGCCTGCTACGTTCGGCTCGCTCGGCACGCTCGGCACGCTCAGTCGAGTATCGAGGGTTGTCGCTAGCAAGAGGGCGGTACTCCTCATAGTAGCTCGCCGATCGAGTGCCGCTAGTGCTCGTGTAAGCGGTACTAAGAATCTCCGACGCGGCACCGCCTTGGTACGAGAAGTCGCGCTTTTGCGGCGAATTTGACCGCGAACTGCGCCGCTGTTTGTCAGCAGAAGGCTTCGATGAGGGCGGCGCGGACCTCTTGGGGGAGTGTGCTGGCGGCGGCGGTGGACGTGATGCGGCGTTCTCGCGTGCTAGAGCTGCGGCTGCTTCTTCCGCCTCTTTCTTCCAACGCCGCTCCATCTTAGCTGCTTCCTCCTTGGCTTTACGCTCGGCGCGCTCCTTCTCTTTTGCCCGATCGCGCTCTTTGGCCACCAGAGGTTCCGCCGAGGCTTCTGACATGGTCTCGGAGCCAGCAATTGTGGTACCGAAGTGCGATCCGTCTGCCACCCGATTGAGACCGCCTACTCTCGCCGGCTTCTCCTTCTTATACTGCTGGACGTCTCGGTCACGGTACCTCTTCGAATGCTGGTTATAATCCGGCTCCGTCCGAAGTTCCGTCATGTCGCTGACCGTTTGCGTGGCAAACGACTCCGTCATATAATCGTCCGAGTATGTGATGCTATGGGTGCCCATCGGCCCGCGCTTGCCTAAGACACCTTTCCGACCTTTCTCATCCCGTCCTACAACACTCCGCGCCACATGCTTCTGCCATTTATAATGTTGCGTGCCAGCAAATGTGCTAGCACCATAACCAAGCTTCGTGCTCTTCGTGGCGTTACTCAGCGTCTTCCCATCTGGTCCCTTTCGACGTAGCACTGTACTCTTGTAGTCATCCCAGTCGCCCTGTCTGAAGTGGAAGCCACCATTCTTCGCCCAAAAGAAGAACCACAAGCTAGCCAGAACCATCGCAGCTCCGAGTATGGCAAAGAGTGCGAAGAAGAACGAGTTGTTGAAGCTGCCGGGTGGCTTGGCGCCTTGACCGGGGATGAAGGTCGAGGTTGCATCTCTGGCCGTGAGGAGGTGATGTGCTTCCAGTGGCGACAAGGTGCTTGCAACTGTTACATCTTGGATGTGTAACATTTGTTCGATGCCTTCGGCATTGCGCTTGTCCAGCTCAAGCGAGGACTCAATAAGGCCGGTGACATCTGTTCCAGTTGTGGACACCCAGCGGCTAATGGTCGGCGCCATGACTGAGTTGCGGGTGCAGCAGTGTCAAGTATTGAGTCAGAGGCCGAAGCCTCAACTCTGTTGCAAGCCTTTCTGCTCGTACTATGGGGATATGTATGTATTTCGAGGTTTTACAGACGAGAGATCGTGGCAGGCGATTCACTTATTGACAAAGTGGGAGTCGGCCTTGTCGCTACTCTGAGTTGCAAGCGCAGTAAGTCGATGTTATGCACCAGGTAGAGTAATATTGTGTTTGTTGCAGTCGATCTTTCGGTCTTAGCGATTCGATACCAGCAATCCCAGCCCCCATTTCATGTAAAACATGTGGCTGGAAACAATGACGCTGAACCCTAGCGACGGAAGTGCAACCCTGGCAACGGTACGCGAAGCCTGCCTTTGGTCCCCAAACATCGAATATACCTGGTAGTGTCAACCACATTTTCTTCTTCTATAGTGAGAGTGTCGTCAGTGAAAGGTACTTATCACGGGTACAAACGTAAAGGCGCTGTACCAGGGAGCGGCGGCATGCGTTGAACGAAGGCGCTCATGAGGCTTTTGTCGCAAAGTAGCCTGGCTTCACAGGCTACACTCCTATGAGGGGATCTTCCTATCCTTACTATACTCGACGAGAACATCTACTAGCTTCTTTCGCGATGACGCTTCGTCAAACACTTGCGCATGGTCCTGATCGTCCCACCATAGCACTTCGAGACCTTGACCCTTCCATGGCCGTGTCTTCCAGTCGGCTGTCTTCTCTCGCGACGCCTTCTCTCCCGTTGGCGCACCATCCAGCAGCTCCATGTGCTTCTCGTTAGTACCGTCACGGACAACAACCGGATCCGGGACTTTATGCTCCATCAGATACGCGCCGACAGCGGGCGTGTCCACGATCAGGTCTCTCCGCCCCAAGCTGACCGTCACGCGCATACCACTATCGACAAGTTGCATGATGCGTTCGCGCCATAATATGTTTTCGCTCCAGAAGAAGTGGCGACCGAGTGTATGCGCTACGCCTGGGTCTTTAGAAGCGAAGTACCAAAGTTGCCATTCGTTTGCGTGCTTCGGCTTACGGACAGTGAAATTGTACGCCACGTCAGGCATGTGCAGCAGAATCGTCACAGGATCGACGAAGAGCGCAGCCGCTACTCTTGAAGCGAGTGCATCGTGCGTGAGAACGTAGGTAGAATGTACGGAGCCGTAGGAGTGCGAGAGCAGGACGAAACGGTCGTAGCTGTGCGCTTCGAGTATTTGCGTAAACTGCCGCAGAAACTCGGTGCGAGTAGGTATCGAATGGGTCAACCTGCTTGAGATCTGCAAGGCTTCGATTGACATGATGCCGACCTTGTCGTCTTCAGTAGAAGAATGGTTAAGCGCGATATCAAGCTCATGTAAGAACTCTACATGCGGATGCAGGCCGACACCAATGCCATGCAAGTAGACTATTGGCAGGCGTGTCTTCGACGTGTGCGGACGCAGCCAGTAGCTGAGGCTCTTCGCTGGTGAGCGTGATGTTGCCGTCACCGCCGCAAGTGGCCGAGGCGGGAAGACGGTCAGGGTTGCTGAGAGGGTAGAGTAATACCGCATCCCATACCGTAACAACCGGACGTGCGAGATGGTGTCGACAAGCATGATGATCGTATACCATAGCAGACTCCTGCACTCGATCTCGATAGGGTCCAGCGTCAATCGCAGACTCTTGGCAGTCCCTCTGCCAGGCTTGAACGTTCTGCCTACCATCTTCTCTACGCCCTGCGTGACCTCTTCAAGCTCTGCCTCATCCTCTCGCACGGTCCTACTCTCCCAGAAAGCCCAAGATAAGAAATCCTTCGCATCATCTCGTCCGATATCTTCAACCCTAGCACCACGAAACCAGCCGCTAAGGAAGCGTTCCACATCATGAATCTCACCGCGCACCTTGTCAAACAATGCCTTGCGCTCGGCCTTGGAGCGCAAGGGAGGGTGTGTGGCTTCACGCTGGAGGTGCACACGGTACCACAGAAAGAAGCCGTAAAAAGCTGCTTCTGCAACGCACCATATCTGGAAGACACTCAGGGCCGGCCATTCGGACGAAACGAGAGCTCTGTGAGCGAGCTTTGTGGCGTAGAGGCTGCAAGCCGGTCCAATATAGTGGAGGATGAGGATCACGATCCGGATCAAGACATATTCGGTCAAGCTGTTGTTCATCATTATGGCGGATCGAAGAATGCCAAACCGATTCTACCGGCCAACGTATGAGAGCCCGTTATGGCGAGCAGACTAGGCATGATGTGGGACGTTTGCGTGCCTTCCGCAATTATGGTCCGCCTAGAAGGTTGAGCGTAAATTGCAGCTATCAACCCACATTCGACGCCACGCCTTGCCACGTTCACTTCCTGTTGAGCTCGGCCCGGACCAAATCCGTCCAGGCGCACGTCACATGATAGAAGTAGCTTGCGACGGCAAGGACCGCGCTAACAAGTCGGTATAATTGCTCTGGTCCGTCAACTTCAAAGCCATTAATACGCCACAAAGCGAAACCGGGTAGACTCGACTCCAGCTTGAGAAGACGGTAGCAGACTCAGAAGAGTCGGGCTGAGAACCGCGAACTTAGTATGTTAAAGGTGGCTCGTACGGCCTACTCCGCACGTCACAGTGCCCGCTTAGATTGTTAACCGCGTAAGCGGCAACATCCCTTCCTAATGTCTGCCATCGTTCATATAAGACTTATTAGTGTGGAACGGGGAAAGGCTGTACATGCTGACAATCTGCCCGCTGCTTGATCACCCAACGGAGAACAGGAATACCTGAACTACGAGATACGATGATGACACAACATCAATCTAGGCCGACCCAAGCTAACCTACCTATCGATCCCTCGCAATGACTGATGCAACCGTGCAATCCAATACTTTCCGGTTCTTCGACCTCCCAGCAGAGTTGCGTGAGCAAGTTTACCATCACGTCCTGGCTCCGACGGGAGATCTGACGCTTACTTCTACCAAATCAAAGCCCTTCGCCATACGTCCAGTCATCAATCTGGGTCTATTGCGCAGTTGCCGCCTTATCGACCGGGAGGCGAATGGCGTTCTCTACAACGCCAACGAAGTCTGCATTGTTCTCAATGCTCATGATACCTACTGGCCCACCATCTCGGAACGCCGCCTTCCACAAGCGGCACTGCAAAAGATCCGGCATTTAAGCGTCATCCTGGACTGTACGGAGTACTTCAATGCTTCATATGCCGACGTGGACTTTGATGCCTTCAATTCACTGACAGCACTGAGGACGCTTCGTATAGCGATGGTCTACCGCAAGCATTACGCCACCCAGAAACTGGCACCTTTGCATATCGCTACGCTGCCAAATTACAACGCGGTTGCGCAAATTCTGGAGCGCATACCTGCAAGTACAACACTCTATTTCGGGTCTGAGGTCGGAAGTCAGCAGCATGATGTCGTGCTCGACTTGATCGAGGACCGAATTTCAAGCCGTGGCCTTTTCAAGGTGGAGGAAGCGCCTGCTGCGGATCTCGAAGCCGCCGCAAAGGGTGTGCCGGGCTTGGTAAGAGGATGCAAGTCAGGCATCATCCAGAATATTTATCTCCGGAGTACTGCCGTGCTCGAGAAGTTTGAATTAAGACCACCGAGAGTCGTTTAAGATCTACTGCTGAAAGCTTGCCTCGACCCTACTACACCATCTGAATTAGCGATATCGGAGGAGCGCTGCTTGCAATGGACAATTGTATTACACCTCAGCTCTCATGAGCGCTGTCTTTCTTGATCTAGCTCCATCGACCACCATCCAACCATCCGTTGACAGTGGTGTTGGGAAGACGAAGCCAAGCAGCTGCATGTCCCGCGCATAGACGAGCAGTTGGCTTGATTGGGTTTCCCGCCACACAGTCCCTTCTCACACTGGCCGGTAAGCTCATCAACTACAGCGCACTATATCCAAGCGAGAAGCTGGAGAGATGGCGGAGATAGAGCAATCTGATAATGGCGGCAGCAACACTTGGATCAAAATATATTAGGAAACTTTGGAGATTGGGTATCTTCTGCTCTAAATAGTACTGCCGCCACGGTTCGGGATTATTGTGGCATGGGGAAGCTGTCTGTATCTCGCAACAACTGGTCCCAGAAGCCTAGATACTGAGGTTAGCATTATGCAACCCTGTAGGTTCGCAATCATTCTCAGGCACTTACCCCAGTCTATCGTATCTGGATTGAAATCATCAGCCAAGTCTATGCCAAACCCGCTGCTGTTCGAAGTCGTGGTAGCAGGGTCGTCCGGCTTCGGCGAAGGTAGTGGGTTTTCCTGAGCTTCCCACGGATGGTTCGCGTTCGGTGCCTGAGCTTTGAGTTCAGCCTTCTTATCCCTTCGATTCTTAATCGACAAGCGCAGCTTCTCGAAGAAGACTGGCTCCTTGTCAAACAGCCGGCGCCATTCCGCAGGTTGCTGTTCCCAAGCCTTAAGAGTCAATTTCGAGAACGCAATATGTATGGCTCGTCGCTGGCCCATGAACGCCGGGTAGCACTCATAAATCCGCTCGAGCTTCAACCACACCTCCTGTGGATCCGTCACTACGAACGAGCCACGCCTGATCTCGTTCAGCATCCAGATCATGGCGTCATACTGCAGCATCGCTTGCAAATGCCACGAATACTTCTTAAGCAATGCGTTCGTAAGCACGCTTTGCACGAAATCGGTGATGCGGTTCGCCAGCCTCCATATCTCCTTCCGCTCGTCGTCGCTGATATTTGGATGCAGCTTGACGCGAGGTAGCTTAAGTCGAAGGCGCATCAGTGACAGGCCGCCCCTTCCCATTGACATTGCGAGGAGGTGGAAAGAGTCAAAAGGGTCGCAGTAGCGCAAATACTTCTCCTCAAGGGTGACCTCCAATTCGTTGACCAAATTGTCAATGGCATCGTTGGCTTCCGACGTCCCTGCGTCCCACATCGCAGCGTATGCGCCTACAAGTGGCGCCGCTTTCTGATGCGTCATTCCCACCTCAGCTCGCATGAGGCAGAACATCATCTCCGTTGCACCTTTCCGTGGGACAGGCGGCTCAGTCATATCAGGCCAGATGTCCTCATCGTTAATGTTGATTGGCTGCTTGGTATCCCATTGATCTCTGCCGATTGACATGCCGGTGCCGCTAATCTGTCCGGACATACCATCTAACGGCAGGATCTGCCAGAACAAGCGACGGCGCATCTGGACGTCAAAAGGACCAACGCCGAGGGTTTCCGGATCGCGGTGCAAGCCAATCCGGAAAGCGATCCGCGTGGCAACGCCGGTGAGCACCCAGAACGTTTGTGGATCGTAGCGTGGCCGGACCGAGAGCAGAAAGAGGACGTAAGATTGCAGGACGCTGATGTCCGAGGTGCGCAGGAATGCGGCGTTCACCAAAGCCTGTGTGACGGCGGCATAATATCGAGCCTGTAGTTGCTGCCTGGATTGCTCGAGCCACTTCTCGCATTCCTCGTCGGACATTGCCGTAACAGCAAAGTGGTAGACAGCAAAAAGCAGGCACTCCACGGCTTTTGATGCGCTGCTTGGATTGGAGGCAGCGCGTTGAACAACAGCAAGTGCCGTGGGTGCATGGAAGATTTTGATCAGCGGTTCAACGTGCGTCAGGTAGCATCGCCACATCTTCATTGCCTGGTCGTACGTTGGGTGCAATTCAAGCAAGCTTTGGCCTGGTTGTCCAACGCCCAGGACAGTAGCTGATAAAGGGTCCAACGATAGCCGGTTGCGGTAGATCAGTGAAGGGTGGACATCGCCGTCGGCTGCATCTTCCTCATCAGAAGCATTCATGTCTTCCTCGGGCAACGAGTTCCATATCAGAGAGTCGATATACCGTGATTTGCCTTTCCCAGATAGGAATGTGCCATTTCTGCTGAGATGCTTTCCGCCGGTTGGAACCGACTGTGGCAATCTGGGCAGACTCGTTTGCACCACTTCGCGGTGAGTATCGTCGTCCGCTGGAGACGACGAATTTGACGCCTGCAGAAGACCATGCTGCTTCAGAACGTCCTCGTAGTGCTCCAGCTTCTCATGAAGATCGTCAGCAGCCTTACGCTTACGCTTTCGTGGTGGTGGGGCCTCATAATGGCACTCCAAACGCCCTTTCTGGCACGTTGAGCACGGCGGACCTTGTTTATCGCATTTCACTTTACGGCGCGCACATGTAGTGCAGGTATATGGCATGCATGGGGTAGGCGCCGCGGTGTCCTGCGACTGAGACGTGCCATTAGTAGCGGGCGCGATAGCGAGCGGTCGCATCTGTCCCGCTGTTGTTGTCATGCCTACGATTTGAGCATTGGCATGCCTTGGCGGTGTACTACGGTTTGTGGATGCATCGAATCTAAGCACGCGTACGAGCTAGTCATCGATCGCGGAGATCGATTTGCGGCTGCGGCTAAACGGTTGCGGCAGCTTTTGGGATCGGCGAACCACCGGCAGCCGAGGCCATCTGCGGATGGATAGAGTTGGGTACACTCAATAACCAGGAATCTATTTGCGTGAAGGTGCCAACTACACACCCCGCCCGAATGGCAAAGCGAAGTCAGTACGTTGGTGATGCTAGGTGATAGCTTTTATACGCTGAGATGGGCTATCGACCTATGGGACGGTGGCTGAATCGCCAGAGTCCAATGGCCAGAGTGCGTTCACTTGTTCTTCGTGAATGTATGCACCCAGCACTTTACTCATGCTTCCATGTACAGAGCCGCCAGCTTGTGAGCTATGTCACAAGCAGGTGGGCTGCAGCGTCCTCGACGATCAAGGTAAGTTATATCCGCTGCTGCCATCACTCGCAGCGACAGACCTACCGAGCGATAACACCACCGGATGCATTACGAATAGCTCACCACAAACGCCGGGCCTGACCGCCCGCAGCCTTCCAGACTGGGGGTCAGGTTGAGGACCAACTATTAGTTGCAAGCACGCTGTTGCCGACGCGTCATCGCGGTCGACCTTCGCTCGACTCTGATGTTGTCACTGTCAATGGTGACGATGTTTGTCGCTCCACCCCTTCCGGTCTGGCTCATCTCAATGAGTGATATGCGGATGCGATAGGTGCCCGGTTGGCGGATCAGCAGACTTGTAAAGGAGAAGTAGCCCAAGACCAGTGAGCATGGCTGATCGTTCGCGAAGCGGTCCGGGCAAGCTTCTGGGATCGGATGGATCGAGTCGAACAATTTTTGGCCGCTCAATATACCGGATTCCAGCGGTACTCGCTCGCCGCTGCGATTGTCTGTGATTAGAGAAGTCGCAGCGAAGAAGGCTGAAGTGTCTATACTGGCGGCGCTTATGTGTCTGTCCGCATTGGGGAAGCGTAGGGTGACTAAGACTGTGGTGTCTACCGGCATGCCGAGAACCACGGACTGAGGCGGCTGACCGATGACATCGAGCTCGAAGAAAGGCTGCTCCAGACGACCCGTGGGCACTTGAGACGCCGATTGCTTCCGCCGATGAGCAGTATCTTTCTTCGTCAATCGTCGACTTGAGTCGCTTTTAGATCGGTGGTCCGATCGTTCATCTCCCCGTAAAGCGGCTTTGCTGTCACGGCGCCCTTCCTCGTGGCCAATACCAGTATCGACGACTCGCGGCCCGTTACCCTCCCGCAGGTAAGAACGTGGCGACATCAAGCCAACGTTGAGGGGTACGCGAGCGAGTCAGAAGGATACTATGCTCTCCAGGATGAAATGCTTCTGAAACGGCGGCCCGGCGAGCAATATAGGCACCCGGCGTACTGTGGGTGAACGCTGTATGTCTATTGGCTAGACAGAAACAAGGTCTACCGCTTCCCGTGCACGCACAAGGATCTCGCGGCTCCGGGGAAGGTCTTGTTCGCTTCGAAGTTCAATAAGCTGAAGGAGGTGCGGGTAGTCTTGACGTGAAACGATCCCGCAGCTTCAGTTTGGTAGCTCGAAAGCATAAGTTCCGCTGGGACGGAAGGAGAGGGACTTCGATCCTATCAAAAGAGGCCCCTCATCTCTCTTATGAAGATTTTGTTAAGGTGCGCTTAACCGCGATTAGAGCATCCGAATGGAACACGGTTGCGCCCAGGGAGAGCGTATGCGAGTAGCCGACGTCCAAAAGCGACCATTCAACTGAGCGGGCTGTCTTCAGAGGAAACCCTTTCCGCACTGCTCCCTGATTCGTTCCTCCCTGCAGTGTTGAGGCACATAGGGCAATGCACTTTGGCTCGCTTCGATGCGTGCGAATCTAGTCGTACGGTGGCTACTGCGGGAGGCACGTCAAGAGAGCTTTGGTGGACCCGAACGAAGGGCAGGGCAGGGCGCCACAACACTACAGACGCATCAGTGACTTCACATCAGGACATCAACACCAAGTAAGGCAATCTCCTCTGTAGACACCGCCAGTATGGTAGTTTCGAAAGCCATGATTTCGAGTAGGCACCATGCTTCACTGATGAAGTCGTTCTAGGCCTTTCGGAGACGCCGTTAGGCTGGAACATTACAGGTAGTGAACATTGCGGCATCATCATAGTATAGTGAGATTCCCCAGGACTGTGCGTCCCATTGGCTAAACGAGAGTGAAGTTCGCAGAATGGACACCGAGTATCTCCGCTAATCCAGGTCCGTGTCCGCGGATGCGATCTGTGACAGGGATCAAAAACACAAATACATGGTCCCGGCGGTCCGCAAGCGATGACCTGCAGCACACGATACGGCAACACCTAAACAATACGTGCTTTCATTTGTTGCAACAAGGGTAGCATGGGCACCGCATGCTGAACCAAGATCTCTATTCTGTGCGGTTATGCTTAGTCGCTCTTCTGGGACCGCTCTGTCTCAGCCAACGTCGAAGGCGGTAAATGCGCACTGCCGCGTTCGGTACAGAACACAAGCTCTAGCCGGTAGCTACCAGTTACATACGGACTATCACGCCGGCGTGGGTGCATGATTTGCCTACTGATACGCATCTGAGGTCATCATTCAGGTATTGTCCCATACAAAGTCCAAGAGTTTGTGACCTGTCATATTTATAAGCTTTCGCACCTCCCTTGCGCCTAATGCTCTGCACGCCATGCACCGGATGCCCGGCAGAGGCACGCAATCGCAGCAAGCAACCTGCAGATCATGCAATCAGTGTACGCAACGCGCGGCACTTACCCGGTACGGCTGCTGCACAGGAACCGAGGACCGGGAGGAGGGCACCTCGTAACCCGGACTGGCTCCAGCGATCTGTCTCCATGTATGAGGCATCGCCACGACGTACGCAGCTCGATCAGATCCTTGCACAAGGCCTGCTCGTCATCTGGACATCGTGGAGGCAGAACGTGGCGGAAAGCATCCGATGAAGGGCGCCTTTCGTTGAAGGCGAACCCACAGCGTTCTGTGCGCCTTCGCTACGGCTCGGCAATGTCGCACACTCAGGCAGAATGGGTGCCACGTCCGCTGCTGCAGGTATCGAGGCGACATCGACTTGGCATAATTTGTTCCGGAAGCCCGGTGAAGTTTCCTTCCATAACGTAGAATTAGGCACATCAAACTCTACAATCTCACGCTGATCCTAAACCGACGGTAACGCCCGTCACAGTAGTGGAGACAGCTGCAGCGGTGACGAATTAAGCAGATAAATGTTGTCGGCGCGGGTGCGGTTGGCCATAAGCGCTCCACCCGCTTCACAGCCCGATATCCGCTTAATGTCATACTGAGTAGAAATATCTCGCTGCCGGCGCACACAGATCGCCGAGACTGCGTCTTCGCCGCCCTTGTCCAAGCGATTGTGACACGTCCGACGTCAGAAGAATGCGCACATCGCTACTGGAGCCAGCCACACGGGCGGCATGCCAACAGACGCGGGTTGTCCGGCCTAGGAAATCCAACCAACTCCGTCCGTAGTGGGCTAATCTCTGCAACATTTGAAAGATATGGCATTAGTGCTGCCCTGCCGAGATGCGTATTGCCTTCACGCATACAAGCGAGCAGATGAACCAGTTCGACCCCGCTCTGGTGTGTCTTGCCTAGCCATGTACACACAGCCTAAACTATACATCGGCGGTGCCTCATGACCAGATTCAGTGTTCAAGATACCTCGCTTAGTGCTCAGGCTGCGTCGAGAACGATCGGTAACGTACAGCAAGGCAATGCTGATACTCCCTTTAGTTGCGCAGTTGATGGCGTATGATCGTTGACCTCATGTTCTGTCGCGCCTCAATTGGCAACAAACGACGAGTGAGAAGGGGAAGGCTACCGATGAGCCGGCCCACAACACCATCGCAGGCAATGGTCACCTCGGCCAAGCAAGCAAGCTAAGGCTCGAAACTGCTGTCGCTCTTTGCGGGTTGCGGTGGTGCGCCACTCCGTCGCTCCACGCACCAAGTGATTTCGTTACGTCGTCTCTCTATTTGCTTCGCAGATCGCCAACAATGTTTGCCTGTCTTTCAATCAGAATTCCTCTGGCGAAACCAGGTGGAACTGCGTCTCAAGGCACAGCTGGTTTATACCATTTTTCACTTCCCGCGGCTTCCACGCTAGAGATGGCAAGTTGATCGGGAAACACTCGAGCATAGGAGTGGCCGTCATTGTCCGTTGCAGCCAGCGGGAGAACCTCTTTGAGTAAACTGGAATAGCCACAGTTAAATGCTTTGCGTTCTTTATTCGGTATCACGCAAGGCTTTCGTAAATGGCCACATGCGCTGCTCCTGCAGGGCTTCATTTGACGCGTCAGTTCAGCGGCGGCGGAAAGCTGAACGGCTGAACAATTAGCTACTCAGTGAGAATAACCACCCTCCCGCGGGTTCGGTTGGGATCGGGATATCTGGTCTAGCATGTCATGGTCGTGTGCAAAACTGGTCCAAAGCATACACTGCCAATGGAAGTCGCCCGCAGTGGTGCAGCGTCCCGAGCCAGCCACAAGCGTAGCGATGTTGCAGTCACCAAGAGCCATCTAGAGAAAAGCTAGTGCAAAGTCGGTCTTTGCGTCTGGTCATCCACAGTGACTGCGGTACACCTAGGGCCCTCAGCTAGCGACGAATATAACGACCCATAGATGTCTCACCAATGTTCTATCGAGCTTGATCTTCAAACGACAACCGTCACGAACCACAGCAAGGACATCGTTTTCATCATGCACTTGTATAGCGGCAACCTCTGCGATGCCAGCGAAGACTTCCGTGCTGCATGAGCAAAGCGAGCAGAGCCATGTATACGCTCCGAACATCAGGTCACTGCGGACCCTCTGGTACTGTAATACGGTAGGCGATGGAGTACAGATGTTGGGGTTGATCTTTGTAAAGAGTCAGAACCATGTATGAAGATCATCGTCGTGAAGTTAGCGCAAGTGGTAGATTCTCGGGCAACGTAGATAAGCCGCAAACGAAGCTGAGGTGTGGACAAGCAGCTGTCGGTACAGCAGTATATACGTGGACCTCAAGGTCTTGCAAGAAAGTCAGAACATGTTTTTTGACTTTCCAGCTCCCCCAGGCACAGGATACCGTTGAAATGCAGATACATGTACGCATCTCCGTTTCCGTGCAGGTGGATGATCGAAGCACGAGCCGCAGTGTGCCGCCGACGTCACTCTTTCCATGGTGAAGCTCCCCGCCAGCTGAAAGTGGATGATTGGAGCCGACGGGATGGTTTAGACGGTACCGCTCCTTTCTACCTTCAACGGATTGACGCTGCCTTTGTTGACTGCGGCTCACAGAGGACCCGAGTCCGCGATTGTGGTATTAGCAGCCTTATGTGCTCTGCAACGCCGATACTGAGGCTTGTGGCGGTCAAGTAACAGCACACGAGCTGTCGAAGCGAACATTGATTGCGAGGTTGACCTACTGCTTCGAGTTTGCTGAATACCGTGTCCGTGTGTGCCCTGTCGACCATGTCACTGTAGTCGGCTTATCGTTCCAGCCACTCGGAGTGGAGGAAGGACCATTGGTGCCACGCGACAGTCTGCAGCTGATACGGCAAGATGGCGCCGGCTATAGTGCAGAAGATGCTCCATCGCATGAGCCAAAGTCACGGCGATGGCGGCGACAAGGAGAACTATGCCGAACGGGAACAAGAGAAGACGAAGCTGGTCGAGTGGGATTCATCAAAGGCGCCATTGGAGCCAAGTGAGATCATCATCGATCCAGCAAAGAAGCCCGTAGGTCATTCCTCGAAGTATTTGCGCAAGGATGACTTCGAGCTCGTCAAGACGCTAGGCACAGGCACCTTTGCAAGAGTGTGGCTGGTGAAGTTTGCCAACAAGAAGGGGGCGGAGAACAACGTCTTTGCGCTCAAGATTCTGCGCAAGGTCGATGTGGTACGGCTGAAGCAGGTCGAACATGTGCGCAATGAGCGTAATGTGTTGGCTGCGGTTGCCGGCCACCCTTTCATCACCACCATGGTAGCTAGCTTTCAGGACTCGGACACGCTCTACATGCTTCTCGACTACTGCCCTGGCGGTGAGGTCTTCTCGTACCTACGACGAGCGCGGCGCTTCAATGAGTCGACTTCACAATTCTACGCGGCCGAGATATGCCTCATTCTCGAGTTCTTGCACGAGAAGGAAGGCGTAGCGTACCGTGACCTCAAACCGGAGAACATTCTTATCGACGCCGAAGGTCATCTCAAGCTGGTCGATTTCGGCTTTGCGAAGAAAATCGACAATCGTGAGACGTACACACTGTGCGGCACTCCTGAGTACCTTGCTCCGGAAGTGATCCGCAACACAGGCCATGGGATTGCCGTTGACTGGTGGGCTTTCGGCATCCTTATCTACGAGTTCCTTGTCGGGCAACCGCCATTCTGGGATCAGAACCCGATGAAGATCTACGAGCAGATAGTTGAGGGTAAAGTGCGCTATCCGTCAGCCATGTCGCAAGAAGCTCGTGATATCATCGGCGGTCTCTGCACGGTCGACGTGACGAAGCGACTAGGCAACGTCAAGGGCGGTGCAAGCACGGTCAAGGCGCAGCCTTGGTTTAAAAGCATCGATTGGGATGCGCTTTACCATCGGAAGATGCAGGGGCCAATCGTGCCGCATTTGCGCAGTCCGGATGATACAAGGAACTTTGACGACTATGATGCGGAACCTGTACATCGAGATCCGTACACCAAGGTGAGCAGGCGAGCCATGTCATTACAACGTAGCCTCGACTGACAAACTGTGGTAGGAAATGCAAACGAAGTATGACCAGATGTTCTCTGACTTTTAAGACATCACGAGATACCCCATAGCAATTACGTCGTGTCCTGGACTTGCATGAGTGTTGACAGCTTGGTGTTTTGGCATGCGCTGGCAAGCATTTGGAGGCCAGATGGTTCGCTTTACAGAACGCTGGCATTTTAACCTCTTTGGGTCGGTCACTGGGCACAGAAGGCACGTGAGGCTTCGCTCCTGCAGCAGCGACGAAGGACTTGCTGACGCCGCGATTATATTAGCAACTACAAGGGCAGAAGCTAGATAAAGACGTGCTCCGTTACGAACCATATTTAATCAACCACAGACATGGTGCAGCCAAAGAAGTGGACATCAAGACCCGAAGTGGCGGGTGAATCTTGGAATCTGGAGCCAAAACCCCCGCATCACGGATGAGCTTCCATCTTACCGACGTCGGCTTCTGGCGGTCTAGCGTACTGTGCGCTCAGCTCCTCATCTCTCTCTCGCTTGTTCCTGCTCACAAGCACTTCCGCATGCGTTACCTTTGTACGTAAGGCGCTCATGAAGCGACCAAGGGGAGATGTTGCCACGGGCCCTGGGTTGCCAGACATGGAGGCTACCTGGATCGATACGGCCATCGCCAGGTCGGAGCTTCGCTGGAGGAGCAAGTTGGACGCGGCGGGCGCTGTTGACACGCGCTCATGATCGCGGACCTTCTGAGGCATGTCGGCTCGCGTAGTATGGCCCTCCAGACTCTGACTGGACAATAGCCGCCACTGCTTGAGCAAACTGTGCCCGAACATTTTGCTTCAATTGTCCGGCAACATGGAGACCGTACCGCGTGAGTATCGAATGTTGCAACGAGCATCATCTATCTTCTGACAACAGACAAGTGTTGTCTCTCGCCATCAACAGACTCAGTTGACCTACGATGAGCTCGATCGGAAGAGCAATGCCTTGGCGCGCGGATTCCAAAGTATTGGCGTTAGGAAGGGTGACCGGGTCGCAGTCTTCCTTGGTAATAACATCGAATTTGCCGTGGCGACTTATGCAATCTTCAAGCTTGGTGGGATTCTGAACCCTCTTAACCCTTCCTTCAACGTCAGCCAGGTCATCTCGGCGGCCTCGCACCTTGGAACGAGCCACTTGATCATTGGAGCGGAAACGAATCTGATAAGGAGGCCTCCGAGAAGTAATGTGCAGATGCTAGAGCAAATTGTGCCGAATATCAAAGGGAGCAAGCTGAAGTCGGAATCCATGCCATCGTTGCAGCAGATCGTTCTTGTTGACAACTCGTCCGGACGGGTCGACACGCAAGAGCTAAGAGCTGCAGTCCCTTTCCAGGCGCTGTTGGATGGATCTGAACAGTCATTACCGGATCAAGGTCTGCATAAGGACGACGTTGTCAACATACAGTTCACGAGTGGAACAACTTCAATGCCGAAGGCAGCGTGCCTTTCGCACCGGTCAATACTGAACAATGGCATGCAGATCGGTGACCGTATGCTGCTGACGCCGGAAGATGTCGTCTGTTGTCCGCCTCCACTGTTTCACTGCTTTGGCTGCATTCTCGGCTACATGGCTACTGCTACGCACGGCTCCTCGATCGTTTTTCCTTCCGAAGCTTTCGACCCGCTCGCGACACTGAAGGCTGTACAAGAGTACAAAGCCACGGCTCTCTATGGCGTTGCAACGATGTTTCTGGCCGAACTTGAGTTGCTCGCCAATGGCACTGTACCATACGAAGGCTTTCAGCACCTACGTACAGGTATCGCAGCTGGCAGCTCCGTGCCAGCGGAACTCATGCGGAAGTTGCACAAAATCTTGAATCTGCACGAGCTCACGATCTGCTACGGCATGACCGAAACTTCTCCAGTGAGCTGCATGACACGCACAGACGATCCCCTTCAGAAACGCATCGATACTGTCGGCCGCCTTATGCCACATGTGGAGGCCAAAGTAGTCGACATTGAAGACCGCAGCAAGATACTGGGCGTCGGTGAGCGCGGCGAGCTTGCTGTATCTGGGTATCTGGTTATGAAGGAGTACTGGGGTGACCCGGTCAAGACGGCAGAAGCCATGATACCAGACCACGAAGACCCAACGAAGCTTTGGATGCTGACCGGGGACGAGGCAAGCATGGACGAAGAAGGCTACGTCAGCATCACCGGCCGTATCAAGGATCTGATTATCCGAGGCGGCGAGAACATTCACCCGCTGGAGGTGGAGAACTGCTTGCTCGCGCACGACAGCGTTCGCGAAGTCAGTGTCGTTGGCCTACCAGATGAGAAGTACGGTGAAATCGTTACCGCTTTCGTTGTGAAGGCGCAGGGCGTGGCTTTGACCGCCCAAGAGGTCCGAGACTGGGTAAGGGAGAAGCTGAGCGGACATTTGGTGCCAAAGTACGTTTTCTGGACTGACGACTACCCGAAGACTGCAAGCGGCAAGATCCAGAAGTTCAAACTGCGCGAGATGGGCGTACAGTTGCTACGCGACGGACAAGGCTTGGAGTAGTCGTATGAATGTGGAGGGCTCGCAAGCTCGCTCCGGGGTTGTGAAGTGGTTGTGCTACATTGTTGCTAACGACCTCTCGCTCTTTTTCATTGTACCGTTTCCAAATCATGCCACTGCTGGTATCTAGTAACACTCAATCAACACGCAAACACTATGTTCCTCCTTGCAACCTCTAAACGCCACCACAAATGCATCTCCGCAATCGCCGCCCTTCAGCATGGGTCCAGAAAAGCGATGTGCTGTTAAACAATAGTTGCGCCACTCAGCACTTGAGCTAGCGATGTATAACTGGTATGTGCGGCGAGTTCGCCGTCCTCCAGACAGATAAAATAATATACTTTTAAGCGCCTCCGGTAGCCCACGGCAAACGACTCAGTGGAGGGGAAGTGAAGGCGCGTCGTCGAAGCGGAATTCTATATACAGCATTGCTGTCTTGCGTTCGTGGTCGTCTATCGGTGCGCCGCGTCTTCTCCGGGCGCTTTGGGGGTTGTGTCGCGCTCGAACAGTGGCGCTCGTGTTGCGTCCGCATGATAAGGGTGCGTACTCGACGCGGTGTCTTCTCGTCGCCGTCGTTGCGCATGTCGTGCACACGGAGACTATGTTGCAATAAGTTCTATGCAGGCTGCCGTGCGTGCACTACTGATGTTGGTCGTCCTTGTTCTCGCCAATGTGGCGCTCGCTCTCTGGCTTCCACGACCCTATACGACTTGTTAGCTGTGCCATCAAGGAGTACGTGAGTCTACGATGCGCTCCATACCTTCGAACGCGTGCTTGACAAACGCCATAGGATCGTCTTCCTCCCCGGCGCCCATCTGGCCAACACCTGGCGAGAAGCTAGTAATGGGCAGAACGACCACATCGCCAACCTTCTTTGCCTGCTTGATGCCGGTGAATTGCTGCCAAGTGATGTTGCCTTTACTCGTGGCCATGTCGAAGTACTCGGCGTTGTTGAAGAACTTGAAGATCGCATCCGTCCACGCTGCTGGACCGGTGAACTCAACCACTGACTTCATATGTTCCTTGTCCAGTTCATGAGCCTGCTTTCTTCGTAGCGTCTCCTCGACGATCGTGGCTACGACATCCACGAGGATCGGATGACCCGGCTTGCTTTGTATGGTCCATTGGCAGAACTGGATCCTTCGCGAATACCAGTCGCGCCAATCCGGTCGGTCCGGATCCGCCTCAATGCCAATAACCATTCCATAGGTACTTCTTGGCACTTCCGGTGGCACCCATTCAACCGCCGACTTCAGCGCAGTTGTGTCGATGTCACTGTAGATGCCTCCTCTGGCAAGTAGGATCAAGTAGCGAAACAAGTCTGCCTTGAGCACAGGCAGCGGCAGCGCCATGTACGCTTCAACCACTTCGGGCACGCTGGCATAGAAGTGCTTGATGAGGTGCAGCGCAATGTCGTCCGTAATGACTTCGTGCACAAACGACGGATGCATTTCGGTCCATGATGCCTCTGCTGCCCTCCAAGCCTCATTGAACTCTCCCGATGAGGGTTGGTACTTCCATGTCTGCCACACGTAACCCGGGAACTTGCTCTCGACATCGTACGGGAAAGCGTACTGAAGCTGTTTCCGGAGAGGCATTGCTTTCAGCTCATCGAGCGGTATTTGCTGAATGGGCTTCTTCGCAAGCGCCACGCGTCCACCGTTGTCACCATTCCATTTGGCGCCGGTTGATGCTGGTTTTAATTCGGCAGTGGTACTTGCGCTTGCACTATCTGTCGTAGGCGGCATGAGAGATGGCTCGGGGCCGGCATTTTGTATGCTCTTATTGTCTGAGTAGCTGCCGGTCGGTTTGGGTGAGTTTATAACTATCGGGGAACGCGAGCCTGCTGAGTGCGTGTTCCGCAGTAGAAGGAGACATGTTAAGATGAAAGCGGCGACCACGAGCGCTCGCCGAAAGGTAATCATTGTAACTCCTTTGAGCCTCTCCGAAGCGAAAGTAACTGGCTATATAGCGACCAGATCGCGAAAGACCGGCTACAATGTCCGACAGCGAAGACGCTATTTGTGGTGCGGGAGTCCGTCGGGAAAGCGCTCGACGCTCGTGTGGGAAAGGGTGCCGGATGACGACGACGCTAAATGGATGAGACCCTAAAGCGCAGGGTTTGGCTGTCGATGTGTTATTGACCGCCGCATGGTCTCAGACGTGCAATGGAAAGGGAAGCGTTGTTGGCGTTGATGTGGTTGTTGGCAAGAGGATATTATGTGCAGAGTAGCATACCTTAGATAGGAGGGAGGTGGTGGAGACTTGGCGGGAAACAAGGATAATCGACGGCGCACCTTGAACTTCTTCCGGGCGCACAGAAGATGGAGACCCGCTCAAAAGGGGGATGGCGCAGTCAGTCGCGATAAGGTCAGCGACCTCCTAAGGTTCTAAAGCCCACTTTGGGCGCGGTTGTGCAAGGCTGGGTCCTTCGATTTCGTGACCGTGCAGCGTGACGGGCTGGCTGATGACTGTGATGGGTGTTGACGAGCGGTATGGGTAAGCCGCAGTGCTCGCAGTGCTGGCGAAGCAATACTTCAAAGATGTGGGTATCACGAAGATGTTTCAGGATGAGAAGCTCCGGAACATGACTCCGAGCGATCACGACGATCTTCCGAGTCAATACGAACAGAATGCGGCGGGAAGAGCAGGCAAGTGCATATCCTCATCATCGTTATCAACATGTGCACGATAGGACCCAGCCTCCGCAAGCTTCGCAGGAAGTCATCGCACTGTCTTTCACACCGCTTGCGTTACGGCCACGCATATGCGCTGCCAGACAACCTCCAACCACCCGCATGCGTTCAATCTGTGCAGCGCTGCTATATCGGCAAGCTGATCCTGCGTGTCAGCCATTGCGAGGAGCCCGCAGAGCTTCGCCTTGCGCACTGTTGCACGTACCGTGCATGAGCTAAGAACAAGGGGCCGTCCGTAATAAGCTTTCCACTCATGGCGCTTCCCTTTACCGTAAGCAGATCGCCGGTTTTCCTTAGCGTCAGCAGGACGAGCAATTGCAACTGTCATCTTGCAGTGGTTGCAGGTTACAGACATTCTAGACAGGACTAACCTTCAAATGGTTGTCCATCCTGATAGACGCCTTGAACGTGGTGCAAACGGCCAGCTGGACAATCATGTTAAACAAAGCTCTACCCGGATGCTGCGTTGCGGACCCACCCACTTGGGTTTCAACAACTGCAGCGAGCCGAAGTGGAGTACATCACTACCTCATACAACGGAGAAAGTGGAGGATGTCAAAGCGAGGCACAATATCATGTGCCAACTTGCTGTACACCTACGTATCTTAAGGAAGTACAAGTCCTGCACCACGCTGAACAGCATTCGTGTTGTGATCGGACAGCTCCTCCTTGCCTTGATCATGGTTGATGAACGACTTTTCTTTCGGAAAGAGGACAGGTCGGCACATTCTTACTGCGTCGCGCTCGTGTCTACACTGTGGCGCTTGTTAACTCACTCGTCTGCATTGCTGTTGGTATTTGCATCTCTGAGCTCTTGCGAACAACAACTCGTGTTCTGTCACTGCTTGGATGATTGGACAACAGAAAATCGATGGACAAACTTTCCATCGGATCGACCCGCTCGTGTCGTCTGTTTCACACGTGCAGGTCTACGCACCATCGCCAGCTGAGGTCGAACTCATAAAACGCCCTTTCTCTCGTAAATAGTATAGCAGACGTGAGTATGATACATCGCGACCACACCGCAGCCGTTATCAACGTTATCACAAGGCTTGACCGTTACCAGTCAAGAGTCGGCTGGCGCTACCGAACTCCTTACGCTATTTGCATCGCCGAGGAAACTCCCCTTAGATGCCAAGCGCGCGGCGAACGCCTCCTAATCTTCATGACCCGCATATAGATGGAACATTTCCCAGTCGACGAAGTCTTCGTCGGAGATCACACTGATTACGCTCCCGTATGCTCTCGGAACTATCACGAAGACCTTGGCAGGCGGGATATCGATGGCATGTGTCATTTTGTGCTCTCTGCTGCCAATATGCAGACTCTCAGCAACTTTAGGCCAGCTAGAGGGAGAGATATTGTGTCGAGAGCGTAACATGGATTGTGATCGTTCAAGCTATCGGCGATTGCGCAGCGGTATGGCTGTGTTTGTGGGAGGCTAAGATGGCCTTCAATGGGCTGAACTCAGCTTTTTCGCCTTCCTACGCCGCCTCAGGACCACTCTTGGTCCGCCTGCTCAACCACTAGCATATCCCGTTATTGGGATCTTGAACAGGCTCGTCTCTGCTCCGGGCCCTTGGAAATGAGCTCTTTGCCCACAAGTGCAAGTGCAGCAAAGACTTGGGCCCTTCCCTCACCAGCGCAGGATGCTCGTGCTTTGGTTTGACCGAAGAACCTTCACACCATCCTCACACCCGCCGGACCCGAAGTCTTGGTGCGACGTCGTGTTGCCAGCCTGTACGGCGATCCTGCATCGTCCAGTCAGGACAAGTTTGCTGCTGCAACGTACAACCACCGACCCCTGCCTCTACGAACGATCCAAGAGCCTGCTTCTCTTTCCCAGCAGTCTATACTTCCATTACCAGCAATGCAGCTTCATCTTGGGCTCATGTTCGAGGCATAGTATGCTTCCCGAAGTTGCCGCGGTGTAAGCCTACTGGAGCTGCAACCATTGCTGGGGGATTGTAGGCCTTCGGCAATGGGTATTTGAGTTGCCGAAATCGCCAAGCGGATCTGCGGCAACTCCCGGAACAAGAAAGCGACGACTTTACTGTCCATGTCTTTTCTCTGAACAGTTCCGGTCGATTGCTGGCTTCATGAACTCACTGAAGACCCACACTCCAATCATCCATGCCAGAGAAAGAGTCCATCAAAAAGTTGTTGCTGTCGGTAGGTAGAAAGCCAGACCACCAGACAGGATCGTTAACCTGGTTGCCATTGTTTCCGTTGACGGCGAAGTTGCCAATAGCGTCCAGATCGGTCCATGAGAAGTCACCCATAGTCTCATTCAAGTCGGGAGAATGCTGCAGGATTGACGCGTTCGAGCCTGGCGTAGGCCCATCACTGCCAGGTCTGTACGGGTTGGTTAGGGTCGCTGTGCTTTGAGCTCGTCTGTGCTCTTTGCGATCGACTTTGTCCCAGAGAAGCCTTAGCAGCTGCGAGTATCGGCTGCCAGGATGGTGAGAACCAATGCCAGAACGCTCAAGCCGGTTGATGGTCTCTTGCACCATCTGCCGCACCGACCGCTCTTCGTCCGCTGATAGTACGCCGGCGCACCTGGCGCGGTACAAAAAGACAGCACTGTACACGCAATACAGGTAAAAACGAAGTGGCATGTACCGCAAAGCTTTCTCCGGTTCGACGAAGGTATTGCACATGCTTAGCAGGCTCTTGGCGGCATCCAGGCCCTCGTAGATGAACCTTGCGTCACCCACTGCGCCAACATTGTTGTAGAACACGCGTTGCACGGATGGACTGCGCTTTTGCTTCATTGGTTCAGCGCTTTGGTCTTGAGCCAAAGCACGCTTCACCGTAGCGTGGAAGGCAAAGGCATTCGTGTACAGCCTTAGGTAATCGTAGCTCATGAGGAGGGTGGCTTTGAGGTTCGCCGAGCACGTAAGTGTGCCCCAAACGGACTTCCAACCGTAAATCGCACTCCGGAAGTCGTCGATGTACTTGATATAGCCGCCAGATAAGTGGCTTCGCATGCTGTTACCTGGGTTCGAATATAGCACATCGTGTACGTTGGAGAAGAGCAGGGTCAGCTCGAGGGTTGCTTGGAAGATGCTTGCGAAGTCTTCGCCGCCTGGTTCGGAGGGTGCTAGCATCGGAAAGTCTTCCTTTCGCAAAGTGGTAAGCGGTCCTGGACCCCGAGACCAGAAAGCACGGCCAAGACGTATGGAGATCTGGCGATCGCTGATATAACAGGCTGTCCATACGAGCCGCTTTCTCTGCCATTGCGGGTCCTTGACATCGTCACCCTTGACTGCGAATGAGTATCGATCTAACCCCAGGAAGTAGCCGATGCGAAGCGCAACTCCGACGTGCATCCACGCTTCGCGGTCTTCCTCACCTCGTCCTACGTGACCCGCATCACCTCGAGATGTGTATGGCGTCCACTCTGCGAGCAGCAGCAAGGCTTCGACAGCCTCCACGTTTGCAGGTCCGCCGGCCGCTAGCGCCGAGACCAAGGTTCGCATATACTCTGAGCAAGCGACGAAGACACCAGGTTCCTCAACCAAGTCCCGAGAGGCAATCACGAGGATCGCAGTCAGTAGGTGCTTCTCATCCCGGGCTGTTCGGCCGAGGTCGGCTGTGTCGAGAGTGGCCGCTGGGACAAGGGGAAAGTAAGGATGATACCAATGCTTATATCGCCGCAGCAGATCGACAATACGAGCCTGACTAAGCCGTCCGTCTCTGATCAACGGGTAGTCTAGCGTGTAGTGGACTATTGACGAGCCTCCATTCGCTCCCGTGTGGTAAGAAGGCTCGCCGTTGCTCGCAATTTGCGCAAGGATACCTAAAGCATCAGAAGGATTGAGCATTTCGTTCATTCCAAGGTTGTTGGATCCTAGGGACGACTCCCGCGTCGCACCAGGCCTGGCGAATGCATTGTTGCTGTCCGAGCGCAGAGCCGGGTCTAGAAAAGCTGCGGGACTGGGCGAGGGGACCATGTGCGGCACCTGGTTCATGTTCGCATACTGTGGCCCGGAACTGCAGAACCTTTAGCTATTATCCGGGGCGCCGAAATAGTGCAGAACACTCACAAGTCGCTCGGGAAGCTGGTATCAACACCAGGACGATCCAGCTTCGGCGTCCGTGCGGGTGGTTCCAGATCGTCCTTCACTTCAGACCCGTCTAAAGTGCGCTTTCTCACGCGACGTCCGCCACGATTGCTGCCACCAATGACACAAACCTGACCGGTGGACTTGCATCTGGCGCATGGGGTGCTTACTAGACCATCTATGATAGGCCTAAAACCGATAGGTTAGTTGGCACCAAGCAACATATGCAGGTCACCGAACGAGCATATCATGCTCCGCCCACATGCGGGAGTGGAGACGCACAGATGACAGGCGGATTTGCGCTTTCGACATGTCAGGCAAGCTCGGCTGGTCCTCTTCTCCCTGTTTGCGTCAGATGCCCCATCGTGGGCGGCGCCGCCATCGTTCACCGTCGTCTCTGGTGTGGTGCTTGCGTCCATCTTCAATGCTCTCTCGTCTGGTGTCGGAGCGGCATTTGAAGGTCAGCCGAGGAGGGCTCGCAGAAGCCGCCGCCAGTCGAGCGTGCCAAGAGATCTGGAGCTGAGCCGAGGATGTCTGACCACTACCTGCCTTCTTCCACTTCGCTCTTTCTTCATTTACTGAGTGTGGTCGTCCAAAACACCTCAGGTCTCCCCTACCGCTTTGGCGCCTGTGAGATGGCATCGTACATTGCAGACGGGTCACCATGCGGACGAAATGCAGGACGCGATGGGTCTTGCACGTACCCGCAAACGCTGCTCGTGTTTGCTCTCGCTCTGCGAGTTCGCCAAACATAGCAAAAGCAGATGTGCTCCAATTTGAAGTTGCTCGCAGAGAGTAAGCGGCACCCATCAACAGGCAGGTACTATCCGCGGAACTGTCAACACACAGCGTTGGATGGGTCCGGTTGTACTTCTGGCGCACCATGGTGGTTTCGTCGGTGTACTGCACAGCACAAAGGGCAGGCACGGAAAGCTTGGTGAGTTGGTCGAGTGTAGTTACATGGGTGAGTCATTCGCCAGCTTTCGATTCCGTTCCAGCGCAACAACTCTGTGCAAGCCCCGGCGTACATGTATTTTCAATTACCTTCCCTTGTCCACTCGCCTGATTCCCGCTCCAACCATCTCGTGTTGCACATATTTTGGCATCGAAGAAGCTCCATGCAAAGCCCAACCGAGCAGTGATTGTTGCGTCAAGCCTGCAGCCAGAACGTGGATCCCAGCAACTGCGTCTGCGCAGACACCGCCGTGCCGTGCAGGGGTAGCAAATGCCTCTTCGATGTGCTTGGGATTGCGCGCCTTCCTCATGGCTCAGAATGCTATGCGGCTGATCCCGCACCGCCGTTGTTCCCTTCGACTTCACCACCGGAGGTCCCACCTATTCTACACACACGCATCCCTCTACCATGAAGGGTTGTCAGCTATCTATCCAATCTTTAGCATGAACGAAGGTCTATCGGAGCGCTTCGGGCGCTCCAGAAATGCTATCCGTCCAGCGGGCGAATCGGCGGAGCTCTGGGTCTTGCCACCACAGCTGAATCTCCACGTGAGGCAATACTTTGAGGATGGCAAGAACCCCGTAGACGGCGGTGCTTGGCTTGAGCGACCTGAGTTCCCATCTTCGGGCGAGATCCTTGACGTCGACACCAACTCGTCTACGTCCTCCGATATCGTGGAGCTCGTGGCCAACAAGCCAGTAGGCGCCTGGCAATCTAAAGGTCAGTTTCGGATCTTATCTATTCTATTCCTCTACGAGCGCTGACCAATGGCTTACAGAGGTATATTTGAGCGCCATGTACGAGCTACTCCGCGAAGATGCTGTACGCCCACTGCGCCAGGCAGTTTCCGCTGTGCGCGGAACTCCAGCCGCAAGTGAGGACGCGTTCAACAGCACTATCGGTATCTATACCAAAGTCCACATTTGCGCTATCACTTGTTCAAATCGTGGTCTTGCTCATCGCGTCACGTTCAGCCTGGAACGCGTCGGCAAGATGATCCGCTGGGAGCAGAGCAAGCGACTCATTTCTGGCGGCATAGTTGCGTTGACTCCAGCAGATGACATGTTCCAGAAGAAGGCAATTATAGCCACAGTTGCTGCTCGACCTCTAGAAGTGCTAATGCAGAACCCACCGGAGATTGATCTGTTCATAGCACGAGCGGAGGAGATGGAGCTTGATCCGGCCGTTGATTGGGTTATGGTTGAAAACAGGTCGGGCTTCTACGAAGCCAATCGACACACGCTGACGGCACTGCAGCATATGATGCGGGAGCCGTACGTCTACCAGTGCCCGATGCTTGATGTGGAGCTGACCGTGTTCACAGATTCCCGCTTGCGGAGCACCTTGTATCAGCGCAGAGGAACGTCCCGAGCCCGGAGTACCGCCTACAGCACCCGGTGGTCGACATGACACCTGTACTCCGAAATAACAAGCATGAGACGTATGACAACGTCGACATCGTGAGCCGTTGGCCAAGCCAGCCTTCCAGCGATCTCGATGCTTCCCAGCTAGCAGCTCTACGTCGCATATTGACCAAGCAGCTGGCACTCATACAAGGTCCACCGGGTTGCGGTAAGACTTTCGTGTCAGCCAAGGCTGTGGAAGTCATACTCAAGAACCGCGCCCCAGACGATCCTCCACTGATCGTCGCGTGTCAGACCAACCATGCAGTGGATCAAATGCTACGGAAGATTGGCGAATTTGACAAGAACTTCCTTCGCCTTGGCGGACGGTCAAAGGACAAAGACATCAAGGAGAACCATACACTTCACAAAATAAAGCAAAAGAATGCCGACAACGCAGTAGCTGGCTGTCTCAAGCCCAGTGCGACGAAGAAGATGAGAGACCTCCGCAAAGACATCGCCATCGTGCTAAGCCCGCTGGAGCCGAAGAAAGTTCCGCTCGATTACCGCATGCTTGAGAAGATAGGGTTATTGACGCCCAAGCAAGCGGACAGTCTCGAGGCTGGCGCGTCAGAGTGGGTTCAGGACAACCGAACTAATCCAAACGAGGCTCGCACCTCACCTTTCACGGTGTGGTTGGGTTCTACACTAACTTCGGTGCCACCCAAGCAACAGCCAGAGGAATTTGGCTTCGAGTACGAGGAGACTGACCTTGCTTTCGAACAGCTCAGAGAGCTGGAAGCCGAAAACACAGCAAGAGATGATGAAGACTTCGAAACTCTAGACGGTCCAAGTTTCACGCTCGCGGACAATTTCACGTGCCGGAAGGTCACCGGCGTCAGCGAGGCGAAAGTGCAGAACCACTTGCAGAAGGAGCAGAACCTGTGGAAGATCCCAGAAGCCGTCCGTGGTGAGGTTTACCGCTACCTGCAGGCCGAGACGAAGAAGCATCTGCTCCAGTCGTTTCGCGAGAAGGCCAAGCAGTACAACGACCAAGCCGCAAGACGAAAGACAGGACTGTGGGAAGAAAACGAAACTGTCCTCAAGAAACACAGGATTATTGGGATGACCACGACTGGCTTTAGCAAGTATCGTGGTCTCATTGCCGCTCTCAAGCCCAAGATTGTACTCATCGAAGAAGCCGCGGAGACTCTTGAGCCGCCTGTCACCGTCACAGCTCTTCCCTCCGTGCAGCACCTCATACTGGTTGGTGATCATCGACAGCTGAGACCGAGCTGCGCAGTCAAAGCCTTGGAAGACCCTCAATGGGCTTTCAACATCTCGCTCTTTGAGCGTATGGTACAGAATGGCCTTGAGTTCGACATTCTGACCAAGCAGAGACGCATGATTCCTGAGGTTCGCCGCCTTCTTCAACCTATATACAAGAACTTGATCGAGGATCACGCGTCAGTCAAACATTCAGCCAACCGTCCGGATGTACCCGGCATGGGCGGTGTCAATTCGTTCTTCTTTACGCACCAGTGGCCAGAGCAACTGGACGATCAGATGTCTGCGTTCAATGTCGACGAAGCTGAGATGATCGTAGGCTTCGTGGAGTATCTGGTCTATAATGGCGTTGAGACGAAGGACATCACCATCCTGACGTTCTACAACGGCCAGCGCAAACAGTTCCTTTCAAAGCTACGTCAGAGACCTTCATTGTCCGGCTACACTGGTCCTGTTGTCACAGTCGACTCTTACCAAGGTGAGGAGAACAAGATCGTCATTCTTTCGCTGGTCCGCAGCAATAATAAGCTCAAGATCGGCTTCCTCAGCGTGGACAACCGTGTCTGCGTGGCGCTTTCCCGGGCACAGTGTGGCTTCTACATGTTCGGCAACGGTCAACTCCTGTACTCCTTCGACGAGACGGCGTTGAGACAGTACAAGGTGGCGAAGAAGAACGGCAAGCGTATACCCAAGCCTCACGCTCTGTGGAAGCAGGTGTTGGACATACTGGGTATGCAAATCATGCGAGAAATGTCGCCGCAAGCATCACTAACATTAAGCCAGGAAATAAAGGACCGAAGGCAGAAGATCGTCTCAAGTCGGAGCCGTTGTCAAGAGTCAGCACTACGTTGCCTGTACGCTGCAGCGTGCACGACAATCGGACGCTGATCGGGAGTTCAACAGACTGGGATAAGATTACAGGCGGCTGCGAGCTCAAGTGCACCGGGACGCTTCCATGCGGCCATGCGTGCGAGCTCACGTGCCATCCTTTCGATCACGACGTCATTAACTGCGTTCAGCGTTGCGGTAAGCCTCTACCTTGCGGCCATGGCATGTGCGAAAATGCATGCGGCAAAGTCTGCTCCTGCAAAATGTGCGTGAAAGGCCGTGGTGTGGCGAATATCACTAACGCTCAGCCGCGTGAGCACCAGTTGTTCGACGCTCTCGAAGTGGTGCGCAGTCACGCGTCCTCGAACTCAGATTCATGGAAGTCATTCGCTGAGGAGGAGCCGCTTCGCTATGCTATCGCTGCTTCTGCGCCGCCATCGCAGCGCGCAAGTCCGGAGAAGAGGGTGTCGCCCACGAAGACCCTCGCCAAGCCAGCGACTAAGGTCAGCCGGAGGGTAGAGCTTCAGCCAAATCTTGGTATAGACGGAGCCGCATCGTCAACGGGTGGGAGCAGGCTAGGGTCGATGTTCATCGATGATCTCGCGACTCTAAGCGTAAGCGGGGACAGTTCGGTGAAGCAGTCCACAAAACAGGTCACGGTGGGTGCGAATGGCAAGAATACAGAGCGTGAGGACTGGTCGAACAGGGCGAGCTTGCTTGACGACTGATGAAGATGCAGCAAGCTTGTGGAGAAGGTTCGCTCGAGATCACCAACCATGTCTCAGCCTTGAGACAGCGGATGGCGTCCGTGTAGCGACCACAACGTACTACTACTGTGGTACACTCTCTGAGTTCTACATAACACTGCCAAACAGCTACTCCTAGCCTTGATCCAGTTGCAACCGTCAGTTCGATCGCACCTTCCGTCAGTAGCATTTTTAAGGAGTGCAGGGAGTTCGCGGCAGTCCATGCGTAAAAGCATAGTTGGACATCAAAACATTATATCAAGCAACCATTCAACATCATCCCGCGGTCTCAATAGGCGCGGCAATATGTGGTATCGCTTTCCGAGCGATCGAGCGCCGGGCCGGACTTACCGGCAGAGCGACTCCGCCACCATGCTCCCTTTCGTCGAGTCGCAGCTTACCAACACTGGCTACCGCTTGTGCTACGCCAGTCGGAAGTCCGTCATCAGCAGCACCAGGTAACGCGACACTGCTGGCTTTCAACGTCTCCTTGATGTCCTTCAGCAGCAGCTCCATCGGACAGATGTATGTGCGGCCCCTTCTCGACGCCACGACGTGCCCGCAGACTTTCCCATCATCGTTGCCGACGACCCAAGCTCCAGAGTCACCACCCACGCCAAATTCGCCGCTGACGGTCCAACTGGCCGAAAAGGTGCTACGCCCGTGAATCTTGACGAGCTCCATTGTGCTTGAAATGATGCCGGATGCTAGTCCGCTTGTGCGTCCGATGCAGTGCACGCTCGAGAACGCAAGTGCTGAGCTGTCGCGGATGGAGATCTGTAAAGGCACAATCAAGTTAGCAAGTGTTTTCATCTCAGCGCCTCGAGGCAATGCTGGACAGGCGAGGGCGCACCGGATACGAGTTACCGCAACTCCGACCCATAGCGCAGTATTTCGAGCCTCCCTGAATAACATTGAACGGATGCACTCTGGGTGGCTTCAGCTTGATGAGCGCCCAGTCGATCTCCTGCGGTAACGATGCGATACCTTGGTACCCATCTCTAGTCGAGCCAACGCCGCTACGTTTTAGGCCGGAAGACGCGAAGACTTCACCAAGCGTATAAGAGCTCAGATGATCGTCGTCAATTGAGTCATCGTCGTCCTCGTCGGCGTCAGCGTGAAGGTTGCATCCAATAGCGTCATCAAGCGCAGGCTGGGTGATCTCGATCTCTTCCTCGTAGTCTTCTGGTGCAATACCAGGCAAGTCACCCTCATGCTCTTCAATGAAAGAGTCCGTATCAGAGACTGATGTTGGTCGAACAGTGCTGTCATCGTCTGAGTCGTCGCTTCCAATGCTTGAGGAGTCTGAGCCATCATCTTCAGCTCCTCCAGTGGCCCCAGCTTCTGGGTCTTGCTCCTCTAGATCATCGTCTGGAGGCTCAAGCATGTGGTGAACGCTCATGCCATAAGGAATGTCATCTACAAGGACTATCCCTCCAAACGAGACGGGTGGTAGGTGCTCTTCATCCCTATAGGCGCCGATGGAAGCGCCACACAATGGACGCTCTTGATAGTCAGGATTAGCTGCGTGGTCAACCATGGTCTCCGGCGCCATCGTTCTCCGTGCGGCTGAATCACCATGGCGCTTCGATCTCCGACAGCGCGTGATCTCCTGCGTGGTTGGCTTGACTCGCACGTCACAGATAGAAGGGTCGTGCTTGAAATGCTTTCTCAGTGCCTGCTTGACCTGCTTGGTCGAGCGGCAAGTGATCAGGAAGGTCGGTCTAGCAGTGTCTGGCGTCTCCCCATACATCGTGAGCTCTATGCTGCTGGACTCAAGGGAGCCTTTGAGCGCTCTCTGGCAGACCTTCGCAAGGTGACACATTGCACCCCCTTCCCAGTGATCGATTACCGTCTGTGGGACCCTCATTGTTGGAAAGCTGCGGCGAGGTGGAGTCTTGACCTTATCGTTGTTGCTTACCGCCATTTGTCTTTCAGCTAGCGGTGCGGTAGCCGCATTTTGCAACCGAGCACATCGTTGGCGCCAGACTTGCTGCAGCAGGATGATCTTACGCTTGTATTCCTTGAAAGAAGGCTGCGTTACTGTGCCGCTGGATTGTCGGTCTCTGTGTTGGGACACCATGGATTGCCGAGACATATGGCTATGTGTCGAGACTCTCCTGGACGCCGGTATTTGACCGGTATGTTGCCTGTCTGGATAAGGGCCCACCGACGCCGCGGCAAGATTTGGTAGCGAAGCCAGGCGTTGCGGCGCACTTGTTGGCGATGCGAAATTCTGGTTCGGATCAGACTGCTGCCTCGCTAAGGTATTGGCTTCGGGAAACGACCCGTATACACTCGACATAGCCTTAGACCCAGGTCGTGCACCAGCATTTTCCGCAAGTGATGTTGTCGTAGACGATGCTTCGGGTAGCCCGTCGTCATCGAGCATACAGCACTTACGGAGCTTACCAATAACGGGCGCGAAGACGTCATCCGTACTCAGCTTAGTGATGTTCACTTCGTCAGCTAAACGGAAGCAGGCTTGCACTGCTTGCATGTACGCCGACCCGCATCTGTGAGCCAGCTTCGGAATGTAAACCCTCTCAAGGCGGAGCTGGAAATCTGCAGGTGTATACTTTGACTTGAAGAAGTCGCTGACGGGCTTCCAGAAGCCGACCTCAAGCAAGACGATGGCGAGGCTATAGAGATCGTACTTTATGTCGTCGGCAAGAATACGATTCGGATTCTGAGGGAAGTCGGCGGGATGTCGATAGAGATTCGGGACAACAGCACGGCTGACGCCCTCGACCGTACATTTCGAAAAGAGATCGAAAGAGGCCCAAAGAGGTGCACGGATGTGCTGCTGAGGCCGCTCGGCGGCAGTCATTGTGAGGACGACACTATTGCTACTAATGTTCCCGTGAGCAAGCTGAGAGGCGTGCATACTGTGAAGCTGCTCAGTCAACCGGAGAGCCATCGTGAAGCGGTCTTCGAGAGGCGGTGCGTCCAGTTCTGTTGGAGATGCTTGCGACTTGCTGGCCTTTTGTATCAGGTTCAACAAGCTGCAAGATATCAGGTTCTGCGGTGCTCTATGCGAGTTGCCTTGTAGCTTGTTCTGCAGAAGGTACGGCACGTCGTAAACAAGGCCTAACCGTGGCTGGTCTGGGTCTTCGAAGTAGCCGAGCAAGCTAAGATTGGTCTGCGACTCAGCTCGCATCGGTTGAAGGTATGCAGCCAGCGCCTCGAGTCGTTGTAGAGGCGGAGGCACGTGAGTGTCGCGATAGACAGTGTCGAAGTTGGCGTACTCTACCAAGACCGGGACTTCTGGCGCACTGCTCCCAAGTCGACTTTGTACGCCCTCTGACGCCCTGCAGCGTATCAGACGCGCCGTCGATCTAGTTACCCATGGGACACCTTGGCTTTCGTACGCAGGCGGTGTTTCGTTAGGCAGACGCAATGCTGCAGGCTCGATACTGGGTGGTAGACCTGCGTAAGGGGAGAGGGTAGGCCTTTGAAAGGACGGATTGACAAGCGTGACCTCAGAAGGTGCGAAGCTAGGCGATCGGGGCAGACTCCCGCGGACCACCGAAGGCTTGCCAGTGTTAGACTGTTGAGTGGACGTGGACCTGAAGCTCGGGTGTTCACCCCGAGCAAGCGCACGACGCGACCTGGACAGGTCGTACAAAGTGTCAATTGAGGTCGTTAGGTCGTTTAGGAGGTCTTCATATCGTGCTTGGTCAAACGTGACCGGCTTCACGACTGCTTTATCGCCACCGAGCCCAATCCCGAAGCTGGCTTGCTGAATGCGCTCTGCCTCCTCCGTCACTTCCTTGATATTCCGGAGTACGCTGTCCACGGTCTCAGTAAGTCCAGCGCGGGCTACGGCATCATCAATGTTGCCATCGGCGCCTTTCTCATCATCGCTCCAGGCCAGACCCCATGTAATCAAGCGGTCCTTCTGGATTTTGAACTTGCGTCGCAAGTCCGGGAATTGTTCGCCTACAGACGACTGCCAGTTCACGCTCGTCAAAGCACTCTTCTTGGTGTCGGAGTAGAGCTGGGTCAGATGGCTCGTTCGCATATGCGCGTGATGCGCATGCCTGTACGCTTCCATTGTCTTAGATGCATGGATTCGCGATAGTCCAAAGGTGGTATTCGCAAGGCGGCTTCCCTCAATTCAAACATACATCATGCGGACAGTCCTAGAGATGATAGCATTATTGAAGCTGCGAGATGAAGATTGGCCCCGAGGCATCTCTATTTTGGTTAATCGGCGGCCTAGATTGAGGTGCGGAAAGCTGCTGCCTTGATGACATTCCGGCTAGCGTGGCGTCGCCGATCTCCACCTGAGCCCTCAGCCACACCATGAAAGTCTGGCACCAGCATGAGAGACAAGACACGCTTACATGTAGCAAATATTCACCTGCAACGGGTGCATCTCTTCGGAGTGTCCCAGGCTCACAGGAAGAATGGAGCTCATGTTACGAGTGTGATATATGCCAGCAGCCGCAAGTCTACTTTGAGGCCGATTTGGTCTCGCGCGTGGAAAGCGCAGTAATGGCAGCAACGCCCAGTGTCGCCGTTGCGCCTGCTCTGATCACAGTCTATCCTTCCCGTTTGAGCCATCCGAAGCTCAGCCGGCTCCAGCAACCCTGTCATGTCCCGCGTATCTCTCACACGGAACAATTAGGTCACGGTGTATCCGCCATCCACTCTGATGTCCGCTCCGGTCACGTAGCCGGATGCGTCACTGCACAAGAACGTGACGGCACCCATGAGATCTTCCGGCCGACCCATTTTACCTTGCGGAATAAGGCTTGTCCACTTGTTCGCAAGCTCTGGGTTATCGTCGAGGATCTTCTTGGTACTGCATGGAAATGTCAGCTTGCTTTGATTTCCACCCGGCAGAATGTCGACAACTCACAGCGCAGTAAGCATGTAGCCTGGGCTGATACAGTTCACGCGGATGCCAGCGTGTGCCCACTCGACGGCAAGCGAAGCCGCCAAATGCCTTACGGCGGCCTTTGCTGCGTTGTATGGAGCTTGCGGCTGTGGCACGTTGACAATGGCACCGCTCATACTGCCAATGAACACGAGACTGCCCGGTGCCTTTCGCTCCATTAGGTGCTTCGCAACGCCGATAGCGAACAGATATGTGCCGTTGACGTTGACACCCCACAGCTTCTGCATGCGGTCGTGCGGGTATGAGATCGCGTCGAAGTTCTCCGTGAAACCGGCGGAAGTGACGAGGTTGTCGATCTTGCCATGATCACTGATAATTTCCTCTAGCGCCTTATTGACCGAGTCTGGCGATGAGACATCGGCGTAGTGAGCCGTTACCTTAGGAACTTGGTCCGCGCCAGGGTTCTCGGAGCGAAAGTTCTCCATGAGCACATCGGCTTGCCTTGCGGCTTCGTCCTCTGTGATGGCCGTTAGCTAAGCTCTTCGCCGCAATTATACATCATGGTCATACTATTCAGATCCACGATGGCAACGTCTGCACCGCTCACCACCAATGCTTGGCTCATCACCAAGCCTAGACCTCGAGCACCACCAGTGACTACACCCACCCTGTTTTCCAAGCTGAAGCTCGCTAGCGTTCTCTTAAAGTGAAAGCCACCTCGTCCCTGCACAGGCTTCGAGCTTGGGAGATTGGCCTCTTCGGGGTACTCAACCCTGATAGTGTTGTCCGTACGCGAGAACTGACCCTCATGTTGAAAGGCGCCAGGCTTGCCAGCAGTGCTGAGCTCATCGTGCTTGTCAGAGTCGTCCTGAGACGAGTCTCGCTTCAGCGACTGGACGTTGCTGAAAGCTCGAGTCGCGATAGGTGTGGTTGAGCAGGTGGGCGATCGGATGGCAGTGGCCGAAGCTCTCGAGACTTGCCGGAGTAGATTGTTCTTCATCGTAGCTGTTGCAGCGAGTAATTAATACGCGTACGCTCCACGCAACGTTACGAATACGCATCCTACCTTTAAACCAGAACGAACTGATAGGCGCGTATCAAGGATGCTCAGTGATCCTAAGATTTCGAGGTGATGCAGGCGTGGAAAGTCGCGTTTAATGCAGGTCCTTTGGCGGCTCTTTTACGAGGTATCAATGTTTGAATCTCAGGTACGTAGCCGCCCGAGATAGCTCCCCCAACATTATTTTTCCGCTACCGCAACAGACTTTACGTCAGTGTTCAGGGCGGTGTTCGAGGGTCCGGCGTGGAGTGTGGAGCAAGCGTGTCGATCATTGGAAAGACCCACGTGTTTTAGGCAAAGTGAGCGTGGAAGTCGGATATACTTCGATTGAATGTACGTTAGGTGACCATCAGTCGAAGGTTAGATATCTCGGCATAGAAATCAACGCTTTTATGCTGGGCTCATTCACCACCGTCGCTACCCTCACCTCATCATTGCCGCGCCACCTAGCCTCCCATTGAGCACTGTACCGTGGCTCCTCCTCTCATTGAACGCTGCAACAGCAGCGGCTACCAGGCGCACGTTGGCCGGCGCATCAAAACAGCTAAGCTTCTGTTGCAGAAAGCGGAAGCACGCCCCATTTAAACAGTTCTTGTCCGCAGAGACGGCGTCCAGCTCCCACGTTGTCCACTCGGACTTCCAGTATTTGGCTGGGTAGCCTGCGCCGAAAGCAACAGCCAGAGCGTTATTATTGAGATAGGAAAACTTGTTGTAGTCGGCATCCCCACCATGAGTTCGACACTCGGTCGTGTAGCCGTCGTTGTTTGAGCAAGATGCTTCAGGAGTGATCAGCAATACGCTCGCCGTATCAAAAGTGAGAGTGAGTGACTTTCTGATCGCAACTGACAAGCTGGGCTGAGTCGAGCTTGGATAGGTCCTTAGCGCCTGCACTGTGAGGTGCAAGCTGCGCCTTCGCCAGTCACCAGGATGCAACGCTTGTAGTGGCTCTTCTCCTTGACCGACCTGAAGACGCCTACAGCCATACCAGTAGCATAGCCGATGGAGCCAAAGAGTATTTGGATGATGTAGAGCGTACCAGAAAGCAGCTTCGCCTCTGCCAGCCCATACGCGGAGGTACCAGTCGCACCCACGACACTATCACCAGAACGGGAGAACTTAGCATGGGTCGGCCAGAGGTAGCTCTGTGTCAAATGCCCTCCTTTCTCCGGGTTGTTGAGCGGATATGGATCCCAGTCAACCTTCTGCATGAACGCTCTTTGCTTGGGAGATGTCTTAAAGGACTTGATCACAGCCTGGAGAACGTACTTATCTTCAGATCCTACCTACAAGCTCTGATACATGAAGAACCGCTGGAACTGTTAGTTGCACCGGCTCTAAGGTCGTGAGTAAAATCACCAGTATTGACATCGCTTGGAAGAATCGAGGGTAGCTAGCTCGTAATATGTCATGACATGAGATACAGCTGGCAATGTTATTGACAGGGCCTCGACAGCCTACCACCTAGGAACCCCCCGTACTGTCAAGACGCCGAGCTGTCTCAGGCGCGTGAAGATATAGCTGCCAATTTTGACCTGTGACATTATTGAACCCTGCTATTACCACTGCTCCGCATCGTCAATCAGTGGTAAATTGTGCCTACCAGAAAGTTCACGACATGAAACGTTCATTATCCTCGACGCCTCGCAGTGTCAACACGGAGTAGATTTACGTTGCCGCCCGATCACGCATCTGCGGCTGACCACGCCTTCCCGGTTCGTCATCAAGCGACTCGAATAATGGCTATGGATGGGGATGTTTTATATGGAGGCGTTGATGGGACACATTTCTATCGTATCCGCAGTTAGCCAAGACGGTTGCTGTCGTTGACATACCTAGGTGACTGATTGTAAGGTACGATCGCAAGCCATGAAGACGAAGATGAAGTAGACGGAACGTCCTTCGTCGTGGTCTTATGCCGAACTCAAGCTTTCGGCTTACTGCAAAGCCGCAGCACAGAGCCTCGGCCTGGATCGCTCATGCTGCGGCGACTACCTCTAACGACACACCACATGGGTCTGCCATAACCGAGTTGCCATCTTTGAGCCCCCACGCCAGGAGATTTAACGGTCATCGATCTTCACATCGAGAGAAGAGGAAGTAGTCACATCGGGTCAAGTTCAAGGTACCGTAAGCAAGAGCGCACCATACGATGGAGTATGGACCCTTGGCGGCGCTCGTGCTTCGATGATTGCGCCCAGCCGCTAAGTTCACCATTGTCACAGCTCCGCGCGGCCCTCATCTACCGCATCAACACAACACTTTGACCACCAGCATCAATATCACAAGGCATCCATAGCTACCACTCAATCGTCACACTGCGACTGACCACAACAACCATGCTCGGCCGTACAGTCGGCCTTCTCACGGCTTGCGCCGTCGGCGCCAATGCCCTTATATTGCCGCCTGGCGTAGCTTCTTTCAGCCCTTCGACAGGAATCGATACGGTTGCCAACCCACAGTCCGCTCGGATCAAACTTCCGTGCTCGTCTTGCAACTGGCAATACGGCCACCGGGATCATGGTTCCGACATCTCCTTACTACGGTCGGGAAATCGTAACAACAGCCTTCTGCTGAAGTTCGATGTCACGGATGACGGCAAGCAGCTAACGGTGAACGGACGCCATATATACCCTCCGCCGTTCGCGGATGGCGATAGGCAGCTCCAAGTCAAGCAAACTCCTTCTGATGGCGAAGTCGCGATCAATGACTGGCTTGTGCCTATTAACCTGCTTGCAACCATGTACAGTCTGGAAGAGTCAGAGGAGGAACCCCTCACGCCGGAGGGTGACGTCCTGAAGACTATCAAATTTGAAATCTGGGAGCTCAATGAGGAGCCAGTAGACGCAGACGTGGCGCAGGTGAAGATGTTGAGGACAAGTGAGGGTGACCTACTCATCATGGAAGCCACTTCTGTGCCTGCGTCTGATAACTTGGCTGTTGGAGATGCACCATTGGCGCTCCCTCCGCCAATCTCATATGGCGTTGACAAGCACGGCCCACTGAGCATGGAATGCGATGGCCTACCAGCGCCAATTTGCAGGATCAAGGAGGAGATCGAAAAGGCGATTGAACGCATTCGCAAGCCTAAGGGCACATCAAAAGGTGGCTGTAGAGGCCGCAAGGGCAATCCTGCAAAGAGGCCAGGTCACATGAGGCCTCCGTTCGGTGCACATGGCGAAGAGGGCAAGCATGATCGCCCGCACCATATGCGCCCACATGGCCAACATGGTCACGGCGAGCATCGCGGTCATCACGGTCGCCATGGCCACCATGGCCACCATAGGCACGGTCACAATGTGCTACACGGCTTCGTAAAGGCGTTCATGGCAGTGTTGATCCCGGTGATGGCAGGCATCGCTGTAGGCATGACTGTCAGTCTCATTGGCCTGGTTGTTGGACGTTTCGTGAGCTTCGTTTGGATCACTGTCGTTCGTGGTGGGCGTCGCGGCAACGCTAGCGAGGTCGCTCGCGTCGACGTGGCTGAGAAGTGCGAAGAGAAGTCGCTGCTGGCGGAGATGGAGCCGCCGCCAGTCTACGAGCACGCGCCCGCATACGAGGATGTCCAACGTGAGCAGAGCTGAAGGGCATTGTTGAGCAAAGTGCTGGATGACGTACTTATGCATAGCTTAAACGATGTCCACGATGGAAGAGGGAATGTTTTTAGGTTTTGTAACGGCTCTGGTCGTCGGGCGTAGTTACGATTGTCAGTATAAGACTTTTTTCGTTCATAGACATGTTGTAACAATGAACACTCCCGATCAGGAGCACGTATGCACCAGGAATGGGAACTTCGGATGTGGGCGGGAAGCTTCGATAACCAACTTGTCCACACTCCTTCCCTTCGCTACCCGGATGCCGAATCAGTTAACTCGCTAATAGTGTAGGTCTGCCTCAGCTCAAGGTTTAACAGTGGACCTGCAGAATGCCGGTAAACCTAGGCAGCCGCATACCGAGGCTTTATTCTTGACAGATTAATGGTGTCCCGTGGGAAGATGCGCCAAAGTAGCCAATCCGAACGCTCGATTCCAGTCGACCGCATCCAACCTTGCTCAGGATCGCTGATATCGGCGAGAGTCAAGTCGATCGAGGAAGACCCGATCCCGACGTGCGTGGCTGCCATGCATCGGCTTGTCGATCAAACGAACGCTTGTTCACGAACCACCACCAACCTATGGGAGCGGGCAAGATTTGAAGCGAACGAGTCAGCGAAGGCCGCGACCTTCATGTCAACGCGTGGGGGGAGTACTGAAACGGTCTGTTTTACAATGCTGGGAAACCGTCATCGTCGCTGCCAAGTTACTCAAGGCAAACAGTAGTTGAGCCGCTGTCCACCACTGGCCCCTGGTTAACGACCACAAGGCTTAGCGCCTGTGTCAGAGTTCACCTTTGAATGCCGACAACCGGTGGCTCACAACGATTCGTAGTTAAAGTCCTCTTGCGTAACCTGCATATGCGGTGGGTTCCAGCAAGCTTTCGATGACAGACTTCTGCATGCCTTCTAGCTTTGCAACCGTGTACTTTGCCATATGCGAAGGTTGAACCTTGAGTGATGTTAGATGCAGTGCATGGGCGCGATTGCGTGTCTCACGGATCCCTGCGGTATCACCTCCCGCCAATTTCGCATGCCTTGGAAGTAACGAGGGAGCATATAGGCGATATTGACCCTGGTCTTACTTGATCTTCCATGGCGGCGGTTATGGACACTTGATATTGAACACGGCATACAACAACATACCGACTCTCGTTCAACACTACCTTATACAAGCGATCATCCCTATGCGATCGTACACCTCTATAACTAAGGTGTCATTCATTCGTTTGCCATTGACCGCTTAAGATATCTACAACGACGTTGCGATAGAATCGCCACTTGGACAGCCGCAACTTCCATCTCGGACGCTTCGCCGCGAACAGCCGTATATCTGTGATCCAGCAACGACTCCCAACAAAACTCCTCGCGTTAACAACGACTTACCAACAGTCTACCATCCCCACCCAGGCCCGTCACGAGCAGATCTGGGCGTCACCACGCCTCTAAGCGTCTCTACAACGCATCTTTGTCTCACCTGCGTGTACATTGCCACCGAGGAGATGGCAGCAACGACCTGCTCTTGCAGCCACAGCATGTTCGATGGCCGCGGCTGTTGCCCGGCATGCTTTGAGCGACAACACCAACGCCATTATCGGCTGTCCGGACGCCGTGAAGCCCTTCGTGAGCCCACGCAGGGCGCACGTCGGTCTTCACCTTCCGCAGTTGCCGTCATCAACGAAGCTTTTCTCCATGGCGAGGACGAGGATTCTCTGCATTTGCTACCTGCCCATCTCTATCGCGAGCCTAGAAGGCGTGCATCCACGCGGGCATCCAGCTCTGCAGCAATTCCAGCCCGGACGTTGGCCTTCCGCCATCAGGATGACCAAGTGGGACCGGTGGTGGGACAGTCTGTGAGTCGAGGCTCAAGTCCATGCGCGACTCCAGTACCCAGCCGCATCGCACAGGACAGCCCGCCGTTCGTGACTCCTCGACACAGCGATGAGCATGCACGTCCAGAAGCGAGCCAGCTCGCGCGGCCGCAGACGCCAGATAGTGGTAACGGTGTCGGGATGAAGACCGATGCGTACTCGCCTATGGCTGCTCCATTTGCGAGCTTGCGACACAGAGAGCTATCTGTAAGCCCTAGGAAGAGAATGGGTGAGGCTGTGAAGCAAGAACGGACAAGCCTGGAGATGGAGATGCGGTTGTTTGACGGGCCCGCCTAAATTACTTGGTTGCCGGATTTTGTGAAGCGTTCGATAGCGAGTAAGGTGTTGGCGGAGGTTAGATGTTGGATTCTAATGATATCAAGACCTGTCCAGTGCTGGGCGCTGCCAGAAATTACAAGATTGATGAGTCGGTGTTGCTATTTCTTCTCATCCTTCCCACGACTTGAGTACATCTTCTCCGTCTTCTCACTCTTCTCATTCATCTTCTTCCCCTCAATGCGCTCCAAGGCATCTTCTATCATGCCAATGTGCCCGCGTAGAGTGCCCTCAAGTTCGTCCATTCTCGCTTCGTGCTCCTGCAGGTTGTACTCATGGTGCGATTTGAAGTACATTGTCACTCCACCGAGGGCCGCTAGGTTGACGAGTTGCAGCAGTGCAGTGGGGGAGCGCCAGGATGCCATTCTTGATTGCACGTGCTTGTGTATGGTAGATGTGCTCAGTACAGAAAACAGGACTCTCTCCGTACTAACCTCGGCCCATGACGAACAGACTCTCTGATTGGCTATGGCAGACGCTGCGCTAACGGACGGCTGTATTTGGAAGCTCGGCAAGGACATAGCACGTAGACGCTGCAGACGTGCACTCACAAGGCTACCTACTGCAGTAACAAGCACCTGAAGCATTGCAACAAGGTCTGTTTATGTTTACCATGACCTGACCACTTCAGTATGCTGCTCTTCAGAAACAACCTCGCACGTTGTTGTCCGCAACTACGTGAACCGACCGCTGATATCACCACTGCATAGTAATGATACCTGCTAAGCATTGCTGCAGCGCCCGATATTGCGATGGCTGTAGCAGAGCGTTCTTTGCTGGGAGTCGGCTTGGGACAAGTCACAACTTTACTGGACTTTTATGTAACTACACGAATATGAATGCCCAAAGACGCTGCTGATGCGATGCGTTCTCTCTCTTCCGCACTGGAGTCACCCTCTCATCCGGCACATAGGCGAGCCTAGCATGCCTTTACTAATCGGTACGACACCAAGCGAGCACGCTGCGTAACCATACCTCCTGCCCTTTCCGGCCAATGCTGGCTGTCAAGCGACGATCGTTGCACGCAAAGTACAATCACCGGGCGTCTGTTCGATTAGCTAACCAACGCCGAAGCAAACGATCAAAACTGCGTGATGTTGCTGGCTCGATGGGTTGGTGCCGTAGCTAGATTGCGAGGCCTTTATCAGTTTCCCAAACCTACTTCCCACTGCGGGCATCTGGTCGTTACTCACATACTTCTTGCTTCAAGCCTCTCCGTGGACGATCATCATGGCCTCTTCAACTCCGAAGCTGCCATTGTTTGATCACAAAACAATCCACCTCCTCGCTTACGCAGTTCTCCTCGGTAGCAACATGCAGCAGACCTTGATGAACGGACCGATGGGCTTACGAGTCCTCACGAGATCTCAGTTCAGCATTCTGCAGCAAAACATATTCCCACCATACTTTACAGGTCACGCACTATTCTCGTTCATCACTCTCGCCACGGCTCCGCAACAAGAGCTGTCCCAGCGAAGTAGCACATTGGCGCCTGTGCTGTTCCACGGGTTGCTTAGTCTAGCCAACCTCCTCTACGTCGGGCCGCAGACGATCAAGGTTTTGCGGCAGAGGACTCATCAAGGTTTGTTTGGCGCAAGCGGCTCGTGGTAAGCTGTAGTTGGCGTACGCTAACATGAAGCAGAGACTATGGATGGCAAGAAGTGGGACGATAAGGAGCAGTCACCGACAATGAAGAGCTTGAACCGTTCCTTCGTAATCTGGCATTTTCGGAGCTTCTGGATGAATAACGTGGGGTTGGTAGCGCTCGTTTATTATGGAACGTTACTTGCTCGGAGACTGAAGTGGTAGCCTGTTCGCGAGAAGACGTGTAGAGGTATTAGGAGGGAATGGCTGCGCTGGGAATGGTCTTCTATGCTTCTACACTTCTAGGTACAGGTAGATCATGCTGTCGACGCGCTTAACCCATCTTGGCCATGAGCTTCTTCTGCGCCTCAGCGTTGACGAACTCGACGGTGTGGGTGATCTTGGAGTTGTCCTCGTTGAAGTTGAGGACGAAGAAGGACTGCACCGGGCCGAACTCGTACTCCTTCGAGATGAACATGGCGCACTTGCGCTGCTCGACGTCCTGGATGGTCTGGAGGACCTTGATCTGTGACAGCCAAGCCATTAGCATTGACCTTTCTTGGGTAGGGTGGTTGCTGAGAGAGTATCCTTACCGGCACAGCCTTGCCGCCGAGGGCGGAACCCATCTTCTTGGTGATCTCGGCCTTGCCGGCGTTGTCCTTGGACGGCACGCCCAGAGACGAGGGGAGGAGGTCGTGCTTGGCGTCCGAGGCCAAAACGGAAGTCATGGCATCGGTGTCATAGTTGGACTGGGCATCGATGAACTTCTGGGCAAGGTCCTTCTGTTGCTCGCGGGCCATGATTGCGGTGGTGTTTGGTGGACGTTATATGGTTGGTGAGTATGTGCGTACTGCTGACAGGATTGTATGATGCGCAAGAGATAGGAAATGGAAAAGCGATAATGTAGGAACTGGGAGAGATGGAGCTCTTTATCCTCACTCACGATCACCGTGCTGAGAAGCCCTGCCACGTACGACTGCCGTGTCAACATACGAATGGTCGCTGACCCGCAGACCGAACGTGTCCATTTGGCGGCCTAGTGAGGCCGAGGCGCCTGTTCGTCGAAGTCCATACAGCGAATTGAGGTGCTAGCCATTGGCTCGAGGAACGGTCAGACCCTAGGCTGGCGGAGCGACGTCGTCAGTTGTCTGGCGGTGAAGTTGACCGTGCCATAGACGATGGGTTTGGAGTGTGACGAAACCCACCGTCGAGCGACTCGCCCCTGCAGGTCTGTGAGCTTCGGTGGGTACGTGGAGAACGTAGAAGGTGTCCCTGCATGGTTTGGTGTTTGGCGGAGATCATCCGTTTACCGCTTTTCCACTGGTATCGGCCCATCTGTGTCCGCTTGGACGCAAGTTGGGCCAGATCGAAGGAAACACGTGCGAGGAGCTAATGCGTTTCGCTTGAACGGCAGCATGAGCACGCTTCCTTGCGCGCCAAACAACCTACAGCATCCATATCATGCACTCGCAGTGTTTGACGCCGTTGCTAGTTTTTCCAAACTGCTCGAGCTACGGAGCATTTAGCGCGTGGTTCCTGCATTGGCGAGAAGGTGAGGTTGCAGGACGCTTTAGCCGCTCTGAGAGCCGCCTATGCGCCTCGACCATTCAACGTCGGTGCCGGTTGGATACCACTACCGAGAAGCCGATGGCGCTCACACAGACGCTTTGCCAGGAGCAACGACGCAGAGAGGCAGGATGAAGCAGAGGTAATCGATGGAGCACAGTATATACAGTAGTAGTACTCTCCTATGACAGGTGCTTTTCCTAGTTGAAACAAAATCTGCTTGACACCAACGCTTGTATGCCTGCCTCCAGAGAGCTGGGTATCCTTCGCTATGCAAAACAGTACAACGCTCCAATGAATCAAATCCAAAAACTCTCAAACCTTCTCATCCGGAGTAGAAGGCTTGCTTGTAGTCTTCTTCCCATCACCACCGGCACCCAGCGCATTCTTGTCCTTCAAACTCTTCCACTCCATCCCCAGAGCGCCGATAACCGAAATGCACGCGACAATCAACGCCACCTGGAACACCTTCCGGATAGCTAGGTTGTACACCTGAAGCAGCTCCGGAAGCTGTGCAGCGGGAACTACACCCCGAATATTGGTAGCGCCGGTGTTGATGATTTCTTGCGAGCTGAGTCCCGTGTCGAATTTGGTCAGCTGAGAGACCAACTGCGTGTCGAAGACGTTCTGGCTGACGGAGACGAAGATGGCGCCGGAGAATTGGCGCATGAACATCATGAGGGAGACGCCGAGGGGTACGTCTTTGGGCGGGAGGACGGTCTGGGCGGCCATGGTGCCCTGTTGCATGCCCAGGCCTATGCCGAAGCCGACGAGGATCTGGTAGCCTATCCAGGTGGGCGAGCGTGTGTTCACGTTCAGGGTGTTGAGAAGGCCGGCTCCAATCGGCACCACGACGGCGGATGCCCATGCCATGGCGGTGTAGTAACCGATTCTGCCCACGATTTGGCCAGCCATGATGTTGCCGACGACCAAGCTCAAGACTAGTGGGATGGTGTCTATGCCGGATCGGACGGCTGACGTGCCCTTGATAGCCTGGAACCAGATTGGGAGGAAGTAGGTCAAGCTCAACATGCATGCCGAGACGCAGAAGGTGTGCAGCATGCCGAAGATCATGCTCCGGTTGCGGATGACGCGTGCTGGGATGGTCGCTACGTTCTGCATGAAAATTTGGACGAGCACGAAGCCGACCAGAAGAAGTCCGAAGAAGAGGTACAGGATGATCATTCGCCAGTTGCTGTATTCATAAACCGAGCCGCCCCATTGTAGAGCGATCAGTAGGCATACGATGCAAGGCAAGAGGCAGATCTGTCCGACGATGTCGAGTTTGGCGAGTTGTTGGCGGATTGAGAGGCCAGATTGCACTGCTGGTGACGGCTTGATCAGGAAAAGGACCACTACGATAGCGACTGCGCCGATGGGTAGGTTGACTGCGAAAGACTGTCAGCAAGATGACCCCTACTTGAAGGGTGTGCGCGGGTGCTTACTGTAGAAGCACCACCGCCACGTAACATCGGTCGTGAACGCTCCGCCAACAAGAGGTCCTACGACGGAAGCCACGCCAAACACTGCACCGAATAGGCCCATCCACATAGGTCGTTTCGCCAGCGGCAGAGTGCTCAGCATCAGGATAATGGCGCCGTTCATTATGCCAGCAACACCGGTGCCAGCGACAGCACGACCGACGATCTATAAGCTGTCAGTACAATATCAACCGGGTTGATCGTAGGATCAGACTCACGAAAGTTGTCGAATTAGGCGCCGCGCCACAGATCGCCGAGCCAATCTCGAAGACGAGGATCAAGAGCATGAAGACATACTTGGGCGTGTAGAACGTGTAGATCCGACCAAACAGTAGTTGGAAGCAACTCGCCGTCAGCATGAAAGCGGAGCCATACCATCCAACATCGTCCAAGGAGTGAAACTCGTCGGTCATGCGAGGGATGGCCGTCGCCACGATGGTTTGGTCCTAATTGCAATGTCAGTCGCTTGGGAAGACATTCTGAGTTGATGTCTTGACTTACAATCGCAATTAGAAAGACAGACATCAACAGCGCACTCATAATAAGCAGCTGTTGTCGAAACGGCGGAAAGTCGCCTTCGGGTTGCTCGCCAGGCGGGCCATGAGCGGCCACCTTCTCAGCTCCGACTGAGCCATCCTCGAGTTCAGACTTCGCAACATCTGATCCACTAGATGCCAGACTATTCGATTTGGTCGTCGTGACGTCCTCAGGTTTGCCGGTCGATGTATCAGTAACGGCTACAGTGGCCTCGACAACAGGGGCAGTAGGCACGGGTTCCTCCGCTTGCTTGTCGGCCTTTGGCTTCGAGAAAGGGTTCCGCATCTTGGACTTGGCTTGCTCGAAGAGTGAAGGCTTGACGTGTGGCCACTAGGGGAAGTAGGAAAGCTTGGTGCTGCTGTGCGGGTAGGGTAATAAAAGCTTGCCTGATGAAGGGAAAGCAGTCATCTTTGTAGTCATTCGCCCTACGGACTGTTACTCACCCGTCCGTCGCCAGCACGGAAGTTAGGAATGCGAGGAGAAGGCGTACGGCGAGCGTGCTCGGGTCCGAGGCTGTTGAGCCAATGGGAGCGATGCAGACGGCGCCAAGGCCAACACCATCTCCCGGCGCCGATGCTTGCTTCCGAGCGTTGAATACGTTTGATTGGTCAGCTCGGCAAGTAGCTGTCGAAACGGGCAAAACGGGAGTGTCAACAATGCCATTGTACAGTGAATGACTACTACTGTATACATGACGCCACAAAGCTTTCCAATGCAGCCGAGTGTCATCCATGTCGGACACTCGGCCGCGCGTGTCGACACACGTCACAACGGCCTTGCCGCATGCTCAGGAACGCAAGGTCAACTCCTGGCATCCACTTGATACCGATATGCTGGTGACAACATCGAGAACTCACCATCCATAGAACCCGAAGACTCACTCATATACTGACTATCAGCTGGAACGGTATACCGAGCGAAGTAGCACCCAATCAAAGATGAGCTGGATATATTCACAGCCCTATGTTCCTTCACTGCCGCTGCTGATTACTGACCTGGGGAACGGGAACGGAGTGGAAGGATTAAGGCAGTTGCTCCATGGTTCATGAAGATTTTCCTCTGCCCATGGCTTACATATAACAATGTCTGATCTCTGGTTGTCTTTTCATCCGTCGCAGCTCGTCCCCGGCCAGCAAGCGCGTCAAGCTCGGTTACGATGACTCTATCCAAGCTAATGCGAAAGCGAAGCCCGTATCTCCCTGATCGATCGGAGGTGCGGTGTTCAATGACTCACTCACGGTGTCCTCCACTTCGTTTGGCGACGATAGTGTGTAGCCTCCCGCGCTTTAGTTAAGCGTCATATTTGCATGCTTCACGAAGTACACTCATCCGGTGCTCAGTCTAGCCAACCTCCCCACGACCCCCTGAAGCATCGCCGTCTCCCGCTCCACCAACCCCTGCACCTGCTTCATCTTCTTGCGGCGGAACTCGGTCATCCCCATTGCCCCATCTCCATCCCCTCTGCCATCTCCGCCCTTCTCCAACCGCGCAACAACCTCACCAGCTTCCTGTAAAAGCTGTTCGTGCAAAGCTCGTACACTCTCCAATCTCCCCACCAAAGAACCTGCTTCTGCGTGTTCCCCTCCTCGTTCTCGTCCTGCTTCTTGCTCGTGGGCGGCCAAGTCAGCAGCAGAGTTCTCCAACCGCAACAGTGCTCCAGGCTCGGTCGGAGGTGCTGCTTCTACCCCCGCCGTCGTAGAAAGAGAGATGCTGTGCCGAATCCTCTCCACCTCCTCAGCAAAGCCGCGTTCCTGCGTCGACAACTTCCGCCCACCCAACGCGCGCATCCTCGCTCCCAACCGGTCAACACGATCGTGCAACTCCTCCGTCTTATGTCTCGCGTCCTCGACTCTCTGATCGACGTGATCGGTGACACGGAGTGCCAACCGGCCGTCCCGCATATCGACTGCCTGACCTCCCTCCCCTTCTTCATCATCGTCGTCGTCATCGTCGTCACCCCCACTAATAGCACGCTCAACCCTCTCCCCCACCTCCCCAACCCTCTTAACCTGCTCCCTCAGCTCCCGCTGCATGCGCTCACACCTTCGAAACAACTCCGCCGCCGCCTGGCCGAGCCTATGCGTCTCCTCGCTCAGAATGCGATGTGCTTCCGTCATGAGCTGTAGGGTCGCTGGGCTGAATCGGACGGCTGCTGCCTTCAGATCCGAGCCGAGTAAGCGTTTGTCGTTGGCCGAGCGGATGAGCTGGGGGAGGGCGGAGGGTTGGAGGAACACCTCAGCAGGCTGATACGGGGCCTGTGTCTCCGGCGCTGGCAAAGCGGCGGTCATGTCGGTTGTGTCAGGCGCGTACGGATGTGACGCGGGCAGAGGAAGGTCAAGCAGTGCGGAGTGCGACGTGCCGTTTGTGAGGGTGAGGAGCATGTAGCCTACGTTTGCGGGGTCATAAATGGCGAGAGCGGCGTTGAGGTCCAGGTGTTTTGCACCGTCGTAAGAGGGAATGGAGACCATATTATTGACGCTTGTTGTGGCAGAGGCTAAGAGGGCTCCAAGTCGGAAGTCTATCCCTTCATCTGCGGAGCTGGAGAGTTCGTCTTCTAGCATGTTGATCCAGGGGTTGAAGTCGAGAGTGTTGATGCCAGACTTAGTGGTTGCGAAGACTTCGTAGCGATCCAGAGGTGAAGGGGTGAACGTGGGCCAGCTTTCCTCTCGGTCTTCGGTGTTGCACAGCTCGACGGTGTGGAAGAGTAGGAGTTCCTTATCGTCGTCCTCATCGTCTGGCGTGAAGGTCCGGGAGCGCTTTGCGGGAAGCCACTCGGCCTCCACCACGTCTATGTCAAGGCAGACCTGCACTTTGCCCTTACTCGTGAGTAAGCACACGATCCCTACACTCAAGCCCGATTCTCCTGGGTCGAGCATTTCGTACTCCTCGTCGTAAACAGCGTCGTTGTCCAGCTTCGGTGCAATCACGTGAATGTCGGTGATATCTCCGGAATCAAGATCCGGTCCGACATAGAATGGCCCTTGCAGCTTGGCTACAGCGCCTGGCCGCTCAGGACGGTTATAGACCTCATCATAATCGTACTCTGAATCGCCGACGGCCAACAGAATCGGATCTTGAGCGTCCAAATCAGCAAGCCACGCGCACTGCTGCTCCACAACCCGCCGCTCACTCTCCGTCGCCTCCTCGCTCGCCCCAACCGCCCGTTGCCTGGCGACGACACTCGTACTCAGACTCGGCAACAGCGTTACCGGCGCTCGCCATTTCGTAGGTAAGAACGGGCATAGCGCATAGACATCTCCTTCGGTCATGGCGACCCAAAGCGTCATGCTAGCCCAGCCATGCTCGTCTTCCGCGCCCCGCCCGCCGAAACATGCCGCCGCTGCTTGCATCTCGACATTGTCGGGCGAGAAGGCGACACTGGTGCCGTATTTACTCGCGCTGAAGTCGGCCTGCGTCGATGTGGCATTGGCCAGTTTCTTCAGGTCGACCGCTAGGGAGGGCTCGTCGAAGGTGGAGCGGTTGGAGCGATCGAGCTCCCAGAGGCGAATGCATGCATCCTGGGTGAGGGTCACAAGGGCGTTGCCGGTGGGTGACAGGGGATGCCATAGTAGGGATATGAGCGGTGCTTGCTCGAGGACGTGAGCGGTGGGTCCGAGCTGGAAGGTTTTGAGGCGGAGGGGGGTGTAGTCGCCGGAGTGGAGGTGGCTTGACGAAGGTAACAAGGCGACATGGCAGGTGTGGGTGGTGGCGATGGCGATGCAGTCGCCGCTGGGGGAGACGGAGAGTTGGCGGATGGGGCGGGCGACAGACGTTTTCAGTGTCCGGTATGGCGCCTCGGGATGTGCGGGCGGAGCTTCACCGCTCGCCTTCAGCGAGACGAGATCGCTCCATCGCAGCTCGTTGCCGACTGCTACAAAGAGCTCGGTGCCGCGATGCGCCAATCTTCGTGACGGTCCTTCGTCGTGTTGGTGAGCGGGGGAGGAGCGGTCATGTTGCTCGAACAGGCGCGATGCTGGTGAGGGCCGAGCGAGCCATGATGGGTTCCGTGACCGCACGTGTGGCATTGCGATCCTGTATATCTCTACACCACCGACCTCTTGTATCACTCTTCACTCCTGCAGTGAAGCGCGTAGCGGAAACCCGCGTCAAGCTCTCCATCTCACTTACGTAAGCCTGCATATGCCCTTCACATTGAATGAATGCATCTATCGACCTTCAACCACCGCACAATACCTTCAATCACCATCAGTATGCCTCAATTCCAAATGCGCAATACGGTCGAAAGACTGGACAAACCATCCACCTACGCCATGAGCAAGGTACCCATGCCCCCCAAGCACATCCCACCTGCCCACCCTCTAACTGCCTATAACAGTACAAAAAGCGCCGCCGCGGCCCCAACGACGACGGCACAGGTACCAACCGTCCCCCCTCCCCCGACCTCGAAGAAAAGCTCTCCTCCGCCACAACCCTCTACGTCGGCAACCTCTCCTTCTACACAACCGAAGAACAAATCCACGCCCTCTTCTCCAAATGCGGCGAAATCAAACGCCTCGTCATGGGCCTGGACCGGTTCACGAAAACGCCCTGCGGATTCTGTTTCGTGGAATACTACACCCATGCTGATGCGCTGGACTGCCTGAAGTATGTGGGTGGCACGAAGTTGGATGAGCGGATTATCCGGTGTGATTTGGATGAGGGGTTTGCGGAGGGCAGGCAGTATGGGAGGGGCAAGAGTGGGGGGCAGGTGAGGGATGAGTATCGGGAGGAGTATGACCCGGGACGGGGCGGGTATGGGAAGAAGTTCAAGGAGGGGGATGCGCAGGGGGATGGGGAGTTCTACAGTGACCTCAGATGATCTGGGATGGGCTGGGTCCATGTGGCGTGATACACCAAAGTGGCTATTTGAGTGGATTTATGGGGTCATTGTCGAGCGACGGCGTTGGTGGAGCTATGCTATGCTGAGACGCTGGGAGCGAGGAAGTAAGAGCGACGTTCTGGAATCGAGGTGTCGCCCCTTCCGATACTCATATACCGCAAGCGCGGGATGTAATAAGAAGCTCCCATGCGTGCGAGACGCACCTGCGCGGCAGTTTGGAGAAATGCTGTCAAGCACCCCAAACAAGAGCATAGACAGACAGACAGCAGTCCGCTCATCCGAACCCGGTTATACCGGCACGACAGTCATACGGCCCCGGAGCGAGAAAGGCGCGCGCTTCCAGGTCAGCCGGCCAGCATAACAACAATAACAAGGACATGCACAACTTCTTGCCTCTTACTCCTCACCAAAGCCACTATAGCAGCAGAAGAAGGAAGGAAGAATTAATCCTATATAAGACCTTGCCCTCCAGCCCGAACAAAGCCTACCCCGAACGCGCCGAATCGCCGCACTCTCGACAATCGACTAATGCGTTCATGGCAAGTGCGTGCAAGTATAGCGAACTTGCTTGTCAACCGAAGGGAGCAAGCGGCCGAAGGGCAACGGACTCCTCTGTTGCTGTGTCTGGGTGAGCGTTGAGCACTCGTAACTCCTCAGAGTAGGCGAGAGTGCAGGCTACGGAGGAGGTAGCGGGTCCGGAATCACTTTCACTTCTTTCACGCAAAGACATCTTCGGGCCAATCAGTTCGCTCGATAAGTTCGTTGGTCTACTTTGGTGCTGCTTCTGTCATGGCTACGGCAAGCTTCTGTTTTCAGCAACTTTTCGTCTTCTCGCAAGGTTGCGAGCATAGCAGTACCTACAGGCACGTTCGCCGACATACTGCATGGAGAGAGCTTAGAGGCTGTGAGACGCAGTGTGATGTCTCTTCCTGTCCAAACAGTCAGCGTGGAGAAGCCACCTCGCTCCGGATCCAGATCTGAAAGTTCAGCTCAGCTCACACGAAACCGAACACAGTCAGACAGACATCAAATAGCAAAGTAATTGAGACCATACATGAGATTGGTGTGTAAGGTTGAATTAATGACAGACATTAGTTGGCATTATGGCTACAAGGTTTCATCATCAAAAGGTAGCGGCCGTGTCAAGTGGTAAGCCCAATTCGCATCCCAATCCTCTATCAATCCCAGTATAGCCCAAGAATAAATGACGCCAACGCTGATCTTCTCGCATCGGCGGGTATCTTCCAAGACATGATGTACCTCCAATTCGAACGCCAATGCTTGGAGTAAAAAGTTGGAAGTTAAGGTACGTTTACAATAGGGCCCCATCCCAAACGAGGCTGGTGAAGTATTATGGTGATGATGTTGGCGTCCCATTCGGACGCTGCGCGAGTCATCGCTCGTGAGGATGAAAGGCTGGGAGCGTTGGCTGCCCGCCGATCCCGGAACCCCAACTCAGCCCAGTGTTGCCATGTATAGATAGAAGCACACGATGGAGTCTGCCTGTCCCAGCCTTCCGGTGTGAGGAGGTTGGTGTCTCGTATCGCGATGTCCATATGCGGTAGCAGTGTCGTCAGCCGAGTGCGCATGCAAGCGCAGATCTGGCCCCTCGACTCCGCCGTTGTGGGCTGGGATAGTCCTCGGCACATTTAGGTGAGCACATGCAAGTCTCGGATCGGAGGGTTTAGACGCTTTGCGCCGAGCCAATATCCGAAGGATTTGCGCGTGGTATCTGCCCCACACTGACTGCATGTGGTACGCGAACACGCGCATTCTAGCAGTTTGCTGGTTTGGGACGGGTGTGAACCACTGGTGTTTGTTCACGAGGTGATCGCTTCTCCGAACCAAAAAGCGTGCCGGAGATGAGTGAAGTGTGTGTGACTGGTATCAAGGACTCCTTCCAGCTTTTCACCAGTATCGCGACTCCCACGGCGACAGTAGCGACTCGACGTCGGCGACTGAACGGAAGTAGTCAATGTCGCTTGTGTCTTTGTTCGGTGACTTGTCGTTGCCCTTATTGAGGTCTTGCTCGATGGCTTCTGCGGGCGACATGAACGAGTCTTTGCGCTCAAGCGTGTCGCGCGCAATGTTGAGCACGTCCTTGTCCAGATGTAGTTTCTGGAAAGCCGGGATCTTCAAGCCTTGAATGTTACCTTGGATGGCGCAGCTGATCATGAAGTCTTCCTCGAACGCTTGCACCTTCATCTTGACGTCGTTTACGTGACGGCCATGGAGCTTGACTTCCGCGTCGTCAACTTCCTCACCCCAGGTGCCGTGGGTAGAGCAGCGTGCGACGGTACCGGGTCGTGGCGAGCGCACGTTGAAGAACTCGAGCTGCTTTAACCAAGGTGCGAGAAGACCCTCGCCAGCCAGCTTGATGTAAGCCTCCTTGAGCGTGAAGTAGGTGTAGAATCTCCGTAGCTTGGCGTCGATGAGTAGTTCCGAGGAGAAGGTGATCTCCTCGCCCGTCTTCTTGGTGCAGGTGAGTTCTTGGTTAGGTTGTATGCACCGATCGTTGCGACCAATCTCATGTGCGCTTAGTCTTGTTCCATCCAGTAATGTGACGGCATCGACGTCGTACTTCATGCTCCAGCGCTCCTCGAGCGAGAACACGGCATCGTAAATGTCAACCCACCCGTCAAAGCCTTCCTCATCGATCGTCTGTCGTGCAGTCTCCCGCTCGTTGACGCAGACGATGTCGGTACCAACCATCACGTCGTCGCAGCCTGCACCGGGAGACAAGACGCCCTGGATGTGGCCATTGGGTGAGTAGCGATGCCGCCGTCGACCGTCCCAGCCTATTAATGAGACGAGACCGTTCTGATGTGATACATTGAAGTCGATGCCGCTGATAGGTCGTCCGTAGTTGTCAACGGCGCATGGCTTTCCGTGCTTCTCGTTGCCTTTCCTCGCTAACCTGACCTCCGTCCACGAAATGCCTAAAGCTTTGCTGATGAAGAGTCGTTTTAGCAACGCACTCCCCAAGCTCATCCTTGCGTCCGCGATAAACATCTTCGACGCGATAGCATTCTGCTCCTCTAAGCTGATCAAGCCCATTGCGTACGCGGCACCCTTAGCCGTCCAGATGTTGTCGCCTGGCCATAGTGTCCGCGTGTCTAGTAACCAGGTAACTAGCTCCGGCTCGTCGTCCAGTTGAGGGTACGACTTCGTCTCGAAGCCTGAGAAGCCGGGGTTCATCATGCCAGGCATGGCCGGCAGTGGAATATCCAGTGACAGGAACTGTTGCTTCATCTTGGCGACGAGCGGCGATGTTGGTGAGGTGTTGACTGGATGGTAGATAGGTGGCGGTATTGGCGGAAGGAAAGAGGTCTCGACAGGGAGTACAGCAGCAGCAGCCATTGCGTCCACGGCAGCAATCAGACCCTCATGCACAGGTAGCCACAGTTGAGAGCCAGATCCGCGAATCAAGCTTCGAAGATCGTCGTGTGCGTAGTAGACTTCCCAAGCGTTTCTTCCGTGTCTCTCGGGAGGGGAGCCGCAGAAGACAGCGGCTATCACAATGTATATCGATGAGATCAGCGAGCGTCGTGAGGTAGTGGAGGTAGCGGGAGGCCAGGCGAGAAGCAACAATGTTCCGAAGACGATGATGCAGACGGAAGTATATTGTCTGGCTCGTCTGCTCCACCGTCGACGATGACTGAAGTAACAGGCTCGGTCACCGACCCGGGAGCCTTGCATGTTTTCCTCCATTGTCCGGCGGCCTGCCCTGTGCCTCCCTACGCAAGGCTCATCGCGCAGACCAGGGGGCGTCTGCATTGTGCGGTCAGAGCGCTGCGCCAGGCATGTGCCAGGATGATGATGGGGCGGCTGTTCTTGCGCACAGAGACAACCGTGAGCAGAGGCATCCTACTTCGGGTGTTACTATCTTGGTTTGGCACAGCGAAACAAGACCTAACGTGCTAAGGCCAAGACTAAGCCCGAGAGGCTTGAGCTACCGTCCCCTTTCTGGCTAGAACGACGTGGCTGGTGACGCAGCGATTGGCCAACAAAGTCGAGTGAGGTTGGACGCTTACCGCACGGGCTTTCAGTGAGCGGCTCCTCTAGCTTTACGATCTTAGCCGCCGTTCGGCCATTTGATTAACGCTACCTGTAATCAAATAACGGGAGCCCAGCGGCGTCGTTTCCACTCTCTCATTATTACCGCTATGCAAGCAAGACTGTCTACTCCTAACAACTAAATTACAGCTGACGACACGCGCGTTACCAACAGCCCCACGCCCGGTGAAGGAGTGGTAGGAGTGGTATGACTGACCGCTGTCTGCCTGGCGAAGTTGCACCGCCAACACAGCCAACACTTTAGGAAGTGGCGCAGGCTTATCGCGCGAAACAGCCAACACCGTTGTGCGGCGGTCAAGCAAACCTTGGATTTGATTGAGCGCCGTACGCTTTCAGCTAGCATTCGCTTGACACACGACTATTGGAAATGAGATGTTCACGATCCGCGATGACATTGGGGAGCCGTTGCGCTCAATATTGCTCTCCACCCTGCCCACATGGGCGACGCACAAAGTTCCCAGAGTTTCAAGGAACACGAGGCGTCCGGTGCGTCATAGCGTCAGGATCGCGGAGCGCAGCCGTGATCGGCGCCCTTGGACAGCTCGTGTTCCATCTTGGGACACCACGGACACGAACGTGGATGATGTTCGTACGAGGTTGCACAAGATGCGCATGTAACCTTGAGTGAGCAATATCTGGTGCGCGGAGAAAGCTCACCATGTGCTGACCGTACGATGGTACCGGTACTGTTGCTGTGCATGCACTATGACCGAAGCCCAGGACGGCAATAATAGGAGCACATTCGTACCAATGCTCGTGTGCCTTGGAGAGCCCGGACCAAGCCGCGAACCCTTCCTCTCCATGAAGCGAAATTCAGTTTGCGACTACGTCTATATCGAGCCCGCCTCGATCTTGTTGACAGCTCGACTAAGGGACCCTTGCTAGTCTCTTCAAGAGATGATCATCGCGATCATCGCTGTACGGAACGCAACTCCACTGAGACTGCCCGTGTGGATAGCAGTGGTGTCGTCTTCTAAACCCCCAAAGTGCAGAAAGCTTCGGGAGCTGTGCTGCAGCTGCAACGATCTGCCGGAGCGTCATCTCGCTTCGGAGGAAATCATCAACGGCTGCTGCCGCGTCGAAAGCTTGGTCTTAGCCACAAACTTCTCAACGCCAACATTGAACGCCACAGTGATCTCTGTCCCGCCCAGAAGTGAGAAGCACAGGCTGGCGATCGTGCTTTTGCCTCGCCGAATCTGGACGATTCTGACGCTTACGGACAGTTTCTAGAAGTGATACATCAGCCACCACCGCTTGCAATCACCGCCTCCGCGAAGCACATGAGCCCTACCACGATAGGCGTCCTCGCACTGCAAGGAGCCTTCATTGAGCACATCAAGCTACTGCATCAAGCTGCTGTTGAGCTGCGGCTTCAGCAAGATGCATTGTACGTGGACAATAAGGACTTGCGCTTCATTGAGGTTCGCAACGCTTCTGAACTGGCCCACTGCCATGCCTTGATTATTCCGGGCGGTGAGAGCACGAGCATGTCCCTCATCGCCGAGCGGTCAGGCCTTCTGGAACCTTTGCGTGACTTCGTGAAGGTCGACCGTAAGCCGGTATGGGGCACCTGCGCGGGTTTGATCTTACTGGCGGAAAGCGCCAACAGGTCCAAGACCACCGGGCAGGAGCTCATCGGAGGCTTGGACGTGAGAGTGCAGAGGAACTACTTCGGTCGGCAAGTCGAGAGCTTCGAAGCGGATCTTGAGTTGCCTTTCCTAGAGGATGGCTTACCGTTCCATTCCGTTTTCATACGTGCGCCTGTAGTGGAGAAGGTCCTACCGTCCACGACATCCAATACCGCAGACTCGAATGCGGCAACCATTGGCGGCAATGTCATCGCGCCATCCAAGCGTGCCACGACTGCTCCGGTGGAGATCCTAGGCCGGTTACCGGGCAGAGCAAGGACGCTCAAGGACCGGACGACCACCGCTGAGGATCTCGGCGAGGATGGCGACATCGTCGCAGTTCGGCAAGGTAACGTGGTAGGTACTGCGTTCCATCCTGAACTCACGGATGATCCCAGAATCCACGTATGGTGGCTCAAGCAGGTGTTCAAAGACATTGCCGCCAGACACATCGGTGGTTGAGCAGTCAGTGTTGACGGCCTTACTCTCCTGACCCGCGCCGTATTCCACGCTTGTGCATTGTATTCGGCCTGTCTGAAGACTGTGACCTTGAATGCGAGACCTCGTTGTGATCACCCATACAAGATATACTTCACACGTTTCAGAAAGTGCTTGAGCACAGAAAAGCGATGTACATGCGCGAACGATGGTGAACCCAAGCCTGAGTACAACCTCTTGAGCTTGGGTTTTCAGGCCGTCTGCTGTTAGGAATAGGCTGCGACCGTATTTCGGGACGTCATGACAATGACCGTCACCATTGCCGACATCACTTATCACTGGACACGGATAGATGTGAAAGACCTTAAAACGTAGAAGTATATAGCTGTGAAATAGACAACGAGGTGTCCAGTACAGTGCTGTCCTTCTCACCATCACATCTCAAGGCCAAAACCGTGCTAGCCATCCATAAGTCGCGCGACACTGTCAGAAACAGTTAGATCAACCATCTCATGCATGGTGCGCGCACCGACAGGCAATGACAGTCATACATTACTCCCAGAATTGCTTTCACCAAGGCCGGACACACATCCAATCTTATTCACAGATTTGAGCAACTCGTCCCTGAAGGTCTCGTACTCGGCCCACCAGGAGAAAGCAAATAAGCATAGCTATGCGAAATCGAGAAGTAATCCTCCCCTCTCCACTGACCAACATTCGTCGCATAATACTCCGTCCAAGTCTCATTGTACAGAGCGCAATACTGTCCCACCGCCTGCGAACCGTTGTAAAGTACATACGTGTTGAAGAACTGGCACGTCTGCGGCTCGCCGGTCGCCGGTGGGTGCGCAATAGCATATGCCGTCGTTACCGTGCAAGCTGCGGCACAGAGTCCCACATCAAAAGGAGCGTTTGTGAGGATCCTGACGCCCATGTAGGTGTCGTGGCCCAGATAGTCTAAAGGAGCGTTGATGGCGGCCTTACCGAGGGACATTGGCCCGGCGTAACCGTATGGAACTGCTATGCTGTTGTTGACATAGCCATTCGAACCGGCCACGACGACCGGGAAGTCTTCTTGATACTGACCCATGTTGCCGGCTGATTCTCGCGTTACAGGACCGCCGTAGTAGACGCACTTTATCACCGTCACGGAGGGCGGGTTGGTGCAGTTCTTTCCTGGCTGGATGGCTGGGTCCCGTTCGAAGTCTGCCCACTTTTCGTAAGCATTCACCATGAGTCGCGAGCATTGGGATACACTTACAGATGTTGAACGACTGGCAGCCGGCTACCGCATCGCAGCGACCCGCACAGAATAATGGATCGTAGGTGTCAAGCACCAAGGAACCCATATAGCCATATACACCCAATGCGGACGCGGTATTATCTTGGAAAGCCAGCGTGTAGCCGTATGGCGTAGATGCGTTCCTTGCCGCCGCCGAGAACGCAGGATTCGACTGCCAGCTTTGTACGGTGTCGTTTGCCGCACGCACTGAAATGCATTCACTGTCCTTGAACAGCTTCACCCTTTTCACGTGGGTTGTAGGCACTGCTGGGGACGCCAAAGCAGCAGCTGCCTGAGATGGGAAGGCCGTGCTTGACTGATGAACGGCGGCATTGACGACAGGAATACTGGGTGTGAGTATTCGCGGCGCATCCTCTATGGCGTCCCAGTCGAGGTCTTGAGCGGTGGCCAGGGCGGCCAGCACCACCGCAAGGCAGCGTGAGCGCATCGTGAATGGATTAGTGTCTTTGGGCGATCTGGAGGCAACGGGAATACTTCTGGTATGCCCAAGTCTTGCAGAGCAGACGCTGGGAGGTGCTCAAGAACTTACTCTCGCCATTGACCCACTGCTTACCTATACTGCAGTTTTCACATTGCCTCGCCATTGTGAACGTGTCCGAAGTTCATGTGCAAAGAATGGGTTGGCCATTGTTATGCTGAATCTTACTGCACATTAGTACAGGGAATGGCGGCAACGAAGCTGTCGCCGAGCGGTGATGGATGTGGTTTGACGCACAGTTTGGAAAGTAAGTTATACGACTCGCTGTAGGTTTATTGAGCAATCTCGTGATTCGTGTTCATACCTCATGATCCATGATTCCATCTCCGCCGTCGCTAATGCTTGTGATCAACGCCGCTATGTATCCTGCTGATCGCTTAATGATGAGCTGCTGGGTGCAATCAAGCGAGCCACACATCACCTGAACGCTAGTCTCCCGGTCTCGCACTGTCTCGCTTCGTTCGCTTCCGTACCGTAGGTGGTGTCCTAGCGATACCGCCGTCCGTCGCGATCGTATATGTACTCACGCTCGTAGATCCGCTCGTCGTACTTGCCTCTTGGAGGAGCCGGAACGGGCGGAGGGGGCGGTGGCAGCAGCTTCGGCAAGCGCTCCAGCTCCTCGCGCTCCCACTGAATCTCGCGGATCCGCTCGCGCCGTTCGCGGCGGATGTCTTCTGTAAGCTCGACGAGGTGCAGCACGTCCTCCTGCAAGAGCACCGGTTAGCACGCCGCATACATGTCCCTTTCTACGTAAGTAACCGACTTACATATTTCAAATACTCCATGACGTAAAAAAAGTCAGTCGTGTCTTCGTACTCGTAACCCATCTCGTCAATTGCCTCCTTGATTACGAGGTCTTTCGTGATCTCGGTCCACATCTTGTCTTTCGTCTTGCCCCGTGAAGTCTCTTCGGTAATTCGGCGCTCAGTGATTGTAATCTCCTCTCGCGTAGGGGCTGGCGGCGGAGCAGGTCGTGGAGGAGGCTCGTAGCCTCCGTTACCCCACTCAGCCTCATACGCCCTGTCGTTGGTGATAAACTTGCCTCGCCGCTCACCGTTGTACCTTGCCCATGTAATCTCCTGCGCACCACCGCCGACACCGTCCATGCGCACGCGCTCCGTTCCAGGCGGCACGTCTACAAGCGCCCAGTCCTTGGTTGCGCCATTGTACGCTTCGCCCGGATATGCTCGCTCGCGGACTTTGCGGTTGTAGTACTCCGCTTCGGCGACAACATCATCGTCGTCATCGTCGGAATCGTGATACCGTCGGCTGACGGCTTTCGACTGCCGCGTGCTCGCACTAAGGGAGCGGCGCCGAGAAACGTTGCGAGGAGCTTCACGCTCGCGGTCTCTGCGACCGCCTTCCTTGACATCGCGCTCGAAGATGATATCTTCGTCGTACGCCTTGCCGTTACGGACGCCTTGGCGGTGAATCTCAATCTCAAGATTATCCTCACGTGGTGGGCTTGGCGGTGCGGGTGGCGGAGGCGGCGTTGGTGAGCGTGCACGCTCGACTCCATGATCAATATGCCGATGGTGAGTGATGACTTCTTGAATGATAGGTGGTCTAATGATAGGTTCAAGCGGAGGTGGTGGAGCTGGCTCCGGAGTCGGTTCGCGTGGAGGAGGTTCTGGGCTTGGAGATCGCTCTTTCCTGCGGATTATGATCTCTTCTTTCTCGTAGTCTCGCGGAGGAGGTGGTGGTGACGGCTCACGCCGTCGACGAACAATCCATTCTTCGTGCTCTCGTGCGACAATGTTGCCTCGACGTTCCGGTGCAGGTGCGCTTCGCTCGTCCCGGATCTCAATCTCCTCTCTGACAACCTCGCGCCCTCTGCCTTCATTACGTGATGGCGGTGAGCGAGTGTCCGTGATGCGTATCTCCTCTCTCTCCACCTCCTCGCGGGAAGGCGGGGGCCTGTCACCGCCACCTCGACGGAAGCGGATCTCTTCCACATCCCGCTCACGGTACTCGCTACGCGCAGGAGGGCCTCTCGATTCCTCCCGCCGCTTGATCTTGATGTCAATCTCCTCGTCCTCTCGCTCCCGTGGCGGTGGCCGTGATCGTGCCCTCTCTCTATCACGCTCACGGAAAATCACCTCATCCCTCTCGGTGAAGTCTCGGTCGCTGCGAGGGTAGGGCGGTCCTCGGTCTCGCTCACGCTCACGGATGACTATCTCGTCTCTCTGCACTCGCTCCGCTGGCTTCGACCTCACACTCTCCACACTTCGCCGTCTTGTCGGAGCTCGGCTGTAGGTGTCTTCCTCCCTCTCCACCCTTAGAACCAATGGGCCTGCTGTTGACTTGCCATAATCTTCGCGGAGAAAGTCCGGCTGCTTGGGCCCACGCTCAGTGCGACGGTCATTGATAATAGTATCCCGTTCCTTCACCACCGTCTCTGCCCTTGGCGCACGTGACTCAGGGTATCTAGCTCGAGTGATATCAATATCCAGCTCTTCATAGTCTCGATCCCTCCGTGGGCGGCGGTAGAAGTCACTCTCCCGTTCCTCATAGCGGTCAGCGACGGGGTACTCTCGCCGCGACATCGCTCACCGCCGGTGATATTCGAATACGTTCCTCGATGCTATAGAATTGAAGATGATCGTCAAGAGTGAGAAGGTTCGCCCAGCGGTACGGGCAGACGGCAAGAGCGGAGTTGTCCGATGTTATGCCTTCCCTTTCTATTAGATCGAATTGAGTTCTATTAGCACGTTGCAAGCACGTTGCACGCACGTGAGATGGCACCTTGAGCGATGAAGCAGTGGGGAAAAGTGAAGCAAGCCGAGACACACGAGTACTCAATGCACACCACCATGCGCAAGGACGAGCGAGGGCATTGCCTACGTTTGTCACGGGCAAGGATGATGGTTGGGTTGCTGCTGGTGTGAACGCCAGCGTCACGACGGCCCGCTCAAGTCTGCTGCATTGTGACGTGCTCACAAGAGACGCAGAAATCTAGTATGCCATAGGCTGATGTGTCAACCAATGACAAGCAACGCTGGCAGACGAGCACAAAGCACGACTTGCTTTAGGGAAGCACAGGATCTTCAGGTACCGACCTTGGACTATGGCGACGACATGGGACGGTCCGCCATTGCGAGATGATCTTGTATCACGCGAGTCTACCAACTTCCAGTATGTGGGAGCATGATCTCCGACAGGCGGGAGCGAATGTGAAACCAACATAGCCAGGCTTATGCGTGGTGACGCAAGTGCTTGGGCTGCTACCACCACTACCACTCGCCAATATACCGCACGATTGCTATATCTTCATGCGCGTATTAGACGATGTACTTTCCAAAACAAACGACGCCATGGACATCGCGCAGAAGGTGGTGCTGTCTCCAAGCTGTTCGCATTGGGGGCGCAGCGCCTACCACAGCCCACAAGCAGAGCAGAGATACAGGTAAGGTGCAGCCACTCTTCACATCAATCTGTGACTCAATTTCTATGCCTGATTTGTCGAGCGACCCCTTCGTAGACGATCACCGTCGATCTGTCATAACTTGGTTGTGACTCACTGCACCTACCCACCACCTAAAGACACCGCTGTTCTGCCAGGGCCATTCCGAGATCAGTTCAGGATCCTGTCTCATTTGCGAGATGGCCGCAGCACCACCCGGCTCGCTCTCCCTGGACGGTCGTACTCTTGAAGGTGGAGGCCAGCTTCTTCGCATCGCTGTGTGCCTTGCAGCGTTGACCGGATCGCCTGTTCAAATCCATAATATCCGCGGCAACAGATCCGGAGGTGGAGGGCTCAAAGCGCAGCATCTGGCCTGCGTCGACTGGTTAGGACGGGCCTGCCAGGCTCATGTCGAGGGTGCAGTGAAGTGCAGCAGAACCCTGAGCTTTGTTCCTGCGGGTGCGAAATTTGGGTTTCCGGCTCTACCTCCAGTCTTCAAGAAGCAGACTCTGAGCGATGGCCGCCGAGTGTGGGACTCGAGCATCAACATTGGCACGGCTGGCAGTACCGGACTGGCATTACAAGCAGTCCTTCCCTTCGTCCTGTTCACAAGGTTTCCTTCAACCCTACCTATCCGTTTGACCTTCACCGGTGGAACGAATGTCTCTGGATCACCGTCGTTCGAGTACATTACTCAAGTCCTGCTTCCGACTCTGCAAGCCCTTGGATTCCCTGAGATGCATGCGAAGCTTGAAAAGCGAGGCTGGAGTCACGGAGGGACGAGCATAGGAAGTTTCACCCTTGAGATCTCGGCTCGCGCGTTTGTACGGTGGCCAGAGCCGTTCAGACTATGGCGTAGCGAAGAGCAGGTAGGGCGGCTGGTGCGACCATCTAACGTACAAGCAACATTCATAGCGCCTTCCTCCTGTCATGACCATTTCCGGCAGCGTTTCAGGCAAGCTCTGGAGGATGCCTTCCAGGGCGGCGAAAGGGCGCAGCCGATGGACACGGAAGTCACGTGCGAAAACAGCAAGCACGATAAGAGATTGTATTTCATTGTGGTAGCGACTATTTCGACCGGTAAGCAATTTCCAACACACCATGCGACCGTGCTAACAGTGGAAGACGATCCAAAATATCCGCTGGTTCGAGTAGGCCGGGACTGGCTCTATGACCGGAAAATTCGCTCGCACGAAGCCGCCACGGACGAACTGGTCGAGCAAGTGTTGTCGAGTCTTCAAGACGAGTGGCGTAGTGGCGCGTACGCGGACGAGCATCTGCGGGATCAACTCGCCATCTTCCAGGCCCTCGTGAACGGCCAAAGCTGGGTGTTCCCTGGACTTGACATACCAAGCCAAGGCAGAAGTGAGGAGAGAGCCGAGAAAGGTGTGCCACGAAAGCTCAGGGCCCCGAGTCTGCACACGCAGACTGCTGAGTGGGTAGCCGCTGAAATGCTCGGCACTAATTTCGATGGCAATGGCTACTGTGAGGGAGCGGCGTACCGACCGTCCGTCATCAAAGCTTTCACTACTGAAGACGGCAAAGACCATTCTGGAGGCTTTGTGACGGCCACGCTCGAGAACGATATGGACAATCTGAAGGTGTCATGAACGGCAGTTGTCTCAGTGCAAGCGCTAACGTCGCGTTAACCCAACAACTGGACGTCTCGGTCGTAAGCATCCCGCCCCCGGCCAGACTAACGAACGGGCTATGTTGAGCCCACGTCAGTCCCGACGAACCTCGCTGTTCTCGGCCTGCTTCAAGATCTTGTCGGCTCCTTCAGAGTAAGTCAGCATAGCAAGGATCTGCAGCGCTGGACCGACACTTGTCCTAGCCACGCCTAGGCTAGCGAGCTGCCCAACGTTCAGCCCATCGGGCGACAGCTTCATCATGACATTCAAGCGTCCATCAAGTGCTTTGACCGTCTCGGACACCTCAGAGCGACTGATACCACGCGCACGACCGCCCCAGACAAACACAGTCGTCGCACCGGCATCGAGGTATGCCTTCCCCCGCTCAACGACCTCGGATATGTCACCGCCGTAAGCGAAGGCGTCACAGCGGGCATTCAATACGAAGTCAGGCACCCCGTTGTGCTTTGCAACACCGAGGACGCGTTTGACTCTATCCGTCGCTTCCGCTTGCGAATAAAGCTTTTGTACTGCGGAGTCAAAGTCCTCAAGGTTGCAGCCAACCGCACCAAGCTTCACAATGCTTCGGATGGCTTCCTCCAGCCTTGAGCCGTAACCGTCCTGGAGATCGACAGTCAACGGCTTGCCAAATTCTTCGGCGACTGTGGCAATTCCACGAATGGACGCTAGGTTCGTCTCAAGCGTCAGATCATTGTCTTCGGTGCCGTGAGCTTTGGCGTTGCCATAGCGGGCTGTTGCAAGGGCTTTACAGGCTGGCAAAGCAGCAACCGCGCGGGCGTTGACAATCTCGTACACATTGGCCAATACCACAGGCTTGCCTGGAACGTGCAGTGATCTCGATGCCGACGCTGCTGCTTTTGCGGTTAGTTGTGACATGACTGTACACTTCGCACAATACCTTTCGATGGCTCTGACCAAAACGCAAACGAAGAGATTCCGTCCCGTGCATCTTACTTGAAGGCACGTTGCGTCCGCCGCCACACCATATGTACAGTCCAGGTTCGCAACAGTGTGACCGAGGTGCAATTCAGCTAATAGTCACCATGCTGATCAGTATAGGGCGCAGTGTCAAGAGACATCTCGACACATCCCATTCCGGAAGAAACCGGCGACCGTAATAGGCAGGTCCAAGCAGACACGTGATGATAGATCACTAACCTATCACTTAACGTGCAGCGTCCTTCTCCAAGCCAACTTAAGTATTCAAGGGTACTCGAACTGTCTGCAGAGACAAGTACGAGCTGCGTCACTTTCGTTGTCTCTTCGTGAGCCGCATCCGCCCCAGCGCATGCAAGCTTCGAATGAGTATGAGATTTTCAGTCGTGAAGTCGTGAAATATTAAGGGCGCTGTAGCTCCTTTAAGCAGCACTAACCGGGTACGGTAAACAATAGAGTCTCAAGCCGCGCCCGCCGTCCTCTCGTCAACCTTTGCCTTACGTTTGCCAAACAAAGCGAGGAAGTCTCTCCACAAGCCTTTCGAGATGTCCTTCAGTGCACCCGTGCTCTCCACAACGGGGTAGATCACACAGATGGTCATGCTCGCCCAAACCCAGATGAAGCTCACCACCACCCAACCCGTGAAGAACGAGCGGCCGTAAATATATTTCGTGCCAAAAAGTGTAAATGGCACGAGGATGATGGCCACGAAGAAGAATACCAAGTTCGCTCCGATGGCGAGACGTTCGCCTTCCTTCACCGCTACTGGGTCCATCGGCTCCATGTTGCGCGCTTCGAGGAAATCAACAAGCTCATTCCCCGTAGGCACGAATGACTCTGGCTCTGGTGCTGCCTCCGGTTGAGCGCTGGCGGGAGGCCCAGTCTTGTCGTCGTCATCCTTTTCATGGTCCTTTTCATCTTCCAGCTCGGCTGCTCTCGAGCCGGGCTGGACTGGCGTGCGTGCGGTGGACGAAGCAATGCCCTGAATCTTGTTGCTCCGCTCGATGTGCCTGGCATCGGTGCTTGTATATTTGGCTGGGAAGGCGAACGACAGCACGACTGCCATGATGAAGCCAACACCCCATGACGTGATATTGCCAGCGACTGCGTTGATGGTGTTGCCCGTTGTCTCTACGGTAATGGCACCGGACCGTTTGTAAGTCGTGACAAACCACGCAACGAGACCGCAGACGAGACCGATCCATGGCGCGCCAACAGCGGCAACGGTGGACATGCGTTTCCAGAGTAAAATCAGCCCGACAGGCATTGATGCTCCGCCAACGATAATGGCCAGAATGGTCAATAGCCACGTAAGGTTGAGGCCAACCGCATTGAGGATGCTGCAGAAGGCCGCCAGCAACAAAGCGTACAACACGATGCCGAAGTGCGAGATCTGCACAAGCCTATCGGACGTCGAGTCGGGCTTGATGTAAGTCTTGTAGACGTCGAATGTGAGTAGTGACGATACAGCGATCAGTTCCGCCGATGTTGATGATGTAACAGCCATAAACAGTAGAATGAGCATCAACACAGCGCCGCCCTTGCCAAGTAGTGCGATTGCGGTGGCTGGGGACGAAAGGCCGGCCCCGTTCTGCGCGGCGGACAATGGATTGGGGTAGGTCGGAAACCGCGGGTTGCCCGTCAAAGCTGCACAGCCGAGTCCCATGGCTGTTGCGAAGCCGAATGGAATGCCGTACCACGCGACGCCGCCGAGAATGTAGGCTCGAACGCTAGTCTCCGGTTTGCTCGCAATCGCTCGTTGCCAGTACGCCTGATCCAGCCAGACGGTACCTATAGGGTAGGGTTAGAGTCGTCTAAGACATCAGAAAGGCCTTGTTTCAATTACGTACTAAAGCCAGCAGCAAACAGATCGATGGCGAACACTAGCCCATCAACAGAGTAAAACGACAGGTAAGACCCATCCTTGTTCGTCGTTATTGGCATCGTCTCTGAGGCTTGCAGCAGCAGGTCATAGAGCTTGCTTGGCGATCCTACCAAATCCGATGTGGCGTACATTGAGAAGCCGAAGACAAAGATCGCTATGAAGAGGATGACGGTATGAACATAATCAGCGATGAAGGTCGAGCGAAGCCCACCAGCGATCACGTAGGCTGCGACCACGATGGGAATCAGGAAGCAGGCTGCGTAAACATTCATGCCTGATAGCGCTGCGACAACCTGCGAGCCGCCGAGGACCAAGCATGCACCGACGAGCATGTTAGTCGCGAAGCCATTGAAGAGGTAGGTGATGTGTGCTATCTTGCCGTGTCGAGCAAGTACGATTTCCGGGAAAGTATGAGCGCCTCTACAGTATACCAGAGTCAGTCTCCACCATTTTTTAGCAGAAGTTTATCTGCACTCACGGTGCATTGGCCTTGATCTTGATCGCAATGAGCGCGAATAGCAAGATCTGGAAGCTACCCATTGCACCGTACCACATCGGCCCACACACGCCATAGGAGTATGCGAAGGTCGAGCTTGTGAGCAGCGTAGCACTCCATGTCCATGCTGTCCCAACATCAGCGCCAGCCAATAGCTGTGTGTCGGACGTACTGACAGGATACAATTCCCGCAGCGATCAAGCCAGGTCGAATGGAGCGGGAAGCGGTGTTGAACTCCTCTGCCTGCTTAGTCGAGAAGCGAGTATCTGACGGTCGATTAGCCTACTTCATCGCTCAATCGTAGCGAGGGGCCGCTCACATCTGTTCTGTAGCCAAGTGATGAAGATCATTAGCACGGCGAAGACGCCACCAATGCCGATGACAATGCCATAGCCAGCCCCGCTGGGCAACACCTGAAGGCTACCTGCGGAAGACATCGTTGCTGAATGGTGGAATGGTATGAATTCGCGTCCGTTTGGCGCAAAGAAACAGTGTGCAGTCTACGCAAGAAGAGGTCGTCCCTACCTATACACCCACCAACATCTCTACACTGCTGCGCAGGCGAAGGGTCTTGGTAGATAGCATCACTACCAAGGCCATGTCAGCAGCGCAAGCCGCCAATGGGAAGATGATCGCAAAAGATGCCATGGCCCCAACACGCGAGTGCTTTCTGATAGCGCGTCGCAAACAGACGAGATAGGCAGGAGGAAGCATGACGTTGGGAGATCGGCGGGGATTGTTCGATAGGCGGCACCGGCGAAGGTGCAGCAGTAGACAAGGTGAGCTCAATGGGTCAGATAGATGATTCCCTGTCAATGGCTGCTCTCGGCCAAAGGTTACATAGATCTGTTCGTTGTCAAATCAGAGTCCAGATGGGAACGGTCTCGTCACCCTGAAGATAGGTGCCTTAGGCGGTCAGCCGATTTCGACGACATCTTGCCCTGCCGTCATGCTACCGCTACTGCAACAGCCGGCACGTTTAGCGGCAGTGGGTCTAGCTTGCTTGACGTGATTAGAAACCACGAGTTCTTTCTACATAATGGATTCGTAGGCGACGCACATCTAACAACGTAGGGGTAAAGGTATAGTATAGTTCTTCGTCTCCTTACCACCGCTCTACTGCTTAGCACTTTCATTGCTATTGATCGTCAAGATGGTGCCACCAGTATCACAGTCACGGCTGTTCGAGCCTTTGCAACTGGGAAAGCATACCTTGTCTTCCCGTCTAGCAATGGCACCACTGACTCGCTTCCGAGCGGACGACAACCATGTCCAGCTACCCTTTGTCAAAGACTACTACAGCCAGCGTGCCTGCGTCCCAGGAACCTTGCTCATCACGGAAGCGACTTTTATCTCTCCACAAGCTGGGGGTTTCCCAAACGTGCCAGGAATCTACACCGAAGAACAAGTGAAGGCATGGAAGGTTGTAACTGACAGCGTACACCAAGCCGGCGGCGTGATCTTTCTACAACTGTGGGCGCTCGGCCGAGCAGCCAACCCGGATGTCATGAAGAAGGAAGAACTTGGCGACGTGGTTAGCGCGAGTGACATACCTATGTCAGACAACAGCCCGAAGCCTCGCCCGTTGACCGAAGATGAGATTGAGCAATACATCCGCGATTATACTGCCGCTGCCAAGAATGCCATTGAAGCTGGGTTCGACGGTGTGGAGATCCACGGTGCAAATGGGTACCTGCCAGACCAGTTCACACAAGACGTCAGCAACCGACGAACGGATAAATGGGGTGGTAGCGTGGAGAACAGAGCGCGCTTCACGCTCGAGATCAGTAAATCAATTGTCAAGGAGATTGGTGCGGAGCGGACTGGCATCCGTCTCAGCCCGTGGAGTGTGTTTCAAGGCATGCGAATGGAGGACCCAATACCCCAGTTCAGCTATCTCATCGAAGAGCTGAAGAAGCTGAAGCTGGCCTACCTACACCTTGTCGAAAGCCGGATAGCAGGCAATGCAGACGTTGAGACGACGGAGAAGATCAACCCCTTCGTCGATATCTGGGCTGGCACCTCGCCCATACTCGTTGCTGGTGGCTTCAAGCCGGACTCGGCACGAAGGGCGGTTGACGAGGAGTATACGGACAAGGACATCATCATCGTATTCGGAAGGTACTTCATTTCAACACCCGACCTGGTATTCCGACTCCAGAAGGGGATAGAATTGGCGCCTTACGACCGTGATACGTTTTACAAGCCGAAGAAGCCAGAGGGCTACATAGACTATCCATTTTCTGATGAGTGGCAAAAGGAGCATCAGGCGAAGTTGTAAATAGACATTTGTAAGATTTAGAGGGCATGATACGAGACGCAACATCTGAAATTGTGCAACGTTCGTACTCGGCGACTGCGGTCAGGCCTCCGAGAGCTGCTCACGTGGTCGGAGGATCCGTAGATCGTGGCCTTCAAACTTTACACGGCGCGTGCCTTCCACTGCCGCAGCGACCAATCACAACAGCCACGGGCTGTTTACGACGTCATCAGGGATGGCAAGCGCATCTCAGCCCACTTTGCATATGGCGCGGCTGCAGCGGCGGGCGTGAGAGAGTGGCAGAGAGAAGGCGTAAGAGGTGCAGCTGCAGCTGCATGAGGCCAAGTAAGCCATCCCTCCCCGCCGGCAGTCAATCGTTCGCAGGACGCTCCTGTCGCGCAAAAGGCTAAAAGCTGATATTCCACACTTCACTTGCGACCGTTGGAAGGTGTCTGATGCTACGTTCTGTCTCTCGACGCCTGACGTAGTGCCTGGGGTGGGAACGGTCCCTTGGTCGTTGGGCCGCGCAGTTGAAAAGCCGATCAGCGCACGACTGGAAAGGTCAAGTCACCGGTCGACTGCATCCGACGACAGTGAGGCTGCGGGCAGCCTTTGACCGGTTCGCACTGTACGGACGTCGGCATAATCAAGCATCGTTTGCGGTCTTGACGCCCAAGTGCTACGCTAAGCAGGAGATTTGAACAAGGGTCAACCCAGACGGACTCGGGCATCAAGCAAATGTAAGCCCACCCTTTGCTATCGTGTTCGGAGAGCGCACCGAATGGCATTGCCAGACTGCCGGTGGGAACGGAGACTTGAGGAGCACGGCATGCTGCGAGTTGCTGCAAGCCTTAGAAAGTCGGCAGCGTCACTTGTTACACTACAGTTGTGCATGCGCCAGGCACCGGTATATCTCTGGTATGATACTGACTGACAATGGAACAGCAGTGGACCAGCACAAGGACAAGGACCCGCGCCTTCTCCCTCCACACCTTTCAACCTATACCCTTTGCTCCTTCCGCGACATCATCTGCAGCACCCAAGATGTCTTACCACCGACCTTTATCGCCGGGTGGTAGACGGATACAGAACCCTGCAAGAGTCTCCGACAGCTTTACCGATCCGTATCAGCAGCCGCCAACTCGGCACCATTCGTACATTGCCTCCCCAAGATCCAGCGGTGTCATACCCATTTCCACTGAGACGTTCATCACCGTGCCGCAATCGGCGCGTGAGCCTCCCAGAAGTGCTTACTCGGGCCGACCACGGCGCTCCTCGCTATCTGATAGTCAACGATCCTCCACTACGGGTCAAATACCTGTTCGCAGCAAACCGACTGTGGTCGTGGATTCTGCCCGGCCAACAAGCCCTTTAAAAGGCACGCGTGACAGAGACTCGGCCTATGACACAGTCACCCCAGCCACGTCACAGCATAAGAAAGTGTACGCTGTCGGTGCCAATGGAAATGCCAAGCTTGTCGCGAATGTGGACGTGCCTGCGGGAGGCAGCGAGCGCCATCACAAGCGACGAGAGAGTGTTGAGCGGAGCTACAGAGGCGCAACGACGGACAAAGATAGAGGCCGCAAGGATTACCATACTAGCACGCGTGGCCGTGGACGCGATCGGAGCATCGATGATGAAGGTGCCTACTCGTACACGGACGCGGCGGGCATGTACAACACCACGGAACCACGGTGGCGCGAAGGCTTCCGTCCGAGGAGAGGCAGCATGGATCGTGGCGGCAGCCGGGACACTCGTCCGGTGAGCATTGTTGATCCGTCTTACAATCCTAGATCATCTGCCAAGGAGCTGGGACCGCCGCCAAGCACGAGAGGCTGGGACAAAATTGACGACAGTGCTCCTGTTCGAAGAGCCAGCACGCGCAAGGTGGCCGCATCACCGACGCGAGGACGAGACTTCGCCCATACCCCTAACGACCCTCGCGACTCCTATTACGTCCCACCAAGAGCCAGCTCGAAAGAAGGCCGGTCCTTAGCCATCTCCACTGATGTGCCGCGTGAACGATACGACCAGTATGGTTACGAGGAGCGGCCGGCGCGCCACCATGAGCGCCGTAACAGCGTAAGTCGTCGGGTGGATCCGGAGGTTGCAACTCGAGGCTTCGGCATCAGAAGCGCAAGTAAGGACCCTTATGAACGGCGCAGCGATGAGAGCATCCAGGAGCGACACAAGTATCGCGACTCTGGGTACGCTGAGCCACATCGACGAGATACTGCACCGGAGCTCCCTCATCACGAAGAACGTCGGCTAGAGCAGGAGAAGCGCGATCGCATGCTTGAGCGTGAGCGACGGCGAGATGACGATCGTGGTTATGATCACGAAGTCGACCGTGAGAGAGCACGAGACCGTGATCGTCAGTACGAATCAGAAACCGAGCGTGAACGGGAGCGGCAACGTGTGATGGAGCGTGAGCCAGAACGTGAGCGGCACCATCAGCGACGTGATACTGTTGATCGTGATTACCGGAAGGAGAATGGTGGTGATGGCGGGGCCAGTGGTCTTGCGAAAGCTGCTACGGGTGGCTTGGCAGTTGCTGCTGGTGCTTTCGGTCTTAACAAAATTTTCAACAAAGACAAAGATAAAGATGGAGAACGCGAGAAGGACCGGGACCGAGACCGAGATTACGACCGCGAGCGTGATAGAGGTGAGAAAGACCGTGATCTACCACGCCCCGAGAAAGAAGCTGAGCGGCAACGCTACGAAGAGCCGCCACGCAAGGAGCCTCGCGAACGGAGACAGCGGGGTCCGGACTCTCATACTGATGATTCTGCGCCCTACGACGCCCGAGACCGCGAAGACCGCTACAATGACACCGATCGGGGGTTTGGCTTCGCCTTCGAGCGACCACCCGAGCCGCCGAAGGCAGCTCCGCCTATCGACCGGCCCAGAGACTTCGATCGCGATGTAGCACGCATGCCGCAAGAACGGGTACCGGAGCGTGATTCCAGACCACCTCCTCCCGTTGACCGCTCGAGAGACCTTGATCGCGAGCCAGCACGCGTACCACAAGAGCGTGTCCAAGAGCGCAACCTGGAGCGTGAGCACGGCGAGCCGATTGCAGTGATGCCTCAACCAGCCATTGATGCAGACGAGGACTACCGGCGCCGTATGGAGCAGGTTCAGCGTGAGCTTGCACGTGCCGCCACTGAAGAGAAGGTCAGCTCCGACTCCGATCCGGATCGCGAGCGACGCCGACGTGAGCGAGAACAGAGACAGCGCGAGAAGGAGGAACGAGACTTTACAGAGCCTAAGCTGAATGCTGGTGTTGGCCTGACGAATTTCAACGAGCAGCCACCACCACCGCAACTCCGGCGAAGCTTCGAAGACACGATGTCCGATACCACTGCATCATCTGGTGGTCAGCACGCTCTCAGGAGGAAGCCGAGCATACTGGACGAGCCAATGACCGCTGAGCCTTACCAGATCATTGATAACAGCGCTAGTGATAGGCGAGAGAACCGTGTCCGCATAGTTGACCCACCAACGGAAGAGGAGGACAGAAAGCCAAAGGGCATCCTCAAGAGGCCGACCCAGAAGTTTCCAGAGCATCCGAATGCGATGCGAGAGGGCGTGGCACCGTTGAAAGATGCAAGTGCAGTATGCTACCCCCAATGCCCGAGAGCTGGATTCACTAACACTGGGACGTAGGCCACCGCTAAGGGTATCCCACCCGGCGCGCGCTGGACCAAGATTGACCGCAAACTGGTCAATCCAGAAGCTCTTGAAGAGGCTAAAGAGCGCTTCGAAGAGCGGCTTGACTGTGTCATCGTCTTGCGCGTACTCACCAAAGAGGACATTCAGAAGCTCGCAGATCGGACACGCGAGATCAGAGGTAAACGCTACCCTTCCCGCGGTGAATCTGACTACATTTACGACATGCGTGAGCTGCGAGTTGAGTCTGCGACTGCTCCTCCTATCGTTTCGCGACCTGATAGCGTGCACGTAGCCAAGCCTGCAGACTAGTACTCCGCAGACGACACCGCTACACGCGATCGCACCGCAACTCACGCGCAATCGGAGCGCGGTCGCAGATTCCCCAAGAAACGCATGTGGATCGTCCACGGCTCTCGTGACTTCATGAATATCTTTAAGCACTCACTGACACCCTATTCTTACCCTGCAGATGAGCGATACGAAGAAGAGCGGGCCGAACGTAAGGCCGCGAAGCGTAAAGAGCGGCAGAAGGCGCGGAAGGAGGGCGATGAGTATAGCGATGATAGTGCGGATGAGTGGAAGGAGCGGGCGCCGAAGATGCTTGAGGCGGCGCCGTCGAGTGTGGGTGCCGGTGCTGGTGCTGCGAGTGAGGCGGATTTTGTGAGGGAGAATCGAGATCGGAGGCGGGAAAGGGAGGGCGAGCGTGAGGGACAGTATGCTATGAGTGGTGGGCTTGGGAGGCGGGATGAGAGGGCGTAGAACATTCATGTTGCATTGCATTTGGTTTACGGTAGTTAGCGGTTGACAAGCAGGACCTTGCACATGCTGCTTCTGAGAGAGACAGCAGGCATAACTGTCAATTATGAGCTTGTGCGCCATCATTTTGCGACGCTGATAACTTTTGATGACTGCTTCAGACCCTCCTGATCAGTGCCCATACTTTTGGCATGGTTGACACCAACCCTTCTCCCAATCGAGCGACGATAAATCCAATCCTTCGCCGTGACCACCTCTTCTTCGTCTGCACCACCATCCTGCTGTCCCCGCCTCGCATCAATCATCTCGCTCCCCTCAAGTGCGCGCAGCAAAACTTCATCCTCCGGCCGAGCAAAATACACCAGACTCATCCTCGTCAAGCCCTCCTGCTTCCCCGGCGGGTTGACAACACGGTGCAAATTCGACCGCAGGATCCCGGCGGAGAACTTCACCATTGCGTCTCCCAGGTTGCAAATACAATGGCCTTGGAGGGGTCGCACGTAGCTCCATTCCGCGCCCTCCCCAGGCGGGAGAACTTGCAGCCCGCCAAGTCGATTGAACAGCACGCTCACGCTGCCAAAGTCGGTATGCTGACCCAGTGAGATCTTATTCTCGTCCATGGGCTGCCACGGCGCGCGTACCCACCGCACGATATCGCAGGAAGTTGTGCGGAGCCGGTGGAGATTCTGCAGTGTATGCGCTGGTAGACCGAGCTGGTCACTCAGTACGCCAAGCAGAAGCGTGACAACGGCGTGAGACCGCTGCACGTATCTCCGCACCAACGCGCGATTCCCCTCCTTCTGCAGCACCGCTGGTGCGGGGAGCGGGTCAGTGACGCCGAGTAAGTCGTCTTTCGAACTATTCCAGAACTCGCTGCCATCCCGCTTCCCATCACCGCCGTCGATGAGTTTCTGACCCAGGCGTCTGTACCCGAAGTAGCTGCCCTGCTCGCCCGCGTCGTGGTAATCATACTGCACCTTCTCCACCTCCGGGAGCTCGAGGACTTGCTTGCCGAGGGTGAACATGGCTTCGGCGTCCGCCAGCAGACCATCGCCGTTGAGCTCGCCGTCGCCGTTTTCAGACTTGTCTGAGTGATGGAGGAAGCTGTCGCGTTTGGAAGACACGCCGGCACGTAAGTCGAGGTAGAAGAAGCCGAGGTCGCAGCAGGCACGCCATAGACGTTGTTGTTCATCGGTGTCTTGATCGATGAGCTTCTTGAGGCTGATGCGGAGGAGTGGTGCGGTTGGAACGTCGTTGGGGAAGGGCGGCAGGTCGTCAAAGGCCAGACTCTCTGGGTCGAGATGGTCTGTTGCCATTGTGGAGGCTCGGTCTGATCAGTGTAGGCTCGGCCTGATCCCTATAGCTGAGTAAGTTGATCCTACACCACAACTCGGTAAGTAGACTTGTCAGTACCAAGAGAAGTGCAGATCTATTGCAATGCAACCAGTAACGCTTCAGACCGAGCACGAATAGGAAAGAAGTGCGTTTTGCCCAAGGAGATGGAGGCAATGGTCCGATGCGGAACGGTGTGGATGACAAGGAAGCTGGAAGTACTTGCCAATGGCCGCGAAAATGACCTTCCAGCCACCAAACAGCATGCTCCGAACATAGTGCGGCAATCGCTTTTTCAACGCCTAACTTGTCAGCCGAAGTGTTGCAGTCTCTTGAGAAGCTTACCCCGCTGCGCTGCCGGCGTGTAGTCACTATACGATGTACCATATCCCCGCCCAGCACTTTCGAGCTCTACTAGTAATGGCCGAGGTAGCATGATTGTGGGTTTGGGTTGGGTCCGTGGGTCAGCGGTCGAACTGTGTGTCACGACCGTCTTTTGCACAATATCCACAGTCTGTACTCCTGACCTATCTCACATACTCCTGCTCCTTCCTCTCACTCCCCTATACTCCTTCCTCAACTGTGCCCTACCCCTCTCCGCCATCCACCATGCATTTACAGACGGCTGCCATGCACAACCTTGTAATCCACAGCCAGCTCACGACCCTCATCATTGATTACCAGCACCCTAACGGAGCCACGGCCATTGTTGAACGAGTCTTGCAGGCGGTTAAGCAGATTCGACTGGTCAAGGACGGGAAGACCTTGCTTGACGTCGCCAGTCTCGGTCATGGCCACCACGCGGCCATCGTCGCGGATGTCGAGGACGCGGTACTGCTTGAACACCGGACCGAGCATGTTCTGCACAATGACTGATGGGCTTGGGTTGCTGACGAAGCTGCTCTCCTCGTGGAGCTGCTTGGTGAAGAGGTCAACGCCCAGGTAGCGGTGCTGGCCGGTCTGCGCTGAGGTGGTGATGCGGATGACCTGGCATGGGCGGCCCTGGAGGATGAGCAAGTCGCCGATGCGGATGTGGTGGCACGGGATGGTGATGGTGTTCGGCATGCCGCCGCGGTACTCGCGCGCGTAGCTGCGCTCGGAGGTGTGACGAGGAGCGCTGGTGGTCACTTCGCGGTCCTCTACGACAACGTCTTCTTCCACGCGGTCACGGCGTGGGCCGTAGATGATGCGGTCTGCGGCACGCTGGATGCCGTGGCGGAAGCTGTGGTAGTGGCCGTCCTCGTCGTAGTAGCCCATGTCGAAGCGGTGCTTGCGTTCGCGAGGTGGGTCGACGGTGCGTTCTTCGCTGACGGTGACTTTCTCGTCGTATGTCACGGGCTCACGCTCGGCGTAGCCTTCCTGTGGGTAGTCGCGAGGGTGGGTGCTCTTGTCCTGCCAACCACGCTCTGCTCGGTACTCCTCGGTGAAGGGAGTAGTTCGGTCGCGGAAGTCTCTCTCCGCAATATCGATACGTTCGTCGAAAGCTACCTGACCGTGACGGTTGTCTCTCTCGTAGATGCGGTCCTTGACGTCGATCTGGGCGTCGGAATAGCGCTGGTACGGCTCACGGTAGCTGCAGGCCGGTAACTGTCAGCTAGCTGTAACAAGACAGGGTTGACGTTCCAGAAGATCGGTGCAGTACAGGTGGCAGGGATGAGACAAGAAGGAAGTTGGGCAGCTGTTGCTTGGTCGACAACACATCCGGGCCCCACATGGCGCCGTAGCGTGTTTGCCAAGCGCCTCAAGGGGGCGCCCCGTGCGTAATGAAAACATAACATGAAGGAGATGCACACAATCGAGCAGTGCGGAATGAGCGATGAATGCAGGAAGTGAAGCTGCTTACCGCTCTCTGTCAATCTCAACGCGAGTTTCCTCACGTACGTCGCGGCGATCACGGGTATAGCGGTCGTCTTCGTAGACACGAACCTCTTCTTCTCTCCTCACGCGATCTGGACGCTGGCGGCGAGTGTCGGTTTCGGTCTCGGTGATGCGGATGTCCTCACGCGTATAGCGGTCGTCTCGACGGGAAGGGGCTTGGTTTGAGTATCGGCCTTCCCGTCCAGCGTCTTGGACAGTGATGCGCTCGTCCTTCTTGACCTCGGTAGTCTCGGTAGATACCTGCTCGTTGCGGTATGTTGACGGGAAGACGCTGAACGGGACACTATACAATCGTGATTAGCTCCGTCTTCTCAAGCCAATATGCAGCCGATGATCGTGTGGTAGAGTAAGGCATACGGTACTCTGCAAGGTGAAGTCAGCAAACGCTCCCGTATATATCTATATCACCTGTGTGATAGCTTACCTGGCGTCGAAATCTACATGACAGAGAGTAGCATGGTCAGCAATGTTGTCCCAGAACAATCACCCAGCGTGCATACCCAGTTCGGCGAGCTATGCTCGACTTGAAAGCCTCGACAGCAAGGCCGTCAAGTGAGCAACACAATCACTGATGAGATGCTCAAGAGGGAAGACGGAGGGCAGATCGCAAAGTGTCGGCTGATGCGATGCACCCTTTGTACTGTGCGGAGTGGTGGGCCAATGGGTGGGAAACCGAAAGCGGGATGCAAGAAGGGTGCGAGCGACTGGAGCTTTGCGAGCAGAGCGACCGACGCGCTGGAGGTGTGTTCGATGCCGCTAAATTAGCTCCGTTTTGGGGAGCAACATGAACGGCTCCCTCGGCTCGTCCCCAGCCACCAACGAGTCAAGCCACGTCCATCACGACTCTGGCCATGTCGACTCGACGGTAAGTGAGAAGACGGTGCTGCCTCTCGTAATGGAGATGGTAGCAAACAAGCTGTCACTACACACGCGTATATGTATGCTACAGTGTGCAAAAGCCACCTCATTGGCGTGTCGTGGCTCTGACCGACTCGCGGATCAAGCATGTCCATCCGGAAACATGTCCATCCGGAAACGCTTCCACTTCTACCGACTGCAGCCAAGGTGCAGATGCAGCCAGCGACCAGCTGCATCCACGACTCCACTGCATGGCGGAAAGAGCTCTCGAAGCGCTCTTTATGCAGGGTCCTAATCCAAAGCTGTTACTTCCTGATCAAGCTACATCACGTGCAAAGACCAATCCATTATACAGTACGCTCACGCTGATGCACTCACCCCATGCTCATCTTGTAAACATAAACACACAGTCGAGGCAGGATACTGTCAGCTCCCGCCGCAGTAATGGCCCGTGGCCGTGTCTTACACATTGCCCGGTCACGAAGCATGTGCTCGTCCTCGTCCTTGTCCGCGTCCGCATTACCTTCATCTTCAATCCCCATGTCCATCTTCCTGTTCTCATCCCCTCGTCTCGGCTCGTCGAGAATGGCAGTCTGCGGCGATGGCCTGCCTTCTCTTTGCGGAGGCTACTGGACCGCTCCATGGCAGCAGTGCACGTGGACTTTATCTTCATTCCCCATCGCGGCATCGGCTCAGCTCCGTCCCCAGAAATCCATAGAAGCAATGACATCCTCGCCCGTCTCGTCTTCGTACGCAAAGAGTATCTGCAGAACACACAAAGATTAGCATTTGACTCCACGGATACTCTCACTCCACCGCATCATCAACGTCACATCTCGTACTCACCTCTCTCGTACTCTGATGCAAGAACCGAATATTCCGATGCGTCTGTATGCACACCAACCCCCCGGTATCGCTCTGCCGAATCTCGATAAACTCCGGCTCAAAAGCCAGGATGTACTTCTCCCCCCACGTCGCAAACGCGTTCGGGCTGCCCTCCCAAATGATCTTCCAATCCCCTCTCGCCCGCCACCCGTTCTTGTTGACGTAGAAACTGAAGTCGTTGTAACAGAGCAAGAAGTTCGAGGTGTTGGGCTCGATGTAGATGGGCTTGACGTTCTCCCTCCGCGCCACGAAGTCGAGGGATGTATCGGCTTGGTCGAGTAACGATTGCGTTTCCAGCGTCTCGAGCGACACAATCTCGAAGCCCCTCGCGCCGCCGACACAGAGTTTGCTGCGCAGGAAGTGAATGCTGTTGCTTTCCATGGGGATGTAGAATTCCTTGTACGGCTTCAGCACGTCCTGCCCACTGGCCAACATCTTCGCTAAACCGGTCTTCTTTTTGCCTTTGGTCATGCCGTCCATGGGCTCGAAGACTTTGACAGTGCTGCTCAGCGAGCTGCTCTTGACGCAGCATACGAGTGTTTGCCCGTTGCACATGCCGGCATTGATGTAGTTGGCGTGGCAGATGCGCTTGCCGCGTTTGGATGGAGAAGCCGGGCTTTCTTCTGGATCGAGCGCTTCTAGCGGGAAGGTGAAGACGGCCTTGTCCGCGAGGACGATGAGGATCTGATGCTGTTCCAAGACTTCAATTTGGCTGACGAACTTGATCTCGAGCATCTTCTTCGGCCTGGAACTGGCATCCTTGGGCTTACGATCCACGACGTATACACCATTGTCCGTGCCGATGACCAGCTTTCTACCGCCGTCAATGGGTCGACAGCAATTGATCCTGCCCGTTGCCGTGGAGAAAGCTTCGCACAGCTTCGTCAAGGTGAAGATGCTGTGCCGCTCGCTCAACTTCTCCTTCTGCGATTGGATGTGCTCCATCCACTTCTCCCGCTGGATCTGGCTGACGCAGTACAGCGTGAGCTCATATCCACCTTTCCCCAGCCCTTTGAATGTGATGGGCCAGCCTGTTTGGTCGGTCGTGCCTTGTCGCGTGGGCACTGCGCGTCCCACACCCGGGATCATCGAGCTCGAGGGCCGGGCCAATAGCCCAACGCGAGGTAGCACCGCGTCCATCTCCTTGATCTGCAGTAGCTCGAGCGGAATGGGCTTGCGGTAGACCTTCATCTCATCCCGCTTGTTCACCATCTTGACTCTTACCAGCAGCACAGCATGGTCGAACAGATACGCCGTCACATCTGCCGCCTCACTCGTTGGAGCCTTCTTCAAGTTGCTCTTGAAGATCAGCTGCCTCGTCTCCTCGGTAAGCTTCAGATCCATATGCGGTATCGTGCCCCACTTCAGCTGCGCATTAAGGCTCATGAGGTTGTAGTGATTCTCCGCTTTCCCGCTTTCCTCGTTCACTCTGGTCAGGGTCTCCTTGACCGCGGCGATAGCGCGAGGTAGGGCCTCTCTGTCTGGGTTGTCGTCACTAGTGTACTTGAGCACGTTGTCCAGCAGTAGTGGATACCTCGCTAATCTCGTCGTTGGCTTGGTCAAGTACCCGTTGAGCTCCAGTTTCCGACTCTCTTTCAGCCGTTCCGTCTCCTCCACAAAGCGTGCAAAAGCCGGGTTGGAGCTCTTCTCCTTCTCAAACTCGAACTTGCCGAACAGCTGGTTCGCGCCGTACTTGACGAAGGGATTGAACTGGCCTACAAAGTCGAGGAAGATGTCGCCAACGTTATACACGACGGGACTCTGCTGCTGTCGTCTCGTCAAGGCGGAAGCCATTCGTGCATTGACACTGTGGACCTCCTGGCAGTTCGAGAAAACGGTTCGAATGAACTTCTCCCTGCGATGCTCCGGTATGGGGCTGATGTCGGCCGTCCGTAGCGGCTTAATCCAGAAGTCGCGCAAGTACTCAAGGTCTTTGACGAAATCACGCTCCGTGTACATGATCTCGGAGATGACTTCCTGCCGCTTCTTCTCACGGTCGGAAACTGAGTCCGAGACCTCCTTGGAAACAGTGTTGATCCACAGCTTTTGCTCATTGTCAGGCTCGTCATGCAAACTGGCGCGGCTCGTCTCTCGCCTCAAGCCTGGCGTCACCTTCATGTTGAGCCGTTGCTGCTGCTCCAGCCTGCGAGGACAAGCGATGGAGTAGCACAAGTTGTCCCGATTGCACGTTGGGCTGTAGCACTCTGTAAGCAGGGTGAAGACGCCATTCACGTCCGGTGCCTCTTCGTTCAGCGTCTCCTTGAACTGGTATATCTCGTTCGGACTGTCGCGCAACCGGTGCGTATATTCCACATCGTGGAAGAACTTCTGAGCGTCCAGACTTCGGCCAAGCAGCAAGGCGAGGTTACGATCCGATGTCCGGATGATATACGCGATGAGCTCCACGGCTTCGTACCCACTGAACGCGTTCTTGTACACCAGCCCGTCTTTCTCTTTCTCCGCTACTGCTATGCGCTCGCGAAATGCCTCCGCAACCTTGGAGAGCAGTGCGCCGTAGACCAAAGAAGGCCGCTTCTGCGCCACCATTGTGCTCGCTTGCGTAGTTTGCGAATTCGAGCGGATAGTCGCGGGAACAGAAGGTGTTGCTGAAGGTCGTGGAGAAGGCTGCTCAGTGGGCGTCACAGTCGTAGAGGCCATTGACATGGTGCGGGAGTTCTGGCTGCTACTGCTTGGCACGCGCCCATTGACCTGTAGCCCATTCGGGACACGGTCTGGATGGTAGCCGTTCGTAAGTGTCGAGTCGGTTCCACTAGTCTCTCCTGACTCTCGTCTGCGATTCGGGATTACTCTGCCACTCTGAGTTTGCGTGAAATCAGTGTCACGCGTATATGACGACATGGACATGGTTCGCTCATCGCCAGTGCGCTCTGGAACAACTCGCCCTTGCGCCGTTGTCCGAGCCAGATGGTTTACGTACGGCTGTTGTCGGAAGGCGTTCGCTGGTGCAATACCATATTGACCGCCTGGCGGCTGGTACATGGGTCGCGGATTGGAAGCCAACGACTGCGTCCTGTAGCTATCAGTATTCATCGCAGGTCCGTTGGGCGGTCCACTAGGCGCATAGGGCCGTTGAGTGACAGATCGCTGATACTGTCCGGGCCCTGGCGAGCCCCTAAGGTCTAGCCTTTGCGGTTGTCCATACGGATTTCTGTCCGGTCTGATGGGCTGCGGTAGATTCTGGGGTGGTAGTGGCCGTCTCTGAGGCGAGTTTTGTGCACCGTTCATATACCCTGGCGGCGCAGGCCCGTTTGGCGCAGACTGAGAGGCCTGCGGATACCCTCCATTTGGTTGCGCTCCAGGCCGTATCGGTGGTGGTCTCTGCTGAAAGCTTTGCGCAGTGGCCGTGCTCATGGTCGCTGCGCGGTCTGATGGTATCTGCGGGGTCATGCCTGTCATTGTATGACTTCGGCCTGGGGGCGGGGCGCCGCCGAAGATGTTGGAGAAAGCCTCATCTCGCGTGGTGGCCGACGTGGAGGCGAACTGGCCGTTGGGCCCTGGAGGGTAGTTGCGTCCCTGCTGAGCCTGGTATTGGGCCATGGTGCCAGCCCTGCTGGCACCCCTTCTCTCCTTGCTTGCCCTCCTTCACCAGCAGCGCCGAGTCCGCCAGACAACCCGGCCTGCTCGTTCACCTGATCATGCACCCTGTGCTCGGTGTCTATAGCGCCCTTCTCTCCGCGCCGCCGTCTCCTGCCTGTGGGGTTGAACTCTGCTGCACTCCACACCCGCAGCCCAAGCACGAGGAGTTACAACTCGGTCACAGCCAAGAGTCGTCTGCAGCAATACAGCCTGTCGTCACACAAGAGCAAAAGTGAATATGGGTAGATGTGGTTGGTCACCAAACGCCGTCCGTACGGCGGTAGTGAACCGCGGCCGGGATCTTCGCTGCGTCTCCGCGCTCCAGTGTTTCAGCGCGCTTCGGTATCAAATGAATTCGGTAGTGTTGATGTCGTCGACGATGGGCAAATGCACTGAGTATCGAATGAATACGCTACGGCATGTCACCACCCCAGATACCATCTCAGCACTAGAATCGTATGTGCATCCGTGTGCTGCAGGGCAGAGTGACCCCCAGTCGGGTTGCACCCGAGCCGGAAATGCTTCTCTCTCACGTGAGCGTGCCTTGATCGGCTTCGCTCGTCATTCACGGCCGATGAGGTTCTATTATCGAAGAGGATCAACGTAGACACTATTCACACCACACACGTCACAGTCGCTCCCAGCAACGAGAAGGGTTTGCAAGTAGAGCTAGGGACAGGCGTAGAAGAATTTCATATCAATAGCGCCACCATGGCGGACTCTGATCTCACGCCCAAGTTTGCGCCCTTCTTGGGCATGGCAGGCATCGCATTCGCCATGATCTTTGGGTGTATGCGCTTCGTACTATCACAACACCAAATACAGATGGAATGGTACTAAGCAGTCGCACAGGCATAGGCGCGGCATACGGCACATCGAAATCAGGCATTGGCATAGCAGGAGTTGGTACTTTCAGAGGCGACCTGATAATGAAGGTATACCTTTCCCCCCTTCGAACACCATTTCCTCACACTTGCTAACGTGTACCGCAGTCCTTGATCCCGGTCGTCATGTCCGGTATCATCGCCGTGTACTCCCTCGTTGTCGCCGTCCTTATCGCCGGCAACATGAAGCCTCCACCTCAGCAACACTACAGTCTTTTCGAAGGCTGCATGCATTTAGCTTGCGGTCTAAGTGTCGGCTTGACAGGCCTGGCTGCAGGTTATGCAATAGGGATAGTGGGTGATAGTGGAGTGAGAGCATATATGCAGCAAAGCCGCATTTTCGTGGGCATGGTGCTGATATTGATCTTCGGAGAAGTGTTGGGATTGTATGGGTAAGTCTCCACTTTAGCACAAGCAAGAGGGGAGTCGATGCTAACGCATACGCAGATTGATCGTGTCTCTGATCTTGAACACAAGAGCATCGGGCTAGATGGCGCCTATGATATGTGGTGATCGTGATTGCGGTCATGACGCTCACCACGCTACTAGAAGCCACTGCGATACTGTCTCCGAGTGTTATCAGCACCGACAACTTCTTGATTATGCAGCGCGAGATACTCGTACAGTCTGCGGACCAGCATTGGTTGAAGAGAGGCTAGCGCCGGCATCGCCCGTGCAACGGACTTCCATCTAATGACTTCGACCTGAGTGCTCGCGTTCGACTGTAACACCCACACCTGAAGACATCGACGACTTACTGAACGATTTCTATCACTCTCTGGTCTCTGTATGATGTCAGAATGCGGCAAGGTAGGAAAAATGTACTGAATGCGAACTTCGCCGAGTGTGTGGCGAAGCGTTCACCGGAAGTCGTTCAAGGTGCGTTCGGCTCGCTCAGCCTCAAGCCAAGTGCATGCCAAAGACTGCGCCTCCTCGTGCATCTTGACTTTGAGTATGCCTTCGTACCGGTAACAGCAGAGCTAACTTGCATATCGAAATCTCTATTCTTATGTCAGTGCACTTGGTCTCGAGAAATAAACCCGGAAAGTCTCTTGTGACACTCACACATCAGAGTACCTGTATTTTAACCGGTAGCAATGGCCTTGCCCAACGGCCTCCTGGGAGCTGCAACCTATGACCTCTACCGTGCTCTGGCCATGCTTTACAGAGCGGTGGAGGATGTCGACGGAAGCAACACCCTCGCTCTGAGCACTTTCCCAGAGGCACACTCGACTGCTCACGAAGATTTGTTGACCATACGAACACTCATGAGTGGGCTCGACCACCGTGCAATGCGTACTCGGAGACGATCGCGTTCTGTTACCCATGCTAGGAACTTACACCTTGAAGACTTCTCGAAATATTGCAGTCGCACAGAACACAATCGTGTGCACATTCGAGTCCGTCGACGATGGGATGAACGCGGTCAACTGTGCAGACGGCCCGTTGAGTTCAAGGCAAGCATTACATGCATACCAGTGAAGGGACCTCGCGCCCAAGCTGTTACGGCTGAGATTGGCGAGGTTGAGACAGCGGCCGGCTTCCTGTCTTTGACACCATGTCTCTCACTTCGCAACGTGATGTCAACAGATGCTCAGATTTTTCGCCTGATCGATCGAGACGACGTTGTTGGCGTGCAACAACTCCTACGCAGTGGCAAGGCGTCAGTCCGCGACTGCGACATGTACGGCTGGGACGTTCTGCATCGAGCCACTTGGGAGTGTAGCGCGGAGCTCTTCTCCACGCTTTTATCGGAAGGTGCGGATCCCAACAGCATTACCGGCTTGTCGTCCTCCTGCATGCTGCTCTGTGGCGGGAACGACTACCACCAGAAGATCAGACTAGCACTAGAGGCCGGTGCAGATCCAACAGTCCTGCCAGACGGGCAATTTTCGCTCGCTCATATGACGGGCAAGGTGCTGGCCAGCGTGCTACGCATTTCCTCCGCATATCTCGACCTCTCCCTCCGTGACCCGTGCGGCAAGACGCTACTGATTGCTGCAGCTGCAGTGACACACAATGTCGATCAAGCGCAGGTCCTTCGCTTGCTCCTGCGTGCTGGCTCTGATCCGCATGCGTACGACTTCGACGGCAACACAGCGCTCCATCTTATCATTGGGGCTATGCAGCCGGGGCAGCACCACTGTCTGGCCGCCATAGTCGAGCTGCTCAATGCAGGTATCAATCTTTGCTGGTACAATGATAAAGGCCAGAGTGCGTTAGACCTTGCCTGCAACGACTTGGCCGAGCATGGTAGCTTTCGTCGTGACAGTCTACATCGCGCGCTCTTAAGAAGCGGTCGAATTGTCAATGATGAACGATTGCTCGCACAGCCCGTATTTACTAGTACCTACAGAGGCATAGAGGGAGAACTTGACTTGGAAGGCGACAGTCAGCACCATCTGCCCAGCTTGCGAGCCGGGGTTCTGGAGAGGCTGATTGGCCTGGTGGACTGCGGCGGCGCCTTTGCCCAGTATTGTCTCCACGAAGCTGCGGTTGATAGGACGCTAGCCGCCCTTGCTGGACGAACGGAGTCTAATGTAGACGAATTGCTTGACAATGCGTTGCAATACTTGCGGCGCATGCTTGCTGGCAAAAGGCACATCGTCTTGGCAACAAAGCACCAGCTGAGATACCAGACATGGCTCCCGTACTGCCGCTATTTGAACAGCCTTAAGCTGTCAGAGGAATCGGAAGTGGCGGCTTTGCTGGAGTACGACTGGTCACGGCCCGTCGATTTCGGCGACGTGATGTCAAGCTTCGCGGACAATCTCATTGTCCGCTTGGAGCAGATGGAGGCGAAGGGCGTCCGACGTGACAAGATCAATGAAATCACAATCAAAATCGAGAGCACTCTGCTCAACACGCCGCAACCTACAGAGCTATATGTGGCCTCTGGAGTGGAAGGGGAGCATTTCGCTGGACTAACGAACGTACTTGAGAGACGTTATACGGACGCACAACATACCAGACGCGACAGCATGAGCCCAGAAGAACGGCCAAAGCACCTGTCCGTTCTGGAGACACCGGCTTGCTTCTACGCGCCTTACGCAGTCTTGCCTTCACCCACTCTCGCTCATATCGAAGCTGCGGAAGCAGCTGATTTGTGCGTTGCTGCAGGAAACATGGCGCGAGAAGGACGCAGGCATAAGGTTCGAATGTCAGATTGCTCTGTAGATGAGGGTACCGAGGCATTTGATTGAGTGGTCCTTGAGGCATCACGACGGGCTTACTTTGCCAAGAATTTGGTTGCGAATCAATAATGTCTTGGTACTTTGCTGCAGGCCAAAAGGAGAGCATGTAGTACAAGCTAAGCTACCAGAACACTTCGCATACGACTTGAGATCTAAGAAGATTGCGTAAACGCTCCTCCAAACCCTAGCGACGCCGAAGGCGATCAGTATGGAGCAAGAATCCACCCAGGGCTGTGCATAGCGTGACAAGATGCAGCCGTATCGGAGAACTATAACATTCTACAATAAATGCGTGATGCATGTCACATCCTTAGTGGCAGAATACTGTTAGGAGGTAGCGAAGGTCGTAGGGATGTGCACAGATAGCTTAGAGAAGTGCCTCAATGCACGTGGTGAGCTTCGCATGCTGACTAACGCTCTCTATCTACTCATCAATGGCACAAATAGTGCATTAGACTCATCAACATCGTGCCATGTCTTCGTCATAGCTCAACCCTTCCTTAAGCGTGTTGGTTTAAGCCCGCGGATAGGTGATGAACATCTGGTTGAAATCATTCCTGACCGCCCAGGTACCGTTCATGGTGTTGTAGGTCAAGTTTGTCATTTGCACACTGCCAGTCTGGATGGAACCACTCTCCACGACGCCACCAGCGACTGGGCGGGTGAGATGGTTCGCACCGTTCATGACTGAGAAGTTACCCAGGCTGATCTCAAGCGGGTTCCTGGTTGCCACGGTCGGCATGCCAAAGTATTGCGCGTCAATGCGATCCTTGCCGATGTGCAGCTCGAAGTACCCGCGGTAGTAACCTTCGTTCCACTGGAGCTCGGTGTTGTCACGGACAAGGTAACGGGACTGGTTGTTTGCGCTGGAGATGGTGCCACCGAAACCGGTGGATGTGACGGCAGTACCGGCGAACTCGACACCAACGGAACCTTCGCCTGTGGCAGGGTTGTACTGATGCTCGTCGAGCCAGACAAGGTCCGACACCCAGTTGGCATGACTGTCACCAGCCAACATGACGTTGTTGTTGAGGCCGTAGTCGTACATCGTCTTAAAGGTGCGGTTGCGGTTCGCTTGGTAACCGTCCCATTGATCCTCGTTGTACGGGTTGGCGAGCGTGCCGAACCAGCTGGAGATGTTGACACGACTGAAGACAATCTGGTTGCCGATGATACGCCAGGTAGCGCCACGCTTCTGGGAGTTGATCAGCTCCTTGTAGAACCAGTTCTCTTGAGCCGAGCCCATCAGGGAACGGCTGGCATCGTTGCGGATCAGGTACATGTAGTCAGTGTTCCAGTTAAGATCTGTAATACTTCTGTCGTAGTTGCGAGTATCAAGCATGATGAGATCCATGAGCTTGCCCATTCTGAAGGTTCTCCAGATGCGCAAATTGTCGTCCATATCGACTTGGCGGATCGGCATCCACTCGAAGTACGCACGGACAGCGTTCATCTTGCGTTGGTCAACGGACACACCTCCAGACTGTATGAAGGACTGCTCAGTATTGTTCATAGCGGAAAATCCATCGCGATATCCATTGTTCGCTTCCTCATGGTCATCCCACACGGCAATCCAGGCGAAGTTTTGGTGGGAGAGAAGGAGATCGAGGTCGGTACGGTACTGCGCGATACGAGTGCGGTAGTCATAGAGAGTCTCAATCGAGCGGCCAGGGTTTGTTGCGCGAGGGTCACGTCCAAGCACACCGGTCGATGTCTCGTAGATGTAGTCTCCGAGGTGCACAACATAGTCCACATGGTCCTTGCGGGCAGCATTCTGCACACTGTGTCAGTTCTGGCATGTGTAGGTCGAACGTTGCGAAGACTCACGCCGTATGCGTTGAAGTAGCCATTGGGGAAGTTGCTGCAGCTGTAGACTGCAAGGCCAATTTGCTGCGTATCGTCGTCGTCGGTTGGAGAGCTCTTGGTGCGGCCGAGTGGTGAGCGGTTGTTAGTGCCGCACTGGGTAAACTGATAGTAATAAGTAGTGAAGGGCTGAAGGTGGCCAGCTTCGACCTGAGAAAGAAAGTCAGCCATGACACTTCCAGTCACCGCAAATTGTCGCTTACCTTGATGGTGAAGTCAATATCCGAGGTCGTGTATGCAGTGCCCGAGTCGACGATCTTGGTGAGTTGTGGGTCGCTCGCAATCTTCCACGTCGCGCAGACGCGGTGTCTGCTCGCTTGGATGTATTGCTCCGTCTCATGGCTGTAAACAGGCACATAGCCGCTCACGGTGACATTGCTATTATCGCTAGCCAAGCTCGGCGCAAGCCGAGTCCACAGGATCACGCTGTAGGCCCAGGGGTCGCCTGAAGCCACACCGTGCGTGAAGTTCAACTGGCTGTCGGTGAAGTTGGCGGGAGCCTGACGAGCTTGAAGGCTTTGACGTTTCTGGATCTTAGGGACGTCAAGGCCGAGAGAGCGATGGCGAAGGGAAGGGCTCTGGAAGTTGATGTTGCCCTCCCAGCTCGCCAAAGCCGAGGCGGCAAAGGTAGCCACGGTGAAGAGAGAAGATAGCATTTTTGAGCAGACGAATTGTGCCTTACCTACGCAGTCCAGTGCCACTTGCGGCAGCAATGGCAGGCTACACTATATGTTCTTCCTACCTTGTCTGCCATTCCTTAATCGCAGAATGGTACCTGCAGGAAGAGCTTCATGTCCCGCCTTTTCTGCTTCTTCGGGTGCTTGGCCTGCAGCTGTCGTGAACGCAGCGTCTGCACGATTCAGCGCTTGAAGCAGGTCGTCCCAATGGCAGAGGCATTGCTCTGAACACGTTCCTGAGGCTCGATGTCGCGTGGTGATTGTGCACGGTCAGATTGGACGGTAGAGGGTGAGAGTTCTGCAGGCCAAGAGTACCAAGACTGCATCCCCGTCCATCAACGTCTTGGCCCGACGACGGCCTTCCTGTTTCCGCCCAGCCTGCGGAGCACCGCAACGCTTTTGCGACTTGGCGTAGTCGGTGGCGCTGGCTGTGCAGCGTAGGATCATACCTCAGGTATTCAGCCTGCCAAGTACGTTATTGTGAAGAAGCTTCGTATGCAGACAAAGGAAGGCTTGAGGTGTGAGCGTGTGAGCCGAACTGCTGCTCTCCCCACCTCCCCAATTAGCCAAGCCAACCGGCTTTGCTTACAGATCCATATTTACGACGTCGGGTAAACTCCGGTTTGTGCAGATCTTAGGCGGATCCGTGGAGCAGTTACCCTCTCCGTACGGTAGTCCGGAGGCGAAACAAAGGAAGGGCAAGCACTCGTGGTTGAGCCACAGCATTTGGACGGACGCTTGTATTATATATTGATAGTGCGAAAGAGGGGTAGAGATGGGCTGGCTTTCACCTGAGCAGGTCCGTGATCGCTTTTAGCATGTTGCTGATGCTGTTGCGTGGGCGCAGCACGAGCTTTCGTTTCCATGCTTGTCTACCTGTACACGACGGAGATAGCACTCCAGTATCTGCGCGCGAACGTCTACACTGTAGATTCATTCGGCGAGTGCCTGGTCTTGGAGGCACGCCTTTCTACGGAGATAGCTTCGCAACGGCGGAATGCAAGACTGGCATCGACCGTCAGAGGTCGAGAACCCGCTTTGGCACGACTAATCACTGCAACCGTATAACGTCGGAAGCGAGCTTGACAGAGGCACTGGAAGCGAGAGGCGGTTAGCATCGCCGCGCCGCCCGTCGCGCCGCTCTCAACCCGGACGGCCCTTACGGGAGCTAGCTTCGCTTCGTTCTGTTTACTCGGACACATGGCGTCAATATGCAGGTACCGATAGCTACGAGATCGACTTCACAGCGCAAATGCATTACAAGATGCTGACGGAAGTAAAAGACGTCGGCCCTTACGGTTTTTGCGAGATAAGCCAATCGAGACCTTGGATACGAGGGAGCTATAAAGCTGCCACCATTTCCATCTACTTTTCCTTTCATCAGTCAATATCAGTTTCAACCTCTCACTTGATACAATCCATTTCTCCATACGATGTCTCATCAATATGTCGCCCAGCAACCGTCCGGCTTCAAGAACAACATCGAAAAGGTGGCGGTTGTCGGAGTATGCCTAGCTTCACTTGTTTTGCTTCCTCATGCGTCGCTAACAGATGGACAGGCTACGGGATCTGTTGGCAAATACATCACGGAGGAGCTTCTGAAGACCGGCAAACACATTGTCACTGCACTCACACGCACTGACAGCGAGTCTACCATGCCGAAAGGCGTACAAGTCGCCAGAGTCGACTACAGCTCAGAAGATAGCATTGTCGACTCCCTGAAAGGCCAGGAGTTTCTCATCATTACAATGTCCACCCGAGCACCCCGGGATACACAAAGCAAGCTGATCAATGCTGCGGCGAAAGCCGGCGTCAAGTGGGTGATGCCAAATGAGTATAGCCCGGACTATGTGGGTGAGGAAGCCATGGGTCGAGACGTGATGAACTTTGGTCAGGTACAATTGGGCGCCCGCCAATTGATTGAGAGCCACGGGATGAGCTGGACGGCGCTGTGCTGCAGTCACGTAAGCGTTCTCCTTGTTGTTGTTGTTGTTGTTGTTGTTGTTGTTGTTGTTGTTGTTGTTGTTGTTGTTGTTGTTGTTGTCACGGGCTGACCTTTGCCCCTTCGGCATAGTGGTACGAATTCTCCCTAGCCGGCTCACAGACACGCTACGGCTTCGATTTCCAGAGCAAGACTGTAACGTACTATGATGGTGGGGATGTCAAGATCAATGTAAGCACGGCCACATTGTGCATCGCTTGGAAACATGTGCTGGACTGACAGGAGGCTTAGCACTCCACTTGGCCGCAATGTGGTCGTGCGGTGGCTAAGCTCCTCTCGCTCAAGCTCCTGCCAGAGGACGAAAGCGACAAAGCACCGACCCTGAGTCAGTTCCGCAACAAGCCATTGTACATCTCCTCATTCTTGCTCAGCCAGAACGACATGCTCGCCGCGGTGCTAAAAGCGACTGGCGACAAGGAAAGCGACTGGACCATCCAGTCGAAGCCAGTTACCGAGCGCTACCAGGATGGAATCAATGCTATGCAGAAGGGCGATATGCTCGGTTTCGCTACGGCAATGTACGCCCGAGTGTTCTATCCCGAAGGCAGCCCGGGAGATTACGAGAGTAAGGGCAAGCTCGCAAACGACATCCTAGGCTTGCCGAAGGAGGACCTGAACGAAGCGACGAAGAATGCGGTGCGTATGGCGGAAACAGGTGAAGGACTTTACCACTGAAGAAGCCGTGCAGCGCGACATCAAAGTCGCGAGAGAAGTGCTAGGGTATAGCTGTTGTACTCGTCAACTGGATCGCTGCATAATGCTTTGTAATGTTATCAATTGCAGTACTTGCCGCCCCAATGCCATCCCCACGCCATACATGCAGTGTATATGTCGGGTACGCGACCCTGTGCCGCAAGGTCTTCACAAGTGTGCAAGTCAGCTTTTGGCAAAGATCCGTTGGCTCCAATGCAAACCCAACGCCCAGTGAAACAACCTATGAAGAAGTCAATGCAACTTGCCAGTTCGTACAGACAGAGGGTAACTTACCTTGCATCGACAATCTTGCCCTGCTCCTTCGACAGCGCTGAGAAGGAAATACTTAAGCCAACGCTTCGATCTGCCACGAATGAAGATGAACGTACCTTGAAGCGTGTCATACAGTTCACTGATCGGAACAACCCTCCTCTCAATAAACTCGCCATCGTCCAGCTGTTGATCCGGCTCCTTATCTCCCTCCTTCAATTCCACCTCTATCGTAACCATCTACATCAATCACCCAGTCAGCATTTCGCTCCACTCCAACTCAAGAGACGCGAGCCGAGCGATAGATACCTGCATATTCGCCGTCGTCAACCCCGGATCGGCGACAATAGTTGGAGAACAATCAACTACCTGATGCGTGGCATTGGTCATTCCCGGCTGGTTACTTAACGTCGGACTGTGCTCACAAACCTTTCCCTCATACCCAGTTTCCTCCTTCAGCTCCCTGATGGCAGCCTGTTCGGGCGTTTCGCCCTCGTCGATTAGTCCAGCGGGGAACTCCACGCATGTCGCTTCGACGGGTGGACGATACTGCAGGATGATAAGGGTTGAGGGCGGCCGGTTGGGGTGGCGTAGGATTGGGGCAATGGCTACGGCGTCGATGCCTGTCTTGCCCCTGGTCTTGCGTGCTGCGGCCTCCCATACGCGATTACGGCCGGTTTGGTCGGTCCATTCGATCTTCTTCAATTCGGTCCATTTTGCTTCCTCGGCCGATAATGGGGAGATGCGGTTGATCTTTGGCTGTTGCTGAGCCATCTTTCCTAGACACCGAATTCGGCCTTGGTGTGATATCCGCAAAAGTCCTATTCTCGAGCGGTTGAAGTACATCAATTGGTCGTTTCGTGCATCTAACAGATCTGGTGATCCATTGATGTCGTGAAGGGATGACCGTTGGTTGCAGTATTAGGTGACGTACAGATGTGGCCTCAGGCAGGGTTCCACGAGACTGGCCCCCTTATCTGAACTTTACTACTAGATGATTTGTTCGAGGTAAAGGCTGCCGCAACAACAACAGTCATACATTCGCCTATGTACACGATCGACAGCAGCCACCCTTCCAACCACACCTCCGCCCTTCAACGCTGCGCTATGATTCTTAAGGAGTGGAGAAGAGGTACACGGCGCTGTTTCGATGGTCCAACCATGGGATGCGAATTCAAGCTGGTATCCTAGAGCTTGCCAGAGACCGCGATGAGAGCTAACGCCTTCAGCGCCAGGGAGATGCCATTCGCCAGCGCCAAGAACGCTGGCAGCGCCCAAGCCGAAGTACCAACGCCGCCAGCGCAAACTGTAGAAGCAGGTAAGGAGAGAAAGGATGTACATCCTACACCTTCGCGCTCACCGGCGGCGCCAGAGGCTCCGCAGGCAGCCTCGGCGTTCCCACAGGCACAGGTGGTGGCGGAGCATAATAAGCGTCGTCATACTCCACGTCTCCCTCCGCGCCCACCGGCTCGTACTCATCGCCTTCGTACTCCTCATCGAAGAACTCCTCCTCTCCGGGCGCAGGTGGTAGGTTCGGATCATACGTTCCACCCGGCGTCCCCGCAGCGGCTGCACCGTTACCAGCACTGTGATTGTTGTTGTTCTTCTTCGAGCCCTTCTTGTTCTTGCGGCCCTTCATCTTCGCCTTCTCCAACAAGCGACGCTTCTCCGCCGCCTTCTTCCGCTCCTGCCGGTCTTTGATCTCATAACTGCGGATGAGCGCGGTTGGTGGCACGCCGAAAATGTCCTCGTACTCGCAGAACTCGCAGATCCACATGTTGTCCTTGGTCGGACGGTGGTGGTAGTTGGTGTACTCCTGCTGCTGCTGGCGGGCCCGCGCCGCTTCCGCATATATCTCGGCGGGTCGTAAGCGTCTTGGCTTGCGCGGTGCGGGGGCTGGTGTTTGAGCGGGAGGCGCTGCAGGCAACTGTTGGTTTGGTGGCAGGCCACCCACAGGGGCAGGTGGCGGTGGGCGAACGGCTGCTGGGACAGGGCCACCATTGAGAGAAGGTACGTTCGCGTGCCCATTCTGCGACCTCTTCATGACAGCATTCGTGCCTGGGACATGCTGACCATTCTGTATCCTGCCCGCGCCCCCTGCGTTTGGTGGAATAGCCGGATACGTACCTGGTAGCGTGCCATCCGGGTGATATGGTGCTCTGAGCTGCTGACGGTACAACTGCTCTTGCTCCGCCATCTTCGTTGCACTTTCGGAGTCGCAGTTGAATGTGAACTGTGTCTTCTCGCGTGAAGTGTTTGGTGAGGCGTTTGGAGGGGTCGGTGACTGAAGGAGTGACTGATTGTTCGATTTGTTCTCGTGTGCGCTCTGTGGTGTAAGCGGGCCTTGCTCTGCAGCGCTTTTGATCGCTTGGCTGATAATGCCTCCAGTGGAGCTGTTTTCGATACCGTCCGTGCCTGGTGAGTCAATCGATAAGCGTCAGTAACAAGCTTTTCAGATATAATCGTAGCGGGAAGGTGCGGTGCGTGTATCCAACACAATGGGCATGCGCGCGTGCCTGCCCGAAACGAGAAGAGGAACTGTGTCTTACCACCGCCGCCAACACCCTTGATATCGCTCAACCCAGCTCGCACACCACCCGCTCTCTGTGATCCATGACCATTTGTTAAGTTGCCACTGCCACTTCCCAATGGTCGCCTAAGCCCATTGCGCACATTCTCGTGGCGTCCGTACCTTCCTCTACCAGCACCACTGACGCCGGTGCCTGAACCAGATACTGCGGGTGGATGATACGGTTGGGACTGCACCGCCACCGCACCGTCATCCACTCCATCCTGCTGACCTGATATGCCCATGCTCGCCATCTCTGCACTCAGTGAGGACTGGTGCATCATGCTGCTATTCGTGCTGAGCGGAATCTTCCGCTTCTTCTTGTTGCTCGTATTCTCAAAGCTCTCGTATCCGTCCGCTGAACTCGCGGTCGAAGCAGTAGGCAGCGAAGGCACTTTGCCGGCGCCTATTCTCGCAGCTTCCATAAGCCGCCGTTGTACGGAATCTAGGGGCGCCCTGCCTGCAGCTCCCATGCCATTCGTATGCGGCGCCGTAGCGTATCGGTAATCTGGATGATCGAACTCGATCTCCTCTTCACCACTATCTCCGATCTCGCCATCATCATGCCCACAAGTGCAATGTCCGACCTCAAGATCGTGTCGATGGTAGTACGCCGGGGCATCATGCACGTGCGGGCCACTGATTGCACCATTCTGAAGATGACCGTCCTTGTCGCCGGGAATGTAACGACCATTACGCAAGACCTCCTGCTGCGTTACGGGAGGCAGTGGCGAGGCAAGAGGTGGTGGGTGCGCCGGGTAGACAATAGTCGATGCCACCTCAGGACTAAGCCGCGAGATGAGCCTACTCCGAGGCAATGGCCGAATAGCACGGTCGGGGTAGATGGGCGATGCAGTATCAGGTGATCGAGGGGAGCGGGCGATGCTGCTAGTCAGGGGGGTGCGGATGCCGGAGTCTGTCAATAAGGGTGTGATATCAGTAACGATGTTTGTGCTTCCATCGCTGCTGGTGCTGTTGTCGGAGCATCTTCCGCAGAATCTGGCGACGATCTCGCAGGCGCTGCGAAGATCCATGCTCGACGTGAGGATGGTCTTTGATGGGATGGGGAAGGATGTTTGTGCGTACCAGTGGCAGCAGCCATGTTGTCCTCGAAGACACTCTGCTCGAACTCTTCCTCGGCGGCTGCGCTTCCTAATGATTCGATCATCAAGCCTTCCTCGCCCTTCCAATATTCCTGCTGCAACGGTAACAACAACTCCTTGCCCTTTCCAACACAGCAATCTCGATCGACCTGTCACTGGGGCAAATGCGGCACTACAGACGTTTGTCAGCCATACATTGCTCCTTCCACAATGTTTGCAAGCTCATCGCCCAGCGAGGCAGGGGGCGGAGATGGGAACATACACTCTTACACTCTAACTCGGGGCGATAATGCAGCGTTTGCAGGGAAGATGATGGTAGGTTTGGGTGGTGATAGGTGTACTCGAGTCCCTTTACTAATTTGGCTCGGGCTTTGGCCTTGACCAACCGCGGAGTCTCGGCAGTATCCCGCCGGAAATGGGCTCCTTGTCCTCACTTCATCTCCTCTTTCAAGTGTATTCACCTCATATATCGAACATTCACATACCATAGTCATAAAGCGCTATTCTAGCCCTCTGCGGAAGCACGGCGGCAGACTATCATGCTTCATACTCTCGTATTGGCTACGCTCAAGTCGCCACCATCCTACTCCCGTCACCCGAACGCGTAGACAAATTTCGCAATGTTCACCACAAACGCCTTGCCAATGCTTCGTTAACGCTTTCCAAACCTATTCACTTGTGCTGCCCAGTGCCATTGACCACTACATGCAAGACTATTTGAATGTTACCGCGTCACCACCCCATGCCCTGCGCAAAGCTAACTTATGGACCTTTCAAACGTCTTCATACTGTCAACCAGCACACCCATTACAATCCCCTCCATCTGCCCCATCCTCTTCTCAACAGCCCCCAACTACGCTTCACATGTCTCTAGATTGCCCATCCCTAACCTCACCTCCGCCATCTGCACATCAACCGCCAAACCGCGGAGTCTGCACAATAGCGGCGTGAAGTCGCCGTCGAAGGACTGGACAATTGTTTGGCGGAGTGCTGGAGAGAGCTTCTCGGAACCACGGATCCTAGCCGGTAGTCACTCGTACTCAAGTTTCAGGCCACCGTACGCCATGCTGAGGAAGGTGAGCTTTGTGGTCAGGATTTGCAGGCGAAGGACGTGGTCCGATCGCACTAGCGACAGTGGTGGCGGCGGCGGTCGCTGTGCGTGAGCTTGACTGTCCGCGGTAGGCATTGTAGGTGGACGGTGGAAGCGAGATCCGCTTGGACTTCCGAAGAAAGTGCGGTTGTTTGAGGTGTTTTGGCAACCTTGGATGTCCTTCGCAGGCTGACCGGTATTGGGAGGACGATGAAAGTCGAAGTGGTAGCCCGCCGTCCCGAAATCGGTGACAGACTCTAGGGTGCTGTTGCGCCTGTTCAACTTATTCGCCGAGTGATTGTCGCGGGGAGGAGGTGGGTTGTAAGATGGAGGCTGTGTGGGGATCCCCGGCCGGTTGTCACTGCTCGAGCTGCTCAACAGGTCGATGGCTCGCTTTGCAACGCGAACGCTCGTGTGAAGCGGCTTGCGGTTGTCAGTGACCAGTTTGAACGTATAACCTAGGTGCTCCATACTGACTTCATTGTCATCAGGAAGCGGCCGATCCACCTGAAGAACATACTGTGCCATTTGGGGTGGTTGGCGCGAGTGAAGGTTGCGTTGCGGCTATTCACGTTCTGGCCGTATGATCGGTGTCGGGAATTCGAGCGTGAATTGGAGGCGCGCCTCCCAACATCTGAGCCTAATTTGGATCGGATGCGATGCTGTACTGGCCAACGGAGTTTCTCAAGAATGCACTTATTACGGGATGGCAGATGGACACCAATGAGAGCACCGGAGGCGGAACCTTGGTACTGCATATCAGCTTGAACGATCTCTAAGTCCGGCAGGCACAAGCAACTTTTGTAAAGCTGGAGCGGTACGGCAGCAGATATCACGATTATCAGATGGCTTCATGGGCTTACGCATGTGCTACTGTGGCTAAGGCCACAAATCCGTAAGCGAGCTATGTATCGAGACGATCATTAAATGTCGCTCAATCTATGGTCCAGGACAGACCAATAGAATTCACAACGGGGAGGTTTTAGGCACAAGCTGACTGAATTTGGTATTGATGTTGATTGTAAGGACTTCCTATGCTAAGTCACACAGAACACTACCCGACCGCCTAGGGCATTCGCAATGCCTAGTACGACCTGTAGCGTAACAAACTTGCGGTATCCGGTGTCTTCCATAGAACCTCGCTGGCTGGTCCTTCGCCGCATAGTCCGAGGCCTTCAGAGAATTACGAAGCCCTCGTCTTCGGACTCACCCTCAGAGCTTTCATACTCGCTCTCGCTCTCGAAGCCGCTACCGCTGTAGGAGTCCTGATAACTCACCCGCTTCGTGTCAAAGAACTTCACGGCCTCCTCGTGCGCCGTGACGGCTTCTTTCAGGTCAAGCAACCTCCCTATAATTGACGAGCCGACTTGGTCCGCACGGCCTAGCGCAGCTTTTGCCTTGTTCAGGTCAGCCTGCATCTCGCCACGCTCACGAGGAAGGTACCTGCTCATCGCCTTGCGGAGATGCTTCTCCGCTTCGTCCTTGACTACCAGGACCTCTTCTATGATGACCATGAGAGGTAACTTGACAGAGGCGTTGACACATTCGAGCTCACCATCGCAGATGGCGAGGTCCGCATCTTCCTGCAGCAAGCTGCGGATGTCGTCCGGGATTGTGGCGTACTGGGTTTGCAGTGCCTCGAGGTCTTTGACCGCGCCGTGGAGATTGGTCTCGATGTTGATATAACGGCGGTGAGCGTGACTGAAGGCGATTGTCTCACTGTAGACCTTGCAGGGACCGTTGTTCGGGCCTGCCAGATTCGTGAGCATGTTAGGGGAAGTGTAGATGTGGAGGAGGGTGGATGGGGTTAGGGAGGTCGTGGTTGCGTTGACGAAGACAGCCACCATGGTTGACGGAGTTTGAATCGTGATTTGTGTTGCCGAGGAGAGGTGGTATTCGTCCGCTTGGTCTGCTATGAAGATTCGGAAGTCTGTGATGGAGGGAAAGGTTGGTGTGGTGCGGGCAGACTGAGTGCAAGCGCGACATCATATACAGCGACTGAAAAGTAATTGTTCATTGCCATGGTGTTTCAGCAGCGTCCCTTTGTCGTTGTGAGGCACAATGTGCAATGCCATTGTGTAGGTCTTTGTTCCTACCTGACGGTCACAATCGGCGAAGACGACGCAAGTGTACACGTCTCACACGAAGCCTCTTGCTACGACGGACGTGCTCCAGACCTGCCCGGAAATTCCCTAGAGGGTGTCATGCTCGTCAAATGAGCAGATCCTTGTAACTGTGTTGTCGCATTAAGCTGGGTGTATTTCATCGAATGCAGAATTGACTCCCATCCGACACATGGAGGGTCATTTGACAGGCAAGGTATGGGCGTATAAGAGGTATATACGCCGGGATTATAGCGGAATGCTGGTGTTTTGACCCATTGCACGAGCCCACTCTCTGCTGCGAAGGGTCCAGCACGTGGATTAGATGGGCTGTGCTTGATCCAGCTAGAAGAGAAACTTGAAGCCAGATAGCAGATTAGCCTTTTGCGGCAGGACCTTGACGATGAGATGGTCGCAGAACGATTGACAGAAGCCAGGTAACTGCCTGAAAGTCTGACGATTCGAACACTACTATTCATCCGCTTGAATGTTGTTCGATCAGGCATCATATTGATGAACTTGATGGGATGGTGTCGAACCGGCTTACTTCTTCAACGTGCTGGTTGAATGTGTGCGTGTTACGTTTCCACGCAGATTGGTCGAAGATCGTTCAGTCACGTGCTTCGCTTGCTGGCTGCGCCACCACCATCGCTGTCATCTCATCTACATATGTACATGTTTGCGAACGAGACCCCTCCGTTGCTTCTACCGAGGTACTGTCCCACATACAATATACGATTCCTTGCCATGCAACATGAGGACTGAATGCGAGGCTGTGTGAGCACTGTTAGCGCAAAACAATCACTTGTTACAGCACACTCATATACTGTCCCCATATCGTCAAATTAGACAACAAGTATCTAACGTCATTATCATCTCGCAGCAACCACAGGAGGTGTCTACTAGTAACTGCACAAGTCGGAGTATTCTTGCCATTGTCCATCGAAATCTTGGCGAGGTGGCACCGCCATGTCGAGCGATCTGTACGCGAAGGATGTGACTGCAAAGGAAAGCTGTGATCTCACCTCTCACGGAATCGCAAAGGCGCCAGCCCGTCGACCGTTCTTCCGTCTGTCTGGCAACTTCCTGCTTGCATCCATGAGCACAGCCGGTGTTTGTGTCAATCCTCCTACATCGGAAGACCTCAAGTACTACAGATTGAAAAAAGAGAGAGCGGCCGCTGCGGCTGCGGCGGCGGCTGCCGATCAATCTGGCGACGAACCGGTAGATGCAACAGAAGTGGTCGACGAAGACGAAGAGCTTCTTGTAAGACCCAAGACGCCTCCTCAAGGGTCGAACTACCATCCCTGGACTTCTTATCACGACCTACCAAGAGATCATCCCGTGTTCCAATATCCAGCCGGTATGCGGGAAAAGCTGTATGCAAAGGGCGTTGGTACGTTTCATCGCTCATCCGAGCTGCCCCTAGAAGACAAACTGACGTTCGCGCAGATCCAGTAATGAAAGCTGAGCTGGACAGAGATCTTCGCGGCCGTAAGGGTGTTCGGAGAAGCTTCGTGGGGAGGGCTAAGGGCACGATCATCGGGTTTGGCGCAAGAAGTGTAGGGTCGCCCTAAGCAGATCATAAGTGCTATAATATTTGCGGTTCGATTACCGAGACGGATCAACGACATCATTGAAGTGGCTGTGTTAAAGACGCTTGTTCTGGCTCTCATATTAGTAGATCTTTCCAGAGTAGTCGCTGTCGGATGCACGGATTTTAGCCTGGGAAAAGACATCGTTTTTCGTGTTGACTCTAGAAGGTGTAGCGGCAGGGTTGTCGGATGACCCGTGACTTCAGGGATTATCAGTGGCCGCCGAGCATCTTCTCGGTGTCATGTATTGCTTTCCTCGTTGTCCACCCTAAGATGGATGCCTTGACTGTGACACAGAATCATAGGGCGCGGTTGTATCCGGATTCCTGGCACTGACATGCTATTTGACGATTGGTATAGATTGCACCTCCAGCAAGGTCGCGATGCTTTGCGGTCACTTTCTGTCGATACATAGCTTGCCGCATGTATTGGGTGCTTGGTATGCGCAGTATGAGGGCATTGCTGTTGCAGGGCAACGAGTGTTGGAGCGCAGGAAAAATGGAGGGGCCGATGCGGTCAATGCGGCCGCACGTGCTTGTACAGATCGTTCCACTTCCATTCGACGAAGCATTGACACGTCGTTTGTCTTTCACTGGGACGAGCATCTTCCAGCATGCTCAAGCTTTGCAATTCGACAAATCGCTGGCCATGATAAAGCCGTCTTTGCATCGGTAGCTGACAGCTATGAGCCTCCGTAAGCGTGGCGACGCAACGAAACTGTCCAATGGATCTGCACATTCACCGTCACTGATCAAGGACCAGAAGACAGATTACTCACGGTGGCGTCTACGCGATGATCGAGGACGGCAAACATGGCACTACTTAGAGTCAGCCGAAGAGTTAAAGAATTGGCCGCAGACTGTTGCAGATAAATACTTTCTAGGTCTCGATACAGTAAGTGACCGAAGCATGACGCTCAGATGCAGTTCCCGAAAGTATAACCAGCCTTATAGGGTCTACCAGAGCTGCCTCGAGCCAATACACCATTACAGGCAGCGGAGAATGGTCTTAGCTTCTTCTCCAAGTTGCAACTGGAGCCCGGAAACTGGGGTTGCGAATATGGCGGCCCCATGTTCTTGTTGCCGGGCACAATTGTTACGCTCTATGTCACGGACCTGCCATTGTCGCAGCCGGAGCAAGCGGAGGTCATTCGCTACATCTTCAGCATGCAAAACGTCGGCAGCAAGAACGGCGGTGACGGCGGCTGGGGCCTGCATATTGAGGGTGACTCTTCCGTCTTCGGCACCGCGATGAATTACACGACACTTCGTTTGCTCGGTGTTTCGCCTGATGATTCACGCATGCGCCAGGCTCGTAATTGCTTGCACGGGCTGGGCGGTGCGCTTAACGGACCGCATTGGGCGAAATTCTGGCTTTCCCTTCTCGGAGTGATGGAGTGGGATGTCGTCAACCCTGTTCCACCTGAGTTGTGGCTACTGCCAGACTGGACGCCGATCTCGCCGTGGAGGTGGTGGATCCATATGCGGCAAGTGTTCCTACCGATGGGCTTCATCTGGTCGAAGCGATGGGTGTATCCTCGAGCGGAATCGGATCCCTTGATCAAACAGCTACGGCAGGAACTGTTCACTTTACCGCACGAGGAGATAGCATGGCCACGTTACCGCAATGCCATCAGCCCTATCGACAATTACAACCCAAAGTCCTGGCTGTTGAACTTGGTCAATCTCCTTCTAGTATGGATCTGGATACCGTTCCTTCGATCCGACCGGATCATCGAACGCGGCGAGCGTTGGGCGTGGAAACTCATACAGATAGAAGATGCGAACAGCGACTACGCAGATCTCGCTCCAGTGAACGCGCCTATGAACCTCCTGTGCTGTTACATCGAAGAAGGAGCTAAAGCCTACTCTGTCAAACGCCATCGTGAGCGGCTCCAAGACTTCTTGTGGATGACGAAAGATGGCCTGCTCGAGTGTGGTACTAATGGCGTCCAAAATTGGGACACATCGTTTGCGATCCAGGCGGTTGTCGCAACGGGTTTTGCAACGGATCCAAAGAACCATCAGACATTGCAGAAAGCATTAAATTTCCTAGAGGATCAGCAGTTCCTTGACCATCCAGTCGGATATGAGACCTCCTCAGCATATTCCGACCCGCCAACGCGTAAGACGTCTGCAGAGTGTGGCTATCGTCATGTGCGCAGAGGCGCCTGGGGCTTCAGTAACCGGACCCAAGGCTATACAGTCTCAGACTGTACCTCAGAGGCGCTGAAAGCGACACTGCTGCTCCAAACGATGCCAGATCCTACCAATCCAGGTGAGAAGCTTTTCTCGCAGGCCATACCTGACCAACGTCTGAGGTGGGCAGTGGACATCCTCCTAACAATGCAGAACGGAGACGGTGCCTGCAGCTCTTATGAGCCAACCAGAGGCAGCGAAAGGCTGGAGCTTCTGAATGCTGCGGAAGTCTTCGGCCGCATCATGGTCGAGTACGACTATCCGGAATGCACAACAGCTTGCGTGACAGCGCTGCACCTTTTTAGGCAGCACTATCCAAGCTATCGTGCTGATGCTATCAACATATTCATCATGCGCGCAGTGCAGTGGATCCGGAGCAACCAGCGTGCGGACGGCTCCTGGTACGGGAGTTGGGGTATCTGCTTCACTTACGCTGGCATGTTCGCAATCGAAAGCCTTGCCACTCAAGGCGAGACTCACGCCAACAGTGAGCGTGTGCGCCGCGCCTGTCGCTTCTTTCTGGATAGGCAAAACGAAGATGGCGGTTGGGGCGAGTCGTACCGGAGCTGTGAAACAGGGAAGTGGTGCGAGCATCCGGAAGGCTCTCAAGTCGTACAGACAGCGTGGGTGATTATTGCACTGTTGCAGGCGAAGTTCCCAGAGCGGGAACGGATTGACAAGGCTGTCAAGCTGCTGATGCAGAGACAGCAGCCTAACGGGGAGTGGCTGCAAGAAGGCATCGAGGGTGTCTTCAACAAGAGCTGGTAAGGTATCCACACGAGAGCGACGAGAGTGTGCGGCTGACTCTGATCACAGCATGATCTCGTACCCGAATTATAAATTCATTTTCCCCATCCAAGCTTTGGGCATGTACGCGAGACGCTACGGAGACTCAGGTGCAGATGGCCACGCGTGAGCGTTAACGTGCTCACCACAGTGTCGGTAATGTCACTCATGGCTTGTGTGCGACCAACAAGAGTGCAAGCATTTCCAATCATTTGCGGCCTGCAACATCTGACCCTAGCGGCGCGGTAAGCAGGTACGCTTCTGTGACAGCTGACGGAAGGTCGCATGATTGCGACCGCGTCGCCGTGACATCGATGACTTTGCAGAGTTGTGCATTGTTCTCTGATGCGACCGTTTCTCCATTCGAGAGGTTGCATGGCTGGTGGCACAATCGGGTAGGGCGCGTGTAACGTCCGTTGCCCCGGCTTCCACGAGCGCTTCTAGCGTTCGCATGGTCATGCCGTGTCGTTAGGTGGAAGGTAGCACTAGGCTGTTGAAGCGGGCCCAGCTCGCATACTGGGCCTTGGAATAGAATCGACCAGTATTTGGAACGTCCTCGGGTAAGACCTTGGCGCAGCAATTGAATCGAACGTGTAAAAAGCACACAAGCTTCGGAGAACAACAGATGTCATGATAGACATTACCTCTAGGCTTTCGATCCGTTGCTAACCAGATCGTAGCGCTCGGAGGATTTCAATGAGCGTTTCTTGTCAGTCGGAAGCTTATACGGCTTATAGCCAACTTACAGATGCTTTACACTCTTCACATGTCAAGGTTTTCTGCCTCTATGGATGTACAATATTGGCGGGCGATGGTGGATGCAGCAGAGCTGTGCCTGCCTGACATTGAACAGCTCGTCCGGCACCAAATAATAAGCGTGACAGGGAGCAACGGCACTTGACAGGGTTCGAGGCTGGCAGCCGTTGCCGCTGCATGCTGATGAAACAACGTCAAAGCGTCGGCGATAATTTGCGGCTACTCGAGCTCGGAGCTCGACTCTTCACACCTCCTGCGACACGCCGTCGGCGACATTCTTCATACAACATCACTCCTCCACGACGGAAGATCCACAGGAGAGCTTGCCAACCATTGGCCGCCTGGTTCTGCTGCTGCTTGCTGCTGTACCGGTCATTACTCGGTACTCGCAAGCATTCTAACTCCTTCTCGTTCAATAGGTGTCTACAACAGCCCTCTCGAACTACTGCCAGATAGCGAGACCGTGGCATACTAGAAGCATCTCCATCGGCGTTCGGCGTTTGTGAAGGATACTGTAACATAGGGAAGAAGAGGATATGGCGACACCAACTCAAGGACAGCCGTTCCAAGGCAACACCTACGCCGCACAGGCTTCGCAAGCGGGATCTGTTCCGTCTCAGGGCGGCTACAACGCTGAGCGAGGCGGCCAAGCTGCACAAGGCCAGTATATCAATACCAGCACCCAACCGTTCGACAAGTACTGCGTCATCCATATTGCCACGACCTGCGACGAGCATGGTGTCTACGTTACCAAGGACAGTGCGGAGGTCATTGAGATCGGCTGGGTTGTGGTGAATGCCAGGGACCCAAGTCTTCCGGAAGTAAGTGGACTACATGGAAAGACATATATCGAGTTGAATTGGTCGACTTTATATCGGACGAGGTATGCTAACCTTGTGGTTCCAGCTCCACCACCAGTCCGTCCTCGTCAAGCCAATCAACACCCCCATCACACCGCTTTGTACCTCGCTCACTACTCTTACATGGGAGCATGTCCGCAACGCTGGAACGTTCCGGGACGCTATCATGGCATTCGATACTTACGCCAAGGAGCATCTCTCACCGAAGGACGGCAATACCAACGACCCGCCACCGTTCGCTTTCGTGACTCTCACTCCATGGGACTTGCGCGTGCAGCTCCCACGTGAGGCTCGCGATAAGAACGTCGTGTTACCGGCGTACCTCCAGCATCCTGTGCTCTTTGGCTTGCGAGGGGAGTATCAAACCTTCCAGTCTCACCATCCGGAGACCCTTGCCTTCAGCTCCAGCAGCTTGTCCTCCATCTGCGCTGGTCTCGAGGTGGAAGAAGTACGCTCCTCGGGCAAGGTCACGGGTGGTCTACCCTTCCACCTCCAGGCTCTCGCGCCATCTTCGCCGCGCAGAGCGCTTGAAGAAGCACTCACTCTGACCCGATGCTTGCGGTCACTTCTCCAGAAGTCCGCACCCTCTCCGACCAACCCTACAGGCACACCACTCGTCCTTACCCGCCCTCTCGACGCTCGAAGTGACGTTCGCGCCTTCCTCGGTGAACGTTCTAAGGTTGTCCATCTGAGCGGCCTGCCTCATGACACTACGCAAAGTGAGCTTGAAAGCTGGTTTACGCAGTATGGCGGACGTCCAATCGCCTTCTGGACTCTGCGCACTCCTGAGGGAGGCAAGCCAAGCGGAAGCGGATTCGTCGTTTTTGGAAGCCACGAAGAGGTCAGTATCCCTTTAATTCCACTTCACTCTCCCTTCGCTCCTGCCATTTTCCGTCGCATCTACATTCTTCATGTCGATCACCGCCTAGCTTGCGACCCTCGCTGTCTGCAGACGTCGTTAGCGCGAGAGGCCTTGGTTTCCACGTGAACCTAACTCCACTGGATGTGTGAGTTGCTTCTGCAAGCTTCAATCTATGTTAGATCCGTGACCCTCAAGCTTCGACTCGACATACCCCAGGGACACAATAGCGTCGACGAATCTAAGGCGTTACGCCGCAAATCACAAATAAAGAGAGCTTACCAGTTGCTGTTCCGGTTACGGCTACCTGGACCTGGATCCGGGGTTTCTACCAACCGTCACAGACCCTCATATCACGCGAAAGCTGCCAAGATGTACTACCCGTACCACCGAGCTAACATTCGTCGTTACCCACAGGCCGCCGAGTCACTCAGCATGAACGGTCGCGCTTTGAACGACCGCGCAATCGAAGTGTCGCCCTCAAGCTCACGCGTAAGTGACTGCAACCATTCCCGGTGGCAACAAATAGATCACTGACCCGTCAATACAGGTCCTGGACCGTGCGGCAGCCTCTCAGCCACCAGGCGGCCCACCGCTGCTCACCCCATTCCCGCCATCCAAGAACCGTCCTCGCCCAGGTGACTGGACGTGCCCAAGCTGTGGCTTCTCAAACTTCCAACGTCGCACTGCCTGCTTCCGCTGCAGCTTCCCGGCGATGGGCGTCGCCAACGATCCGTACGCCAATCCATACGGTATGCCGGCCGGAAACTACGGCGGTAATAACTACGGTCACCCTGGCATGATGGGCGGTGGTCACATGCACGGCAGCGGGTATGGTGGCATGGGTGGTGAGTACATTGACCCCACTTCACAATGGCTTTGCTGACTCTACTCTTTCTTCGTCAGGTATGGGCGGATCAGGAGGTCGTGGTGGCATTGTCCCCTTCCGTGCCGGCGATTGGAAGTGCGGCAACGAGGGCTGCGGGTACCACAACTTCGCCAAGAACGTGTCGTGCCTGCGTTGCGGTGCTTCCCGCAATCAGGCTGCTGTGGTTGCGGAGGGCAACATGACTAACTTCCCAGGAGGTGGCGCTTACGGTGGTCCGCCGGCTCCTCAAGCTATGGCAATGGGTTCCATGGGTGGTGCCGGGTACGGTGCGATGGCTCCGGCTGGCGCGGGGTATAGTGGAGAGGGTGGCAATATGGCCGGTGGATACGGCGCTTCCACGTTCGGACCGTCTTCGACTTACGCGCTTCCAAGCGGCATCGGCGCGCCGTCTCCTTACATGGCTGGACCATACGGTGCTATGGGCGCCAATGGTGGGATGCAGACTCCCAGCGGCTTCGACTCTCGGGCGGAGCAGGCGTTCAACCAGGGTAATGCTTCGTCAGCTGGCGGTGGTCAGGGCGGCTATCCCGCAAACGGTGCCTACGGTGGTCAGTATGGCGGAGATGCCTCGGGCATGGACTTGTCATTCCTCAACAGCGGCATGAACAATCTGGGCCTTGGTGACCGCGACGGGCGTGATGGTCGAAATGGCGCTCAGCCCAACAACAGCAAGTCGCCTCAGTAAGCGACTCAGATTCAATAACTTCAACACCTCAACGGCTGCTTCGATCTTTGACGGTTATTGGTGTGCATATTGCAAAGGCGGATTATGGACATATGGGTGCGGTGGGTAGTACGTGCAAGTTAGCGAGGCGTCGGCAGACTGGATGTGCGGCCGTCAATTAGCGCGGCGTCGGACCGGTCAGGCCAAGAGGGGCGCGACTTTCATGCTGGGTGGATTGGTGTGCTTGAGGGGCCCGAGGGAACCAGCGGAGGGGTTCAAAGTTCCTATCCATAGTGAGGAAACGGGTCTCTCGTATATCTTTTGCTTCCCGACTGGGTAAAGTGCTGCTGTGAAGTGAATGTGCCACGCTGTTTCGCGTGTCTAGCGCGCTACGGCTGATTCCGTGACCCCGCCTCGACATGCGACCACTTCTTCGTACCGTCACGCATGGCACTTTCTACACTGCCAGAAATGCGATGATGAAACCAGATGGCCTCGCTGGCGGAGAGTAGCATCGCGAGTGTACCACTCACCCATTTGGCAGCACTGCATGATCACTTGCTGCGCGTGAGTGCAGGCACAGCGAATGTGACAGATTGCATAGATGATCCTAGCGCTATTGCGCAACCAACCCTGCAGCAGCGCTCGCAAAGCGAACCTTCTGCGGACGCGGCACGGGTGCCCGAGGCATATACAGATCATGAACGGCCTGTTGATGCCGGACAGCAGGTGGTAACAGAGGAGGAGACCAGCGATGACCGAGGCGCCACCGTTCCAGACTCTGCTGAAGCATACAGCCAACCATCACCACCCAGATTACCTTCTTCGCGATCTATGCCAGCGCCGGAGATGGAAGTCATGATTCAAGCATCACCTTCGCAAGCTGTGCTTAGGACGCAGGCCCGGCCTGGGTCCTTCCACGGCTACCCAGGTGGCGATACACAGCCAATGGAGTCACAGGTCTATCGCGACTTCAATGAGTCCATGGCAATGCCGAAGCCGTCTGTGACCATTTCGAAGACAGTAGCGTTAACGACACCTGCTCCGCTGAAAAAGAAGACAGAAATGTATGAGAGCGCAGTCACAGGACAGACTTCACGGACACTGATGGAGGGTGACGTTGGGTTCATTGACCTGGAGAAGGTTTGGCAGCATGCATCGCCTTCGTCAGCGATTGAAGAGCTGCTAGCAAGCCCGCAAACACAGCGTCGCATCGATGTAGGCTCACAGAAGCCTGAGTTGCCGGTAACTCCAGCTCTAGCAGGACATAAGCGCACGAGAAGCGGCGAGCTCTTGACCTCTGCAACAACCGCGACGAAGAAAACGCCCGGCTTCTCGCAGCTTTTCGGTCAGCCGCTGAAGGGTGTAACGATGAGCGCCACTCAGCTATTCGATCAGACGCAAGCGCCGTCGTCACCACTGCCGGATGCACCGCGCTCTGACCCAGTCGTGACGAGACCATCACCGAACATCAATGACTATACGACCATTTCATCACCGCCAGCACTCCGATCTTCGCCCGTGTTGCTCATGCATGCAAAGCCTCATGCAGCTGGTAGCGATCCGCGAGATGATTATACAAGCATGCTGGAATCGCAAGAGAGGCGCCGCAAGCGCATGCAGTCCTCCGAGCAGCGAACGGACGGCATTGACGAAGATGACTTCCTTGACGATGAGGATACGGAGCACAGACAATACCTGCAGCAAAAATTGCAACGTGTAATGAGTGATCAAGCTACGAGCGAACGGAGGAAGACCAAGGCACCTTCACGGCCAGGATCGAGTCGTAAAGAGCCTACCACGATTAGTTTGATCACGCCAGCACCCATATGCAAGGGCGAGCGCGTCAATTTCGATGACTTTGAGGACGCCGAAGTGGAGTTTGATGCACCGGTACACGAAGACTACGATGACGCTGGCGACGGACTGCTCGAGACTGATGTATACGATGAGCTGGCGCAGACAGTTTTCCGCAGTCAGAGGAACGACAATGATGCAGAAGACGAGCAACGCTCAGCCGACGGTGATGCTAGTGAAGACTTGGCCAATGAAGATCGAGTAGACGATGACACTCTGCCGCCTGGACGCCATGTCAACAATCCGTCCGATGTGGAGGACGCTGACGTCGCCACACAGCGATCGAAAGTAGCCGATTCGCAGCCACATCGCTCGGATATCAAGCGACGGTCTCAACTCTACGGTGCCAAGGCGCATCCATCCTTTGCATCATTCGTTCCTGGCTCTCAGTACGCAGGAAAGACAAGCGAGGAGCACTCGGCCATACGCCACCTAACAACCGACCAGCGAACCCAGAGACAGCTCTCTACAGAAGTGCCAAGCAGTCCTCCTGTGCATACCGCAGACAGTACGATACCAACAAATTCAGTCGAAGCTTCTATGGCTCGTCAGCAAATGCTTGCGCAGTTTCAACGTCAGCCTCCGCCGGTGGCGCTCGCGGAAGAAGCGGAAGAAGAGGGAGAAGTCGTGGAAGCTGGACAATCTGGAAGAGTTGAAGAAGTCACCGATAGTGAGCTGCCAGTGTCTAATGCGAATGCGCAAGGTCATGGGCACATTGCTGGTGAAAGCAATAGTGGCCCTCTACCCTTCTCCACCGCGCCCACGCACTTCTCATCGTCACAACCTTCACCAGCGAAGCCTAGCCTCGGGATTGGCAAGTCTCCGTTCAAGATGTTTGCTAGCCAACATAGCGGACTGTGGGCCGAATCACCACGCAAGCTAGCAGGTGTACGGAAGCTCACTGAGATAGCTGCCGATCCGTCTCCGCCAACTGCTAGTGGCAACACTCAGAACGACATCGATGCGATCATGAGCGATGTGCTGACTGCTGAGGATCAAGCCTTCATCGAAGCGATGTCAAGCCCGGCACGCGAGCCGACGGCTAAGCGCCAAAGACTCCCGCATAACGCCGCCAAGGATGTCTTGCGAGGGCAGGAGGCACCGGTGCATGTTGCAATCCAGGCAGCTCGTTCAGAAGCTCAGCAGGAGATCGAGCAGCAAGCACGGCCATCCCAGAGAGCAGTCGATCTAACTGTCCCGGAGCCACCTAGAGTGTTGCAGAGCAGCCCAAGCAAAGCTAATGAAATGCCAGCCTCTACGCCGGAAATTGCATCAGTCCCAAAAGGAACCCAAGATAGTGCGAAGAAGCGCGAAGAAGCTGGAGCAGCTGCTGTCTCGCAATTGCTGGCAGCACGTAAGGCGAAGCCCATGAAGTCAACTAAGCTTGCCGGGCGCGGCAGGAAAGCAGCAATGTTGAGCCACTCGGACGCACCAAAAGCAGTAGGTAGTGGCGTCAAAATCAAAATTGGCACGAACAAGCGTACAGCAATGGTCGCTGCGCACGGGGTTGCAGTGGAAGATTCCTCGCCTGCGTTGTCACGCAAAGAGGCTAGCGGGCAGCCAGCACATGCGGCGCCTGCAGTGGCGACTTCCTCTCAGGGTGCACAGCTTGAAGGGGAGCACGAACATGCAGGGACAAGCACCGCGGTTACATCCATCGCTGCAGCTCCCGCCAGACTCTTCGCCCTTTTCAAAGGTTCATTCAACAACTTCTACCCTGCGACATGGCTAGGCACGTCAGGCGATGGCAAGAGATATAAGGTGCGCTTCGACGACACCACCGTTGCCGAAGTGGACTCTACACAATGCAGCTCGCTAGATCTGCGCGTCGGCGATTGCATTAAGGTAGACGCTCCTGCCCTGCGTAAACCGAACTGGATTATCCGCGGCTTTGGCGACAGCACTGCCGCCCATGGGGTGCAACTGGATGGCGTTGACGTACTAGGTCGTAGAGCCGTCAGGGCTGAGGCGAAGTCTGGCCGGAACAGCCTCACGCCAGATCTGGTTAAGCTCCAAAGAGAAGACGGGCTTGTAGATGTTCAGATTGCGAATATTTACGTTACGCATACGTTATGGCCGGCCTTCAAAGACCGGAAGTTCTCGCCGCCGGCTGTGACGAAAGCTGAGAGCGGCCGGCTTGCCACACCCACCCTTGGAGTACAAACACCGGACGCTGAAACGCCTGGATCGCGGTCAAGGCGTGCGACTGTCCCAGGCTTCAAGTTCGCCAACCGATTACAGCACCTGCGCGACGCCTCAGTGTCCTCTCATGCCAGTGGTATTTCAAGTGGGCTCTTTCACGGCATGGCGTTCGCCATCTCCTACCTCTCTAATGAGGCAGAGAAGGCCGAGGTGACTAGGCAGATTCAGCGCAACGGTGGGCTTATTCTTGAAAGCGGCTTTGATGAGCTATTTGAAGTGCCTGATATGGAGGGTGTTGCAACGTCGCCTTCAGAGCGTTCTCCCCACAGAGGAGAGATTGCAAGTGCCGCCCGCGGCCTTCGCCTGAAAGCTGAGCATTCAAATCTCGGCTTCGTGGCACTCATCGCGGACCGGCATAGTAGACGCGCGAAGTACATGCAGGCCCTCGCTCTCGGCCTGCCCACCCTAGCCGGAAGATGGATCATAGACTCCACTGCGCAGATTCTAGGCACTACAACAGAGCCGATACCGCTTGACTGGCGAAAGTACGTTCTGGCTGCGGGAGAGAGTGCGTATCTGGGCGGTGCTGTTCGGTCACGCTCGTTGGCCTACTGTTCGCCTACGGAAACATCGCTTGCCGATATCATCGCAGATCGCAGTATCCTGCTCCGAGGAGATGGTGTGCTCATCGTTGCGCCGAAGAAGCAGAAGGCTGTACTGGAGCGTCGTCGAGCTTTCGCCTTTCTTACTCTTGCGCTCGGTGCTGGCAGTGTCAAGCGTGTCTTCGATCTTGCTGAAGTCAAAGATCTCATCACGCATGATGCCGATAGGTGGAGGTGGGTTTACGTTGATGGCTCCATTGTTGATGCAAGCGCAGCCCTCTTCGGCAAGCCAGACAAGAGTGGAATCAAGCGTAAGCGTGGTGATGATGGCAAGGCCAATCACGATGCAAAAGCGATGTCAGCCACTTCCGCTGACGGCAAGGTTAAGATCGTCAATGACGAGTTTGTCGTGCAGAGCCTGATCCTGGGTTCGCTGGTGGACTGATGTCTATGGGGCCACTTACTTAATCAAGCCGGACTAGAATAGCTGTGATGATTGTGTAGCTGAGAAAGAAGCACCGCATCCGAAACGAATGGTTAAGTTTCGTTTGAACGCTGGCTATCTTAATCCCAAAGGCTGCAGCACCCTCTCCCTCGCCGTCCGTGACGCTACCTCCCCACCCCGCTGCAACGCCAGCGCCCCGATAATACTGTACACCGCATGCGCCAGCACCACATCGATACCCGAGGCCTGCAGGTTGTCACTCTTCCTCGGCTTCCATCTGACCACTCTGTCCAGTCCATAGCCCTGCGCGACCTTCGCCAACCGACTTGGCGCAAGTACCTGTGCTCTTCCGTAGGCCGTCATGTTGTCTACATTCTCCAATGCGGCGTGGCGGAATATATTGCGATCGTCGGCCGGAGTTGCGGTGGCAGGCGATGCTGGGCTGTTGAGGAGCGCGAGTGAGGTCTGAAGGTCGATTATACGCTTGCCGAGGAAAGCGAGGCGATCGTTGTAACCCTGCGCGCCGTGTTCGAAGGACTTGTGTGTTACAGCCAGCCACTATACATACTGTCAGCCGCATCCAACCAGATCGTCTTCAGCAGTACTGACTTTGATCTCTTCCGGTAGAAGATCTCTCCCTGATGTGCTTTGCAGTCCCTCCTGCCCTTTCGCTGCGTCTCCGACCCGTCCCACAAAGGCGTCGTACATCTCGTCTAATAGCTCAGGGTCATCATTTACTTTCCATACAGGCTGCTTGGGTACAGGCCGTAATCGAAAGGCCATTCGCATCGCAGGCGGAGTTTGTTTCCATCTCGGCTGGTCCGATGAGAGCTTTTCGTGCTGGATGGTGGTGGCGGAGAAGGCTCGATTGGCAGTGGGCGGGCCTAGTCGTTGTGCTCTGAGTGATCGCGCGCATGACGCACAGACGAAGGGAGCTCTTGACGGTGCCATGGCAGAAATGTTGTGCACTTGTGGTTACGGTATAGGAGAGCAAGGCAATGGGAGGTTTGGAGACCCTAACCCTTTGCTCCACCACCCGTGATGTGCAGTAAGCCGAGACATAGAACGCGTCGTCGAAGCGCGACGCACTTCAGCGCTTGAAGATATACCAACAAGGCTTCTTTTCGCCGCTTAAAAGCTGCATATCTTGGTAAAAAACATGTAATTCGCATGCTCACTTAGGTTGGGTTGCTATGATTTCCTCTCGAGTGTTACCGATGCGAGGACAGACATTCAGCAGAAATAACGACGAGATGACATCCGGCCATTTCAACTCGTCCATCACTCGCCATCCGTAGCAATCATGGCTAGATCAAGGACTTCGCTGTGTGATGCGCTGACGGCAGCGCTCCCGGCGGGCTCCAAGGAGCAGATTTCCAAGAACACGCCCATATGGCCGGCCTTCAAGGGTAAGGTCCGCTATATCTATACTCGGTCGCGGTCTTGTGAGCCGTTATATTCACCTTCCCCTGGATGTGATCCTGAGCAGACCCAACTAAGCTCGCACTTTCTCACTACTAGTGTGGCTGTCGTACAGACGGCGAAGACCTCCATTTTTATGACAGACCTCTTGAACAAGCAGCAGGAAGGCGTCCTCGGCATTGGCATTGAGGTTCTAATCTACTCGACGAAGCACACGACGACTCTGTTCGTGAGCAAAGTCGACACCACTGGATATGTCGTCAATCATCCGCCTTCTCGAATCAAGATCATCTGTACCACTTTCATTAAGTGGCTAGTCGGTATAGAAAGGCAAAAGCATCCCAACCGGAAGGTGGTCGTCTCTCTCTTCGCGCGAGCTCAGTCGCAGTACCTATTCCCTGGGTCTGCAGAGAATGGGCTAAAGCGCCCTTTAGACGACAGACAGCTCATTAAGTGGTGGGCCAAAGTGCTCGATCCTTTGCTCGATACGTCGGCGAGCGGACAGCCACGGTCTGCGTCAAGTAGTACAGACGTGTGCGGGTATCTCACAATACCTGGGTATAGTAAGCATGAGCTCATGAGCTATTTGCCACGCAATGAACATCAGCACGCCCGTAGTTGGAAGCCTGGCCATCCTCTACTGGAGTTGTCGAAGACCCGCGGTCTACCACCAGACGCTCCCCCTCGCTCCATGCTTCCGAGGTTTCCTGATGATCCAAAGTCACGCTTCATGCAGGATTTGGACGACGAGGTCGGCTTAACAGAAAGCTATAGTGTCACGGTCAGCCCAGCCAAGCGTAAGAGCGGCCGATGGAATAATGTCCGAGACCTGGATCGCTTTTGGGAAGCAATGGAGTTTCGTCAAGAATGCTCGTCAGGCCGGGTCGTCGGCTTCTTGTGGGTTGTGATAGATTCTGCAGAAGCATCCAGCAACGGCGAGCTTATCGCCGAGAATGGCGGGAGCCAGGAGTCTGCAAACTCTTGCGCAGACAGCGACCGAGCCGCAACGCCAACCCCATCCGCAAAAAGCAGCCCGTCTAAGCGAAAGCGGAAGCGTCTCACCGGGCCCGTCATATCACGTCAGCCAAGGCTGAAGAACGGCTCCTCGTCACTCACTGCCAGCTCCGCAGACTTGGACACCATGATCGACAGTCAGCGCGGTGACGGCTTGCTCATCTCCAGGGAAGGCTACGACAAGGCCATGCAGACGCTTCTACATTTAGACTTCGCAAATGTGGAGGCTGCCGCTCGCTCGACGACGAAGTGGGTTGCGGAGGTAGCAAGTTCCTGCGGCCTGACCGGTGACTGGGGCGTGGACATAATCGGTACGGCGGAGAATGTCGGTGCGGGGGACAGATCGAGGGAGGAGCGAAGCGCAGCCAGTAACGAACCTGCCGAGGTCAATGACTTGGGTGGCATGGTGCGGAAAAAGAAGCGGAAGGCGGGTGAAAGCGCTGTTACGGAGCACCAGGATGAAAGCAAGGCTGACGCACAAAATGCGGTCAACTCTCTGAACGGCGCAGCGGTGCGCAAGAAGCCAAAAGCGGCAGCGACGTGACGATGCTTGTATAGTGGCATGCTGTGGCGGTTGAAGGCTTGGGTATTAGCGTGGCGTTTGGGTCTCGGTGTTGCAGAATTTGCGTAGGGAGCGGACATTAATATTACGTTCTTCTCCCTGTGTAGACATGCCATTCTCCGCTTTATGAGGGATGCATGTAAGTAGCCCGCATGTTACGCCATATGCTTCCTTTAGAGCTGAATTGCGCTGCTCACCATTTATGACCTTTCGCTCTTCCCGACGCCAAATGCGCACCAAACTTTTGTTTTGCCACCCGAATGCCTCAACCCAGTACGTGCTCAGACTTTTCCTACCTATACCAGCGCCATGCTTAAAGGGGTATGACCACCTGCGCCACCATTGTAATGCCGATTGGGCAGTATGGGCTTGAGACCGAAAACTCCCAGCCAAGAATGCAGACCCTACGTGCTTCCAACAAAAAAATCGTCATCCAACCCTTCCGGATGCGAGCGCGGCGTGTATGCACCAGACACATGCAGTGGATGCGCGGGGCCAGCCGGCGTAATCGGTCTCGATCCATTCCTCGGCGCGCCGAACGGCTCGCCATCATCAGTAGGCGCACCAGCTTCACTCGGCGTGCCCGCCACACTTGGCTCTTCCATCCACCTCAGCCCATTTGCATACTCTTCGATGGGAAAGACTTCGCGAGCGTACTCTTCGATGCCGCGGTAGCCTTCCCAGATACTGCGACCTTCACTCGGATACTCGAGATCTGGGAAGTATGGCGCACGCTTGTCGCCCAGTGTCTCCTGGAGAATCTCAAGTTGTTCGCGGTAGCCGGATGGTACGGAGACCGATAGTTCTATAGGTCCATGGACGTAGTTGACCGGTCGACCTAAGCCACGCCCAAAGAGCGCGCAGCATTCGAGCGGTGTTAATTTTTCGAAAGCAAGTGTTACTCTGCTAGAGGTGTTAGCATGACTTGATTACATCCCGAAGGTGAAAGAGTGTACAGACCTTTGACCTTTCCAGTGATTCGGGCCCATCTTGAAGATCTGCAGCAGCGCCGGGCCAACGTCATGTTCGGCGTCAAGCCATGGTAGAGGATCGTTCGGATGGAAGGGAGCTTGCCACTCGAAACTGCCATCGTCCTGGAGCTCCATCTGGAAAAGCGGATAGGGTAGCGAGGTGAAGTTGTTGTTGTAAATGCCAGTATAGACGAAGGTCGCGGGTATGCCAAGTTGGCGAACGTAGTTCTCTATCGCAAACTTCGAAGACCACATCGGCAGTGCTTTCCAGTTCCTGCCGAAGGTAGAATGATCCGGCATGCTCGAATAGATGTAGTGACTGACACCTGCCTTCTTCGCGGCATCTGCGCAAGCTTTACCGATGGCTACTTCATCTCCCCAGTGCGTAGTGTTGATGAAGGCGATGTTAACATTGTTGAAAAGCCGAGTGAGAAGCTGGGAACGCCTAGGTCCGATAAGGTCACCTTCGACAATCTCCACGTTCGGTAAGCTTGCAAGCTCCTCTGCAACGAGCCCTTCCTCGTTCCGAATCTGCGCCTTGACGTGCCATCCTACAGCGGACGCCGCCCTGATGAAGGAGGCAGCTTGTCGGCCGGTGGAGTTGATGGTCGCAACGGTCTTGGTTGGCATTACAGGGGCCGCATCGGCACTTATAAGGCGTGCTGGAGCCAGTGTTGATGTATTACAACCCAGACAGACCTGAGGTTGCTGTGGTGGCGATACAATTGCAGAAAGCGTCGCCAACCCTCCCGAAGTCGATCTGGCCGGAGGTCGTATGAAGTCCAGAAATCACACCTCAGACTACGCAATACTGCGCTGGTTGACGATCATGTGGCTTTCCAGGCCACGACGGTGGTGGCGCCTTCCCAAGCAGATTGCTGGGGTAAAGAGGTGCTTCCAAGAGGGAGAACAGTAAGGTCCAGACCGCTGATCCCGAGATTGCGATTACGATTACACAGTGCTGCTTCTGACTGTCGATTGCACCTTCGAAGCGCTCGGCAGGCAATCCCACTACGGCGGTCGGTGCGCACTCCGTCGGTAGGCCTCAGCGGAGCTCATACATTTGACGAATGGCGTTGTGAGAGACTCCGACAGCGCGGACGCTTGTGCAACGTGATACTTCGTTAGGCAGTGATCACCCTCCTGCGTCAACGGAAGGAAACGTGCAAAGAAGCACCTGCCGATAGCAAGCTGACGAGGCGTGCGGCAGCTTTCAGCAGACTATGCGCGAAGGGAAGGATGGACAGGATGACGAGCAGGCGCAGGGTCCGGCTCTTCAAACTTTAGACAACCAGAAACGGCTCACCTACTTGATTCTGCAGAGTCACGCCAAGCGGCAGAGATTGCTCGATGGCACGTTGCGATTGCGGTGAGGGTATTTGCTCTCGAATGGCTCGCTATTGTGATTTTGGTTACCTAATCGTGCCGGCTATGTTTCTCAGCTTCGTTAGGCTAAGTGCCGGTTTTCTTCGCGGCGAGAGTTGGCCGGAGGCTGGCTGCCCGGTACCTTGATGTCGCACAAAGAGGAGAGGAGCCCTCGGTATGACGGACCTGTCGAGCGGTCAACGACCTGCTAGATACAGGCAAGCCTACCAGTCAAAAACGGGCTCGTGTGGCTGCAAAGGGAATACGTCAACGGCTCGTGGCGCGTCTGAACGAACATGACTGCGGGGAAGTGGATCTGCGGAAAGAAGCCACGTTCTAACTCATTGCTGCTCGGTAGCTTGCCTATTGGTAGATGGTGGGAGAAGGTCATGGCCGAAGCAATGAGGCGGCGGACGAGAGACACACAAAGCATGTGAAAAGGGTTGTCAAAGCACGACCGTTACGCGGTTCCCAGAGATTGACGGTGATGGCGGCGAAGCCCACAAGGTTGATTGAGTGGTACACAATACACAGCTCGCTGGACTTGCATTTGCCTTCTTCGCACCTGTGGGTAACTAAGCGCACTGGTAATCGTAGACCCTCTACAGTTGTCAGCATCTCCGGCTTCTCCTCGATCCTTCTTCTCGTGACGCTCACCAGCATGTAACCCAAGAGTTGCATGTGGTAACAGAGCGAGCGCTAGGATGCCGTCACGGCAACCGTTCATGTCGTGCTCGACGGCCCACTCGCTTAGGGGTCGCATTTGCTGCAGCTGACCGCTTGATATTGACACGTACGCGAATGAAGCCAGAGTGTGTTTCCGTTGCGGACGCGACGTCTCGTTCTCAGCCGCACTGCGCTCGAGTATGTGTGGTCTCGGCACACTGGTCGGCTTTCGTGCTGGGAGTGGAAGTGTCTAGAAGCTATACCGAGCTTCACCTCTTGACCTTCTTCGTGGGCGGGCCGTTACTGTCCTTCATGCGGCCTTTGTCCTTGCCTTGCACCAGACTACGAATGTCGACGGGTTCGTCGTCTTCGTCGTCCTCGTCCTCATCATGGCCATCCTCCTCAAACTCCGGATCAGACATATCTCCAACCTCCTGCGCCTGCATGAAGTATTTGATCGCATTGGGCCAGACGTCATCTGCCAGGCAGATCGCGACTTCTTCGCCAGCTTCATGCACTTCGACCGCTTGATCATCATTCTCCGCATCATCTTCTTCTTCCGTCGGTGCCTCAGCATCTCCAGAGGTGGCCTTTTTGCCATGACTGCGTGCTGCTTTCTTCGCAGCGTGTTCTTTATACGCTTGCGCACTCTCGTCTGCACTCACAAATCGTCTACCGCTTACGAAACCAAACCACGTGAAGAAGCTCGTGTTCGCGCCGTTCAAATGCTCAACCTTTCGCTCCAATGCTGTGTACTCTGGGAGACCCTTGGCTGTCACATCGCCCACCTTCTTCCTCGCTCCGAACAGGGCGACTGCGGCATCTGTCAGGCCTTCCGTAAGATCCTTGCCCTTCTTCCAGTGGACCTTGACTGGCTCGGACACTAACCCTGCCCACCCATCCTTCGCGCGGCGATGCCAGAATGTCTTCTCCAGTGATGTATTCGTAAAGAACTCGTTTGTACTGAACTCGAACTTGATGTGCATACTTCTTGGGTTGCCATTCGAAGCATCTCGGTCTAGCTCCGGTCGTGAAATGGCAATGCTCTTCAGGTGTTCGCTGAATATTCGAGAGTCCTGAGGTTGAATGTATTGATCGATCTCCGGCGGTGCTTGTTCGATCACTAGAGGCCAGAAGTGCAATATCTTGGATACGGCGTCTGCACGCTTGTTATACACGGTCTGCGACAGCGCATACTGCTTGCGCATAATCTCGGAGTCCACCTCTTCGAACTCATCTTCGATGGCGGCAAGGTCCTCGTAAGACACAGGCGACGCTTCCTCTGCCATGTTGTATCGTCTCAGCAAGAGACAGGATGTCTTCGCCTGTGGTGCAGAGAAACCCGTACTGCGTCCAATGCATCTGCAAGCTTAGAGCTGGTGCATAGAATAGCGTCGGGTGCTGCCGCCGCATGTGCCTGCCAACTTCGTCACGTTCTCGCGTGCACTTTCGTCACTCCATCCTCCACGTCTGAGCTGCATCTACATCACATTGAAAAGTGGAATTTCCTGAACCATTTTGAAATACACTGTGTAAGCATCGAGAACAGTACATCATCGAGATTGGCATGGCTGGCTTCGACATAAATCAAGATCGCCTCGCAGCTTGTTGGGAACTCCAAGACTGTCGTTCATGCATCAACAGCCATCATGGCTGCGGCTGGTGCCCAACATCTGGTGCCTGCGTAGCCACGACAAATCTATTAGCACCGGTGTCGCACCCTGACGTTTGTCCCCTGCGGAGTGAGCGCTTCGAGCTGCGTACGAAAGCTCTCGGATGCGGTTGTTCCACCACAACTTTACTCAGCGTCATCGTCACAGTGTTTGCCACCATTGCAGCGCTGGCGTTACTCTACGGCATCGGCCTCCTACTGCTGCAAATCAATCAGGCCTTCGGTACGGGAAGCTGGAACGGCATCGAGATTGAGGTCAAGGATGATGGAACCCGTCACGAGCGTCAGTGGCGGCGCAGTAACGCGTTCACCTCGTTTTTCCGCCGGATGACTCTCAAAGCTACCAAGGAGAGCGAGCAGGAGCAGATGACGGAACGCTCACGGCTCCTCGGATGAACTGCCAGAAAGCTCACGAAGATCGGTCGAACCTAGGGTCGAGTGCTCACACATGTTCGGCGCCCTGGAGGAAAGCTCTTGTGGAGCATTGAGCTCTCACGATCCATCATTTGCAGAGAAAGCGCCTCGTGAATGCGGATGAGGAGGGTGCCTACTCGCTATGCGCCGCTGAGTCATCCCCACAACAACTACAGGGCAGCGAACATCCGCCCAACCATGGCGCGATGTGATTCTTCCCGTCTCGAACAAGCGCATCTTTGTCCACTTTAGGCGTTCCGTACGGATGGGCTGGTCTGCCTAACGTGGCATGCTGCTCGGCAGAGCGAGCTCTTCCGGGGATGTTTTGTTCGGCTCTCTACGACCCCAAGACATCAAGGTAGGGGTTTTCATGTCCGCGCGTAATGCGCTACTGTATGTATGTACGCAGTTCATCATTTACATTCTTGTCAAGCTGCTGGACAATGTCACTTTCCACCCATCAGCCAGATTCCAGGCCCAAGGCTTGCTAGAGTTACGATATGGTACGTGTACTACTATACGGTTGTCTTTGTTCGTGAACACAGAGGTCGGCATGAGATTCGTCAAATGAGATGACTCCCTGTGACCGATTGGGTTCGGCAGACCGTCAGGCCGGTGGCAAGAAGCTCAGTGCGAAGTTGAAAGCTGCGAAGATAAATGACATATATAGGTACTATGCTGGTGGTCCGACGACAACGCCTTGTGTGTGCGAAACCTTAAATTTTGACGCATTGCGGACGCTGTCGACGCTCCTACGCCGACGAAGATACCATCACCCTGCCTGCGGTATCAAGCAAAGCATGCTGTACTGTTTACTCACTGCCAATATCTCCCCCAGCCCTTCTGACCATCACGTTCTTGTCAATCAATATGCACAGCACGTCTCGATGGTCTGGAGCCTGCATCTTTCCGATGACAATGTCGGTCACGTGACACGTGACTCGTGACGGCGATGTATCTCAGCACCTAGCGGCTGCTTGCGGACTCGAAGTTTATGATGCGCAGGTTCAGGTATCGCAGCGCCTTTGTCGTCAGGGCGACGGATCCGATCATGGTCAGACTCGGCACCCGCATGTGTTGCAACCCGATGTGCGCTACATGGAAAGTTGGCGAGGCTGAACACCGTGCCCATCTCGATGGAGGTCTCCCTTTGCTTGCGTACGCTGCAACCTTCGAAGCCGATAATGAGTCTCTCTTACCCAGTCATGGAGATCAAAATAGCTTCGAAATGCGGCCAACCATCATGGAAGTAAGTTGGTCGAAGAGTTGGGGCCTACTGGATCTCCAAAGAACGAACACTCTTCCAGGACGTTGTCTTGAGGAAGCTGAATTTCTGCGCCAATAGTTTCGGTGTGATGTCGTCCAATCCTATAGCATAGTCTGTGGCTCCTCGTGACTGAGTGACGACCTTTGCCACCTTTCGTTCGTCTTTTCGTTGCTTTGGGATATGGTTCTCGCTCCGTGCTAGCTGAAGTTGTTCAAGTCGGGAGTTCTATGGCTAGCTAGCTGGGGGACGGGATCCAGTATGGTCAAGTGCGGATTCTTATTGCCTTGCAACGAAATGCTGAGATGGATGGCGGATCATAAGGGTTGGAGATTGTCGGGTTCGACAGGGTTGAAGGCCAGTTGCAGGGGGATTTGATACTAACACGCTCCGCTTTTCTCCCCGTCAGATGGAGTGAAGGCACGCTTCAAGGGGCGCGAGCACGCGAAGTAAGGTCTTTCGAGAGCTCGCGGACACTGTAAGAGAGGGTACTGATACAGACAACCCAGATGGGTGGGCGGAGAGGAGCCCACAGAGCCTAGTAGTGTCGGGACCAGCTTCACAGCACAGTCTTCAGTTTTCCATCATTGTTTACAATAGTGTCAAGCTCCAATATCTGTAAGTTCGCGTTGTACACTGCTGAAGAGGACCAACCGTAAGTGGAAGGCTTCTGGACCATAATTCGCAATGGGGTCAATGAGCTCGGGCGGAAGGGTGGCAAGATTGGCAGACCCGTCCATACCCTACATTGCTGCGCTGTCGAACGGAGTTCGTACATGCGGTATAGGACCTTTGCTAAGGGATGAGCGATCTGTCGCCAAGCACATTCGCCGCCTTCCACGATTCACCGTAGAAGATGTGCAGAAGCGCCATCTGCATATGCGTGACTATTCCCTTGCTTTGACAAGCCGCTAGCTTCCGCTTTGAGTTGACGAATGAACAACTGCGCTTTCCAGCGTCGCGTGTCCACTTCCACATTCGAGACCCCTCAATGCCGCATTGAAGGCTACTGTGCAATGACCTTTACACGGTAGCCGCGACATAGACTGGCTACAGCACCAGTCATGCTCGCCCTCACCGCCCTCCTCGGCCTTCTGGCCCTCCTCACCACCTCCGTCTCCGCCACCGCCCTGACTTACAAATTCGTGCCCAACGAGAAAGAATGCTTCTATGCCTACGTCGATAAGCAGGGCGCAAAAGTGGCCTTTTACTTCGCCGTGCAGAGTGGGGGGTCCTTTGACAGTACGCTACACCATATCTTAGCCTCCACTCATTTGGCGCAAAAGCAAGGACGGCAAGGCTGATACGGCGTGCTACAGTTGACTACTCCGTCTACGGTCCTACCTCCGAACCCAACAAAGACCGCGTCGTCCTCGAAGGCCAAAAAGAACGCCAGGGCGACTTCGTCTTCACCGCCAACAATGTCGGCGAGTACCGCTTCTGCTTCGACAACACCATGTCCACTTTGACCGACAAGTTGGTGGACTTCGAGATCGCAGTCAGTCCCTCCTTACTACTTCCAATCCCTTCCTTATGCTCACGGCATGTCTAGGTCGAAAACGAACCCCGGCCCCTCCTCCCCACCCGCGCCGGCGCCACTCCCGAACAACTGAGCGGAGTCGAAGAAACGATCCTCAAGCTCTCCGGCCAAATCTCCACCCTTACCCGGCAGCAGAAGTACTTTCGCACGCGGGAGAATCGGAACTTCAGTACTGTACGAAGCACGGAAAAGAGAATCTTCAACTTCAGTCTGATGGAGGTGGGCTTGATGGTGGCCATGGCGGGGCTGCAGGTGTTTATCGTGCGGCAGTTCTTCACTGGTGGACGGAAAGGTGAGTACGCTATCTTGTTCTTGGGAGTTTGGAGTGGTGCTAACTGACGTTTGTAGGATATGTATGAACGGCGCAGGCCATCACGTCCTTATCAATGTCCACGTACCTCATACGCTCGACCGTTTCATTCCTTTGCCACCGTTTTCACAATGACCTGCCTTTGACGCCTCGACTCCGTCCCAGAACCGCACTCCCGCATGAACGTTCTGCTTTCGAATCTTCCGCTTTTCCCGAACGCAATGTTATCCCTTAGTTGCGGTTTGTGGCGCGGACGTCGAGCCGACCGTTTCTCACTGGTATCAAGACGCCACGCCGCTCCCTGAGGAAGAGTGTTTCACGTGCTTCGTTGGATACCGTGCAAGATGTGACGGCAACTTGACGAAATTGGCTCCGTGCCACAATCGTGAGCTGCAGCGGATATTGCTTCTCCAACCCAACCCTACCCTGCCCATGCGATGCGATGCGATGCGAACAACGCCGACCCCAAATTCTCCGCCACCCCCGCCGCTATTGTGGAAAACAATCATTCAGCTCCTTGCGCGCTTGCTACGGGACATCCCCTTCATTTTCCCATTCGTCACTTTCGACGAGATCGTGAACAAAACCACGAAACGTTGCTACCATCCTCATTGCTAAACGCGCGGTCTTGTCATACTCACCACCGTCAGCCGACATACGCGGGTAGGCGGCATGCATAATACAGTTAGTCACTCATCCCCAACGACACGAAAAAAAAAATATTCGAGCGCAAGACATCATACCAGCACCCTCGAGTCAATATCGTTCGAACAGAGAACAGAAAGCGAGGGAACCTCTTGAGTGAGCGTGCACACGCTGACGGGCTGACGGGGGAGACGTGGCTCATGTCGATTTCATCGTGTGTAACGCGGGAATCTCGACTCGGATCGGCATCGCAAAAGTTTCTTCCGCGTTCGCACATGCGGGATGGATGGATGGGATGGGATGGGATGGGTATCCTCCATCGCTTACTGGGGCGCCGTTTATGGCTTACGGTTATGCTGCACGAGCACGTTCGTTTCCTTCCCATACCTTATGCCATCGCTTCGTGATACGTGAAGGTACGGGCAACACGACACTATGGCCCTTTTATCGCGCAGGTGTGAGTGGGGTTTTTGACACATTGTACTACTGTAACCCATAGCATAGCATAGCATAACATAGCATAGCATAGCATAGCATAGCATAAGACTGGGTAAGGTAGATCTCCGTACTCGTGAATTTCTATTTTCTGTTCCGACACTATATGTACAAAAGCCCAAGCACGATACACGAGCCCTTCCTCGCTAAAGGGCCAAAAGCCGCGACATCGTCGCTCAGCGCAACGACACACAAAACACACACACAACATACCACACGCTCTCTCTCTTTCGGCAACTTACTCTGCTTCGTAGAGCGATGCTAGAGACTAACACGTATGCATTCGCCCTCATCCTTCCTTCTTTCCCATCTTTCCTTCCTCCTCCTCCTCACACATCCTCTCCCTACCACTCTCGTCCCCACTTCCGCCGCTCAGCGCCATGACATCACATACCTCCATCCTCCGGGGAGAGAGTCAGGATCGAGAACTTGAGGTTAGGGCTTACTAAACCTTGACCCCATTCCCCTTCCCACCTCCCCCGACCGCACTTCCCATCCCACTTCCCCCTCCACTTACCCCACCAACCGCACTGCCCATCCCAGCGCCAACTCCACTCCCATTCGCACCACCATTCACCCCGCCATTCACCATCATAGTCGGCGTCAAACTTCCCGTCCCCTCTTCCTGCTCCTCGCCCCCAAATCCTCCCGCCGCCGCCGCCGCCGCAGCAGCATTCGCGGCGTTCTTGTTCTTCTGCTTGAGCGTGAGGGGGAAGGGGTAATCTTCCGGTTCTTCCTGCAAGTCACACACGCACACGTCAGCAATCGTATCCCTTCGATGCAAACGTGCATCCCCACAACTAGGGACTGTGCCCTCGCTGTCGTCTGGGGGGCGGGGGGGGGGGCAAAACTCACCTCCTCCGGCAACTTCCAAGCAATATAATCCTCCGTGCTCAACCCCTCCCGCCCCTCCTGCAAACTCGCAAAATCGCCCGGCGTCATCATCCCACTGCGCTCCCTCGGACTGCCCGGCGCGCTCAACGGCCGCGTGATCTTCATCCCGCCTTCCATCCCATCGAAGAACCCCACGTCCTCTCCCCCTTCGCCCTCCGCAAAGCTATCCGGGTACGCGCGGCGGAGGGCAAGTTGGCGCGCTTTGACGTACTCCATCCCCATCCTCTTCCAATCGAGTAGATCTGACAGTCGTTCCGTTCGGTTACGTTGGTTGATGCGTTGCCGTTTGGATTTGCGGGTGAATTCGAACATGTAGTCCGCCAGTTGGTTGACACTATCGTCGATCCCCTTCATCCGGCGATCGACGATGTAAATGCCATAATCACTCGCATTCTCGATCAGTTCCTCCATATAGCACCCAAACCCGGACAGATTCGTCGTGATCGAGGGGACACCCATGACGGTGCATTCCGCGGGGGTGTAGCCCCAGGGTTCGTAGTAGGAGGCGAAGATGCCCATGTGCGTGCCCCGCACGAAGTCGTCATAGTCCATGGGCAGCACGGGGTTGCCGCTGCTGAGGAACTCGGGGTGGAAGATGACTTTTACGCGGTCGGAGCTGTGGTTGAAGAGCTGGCAGCGGCGGATCTGGTTGAGGATGGGATCTTCGGCGTCGTTGACCATGTTGTGCGTCACGATGGGGGGGAGGTTGTGGCGTTTCATCGCGAAGAGGCGACGTCGGAGCATGATTTTGTCTTGGCTGTTGAGTAGATCGCGTTCGTCGGGGACTTCCTGCCCTTCGTGCCAGGCGAGGGATTTCTCGAAGAGCTTTTTGCCGATGTTCGCTTGCATGTGCCCGATGGTGTCGCGCAGGGATTTGATGACGGCTTGGCCTTTGAGTGCTTCGACGGCGAGGGAGGTGGTTTGCGCGGGGAAGATGAGGAAGGCGACGACGGTCATGTCGCTGCCGGAGGACTTCATGCGGTGGTTCAGTCGCGCGAGCGATTCGAGGAACATGTCCACGCCTTTGTTGCGGTATTCGTAGCGGCCGGCGGTGAAGAAGTAGAGGGTTTTCTCGGGGTCGAAGTCGTTGTGGCCGTAGAAGTGGCCGCGGACGAAGTCGGTGATGCGCTCTTTGTTCGTTTGGTGGAGGTTTTGGAACTCGTGGGTCGCGCTGAACTTTTTGACGTTCAGGCCGTTGGGCAGGACGCCGTCGGGTTTGCGTTTGAGGAGGTGCTCGGACTCGTAGGCGGTGATGTGGGAGACGGTGGTAAAGACGTCAGCACTGTGCGCCGCGCCGCGTTCTATGCAGTAGCGGTGGTAGATGCCGCGCTTGCCGGCCTCGGCGTCGACGTCGAAGTATTGCAGGTTGTTGTAGAAGTCGACGCTGCCGGCGCAGAGGTAGCGGCCGAGGAGGGTGGCGTGGGTGGTGAAGATGGTGGTCACGTCGATCTTGCGCTTGCGGCAGAGAGGGAGCGCCACGCCGGCCAGCCATTCGTGGAATTGGGCGATGACGGCGCGCTCTTTCTCGTGGTAGACGTACTCACCCAGGAACCACGCGATGAGGTAGCCGAAGACGATGGCTTCGTTGGTCTCGTGGTCGTCGGGCGGGGAGGGGATGCCAGCGGTGGCCCAGAGGTCACCCTTCCACTCGTCCAGCTTGTAGTATCCCGTGCCGGTGTCGAAGAGCAGGACACGCGGCGCGCCGTCGATCAGCCAGCGCCCGTACAGTGTCTGAATGCCTCGCTCGTTCATCGACTTGATGGTGGCGATCATGGCGGGGTCTTTGGGTTGCAGCTCTTCCACCTCCACGGCGGCGGAGGCGCGGTTGAGGGGGCCGAGAAGGGTGTACAGGCTGCCATACTCGGCGGTGGTGACCTGGGCTTTGGACTTGAGGACGGAGTAGATGCCGCCGACGCGGTTGGCGACTTCGGTCGCGACCTCGAAGAGGATGTGGTTGCGGACATCCCGCCGGGGGGTTTCGGTCATGCTGGGCGATGTCTCCCAACAGCTATACGGGAAGGAGACTCGACTGCTGCTGTCCTGTTGGATGAACACCCGTCAGCCGAGCTCGTCGTCGCACATGAGTCGCGGGCAGCCACGTGCGCGAGTGCGGAGCGGAGCGGATGGTGTCGGCGGTGATGCCTCGATCAGATGCAGATGGGGGTGGAGGAGTAGCTCTCCCACGCACCTTCTCTCGACTCTTCTGCCTTCCTCGACAGCTATAATACAAGGCAGGAACGTTCGTACAGCTAAAGGAGAGACGATACCAATACAGATACCATTCACAGGTTGTATGTGCAGTGTGTGTGTGTGTGTGTGGCTATGGAAGAGGCTGGCGAAGCCGTATTACTTAGTCCAAGCTCGCAAGCGCCGTCTGTCTGAACATTCACGAAGCCAAAGCTTCCAATCCCCCGTCAACGCCCATGACGTTGGGGACCCACCCAAACTCCAATGCGGAATATCAGCCCGCCAGCATTCTCACTTTAGCCTGGGGCGATGCCGAGGGGGAGGGTGCGCGGGTATTATTCAAGATGCCTCAACAACAGTGGTCTCCGACCAACTTCAACACATCACTCGTCTGCTACCTTCAGGGACCTGCATCTTATCCTCGGTACGACCAGCTCAATATGCTCAAGGTAAGGTCTTGAGGATGCACGCTTAAACCTTCTCTGCACCGTCGCAGAACACGTGATGAAGCTCTCTCCAGCTCCAGCCCCGCCCCACCCGCGTGGAGATGCACGAGCGGGTGGAGCCTCGAGCTTCGTCGGCGAATCGGTCCGTCTGTTTTCGCAGAGCCGCTCATCACTCATCGCTCATCGCATTTCAAGTGCTCAACCGCAGGCGACATGCACCACTACATCCCCTCAACCTCAGCACGTCTCCACGTATTCCCTCAATCGCCACACATCAACCGTACCTCTACTTGCTCCATACAACGTCCGTGGTCTTGCGATTCGACTTGGGATGTTGTACGAGACGGCCGCAACTCAGCGTTCTCCAACCTCACTCAACACACGAACCCACATCCTAACGATGTTTCTTCGTCCATGCCAGATCTCAGACCACCCCTTCTGCTCACCACCACTGTATTCTCTAGTTGCGCCCTGCTCCCCTTACTGCCGACCATTCGCCCTCACCCTTTTCTGTTCCACTCTCCATTGTCATCGTTCTCATCCTCTCCCATCATCCCTCGTACCAAATCCACCGTACACCCCTACAACTTCTCCACACCCTCCCTCAACCCCTCCCGCTTCCTCTTCATTCTCCGCTCAGACTCACCCGGCTGCTTCACCAACCGCCGCACCTCCAGGCCCAGTCTCTCCGCGGCAGGAACCAGTAATCGGATCAGCTCCCCCAGCCCATCACAACCGCACTCCGTCGGGCAGTCTACGCAGGTTCCGCCCGAGATGTCCGTGGAGGACCTTGCAGAACGGCGAGCCTGCTGTCGCTCCAACAAACTGCTGCAAGTGCGAGAAGACCTTGTACCCCGCCACCTCTCCCTCCTCCTCCTTTCCGTGCCATTTCCTCCGCGGTGGCTGGAAACAAGGTACAGCCCACGTAGACCACCGTCGTGTCGTCTACCGCCATCCCGACGGCGCAAGAGTGCAGTGGAATCACTCTTAATTTGGATGAAGTGCTCTGATCAGCACTTTCGCTCTTTGTGCAGGAAGGCGGATGTTTCTACATCTACGCCCGACGCATGGCAAACCGGCGGTGCTTGCGTTCCGGGCCGCAGACGGAGTATCCCCGGAGCTTCGTTTGACCAGATAGACGTCGTGCGTGAGATTGACTCGTTGCCCGCCGAGAAGTCTGGCCTCCAGTGCGCCGACTGCCTATTTGCGCTGTCTGCTCGGCTTTGGCGCGGTGTCGGAGTCGGTGTAACCCGAGGTCGAGGAGTACAAGTAAGCTACGGCTTGCGCCATTGCTATTTGGTCGCGAGGCATCATGAGCGTCGTCAGAAGGCTGACTAGTTCCTACTGCAAGCCCCCCATAGCGAGCTCTTACAAGAGCAAGGACCACATGTCCCGCGACAACCTGGATCGATACTTATGCTTACCATCTGAATGACAGAGATCTCCAAATCGCTCGAACTACGAACGCAGGCCATCTCGACGACTCCTTGCAGCTACAGATTCCTCATCTCCAGCGCGATTAGCGGTCCTACCCGTACCGCTGACGGACAGACAGACAGCAAGCAAGCAATCAACGCTCGATCAACCAATCAGCACAATCCTCCATCCCTTCCACGATACCCTTCCAAACTCCCACTTCCGCCTTCAACCTCTCACTCGCCGCACCCATGGAATGGAGCTCGATGTTCAGCTTTCGAACATAAGCCCAGACAGAGTCTAATGTCTCCCCCGCATCTCCGACCGCTCGTTGCAGGCTTTCAGTCTCGCTCATGATGTCTGTCAATGCGCCTTCCGCAGCTCCCATCTGCTCGATGATCTGGTTGAGCTGTGGGACGGCGTCCAGTGTCGACATTGACCTAGGTGGTGTCGTGTGACGATCACGGGGTTCACGAGCGGATGGGTTGGGGAGAAGAAGGTGAGGTATTTGATTCGTGGGCTTGCTTTGAGCATACGACACGCTGTACTCAGATCCGATTCTGTCAGTCAAACGATCTGTCCGCCCCCCCTTTACGCCCTCCGCCACCGCAACGAGCAAACCTAGACACACATCCAATTATAAGACAACATTATCAAGCCAACCTCCAATCCAAACCACACCCCCTCTTTGCACAACCAACACGCCCCCCAAAACGTGAGGGCGTGGGTGAGAGTCTCTATTCGCTCCCGGATGGGCTCTAGGAGTCTCTTCGTGGTGCACTATACTCTTCAAAAGTCTTGCGGCGTCTTCGAGTTGTTCTTGCACTTCTCCTGCTGTTTCGCCGGGGCATTCACAATTCGTGGTTACTGTGAGGAGGTCAGCAGTCCGGTTGTTAAGGTCGTGAGGAACGAGGACGTGGTGAGGGATAGATGGAGGTTTGGAGTGGGGTTGGCGGAGGACATGCCTATGCGTGGGTGGTCTTGTGGTATGCGGATGAGGAGTGAGACAGGAGTTTGGGGGGTGGGGAGGTAGGGCAGTCTGGGCGTCTTGTAGGCAGTCCTGCTCTGTTCGCTGGGAGCTGGCACGTGAAGTACGATCAGGATATACGGATCCCTCATCGGCTTTTTACTAGCTTACGGAAAACCGAACTGACCGATCCCTGAGCCCACTGAACTGCAGCCTTCAGCACTCGCGCTCGCCCTCAGTGCACGACGACATCCTCTCACGACCACGGCCCGCCCATGTACTTCATCGCCTCCCAAACCCGATCCTCCACCCCGTGCTCGATCCCCTCGTGCACTCCGTCACCTGATGACAAACTCGTGTTCGTTGCGTTTGCGGCTTGCTGCGCCCTACCGGGGCCGGACGTGGCTACTGCTGCGGTCCGTTGCACTTCTGAGGCTTGAGGGGAACTGGCTGAGTTGTCGTCCGCGGCAGACATCTCAATAATGGCCCGCTCCGCCAGACTTGCTGAGTTGTTGATATCGGTGTTGGTTGGGTCTTGTGGTTGCTGGGTATTAGCTGATGAAGGCGAGGATGGGGACGGTGGTGCAGACTGTGTCTTGCCAGTTTTGTTGGTGTTGGTGTTGTTCTTGTCGACTTCGGAAGGGGGCGACTGGGTCATGACGAAGTCTTGAGCGGCTTCCATTCGAATGGCTTAGTGTGCGTTTATAAGAGCGTTGCTGTGACATGGTTGATATCCGTGGTACATGAGCTCTGGTCTATCGCCTTTGTCGATCCCAGCATCTGCTGGTGAGTGCTGCCGCCTTACGGATCGATCTGTGGCCAGAGGGCAAGATGGAAGATTGCTAGCATCCGAATCTGGATCTTGTGCTTGATACGATGCTTGTTCGCGTGAGAGATAGAATGCATGATCGCAAGCACTCCTGTCAAAAAGTAGCGCCGGCGATGAATGGCAAAAGTCACGCAACCTTGCATTCACTGTAGTACCCTTATTTCCTGCCATCAGGCAGCCAGCACGCCGTCTACACAAGCATCTACAGCAGATCATCTTCACCCCCAACCATTACCGTACCGCTTGACTCCACAGCATCTCCCCTCACACTCAACGACAAGCCCACACCCCACTAGCCTTCTCCCTCAACCCACCATCCGTCACACCAGCATCGACACAAACACTCCCATTGCCGGCAGCAGGAATCTGCCACGTCGTTACCTCGCCAGATAAGGTGTCGCAGGTGTTCGAGCCGTGATAGACAGTGAAGGAACAGTCATTGCCCGGTAGGTGTGGGATGCGCACGCCGCTCCACTTCAAGACCGTACAGACCTCTAACAAGACGATGCCGCTGCCGACGGACATGTAGCAGTGATTGTCTGTTACGCTGCCTTGGTAGTAGCTGATGGTTGTATTGGGTGGGAAGGGCGGTGGTGAGCCGCCGCCGGTTGTTTGGGGATGGGGCAGAGCGTTGGTTGAGGCCAGTAGGGCGGTGATGAGGGCGATGATAAGCATGTTGATTCTTTGTTCGGCTGAGGTGAAGGTGTGAGGTGGTGGGGATGCTGCGTTGCTGGAGGCTTTGCTTGTCAGTCGGCCGGGTCGTCCTATAACTGGTTTAGGTCGTTTGCTTGGTTTGGCATGTTAGGACGCTATTTGTCCGGTGTAGGAGTGTTTGTCTTCGACTGTGTACTGGTCTGTGCGAAGTGGCGTGATGCCAAATTCGTATTTCAGCTCGTGCACATGTCGAGTACAGTGTAAGTGATAGCTTGGCGTTTGCTGCAAGTGCAAGGTTTCCATAAGTTAGAAGTCTAAGAATTAGCATGCCTACTTATGTTGAGCCAGACATCATTACACCGACTCTTCAAGATGACAGCTCTGTCATAAGAAGTGGCGGAGCAGTCAGCGATTCATCCCACCGTGTCCACGTCAGCTGCCTACATGCTGCTGGTAACCTACTGTTGCCGCTTGAGGGTAGACGCAGCCGGATATTGAGCGTGCGCCACGAACACCACAGCGCATAAGGCAGCCTCGCTGAAGGCGACAATGTAACCGTACATGCGAAAATATGATGGAGGTGTGGCCAAGTGCACGGAATCGTACTATTCTGGGGCGGCAAGTGCGGTGACACGAACGTCGGAAGCAAGCTGAGCCATAAGAACTTCCGGCCTCGCGAAGTCTTCTGTTACACGACAATGTCCTAGCGACAAGTCAGCCTCAAGGTTCACAAAATTGCACTCCGTAGCGCAGAATTTTCGTTGACGTGCTTTCCTGCTGCTGTGCAAGAGCCACGCTCAGTGAATGACAGATTCCTTCAGCTCATACTGGCCAAGCTTGTAAGCTTCTGCAGCCTCACCATCCATAACGCCGTCCACCAATGCAGGTCTGAGCACAATGTAGTACTTGCGTTTTATCACTCTGCATTACTCGGCGACTGATTCAGCCTTCTGCTTGAGTCTCCCGTCTCCCACATGGTCGCTTGGAGGGCGGAGAGGTTGAAGGGCTTTGTAGACACCGTTCTCGACTCATGGCTATAATGTGGAAGTGATCAGCACCCCAGCAATACACACAGCTTGGTACGTTGCGATTTCGCCCAAATATTCTGGAATGACGGTACTTTCAAGCTCAGTCCCACGCGCCAGGAGGAGAATGACATGCGGGTTTCGCTGTCTTTGGAGGGAAGTTGGTTGGGCCTTTAGCATAGTCAGTCAGATCCGCGTCGCCTACGAAGCCCATTTCCTTGGTCCACGATTTCCTCGGTCCAAGCATTGAAGAGAAACGTGTGCTCGGCGGTGAACGGTGGAATAATTGCGGATGCAGCGTTGTAGAGGCGTCAAAGTCTACAGCAGCATTTCCTCGATCGTAAGAACTGCAAGGGCCAGTAAGGTCGTCCTCTATGCCTACCGTGTCGCCGCCAAGACAAACCTGTCTATACATTTCCCCGGCCAAAGTATTTTCCTACAGAGCAGCACAGTCGTCCGTTACCATACTACCTCGTGCCGCTCGGCCACGAACATGCGTCTTCATGGCTTCGCGTAGTGCGTTACCTGTTCGAGGCATCGTGAATCCCCTCTCATGCGGTATTAAGATGCGATCCGGAGTCATCCATGGAGATGAAGGCGCGGTGGATCTTGTAGCCACTGGATCGCTCCGCCTCATGCTCGGTGCTCGGTTCGCCAAGCCAAGAGACCACCTCACTTGAAGCCACCTTCCTTCTCATGCCTACTGCGCATCAACCATGCGATAGCTTCAACTACATAAGGCAGCTCTCGCTGTCCTCCAGAACATTAAGATGCACAACACTCTCACACGCGCCCAGAATGTGTTCGGCTACTTCACGTCTGTGGCCTTTGCCGTAGCTGCGGCCATTGCTGTCAGCATTGTCTTGAGCGCACAGGCGCCGACCGCCTCACTCGAGCTGCATAACGTGCAGGTGTATGCTCGCCACCATCGCTCGTCCCTGAGTCCGGCTGATGTTATTGCAGCGTGAAGGGACGTCCACACTACTATAGCACGAAGCGCGAGGAGTTCGCCCATGTGAAGTTCGATCTGGATGCTGGTATGGAACATAAGTATTCAATCTTGGAGCAGAAGCACATGCTGACGATTATCAGACCTATCGAGTGTATTCAATTGGAACACGAAGCAGATCTTTGTCTACATCACCGCTTCATATCCTTCCTCCAACCCCTCAAGCATACCCGCTTCCGAGTCCGTCATCTGGGACGCCATCATCCCCGCCTCCAACGCTCCGTGGCACCAGAACACTTACATTCACCCGCCCAACGCCAACGCCAAGCCAGAGAAGAAGACCAAGAAGCCCGCAAAGAAAGCCGAGACCGGCAAGCGCGATAACCAGAAAGCATACCCGGCTGGTGCCAAGCCCGGCGTCATCAAGCTTGAAAAAGGGATGCCCAAGTACCAGATCACTGATGTGACGGGCAAGATTGCAGAGCGGCAGAATGCGACGCTGACACTGCACTGGAACGTGCAGCCGTGGGTTGGGCTGCTGGTGTGGGACAACAGGCGGACTTACGGAAGATGGCAAGGCCTGAAAGGTGGTGATGCGAGCTTTGACTTCCCGTCGCTGCAAGGTACGCAGGTCAAGAAGGAAGACTTAAAGACGGCAACGGGTGCCGAGAGGAATAGAGGCTCGCCTGCTTAGGCGTCGTAGCTCCCAAGCCAGTGTACTCTGCTCAGCGTCCTGACTGCAAAACCACAGCATCAATGTACCAAAGCTTCTGGGGACGGATCAGCGTAGGGGATTTGGCTGACCAGCCTTTCCCAAAAATGGCGATGCCGTCAAATTGGAAATCACAAGTGAGGTGGGCGAGGCTCAAGGCTCGCTTTCAACATGCGTCCTCTTCGATCGATCCGCCGCCCGTGCATATTAGCAACCTCAGCGTGCTGCGTCAGCCGTGCTGCGAGGTGTGTGAATTGCGTTGCTGTGGCGGCGCAAATTGTCTGCCAAGCCTTCAGACATTCACAGACACCCTTTTGCCTGGGGCTGCGAACTGTCCCGGTGAAGCTGTGGTCCACGAGGGCCTCAAATGGCAACCTACCAAACACTGCAAGCTGTCGCACACGGTCAGAGCGAGATTGGGCCAGCCTCGTGCTGTCAAGCCAAGCCAAGCAAAGTCTGAACAGGCGCAGAGAAGCACCTACCCGACACGAACATGCCGTACCAACAAGTCCCAATCACCGATGAAGCCTTCAATGAAGAGCTCGAGCATGGCGTACAGCGGTGCATCTGCCGCAAGGAGAGCAAGAACCGCACCAGCCGCTGTCCAAGACCGAGCTTCTGCGATTTGAGGGGCAACAAGAAGTTCCGCATCGAGGCGGATGACCTGTCCGTGGAGCTCATCTACAGCTTTGCTGACCTTCTGGGGGACGAGCGCGAGGAGAAGTGCTGTCGGCTGGCCGAGCTAGTGTGCTGTGTTCGCGACCAAGGGAGGGTGGCTGAGGTGGGAGACGTCATGCTTGCGCAGCTGTATGAGGAGAAGCACATCCAACCTCCCGCTACTCTTGCGGATAAGGGCGCGTTAGTCGAATCGGCAAGTCCAAGCACATCACCTCTGACCCGATCCGTTACGTCGAAGAAGCGGGTCATGCCGTGTAGAGATCCACGTACACCCAAGCGTCCGGCTCGTGGTGGGCCCACGCATGCTGAACTGACCATACCCACTCCAGTTGCCAGCACTTCCCCAACCCAAGCAGATGTGACAGGCGAAAGCACAGCATCAACACCTGCCTGCGCCGCGACAAACTCTGCTTCCAAGGACACTCCGGCTGCACAGGCTGTAGCTTCCATACAGGAGTCAAGGCAACCTACGCCTACCGGCACGGACAAGGACGAACCGGCTCATCAAGCCTCCCCGGTGTCCCCACCATCGACTGCCTCGGCAGCCTCTTCGATGACGCTTGGTCGCGATGAGCCACTCACTCTCGAAGAGCGTTTGAGTCGCACGGAGCGCATGATGGCGGCATTAGCGCGGAGAGTCTTTGCACTGGAGCGCTGAGGTCTCTGCACCCAGTGCTCGCACGAGCGACGGCGGATGGCTGCGCATTCATCATGGAGATGGGGCGGTGGCGGAGAGCGTATGGTTTGTTAAGCTGTTCAAGCTTGACCGAGAGCATGCTCGAGTCGATTGCGAGGGCAGTACGAAGTCATGGACATGCGAAGGGGGCGCAGGAAGGTGCGCTGTCCCAAAGACACCGCTGGGGGCAGTACGCTGAGCTGGCAGACATGGCCATCACGCGTTCATGGCGAGTCGCATCCACGGTATGTGCACATGTTTGACAGGCGGCCTTGAACAACGGAGCACGATAGACTGTACAGCTTTCGTGCGGATCTTAGTTGCTCACTTCGTGCCCTCATCGACTGCCAGCGTGGTCAGTCTGAAGTTGGCATGTCAGCCAATGGAATCGCCAAAATGTTGCAGAGATGCGTCTGAAGTTCTGGTGTGGTTTCGGTCAAAGCGCCGCACAGCCCCGTGTATGAAGCGCTTAAATAGGGAAACGACGAACGGCGGATGAACGTCGCCAAGAATTGGGAATCGCGATCATTTGCGACGAAGATACCATATTGAGCGTTCGATACAACCGTAGAGCTATCAAAAATACGATATTGTGGCACACACTGTTCCACTCACCAAAGCGTAAAAACCAACTGGAAAGCCACGCACAATGACGGCAACGGATTTGCGCCGCTACGTAGAAAGACGATATGCCGTACGTTCAAGTCTTTCCTGACCAACCAGAATTCAATATGACCATCAAGGACGACGCCACCACTCAACGACGTATCTGCGTAGTGGGAAAGGGCAAGCGCACTGAACGATGCAAACGGGGAAGTTACTGCGACCGGAAAGGCAACAAAGCCCAACGCATCGAAGCGGACGAGATTATCACGGAACTCCTTAACAAGCTCAACTTTCAAGGACTCCTGCCTAGCGAGCAGGAAAAGAAGTGCAACCGACTTGCGGAGTTGGTTTGTTGTGACAAGCATCGGGATGAGCAAGTCGCAGTCGGATGGGCGATGCTGGAGGATCTCCGTAAGTCTTACAATCTTGGACCACTGGCAGCTGAGGACCGTCCGGACGTTGCAGCACAGGATGGGTCACCGTCACCAGCGATGGCGGACAACTCAGGCTTAGCAGCCCAATCGGACAACCCGCGTGCGACAGGGTCAGTGGCAAATAATAAATGTAAGTCTCTGCCAGAGGACATCGTCACATCGAAGCGTCAGGCCCGGGGAAATGGCAAACAGCCCACGAGGTACCGCAGTGAGGAGCCTCGTCTCGCCGAGGATCCACCGTCCAGCTTCGAAGACGCAAGACATAACCAGAGACCTCTTAAACGTTCGCAGCAGGACGCAGTGTCGGCACAGTTACGACTTGATGTCGAGCGACATGTTCCCTTCGGAGAAGGACAGCACGCCGGCCACTTTCAGATGCCGGAGACCTTCGGCTCCATACACACTCCAGATACATCTGTAACGATCGGTCCCGATGCGGCATCTGACCAGTTCCTGTACAAACGGAAGCTGGACGCTGTGGAAATGTCGGTGCAAACTCTGAGCCGGCGAGTTGATGGTCTGATGGAGCAGAATGAAGTTTTGGTCAGCAAGATCTCACTACTGGAAATGCGGCCGAACCGTCTGGTTGCAGCATTGCAAGCAAGCGCCGCAGATGAAAGAAGTGCGGAACGAGGTACTCGAACCTAATGAGGACAGATAAAGTCCGAGCAGGTCGGGTGTTCGAGGTACAAAGATCCTATGGTGTGGCATGGGCGAAGGTACGGTGTGTTAATTTTCTGCTGGCAAGCATGCATAACTCTTGCAAGTGCTGTTGTGGTTGTGCACTTTATGAGATGAGCTTATGTGCATTCGAACAGCCTGCGGATGTTCTGCGGTAGTATATGTCGTGTAGCATAGGAGTATCGGAACCAGTCACGCGTGGCATCCAAAACGTCCTCATGCACAAACTCGCACCGTCCCGATGAGGGTGGCCAAGCTTCAGCGTTGCCCGCTTGAAACCATGCTTGCATGCATAAGTGGGGCCCTGCATGTCAGCAATGGATTTCATTGATTTCGAACACCACCCTTTTCAAGCGAAGATGTGAAATGAGGGCAGAGAAAGCACTCCTGCCGAGGTGCCAAGTGAGCTCGTTGTTCTCGGCCTCGAACATAAGAGGGTCAAGACCACGAACTTTGTATAAGGAGGCGAGCATCGGCCTCCTGAAGCATCCGGTGAAGCCCTACCAAGATCTCCCTTTCCGGAAGATTAAGCGGGAGCGCTAGAATTAGCACGCACGCCACCGTATTATTCTGGAGACACCAGCGAGACGCGAGACGGCTCACGCACGCTGTTCAGGTCAGACTCACGCGAGAAAACAACCCTCTGCCATAGCACGCTTGCGCGCGACGGCCGTTTCTTGCGAGCGACAGATGAGCTGCGCATGGCTGCACAAGCGTTGCGGAGATTATGCGAGGTAGCATCTGGAGGAGGGTGTCGTGGCTTGGATTCGGATACGGCACCTGCAGGCCAATGCACGTGTGGGACATGGTCTGTGTCAAGCTTTGGTTTACTCCTCCTGCGCTGCAATTTGCTGGATCCGCTCAAGCCACGCCTGTTCGCCCTCAGCCATCGACTAGTGACAGGATCCGGCCCTCCTTGAAGGATTGCCCTTCTACGCCAGCCAATGACATCGCGTCCATCTCCTGGCTTCTGGTCTGTGTCACGTCCGGATACGGTTGGGCTGCCCAGCGTGGCACCTATTATAGATCAACGCGTTTAATTATCAGTTTCAAACTCGGTTACGGCGGGTCTATGCTGCATCGAGCGAGGAGTCGGCTGACACTCTTGGCTCAGAGGAACAAAAGGACAGGGTAAGCAACCTGCTGTAACCTTCCCTCGCCTTCCCAGTCGTCATTATTCAACTTCGCCAGCTTCCAGCCGCTCTCTACTTTCTCTTCCAGCCTTTCCAGTCTTTCGTTTCACTACTGCGACCGCGATTTAATCGAACGCATTCAAGTCCATCAACCCACCACATACCAACCCGCATCTTCTCGCATCTACACCCATTAATTCAGACAAAATGCGTTCCGCTTTCTTCGCCGTCGCGACTTTCGCTCTTGGTGCTCTTGCGACGCCAACCCTCGTTAAGAAGGACTGCAACGACACCTGCATGACCTACGACCAAGCAACCGTTGTCGCCAACAACTTCAAGAGTCTTATTGCCGCCTACTCCGATGCGGACGCCATCGAGTTCTTGACGCCAGACTTCACTGACTACTCCGACTCCGTCTCTACGCTCATCAACTCCGGCTGCGCGGGTCCTCAGCCACTGGGCGCGGCGACCTTCACCGACCGTCCCTCGTTCATGAAGGGCCAGGGTAGCCAACCCGCCATTCCGTTCGAAATCCAACACCTCTGGTACGCCTGCACTGGACCAGTCGTCATCCGCTGGGCCACCAACTTCGGCGCTGAGCCAATCACCGGTAACATCATCATGGAGGCCACCCGTGGCAGCGGCAGCCAGCCATGGCTCATCAGCAACGTCCTCTCCGAGTTCAACAGCGGTGCATGGCTCGTGAACCTCGATGTCTTCAAGCCCAGCTGCTACGCCAACGGCTCCTCAACCATCGGCCCAGTCGGCAAGCGTGACGTTACTGCGCAACAGATGAAGAAGCTCCCTTACCGGATCATGTAAAAGGGGGATCGGTTAGACGCGCGCAACACACGACCTCCTCGCCGCTCCGCCGCTCGGCATCCAGTCTCACCCATCGTCGGGCACAAGCAATGGAGCAATCTCGTATTTCTGTATCTTGCATGATACCATCTTCACAGCAAGCCGGCGTTCACAAGCGGCGGGCGAAGGGGGCGGCATTATGATTCTTGGATGGGTTATATTAATGATGGCATACGCATAAGTCGACCACCACAATAAAAGATGCTGTGCGCCCGAATGTGCGGTTGGGCCGCTTATTGTAGATACCGCGCATAGTACGTTTTCGCTCTCACCCACTGTCTCATCTCCAAGCATGCTGCCTCCACACTTCGAATGCCCCGTACGTCCCATCGGACAACTATCTCCTTGCACCTCCTACTGTGCTACTGATCAGAGGGCGCATAGCAATTTACCGTTACGGTAATTGTGGGAATACCCAAAGCCTACGTATCATGGTTGACTTGTGTTCGCATGTGTCACATGGTACCACGTTGTCACTGCAGTGACTCGCGACGACCCAAGGCGCCGGTTACCGTTTCGCAGAACCTGGACCATGCACCTCAGCTTCATCCCTTGCTTCCTTCGTTTCACCATGTGTCACACCGTACCTACCGACAGCCCGAAACTCCCCATTGCCAGCAGACGGCAGCTACGCCGCCTCTCCTCCCGCACAGCAGCTATCCTCTACCGCACTCCGCAACACAACCCACCATCACTATTAGCCGGAAGCCTTGTCGGTCAGCGCATGTTCGACTTCAACCATATACCCAAACGTGCCACTGTGGACCGGACATGCTACCTTCGGACTGCTGCAAGCTGACTACGTGCCTCATCGCTGTCTCGCCCGAGCGAAATGCAAATCGCTTCCATCGACCCATACTAATGGCACAACTGAACCATCGCCTCTCACTCATCTCATCGGCGCAGGAAGCTGCCCTCCAACTTAGTGATGGCGACATTCATTGCTCAATGTGTCTCTCCGGTGGCAAGAGAGTTCATACCGCGCATAAGCCTCCAGCACCCCAATACTACGCGCAGTAGCTCACACTTAGCGTGCATATTCGCCTGAGCGACTATATTTAGCCGGTTGCGACGTCCGTATCTAGCAGACTAACGTCTGCATCACAAGTTGAGCCGGCCACGCTGCGGGGAGAGTCACGCGACCATTACCGCTTCTATGCAATACTGCAACAGCTTGCTAAGCTGCAAGGTCACTGAGACAAAAGAAAAACGGTCTGACCACACCTCTGTAATAGCTTGTTGACTAGGCCCCTAGAGTACGCCGACGTTACATGTTCTAGATGTACGCCAAGCGGTGGCCTGACGAAGCTCTGCTGATGGTCTGACGCTCCACCAATACTTGCGCTTAAATGATGTGACATGGTTCACGGCGACTTCGCGCATGCACTCCAACGTTGTGTATCGCTCAATCTCTCCTCCTTCGGCAAGCTGATATGGGCGGCATTCTAGGTGGCATGGTTGGGCCTATCGGTCTACTACTGCCACCACTGACCTTGGTGACAGCGGTTCTCACCCTACCATTCACCTTACTGGCTTTGCCACTGTCTGATGCGTCCGCCTTGTTCTCATGGCCAAAGCTCAGACATCGCTGGTTCCTGCACTTCTGGTGGTGGTTCGGTCCGGCCACCAAACCCTTCTTCGCGCCGAGCGTAGTCCCTCTGCTCGAGCAAGCGCATGGCAAGGTCCTCGATATTGGCCCAGCAAGCGGCATTTGGATGAGCGACCTTGGTAAAGCGGCGGCCGCGACTGGCAAGATCGAGAAGATCTACGGTGTCGAGCCGAATGTGTTGTTTCACAAGCAACTGAAGGCCGGCGCGAAGAAAGCGGGTCTGGAGGACAGGTACGAGCCTATTGCCGCATATGCCCAGGACCTGGAGAGTAGAGGTATTAAGAAGGGCAGCATTGACACCATCATCACTGTTCACGTTCTCTGCAGCGTTGGCTCGCATGCACCTGGAATTGTCAAGGAGCTGTACGAGTACCTCAAGCCCGGAGGCCTCTGGCTTGTCTATGAGCACGTTGCAGCGCGCAATGTCCCAGTGAAGTCGTGGCAGTGTGAGTTGCATATGCCAAAGCCGAACTCGCTTAGTAAGCGGCCAGCTGACTGGGTATCAGACCTCCACAACCTCGTCTGGCCATATGTATTGGACGGCTGCAGTATTACTGAGGATACTGGTGCGTTGCTCGCGCGTGCCGGCGCGTGGGAAAGTGTTGAGATCGGTCCGGATCCGCGTGAAGGTCCTCTCGACAGTCTACCTCACGTGATGGGTACAATGGTCAAAAAGCGAGCGTAATCGGTTCACATTACGCATTAAATGCCATCCGCCGCACTGCTCTCTTACGTGACCGCGTTGTTAAGCAGTACATGTTACATGTCTGGACGCTACCGAAGGTGTTCGCGGCGAAGTAGGCCTAGGCATAGTAGTTCTGCGCGGTATTTGCTGATATGTATGTACTTACATTTCAGATCCGAAGCTTCTGCAGAGACGCGGACTTTGTGGCACCTGCTTTGACAGTAGAACGGCCAGCATACTGAAAATCTCTGCTGCGGGCTTCTGCCCACCACAGTAGCATACCTAGAATAGCACCGGATCAGCAACAGCAGACTGGGGCTGGACATTGACTGATCGCTCATGAATCTTGCGCCGTTCGACCGCTAATGCAGGCCCAGTGAACGAGAGATATTTCTTAACCGCCGGAGACGCTGCACCCCTCTTGCTTCGATGGGTGGGCATGTTTCCCCAATTCACCATGGTATCCGACCGCTGGCTTTAAACGTTCAGTGCTGTACGCAGCGCCCTTGGGCTGATTGACACAGAGTCGCTCGTCATTACCTTGAGAACGAACTTGTCCAGACCAATGTTTCCGTACGGAACAGCATCCACCACGAAGGCTGTGATACAATCAGCGGACAACAATCCTCCGTTTGAGCCGGCCATGGCGGACTCCAGGACGAGTCGGTAAGTGATACATTGCGACGTGGCGTTGGCCTGCTGCACTAGGTTGGTAGAGTACAGAGGAAGATATGGGTCCGGCACCGCGCCGGGCTAGACAGTTTCAACCTCAAGTATTATGTTGACACCGTGGTTAAACCATTTCGACACAACCAGCCGGGGTGATTCAGAGCGTCAATGCGTGTGTGCTGGTTTACCTCATCTATCTCTGCATGAGGGAGCCTTACATCCTCTCTGCGAAACACTTTTCAAACCTTAGAGACTCCGCAATGCGCACAGTACACATCCGTGAAGCCGTGGGAGTGAGCGATTAACGTACTAAAGCTACCGTTGCGCAGCTTTGAGCAATCACCGTAGATGGAATATGAACATGATACTGGGTTTTCATGCGCTCGAAGAAGAGGATGACTCTGAAAGACGGCGTCCTGCCATCAGTGAAGAGAGTAGACAGACGCACCTGTAAACATTGTGGTGGCGGCCGTATGTCGTGTATGACACGTACGGCCATCGTCTGTAGATATGTTCGCCGCTTGCGAGGAGGCATTGGAGCGAATCGTCAGAGCTTGAAGGATCGCATGTGCATCATGGATGTGACTGCCGACGAGGTTAGTTTCTGTCATCTAAAGCAGTCGGGTGTCGCTCATCCGACGCCGTCCAGCCGATGATCGCACGCAACAGCTCAAATCGGGAAGAGCAGATTGTCAACGCAAGCCGCGGATCTGGAATCCACGTGCAACGGCGACTTACAATCTCGGTACATTCTCCCATTTCCTCCCTTTTGGCCGTCCGCCATACGCCTAGTGCTTGCTTCCAAGACGTGTCTGAGCAGTTGTTGGACTCAAGGGGATACTGATGCATTGGTGCATCTGCTTTCCATCGTGCCTCGTTGCTGCCCTGGTTTCCGACATTTACGCCAGGAGATCAGCAACGTTCATAGGCATTTCGTCGATCTGAGTCGAATAGTACACTGTAGAGATGTCAGCAACCTCTTATCGAACGACTTTTCCAGGACTTTTCAGCCACGCATGGCTGCCTGGCACTTACGTTCGATGTCGCGCAGAATGCGAACGTCTTCGCTGGTAACGAAGTTGATCGCTACGCCCTTCCTTCCGAACCTACCGGACCGCCCAATGCGGTGAATGTAGTTCTCACGATTGCTTGGCAAGTCGTAATTGATGACCAGACTAACCTGCTGCACATCGATGCCTCTCGCCCAGACGTCCGTGCTAATGAGCACGCGGCTATTGCCTTGTCTGAATTCACCCATAATCCCATCACGCTCCTTCTGCGGCATCTCGCCGTGCATGCTGCTCACCGTGAAGTTGGCGTCGCGCATCTTGTCGGTAAGCCAGTCGACCTTGCGGCGGGTGTTGCAGAAGATAACGGCTTGAGTGATAGTAAGCGTGTCGTATAGGTCGCAAAGCGTGTCAAACTTCCACTCTTCCTTCTCGACGGCGATGAAGTACTGCTTGAGTCCTTCAAGGGTAAGCTCATCACGCTTGACCAAGATGCGAACTGGATCGGTCATGAACTTTGTCGTCATGTCTAATACATCATACGGCAAGGTGGCACTGACCACGACAACTTGTGTTGCAGGTGGCAGATACCGGTACACATCGTAGATCTGCTCTCTGAAACCCCGATTTAGAAGCTCATCGGCTTCATCTAGGACTAGCATCTTGATGTTCCGAGTGCGGAGATGGCGACGGCGGATCATATCGGCCACGCGACCCGGCGTCCCAGAGACCACATGTTGGCCGTAGTCGAGCTTTCGAATGTCTTCGCCAACGTTCGTGCCGCCAATGCAAGCGTGACACTGCACGTTCATGTAGTCGCCTAGTGCAAGGACCACAGACTGTATTTGAGTGGCGAGCTCTCGCGTCGGAGAAAGCACAAGCGCTACGACAGGTCAGTGACTAGGGGACCATGTCACGTGCGCCAACCTACCTTGCGTCTCTCGCACGGCAGTGTCGATGACCTGCAAGATGCTGATGCTAAAGGTGGCGGTCTTGCCTGTGCCACTTTGCGCTTGGGCGATTGTGTCGCGACCTTTGCAGATCTGAACTATGGCACGGGACTGGACTGCAGAAGGTGACTCGTAGCCGTATGCATAGATGCCACGGAGAAGATTCTCCTTCAGGTGCATAGATTCGAAGGTCGGCGCAACCTGGACCTCTTTGCTGGTGCTGAACTCCATGCGCTCATCGGCGCGGCGGTCGATGGCGTCGTCGGCCATGCTGGTATTTGATTAGACTAGTCTGTTGTGTTTTGATTGTTCGAGCTCGACGCGGAGAAGTGTTGTAGGAAGCAAGAGTTGGGCCAGTTGCAAGAAGGTCTGGAAATGCCTGGCCGAAGATTCAACCGGCGGTGTTCAGTCCGGTGTGGCGCCAAAGCTTGACTCGCGCCAAGTTCAAGCACAATGCACAACTTCGAGACTTGTTCACACAACATCCACCCTCGACATACACCCGCTACATACCCAGCACTGCGACGTGTCCGACTGATATCATATCTTGGCCTCCGACCTGTCTTGTAACGACTCCATTACCTACAACGGCACGGCGCCCATTCGGCTCTGGACATTTGGTAGGAAAGTCGAGAGATTGTGCTAGGCGGGCAGGCAGGAGGAGACTTGGTGTCCATCTAGGAGCGTCGAGGGCGACGCGACTGAGGCGGAGGTCGAGAAGCGGGCACGATGCTGTACGAAGATCTCAGATACGCGCATGAAGACCTGGAGCGGTTAGAGCAGGCCATCGCAGACAGGGTGCTGGAAGACCCAAAGCACGTGAGTAACATTCAGACCCTGCATCGCCAGAGTTGGCAGAGCTTACAACTCACAGATTCGAAGCAGACTTGTACAACAACATGAGATTGCAAACTTTCTGTCGCGCATTCAGAACCAGTCTGAGCGCGCATTGCACATCTACAACGACGAGCAGGACGCGCGGATAACTGAGATTCAATCCATAAGTACTGGAGACCCGTTTGAGGAGTTCTACAAGCAGCTTGACAACATTAAGTCGTTCCACAAGCGATACCCGAACGAGCCGGTAGAGAACCTCGAACGCGCATACAAACGCATCGAAGATGGCGGCCCTAGCTTTGCTGGTGACATTGACGGCATGTTCACTGGCGAAGAGACGTTCGGACGCTACTTTGACCTCACCATGCTGCACGAGGAATATCTTAACCTGCCTGGCGTGAAAGGGACGCGGAAACTGAACTACACGACCTACATAGAGTACTTCGACAAATTCTTGCCGCCGGAATGTCCCATTACCAGACAAGAGAAGATGACAGACGAGTACTTCAGCTACGTGGGCAGCTTGGCGCAGTATCTTGAATCTTTCATTCGACGGACGAGGCCACTCGAAGATCTGGATAAGCTGTTCAAGTCGTTCGACGATGACTTCGAGCAGGAATGGAAGGAGGACAAGGCACCTGGTTGGGAGACATATACCTCGCAAGCGAATGGTGGCGCAGCAAACGGACCGCAAACCGAAGGGACCGGCGAAGGCGTGTGGTGCTCAGACTGCCAAAGGGAATTCAAGAATGACAATGTGTACACCGCGCATTTGACTGGCAAGAAGCACTTGAACAACGCAAAAACCCGGAAAGAGCGCGCCGCGAACGGCGACACAGAAATGACCAACGGTACCAGCACCATCGGCTTGCCGACCGGTCAACGCCTGAAAGAGCGCGCAATAGCTGAGCGCGAGCATCGCATCCGCAAGCTTGCCTCAGCCATGTCAGCCATCCGCGAAGACACGCGCGTGAACGTGGAGCGTAGGGCGGGCATGACGGACCGTGAGCGCCAGCAAGAGCTAGCTGCGCTCTACGCCGAAGACACCGCGATGATCCAAGGCACCAACCACGGTGACGACGAAGGCGAAGACGACGAAGAAAAGGTGTACAATCCGCTCAAGCTCCCGCTCGCATGGGACGGCAAACCCATTCCCTTCTGGCTCTACAAACTCCACGGCCTCGGTGTCGAGTTCCCGTGCGAGATCTGCGGCAATTATGTGTACATGGGTCGTCGCGCGTTCGAGAAGCACTTCAGCGAGTCGAGACATGTGTACGGGCTGAAGTGTCTAGGCGTCACGAATACGGGATTGTTTCGCGAGATCACGGGCATCGAGGAGGCGGAGAAATTGTGGGAGAAGATCCAGAGGGATAAAAAAGCTGGGGAGGCGAAGAAGGGAGGCGAGGGAGTGGAGGAGATGGAGGATAGGGAGGGGAATGTCATGCCGAGGAAGGTTTACGAGGATCTTATGAAGGCTGGGTTATTGTGAAGGCCTGTATAAGCTTGACAGGAAGCGCGCCGGTGCAGTTCCGGCAAGCTTCGGGACGGCGACCGAGAGTTGATAATACTCGTGAGGCCGGGATGGAACAGCATCATCCCACGTCGCTGTTTCGATGCACCCACAGATATGTATAACTCAAGGGTCAATATCAGTAACTTTCGTCGCCTGTGCTTCCCAATCTAGACACCCGTTGACGCTCGCATTCTTGCGAGAGTAGCGCACCTTAAACCTGATGTTCAAGCCAAATCACTGACAAAGTGCAGTGGACCGCATCGTCAGAAGCAGAAGTCAAGCCTGCATTATGCATTACTATTCACAAGGCAGGTCCCGCAAATCCTCCCGCCTATCGAAGCGCTCTCGCTTGGGGCAAGCGCCAATGCCGGCAGCCATTGTGGACACACTGATAGGGTGCGGCTGAACGCGTTGGGTCAGGAACGAATCGTAACACCATGAACCTGCTGACTGCTCGTACCATCAGTGTGGTCCCATGCGTCAAACCCTACGGAGATGACATCCACTAGCGAGAAGCCTATCATATCACAGGAAGTCGACTTTGCAACATCAACGCCAGCCGCGCCACGTGCTTTGTGGAGCTTAACGAGCGGCGATCAGCGATTTGCTTCCCGCGGAATCCGCCAGCGGTACAACAACAGGAGAGTTCGACAACCCTTCGTTCGCCTCACACCTATCGACAGTGCTGGAGACATCGCTATCGTTGAGATTATCTCTCTACCGTCTTCGCGCGAACAGTTGCTAGCCTCGCGTCTTACACACGCTCTAGAAGCTTGCAAATTGTCCGAGTCATGGCCGGTGTTCGTCGCCACCAGAGTCGGCCACAGCGAGATTGTAGATCTCGCTGTCGAAGCTCTTGCAAATGCACAGCAGTATGCCGCATCGAGATATGTGGGTTCGCCTAACCGTTCGCTTATGCCGTATACCAATGCTCTCACGAAGCTAAGATGTGATCTGAACTGTCCGGAGAAGATCCATCAAGACGATACAGTGATCACGGTTGCGCTCCTTGCATTGGTGGAACATCTTCTGTCGCCAATCAGTCCACCCTTCCGGTCGCATCTGCACGGATTATATGCGCTTCTCGCTCATCGTCCACCATCACATCCGGACCATGAAAGCGATGTCATACGAGCTATTTTCTATGACCACTGGACGTTCGCCTTCCTGAAGCCATGCGTGCAGGGCACCGCGTCGCCCTTCGACCGTGATGATTGGTGTCGAATGCAGCCAGTGGCGATGGACGTACTACAACCGGCTGTAATTACCCTACGACGAATTGCGAATGAACTCTTCATCCGTTTCCCGAGACTGATAGCACACATCCGCGACGCTCGGCAGAGGGATCCACCTGAGCTCAAGTACGATGCAGTGACCCTGGCGGCGAAGCTTGTAGGATTAAAGGATGCGGAGGCCGAGAATGAACTCCTGCATCAAGTTGAGTTGGAGAGGACGTCTTGGGCAGTCGATCAAGAAATCATCCCGGTCTCGGTGCGTTAATTCTGAACTTTTGGTTATTCAAACGGCCATTACTGATAGTTTCCGCATTTGCAGTTTCGCTTCTTGCGTGTCGCGCAGTACGAGGCTGCGATATACTACTGGCAGGCTCAGCTCTTTCTCGCTCGGATATGCAAGCGAGCCAACGAGCTAGTGCCCGAAGACGAAGCTTTGCCGGTTGACGAAGACGAAATGCGCCGAATGTGCAAGAATATCTTCATGTCCTTTCAGTACACCCTCGGTGCCGGCATGCCGGGCATCAGCGCAGTCCAGATGGCCGTAGTGGCGTGCTGGGGTTCGCTGATTGACTTCCCGAAGCTGTTTGAGCCGAAATTCAATGCTGAGACGCTTCGGTCATGGATCGTTGAAAGCATCAATGCCATGACGCAGGGGTGGTTCGTGGTCGATGAGAAGCAGCTGGACGGTAGAGCCGACTTGTTTGTTGGCGGACCGATCAAAGTTGACTTCGTAGAACATATCCGCAAATTCTATGGCGACTGACAAAGACTTCAGCCAGTCCGTCGCCACTTCGTCTCATCCTCTGCGCCGTCCTCGGCATCAACTTCGGCCGCCGTTCGCCTCGTCCCCGCGCCATTGCCCAGATCATGGCCACTTGATTGGCCATCAGCTACTCCGTTGATGCCGTCTTCGCCTGGATCATCGACATCCTGCGGAATGCGGAAGTTGCCCTCGGCGTCCATAAACTGCGCCATGTTTTCAGACGTGATCCAGCCAGTAGCACCTGGGATGGTTTCGTCGGTGCCTTCATCCTCATCGTCCGGGTTTGGATCTGGGTTCAGCTCTTGGCAAGCTGAGATGGCATCGTAGAGGCGCTGCTCTGGCGACATGGGATGACTGTCACCGTTACCTGGTGCACCACTCTCATGCTCAGCCGAGGGCTCGCTGACGATGATGGAGTCGCTCGTCGTGGGTACGATCCGTAACTGGAGAGATTGAAGATCCTCGTCCTCAGTGGCGTCCTGATCAGAGAGTATGAGCTGGAGGAGCACAGCATTTCCATCCTGTGCATGTAGACCAATAGTTGGATACGGGATCTCAAGTCCATGTGACGCCGCAGTATTCCAGAGAGCAAGATTCCTAGCGGTTAACGTTAGGAGATGGACGTGTAAAATTGTCATACCGAGCTCGTCATACCTCGAGGTCACCCATACATCGATACCGCGAGCTTCCACAAGCTCATCAGCAGACGCTGTTGTTTGTGTCTGAAGAAGTGCTGCAAAGTCCGGTTGCGTATCCAGCTCCGGCCTCGTTATCCTTACTGTAGCGTTTGGACATTGGAAGTGTAGCACCGGTCTTCCACCAAAGAAGGTGCCAGGAGTTTGTTCTTGATGAGCAGAGAGAGCGGTGAAGTCTTCCGTCTGCGGGGCAGCATGCACTACTTGGTATGCCATCGTATGCCACAACTTAAGGTATGAAAGCTTCTTCAAGTGTGCTACATGTACTGATGTGGAGGTTGGGTCTTGAATAGAGTTCGCATATCGATAACGAGTCATGAGCGCGTGAGGACCGTGTCAGGTTCTGACACGCTCTGGAGATACCATATTTCCCACACTGTAGCGCGGAGATCAAGGTACTGAAGGGTCCAATATGTAAGAAATGATGTTTGACAGTATCGGTGTGCCAGTTTTGACAATACTCAGCTCGCTACCGCCCCAGCATATCCACTGAAACTTCCCGTCTCCTCCCTCAGAAGCTCCGGCAGTTCATCCTCAACATAGCTGCTCTTCCAGTCCTTCTCACGTGGCTCCCAGCCTAGCTCTCGTAATCTGAGCGCCCTGCTTCTCGAGTTCAATCCCACGACAGGCTCAGTGAACTCGCCGAAGAGGTCGCCGTACAGCTCCTTTGGCACCTCCCTGGGCTTCGGGTCTTGGATTCGGCCAGCCTTATGAAGAGACTCGCCCACCAGCGAAGCGACGTCGTACCAGGACGGCTCGTTGTCGCCGGTACATTCGCAGAAGTAATACGGGTTCGTCATGGTCTCCTGGGCCGTTGACTGCTCGATGTGATGCAGCAAGGTGATGTAAGCGCGAGCTAGATCCATGACGTGGATGTTGCTTTCCACTGCTGCGCCTTTGCCAACATACGGTGCGAAGCCATGCTTCAGCGCGAAGCGAGTGATCGTCGGGATTTGAATGGTCAAGCGCTTATGCTTAGGATTGACTGCAGCAATGTCAGCCTCGTCCTCCCTCAAGCGTTCGATATTGGCACCATCACTTACACCCATAGATCAAAGGCGGGATCATGATAGCAAGCTTGGCCTGGTCACCGAACTGCTTCTGCATCTTAACGATCTCAAGGTCGATGGCTCTGTGGGGTGCATCTTGGGGTACGCTATCAACTTCCTCCCTAGCGCTGTCGTGAAACACCTTGTCGGATTTGAACATGCCCTTCGCGCCATCGTCCAGTACGCTCGTGCCCGAGGTATGAATGAAGATCGTCGGCTTGCCTTGCTCGATGCGCTTCTTCACGCCATTGAGCACAGCTTGAACGCTGGGCAAGTGGTCTGCGGTGGCGGTGTGGATAACGATGTCGTGCTGGGCCGACTGCTCGACAATCAGGTCCCTGTTGTTCAAGTCGCCCATCACAGGGGTGGCGCCTGACGCCTTGATGCCCTCCGCATGCTCTCGCCGGCGGACAAGACCAGTGACGATGTATCCTTCTCCGATCAGAAGGTCGAGCACATTCCAGCCAATGAAGCCTGGCCCTACGATGAAGACCGTCTTGCCTGACATGGTTGGACTGGATGAGTAGCGACGAAGTGGCGTTGTTCGTTGGGATATTGTGACAGCCTTGTTTTCGCGGGACTTGTCTTCCAAACACTGCATACTGAATGATTTCAAAGCACCCTTTCAGGTGACGTCAAGCTTTGATCATGGGAGGGGCTTGCGCCCCAATCTGCTTCTCTTCGTCCTGTGTCACAGGACGTATGAGGCTTCGGTTGTGTCTGTGCAACGGATCCATATCTGGGCGGCAGGCCGAAAAGGTAGACTCCGAAAGTGAGTTAGTAAGCACACTGAGTTTGAGCCTCTCATACAGAGCGGCCTGCCAAAAGAGGATCTGCCCTCCCACATTCCGCCAACAAATGGTCTGCAATGCGCGAACCGCGCTGGTGCTGGTGGACGTCGTGTTGTTCATATGCCACCCTGCATCATGCTCGGACGAGAGCTAATGCAGAAGGGCATGATGTACGGCAGAGTGACTTACGACATCAGCATAGCTCTTCTGCCCGCAGCTTAAGCGCATGGTTCTCCGATCTATTGCCTGCTTCGCTTGTTCCGTAGGATCCCGAGCAGTTCTTGCATGATTGCGCAAACCGAGAACGACCGCAGATCAGCCCATCTCGCTCCTGCCAAACGCCTTGTCCATGGCGGCGCCCAGATCATCAACACTTCTGTCCTTCTCCGGTCCAGCTTCCACAGCGGGCAATCCCGGCTCATCCATAAGGTTCGTCTGCTGCTGAGGCTCAATCTGCTTCGCAGGCTGCAACAGATGCTGCTCGCTATCCAGCCAGCCGGGTGCCTTCCGCCTCTTGTCCGCAAGCTCCCTCTCGGCGATAGACTGCTCCCACGCGTTAACCTTCTTCTCTGCCTCCGATCTTTGCTTGTCGAGCTGGTCCAGTAAGCCTTTGTTCTGTGCAATGATTGTTGTGGGATGCGCGGCGAAGCCTGAGCTTGACGTCACGTATGCTGGTAGCTCTGGGTTTGAAGATGCCGGCGCTGATTGTAGTATCGAGGGCGGAAGGGTTGGAGGCAATGAAGCGTAGTTATGCGGGAGGTTTGGCGCTTTAGGTAGGTCGATGAAGGGGTTAACGCTGAGGGGCGTTTGTTGGAGAAGCGGGTGGGAGCCTGACATTATCACACAGTCAGTCTTGATTCTATCCCACCGCAGGAGTACTACCGTGAGTGTACATACGTTCGTCATGCATCTTCAAGATGTCTGTTGTGGACACAGAATGAGCAGAGCATGTTCAAATTAACGAAAGCGCATCCGAATCCGAGAGCTCCTCGTCGCGGGGCGCTCATGGTGTGGCGGTGCAAGTCTGCGTCCGAGGCTGCAATATCCCAAGGACCAGACTTCGGTGCAATTTGGCTCACAGAACGATCACCAAGATGAGTAGGATGATGAGGACGGTGATTAACAAGCCGATACAGCAGCTCGACCATCGATCTGCCCGCACGTCAGCACTCTGTACGCGACCAACGATTTCGAGCAGCATATAATCACCCTCATTCCTTTCAATAACATGCCCTATCCGCTTAAGTCCTTGCTGCAGCTTTCCTCCCACACGATCGACCAGATTGTCCGTATCGTCGAGCAGCTCGGCCTGCTCCTCGAGCTCTCTTCCCATCGTGTCCGCTTGCATCCTTAGGTTGCCGACAGTTTGAAACACACCATCCAGTGCTTGATCTTGCTCGTGCATGATCTCCATCTGCCTCTGCTCCTCCCATGCGCCATAATCGTCCTCGCGCCTGGGATCACCTGCCAATGGGTCTTCGTCCATGTCGTGGTGAAAGCTATCTGGGTGCGCCAGTACAGCCTGCCTTTGCGCGTCGGCATGCTGGACCGTCTGATTTAGTTGCGTGTGCATGTCTTCGACTTCGCGAGCGACATCATCGACGAGCTCGCGTCGCCTTGCGACTTCCTCGCGTGTGAGACCATATCGGGTTGGATCACCTTCAACAGCCTTAACGCTCTCCACAAGGTCCTGTAGGTTGGTACTAAGATCTGTGAGTGTTGACTCAAGGTCGTTCCGCGCTTCAACAAGCTCTGGAGAGTTGGCAGAGGAGGCAGATGAGCGGATCCGAAGGTAAGATGCGAGCAGTGGTCTGGACTGTTGTAGGAGGGCAAGGATGTCGGCTTGAGCCTCGAGGAACGGGTCTGAAGACATCGCAGTGAACCAGACAGGAGTCCGGATAGCCGATGGTGCTACTACGAAGGCATTGACAGTGTTGTAAGTGCATATGAGTCAGTAGATGTCCGTTTACGATCCATTGAAGGGAGACGCGCTCTGCCCCGAGACGCGGCGTGCATGTGTGGCGGTGCCGTCGTGCATTAAAAAGACACAAATACAATGTCTCTTACACGACACATCTGCCATCGATGTCGCTTGCAGCACGCTATAACCAGAAATCGAGCGACCTCGACGAGAGTTAAGCTACTTTGCCAATGCCGGTCGCTATTGTACGTCCTGAAGTTTTGGGGTGGTTAGAAGGCGGTTGAGCAGAGACCCAACGTTGCAACCAGCGACCATGAAACCAGACAGGCCGTTACCGTATTGTGATGCGTTTGATAGCACGGATGAATACGTCCGCTCTCTACTGGACTTTGTTGGCGCGGATGACTTCCTCCGCACCCTCTGCGGTGGCGTCCATATTCTGGACTTCTTCACAAGCGAGCTGGACCTGTATGCGCGAGTGCTGCCGCAAGAATGGCGAGACTTCTTCGCCCGGCACGATATCATGGACGTTCTGGATCTGCTCATGCGCGAAGATCTATCTACGTTGTCCCTAGGGACGCAGTCTGCCTGGCGAGATGGACCATTCCCGCCGCACTCGTTGCTCAACTACATTGCGAAGATTAGGAAGCACCTCTTAGTGCGAGATGTTAGCGGATCGCAATGCCAGCGCAACCGCGTCATGAAACCGACGCAGAAGCTAGCACGGCAGGTTGCAGTTGGAATGACAGTCAAGAAGGTGCACGAAGTCGGCTTGTTTGCCCACTATATCGACAACTTGATCGGTGATTTACGTCAGGTAACTACTGATCAGATCTCTCACCTCGTCGATTTCGGCTCCGGACAGAACTATCTCGGTCGTGCTCTTGCTAGCGAGCCGTACAACCACAGCATCGTTGCCATTGAAAGCAAAAGCCATAATGCCGAGAGGGCGAAAGAATACGATGTCATGGCCAGGCTTGCCACAAGGCAGAAGATCATGCGCAACAAGAAAGCTTTCCGTGCTGGTCGAGAGGACTCAGCTAAGCCTGCCACCCTACCTACTCCACCGCCTGAGCTAGCAACGGGGCAGAGCGAGCAGAGACCGTTAGTGACCGTAGAAGCCTCGCTCGATCCGGCTATCGAAGCCTCTTCAAATGCAAAGGGCCGCATACGATATGTCGAGCACCGCATCCGCGATGGAGATCTCTCGGAAGTAGTATTACAGCTAGACGGTACTTCACCAAATATGATGGTCATGTCTCTGCACTCTTGTGGCAACCTTGTCCATCACGGTCTGCGATCACTCATCCTCAACCCGGAGGTCAAGGCTGTTGCTATGGTGGGATGTTGCTACAATCTCCTCACGGAGCGTCTCGGTCCTGCAACGTACAAGCTTCCTGAACTCCGGCCTTATGCGCGTAATCATCCCCGGCTTACTCAGACAAGCGAAGCTCGCGACCCTCATGGCTTCCCTATGAGCGACCGTTTTTGCAACTACAGGGCCTCGCCTGAGGATCATACTGGTGCAGAACATGACAGTACAGACCGCGGCATCCGCCTCAACATCACCGCTCGTATGATGGCCGTCCAGGCTGCCCAGAACTGGGGTCAAGCCGACAGCGAGGACTTCTTTAGAAGGCACTTTTACCGCGCTCTTCTCCAGCGCATCTTCCTCGACCGCGGCATTGTGGGGCCGCCACAAGGGGACTGCGTTGGTGGAGTGTCGCCCGCTGGCCACAGCTCTGGCGGCACGCCCATTGTCATCGGCTCCCTTCGGAAGTCATGCTATGGCAACTTCGTGAGCTACGTACGTGGCGCAGTAGCGAAGCTCGAGTCAGGCGAAGATCCAGATAGGGCTGTCTTGTTCAAAAAGGGCATGGAAAGCATGACTGATGCAGATATTGAGGCCTACGAGGTCCAGTATCACGCAAGAAAGAAAGACCTCAGCATCATTTGGAGCTTGATGGCTTTCTCAGCTGGTGTTGTCGAGGCCGCCATCGTGGTCGACCGATGGCTCTGGCTAAAGGAGCAGGGCATCGTCGATGCTTGGGTGGAAGCGGTGTTCGATTACCGACTTAGCCCGCGGAACCTTGTGGTGGTTGGTGTTAAGCCGTGAAGGCTCACAATATGACTCCTTTCTAATAGCCTAGTTCGGCACCCATGCTGTCAACAGCGCCTCGGGATGTGGACGATGAACAAGCACTCCAACTTCCGACGATCCCTAGGAGAGATCGTATTGGTTTCGGAATATTCCCAGGCTTGCAGAGCCTGCCACGGTCCGGATCTGCTACTGGAAGATAGCAACAATGGCTCGTGGGCTATCATCTGCAGCATCGTTGGCAATGCGCTGGTGGCGTGATGCGCAACAATACCAGCCTTATCCAAACGAACCCTCAGCCTTGCCCGGTTGCCAATGAAGGTCAAATTTAGCGAAGGCTCGCATCCAGACAATCCATCGCACTCTTTGATAAGGAACCTACATCGGACAGCCAAGCAACCGGTGAATGTGTTAGAGGCCTGGCGCTATGATCGAGAAGCTCGTGGGCTGGCTGTGTGCGAACTCAAGCTATCGCTCGCTCCCGTCAAGGCCCTGTCGTTACCATCGACGTCGCCACCTCTTCTCAAATACCAACAGCGTCACTGCTCTGATATCACATATTCACTCTTTGACCTCCAAGAACAGTCTAATTGATCTCAGCAGATACCACAACCCTAATGCCTGTCCTATCGCGGGTCGTTTTGATCATTTTGTATCCTCGTCTTGTGTTCTGTCGCAGTCCCGGGGCCGCCTGCGGTGTAGCATGCGACAGCTATGGGAACGAGAAGTTCAACACAAACTATATCAATGACAGGAACGTTGATAATCCCGGAACGCCTATCGCGACTGGTGCGGTCAACAATATGTGCGGAATAGCTGGTGGTAACATTCATACTTGTGCTGTCTGCACTGAGTATGGCCAAGGCTTGACGGGCAATGCGGCAACGCTCGTTCATTACTGGGAGGTGACTTGTCAGACGTGGGTTCACTATGGCCTCAACGCGGCAGTAGCTGGCTGCGCTGGGTCTCCCAACCTCGTGTCTCAATGCTATCTACCGCCAACATCATCTTTAGCAACTCCAACCTTCTCAGGTACGTCTAGGATCCGTGCTCGCAGGGTCTATCCTGGCTTGGCTGACTTTTGCTAACCCTAGTGCAAGACTCATCTCTCGTGGCTGCGGGTTCCGGCACGGCGTCGAGCCAGCTGGCCGCATCCTCTATAGCGCTGTCTAGCTTCAGCTCGAGCCACTTCACTGGCGGCACTGCATCAAGGTTGACAATATCGACAAGTCCAACAACTTCTCTTGCGGTCAGCACCGGTCCAGCAGGTGGAGCTGATGTTACGAGTTCCACACCACCGAGCATCGGGTCTCCTACCACACCGGCCACTACAGCGGCCACCACAACGTCCACTCTGCCAGCTGCGGGCTCATGCGGTACAGTCACAGCTACTGGGGGCGCCCAAGGCGGCGCAGATCATTCGCACATGAAGCCGGGCGTGCAAGGCTTGTTCATCAGGGTAGCCGGCTAGGTGTTTCTTTGATCTGCGGCCTCTGATGACAAGTAAAAGATGATGGCCCAGCAATTATTGACTATCCGCTATTAGCTACTGTGAGTTACAGTGTGAATCAACAGAGTGACGATGTCGATCATCAGGAATTATATCTCGGTCCCGTTTGTTACGATGATGGCGCTTTCTCAACACATGCCGGCCCCCCGTTTTCATAGCGGTCGAGCTCTCCCCCAGTAGGCGCAGGCTCGACGTGCGTTCTGACGCCGCCTGCTGTCGCCACCCTGAGCGGCCTTCTCGCCGTTTGCTCCTCCCTTCTGCGTATGATGTCCATCTGGATTCGGATCTCTTCGTCACTCTCAGTACCCTTGTGATCATCACCACGATCGCTGTCCGCGTCTTTCTCGTACATGGCACTCTGTGACTCAGGCTGGCCATAATAACGACAATCATTCGGCGGCCTCCAGTGTCCAGTCCTTAACGTCGCCTGCGAACCGCATAAATAACAGAACTCCGTCCCACAGTTACACGTGACGTGGTTGCAGGCTTCTTTCAACTCGATCCTCGTCCGGCATTGGTCGTTTGGACAGTCTTGGTAATCCTTGCCACGAACGAGACCTTTGAAAGCCTCCTCGCGTCCTTGAACCACAGTGTCAGGATCGCAATCGTGCGTCATCTTCGCCTTCCGTCCAGCGGCATCGGAAGTAGAATGGGTCTCTCGGCATCGCAGACAGGTGTACCAATTACACTTTTCGCACTTCCGGAGATACTTGCTCAGCTCCCACTTGCCCAAAAAAGTATTGCACGGTTCCGAATGGCGTGGCCGATCAGTGTGCTGGCAGTAAATGCGCATCGTCTCTGGGACACTCCATTCCTTGGCCTTCTTCTCATATTTCTTCATGTAAAGCGTGTTGACTACCCGACGGTATTGCCATGGATCCAGCTCTGTCCTGCCCCATCTTGGTGGGAAATCAGGCTCCGAGAGCAGGGCACGCTTGAAGACTTCCTCTAAGACCGGTGCGCAGACTTGATCGCCGTTCGCAATGAATCGCTCGGTGTCGTGCTCCTCAAAACATGCGCTGCAGTACCATGTGCTGTCCATGATGTATGCTTAATGAACCGTAGTCGATACGCTGCACTACGGCCTCACCGAGTACGGAAGCTGCTTGCAATGTTCTGGTAGTCCGGTGGCTGTATCATTCGTGGATTTAGCATGGCCATGAAACTGGTTAGCGCTGCTTCCTTTATGACGCCGGTTACTGCTAGCTTGTAAATGCATTTCCAGGTGCTCAAAAGTAGTGATTACGGAACGATACATGTGGTTGCTCATGCTTACCGCACAAACGTGGCGACATCGAAGATAACACCATAGCCTACATGCACTGCGGCCGCTGGAGGAACCGTCAGAGCAGGTTCCGAAGCTTCAATACCGTGCTACCTTCCTCATGATTGCAAACGAGCTCCCGTGATCGTTCTCGGAGTTAGCCATGTCTGCTTGTACGAGACCGGGACAGCTGGACATGTGGAAAGCGCCCGGTACTCAATGGATCCAGCCATCATACAATGGAAGATAGCCGAGATGGAAGTGCCTCAGCACGTCAACAATCTGCACTTGCTCCGTTTACCTGCATGCCTCGCAGCGCCTAACAGTTGATGGGTGGGATGATTAGCTGTATGTCAGGAACGATCGCGGTTCAGTGGAAGATTGGCTCTGCTCACCTTCAGTACTTCCTCGAGTTCATCCTCGTATACAATGACATGACCAGCCTTCGCCGTGCTCAAGTAGCTCATGTCAAACAATTCCCTTCCAACACGACCTTTCATGCCATCAAGGATGCGACTTGCCACGCCACAAACAATGCCTGTGCTTTCGGTGGGCAGGTCTTTGAGATCCAGCGTGATAGCGATCTGATCCGACCCCACGTTACCAAGCAGGACATCTTCGCCATCGTTCGCGAAATGCCTAAGTAAGTGCTTGTCCAGTGTGAGCGACGCAGACTCCGCATCGGTCAAAGTCACGGAAAAGAAGTTCGGAAGCGGCTCGCTTGTCAAGCACCTTACTAGCCCTAGCTCCAGTTTACCCTGGGTGAAATTGGTCTTTTGAGAGCTTGCTGTGCTGTCCTTGACTCCGGCACATGTCACCAATCCAATTGTACGATCAACGGTAGGCTCCACTTTGTTCTTGCTCAAGAGTTTGAAGGTCCGTGCTTGCAGATCCGACAGCGTCGATGGTGGTGGCGTGGCTGGAGACTGCGGGAAGTCAAAATCTGACTGCGACGAGCTACGATTGAGATGTGGTTGCAATAGCGGCGATGCCGGGTTGGTCATATGGCCTGACTCCCCGTCTGCGTCGGCTTCGAAGACAAAGCCACGTTCCTCCAGCGCGCGGATCACTCGCGACCGCATCTTGAAGGGCACAAGGATGTAGTCCGACCAGTAGCTCGTGAAGAAGAATATGGGAATGCCGGCCATGGCAAGCGGAGTAGAAAGGTCGAGCACACGTTGGCCAGCTTCCAAGCCGGCGCCACCAATCACAACAACGGAGAAATCATCTTTGCTGATAGAGACAGCTGACTTCAAATGCGGTGCGAGCGTTTGGCGTACTGGCACGAACAGGGTGTCAGCTTCGGCCCTTGGACAGATGATCGAGCACTCGCTGGGCGTCACGGTGATGTTGACGAAAGGGTGCCAGTATAGCCAGGGTCGAGGAGGCTGAAGGTCGCTGCCGCCGTCTTCCTGATGGCGGACATGGAGCAGAAGATTTAAGATGGCATGCTGGTAGTTCGGTAGCAATTCCAATGGGAACGAGATCAACGCAACATGGGTGTTCTGCGACACATCAGCTACGGTGCGCCGATGCGGGCAGAAAGAGCTCGTACCAGAAAGCCAAGCTGAGAATTGAGTAGAGTTGCAGACTCCGTCATGGACGTGTCCATGCTGCTGGCTTGTAACGCTCAGCGGTTAACCTGCTCGACCGGTAGCGGGTACTCTTCGACGATGACTGCTTGGTGGTTCATGATGGTAACAACGACGAGGTCGGCGTCACACCTGCTACCAGAAGAGCTGAGACGGTTGGGCTGCTGAAGAAGTAGCTTGATATAAGCGGCTATCGTCGCCTTTGTTGTACTCCGTGGGGCAAGAGGGATGAAGACAAGATGACAACCGCTTTAGCCCAGGAAGCCGACCTAATGTCGTGTATCGTGGAGTGAACGACTACGGTCTGCAGGCTGTCTGCACAATGATCCAGGCCTGCTTGAGTACTCCGGTACGCCTGCACACGAGACGTGGGACGGGCAGGAGGAGGACCAGTAATCGCCTCTTAACCCCTCATTTCAGCTGCACATTTGACACACTCTCTGTCTCTGTCCGAGCCGGAGTGACCTGCAGCGTGGGATGCTTGCAGTCTTGCTGCGGCCCGTAGCCGTTATACACTCCACTTTACGGTGAATGATGGTTGTGCTCGTGTGATGCTACGCATAATGTGATAGGAATTTACCGTGGCCGCCAAATGAAACCATTGATTGCGAACACGTTGCGCGAGGACTTGTGACAAGCTATCAGCGCTATCTTCCATCCCGAAAATGGCCGTGTTGTGGAGCCAGCTGGGTGGGTTGAGAGTAGGACATTTCTTGCGAACCTACAGACGGGATCCTTCAATTGCCTGTAGATAGTTGAGCGCTAGCAAATGCGTTCTGGATGCGCCACTGAAGCTCTCTTGCTGGCTTCACCGGCCACTTTCGCACATTCTCTTGCGTTGGAAAAGAGTTGTAGTTGGAATCGCAAGAAGTTCGGTTGACGGACCGCGCGGGCATTCTGCCGGCATTTGTGGGTCGAGCAAGAGCCGGTAGAACAGCAGGTGGTCTTTCAATCAAACCAACCATCTGTTTCAAATCACTGGCGACTATGGCTTACATTGAGCAAGTAGGGTGTCATGTACAGATTGAATAGTCGTTGGAGCTCTTGCGTTGAACCATAAATGGCGCTTAACGCGGGCCTCAGGATGCTCGTTGGATGTTCGCTCATGCGCGATATCCCACACGCATTTACTAGCATATCAGCTTCTGATACGACAATGTTTCCGCGTGCTTCATGCCATGTACCTGCGCAGGAGACGCGTTCCAGCCCAGAACCGATACGGACTGGTCTCCTTGCAAAACGCCAACGCTCAATGCCGTTCCATGATAAGTCGTAAGCGTCCGAATACAGCTTGTGCTCGGACTCCCAACGCCGCCGATACATGACCGCGGATCCTCCACTCCCGTAGAAACATGCGTAATGCAACGGTCATGCTGCATTCTCGTTGATCTAGTCATCGTCGCGCTCGTCGAGCGCTTCGAGGTCGTCGGAATGCCTGATACCATTAGCAATTCCGTCAGGAGGCCGTCCAGGGCTCATACATACCCAAGCAGATTTTTGATGTTCTTCATCTCATAGTGCTTCTTGCGCATCTCCTCGAATTTGCCTGCAGATCGATGGGTACGAGAGTCAGCTGTGTCTCAAACACTCGGGATAGGATGCTATTTAGCTCTGCTTACGATGCTTCTCCAGTTCATCAGTCGTCATGTCTTCCTCATTTTCACCATGATGTCGCCCATCCGGATCCAATCCATCTCCCTCGACCATCACCCTCCGCTCGCCATCACTCTCCCGTCGGACCTTGGGATCGATCTCCATCTCCGGCTCGCCAAGCTCAAGGCCAGGAATCTCATCTACCTTCGACTTGCGTGCTTTCGCCTTCGACTTCTCCATTTCGAGCTCATCGACAGCGAGTTCTTGTGCGTTGATGCTGTTAACCTCCTCCTCGTCCTCGGTAGGATCGTACTCCCGAACATAAGGCGTTTTCGGCTCATCGATCTTCATCTTGCCGCCCATCTGTCCTTCATTTAGATACAGATTCGCCTCATCCCACTTCAACCTCTGACCGTGCTCTCCGTCGGCGGCATCATCGCCCCCACTCTGGCTGCTGTGTCTGCGTGACACACTTCCTCCACGAGGGTTAGAAGAGTTCCTTCTGTGACTGCCGCCAGCGTTCATCTCGGTGTTCATCTGCACGATCTCCTTCTCGGACATCTCCCGGTTTGGCATGCTGGGCCTGCCGCCGCTGGTGGAGTCATAGTGGCTGATGGATGGTGCTCGCTCAGTGGTGGGCGAGATACGAGCTTCCGGAGAGATATGCTGGTAGGACGAGTTGTTGTACGACGAAGAGTTCTTCAAGATGCCTTGTCACACACTCGTTAGCCAGGCGCACAGGCACAAGCGATAGCCGATACAGCAATACCTTTTGGCCTCCTAGACACATCAGGCGAGTGTTGAGCTGCTACCGTTTGTGCCATGCTAACGTCGTCGCCGAGACAAGGTGCTAGAGCGCCTAGACAGAATGTTCCCGATGCTCGTGTCTTTCACGTGGCAGCTATGCAAGACCGTTTACTTCACGGCTGTGGTCGTTGCTGCCCTGCGGAGCTAGTGCAACTGACTCTTATGATGTCGCAGTATGCGGTGTCAATAGTCGGCACCTTGTACGGCTCAACGTTACGAAGCGGACGTATGGGGAATGTGGAGCGCTAATGAAAGTGAATGTTCGTGGGCTGCTGATCGGTTGTTTCGCCGAAAGGAACCGTTTTGGTCGGCGTGCATAACATAGCTTTATGCACAATGCACGATGGCGTAATGCCATGCCCCCGCCTCCTCCGCCATCCACTTTCACGGCTGCACTCCGCAGTATCGCCGTGCCTGGCCTGACCCGATCGTGCGATCTCCCGCCACTTTATCTGCCCGAGCATCTCACGTACTTGCAATGCTGATTGCCGCGCTACCAGCGGCAGAGCGCTATCTTGGGAGGCTTAGCACGACAGTAGGGTTCATCTATTAAATATTCGCTTCGCAATCACAGCTTGAGATGTTCGACGGCAGTACGGCAATATTGTTACAAAACTACTTCATTTCGACATCACATCATTAAGGTCATTTTACGACGGAGCCGGCGGGTAACAGCCATATCTGGCGTCGGTGCTGTCCCATCCGATGCAGTCCCAACACGTCAGGATATTGTTCGGATCCAACTGCTTCTTGATCGACAAAAGCCGATTGTAGTTGTCCGTACCCCAGAAGGTAGTCGCCGGATCAGGCTCGTAGACGTCTGCTTCGTTCTGATACGCGCCGCTGTTTGGCGCAAGATTACGGAGCACCGTTGCAGCGTCGTGGGCTGTCTTGAATGCTGACGCAAACGTTGCTGCATTGGCATTGTTCGGAATACCTGGACCTGCAATCGTGTGCCAGATCGCAGATCGCCAGGCGGGTGTGATGGACGACGGGACGGTGTCGTTGTTGGGGTATGAAGATGGAGCCGTCACCAGGAATTGCAGCGGACCGCCGTAGGCAATGGCACGAAGATCCGGGTTGGTGTTTGTGGCGCCGAGCACGGATACCATCTGTGCAACCTGCTGGAGAGCCGTCGTGACTTTTTGCTGGCCGGCTGTGGTGGTGAACAGATCACGCGGCAGCAGTCGACTCCCAAGCGCGAGACCTAACCCAACCTTCTCCTCGTTCGGCAAGATGTAGGTGTTGTAAGCCTGGTAGAACGACGGGCTCGTGTCAACCTCGTTGTTCAACGGCACGTTGCCAAGGGATGCGACGTAGTCTGTAATCGGCTTCATGCTTGCCACCGCGGCACTGTGGTTCAGTTTTGGGGTCATCAGAATCATGCCGGAGGCGAACACAGATTGGGCTCCAGGAGCGATGTAACCGCCCCAACCTTCTGTCGCCCACTTATCGGCGTTCATCACGCAGAGCGAGATGAACTTGTTGATGCTGTTTATGTCGGCGGAAAGGAAGCGGATATACGCCACTTGTAGAGTGACCTGTTCGAATGTTAGTCGACGTCGGACAGAAGGATTAATCGGCTACTGACCTGGGGATGAGCGGTTGTCGTCATCTCCATGTTTACACCGAACGTGCTACCGCCACCGCCACGAAGGGCGTAGAAGATATCTTGATTCTGGCAGCGGTTTGCGGTCACATACGTCCCATTCGGCAAGACAGCCTTGATTTGCAAGACGTTGTCGACACCAAGCCCAAGTGTGTTCGACAATGCTCCGTGACCGCCACCGGAGATCCAACCACCAGTCGCACCGACAGTGCGACTAGAGCCTCCAACGATGGTGATATTGTTCGCTTCCGCAAAGGCGTAGACGCCAGCGAAGCCTTGGCCAGCACCCATAGTTACACCGTCAATACCAGAGGGTGCTGCGCACCCCTCAGGTTGAAAGTTTTTCTGCATGGTGATGGCAGGCTGTACATTGTACGTCCAGAGTGCCAAGGCATTGGGCGCGGATGAGCGTCCCTTGTAGTCATGTCCAGAGTTCTTGATCACGAGGGGCACGCCGGTAGATTTGACGAACGCAAGCGCAGCTTGTACATCGGAGACCTGCTGGACCCTGATGTAGTAGTTCGGCACTGAGCCCTGGTTGCAGTTATTCGGAGCGACATAGTACGTTGGATCGGATGGAAGGTTGAAGTCGAGGCCGCAATCTTGGCCCTTTGCTTGGCAGACTGTCAAGCATAAAACAGTCAGTACAGTACGTGCCTCGACATAGGTACAAATGCGGTCATACGTACAACCCCAGTTGGTGTTCTGATAGCCCGCATACTGGGTGGCTATGTACATCTCATCGGTGTAGCCACTTTGAACCGCACTGCATTGAGCTAAGTCGGGAATGTTGAGCTTGCCGTTGTATAGACTGTAGCAAGGCTTCGCCAGAGGGTAGCCGACAGCGAGCCTACCGCCAACGGACTGATTGAGCGCTGCCCATTGGCTGGAGGTGATGGAGGAGATGGGAGTCGAAGCTCGTTTTGTCGGCGAAGCATTCACCCCAGCAAAATAGAGGCCTAGGAGCACGCAGAAGGTACGTATAGCAGCCATGTCGACTTGCGAATTTAGATAGAGACCTGAGCAAAGCCGGTATGCCATCGCACATCAACTTATAAAGGAGACACAGGTTTATAACTTACATCGCAGTCATACTGACTTTGCAGCATCGTCAGCGCCCGCTTACCACGCTGCAGCGCTGGTGAGGAGAGGCTTCACAGACACGTTGACGATCATTGCGCCGGTGGTGAAAGATCATCCGGCGTACTGGATACAGTCGCACAAGGAGCCCGCTAAGAACCGTTAAGGTTCGCAACAAGTCGTTGTAGGGTTGCAGTAGGTGCTAGAGTGAAGTTGTGGCGTGTAGATCGTCCCTCGGTTGCCCGCTTGGAGTTTGGTTGGTTGCCCGCATTGAGGAACTGCAGAGTCAAGTGCGAGCCAAGAGCCCGGAAATGCTAACATTCGGTGAATGCGTTGTAGATCCCTCAATGCGTCTCCAGTACTAATGCAGAAGATTGTCGCTCTTCGGTGTACAGGCCGAAATTGTAGTGCCGCTGATGAGGTACAAACCTACTGACAAGCAACATACGACACACACAAGCTACATTCACGATACGCTCCTCAGCCTCAGCCAGGCGTCCACATCCCCAGCAATCCCATCAGGTAGCAGTAAACGACTCATGTATATACCCAAAGTTGCCAGAATTATGGTATCACATCCACGACCTCCTCACCTTCATCTTCATCCCCATCCTCCACCTCCCAAGCCCCCGTAAAGTCCCACCGATCCCCCGGCGCCCTCTTACTAACGTACTTGACAAACTTCAACGTCCCTCTATCCCTCAGCACGACACTCAGCGTGTTCCAGCTGGCCGGGTTGCTGAACAAAATCCCATCATCTTCTTCATCGGTTGCGGCGGACTTGTAGACGGCTGGGTCGGCTTTGTCGCGCTTCGACGAACGAGCCTGGCGGCGTTGTCCAGCGCCCGTGGAGGACTGTATGTTCGTTGGCACCGGGACGCCGTCGTCGTGATCATCGCCGCCTTGACCTTCATCTTCGTCCTCGGCATCGTCGCCGGCCATGTAAACTTCATACCCACCCACGTTATCCTCCTCATTCTCCGCCACACCGCCGTGCTCGGTCACACTAGCTTTACCTTTACCTTTACTACCAGACTCTGCCACACCATTCACATCCGCCTCCGCCTCCGCCTGGGCCTCGGCCTCTGCGCCGCCATCTTCCTCCTCGCCACCCCACCCTTTCCCACTCGTCATGCAAAGTGTAAACTCAAGCTGCGGCTGCTCGCCCTCGTAGCCTTGCGCAAGCTGATAGTCCAACCCGGCCCTGAACCGTCGCGCAAGTATCGAGCAGCGCTTCAGTGTCAGCCCTGTCGCTAGCGAGAGCCATTTACGGAAAGCTAGGCTTGGGAGTAGCTCGTGAAATACCGCTAGGTATGCGTTCTGTTCGCGGTGGCTGGAGCTCAGGGGTTGCACAGGGTTCGGGAGCTGGGAGTACTGGTAGCGATGTTTGTGCGGCGGGCGGGAGATGTTGGCTGAGGAGTCGGATGCATTCCGTCGCGCGAGTTCTTCGCGGAGGGAGTCTGCGAATTTCGCGCCGAGGAAGTTACTGAGTTGCAGGATCGACTCTTCGGCGAACATGTCGTTGAGCTCGTCTACAGTCTCGGGGGTCAAGTAGGTAGGTGTCATGAACCGGAGCAGGAAGTCGAGCTCGGCCTCAGTAAGCTCGCCTTCGTCTTCTTCCGCCTGCTTCTCCTCCCCAGGCAGCGCAAGCGGCTCCTGCCAGTGCATCTGCGGCTCATCAAACTGCTCAGCCTTGCCCTGCAGCTGCTGCAGACTACTCTTCTCCGCCATCCGCTCCTCAAGACCCGCTTCGTACCCTTCCTCGCCTTCTTGCGGAATGTGATACCACCCTGAAATCGCCATCCGGAATCGGCCGTCGTGGACGCTGTCGTCTGAGCAGCGCACCTCGGGATGGTACACTTCCTCCACATCATGAAAACTCTCCCCCGGCTGCACAGCAAAAAAGCTAAGCTGGTTCCAAGCAGGAGGAATGACTTTACTCCACTCCGATCGCGGAACCTTATACATCTTCCCATCCTCACCTTTCATCTTATCGGTAGCGTACAACCGCAACGCACCGCCCCATTCCGCCTGCCAAGGCCGGTCCGGATCAGTCAAGTACAAGATATAGCTGACCCTACGACTCCCAATCACATCATCGTGGCATAGAAGATGGCAGCCAGGGACGTAGAGATTAACGGCCATATCCGTCTTCCGTCCACTCACCGGACCCGCGCCGGAGACGCGGGAGATCCATGTCCGGAAGTCCTGGCTGTATAGCGCATCTCTCAGCTTCAACAGACTGGGCAACTTCTCAAGAGCGGCCGGGTCGAGGCCGTCCAGGTTCGCTAGGTCACCGGATTGGTGGATCTTGTAGATGTCCGTTTCCTTGGGCGTGAAATGAATGTTCTCCACGATCTCACTCCGAACGGAGCGGAGTAGGTCGTCGTTGATGAGGCCGGAGACGACGGCATGTCTGTAGGGTTCGGAAGTTGCGTACGCGGAAGAGTAGCTTTTTACCGTTTCGTCTGAGAAGAGTCCGGAGGCGAAGCGCGGGCGCATATCATTTGCGCCATTGGCTTCGGTGGCCGGCCGCTTGACCTGAGCATGGCCATTGCCATTGAGTTCCTGCAGCGCTTCTGCAGCCTTACGCTTCATGTTACGACTTCTCAAACAAAGTCCGCTTGTTGTTTCATGCTGGCGAATTACAGGGCCAAGCGCGATAAATTTCAAGACAGGACGTCTTTCTAGCCAATCAACGCCAACGCACAACCCTTGTTCGCGACGGGCCTTGAGCCAAGCCGCTGCTGGAGCTCGGGGGCAGCCACTGACGTCTGGGGCAGTAAAGCAGGGTCATATGAGCCAGCAGTGAACTCTGTTTCGCGCGCTTCTGTCAACACGCGCGACAGGCTGAGACAAGACGAAACGGTCAACATTCGGGTCGCGCGAGCGCATTGTCTCGCGCTGTGGAAAAGCAGAACGGAGTGGTCGCACGTGAAGCCAGCTATAAGGTGCGCCTTCGTTCCGATCGGTGCGGTTTTAAGCTGCATCTTCTGCCATTCAACGCAAAGGCGCCCTGTTGCAGCGAAAGAGATTGAGTCTAACTGTTGTCTGGCACACAGTGACTACGACACAGTAATCGGTAGAGAAATCATACCACCCGCACAACACCATACAACCCAGCGGCAGTAACCCACCTCCACCTTCGCCTTCAAGATGGGCATCATGGAGTTCCTTGACGACCACTCCTCCCACGGCGGCGCCATCGGCGGTATGAATCGTTATCTGTCCAGCCTCTCGTGTGATCTCCAAAACACCAAAAGCTGACCCTGCCCAGCCATCATCCGCGCCGTAATCCGCTTCTTCCAATTCATCCTCGCCATCGTCGTCTGCGCCCTCTACGGCGTCGACCTCCAAAACGCGCATCGCGCGCACTCGTACACCGACGGACGGTGGGTCTTTGCCGAAGTCGTCGCGGGTCTGGCCGCGGTGACGACGATTGTGTATGCCGTGCCGTTCGTCAAGAGCTATTGGGCGTTTGGGTGGGATTGGATTCTGTTGTACGTCAACCCTCCTCAATCCACGTAGTATCCGGTGCACTGCTGACGTGGGCGGCGATGCATAGTATCCTCTGGACCGCCCTCTTCGGCCTTTTCGGCAGCCTCTACATCCACTACCACCCCTCGCCCAAACAGTCCGGGCAGATCCGCATGAAGCACGCCGTTTGGGTGGATCTGGTTAATATGCTGTTGTGGTTCATCACAGCTATCTACTCGACGCTCATCTTCTTCCTCTTCCGCAGTGACCGGAGGACGCTGCATACCGGTCGTGCTAAGGTCTAGGGGTCTGAGCGGAGGAGTGCCAAGCTTGCGGCGAAGGGCGAGTATGGGAGGACTGGCTGGCCGGAGGCGGTGGAGGCTCTGAGGTTGGGGCAGACGATGGGGGTGGTTCAAGGGTTGTAATGAGGAAGGGCGGGATATGTGTCTTGGACATTATTGTGAAGGGGTCGTGATGGCTTCTGTTGGGACAATGGCAGTGGAAGATTGGCGATTGCCACCTGGTTCTGCGCGTTGATACCCTTTTGCAGTATCTCTAGCGTAGTGTTGAGAGCGTTCTACGAATGATGACTATGAAAGCCAATGGCTCATGGCTGCACTACTTTATCGAACAACCCATTGATTGTAGAGCTCTTAAGGTATGCGATTGCTCAGGGAAGTCATGGTTGATATCAAGGTACAAGAGTGAAAGAGGAAATGGAAGGCAAATGTAAGACTACCTTATGCTGTTCCTGCATAGATCGTCATCGGTGCCGGAGCTCCCGCCGCCAGCTTCGGCTTACCGAGGGGTCCCACCGCCGAGAGCTGACTGTGAGGCTTGAGTCTGGGCACATGCTGAGATAACAACAGCCTTGCGGTGATGGTGGAATTGGAACTGTGGCCGGGACTGTTACCTCGACATGAGAGACATACAGCTTGATATAGAAGAGGCATGAGTGTCACGGTACCAACGCCAGCCCACTACTCTTAAACCCGCCATGCCCTCCCACCCACGCTCGTTCTCCCAACAGCAAGCATGTTCTTGTCCAACCTTGTCCAGAAGGCGCAACAACTCATTGATCCCGCGACACTCCCCGGACCACTCGCCAACCTAACCACTCCCTCCTCCCGCCCCTCCAAAGCGCAACTCTTCCGTCACCAGTTCCGACTCCCCGACACGCAGAACCCACTCTACGAAATCACCGCCGAGCTCACCCTCCCCGAATCAAAGTCGCCCCGACGCTTCCACACCTCCCAAGGCCAAACGAAAAGCTGGGATAAGTCGAACTGGGATCGCGGACCAGGTATCCACTACGTGGGCCAGCTGCACCTGAGCGAGCAGTTTCTCTGCTTCAGTACTGTTCACTCTTCCTTCGTCTCTACGGCCTCCACCTCGGCATCAAGCGCCTACACGGGAAGGACGAATGGCACGGGACCGGCGGGGAATGGCTTCACACTACCGCTCTGCGCCGTGAGGAGGGTGGAGAGACTGCATACGCCCAGCCATGAGTTCGCGCTGAGTATCACGACGTGGAATGGGTATGAGCCGAGGTCGGATAGTAAACCGGATGCTTCTCCTGCACCACCGAAACTGATCGTGCAGTTGGAGGGCTCACGACAGCAGTGTGATCGCTTCTGCGATGGGCTGAAGAAGGGTCTCCGGCAGGGTATACGAGAGGTGGAGGGCATGCGCACGGTGACCGCAGATTGCTATAGCGAGTACTTCCTCGCTACGGACTTTGATCGGCCGGCGGCGGATAGTACGATTGTGGAGAAGCGGCCGGAGACGAATGGGAAGGAGAAGGAGAAAGAACCGCCTGATACAGGGTTGGGCAGCATATTCCGGTATCCGGGTAACAGTAGGAAGCTGCGGGATCGCAGTAAGATGCGGTTATGGCATGAGTATCTGCGGGAGAATGGACGGAATTGCACGCTGGTGCGACAACCCGACTTTCATCGGCTGGTTCGAGTCGGACTGCCGAACTTGTTGCGCGGCGAGATGTGGGAGTTGACATCGGGGGGTTTCTACTTACGTCTGCAGAAGCCGAAGCAGTATCAGGAGACACTTGCCAAATTCGAGGGCGAAGGCAGTCTAGCGATCGACGAGATTGAGAAAGACCTCAATCGCAGTCTGCCGGAGTATGCTGGATTTCAGTCAGAGGAGGGTATTGGCCGCCTACGCAGAGTCCTGACCGCCTACTCCTGGACCAACCCGGAAGTCGGCTACTGCCAAGCGATGAACATCGTCGTCGCGGCCTTACTCATCTACGTCTCCGAGAAGCAGGCCTTCTATCTCCTCTCCACCCTCTGCGACCGCCTGTTACCGGGCTACTATAGCCAAACCATGTACGGCACCCTGCTGGATCAACGCGTCTTCGAAAGCCTGGTAGAAAAGACGATGCCCATCATCTGGGACCACTTGCAGAAGAACGACGTCCAGCTCTCCGTCGTCAGTCTGCCTTGGTTCCTCAGCTTGTACATCAACAGTATGCCCCTCATCTTTGCGTTCCGGGTGTTAGACGTGTTCTTCCTCGAAGGTCCGAAAGTGCTATTTCAAGTCGGCCTCGCCATCCTCCGCGTAAACGGCGAAGAACTCCTCGACGCCACAGACGACGGGACATTCATCTCAGTCCTGAAATCGTACTTTGCCCGTCTAGGCGAGTCCGCACACCCTAAATCCGAGAACCCGAAACACAGAGCCATCACCAACTTCCAAGCGCTCATGGTCGTGGCGTTCAAGGAGTTCGACGGCATCACGCAACATACCATCTCGGAACAACGGTCCAAGCATAAAGCGGCGGTGATGGAGAACATCGAGTCCTTTGCCAAGCGAACCTCCATCCGCAACCTCGGCCCGGAGAGCAAGAAATTAAGCCAGAATGATCTAGGATTCTTATACGACCGCTTCTACGCTGTGCTGTACGAACGTTCGCAGCGAGCGCAAATATTACAAGTGGAGGCGGAGCGGAAAGCGAAGGCTTCACGCGCGGCACGAGGGCCGGACGAGATCGTCGCCGCGGCGCCGGAAATGGGTCGCGTGGCGCTGGGCGGAGCGGCGAACGGTACAGCGATGGAGTATGACGCTTTTCGGGAATTCCTCGCGGGGGTCGCCAAGTGGGCTGTGACGGATAGCCCGAGTAGTCCTGTCCGCGGTGGTGACGAAGCTGAAAAGCAAAGGGGAAATGGAGGGTACTTTGGCTCGGTGAGGAGTCGTAGCCTACCGAGTACCATCAATCCGTGGGGCAGTGGCCCGGAGCCGGCGGACCACGATTTCATGCAACGGTTGTTTGCCAAGTGGGATTCTGATCACATGGGGGCGCTGACGCTGCAGAATGTCGTTTACGGATTTGCGGCGGTGAAGGGCAATCGGGATATTATGAGTTCTATCAGCTACTTCTTCTCGCTTTACTCGGACTCGGATGGGGATGGCGGGAAGGTGGATCGGGAGGGGATTCTGCGGATCTCGGAGGCGCTGTTGTTTCTGAGTCGGAGGGGTGTACCTGGTGGGCCACCGCCGAGTCCGGTTGTGAATGGGGAGGGGGAGGCGAAGGTGCAGAGTAAAGACGAGCAGTTCTTAGGAGCGGTCTCGGCGTTTATAAGACGGTGTTTCGAGTATGCTGATCCGGACCATGCAGCTAATCAGGCGGCGAGTGGCGTTTCGCTGCTGGACGTCAGTGACGACAATGACGGCGACGACGACGCTAGCTCAAAGCCGGCCAGCGAGGACTCCATACTAGCAAGGCCGTCAACGAACACCTTCGGCCAAACATCCGCATCCCGCCACGTCTCCGCCAACGCCGCCCTCGACCCCGGCAGCCCCGTCCACATCACCCTCCCCACTTTCCGCATGCTCGTGCTCGCCGACGAAACGCTCGAGGCTTTCTTCGACAGCGGGTTCGCGAATAGCTTTAACCTCGTTGACGCGCCGGTGCCGTCGTCTACTATTACTTCGTCCTCGCCCTTCTTGGGCGGGAACGCTTTCTCAGGCGGAGGGTTCAGTGGATCGTCCGGTGTGAGTGCTGCGCAGCCGGCTATCTCCCCCGGTGGAGCGGGAGCGGGCGTCGTGGGACCCGGGAAGGGGTTGAGAGGGATGCTCGATAACATTGTCACGGACGGGATGAGAGTTGCCGCCGAGGTGCGGAGACGCATGGACGAGGCGCAGAAGGAATTGGATCGAGGTGGTGGTGGTGGGGTTGGTGGGGAGGAAGATGAAGGCGAAGAGCATGCTGGTGATTTGCTCGAGGGTGCCGAGGCGATGGAGTCGCGGAGTGCTAAGTCCGTTGAGGGCGTCATTGAGCCAGTGGCGGGCAGTGCGAGTGCAAGTGTGTTGGAGGAGGCGAGGGATGGGAAGGGGAGTACCATGTTTGAGCGATAGCGTGGGATTTGGCGTTGCCTGGCGCTGGGATTGTACAAAGGTGCCTGCCCTGGCTGCGTTCAGGGTCTTTGTCGGACTTGAAGGCGGGTCGGTACCTTATGACGGTGTTCTCGCTGTGTAACGAAGTCATCGGCGTCTGACGATGTGGTCATACGATGCAATCATGTCTCGCAGCGTCCATGCCAAAGCCACAACACGCGTTATCGCCAGACCCCAAGCCGCGCTCCGGGGTCAGTGTTAGGTCGTGTTACAAAGCGTCTCACAATCCATGTCCACGCAGTCAAGGAAACTTGTATTTGCTCGAACTGGATGCTGGAGCCAATGCATGGCCAAACGGCTGATACTGTTCCAATTTGGCGCTGCTTTCGACGACCCGACCTTCGGGAATATAACTCCAGTAGACCGTGACAGGCCAGTGAAATACGTAGAGTACACTCGGTCAAAGTACAGTATAAGTCTATACGGTAGTGTGTCTCTTCAGTCGTCTCGCATTACCCCATCTACACCGTGTCCGGCATTCCTGACATACATGAACGCCATGAAGACAGTGGGTGCTGTGCATACCCCATCCACCTGCGCCGTTGCTCAATGGAAAAGGAAGGCTAGAATGGAACTCGGCTCACGACCTCCCACAAGCATCGGTCAGCCCAGGCAACGCCATGAACAGCGGTTCCCGCTCAGGCATATCGCTAATATCAGCAAACATGATACCCTCAGCCGGTCGTGTGAAGGCTGTCACTTCTTCCCCTACTAAGCGTAAGAGGACGAGATTGCACCGGATGTGCTCTCAGCGGATGGTCACCCTGCGGCGGGTTGAAATGCTCCCGCCGCTTGGCCTCGATCCCAGTCTCGCTGCCGCGTCGGCCGTCTGGCACATCGTTGCTCGCGTTATGAGCGCGTGTCCATTCGATGAGACGGCGCCAGAACGTCTCGGCGTCTGTCTCGCCGTCGTCGAACCCGTTTGGAGGACACGGGGGCTCCCATCTTTCGGACAAAGAGCTCTCCTAAAACACTGTGCCGTCGGAGAGGATCATGATCGGTGGCTCTTTCGTATTGGGCCGCGAGACTTCGGCGATTTCACGGCCGCCCTTCCAAATAAGTCAGTGAGATCAGACGCATTGCACGACGGGCATGTTACTCACCTTCCACGTGCCCGCTTCCAGCACCTGCGCTAAGCTCAGCTTGTTGTCCCCATGGAGGCCCAGTAGCATGTTGACTTCGTCCAACAGCATGTCGAGGAAGCCAACAGTCAGTGCCCGCCACTCCACTATCACGTCGTCGTCGGCCGTGAACAGTGGTACAACCTCTACATTCGGCTGACCTTGCCTCGTCGCATTCATCTGATACTGCTCCAACCCTCGCTTGGCGTCCTCAGGCTTAAGCGTGAGCAACCCTGTGTCGATCAGGAGACCACCGTTTCGGTACTCCGGCAAGCCTGTCATCAGCTCCTTGCCGACGAAGTGCACGTTCGCAAGCTTCTCCATGGGCACCATAAGCGAGTAGGTAAGCCACTGCGTCAGCTTGTGGAACGGCACAATGCTCTCCCAGGGGTGCGTAGGGTGTGAGGGCATCGAGGCACACGGCCAGGCATCTCCCAGCGGTACGCCGTCGATCTGAGTGCGCGTGCTGGGCCAGATGTTGGACAAGCCGTCCATGAGTGTGGTCCACAGCGTCGGCAGCGGGATAATGGGCACCGCTGACACTACGGTTGAGGGGTGCGAGAGCAGGTAGTCGAGCATGTTGCCTGGCCTGGCTTCAGTGCCGAAGATCTGCTGGTTGCGGAGTGCATCGCCGAGCCGTATTAACAAGCGTGTGCGGCCTTCCAGTCCGTCGATAGGATTGTCCTCCGAGACTTGGAGACCCTTCGCCATTTTGTCCACTGTGAGTCGCTTCAGCGCCACACTGTCTACCTCGTACGGCTGGTTGGCATTGCTTGAGAAGAGACCCGTCTTAAACATCTCTAAGCTTGCTACGGCAAGACCTTCGCTTCGCTTGAGCATCTTGCCGCTCTCTTTAGACTTATACTGCCACTTGGTACCGGCGCCCGCATCCAGTAAGACCGACACTACAAAGAGATCAATCAATCTCCGTGTCCGCTCCTGGGCGTCTACCGAGCTCGGCCAGCTCTGCATGAGCTGATCTACACGTGGTCGCCCACCGACTTCGAAGTGCTGCCACCGACCATGCGGAGGGATACTGCTGTAGTCCGGAGCGTAGTCGCGCTGCACACTTCCATCAGCGGTATCTTTGTGCTTTTGAAGCTCCGATTACGCACCTTGATGATGGACACTACATATCCTGCCGTATCCGCGAACTTGGACATGTCCACGGTGAAGTGCCGCAGTTGGTTCCTCTTCGCCTTCTCCAGCACCAACTTGGTCCGCTCTCGCACCGCATATATGCTGCGTAGATACCCGGCCGGGTCCAGGTTCGGATCTGGCGCTTTGGGCAGTGGGACAGTGGGTAGACTTGCATTCTGCGCTGGGTCGCTGTGCGTTCGCTGCATTGCGAATGGAAGTCTGACGTCGCCGTTGCTGTTGCTGGTATGACTGCTGTTGCCTTGCTGCTTACTCTGCTTACGTGAGAAGAGGCCCATCTTCGTTGCACGACGGCTTTTCGCAGTTAGTCTCGGCTGCGCGCAGAATGTGTGGTTGAGATGACAGGAACAGGTATGCGGGGCGCTGATCGTCCTAGGTTGCTTGTGAATGCATGTGTTTTACTTCACTCATTGCGGCCGACTTGACAATTTCCTTCAGTGATGCCAGCGAGACAACACAGTGCATAGGGATGTGGCAGAAGTGCGAGAGCAAGTGGACTCTCGTCGCAAACGACACCGGTTCAATGGTGCAGAAACTGGGGTCGCGAACGTTGCGGGCAATGCAATTGACGGACCCGCCAAACCTAGATGGCGTTTGCCTCTCAGGGGCAGGCCGCCCGCGGGCTGTTGCTGTTACTCCGTCCGGAAAGGTGGAGGTTGAATGCAGGTACGATCCTTGTCGGGTGGTCGCCTTCTCGAGGCACGAACCGAAGCACAACCTTGGATGTCGGGCAAGCGCTCATAGGCTCGCCGTCGCTCACACTAGGTAACTTACAGCACCCTAACGCGATAGTGAAGACTCCACGCCCACGACCTCAGGTGGACCAACGAACAAGAGCCCTTATATAATCCTCGAGCCAGCTCCCACGTGCGTAGCGTTAACCGTACATGCAGCGGCCATACCTGTTGACCTAACCTTCCGTGGAGAAGTGGCGTGGTCTTCAACGCGGCAGAACTATCGAACAGACCGCTCCTGCAGCTGCATCTTGCGTTCATCTTGCATTCATCTATAGCCTGATGTGGGCCGAGCCTGACGCGGCGTGGCATGACATCGGCCGAATGTCTCCGGCCGAAGCGAGGTGAAGGGGCAACAATCGTACTTCCGCCTCCTCCTAACGACAGTGACATCGTTACTTTTCGACGTGTCCCCGGGATAAGCGGTCACTAACTGGGTGTCTGATGCCGCACCGCTGCCAAGGACCGGACACTCTACTCAAGTGACAGGATTGGTGGAACCTTTGAAGAAGGCGGTCACGCTCAAAGGTCACTGACTTGGCGTGTTGAGGTAGATTCTGTTAGTGGGTTTTGCCGACGAGACTAGAACAACCACGCAGATGGCGGCCCGGAACGTCGGCTCTGGACCCAGCTGCATCTGTGCAGAGATAGGACGCTGGCGAGCACGGTGCCTTGGCGATTTAGCCATCTTAGACTACAATTGACCGTGGCGCCGCGGTAACAGAGTTCATCTCAGCCTTGGGCATCTCCACTGTTGACAAGTGCCGTGAGGTGTTCTGGAAACTGCGCTCAATCCCGGGACTTGGAAGCCTGCTACTCAAGTCTATGCAAGAGACTCCTCACAAAGAGGAATCAAAGCTAAAGTATCACAGTGAGTATAACGATGTGTACCTTGTAAACGAATTATCGCCATCAACGAGGCCGGTCTACACAGGCAGCGTGGTCAACAGAGCACACGTTGCATCTCTATCCGATATACTACACACGAGAACATCTGCTCCCCGTGGCGAGGTTAGTGTTCGAGCTCGTGCCGAGACCTACCGCTCACATGCCGGCCCATCGACCAGCTCAGGATCGCGGTCACTGACAGTCATGCTTTGCTCAAGAGTTCGTAATATATCCACCTAAAGTAAAGCCAAGCCCACCGCAGCCACTGTGCTCAATCCCACAACCGCCCATCCCGTCTGGTTAACCTGCTTATTCGAGATCATGCTCGCCATATCCCACATCAAATGCCTGACGCCATTGAAGCTATGGTATGTGAAGAACCAGGCAACGATCGCCTTCAAAGGGAACTTCACCACTAGGGGCCACTTGGCGAAGGCCGCGGCCAGGACCGCAGTCTCGAGGTGCCAGCCCAGGTATGGCGCAACGAGGTATAATGCTCCAAACATGTAGAATCCGCCGCTAAGGATGGAACCGGTGATGCGGTTCAGGATCGAGCCGTACCATGTGATTTGTGGGCGGTAGATGCTGAGATGGGGAGATACAGGGCGGCTTAGGCGCTGTTTGGCGAGGATCTCGTCGGTCGCTTGGGCTTCGGAGAGGTTGGCGGTCGCTGCAAGCCTGTGATGAATGATCTGTCAGCTTGCACAGTTTTGGCAAGTAGATACGGGATGGCACACCGTCTCTGCGAGACAAGGGCATTGCTGGAGGTAACCGCTGCCGGCACGATGTATCGGTATGCTGGTCGCTGGACGGCTACTGTTCGGCTATTAGCCTCTCGTGGCTCTCCATCTCCGTGTTCAAGTACGTACGTCGCCGTAGCGCTTGCTGGGCAGCTCTTTGTGACAGCATCCTGAATCTTCTGACGTGAATAATCGTGCAGCTTTGGAGTCGCAATGGCAGTCTCGTGATGGTGGGTGTGTGATGCACTGGCGATGGCGGAAGACCTCGGGAGAAACGGCTCGCTTAATCTGCCAATCAGCGCGTGGAAAAGTCAAATCACCTCTGCCTTTCGGGCTTCTTTCTCTACGACCTTCCTCTTTCAACAAGAAATCTCAAAGGCCGTCTGGACATTTGGCTGAAGGCGCGGTCGGCATTCGGGTTGCAGCGTCATGCTGTAACGAAGAATGTCGTAGGATTTCAAGACCAAAGAAACCCGTAGTTAATCGCGCATCATGCTGGACGAATGGTTAGGTGCGTTTCATATCAGGGCTACATACTTCGTAGGCATCAGCTTTATCTCTGCGCTTTCTTATAAGGGATAAAGCTTGCGGCTGAAAGCTGTCCTTTTTCCCCCATTGTCTGGAGAGCTGAATGAGCGCCCGAGACAGCAGGGAAGACTGTCAAGCGCCATCGTACGCCTTCCGCACGATAGCACTCGTGGACCTTCTATTTTGCCATTGATCGTTCGTGGAACTTTTACTGGTGCCATAATCATTAGAGGAACTCCCAGGCGGGATAAATCTGGTGTACTTTAACACAAACATTCCGAGGATGAAGGTTCGCACAGCCAATCTGTCAGAGTCGCGTGACGTAGCATTATGCCTGATGCAAGCTTTCAGAGATAATATTCTGCAACAGGCGCAGTATCCTGGCATGCACACATCCGAGGAGTATGTCCAACTACGTACTGAGAGACTCCGCAAGGATGGCACGGGTCCGGGCAAGCACTGGCATGTTGCTGTGGACGAGACAAATGGCAACATCGCCGGATTCGCGGCCTGGAACGCTCCTGGAGATTGGCAAGGGCACAAAGATGTGCATGTCGATGCAGTAGATCCAGATGTGAACCCAGCGTTATGCGACGAGCAGTTGAATACAGTGGTCAGGCAAGGACTCACCGAGATGCGACGTAATATCATGGGTGACAGGAGCGACTATTGGTGTTCGCTCTGACTGTACCGCTGCCTTTAAGCTAGGCTGACATGACACCAGATCTCGCAACGCTAGGAGTACACCCGGACTATCAAGGCAGGGGTGTTGCTAAGATGCTTCTACAACACGGGCTCAGGATGGCCGACGAAGAACACAAGGATGTATACCTAGCATCCTCCCCAGCAGCATTCCCACTGTATCAGAAGTTGGATTTCAGAGAGCTTGGCAGGCTACCGCTGCTCGGAGGTCGCTATGTCTTGACGGGTATGTTGCGGTACGCGCGGTTGAAGAACGATCCGCCATCGCAACCAAGCATGCCACGGATCAATATCCGCCAAGCTCAACCGTCTGAAACGACCGACATGGCTATGTGTATGCTGGAAGTTGCTCGACACGATCTCCTACAGCAAGCACGATACCCAGGAATGTTTTCAAGCGGCATTCAGCTCGACCGGTACACTGAACTGCGCACGAAACGTTTTCGTGAGGCTTCCACGCGTCCCGGCAATCACTGGTACGTGGCTGTCGATGACGAGACCGATGGTATCGTTGGTATCGCAGGCTGGGAGGCACCCAAATGTGAAGTCCTACCATCTGCACAGGACGATTCGCAGCTGCAGGCGGAAGCTGTCGACCCGGCTTTATCCGACGAGCGACTTAACGCAGAGATCAGGGAGCGAACAAGCGAGATGGAGGAGAAGATTATAGATACAAGGGACGATTTGTGGGGTACGTGTGCGCAAGTTCATTTGGAAATGTTTTATCCGCTGACGCGCTTCCAGTGCTGGCCGCATTGGTCGTTCTTCCGGGGTATCAACGCAAGGGTATCGGCCAGATGCTATTGCAACCTGGCTTAGAAAGAGCCGACAGTGAGCAGCGAGGCGTCTTTGTGGTATCTTCGCCGGCGGGGCGCTCCCTGTACGGTAGATCCGGTTTCGTACCCCATGGGGCGATTGGGCTGTTAGAAGGTCGCTACGTGCTGACAGGGATGCTAAGAGAGGCGCCTAAGAGCTTCACAAGGTCTTCAGATTGTGCTTGAAGACTCTTACGCGACTAGGAGACTTAGCGAGGCTATACGTTCGTTCAGGAAGCTATTCGACTTTCGATAAGCCCTGAAGTTGTACAGAACGGCGAAGGCGAGGCCTTTTGCTAAGGTACTTGATGGACGCAATGATTGTGCGTATATCTGTCGTTGCGCAAGCACTTTTCGCCTCGCCCCACAATTCGGTCTCGATTTACATTGTGCACTCCAGCCACTAGCCGCGAGCGTTCGTCCGCCGCGGCTCGGACGTCTCAAATCTATCCTGGCCGCTGGTGCACCTCCACAATGTCGAGTGACATGCCTTGTGTAAGATCGTCTTCCGTTGGCAGGCGATGAATTCGCCACATAGGCCACTACGGCATGGACGTCGATTCACCCCAGCCCATTCTCAAGAGCTATCAGCTGCGTTCCTGGCTGGTATCGCGTCGGCTTGACAAATCCACGCGCTGTTGTTAGGTTATGCTCTTTCTGGTGATGCACTTCAGCCTAGCCTTGCCGCTTCGCCCTCATCTTCCCAAACAGTCACACCTTCTGCCTGCTTGAGTCGTTCGTCCTTCAACATTCTCGAGTCGACTCTAACATCCTCCCCTTCCACCTCCAGGCGGGCTTTGGGTTCCTTGGCCTCTAGCAAGAAATGATTATCGCAGTGAGGACAATACTACGGTCGAAGTTAGCATGATCCTACTTGCTCCGGAAGAGATTGCATACCTCATCGCTCTCCTCAAACTCCTGCATATCCTTACGGAAGCACTTCTTGCACTTCTTGCACGCAAATGTCATCTCAAGCGCCTGCTTAAGTGGGTGTGACTGGTTGTCGGCATGGCATTGCGCGCAGTCGTACCATTGGCGGCAGCAGGGCGAGCGGATGGCCACCTGCGCGTTGAGTACGTGTTTGCACATGTTTGCGCGTATACGTGACTCTGCCAACGACAGCAGCTCCCAGACTCTCCACCGCGTCTGTCCCACCTTTCACGTGTCAACCCGAGGTGTTTCAAGAAAAGCAGGGCTCAACGGGCCGAGAAGCCACGCCGGCCATGTGGCGTCCGCAGACCGGGGTGCATGGTTTCAGGCTTGGAGAGCTGTATGCGATCTGCATTGGGTATAACAGCAGTCAATAGAGCGACGCGGACGCGGCGCGGACGTTTCCAGACATCATGGCGGAAAGGCGACTTCAGCGCGTCTTCCGTCGGCAGTAGCCTGCCTGCAGCGCAGCCTATATCGCTGCTTATACCGACCCTACCGCGGTCCAGTCGGCGCCCTGGTTGGTTTGAAGTCGGTCGATGGCAGCAGTATACATCGTGGAAGAGTGCCAATGCTCCAGTGCATGATCGACTCCGGAGGCAGTAAGAATGGACGATAGCACCAACACCGATTCAGTCAAGTCTGTCTCGTCACTGCGCTCAAGATTCGAGAACATCAATAAGGACAACGCGTCAACACCGCCAGTGGAGCGCCGTAAGGTGTCGCTGACAAGCGGCCATCATGATGGCGAACGGCCAAGGACGTCTTCCGGCGATGTGGCTACGATCGCGCAGGGCGATGCTCAACCAGAGTCAACCCAAGCTGGTCCGGCACCTCGGAAGCGCAAACCCGGTCCCCTGCAAGCCAGGCCGCTTTCTATGTGGGATGTAACGCCATCGCAGAAGTCGCCGTCGATGCTTTTGGACGCGAAGCCGCGGCCTCATGCACGTAATGCGTCCATAGATGATAGGCTGAGCGTGCCGAAGCCGGCGTCCAAGCCTAGGACCCGTCCTTCTTCACCCTTTGAGGATGATGTCCAGGATGCTAACGAACTGCCTGAATCAATCGTAACGACAGATGTGCCCTCTGTAGCACGGGAAGACGGACCGCCAAAGCTTGATTTAGCCAGCAAACCCAAGTTCACAGCTCTAGGACCTTCACAGCCGGCAATAAAGGCGCCACCACCTGTCAATCGCACAGCAAAGCCTCGTGTGCCGAGCAAGCCTGAAGCTCTCTTGCAGAGTCAGCATGCTAACAGCCTAGATGCACCTGATACGGTCAATAGAGGGCGATTCGGCCACGCAGTCTCGCCGTTCGGTACACCTCCCGGCAGCGGCGCTACTTCGCCTGAGCTGAAGGACGAAGCACCAGTGCAGCGTGAACGAAGCTTTTCTGAAGCTTCGTTCGTGGAGCGTCTTCGCAGCGACTCTGGCGCATCTTCGGCAGCCTACAGAAGTCGTGGGGACTCCGACCTATCCTTCCGAAATAGAAATCGAGCCGGGTCGTCTGCATCTATCGTTGAGCCGTCTTCGCTCCCCAGTGAAGCTATCCAACCGCCGCCTCTGCACCATCATGTGGCTGCGAGGCGTCAACAACAGGTCAATGACACTTCAACAACGCCAGCTTTGCCTGCTCGCTACAGACATGCACGTCAGCATAGTGCAGCCGCTGATCTCAATGGGGAGCGCCCGAGACTACCCGCGAGACCTGAGCTTCAGGTACGGCCTGGTCGTACGAGTCCGGTGAAACCAAAGTCGGGCAGGACTAGCCCATCGAAGCTTTCACAACAGCTGTCCGCTTCTCACTCAACAGACGACTTGCCCAAACCTGGTATGCGCAAGGCTGCCACGGTCGCCGAGCAGCCCACACCACACCAGCGTATCCCTGCGGCGAGGCCCGGTCGAAGTTCGGCTCTCGACCAAGGCTTCGACCGTACCGTTTCTAGCCCAAGCTTGAAACTCGCTCCCTCTGTTCCGGCTCCGCGACGATCAGCAGATATGCGCCGTCCGCAGTTACCTGTCGAAGCTCAGGTGAACGGCCACTCACGCCATGATGAGGAAGAGGCTCAGCCAAGCGAGGCAGAAGCTGGTCATCCTGGCGCCTCCGACTTTCCCGACTCGTCCGAATCGAACCGCAGAGCGCCACGGTACAAGCAACGACCCTGGCAGATACCCACAGAATACGATACCAGACTTTGCGCTGTGTGTGGCGACTTTGTAGTTACCAGCGGATACATCACTAAGGCATGGAGCTTGCGGACTGGCGAGCAACTGCTCAACATGGTGCATCACGAGAACGTCAAGGTCACCGCTATGGCGTTCAAACCTGCAGTCCATCTGGACGACGAAGGCAAGCGCGTCTGGCTCGGCACTAATATTGGCGAGATCTACGAAGTCGACATACCCAGCCAGAGCCTGGTGAGAACGAAAGTCGGTGCGCATACAAGACGGGAGATCACACGTATCTTTCGGTATGCGTCACAGATGTGGACGCTGGACGACGGCGGCGATTTCAATGTCTGGCACAGTGATCAAAAAGGCTTGCCCAGCCTCGATACGCAGCCAACCAGTTTCCGCGTGCCACGAGGTCACTCCTTTGCAATGGCTGTCGGCAGTCACTTGTGGCTAGCAAACGGCAAAGACATTAGGGTGTTCAAGCCCGGCGCAACGTCGGAAGCAGACTTTCATGTTCTGCGGAACGCACTGTCACAGCCCGGCACTGGCGATGTGACATCCGGCACAATGCTGAGCAGCAAATCTGATTCAGTCTACCTGGGTCATGCGGATGGCAAGGTCAGCGTGTACAACCAAAAGGACTACTCCTGTCTAGGTGTAGTAAGCGTCAGCCTCTACAAGATCAGCTCGCTCGCTGGTGTCGGTGAGTATCTGTGGGCTGGCTACAACACCGGCATGGTGTATGTCTATGACACCTCAAGCACTCCTTGGCGAACAAGGAAAGACTGGCAAGCGCACGAGAAGGCAGTCTGCAGCATTAACGCGGATGCGACCGCTTTGTGGAAGTCGGACCGCTTGCAAGTCATTACGCTAGGCACGGACAATCTGATTAGGCTCTGGGATGGCTTGCTTGAGGAGGATTGGCTCGTAAGCCGCATGCAGTCATGCGATGCGCAATATTGCTCCTTCCGTGAGCTTACGGCAGCAGTGATGACCTGGAACGCTGGCGCTTCGAAGCCGAACTACCTCCAGCATAACGAGCAGGACAACATCTTCCTGAAGGACTTCATGACTTCACGTTCGTCACCCGATGTCTTTGTCTTCAGCTTCCAGGAGCTGGTTGATCTGGATGATAAGAAGCTTACCGCCAAAGCTTTTTTCAAAGGTAAGAAGAAGGACGTAAATGAACAGGAGCACATGAGCCATCAGTACCGGGCGTGGCGAGACCACCTCACGAGGTGCATCGAAGACTTCATGCCGACTGATCAACCCTATACCTTGCTGCATACCGCTACCCTGGTCGGCCTCTTCACTTGCGTCTTCGTCAAAACCTCGGAGCGCAGCCGCATCAGACATGTGCATACCGCCGAGGTCAAACGTGGCCTGGGAGGCTTGCACGGCAACAAAGGTGCAATCGTCGTGCGCATGGTACTCGACGACAGCAGCATCTGCCTGATCAACTGTCATCTGGCGGCGGGTCAAACGCAGACGATCAACCGCAACAACGACATAGCCGCTATCCTTGAGGCCACCGTTCTGCCTTCGTATCCGCTCAGCGAGGCGAAGGGAGCGCAGCATAACGATGTCTTTGCCTCTGGCGGTGACGGGAGCATGATCCTCGATCACGAAATCTGCATCCTCAATGGAGATCTGAACTACCGCATCGATACCATGGGGCGTGATACCGTCATCAAGCACATCCAAAGCAACAACCTGCCGAAACTCCTGGAAAGGGATCAACTCCTGCTATCCCGCAAGAAGAATCCTGGCTTCCGTCTGCGAGCGTTTCAAGAAAGCCCCATCACGTTTGCGCCTACGTACAAGTACAACCTGCATTCCGACGACTACGACACGTCCGAGAAACGACGTGCGCCAGCTTGGTGCGACCGGATACTGTATCGCGGCCTTGGCAAGGTAAAGATGGAAGAGTACAGGAGGTGGGATGTCAAGATAAGCGATCACCGGCCTGTCAGCGGGAGACTTCGACTGAGGGTGAAAACGGTGGACGATGGAAGACGGGATGAGGTGGCGGAGGCCGTTCGAAAAGAGTTCGAGCAGGTGCGACGGAGGGTGAGCAAAGCTGTGCAGACGGAGTACTTTGTCAATGTGCTTGGTATGAGCCTGCAGGAGGCGAAGAGCATGATGAGATAGGCAGATCTACCGTAACCAACAAACTGTACCTGGCGCTCCGGTTATTACTGCGCCTCGGTTGTCAGTCTTTGTTAAGCCATCGACTTTTGATAGACCGTCGCGCTGGAGGAGATACACTTTCTAGCGCGATCTGAGTTGCAATGGCATCTGGGGAAAGGGTCCAAGCTTGCTGAATGTACGTCACCAACGGGTCACTGAATGAAGGCACGCGATCATAGAAAGAAAGTACGCTTGTCATCACTTGGACGTGCATATTTCCCAATTTTTCACTGCCTCCTCATTCAAACCCCATCACACATGTCTTGCAGGGTCTCAGTTCTTGCAAGCTCACATCTCCCAAGACTCGCAACACGTACCACCTCCAAGGGAGCATTTCTCTCTTCACGCATCGGCCCAAACACATTCGGCAGGCCTCAGCGAGCTTTCTGTTTAACTCGCAAGATGGACGAAGCAGAGGCAAAGGGCAAGGCGTCGATGCCGGAGCAGGACCACTGGAAGTTCCGTCCTCCGTACAAGATCCACAAGGACAATGAGTCGTTCAACACCCGGTACGAGGCGAGCTGCCATTGCGGTAGGGTGAAGTACCAGCTCAGCAGAGAGGAGCCGCTCGACAGCAAGTTGTGCCACTGCACCACGTGCCAGACTCAGCATGGTAAGCTGACCGTCTCGTATCCCATAACTTTGCAAATCTTATACTGACTCCTCTTCTTTAGCCGCTCCATTCCAATGGGCCGCCATTTTCCACAAGGATGACATCAACTTTACGCACGGCCACCATGATCTGGAGTGGTACGACCCAAGCTCCAAGAGCATTGAGCATAAGCTACCGTGCAAGGTGCGCTGCTCGTTCTGCCACAGTCCAATCATGGACGAAGGCAGGAACATGATTCTGCTCTTCCCGAGCTTGGTCCATCTTAAAACCGACGCAGATAAGGCGAACTTCAAGCCAAGGTATGTTTTGTCGTGAGGTCTTCGATATCACTGGTATGCTGACGATCAATCCTTTCTAGATGCCACATGTTCTACGGCCAGCGTGTGATGGACATTCCAGATGGTTTACCGAAGTGGAGTGGGCTCAATGATCAGAGCGACCTGATCGAGGACAGCCCGCCAGAGCTAGTCAAGCAGTTTGAACGCAAGAGGGAAGAGGAGCGAGCAGAGAAGTTCAAGAAGGGCGAGAACAAGTAAGCTGCAAAACACCTTGATGGTAGTGTAACCACGTCACTGGGCATATAGAGGGTTAGTGCGGGTTACTGCCCTTTGTGTCTAGCATTGAGAGTGAGTCAGAGACTTCGAGCAATGATGGAGCACATCGCTTCTGATTGACGATGCTCGCTGTACTCTAGTGTACTAAAAGAGTTGCTCTGGCTACCAGGCCCTATGCAAACGCCATCTCATGGCTGTCCGATGTGTACCGCTCTTCCAATGGCGATGTGTGATCGTAAGGTAGTCTGTTCGTAAGGATACTCAACGGTTCACTCGCAGCACCTCAAACGATAGTAAAGACTTGTGTAAAACCGCTCCTTCCTAATCACATCTGCTTGAGATTTTCAGGTGGCGAAGGTCTATGTTCACGATACAGTTGCCCGTAGGAAATGTAGCATAGCGATTTCACATTTCCATATCACTTCACGCTATTGTTGTGTTTATGCATCGTTGTAGCGCACTCATCCGCCGCCAACCCCAGCGCCAAGACCGCTCTCGAGTGCAATGCCGACCTCATGTGAGTCCTGTTACAAGCATAGCGTGCAAGCCTTGTCACAGTGCAATACAGTTGTGTGATTGATTGGAAGAGGTTGACCATGGCAGTGCTGATCTTGCCGCTCGCGCCCTTGCAGGCAGCATAATGGGCGCCAAACGCAAGCTGCAATCTCCCGCTGCCACAAACAGTCGTAAGCGAGCCAAAGGTGAGTTTCCTCCGTGTCTTGAATTATCGATGATGGACGTGCTTCCCCGCCATGTAATGTGATCTGGAAAAGCTTACATTGCGGAACAGGCAACATTCCAGTACCGCCTGCATCGCCACATCCGCATGGCGACGTGGATCCAGGCAAGTTCTACCAAGCCCGGAAAATCTTAGACGAAGATCGAACCCGCTACTACATTGACTGGGAGAACGACGAAGTGACCGGAGCGGCCTACGAGCCAACGTGGGAACCAAAGGCACACGCAAACCGCCAACTAATCGACGAGTGGAAGCGACAAAAAGCTCGCGGGGCCCCGCCGCCACCGAGTCCTATCGCTGAGCCAGTATCACCGGAGCCGCAGCATAGGAAGTCGCGAGGTAGGCCGAGAAAGGTTGTGCTAAGCTCGCCTGAGACTCCGTCGAAGTCGCAGCGGAGAGCAATCCCGCAGCAGACCGAGAAGCAAGCCCAAGTGGAAGCACTTCCTGCAGAAGTGACAGCAGTCTCGGAGCCCGAAATCGTCGAGTCGCAACAAGCCGTCGTAACTGCGGAAGCAGAGAAAGACGCTAACAGTCCACTCTTCGAACCCGAGGTTGCGATCTCATCACCCCCATCGAGCTACCAGGCTGGCGAATACCAGAAGTTTACTTCTTCCTCGCAGGCGGCACCAAGCTCCGGCAGTGCACTGTTGCAAAAGTCTAGCAAGCAGTCATACTCTGTACCGGTCAACTTTGGCGAGAGTTCAAGTAAGGTTATACCGGATTCGCAGACTCTGGTAGACCTCTCCAGCTCTGCACCAGCTGCAGGGGGTGTCGACCTTCCCGCTCCTGAGGACTCTCCGGCGGAGGCGCTCGTTGAACGGGCACCGGCGGAAAGCCTTACCAGCTCGGCACTAGTCGCGACTGCAGCTGGGGAGCCTGGTCTGCTTTTCGAGGATCCACCGCCTCCCTTTGCAGGAGCGGGAGCTGCGAGTGCCTCGAGTGAACGACCTGCACCGAACCCTGAAGAGACGCCCACAGCTCCAACAAGCTTTCAACAAGAAAACGCACTGCAAGGTGAACAAGAGCCATTTGCACCGCAAACCGACCTTTCAGCTCTAAGCGAGAAAGCATTGTCGGAGCCGCGAGAGCAGGCCAACGGCTTCTTGAGGGAGAAGCAGGAGCCCACGGCCTCGGGAAGCCGGCCTCAGGGCAACGACGAGACACAAGAAACGTCTTCTTCGCGTTTCCAGACTCAGATCCCACTCCTGGAAAGCGATCGCAATCTGCAGCAAACACCACATCGCGCCGGACCCATTGGACGATCGCCCGCTGTCACTGGTATCGCGTCCAGCCCACCACTGAATAGGTCTCTGAACCTGTTATCACCGACTCAACTGTCAAGTCCATTAGCGTCGGTACCGATCTATTCGATCCGAACAATTGGCGAGAGCGCGCCAATCCGGCCGTCTACACCCTCCAGCTTTATGAGCACATCTCCACTTCGCCTTGCATCAGCGGCGAAGATGTCTTCACAGGAGTCGAAGGCGAGCTTATCTGCCAAGCTGAAAGCCATTCGCGCGCCAAAGCTACACCAAAACGGCATGTCTGTGCTGTCGCAGGACAGCAGAGCCGTGGAAACATCTGCCTCCTCGCACGACGTAAGCGCAGCAGTGTCTATAAACCCCTACGATTGCCTGAGACACAGCTGACGTTACTACTCGTGGATTGTTAGGCACATACGTCGCCACTGCCGCCCAAGCTCGTCGCATCGCTAGAGCTGCTCGACCAGGATCGGCGGTCTCCCTCGGCCGTACCTGCTGTGCCACCAAACCCGGTCATCACACAACAGGAGATGAACACATCCGAGCGATACGAAACCTTACTGCCAGGACTGGATGTTCCTCGAACAACAGCTGTGCCACCAAGTGGTCCTGCTTCCCAATACCCGCCGAGGCCGGACAATCCCATTAATACCACTGCATCGCACGACAACCATGTCGTGCCAATAGCGCTTCTCGGTCATCAACGTGATCAATACTCGGCAACTATGAAATACGAGAAGGTACGGTGTTCCAACGCTGATGACGGGCTCACGTGCTAATCTCAAGCTTGTAGGCACTGATTGAGCAGTTTCTCGCGGCCACCAACCCCGACCCGGAGCTGGTGAGCAGAGTTGAAAGCTTGGTTGCCCGCATGCTACAAGTAACACTACACCCTGATCTTGCGAACGCGGAGGCGCTCACCCAATACGATCTTGAGCCGACACAGCATGCTCAGTGGTCGATTGACTGCAGCAGCAAGTTCCGCTTTCTGAAGGCGCTGCTTGACGGTCTACGTGACCAGACGCTCCATATACTAGTGGTAAGGTGTCGGGAGCACTGCCCAGATATCGTGGTGAACGTCCGAACGAGAACTAACCGTTCTACCTTTTGATCGCTAGGTCACGCCACCTGATAAAACTCTAGATATCCTAGACGTCTTCCTTACCGGTATCACTGTCCGACATAGACGAGTCGATGCGATCACAGAAGCCAGCCTGTCTATCGAGCACGAGGGATTGATGGTGACCATCCTGTCGACCGCAGACCGCGCACCTATCCAGCCTTCTCCCGCTGACCTTGTGGTGGCACTAGAACCAACGATCAGCGCAGTAAGCATCCCTTCGCTGTTGTTTGTGCCATAGCTGACCATTCCAACCATCGTTCTTCAGGCTTCACTAGCGAACCTTGTGGAAAGCTCCGACCCAACGACTTGTGTCACACTCATTGTGCCTTTCTCGATTGAGCACATCGAAATGTCCATATCTGCAGCTATTGAGGGTACTGCGCGATTACGCACTCTGATCAGTGCTGTACAACAGTATCGCGACGACGCCGGTAGGCTGGGCGAACATCAGCTGAAGCCTGATGCGGCCGGTAACGCATTAGCTGAGTGGCTTGCACGTGGAAACACAGGCGCGGAGTGGCCACTTGCCAACCTCAGTCCGCTTCCTAGCCTGGACAGTCAAACCGAAAGCGATGCGGACCGTGGAGACATTGAAGGGACCGACTATGTTGTCAATGTCGGAGCGAAGAGGCCGTTCGATGCTGCTGATATTAACGCACCAGGAGATGCCATCACAAACAAGAAGGCTCGTTCCGACGGGATAGTCGTGCTTACTGCAACCAGCGATGCTTTGCCCGCCACAATCAATCCGCAGGATATCGAAATCACGCACATCAGCGACTCCGTCACGAAGCCCACCCAATCAAAAACGACAATGAGCGAAACAGAGAACCGTCTTCGCGACCTTCTGCAGCACGCGCAAGATCGATTAGAGGAGCATGTGCAAGCGCTGAGTGAGCTACAGTACCGCCACGAGGAGCAGCGACAGAGGCTTATAGAGATCACAAAGGTAGCACATTGCGAAGTCCGGCTGTTCGAGATATAGCTGACACTTTTACCCAACAAACTTCCAGGAGAACGGCAGCGCGGTTGAGACCGCTCGCAGAGCCATTGCCAGCTTCTCGGACGCTTCGGACAAGGTTTCAGCGCTCAAGGTGCAACGAACAGAGCTCCAGTTACAGCTGGAGGAAGCTAATGCGAAGCTACTCAACCATACCGTAAGCTGCGCAATCTACCGCACACCTGTGGGATTGTCCGAGGCCTAGCTGACCTCCTTCTCAGGTACCGGAACGTGCAGAGTTCGAGGCCTTAAGGCTAGCGGCGCAGAAGGCTGTCGCCGAGAAGGTTGCATTTGAGAAGCGGCTCGAAACCGCCAACGGTGAGCTTGACTACCTGCGAGGAATGTACCAGACATCGTCGCAAAGCGCACAGGTAAGCCGAGCCATATGTCAGTCCAGTCGCAACTGTTGCTAACTCTCCTTTACCCAACACCTTCAGGGCCTGGCTACGCAAGTAACCGAGCTAGAAAAGTCTTTAGCAGTTGCGACGAACAGAGCGACCGGTGAGCAGGTAAAGCTGCGCCAGATGGGCTATGATGGTAAGCGCACTATTAGACTCTCTCGTGAGGACACATGTTAACCCCGGCCTCGTAGCTCAGACGAAAGGCCTCAGGGCCGAGAACAAGAAGCTGAAAGCGCTGCTACACGATCGGGAGGCCTCCATCAAATTTAGAGACGAAGAGATCGCGAAGCTCAAAGAAGCGAGCAGAGGCAGGATGGGCACTCGAGCGACGAGTGTGCCTCGCAGTCCACGGCTTGGCAGTCCTTTGAAGTTCAATGGTAGTAGGCAGGCATCCCCAGCGGTTGGTGAGCACAAAGCGAGGAATGGTGGGCACTTGCACCCGCTGAGGAACGGCTAGCAGTGGGAGATGTCGGTTATACCATTGCTCATGCCGTAGAGGTGGTATGGCCAGTGTCCTGAGCTCATATTGCGACGATGTCTTTCCTAGTGTTCGCACAGCGGTGTTGCATGTTCCTGCAATCACGAACTTTGGCAGCGTTGACCCACGAGGCCATTTCTATATTTCAGTCATACGCTTACTCGAAAAAGACGTAGCAGAGTCTTCACAAGACTCCACGTACAGGTGAAGTCTGGAACTGCGTGTCAATGTCAAGCGGCTGGACGACCCTCTTTATAGATCCACCTGTGTGCATAGGCAGATGCACTACAGTTCTGTATGTTATGGTCCAAACGTGTCGCTGCTTCCAGATTTTGCCGATCTCCCGCTGTCGTGCTTCTTCGCGCCTTCTAGAGCCGCCGGCTAAAATGGTGCACGGACTTGCAGCTGCTGCGTGGTTGGTAGGATGGGGTAGCGGCTGCCGCCTCTGAATCTCCGAAGCTTCCATTTCCGGAGTTCGCATCGGTGAGCAACAACGCCGAAGGAGCGAAGCAACCACGATTCACCAGCCAGCAATTTCTTCTCTTCCATCACATAGCACCTGCACTTCCATCACAGCATCGTCCTCCTCGTGACACCTAAGCCACACACCTGAGTTCTACGAAGCAGCAAACACTCACTTGCACGACGCTCGTTTGTGGAAACACTTGGCCGACAGCAGGAGAGCGCATTTATCAGCATCCGAACGACCGCACACCGTTAGATTTCCGCACACCCGGTTGTAACCTTACACGCAATCCTCAACGCTACGACGTCACACACTCAGCTGCGGAGGCTGCACCAGATACAACCATCTGCGATACTTCCACACACCTTGCCGACTAGCACCGCCCTTGCCACCAGCAAAATGTTCCCCGGAGACTCCATGCCGGCGATCTACTTCGAGGAGCGCAGCGCCGACCAGAAGCTCAAGTTCGAAAGGCAACAACAAGAGGCCATGCAGAAGGCACAACGGCACCTGCAGGCTCCGCAACCACAAAAGCCGGCGCCGCAGAACCTCACCCAAGCTATTCTTCAACGCCCGCCGCTCTCGCGCCCCGTCTCCACTGGTGTCTTCGGCAACATCTTCCAAGGTTTCGTCAAAGTCGCGTCCCCGATCTCATCGCCCGCGCACTCACCCTGCGCCACTCCAATGCCGGGTCAGGCTAAGGAGTTGCAGGCCGTCAACATTAGCAAGGAGATGGAGAAGTTGATTGCGGAGCAGAAGCGTGATGCCGATATTGTATGTTGGTTGCAGACTTACAGTCGATGAGGATGCATATGCTTACTTTCAAACCTAGTGCGCGATGCCGACTTGGTAATATGCTGACGCCCTTGAGGTGGCGTATGCTTCTTTGAGCGCCCCAACACCGGCAGGAGGACACTATTGCTTTTATTTCATGACTTGACGACCTCACGACTAGCGTGTACCATTACCCTAATATCGACTATTCAAGCGTGGTGTTACTTCCAGGTGCGAGTGGTTCCTTTAGCGACGGAAGGGCACGGTATACCCACGGGATCAGCAGCGAATTACGGATCGTGCATGCTGTACTTCTTATACGATATGCGCCGGCTCACATTATGCACGCATAGTGTTGGTAGCTGCGCGAATTGGCCCGGACGGCGTTTCAGCGGCAGTAATAGCGTTCAGCGACGGGCTTATCTTTCGTCAGCGACCGTCCTTCTCTTCCGCTATCTCAAACTCCCCTTTGCCCTTGTGCTTCGATGTGCCGCTTATTGCCCTATAATCCATCGCCACCTACCTATACGGGCTGTTGTCTATGATCACTGCCGTCTGGCTCACCCTCTGTCATTGAGCGTGGTCCACGCACGTAGAATGTCAACTGTGAGGCAGTTCTACTATATCCAGTCAAAAGTGCCCTAAGTTCCACACAATCCCAAGCCACACGACCAACACACTCAAATAGCAATAGCTTGGTTTCGAAGCTCTTTGAAGCTGAATAGATCGCGATCACATGACCGTTGCTGACTTCCACGCACCGGAGCTCGGCCCATCCTCGGCAGTAGCCCTGGCTTCGGCTTCACTTGCATGTGAACATTGAAACTGACCTTCTGCGCCTTCTCCTCACTTACATACACCAAACCTGCTCGGCGCTTCAACCTCATGCTCGTCGCGGAACATACACAGAGGCGGCCACGATGTCCGTCTGGAACCCAGAGAATGTCATCGACGTCGCGGAATCAGTAGGCATCGCATCTCTGAACAAAGATGTCGTGGAGCACCTGGCACGAGACGTGGAGTACCGCATGAGCCAGGTTTTGAACGAGGCTCTCAAGTTTATGCGACACGCCAAGCGTACGACCCTCACCACACAAGATGTCTCGCAAGCGCTGCGATTGCTGGACGTGGAACCGCTCTATGGCTACGAGAGCACGCGACCACTGCGCTTCGGCGAAGCGAGCATTGGGCCGGGACAGCCACTGTTCTATGTGGAAGATGAGGAGGTGGATTTCGAGAAGCTGATCAATGCGCCTCTGCCGAGAGTGCCGCGAGAGATGAGCTTCACGGCGCATTGGCTGGCTGTTGAAGGTGTGCAGCCTAGTATTCCGCAGAACCCGCTTACGGACCCACGGTCGGCGGAGCTCGCTGCGAAAGGCTCTGGTGCAAACTCTACGCTCGCGGCTATCAGCGGAAATGATAACGTCTCCGTCAAGCCGTTGGTCAAGCATGTTTTGTCGAAGGAGCTGCAGCTTTACTTTGAGAGGATATGCAGTGCTGTGCTTGACGAGGGCAACGACGAGTACCGCTCGGCAGCTTTCGTGTCACTACGCACAGATACTGGCTTGCACCAACTGGTGCCATACTTTGTCCAATTTGCGGCAGACAAGGTAACCCACAACCTGAAGAGCATCTTCGTCCTTAGCCAGACCATGCAGCTGCTCGACGCATTGCTCGACAACAAGAGTTTATACCTTGCGCCCTACGTGCCTGGCATCATACCCTCGGTACTTACGTGTTTGATCGGCAAGCATCTCGGCTCGCCTGCACAGGATGGAGCAACCACACATTTCGCACTACGCGACTACGCAGCATCCCTGCTGAGCAAGATTGCACGTCAGTACGCCTCCAGCTCTTCCACGCTTAAGCCCAGGATCGCACGAAGTTGTCTAAAGAGTTTCCTCGACTCCCACAAACCGTACGGTACTCACTACGGCGCCATCCTCGGCTTGACAATGATTGCCGGCGCTGAAGGCGTGCGTGCGCTCATCTTGCCGAACCTCAAGGCGTACGACATGCATCTACTGGAAGGCATGAACGACGACTCGAAGAAGGAGCAGGCGGAGTATGTCGTGCAAGCGCTTATGCGCGCGTTGGAGATGCTGGAGGAGGATGTGGTCGCTATGGAGGGCTTGACGCAGACGAACGGCCATCCCGAAGGCGAAGCGCTGAGTGAGCGCCTCGTGGACGCTGTAGGTGGCGTTCTCGCACCAAGGATATTGGCAAGTGGCCGGCAGAGTTTCATCAGTGCTGCATTGGAGAAGGATCTTGACGTCTAGGGGACGCCGGATGGGACCGATGATTCTCGTGGCAGTAGTGAGACGATTAGGCACGAGAGTGTCGCGAGCGCCGTATCGAGTGTTACTCTTGGGCCTGAATGAGGGTTTAGCGAGGTGTTGGTGGGAAGCTTTTTGGGTACGTCACTGCTCGATGTATATTGTCTTTGGCGGCTGAGCTGCTTATGTCTGCATATCACTGTACTATCCAGTGCCATCACGGCGCGGCTGTTGACGATAACACGCAAACGGCCACCGTTCCATCCACATGGTCATGGCGAAAATGCCGTATTGGGTAAGACATATCCCATCTACTGCGGTCCATAATATCGAGATTGGGCAAGCACGACCACGAAACATAAATGTTAAGCCTGCTCGATGCAGTTACACTTCGACCTTACTTTCATCAGGATTCATTCACTGTTGAGCACATACTTTCATTTGTACGACGCTTGCCGAAGCTTGTCTTCAATAGCGTGACAAAGACAACACGATATCAATCGTTATGGCAGAATATGCCGAGGTGGCGGCGCCGACTTCCATGAATTCAGCCCCTGCACACCAACCGAACACGGAGACAGTCCCAATGCTCATGGCAGGCTGGTCTAATGAAGAAACTCCGACTGCCCTGCACACAGCTGCTGTAGATCCACAAGAGCTCGAGACAGCTCCAACGACCATGGCAGCACGAGGCGAAGACGCGGCGTTAGCTTCCATGATTTTAGAGACCGCAGCAGTCTCTCGGAATGAATGCAGATTACTGAGCTTGCCCGCTGAGCAACGAAACGCCATCTACCATCTCGCTATGGTACAACCACGACCGCTTAACGTGGCACAGAGGACGGATGTCCGAGAGCCCGGCCTGCTGTCTACTTGCAAGCAGATCCGAGCGGAGGCTTTGGCCGTCTTCTACGGCACCAACCTGTTCAGAGACATAAACACCGCTCCGCGGTATTACATCGACGTTGCAACGGGCGAAAGGTTCCGACATCTCACTCATGCGCCGGCATGGTTGAAGCAGATGAGTAGCGCAAAGCGAGCACTCATTAGACGTATCGAGGTGTGTTACAAGATTGACATAGCCCAAGACCTCTTCTGGTACATCATGTCTACCGAGCCGTATCGCACCCGGTGGGAGCAACTCAGACGCCAGCCTGGGCCTTGCGAGGGGCGCAAGGCGTACATTAAGGGCGTGATTATGGAATTCGGCGAGGATATGGCCAGGCAATTCCTGCTTGATGACAACCATCACATGAAGAATATCAAAGCTGTCCCTTGGCACCACGGAACTCTGGAGACCTCTTCACGCTACATTTCCTCGCGGAGAGATCCAGGAGAAATGGGCCGAGGGGTTTAGCAGTATCAGTGAGCTGTGGTAGCTTCCACCTACTTTAATTGACGCGCAGAGAATACCTGGAGTACGTTGAGAGGCTCATTTGCTCTGGTGACTGAGCGCAAGTGCAGGATAATATTGTGATTCTAGTCCATAACGGCAACTATGCAGCTCGGCGAGTGTGACTGCTTAGAGGCAGTCAGTATGCACTGAAGCATTGGAATGCCTGAGAACCTTCATTCCAGCTTTATCACATCTCTCTGTATCACACTGCAAACGCCTTGCTACCAAACTGTCACATAACAAGGATATGTTGACCAGTGTTCACAATATGTTAGAGCACAAGCAGCAACCATGCAGCTACTTCCTTCTCCCGGCGGAGCTGCTGAACCACATCTACACTCTGGCGCTAGTCTCACCAAAGCCACTGAGTCTGTTAGATATTACAGACATGCTCGGGGTACGCAAGCGCATTCGTCAAGAGGCACTACCAATCTTCTACGGTGATCCTCGTCGACGCGTTCATGCCCACGCATTATCGCGCTCCTCCAGTACGGCTTCACTGCTTTCTCGGCGATAAGCAAGCGATGGTACGACACCTGAAGATCCACGATCTGCCTAAGACATAAGGACGTTATGCGCGCCAGGGACAGCTTATGCGAACGAGAGACTGGTGGAGACCACATACGACGTCAAGTCTCGAGAAACGGGGACAGTCTATCTGGCTGCACCAGCTGCTTCTAACAGTTTGGGGTATCAAAGGCTATCGGGCGGTTGAGTGATCTGGGGCGTCATGGCGTTAGCTGAAGTATTCCTGTAGTGTTAGGAAGCGTATACGGTACCTTGGTGAGATGGTCTCCATTGAGCGTCTTCATAACCTTTCCAATACCCTCATGCGAGTAGTCCTATCACGCAAGCAGTCAGTATCTCCAACGCAGCATTCGAGGCTGACAACACCGACATTGTGGTTCCACCTGTAAGAGCCTAGTCAGCACTGATCGTATCCGTCCTACACATTTCGAGGACAACTTACATATCCTTGTGGTACTTGACCTTGTCATTCTCGTCCAACGTCAGCGTTACGAGTGAGTTGACGGCCTTGGTAAAGTGCACCACTTTTGGCGTCCACTCTTGCTGCAGCTTGAAGATGATGCGGTCAGGTTCATTCGCCACCACTTCCGTCTTCAACGTCCGCGTTTTCGCCATGATTGCTGGGATACCCCACCACTGTCCAGCGATCTTGTAGCGGGTGTCGCAGAAGCTCCAGGGGTCATCGTACACGGATTTCTCGGCGTAGACTTGCATGTCTTCTTCGCTTGCGCTGCCGCTATAGAGGTTCGTAATGGACTTGACGATCTTCTCACGGTTTGGCGGCAGCTTGATGCTGTTCTCGGGATGCGGCTCATAGTCTACGCCAGTTGACACCTTTTCTGAATCGGGGTGGTCCTGAGGGCCAGTAAGTTGCTGAGGATCCGGGCGAATCTCATATTGTGTTGGGTCGTCTTTCTCGGGCATAGCGATGTTCTTTCGGGACAGATTCTCAACGTGAGGAGGAGGGAAAGATGAAGATAGACAGGATTATTCAGGTTAATGGAAGCGGACTATATAATTAAGTATAACAACTTGAAGTCCTACCCACTGTTACTCCGACGTGCCTCGCAGCATGCTATGTCGTCATGACTTCACCCTGCACAAGCGATCAGATGTGAATGTGGAGCGCGGCGAGAAGGTTCATGGCTCACTCCACCATCTCGCCAGCGGAGAGTCAAGGATACGTCTATCTAGCCGACCGTAACCCTAACCTCGACCTTCTATTCCTCGACTTGGCGTTCCTTCCTCGAGTGACCGGGACCCGAGCAGAGCCTAACATGATCGCGAGTGTATGTCGTGAGTGTTGTACGAGCGTGGGAGATGCTAGGAGAAGATGGAGACGGTACCAATACAGAGTCTGGATCCAGGCAATGGACTCCCCACTGGCGCAGCGATCCGGGCAGTAGTCACGCTGTCATGGCCTTACTCTTCGTCGACAAGACAATGCGCACTTCTGCTGGCCGACCCAGACTTCAGGCTACGGCACAACAAGGGCCAGATACGAGTGCGCTTCCGTGGGCCGAGCGCTGAGGCGGTCGCGAAAGCTCATGCCGGAATCGGCGACGAAGTGGTGCTAAGCCTTGACGGCGCGAGTTGGGTGCGAGATGTCGGAGCACCGAAGACGCCGGGCAGGAGCGTTGGTGGAGAACTTGTGTTTGAGAGGAGATTGCAGTTCAAGGTGCAAAGTGAGGACCGCAAGGACGATATAGATGTTGATGCGCCTGCGTCTCCTCCAACCCCTCCACAGATTGAAAAGAATCAAGCCTTGCACTCATCGACACCGCCTTCAACGAGGACTCAGGGTCTAAGATCAAGCTTCGACGGCACGTTCGACAGCATTCCCATCTACAGCTCGCCAGCGTTCGTTAAGCGCTCGCGCTTATCGGGTGGTTCATTTCTTGATCCGGCTTTCGATCCTTTCAGCGACGATGCGTTGGAGCTTCAGCAGCCCAACAAGAAGCAAAGACTATCCTTTGGTCATGTCGCACAATGGAGGTATACTGAGAGGTCGCCATCGCCGGTCAAACCTACGTCTAGCCCACATACCGTCGACCAGGTTGGGCACAGTGCATCACTTGTGGAAAGCCATGCTCACACTGTCGCTTTCCAAGACGCCACGGATACCGATGGGTTGGCGGACGAAAATTCGGTGTCGTTGAACGGCGCTTCGGAAACGACATCGATGCTTGGTCCTCTGCAGCCTCAACCTGTACCCGCGCCGGCCACGTCCGCTGTGGCACCCGTAACATCTGATAATCCACTGTACGGCGACATTGAAGTGAGCTCTGAAGGACAGCAGCCAGTCATGTGCAACCACAATGGCGTTCCAGTCAGCAATGAGGCCCCTGATAATAATGTCCAGGTTCCTCTGCTTCCCTCCGTCGGACATGCTCTGGACAACGTTGATGCGGTAATGTCTGATCAAGCGGATTCAGACACAAAGGTACTGCAGGCGGGGTTGCAACCACCGATGGCGGAAGAAGCTGGACACCAGGAGAGCGAATCACTTCCACATCAGAATACAGTGTCTGCTAGAACGAACGTCGATCACGATGATCCCGGTCATGAAGCATCCGCCAATGCTGCATCAACAACGCCAGTACGTTCCCATCCGCTTGTGAACTTGCAAGGCACAGGCAGCGCGGAAAGCAACAGGTTTGGAGCCTTGGAGCAACCACCAGCCCTTGAGGGTGTACTTTCACCGCAACCTCACACACCCCGGAAGTCTGTGTCTTTCGACTTCCGATTAGATCGCACTGCTGAAACGTCCGCTCGGGTGACACCGCAGTCTGAGCGTGATACGATCATGGCGAAGACCTACAAGAGCCTGTTCGGCTTTGGATCGACGCCGTCGCCGTCGCCGGAAACTCCCGTCAATGACAGTCCTATTAGAGTGGCAGTGACAGAGACGGCTTCTAGCTTGCCAGATGCAGAGCTGGCAACTATCATCATGTTTCATCATGACAATGAAGCACTGGCCGAAACTGCGCTTAGTCCCGGCGTGCCATCCCCGGAACTCCGCGTGGTAGACAGTCAAGATCTGGACAATTCAAACAAAAGCCCTGAAAACGCGGCGCCAGTGTCACACATGAATGAAATTGACGACGGAGTACTCCACACTGTCGCTCCGGTTGCTGCAGTAGAAGACGTAGCTTCACCGCTTCCAGCCGAACGAGCGGAGGATCCACCGCTCGATAATGACCGAGCAGAGGCGGATCTGAATGTACCCACGAACGAAGGACCAATCATTGCAACAGAATCTGAAGCAGATAAGGTGCAGTTAACCGATGTTTCAATGACAGAGTCTAAGAGTCTCGAGCCCGACATGGACGATGAGGGTGACGATCATCTTGGGCGCGGATTGCTTGTACCGCAGGACGATGCTCACGGAAAGATCGCGGTCGAAGAGAGCCTTGTGGGCGATGAAAGCGCAGACGCTGAGCTGCATGCCGGACCGGTGGACCAGCCTGCATTACTCAGCTTTGTTTCCACCACCGGTAACAACAACCTTATTGACCACGCACGTGAGAATGACATCCCAATTGCCATGCCGGACCATGTTTTAGATGAAGGGCAGTCTCAGGGCCTCAGCCCTCCTAGCTTCGACAACGCAGGCGTGGAAGAGGCGCAAAAATATCGCATGGAGGATGCGGGTTTCCAACACAATGTCGATGACAGCTATCAGTCTAGCATACCGGACGCCCAGCATTCTGCTACTAATGTGGGACTTGGCGACAGCACTGCTGCTGAACCATCTCCGCCACTGGGGACTACTGAAAGCGGCCAGGTAACGGATGGATCACCTGCAGAAGACTCGCAACTACGACTGCTTGCGCATACTTCGCCCTCCCTACGGGCTGGGGATGCGCCGGAGATAGCGATGGCTGACAGCACGATGTTCGACGTTCCTACGATGTTCGATGGGATGACGGACGCGGATCCCTCCAATATTGTGCACGAGCAGCAAGCCAACACAACCGGGACGCTGGAGCAGCCAGTCAGCGTGGACGCGGGCGAGGCGCTCGAGGTTGCTCCTGCCGCCCAAACAAAAGTCTGTCTCGACGCACCTTCCTTGTATGATGAATCACCTAGTGACCTAGGACCGATCGAGCGAATTAGAAAGGCCTCCAAGCGGAGTGAGGATCTTATGGAAGACATCGACATTCACTCCCAAGAAGCAACCCATGACGTCGCCGTGCCGCAGCCCGTCAATTACCCTTCCTTACCGCGTAGCCCATTTGACTCGCAAGAGGTGTTTGAGTTAGAGGAGACCGTGCCGATCAAACATGAGCGTATCGCTCGCGAAACCCTGCCGCTCACACCACAGTTGACACAGACTGAGAGCGACATCCCGCCGGTGACCGCCGTCGCTGAGGAACCGACATCGATGAAGAGGTCGCCGGAGGAACCGCTCGATCCGGGAGTACTTCATACAGAGAGCGAAACTCCACTTGCGGCAACCGCCGCACGGCAAACAACGCCACCACAAAGATCCACGGAACAGCCACTCAATCTGGAAACGGCACACTCCACCGTCAAAGACAGTGGGGTGGACTCAACGCGCGATGCCACACTAGTAGGAGATGAAGAGCAGGCTCACGGCACGATGGACACAGCGGTCTCAACCGCCAAATTTAGCGAAGCCGAAAAGGGGACCATAGGACCGCCACAGGGTCTTGGCCTGCTCCTTGGAACACCAAAAACGCCTACGCGTAAATCATTGAAGAGCCGGATCAGTCACGTTCCGGATGTCATCTCCGCCTGGTTCTCACCCAAGCGCTCCAGCGGTATCACCAAGGACACGCCTGCGCAGGGACCGAAAGCGGCAACAGAAGTCAGATTGGTGGACACGAACCATCACGCAGATGGCGCGAGTGCAGTCCCTACACTCTCGCAGTCCCCCAGCAACGGCGTGCTGACGTCTGTGGGCTACTTCACGCCATTGTCTCAGCTTGAGCGGCGCCTTAATCCATCAAACCAGGCCGCCGTAGGCACAGCAAACACGGTGGATGTGCTTGCTGCTGTGGCAGACAGCACCAAGCCGCCCGAACGAAGTAAGAATGGGCCTCGCGACTACTTCACAGTCTTCCGCGTCAGCGACAGCTCGATCAGCGCAAACGCTACTTTTGAAGTGCAGGTCTTCCGCCCTTGGAAGGCTGTGCTGCCCGTAGCTGAGGTCGGCGACGTCATCTTACTGCGCTCGTTTGCGGTCAAGTCGAGGAAGCGTCAACCGTACTTGCTCTCCACGGATGCCAGCGCGTGGTGTGTCTGGCGGTGTGGAAGTCCTCATGGTGATGAGCATCTTGACGATGATGAGAAGGAACGGGAGAAACCGATCTGGGCACGGAAGCATGTGAATGGCACGGGCACGGGCATGCCATTGCAAATGCGCGAGGAGGTCAAGGGCCCGCCGGTGGAGCTTGGGGAGGAGGAGAGGCAGCACGCTAAGGTGTTGAGAGATTGGTGGGTGGCGCATGGTGGCGGAAACAATTCGCAAGACAACGACAGCAACGCTGCTACGAAGAGCACGACCAACCCACGGCTTGAGGCGGACCTTTGACTTCAGTTGTACTATAGTGTATGAATAATCCAGGCTAGCGAAGTCACGTGAATCGTGTCATACATAGAGTAATCACGCGACCCGCCAGTCGGCTCGCCTTAGGCCCAACACCTGCGGCATGGGTACTCCTACTGCTGCGAGGTTTCGTAGTGAAAAGGCATCAAGTAGCACGACGTCGTACGTATATCACATGGCATTGCACAGCACTGTCGGCGGAAACTGTGCCTGCCAGCTTTACTATACACCATCTACATCCAATCAATCAAGCACAGCATACTTTCTCAAATGTTCGGGCACCGCCTCCCACAACCCTTTGGTATGCAACCACTTCTTACTAAACAAGCGATCGGCATACCGATACGCCCCATCGCACAGAATCGTCACCACCGTCTTCCCCGGGCCCAACTTCACCGCCAAATCCCTCGCCGCCGCCACGTTCAGACAACTCGACGCGCCCAAGTACAATCCTTCTTCATCCAAGCATCGGTACACCATTTCTATACTCTTATCATCGGAGATGTGCAGCGCGCCGTCCAGCAGATCAATGTCGGGTTTCAAATTATCCGTGATCCGCCCTTGCCCTATCCCCTCCGTTATCGACGACCCCTTCCGCTCCGTCATCTGTCCGCCGGAGGAGACGTAGGTGTATATTACACTCCCCGGCGGATCGGCGACGTAACATTGTACCCGACCTTCAGAAATGGTTTTCAGGTACCGCGTCACGCCCGCTATCGTCCCCGCTGTCCCCGAAGCGCAGGTGAACGCGTCGATTTTCCCCTCCGTTTGGTTCCAGATTTCCGGCCCCGTCGTCTCAATGTGCGCTTGTCTGTTGGCGACGTTGTCGAATTGGTTCGTCCACACGCAGTTTTCCCGCTCTTCCGCGTAGCGTTTCGCTTGGTGGTTGTAGTTTTCCGGGTTCTCGTACGCTACTGCTGGGACGGGGTAGACTTCCGCGCCTAACAGACGGAGGAGGTCGATTTTGCCTTGGGATTGCGTGTTGGGCATGTAGATTACCAGTTTGTAGCCTTTGCTTCGGCAGACGTGGGCGAGGCCGATGCCGGTGTTGCCCGCCGTTCCTTCGACCACCGTTCCGCCGGGTCTGAGCAGGCCCTTTTCCTCAGCATCTTGAATTACGTAGAGGGCGGCGCGGTCTTTGACGCTACCACCAGGGTTTTGGAATTCGGCTTTACCGAGCACCTCGCAGCCGGTTTGTTCGGAGAGCTTCTTCAGGCGGATGAGCGGGGTGTTGCCGATGGCTGGTCGGCTAGAGTATCAGTCAACGTCCGTCATGAAAGAGTGTTGGACTTGGCGGGGATACCGGATATGAAGCCTTGATCGGCTATGCGCTGTGCTCTCGCAATCTCCACCCCGCGGGGATTCATCGAGTCGACGGCGGAGGCGGAGAAGTGTTGCGGGTCGGATGTTGCTGCGGTGGCGTAGGCGGCTCGTAATGATCTTGAGGCTGTTGATGGCTTGGTAGCCGTTCGTATGACGGTTCGTGCGAACATTGAGAGAGTAATAGCGACTGCTTGCGCCGAGATGGAATTGATCCACTGACTTCTTCGAAAACCTTCAATGAGAGCAACCGTTGGTGAATATATGCGTAGTCACTATTTCTACTGTCACGGAGAGTGTCAAGCATTGGATGCGGGAAAGCTTCAGCACAGCTGCTACTTCTGACGCTGACGCTCTGCTATATGACGCGATTCGCGGGGAGAGTTCCGCGTTTGTTTACATCTGCCAACAGCGACGGCACCCGAGCTGAGCATTGAAGCAACAACAACATTGATCACCACCACCACCACCACCAACACCACCACCACCGACGCCGCCGCCGCCGCCGCCATGCCTGGTCGTGTTGCTCGCAAAGCGCAACCCGCCAACGTGCTGACAGAAGAAGACAGCGGCAGCATAAGCTTGCGACGCGCCATCTGCACCATCTTCGTCGACACGCAGAAGAGTACTGCCGGTCATCGCAAGGCCGTCATTAGCCTGCGCAAGATCCAGGAAGCGTGCTGCTACGAGCCGGCCAACTACAAGACTGGAAGAGAAGGCGAAGACTTTGATGAAGACGACTTCAACGCGGAGATTGTACGATGCGTTTTGCGTATAGTCCCCGTTCGCAAAGCCGAGCCGGTGGGCGACCGAGTCGTCCGCTTTCTGGGCACCTTCCTCAACATAGCCAGCAACAAGGACAGCGAGATCGCGAATCATGCCGACCCGGACGCGTCAAGCGTGCCGGAGACGCCGACTAGTAGGCTTACAACCAGGATATTGGAGACGCTGTTACCGCTGCTCAGCGCGAAGGAGAAGACGATTCGATTCCGCGCGACGCAGATTACGAGTCATATCATCAATAGTCTTGACACGATAGACGACAATCTTTTTCACAAGCTACGACTCGCCCTGCTCAAGCGGATACACGACAAAGAGGCTCCGGTCAGGCTGCAAGCTGTGTACGGTCTGGGCCGCCTAGCCGCCGAAGTCGAGGATGGCAACGAGCAAGACGAGTCCGACTCCGACGCAGAAGTCGGCGCGGGCGTGTTGGCAAAACTCCTCAATACGCTTCAACACGACCCTTCGGCGGAAGTCAGGCGGAATCTCTTACTCAATCTCCCACTTTCGAAAGAAGTCCTGCCCTACTTACTCGAGCGGGCCCGAGACGCAGACGCCTCGACCAGACGCGCACTCTACGCTCGTCTACTTCCCGCGCTCGGCGACTTCCGCTATCTCAGCCTCACGCACCGTGAGAAGCTTTTGCGCTGGGGTCTGCGCGATCGTGATGAGAATGTCCGTAAAGCTACCGCTCGTTTGTTCCGTGAGAGATGGATCGAGGATTGCGCTGCGAAGCCTGCTGAGGAGCTTGAGGATGGTCCGCAGGAGGAGCAACCAAAGGTTAGCAACCAGGCTGCGGACCCGTCACTCGATGCTCTCCTCGAACTGCTAGAGCGCATCGACGTCGTCAACTCCGGTGGCGAAGGCGGTATAGCTCAAATCGCCATGAAGGAGTTCTGGGAAGGTCGCCCAGATTACGTCGAATACGTCTCTTTCCCCGACACGTTCTGGGAAGATCTAACCCCGGAACTGGCATTCGTGGTGCGAAGTTTCAACGACTTTTGCCGCTCCTCCGGCAAAGAGGATGGCTACGACGGTCCGCGCATGCTGGATGGTATGCTCGCGGACAAGTTGCCGGAAGTGACGATGTTTGGTTTCCTGCTTGAGCGCGAAATCGCGAAGTTATTGGAGACGGTGCAGGCGGCGGCGGAGGGCGAGGATGGGGATGCGGAGGAGATGTGTGTGCAGCGCGAGTTTGTGGTGGAGCAGATGCTGCATATGGCTTTGACGTTCGACTATAGTGATGAGGTTGGCCGGCGGAAGATGTTCGCGCTCATGAGGGAGGCGCTTGCGCATGCCGATTTGCCCGAAGAAGCGACGAGGTTGGTTGTTGAGGTTTTGAGGCTTGTTTGTGGTGTAGATGCGAAGGGGGAGCGGGAGTTTTGTGGGGTGGTGGTTGAGGCTATTGCGGAGGTGCATGATATCTTGGGTGAGGAGGAAGAGGTCGCTGAGGACAGCACTAGCGTGGACGACTCGTTTCATTCTGCGACCGAGCATCATATCGATGACGGTGCGGTGCAGGGGAAGAGGAGCAAGAAGAAGAGAACAGTGACTCGTGAAACGGCGGAGGCGGATGAAGGGAAGGCGCTGAGGGAGATTGTGGTCAATATGAAGTGCCTGCATATCGCTCTCTGCATGCTGCAGAACGTGCAGTGCGAGCTTGGTAAGGAGTGCTCTAAAAGGGATTCACGGTCGTTCGCTAACTTACGGCAGAGGAGAACGCGTCCCTAGTGACCATGCTCAACAACCTCGTCGTCCCCGCCGTGCGCAGCCAAGAAGCTCCGCTCCGTGAGCGCGGTCTCTGCTGTTTGGGCCTTTGCTGCTTGCTCGGGAAGAACCTCGCCGAAGAAAACCTGACGTTGTTCCTCCACTGTTTCGCCAAGGGGCATCCGGCATTACAAACAATCGCCCTCCAGATCATCGCGGACATCCTCATCACACACCCCTCGCTCCTGGCCGAACCGCCAATCGACCCGAACACCACGACCGCAACCGAGCAGCCGCCGATGGAGAACATGCTGCAGAAGCAGGTATTGAAAGCCTTCAGCCGCAGCCTTAAATCCGATGACCACGCCGTCCAGTCCACCGGCGCCACCGCGGTGGCGAAAACCATGCTCTCCCGCCTCATCACCGACAAGGACCTCCTCAAGCAACTCGTAATCGCCTATTTTGACCCCGACACGGCAGGAAATGCCCACCTCCGGCAAAGCCTGTCCTACTTTCTGCCAGTGTACTGCCACTCCCGCCCCGAGAACGCCGCGCGAATGGCCGGCATTGCCACGGGCGTCATCGGCAAACTTGCCACGTTAAGGGAAGCAATGCTCGATGAGGCTGAGGCGGATAGTGGAGGGGAGGGAGCTGAGGGGGAGATGGTTAAGTTAAGTGTTGTTGGGACTATGCTTGTGGATTGGACGGATCCGAGGAAGATTGTTGGGTTTGCGGAGGCGGCGGTGGAGGTGGGGGCTGGTGAGACGCATTTCTTGCTCGCGGAGGCGGTGTTTGATCGCTTGAATACGAGTCAGGTTGGGAAGGAGGAGAGGAAAGTTTTGTTTGGTATGCTTGGTGAGTTGGGGGAATTATGCTATTCCCAAGGTGGTTGTCGATCTATGGCTGACCGTAATGTGTAGGCAAGCTGCATCTACCGCCAGGAGGCTGCGACGCCGAGCGCATCAAGGCGGTATTGACTGGACTGGCAGAGGCGAGCGATGTGGCCTCTGACCAGACTTCACGCAATACGCTGGCGAAGATGCAGGTGAATTTGCTCAAGATGATCCGGGAAGCGGTGACTGCGGAGCGCGAAGTTGAAGATCCTCAAGAGGAGAACGAAGATTACACGGTCACGGCGCTCGAGGATAGCGTGAGGGATATTACTCTTGATGGCATGGGTATGCCTGATGCGGAGGGTACGAGGGTGCAGCTTGGTGGCGATGCTGACCTCTTGAGTGAGATGGAGGAGGAGGATACTAATGTGTAATCTCCTCAATACTTGAGTGATGAGTGAGCCATAGAGTTCCACGAAGAGTAGTGCCCTTGTCGTTACACTTGGGCTGAGGACGCTGGGCTCCTTTCCAAGGTGGCGATGCTGCGACAACAATGAGTGACACGGGAGAGTGGGAGCTCTAAGAATACTATGGGTTCGGTGATTGAGCTGTTTTTATAAAGACAGGCCGACGTCCACTTGGATTCATGAGTCTCCCCGCAGCATGTCCCACACTGTGACCCCACCGGGAGCATTATCACCAACCATCGCTGGTTGCCATCTGTTGCCTGTCATAGGGTGCGCCGCAACAGGTGAGGCGTGCAGCGAACCACTCGGCCCACTACACCTGTTGAGCGTACTGGCGCTGCCGCTCTTTGCTTGAGTAGGACTATCAGGGTTGACTAGAGTCGAAGCGTCCGCGGCATGCACGTCGCTTGAGATGCGGCGTAGTCTCATGCAATGTTTCGGCAGCTCTGAGTCCTCCGTCAAGCTTGGGAAGAGGTGCGCAACCAGCGGTCTGAGGGCCAGGAGACATGCGCAGATTATGCCAACGTTTGCTTCGACGACGCTCCAGATGATGGCCCACACGCCCGATTGTACGAACTTGCCTTCCGCCGAAGTCGTAATGACCGTCGCTAGGCGTGCAATAGACACGCCGCAGACGAAGAAGCCTAGCATGAAGACGAGGACTAAGCTCATCCTCTGCTTCCGCGGCAAATGTAAAGACACGATTGCCGGTAATGGTAAGAGCAGGACTAGGAAGTCAAGACTGATGTCCGTCCCCGCCACCGACAGCCAGTAGCGCTCCGCTGACATACAATGGCCGGATATCGACGGGTTCCACAGTCGAGCCGTAGGTGAGCAGAGCAATGTTCCACCTAGCACTGCCCAAAGCACGGCGGGCAGCAAGCAGAAGAGTAACAGCAAGCAGAGTGCTCGTGTTACTCTCCCACTGAAGATGCGCAGATACTGCATTAGTATGGAAGCCTTGGTAGTATTGACTGTAAGCGCCCATAAGTTGTTGTCGGCCACAACGAGTTTAGCGATGGTGATCAGTTGAGCCTCGCTCTCCGAGAGGCGGCCTACACCCTCGTGGACGGCAATACCGATGACGATGCACATGCCCCATGACAAGACCTATGACTTTGTCTTAGTCTGGCGCTTGCGAAGTGGTAAAGACTTGGCACTCTGCACTCACCATGGATAGTAGAATGACCATATCGTCCAAACCCACGCACCGTAGGAGCCCACACCGTGTGAACCATCTCAGCGCGACGACGCAGGTCGACACGACTGTGAAAGCTATTGCAGGTCCCAGTGCTTGCCATCCAATGTCTTGAGCTCCAAAGTGGCCATCTTCCGGGTCACTGACGGGTACGATATGATCTCTTCGACCCAAGCTGAGCATCGTTCACAGCGATAGTAGATGCAGACGGAAGGCAACCGTCGCAAGGATAGCAGGGCAGTCTCGTCCATGGCAAAGTGAAGCCAGCAGAAGCACGACGAGCTGCTCGGTGATCGCGAGCAAGCAGTCGCGGTCGTCCAATGGTAGAGAGCGCAGCATGCTGACTAGCAACATATGCGCAGCAAAAGGTTTGGCGTAACTCAGATAAAGCCGCGGATCACGCTTATTCATTCTATTTGTGCTGCACGGGAGAGGTCCTTCAGCCGAGCAACATGCGGGCCGTGAAGAAGATTTGAAAGTTTCGTTTAGTATGTGGCCAGACAAGGGACGTTCGGTCATTGACAAACTCCAGCCCAGCAACAGTTCAGCAAACATGCCGGCACCAATGCACTCTGTACGCAAGAGCGCATTGAAATTGTCGACAAGCTGTGCAGAGCCGCCGTTCATGCCTAGGTCGAGGATTGACGGCTTGCAGAATCACATCTGCCGTACGCATCCAGCAACGCGAAGTTCATTGCCGTACCGGTGAACTGTCACCGGACTTGCCGGCTTGTACGACGCTCAAGGCCGAACCGAGGCTTGGGCACGAGAGCCACAAGCAGAACAGGTCTGACTGTCGCAAGTTACTGAAGGTTGGGCCTCTTCTTGGCCGCTTAGAGTCCTCGTAGCACCCATAACAAATTTCGATGCTCCCACATGTTGCCGGAGATCCTGAACTCACAGCAAAGCGGACGTGCGCCCATCGCGGACTCGTGCGCTTTCGAAGCGCGGACTGAACTCGCATCTGGTGAGATCGGCACATTGCTGGTGCTAAGCCAAGAAATTCGCCCTACCGACTGCTCAGCTCAGTGTCGATGAAACCGTGGCAGATGAACTTTTGCGGTCTTGAGCCGCTCCGTTTTGCAAGAGCGCCAACTTCGCCTCCAGATACGCCTGCACAATAGCATCATCGGTATGCTGAACTGGTTTCAGACTCTTCGGTATACCTTGAGTCCAGGCTTCGATAGCAGCCAGCTGCTGCTGGCGTAGGTAGAGATGGTCTGGGCTAGTAGCGGCCAGCTTCACTTCGGTAGCCTTCACAGACGTGGTGTTGTTGACCTTCTTGTTCCGTCTGGTCTTAGAAATGCCTGCCATGTCCGGCTCCTTGTTGTCCAACGGATGAAATTCCGCCGTGGACTTCCCTCTCCCCATGTTGGCCAATTATACGCGGGTGCTGAACGGCTATTTGATTGACACTGTTTGGGCGAGGCGATTCGACTCTGCCGTACTCACCTGGAGTACCGAAAGACTGTCATATGAATCTCACTTGTGAGATTTAACAGAAACTGTGAGGCCCTACCTTCACGAGGGATCGCTGATAAGGATGCCATCGTCGACCCCTCACCGACTACAGCGAAGGATGGACCGGTGCATCACCTAGGTACGCCATGAACGTTCGTCATTTGGCATAGTCTCCTAGGAGCATGATAGTGCAGATGGGAGGCCAAACCCTCGGTATCGGTGAAGCGTGGTGCGGGTGCTACCTTGCTATCATCGACGGGTAAAGCGTGGCAAGCATGCCGTGACGTGCGCTCGGGAAGAGCTCGGTAGAAGCATTTGACAAATACGGAAGGTAGAGTGTGTTCCTACTGGTCCGTTGTTGATGGAATACCGTATCTGTGATGACGGTAGTGGAGTGAAGGAGTTTGTGGGGCGCGGGTTGTTGGTAAGAGTAGCGACGTGGTCATTCCAAATACCATGCCGAATCCGTCTTGGAGGCTGTAGGTCATGACAAGCTTACTTGCAGCGCTTGCACCCCTTTGAAATAGTGAGATGAAAGCGTGCTGAATGTGACACATTGCTGTTTATGGCAGAGGGAGAGTATGATATGTGTAGGGAGGCGACAGTTGCTAAACTCGGTGCCGGACTCGGGTCCGGAGAGAAAGAGACATCGACGTTCAGCTCATGCCTGCCCATCGGCATAGATTGAAGGAATCTACCTTTACCCCACGAGGGCTATTATTACACCTAACAGGGCCGGTTAATGGCTCAGGCAATGTCCCTCACAGTGAGCCAAACCGCATCCAACGCCGCTGCCAATAGCTGCATTTGAGTAAGGTCGGAAGCATCAACTGACAGTATCCAGTTTTCAGTCATCGCGCAAACCCCTCCTCCAGCGCAGCCCACGCTCAACCATATGTTTGGAAACCCTTCAGACTGTCGATCTCAAGCTGCGGCCTTGTCGACCGCCGCTATTTCTCCAATAAGCACCTTTGCCGTCGTCGCAGCATTGCGAGCCTTGATCGATGCAGGCGCACCCTGCCAGAAGTCACCGGCAGCCGAGAGCGGGAGTTGTGGCAGCGTCTTCAGCCCGCCAGCATCCTCTGCATGCTCCTCGCGGTCCTCCGCGGGCTGCTCCTCGAGCTCGTCTTCGTCATACGTGAACGCCTCCACTTCTTCGTACCCTCCGTAGCCGTCATTACATCCTCCATATCCATTTTCGTACTCTCCGAAACCGCCGTCATGGTTGTCGCAGTTACCGCGGCTCTGGGCCAGATGGTACAGCTCCATGGTAGCCTGCGGATCCTCCACGCTTGAATGATCTGTTAGCTGTATTGATTGCCTAATACCAGACTTGCTAGCGTAGCTAGCTTCGGTAACAATTGCGGGCGCTTACTATGCTTACGGTATGGTTCATGGAGCTGAGTATCGTGAAGATACGAACGGTGTCGAAGACACGAGGGCTGAAGACCTTGATATCGTTGCTGATCGCATGGCCCACCACAAGGTCTGCCTCATGATGGATCTGGGTGGGATAGTCTTCCACTTTCATGACCCTTGCCGCACCGTTTCGTAGCTTGATGTCCGCCCAGTAGACACCCATCTTTAGCCTTTGAGGATGGAGCTTCTTGTGCTTGCTCTCTTCCTCTGCAAAGTAGCAGAAGACGTCGTAGATGACCTCCCGGAAGGAGTTCACAACGGAAACACGGCCGGAACGCTGGACGTGTTTGGCCAGGCGTTGTACTTTGACAATCTGAAACTCGCAGTCGATGGCGACTACCGTGGTGATCAGTTCGAAGCGTGGAACCAGGCCGACCGCCCGAGCGGGCAGGCTACGGTAGGGGACCTTTAACTAGTGACGTCCTTTCTCGTCCCGGAAGACCTTCTCGGCCGCAACGAGCGTGACGATGAGCGGTATGGCGGCTAAGTCGTAGCGATGCGGCTCAGTCGTAGCAATGCGGCAGTGCCTGGCAAGTGCTCTAGATAAGGACAAGGACGTGGCTCGTTTGTTTCTTGGTGCCGGTGAAGAGAGGTAGAGATGTTCGCCAAGCAGGACGAGCGCAGTCGTGACGATGTTAAGTAAAGACGACAAGCGAATGTGCTCGTTCGTATCCTGCTATACTGAAAAGACTGTCGCATAGTGTTACCCCGTCGACACTTTCACTTCACCAGAGAGTCTACCCGGAGTGGGTGAATCGTACAGTGGTCGGGCGCAGCCAAAGCTGCCGGGAGTGTAAGCTGCAGTCGTGTGAGTTGGAAGAGAGCTCGTGCCCTATCCGTTGGTATGTACAGCATACTTGGATGGTTGATAGCAGGGATGAGCAATGGCCAGTAACAAGCTGCCCTAGCGATCGGTTTGCTCGTTGCAGTGCCAAAAGCGACAGGCAGGCTATTCGCTCGTAGAGAGCATTAGGGCGTAGTGTGCCTCTTGATGTATGCTCAGTCTTTGCTCGTGTCCTGCTAATTCTGAGACTATGCCAACTGAGCTTCCCTGCTCGAGAGTAGCGGCGTGCATATTTTCCTTTGTGTTTGCCCTCCTTGCTAGCTCTACTACTCGGTCATCAGCAACAGGCACGGAGCCAAGAACAGAAAAGCCACGGATTAGGAACAGTCCTGCATGTCCCGAAGATGGCAGCAATATGCTTACTGCGCTCGAATTCCCACATCGCGAGGTTTCCGTTGAGGAAGCATGCAAAGAATGGCACAAGGCTGTGGCATGAGTATAGTAGTAATAAAGACTGATTCCCGCTTTCGCAGTAGCCGAACTGTCCTGTCGACTCTTCGTAGTTGTACATGTTGTTTCGTCCATTTCATTCCGTTCGTAGACCCAACCTCCATCGCTATCGCTATGCAATGTCAACGCTGAAGAGCTCAATCAGAGCGAAGAGCAGAGAGTACGAAGCGCCTCCACATGTACCTCACGACCAAATTGCTGAACCTGTATGCCGTCATGCGCCGATGAAAAAGTCGTGCTCAACCCATGCAGTGCATCGGCCTTCAACCATCCCCGTCGCCAAAGAAGTCACTTAGTGCGTCAGTCCAGCTCGATCCTCCACCTCCTCCACCCTCTCCGCCCGCACTCGGCGGCGGCGATCCACCACCTCCACCGCCCCACGGATCTTGATCATTGTCGTTATCCCACCAATTCCCACCGCCCTCCCGCTGCTCGCCCGGCTGACCCTGACCTTCACCCTGGCTCTGCTGCGCTTGCCGCTGTTGTCCATCCGGATCAAACACCGCCTCGTTCGCCGGATCACCCGGTAACGGCTGTCCACCTTGCTGCTGTCCATAAGCGCCCCGCTGCATAGCTTCGTACCCAGCCATCGTACCCGCAGCCGCTATTCCGGACTCGCTTGCACCTACTCCGCCAGCCGCACGTCCCGCAGCTCCCACTGCTGTGCCCGCGCCTTCCATCGCCCCGGCTCCTCCAGCCGCCGCGCCGCCCGCTCCTTCGATCGCACCAGCTCCCGCACCCGCGGCGCCCGCGCCTTCAGCAGCAGTGCCTCCGCCCATGGGCCAGAAGATGGGAAAGAAACCTCCACCCCCACCCGCATGCGAGTGGCGGGAGAAGTAATCAAAATCGATGCTCACCGCCGTCGCCAACATGACGGCTCGTTGATCTAACGTCATACCCGTCGCTTCTCGCTCATACTTGGCTACCTCTTGTCCTTCTTTGCTCTCGAGCACGGAAGACTGCGCGGCGCTATCCATGCGTAGTACGTAAACGCCAGAGTCCGTGAAGATCTCTCGTGCGAAACCGGAGAAATTGCGGTTCACGGTCCCGATCAGCCCGGCGTCTTCGGAGCGGAGGTTGAAATCCCAGGAGAGGAGGGGTTCGGAGATGTGGGCGAATTGGGACATGCCTGATTCGATTGCTTGGTCTGGTACTGAGGCTTCGGTTAGAGCGGTGGAGGTTGTGTTGGGCTGGTCGCCGGATTCGAGGCGAGGTTGGGAGGATGCAGTTGGTGGAGGCGTGAGTGGGCGGAAGGTGAAGAGGTTGTAGTTCCGTTTGAAAGGGTGCCAGGATTGTTGGCATTCGCCAATGATGCGCATCTCCTCCAACTTGAGTGGGGAGACTTGAGCAGTTGAGCCTGGTTGCACAGCTGAGGTGGCGGAGGTGCCTTGCAATGCAGTACTCCTCTCCGCCGCATTTTCTCCATCATACCCACCCTCTGGTATTGGATCGTATATCCGTATCCGACTGTTAATGTATGCGAACGGCCGGTGTATCCTCAGCACCTCCTTCTCCTGCGCGTCGAAGATGTGGGTGGTGAAACTACGATGCGTCTTGAACATTTGCCTCGCAAAGGCGCTGCCGAGTCCGTGGTCGCGTTCTGCGATGTAGCCGAGCGTCTCTCCCGTGCCGTTCATTATCACGTAGCGGTTGGCTTGCTCGAAGCCGATGATGAGGTTCATCATCTCGATCTGGCGCTGGATGACAAGGCTGCTGTTGGAGAGGAGGGAGAGGGCAGGGTGGTGTGGTGGGAGGACGGCATGGGGGTCGGAGGGGATGTTGACAGAGGTGACGAGGTCGGAGGTGTCGGACTGGGCGAGGGCGGTGGCGAGTTGGGTGTTGGGTCCGGGTTGTTGTTGCTGCTGTTGTTGTGGTTGAGAGGGTTGCTGTTCCTGCGCATCTTGCTGCTGGTCCTCATTATGCTGTCGCATGCGTTGTGTGAAGGCATCATTGCTGTCCTGCCCATGCTCTGGTCTGCCGGTCCACGGTCGATGTCGTGGCGGAGGTTTCTGTACCCATCGCCGTTGCTCCACCCGCCGAATAGCTCTGCTTGTTTGCCGTATCTCAAGTCGTGAGACTGCTCTCGGGAAGCGGTAGGACCACCGCGCCGCCGACATGTTGTGGATGATGAGGGACGCAAACGGTGCTAATGTAGATAGTCAAGATGACAGCTACTCGCCATCGAATGCGGCAGGTACGCAAGGCACGGCCCACCGCATCAAAGCTTGACAGTCATCCGATCGTCGACTTACTCATCCACGGCAAGATCTGCAACAACCTCCCTCCATCTGAACAGCAAGAACCGAGCCCAACATGCCGATGGAATAACATTGTCCCCTTACAGGATCTGGAAAATCTTTACAATAGAGGCTGCCAGCAATGGCGGTGGCAAATGGCCATGCTCCGAAGGACGCAACTAGCGACCGCACCTCTAGACAATCCAATGTTTCCACGACGAATGATTCTGCTACCACGAAAAGCACTAACTGCAACGGGAGGGCAACCAATAGCGCCGCTCCGGATACTCCCACAACCAAATCAACAAATGCCCAAGCAACCCAAGCAAATCCCCATCCCAACCCCAGACCCGCACGCAAAAGGAAGCCCAATCCAAACCAAATCTACACATCCCCTCTCCCTCTGACAATCCACCCTCTCCCTGCCTTCCACCCCTCCCACCCTCTCTCCCTCCTCCACCTCGTAGCAACCTACCTCTCCCACCTCCTCTTTCCCCCATCCTCCCACCCTTCCCCACTTTACCCCGGCGTCTTCAGCCCGGAGACCCACAGCGTCCACGTCACGGACCCGAGGGCCGTGAAGGCGTTGTGGGAGATGGGGTTCTGGGGCAAGGGAAGTTTGAGTCGGAGCGAGATGGGTTGGTTGGAGCGGGAGAAGGCGAGGAGGAAGGAGGCGAAGGGTGCGAGGGAGGGGCGGGTGAAGGTGGCGCCAGAGGACGCGACGAAAGCGCGTAGGGAGGAGAGGAGGATGTTTAAGCTTGAGCGCGCGAGGGCGGAGAGGGAGAGGATCTTAAGGCAGAGGGCTGTTGAGGAGGGGGGGGCGGTGGAGGAGGGTGGAGAGCAATATCCTCCTAATGGGACTAAGCGTGACGAACAAGTTCTAGATCCGTTGATGAGGAACGAGACTGATCTCCAAGTGGAAGACGGTAGGCCGGGCGAGCGAGTTCCCGATTCAGAGCTACTAGACCCAGCGACTGCAACGGAGCACGATCCGCTAATACCAAACGGCAACCCCACGGCAGAAACGCCGGCCTCGGAATCACGCTCTCAGACTCGGAGAAGGGAGCAAGTGGGCGAAGACGCGGAAGACGACGAGCCTGAACCCGACATCAAGAACCAGGAACATCTTCAGCTCACGCCCGAAGAAGCCTTCTTCCTCTCCTACGCCCTCGGAGTCCTCGCCGTGACGCACCCGAACTCCACATCATCCAAGAAGCTCTCGCCACCGGAGCTGCTGGACTTGTTCGCGACCCCGCACAAACCCGCCTCATCTTCAGTGACGAAGCATCAGGCCCTCCTCCAGCATCCCGCCATATCTCTCAACGATCAACCCTTACACGCTCGCGACGTCAGCCGCCAGGTTACCGATTCCAATGCGGTCACAGAGCCTTCCCTGTCGCCCAGCGCTAGCACCGATCGAAGCGTAATCGACATCGAACCGGACAACCCTTTCCTCCTCTCCTACGCAACATACCATCACTTCCGCTCTCTCGGCTGGGTCGTACGGCCGGGCATCAAGTTCGGGGTCGACTTCCTGCTCTACAACCGCGGACCAGTCTTTAGTCATGCCGAATTTGCTGTCGTCATCATGCCTGCTTATACGCATACGTATTGGGCGACTGCCAAAGGGAGGTCATTGCGCAGGAGGGAAGGGAACGGGGAGAAGGATTGGTGGTGGCTGCATGCGCTCAATCGCGTGCAGAGTCATGTTGTTAAGACGTTGGTGTTGTGTTATGTCGATGTGCCTCCTCCGCCGCCAACGACTACAGGGACGGGCAGTGTGAGCGATGTGACGGCGTTGTTCGCGCGGTATAAGATCAGAGAGTTCATCGTGAGGAGATGGAGTGTGAATCGGATGAGAGGGTGATGATGTAGAAACGTGTCGCGACGAATACCTCGTTATACATACTTTGCTGAGGCCATTTGTGTTGATTCTACCTCAGCCGCCTGGCCCATCATACTTGATCCTGTTCCGAGCACGAGGAGTCTATGGGTGGGTCATGTACCTGGCTTCTATACAGCTTTCTGGACTCTGAGGACCTCGACGATGTACTGCAAGCCAGCGTGAATACGTCTTCCGTCAACGGGAATCGTTCTGCGTGGTCACGTAAAGTCTTATACTTGTAAACGCTCCATACATGCTGTAGTCCCTTCCGCTGTTAACATGCGAGTTCGTAGTAGTAATGTAGCTGCTCTCGACATCTGTCACCAGATACCTTTCACGGAAGCATGATGTTGTAGAGCCTTCTGCGGCCGTCAAGGAACTCTTCTGATGTCGAGGATTTAACACAAAGAGCATCTGAGCCATCAACTGTGCCGTCCATTTGGCAACCGTGGAGTCACGTAGCAGAGACTTTTGACATTCACCATCGCCATTGACCCTACACCTTGCCAAGCCATATCTTTCTCATGGATGCCTCGCTTACCATGTACACACGATGCTTCATGGGACAGGGTGCTCTTATGTAGATTGCCAGCTCGAGAGTTGACGGGATACCAGCCTACATGCGCTGGACATGGACGACCTTCTAGGCGAGGACTGGCAGGCTCCGCCGAAAGCCGCCAACACCGCTCCCTTGAAACCTACTCCCTTCGCCTCCGGCTACAGCGGTTTCCGTGCGAGTCCGCAGGCTTCGGTCTCAGTCTCGGGTGCCACATCTCCACAGACCATCAGTCGACCCTCCAGCACCGTCAATGGCACGGCGAAGCCGGCGAGCGATAGCTTTGGCAGCTTACTGTCACTGAAGTCGCAAAAGGCCGCAGATAACTTGTCAATTCAAGAGCGACAGAGGCAACTTCTGGAGGAGAGGCAGCGATCTCAGACACAGCATTCGCAGCTATGGGACACTCTGGGTAGCGGCAGAGGCACGCCCGAGATCAGGGTGCCTTCTCCGGCCGTATACAACGACGAAGACGATATACTGGCTGCTTTCAACCGATCAGCACCGGTTGACAATGCTAGCCACTTTCCACCGCCGGTGTCGAATGGTGTTAGTGGCACGAGTACCCCAGCAGTAGCTCAGAAGGCGCAGAGCGACCTGGGAAGCTACGATGAGGATGACGATCCGTTTGGCCTTGGTGCGACTAAGTCTGGCAACGGCCACGCTGTCCCACCTGCAATACGAGCTACACTTGACGACGAGGATATACTTGGTGATCTCGGCAAGCCTGTAGCGGAAAGACCTCCCATAAGCCTACGGAGAGTTGAGCGTGAAGCGGACACTAGTCACGTGGTGGCACGGGAAACGGGTCAGGAACCGGTGGATCGCTCGGTAGCTGAACTGGTAGAGATGGGTTTCCCTGCGGACAATGCTCAGATAGCCTTGGCAGAGAATGGCGGGAACGTGCAAGCCGCGGTTGGTTGGCTACTGCAGCAAGCACACGAAGAGTCTCGGCAGAAAGCACGGAGTGATGTCGAGAGCAGACAACGAAAGGCGGTGCATGGCAGTCGAAGCCCGCCTCGGAGGCAGCGCAGTAACGACGGTGAGACTCCGGCGTGGATGCGAGCAGGCTCGGCAACACGAAGAGAGAACAGCAAATCACCTGCGAACGGCGAGCGAGATGCTGCTCAGGTCGCGCAGGACCTCAGCAGTAAGCTTTTCAAGGGAGCCAATTCGATCTGGAAGGCAAGTCAGAAGCAGATGGCGAAGACCATGGCCGAGTTTCAGCAAGAACGTGACTCCAGTCAGCCGCGGTGGATGCAAGAGACTCGGTCAGATAGCGACACCGCCAGCAGGCAAGCACGAAAGGCGGAGCGAACGCAGCCGCGCGCTGCAAGGCCTGCAAATCTGACGGACGAAGCTGCGATGCTTGCTGCGCCTCGTGAGTCAAGGCTAGCGAAGGAAAGTCGAGCCACCGCACCCGAAGCTTTCATAGAACCGGTGAGCCGTGGACGGTCACCAGCTGAACCCCAACCTTACAAACCGGCATCACAGCCCAAATTCATGCAGCAGGCGCCGCCATCCCAAGACCGAAGGCCTGCTACGAAGCTGAGTAGGCAGGATAATGAGGAGCAGACAGCTGAAGCCTACGTCAGCCCTGCAAGGCGAAAAGTAAGTGTTTCATTTCCTCGCGATGGCGTAGCGGAGAGGGTGGCGTTGGTGGCGGTGACGGGCAGCTTTGGCAAGGACTACAACAGTGGGATGCCTCACAACCTCACTCGCATCATGTTCTACCTTGCCATGTAACGCGCTAACAGGCCTTGCAGCGCCCTATGCCCAAACCGGAGCCTCCAAGTGACCCCGAAGTCGACTTGTTCAGTCCTGCACCCTCGCGCACACCCACAACAACATCACACACTCCCGCACAGCCAGCGCGAGCGGCAGCGACCCAAAAGCCGGCATCTGTGCCTGTCAAGCCCGCGAGACCAGCAAGAAGCATACCAACAATCTCACCTTCCGCTCTTGCTTCCTCTGCTCAACACCGTAAAGCTGGCGGCGAAGCCTTCAAGCGAGGCGACTACGCCGCTGCACACGAGTCGTACACTGCCGCGATCGGTCCTATACCGGCGACCCATCCTATCATGATCGTTGTTTTGAGCAACCGTGCCTTGACAGCCCTCAAAACCGGCGACGCGAAGACGGCGGTCTCTGACGCCGACCGAGCGCTTGAAATTATCGGGATCGGTCAAGGTGTGGGAGAAGTCGTTGACCTCGGCGGCGCTGAAGGCACGAAAGACATGCGCGACTTCTTCGGCAAAGCTCTCACGCGCAAAGCGGAAGCTCTCGAGCATATGGAGAAATGGTCCGATGCGGCTGCCGCCTGGCGACAAGCTGTTGAAGCTGGTGTAGGTGGATCAGTGGCGTTACGAAGCCGAGACAGGTGCGAGAAGGCTGCTGCACCTGCACCTGCACCGAAGACCGCTCCTTCGTCTTCTGTTCGCCGCATCGCACCTTCGCCAGCCAAGGCACCACCAGCTAAGAGTCTGGGCAACAGCATGCAGCGTCCGACGCTGACTTCCGCTACCTCCGCCGAAGCCGTCAAGAAGCTTCGTGCGGCCAACGCTGCGGCGGAGAAAGCGGACGACGAAAAGTTCGCGCTTACCGACGCCGTCGATGCGCGCCTAGACACTTGGAAAGGAGGTAAAGCTGACAATCTCCGCGCTTTGCTGCAGAGCTTAGACGGCGTTCTGTGGGAAGGTGCAGGGTGGAAGAAGGTGGGTATGGCTGACCTGGTCATGCCTAACAAGGTCAAGATTGTGTACATGAAGGCTATTGGGAAGGTGCATCCTGATAAGGTAGGTTGATTGGACTGCATGTATATTGTGTGAGTATCTAGGTGTTACAGAGCGCTAACGAGACTGTGTCTGCAGATTCCGCAGGATGCGACAACGGAGCAGCGTATGGTGAGCGCCGCTGTCTTCAGCACGCTGAATGAGGCTTGGGACAAGTTCAGGACGGACAACAACCTTTGAGACCTTGCGAGGTCAACTTGTTGGACGCACAAATGTGTAGCTGAGTGTCTCGCTTTTGAAACATATTTGCTTCACAACTGTCTGATTGCGACCTTGGTTGGCTTGACATGTCTTCAACCTGGGTATAATAGGTAGCGATCGACCTGCTCTTCACAGTGTAAGTCCTTTCCCACTTATCCTGTATCGTTCCTCGCCGTCTTATATACAAGTTTTTAATGTCTCGGGAATGTGCTTATACAATGGTATACAGGGTGCGGTTCACATACTGCCTGAGCGCACTTGCGAAGACTTCCTTCATAGCACGAACAAAGCCCGAATGAGTGCACAATCTCTCCTTTGTTGACGTGCACAATGTATGCTCGGAGGCATTGTGTCTGGCAGGCGGTGGGCTTTGAACGACCTACCCGCAGGCTCAGAGCTCACTTTTGTTTCCTCCCACCCAAAACCACGAGCGACACAGTCAACACTCAACCCTACCAAGTCTGGTACTTGGCACTATACTCGTTAGCACCCCAGTATTCACCGCGAAACAGCACTCACCAGATCTAACAAGCAAACTCACTGAAATAGCCATGCCTGTTACTGTCCAACCCGCCGGAACCACGACTACTGTTCGACCGAAGCGCCAGCCGAAAACCGAATGTCGCGCCACGCAGGTTGTACCTCTCTTTGAAAAGTTAAAGGCTGGTGAGCCCGTCTTTATTGATATGGAGTTCCAAGACTACAAGGTCGCGGGCGAGAAGCAACATCACCGCATCGGACGCGTTGCAATCATCAATCATGCTGGTGAGGTCGTCCTTGATGTTTTTCCGGCTTACCGCAGCGAGCCTAACGTTAAAAAGATCCTGCCACCGAGGCGTTTCGGTGTCAACTGGAGCGATCTGTACTTCGACAACGGTGCTGTTCCAGCCGAGAAGGTGGAACGCTGGGTCAAAGAAATGGTCAAGGATCGTACTGTTGTTGTCCACGGAGGCACGCACGACCTCACCGCATTCTACATCGAGCAGGATGTGTGGGCAACAAGCACGATCGTCGACACGCAATGGCTGTACTCCGGTGTGGCCGGCAATAGCAAGCCGAGTCTGCTGGATTGCGTCGAGTCGGAACTCGGTCTCGACCACTTCCGGTCGGGCGGCGAGCATTCTCCCGTTGAGGATGCTGAAGCCACCCGTCAGCTGTACTTGAGGGCGCAATCCGGGGAACGGAAATCGGACGATGCGAAGGTTGATGAGGGAGATAGTTCCCACTATCGTCATGGAAGATGAGGAGTGGGAACCCGCTCCGTCTATTCATGCCGAATGGTAGGTGGAGTGCGACACGCTGCGTTCGCAAGCGGGCTGTTGAGAAGCCGCCTCAGATGGTTCTGGAGTTGTCCTGTGCCTGGCTTACATCCCCCGGGGAGTGCCGTCTAAATTTTAAGACGTCTGATTGCTTTGGCAGACAGTACCTGTGCGTTAGATCTCGTTACCAACCAGACTTGTAAGTAACGACCTTACGCAGAGTCTTTCTTCGTTAGTCTAACTCTTTCCACTACATAGATATTGTGACCGGTCGCTGAATTACGAACCATAACAGCACCCTATCACTTCCATCCTCACGCAGCAACGTGCTGTCTACCGATTGCCCAGTGCTCGATCTTAGAGTCCGTATTCATTTGGTAGGCTCGTCCGGGATCCACACGACTCCTTCCAGCTGATGCCTGGGACAATACGGCAACACTTTCACAGCTTGGCGGACAATGGCATTCGGTCATTCATGCAGGATGATCTATTCGTTGAGTTCACCTTTTGGCACCACAAAGGCGTTGTGAATGATGGTGGGAGACTGGTATAAGAACCACAAGTGCTCGCTCTTGTTTGCAATCTCACGCATCGACGAAACATCCCTCGAAATAGTCAACTTGCTCTCGAGGTCGGCTATACTCCGCCAAGCCAACAGCAACGATCAAAGCGACCGCTTCCGTCCAAATCCAGTAGTCCACCACCAGTACAACCATGCCAGTCATCGTGGTCAAGGCGGTAGACCTGGAGGTCTCCGCCAAGCAGTCAACTTCTCAGCTCACTACCCCAGGCAGAGCCACGCAGACCTCTCCTCTCTACCACAAGTTGATCAAAGGCGAACCGGTCTTTCTCGATATTGAATTCCAGAAATACAAGATTGATGGAGAGCTAAAGCAAAAGCACCGTATCGGGCGCGTCACCTGCCTCAATACCGCTGGTGAGACCGTTCTTGACGCCGACGCTATCTACCCACGCGAAGCCAACATCAAGAAGTGCTGGCAGCCGGCAGAGTTCGGCGTAACAGCTCAAGGTCTCTTGTTCGAGAACGGGGGGGTTGCTGCCCACAAGGTCGAAGGCTGGGTCGCTAACATCGTCAAGAACCGCACCGTAGTCGTCCATGGCGGAACCCACGACCTCACCTCTTTCTACTATAAAGGTTACGACGTCTGGACGAAGAGCACGATGGTTGACACGCAGGATATCTATTCCGGCTTGCGCGGCAGATCTAGGCCCGGCCTTGACATATGCGCTTCGGTCGAACTCGGCATCTCACTTCGCAAGGGTGGTGAGCATTGCCCGGTCGAGGACGCAGATGCGACAAGGCGGCTGTATCTGAAGGCATACCCATACGATCGCAGAGTTGAGGTCGAGAAGCAAAAGGAGAACAACAAAGGCCACGAGGGCACCAAGACTGACAGAGGCAGCAAGGCTGCAGGCACCATCGCTGGCAAAGGACCTCAGCACACGGGCAACGTCAGCGGGAGTGCGAAGAAACGTGCTCGGAACAGGGCTGCGCGTGCGGCACTGGCCGTTGAGCAGCCGATCGAGAAGGAGTAATCGCGCCTCAGCAAGGAAAGGAGTACTTTTCGAACTAGATTCAAGGCGATGCGCGGGGTACTGCTGGACGTCCGAGTAGCGGTTGCAGCAGATTAGGCCCGGATGGGAGAGACCGTTAGAGATCATCGCTCATCAGCGAGGCTACTTGTTGGCTGCTAGCCAACGAATACCCAGGCCGCAGAGAACATCTATACCAGCACAGGTGAACCTAGCGCTTGTATATCGAGTCTATCGTCCAAGTAGCCTACAATAAAGTCTGTTACATGGATCCAACAGTAGGACTGTCTCCGCTAACGCTCGCTGACATCTGTCATAGCCTTAGAAGTGCATGGGTTGGTCACTGTTGAGTAGCCGATCAGTAAACCTGTGAACAGCGCAAAGAGGTGTTTGCGATGACTTACTACATCAGCTTGAACATGAGGTCCGTGAATGAACCATTCGGATTCTGCGGTTTCGTCAGCTATCATTGACAGGTAGCAATATCAACGGTGTGATCATCCTTTTCACACCATAAGCTGAGCAGCTGGGCTGACGAAGCTATCGGCGACTTGCTCCATGCAGCCGAAGAAAGCATACTCGTACACCCAGTCGGTCTTGTCCATCCAGTTGGCCAGTTGGAAAGTAAAGCCTTCTACGTCCTTGTATGTACGTGAGATTGAAGCTATCTCATGTACGATGACAGGCAATTTGTACTTGTTGTGCATGTCAGTGATATACTTGATCGCAGCATTTCCATCAGTTCCGTAAACGTGCAGGCCAAGGTAATCCGGACGAGAGTCCTGGACAAGGCTCAGGAACTTGTCGATCCACGCGTTGCCAGCCGGATCCTGAGCACAGCATGGGCTGCATAGTTTCTTGCCTTTCTTCCTCAGCTGGAGGACTTGCTTGTGCCAAATGTCGGCTGCTTGCTCGGGCGTGATACCAGCTCGCTCGGGCTCATTAAAGTAGATTACCAGAGGTTGATTAGTGTTAAGGATCCACTGCCACTCGTCTCCTTGTGTTTGGGGGAGCAGGTGAATCATGGGTCGGAAGGGCAGGCGGCCTTTGAGCTCTGGTGGCACCCAGGCGTTCCAATTGCACACTGATGAGATCGGGCCGTTGAAGTTGACCTTGTCCATCATTTGCGGGCATTTCTGCGTGTTGGTGTAGTCCCAGAGCAGCATACGCTTTCTGACAACCCTGCCCAAAACTTCGTCAGTCCTGTTGCTACTTACTACGGCCGTGTATGGGCGAGTTAAGGTAAGCATTCGTCTGCCTTTGCAAGCTACTTACATCTTGGCGGTCTAGAATATTCGACTACTGTGTTATTGTAACGAGCTTCTACAACCTCCGAGAACAAAACGGGAGTCCAGAGTGCGACGACCTGGCATATTTGTGCGTCAGAACATGGCTTGCTACGCAGCATAGCCTCGCCTGCGCAGACGGTTGTCTGGACCTGCGGCATCGATCTCGTGCCAGTATTCACGGAGATGATACCCTTGAATAAGGATGTGAAGTTCGCCTTGTGGCTTACACGATGTGAGTACTGGTCGAAGGAAGCAGGAAGGTGAGAAGCTGAGATGCAGCAGGCCACCAGTAAGGATGCACAAACACCATGTTCTTAGATGCGGCCTCAATACGCAAGCAATGCGCCTAGATTAATGAAGGAAAGCCGAAATCGAATCATAGTTCTCCCTGGGCAGAACGCCAAAGGACGTACATCTGCCAATCAACTGAGAGGCTTTCAGCCTTGCTGGCATTCACCAATCTGGTCCCAAACATCAATTCGACAGCTTTGGCAACTTTGGCAACCTTCGGTCGGTGACGGCGTGGATGGAGGTGCAAAGGAGGCAGCGAATTAGAGTCAAACGCCATCATCTGACTCCGCAAATTCCCCGAGCTAACTCAGTCACCCAGCCAGCTGCGGCTGATTGGGACGCCTGAAACTCTTCCGTCTTCCTCCATGCGTGCACTTCTGCACGTGCTCCGGTAAGATCTATTGCGAAGACGTACTGTGCATGTAGTGTTGGACAGAAGGCAAAACGCCAGGTGGCGCATTGTCGAGGCCACCCAATCGACTCGGCTGGACCCTCGAACTATTGCAGCGGCCCCTGCCTGCTGTACGTGCATCCGTTGGAGGATACGGCTGGTTGATCACTCTGCAAGCCATGGACTCTCCAATAATAAGCCGCTCTCGGTCTGGAGTGGAGGTAGGTGGCCTCGAAGGCAACAAGATTACCGCACGAGCTCAGCCTTCCTGGCCGCGTTGGATGCAGCCACCGGCCATCCAGAATTGTCAGGCCATGTATAGCCAGCGAAGGGTGTATAAGTGCTGCAGGATGTGTACCACGCGGAGAGTAAAGTTACGGGAGGCCGCCAGTGTCACATAGATCCGATTTTAGCTATTTGTTCGCATTGCACAGCGTGCTCAAGATGGCGAAGATTAACATTCATAACATTTCCAATCATGCCCAGACCTTTGAGATACATGGCTGGGGACAGAACACGACGACTGTCGGAGCCGGCCAGATGCGCACATTCGATGCCGCCAATGGCTCTTCCGGTGCAATCATTGCCATGCACAACAACCGAGAAGGCGAGCAAGCCGAAATCACCAAGGGCGGCAATGGTAAAGGTGGTGAGTCCTAGTCCTGCTTCTGCTAGGCATGGTGGAGAACAAGTCCTAAAAAAACTTTGTAGCGAACGACGTCTTCGATACAAGTGTCGAGGTAGGCTCGGGTGGCAACATCACTGTACAGCAATGGGGCGACGATTCGACCCGTAAAGGAGCACCTCACTATATGCAGGACGCGAACAAAGCGTGGCACTCTGCGCCTCAGGGCGTCCAGGATTCCATTCGGAACATGGTCACTCTCGACAAGGCTGGCAACGTCACATTCATCGGTGCAACGAAGAATAGCCAGGCTCTCGAAAACTGGGTCCGTACCTTTGCGAATGGCAAAACTTACATTGGCACTGGATCGTGGAATGGCAATAAGGGTAACCCGGCCGATAACGCACAGGTAAGGCTACCATGTCATAATGCATTTTCTGTTGGTTGGATACGTTCTAACGGCAATGCTCTCAGAGCTCAGCAGCAAATGGTATCCGAGATCTGATTATCACATACAATGATGGCGATGCCACTCCTACTCTTGGAGCGGGCAAACCACGTCTCAACAACAAGATGGTGGGGCAGCCTGACAGTCTCGCGCACCGGACTAGCATCAACATGGCGGAGGTCAACCCTGTGCATGCTGTAGCCCGCGAAGCTGTGACACCAAAAGGGCCGGGCATCATCCTGGCAAATACCTCCCACGAGCAGTGCACATACAATTTCTACGACAACGCCCAGAATGGTAATGGCTGGGCTGTACCCACCTTCGACCATCCGACGGCCTCCGTGACTCTCAAAGCCGGAGCAACGCAGTTTGTATCTCTCCATACTGACTTCAAAGGGCGTATTCAACGTGGTTCCGTCCAACCCGCTACCTGGGTTGAGTTCCAAATCAAGGCTGCCAACGACGGACAGGCTTGGGGCGACATCAGCCTCGAAATGGGATGTGACGGTGCAGCTACCATTGCAGCTACGGACGGGAGCAACCACCGCAACGGCTTCCAGAACGAAATCATATCTGGCGCTCCTGCAGCTGCGAAGGTGAAGCGCAGTGACGGCAGGGTCGTTCTTGACACCACCCAGGGCTACTGGGGCGGCGGTCCGAACAAGGCAGCTTCTGCGTATGAGGAGAAGGTTGTGGGACAGAAAAAGGCCTACATCCTTGGAGGATCCGGCACTGACATGGTCATGAGCAAGAACAACTGCTTGAGGGTGGAGATGTACTGATGTAGCTATGCCATTGCTACATTGCGTTTGTGAACACCATGGCATTCGTCTGACAATCAATGTGACTCGGATCGCTTTGCGTAGGATGTACGTTTTGCTGCTGGATGCGGCCAGCCCTTTGCGGATTCGCGTCATGCGCAGGCGGCTCGTTAGCTGCTTACTCTAGAACTAGATCCTGCGGCATGGATCGGACCCGTGCGGATCATGCATGGCTGTTCAGCCTCGATGCGGCCTCCTTGAAAGCTGACCGTAGCTTCACAGGGCGTTCTGTTGTTCACCAATCGATCAGGTATTCGATGCATCAGGGGCTGATGTTGCCCTAACGCAAAGCAACGTCTGGCACAGTTGCAGGCTCAAGGCCCGACGAATGGTCTGCAGCTAAAAGGTGGCTTGCTGTTCTGCCGTATCGGACCATCAGTCGAAAGCAAGTCTGCAATACCTGCAAGATGTCAACTCCCTATTGGACGTCTTCCTGCAACGAACGCAACATGTCAATATTGCCACAGGATCGGAGCATGGCCCTCCGGTTCTTGATGACTTCTCGAGCTCGTGATGCTTCCAACATGGGCTGAGCCAGCCCAGCCAGCTTGCGTCACGGACTCAGCATCCTGCAATATGCTTAATGTGCTTGTCTGCGCATCTGACAGAGTGAGAGGATGCGAGGCTTGGTATAAGAAGGCTCGAACGTGCTGCCTACCGAACAGACCTCAACCCCGTTATCCATTTAGCGATTTCACGCGAAGCCTAGTGCATATCCACTACTATTGCAACCAAAGATGTCTGACCAAGATCAGTGCCTCCAGAAGCACAACCAAGGTATGCCCGATTGATCACTCTGTTCGAGATCTCCACTGACGCTCCCCAGCTCGTGCTTCAGCGTCCGGCATCAAGCGAGTCAGCCTTTCGTGGGACGACAACCTCGCTAAAGCCGCTCAAGGCTATGCGCAGCACTTGGCTGATACACACACATTCCAGCATAGCGGCGCCAAAGGGCAGGGTGAGAATCTATACATGAGCTCAGGCCACGCTACTTTGACAGATGGTGCCGTCGCCTGGATCAACGAGAAGCCGCAATATCATGGCCAGAACATCCCCAATGGTGACTTCGGTAGCTATGGTCACTATACTCAGGTGATCTGGCCGTCAACTACCCATGTCGGCGTTGGTAAGGCGGTTGCGTCTAACGGTGCGACGTATGTTGTTGGTAAGTAGAGCGCGGCGTAGCTCGCCTTGCCATCGTCGTAGACACAGCTGACCCTCTCTTATCGATCTAAAGGCCGGTACACGCCCCAAGGCAATATCATAGGCCAGAGTGCTTATGGGTCTACACCGCCTGCTCAAAGACCCAACCCAAATTCTACGGACTATACGGTCAAAGCCGGAGACACTATGTGGAAGATCTCCCAGGCGTTTGGTGTCTCGCTCGACACTCTGAAGGCTGCCAATCCGGACGTCAAGGGTCCCGACTACACGATCAAGGTTGGTCAGGTAATCCATATTCCTGGTGTGATGCGTGGAGTCCAACGTATGGCCATGGCCCCCGCCAACCATGTCCCTCCAACTGCTGAAGTACAAGGGAGTACGAACGGTACCGCTCAAGCTGCGGCTGCTCCAGACACTACGGTCAACGGAGAAGCCCACGGTCTCGCTCAAGAGAACGGAATGAACGGGAACGCTAATGGCGTCGATCACTCGGCGGATGCACAGAACGGCATGAACGGCACTGTCCATGATGAGCAGATGGTAAGCGAAGTGATATCCATTCCCACTCGAAATGTCTAAGACACAGCTAACCTTTCTACCCACCGGGTCGTAGGTGCACACTAACGGCATCAAGACCAATGGCGAAATGACGCTCCCAATGCGTACAAGCATGATGGCCATCCAATCCAAAGCGGCTTCCGGAGACTACACCGTCGTGGCAGGTGACAGCATGTGGGCCATTGCTAAGAAACTTGGATGCACGGTCGAGGCACTCGAGGCCGCCAACCCGCAAGTCAAGCCTCCGGCATACGAGATCCACGTCGGCCAAGTGTTGAAGCGACCTGGCTCGAGCGGTGGAGGTACACTCAAGTACACCGTCGTGGCTGGAGATAGCATGTCCGTCATCGCACAGAAGACCGGCGTAGCTTTGGACGCTTTGGAGAAAGCGAACCCTCAAGTGAAAGGTCCAGCGTTCGTCTTACATCCTGGCGAGGTCCTCACTATCCCAGCAGGCGGACACTTGCCATCTGGCGGAGGGAGCAGCGGTGGCTCGAGCGGCGGAGCTCCTGGAGCGCCCCACTTCTACTCCGGCCCAGCGAGCAACTTCCCCAGTCCGGACAAGTGGGCGACGTGGGAGCACTTGACAGCCCAGAACGCCGCTATCATGAACACTACGGGCAACTCCGCGCAAGAGACGCAGTGGGTTATTGATGCAGCCAACGAGTTTGCCGGTCCCTCTGGCGTCGACCGACGTGGCATCCTTGCCGTCATCATGCAAGAGTCCACCGGCAGAGTCCGTGTCAACAGCACTTCTTCTCCGGGTGCCGGCGTCAATAACACCGGCCTCATGCAAGCGCACAATGGCGCCTCATTCAATGGTGAGAACCCGCAAGGCAGTATCCGACAGATGGTCAAAGATGGCGCTTGCGGTGTTCCAGGCCCCACTGGCGGAGACGGGCTGCAGCAGTTGATGGCTAGATACCACAACTTCTTCGTCGCATGCCGTGGGTATAACTCAGGTGATGGTGGCATCAACATGAGCAATCTTAGCGATGGTGGAGGTGCAACGAGCAGCTATTGCTCTGACATTGCGAATCGGGTGCTTGGTGTGGTTCCTCACTGATTTTGTTTGTCCGCTTTTCAGGTCGGATTCTTGGGATGATAGTGAGATGACTGGTAGTAGTGTTGCATAGCTGCGGCTCGACCTTCGCTCTTAGCGACTTCGCCATGTAACGTTTATGGTTTCCGCTCAGCCAAAGATTGTCGCCACGATGCTGTTAACATGGGCCAGGCAAGTCTGAGAGCGCTGTTACTCTGCGCGTTGCAGCGAGAGAGGGCGGTCATAGAGGCCAGCATCTCAACCATTGAGCTAGTGTCTGAGGGTCGCCAAGCCTGGTGGGTTGTGCGCGAACGATGTGTATAATGACATGACCGGCCGCCCCGGGTCTCGAACGGCAGCGTCCGTCAAAGTGTCCAACCTATTCGAGGCCAATCCACTCATCATCTCCATCGGCCATGTCTTCGTCTTGCACAACTCCAGCGCTGCGATCCATCTTCACCCCATCAATTCTACCCAGCATCTTCATTGTATCTCCATTGACCTCTGCTGCCGGTCTCGGCTGCCCCAGCAAATACTCAATGGTATGCTTGTTCTGATCCGCAACTTTCATGATTTCATTCTGGATTCGTGTGACGGCTCTCTGCACCATTCTTACAACCTCCGCATACTCGCCCTGGCGCTCTTTCAGCACCCGCCCATGTTGCCGTAGTAGACTCTCCAACCATAGCAGGTTGAACTCTAGGTGTGGTGATGCATCTGCCTCCTTCGCTACATGCCTTAGCAATCTCTCCAGATAGACTTGCGGGATATCTCGCACGACCAGTCCGATGTCAGTGGTGGGTATGGAGCGGTAGACTCTCGTGACTAGCTTGCTGTTGTTCAACCGGAAAGCCATAACGAGCGCTTTGAGCCACTCGCGGTTCGTCAGTACCTTGAGCGTGCTTTCGGGAGTAACATCGATGTCGAGATCGAAGGGATCGAACTGCACGCTGGCGTCGACACTGTAGATTAGCAAGCCTTCTGTACTTGCGGCGCAGAAGGCACGACCAGTAGGGGAGAAGGCCACACCAGGCACTCTCACTTCCGGCACTGCTTTGCGCTGCGCAGCATCACCTCGCTTGGCGCCCGGTAAGCTCGTATCCATCCGGTCCTCAAGGTCCGATGCTTCACCTTGCTCGTCCAATAACGCCTGGGGTCCGCCTTCGGTCAGGAGGCGGGAGTTTAAGTACTCTTGTGTTCCCTCTAGACTGAGATTGACGCTAACGGTGTACTTTTGCAACAACACGCCAGTCTCAACGGAGTACAGACATATATACTTGCTGTTACCCGCGGCGAGCACAACGCTTCCGTCAGCCGAGTACGTGACTGTGTTGAAGCTCTTTGTGCCTGCCGCATTCGCGGCAGTCCGCCGATCAGTAGCTTTCCTGCCTCCAGAGACATCGCGACGGCCATCAAGGCCCGTTTCCTGCGTGCCTTCGCTTAGGGACCAGAATGTGAGCTGGCCATCAAGCGTGGAAACGGCCAACTGTTTGCTGTCCGGACGCACAGTTACGCACAGCACATCGGCTTGTAGTTGAAGAGGCTCCGAGGTCTGTGTTCTCGCAAAGACAGACCATATGCGCACGGTCCTGTCCCAAGAGCCAGATATCAGACTCCCGCCATTGGGCGCAAATGCTAAGCTTGAAACAGGTCCTTCGTGACCGGCTAGTTGATCGAGGAGTTGGCCGGTTTGTACGCTCCAGATGTGAATGTCGAAGTCGTCCAGACTGCCGGCAGCGACGACCTCTCCTGAGGGATCGACTGCTATAGAGCTGAAGCTCAGGCGCTTGGGGGCGGTAAATGTGCGAAAGCAGCGGTAGCGGATGAGGTCGAAGGCTCGCACACTACCGTCCAATGAGGCAGTGAACAAGACATTTCCTCTCCGCGCAAACTCGCATGCAGTCACGCCCGAGGTGTGTTCGGTGAAAGTGACGATGCAGAAGCCTGAAGCGGTGTCCCAAATCTTCACCTTGCCGTCATCAGCGCACGTAATCACGCGGTCGCCGCTCGGACTGTATGTCAGTGAGTTCAGACTGTCGAAGTGGCCCTGCTGCTTGAGAATGTAGGATTCGGACTGCCATTCCCATACCAGCAGCTGACCCAGAGCCGAAGAGCCGAAAGCGAGCCATTCCCCAGTCTTGTTGATCGAGACAGTGTCGATGTTCGAGGCAGCAATAGAGAGCTTGTGGATCTCGCTGAAGTCTGGCAATTCGTGCAGCATGAACAGTCCGTTGGAGAAGCCGGTTACGAGAAGATTGGATGGGGCATGAAAGGCAGCCGTGGTAAGGTGTGCTTGCTCCTGGAAGAAGTAGTGTCGATCACTAATCCGCCACCTCTCGTCACCATCGGACAGAGTTTCTGGTGCCGCATCCGGTGATGGAAGGTACTGCCACCGGAACAACGCACCATCCTTGGACACGGTCCAGATGGTTTCCTGGTCGTGGCTAAACCACGCAGCATAAACACCGGTCCTATGTCCGGCAAGTACGGTCGGAGTAAAGCCTTCCTCGGGGTCTAGGCTCCATATTCGCGCCGTCAGATCTTTACTCGCTGTCAAGAGGAAGCGGGAATCACTGCTCCACTCGATGTTCTGGACAGTGTCGTGGTGGCCAACATAACGCCGATACCTAACAAACGGAGCGAACTCAAGGCCGCCGTAGTCATCACCGTCTGCACCATCTGTGGAGCCTGGCGTGGAGGGTGTCTTCCATACTTCGATTCGTCTACCAAGCGCCACAGCAAAATGCGAGCCGCTTGGCGAGAAGACCAGAGCTGACGCAGCCTCTTTGAGCGAGAAGCGGTAAAGTACGATTCTTCGCTGGAAGTGGCTTAATATGACTTGACCCTGTTCGTCTACCGTAAGCAGAAGCTGTCCCCCTGGGTGTAATGCTATTCGAGCAACGTCGGTCCGATGTGCAAACGGCAAAGTATGCGATTTGTTGTTGACAAGATCGAAGACAGTAACCCTGTTACCGACAGGCGACAGCAAGCATGTTCCGTCTGCTGTGTACACGAGGTTGCCTTTTCGGTACACACTGCCAAGCAGATTCGAGAACTGGGTGTCGTTAGCGACCACCAAGTTGCGCCGGAGGCAGCAGAGACAGCTCGGAGCGCACCTTGAAGTCGGTCTTCATGGCGAGCAGGCTGGAGCACTAGACAAACACTACGCCGCTGCTCCGAAACGCCGAACCGTAAAGACGAGTGTAGTATCTTGCAAGATGCAATCCGCGATCGCGTCAATGAACTTTTCATACATGGTGGAGAGTGAGTGCCAAAAATCACAGACTGCCGCCACTACCCCAGAAAGAGGCGCGACAGGGTTCGAAGCTTAAGCGGCTGTAGGAAAGGAGATTCGGTCCAGCTTTCCTCCCCGTCGCAACGGATCTCTACTGCTGTGCGAGTGTGCGCTGTCACGGGCTTGCCATTCACATTCACAACTGCCGATCGAACCGCTCGATACAGCAGGTACGCAAGGCCCCACTTCGCTTTCCAGTGCGCAAGCATCACTCCTCAACCGGCAACACACACGAAGATACCATTGACACTTGCACCGCGGCTAACATGTCTTTGCCCGTGCTACAGACGCCCAACTTGGAGAGCGTGCCAGGCGCGTTCATATCTGAAGACAAGAAGTCAAGCGTCCCATCACCACAACCGACTAACGAAGCTCCCACCATGGCCGAAGCACTCAACCCGATCGGCATTGCCAATGTATGTTGCCCGAAGGCAGCACCTGAACGCGAGGGCTGGTGGAGCTGATGCGAGAGACATAGCTTCCCAACCAGCGCCACAAGATCGTAGCCAAGCGCGGCGCTGCCTTCACCATCATGGTGGCTGGTGAGTCGGGCTTGGGCAAGACCACCTTCATCAACACGCTCTTCTCTACCACCATTAAGAACTACGCGGATCACCGTCGTCGGCACGCAAAGCAGGTCGACAAGACTGTCGAAATTGAAATCACCAAGGCCGAGCTGGAGGAGAAGTTCTTCAAGGTCCGCTTGACGGTCATTGATACCCCCGGCTTCGGCGACTATGTGAACAACCGCGACTCATGGCAACCCATCATCGAGTTCTTAGACGACCAGCATGAGAGCTACATGCTGCAAGAACAGCAGCCCAAGCGCACGGAGAAGATCGATTTGCGCGTCCATGCATGCCTCTATTTCATCCGCCCGACCGGCCACACACTGAAACCGCTGGACATTGAGGTGATGAAGCGACTGTGTACACGCGTCAATCTCATTCCGGTCGTGGCCAAGGCGGACACCCTCTCACCAGCTGATCTCGTGAGATTCAAAAATCGCGTAAGTGAGGCTGCAGCTGTCCGTAGTACCACGTCTGTCTAACCTACAGTCCATAGATTCGAGCTGTGATCGATGCACAAGGTATCAAGATCTACACTCCACCGCTCGAGGAGGACGATGAAGCCGGGCTTCAGCATGCTCGCAGCCTCATCGCCGCGATGCCATTCTCCGTCATCGGCTCCGAGCGCGACGTGACCACCCACGACGGGCGCACGGTCAAAGGCCGCCAGTACGCCTGGGGCGTCGCCGAAGTCGAGAACGAAGAGCACTGCGATTTCAAGAAACTCCGCGCCATCCTTATCCGCACGCACATGCTCGACCTCATCCACACCACCGAAGAGAACCACTACGAAGCCTACCGCGCGCAGCAGATGGAGACGCGCAAGTTCGGCGAGGCGAGGCCGAGAAAGCTGGACAATCCCAAGTTCAAGGAGGAAGAGGAGGCGCTGCGCAAGCGCTTCACTGAGCAAGTTAAGGTCGAGGAGCAGCGGTTCAGACAGTGGGAGCAGAAACTCATTGCCGAGCGAGATCGCTTGAACAAGGACCTGGAGCTGAGTCATGCGGAGATTAAGCGGTTGGAGCAGGAGGTCGAGCAGATGCAAGGGAGTGTGGCGCGGAGTGGGAGACGCTGAAAAAGCCGTTGTTCATTGCGGAGGTAAGGCCAAACCGTTGCGATCTTGTTCGTGAGCAGCTGCTGACTCTGCTACCCGCGCAACTCTAGATGCACGGTATCAGGTTGCAAGCGGGCGTTTTCGCGAAAGGGGTTGCTTTGCGGTGCAAAAGATACCACTGCTGCCATATTGTGTGCTGTTGCTAGCTGAGTGGGAAGGGATACGTTACGGTAAGTCGAGTGCAGTGCACTCGCTTTCCACGTATCTCATGCGGGTCTGGCGATGAGATGGTAATGAAAAGCGAACTTAATACTGTCATTGTTTCACGAGACTGGCGCACCGCATAGTATACCTGTTACTTGATCACTGGATAAGCGGCATATGCCGCTTTGTCACTCCACACCTTCCCTTTGCGAACATTCACCACACCTCCACACTTTCAAACACATGCACATGAACATGTAATATACAGGACGGAATGTCCGCACCTCAGGACTTCCCGACAACACCCCTAGCCCGTCTCGGAGGCCACAGCGGACCCGTCCACGCCCTCACCTTCTCCGCCGGATCAGGCCAATACCTTCTCACAGGCTCCCAAGACCGCCAGGTCCGCCTTTTCAATCCGTCTACCCGTAAGCTTGTCCAGACTTACTCCGCTCATGGCTATGAAGTCCTTGATCTGGCCGTCAGTGATGATAACTCCCGTTTCGCGTCTGTAGGCGGTGACAAAACGGTCTTTCTATGGGACGTTGCCACCGCGCAGACCTTGAGACGGTTTGCGGGACACGTTGCTCGTGTTAACGCTGTCGCTTTCGGTGGAGATGGGGACTCGGTGATTGTGAGTGGAAGTTTTGATGGGACGGTCAAGGTCTGGGATGGGAAGTCGAGGTCCGAGAAGCCTATCATGACATTTGGTGAGGCGAAGGATGCGATTAGCTCCGTTGCCGTTGTTGGGGCTGAGATCTATGCTGGAAGCGTTGATGGGAGGGTTAGGGTGTATGATCTTGCTGCCGGCCATGTGAATGTTGATGTGCTTGGAGCGAGCGTGACGAGCGTTACACTCACGAAGGCGGGAGATAGTTTCTTGGTCTCTTCGCTGGATTCAAAGCTGCGCCTTATGGACCGGCCGACTGGAAAGTGCTTGCAAACGTTCAAAGATCCGCAATTTGTGAACAAGACGTACCGCATTCGTTCGACGTTGGGCATGGCGGATAGTATGGCTATCAGTGGAGGAGAGGATGGGAGTGTCTGTGTTTGGGATGTCTTGAGTGGATCGCTGATGCATCGACTAACGCATACGAGGGAGATCACGACAAGCGAGAAGACGAGTAAGAAGGACGTGGTGTCTGCCATCGCTTGGAACCAGCTGCGAAAGCAATGGGCAAGCGCTGGCGGTGACGGGGAGGTGGTGATTTGGGGCCTTCCGCCATGAAAGTGAGCCCGCAACGTGTGCGCCACTGTCTTATTTTATCATGGCATATCAGCCCTCCTTTCTCAGGCATATGATGGGATCCAATCTACCAAGCGGCAACAAGGACACGCACTGCGACTTGGCAGACGGTTACTTGAGGACAATGCAGCCATTTAGAGAGCTTTGTTCGGTTTCGGCACGCGCATTTACATTCTGCTGTCTCAGAGGTCAGGTCCTCCCCTGAAGACACCGACCTTGTCCGCTTACCATCCTGACCCGCGAACGTTGAAGAGAGGCACCCTGCGGCTCAGATCAGCACAGAGGCAGTGGCTCTTGCCATAGCTCGGCCTGACAGACGTGTCGCGGTATCCTTCAATTTGCCGGGATCGGAAACACTCTATTCCGCAGACATCTGGTGGCATGGAAGCGCCGTTGAGCACGAAAGCGGGTTGAAGACGAGTCCGAACGAGCTGGTACGACCATACGGTAGTGGCTCACATCTCGGGCGGCGTGGAGTCTTTGGCAGGCTTGACGAAGGCTTTAGGTCATTGCTGCGAGTCGACAGTGTGCGCAAGGTGTTATTTGCCCGTGTGCGAAGGTAACGGGAAGATGTAAGCGGCTTGAGTGAGGCTTGGTTGGCGTGTTCAGAAGCATTATCATACTGCGATCCAAGACAAGGGTGCGCTTAGAATGCACAGATGGGAAAGGCTGCAATCGCAGTGCTACTGCAGCTCGCCAGGTTATCAGGAACAATGTAGGCTTTCTAAGGCTTTCTTTCAACAGATTCCCGCTTCTGTAGTGTCCGTAACATAAACGTATCGTTCTATCTCATACATCACGCAGTGTGTTCCATCGCCGCAAAAGGCACACGCTCCATCTAAATGGCAAGGTTAGCACAGCTGAACGCTGGTCTAGTCGCGCCAGAGTAGTCCGCAATGATTGCCTCCACCGCCGCGTAGAATCCAGGCCCCAGCATGAAAAGCCCACAGGCCATGATGAAGATGTACAGGATGGACATGAAACTCCTCCAGGGCCCGCCAAAAAGGTTGCCTTGGTGCATACTGAATTCTGCAATCGAGAAATAGATAAAGCCGAAAAAGCTGTCGAATGCAGCCGAGAGCAGGGAGAGAAAGTCGCCCATGGATGGAATGACTTCGGCGAAGATCCATGCGATGATCCAGATGCCGATCATTACTCCGATCCACGCGCTCCAGCCGATAACCGTATTACTGTGCGCGTGCCGGGAGCGGCCCATGATGCGGTGGTAGATGAATTTGGCACTGACGTTGGCGTAGATAACGCCGATCACGAGGGTGGGGATAATGACAAAGGCGAACGAGGCCTTCTTGTAGGTCGTAACGCCAAGGGAGCCGAAGGCGGGTGCAGTCGAGTATTGGCCCAAGTAGCGGAAGCCGACTGCGGGTGGGACGATGAAGAGGAAGGCGGAGACGCCGGTGAGAACCGCGAGCGATTTGGGGAAGTCGGCTGGGTTGGACATCTCGGAAATGAAGGTTGGGAAGAGGATTTGAGGAACCCAGAGGCTGGTACGTTGTCGTTAGCATACGGTACAGAGGAGAAGTACCGGAGGTGCATGAGGTACTTACAAGGTGATGTTGAGGACCGCATTCATGCAGGCAACAAAGGTGGTGCCGGGAAGAGGGAAAGCGTAAGTCCGCACGGGGCCATCGGTTGGGTAGTCACCATTGTAGCCGTAGCCTGGTGCGGGTTCGATGCCGGCGAAGATCATGAACAGCAGGATGCTCAGACCCATGAAGAAGGCCGAGAAGATGCTCATGAAGCTGACGTGCTTGAGCGTCCGCGGAACGGAGCATACTATGCCCATGATCATGATGATGATATTGAAGACGACCGTGCATTGAGAGTGGTCGGAAAGCGTGTTCAGAATGCGGGCGCCCGTCAGAACGTGGAAACCGATAAGCATGATATTGTTCGCTAGCAGCATGAAGCCCGTAAACTCGTACGCAATCTTGCTCTTGCCAAAGATGTAATAGCCGAAGTCGCAGATGTCGCGGATCTGCGGGTACTTCATGATGTAGCGGTGCATTGTCATGCTGGTGATCCAGAAGATGATGCCGGCAACGACCATGGTAATGATGCCGGGAACCCATCCAAGGACGCTGTTCACGACGTGTCAGGATTGGACAATGGTGCTATGGGCTGAACGACAGAGGAACGCACGATAACGACCATGTCTGAGCCATGATGGCGAGGCAGACCTGGTCTCCGCACAGTAGCCAGGCGGCTTTCTGCCATGACATGGTGCGCAGTTGGATTTCATGCTTGGAGTCTGTGACGATCGCGTGTCAGCCTAAGCGCTGTGCATGACGGAGGACCAAGCTAGTGCTGTTATACCCTCGCTGAGCAGGACGTTGATAACATCGACGGAGCTGTCGCCATCCACAAGCTCGTCCCTCTCATACGCAGGCGCGTCGAGGATCGGATCTACTTTCTTCTCCAAGTTGCCGGTGTCAAGTGTTGCGGCCATGGTTGCCGGTATGAGGTGGGCGCAACAAGAGAATGCAGTATAAGATCGTAGACCGCGATGATGGAGACGCGATAAGAATGATATGCAGGAGGGATGGGGAAGGGTCTTATGATGCCGCGCCGAGCTCGCGAAAAGCGAAACGAGGACCAAGTGATGAGTAAAAGCGTCGACGTTACAACCGCACGATCGGTAGGAAGCGGTTTTCAGCTACATCCACCCGGCCACGCCGCTTCCAGAACGCTGGGGGCCCACCGCGATGGATGGTTGAGGCGTTGCACTAATGAGACCGAGACAGTTATGGTGTCTTTCCGGACCCAGTCTGACTTCAGCCCTCGCTGCTGTAGCTTGCACTCTTTCGCTTGATGAGGCCATACAGCAAGGGAATAGGGTGGGAGAAGCTTATCATCCGTGCTTCGAGATGTCGTCTAGCGGCCTTTGGCAGCACGCTAAGGATGCATGAGCGCCACTCATTGCGGAGACTGCGGTGATGGAAGTTCTCGCGGATGATGGCGTGATGCTGAAGTGAAGCTCGCAAGGTGGCGACGGGAAGCCTGACAAGCGTTGCCTTACAGCCTTGTAGCATGCGCAGCATTGTGCGGTTACCGCCTTGAGCGGACGACACATGCACACATGCAATTCTCACCAAACAGAAGCGGCGAAAGGGTCCGACTTCACTTTCCACTCTGCCCAATCGGCGCCAAGGACCTAGTGGGCCTGCTCCCAGTCTTGCATCTCTCGGCGTCCTTGCGATCGAAGAGCGTGTCACTATCATCCTGCCACCTCTTGACACTTACACCATGTCATTCTTTGCCACAGGCGGCTACGTACCGTAAGTGGCACAATTCGAACTGTCGTAACACGATTTCAGAAGCAAAAATTGGAGTGTCTCAACGATGCTCGAAAATCTTGTTCTCTCTGTAAGCAGTCCTGTTGTATGACCAGGGAGTATCGTCACTTTGCACCAAAATCAAGACATCACAAGCCTTCTCCTTTGGGAGCCAGGCCAAGCCTTCACAGTACGTAGCGAAAGCCTTTGTTGTCCAGCTCGGTCATATCATGCATGCCTCTTTCGATGGCCGCCTTTTCCTCCTCATTACCAAGGCCCCCCTCGGCCATCATTTCTCTATCTCTTTTCTTGTTGACTGACCACATATAGACATAAAGTACAACTACCATCAGCAGCTTGACCGTATAACCTACCAACATTGCAATATATGCGGAGTGGTAATAGGGCGCTTCGCTGCTTTTGAACGTTTGGGGGCTGTTTACTTAGTCAGTCCCTTGCACATGAACAGAGAGGGAGTAGACTTACCCGATGATGTTGCCCTACAACCAAAGCAGAGTTTGTGTCAGCGGGTGTACTGATGAGTGCGGGAGGGATAGCGAAGTTACCACGCAATAACCCGTGAAGAGGATTGCACCAGTGAGCTGCTTCTTGGTCGAGCCCGCAATGTTCGATGAAATTATGGTTAATGACATGCTGAAGCCCAGGCCCTGGAAATAGCAGAGCCACAGCCCAACCAGCCGACCCCATTTGTTGGTGGTGGGCAAGCCGACAAGCAGGGCAGCGCCGCAGATGCAAATGGCGTTCGCGGCAATCATTACCATGCAGCGAGTGTTAGGCCACCTGCTACAGATGAAGCCTCCGGCCAGCAGGGCTACAAATTGAATCGCTCCACCTGGGATTTGAAGGTACTGTGTGCCGAGTGTGCCAACCCCAAAACCCTTGATGATGAGCGAGGTGAACGAGGTGATGGCTGAGTTGGGCACCTGAGCGCCAACGGCCATTACGAAGAGAATCCAGGTCTTAGGGTCGTACAGTGTCTGCCAGAGTTGGCGAGTCTTGAAGTGGCGGTTCTTCACGCCCTGCCGGTTCGCTGCCACGCGCTCGACAGCTACCGTACGCTCCCGCTCGCTTAGAAACTTCGCTGTCGAAGGTTGATCCGGCAGTACGAGGAGAGACCAGATACCCGCTGCGATGGAACAGGCTCCGAAGATCAGGAAGACGTACATCCAGCGCGGCAGTCCGGTCTTGATGTGGCCAACCGCATAACCGATCAAGCCACCGAACATTGTAGCTATGCCGTTGGTGCAGTAGTAAGACTCCAGCCGCAGCGGCTGCTCGGCTGAAGTGTACCATATTGACATGACTAGCACGAAACCCGGATTGACCGTGGCCTCTACGGCACCGAGAAGGAAGCGGTTAATGGCGATCCCGGTGAAGTTGTAGCATGCCGGCGTTGTGATGAGGATAACGCCCCACCCTAGCGTCGTAGCGCCGATAACCTTGGCGAGCGGGAGGCGCTGGAGGAGGTAGCCACATGGGTATTGCGAGACCAGGTAGCCGAAGTAGAACTGGTAAGAATTTGTCAGTAGTAGTCTTCCCCATTCGCTGCTGAGGCAGGACGCACAATGCTCGAGAGCCAGGCATAGTCCTGCCCGTGCAGGTGAGTGCCCGCTTGCAAGCCGTAGACAGAAGCATAGTTAATACCGTTCTTGTCCAGGTACTGCAAGAGATAGATGATGAACAAAACCGGCACGACACGGAAGTCGATCTTCCGCAAGACTTTCTTCGCTTCGTTCGGGTCAAGATCTTCACCCGCGCTTTGCTTATACAGATCATAATTGTCGTCCAGGTCTGAAGCGGCGCTTGAGGCCAGTTGAGGCGAGTCTGGCGAAGCCGTGGCAATATCAGTCGTGTCTAGCGCCTTCGGCTCTTCTGTATGCACAGCCATAGCTACCCTCTGAAGCCGGCCCAGCTATCGACGGACACGATAAAACGAGACAAAGGAGAGATATAGACGGATAACAGTAATACAGGGAAGATCGTCAATGAAACACACTTACCACCACGTGCGTCGCTCTGATGCATCGGAGAAACTCAGGTACTGAACCTTCTGCGCAAGCGCAATGTGAAAGCGGAGCGCTTTGTCCTCCGGCCTGTAAGCGGCAGCACTGTAGGCATTGCGGATGTGGTAGAAGTGAGAGGAAGTGAGACGATTATTGGGTGAAGTAGGTGAGATCTGCAGGCGATGTCACGTAGGGTAGATGTCGTGCTTCGACCGCATCTGACGCGACGAGTTCCTGCCTCGGGGTTTGCGGACTTAATTGTGCTAGGGCGCGTCGACGAAGGTTTCGGTGGATAGGCCGCGAAGTCGTTCCGACTTCATGACATGCATCCACTAGATCGTGTTGACGCTTGGGCAGTATCAAGCAGCAGCAAAGTGCTGCCGCGAGTCAATTCGAGCCGTCTGAAACTGATGGGGCCTGCTAGGAAAATGTCTTTCCAGATCATCTTCAACACGTAACGCTCGCAAACCGCAGTCTGCCGGTGCTAGTTGTTGTACGGGTACAATCGCGTTTTCGAAGAAAGTATTCCCGCAAGGTACTTTGAACCCACCATTGCCCAGCTCACAACACCATTCGTATGCAATGATCGCCAAATCGTTTCAATTCATACAATCATCGCCACAGATCATGCTTACTCTCGCGCCTGTCACTTGCAACGCTCACTGTACTGCCAGCGAAGCTACTGATGCTAGGCGGTGGCTTCAGAAAACTCCCACGACTGCCCTGGCTGCCCGCAGTCGCTTGGCTGCCAATGGAGCCCCATCTTGTCCCGCCAGCCCCATCGATTTGATGTGAGCCATCGCTTGTTGGTGGTCGCGGCACTTCCTCTTGGGGCACGGCTAGAAAGCCACCGAAGCCATTGCCAACGATGACGGACTTGCGTGCGTCCCCTCCGAACCCGCCCTGTGCCCATTGTGGACCGAGACCGAGCGCGGCGCTGTAAGCGGAGAGTGGGCGGCCTCCGGTAGAGCTAGAGATGGCTCTATCACGCCCATTGATGGTTTTGGATGGTGGGGAGATGGATGTGAAGACCCATTCTAGTTCGTCCAGCCCTTTGGAGAAGACTTCGAGCGTTTGATTGAACCCTCCACGACTCAGGGCACCAGCGCCGAGGTTGGGCGGCCCAAGACCGCCGCCAGTGCCATACGCTGCCGCATTACCGGCCGATGAGGTGTTGTGAATGCGTGACGAGGACGCGCCTGATAGGTTGGAAGGCTTGCTGCGTAGACTGCCGGAGTCGGATCCCACGGTCGCCGCAAATGGAGCTGCAACGGGAGGTAGGATTAGTAGCTCCGTAAAGTGCGGATCACGGACGAAAAGGGTCGTCAGGCCAGGTAAGGCATTTAGGTGTAGGGACGTGGCGAGGTAAGCGTAGTAGGTTTCGGCCGGCTTCTGCAGACCGTGTACATCTTCGGAGCTTGTAATCTCGAAGTGTAGCACTCGTAGGCTGATGGATGTGAGCGGGGGTAGCTGTGCGGTTGCAATTGCAAGCGACTTGCTGACGACCTCGGAGACGGAGAGGTGCTGGAGTTGGCTGGCCTTCCACAATAAGACATGCAGATCCTGCACCGTTACACCAGTGCTCTGCAAGCTCAAGGAAGCGAGGAGTTCTCGGTTCCGAGGTGCGTCAAGATAGTAGCACAGCCCTTGCGCAGTTACTGATGTGCAGCCCTCAAGCCGGAGCAACTGCAGAGGCGGGAAGTCCGGAAGCCGGCCCTGCGAGGTCTGAAAGATGCTGTCGTCAAGCCAAGGCAAGTCACGCAAAGTCAAGTCGTGGAGAGTAGGGAGGCTGGCCAGCACTATCCTCAGCGTTGCAGGCTCGATAGCCAGGCCGCTAAGTTCCAGTGTCTCGATGCTTTGCCAGTGTTTGTGCGCGAGCAGTTCTAGGGCTTCCTCGCTTCCAGAACGGTAACTCATCTTGCGGATGTCCGGACATCGTGCTTGGAGTTCCTGCCGTAGTGCCAAGCAGCTTGGGTCACCAGTGAAGAAGCCATCGGGGAGGTCCACGTATCGCAAGTTTGGTAGCGCAGAGACGCACCTTGCTAGCTCACCTTTTGCGGTCTCCCGCGTCATGTACGGAATCTTAAGTATAAGTACTTGCTGTGCCAGCGCGTCTTGCTCGCGCACTGTTCTGCACAACAAGGACAGTCTTACAGCAGGTACCTCGCCCGGCTCAATCACTGCACTTTTGGTGCGGAAATGCTTGCCTTTCTTGCGCTTCTCGGCCAGCTGCTCCTCAAGCGCGCAATAGTGAACCGCGTCGATACGTACGCTGGCATACAGGAGTCGCTGTGCAACGCCGTACCATTTGCGACAGACTTGAGCGCATCGTGCCAAATCTCGCATGTCACACAGCATGCATCCGTCTCCGATCTGTGATCGCTCCGAAGGCTCATAGCTGTGGTCCTGGGAGTGTGGGCATACGTATGCGAAGATGATCTCTAGCACCTGCTCAGGCAGACGCTGCGTTTGATCGCGGCCTCTGTATGGTGCTGGCGGGCTCCGCTGAGGGTAGGCCGTAAGACCTTGGGGCTCATTTGGTTCCAGGCGCGACCTTGACCGCAGATGCTTTAGTAGGCCCATGACGTGTGACTACCAACGTGTGTCTTTGCCCGCGTTGGCAACTCGGGATAGGTCAATGTTATGCAGCGATATGCTACCGCTCGCAGGCTAGCTCATAAGCTCTCTGGAAGTTGAAGACAACCGATTGCCAGTAGGAAGGAAAGTAAAGAACACACAATCCGGCAAACAACCCAGCGCCCAAAACTCCAGCCAAGCATGCATTTAGTAGTGAAGGAGGCACACAGGCGCGTCTGTCTATCGCGTTCAAACATTGGAAGCCAATCGCTAATCGCTGGACCCTGGCGCCATTCCCCGCGTGTTTCACGGCAACGCCGCTGGCGCCACAGTCAATGTGGGTCAATCTCAGCCGCAGACTTCGACGAGCATACATGTACCTTACATATACTTCCCGGTAAATTGTACAGCTGAGATGACAGCATAACAGGCCGTACTACGACCGATCGATGGACATACTGTACCAGCTCGACCGCATCTCAGCTGTCGAGCCGAAGATGGTCAAAGACAGCCTTGAGGAACTCTCCCATCCGGAGTACTGGGACATGCGATATGGCCTAGACAACGACGATGCTAAAGCCTTCGACTGGCTGCGACATTTCGAGAAGATCAGGCCATTCATGACGAAGCATCTGCCCTCGGCGAGCGCGGGACCCTCCATTCTACACCTGGGTAGCGGCAACAGCGTGAGTGTGCCGTCATACTGTACCTGGGTCTGACTGTAGGCTGAGCGTCGAAACGCAGTAGACCCTACCAGCTGACCTGGAGCAACTTGGATATGACAGGCAGACTGCAGTGGACTTCTCTGCCGTCGTGGTCGCGAATATGCAAGCCCAACATCCTTCCATCACATGGGAAACGATGGACATCCGCCATCTTACCTTTTCCGACGCCAGCTTCGATGTCTGCATCGACAAGGCTACGTTGGACGCCATGCTCTACGGCTCGCTCTGGGATCCGCCCAACGACGTCAAGACCAACGTCAAGGCGTATGTGGATGAAGTGGCACGGGCGCTCAAACCGGGAGGCCTGTGGCTTTACATCACCTGGCGGCAGCCGCATTTCATCAAGCCGCTGATTACTAGGGTATGTATTTCTACCGTTTGTCTCACGGCTGTTTAAGGCAACAGCTGACGGTCTTTACCCAACCGACTGCAGGAAGGCGTATGGTCCCTGGAGGTAGAGACGCTGAGTGATGGACCAGGCATGTTCGAGTACTTTGGCTTCGTCATGCGTAAGCGGTGAAATAACCGATCTCACGTTGTCCACGCGCACAGTGAAGCTGTGGTCTGCTGGGGTGAAGGCTGCTAATAGCGATGTTCATGGTGATCATGGACATCCTCGCCTGGAAGCAGCTTCCGCCAACAATCGCCCGCATGTGCGGCCTACGCCAATCTAATCAAAGAACGATCTCCTGTTTTGTTCGTGTTCCCTTCCTTTTACGTCTGCCGGGAGACCTTAGGTCTATGGCAGCTCGACATACTGCTCGTCCGCATCCTGGGTATACTTCAGCGATCGGCGGCACCAAGGACACACAACCCTCTGACGTCGGATGTATGAGCCCTGGAGAGGAGCAAGCTGCCGCCATCATCTCCTCCAGGAAGATTTCTTCGTGCTTTGGGACGTCTGAACTCGGTGAATGCGTGCTACTGCCTGCCAGCCTCGCTTGCCTCACCGCAGGATTGATGAGGTGCTTCATCTTTGTACCAATCGGACGCCTTCGACACATCATGTCGTCAAAACATGAACTTCAAAGCCGAGCCGGAAGCATCGTTCACCGCCAGCTTTATTCCGACTGATTGTGAGCCATCAAAGAGCGACGCTTCCGCTTCTTTGGCCTGTCTCACGAGCTGCGTGACAAGATGTACGGGTAGTGCCCGAGCAAGACCATAGAATGCTGTCTACCATAGGAGAACTACAACAACTACAGTTATGTTGCCGCGAAAATCTATGTTCTCGCACATATTACTGGAGATTGCGGTTCGCAAGCCACCTATTCGGTGCCGAGTACGAAGCCGAACCCTCACAGCGTCTGATCGTCCATCTTGGCTATGAGCTCGAATTCAACTGTCCGACAGCCTTGCTCCTCGCCAGCAGACCCAAAGCATCGTTGTGTCTTATCCCAGTCTTAGGTGTGACGCTCTGTATTGCCGACTCAATGATCAAGTATCACTACAAAACCGAGAGTAAGGCTTGCCACCATGCTAGACTTCGCACACGGTGGTAAGACTGACAATGCTGGCGGAGCTCAAAGGCAGAGTTCAAAGCGAGGAACCAGCCATTCGTAGATTGCTGCCCGACTTGCAAAAGCGTCCAAGGCACGTTGATACCTATCACGAGGGTGAATGAGGTGGACCGTGATCGGCAGTGCCACGACAAAAGATTGCCAGACGGGGAGCTGCTTGATAGCGGTTGGTGAACTTTCGCGGTAGGCGCTGCCGCTTCGGCTCGTTGCAGGATCGTCGAGTCTTACTATGAGAGATCATGACCGATGGTGCATTACCTTGGAGAACGATGCCGGTTGTGGATGTGAAATCCTGCGGCTTGGCTTAGAACTACATCATTGGAATCATCGAATCGCCATCATCGAAGGTAGATTTTGAGACGGGTGAGCTCTCTGCTAGCCTTGGCAGTGGTCGATTAGGATATTGCATGAGTGTGGGGTTTGTGATGGTGATGAAATGAGGATAGGTTGGTGCGCTGCGCGTCATGTTCTTCTAACGACAAACATGAGGTGTCGCCACGATGCTGGTTGAGCTTCATGCAGGTATTCGGGCCTTCTGCACTTTGCTGTACTGTCTTATCAGTGCATATCAGATAGGCATGGATCGGCCAGCGCCGATCACTGTGGTTAACGACTGCGTTACATTTCCTCGAAGTCTGAACAGGATTCAGCTTTCTTCGTCGATACGTTGATACAGAGCAGACAATGGCAGGCACGAAGGAGCTTCCCGCCATCGAGACTAAGTTACCGTCTGACGAGCTACAACGAACCACATCTATAACCCTGGACGGTCATGGCAATACTATCATCACCCGAAAGGATGGCGAGACGTTCGAGATCTCCGAGAAGGCAGAACGTGCTCTGCTCTGGAAGTTTGACCTCAGGATCCTGCCTCTGCTGGCATGCATGTACCTGTTCAACGCTCTCGACAAGTCGAACCTGGGTGAGTCCGTCCGTTCATTCTCGAAGTAGAGTCGCTGTCGGTCCGCTCGCTGGATGATTTCGCTGACCTTCGTACTCCAGGCAACGCAAAGACGGCGGGTCTGGAAAAAGACCTAGGGATGGCAGGCACGAACAAGTACAACATACTCCTCAGCATCTTCTTCATTCCATATGTCCTCACGGCTCCGTTTCTCGGAATCCTTGGCAAGATGTACGGCCCAAGCAGGGTGCTTCCATGCATGATGTTCACCTTTGGAACGATGACGCTGCTTACTGTCGCGGCGTACAACTTCAGCGGCCTGCTTGCCTTGCGCTGGTTTCTGGGTATGGCTGAAAGCGCCTTCTTTCCATTGGTCATCTATTACCAAACACAGTTCTATCGCCGTGGCGAGCTGGCCCGGCGTCTTGCAATCTTCTATGCAGCATCCAACATTGCTTACGCTTTCGGCGGACTACTCGCGTTTGGCGTGTTCCACATTAAGCGAGGCGTCCTACCTAGTTGGAAGTATCTCTTTGTCATTGAAGGTTCGCTGTCGATGGCAATGGCGGTTGTAGCCTTCATCTTCCTCCCGCGATCTGCTGCATCTGCGTGGTTTCTGAGTCCTGAGGAGAAGAAGCTGGCATTCTACCGCATTCAGATCGACTCGTCTGCCATTGTCGAAGAGAAGTTCGAGCTTCGTGAAGCGGCAAAGATTCTGAACCATTGGACGAGCTGGTAAGCTTACCCAGACCGCTTGAGGAGAAGACGCTCTGCTGACACTTCTGCTACCCAAGGCTCATCCTAGCCATCGAAATGTGCTTGGGCATTCCGCTGCAGTCAGTATCTCTGTTCCTACCGCAAATCGTTGCTCGGTTGGGCTACAGCACAGTCAAGACAAACCTCTACACGGTAGCGCCTAACATCACTGGAGCTGCAATGCTGCTTGTCCTTGCCTTCGCATCGGACTATTCTCGGTGGCGCTTTCCATTTATCGCTCTTGGCTTCCTTTTCACCTTCTGCGGGATGATCATCTACGCCAGCATCGACGTGCTGCACGAGAAGACGGTGGCGTACTTTGCCTGCTTCATGATGACCTGGGGCACGTCAGCGCCATCGGTGCTGTTGGACGTGTGGTACAATAACAACATTGCGGATGAGAATCGTCGACTCCTGCTGACCAGTATTGGCGTGCCGGTTGCGAATGTCATGGGTGTCGTTTCTTCCAACATCTTTCGCAACCGGGATGCGCCGCAATACATCCCAGCACTGTCTACAACTGCGGCGTTCGGTGCGCTTGGCCTTGTGCTGACGCTGGTATTGGGCGGATACATGATCATCGACAATGGTCGCCGCGATCGTAAACAAGGCCGCAGACTGCGGGCGCGCGATGTCCCCACCGAGCTTCTCCGAGATGGTCCCGCCTGCGATGACTTCCGGTGGTTTTACTAAGGTGTTTGTGTTTGGCGACGCTCAAGGCTGTCGGGTGGTAGATACTGACACTGTACTGTGGCGTAAAGATGGCAACTGGTTGAGACAGTGCGTTCTTGGTAGAGTAGGCATAGATAGCGGCGTTTCCAGATCCTGCTTTGTACAAGATAACTCGTTTTATCGGACCACTACAGTGCATGAGCTCGCACTCGTCGGTAACGTTCTTGCTCAGTCCTTTCATGTGTTCACATATTGAAGCTTGGACGGCAACCGGGAGCATATCTATATCTGATGCATCACTGTGCACCGTCCATCACGCAGACTCATGTAAGAATCGTTCGTAACCCCAGTATTGTACTACAAACACACTTCCGGCTCGAGAAACCCAGCGAGTTCCGGGGGAGAAGCAGCTTCGTATCCGCAGGCTTTTTCAGCTCGTCCTTATCCAGACCAGCAAGGTACGCAACCCAGGCGCTCAAGGCGATCGTTAGAAGCCGCAGGTTGGTAGCTGCTCCGCACTTTTCTCGCTCCATGAGCGACTCCATCAAGGTCCCAATCACCGTCAATGTAGAGACTTGGTGTAAAATCAGAATTCCAGCAACTGGATCAATAATCAAGCAAGCCAGGCGGCACAGGCTGCCGCGTGGCACGGTCTCGATCCTGCCACTGAGGAAACGAGTAAGTCTGAGGCTAGCACCTGTACCAAGCACTCGAGCAGGTGAGACGACGGGGCGGGGTACCCCCTGACTGACACGTCGTACACCAATGAAGGATGGAGTCAGGTCGGCCAGGCAGTGTCGGGTCCAGTAATTCTTGCGTTAGCCCCAACGAACTTAAAAGCTGGGAATCAGGTGCGACCTTCACTTCTGGTTACCGATAGTAACTGAATGAAGCTGCTATTTACCCTTGAGGCCGGTGTGTAGACCATGAGTCTGTTGATACGCCTAACGATCGTGTTTATCCGGCATCGACTCTTCAGGTTGATTCGGTCTTGCAGCTTCAACATTTCCGCCATGCCACAGTTTGTTGACACCGCACGTTCGAAGGCGACCAGTAAACGGTAGGGCTGATCCTACTTGAACTCGGACCACGAGAGACACTGACGCGTATCCGTGCCCTGCCTTAGCGGCGCTGTGGTGCAGACTTTAGGCGGTAGCGTCTCAGATTCAGCCATGGCAGGGTGCAGCTTTGTGTCCTTCCACTCGAGGTGCGCAATTCCACCTACGCCCTCGTAACTGGTCCCGAGCGGGCTCTTTTTGGAACTATCGGAGAGCAAGGCCCCAAGGAGTGTCTGGATATCAGGAACGAACGTGCTCCGGCGATGCGATTGTTATGCCGGCAGATCCAGTCGGACTGTGACGCCGAAGTCTCGCACAAGATGGAGGTTGATATAAGTGGATCTAGTCTTCACGAGCTCAACAGGTCCAGACGTTACTTCGAGGCACCTGCTCCGGCCCCACTACCAAAGCTTCGCACGGTGGTCATATACCTATCCGCGGATCGATTTTCGATGATCCGAGCGGCGGTTACAGATCGTTCAGGAGTCCCTACGCCTAGACCGGCGTAGTAAGAACGCGCTCCACAATACCTGGCGCTCGCTAAATGATGGCAGTTGTCATCGATAAGCTTGTGAGGACAGCCACAAAGCTCAGCTTCAGTATTCCGTTGCTACGTAACCTCTACATCAGTGTAAGCTAATGTGCGTTACCTTGAACAATTGATCGAGCGAGGCGGTACTGACATTGCCGCATTTCTCAACTTACGCTTCTTGGGCAAAAGTCCAATAATCAACAGGGGCGGGAGATGTGTCTTTGTCGTACCAAGTATGACGTTGAACGACACTATACTCTCGGTCAGCCGGGCTCGCACCATCATATCGGAAGAAGTAGCTGCTATACTCGACGACTACAGCGGCGTCGATTATGCGGTCTCACTGTCCAAGCGGGCGGATGCATGGTGTCGACCGGATTTGGAGACAGCGACGCCCGTGTATATGGGTATGACAAGGCAGTCGAGCTGGCCCGCAGCCACAGGGACAGAATGCCGTAGTAAGATCGGGAAAGGCAGTGAACGGCCCGCCGGGAGAGGAGTTCAAACCGGCAGCAATGCAAGATCTCAGTCATATGATTTCCACCTGCAACCACCGATTGTTTTAAAAAGGGCACATATGTGCGTATCAAAGTGTTGCTAGCCCATACTGAACGCGGGCAAAGCAAGGTTCTCTTTTCCGATGGCAAGATGCTCAGACAGTGTGCGGCGCGGACTGTTTCTGTAAGTACTTCATGATTGCACAATGCTTCAGCTGCGGTATGCGTCGTCCCTTTCCACTGCCTCGCGGTCCCGGTCTAAACCAACGGTACGTGCTGTGAGTGAAGGTTCTGATGGAGCCAAGCGTGGCAGGTGGTAAGAGGTCCACCGTACACTTGCGCAATCGCCGAAAGTGCGGGTGAACGCACGTTGCAGGTGCCTGCGCCGGGCGTTCCCGACAAGGCTGAAACTCCAACCCCATTGGGTAACATTTGCCTCGCTCCCATTGTGCTTGTTATTCTGACGGAAATATTGGAGTCTTCCTAATGCGAAAGACTTCTTGGACCGCATGGAACCACGCATCGATCCCTACCACACCGAGCCGGACCTCATTGTCCTCGACAACCTCTTCAAAGACGTCAAGAATGGGGTCTGCGGCGCAGCAGCACCGGCAGGCGAGAAATCAGCGCCAGAGATCATTGAGGAGAAGGCAAACGAGATCCCCCTCGAGCGCGAATATGACAAGGAGACGGTAGCCCGGCTAAAGTCTTTCAACGATCCAAAAAGCCCAGCCTTCACGCCGACCGTGTTTGTAACATGGGACGAGAGGCACATACCAGCAATCATCAATGAATACATAATACGACCGTATACAAGGATTGGGGTACGCATAGTACGGCATCCGACGGACGTAGTCTTCCTCACGCACATCTTGACGTACCTCACGGTCAATCTTGGCAGTGCGGTGTGGCTGTTCTACCATTTCACCTGGTGGCATGGGGTTGCCCATGTCGCCTTTGCTGTGTACTGCATGGGCCCATTTACGCTCATGATGCATAACCATATACACAATGGAGGTATGTCAGCAGTTGAACTTTGTTGCCACGAGTGCAGAGGCTGACACACAGTCAGGCGTTCTTGCAAAAGCCTGGGCTTGGCTGGATCTGAGCTTCCCGTACGTTGCCTATCCGCTTATGGGACATACCTGGAACTCGTACTACTACCATCATGTGAAACATCATCACGTCGAGGGCAATGGTGAGTACCTACGCTCGTCCGACGTGCAACAATATCATGCTGACTGCTCATCATTAGGGCCGGGCGATCTTTCCTCCACCATTCGGTACCAGCGCGACGAGCTGTTGCACTTCCTGCACTACCTTGGGCGCTTCATGTTCCTCGTGTGGCTCGATCTGCCTCTCTATTTTCTCCGCAAGAACAAGGCTGGTCTCGCCATGCGCGCCTGCGCGTGGGAGCTGGCGAGCTATGCATTCTACTACGTTGTGGCAAAGCTCCACCCTCGAGCAACTACCTTCGTGTTCCTCCTACCGCTGGTCATCATGCGGATAGCGTTGATGATGGGCAACTGGGGCCAGCATGCGTTCGTAGATGAGCTTGAGCCGGACTCGGACTTCAGGTCAAGCATAACGCTGATTGACGTTACGGTACTCCCAACATGCCCCATGCTCGCTCTTCAATGTACTAACTGACGTTGTGTAGAGCAATCGCTTCTCCTTCAATGACGGCTACCATACGGCGCATCATTTGAACCCGCTGCGGCACTGGCGCGAGCAGCCTGTGCATTTCATTCAGGCCAAGGAGGCTTATCGCGCCGGCCGAGCGCTTGTTTTTCACAACATAGATTACTTCATGATGACAGTAACTTTGTTGCGGAAAGACTACAAGCATCTCGCCAGCTGTTTGGTGCCTATGGGGGATCAGATTGGTATGAGCCAGGTGGAGATTGCGGAGATGCTGAAGACGAAGACGCGAAAGTTTTCGGAGGAGGATATCAAGAAGAAGTTCAAGTAATGTTCGTCCAGCGATCCGCTCATATCTCCGCCCAAGATGGTCTCTGCGCCGGACCTCTTCTCCGCCAGGTTTAAGCGCAAGTTCACCCACGATCACTCGGGTCTCAGCCCAAGCACTATCCTACCGAGCTTCGGAACAACATTCGAGACATTTTTCGAACAGGCCGCAGGTTCGGTGCCGGAGTTCAAATCCTCGGCATCACGGTCATGCTATCGACCACTTCAACTGATGGTCAACGTCATGAAGGGTCGTGGGCACTTTCTCCAGCGCCGACGATGATTGATAGGGCCAACGGTGGAAAATCGCTATCGTGGGAACACCGACCTCGTGCTCATGCTGCAGGAGTATATGCCTATTCGGATCTTCCATAACAAGGCGTTTGCTCGCCAACTCCATGTCAGCTTGAAAGCGGGCTCATCAAGTGCAGCACGTTTGAAAGCCTGAACTTGCGCTGTGGGATCGGAACACTCCGGGGCTCATTATTCTGGTCAATACGACGGACGTGTAGTAGTCTGAGCTTGGAAAATGGCGCGCGGCCAAGCTTACTTAGAAAAGTGCTCAGCCAAAGTGGCATGGTGTTGCACCGAAATCACACAGGCAAAGCTTCTGAGCCACGATGCGCTCGCGGCATTGGGTAGGAAGAGGGTACCGGAGCCATCGGATATCGGTAAAGGGTGGGGTGAAGGGGCCGACATGGCCCAGTAGCGCGGGAATACTTCCTCAGCAGCTGCAGAAAGGGCCATTCGAAAACTTGGCACCTGCCTTTGCCCGGTGCATGCGTGCTAGGAAATGGCATGTAGGGGAAAACCATAGATCGTAGCGTGCAGTCAAAGAGTGAGGCTCCTCGGTCAGGCAGTCTTGGCAGTGCACAGACCATCCGCATAACTTCGAGGATCTCTTCGGAATCTGACACAGAATTGAATCAATGATGAACCCGGTCGATAAAGCTTCCAAAGGTAAGGTCCACAGACGAAGAGACAATGTCTACTAACGTTGAGGACTCTTCGAAACCCTTCCCGTTCTTCGATATGTCGCTAGAGCTTCGAAAGATGGTTTACCGTCACCTGACCCGAACTGTCAAGATCCGCGTACGGCCAGATAGAGGTCCTTATATGGAGCTCGATGCATTCCCAATAGCGAATCTACGTCTCAGCAGTCGCCAGCTGAAGGATGAGAGTGATTGCGAGGTATCCTTAAGCGTTCTAACCGTGGCCGAAATGCTCCTGCCATGGAAACAATATACGTGGGATGCTATTACACCTCCACTTCCAGTGTGGCTTCTCCCGCTCATTCGAACAGTGAGGGTGGTAGGGTGGCACCGCTCGAGGTATCCTTACAGTCTCCATTCATATACCTTGCAGAAGGACAGCCTAACGGAAGTAATGCAAGACTTCTCGCATATTACAAACGATGCTGTCACCTGTATCCCGGCTCTTCGAAAAGTTCTTATCGAGCTCAGGTTACCACGTGGAGCCAACGCTGTGCACCCTCCCGGCAGCAACCTCTTCAGCGACTTCGTCAACACGGAGTGGCTCGTGCTCTCACCTGTCTACGAGATTCAGCGAAAGCTTCTGATACAAAGCACGATGTTCTGTGGCTTCCCAGATGATCGCTTCTACAATGGCCTGAACGCGCAAATGATGTGCAACGCCATGAGGTCTAGGGAAAACCTCATCTTGTACGAAGCGGACCCGATTCGTGACGAAGATGGTGAGCCCGCGTTCTTGCTGAAGACACGCTCGGCCGGCACATTCGACTATGACCGCTTAGTAGCTCAGGTACGTTGCATGCTCGCCCGACAGAATCAGTAAGGCAAAGGCACTGGGATCCCTGATACGTGGAGGACAGTGGCCTCGAAGCGCTCTGTAAGCGACGCTGCAGACTCTTGTTCCACGGTCTTCGCGCAGAGATAAAGCATGTATACGATCTGAGACTGGTGACGCATTCATAGTGCGTAGGAAGCGACGAACCACAATCGTGTCAACATTCACAGCTTACAAGTAGCAATGCCTGCTGAAGCAACGTGAAGGCGGTATGCTGTAGAGAGGATAGTCCGCTTGATTGGGAGACCGAACATGGCGCGAAAGGTACAGTGATGGCACCTTTTCCCACAAAGCATCTGCCATGCTTGCTGACCATAGCATAGGCGTATAACCGCCTTCGCATAGACGCACTGGTTGCGGCTATGTGTGGACTATGCATAATAGGTACGTACCGTGTCCTCCGCTTTACATGCAGCGACATGCTTCACCTATGGCGCATCACAGACCCAGTGCAGTCTTGCTATTAGCTTAATAGCAGTAAGGTTCCACGGCCTTTGGATAGCCTCTCCGTTTCCAACTTCCAAGACTCCAGGCTCGCAAATGTCCTGCACATATTAGTCTGACTTTAGAGCCTTCCCCTTCGGCGGTATGTCGTCCGACAACGATGCTAATAGCGACATATTGCGACTCTTCCGCATCTTCGGTCTGCTCGTGGAACATCGCAGCCAGGTCTGCTAGTTTTCTCAGAACGAACTGTGCCTCTTCTTCTTCCTAAAAACCGTAAGTCGCCAGCCTCAGTCCTCGAACAGATGTCAACTTTTGCTTCTGCATCCTGTGAGGCTATACTCGGCTGTGATTCTGGAGAGTCAATAGCTTGAGGCTACAAGTTCGCAGAGTCTCCTCGTCCCGCAGTTGGGTGTTATAGTTCGTTGCCTACTGTACAGACACTGATCGTATCAACAGGCATTTCAGCATGTTGATTACGACTGCGTTGCCGGTGTCGATGGCACTTTGGTGTTCGGACACTCTGTGCTTGCCGCATGTCCTGGAGTGGTTCTCAGACCTGCCCGAAGCTACACTCGACAATCCACTCACTCACTGTCGCAAGTGGGCAAATTTTTTAGCAATTGACTTTCCGATCCGTAGGTCTCCCCCTAGGACAGAAGGATCACTACCTCGGCCCCAGCTTTCATGTCCCAGGCGTTCGCTCCACAACAGACCGCAAGAATACTTAAGTCTTCCCACCACCATCTTCATTTTCCTTTTCCTCAAACTCCACCAAAGCAACACCGACTTTACACATCTCCCCCACCCCCTTGACCACCCTCTTCACGACCAACTCCTCATCTGTACCCAGTGAAGGAGCACGTATAACCGTCTCCATCTTCATACTCTCAATCACCAGCAATTCCTGCCCCGCCTTCGCCCTATCTCCGGCTTTCACTGACACGCGGATGACTTTGCACGGCATAGGCGCCAAGACGGAATTGGTCGCGTTCGCGGCTGTGGCACCGAGAGCCTTTGCCAGAAATGGGGGTGGAAGCAGGCTTAAACGGTATAGGCGACCTAGGTGAAAGACGGTTATGGATGTACCTTGAGTGGGAGCAGTAGGTGGCTCATGGAGGAGGGTAGTTGTTAGACGGGTGTGGGGATAGAACGTGGTCAGCTCCCCTTTCCCGGTCCCGGTGCGCCTCAGAACGTAGGTGGCGGTAACGTTGCTGTAAGTTGTCTCGCCTAGACTGACCGTGAATGTGTTTGGAGCTGTCTTGAACACCTTTACATTCACGGGCTCTGGGTTTGCGTTAAGTCGAGGGTCTGAGCTCAACTTCGCCAGACGAAATTCGCGCGGCTGCGGCGTAGAGGCGAAACCAATCGTTTGACCGGCCATGGCTTGTCCGAGCCTATTCCCTTGCTGCAGCTGCCGTTGATTTTCATAGAGACCAAGAGCGGCTTGCATCCAGACCTCGTGATCCACTACCTCTTTCGCGAATAGTTCATCATAATGTTTAGGAATGTAACCAGTCTCCACTTCTCCCTCGACAAAGTTGGGACTTCGAGCGACGCGTTTCAGAAACTCGATATTGGTCACCACGCCTCCGACTTCGTACTCCTCTAAAGCGCGTTCGAGCTTCCTAAGCGCACTAGTGCGGTTAGGACCGGAAACGATGAGTTTTGAGATCATGGGATCATAGTGACTCGACACCTCATCGCCTTCAACGAATCCGCTGTCTATCCGGACATTGTCGCTGGATGAGGGCGTGCGCAGGTGTAGAAGTGTCCCAGTGGAGGGCGTGAAGTTCAGCGATGGGTCTTCGGCGTAAATCCTAGCCTCTATGGCATGGCCTCGCTGCTTTATGCGTTCAATGATCTCGTCCTGACTGAGCGGGAGGGGATGGCCTTCCGCCACAAGGATTTGCCAATGCACCAAGTCGAGGCCGGTGACCATTTCGGTGACTGGGTGCTCGACTTGTAGGCGGGTGTTCATTTCCATGAAGAAGAACTGCTTCGAGTCATTGTCGAAGATGAACTCCACTGTGCCAGCGCCTTCGTACCCGACAGCGAGAGCGGCTTGGCGTGCCTTCTCCCACAGATCTTGTCGTACCTCTTCGCGTAGGTTTGGTGCAGGAGACTCCTCCAGTATCTTCTGGTGTCGGCGTTGGATGCTGCAGTCCCGCTCTCCCAGCGCGACGCAGTTGCCGTGCTTGTCCGCAAACACCTGGACTTCAATATGCCGTGGCGTTGTGATGTACTTCTCCACTAACATAACGTCGTCGCCGAAGCTGCTGCGGGCCTCACTTTTCGCGCTTTCCAGTTGTGACGCAAAGTCATCGGGAGACTGAACGATGCGCATGCCCTTGCCCCCACCGCCTTTGACCGCTTTGAGCAGTACAGGATAGCCGATCTTCTCTGCCTCACGCTCCAAAACACCCGGATCTTGCTCGCTGCCGTGATAGCCGGGTATGCATGGCACACCCGCTTTCAACATGATCTCCTTGCTGCGCGCCTTGTCTCCCATCGCCTCGATCGCTTTCCATGGCGGGCCGATGAAGTTAATGCCTGCATCTGTACACGCCTTGGCGAAAGCGGCGTTTTCAGAGAGGAAACCATAGCCAGGATGGATAGCTTGGATGGCGTGCTGTTTTGCGAGTTCGATAATGCGGGTGCCGTTAAGGTACTGATCGGTGCTGCCAAGGTTTAGGTTGTGGGGGGAGGAGAGAGCGTGTTGTGAGGTTCGATCAGGCTCGGTGTAGAGGGTAGTGGTCAGAATGCCGTATTGCGAGGCAGTGCGGGAGACGCGGAGGGCGATCTCACCGCGGTTGGCGATCAGAACGGAGCGGAGGGGAGTCGTGGCATGGGGAGGGTTGGAGGTGGGGGAGGAGGTGGTGGTGGTGGCGGTGGTGGAGGTGCTGTTCCATCTTATCGCCCGCTTGCGCAACCCGGCCAAGGAACGCATGGCGGCAGCTTCATTGAACGTCGTCAGCCTCCATGCAAACTCCCTTACGAGAATCGGCGCATGGTCGCGCCTGCTCCAGAAAGGTGCGTCGTACCTTCTGTCTTCCTGCTGAGGTGGGTAGCTTAAGCCGGCGTCAACCGAGGCAGTCGGCGTTAACGCGGGGATATGGGGGGAATGGATCACTCGCGAATGCAACGCGTCGCCTTTTACACTCGAACAAGCCAGCGACTCGAGTGCTGCGCAGAGACGCTGGCCGTCATCACCACCACTACCAGATTAGATCGTCAATTTTTGAACGTTGAACGTATCTTCGGAACACACCTGCCTAGGAGCACACCACCACCATCCGTCGCGCCTCAGCTGGACCCCACTTTTGGATGCAGGATAACCGCAGTGCATGAGCTGGATTCGAGCGTCGCCTGTCTTGCATGATCAGCGAGTATCGTCTTATGACAACATCCATACTGCAATACCACTTGAACCCAGGCCGCGTACTCCATCCACGCAGAGACGCCGGCCAGACATTCCATCCCCCATATGCAGCCCTACCGTGACTTCACGAGTGTTGTAATCAAGATCCACATCATCGGCATACTGCAGGAAGCCTAGATCGTCATGACACCCACCCGGTCGATCTCCACTTCGTAGACCAGATCGCAATCGGAGCAAGCGGCCATCTGCGTGGTGGAGAAATTGCTCAAAAGCAGTAGTCTTCTGCTGCTGCAATCTTGCGCTCCATCTTACATCTCCATCCTCGAAGGTAGGCTTGGGCAGCTATGGCCGACGACTACGGCTATGATTTCGACGAGGACTTTGGCCTTGACGATGGCTGGATGTACGTGGAAGACGAGTACGGGCTTGTGGTATGTTTGCTTCCTTCTCTGACTCCAGGCCTGAGCCGTTCCGAGTCCATGGCTCCGCATCGTCTGTGCGTGGAGGGCCCCGGTAGGGACCATAGCACTGAGTCCAGATTGTGCTAACGATTGGTGTCTGGCATGGTAGGACGAGCTCATCGAAACGCAAATCGCCGAACCCGGATACGCGGGCACTAATTACGAGATCGACATGGAGAGCTACGAGTACGACATGTATGAGTACTTTGACGATTTGGAGTATGCAGATGATGCATATTGGGAATATGATGTGCACCACAATACCAGCGATTCCGCCAATGCCGCTGGGCTGAAGCGGAAGCGCGTGGTGGCCGCTGGTAAGCTCGGAGACAAGCAGACTGCCGTTGCACACAAACGGAGAAAGGTTGAGCCGTTACAGAGACCCGCATATTCTGGTGTGGCTCCGGAAAGTGTGCTGTACATGAGTCTGGAGAAGCAAGTGGAGGTTGCACTACGGCGGCCACCTACGGTTAAGAATCTGACTCCGATCGCGTTCCTGCCGGACTGGAAGAAGCGATACGCCAACGTCGACGGCATCATGCGCAGCGCGGACATGCCGACAGATATGCAGCAAGCCGCTGACGCGCCGCCGGAGGAGACATCGGAGACACAGGGTGTCGCCGACGCGGAAGTGGGCTTGCTCGGTGGCGGAGCAGAGGACGTGGTCGACGAGGAGGATGACGACGTCGCGGTTGACGGTGAGATGCTGAAGACGATTCTTAGGCAGCGACTTGTGGAGAGTGGTCTGGACGGGTTTGATGAGGAGGCGTTTATGACTGCTATACAAGACATGCTTAATAGTGAGCCTGGCGAGGATGAGGGTTTGGGAAGGTTGGTGGAGATGCTACTCGGTAAGCCGAATGCGGACGAGGATGGCGGCGGAGCTATCTTGGGCTGGTTGTCTGGGCAGGGTGTGCGACTTGAGACAGGGGATCAAGAAGTGGATAGAGACGAGGAAGACGACGAGGAGGGTGTAGAAGTGCCGAACGGAGCGGCGCTCAGCGCGAACGGGTCATCACAGAGTGATGCTGATGCGGATGCTGCTGGTAGTCACACACGAACAGGGAACGGAACTGCAGAGGTTGAACAGGAACCAGAAGTGGAGAGATCTAAGCGGCGGCAGATGCCTACTCCGCCCTTGAGTGGAGGTGGAACGCAAATGCATGATGGCACGCTTCAAGTCTCCTTGAAGAAGGTGTCGAACACAATACCGGAAAACGGTTCCGTTACAAAGCGTAACTACTTCGCTTCCGCAACATCCGGCGGAAGTGGCGCTGTAGCAGACGACGGAGTTCTGATCGCTGCAGTGGATCAAGCTACCCTGGCAGCAAGAGCGCAACCGAGCCGGTCAACTAGGAAGCGCAAAAAGGCTCCCGAAGACAGTGAGCAGGTTAACGTGCATGTCAACGGGCTGCGAAGGTTAGTGAAGGAGCCGGCTACGAGGCGGACTAGGAGTGCGAGGGCGGCAGTCGCAAAGGAGTAATACGTAGCTATAGTGCTCTCTACGCAGATAGTAAGGTAGAGAAAATCTAGAAATCTATCTATTGCTTTTAGTTTCGACTTAGAGATATTTTTACTATTTTCTTTAGTTTAAATATATTCTATTTAAAGGATATAGTCTTATATATTATACTTATATTATTATAGAGAAGAGTATTCTAAGTACTCTATTAAAGGAGCTTACTAGTAGTAGAGAAAGGGTTTATACTAGTATACTCTAATTAGATATAATAAAGAGACTAGTATTATATTTTATCTAGAGTATTCTATTAATCTTACTAAAGCTAATTATATTAAATATTTAGAGGTTTAGAATAGTAGTATCTTTAAAAAATATAATAAAAATATAACTTTAAGTAATCTCGAGGCTAGAATTAATAATATATAAGAACTAAGCTTTAATAATTTAAATATTCTTCTTAGAGATAATAAGTTTTTTTTTAATAAATTACTACTACTTTTTAATAAGTTTAAAAGTTTAGACTACTCTTTTATTAATATCGATTATAAGAATATTAAGACTTATTTTAATAAAGTATATTCTAATCTAAATAAAGAAAGTAAAGAAGAGGTTAGCTATATAGTTAATAGAGTACTACTATAAGTACTAGAAGGCTTTTCTAAGAATAGAAAGCTATATTATATATCTTTACTATCTACTAAAAAAGAAGATATAGAAGTAACTAGAAGTTTAGAATATAGAAGCCTTTCTAGCTTAAGTTTAAATAGTAGTATTAACTCTACTAATATATATAATAGAAAGGAAGTATTAGAGAAATATAACCTAGACTATAATACTAATAGTAATATAGAAAGTATCGAATTAACTAATAATAAGAAGTTATTAAACTTTTATCTTTAAAAGGCTAATATTCTAGAATTCTTAAAAAATAAAGATAGAGATCTTTTAATTAACTTAGTCTATAGAACTAGTCGATAGATAGAAAATAGTAATACTTAAAATCTAATAAATAGTACTAATAGCTCTTTTAATTTAAAATAAGTATTTATAGTTAAAGAAAACAAATTAAATAAACTAAGTAAAGCTATAATAGAGATATTAGAGAATCTTAGTACTAAAACTAATTATTACGATATAATTAGTTTAGGGTTAGGGTTAGGGGCTCTTATATTAATAGTCGCTATTAAGCTCCCTCTCTCTAATAAGTATAGAAACTAATACTTTAACTATATACCTATAGGTTATTATTATAATATAATTAGTATAGATATAGCTATATCTTAGTACTCGATCTTTAGTAAGTCGAGCTAGAGATACTTAAGATATTAGCTCGACTACTCGCTATTAAGTATAGCTTAATAACGAGTAGAAAGCGACTATTAAGTATAGCTCGATATAAGCTATAACGAGATATAAATCTCCTTTATATATAATAGCGATAGATTTCGTAGTTAGGAGTTTATATTTAACTTATATTATAAACTAACTAATTAGAATTAACTTATTACTTTATTCTAATCTCTTATATTAATTATACTTTAACTAAATAATACTTTACTATCGACTACTAGACTACTTAATAAGTACTAACTCTACTTATAATAATAGAATTACCCGACTTCTATTATATAAGTATAATAGTATATAATACTTTAAATACTTTTAAGGATATTTAGTACTAAAAGACTTAGAAGAAATACTCTAACTTTTAGTAAAGTAGAAGATACTAATATAGTACGCTCTACTAACTATAATCGGTCTAATAATAATATAAAGATCGCTAAACCTAATTTATATTATAGAGATAAAGAGAAACTTAACGACTAGTTTAACTAGATATATATTTTGTTTAAGTTTAACTCTATAGAGCTAGTAAAGCGAAGTCTATTTATAATAGCCTTTCTTTAAGACTATACTTAGTACTACTTTAAACTATATCTTACTAAGTATCTCGATAGTAACTCGGAATATAATAAAGATATTACTAGAATCTTTAGAGTATTCGCTAGACTTAAAGTAATTCTATAATAAGTCTTTACTATCTCTAATAAAGTCGAGAACGTAGTTTATATTATTTAGAGTATTAGATAGACTAAGTCTATATTTAACTATACTACTTAGTTTAAGGAATATTTCTAACTTACTAACTAAGATAATATAGCTCTATATACTATATACTACTAAGGCCTAAAGGATTAAGTTAAGAATAAACTAATAAGATATAGAGATACTACTAAGGAACTAGACTAATTAATTAAGGCCTCTATTAAAATCGATAATAAGCTTTATAAATAAGTAATAGAGAAAGGCTATAAGTTTAACTTCTAGTATCTACTTTATAGTTAGAAGAATTTAGGGTTAGGGTTTCTATATTAGTAACAAGCGAGGCTTATCTCGTTCCTATAATAAAGGAATTTACGACCTACCTAAAAGAGAGTAATAGGTTATTATAGGGCTATTCGGGATATATCGAAATACTATCTAACTCCCTTAAATATTCCGCTTATCTTTAGTAGATCTTCCCGACTCTAATATATATACTAGTCGGTAGATAGCTTATACTCGGGTATATATTATCCCTCGTCTAGAATATAGCTCTTAGAGATATACCCTTATAAGTCTACTTAAGAGATCTAGAGTTACTATATAGCCTTAGTCTTTATAAAAGTATATTTATCTACTACTACTCTATAGGATTACTAGGTTCTCTATCTACTATTATAATATACTTATAGTCGCTATATTAAACTTCCTTAAAGGATTATAGAGTTTTATATATTTTTATAGCTATTTACTATACTAGAGGACTTAAGGTCTATTAGAGAAGAGTCGTATTATACTCTTACTATAGGCCTCCTAGAGTCTTCGCTAGATATATATATAGAGTTACTATTCTATATTATACTATATAGATATATTACTCTATAGTAGTAGATAGTCGACTTTACTATCTAGTAAATTCGATATATTTAGTATATCCTTCTAGCTATAGATATAAGATTTAGCCTCGTTTTTAGAATATAGATATAAGGCTTTATAGCTAGTCTTAGAGATATATATTAATATAATACTTCGTAGTAGTAACTTATATTAAAAGTAGTAGATTTAGGCTTTATAGCCGAGCTAGATACTTTATAGTATAGTAGCTATAGTAGATATAAGGCTTTATAGTAGTTAGTCTTATAACGAGAGAAGGCCGACAAGTATATATATCGTAGTAGAGAGTCTATAACTATAGTAGATATAAGGCTTTGTAGCTAGTAGTCTTATAACGAGAGAAGGCCGACAAGTATATATATCGTAGTAGAGGGTCTATAACTATAGTAGATATAAGGCTTCGTAGCTAGTAGTCTTATAACGAGAAGAGGCCGACGAGTATATATATTATAGCGAAGAGTCTAGTTTATAGTCTTCTCGGACTAAGCTTAGAAGTAGAGATTAAGAGCGAATATAGGAATAGGAACTATAGCTAATTACTTATCGGAAATATTACTATCTATATACTTATCGCTCTAGACTATAGCTAGATTAGCCTATATATATCGAAGTACGTCGTAAGTACGACTTTACTACTTATCGTTTAATAAGAAGTCTATATCTATAAATAAGCCTTAAACGCCGAGCGCCTTTTACTATATCTATTTATAAGCTCGGTCCTACTAAGACAGCCGGCGAACTAAACTATAGTATCTATACTCTTCGTCCCTCTAGCAGAAAGGACGAGATATAGTAGTATACTTATAGCTTAAGTAGAAATACTAGACTCCTTATCGATACTAGAAAAATATATTCTATATATAGGCCGGTATCTATAGTATATAGTCTATATTAGCTATATCTTTCCTAATCCGGCTTTCCTATAGTATATAGAAGGCTAATAGAGTCTATCGGGCATAGTATACTAGTCTAGTAGTAAGATATTTCTACTAGAAGTAGTATAGAGAGATCCTATCTAGTATATTTGCTTCGGTCTTAGCCTTCTATAAAGCAAGTAATTTGCTCTCTTATAAGCCCCTTCGGAATCTACTACTACTTAGCGCTAGGCGAAAGAGTAGCTAATAGAGAGAATTAGTAAGATCGGTATACTATAGATCGAATAAAAAAGTTATATATAGTATTTTAAATCGGTACTTAAGTATAGAGAGGCCGAGGAGATTCTACGCTAGTTACTAGCTATACTTACTACCTACTACCTACTATATTAGCTCCTTCTACTTCGCTCTAGCTCCCTTCTACTATAAAGCGTCCGAGACTACTTAAGCCTATACTAGTAGTACTCTATACTCTAGAATCGGTATAAGATATTCGTAGAACGCTTATAGTCGGTTTATAACTCTCTAGGTTCTAGAGTGCCTCGCTATAAATTCTACTTAGATAGTCGCGCGATCTAGTTATAAAGTAAGAAGTGCTTCGAAATTAATACTATATAGTATTATCGGAAAGCCTAAGTATCGATACTTAGATATATATAGGATTATCTACTTATACTAATTAACTAGCTAGGTTATAGTAGTACTTAAGATATAGCCGTATTTAGAGATATTAACCTAGATCCTATTCTATATATACTATACCTCGACCTTACCTAGTATAATCGGGATATCTATCTAGTCGCTATATAGTAGCGCTCCGTTATCTATATAGAAGACCTTACTAAATAGATATATTATATCTACGTTTAGGTCCTAGAGTAGGTTGTTAATAAGAACGTTCTATAGAAAAGGTAATAGTAGTAATCTCTATAGAACGCCCCTCGTATATAGAAACTACTAGGATATACTTCCGTTCGCTAATATCTATAAGTAGATATTCTATTATAATATATCGAGTAGATATATTAAGTCCTCTAGGCACTCTTATTTATATAAGGCCTTATAGAGAAAGTAATAGTCGACTATATTAAACGCTATAGTAAAGTCGAGAAACACTACGCTAGCGTATAACTCTTACTATAGTATAGTATAGACAAGTATAGCTAGAGTTAACGTCGAGTAGTTAGCTCGAAATTCTATCTATACTAG